GTTCCGCCCGCTCGTTCCCACACCCCGCCACCGCTTACTTCAACAGATGCTGCCTTAGAGGCCCCAAGATGCCTGGGCGGCAAAGCCGCCATGGGTGCAAGGGCCTCCAGGGGCCTCCGAGTGAGTCTCACTAGTAAGTAGGTGTTAAAATGAGGTCGCATCACATGAGAACAAGCGAGAAGATCGGCGGGAACACAATAGAATCAAAGCGGTTTGTCCCGTCCTCGGGGTGGGGAGGCAAACACGCGAAGAGTAAATACAGGCAGTCACAGACCTATATACGAGGTATCATCGATGGGGCAGGTACATTAAGGGGCAGCGGCGGGTACAATAACATTGCGCCATATCGCGACACGTTGGTGCGTCGGCATTTGGGCACGCGCTTGGCCGTATGTTCCAACAGTAGGCATTGACAATATTGAATGACAGTGATGCCGGCTCGGTACCACAATATTTTATGAGGTGCATAGTGATATTGTCCTAATAGACTATTTCCTAGTACTAAGTACTTATTGTTAGAACCTTATGCAGTCTGAATTTCCCAAGAGGAGTTGGGGATCCGTGCTTGCACCGCTACAGATAGATTAAAGCCTAAAAATAGGAGTTCAAAATTAGACGCTGGGGAAGTAAGGCCGCGCCTTCAGTAAATTTTCTCTCACTCCAAACCACAACCCGCTCATCATCAGTTCAGCCTTACTATTCATGTATGGATCCCTCTATTGGCACTGAGCAGTATCCGGATGTCATAGTTGAACAGGTACACCGAGTGGAAGCAAGTTTTGCCCATCCCTTGGGCATTCACACTCTGCGCTCTCAAGCCGCTCTCGATGCCCAGCGCCTTGCCGCTGCCACTGAACCCAATGTGCCTTGGTCACGCACCTAGTGAGTTTAAATATCATTAATCATTCTAACTAATTCACATAATATCATTGCCACAACAGCTCTACCTACTACAAACACATAGTCACCTATGCTGGAGGGGTAAAATTCTCATGCCGTTACGTCAACCGTGACAGACACCGCCTCTTGTGCAGCATACAGTTCAATATGTTGTGTACATGCCGACTGGTGCAGCTGGAAATAATTGCAGGAAATGGGCAGCGGTCATACTATGAAGATGAATTCCCCATTCCCAATGTAGCACCAATTGAATTCCCCGAGTACGCGTAGATTACAATAGGTGCAAGAATGTCATCCGATGAATCAGTGGTGATATACCAGCAGTCAGTAAGCTCAACAAGACACTCAATAAGCAACTTTCCAATGGAAGAGTGGCCCAAACAGTGGGTGCTAATACAACATACCCCAATCTCACACAATATACTATGAAGCAACTCATTCTGTCATACTGTGTTAATCAATACTGACAGTATCTAGTATCATCAATACAGCAACCCCCAGCAAACACTGTGATAGCTTGTTAGTGTCCCTACCCGGTGAACTACAGCAGAAAACAATGTGAACTGACACCAAAGGGATTGTACTGCCAGTAATGGCCCTCTCCCCAGCAAGTCACCTATGGCCAGCAGAACTGGACGAGGTTGCCCTACCTGTTTCAGGAAGGTGAGCTACCCGAGGATCTCATACCTGTGGGGGCCCCGCTGGCAAGCAGGCCTGATGACTGGGAGCCATTGGTCAGGGGTGGTGGACTGGTTGCAAATGTGGGTGCAATGTGCTTCAATTTGGTGTCTTGAGCTCATATGTTCCAGCCCGAAGACATCACATTGTTGGGAAATGACTCCAACGTCATTTCTGAAGATCCTATCCCGGACAATGAGCTTCATTTCTTGCAGCATGGTAAGTCTGCAATCTTATTCCATCATCTCCACCCATGAGCCTGGACTTCGGTTCTGTGTCGAGCACAGACGAACCCTCAGCGCCGGGGGTTGACAATTGTTTGGCGCCGAGGGTTGACCAGTGTTTGGTGCCGAGGGTTGGCAACTGCTCGGCGCCGAGGGTAGGCCAGTGCTCGGCATCCAAGGGTTAGGTTAGGTGCAATGGCATGGATTGTAGACTGGATGTGGTGATGGTGTGTGCAGACTGTCAATTGACATTTGGCCATGCCTGCAGATTATTCACCGCATGTGGTCTCAACCATGGAATCAGCACCGATGGCAAGGATGTACACATCTCCGACTGAGGCCACTGCTCCTCTTGATCCTTTTCATAACCTCTAGACCAGGGACAGCGGGCAGCCTCTCGAATAGCCTCGCACCGGTATGTCATTCTTATTAGTCTCTTGCTTCCGCCGACTCGTGACATTTCATGGTTATTACAGTAGTCGGCCCTTCTTACAGCGGCCGTGCTCCTATGGCTCTTTTGGATCTTCTTCATCAGCAGACAATACTGGAATTGCGGATCGAATCCTTGGAGCAGCTCAGGCAGTCCAATGCCCTCAATACTGCCACTGTAGCATGGGTTCTGTCATATTACAATTGTGCTGAGTGGCCCCAGGCACCTCAGCAGTGATCAAGACTCTAACATTTCATTCATATGATGCACATATAGTACTATTTACTCTATATTTTATGTATAGCCTGTATGCAGATGTATTACCTACAGGCTATGTAGGGACCAGGTGCTGTAATGGTGAATTTGTGAGAATGGGATAAGTGAGACTGTTACAGAGTGTAATGAAATATTGTGACAATTATTTGCTGGAAATGAGGACACTATGCAATAATACTGTACTCATGTTTCTCTCCAATATCATCCTGTGTACATAGATTATATGTGTACATGGTACAACTACAGAATGGAATTACATCGTTTGGCCTGGTTAATGGCATCCAGATTGAAAGAACTATTATGTGGATACAAACATCATATGGTATACTGTATACACACAGGTCACAGGTTGTATGTATATATATTCTGATTGAGTCACAGCCATAGTAGTGATGGATACGAGTGTAGTCATTATAACTGGGTCCCAGTTGTTCTGATGATCTTCACTGTGTATATCCTTGCACTAGTGTTTGCCAATAATCATTCATACTGATTTTGAAACTCAACTAACATACCTGCCTGATACTTTGTTATGCTCTGATTCATTGCTTAAATGCTTGCAATGCTACCATTTAGTCTGTTTTGTGACCGTGGATGATCTATATGTATCCAATGCTCATATCTCTGTGAGCTGAATGCTGTTCCATCTGTGAATTTCTATGTTAATACTAGAGGTTTATATCACTCCAGCAATGAGGAGCTGAGCTATGATGGATTCTGGGCCTAGTGCTTGATATTTTGCCAAATGTGGAATATCAACAAGTCAATGACGGTTCTTTAAATAAAGTCAGCCGTTCCATTGTCTGCATGATTGACCAGCCACTTGACTTTCGACCGTAAGAATGGACCACTGCAAAGCGCCCGGCTGACAAGCTCATAGTGGGTTTACTGACATCCGGCTGACCGGTCTTTGACAGCATGGTACCTTTGCCGGCCAGATGATTACAGACCGTGTGGCTGCTTCAATGGTTGTGTGTGGGCCATCCCTTGTTTAACAGCGTGCTGTGTAGGTTGCAAGTCTCCCAGGGCCGTGTGAGGTGGCAGGGAGCGGGGGTCGATAGTCGGTAGAAACGACAGGTTTTGTTGTCAGACGATGTCAATGTAACTATAGGAAGTCACGGAAGGAAGGGATAGGTGAAATGCCCAGGCTACACTGCCAGTGCTCGTTCCGCTGAACGATGGAGCCGCTGTTCCCACAAAGACACCCGAATACGCAGAGTTCGCCGCCTGCACACTTGCCACTGTCGCCGCAGATTCGCAGGAGAGAGAGAGATCTATATGCGACTAAAGAAACAGAGCTACCCTGATTTGCAGGTTTTACCTCTAACCATCCACCGTCGAAGTGGTAGTGGTAGGTACTAGTCCCCCTGTCATGGGAATATCTCTGAATCCCAAGTCCGCCTTATATGCATCGACTCACTAGCTATTGTTAGAGCTCTGCTATTGTTGGTAGGGTCTATTAAGTAAGCACAATGGACTCACTGTCGATTGGTCGAGAATGTGTTTTGGCATTATCTGGTAATCTATGGAGTTTGCCAACAACCGCCAACAACCGCTTTAAGACTGCAATACCGACGGAAGGAAGGCCCGAATCTCCGAAGATTATTCACCGCTGGTAAAGGGAACACCGAAGGATCACCAATGACTATTGATCTTCAGTAATGGCAACCCCGAGGGATCACTGAGGAAGGCTGCGCTGACACTTTGGACTTAGCAAGGAGAGGACTTAGGCTGTGAAGTTCAGACGCGTCTCAAGTACAGTAAGTAGGATAGTCTTGGACTGCTCATAGTACACAGGATTGAGGACTCAGAAATGTATATAAGATGAGACAAAAGACTGCGGAATACATCTACACTCTTTACCAAAATTCACCTTGTGTGCCACATGAAGACTTGCTTCGCCCCGGGTGCTAAGTTAGCCACACTAGCCACTCGACCACTCTCACTGAGTTCTTACCGACGCGCTCTAAGACCTGTGATTGTGAGACCTTACTTAGGACAGTCCTCGCGCTACTAGTAAGGTCTAAGTAACTTCAACTGACTACAAGAGTTGGGTTCATCGGAGAAGGTTCATCATACTGATCAACATTCTAACATCGCTTCTTGGTAATCCTTTTATTACTGACACTTTGGTAACTGCTCTACTGGACTTAAGCATTACTGACGCTTCCTTCTGAATTACCGAGTATTGAATACTTCGATAATCTATTCATTCAACCATTCGACTTCATTACTATTCCTCTGTAACGAAGGAGACACCCTCTACTCTATTGCTTGACTTCAAGTGACTGGTTACCTTGAAGTAAGTATTACACTAACTATAATCCACACTCCAACACCCCCTCACTCGCGCCAGCACACCATGTCCTTCCCCTCCCCAACTTCCCACGCCCTCAAACTTTCCCGACTCTCCCCATCCTCTCCTCTACTCCCCCTTCCTTCCGGTTGGTCTGTGACGCCCCAGCCTCCTTCGCTCACCGCTCACACCCACCATGTCCTTCCCTGGACAATCCCCATACGTCGTTCGCTTCTATCATCTCCTCGAGCTCCTTCAACACAAATGCAACTTGGAACCTCGTCTCCTCCCTCACGATCCAACTGCCTGGCTTGCCTGGGCCCATGGAAGTCATTGGCTGTTGGTGTGTCCTCCTAGTGCCCATCGCCACCCACATTAACTGTACTCCAGCACATGCTGTTTGAGTCCCGTAGCATAGCCGTGGCCTCCGGGGACATCTCTCTCCCTTCCGTCCGCCAGACGCCATCTGTGCACGCACTGGTCGAGTACCTCGATGCCGTCTTTGCAACCCTTCCTTCCAAGCATGCTTCGTCTATTCCCGAGCTGTACCCCGTCATCGCCTGGTCACCTAACCGCATTCTTGCCAAGCAGAGCATTGCTGAGGAAGGTGCTCCGCTCCCGGCCATCTCCTATCGCAACAGTCCGCTCGCCTTATTGAACCAGCGCGCTTCTTCAGTCAGATGGGACGTCGTCACTGACCAGCTGGAAGCTCTTAGTGCTGCCCAGTGTTCGACCACCGACACCCTTGACCAGCTCAATGGCGAGCTAGCTGCGCTCTCCGCCGCAGTCCAAGGTATCAAGAGCAGCTGGCACACGGGCTGTACCTTCCGGACGAATATTCCGGCACAACAATGTCGTCTTCACTTTGGAGTAGGGCAACCACGATGTCTCTGATCATACACCTTGAGGGCTTGACCTGCTCTCTGGCAATGTTGAAGGATGTCTGCAATGCACAGATCTGCTGAGCTTGTAGCAATGTCTTGCAGCTTGTCAGACAGTAACAGGAAGTAGCAATAGGGCCTCCAAGGTTTGCAACTGAGATCTGTGGCAAGCAATGGTCATCAGAGGCAGTGAGTTCTAAGTTGTGTTAGAGGTGCTTGAATGCACACATCTTGCTGGATGCTGCAGTTTGCAACAGGCCCACCAAGGATCACGTACATTGGTGGTGAGATGTCAACAGAATTAGGAGGCCACTCATAGAGTGGAGGCATGGTATTGTTAGGGTGTTGTGTCTGCATGAGGATGAACAGTAGCCGTAGAGTAGTGCATTGCATGGGTATGACTAAGCCATGGGGGTCATGGGTATGGGTATGCATGGGTATGGGTGTGGGTAGCCAAAATCTGACCCACATACCCATGAAACCCATGGGCCCCTGTAGTGCTTATCCAGCAGTACAAGATGGTATCCCATAATCAAATAGTCAGTATTAGGGTCTAACACAGTTTCACATCTTCCAAGGTAATGCTGAGGCTTGCAGTACTTTGCAATAGCTGTTTCATAAAATTGACCAGACATTCCCTTTTGTTAGCCACTGTTGATATGCTACAATAAAAGATACATTACTGTTGTCATGTCAAATTGACAAGGACATTACTGTGTGCATGGTGGGTGATGTATGATATGTGCTATTGTGGTGCAATTAGATTGGGAGGAAGCTGACCTATGCTTTCTAACTCATAATGACAGCTCCTGGAGTGCCATCTCAAACTCCTTTGTCAGTCACCTGTTGCCAGCTCCTGACTGAACAGAATTTGGTATAAGCAATGTGTTGAGGCGGAGACAAAACCTGTAGTATCAGCATTACTCACCCACTTAAGTAGCATACATGCCTCATCGTTTGTTTTGATAAACCCTAATCTTAATCAGTCTTTATCAGAATGGTCACAATTACACCCAGATGACAAACTATGCAAAAGTATGGCTATGATGATGGCTAGTAAATGATGCTGTTATGAACCGTGCTGATTTATGTGTCAGTCATTGTTGTTGAGGATGACACAATGTTGAGTTCTGCCTGTGATTCAATCTGGTTGTTGTTTATTTAGCCTGAGGGATGGTTCTTCTGCTACATGTTGATCTCTGAGAACAAGTGAAATCCAGTCAGCAAAGTGACCATGGGTATAAACATTGTCAAAAGGAAATTCATATGAGGTAGGCCAATGGATGTATATCTCTTCCTCAGCTAAGCACAGCTGAGCCTGCAAGCTTCCCATAATCATGTGTTCTAATGTGACCTGATGTCCATGGCCCCCTGCTATTCATTACCTGGTGCAATGTGCAAGGTTCATTGATGTGTACAGCCTTTTGTCCCATTCCCCAGGTTTCTCCTGGTGTGCCCCCTACATGTACTGTTGTACACTTGGTCAAACAGTCCTGTTGTGATAAATTATGCATATCAGTGAAGGCAATATGGCCAGTACAACACTGCCAAGGCTTATATGTTTGCCAATCATGAATCATCATCCAAAATCACAAGTACCTTTGACTGCATGTAAATATGCCCATGATGGTACCCATACCCATGGGTACCCACAATACCCATGCAAAACCCATGCACATGGCATGGGTATGCAATCCATGTGGGTATGGGTATTGGTATGCTGCCAGCGTGGGTATACCCATGCAATGCACTAGCTACGAGGGGTCAAAGAGAAAGTGGTGGTTCAGGAGCAAGAGGTGAACTGAACCAGCAGTGGGGCCGCGGAAGCCGATGCGGCAAGCAAACCAAACACAAGCAAATAGGAGTCCACATTTCCAGATATGGCAGGTGCTGCCTTTTGTGGTAAGCTGCAGGCTTACAGTCCCACCTTCCTGTGGATCTGGTATCCTCATTACAGCTCAACTTTGCACTGTTTTGGTAATTGCATTCTGAAGATTACCGAGGTTTTTACCATTTGTTACCACTTTGTATAGGCAATACAAATCTCTATTACCAATGTTACTATTCCTATGAACTTGGCAATAAACCCCAACAAATCAAAACAAAACCATAACAATCCAGTGCCCCATGCCTGAATGACAATAGCCACATCCATGACAATATCAGGGCACTGTCAAGGTTGTATCTTGCCATACTCTCCTCCTCAAGTTCACCCAAGACTATGATGAGCTAGCTTGAGTTATAGAAGTGAGGATAATGACCACTATGGCTGTCTTTCTCCCACACAGGGGAACTCTATTGTACATACATACAATCAAGAGCTGACAAGACCCAGTCTACTCAGCTCAGTCCCACTGATGAACATAAGTCATATGACCTTGGCATCTGTCAATGTCTTTATCTGTTGGGCATCATACCCCAGTTCCTGCAGAATCTATGCAAATTCTATCAGTGCGCCAAGTGTCAACAAGGATAAATGTTACCTCAGAAGTGTGCTGGGAAAGCCAAGGAGGTGGCCTTCTCAATGGCATCCTTTGACCATTATACATGACTGCAGGTCCCACTAACTTGATTGGACCTGCTCTTGGATGCTGCATAGAACAGTGAGGCATACTGTACTCCCATTGGCATCAAGTGACAAACCTCAACATTCACTACAATATCCCTAGCCAGGGCTTGTGGATGCTTGAATGTTTGTTCAACATTATTGATTGGGCCAAATGGTACTCTGAGACCTTTGAGTCAATATCATGTCAGGCCACATAATGCATCATCAGCTCACCCCAAGCCCCGGAATTTCTTGAGCCAGTAGTCTCTGGACTTCTGTGTCAGCTTGTCAGTGATGATCTTCACAATGTCCGCTCTGTGAGCAACCCGAGCGTCATTAGTCGAAAAACGAGGATCAGATGCTAGCTCTGGCTGCTCGAGGATCTTCGCAGCAAGGATGGAAAACTAGAGTACTGAGCGTCAATCATCGTGCCTGTTGAGCTCATGTATCGGACTCACCTGTCTGTCATTGCCAGCACCAATCATGATGAAACCATCCTGGCATGGGAATACTTGGTAGGGAACAATCGATGGGTGAGCCGTTCCGTGACGCCCAGCTTCCTGGCCAGCAATCAAGTAGTTTGAAGCGATGTTAGCGAGTCCCGCTAGCTCTCCATGCATTGTCAGCAATCGACGGATACCCTAACACGGCTAGCGTACCTGAGACTCAAACAGGTTGCAATCGATCCACGCGCCTTGCCCGGTTTGTTGTCGCGACAGTAATGCCGCCATGATCGCACCGTGAGCGTACAGGCCGGTGGAGATGTCGGTGACTGCTACGCCGACTTTGCATGGCGGGCCGTCTGGTTCTCCGGTGCTACGAGACGTATGAGTAAATAATAGCAACTAGAGATCTATGACTTACATGTGCATAAGGCCGGCTTCACCCTCGATGATCACGTCGTAGCCGGCGGCCTGACGATAGGGACCCGTCTGCCCATAGCCTGCCTTGTGTGCAGTACGGTTGCGGCACGAGACACACAAAACCCACCAGTGACACTTGCATAAATTAATCGTGGGTTGATCTTGCGGCAGTCGTCGTAGCCTAAGCCCATAGTAGCGAGCTTGCCGGGTATGTAATTCTCGACGAGGATATCAGCTTGCTGGATGAGCTTGTGAATGATGGCGAGGCCTTCGGGACGCTTGAAGTTGACGGTCATCGAGCGTTTGTTGCGATTCACGGCAAGGAAATATGCGGACTCCGGCGGAAGGTGGGCAGACTCGGACGGTGCGGAGGGCGAGAGAGGGGCGGCGGGGGGATGCCATGCTCCTAGAATAGTAGTGCACTGAGAGACAGGAGATGATAGGAAGATGGAATAGAACTTGCGAGTGTCATCGCCGCGAGTAACCTCCTCAACCTTGATCACGTCGGCGCCCAGGTCCGCAAGGAGCATCGTCGCGGTTGGCCCGGCGAGGACGCGGGTGAGGTCGACGACCTTGATGCCGCGGAGAGGCGGCGGCATACCCTGGGCTGCGTGCGGAACCGAATACGCGCGTACGAGACGCGAAGCAGACAGGGCGAGGCGGCGTGTGGACAGCATGAGAACGGACTGCGGGGGACGCGTCGGGGTTGACGGAGGCAACGAAGACGATGTGCGACGCGCTGAGGCCGATGTGCGACGCGTCGAGAGTGTGCACGTCGAGGACGGCGACCGGGAGAGGGAGGGGGAGGTGGCCGGAGAGAGATCGGGTCCGAGGCCCGACGGTGACGGGGTCCGAGTGACGGTGTCGGACGCGTCTCGTCACGCCCCTTCAGCGTCCGAGACGGTCTCTCGCAGCCAGCTCGCTCCTTGCCGTCTCCCTCCACCATCTCCCCGCCATGCTTTCTCGCCATGTCCTCCGCAGGCTGCCTCTCCCAGCCCATGGCCAGCACCTTCTGCGCGCCGGCGCGCCCCATCTTCACCGTTCCCTCGCAACCGCCGTGCCTCCTTCACCCAATGATCCGTTCGCGAACGGCACAAATGCGTACTATGTCGAGGAAATGTACAGGCATTGGAGGCAGGACCCGAAGTCCGTCCACGTCTCCTGGGACGCCTACTTTTCCGGGATGGACAAGGGCTTGCCCAGCCAGAAGGCCTTCCAACCCCCGCCCAACCTCGTCCCCGCGCCTGCCGACGGTGCGCCCGCTCTGCACGCTGGTGGAGGTGCTGAACTCGACGACCATTTGAAGGTACGTGCTCTTGGTGGTCTCTCAGACGTTCAGCCCTCACCTCTGTTCCTAGGTCCAACTCCTTGTCCGCGCCTATCAAGTCCGTGGTCACCACATCGCTGACCTCGACCCTCTCGGCATCCTTGATGCCGATCTTAACGACGTTCATCCCCCTGAACTCGAGCTCAGTCGCTATGGCTTCACAGAACGTGACTTGGACAAGCAAATCGCTCTTGGGCCTGGTATTCTGCCGCACTTCGCGACCGAAGACCGCAAGACCATGTCCCTCGGTGACATCATCAGTGTCAGCAAGAAGATTTACTGTATGTTGTCTCTCTACCTCAGCATTCATCGTACCTACTTGTCTCTGCAGGCGGTCACATCGGTTTCCAGTACATCCACATTCCTGATAAGGAACAGTGCGACTGGATCCGTGAGCGCATAGAGGTACCGAGGCCTTGGAACTACACTGTGGAGGAGAAACGCATGGTCCTCGACCGTCTCATCTGGTCCGAGTCTTTCGAGAAGTTCATCGCCAGCAAGTACCCGAACGAGAAGCGGTTCGGTCTGGAGGGTTGCGAAGCCCTCATTCCCGGTATGAAGGCTCTCATTGATCGCTCCGTCGAGCATGGCGTCAAGCACGTCACCATCGGTATGCCTCACCGTGGTCGTCTTAACGTGCTCGCGAACGTCATCCGGAAACCCATCGAGGCCATCCTCAACGAGTTCTCTGGCACTGCCGAGGATGATGACTCCCCCGCCGGTGACGTTAAGTACCACCTGGGTGCCAACTACGTCCGCCCGACCCCCTCCGGCAAGAAGGTATCGCTTTCCCTTGTCGCTAACCCCTCGCATCTGGAAGCGGAGGATCCAGTTGTGCTCGGTAAGACGAGGGGTCTTCAGCACTTCGAGCAGGATGAGGCGAACCACACCACCGCCATGGGCGTCCTGTTGCACGGAGATGCCGCGTTTGCGGGTCAAGGTGTCGTTTACGAGACCATGGGCTTCCACAACCTCCCCAACTACGGTACGGGAGGCACCATTCATCTCATCGTCAACAACCAGATCGGTTTCACGACCGACCCCCGGTTCGCTCGTTCGACGCCTTACCCGTCCGATATTGCTAAGGCTATTGATGCACCGATCTTCCACGTCAACGGTGACAATGTTGAGGCGGTCAACTTCGTCTGTCAGCTCGCGGCCGACTGGCGTGCGAAGTGGAAGAAGGACGTCGTCATCGACATCGTTTGCTACCGTCGCCACGGCCACAACGAGACTGACCAGCCTAGCTTCACTCAGCCGCGTATGTACAAGGCCATCGAGAAGCAGCCCACGCCCCTTACGCAATACTCGAAGTACTTGATCGAGCGCGGAACGTTCACCGACAAGGACATCGAGGACCACAAGAAGTGGGTTTGGGGTATGATGGAGAAGGCCGCTAGTGGAGCCAAAGACTACGTTCCGACGAGCAAGGAGTGGCTGTCTGCGTCCTGGCCGGGCTTCCCGTCTCCCAAGGAACTAGCGGAGAAGACGCTCCCTACGCGTAGCACTGGCACGTCGGAGGAGACGTTGAAGCGCATTGGCAAGGCCATCTCCTCTTACCCTGAAGGCTTCACTCCACATCGCAACCTCGCGCGTATTCTCAACACCCGCGGAAAGACTGTGGAGGAAGGTAGCAACATTGACTGGGCCACCGCTGAAGCTCTTGCCTTCGGATCCCTCGCCCTCGAGAAGGTCCACGTCCGCGTATCCGGCCAAGACGTCGAGCGTGGTACTTTCTCACAGCGCCATGCCGTCATTCACGACCAGGGGAACGAGCAGCAGTACGTTCCCTTGAACGACCTCGGCTCGGGCCAGGCCCGCTTCGTTGTCTGCAACTCGTCGCTCTCTGAGTTCGGTGCCGTCGGTTTCGAGCTTGGATACTCTCTCGTTTCACCCGACGCACTGACCATTTGGGAGGCGCAATTCGGTGACTTCGTGAACAACGCTCAATGTATCATCGACCAATTCATCGCATCTGGCGAGCGGAAATGGTTGCAGCGGACCGGGCTCGTCATGAGCTTGCCCCACGGTTTCGACGGTCAGGGTCCGGAGCATTCTAGCGGTCGGATAGAACGCTTCCTCCAGCTTTGCGACGACCACCCGCAGAACTTCCCCACCGGCGAGAAGATGGAACGGCAGCACCAGGACTGCAACATGCAGATCGTCTACCCTACCACGCCTGCGAACTACGTATGCAACTTATTGCGTGTACTGCTTGCAACGCTGACATTCGACTCCGTATTCTAGTTCCACGTCCTCCGTCGCCAGATTCACCGTGACTTCCGCAAGCCGGTACTGTCATCTCCCACTCTACCCATTGGTCTTAGCTGATGGGCCCACTCTACCAGCTCATCGTCTTCTGGTCGAAGGCGCTGTTGCGTCACCCGAAGGCACGCTCGGACCTGTCCGAAATGATGGACGACACGCACTTCCAGCGCTACCTGCCTGACCCTCACCCTGAGCATCTCGCTCCTCCCGAAAAGATCCGTCGCCACATTCTCTGCTCAGGTTCGTTGCTTCGAATATTGCGTACGAGATCCAAGCTCACATTTGCTAAAGGCCAGGTGTACCACACGCTCTTGCAGGAGCGCGAGGATAAGAAGATCGATGACGTTGTCATCAGCCGGTTGGAGCAGATCTCGCCGTTCCCGTACGACACGGTACGTACAATTTAGTGACCGGATGTATACCTGGGTTCTAACGGCTGTCTGTAGTTGACCCCTCATCTCGACAAGTACCCGAACGCAGACATCATGTGGTGTCAGGTCAGTGCGCATCCCAACTTGGTCGTGAACTGTCGGCTGACGTCTGCACAGGAGGAGCCTCTCAACAACGGGGCTTGGACGTACGTCGGGCCTCGCATTCTGACTGCTGCGAACCAGACGGAGAACCACAAGGGCAAGTACCCGCTATATGCTGGTCGGGATCCTACAAGTTCGGTGGCTACTGGAAGCAAGGTACGTACCTGTTGATTTGATGTAGCGTAGTGCCGTTGCTCATCATGAACACAGGCGATGCACAAGAAGCAGATCGAGGCGTATCTTGCTACCGCTTTCGGGCAATGACATTGAGTTCGGTTTTGCTACTATTTGCACATACTACTGTATCCCTTCCGCATATGACAATAATTATTCACCATTCGGCATGCAAATGGCGAGCACCGTTCCCTAAACGAGCAGACGTCAAGGAAAATGATACGTAGCAACATAGATAATTACATGAGTGATGACAACTAAGTCCTCCTGCGCTTGCGCTCCCTGCCGCCGTCCTCTCCAGACTCTTGTCTAGCTTTCATACCGGCGGCACGCATGTGCTGTTTGCGCTTCTCCTTCTCCTTCTCTCCTTTCTTCGCCTCCTCCTTCTCGACCTTCTGACGATGAGTAACGCGGCGTTGTTCTTGCTTTTCCTTCCTGCGAGCCACCTGGTCCTTACGCAGGGCACGGATTTGCTGCAGGAGCGCGATGGCCTTCTTCTCCTCAGGCTCGAGCATGACAGCGCGCTTCTGCAAGTACGTCTGTCGGTGTTGCTGCTTTACCAGCTTCGATTTTGAAGCATAGGGCAACGCAGCCTGCAGCTTCTTGGGAACCTTCAGCGTGTTAAATCGCCGGGCTGGTCGTTCGACGGGCTTGTAGGTCGAATTGACATTCGTCGGAGTCTTCAGGCCCTCTTCTCTGCGGACCTGGCCCGTGAGGCGCATGCCTGTCCAGTGACCCTTCTGCGACAGCAGCAGCGACGTTACGGGGTTGTAGAATTTTCTCGGCTGTATTGAGTACCACGCGCGTAGAAACACGATGTCTACGAAGAGTTAGCAATCTGAGTACGCTACTGACGCCCCGAAAGACATACCGCTCATGAGTATCTTGTCCTCGAAGGTGGCTCGGAAGGCGCCGTCGGGTTTTGCGAGTGCTTTCTTGACCTGGCCACGAATGCCCGACACGGTACGAATGTTCGCGCCTTCAAACTTGGCAACCTCCAGCGCACTGTTGAACATGTTCTTGATGAACGCAGTGTTCTTAAAGATCTTATACGGCACTCCTGTGAGCTTCAACTTCTTCACGATCTTCGCCGACCGGTCAATGTCAAGGACAACACCGGTGGCCGACACCCGGAACCCGGCGACCTCGCTTGAGAGGGTATTTAACGCACAGAAGCCTGTGTTGGGCAAGGAGATCGGCCCGTAGAAAGTCGCATAACAGTGCATGTGTTCGGGAGTATACTTGAGCATGCGCATGCGGATAGAGTGGTCGTCGAGCGAGTAGATCGGGATGGTCTGGAATCGCCGCCAACCCAAGGAGAATATCAAAGGGTCGTTGGTCTTGAGTGTCTTCGTGTACCAACGGTGACGCTTGATGCGAACCTGCAGGTACCCGAAGCGTTCCTCAGACGCAAGGAGACCGCCGACGATGATGGGATATGAAGGATCGAAGTTCTCGACAAGCTCGCAGGGAACGTTCTCGAGCTCGATGCGGACGTACGTTCCGGGACGGTAACCCTCTACAAGGACTCGGGCCTCGGGGTCAATGCCTTCGAACTCCGCGCGGTTTAGCTCCAGCTGCCGTGCCATTTGGTCCTTCTGCTCCTCGTAGAAGTCCACCTTTGCGCTTTCTGGGTCGTCGTACTGCTCGTCGAATTTGCGCTTGAGGGCCTCCTTCTTCTTCGCCAAGGCAGCCGCACGAGTAGCCTGCGGGTCGTCCGCATCAACCTCTCCGTCGGCCTCCTCCGCATCGCTACCTTCGACCTGATCGTCTTCGCCAGTGATTGCGGCTTCTGCGGACGATCCGGTAATGAACAGACCTCGCAAGGAATCGAGCAGTTCCTCGTCTTCCCATACCTTCAGGTGGTCCGGGCTGAGAGTGTCTTTAGACGTATCTATTTCTTCAACCTCCTCACCAGACTTCTTGATTACTGTGAAGAAGTCTTCATCGCCCATGCCACCACCGGCGTCAGCTATGCGAGTTTGTTTGTCCAACAGGATCTCGTCGGGCGATAGGGACGTCATGTAGATGAGCTTCGTCCAGTCTCTCCGTCGATTACGGCGCGAGTCCTGAGTGAACGACGCATGCGCCTTCGCCGCAAGATCCGACTTCCATTTCGGAACTTCCTCATCTGAATCGTCAACCATTTGCTCGTCAGATTCGTACGAGTCCGGCAGGTCTGCGCCCTCCTCCTGCCCACCTACGAGCACTCCGTCATCGTTGTCATCGCCGAGGTCTGAATCGCTGTCGGCGTAGTCAACCTCCTGTCGCTGGCGTGCATGAGAGGGCAGGTCTCCCATAGAGCGGTGTACACTTCGCATAGACAACCGACCCCGATCGCTGGGACCAGCGCCGTCATCTTCCATATCACTGTCGTCTTCGTCCGAGAAGCCGTCTGACGCGTCTTCGTCGACATCGCTGTCACTCCGACTGCCGTCTTCGCTATCCTCCTCGGAGTCACTCCCGTCGTCCGAGTCATCCGAGTCATCGGGTAGACGACTAGGGCCCGCTTGGACGCTCAGCGGTCTCGATGACGAACCGAAGAGTCTGATCTGGCTCTGCGCTACTTGATCCTCGATCGTCGTCTTCACGTCTTGGAGATCCATGACCATCTGTTCTCCTTCGCCCTGGGGAACTGACATCGCAGCGGTCAGCTCGGCAATGTCTGTCGACAGCAAGGCTCGAACTCACCGTCTGCTGCACCGCGAGTGAAGCTCCCTGGAACATTGATGTAGACAGCATCCTTGTCATACACAACGCCCCCAACGTCACTCATCGGGGCGTGGATGAGTAGCTTCTTCTTCTCAGACAGCTTCCGTCGCTTTTCCGAATCGGCATCAGGGAGAGGACATGGGTCGCCAAGCGCAGTAACACTCTTCATGCTCAGATCGCCTACACCGGGGATGTGGACCTTCGTGCCAAGGCGAAGGTTCGTACCGCGCAGGTAACCATATACGGTGACAGTACGGTCGCACTTGCCCTTGGAGGTACGAACTTGCTCGCGTGGGGTCAAGTCTTCGAGACGGTCGGCGAGCAAGTAGGGATGTGAATTACGGAAGACGAGAGGCCTGAACTTCATGACACTGATGAAACGCGAGAGGTTGAGAATCTCGGTGTCTGGATAGCGTCCGTTCATGACGCCGGAGAGGTAGAAAAGCTTTGCACCCTGGTAGATTTCCGTCCAGAAACGCTTCTTGAGAGCCTTCTTGGTGGCACGGAGCGTGGCGGCCTTCTTGATGAGGTCCAGGTGGGTAAGGACTCCGATAACTTTCGGAAATCCATGCGATTGAAGTATGTTTAGGAATTCAAAAGTTTCCTTTGAGACTGGTCAGGATAGAAGTCAATGCAGATAACAGAGCTATTGCGCACCATTTCGAACCCATAAGACCCGTCAATCATGAGCAAAACGAGATCAGCTATTTTGCCGATGTCAATCATGGAATTGAGGTCGCTGTTGCACTCGATGAAGGTAATGCGCTTCTTTTTGCCACTAACAACGGTGACAGGACCCTTCACTTCATTGAGGGTTTGTTTCGTGTAGCGGCGAACGAGGGACTTGAGCAAGGTCGTTTTGCCCACTCCGGGAGGCCCGACGATCGCCACAATAACCGGCGGGGGCTGGTCGTCTGGTGTACGGTTGACGAGGGGAACATGGAGACGGGTCTGGTCCCTCTCTACATTTCTTCTCCCCTGTCTGTCTGCGCGGCGGCCAGACTTGGGTGCGAATGCCTGCGGAGGTCTTGTAAGCTCAGTTTACAGAGGGAAGACCGCCTGACACACCTTTTCGTTGAATCCATGCTGCTTCTCCTTCCCCTTCGCCTTACTCTTCTTCTCAGCTTTCGCGCCTGAATTTGCTGGGCGATGTGCTTTGTTGGACTGCTGGTCCATGGGGCGAGGAAGGAGGGAACGGACGGCGAGCAAGGGATAGTGGGCGCCTACCGAGGATGGACGCGAGAAGAGCAGGCGCGCGAAAAAGGGATCGCGATCACGTGCATGCCGCGTCTTGTTGAAGCGAACGAGCGCCGGCCAGCTCGCCCCGCACGTCCTCTCCCCGCCCTTCCCACCCTCGACCTCGACCACCCTCTCCTCGCACGTCTGCCACAACACCCCGCTGCCTTGCGACACCTCTGCGCGCGATGTCGAGGAGATCGTCGACCTATGAGCTGAGCATCCGCGGCGACGAGCTTGAGCAGGACCGTATCCAACTCGAGCACAACCTACAACACACCGACCTATCTCTCCATCTTTCCTCAACTCCCGCCGACGACTACTCCGACGTCGAGTACCCCCGTCACAACTCTGCGCCATCCCCCTTCTCTGGTTTTGCATCCTTTGAGCAGCACTCTCCAGATGGCTTCGATCCTGTCGAACACAGCCAGTACAACGCGTGGTCGATCCGCTCATTCAACGACGATAACACCGTCAACCCGTATGGCGGGGAGACTATGTCTACCGCTGCTCACCACGCTAGCGCACTGACTTTCAGTGCCGGGCTCGGAGGTAGGGCGACTCGCAGAGCGGATGTCAGCCTGAGTGGCGCAGAGTACGACCCCGAGCGCCCTCTGCATGGTATCATGGCAAGCATGAACGGGCACCCTGGCTCTTTCCAAGTTGACACCATCAAATCAAAGGCCCCAGTAAGCATCAATCTATCCCTCTGTCAAGTAGCCTAACGTAGACGGTTCCTCCTCTTCCCCTCGGCGTCGCTATCCTGGCCTATCCTATAGATGTCATTCTCTGCGCAATTTGACCCTCTTGTCGTTGAAGATACAGAGGAGCTGGATCGTGTTCTGCAATCCGGGCACGCGACACTCCCCGTTCCGTCGCTGCAGTCCTCCACAACCTCATCGGCCTCTGCCTCCGACCCTGACTCTCCGAGGCCCCAGTCTCCCTCTGTCAGACCCAAGCTATCTGATGCACTTGACGCTATCACATTCTCTCCGAAGCGGCCACGCAGTGCTCAATCACAGCTCCCACGCGTTTCGGGACGCTCGTCGTCCTTCTCCGCGATGCGCTTGCAAGAGGCTGCTCGTCAGCCGTCTCCGCCGATTGCTGACCGCGATCTGCCGCCTTCATCTCGTGCGCGCCGCCCAACACAGTCGCCTCGCTACGAACAGCATCACCAACAATCTCTCTCCTACGCCCAACCTGATCCCGAAGTAAAGGTCCACCCCGCGACGCCGTCTAGCGTGAACAGCTCCAAGTTCACCAAGCTTGCACGCGGACTTGCCCAAGAGATTGAGGCGGAGCAGGGCCAGCGGAACAGCGCACGTCAGGGTCGTGGACCGAACGGGGCTCCGATTGCGCAGAGCACGGTGCGTGGTCCTCGGGTGGCATTGATTGCCAAAGAGAGAAACCCGTTCAAGGATGTCGCGAATCAGGTACCCGCATCAGCTCTCAAGTTTGCGAAACCAAAGACACCGTTCAAGAACAGGGTACACCTTCCAGACGTGACAGGCCTGACTAGCGCTGTCCTATCCCCTGCCAGAGCCCGCTTGGACTACCAGAGATATGATAGGAAGGAAGATGGTGAGGTCGAAGGTTGGTAGAGATTTCAACTACGGCATTGTTCTGTAGCTCAAGCTGCCTCGTCCCCTCAACAGCCAGGCTATTCGCCACTCTGAATGCAGTCCAGTCCAAGCTCGCGTTCCTCGAAGGCGAGAACAGTGCATCTCGCCGACGTGTGCATGAGTTGGAGCTTGAATTGGAAGCGTGCAAACAAGAGGTGGCGAGGGAACGCACGAAAGTGGAGGAGCGCGAGGGGCTCGTGGCACAGCACGCAGCTGTTGTTCTGGAGAGGGAGAGGGAGAGGCTGGCCAACCTGGACCGCCAAGCCAAGGCCAAGGCCAGGGCCCAGCGAAGAGACGTGGAAGTGGACGCTGGTCAACGCAGTATCAACGAAAGCAAATACAAAGAGGCCGTAGAGGAGAAGAAGGGTTTGTGGCTTTGCATTCGTAGGCAGACTGATTTGCTCATGCTTTTGCAGCTCTCGAGGCCCTGATCTCTACCCTTCGCAATCATCTGGCCCGGCTGACCAGTGAACTCTCTGATCATCAGCGTCTCCTGGCAGAACTGCGCTCTCTTCGCGATTCAGACGTCAAGGCATTGGCGCAGAAAGGCAAGGACATCGACAGCTTGCGACACGAAGTCGAGCGATTAGCGGGGGAAGTGGAAGTCCTCAAAGGTGTCATTGAGGAAGGCCTCCGGGAACGACGTCATGCGAGGGAAGTCTCCGCCCGTAATGACATGGAAAACACGATCGACGAGAAGACCGAAGACGTGACAGACAGCGAGGAGGACGGCGACATGCCGAACCGGTCGGTCCACCAAGTCCAGGTACTGGAATCGTCAGAATTCAGCGAATCCGAAGACGAAGACGAAGCCGAATCCCACGTCTCCACTGCAGCAGGCCGCGGTTCGCCTGCTCAACCTTCCGTTCAACCTGTTGGTATTGCCGACAAGACTCTGAGGACGGACCATGCAACGGTCGGGTCTTCAATACAAGCCGATGACCTCACTGCGAGGCCGTTCGTCGATGTTGACGAGGTTGATCGTATCTCCACCGACCTCCAGGACCGCCGCTCAGAGCGTTCTACCTCAATGGCCGCGTATCGATCCGTAAACCAGTCCTTCCTAGACTCACGGGTACTCTCGCGCTCGATCTCGCCAACCGCTTCGCTGCGCTCGTCGAGAACGAGCAGCATCGCATCGACTTCGAGGCAAAGCAGTCCTGTAGATGATGAAGAGGAGCCTGCGGTACCAACGTCTTCGCGAGGGCCCCCAACGACAGCGGCTGACACCCGGCAACGATTACCCTCTCCGGTGCCAGAGCCTCCGGCGATTCGACCTAGCGTACCCACTCCGGCGCATGCCCTGCGACAGGTCCGCATGAAGCAGCCAGAAATGGCGTCGCACTCCCAACGACAGCCAGAAGTGCCCCCTGAGACGCCATTCCCCAATATCCGTGGAGAGCGTCTCGAGCGACTATTCTTCTCAGCGCCGGAACACAATGCTCAGACTTGCACGGTGTGTCACCGTCGCATGAAACGGCAGGGCTCCAAGACCGCTGTTGACGATCATAGGCCCTTCTGGTCAGTGGGACCTGGTACTGGACGCGAGCGGCCAGAGGACGACGACGAAGGCTTCGCCGAAGGCTCTGATGAGGATGTTCGTCCTGGCTTCACGCGTGAGGAGAAGGGCAAGGAACGAGAGGCTGACAAGCTTCCTCCCCAAACGGTCCTCTCACGAGTCATCCGAGAACTCGAGGATGACTTTACTCATTTCAAGAGGTGCGCACCTTCTGGTAGGTTCTTGATGAGTTCTTACCGTGTCTGTCCAGTGTCTACGTTGAATTGGCCGACCAGTACAAGCTCATGGATGCTGCGTCCAATGTGGCCAAGCGCAATGTAGTCGCAGGACATCTACGCGAAGTCATCGACATCCTAGAACAGAAGGTGCGTTAGTTTGAATCGTCGATAACATTCTATTCACATCATTTGCAGGGTGATCAAATCGCCTCCTTGTACGACCTGCTAACATTCAAGGACAAACCCATGTCTCAATCGAACGTCCCCGACAGACCAGGCCGTGCCGTTCCCGCAGCGACATCCTCGTGGGGTCGAGCGCGTGGCTTGAGGACTCGTCCCGTTATGACGTAGCCATCATTGTTTTCTTATGCGAGGACTGGCCCCACAAAGGGCTGCGCCTGGTCAGTATGATATAGTATGGGATATGCACCTCCGGACATCTTCGATAAGCCCAAAAATGTTTCCATGCTGCTCTGAATCATTCGCAATGTTCTTCGCTTTGTTTGCTATCCTCAAAGTGTATCACATACGGTTCGCCACCATCCCATAGTAGCAACTCGCTACGTCGTCATCGTCAATCAGCACGAAGTTTGAAGTACAGACAGAATATATAGCCCCGTACCGAAACGCAGGTGTTTAACTTAACAACATTAGCACTCTTCGTAATACGTAACGAGTCGTCAAGAAGGTCGTGAGGGTCGTCAGATCATTACTAGTACAGAAAATCACAAGCATAACTGAACGTCAAGACTCAAAATCAACGCTGACCACCTGGCGGGTGTGAATGATGTGCGAGCTCGTGCCCAGCTTTCGACTTGACTTCCTGCCAGAAAGTATTCCACTTCGGGCCCTTCGGATGTTCCTCGTGCCCGTTTGCACTAGCAGGAAGTGGCGGCGATGATTCGGGTGGTATGTACGCTGCCTGTACACGCTCGATAGCGCGAATGAGCGATGGGGTGGCCGGGACTGGTGTGAACGGTGATCCAGGCGCGGTGATAGGGGACGAGGTCCGCTCAACAGCAGTCCGCTGAGAGGATGATGGCTTCGACGAAATGCTGGGAGTTCCTGACTCGCCCTTGAGCGAGTGTCGCCGTATGAATGCAGGCGTCCACGGTTCTCCTTCGGGTCCAGTGGATCGACGCAACGCGCCCGCAGCAACGTCCTCCTCGAAGTCGGAGTAGTCGGGCTCGGCATTTGCCTTCGGGGGATGTAGCCCCTCGTTCTTGACACCTTGGTCTCCGTCGTTCGCTAGCGTGACGGAACTATTCCTACTGAGGGATGGCCTATGCTCGACAGCCCACGACTTGACTGGAGGCTTGAGGTCGTCAAGGTCGGAATCGTCGTCGTCGTCGCTACTCGAGGATAGGTCGTCCACATTGAGCGGGCTGAACTTGACCGCCTCCCGAGTGCGCCGGAACCCACGCACTCCTTTCTTGCGGTGCTTCCGAAGGAACGTGGGCTCGCGGTGGAACTGTGGCTCCGTCGGCTCGGTGACAGGAATGAGCGAACGCTGCTTCTGAAGCTTGTATGGGGATGGGATGGATCGCTTGAGATCAGCGTCGGTGGGGAAGATGACTTCAGCTGGGGCGTCATTGACGTTGTGATGTCCGAAGAGTCGTGACCAGAAAGAGGAGAGGGGCTTGTACGTGCCTGCCCTATCCGCCTCGTTAGGGAGAGCAGCGACGTAGTCCGCGAGAAAACCGTCCCATTTCTGAAGCATATCATGAGGCTCAGGCGCGACGATGAAAATCAATAGCGACATACCTCGTCCGGATTCTCACCGAGCTTCCGATGAAGGAACCAATCGCAGGCAGAACCGCACAATAAGAGTACACAGTAGACCGTACTCAATCCCTTTTCCACGCTGCTACCCCACCCGTTGGCATTATCAATCCAGAGTCGGGCCCATACCTCCCTCCACACAGGGATGTTGGCTAGGATTGCAACGGACAGGACGACTCCGAAGGCACCGACAGATGAGGTAGCAAAGCGCAGGAAAGCGTGTTGGTACTTGGCCAATGGCAGCAGGCAGAGGATGAGGCCAATGGGAGTGAAGATCGATACCAATACGATTCGTGCCATCAGCGAAGGGTGTATCATGACGGCGCAAGCGACACCAAACGTAGAACTAGAGGGGAGGTGTGTTAAATTAATGACTTGTCATACTATCCGGATGTGCACCTACTATCCAGCGATACCTGCAAAGGCGAGCGCGAGGTACTTCCATCGACCGCCGAGGAACATGCAGCACAATGCAGAAAGCAGCCATGTCGCGAGGAAGGCCTTCGGCGAGAGAGTCGCAGATGTGGTCACGCTGGGTATCAGCGACGACATGAATGTGACCAGGTGAACTGTGTAGGACGGATAAGCAGGGACAACACAGCATGCTCGCGACAGACCTACCTGCAAAGACATATCCGGCTGCAACCCCACCGGCGCCCCCCTCAAACATAGATAACCAACGAATCGAGCTCTCAATACGCTTCAGCTCGGACGCACTGTGCGGCAACGGTTTGACGGCATTGCGACGCGGCGCGAAGACCCTCGTGCGGTCAAGCGCGAGGAATGTTCCCGCGAAAGTGAGCACGAAGGAGATGAGGAGGAGGGGAAGCGCGTATGCCAGGGTATAGGACGTCGAGTCGAGCAGGTCCTCCAAGGAACAGGTAGAACAGTTCGACGCCATGGCTGCGGTGTCGTCTGCGGTCGCCGTAGACGGTTGTGCGGTGCCAGTCGCGGGGGCAGCGAGCAGGGCGTGTCCGGCGGTGCCGCGATGGAGGGAGACGATGAGCTCGGAGGCTGAGGCCGCTGAGAGGGACGCCGGGTGATCGAGTGGGAGAGTGGCAATTGCCGATCTCATTTTCTGTTCGCTTTCTGCACAAATGCCTTCTTCTCTTCGTCTCTCTCTCGCCCCTGCAGCGCACCAGCGTAGGCTGAGTCCCCCCTCGTCTGCAGCCCACCGCCGTCATGGCCAAAATCGCTGCACTCAAGGGCATTGCCCGCATGCACAAGAATGCAGTCGATGCTCAGTCCCGCAAGGCGAAGAAGCGTGGCCATGCTTGGGTAGACGTGTCTGACGACGATATGCATGTCAAATCCTCTGCAAAACACAAGAATAAACCCATGAGGGGGTCACCAGGTTCAGCCTTGCGTGCCGAAGGTGAACCAAGGAAGAAACGGCGATTCAGTACACCTGGGAAACAGCTATCGAACGGTTCTCCTTCATCGCCCATTCAGATGCAGCGAGCAAATCTCCCCATCGCTACAGGTGAATTCACAGATCGCCTAAAGGTTTCGTACAGCCTGACACCTCCCGTCAGGCAAGAATGCTCTTATCGAAGAAATTCGGCGAAATGATGTCAGCATCTTGATTGGTGAGACAGGTTCAGGGAAGACGACCCGTACGTAGAAGCCATCTGCATCTACGGGGCAATCCTAATATTGCGTTCCAGAGGTGCCCCAATATCTCCTCGAGTCGGGTCTCGCAGGTCACGGCATGATTGCCGTCACCCAACCGCGAAAAGTGGCCGCTACTTCTCTGGCCGCCCGTGTAGCAACAGAACAGAACGTCTCGGTCGGCACTCTGGTCGGATACTCAGTTCGTTTCGACGAAGCCTCGTCGGACGAAACCAGGATAAAATACGTTACGGACGGCATGTTGGTTCGCGAGCTGCTGGGCGACCCTCTTCTATCACGATACAGCGTAGTCATCGTAGATGAAGCGCACGAACGGACGTTACGCACAGATCTACTTATCACGAATCTCAAGGACATCCAAAGGAAACGCAACGCCCCGTCGGATGTTAAGGGAAAAGGCTCAGCGGCGAAGCTCAACCCTCTGAAGATCGTCATCATGAGTGCTACATTGGACGCTGATAAGTTCAGCAAGTTCTTCGACGAGTAAGAATAATCATCTGCGGTCTTTCGACAGCGAATTGAACCCCTTCCCCTTCAACAGTGCGAAAATTGTGTACGTCAAGGGTCGCCAACACCCTGTCACGATATATCACACGGCAGTCAGCCAGCCAGACTACGTGGATGCCGCGATGCGCACTTTCTTCCAGATACACACGGATCAGCCTCCTGGCGATGTTCTCATTTTCCTGCCAGGTACTGTGAGTCGCTGTACGAAGTGAAATTCAACTGAGCTGTGCGCCGTTAGGGCAGGAGGACATCGAGGGCTTAGAACGGTCCATACAGCTATATGCCGATAGGTTACCTAAGGATGTCCAATCCGTGAGTATCTGCTGTTCTCGCTCGCACCACGCAGAGTGCCTCACGATGAGAACGATGCCACAGATTCTAGTTTGCCCCATGTATGCCGCCCTGCCACCTGGCCAACAAGCGAAGATATTCACACCTGCTCCGGCCGGCTTCCGCAAGTGCATATTAGCTACCAACATCGCGGAGACGTCCATCACTATACCTGGTACTAAGTATGTGATTGACACCGGCAAATGCAAGGAGAAACGATACGTCGCGCGCGATACAGGGACTGGTAAGCATCACTTCGCCTCTGGGACTACGCTTGCCCCTGACTGTGACACAAGGCTTCGACACTTTACTCACCCGGGATATCACGAAGTCGTCTGCCATGCAACGTGCTGGTCGCGCTGGCCGAGAGGTAGATCCCCACTCACGCAGAGGTCTTCGCAACGTCTGATCGTCCGTGCAGGGACCAGGATACTGCTTCCGCTTATACCCAGAAGAGGCGTTCGACGCTATGGCAGAGTCTGCGGAACCTGAGATCCGTCGTTGCGCCCTCACGTCCAGTATGCTGCAGCTCCGGTGTCTCGGCCAAGATATCGAGGAGCTAGATTTCATGGACAAACCTGACCGGGAAGCCAGTGAGTACCAGCGTCTCCGATCGCAGAGCACTACCTAAGCCAGTTCAGTCGGTGCGGCGTTGAAGACGCTCTATCTCCTCGGTGCATTAGACAGCAAGCGATGTCTCACGAAGCTCGGCAGAGACATGGCAGCGTTCCCCCTGGAGCCAAACCTCGCGCGGGCCGTCGTCGCCTCCCGCGAGTTCGGGTGCACGCTCGAGGTCATCGGCATCGTGTCCGTGCTCTCCGCGTCGTCTAAGCTCTTCTTCGACTCGACCGACGAGCGCGAGGCCGCCGCGGAGGCGCGACGCAAGTTCCGGCACCGCAGTGGGGACCACATGACCATCCTCAACGTCGTGCGGGCCTACCAGGAGATCGCCGCGGCAGAGAAGAAGAGCGGACGGAAGGAGTGGTGCAGGAAGCAGTTCCTGAACGATAGGTGCTTGGCGGAGGCGCAGGACATTCGCGACCAGCTCCGGGAGGTCTGTACGAGGATGCAGATCGACTGGAAGACGTCATGCGGGGAGGACGAGCAGCCAGTCCTCAAGTGTCTGGTCCGTGGGTTGGTGCAACATGCCGCCTTTTTGCAGCCGGATGGGTCGTACAAACAGTTGATGGGGCCTTCCGTACGTTCTCCTCTTCGCTGATTGGTCAAGTTCTGACATTTGCGCAGATCGTCAAAATTCACCCTTCGTCTTCGCTGTGTGACAAGAAGGTACCTGTCATCATATACGACGAACTGGTTGGTACCTTTTCTCTCGCCCCCCTACAGAAACTCACCTCGCCGTTCGCTAGGTATACACGACCCATATCTACGCCCGTGGCGTGTCAACGGTACCACGCAGTTACATCGCCGAAGTTCCTGTCCTAAACGTCAAAGGCACTTGAATATTCACAATGTATCTCAGCATTAGTTACCACACCCTTGCATCTTGGATCTCGGATAGCGGTCCCAATGTCGAGCGCCATGGACCTGACAATCAACACGCAGTCTGGAACTTTGGGACCGGGAACCTTCCGACGAAGGCCGCTCCCGAATACTTGGTCATAGGACGGGGTACAACTACAGATCTATACGTACAGGGTGCATCACTAGAGGGTAAGTAGGGGTAGTGTCAAACAGGTGAGGACGTGTCGCCCGTGAGACTGCTCATTCCGGGGGTCCCTTGGGGTTGTAGCTGGCCTCGCCCTTCAGGATTTTCTCGCCCATCTCCTTAGTTTCCGGCTAACGAATAATCAGTGTATGGTTCTGCAGCCCTCAGTCGCATAGGCGTACCTGGCGCAATACCTATAGTGGATGATAACACGGTAAACAGAGAGGTTCCATAGCAAGGTGAGCGTGACTTACTGTTCCTCTGATTTGCTTTTTATACGCGATCTTGGGTCAGACCGTAAGGAAGGATGGTTGAGGAAGTGGCGTACCTTGGCGTAACCGACGACCTCCTCCGCAAAGGACTGTTTCTTTGCGGGCTGTTGAATGACTATCGGTGGTGGAGCACCAGGGGCCTGCTCGGTGGGGGATGCTGGATTGCATTGGGATGAGTGAAGTTTAAACATACGACATATACAGGACACCGTACTCTGGACACCGTGTTCAACATGGGCTGCCTCTGGCACTTGAGGGAGTGGCGAGGTCTGATCGGCCTGTTGAGCAGCAGACGGTGAGCGGGCGGTTTGCAGTCATGTAGATGATGAGTGTATCCATACATTCTGTGCGCCGGAATCTGCATTCTGGATTGAGGACATGGCGAGTGCTGGAGGTGAGTAGAAGAAAGACAAGTGCGACAAGTTGTGCGTGGGCAGTCGGACTATGGACGTTTGCCACTATGACATCACCTTCCCGAATGGGATCCTCGACCCTCCGCCACTTTGAGTCGCGATCCCTCACCGTTTCCGCTCTTGTCAAGGCTCAAACAGGCCCAAACCCTCACCCGCGTCTTAAATATGAACATGTACATAATTGTCGACCGTGGGTCGACCGTTCTTGTCACGTACCATATTGGCTTCGCCGTGACAGACACGCTGAGATAGCACAGAAGCCTTTCATTTCCGTGCGGGCTCAGAGCGGTCTACACGTTTCGGCCCATCGACCTGCCCTCAACAGCCCTATGATATCTCACTCGCATCGCCTTTCACTCCTTTCTTCGGTCTCCCATCCCAGTCGATGACTCGGAACGACGACGGAGTTAACCCACCGGTACCATACCCACCGTCCGTACGTTCACATTCTACCTGACATCGCACAACACCCTGACTGGTCTTGGAAGTGAGGGAGCAAGCCATAGAGGATCCCACCACACAGTGAGACGCGAGATCCATGGCACTGGCAACCTCTCCTCTCAGACACGATGGAGATCCATTGTGTCTGTTTCAGTGTCAGTCTGCTTCTATCCGGCTTCCTGTTCAACATGCTGACATATCATCATTTCCAGGGTCGACGACCACTAACTTCTAGACTTCTCGAAGTTAAGAGCCGACGGCTCTACCCCATTGATGGGGATTTCAGCTGTGGCCCACCAGTCACACCTGCAGCAGCAAATCAAGTAACCCAGGACATACAAATACGAGGAAGGTGGATCTTTGTACAGGATGACCCACACCCTCGGCCAGTGGCAGTTGGAGGAGCATGACCGCGCTCGCGTAATTCACTCACGTTTACACTGGACCGTAGTGTATACTTACTCATGAGAGAACGAGACGTATCCGTTGCACCACTGTCACATCATGTATGAGAGAGTAATGAGGGAACAACGCGGCGGACACAACACCTAGGCCATGCAACGCAGAAGGTATCACACTCCGGGGTGTAATTGTACATGCCATGATGCGTACAGACAATGTACAACTGCTACATCGGCCAATCATCGCTTCCGGAGTGACGAGAACAACTGAACAAAGGTCCTCCTCTCAAACACGAAACTACCAGAACCAGTGTCAGCTCGGTATGCACCGACAGTAGTAGATAGGCTTACCACGCCAAGAGACATCCGGCGAGACAGCACACGGCCGTTGCGATATGCCCGACTTGGTGGGTAAGACGAAGCGGCACATCCGCGAAGACTCGTTCGCTCCATCTGGTCGCCCCCGCAGCGCACGCAAACACCACGAGCACCGGTACAGGCGGGACGACCGTCCTCCACCCAACCAAGCTCTGCCCGCTCCTCTCGCGGAAGAACCGCAGCGCGAATCGCCACGCATACAACGCCCTGCACAGAAGGTTGACGACATTAGCCCACACCAAGCCCGCGTCGCCCAATTCCGCGCCCTTCGCAAGGCCGACCGCGACCGCGACGAAGCCAAGCGAGAACGCGAAGAGCCAGCGGCTCTGGCGGTGGAGGTCCGCGGGGGCTGCAGCGGACGCGAAGAACGCCTCGAGGACGCCGTTGAAGGCCATCATGGGGATGTAGTAGATGTACGTGCGCAGGATCGTCGGCGCGGACGTGTGGAGGTACTTCGGGGGGAGGACGATCGCGAGCGCGAGCGGGAGGTACGGCGGGCCAAAGGTGACGAGAAGCAGGAGGAGGTGCGTGAAGAGGAGTAGGAGCGCGAGAAGCACGTTCGCGGCAGAGCGCAGGGCTGCGGGGTCCTGTTTCTGATCTGTGAGGCTCTTGGAGAAGAACACCCTGGACGTTTCCTCTATTGGCTGGAAGACCATACGGGCGACCAGGGAGCCTGGCGCGCATCATATCAGTTGCTGTCATGGCGTACAAGGAAAGCACAGGACACCGCACCGTAATTTGACGCAACCGCGTAGCCGCCTTGGTCCGCCAGAGGACTCAGCCGCGAGACGAGGAACTTGTCGCCCTCAGTGAGGAAGTGCTTTACTACGGACTGACCTGTCATGGCAGCGGACAGACTAAGCAGAGAGGGATCAAAATACTTGGAAGACACGCTGCAAAGCGTCAGCCCTCATTTAAGCAGAAGGCGTGTAGGACACACTTGCCATGCACCTCGGAGGTGATTTTCTTTGGCCAGAGTCCGATCCCTTGACCATAAGCGTGAAGGTATGTCGACAGAACCGCGAGACCAAATGCAGCCTGCCCCAACGCAAAGGCGACGAGGGCCCATTCAGCATCGCCGATTACAAGGACGGCGAACGCTACAGTTGTCTTCATGACCACAGCGATGCCTTCGGCCCTGACGCGAAGGTTGAAGCGCAGCTCGTTCTGCGCGCGGATATACAGAGGTTCAGAGAGCAGTTCCAGAGAGGCTGCAACAGCATATATGGCCACGCTCAAATGGAAGTGCGGCTGCGAGGCAGTGGATGCGGAAGTGCTAGCGACATAGAGGAAGGCTATGAGGATAGCAGCGGGTATGCCCAGCAGGGTTGGTAGGATGGTTATGTTCGCCACGAGTGATTGGCTGTCCTTGTTCGAAGACCTTGCCACGGAGCTGGCAGATGAGCGGAGGAGGGCGTTTCGGACGCCTTCCCGAGAGAGGAAGAGGATGGTGGAGAGCAGGAGCTCGAACTGGATCGCAGCCGTGCCAAAGACCTGGGGCGAGACATAGCGCACGAGAGCCTGGTTGAGGATGAATGTAAAGACACGAGAGAAGAACTGGAGGAGGACGAGGGACGATGCGGAAGCGAGCGCGTTGCTGAGGAGATCTGGCTGTGGTGGGTTGTCGGAGGCCATCGTACACGCCTCTCGCGCGCTCGGTGGCGGAGAGCAGCGCTGGGCGTCTATGGATGACCGCGACAGTACTCGGGCACACTTGCCATCTTCGGCGAACAAGTTCAACACTGCATCCAACATCCGCTGCTCATCTCTGTTCATCGCCTTCGAGGCCGAGTCCATTCGCAAACGACTGCGAAAGATACTCTCATCAGTTCAGTAAGCTCCGAGAACAGGTCGCATCCGGGAGCTTCGCACTCTAAACCTGGCCATGGTCCCCTTACCGCCGCTAACGTCCCGTGGTTCGACCCCGGAATACACACCTCTAGCCACTCGCTCTTACAGTGGTCCCGCGTCAAGAACGGAGTCGTGTTGACCAACAGTCACAAGCTTGACTAACGAAGGTTTTGTGACATGCGATCATGAAGGGACCACATCCGCCGTGTATACATCCCTGACAGCGTGAGCACAGGCCTCGCGCCCCACCCCGTCCTCCCCCCAACCGTTGCCCGTCCTGCCCAGCCTCCCCATGCGCCATCCCTTCGCTAACGTCCAGTACTACGCAAGCGAATTACGATTTGATGATACTTATGACTCCGAGGATGCTCCCTCCTCCTCGAACGAGAAGTCTCACGTCCAGCGTGCCCTTGTGATACCTCCACCCGGACGACAACCGGACTTGACACGCTCGCTGTCCTGTCCTCAGGATGCGGCCCAGGTCGTCAAACGATCCCGCAGGCTAGCCGTGTTGCTCGGCGGACAAGAGTCTGGCTCCGCGGTCCCCACCTATCGCCCGGGTGGTACTGTCAACGGGTCACTGGCTATCCTGAGCCCGTCCGAGCTGCTTTCAGTGCACGCAGTGGTATGTGGGATCGCTGTCAGTGGTGATTGCCTCCCTCGACTTACGTGTTGCAGGTGCATGGGTACATCAACATCAGCGAAATCGCCGGCGCCGGGCGGGCCCTGACGGAGGTACTTCACGAGGACCTCTACTCATGGAACGCAGATAGCGATCCTCCCTTGCCTTCGCGGATCCCCTTCCGATACACACTCCCTTCCCAATACACCGTTCCCAACTTGGGCGACCGCCTTCCGCTCCCACCGACCTACCATGCGTACCTGTCCGGTATCCCCGGCTTCACCGTCCATGTGTCGTACCACATAGCGGTAGATATGCTCTATACGAAGCGCCAAGGACCGTCATGGCGAAAGCGCAGGTGGTGAGCATGTCTCGTGAGGCCTCGTCCGGCTGTTCGCATACTCACCATGGCCGCCGAGCAGCCTGCGTGTGCCTCTCCAATTGCAACACTTCACTCGACCCGCCGCCAGGGGTCCATTCCGCCTCAGTTCGGAGCCAGACGCGGCTGGCCCGCGCACGATGTTCAGGCTCCACATGCCATCTAGACAGACTAGTCGCGCACAGATAGAGACACATGTCAGTCCCCGAGCCTCATGTAGCACACTAATCTTCACTTACCAACGTCCGTGCGCGGCGCAGGTATTCCTACCGCAATCACAAATCTGTAGCCTTAAAGAGCCCATTCCTTTCTTCGTAACGTTATTCGGCAACGAGGCGACCCTCGCGCCCTTCCTATGTTATGTGCCGTCCCCGGCATCCTTCCATCCCTTGTCGTCACCTTCAGAAACATCCATAGACTCGCTGCAGCGAGCTCTCAAGCTACGCCAGAGCGCAGCTACCTGCCCGCTCCGCATTGTAATACAGAGGACCACAGCGGTCGACGTGGATCGCACCGGCGTCCCCTGCGTCGAAGGCCAAGTCGGTCAGGACTTTGCTTCGAAATGCATCGGGCAAGGTGTGATCCACAACGTCAGCAGAGGACCAAAGTCAATCACCTGGGCGGGTACCATTACGGTCAATGCGGACGTTACCTCGGGTGGATTCGCAGCAATTGGTCTGAGGGTATCGGTGAGTGTGACGGTATCAGAGCACACCTGCGAGTTACGCATGCGTCCGTGCGTCGCGGCAGTCCGCTGACGTTGGGTGCTCGTGCAGGACAGCATCGTGGTCTCTATCAAGCCGCCGGAAGTATCACGAAGCCGCTGGATGCCACTGTGTGAGACGATAGCGGTGCGACTCACCACGGAGTCGTACGGGTGCTCCGCCGCTGTGCCCGTCAGCAGCGTCGTCTGAGGCCCGAGGTGGGCTATTTGGGTGGAATGCCGCGACGGACCCGGGGATCCTTTTGTTCTGGGATACGCTTCGCCTGTGCGTGGCGGACGTTCTCGGGCACACGTGTATGTATGACAGACGGGACCATCTGCTCGCTGTGTAAAGATTTGCCTCATGTATTGAGAGAACAGCCGTCTGTACCTCGGAGAATTCAACCGCGGCCCAGACTGTAGCGATATTTCCTCCTCAGCGCAGAACGGAAGGGGCAAATAGCATCGGACCGTGTGGGACTCGCAGGACACGTTTGCGAGCGAACGACGGTAGCAATGGGTGGTGCACAGAGTTTGTGGGAGGCCTTGTCCGACGGTTGTGTGGGGGGAGTGTGGCTGGGAGTTGGTCGAGGAAAGGAATGGGAGAACGGATGGTGCGCCGGGGCACGCGGTCAGCCGGCGGTCCAGCATGGACATTCCGTTAGTGAACCGTGTTGACTCCGCACTCGCGGGGTGACATCTCCGTTGCGTGTTTGAGCCAGAAATTGAATCTTTCTCTCGCGTGCGCGCAGCGCGTCCGATCGAGTTGCACGCTGTGCTTTCACATGCAGCCACACGCCAATCGAGCTGCCCGCCGTTGACGGTGGTGGCGGCGGGGGCAGCACCAGCAGCGGGCAGGGTCGGGCGTCGGGGGACGGAGAGGCAGACGGAGAGAGGTGTGGCGGAGGAAGGGCAAGGGACGATACACGCACATGTTGCCCGGAAGCTCTGACTCAATGCCGAAGTGGAGTCCATATGGACCACAACTTGGGCGGCATCTCTCCCCTAAAAGCTGACCAACTCGTCCAATGCACCCATCGACGCTCGCGTTTCCCTCATGTCGGCGTCCAGCCTGCCTGCCTACAGGCCGTCCTCCTTCGCCCGCTCCCCCGCGTCCCCCGTATACACCCCCGAGCCCCAGGCGTACGAGCAGCGCCTCGCCCTCAACCGCGTACGCGAGCGACCGTCCACCGAATTCGTAAAGCAGTCCAAGACCGGCGGGCTGAGTCTGCGCCTTAGCGAGCAGGAGGACAATGCGACGCTGCCCGCGTACGGGTGTGGAGACTCGGTCGAGGGCACGGTCGACCTCGCGAAGCCGGAGAGCGCGAATTGTGTGGAGGTCAGGGTGAGTAGCGCAGCATTCCTGCGTCCCGCGACGCGACCCATGACGACGGTGACCAGGTCGAGGGCAGTCTCCGTCTCAAGGAGATCGCAGAGGGCGGCACCACGTCCCACAAGCTCTGTCTCTCCGTCGTCACGCTCTGGAACCGTGAAACAGACCGGAGGCCATGTCCGGCGTCTTTGCCGTTCAGTCTGACGCTTCCCACCACCTTTTCGGACGGCAAGGAAACCTATGTCGGTCAAGTTTTCCGTGTTGCTCGCTCCCCACGCTCAATGTCGCTCTATAGCCCCTTCCCCCGACCCACCAAGCACGTCTGCCAGGCGTGCCGGGATTTGACGCCACGATAGAATACATCGTCTGCGCCGCAGTACACAAGGGGAAGAGTTCCAGCTTGCTACGCATTGGAAGCAGGTATGTATCAGCACGAACATTTAGGGTTCGCTCACCAACAGACTTCGCCTCTCAAGCACCGTGTGCACGCCCTTCGTTTATTATCCACGTTCTCGTCCTGCCGTCCCACTCCCGCGAGCAGCGCGACAGCTCTCTGGAGGCTACCCCACCTTCCTGGACTCACCAGAATGGCGCTGCTACAGATCCATCATGGCCCCCAAGGTGGCGGGCTTGAACGACATTTTGACCAAGGTAAGAGCCCCGAAATCTGTTACTGTCGTGTCTATGCTAATTTTGCGTCTAGTTCTACGTCCCCGCCGCTAGAGTCTTCAGCTTGTCGGAGCCCATTCCGTTCTATGTCGTGTTCGCATCATCAGCCATTTCGCTCGCAGCCTTCCTGCCCCTCGGGCCAACAACGACTCGGCTATCTGGCCGCCAACCCACCCGCGTGCAGCTTCTTCGGCAAACAAACGTTGACGTCCGGTATGTCATGCCTGTGGGGCCGGGTGCGGTTGCTGAACATTATTCCAGGAACGAAGTCGTCTTCGGTACCAAGACGGACATCTGGCAGACCGTCGAGATCGGTGAAGGCGCCTTCCGCCATATGGTGCGTTTCCGCGCAAGCGAACAGACTCTGTGGCATGCTGATGAGCGCATGGCTCGACAGGGTGACGGCGCGGACTGGATCTGCTTCGCGGGAGAGCTCCGCGTTAACAGCCAAATCAAGCTCGGGGGCTTCAAGGCAGGAGGGCTGTCCTTGAAAGACTACCTCGTCTTGTCAATGACCCCGCCTGATCCCTCGAAGACACCCTACAGCGAACTGCGCCAGGTGGTCCCTGTCCGTCTGACCACCGACTCGTGGTCGAGCGACGGTGCGGGCCAAACCTTCTCGGCATCCGATTATTCCATTCCTATCCTTGCTTCTGAGTCCCGCCATCCTGTCAACGCACCTGTTCCCGGCTACCGCCCCGCATGAACGTCCATCGACTCCTTGCACATATCACAGTCCCGCATCCCGCAACTCATCACCGCATCCCGCATCATGCACGCATATTTTGCATCTTGTCTAGACTCTCTCGCTAATTCCGAACGATACACAGGGAGGACCCTTCCGTAGCTGCCTAACGTCGCTGTGTAATCTGCTGAACGACGGCGACATAATGTACCCTTGTAGCGATAATGCACTGCCGATCCTGTTCTCTTGCCTGCTGCAGTAGTAGTTTTGTAGACCTGTCTTGTGTACATCGTCGAGGCCGTGTATGTGCGGCTTCAATGCCCATAATTTATTACCAACAAACAAGTACTGCTTATGGGTGGCGAGGCACGTTAACGTTGTTGAGGCTGCGCTTTGCCGCGGCACTGTTCTTTCGCTGCTATGCGGTGCACTGCGTACAGTACATGGGTGCTGGGCCACGAACGCATCTGTTGAATGGTGTGCGCAGTCGGGAAACCGCCAAACCGGTCAAATTTTGAATTTTGTCAATACATCGCACACCGCTCAGTGAAGACCGCAATGATTTGCTTCCACCGCCACCAAGTGCTTGGACTGAGCAGGGCGGCGTTGTGGCGCGGACGATCGCGGAAAGGGCTGGAGGATTCGCGGCAGACGCCGATGGTGCAAAACACGTGCAGACGAGTCTGGCATGCGATCATCAGGCGCCCATGCAGCCAGCTTCCAGACTGGACGACGGCGACGACGCCTCCCCCTCACCGCCTCCAACATCCTCGCAAAGCCTGGGTCCACCTAGGGCCCGCATCAACCGCCTTATATTCTGGCTTCGACTCTAATCTACTCACTCTAACGCTATTTACGCATAATCATGGTCCATCTCTTCGCTCTCCTCGCCCTCTCTGGTCTCGTCCTCGAAAGCCGGTCTCAGCCTGCCGACTGGCTGCGCAAATTCGCTGTTGACGGGAGAGACGAAAGCAGCTGGCTCTGGGGCTGGGCGTGGGCCGCTGACGGCACCGTCTCTGTCGTCGACAGATCCCCTCCAGTGACCTTCCCTGCACGGCCGGCCTCCTTCGGCGCCGAGCTGAGCGATCCTCTTCTGGGCTATGTTCTCCCCCTTACTGCCTTTACCGTCCCCTGCGACGATCCCGACTCGAACCTCACACACCATCGCGCTGATCCCACTCTGGGCTGCCCCCAACTTTGTGTACGCGGGCCCCACACGCCGGATCCAAGCGAATCCTGGATCGCCTTGGTACAGCGGGGAGGGTGTCCGTTCGTCGAGAAGGCCCGGCAGGCGCAGCAACTTGGTGCCCGTGCCGTCGTGGTCGGCGGCGACAGTGATAACCCAGATGCCCTGCTGAATATGTACAGTGAACGTATGTCCATCTCTGTTCCGTCCAAGATGCTTGGCTGATGGTCCCAGGCGACTCATCTGACGTCGTCATCGCTGCGACCTTCATCCGCTACTGGGACTATGTCGAGCTACTGTCCATGATTTCCGCGTCGAATACGACGCACTCGGGAATGAAAACGCTGTCGCTCCTCCTCAGCACGGAGTATTCAGCATGGGAATGGTACTCGTGAGCCATATTCTGCGCATATATCTGCTCGTTTAACGCTGTCTCGTGATAGGCCCATCATCACCTTCATCGTCATTCTGCTGCTGCCCTCCATCCTCACGTTCGTAACCCTGCTCGTACATCGTTATCGCATGGCTCGCCAAGCCCAACTCGACCGTGCTCCCGAAGCAGTTGTCCATCGCCTCCCATGGCGAGTCTGGACGGGGACGGGTTGGGAGAAGCACGAGGCTGCGTTTCCTCTGCCAGACCCCCGACACGCCCCCTCGGGCCCGGAACTGGACCTTGAAACAGGCGTGAACAACCCTACTCCCCATCCCTCTACCTCTCATGATGACCAGCTTCCCGAGTGGGTCGAGCAGCAAGTGGAGTGCGCCATCTGCCTTGAGACATTCGCGAAAGGTGATCGGGTGAGAGTGCTCCCCTGTTATCACATGTTCCATATGGACGAAGTGGACGAGTGGCTCATTCACAAGAAGAAGCTCGTATGTAACGTCGTTGTCTTCCCCAGTGGTTGTTACCTCACGCCGTACATCTCTTCAGTGTCCCGTCTGCAAGATGGATGTAACTTGCCCTCATCCGCCAGCGTCCCATCGATCGGATAGTGCGCCACCACCAGAGGACTCTATTGCAGACGACCGAGCCGCTTCACGTGTGCAAAGCCCTCCACTACCACGCAGTACATCACCTGCCTCGGAACGAACGCCTCTGCTTCGGGACAATACAGACCACCGGTACGAGGATGCGTCTTGACGCCGTCGAGGTGGTTGTCGTAATGCCGTAATGTTATCTCACGAGGTTCCTTTGTTCTCCCTCATGCAACTGTGCTGTACGTGTACTCATACCTTATACTTAACGACTAGTACGATGACCAGCGTGCATACCTGTACCTCCCGCTGCGGACGTTGGCGTCTGGAACGCCCAGGCGCCGGCAGGTTCTAATGTCAGCACCGAGTCTAACGCTCGTGCGCTACTGCACACTTCTCTTTCGCGTTTACTCAGTCTTCCGAACAAATGGACCCGCATTCCAGTGATGAGCAGGCTGACATCTGCATTCCAGGGTCCCAAACGCAAGGCTTTGCTCTCAGGTCTAGAATCCCAGTAATGCTTGTGTTGCAGCTTCGGGCGTCTCAGCAGAGGGGGCCGCATGCGCTCTAGAGGCTAAGGACACTGCGCAGGCACGCGACGCGACATATCTCATGCTTTCGGCTGGTGGGTCGTCTGGACGCAGTGCCGACAGGCGAAACAATGAACATGAATGTCTCGCAAATGAACATGGGGGTCACTCATGTCGACCCGATTGGATGACATCACAATGTAGCAATGTCTGAAGGACGACTGGCCATGCTGCTGCAATGAGGCTGTCAGATGGTATTGATTGCAGAGGATTCACAGGACTCCGCTCGTGGTTGTCGTATACCTCACTGTCATCACCTCACTCGGAGACAAGGTGCGCATCGCCTACCCACGAATTATCTCCGTCGTATCCAAGGCTCGCATTTCAGATACCTCCTTGTTCTTGAAGACTGCTGATCTTCAACGTGGTTGGCGACTTCCGCCACATATAGCCTAGATCGCCCTTATTGTTGTCCACCGGGAAGGAACCATATTCCCACATCGGGCGCGTCGGCAGCGCCACCGCGCAAGATTCAAGTTCGATGTTCTCAAAAGGCGGGACACTCGAAGGAGGCGCGTCGACCTCGGTAGCATCTTCCCGCCTCAATCAACATCAGATGCACGGCGACGGCGGCCAGAACAATTGTCTGTGGCAACGTGGCGCTCATCAGCCTGGTGCGTATCCCTCCCACCTGTGCCCCTCTTATTGTCTCGCCATCTTCGATTTCGCCTTCAGGTTATCGGAGATGGCTGCCTTGACAAAAAAGACCTCTCTCCTCGAATTTAACTCGCTACTGACTAAGCTTTTGCCGTCGACATTGTCCGCCCGTCCTGACTCCAGCGCTCGTTGCTGCAGGGATTTATACCATACCCTCCGCCCCCCCTGCGCTCTCCTTATTGACCGTACCATCCCTTGAGTCCTCCTACCTGCACTCAGGTTCTGTTCGTCCTGTCAGGTACGGTGATCGATCCGTTCGCATGAAACCCCTCTTTGTACTGACGCCTTTGTTCATGAAAGGGTCCATTCTGCCATCACCCTATATACTCAATCCACCACCTTTGAGGATTCACTCTACCTTCCGCCGGGCGTGTGATGCCTGAGACTTTCTTCTTGAGTGACACCGCTTGTTCGCGTTCCAGACTGTCGAAATTCGACATGCTTCACGACTTTCCGCCCTCGCACTACGAGAGCGATGCGATGTTCAGTACCTTTCACGACGGTACGTCTCGCGCTCTTTCGAGAGACTCGATCCCTGACCGCCGACGTATTCACAGGAGTGCTTACCGGAAATGATCACGACTGTCCTGTGTCTCCCCACTCGGTGCTCGACTGTCTCCCCGTCGAGGTGCCCTTGAAAAGTCCTCCCCCTCTTCAGTCCGGGTTCCTTGTATGGAGCCCGAAGACGAGGGGCCTAGAGTTTGCACGGTTCTCGCCGCCCGTTTCGCCACACTTTGGAGGCAGGAGCCGCTTCCCCTCCGAGGCATCCACGCTCTCTACTACTTCGACTGATTCTTCTGGATTGTATGGCGATGCGAGCGACCGCGAAGATGATCTTGAGGACTTCGTGTGGCCACCTGTGCCGCCCCCTACACCCTTTTCGTTCGAAGGCGCCGCCCCAGAAAATGCCGAGGCGCCTGCGTTGCCAGCCGCGACGACGATTCAATTTCTGGAGAACCCACCGACTCCTCATCCGTACCTGTGGAGGAGCCACAAAGAAAATCTATACAAAAGTGGGTTTTGCGCAGCTTTCTCTACCTCCGAGGCGGTGCTAACGTTGACGAACAGCGAAACCGTGCAAGTTCTTCTTCAAGGACAGGTCTTGTATCAAAGGCGACAAGTGCAACTTGTAAGTTATGTCGCATTCCGCTTCGCATCGTTCTAACGTAACCGGTCTAGTATCCATGACGAGTGGGATCGTGCGCATCGGACACCTCGGCCTTGGTACGAGAGGCGGACACTGCCTCCAGCGCGTCCTTTGTCCTCTATGGGTCGTCGACATGCAAACGACACGACCAGACAGCCTCACCCCACAACACCAAGGCCCACGGACCTTCATATGCTTCCACAGAAGCCTGCCGAGGACGCGCAACGGGTTTGCAGCCCGAACTACTACCCCATAACGTGGCGCGTCATCGGGGGCGGTGTTATGATGAGCGGGAGACGTGAGTTTCGAGTCTCTACCTCATACGGCTGTCGCTAAACGTCGGCTTGCAGGTGAGATTTGTCAAGAGTTCATGGCTGGACGCTGCCATGACGGTATCGACTGCAAAGACGCGCATCCCGGAGGTTCGTTCACGTGTCCACAGTTCATGCACTTTACTGATAAGGAACGACAGCAGGAGACGACGACGAAGACACGTCTTTCAATAGCCCTCATTCGTACATGTCGCCACTATCACCGGTCCAAGAGGAGCCGGCGTACATTCCTCACAATCCTCTTCCCCCCTTCATGCTATCCCCCGCGTCGTCCGTTTGCTCCCCAGTTCTGTGTTCTCCGATTATGTCCGCTGTCCCAGCGCAGCCGCCAGTGTACCCAGAGGAGCGCCGTCGTCGGGGTCGGAGGGCGAGGAAGCCACTCACCATCATCCCCCCTCCGCTACCTGAGCAGCCCGAGGTGGTAAGCTACTCTGCTCACCGGGTGCTCGACGGCAGAACGCTCCGCGAGCTGGAAGCCTCGCCCCCGCCAGCAAGTGCGATGCCGGACTTGTCGCCGGACCATCTGGACGTTGAGTCTGTGGGACGCGCGCTTGTCCGACCCTTGTCTACCCCGCCGAGCCTGAACGGGCCGCGCCTTCAGGTAGCAAAGGTGCGGTATTCCTCGTGTCCTAATACGTGCGCGGTCAGCTTACGCGCTTGTGGACAGCTGTTCGCTGCAGAAATGCCCTGAGGCGTAGGCTCTTCAGCAGAGCCTCTTGGGTTTCCTCATATGTCATCGGTCGATCTCGCTGCACCATAGCCTCAGGCTTCGAGCCGCACCGCCGTTATTGGTCCCTCACTATCCCGCATACCCACGTTTGATCTCGTTCGCGTCTCCCATTGCATACTAGGCATCATCGCATGATTGACCCCATCCGCTTTAGTGCGGGTGTGAACATTGTATAGACTGTGACTGCGTCGGCTTTCCGTCCATCCCGTTATTGAATCAGGTTATTGAGCTGCGCGTGTATCATTGCTGTAGATATCATATGTAGTTGGGATTAACACAGAGCATTTGCATCGCGACCCTACTGCGACGAAGACGCGAAAGCTGAGGATACGATCGCGGGAGATGGCGTCAGGCCGAGCTATCAGATAAGATAAAACGGATCCGAGAGATCCGGAGCTGGACCGCCAGGAGCAAAGGAGCCGCACTGCTTCAACTTGCTACCCCCACCGCTTTAACCTATTTCACTATTTCCGAGCAGCTGTGCTTGCTCCCTTCGTCCCTCTTTCTACTTAACTCTGCGCCTCTCCTTCTCCGATCCTCCCTCCATCCTCTCGCCGACCATGTCGAAGGAGCCAATCTACGTCGACTTTTCCTTGCCCCTGGCCGAGCTCCTCCGCAAAGGCACCGCCGTTGCTCACGAAGAGGCCGCGAAGAGCCAGGGGGCGGCATGGATGGTCCGAGGCGAGCTCGACAGGGAGGAGTATATTCGCTTCCTCATGATGCTCTGGCACGTATATGAGTACGTGTCCCCGTGTAGTCCAGCGAATATGACCCTAACGACGCTCCTGCAGTACGCTCGAGCGTGGTCTCGAGCGACATGCGTCGCACCCGGTGCTTGCGTTCACCTACAACCCTGCGCTGCTGTCGCGCGCACCAGCGCTATCCGCCGACATCGCCTACTTCCTCCAGACGAACGAGGCGGACTGGCAGAACCACCCTATGCATATGGAGCTCCTGAGCAATCCTCCCCCTGTGCTCTCGCGATATCTGGATCGCCTCAACACTATTGCTTCATCTGAGGACCCTTCTACCCTTCTCTCGCATGCGTACGTCCGCTATCTAGGCGACTTGAGCGGAGGCCAGGTCATCCGCAGCAGGGTCAGCAAAGCGTACGGCCTCGAGGGCGGCTCAGGCGTATCTTTCTTTGAATTCAAGCCTCTGGGAGGCTCGGGCACCGCCACTATCGGTGACATGAAGAAGATCAAGGAGTGGTACCGCGAGAACATGAATTCGGCCGCCGGTGATGACCAGGAGCTGAAAGGCGAGTGTTTTCCATGCACACGCACAGCCGTCGGTTGCTCATTCCCCGCAGCGGACATTGTCGAAGAGGCTCTCATTGTGTTCGAGCTCAATGGTGAGCTTTTCGCTGCGCTCAGGCCACCGTCGTCGGCGTCGCTCGAGAGCTCCGTGCTCTCTCTACCCCCACTGGGAGATCCTGTCACGCCTATTGATGGCAGCTTCAACAAGCTATCAGGAGGCGGTGAATCAACTGTGCTGTACGAGGAGAAGAAGCCGGCGGAGAAGTTGTATTCAGTGTCGGCCGTCATCGCGGTCGTTGCGGCGATGTCGTTGGCGCATTTCGTCCTGGTCACTGGCGGGTTCACGGGGGATCGCGGGATGGCTAAGCTGGAGGCGCTGAGAAGATGGTTGTTCACGCACTGAACGACAGCCGAGCATCTGGACATACCCATCTACAGCTATCTCAACACACATGTCTGGGTATTCGATATATAATAACCTGGCAAGACCCCTGTCTGCGTTGTAGTATAAGTCAATTGTAATTACACTGTTCCCGAGTGTGCGGTAGTGCAGTGTGTGTGATCGAGTGATCGAGTCGTGAGCTCAGATCCCAGCCTGAGATTGCGTTTCGCATCTCTCGCCGCCCACCAGCGCTGGCCGCCCTCCATACATACTTGTCATCAGACTGTCAGACAACATGTTGCACAAGCGACGACGCATATCAGAACTAGGCCCGTCTACCTCGCTGTCCACCGAACACGCACAAACCGCATCCATCGAAGCACTCCTCGACGGCGGTCTTCCGTATTCAAGGTCAAGAGGTAGCCCACCACTCTCTTCGACCCCGTTCTCAATCGTAATCACCTTCGTTCAGAAAGCTCTGTGGACATAACGCCTGCGTCAACGCTCTCGTTTTCTCTCAGTCAGGACGCTGGCTTGCAAGTGGCGGAGACGGTGCGTGGCTTACGCCGTTCCGAAACGTTGCGTCGAGTTCACGTTCCATGAACGCAGATCCCCATATTTTGCTATGGGACTTTCACCAAGATGACTTGTGCGAGCCTACGCGACGTTTCATCGGGCATAGAGTGAGTGTGCCACCTTGCTGCTTCGAACGTTCGCCCATCTTCTACCCAGACGAACATCTTCGCTCTAGCGTTCTCTGCGACTACCAAGTACCTTTACTCGTAAGTGAACCGCTGCTTGTACTGCCTGTGGACTGATTGAACGTAACTAGAGGCGCAACAGACAATAGCATCCACCTATATGACTTCGAGTATTCGCAGTCGTCACTGGACTCACGGACCGTCTCCGACCCTGACACCATCCATTTACTGCACAAGGTAGTTCCTTGTGAATCGAGGCCCACTTGTTCTCTCTTGACTCCTGAGCTAGGATAGCATCCGTGGCTTATCTTGCCACCCACACCATGACGAGATCTTCCTCAGTGCTAGGTAAGCATCTCCTCCTGCATGCCGTTCACGCTGTCGCGGTTCACACTGATGTCTTCCTCGCTTATTCTTCAGCGATGACGGCTGCATCATAATGCACGACATGCGAGCAGAGAGCACACTGACCCGTGCCCAGGGTACACTACAGCACGACTCCGAGTTTACCAGCGTACAGTTCCACCCCGAGATGCCCCACATCTTCGTGACGAGTGACAATCGCGGTGAGATGTGCCTGCGGGATACTCGGATGGCATTTGGGCCGAAGAGCCGACGGAGAGACAAGGGCATAGTGCAAAAGGTGAGCAGGATTCCGATGTGGTTGTGTGCCCCAATGTTGACCGTTGGATGCGCAGTATGTGACTACGATCACGAAGCCGTCAATCCGGCACCTCAGCAATTCAGAGGTCAGCAGTGTGACGTTCGACCGCACAGGTGCCCCCACATTCACGATGATCGTCTCGCGAAGCTCATCGATTCGGGTCTTCAGGGACGAAACTAGCTGCAACCATGATGGTGCGTCTTACGCACCTACGTCCATAGGCGCGCACTCAATTACCTCGTTATAGCACTGCTCCCCTGCAATATACTCCCTCTCCGATCCATATCCTGTCGCTGTGTGCACAGCGGCTACGCTTCCTGACGGCTCTCCCATACCACCGGATGAGCGTACATATGCAAATTCATGTACCATCAAGGTAGGCTTGACACGCCAGTTGCCCCATGGTTCCATATAAACCCGCGATTTCGTGACACAGCATGGTTCCTTCGGCGGCGGAGGTCTCCCTGATGACCCCTACTATTGTGCGGGCTCTGACGACTTTCGGGCTTACACGTGGAAAATTCCACCAACCGCGGCTTTGACGCAGCAGCGCCAGGAGTTCAGCAACGATGACTGGTCGACTGAAAACTCCGATACAATTGGTGTGTGCTTTTTCTTACACAAAGTCACGTCCGTCCTCAGCATCCAATTAACAGGTTTCGCTGCATCCACTACCGACACTCGGCGCGTCCCCGTCACGCTCTCCCAGCCAGCGGCCCGCCTCACTGGCCACCAAAGCATAGTGAACACAGCCCTTATGCACCCAACCTTCCCTGCCGTCCTCACCGCTGGCATCGAGCGCAACATCCTCCTGCACTCGCCAACCCCCGCCACACCGTTCCTGCCTTCCACCTCCCTGTCTCTGACGCCAACGAATGTGCGGCCTCTCCCGTCAAGCGGGACGCCTGGGTCTAACCAACTCGTCATGAGAGCGATGGGAATGCTGGAACCCGCAGGCGAGGACGAGCCGGAAGATGACAATACGACGATCGCGCTCTTCGACCAGTATGTAGCAAACTGTCGAAGAAGGAGTCTGGCTGACGTGGACTATCATGCAGGATTCTTCGGCAGGAGAGCGGTACAGACACCTTCGCCGTGCGGAGATGGAGTAGCGGTGATGAGGACGAAGAGGATACGGACGATGCTATGGAGTGCGTCGACGATGGGTGACGCTATTGACACGGCGGTTACTGTACACACCTCGTCGTTGACGCTGTTGTGATAGGTGACGTACATCGCGATTCTCACTGGAAATGCAAGCTAAGCTGAATTTTCAGGCAGGCATAAATACCTGGTGTATCTTGGCTAGCCTCTGCATAGACCTAGTACAGCTACTAATCGCAGACTATACATTTCGTATGAGGCCCAGGTTGCGCGTGGTAGCTGAATTGGTTAGGATTGCACACGGCCAATATATTGGCGTGGGCGATTGGCATTGCAAGGGGCACGAATCGAACTCATGGCGAACGCGAACTGAAAGCACCGTCAATATTGTGACATGCCCTTGGTTAGATGGTGAGTTCTGGCGTATGTGGCAGAGACCGGGGCAAAAGGGAGCTTGTGACAATAGGTGAGTGTGATACTTGCGAATGATATGTGAAGGAGGCCGGAGAACGCGGCGAGGCTGGCGGCGGGGTGGCGGGCAAGTTGAACTTGCGGCTGTCAACGCGCCGGCCGGTGCCGCAAGTCGAACATAAGAGGCTGTCGCCCAGCCCGCCTCTCTTCACCTCTTTCCCTCCCCCACCATGGCGGGTGTCACGGCCACCGACGTAGCGATCCCCACACTGGATGTCATCTACTTCGGCATCGCCCTCAACATCGTCCGCCTCATCACCGGTCACTCTGTTCAAACCACTGTCCTCTCCGCCGCCGCCCTCGCGGTGACGGCCCTCGTCACCTTCTACTTGAACCTACTGGACGGACACTACTCCGACTACGTCTGCTTCGCCACCGCCGTCTTCATCGCCTTCAGCTATCTCTTCGACGCCAAACATGTTCCGACGACTCTTCAGTGGAAATGGCTCACTTCCCTGAGAACCTGCCTCACCTTGGTTGTCAGACTCGTCACCACAGTGCTCCACAAGTTGATACGCTGCCTGCTCGTGGTCGCTGTCATCTTGTTCTGTGCGACTCTCAAAGCGGCTGACACCCTCGCTGCCATGTTCCTAGCCATCGTCGATCCAACGGTGCCTCGTCCTTGCCACGCCCGGATCGTCCGCATCGTTCTCTGCACTACCGAGGACTTCACGCGTTCATTGGCATCTGCACCCTCGACCGGCTACGTCAGGCGCGCGGCGCAAGCTGAAGACCCCGTCACTTGTCTTCAAGATGCTGGTGAACACGGCAACGTCAAGCGTCGTCCCCTTTGGCGCATGGCATCGTGGTTATCCTCTACTGCGCTGAGCATCTTGTGCCGACTCCTCCAGACGTTCGAAAGCATCGTTCGTTACGCCTTCAGCCGTCTCTGCTATGTGTCTCGGCGTGCGATCAACAACTCGGCGAGCCTCGTTCTTCTCTCGGCAGGGAAGGCTCTGGTCATTGTCAAGTGCGCCCACGTTTTACTCAACGGCATGATCAAGCGCGCACTCGCCATCGTCGTGAAGTCAATTGTTCTGGTCTACGATGGCTTTCAGCAGGAAATCAGGGCCTCGAAGGCCTTCAAAGGTTTGTCTCTTCCTCGCGCTTTGCGGCTCATCGGGATACTCATTTGTGTTGTCAGCGAATGTCAACGTCACGGCTGCTCATGTCAAGACCGCTGTCTCGGTATCGCTCTGTCTAGTGTCGGAGTGGCGTCTACTTGCACCTGTCCTTGCGCTTGCAACTGCACAGAGGGCAGAGCGTTCGCTGTCCGTTGTGATCCCTGCAGTCGTCCGTGTCTATGGCCGCGTCTCCTGCTTCAGCAAGACGCTGCACGCGGCACTTCGACTCCGTATGTCAAGCACTGTACATCTGACGGCCTACTTCATGACGGCTGCCACCCGGTTGGATGTCTCCGGTGCTCTTGTCAAGGCGGCGATCCCTCTCTTGCGTCGTGACAGCCACTTCTCGAGGAACTTTATGCGATTCCGCCGTGCGGCCAAGCGTACAAGCTCTCCGACCGTCGTCACCCCTGCGTTCGCCCTCGTCTACGACCTCCATGTACACTGGGTCATGATGTTGCACGCAGCCTACCGCGCGCTTGGCATCCCTCCTACGCTGTTGCCAACCGAGTACTTCAGGATGATCAGGATGATGGCGACTCGGTTCAACGTTACGGGCAACCTTGTCCACGCTGTGCTCACAGGATCCGTCCATCTGCCTTTGGCTGCCAGTGTTCCTTCAGCGATGCAGAGGCCTCTCCTTGCGTACAAGCATTCACCTACCGTCGCCGCTACCGGTGTCAAGCGTGTCTTGCCTCTTCCGGAGCCAAACCCAGTTCGCAAAGTCGTCGCCGCACACAGAGCCAAGCGTGTCCTTTCTCCCATGGATCCGGCAGGCCTGAAGACGATCTCTGCCTTCAAGCGCGCCGGCTCCATTGGACTCTTCTACTCGATCGCACCGGCGTGGATCCAGCAGATCTGCTACGTCCTCTATTCTTCTCGGATGCTGCGCGCTCTGCCTCCGTCCGACGGGTTCCGCTGGATCGCTCTTCAGTGGTTTGGTACATCAACGATGCCCTTCGGTCTTTGCTCGTCTGGCGTCCATGCGAAGCAGCTCCGTCTTCGCCTTGGTTCGACTGCGATTGAAGACGCCGACACTCGCTCTGCACTGGTTGCTCACAAGCACGCATCTGCCGCTTCCCAGGCGTTGTTGACCTTCCTTCGGTGAGGTCAATGTTCACATCTTGAAGCAACTCGATGTTGATGCTTTGTCACAGCCTTGTCCTCGGGTTCGGTGTCAAGGCTGATGGTGACATGCCAGTGGTCAGGAAGTCCTTTGTGATGTATGGACCCGCCCGACCGCCCGTCGCTACCCCCAAGGTGCCCATCGTCGCCGACCGTGTTGGTTCGCAATCCGCGTACTGGGTATCTCCAATGCTGGTGGAGCGACTTCTCGCCGTCTTCGGTGCGCCTCAGATCCCGCTTACCCTTCCAACGTCGCACGGGTTCTATTGGATCGCACTCCGCTACTTTGGTACATCTGGCACTCGGATCGACTCTGCGACGTTCAGCACTGGCACTTCAGCCACTGAAGAGCTTCGTCGTCGTCTCCGTTCGGATGCGAGTGCTCCTGCAGATGCCTCACCCATGACTGTGGAATCGGACTCTGCTCTGGTTGTGGACAGACCGACCTCCGCCGCTTCCCTGCAATTGGTGGTGTTCTTCCGGTGGGTACTAGCACTCTATCGGGATGAATTTTCGATATTGATGCTTCCCCGTAGACTCGTCCTTCTCTCTAGGCTCAGTGACAATGCCGCCCACGATGCGACTCCGGTGCCGGAGCCCATGGACAACACGGACACCAATGTCGAGTCGCCAGACGCTGTTCTCATGCCAGTTGTTACGCCCGACTCTGTCATCGAGAGTACTCAGGCGCTCGAGCCCGAGGCCTCCGGTCAACCCGTATACTCGATCTCTCCAACAATCTTGGAGCCGCTTCTCGCGGCCTTTGGTACGCCTCAGGTTCCCCGTACCCTGCCTATGCCCGAACTGGACGACGAATTCTGCCACCGAGTCGTGTTTGACAACTGCGGTACATCTGGTACCAGAGTCGAGTTTACACTTCCCTACGGAATCAGCCCTACACCTCCTTCCATTGGTGTCTCCGCGAAGCAGCTCCACCTTCGTCTTCGCTCCGAAGCCCGTGCTGCCTCCGCCGTGCATGCGGAGCCCGGCGTTTCTGCTGCCTTGGCCACTGTCATGCCTACCTCCCTCGCTGCCCTGCAATTATGGATGTTCCTCCGGTAAGTGAATGCTTTGATCAGGATCAGTCTCTGATGCTTATGCTTCGCGATAGCCTTACCCTTGAGTGCCGTATCGAAGACCAGGAGCTCAAGCCAGACGCCGCTGTCCAACCCGTGTACTCAATTTCACCTGGAATGGTGGAGCGAGTTCTCGCTATCTTCGCTCCTCCGCAGCTCGTGTCTACAGTCGTGCTCACGTTCGAAGAATACCACCGGATCGCCTTGTACAACAGTGGTACAACTGGCACGCACGTCGAGTTCACCCTACCCTACGGAATCAACTCCACGTCTCCTGCCACTGGCGTTCCCGCGAAGCAGCTCCGTTCTCGTCTCCGCTCAAAGGCGACTGCGACCCCTATCTCTGCCTCCAACGCAGACTCGGATCGTCGTTCTGCATTAGCTACGCTCAGACCCACCTCCGCCGCTGGTGTACACTTGTTAGTCTTCCTTCGGTGAGTCTCAGAGTTCATTCAGCTCAATGCTCGGTGCTAACGACCTCACAGCATCGCCGTCTACTCCACCGTTCAGAAGACTGACGACACGACTCAGGTTTCCGCGCCACCATTGGCATCGACGACTACGAACACAGACCAGCTCCTCACTTGCCCCCCTCCTGTCCCGCCTGCACAAGCGACTCCGGTTGAGTCGCCGCTGTTATCGGCACCCACGGACAAAGGCAAGGCTCCCGCATTCGATATCGACGACGTCCCTTCAAGTCCTATTCCCGCGAATGAAGCCGCGGAGGTCGAAGAGGACACGACTATCGAGGGAGAACCTGGCAGCGAGAGAAGGCGAAAGAGGCACCCGCGCGCTCGTGGCGGGAAGAAGATCCAGGCAGCCAAGGCACGCAAGATGGCTCGAGAGGCTGAGGAGGCAGGACGACTGGCTGAGGAGGGCACTGAAGTGAATGGTGAGTCGCCTCCTTGGCTATGGATCACCTTTCATATGCGGATACTGATCGTCCATTACTTTCTAGATGCATCAGTTGTCGACGCTGACGAGAACCCGGCGGCATCCACCTCGACAGAGGGACATCGGGAAGCTCCACAGGAGAACACGAGCACGGATACGAACGCAATCGCCAGCGGGAGTAACACCAACAACGCCAGCAGCTCTAGGAGGCGCCAACAGACTCGCGGTCGTCGCCGAACTCGTACCGCTGACGCAGAAGCCGTGCAGAACGGTTCTGACAGCCAACCTCAAGGAAGGCGGCGGATGCGTCGTCGCACCGGTGGTACCGAAGCCGGGGCAATGCGCATCGCAAATTGTCACCGCGAGGCGGTGGGCTCTGACTTTGTCGACATTCCCCCTCTTCGCCTCGGTGCACCTCGAACGGGATCGGCGGACGAGTTCTCCCCTGCCAGCTGAAACGTTGGAGGAGCGACGGTGATTGGAGGGCGATGATAGGCGTACCGTCTTCCGTGAACCACATTTATCCATCCATACACGCGCACCGAGCTCTGCAGGACTGTTGCAACTCGAACACCACCCTCATCACTGCATTCCATCTACCGACAATTTTTCCTCTCATTTTCCTCATTTTCCTCATTTTTCTCATCATCATCTCCTCATCACATTTCTCTACGTATATTCTGGATCTGTATGGACGCCCACAGCCTAGTCCTCCATACTAGCCATTTCCTTGACACACTTGTACCATACACACGGACTATCTGGAACACACGCCGACTATACACACAGACTAGATGCATCACATACGGACTATGCACACATACTACTACCAGTATCGCTCACGGACTCCACGGACAACTTACTACACACACGCTACTAGCCTGGATCACATAGACGCATTCATACAATGTATACACAGTACAAGCACGGGTTTCTTCTAGTCTCAAACCCACGCATTCACACCTCTGGATGAGCCTGACAGTGATAGTAAAGCAACCGAAGTACTGTCGAGGAGTGCTCTACTACTATTAACGTGTGGCAAGGGGTCACCCGGTCACGGCGTGGCAGCTCGCTGAAAACTTGAATTTATCACCGCATTCCCAGCTTAGAGCCTCATGGCATGCTTGAATATTTTAAATGTGCACTTCCTGTGTATGTATCCTGCCAAGGGTCGCAGTCACATTTCTGAGCAGACGCGAGTCGGCGACAGTGTGCACGCAGTAGTAGTCAGGTGACCGTACCAGGAGGCGCGGCAGCGCCACAGACGCGTCTCCGGGAATCCAAGCATAGTAGCACGCCGTTGGTTCTGGCAGGTTTATCGCATACAGTATACTTCATAGTGGTAAGCCGCTCCTCGCCGCAAAGCATTTGACTGCGAAGATAACAAAGAGCCAAGTATATATTTCATCCTCGAGCGTTGTTCTCCCCCTCGTGAGATCTACTTAGGCTCCAAAATTCACCAAAAGTAATGGCCACCGTGACCCGGATAGCGAAGTTCGACACTGATGCTCAGAAGTAACAGTCCAAACTGTTCATATACATTCATGAAGTCATCACTCCGTAGTCGAGCTACTTCGTACAACGTACAAACAGTACAAGTGGTACATCGGTATCCTTCGTTCATCCATCCGAGAGTCCGCGTTACTTTAGCCTACACGCTACTCCATGCACAGCGCCTTCCTCACGATCCTTCCGATACCACCACTCTTCTTACCAGGGCTCTGGCTCGCGCCGCCGCTCGTAGCAGGCGCGCCCGAGCCCGAGCCAGTAGAGAGTCAGTTGGTGGTGGCGTCCGTGTACTGCGTGTTGGCGATGCCGACCTGCTTGTTGGTCGTGTCAAAGACCGAGTAGAAGCGCTGGAGCCACGCGAAGCCGTCTGCAGCGCAGAATGATCAGTCGGTGAGTTCACACCAGGTGGAAGGAGGACACGTACTGATGAAGTCGAGTCCCTGCCCGCTGTTGCTGCCGAGGTCACTGGTGACGAGGTAGATCTTGCCCGACTCGCCGCCGAGCGTCGAGTTCAGGCTGCGCGGCCAGATCTGTGCGTTGGGCGTGAACTCGAACGTGGTACTACCTATGAAACGAGCAACGATCAGCACATGAGAGCACTTTTGAGTAGCGAACACGGACCGATGGTGAAGTACAGCGACTGGAGGTTGTTGTACTGTGCCTCGGTGATGCTCAGCAGGCCGGTCGTGCTAAGGCCGAACAGTCAGTGACTATCCGTCGGAGTGTATGCGATCACGTACCTGTCCATCGTAGCACCAGTCGCCTTCTGATACTTCTGGAAGGCGTCGGTGGCGATCAGAAGGAGCGTAGTACCAGTGTCGACAATGCCACCATTGCCCGACAGGAGGGACGTGCCGTTCTGGCCATAGGTGACATCTTGGTTGATACCCCAGTAGTTCGACGCTGGCGACGTGGTCGTGATCGGCGTGTACGTGATGTCACCAGTGTACCTATATGCGCGTTAGTCCGCAGCATTGAAAATATTGAGGTATGTACACGCACTTGGTGCTGTCAACGTTGCCGAACGTCAGCTCGCCATTAGCAGCGTTGTTCGTGGTGGTGGGGACATAGGAGATGCCGATCGACTCGGTCGGGATCGTGCCCTGAGCATAGAGATTGTCCGTGACGGTAGGCACAGTGGTGGTGTTCGACACAGTGCTGTTAGTCAGGTCGACGGGACCGATACCGAGGATTCCGTCGACGCCCTGGAAGCCCTGAGCCGTGGAAGCTACGCCGATTGACTGGTTCTGGATGGTGAGACCAGTGCCGACGGTGACCGTGTCGGTGTCTGCGCAGCTTATCAGTACGGAACATGGCCGTGTTTCAGCAATTATAATGGCTTACACTCAGTGCCCGAGAACGAGCCGGAGCCGTAGCTCACGTTCTGCAGATGAGAAATGAACACGGTGCTGGACCACGATGTGCCTAGGTACTTACCACAGTGTTGCCGGTGCTCTTGCTCGTGCTCGTCTGGGTGTACTGCGCAGAGGCACCTACCCAGGTGTTTGAAGAGCCTATACCAGGTCTCAGAACATGCCTGCAGGTCCATACGCGGCTGACTTACCCGTGTCAATAAGGAGCGTGTAGTTCGTCGCGGGGGAACCGACGCCGACGCTCGCGGTGTAGGTGACGCCTGCGTCGGTGACATCGACACCGACACCGCCCGAAGAGGGAGAAGTGCCGCTTGAGCCGGTGCCGGTGCCTGCACCAGTGCCAGTACCGGTGGATCCACCACTGTGGTGGTGGTGGCGGGCGGCAGAACCTGCTTCTTCATGTCGATGTTCACGACGCTCGTGGTGATCATGGCGTTTATGCTCACGTTGACGGTGTTCCTCGTGGAACGCGAGGGGGCCATGGGGCCGGACGCCGGCAAGGAGCTTCTGGGCGCGGGCCTTGTCGCGGGCGACGAGTTCCTTCGCAGAGCCTACGGAGAGGCGGGTGGAGAAGGGGACAGAGCGAACGACGACGTGGGACATGATTGGAGGCTTGAGAAGGGGTGGGGATGTGTGAATGGTGCGGGGGAAAGGTGGGAATGGGGACGTCGCGACGGCGGGGTATATATACGGGGCGGGGGTGGCTGGAAGTATCTGAATAGAAGCTGGTGCTGGGGTGACGAGCCATGAGGAGGGTGTCGTGCGTCATGGCCCGTCGCAGGGCAACGACGCAGTGTCACCTAATTGGTCACCACACGGCTCGTCAGAATCGGCACGCAGCCCAGTCCGTCGGCCGTTTCTCGCTCAAAATGGGCTGTTATCTCCCGTCACAAAGAGAGAAAGCACGGCCTCGCTGCCAGAGACGCACCCATCAGAGCAGCGATCACTGTGTCTCTGCGGCCGCTGGGAACATCCGCGCGAGTTGTCCCCCCACACCATATATGGACAGAGCAGCTTGCGGCGGAGTGGCGGAGGCGTTGAGGCGCAGACGGAGGCAGATTCAAATTGGACGCCACGGCGCAAGAGGACGACGGAGGATTTTCGCAGTGACAGGTGGAAAACGACGCCCCTTCCATTCCGTCATCCGTTCAGTGACTGCGCAATCGGGCGCTGATCTCTCGTGGGTCGTCCCGCCCCCGCTACTTAGCCGTTTATGGCAGGCTGCCGTCCGCGGCCGGTGGCAGCCACGATTTCCTTCCGAATTTGAGATGCGACAGCGATCGCAGACAGCGGGGCTAACTGGCTGTTCGCCAGATCGGGCTGTCTGCACGCTTGCTGGACATGTCCACGCCTCGCCTGCCACCCAGCACACGGAGGGGCGTCTTCCACGCCTCCATCGCTGCGAATATCCCTTCTCCGGATGCCACCGCCCCACAACCCGAGCAGGACAAGCCGTTCTCGCTCCCCATTGCCACACAAACGGACAGCCTTTGCCATAGGCATGCCGTGTTCCGACCCACCAAGTGCCCATCCCCGTCACCGTCTCGCTCATGCCAGCGTGTATTTGACTCGTGCACAGAACCCGAACACACCACTCCGCAAAAGCCAATGTCTCCCCGGGGATGTCGTTGCTGCGCTCGCACCCGCCCCACAGCCTCTGCCGTCGGCAGCCCGTGAGCCAATTCTGCAGCTCTCTCCGATTTGCCTCCTTCGCTGGATTCTCTACGACTCAGACACGACGGCGAGACGTTCTCTTCCCGCTTGGCTTTCCATTGCTGCTGCGATCGGACACTGCTTCCATTGACTCCCAGGCGGGCCCGGTGCCAATGCGTACCTCGACGTCACGCGCGGACACAGCAGCACTCGCAACGGTACGCGCCGCGCTCCTTGCGGTACGTCGAACGAACCTGTCAAACCTACGCCACCAATGTCTCGCGACGCTAACTGAGAGGTCGCTCAGAGACAGGATCAGTGGCCCAATTCGCGTGCTGCGTATGTCATTCAGCGCCAGCCTGCATCAGTGCCTGCGAACGATACGCACCCGGCATACATACACAGCGTTCGCGGAGTCAACGCCCTGATGTACTTCTCGGGTTCTCTGCCGCAGACTCCCCGGTTTATCACCGCTATCGCAGACTCGCAGCATTCAATTCCACCGCCTGATGGTCTCCCGAGTAGCAAGCGATGTAATGCACGCAGGCCAGTCCTCACATTCGATGTCGAGTCCTAAGCCCCGTCTCCGGTGATCTCGATAGGAGCACGCGACATGCACTCGCAACTCACTCCTTTGATTTTTCTGTAGACTCTGCTTCACAGCAAACCACTTCCACCGACCAGCGCCGCTTTGTTTCCTGTCATACTTCTCCGGTTTGGTCTTCTAGTGCATATGCAGTGCCGCTGGGCTATCGCGCTCCTGCACCCACCCGAAGCACCGCTGCGCGGCCTGCATATGCATCTGCATGGGCACCGCTTGTTTGGTGTCAAATCACGCGACTCGCGATAGAAACTGGACGGTAGCAGCGTACCGCCAGTGACGAGATGACGCGTCTTACCTGCAGCATCAGGACGCGAGGGGAGTATCTTGCTTCCTCATCGGCGGTGTCTTACCCATTCCCCCCGCACTTGCCGCCCAGACACACACTATGGAAGGGACGCGCACTAGGACCCAGACGCAGCGACGCACGGACTCTCTGCAGGTTCGACTGGACTAGTGTCACAGCATCATTGACACTATCGTTCCAACAGTGACTGAGACTCAACGGTGCTACCGTCGAAATCCCCCGCCATCGCTCGTGCCACAACGTCCCCAGACATCTAAAAATCTCACTCATACGATTCACAGGATCCAGCGATCCATTGCGAATCCATTGCGAGCCCGGACCCGTGCGCGCTACTAGGCTAGGGACCCCCCATCCGCGAGCCGCACGCCGCTTGTTGAACCGCACACGCCTATGGCCCCCCATCGCCCCAACTCCATCCCACCAAGCCAGCTCCCCGGAGCCTTGAAGCTTGACGCACGCACCGCACCTCCGAATTGAAATAGGGTGGGCACGCCCCTCGGCAACCGTACACCCGCCAGCAGCGCAGCGGTGCGACGCGCCACTTGGCTCGCCTCGTTCCAAACCGCCTTCGCGTGGAATTTCAATATTCAGTTCCATCGCCCGTACGTTGTCATGCGACGCATCGCACTCACGACCGTGCCAACGCGGACGTCGCGGATGACGTCGACGTCTGCTTCTAGGATGGCGGGCGGGGGGCTCATTTATGCTGTGGCCTAGGGCCGGTCTATGGAGATCGTTCGCCAGTGCCGTCACTGTAACCCGATGCAGAGGATCGCGAAAGCCCCCATTGAACGCGTACAGTAGGTCGGAGTTGTGTGTCTGCAGCATGCGGGTCTTGGCGGTCGCGCAGGCCAGACAGTCCGCTGCATCATCCCTGCCCCACAAGGGCTTCCGTGGAGGTGAGGAGAAGACGAATTCATCGGCACTGATGTGCTCCGTACGAAATGATAGATACACTCGATGTCCAGTCATGGATTTGGTAAAAGTATACACTCGACGTGTGCATGCCCATTTCTTGGAATTGAAGCTTGCAGCTTGACTGGAAGGTGTCCACCGCCTGGCCTTTCCCCAGCCTAGCCCCCGCTGCACAGTCGCTGCATGGTTGCACCCCCGTGTCAATGCGTAGAACTCAGATCCGTTTGATACTAAGAAATTCTCATCCGTCGAAGACACAGCATGCCATGCTCTGGCAGCGTCCGTGAACGCGTGAACAGTCAAGCTGCTTATTATTGATGTACAAGTACAGAAAGGCCATGCTACAGAGTGTGGTATACTACACGAGGCGGAACGAAATCGGCATGGCACGAGTCAGCATATAGTAGTAGCGGTGGCATCACGAGATAACCAATCCAAAGGGCATCGCATAATAACCAAGAGAGCACACAGCCCGAATCAACAAACGTCGTCCATAAAGTGATCCGTCAACGAATCCTTGAACTCCCGTACCTTGAACGCCGTCACCGCCAGCGCGCTCTCCTTGCACGCGGGCAGGCCGTCCGCGCCGACCAACAGATGCCCGTTGTTCTCCAACAGCATCTTCATCGTGCTCTCCGCGAGCAGCAGCTTCGTGAGCACGTCCTCCCTCTGCAGTCCGGGCAGGACCTCCGTGCCCATCTCCAGCACGTACTTCCACAGCTGCCCAAACGCCTTGTTGCACCTCTGGTTGCCCGTGCACCGCGCGGAGTGCGACAGCGGCGGCGGCTGCGCGGGCAGGGCGTCCCAGAGCTTCGTGAGCGCATAATACCCGCTCAGCAGACGGATGCGCTGGTCGCGGCCGAGCGTCGACTCCGTCTCCCAGTGCGCGCGGCCCTTGAGCATCATGGCGTGGTACGCGAGCCCGAGGATGGGCCGGAGGCTGAGCCGCTCGCCGATGTTGATCGCGAGCGCGAGGTCCCGCCCCTCGCCGATCTGCTTCTTCCACCGTGCGATCGCGAGGTCGAGCAGGTCCGCCCGCTCGCAGAGTGCGGCGAGCTCCGTGAGCTGCTCGAGCGAGGGCGGTGCGCTCGCGGGGGCCGCAGGGGGGAGTGTCGGGGGAGTTGTGGTCGGCACGGGGTCGAACGCGCCTGGGCGGGAGTAGAAGTTGTGCACGGCGCTGAGCACCCAGGTCTCGACGGAGCGGAATTGATACTTGTGCGCGACGCGCGCGAGGTTCACGAGTAATGTGCAGTTCGCGTCGGAGGTCGTAGCTGACATGAGCTCATGTGGCCTTGAAGCACAGGGGGCCTTCAATGACCGAGTGGGAGACCACGAAGTGCGAGCCACTCACAATGCGTATAATGCCCATAGCAGCGCGCGGAACTCGTCTGCGGTGTCCCCTTGCAATCGTATGGGGTTGTCATCGCTTTCCCCTTCCGTTACGGTCATGCTGGAGTCCGAGCGCGCCGAGTCGGTCTCTGCCGACAGCTGGAACATCGTCTCAAAGGCGGACTTGTCTTTCATCAGGATCGACCGGTGGACCTACAGGGCCAAACACAAGCCGCGTCAGATTTCTGACTGTCCACGCCGGGCACAACACATCGCGTGCGATGTAGTCCACGTTAGGATCCCTGACAGCACACACCTTGAACAACGTATTGTCCACCAACAGCACCGTGTTCCCATCGCCAATGTAGTACGTCGGGTCGCGGCTCGGGCCGGGGATAGACAGCTTGAGCATCTCATCGTGCAAGAACGAGTGGGACATCGTCATGAGCGGGCTGTCCGGTTGGAGGTGCTCCTGGTCGTGGTCCATCTCGCGTTAGCCGACCGCCGCGGCGTGCCTTGTACCCGCGCGTCCTAGTGTGTCCGAGTCCGAGCTGTGTTTAGATCCGAGTGGCCTGAGGGGTCCGCTGGTATGTACTGCAGCAGTTAGTCGACCTGGGACGCCGGCCAGACGGAGGTCCCGAGGAGGGTCAGGGCGGTGCAGCGACTCCTGCTATTATAGGGACAGAGGCATAGCGATGGCCGTCCGTGATACGAATAGACGCTTACATACGTCGCCAGAGGCTGACGCGCCCATCCTCATGACATTAATGTGCACCTAAGTTAGTCACTCACTCCAAAGTCCATGTGCAACTGGTCTTTGAGCACTACAGCCAAATCTAGTATAGACTGCAGACCAATCACACAACTGTCTGTACAGGTGTCAGATAATTATTAGCCATCAACGACCGAGAGAATTAAATACGACTACTCGAGGAAAGGAATGTGTATCCACCCGCAGGTGTACAATAGCAACAGGAAGCATATTAGCTGGAAGCAGAAGAGGAAGATACAGAGCTTCTCAGTGGTGCTCCAACGAGACGAAGACGGGCCCTCCGCCCCAGCTCTGTCGATGGCAGCGATCTCTTCGTCTGTCAGGTCAGCTGTTGGACGCAGAGAATGCCGTGAGTCGTTTGGATGCCAGTACAGGGAAGTGAGCACGTACGTAAATCGCCGACAGCAAGGTACTTCTCCATGTGCTCTCTGGTCGAGCTCGTGCTGTGGAACCTGTAAGCCTCTGGCGAAAGTAGCACAGAAGTCGATCTTACGTGACGATAACAACGCCTTTGGCCTTGACCCAAGAGAGGAGGATCTGTACGGGCGACGCTCCGAGTCTCTTCGCAGGGTCCTGCAACGCCTTGTCAACAGGACCACCCGGGTGTCGTGTAATAGGACTGAACATACACCCGTGCGTACACTCAGTGTCATATCCGCAAATGAACGAATGATAACTCACGTCAAACTACTGTATGCTTCGACCACGATACCCTGCCCAGCGCAGAACTCAAGCAGTTCCTTGTTCTCTGCGTAGTTGTAGGGATGGAGCAGGATCTGGACGTGGCCGTCAGGCCTCAGACATGGCTTGTCCGAGTTTTAACTTTACCTGATTGACTGCGGGTTTGATGTCGGCGGTTCGCACGAGACTTCGTAGCAACTCGACATCAAAATTACTGACGCCGATGCTCCTGGAAACGTGATTAATGGGCATATAGTACGCCGGGCCATCAGGCACGCACTTCGACAAGCCATCTTCCTTGATCCTCTCGAACTCCTTCCAGTCTTTCTCCAGATCCTTGACAAACGTGGGGTTATGAATGAGGTACAGGTCGACCTGCTTTAGGTCAAGCTAGAGGGCGGGAAATCTCAGCCGACCGCATCAAGGCTGTGCGACAAGGCTTCATTCACCTTGTCTAGACTGGCTTCGATGGCACTGCGAATGCTCGTCAGGCCAGACCATTTAGTGGTGACGAATAGCTCCGAGCGGCTGAGACCCGCCTGACGGATGGCGGCGCCAACGCTGTCCTCGTTGCGGTAGACTTCATGTATGTCACCAATACAGCATATACACAACAACAAGAGAGCTCACATTGCGCTGTGTCGATATGGGAGAAACCTGCCTCTATGGCTTCCGAGACATAGTCTGTGACGTCCTCCAGACGGCGCGTCAGGAACATTCCGTTGTCCTTGTCATATGTACGGGGCACACCTGTCCCTTCCACTTCGATCCTGTGCCAAACGCGATGGCTGGCATCTGAAGATGTAGATGAGTGCGAGCAGTCGAGTGCAGCGGTCGTTGGCCGTACCTTATTACCGTCGTTCAGCTGTACCGTTCCGAAAGGCATGCTCACTCGAAGTTCAGGGGTTAACCAGGAAAAGAGTGGTACAAGGATGGCTTGAGTTGGTCAATGCTATCCCAACGCGACCCGTGTATCTGCCGGCTTCAGTCGGTGGTACCTGAAGGCTGTAGCGTCACCGCGGTCAGATAGGTGCGGTCGTCGCGGTGATATGCGCCAAGGAGCTACTTGTTTCTCCTGACAGCGGCTGGATGGCGTGCGAAGGCGAGATCTCGCACGAGAGACTTAACGAGGCTCAAGGAGACGAGGGCCGTATGTGGGCGGGAAGATCTGGGCTTTGTCATAAGATGCATGAGCATACGGGGCACCGCGGTGTACACAAGGTTACGAGATGCAATCTCGGTCGATACCCGGCGTCGACCTACGATCGCCGGGCGCCTCCCCACGGGCCGCCGCAACCGCCCTGCTGCTTGCCTCCCCGAGGCGCACCGCGCGCAGCAAACGATCGCGACTTGCCTCAGCTAACGACCAAGTCAACAGTGGTGTTCTGCTTGTTCTATCTGCCTCGAGGACGGCCGCTGCATGGATACAGACTATCCAGATGATTTCATAACTTCCGATTCCATGGAGCGACTCGAGTTTTGCCGTTCGGCGTCGCCCAGTAGCAGGAAACGCGCTCGTCTTGACGATGAGCTCGATGATCGCGAGGTCGCGAAGGAGCTGCAGAATTCTCCGTGGTCAGAACCAGTTCGTGACGAGGCATACTACTTCTCGGATGGGAGCTGCATCCTACGCGTTGAGAACACACTCTTCAATGTACGCCCTCATCGATGTTGTCCTGTCATCCGGTGTATTGAATGCAGTCCTGTACAGGTACACCGTAGTATGCTGTCAAGGGACGCTTCCATGTTCAGTACAATGTTCGCCCTTCCTATCCCATCTACCAAAGACGGTGCCGAAGGATCTTGCGACGAGAACCCCATATACCTCGCAGGAGACACGGCTTCAGAGTTTCGAAACCTCATGTGGGCACTGTACGCACTGTCAGTGAGCTTGCCCGCTACATTCTCGACCATGTGTGACGGACATCTGCCCCGCCAGGCCGCATGAATCACTAGCTGTGCATTCCAATCCCGACGACTTCCCCCGGCTGATGGACGTGGCCAAACTGTCAAACAAATACTCATTCAGATCAGTCGAGTCGTGGGCTCTTGATGCCATAGTCCACCTCGTTGGATGCGAGCAGAACAATATCGGACTCTCCGCGTTGATCCCTTACGACCTCTCGCGCGCGCCACAGATCACATTCACCCCGACTGGTCAGTTGTTCTCGCGCTTGATACGGCTCGCTCAGGCCTGCGGACACCCCACGCTCCTCAACACTATGACCAGTCTCCTCAGAAGGCGTATGCGCCAGGTTGTCGATTATGCATACCTCGCTATGAGCCTCGCGGACGAGTTGGACCTGCGAAAGCTGCGAGGCGCCGCATACATGGAGATCTTGCAGAGAGGCAGTCTGTTCCCATCGTCCTCCCCGGCGCCCTCGTCGACACCTGTCAGCACCTCCGGACAGAGCCAAGATGAGGCCAGTGTGGAGGACGAACAAGTCAGACACAACGAGCTGCTCATGTCGCCCGAGCAGAAGTTGCGCCTTCTGTCAGGGTACTATCGGCTGACTGCCGCCTGGGAATCCATGCGCAGGAACCCACTCTCCTTCGACCATGCGCCTGCTTGCGGGGCTACCTGGCACCAACACGGTTGTCTGCAGAGTTGGCTGGAGTTCTGGAAGGAGAAGACACGGTGCGAGGCGATACTCGATGCGGGTATGGCAGACGTTCCTGGCCGTCTCAGAGCCGTTGGGAAAGAACTTGACCGGTGGGGTTCGGCCACATATATGCACCACGACTGCAGGCAGATCGCTCGAAAGAGGATAGATCAGAAGGCCAAAGAGATCGAGAGTTTGCTACCAGATTATTTCGTTTAACCCGTTCTGAACGTGCGCATATAGTTAACCTTCGACATCCACACCTATGGACTGCATTTTATCGACTGTCCTGCTCACGTACTGTTGGGATTACTAGACGTAGTCCTTGTATTCCTACAACACTGTACCATTCAGATATTGTTACATATTAGAGAGGAACCGGAACTGATACCACCGTCATGCCTTTCTACTCTTCCCTTTCCGTGTTGGACGCTTCCCTGAGGTAGCGGCACCCGACTCCGTGTCCCCTCCAGTCGACCCCGCGATCGGCGCAAGAGTAGGGCTCCATGGTGTCGCAGGAGCGAATGAGTTAGCGAATGGTGGCGCCTCGACGGAGGCCACCATGAGACTGCGCATGATACCGTCGACATCGTCGGATGATGGTTGCTCAAGACCGATCTGCGTCCCGCGGAGGAGCATCTGTTCAAAGAGCTCATCTTCTTCGAGTTGCTTGACACGATCGCGCAGCTTCTTCATGACAATCTCGAACATGACTGTCAATGCGGCACAATCGCTTAGCACAATAAAACGCAACATGGTTAACGGTCTGACCCTTCTCCTCGGTGGCAGTCTTCGGGCGAGGTCGCATGAGCGGATCCTCCATTGCTCGCATTTCCTCCGGACGCGGCTGTCTGAGGCGTAGCCTGTCCTCGCATTTCCTCTCGAACGCCTCCTGACTCAGGTCCCTGTCTTCCAGAGACGTCTCATCAGGGCCGTATTCCGTCCCGATTGAGCTAGAGGGCGACGGCGCGCGGAGGACAGGAGGCGCATACTGCGGCTGGCCCGCATGGAAGAACTGATGTGTTTGAGGCATTCGCAGGGAACAGTGCGTGCAAACGGGGCTATCGCGGCCGAGGCGGCTGACTGGTTCTGACTCGATGGGAGGATGACTGATCTGAGAGGAGCTGACGAGAGATGTCGGTGCACGCTGTGATGCGCGTCGAAGACAAGGACAAACAACGCGTCGCGACGCGTTGAACGCGTTCACATGCCTTCCGCATTTGGACGTGCTTAGTCATGAGCGCGTTCAATAAAATGGATCGCGTCGCGTTTTCCCCCTCTCATCCTCTTACCACCACCCTCCCCCTTCCCCCTCCTCCTGTACACCCCTTCACGTCCTACTACTGTGCACGACCCTCCATGGCTTTCGTCTTTAAGCGAGGTGAGTAGACTCCCCACCTTCTTCAACGCGTCGTAGCATGACTAACGCGAAATCCCCTAGACGGGTATGTACCTTCATCACGCGTAAAAACGCGTCTTTATCCACTGTGACTAACTCTATGTGTGCTCTAGGCGCAAGGAACGCGTCCAGTTTGACAAGGTACGCGCTCGACGCGTCACTACGACGCGTGCATATCTCTGACCACCTCATAGATCACTGCCAGGATCAACAAGCTATGCTATGGGCTAGACAAGGAGCACGTTGACCCCATCGGGTGAGTTTTTTTTTTACTGCTAGATCGGCGTGTAATGTGCTGACCAAGATGAGCAGGATCTCCCAGAAGGTCATTGCGGGTGTCTACCAAGGAGTAACAACAGTAGAGCTTGACGTAAGTGGTTCCTGTGCTCAATATGCATCGTGAGGTAACGGTACCCTCAGAATCTTGCTGCCGAAACGGCTGCATACCTCACCACCAAGCACCCTGACTATGCCATTCTTGCCGCACGGATCGCAGTCTCTAACCTCCACAAGGAGACCAAGAAGCACTTCTCCGCTGTCATCAGTGACCTATATCACTACAGTACGTATCCAGTTTATGTCTTTTGCATTGGTTCTAACAGCTATATAGTCGACCCCAAGAACGGCAAGCCTGCGGGCCTGATCGCAAAAGACGTGTATGAGCTCGTCATGGCCAATGCCGAGCAGCTCGACTCTGCCATTGTCTACGATCGCGACTTCAACTACAACTAGTGAGTGTACTTACAGGGGTTCCGTACAAGTCTGACGACAATCTGCAGCTTCGGTTTCAAGACCTTGGAGCGGTCCTGTCTCTTCAAGCTCAACGGACGTATCGCTGAGCGCCCTCAACACCTGCTCATGCGTGTCGCTGTTGGCATTCATGGCACTGACATCGAGAGGGCGATTGAGACCTACAATAAGACGTCCCTCCGATACTTCACGCATGCATCGCCGACACTGTTCAACGCGGGTACACCCCGCCCTCAGCTCAGCTCTTGCTTCCTCGTCTGCATGAAGGACGACTCTATCGAGGGCATCTACGACACCCTCAAGAACTGTGCTATGATCAGCAAGACTGCGGGTGGTATTGGCCTCAACATTCACAATATTCGTGCTACTGGGTGTGTATTAGCACTTCATGGACGTCTGCTCACAAGCTCACCCTCAACTCTAGATCGTACATTGCGGGGACCAACGGTTACTCGAACGGTATCGTACCCATGCTTCGCGCATACGACGCGACTGCCCGCTATGTCGACCAGGGTGGTAACAAGCGACCCGGGGCCTTTGCCATCTACCTCGAGCCATGGCACGACGACGTCTTCCAGTTCCTTGACCTCCGCAAGAACCATGGTAAGGAGGAAGTTCGCGCGCGTGACCTCTTCTATGCGCTCTGGATCCCCGACCTCTTGTAAGCGCCACATCTGCATTCGATGTCGTGTGTATGTCTCTAACCGTGTTACAGCATGAAGCGTGTCGAGGCCAACGGGAAATGGTCTCTGTTCTGCCCCAACGAGGCACCCGGCCTCCACGAAGTATGGGGTGAGGAGTTCGAGCAGCTCTACGAGCGGTATGAGCGCGAGGGTCGTGCCCGCCGGACCATTGATGCCCACAAGCTGTGGTATGCCATCCTCGATGCTCAGATTGAGACCGGCAACCCCTTCATGCTGTACAAGGATGCATGCAATGGTGAGTGCATGCGTTGACTACGTATACATCGGGGTAGCTTAAGTCTCCCACAGCGAAGTCGAACCAGAAGAACCTTGGTACCATCAAGTCGTCGAACCTCTGCACGGAAATCATCGAATACTCTTCGCCCGATGAGACCGCCGTCTGCAACCTTGCGTCTGTCTCCCTCCCCGCGTTCGTTGAAAACGGTACCTACAACTTCCAGAAGCTTCACGACATTACCAAGACCGTCGCATTCAACCTCAACCGCATCATCGACGTCAACTACTACCCTATCCCCGAGGCGCGTCGCTCGAACATGCGCCACCGTCCCATCGGCATCGGCGTGCAGGGTCTCGCCGATGCGTTCATGGCTCTGCGTATGCCTTTCGACTCTCCGGAGGCGCGGGAGCTCAACAAGAAGATCGCGGAGACGATCTACCACGCCGCGGTCGAGGCGAGTAGCGACATCGCTGCTGTCGATGGACCCTACGAGACGTATGAGGGTAGTCCTGCGTCCAAGGGCGAGCTGCAGTACGACCTCTGGGGTGTCACTCCCACGGATCTTTGGGACTGGGCAACGTTGAAGGCGAAGGTGGCCAAGACTGGTTTGAGGAACTCGCTGCTCGTCGCACCTATGCCTACTGCGTCAACGAGTCAAATTCTGGGCAACAACGAATGTTTTGAGCCCTACACGAGGTTTGTGACGAACATTTCCCAGTCTATGCCGCTTGCTGATTTCCTCGTACGTATAGCAACATCTACACTCGTCGTGTGCTCGCTGGAGAGTTCCAGATCGTCTGCCCCTGGTTGTTGCGTGAGCTCGTCGAGCTCAATCTCTGGGATGACCAGATGAAGAACACGATCATCGCCAACCACGGCTCCGTCCAGAACGTCCCTAACATCCCCGATGACATCAAGGCGATCTACAAGACCGTCTGGGAGATCAGCCAGAAGAAGATCCTGGACATGGCCGCCGACCGCGGCGCGTTCATCGACCAGAGCCAGAGTCTCAACGTTCACCTGCAATCGCCGACGACAGGCCAGTTGACGAGCATGCACTTCTACGGCTGGAAGAAGGGCTTGAAGACCGGCATGTACTACCTGCGCACGCGTCCAGCGGCACAAGCCATCCAGTTCACCGTCGATCAGACCGCCCTCAAAGCGGCGAACAAGCAACCGTCTGCCGTCGTCAACGGCGTTGCTCTGCCCTCGACACCGAGTAGAGTGATTAAGCAAGAGCCCGTCACACCCTCCCTGCGCTCTGATCCCCCGTCGCCTTCGGTTGCCAGCACTGTCACGTCTGACTCAGAGGACGCCAAACTCGCAAACGGGACTGCTGCCCTCTCGCTCGATGAGCGGACGCAGAAGGCAGCGGAGCAGGATCCGGAGTTCGCGGCAGCCCTGCAGCGTCAGCGGGACAGAGAGCTCGAGCAGGCGAAGCTGATGTGCTCCTTAGAGAACAAGGAGGCTTGTGTCATGTGCTCTGGCTGAGTTGTCTGTCGGGTTCTAGAGTGTCGAGTATGTTGGTATGGCATATCCTATCGTGTATCCCTGCAATCCGTCTACTATCCTTGTTGCATTCTGTATTAGATTCCATCTGCCTGTTGTATACCTATGTGTTCTCCATATGCATGTTTCAATTCCCGCCATCTCTGAGTGCTTTCCGCCGCGAACGACTGCACGCCTCGATGTGTTTCACACTGCTTTCAAGGGTTGCGCATCCGCATGATCTTGGTACGAGATATGCTTTGCTGTCGGCGTATTCTGCTCGGACGCCGGCGCTGCAGCCAGGACACAACATGCAGGTACAACGTACGAGAGGGATCGGTCAACACTGTTCGGACGTGCACAGTATCTACTGTGCAAGCTCAAAACTGCAGCACACCAATCAAACACCAACGTAAGTTTCTTGGCGAATGGGCGCGGATGATGACCGACATCCGAGTTCTAATTAAATGGCATCAGCTGTGCGTGTCGGTGAGTCTCGGTGAGTCCGCTTGCCTGTATGAGACCATCCGATACACAGCACAAAGCGGGCTACACACAAGCGCGGTCGACGACACGAACTTCGACCAGCCTGTACCATCCGTATATAAGCAGGTATACGCCTCCCATTTACGCCAGTCTGCTCTTCCCTCGAGACTCACTCGTCGTCGCGCGGCACTGGTTGGTAAGTCGCATGCCTTGGTTCCTGCATGCTCTCGACGTCTGATGATGTTCCCTCGCCGGTCTGGATGCTAGTCAGCTCTGCGACGTCATCCAACGATCTAACAACTACTCGCCCAACTCGAGTCCACGAAGCCTCCAGTATCTGTTCGAAGGCGATATGCGCTATTCCATCGTGTCCATCGCAATCGTCGTGTTTGCTGCGATCCAGACAGCACTTACCGCTTCAACGTACGCGTCGGCTGCTGTTTTCCCCTTTGTGATCGCAACTGACATCTGCGCGTGGTTCTACAGCCCTCCAGGCACAGGTTCCATCGACGAGCTCGCGAGTGCAATGGGCAGTCTAGGCGTTGAAGAGAATGTCCCGGAAATCATCGTGTCTCCACCAGCTACTAAGAAGTCTAGAGGACCGCACCATGGGTCGTGGAGGCGCAGACAACAGGCGTCCTGGAGGAGACGCGCAGACGAACAGGACGATGAAGAGGCTCCTCAGCCAGATGACGAAACCACCACGCGCCGGGAGTTCCAGGATGCTATTCGCCGTCGCGGTGTAGAGGAGCTGTATACCCGGTCGGACGCATTGTTGAAAGGGCTCGAGTGAGCGCTGTTGTGTCGCGGTGATGTCGTTGTTGTCATTTAGTAGGCAGTGAACCGGCAGGTTGGTGTGTATGTCGGCCACGGCGATTACCAATATCTTGTAGTTCTTAAGAGATGATGAACCCATTGTACTTGTTTTGTGAGCAGTGGGACGATACAACATGTCTGCATGTCTGAGGCCTTGATGGGCAAAGCGATCCAAGGCCGTGACACATCCAATGAAGCTGAGTTGTCTCCCTGCCTCCCATGCACGGTTTCACTGCTCCTGGCAGCATACGAGGTCCTCAGCTCTGATGTGTTCCGATTAAAAGTAGTTATTCACCGACGCAGTGTCCTGGAAGGAGGACCATGCAGCACAGTCGGCCTTGACGCTGCCGGTGCATTGCATGTTGATCGTATCCCAGGATATGGCCTGCTCGTGTCAGTGAATGCACGATTACACTAGCGTATGCAGAAGTGCGGCTGCTATTACATACTATATCCATACAAAACGAGTACACGTATGATTTATCACGCTGTGATGACGCATGGTCAGCTATGTTCACCATGCAGATTCAGCGCACTTACGTAGTCATCGGCACAAACTCGGAATGAATAGTATTACAAGGACCTATGTCGAGGAAGAGACCGGCTGTAAAGGTTGAGGAGGGGCCGACGTGGGATGCAGACTTCGTAGAGAATATGGTTACGTGTTCTTTTGCGTGCGGCAGGGCATCCGATACTGATAGAGACTGAGGGACTAGGCTGATGATGTTGAATCGCAGGGGTTACGACATAGGCAGCCATTTCGAGCACAGCGAGGAGAGCTTTTCAAACGACGTTGAGGGCCGAGTAGTCTGGACCTGCGTAGGTCCGTTAAGCACTCCCTATCGCGACAATAAAGTCAGCAGGACTTACAAGAGTAGGTTCCATGGCCTCGTATTCACGCTCTAACCGCGGGCAGCCCGACCGCCCCGGAACCCTCTCGTAGAGAACGAGAACGAAGAACCAGTACATGGCCACCGAGACCCACAAGGAGCGCGAGAAAAGCACGCCAACTGATGGCTCAGAGACAAGCAAAGTAAGAAGCCAGATGAAGGCTGCCCATATGTCGGAGCTGAAGAGAGACCCAGAAAGGCGGAGGATTGTGTCGGCAAGGACGACGTTGCAGACGAGACGCGAGAATAGGTTCGACATCATAGCAGCGCTGTGTAGGTAGCTTGATATATGCCGGGTGTCCTCGGTGTGCTGGCAGCGATGGTGAGATTCGTCGACGCCGGACGGCACTAGGATCGTGTTCAACTGGGAACAAGCCGTCGTCGCCGTTTAACGCCGGAGACGCGTCTGTGGCGCCCTGTGGTACGGTCACCTGCCCACGTGCACACTGTCGCGTCCTTGTCGCCAATTTGTCGCCACGAACTTGTCCGGCCCTTGCAGATTCCTCCCTCCAGTCATCGCGCTGTCATGATACGACTTGTATGCTGTTCAGTGTACATACTCCCGGCATGATAATCTCACATGTATGGTCTACGCCATGCCACTGGTGCGTAACGTCTGAGTCAGTACTCACTGTCGACAGTTGGGTAGAGAGATAAATTCATATGTTTGAGAGTAAGAAGCCATGCTCGTACAAGTATTGTGTGCGTAGTCTATGTGATATAGGTAGTGTGTGTAGTTCTCGTGTGATGGTAGTCTGTCCGTGTAGTCCATGTGCGATATAAGTGGTCTGTGCGTGCGTGTGTATTCTGTGTGATGCAGCTAGTCTGTGATAGTCCGTGTGTATGGTGCAAATGTGTCAAGTAATTGGCTAGTATGAATGGCTATAGGCTGTCGGTGTGTGGGGTGGCGACAATCCAGACAGATCCAGAACGGAATCGTAGTGAAGAGATCATGATGAAAATGGGAAGATGAGATGGGAATCATATCATTGCCGGTATCGGATGCGGTGATCTTCGAGTTGCTCTAGTCTTCCAGAGCTCGGTGGGCACATATATGGACGAATGTGGTTCACGGAAGACGGTACGCCTATCACCGCCCTCCAATCACCGCCGCTCCTTCGATGGTTCAACGTTCAGCTGGCAGGGGAGAACTCATCCGCCAAGCCCGTTCGAGGTGCCCCAAGGCGAAGAGGGGGAATGTCGACGAAGTCAGAGCCCACCGCCTCGCGAAGGTGACAATTTGCGATGCGCATTGCCCCGGCTTCGGCACCACCGGTGCGACGACGCTTCCGCCGCCTTCCTTGAGGTTGGCTGTCAGAACCGTTCTGCACGGCTTCTGCGTCAGCGGTACGAGTTCGGCGACGACCACGAGTTGGTTGGCGCCTCCTAGAGCTGCTGGCGTTGTTGGTGTTACTCCCGCTGGCGATTGCGTTTGTATCCGTGCTCGTGTTCTCCTGTGGAGCGTCTCGATGTGCCTCTGTCGAAGTGGATGCCGCCGGGTTCTCGTCAGCGTCGAGCACAGATGCATCTAGAAAGTAATGGACGATCGGTATCCGCCAATGAAAGGAGATTCTTAGCCAAGGGGGCGACTCACCATTCACTTCAGTGCCCTCCTCGGCCAGTCGTCCTGCCTCCTCAGCCTCTCGAGCCATCTTGCGTGCCTTGGCTGCCTGGATCTTCTTCCCGCCACGAGCGCGCGGATGCCTCTTTCGCCTTCTCTCACTGCCTGGTTCTCCCTCGATAGTCGTGTCCTCTTCGACCTCCGCGGCTTCATTCGCGGGAATAGGACTTGAAGGGACGTCGTCGATACCGAATGCGGGAGCCTTGCCTTTGTCCGTGGGTGCCGATAACAGCGGCGACTCAACCGGAGTCGCTTGTGCAGGCGGGACAGGAGGGGGGCAAGTAAGGAGCTGGTCTGTGTTCGTAGTCGTCGATGCCAATGGTGGCGCGGAAACCTGTGTCGTGTCGTCAGTCTTCTGAACGGTGGAGTAGACGGCGATGCTGTGAGGTCGTTAGCACCGAGCACTGAGCTGAATGAACTCTGAGACTCACCGAAAGAAGACTAACAAGTGTACACCAGCGGCGGAGGTGGGTCTGAGCGTAGCTAATGCAGAACGACGATCCGAGTCTGCGTTGGAGGCAGAGATAGGGGTAGCAGTCGCCTTTGAGCGGAGACGAGAACGGAGCTGCTTCGCGGGAACGCCGGTGGCAGGAGACGTGGAGTTGATTCCGTAGGGTAGGGTGAACTCGACGTGCGTGCCAGTTGTACCGCAGTGGTACAAGGCGATCCGGTGGTATTCGTCGAACGTGAGCACGACTGTAGACACGAGCTGCGGAGGAGCAAAAATAGCGAGAATCCGCTCCACCATTCCGGGTGAAATTGAGTACACGGGTTGGACAGCGGCGTCTGGCTTGAGCTCCTGATCTTCGATACGGCACTCAAAGGTAAGGCTATCGCAAATCATAAGCACTAGATACTGATCCGGATCAGAGCATTCACTCACCGGAGGAACATCCATAATTGCAGGGCAGCGAAAGAGGTGGGCATGGCAATGACCGATGCAGAAGAAACGCCGGGCTCCGCATGCACGACGGAGGCAGCACGGGCGATCGCTTCGGAGCGAAGACGAAGGTGGAGCTGCTTCGCGGAGACACCAGTGGAAGGAGGTGCAGGACTGATTCCGTAGGGAAGTGTAAACTCGACTCTGGTACCAGATGTACCGCAGTTGTCAAACACAACTCGATTGCACAATTCGTCGTCCAGTTCGGGCATAGGCAGGGTAGTTGGAACCTGAGGCGTGCCAAAGGCAGCGAGAAGCGGCTCCAAGATCGTTGGAGAGATCGAGTATACGGGTTGACCAGAGGCCTCGAGCTCGAGCTCCTGAGTACTCTCGATGACAGAGTCGGGCGTAACAACTGGCATGAGAACCGCGTCTGCCGACTTGAAATCGGTGTTTATGTTGTCCATGGGCTCGGGCACCGACGGCGACTCCGAGGCCGGCGTCGCATTGTGGGCGGCATTGTCACTGAGCCTGGAGAGAAGGACGAGTCTACGGGGAGGCATCAATATCGAAAATTCATCCCGATAGAGTGCTTGTACTCACCGGAAGAACACCACCAATTGCAGGGAAGCGGCGGAGGTCGGTCTGTCCACAACCAGAGCAGAGTCCGATTCCACAGTCATGGGTGAGGCATCTGCAGGAGCACTCGCATCGGAACGGAGACGACGACGAAGCTCTTCAGTGGCTGAAGTGCCAGTGCTGAACGTCGCAGAGTCGATCCGAGTGCCAGATGTACCAAAGTAGCGGAGTGCGATCCAATAGAACCCGTGCGACGTTGGAAGGGTAAGCGGGATCTGAGGCGCACCGAAGACGGCGAGAAGTCGCTCCACCAGCATTGGAGATACCCAGTACGCGGATTGCGAGCCAACACGCTCGGCAACGATGGGCACCTTGGGGGTAGCGACGGGCGGTCGGGCGGGTCCATACATCACAAAGGACTTCCTGACCACTGGCATGTCACCATCAGCCTTGACACCGAACCCGAGGACAAGGCTGTGACAATACATCAACATCGAGTTGTATCAATATGTGATCATTGAACTCACCGAAGGAAGGTCAACAACGCCTGGGAAGCGGCAGATGCATGCTTGTGAGCAACCAGTGCAGAGCGAGTGTCGGCGTCTTCAATCGCAGTCGAACTTAGGCGAAGACAGAGCTGCTTCGCGTGGACGCCAGACGAGCAAAGACCGAAGGGTATCGTTGATGTATCAAACCACTGAAGAGCGATCCAGCGGAACCCGTCGGACGGAGGCAGAGCGCGCAGCATCCGAGAAGAATAGAGGACGTAGCAGATCTGCTGGATCCACGCCGGTGCGATCGAGTAGAAGAGTCCAATGGAGCCGGCGCGCTTGAAGGCAGAGATCGTCTTCAGGCCTGCCGGATCCATGGGAGAAAGGACACGCTTGGCTCTGTGTGCGGCGACGACTTTGCGAACTGGGTTTGGCTCCGGAAGAGGCAAGACACGCTTGACACCGGTAGCAGCGACAGTAGGTGAATGCTTGTACGCAAGGAGAGGCCTCTGCATCGCTGAAGGAACACTGGCAGCCAAAGGCAGACGGACGGATCCTGTGAACGCAGCCTGGACAAGGTTGCCCGTAACGTTGAACCGAGTCGCGACCATCCTGATCATCCTGAAGTACTCGGTTGGCAACAGCGTAGGAGGGATGCCAAGCGCGCGGTAGGATGCGTGCAACGTCATGACCCAGTGTACATGGAGGTCGTAGACGAGGGCGAACGCAGGGGTGACGACGGTCGGAGAGCTTGTACGCTTAGCCGCACGACGGGATCGCATGAAGTTCCTCGAGAAGAGGCTGTCACGACGCAAGAGAGGGATCGCCGCCTTGACAAGAGCACCGGAGACATCGAACCGGGTGGCAGCCGTCTTGAAGTAGGCCGTCAGTTGTACAGTGCTTGACATACGGAGTCGAAGTGCCGCGTGCAGCGTCTTGCTGAAGCAGGAGACGCGACCATAGACACGGACGACTGCAGGGATCACAACGGACAGCGAACGCTCTGCCCTCTGTGCAGTTGCAAGCGCAAGAACAGGTGCAAGCAGACGCCACTCCGACACTAGACAGAGCGATACCGAGAGAGCGGTCTTGACATGAGCAGCCGTGACGTTGACATTCGCTGACAGCATACATGAGTATCCCGATGAGCCGCAAAGCGCGAGGAGCAGACAAACCCTTGGAGGCCTTCAAGGCGGCCTTGATTCCCTGCTGAAAGCCATCGTGGACTAGAACAATTGACTTCGCGACGATGGCGAGTGCGCGCTTGATCATGCCGTTGAGTAAACCGTAGGCGCACTTGACAATGACCAGAGCCTTCGCTGCCGAGAGAAGAACGAGGCTCGCCGAGTTGTTGATCGCACGCCGAGACACATAGCAGAGACGGCTGAAGGCGTAACGAACGATGCTTTCGAACGTCTGGAGGAGTCGGCATAAGATGCTCAGCGCAGTAGAGGAGAACCACGATGCCATGCGCCAAAGGGGACGACGCTTGACGTTGCCACGTTCACCAACATCTTGAAGACAAGTGACGGGGTCTTCAGCTTGCGCCGCGCGCCGGACGTAGCCGGTCGAGGGTGCAGATGCCAATGAACGCGTGAAGTCCTCGGTAGTACAGAGAACGAGGCGGACGATCCGGGCGTGGCAAGGACGAGGCACCGTTGGATCGACGATGGCTAGGAACATGGCAGCGAGGGTGTCAGCCGCTTCGAGAGTCGCACAAAACAAGATGACGGCGACCACGAGCAGGCAGCGTATCAACTTGCGGAGCACCGTGACGAGTCCGACAACCAAGGTGAGGCAGGGTTTCAGGGAAGTGAGCCATTTCCACTGAAGAGTCGTCGGAACATGTTTGGCGTCGAAGAGATAGCTGAAGGCGATGAAGACGGCGGTGGCGAAGCACACGTAGTCCGAGTAGTGTCCGTCGAGCAGGTTCAGGTAGAAGGTGACGAGGGCCGTCACCGCGAGGGCGGCGGCGGAGAGGACAGTGGTTTGAACAGAGTGACCGGTGATGAGGCGGACGATGTTGAGGGCGATGCCGAAGTAGATGACATCCAGTGTGGGGATCGTTACGTCGGTGGCCGTGACACCCGCCATGGTGGGAGAGGGAAAGAGGTGAAGAGAGGCGGGCTGGGCGACAGCCTCTTATGTTCGACTTGCGGCACCGGCCGGCGCGTTGACAGCCGCAAGTTCAACTTGCCCGCCACCCCGCCGTCAGCCTCGCCGGGTTCTCCGGCGTCCCGTTCACCAAGTCTGCAGCTGCAGGTCGGCCACTTCTGTCACTGTTTCCCACCTGGGTTGTAGAAGGGAATGTGTCTGCACCCGACATTGGTTCTGCACAAGGATACGTACTTCAACGGGCGTTTCTGCCGAGTACCTCGATTTTGAGTAGTTGCCCGCGAACTTGTGGCGTGCGGTGAGCCCGGCCTTCTGCATTATGTATTCGCGGTGTGCTGCCCGGCGAGTGCGTCAACATGTGAGATACTGGCAGCTGCAGGCTGCGTCAGTGGCCAATGTCACATCGAATCTACCTCGTATCAACACTGTGGCATTAACCCACTGTGGCAAGGTCAGCTTCATCGTGCGATTTCTGACATACCTTCTGCCGACATATACACTTCGTTAGCAGCTGCAAAAAGCCTTTCAAACTCATGACGATTGTCTTGTAACCGTCTAGTCAGTGTCTCCAAGAACAAACGGCCGAGTTTCGCGCGCAACATCTACCGGCACGATCACACGTTGGGCCAAACTGAGGTTGCAAACACACGTTGCAAGTCAACGAGTACACTTGAAGTATACACATGAGCGATGAGCAACCCAGATAATAACGGGAGGAGATCGCCTAAACCAGGGAGACATCCAGATACCAGAGCAGATGCACAGCATATAGTGACCGAGTGGGTTGGACATGAGTGACGGGAAGCCAGACCATGCGCGCGGGGAACCTCAACCAGCGAGGTCCATCATCACCAGGACCTCTGCCAGCCGAGGCCGCCGCACGGCGGTCTGCAAGCCGAGCACTGATAAATAGCAACGAGTGTCGAAACGAGCGCAGCCGATGAAAGGAATGTGGATGAGAGGCATGTGGCCGCGTCCACGCAGCCAAGTCATGCGAGACAAGAATAGGTGCAAGCAGCATGCACCCTGCGGGAGAAGGATCCACACAGATCCATACGCGGGATCAGTTCGGCGAACCGTACCACCAGAGCGTCGTCACGCCAACCGGGAAGGTGTACGAGACCTATAGGAGCGATCGGTGACCGACAATCCAACATGATCAGACATCGTCAGAATACCGGGGCAGAATGGCTACTTACGGAGTTGCCGCGGAACTCGATAGTGGCCGTGACCGGCTGCGGGTTCCAGGTGGTCGACGCACTGTCATCCCTGTGGAACGATAATACGGTGAGATGCAGGCTCACAAGGGTGGTCAGGACGCATGGTACTCACCAGTTCAAGACAACAAGGCTGTAACGCGGCCAGTCGCTCGCGCTGTTGCGGTTCGTGACATACGCAGTAGCGAGGAGCGCCCAGCTGAGGTCGCCGCCGACAGTCGAGGAGATGCGCTGACCAACAGGGCCACCAACATCCTTCGGGTTGATGGCCTTCTGCGCCTGAGCGATGGCATAGACTGTGGCAAAATAATTATCAGCATTTGGATCAGTGGAGCTGTCTGAGGGGATACGCACACTCCTGGTTGTAACTGAAAGTGCCGTCGCTGTTGATCGTAACTACAGGTCGGCACGGAGTACCACAGCTGTCAGAACCAGACAAGATGGGCTGGCCATTGCCATCGAGAGCCAGGTTCCACATCGCGCCCGTCTGCGCCCAGTAGTTAGGCGCGCCGATGAAGATGTTGTCCATGGACCACTTGATGTCGCTCCACCAGTCACTGCCGTACTCGCCAGTGCACTCCGTGAAGTACACCGCCTTGTCCGGGTACGCGCTCTCGAACGTCTGCTGGTCGCTCACACTGCCCGAGTAGCAGTGGAAGGACGCACCCGAGAACGCGTTCGGCGCGTCCTGCATGAGCGTGACGGGGTATGCACCCGCATCATTCCAGTTGTGCTCGTACCCGATGATGACAGTGCTCGAGAAGCCGTTATCGTTCATCAGCGTGCGCAGCTGCGTGCCGATGTCGGCCTCCTGCGATGCAGAGATGGAGCACGTCGGGTACGTCGAGTCGCTGTTCTCCGGCTCGTTCTGGATGCCGATAGCCCAGACATTGAAACCCTTGCCCTGATATCCTTGCAAGGCCTTGAGCAGGTAGCTCGCATCTATCAATCACAGGGACGTCAACGGCCGACATCTCACAGCGAGCGGCGATGGGGGCTTACAGGTGTCGGTGTAGCTGGAAAGGAAGTTGCCCCCAAGCAGGGAACCGCTGTCCTTCATCCAGGCAGGCTGCAAGCAGAACGGGTCAACAACACCGAAGCCTGACATGATCGGGACGGCCACGCACGGGCGACCAGGGAACAATGTGAATCTTCAGGTACCGGTTGATGCCCGCGATGTCAGAGAGGGTGTCGTACAAGTACGAGGGAGCTGCGTTGATGTTGAAGTCATCAAGGTTGGTGTCGCCGCTAGTGTCGTCGAGGCTGTAGGCAGTGTCAGAGAAGTCGGACGCGCCGATGGGGACGCGGATGTAAGAGAAGCCGGCCGCGTCCGCGCCGTCAGTGGCTGTCAAGGGCGTGTCAAGGGGGAGCAGGTGCCGTGGAACGAGATGGGCGTGCTTACGATCGAAGAGGTAGTTCAGGATACTCCAATAGTTGTCCGAGTTGGAGGACTACAAGCACCGTGTTCACAGGCGTCCACAGCCTCGCGAGCAGACACAACGCACCTTCAGTTCACTGAGAAGCTTGGCCGAAGAATCAGCTGCAAGCGCGGCGTGTCAGGATCAGACGTGCTATTTATAGACAGCCGCACGCACTCAACGTCGCCCCAAAGCCAACCATGTCCTGGTAGAGCGTGGAGTCATCCACGCTGATGGTCGCCGAGTTCGACTTCGAGTCGCTCGTGAAGTTGAGCTCGCCATTAGGTCCCAGGTTCGTGTACGTGAACAGGGTGCTACGGTCCCATTGCGTCGACCACTGCGCGTCATGGTCAGCGAGAGCGAGTGCATCGGCCAGAACACATGGTACGCACGATGTCGTAGATCTGCTGGGCGGCAATGGGAGAGACTGCGAGGACCAGGACGGAGGTTATGGCGGAGAAATACATATTGGGTCCCGAAGAAACGACAGAGAGGAGAAAGAGAGGACAGCTGCGAGACAGCCGGGACGAAGGGCGACGGTCAATGAGAGGGACGGGACGCAGTGGTGGAACGCCACCGGGCTGGAGGGGTCTTTATACGTGGCTGCGGGATAAAGCCCGCATGAAACGCGTGGGCAAATAGACGGGCGTAGTGCCATAACAAAGCAGGTGGAGAATTTGACCTGGCCGAGCGGAGGCTTGACAACAGACAAGAACGGAAAGAGACATCGATCAGACGTGATCCACGAATCGGAGGAGGCCAGCGGACCAAACCTCGCATCCCCGCATCGGTCCAGAGCCTCCGGACCTGGCAGTGGCATAGCTAAAGCCCGCAAGCTGCTGTGCCGCTGAACGTGATCATCCGGATACTCCTGATGGTATCGCCAGGCCTGCAGCAACCACGTACATAGAAGAGACGTATGGCGTCCTGCCAAATAGCAGTCTGACCAACCCTCGCCAGCAGGAGCCTCAAATGCCGCGTCGTATGACCACCATCCTCGTGGGTCTGTCGAACTGTTTACAACATGCTCACTCGTACCGGAGCGCCCTCCTCGGGCGATGCGCCAGAAAGCCTTCCTCGGCAGAGGACCGGCACCGCACAACCTTAGCGCGAGGGCCTAGATCGCCTGAGATGAACTGGGTGGTCGGCCTTGCAGTCGTCAACGAGAAGTTTTCATGCAATGCCTAAGGCGTCGTTGCTGGCATGCAGCCTCATATGGGCCACGGAAGGAAAAGAGGCCTTACGACACGTGGGTTCAGGTGCACAGGATGGATGAGGGTTCGCCCATGGTGGCAAGCCAGGCACCGGAGGAGATGAAGAGGAGCGTCCGAGCTCATCCAAGCCTCGAAGCAGGGCGACATAGCCTTGCCGAATGGGGTGCCGGACGGTGGGTATAGTTTGGGGTATAGTCCGATTACAATGGGACCTAATATGATAACACTCCACGCTGCAACCTCCATTTGTCGACTAAGTTAGAGAAGACATGATGAGCATACATATGTAGTTAGCGGCAAATGTGTACGCACGTTTTGATAGTCGTTTTGCTGCCATAGGCCAGATCCTCCGAACCGCCCCTTGGGGCCCAGGCCTCCGTGGTGGGCAGAGCAGAACACACCAATCGCCACTCTGTCACCGAACATGCGGCTGCCCATTCGGGGCTGACGATCACGTACATAACGCGCTCTACACGTGATCGTTCACCTCGTGCGACGCGCCTGCCGCCCGCGCCGCCCCGCGGTTCGAGTTGGACGAGCGCGTGAATGCAGCCTTCCCGCGTAACCTCCAATTGAGTATCTCTACCCATCCCTGCTCTCGAAAACTCTGGCTGCATGCAGTGAGTCTACAGACCATCTGCGGTGCACTTCCGGTTCCATCTACTATCACTACAACGCGTGGCACGGTGGTCCGACTGCCGCCATCATCTCAATCGGGACCACAGTTCGCTTCAGTGAACTTTACCCAATATGTCGGATGAGGCAATCCGTTATCCTCGGTATATCGCCAACTGGTGGCTCGGTGATAAACTTGGGGAAGGCTTTTCAGGTGTGTCTGAGCAGCGACCTTTACCGGGAGAAGCTTCCATAACGCCTGACCCTTTACTAGGCGCAATCTTCCGCGCAACCCACCTACACACACGGCAGCAGGTCGCTGTCAAACTCCAACCCAGCGACATCGACTGCCCCACGAATTCCTATGAGCGCAACTTCTACCCAGCGCTCCAGGGCGGCACCGGCATGCCCACACTGTGGGCTTCTGGCGTGGAGAGAGGCTTTGACTTTCTCGCCATAGACCTCTTGGGCCCTAGTCTTGACTCCCTCTTCCGGCGTAGCGGCAAGAACGTCATGGACCTGCGCAGCGTATGCTGCATTGCAATGCAAGTGGTCAGTCTACCCTTCTCTCCCGCATCACCGGGCTCACCATATGGCCTCTCGTGGACTCTGCCCCTGGTGCTGCCCTATGCTCCCTCACGCACCCAAAGATAGAACGCCTGGACTTCATGCACTCGCGCGGTGTACTCCACAGAGACATCCAACTGGGGAACTGCGTCGTCGGCCTGCCACCGCACGACCAGCTGATCTACATGATCGACTTTGGGTTCTCAAAGTTTTACATCGACAGGCGCACAGGGCGTCACATCCCCGATAGCAAGCAGAAGCGTGATTTCATCGGGAACTATTGGTTCAGCTCCGTCGGCGTCCACTGCAGGGGCAAGGGTATGTCTCGTCGCTCCGGTCCCTCGGTCGTCGGGGGCAGTAGAGTATTGTATCTGACCGGATCTTGTTCCTAGTACCCTCGCGGAGAGACGACATGGAAGCAGCCGCACTCATGCTCATTCACCTCCTGACGCCGGGCGGACTCAGTTGGACACGCAATGGGGTGCCTAAGACTGACGCAGCGCACGAGCGGCTCAAGCGCGAGAAGCGCGATGCCCGCCCTGAAGACCTCTGCAGGGGCCTGCCCGCTGAATTCGAGGAGTTCCTTCGGTACTGCCGGCGGCTCAAGTTCATGGACTGCCCTGATTACGCGTACTGGCTCAATGAGTTCCGCGAGCTCGCGAAGGAGAGCGGCTTCCCAGAAAACTCGCTCTTCGTTTGGCCTCCTCCAGAACCCGTTGTGCGTAGTCTGTGTCCCCGTCTCCACATGCCCAGTACTGACCTTGTCATCCAGCGCTCAATACATGTTATCCCTCCCAGGCAGCCTGGAGGCGTCTCGCCAAGGACGGTGGACGGCATATTGCACGACCTCGCGAACATGCACTTGGGCAGCAGACAGGTCCTGGGCGAGCGGAATACCAACGCGAACAAGCCCCGCAAGGACGAGAATGACGCAGGGCGCGGTCCGGCGAACGCCATCGTCATCAGCAGCGCGAACGAGAACCCGCGCAAGCCGCAGTCAGTCGTGCGCATGACGAAGGCGACGCACCTCACGAAGCTGGCACGGGCTGTGAGCGACGCGCGGGACAATGAGAACCTCTCGAGGGTCGTGCAGGAGTTCGTGGAGCTGCTCCAGGCGAGCCGCTCGCGGACGCTGACGAAGGAGGGCTTCACCGTGCTCGACGCGCTCTACAAGCAGCTCGCGGACCCGTCCGTGTACATCATGCCCCTGCGCACGTCGCGCACGAGCGACAAGGAGCAGGCGGCGGGGTCGGAGCCGCGCTACGTGAAGATGAACAAGCTGTTCCAGCTGAGGACGGGCGTCGTCTCGGCGCAGAACAACCGTGCGCTCGCACAGCTGGTCGCGGAGTTCGGCGCTGTCATCAACAAGAGCAACGGGCGGACGATCACCAAGGACGCGTTCGGCTTCTTGGAAAACCTTGCTGCTAGGCTGCAGCAACTGGCTTAGGCCAGTCGTGCATGGACTATCGTACTCTTGACTTTCTTGCGTGTACCGCGATTCGGCACACCCTACAGTACCACTTGGCTTAGCATGTTGTATAAGTTAGTAGCTGTGCGTCTCAGACGATGACTCGTCATTCTAATGCGACTTTCTGCGCGCGAAGGTCGCTAGAGTTTTAACGTTTAGTACTTAGTGGGACGCCCGATTGAGTCCCTACGTGACGCCCCGCATCTCCCTTGCGTTTGGGGTCAAATGGGCTCGAATGGGACATAAAAATGAAATTGAGGAAGTACTCAAGGGAATTCGTACGAAGCCGGTCGGATGCGTCGTACTGACCGTTAGATGGACGGAGCGCTCGAGATCACATAACTTGCTGTAGGGTACCTGCTTACGGATCTCGTCGCTCTTGCCTTCTTCATACATGGCCGAGAGACAGTCACACACCGGTTGTCGTTCAAATGCGATCGCAACGGGCTTGCCTGTACACGTCAAAAGGAGCATGGTTAGGTATATACACAATTCAGGGAAGGATAAATGTCGTTTCGAGGTACTTAGAACCAGAAGCTGGCGGACTGGTGGACTTGGCGAATTGCGTCGCTCCCGACTCACTGCTTTTTGGTGGCCCGGACAGGCTGAGCGACCAGTGTACGGCATCAATGTCTGTCACAGCAATCGCCATGGTGATACTGTGTGTATGTACATGTCGTAAGGAGGCGACCCCAACTTCGACATGCATGTCCTGGGTCCAGGAAGCCCGACGAGATTTCGGAGCCACTGGGTCTAGATAGCGTTCGAACGGCCGTAGTCACGGATTAGATAGTGTCAGCCTGCCGCGCACCTGATGTGAAAGTTCATGGGGAACTTCCCTCGCCGCGGATAAGTGCAGCCGTGGCGCTACAGACATTGATACGCTCTGGACACTGCCTCAAATGGGCGTCGTACTGGCGTTGGGGTGCACAGGCCGCAGTGCTAAGACAAGGGCAGCAGAGTGAACACTGTCTGGAGGTCATCTCACCATGCCATGTGAAACGGAGGACAGAAACCGACAAAGAGCGGCTGATGGCCCAAAGGGGAGGGCGACGGCGGGCTGGACGATGCACCTGGTGCCATGGGGGAGGCTGGATTGGAGTCAAACACTCTGTCACTGTGGAGATTACGTAATATTGTAGGAGAGTCCGCGCCAGCGCTAAGTCGCCCTACCCCAACAGAACTCAGGCGGGCCCGGCAAGCGCCGCCATGGACCGTGTCGCCATGATAAAAACTTGGCCTCCCCTCCCCGCCCCTTGCCTCTTGCTCCCTCCGCACAGCGACCCGACGGCAGGCCCCCCACCCTCTTCTCCACCCCAACCATGGCCAAGGTGTCCCCCCAGAAGAGGACCACCGTCGAGCAGACGCCCTTCGTCGTCCCTGACCTCACCGTTAAGGACCTGCTGTCCGCCATCCCGTATGTCTATACGCGTTGTTTACAACTCCAAACACTGACACCACTCTGCGTATGCAGGGCGCACTGCTACAAACGGTCCGCGGTCAGGTCGATGAGCTATGTGTGAGTAGTGCCACTCTCTCAAGCCTTGCTCTTCGTGACACGTATACATTCTGTAGGGTCTACGACCTTTTCCTCTTATACTGCATCTACAAAGCCACCGTCTTTGCGGATGCCAGGATAGCCCCGGAGCACATCTCCTTCCCTAACCCGCACCTTTACACCTTCGCGCGGTTCGCCCTCTGGGCGCTCTATAGTTTCGCGAATGGACTGGTCGGTACTGGTCTCTGGGTCCTTGCGCATGAATGCGGTCACCAAGCGTTCTCCGAGTCCAAGACTATCAACAACACCGTTGGCTGGTTCCTCCACTCAGCGTGCGTATGCGTTTCTATGCTTTCCGGGTAGCGATTGTGCAGCGGAATGCGTACTGACATGTGATCGCTTCGGTTTGTATTGTAGGCTTGGTGTACCGTACCACTCCTGGCGCATCACCCACGGCAAGCACCACGCCTCGACCGGACACATGACGGAAGACCAGGTGCACGTGCCTAAGACGCGTGCCCAGGTCGGCCTGCCTCCTCTTGACCCCGAGCGGGAGGACTTGCTCGGCGCCTCCGTCACGGAGGAAGTCAAGCAGGAGCTCTATGACGCACTTGGTGACACACCTATCGGTGCTTCTCTCAGCGTGGCTAGCTACTTGGTAGGCTAGTTCCGATCGCCCCGTCGACAAGTGTGCTGAAGAGACATTTCGATAGCTTGCGGGATGGTGGTTCTACCTCATCAAGAATGCCTCTGGCCAGAAGAGGTACCCCAAGGGAACCAACCGTGAGTAGTCATTGATGTCCCATACACAATCGGTTGTTGACGTTTAATCGAAAGACTTCGCTCCTGACGCTACGATGTTCGCTCCTCACCACCGTGATCAGATCTTGATCTCTGACGTGGGCATTGCGCTCTGGCTGGGTGCCGTGTGCTGGGCTGTCTACACCTATGGTTTCTTCGAGGTCTTCCGTGTCTACCTCATGCCCTACCTCTGGTGAGTTATTTAATCCGTGACTAGCGAGCACATGTCTGACGCGCTATTGACAGGGTGAACCACTGGTTGGTGCTCATCACCTTCCTCCAGCACACCGACCCCCTGCTCCCCCACTACCGTGCGCCTGAGTTCACCTTCCCCCGTGGTGCGCTTACCACCCTCGACCGCAACACTCTTGGTGACTGTGGCCGCATCATGGGCTGGCTCGGCGCACACCTCACGCACGGGATCTCGGAGACCCACGTCGCGCACCACGTCTCGTCCAAGATTCCGCACTACAACGCGTGGGAGGCCACGGATGCGCTCCGCAAGCGGCTCGCGCAAGCCGGCCTGATGCCCCTCCAGGGCGCCCCTGTCGGGTGGGCGGAGATGTACCGTGTCTTCCGTGCATGCAAGTTCGTCGAGGACGAGGGCGACATCGTCTTCTACAAGGACGCGCGCGGCCTCGCGCAGACCCGCCCGGTGTTCAACGACAGCAGCGTCAGCGACTCCGGCATCGAGCTCGACAAGGACGCGTAGACGTTCTTGCTCGTGTCTTCCTTAACCCCCGCTCTGTTGCTGTCGCTATCGTCTGTCTTTGTGTCTCCCCGTGCGCTTTCGTCGGTGCTGTAGTATAATCAGCCTTCTCGCTCTCGCATGCGGTGGCGCCGCGTAGAAGAGGGGGCGGAGAGTGATAGCACAAAATACGTACCTACCGGTGTTGGTGCTGCTTGGGATAGTAGATCCTAGAGAGTTAGACTAGAGTTGTCAATGGGACAAGTTCGTATCACTCATACTGTATGCTTGACTTCACACAAGCTATGGTGCTGCTGAAGTGTGTAACGACAGTTTTGTGATTTCATGTCTTCGCACTCGGTTCGCATTTGCAGTTTGGTGGGTGCCTGAGAGAACAGGCGCTGAACAGTGTGAGCAGTCTGTTGACTGGAGATGCACATTCTCCAACGCAGCATTCGGAATTCTGAGACGCAGCATACCTGGACATTGCCAGTACCGGCCCCCTTGTGATACACCCAGCTCGAGGGCCAGCATACAAGATTCTCGCATATCTGCGGCGGACTGCAGGCATGAACACTTATTGGTGCGACACGGCGGTGGCAGGAGCACGCATTGAACGGCACAGACGAGCACGTCACTAGGAGATGATGCCTAATTTTGGTGATTCGCATGCGGCATACCAGTAAGGAAATCGTGGAGAGTCATGCAGAATACATACGCAGCGTCGCCGGAGGTATCGGCGACCCACCTGCAGCACAGCCAGCAAGGGGAGAGACATTTACTCCTCCTCCTCCTCCTCCTCCTCCTCAGCCTCCTCCTCCTCTTCCTCTTCCTCCTCCTCCTCCTCTTCCCGCGCCGCCTCAACTACAGCCGTCGCGATACGGTCCAAGTCCCGCTGGCCGTCCTGGCTGATCCGGCGGCCACCGTTGTCCGACTTCTCGAGCACGCCGATCTTCTCGAGCGACTGGCAGACCTTGCGCTGGACGGACGCGGAGCAGTCTGCGTGGTGCGAGGGGCGGTTGCCCCTCCGCTTGCTGCCGCCGTGGAGCTTGGTCAGGGCGCCGATGCCAACATCCTTGCGGAGGTAGATGTGTCTTGCGACGGCAGCTGGGGCAGACGCGTTAGATCACGGCGCGCCGGGAGCGCGGAAGGGCGGGCACACCTGCGCGAACGTAGTACCAGTCGGGGTCGTATGGTGCGAGCTCCTTGAAGGAGCCGGTCTTGACGATGTCAACCCAGGTGGGGACCTCGAGCTTGCCGGAACGCTTGAGATGGGATGCGTATGCAGCAATGAACGCTTCCGCGCTGTGGTACAGGAATACGGTCAGACAACAGTCCCGCGTACCAACAGCAGGACCACGCACCTGATGTCTCGTACACCGGGCATTTTGATGGGAAAGAGAGATTACCTTGAGGACGGCGGGGACAGCGACGGACGCGGCGTTGACGGCGGTGTATGGACTGGTTACAGGCCAAATTTGAGTTTGAAGCCACCTGCCCGCCTGTGCAGTTCTTTGCTTAGTCAGCACCCCAAGATCCGGGACATGGGCGCCTGTCTCTCACGCCACTTCTTGCATCGATCCTGGAGTCCCTCTGCCGAGCTTGGCTGGCGTGCTCACTTAAGCTATCCTATACTATGGGCTGCTGGTAAGCTGTACTGCTTGTTATGTACCGGTTTCACTATGCTGCTCTATCGGTGCGACGTGTTCTCCAGCTGTGCCTTGCCTGTAACCAGTCCAACACTTCGCCGTCGATGCGGTGATTGAGAGGCTCTGGGTTTCTCACGTGTTCCGATATGGTCCACGGTGGCTGAAGATTCGGGTTGTCTTGCCTTGAGTTCACGTCTCCATCGCGCCTATCCCCGACCTCCACCATGACCCTCGATGCCTACCAAGCCCATGTCTCTTCTCTCCCCATCGTTGACCGCCTCCCTCCGGAGCTGCTCATCGAAATCTTCGTGTGCTGCACGGAAAACCTCACTGACGGCCTGGTACCGCTCGCCCTCGGCGCCGTCTGTCACTATTGGCGGGCCGCCAGTCTCGCCTCGCCGCGCGTATGGCAACGCCTGGTGCTCAGTGAGCGACGGAAGGTGGAGGCGTCGCATGCGCAGGCGCGACTGTGGCTAGTGCGATCGGGACAATTGCCGCTCTATGTCCATGTCAACCTTGACTCGAGGGACTTCCTGCTCCCTCTCTTGTCGCCCATATTGCCATACATCCATCGATGGAGAACGTTTGACATGACCCTAGAGGAAGCGGACGAACATTTCGACTTCGCACCGCTCGTGGATGGCGCCACGGGAGCTCGCCTGGAGCATTTGCAGATGATCATCAGGGGGACGTCCGGCTTAGATGCTTTCATCGAGCATCTTCACCCACTCGAGAGACCGGATATCGACAGACCCTCGTTCTCAGCCTTGCCTTCAGGCGAACCCGACGAGCCGAGGGGCATCTTCATGCGCACCGCCGTCCTAACGCTACCGTCACGCGCCCAGTTGTCTGTGTTGCCCCTCACGAAACTCACGATCTCCGAGTCGGTGGACGTCCTCACGAACGCGTCGCAGGTGCTCGAGTTCCTCTCCGTTCTACCCATGCTCGAGCAGTTCATTTTCTATTCCTTTCCCCACGACGGGAACCCTGAAGACGACGTATGCCGTGCTCCGGTCGTCTCGCTTCCCCGACTACAGATGCTCGTTCTACGGGGCACCTGCGTCGTCCGTACCATTCTGTCGCACATCGATGCCCCGTCGCTGAGGGAGCTCTACCTCGAGCATACCAACATCGACTTCCCGATCCAGCGAGACCACTACGCCAGCCTGGAGGAGGAGGGCGACAGCGAAGACGAAGCGTACGACTTCTCGCAGTCACCGTGGAGCGACCGGGCGACCGGTATGGGCTTGCGGCAGCTCATCAAACGCTGCAATCCGCCTCTGCAGGTGTTGGAAATGGACTACGCAGACATGCGGACGAAGGACTTCGAGTGGTGTTTCGATCGTCTGGAGCACCTCAAGGAATTCCGCATCGTCGCTTCCGATATGTCCAACACGGTCGTCAACCTCCTCGCACCACAGCAGCCGCGGCCGATGTCCTGTCGACCCGATGGCACAAGGCATGGCGAGCCGCGCCTGCGACTCCCGAAGCTGACCATGCTCGGGCTATGGAACTGTCAACGTCTCAGTGGTGATGCTATCGTCCGGGCGCTGTGTCGGAGGGTGCAGTACACGGACCACCTGTCTGGCGACGAGTTCAGTAGGCTTTCGGATGTGGCAATTGTAGGATGTCAGGACTTTCGGGTTCAGCATGTTCTTGAGCTCTCGCCGGTGCTGGGAGGTCGTCTACGCATTTCATGATCACGCTTGCAAGACCAATGTAGCAGATATGTACCTCTATTACTTTACGATATTTATTCGCGCTTTGTCGCTGCTTAGTACTTAGTGCTCATCAAGTGTCTACCGTCACGAATTACCGCTCACCATGATGTTGCGCGATTAAGCTTGCTCGCTCGGTGCGTGTATCGGGCAGGCGGATCGGAGCGATCTCTGGCGCCTAGATGTCATTTTAGACTCGGGGCCTACTCTGTTCGGGCACTGGCAGCTGCAGCTCGCACCCTCTCTTGCTCGCCTGCTCCAGCAGCTCACCTACCGCTGTTTTATATATCGCACATATTCGCTTCCTAGCCATGGCATCGCCGCGCCAAGTGAGCCCTGTCGACAGCGATGACGAGCCGAGGCCGACACCGACTCGCGCCTCCTCTCAAGAGTCGGAGGTCTTCAGCCCTTCTGGGATTCATGCCCCTGCGCCGAGGGTGACAGACGGGTACTTCGGATACAACGAAGAGAAAACATTGCATCACGTACGCTGGAGTTCTTCTCAAGTATTCGCCAGCTTCATTCACGGTCTCTGTCCCTGTCATCTCAGCTTGAGGAAAAGATGTGGGCGCAGAGAAGGCGCGGCTCGGACGCTTCTGCATCGAGACCTGTTTCTGCTCTCGGCTCTCCATTCATGAAGGACGAAGGGCACCTAGACGGCCTGAACTCGTACGTTGGTAGCCTCAAGCTAACACCGGTCATGGAGCCCGAGGAGAAAGCCGTGCCTCAGCAAGAACGCTGGACAATGGCCCCGATCCATGGTACATATGAACCACAGATCCATCGAAATACTCTGAACACTTCCCAGACTCAGGTGTTCTGCCAGAGTTCATCCCTATCTTCGAGGCGTTCCAGAAATGCCTCGAGCTCAGAGACAAGTACATGCTCCGCTCGGGCCAGAAGCTCGGCTTCAACCCTAAGGACAACGACGGTACATTCACTGGGCTTCCTGAGGAGTTTTCCGGCGTATCGGGAGTTCGACCCGACGTCAGCTACGATGCCTATGTCCCGCCTGAGAGTGAAACCAAGAAATGGCGGATCTACCCAAAGCCCCCGCCCCCTCATTGGCACTGGAAGGGCCCTCATGCGACGGTTCCGAGTCAGTTGGGGTCTGACCCAGAGGACGAGGAGTTCGAATATGAGCAGTGCGAGATACCAGGCCCGGATGACTGGCGCTTCGAGCTGGATGAAAAGGGCGTATACCAAGTCTACAAGGGCAAAGATGGTAGGTGTCGCCATGTTATATTTCCCCCTCTGAACCTAATGCACATGTTGTCTCAGCGGAGACTCCTGCATTTGACGTCCCTAGCATCAGAGAATACTTCATGGACCTGGAGTATGTACTCGGAGTGATTGCGGATGGCCCCACGAAAAGCTTCGCATTCCGGAGGTTGAACTACCTTACAAGCAAATTTACTATGTACACACTGCTCAACGAAACACAAGAGCTGGCGGATATGAAGGTGCGTTCGCACTTTGGCTTTTTCAGGATTGAGCTGATGAGGCCATGCAGAGAGTCCCACACCGGTTCGTCCTACAGTGATGCCAACCATGCTTGGGTCTCATATTAGACCTCAGAGACTTCTACAACGTCCGCAAGGTCGACACCCATATTCATCACTCCAGCTGTATGAACCAAAAGCATCTACTACGCTTCATCAAGTCCAAGATGAAGCGTAACCCTCACGTATGCGTCCCATCCGCCTTCATCGCTCGCTAAATCTTATGCGCATATACCAGGACGTTGTCATACACCGTGACGGGCGCGAGCTCACGCTCGAACAAGTTTTCCAATCTGTGAACCTCACCGCATACGACCTCTCGATAGACACGCTAGACATGCACGCGCACCAGGACTCGTTCCACCGTTTCGACAAGTTCAACTTGAAATATAACCCCATCGGCGAATCTAGGCTACGCGAGATCTTCTTGAAGACCGATAATTATATCGCTGGTCGATACTTGGCAGAGCTCACACAAGGTCAGGTCATCTTTCGCTGCTTTTCCTCCTTGACGCTTACAAGATTTGTAGAGGTCATGACTGATCTAGAACAAAGCAAATACCAGGTATGATCTGCATTTGACTGTCCATCGAAGTTATTGACCCGGCACAGAATTCGGAATGGCGACTCAGCATCTACGGACGGAATGTCGACGAGTGGGACAAGCTCGCGCGATGGATTGTACACAACAAGCTGTATTCACACAATGTACGATGGCTCATCCAAGTCCCGCGGCTGTACGATGTGTACAAACAGAATGGATCGATAGAGACGTTTGAGGACATCGTCAGGAGTGAGTGCGGCCTCCCACCCCGATGTGTCCTCCGGTCTTTGCTAATGGGGCCCTGCGTAGATGTATTCCGGCCATTGTTCGAGGTTACGCAAGATCCGAGCTCTCATCCTGAGCTGCATGTATTCCTACAACGTGTCGTTGGTTTCGATACAGTAGACGACGAGTCGAAGACTGAACGACGCTATCACCGAAAGTTCCCATACCCGCGGCTCTGGAATGCTAAGGAGTCGCCGCCGTACTCATACTGGTCAGTCTCAGCGTGTCCCAGTCTCCCTTGTACTCATCCTCCGTGACACTGTGCCAGGGTGTACTACATGTATGCCAACATGGCAAGTCTCAACAACTGGCGGCGTGCAAGGGGCTTCAGTAGGCAACTGTCCATCCCATGACATTGCCGTTTAGCTCACATCACCTGGTGCAGATACGTTCGTCTTCCGTCCACATAGTGGAGAAGCCGGAGACACCGACCACTTGACCTCTGCGTTCCTCACCGCACACTCCATCTCGCACGGCATTCTCCTACGCAAGGTCCCTGCACTGCAGTACCTCTTCTACCTGAAGCAGATCGGGATCGCAATGAGCCCTCTCAGTAACAACGCGTTGTTCCTGACGTACGAGCGTAACCCGCTGCCCGATTTTTTCAAGGTGGGGTTAAATGTCAGCCTGAGCACGGACGATCCGCTGCAGTTCCACTTCACCAAGGTTCGTTGTCCTCCGTTGTCGGGCGTTAGTAGCCACTCACGCTCCCCGCAGGAACCTCTTCTGGAAGAGTACAGCGTCGCAGCTCATGTAAGCCAGCGCACTGCGTCCCGAAGCATCCCGCTGACCAGTCCCTTCGCAGATCTACAAGTTCCCACAGAGCTCCCTTGCTGAACTCGCGCGCAACTCTGTCATCCAGAGTGGGTTCGAAATGGAGATCAAGCGTCACTGGCTGGGGCAGCACTGGTACCTGCCGGGTGCCGCTGGAAACGATATCAACAAGGTGGGCCATCGTCCTATGCTCTTGCGTAGCATCGTTTACTGACGGTACCAGACAAACGTCCCCAACCTTCGGTTGGAGTACCGCCGACAGACCCTTGTGGAAGAGTTGACGATGCTCAGGGCTACGTGGGCGAATGATCCTGCAGCATCCAGCTGAAGAATTCTTGGCAGGGCAGCGAATATGAATACTGTGAGGTTCGTCCCCGTCATTATGCGTGACATGTCCCCAGTCCAGCTAGAGCGGGTCACTCAGTGAATAACACGATGAACTCTCACACGCGTATTGCAATTTGAGCTCTGCTCAGTTCTGGTGAAGCTTTGAAGCCTTCGCCGTGTGTCCTGGACCGCTACGTGGAGTACCGTGATTGCATGCTTTGTGACAAGGACCATGCTACACAGATCATGAAGGCTCCTGCCTTCGTCTTCTAATTCCTGGCCCACCATGGCGCGCACGTGTGGACTATTGAGATAGGCTATGGTTGGGTGGTCCACCCGAAACAACAAACCGCATAGAGCTCAGACTTCAACAACATACGCGAAACACGGAGTTATGGTGTGACTGCGTACTGTCCAACGATTGCAGACGCATACAGTCTATGGCAACGAAGCATGGGTAATATCGGACACCTCGGGAAACATCGTTTGGTTCTAACAGTGTATGTAGGCGGCAAGGAAGATCTCGATCGTGCTTTGTGTCGCAACCATGCTACCACAATCGCTGTGGTTAGGTTTCTGATTCCGAAGGCGCGGGATCGTGCCAAACGACACCACCTTCCACGCATTCCTCCCTACTCCACGATCACCCTCATTGAAAGAATATCGAGTTGACATGAAGAAGCCTGAGTGTCCTTCATTTAAGCAAGATTTTTGGTGCAGCGTGACAAGAAGCCGTACAACTTGTGCATAACCTTAGGCTTGGACATCTTGTCTCCCGTATCTGCGACCCTCATCAGTTCCACGTCCGCACGACCGCAGGTCAGAATTTTCAAACCACACAACCCGTTGGCTCGCACCGTTGCGCATCTCCCGAGATACGATAGCCGAAAGTATGACTTGGTATTATATCAAGAGGTGCCTCCTCACTGCTGAATTTCTCCAGCTCCTTTTCTCTTTCTTTCGGGCTCACTGCGAAACACAGACACTGGCTGGTATGTCCAATCCTCTCTGTACAATACCAGCAGCCCGCTAACAGAGCAGCCACCCAGTCTTGTTTCTTTCTTTAACCTCACGTTCACTAGTTCACGTTCACGTTCAACGTTACGAGACATGCGCTGCTCCACCGCTACGACTATTGGTGTCATCATCGCCGCAGCTGTTGCGCCAGCAATCGCGGCTCCCTTGCCAAGGTTGGTTATCATTCGTTTACAACATGGTACAATGTCTTGACTTTCTCATTACGACGCAGCACGCCTGAGGATTACGTCCTCGCTGAGCGCAACTCTGAAAGCGATCTCTGGGACAGGGCCTTCGAGGATCTCATCGCTAGGAAGTACCTCGACCCGGAATTGTTTCGTCCGAGGCCTCGACCCCCGCCGACCATCATCATCCACCCGCCCACTCCCCCGCCGCCAGGTAGCCGCCACAGAGGTCGCTCTGACGAAGATATGGACCTGTTCGCACGGAAGATCTACGACCCCAACGCAGTCCGCCCAAGGCCTCGTCCCCCACCGACTATCATTGTGCAGCCCCCGACACCTCCTCCCGGAGGGAATGGACGGCACCGAGGCCGCTCTGACGAGCTGATCAACCTCATGGGTCGTGATCCCAGGGACGACCACCCCAGGCCCCCGAGGCCTCGTCCTCCGCCGATCTTCATCCAGCCGCCCACTCCCCCGCCGGAAGGTGGTCACCACAGAGGTCGTTCGTATGACGATATCTTCGCCAGGATGGAGATGGGTAGTATGGAGGTGGATGAGCTCGATTGAAAATGTTGCAGCGCAATCGTTTAGCAGACGTTGAGCCTTGTATACCTGTAACATCTGAACGCTCGAATGTTGACAAATGTCGGAGGTTTCCACCATACTCGGTTGGTCACGATGCACACCAAGTGGATGCCTCGCCTGAGACACGAATCGCATACATACGCCACTGGCAAGCTGAACGTAGAGTCGACCATTTTGCACAGAAACACGGCCGAGTCGTCGCAATAGTGGGCAGTGTTCAGGCCAATCCATGGCCTCCACGGAGTATTCAGAAATCAAAACGTCGCTTGCTTTTCTGGCAGTATTTGCAGTGATCAGTGAATGTGTGCGAGAAGTTGCAAGCTTGCGTGCACTGGCAGCTCTACAGTGGTGGGCCCAGCGCTGCAGCATATGATGATATGAACCCAGGGTCTCAAGTGGCTTGTTTTGGCTGTACGGTGTTGCATGGACCGTGCTACGGACCGTTACTACTAGTACGGTCGTAGTAAGGAGTCCGGGTCCGACTCCGGGACCCCAACGTTTGTTTCCCGCTCGCTGAATCGCATTTCATGTCCGCAGGAGTACTAGTCTAGTTCCTGGAAGGCAAGGTTCGCCTACTTGCTTGAACGTTAACACTGATTTGCAACTGCGTCCAATAGGGATTCAGCAGTAGTAGGCTGAGGACGGTCTTAGCGGCAAGATATACAAACACGGGAGATTGAGTAAATCAGCGACGTCAACGGACATGACTCTTTGAAATAGCCAAGTTTGTGGGATATATGTCATGGCAAGATATACACAAGGAAATACGTTGACAATGTACAGTTCTGTTGATGTGACTGCAGTGTCAATGTCATACCGCTCGTAACATTCTAATGATAACATATGCTACTAATTTCTGATGTACAACAACTCTGAGTGGTGCGGCAATACACGACAGAACTTCCTACAACAAGTACTTTTACATTTCACTTCCATCGTCCGAGCGATCGCCAACGTCTGAAGCTCATCGCACCGACTAGACAGCCTCGCCCCGGCCCGCGTCGGGCAGCTCCGCGACGTAGCGGTTGGTCTTGCCACTGAGCTCCGCCTGGCGCTTGAGCGCACTCGGGGCGTCGCGGGGGTCCATGAGGAGCTCGACGAGCTGGATCTTGTCCGCGGCCGCGAACGCGGGGTCGTCGAGGAGCTTCGACAGCTCCGACTTCGTCCCGACGCGGTAGGACTGGCACGTCTTGCCCTCCTCGCCGCCGAGCGTGTCGAGCAGCTTCGTCCATTTCCTGGAGGGGCCCCATGAGAATCGCACGAGAGAGGAATGGGACGGGCGGGCACTCACCAGTCCGCGATGTCGTTGTACTTCCGAGTCATACCGTGCAGGTACCGCTCGATCGTGTAGCCATTGTTGTTCAGCAAGAAGATGATCGGCTTCAAACCAGAGCGTATCATCACAGACAGCTCCTGCACCGTCAGTTGGCTGGGAGAGGGAATTCCAGTCAGCACAGAGTCCCATCAACTCGTCCAAAGCACACTCACATACTGCCATCACCTATAAACAAGATCGTCCGCTTGTACCCCAACTCCACGCCCGCCAGCGCAGCGCCCAACGTCGCGCCGACCGTCCAGCCGATGGATCCCCACAGGATCTGGCTGACGAACACCGCGCCGGTCGGGAAGGGCACCTCCATGACACCGAACGAGGACGTGCCCGTCTCGGCGACGATGATGTCCTTCGGGCGGAAGAACTGGCCGACGCGCGGCCAGAGCCACGCCTGCGAGATGATCTCGTTCTGCTCCGTCGGCACGGGCAGCTCGAACTTGGGCACGGGGATGCGCGCCGCCGCAGGCTCGAAGGGCTGCAGGCGCGCGGTGAGCTTCGGCAGGAGTCGCTTCATGCCGATGCCCGGGAAGGTCGCGAATTGTACTGAGAGTGAGTCCGAATGCAACTACGGATTAAGGTCAGTATGATTGAGAGGGTGATTGTGCATGGGAGACGAACCTCAATGGTGCGGGAGATGGGGATGTGGTAAGTGAAGTTGCCCGTGTTGAAGTCGCTCTTCAGAGCGCCAATAGAGAGGATGAGCTTCGCGCTCTCGACCTTCTCCTTGATCTCGGGGTGGCTAATAGATCCGACGTAGATCTGAACAAGATAATGAGCTCAGAGGCAAGAAGGCAAATGCAAGAAACACCTACACCACCATAGCGCTCGTACTGCTCATCGAACGAAGTCTTGCCCATAGGAGCCGAGTAGACAGGGAAGCCGGTGCGCCTGACAAGCTCAGCAACCTCCTTCTTGACACCGTGACGGACCGCACAAGCGTCGACCAGGATGATCGTCTCGTGCTTTGACTGCTCGATGAGCTTGACGATCTCGTCGAGGGCGAAGGCTTCGACGTCAGGATCGTTCGCCGGCGGCTCCGTGTTGATCGGAGTCTTCAGACGGTACGATGGGATCTTCTCATAGGCAAGGTCGGTTGGGACCATCAGGTATACTGGGCGCGCCTAGATGTGGGTAACGGTTTATAACAGCCGTCAACGCAGATGAGGACTACACAACCCACCCTGACAATACATTCGGTGATCACACGGTCAATCTCTGCGGCCGCGGTATCCTTGGACTCAAGACTCGCCGCAGAAATGACGAACTGCTGAGCGGCACGATAATATGCGTCGTATCTGTTCGGAGATGAGCGAGTTGATTGGGACGCCAAGTTTACCTACTCACCGTCCATCACCGAGGGTATGGTGGAGCATAGGCTTGTTCTTCTGCTGCGATGTACTTGGAGCACCGACAATGTGAAGGACGGGTACATGCTCGGAGAAGGCTGTGAGGAATTGCGAGTTAGCAGGTACATGTGTCTCATTGTGCCACTACGCACCTCCGGCAATGGCGTTAGTGGCACTGAGTTCTCCGACACCGAAGCTATGTAAGGAAGTTTGGTCAGTTGCGCCGGCGATCACAGATCATCGGGACATACGTTGTGGTAACGACGCCAAGACCGCCCTCCTTCACTCGCGCGTAGCCATCAGCGGCATAGCCCGCGTTCAGTTCGTTGCTGGGAGTCTTGTCAGGGACTGCATGCGTTATTCAGATCTGGGATCTTACCAGTTGCCGACCCAGTCGATCTTTGGGTGATCTTCTACAAAGTCCTATCTGGGAATGAGCTGTATGCGCGTTCATTGACCACGAAGACATACAAGGAATCCTGGGATGATCGGTTAGCGTTGAATATCAGATGACGACGGGGTAACATGCATACCGAGGTTGAAGTCACCGGGAACACCGAACATTTTCTACAGTGATATCAGTGATATCAGGCATCGGAGGCGCATATAACGTACCGTAACGCCGAGCTGGACGAGCCGCTCTACGAGGTACTCGCCAACGTAGACCTGCTCGCCATGGTGGGGGGACTGCTCGCCAAGCTTGACTGTCGAGAGTTCGTGTTGAAGACGGTTAACATCCGCTTGGAGCTGTGCGACAGCGGCGGTCGACATTTTGGAGGGGATGCGAGGGGATTTAGCGGGCTTGGAAAGTGGTGAGGTGGATTGACGGAACAGGGATGGCGAAGAGAGTATTTATGCAGTCGGGGATAGAAGGAGGTGGATGGCGGCACCAAGATGGGCGACAGGGTGGTTGGGCTGGCCGCGAAGGCAGCCTGGGCGGCATGGCTGGGTGGGTCTCCACCGTTCACTGGACTGACGTCGCTCTGGCCGTCACCCGGACCTGCCATCTCCAAACGTCTATTTACAATTCACTCTCAGTACCAGATTAGATAACGTCAGTCACTTTTCCCACGCTTATTGACCTCCTCCCTCCGCTGGCGTCGATCGACCTGGGATGTTCTGTGAGCCATCGGTTAATGTGCACCAAGTCCATTGTTCGGCCGACCCACTTTCCAGTGTGAGGCCAGCAAGAAAGCACAGCCTGACCTCTGGCCCCGGCTGCTTTGCTCATCATCTTGCTGAGGCGGTCCTCATGTCAAGTCTAGACCCGTAGGGGGTCCGCGTGTACCCGTTCGAGGCCGACTCGATCAACGCTCGATCTTGCCTGGCTCGCTCTTGGACAATTGAGGACCCGTATTGGACGCTCCGGTCCCAGCCACTCATATGGCATTCATCGCCGCTGTACGCACAGCCTACGGACGTCCGCTCCATACGCGAGGTGAGTTGCCAATTCTGCTGGACGCTGCGCGGAAATTGCACGTCCTGTCGTCAGGGCTATCTCTGAGTTCCGGCCCTGCGGTGGCGAGGGTAAACGCATGCGCTCTTGCTAGTCTGCGGATACATGCTGCAGCATTGATAGCAATTGAAGCTCGATTCAAGGGTATTGTGCTTGTGTCATAGGAGCTCCCAGAGTTCCCGTCGTAGGTGAACCTCTATTCATTGCGCCCGGTCAATGCACACGCACGCTCCGTGCGTATGATATACTGCCAGTGCGTGTGACTTTGGACGGACCGAAGCAACGTATCGCGCCAATTCCTCTAATCGCGCCGGAGAGGATTTCCCGTCCGCTTCCTGGCGGAGGAGAGCCTGAGGCTGTCTCCCGAATGTCAAGTCAACGTGCCCCGAGTTCGCCCTTGGCGTCCTCTACAATCCCCTAGCAAATTACGGTATGTGACCGCAGTGAGACCATGAGACTGATGATTTAAGGTGCAGCGCTTCAGCAACGTTCCACGATGAATTCCCCGGCGCCCACTTGAATATCAACGAGTGCCAATATGGCTCTGTCCTCGTGATCCCCAAAATTGAGTTGACGTTGATTCTGACAAGACAGGGTTCTACTGTAACTCAATGGCGCAAACTTTCTTTGCAGACACCTGAGCTTATTCGACGTGTGCACAAGTCACCTTCCTTCACGTACCCGTGCACATCGAGGAACATTGGCCTGAGATTGGTGCGTGAACTACAAGCTTATGTTCGTCAGCGTCATATCTAACCGCGGTAGTTATTGATTCTACTCGTTTAGGATCATCCCCGTCCTCGCGGCCAACGTGTCGTAGGCCTCGTGATCGCGCCGTGTTCTGAATCGAGTTAGGTACATGCCACCCTGCGGGGGCAGCCCTATACGGGTGGCTGCGGCGCATACCAGTTCGAGTACCGCAAGATCGCCTGGCCAATGCAATCCTTGACGCAAGTGATGAGTTCCTCTGCGTTAGGTCAACGTCCCTATCTTAGAGGCCGTCGTGGACTATGCGCCTGCGGTGACGGCCGCCAGGAGGCGGCGTCGAGACTGCACCGCCACACATCGCTCTCGAACTCGCGCTTGCCGATGTGAAGCCCAGCACCCGCGTCCTCCTTGCAGTGAAGGACTGGGCCGGTGTCAGGACCGGGTACGTAGGCCAATCAATTCAGTATCGCAATCAGGTCAGCGATGCTTCGAGCAGTGCGCGCTACTACCCATCATTGTTCCCAATGTCACAGTCATAAATGACTACTATATTCATCCGACGACGCATGGTATACCTTAATCGACGCCAACCCCTACTGGACGGACGAAGATTCAATCAGTGAAGTTCGTCGAGCAACATCTCCATCCTCGCAAGCAACTCCTCATACACTGCGCGCTCACGCGGCCCAGTGTCCATGCCGTGACGGTGATGCCGGAGGCGTACATGCACATGCGAATTAGAGGTAAATTGGACCCACCACAGGCAGCCGGTGCCTAGTCAACGGTGTTGTTTTGTGAGCTCAAGAAGGATGAAGTGAGCTGGAAAAATTCTGGGCGACTGTCCCTCTTAAGCTCAAGACTTATATACCGACTCGACGTTCCAAATGGCACCAGAGAGGCTGCAAATTGTCCACGCTGTGGTGGTTTAGTACTAGCTTCCAGTGCCCACGAGAAAAGTGCGTACCCATGACTCGTACTTACACAAGCACCCGGGAAGACGCAAGTACCGTCATCAGCCGCCGGGTTTGACCTTATTGAATAATTTATTGGCGGGAGGGACGCGTGTGTGAATTCACGAGCAAGCAGAAGAGATTCAAGTTGTCATGACTGTCTTTGTTTTGTTTGGCTTTACATACTGTTTTTGTTTGTTTGGCTTTTTTGTTCTACTACTCTACGTGTCCAAGGCATATGTCCGTAATGTCCATTGGCACTATGTACCGTGAATAAGCGCCCTCCTCCTCTCTCTCTTTTGTGACTTTGTCGACCCGCGACTGTCCAGCTGACGGTAGGCGGCGGCAACGTCGCGCCCTATTTTTCGTGTTCGCATGACTAGGGGAGTTGCTCTCATATAAGCATCTCCAGCCCGTCATGGAAGCCGAGCGCGAATTCATCGTCAGAGGCCTCCCTTGCCAGTGCTGGCAGCAGGAGGGGTCCAGCGTACTTTTTGGAAACGACGAAGCCAGGAGCAATCGCGGTGTCGTTGCCGGGGGTACCGACAACGGCGATGCTGTCCTCAGGCGTGGAGGTGGAGTGGAATGACTCGTCGTCTTCGTCGTCCCACTCGGACACGGCAAAGAACGTGTCAAGGCGGAGGACGTTGTTGCGTATCTGCGCAAGGCTGGGGCGCGCAATGGGGTTCAGCCTGAATATCCGCTTCAGGAGGTCCGCGGCTCCGCTCGAGATGCCGAACTCGTTCTCGAGGTACTGCTCATCCTCGAGGAACTCCCTGAAGTCGGGATCGTCGAGCGAGGCCTCTGACCAGGGGTGGCTACAGCCCGTGATGAGGTCGATGAGGATCCTCCCCAATGCCCAGATATCCGCATGTTTGGTGGAGTACGGCCCAGTAGCGGAATCAAGACACTCTGTCGATGAAGGTCAGCGTTGCCCGTGTCAATGACTGTGCACCAAGGACTTACCAGGACTCATATAGGAGCCCGTACCACGGCCGCGGGAGTAGCTTCGCGCCAGAGGCGTCGCCATCCCGAAGTCGGCCAGAACGATCTCCTTCCCGTCGGCCGTGCAGAGGATGTTTTCTGGCTTAAGGTCACAGTGATACACCCTTTTTTGGTGACACCCGTGTACCGCATCCAGAATCTGCACGAAGACCGACCGGATCCGCTCGTCGTTGCTCTCGAAAGGGACGCCCTCGACAATGAGGCCGAACAAATCGCAGTCGCGATAGTCCGACACGAGGTAGAAGTACGCGTCGTCTTCGATGACATCGAGCAACTCGAGGACGCCGGGCACGTCCGAGACGAGTCGTTGGATCGTGATCTCCCGTCGCTGGCGCTGCGTGTCGCGCTTCGAAGGACCAGCCTTCGGCACGATCTTGACCGCACGCCGGACAGGGACCAGGGAGGAGGCCGAGGCTTCATGATCAATGGCGAGGTACACCTCGCCGTAGGCGCCAGCGCCCACGGATTGGAGCAGCTCGAGACGACCAGCGTCGAGGGTTATGCCAGTGAAGTCAGGAAGTACAACAAGCATCGTGAAGTATATGCAACTCTGTAACTGAGTGTGCGGATGCTGATGCGAAGACGAAAGTAATGGCGAACAATGGCGAAAACCCGTCCCTTTTATGTGTTTTCGAGGCATCTTCGTCGGCTCGTAGCAGCGGATGGATGTATGCGGACCTCATATCGACTCCTGCTATACCCGCGGCCTAGGCTGGCCGCTGAGCATAGTGGATGCGCCGGTCAGGATTGTGACGGCCCATCGTTTGTCCCATGTGTGGTTGACTCCATCCGCGGAGGAGCAATGGTAAACCGAACAACAAAGCCTAGTGAACAGAGGTGTAGTGAGCGTTAACTACGTGCACACATGTGGCTGGGCTTGCTGATATTTCAGAACATACAGTGGATCCATGGATCTTGAGGAGGGCGTCGGAAGCGGCCGGTCGAACTGCGGGTAAGCGGCAGGCTTGAAGGGCGCTGCCGCTTGCCTGCAGTTTGGTTTAAAATCCCCGTCCAATTCCGCTACCTTCCCGACTCGGAGAGGGCGCCGCGCTCCGCCGTTCGAATAACAAACGCATTCAGCGGGAGGAACATGGCTTCCGCTTACGAGATTATGCCTGACGCCTTACCCGGGCACATGCACGGCCCAACGCCTCAACATGACTATTTGCCTATATTCCGAGGCATGAGGCATAATGTTGCCGTGACGGTAGACCCGACAGCAATGGCGACGGTGAGATTGAAACCCTTTTCATGTCGGTCCGATACAGTAAGAATGACAGTCGTGAGAGGCATGCAGGGATCCTAGATCATGATCGAACCAGGAGACTTGCCGTATATGGCTAATCCTCGACGTTTGAGTGGCTGAAAACACACAGGGATGATGCACAGACTCATGCCGTGGGTGTGATGGCGGCATACCTATCTGCACAGCGTCATTGAGACGCTGTCGCTGAATATAAGTTCCGCCTTGTTAGCCAGCCTTTCCGTGAACTCAGACACCCAAGTGGAAGCTACTCTCGCCGGAGCACAACTTTTCAGCGGCCTTCAGACTCTGCCAGCTAACTCCACCGCCATATCAGGTAGCTTGCCTGTCAGTTACGTACGTAGGGGCGCCTGCTTCAGTAAGTCGGACTACTTCGACGTCTTCGCTGCGATGAACTGATGCCTTCAACCCGACGTAGGAATGGATTTTGCGTATGCGCTTGTCACCTCCCTTCAACATCGTCTGTCCCGCCCCTTGCATCCTCACTGGTTCTCATGTGCTGGGCAGAAGAGCACGGCAGGAAATTTCTGCCCTTCGCTCCCGCTCGAACTTTGGGAGCTCGTGATGGACTACAACGGCGACGACCTAGTCAGCCTCCGAGCATGCTCTCTCACTTGTCATGCTTGGGTTGCACGAGCGCGGACGCACCTCTTCCGTCGCGCTCGCATCTCGACGTCATCCCCCGATCTACAATCAACCACTTCGCTTCTAACAGCTAGCCCAGCTATCGCCGCGTGCATCAGGCACTTGACAATCGACTTCGGAGGCGCGGATACCCTCGCTGATATCTGCGCGCCGCTCAAACGCATCTGCGAGCGGTTTCAGTCCGTTCAGACCTTGAAGTTGACTAGGATCTCAATGTACGCCTCGCTGGAGCTGTCCTTACTGCGCACGGTCCTCCCAAAATGCACCACCCACCTAGAGCTCGGGAAGATCGCGGTGACCCCGCAGTCACCGCTTCCCGAGCTGATCTCTTCCTTCCCCGTCCTCCGGGGTCTATCGCTCGGCGATAGTCTCGTCAGCATGCACGACACGGCCACTTGGGGGGCCGTAGGGCCTGTCTCGGCACGCCTCCGTGCTCCGTTGAGGACGTTACATCTGTCTCTCGCCTTCACCAACCCCTCTATCCTGAACTACGTCCAGTGGCTAGTATCTGTACCCAACGCGCTCGATCTCCGGACCCTCTCCGTTGCATTCGACTACTCTGGCACGCGTATCAACGCGCCCGCATTACTCGGTCTACTCCTGGAGAACCTCTGCCCTCCACTGGACACGTTAGAACTCGCCATGACCCGTGATACCGACCTCAGCGGTGAGCCATGCAGTCCACATTTATACTTTCTTTTCTCCTGATACACAAGTATCGTAGTAATGCCGTTTACGCTCGAGAGGGCTACTCGCCTCGCCAATCTTCGCCTGCTAGTCCGCTTGAGCGGATCGTGGACCCAGGATAGCCCTAGTCATGTTCGCAATTGGGTCGCGACGCTACTCTCGCGCGTGCACTTACCCAGTATCCGGACCATCCACCTGGCTGTCGAGGACCCAGGCGAGGAAAGCTACCTCTTCCTCGACTGGGTGGATGATTTGGTCGATGCATTTTCACGGTACGACCTCAGCGGGCTCATACACATCACGTTCGAGTGCGTAGGCTCTCCTCCCGAGACTCATGCCAAGGAGTTCATGGAAAGGAGGCTGGGATCTCTCCAGAGCAAGTACCAATTCGAGATCACAACGGTGAAGACATCAGCTGCCTTCGGATCCGACCTCATGCGTACCTTCTGACTAAGTCGGTCAGTATCACAAACACGATATAGCTGGTCTACGTCTACAATACATACTACTAGCCGATGCCCGTGCTACGCTACGGACGTACGAACCTTTCATTGTGCCCATAGCTTAATGCTGAACTGCCACTCAGCTATATATACATTCAGCAGGCATTCCGGGGCAACAACTCAGAGTCAGCAAGATCCTTCGCACATTCTTGTCAGCGTTCAAGTAAGTCCATACCTACTTAGGTCAATGAGGCCTCCGGGAGTCCGAGTCGGCTTCGTGGGTCCGTCTCAGTGATGGCCCGGCCTTCGCAAGTTGCTGAGTTCAACATCCTACGATTAAAGCGGAAAGCTCCAGTCACTTGCATATATGTACATGTCCTCGAGGATGCACCAGCGCAGTCGCAAGCTACAACATCATAAAGAGTTCACCTGCCTCTGGTTGGCGCACTGGCACTTGCGCCTGCACCCGCTCTGCTCTCGCCCCCTCTTCCCCACTTGCTCGCACTCGCACTCGCCGATTGCTGATTTTCCCACTCACTCGCCCTCGCGCCCGCCCGTTGCCACCAATATTTGCTCGCCCTTGCTCTTGCCCGTGCCCTCGCCCTCACCTGCACTGTACTCGGTTGTGATCCACTCGCCGGCTGCGCTTGCACACCGGGCATCTGTCCTGCGTGCTCGCCATCGCCATGTGTTGCATTGCCGCGGCGCCTCCACCACCGCTGACTCGTCTTCGTCCACTGACCTCCGCTCGCCCTCGCCCGTTCTTTCCTTACGCACTCGCAGTCCATTCGTTGGTCGTGTTTGCGCTCGCGATCGCTATGCGTCTTGTCGCCCGCGGTGTGTGACCACCCACCGTCTCGCTCGCCCGCCTGTGTGCATGCTGGGCCCACATTTAGCTTGCTTGCTTGCACGCATCTGCACTCATCTTTCTTTGCTTACCTCTCCTTTGCTAGGCAGCTTCCTCATGTTCCTTTCTCGCTCGTCCAAACCTTTTCCCAGATCAGTACTTCCGAGTCAAAGCAGAACAAATTGCATACGTACAGCACGTTCCGGCGTCAGCAAGTCGTCGAGCACTGTCTCGTCGCCCGGGCCATTAGATGACGACGGTACCACGGGTCAAGCTTTCAAGCTTCAAGGACTGTCGTGTCCGAATCGAGGCAGATGAGCTGTGACGGTGAATGAATTCGATCAGTGAACCTTCCCTGTCGCGCTCACAATGCTCGCCGGGCTCTTCCTGAGCGTCTCCTCCCCTTCCCGGTCGTGCAGGACTCTCGGAGATATTGAGAAGCAGAGCCCGCTAGGCCCCGTCACCAGCCATTCAAATCCAGAAATGATCATCGAGGTAAACAACGAAGAGACGCGACGATGACCTTTCTCGCAGCGCGCGCGGTGAAAGAGCGCTCGGGGCTCGGGCAGCGCTCGGTGTCCGTCTCTCAGCCAATCAGATGCTCTCTTTGTCTCCCGTGCGAATTCCACGCCTCTTGTATTATAGATTCCGAAAGTCCCTTGTGTTCCAGTCCGACGCCCACACATCACGGGCACAACTTCTCCGCAACCTCTACCACGAGCTTCCTCACATCCGGCTTCTGCACGCCCTGTTCTCCGCATCCTCCCTTCTGTAACTTGCCCCTGAGCGTCTCACGCGCCTGGAGGACCTCCAGGAACGGTACGAGCTGGCTATCATACACCGGAGACAGGCGCAGCGAGAACGCCAGGGCCGCCGTGAGACGGTGGACTGCACCGCGCCGAGTCAGCACACCCGACTTTACCGGCACACACGCAACATGGGCAGACTCACCGACTTCCTCGCTCTGCGCCTCATTCGAGATCGCTTCGAGCACCGCGCTGACCAGCTCCACTTCCCACTCCCCATCCTCCTCGACCTCCGCCCCTGCAGCGGAACTGTCCCCGCGGAGCTTGTCGACCCTGCCCTTCTGCAGGTACGCCGCGACGTCGAACGCCAAGCTCGCTGCCGCGGTGCGCACAGTCGCATCTGTGTGCAGAAGGCTCGCGACGAGGGCCTTCGTCAAGTCTGCACGCTGGCCCGCCGGGGACAGGAGGCTCTTCATAAGGGCCGCGCTCGAGGTCGCGTTCGCGAGCATGCGCAGAGTGACTAGAACAGTGTTTCGCGCAGTAGGGTCCGCAGTGTTGAGAGCATCGATAGCCTTGTTCAAGAAGATGTGCACCGGGTTAGTCTGCGAAGGGGCCGTAGCACACCACGCCGCAACAGCGCCGTCGAGTAGGGCTAGCCGCCATAGGTCCACTAATGGGAAGAGTTGAGAGGCTGGGAGTGCACTGGCAATTGTGCGTGTTGCCTCTGCCCAGGATGTAACCAACTGCGTGTTCGCGGAGAGGTTCTTCGGAGGCTGAACGCCCTTGTCTGCGGGGAAACGCGCCTTGAGGTATACCGGGAAAGACTGGCCGAGTTTATCCTTCGCTGCAGTCGTCTCAGGCGATGGCGACGAACCATCGACTAGGGACGCTAGCTTATTGACGAGGGAATCGAGCGCCGGGACCTGCGTGAACAGGATAGGTTTGGTAGATAGCGCTTCGGTCACCGGGAGGGATAGCTTTGTGTGTGGATGGGCTACCACGGCAGTGCGTCGTCAGTCTAGTCAGTCATCTGTACCACGCGGAAAATCACGTACGAGGGAAAGCTTGGAACAGAAGGAAGTCGACTTGACTACGAAGTTCGGCTGAGTCCGCGCCCTTGAAGTCATGTGTCTGCGAGACTCCGGTGTTAGATCTTGTGTGACGTGAGGTCAAGCAGAGAACACCGTTGACACACCTTCTGTCCATCCAGGAAGAAGAGGAATGTAGGGGTAACCCGGATACTGAACTCCGAGGCAACCTGGCCACCCAGCCCCACACCCATATCGACCTTTACGAATGCGACTCGATCCTGGCCAAATCCCTGCGTCTTGGACCACGCTAGGTCTTCAAACACTGGCTCAATCATACGGCACGGTCCGCACGTCGCACTGGTGAACATCGCGACCACGGCGTGGTGCGAACGGAGCAGGGAATGGAACGAAGACGGGTTCGTGCAGATATGGACAGGAGCGGACACCGTGCTTGTAGATGCTGATGGCTGAGCCTGAGGAGCAGGTGCGGAAGGAGACATGGCCTGGTTCGCCACTGCTTGGAGAAGCGACGCTGCAAGCGCTGGGTTCGGGGATGCGTTGACAGCCGCTTGCGCCGCCGCCGGTGAGGGCTGCAGTGTGGCGGGGGTCGGTGCTGCACCGGGCACAGGACGACGGAACATGTTATCGATCGTGGGCCTCAATGCGGCGCCGAAGGGTGTAGAGAGGAAGTCAGAAGGTAGATCTGTATGTATGTCAACTCAGAAGTCGAGCAGTTAAGACACGAATTGCAAGTACCTTTGATCCAGGAGGGTATCGAACCTCCTGTGAGGAATCCTACAACATCGTTGGTGAAAGAGTTGCAATTGAAGTCTGCGACGACACATTAAGCAGGGTGTCTCACGAACCTCAAGCGTAGAGCATACCTAGCAGATGATACTAGCTCGATTTCAGTCTTTGTCACGAATCTACAGAGACTTGTACACACCTTGTCAGCTGTGTATTGCTTGCTCATCTCGAGAAGGTATTCGTTGAAAGTATCTTCATCTATTGCTGTCTCTCCAATATCAATCATATGAAGCGGTTTCCCATGCTGCAACGGAGAAGGGATAAGCCGAGCTACTGATGTCATGGTAAAAACATACATACATGAGATTCCCCCGGACGAGTCTCCAAGATGCCCTGTCCGTAGAATATCTCTCTACCGAACACCACGACGGAGGTATGCCTGTATACATCTTGTTTATTCCCTGCCTTTGATCTCAAGAATCGAGAAGACTTACCAAACGCCGTCGATCTGTTTGCCCGTTAACGGGAGAGATAGCTGCTTCGCAAGGCCGTTGCTGAGATCATAGGCGTAGAGTTGTACAGGCGTAGACATTTAGCAATAAGGATAGTAGATAGCAGTTCGTATTCAGCAACAGAGCAGTAGGAGGGGGCGAAGCAAGCAGGGAGGCTGAGCAAGGCAGGAGGATTGGTGCGAGACGCGACGCGCTCATGACGCGTCCTTATACGCCCACGTGATTAACGTACGCGGATTGGTCGCGGTTCAACTGTGCGTTGCATGCGCGCTAGCGCTACGCTCTTCACACGAGTGGGAGGGCCAAAGCGGTTCGAGTTACGCCACGGCCTTCTCGCGAATTAGTAGGAAATGATTAGGCACCTAGAAACGCAATGGCAGGTGTATAGGTATCTGTTTGCCCATGTCCAGCTGCATACTCGCAGTGTGCGGATTAATTCGATGAATCCGGATCCCTCTCAGAGGTCACGGGCGCTAAGAGGCTTGCGAGCCACTGTGATGCGGTCTTTACAGTAATTGTCGATTGCTGCATATGACATCAATGTGCAATACAAAAATCTCAATACACGTTATTGTTGGCGTTGAAAGAGAGGTCAATGTACAAGGTCAAAGCATGTGCCCAGCCACCGGGGAGAGCTGTGGCCGTGACAAGCGTGACTGCACATGTTTGGCTCTATTTGCTCTCCTCAGAAAGAGTCTCCCTCGGCCTTTGTAGGCCTTTGTGTGTCATAACATGCATCTTTATGAAATTCTGAGTGATTGCTGAGATATTTCTGCCATGATCATAGCCCACACCTGTAGAAAGCTAGGCAAAGGAGGTTTAAAACATGAACGCGCCGGTGGCGGTTGGGTGGCGGGGAGCGAGGTTGAGCGCCCTAATAGACGCGGGAAACGGTGCGTGTGGCGCAAATCAACCGCGACCAATCCGCGTAGTATACGTGATGGACCTTTCCCGAGCTTTCTCGAGCGCGACGCGTGTCTCGGTCTCGCTCGGCGACCTCAGCATCACTCGAACCGGACAGTGTACGCAGCTCATGCGTACTACACTCACTTCAGTTGTTTGTCGCCTTTGGTTGAGTTCTGTTCTGACTGTGCCAAATTCTAACTGCCATATTCCAACATACGTCGTACATTCACAATCAACGCTATGGCCGCCAATCCGATGTCCCCGTGTTACTCTCGACTGAAATGTGATCAAGGCAGCTCAGCGATGCACTCGAGCTCTATGGCCGCGCCCAGAGGCAGGACAGCGACGCCGACGCAAGTGCGCGAGTGAGGGTGCTTAGGGAAGAACTAGCAGGCGCATGTCAGTCAGCCTCGCTCTCCTCATCTAAGTACATGGATGCGCATACCTCGGCGTACACCTCATTCATCGGTGCGAAGTCCTCCTTCAGATTCGATAGGAAGATGTTGACCTTGACGATGTTGTTCACATCAGTGCCCGCAGACTTCAGGATCTTCGCCATGTTCTCGAGGGCCGCTTTCTATGTGCCATCGCTTTCAGTCAGCAACACTGCATGTCTGAGCACGCGCGATGCACGTACCGTCTGGCCCTTGATGTCGCCCTGCAGCTTGAACTCCTTGTCGCATCCAACGCTCCCAGAGACGTACACTGTCTTCCCACTGATCGTCGCATGCGCTGATCACTCGTCATTCAGCACGAAGCGGCATGCATGTCCAACAAACGTTGCATACGCACCGAAGACAGGGAGAGCAGGGGTAGCCTCCTCTGATATGATAGTCTGCTTCGTCATGTTCGCTTCGATGTTTCACTCTCGGTGGTAGGGCTAAGCAAAAAGGTAAGGGAACGATGGACGCCGATCTGATACACCGATAACCCTCAAGGTACGGTGTATATATATTCGCATGACCCCTCTCTGTGACCATATGGGCGGCACTGGGCAGCCCTCACAGATGCTGACGCTGCAGCCACTGCTTCACTCGGCAAGCGTCTTGCGCCCGCACCTGGCCCGCACCATGGATGAGCAATAGCAATGTCACCGTCGGTTTGCCGTCAGTGCTGACAGCACAAATTATCGGATCCAGACTCGAATGCGGCTTGGGACAATGAGCACGAAGATACTCTTGCATATTGCTTCGGGTGCAAAGCCCATACTATTCTGCAGCTGCAGCCACTGTCTACTGCAAAGTCATCTCGCTCTGCGCCCTTCAGTCAGCCTTCGAGCACAAATGAGTACGTATTAATCAGCCTGTTGTATGGTTCGGGCGGGCGTAGTCTCGGGAACATGTACGCCTTGGTACCATCGATAGCGGACAGACGCACGAGAATATGATGTGTTCCCGAGAATGATGCCAGCGTTGACAATGTGATCCTTAGAACGGAACTGAAACTACGTTTGAACAATGCTAAGTATGTGACACAACTGAAAGAAACAGATATCCAACACTCAAGTCCGTAACGCATCACTCTCGACGTACGTCGGTACCTCCACCATCTCCATGTCCTCGTCCTCGTCGCTTTCCTCCCCTTCCTCCGCCGCCAGCGCCTGAGCGGCGCTGTCAAGATTGTCCAAGAGCATCGCCATCGCGCGGCCAGCTGCCTCCGAAGAGAGGTCCCCGAACTGATTGCTGTCGGGGGCAGCCGAGGCTTCCGATTGTACTGGCGGTACAGCTTGGGGTATGCTTTCAGGCTGCGCCTGCGCACCCTCTAGTGCAGGTAGCTCGTGTGCTGGTTGGAGTTGAGAGGGTACCTGAATAGGCTCCTGCATATCTTCATCCTCGTCGTCGCTCTCGTTCGCGATCTCCGTGAGCTGAGCAGCGAGCAGGGCCAGCTGTGCCTGCAGCGATGCTCGCTCATCCTCAGTGAGCGTCGTCCGCGGTGCCTCCGCGGCAGTCTGCGTGGGCGCGCTCGTGCTCGGGGCCGCAGGAGCTGTAGCCGGAGCGTTCGAGGCGGTGACCGCAGGCGTTTCAGGCTGCTCTGGGTCTTCGATTTGGTGCAGCGTGAAGTTGATGGCTTGGAGGATATGCTGAGCCGCTTCCCAAGCATTCGCGTCGTGCCCGTCTGCTGTATGCGCCTTGTCCGCACCGTCCTTGCTGCTACCTGCCACTGCGGGGGCCGTACTTGACGCGGACGGCGCAGCCGACGCTGCTGGTGCGGGGGCAGAGCTTTGAGCAGGGGTCTTGTTTGCCGTCGTCGGCTGGTGTCCAGGCTGCTGTTGATAGTACTGCGATAGACCTGGCGTATGATACGAAGGGTAGCCTGAAGGAGGATAGTTGTATGGATAGCCGGAATAATGGCCTGGCGGGCCAGACTGAGGATATGGTGTATGGTTGGAGCGGTGATGAAGGGGTGCGTTGGTGAAGGGTGACGCAGGTGGCCCTTGTTGCATAGCGTAGGTCGTTTGTGCAAGTGTCTGGGGCTTTCGAGTAGTGCGTTTGGATGTCTATGATAGCAGACAACATGAGACTACATTCATCCGGCCGTTCCGTTGAGACACTGAACGAAAACTGTACTCACTGTGCCGCCCTCCCATGACGGGTTAATGCGGTACTTCCCGCCATGCCTCTTCTCAAGCCTGCCACGCTTGTAGGCTTTCTGCAGCGCCTGGCTCGCACTCGGGCGGAAGTTCGTCTGCAGCGGGTACCGCGACGCCATCCACGCGAACAGGTCTTTCGGCGCCGCACCCTCCGGGTCGCTCGTGTCCATCAGAGCCTCAACAATCATCTCCTCATATGACGGCAAGTCCTCCGCGGGAGGCATCGGATACGCCGCATTGGCCGGAGATTCAGTCATCGCTCCCGGCGGCGGCGACCCAGCTGGCGGGTACGCCGGGTGACCAGTGGACGTCGATGGGTAGCCTGGGGGAGGCGGGTACCCAGCATAGGGATAATGGGGTGGATAGCCAGGGGGGACAGGCGGGGAAGTGGCATAGTAGGGCGTGTGAGGATAGGCGGGCTGCTGGGGTGTTTTCGGTACATAGCCGTATGGTGCGTACGGGTACGGCGCGTGAGGTTGAGGCACGCTGGGTGGTTGCGGGGCAGGGCTATTCGCAGCTGACCGCGGATACGCTGGTGTTGATGGACCAGCGATTGATGGTCCGTGGGTCGACGGCTCACTGTCCTGCGAAGGCTTCGGTGCTGCGGTCTCTGCAGAAGACGGTGACGGCTGGGAGGAGCGCGATGGTGGTGCAGCATCATCTAGCAAAGAGGCCATCGGCGGAACCCCACTGGTACTTACGGGGGGCCCTGGAGGGTGTACCTGCTCTGTCGGTGCATCCTTGGTCGGCTGGTCAAGCAGTGAGTGCACATCGGCGGCGACAAGTGGCCCCGGCGTCGAAGGTGCAGTGCCACTCTTCAAAGTCTGTATGGCGGCCTGCAAGTCCACTGGCCATACTGTAGTCTGGACATGCTGAGGCGCATGAAGGTCGAGCGCGAGACATATCTGAATGATCTGCTCCTGGGGCAGGAGGCTCAGGTAGTTTTGCTTAAGGGTCTGGATGGAGCCACCGCTCGTGTCTGTTCATGGCATGACAAGCCTCATGAGGTAAAAGGAAGACGATCTATTGGATATATCAACACACCTGTAAGTGATGCGTCACCGCCGCTGGCGGGCGGGGGGACGGGCGGGGGGCTTTGCGGCGGCATGGGTGGCAACTGTACAGCGGCTGCACAGTTTCTTGCTTCAAACTTTTCAGCCACAGATGCCGGCGCCAAAGTCAACGAAACCCAGATCTCGTGGATACTGGACGCTCACGGGCGCCTATACTGTCTCACGAGCCTCCGGTATGCTCAGACTACTTATGGCTCGTGCACAAGCTCATCTGCAGACTGCAGGTATACTGTATACTCCACTCCACTCACAGTATGCAACGGCAATCCAGACTACCAGGTCTGGCGTGAACGATTGAACAGTAGCCCAGGCTAGGCAGCATGCATATGCTCAACAAAGGGAAGTGTCCACCACAGTTAAAAATGAAGCTAGTACATGTACAAAGTGCAAGATTCAGAGTACGTGAGATGCAGCGAGAGCAAGACGACAATGTCAATAAATATATCGATAATCATCCAAAGCGGACCGTGCGAAAGGCCCTCTGAAAGTGCCCCCGCCTGTGCGAGTGTGAGCGAGGCCGGGGTTTAGAGGTCCTGCATCCAAGTTTCCAAAACATAAGAAACACGCATCTCGGACGTCCGACAAATCACTCACACAAAAGACACGATCCCCCGAGCGTACAGCTCAGGCAGCTCCTCTTTGATGAACCTCCGGATCTGCAGTTCGAAGCGGCCCAGGATCCGGAACTCGACCTTCGCCAATTGGCTGAACTCCGGGCGCGACAGCGGCAGCGCGATCTCCTCGATGTGCGCGAGGTCGCGGAGGTCGTTGTTGCTCTGGAAGTTGATTGTGAACGAGATGGAGCGGACGCTGTTGGTCTTGATGCGGGACAGGAACATCGCGGCCCACGTCGGGAAGAAGTACTGGGTGCTGTAGATGACACCCCCGTCGTTGTTTTTTCTGGACTCAGGGAAGGAGATGTGCCTCAGTCTCGTGCACTGGCTCAGCTCAAAGTGCATGCCTGAGAATTTCGCATCAGTAAAGCAACACTCGTATCTGGCGATGCAAACGAACCTTTGAGGCGCACATCACGAGGCATCACGATCTCAAGCTTCTCGAGCGAGGGCCCGAGCTTGTTGAGCAGTTGACCAACTCCCAATGGCTGGCCATGACTCCGAAACGTCTCGCCATACTGGATGCTCGCACTGCGCACTTCGGGGAGTTTGAAGCACGAACCTAGCCACTTCACGAAGTCCGCAGCGCCGTGTTCCTTGGGAGGCACGCTGATGCGCAGATGGCGCAGGGGAAGAGCGGGAGCGGTCTGGCCGTCCGTTGGCGGGGGCAAAGGTATAGCGGGCAGCCATAAGATCTCGTGCGAAAAGGCGACCGACTGCAGGTGTGGGAAGGAGCCTAGCAGGTCGGAGAGCGCCCGGAGGTCAGCGATGACCAGACCAGAGAAAAATATCGCCTGTAGCGACTTTGATAGTGCCGCGAGGATGACGGTCTCAAGAACGGATATGTGAAAGAACGCGGGTATCCTGAGGATCTTCACGGAGGGGAGCCGGTCTAGGACCTCTTTCAAGAATTGTAGCGTTCTCATCTGATCGACCTCCGGTACCGAAAACCCCTGGCTCCGTGTGACGATCGTCACGTCCTCCACATACGGCCCAAGAGCGCGATTCATTATTAGGAGAGTCAAGAACGATGGGAGCACCCTACTTCCCAGGTAGACGTGCCGGAAGAGGTGAAGGCGCGATGCGGGCAGCCATGCTCGGCACGTCAGAGAGCATGCACGAAGAGCAGCACGGTCATAGTGGAGGTGGTCGATGGTTCTGTCGCAGAGCTCCGGCGGCAGCTTCGGTGGGACACTGAACGTCCGAAGAACCCGCGAAAGTCTCCGCGTCTCGGGCACCTCTTCTGGGGTGGGCTCTGCGGAGAGCATAGGCGTATCATCTTTGTTGAACACGATGCTATCTCTCCATTTCCTCAACAAAGATCGTCGCGGGCCTTTGCGATTGGCATTAGTAAGGCACATGAAACGCGAAGAGCTCTGGTTGAACACCCACTTGCAGCTAGCTGGTCGCTCTGAAACGACTCGTCCATCGCGCTCGTCGTTGCTGAGCGTCCCATTCCCCGGATGTGACGTGTTTCGCCGGGATGCGCGGGCTCGCTGCGGCGTTACGGCTGGTTCGCGGGAGGACGACCGACGGGGCCTCGTGCGTGCAATGGAGGGTGGGCAGCTGGGGTGGCCGCGTTCAACCACCGTTCATGCGCTGGACGGGGTAGGCGGTTGTAATACATGTACAGGTTGCATGAATGATGAGCGCCATATTAGAGCGTGAGCGTCAAGATTGGGTTACCACCGGACCGCGGTTGCAGTGCACGCCCGCCATGGGCGCGTATGGATGCTCACATCGAGGCGCCCGCCTCCGACACCGCAAGTACTAGTACACGGCCGGAAAAAAATCTGGAGGAATCCTATCAGCGGAGGTACCGTGTAATTTCGCGCAGTCCCGCCTGTGAGCAGCCTGCGATCTGCATGCGATCTGCTTGCGGTTCAAGGTCGGCGTTTTGCCCTCGGGTTACGTGTGCATATATCACAGAGTACTTTGATGGACCCGAGGGCACGGTACACCTACCTTTTTGGGTAGCGTCAGGTGACGCACTCGCAGCGACCGCGAAGTCCAAGGCGAGGATAACTTACTGGAGTGGTGAGCAAGGCTGCAAGGGTACTGTGATCATAGAGACATTATGAATTTGCCCGAAATAAGATTTCCTATATCCTCACGTATTCTGACTTCCGCGTTGAGAACGCGCGATACATATGTAGCATGCTCAAGAGTCGAGCAAGTCAAGACCGGACTTGCACTTGAAGAGGTTGTATGGGCATGGATAATAGTGACATACATATACAAGTCGTTGAGTCTGCTAACAAAGCCAGCATGACTCAGTTGGCTACGACGTTGCCTTCATCCATTATACCGGGGTTCGACTCCCGCTATGTTTGAATTATTTTTACAGTTTCCCCTTGTCCTTATGGCCGGTCTATGTACTGGGATACGACTAGTAGAGTAGTACAGCGAGTGTGTGTGACACTAGATACGGTGAGGGGCGGTTGCTTTAACGTAAGAGACGAAGCGCGCCAGCCTAATTAATTCCGAGCGATCTCGGAAGGTCTGTATGAGAGATGATGAGTCGCGCGAGGGACTCAGAAAGAGTGGGAAAGGATGCGGTTGTGGGGCGCAGCCCGAAGGGCTGCCCGACTCAAAGAGTCTGCCTGGACCTGGGGGCAACGGGTGAGCCGCGAGGGCGGGTGGGTTGATACCGCAGCCCTGCGTTTCCGTTGCCTCTGCTGGCCGCAGGATAGACACGTCGAGCCCAAGAAATGTTGTGAGATTGGGTTTGTTGCGGCGTGTGCTGCGTGAAGAGGGAGTGGAGGGTGGGGAAAACGAGAGGTCTTCGAAAGCTCGTAGCGGCTGCTGGGCTTTCGAGAGTGATCGTCGGAGTGAGCGCGCAGAAGGAGAGCGATGCGCGCCTAATCTCCTCCTGCGTGCGTAGACTCACTTCTACGCGCCGCTCGTGCCTCGCTTCGCTTAGAGTCACACTTTGGTTCCCCTTTCTGGTGGGGATTATGTCACAGCGGCCCACGTGTAAGACCTACAAGCAAACCACAGGCCCGTCCTGCAGGTGCGACATCACCCTTGATTCACAGGACACCGTCAAGCTATCCGTCAAAATATCATCATTCCCCTGCGGGTGCCTCGTTACCCGCCCTACGGTTGCCTACTGGCAGATTTCTGCCCGTGTAGTTGAAAACATCCAATTTGTAGTGCCGCGTTCCACTGGGAATCCACGCACCCGAGTCCTACTACAAGATGTGAGTGGCTTACAGGCAGCCCACTACTGTACTGTGCGCTCGTCGCGACAGGCGGGTCAGTCACTCTCACGCACTGATCATGACATGAGTTCGAATACACTGGTATCATGACTACAAATGAATGCCGTGCTGACGAGGATGTTCTCCGTGTCAATTCACAACTTCGCCTTACCATCGCCCTTGGTTGCTTCCGCCGCCGCGGCCCGCTCCATCATCTGCCTAGTTTCCGTTGCCGCCTCAGCAAGGTAGTGCTTCAGGTCAGCCGTCCTCCTCTTCAGACTCGTTATCGTCCAGCGGATATACTCGTCACCGATAGAGTACGACAAACCGTATCCATCGGGCACGACTACACCAGGTATATCAGTATCATACCTGACAGTTATTGAGCCGAATAGCTCACCTTCACCATAGCCCCAGCCGTCCAGGAAAGGCGAAGAGAGGTTCGACGTTGACAACTCCCAGTGGTTCGTCTTGGAAAATGCCTCGTCGGTGTAGATCGGCGGTGTCGCCTCACCCTCCTTCAGCATCATCTTCAATCCGAACAGATGCCGGTCCACGCCCTGGCCATCCGCCGCCCACGCTGCATACTGCAAGTGGCGTGCCACCGCCTTGCGGAAAAGAGCCGCACGCTTCTCGTCCTAAACCCCAACGGGTGAGCGGGATGCACACAGGACGCCGTGGATGGGACCTTTACGCACCGATTCCGAGGGATTCAGCATGGCTTCCGCCCACGCCTTGCTCTCGTTGCTCGCGGCCCGGATTACCTCCGTGCGGCCCTGCTGGTACTTGCGCGTCTGAGCGCTCTCGTAGCACACGCCAGGCCGGTTGTACATCTTATGGAAGGCGAGCTGCTTGACAAGCTGAGCCCACGCGTCTGGCGACGCCTTGAACTTCTTGATGTATTCCTTGCCGTAACCTTCGTAGTGCAGCACCTGGACAGAGGAGAGTTCAGCAAATGAAGATATTTAGATATGGTAGGATAGGCAACGTACATGCATGTCGTGCTTGCCCACGAGGTCGTCGAAGTTCTTCTCGGCCTCCTTGATATACTGGTTCGTGTTGCCATCGAGAACAAACGTGAGCTCCGTGGGAGCCTCGAGGTCCTTGGCCGTCTCCGCCGTGCGTGCAGGTCCAAGGTCAATCTTGCCGGCAGCAAGCGAAGCGAGCATGAACTCGTTCGTGCGAAGAGTTGGCGTGCCATCCATACATGAGTGCTCGCCGAGGAAGCCAGACTTCCCGTTCTCGAAGACAATCACTACGGCATACGCATTGGTCAGAATGAAAGCGACTCCACAAAGTTAGGTAAGACATACGTTGGTGCTTGTCGTAGAACCGATTTCTGCCATCACCAACCCAGCAGGACCAGCTGGCTTCCTCGCGAGTTACCGGCGCGATGTCATCCAAGCAGACAACGACCATCGCGGACTCGATCTCCTCCAGTGCAGCCGCATTCGATGGTGACGCTGCAAGAAGCGCCACACGCGCCTAGCAAACAATATGTAAACCCTCTGAGAGCGAGTTCAAGTATGGATAGCACTTACGTCGGCCCAGGTGTCCCTGTTCTCGCTGGTGAGAGCACCCACAGGTACTGCCTTCTCGCTGCCAGCCAAGGCGATGACCTTCTCAATCTGAGCCTCAAGCTCTGCTGCCGTGAGCTCGCGGCCGCTCTTGTCCGCGAGCGGCACCTTGAAGAACTTGTTCTTCCGCACGAAGACGACATGATTGTGGGTCGTCGGGTCGAACTTGTGTGCCGTGTCGGACGGCTTGACGGGATACCGACTTGAATGGAAGCTACAACAGGTCACATCAGAGCACAGACGGATATCATCTTGAGGGCAGCACGTACAGGTACTTGTAAGACTCCATCGCCAGCGGCGTCCCCCTTATTTTCTCCGGCTCCAGCTGTTTGCTGCATCACCTTCAGCACAACCTGGCAAAGCCTGGACTACGGACTCTCACCTCTCGACCATGTAGCGGAATGGAAGCATCGCCTTCAGAAGATGCGCCGCCCTCCTCGCCTGGCCTGGCCTCTGCTTGTCGTCCACATGCACGTAGTAGTAGCTCACATACACCACGACCGGGTCGCGGTAGCCCATGTACGCGGCCTCGCTCCACCACTCCGCCAGCCAGCTCCGCCTGCCCGGCTCGCCCGCCCTCGCCTCGAGGCGCGCCTGCAGCTCCTTGCTCTGCGCCGAGTCCGCGAACGCCTTCACGGCCGCCTGCGTCCTGGAGAACTGCTCTGGCGTGAGATGTGGCTGGACGGACTCGAGGTATTTGGCGGTAGTAGAGGCAAGTGGTGGGACGGGGAGCCGAGGGAGAGTAGCCTCGAAGCGCAGCATGGGACCTGCGCTGGGGTCCTCCTTGTAACCGGGAGGCACTGCGTTCCGCCTTGGGGCGGAGGACGAGATGTTGCGAGGCTTGGACATGGCAGTCAACGTTCGGTGTTGCTGTAAGATGCAAGCGGGTCAGTAGGTGTTCTGAGCTAAAGATGACGGCTCGAGCAAGATTGGAATTTTCTGCACAGCGTTCAGCCTGATGCGCACATTGCTCGCCTGGAGAAGCCGGAAACCTTTCATGGGCTGCAGAACGCGTAGGGGTCAAGGAAAGCGTCCGTGCACGCCAGCTCGAGTCCACATAGTAATGAAGTAGTCCCGTCCCCGCGGAGAGCCGAGCTCGGCCTTCCGTCTGGGGACCGATGCCAGGCCTTGCAGAACTCCCATGACGTCTGGACGATCTCTCCGACGGAGAAATGAAGCCCGTATAGCCAGTTAACCCTGCACGGTCCATTCAGACGTGTCTCCTCAATGTCCCGCATTTCCCCACAGTACATCTGACTTTCACCCTGTATGGGGCGCGGAGGTTGGAGGGGAGCTTGCATAAGCGAGACTTGTTTAGATCCTTCCCGAGCCAGATGGGCAAGGTTGAAGTATATTATACGGCCAACGTAGCCTGGCCTAGCTGAGCCCTTCCAACCATACGCCCATCACGCTGCTAGACTTGCGCGCGACGTGCACTTTCCCCAAATACCAGAGTCTGAGAGTAGAGGAACACTCACAGATGACTCAACCGACCGGGTAGTCACTCTGAACGATGCAGCCGACTTGCGCAACATGAAACGTTCTGCGGCGATGTATGTGTCGTGGACGTGCGGGTAGAGACCACGGCGGTAAGTCTGTCAACCCAGTCCACAAGCGAGGGCTACTTGAGGGGAAGTAGAGGGAAGATACGTGGCGGATGCCCAGCAGGGCGAGCTGTGCACTTGAGACTTGGGTCGGGCAGGTACTTGTGCATGGTGTCGTCGGGAACGATGTCCGGGGGCACATGATTCTGCGTACCTAGCATGGCGCCTCCCGGCAACTACCCCGCAAGTGCCGCACTCCTTACCCCGGTGATCGTGGTCAATACACCGATCGCGTTGACGCGAGGTACCCGGCGCGTCCAAATTCAAGAGGCATCGCAAGTGACACAACGCGCATGAGTAGCGGGCCATTACAGCTAGTAAGTATGTGGCTTTGACCTCGGTGACGACCCCAGTCTTCCGAGCCTGATACAGTACTGTACAAAGAATCCCAGGATCGACCTACAGTCTGGCTGACTCGGAACCCTTGACGGTTGTGCTCTCCGACAAAGTCGCAGCCTCCTCTACATCTACTACGAACGAGGCACGATTGTCATACCACCACCGCATGCAGTACTCTTTCTCTGCATCCCCCACCTTCTCCGAGATTTCCCTGAACAGCGCCTGTGTTGATTCTCTTCGCCGAGTGGATGCAGACGAATCGGAGAGAGAAGTGATGACCGCCTTGCACTCGCCCAATATCCGCGGTAAGAGGACCAATGAAACGGAAGATACCGTAGCGATCAATGTCAAGTGAAGGCGATGCAGGTCTTCACTGGAGGGCTCGCGTGAACCTCCAGCTTGATGAATGGCATCTAGGAGTCTCTCGACGCAAAAACGGGCGAGGACTTCGCCGTCAGATTGGCTTGCCCTGTTTTGCCCAAGCGCAGTGGCACTGCGGACTACCGCAGCGTACGCCAGGCAGAGCTGGCTGGTGTCGAGCTTGCCATCGCTGGAGTTCTACATCCACGACGTCAGCAAGCATTCAAATCCTGACCGTCCGTGGTCCCTACCTCCAGCAGGCATCCCGTGTAGAACGGGATGATTTGACTGATGAAGCCGGATGAATCACCATCTGCTGCCGCGCGTGCGGCCTGCTGCCCTGTCTTCTGCGCATATGCGGCAAAAATAGCAAGCATCACAGAGTGAGCGGACTCGTATGTCTCACGGTGTGTCGCGTTAGACAGGTGCCTGTGTTTCCGCGTCATTACGACTGCGATACCTGCACAGAACGACAGACGCACGGTAGGCATAGAGCAAAGACGTCCCTGCGTATGCATTCGTCGCCAAGGACGGGTATCAATTGCTCGATACACGCCAGAGCGTACGCAGTCTTGACGTTCTGGACCGATGCCGAAAGATCGACTGCTAGGTGCAGCTCAGCAGAGGTGATGAGACGTACAAGGACATACTGACCGTTTGCCGAGTCTGCTTGACAGAGTTCCGCCACAAATCTCTCGCTCTCACTTGGATCAGAAGCAAGGACGTCCAGCGCCATATAGAAGACCCTCTTGAGCTCCGGAAACCCCCCTCCCGACGCTGTCACGCCGCCAAACTGGTGAACCACAAACGAGAGGCGCGAAAGCGTGCGGAGAACAGCCGAGGAGAGGGAGTGTGGCGAGGAAGTGGATGAAGCGGGGGTTACCCCCGGAGGCGGTACAAACACGACCGTCGACAGGATCGCTTGACAGAGCATGATCGTCGTGAAGAGCTGCGTCTTCAGCAGGTTCCACATCTGCGCCAGTAGTTCCCGAGACTCCGGAGCTAGTCAGAACCCGTCAGTTTGTACCACCGAGTGTAGCAAGAGCTATGGACTCACAGACGTCTTCCTCGCTCGAGACGGCGGGCAATGGGCTGGACACCCAGTCGGCTTCTACAGCGCCAGCCGTACGTCCTAGCCTAGTCAGAGCCTGTGCCATAGCCGGCCACCCGTACGAAGGACGGGACTCTGCGAGGATAGACAATATGTGGGCGGAGAACTTCGACAGTGTAGCCATAGACATGATGTATTTTGACGAGGACAATGTTCGGATGATATCCGCGAAGGGCGACGTGGCCTGTGCGGACCTCAGCAGGGGCGAACATTGATAGGGGAGAGGTACATACGTCGAACGCGAGACCAGTCCCACTTGGCCTGCGCGAGGAAGAGGAGACATGGGCGAGATACTTGCCACCTTGGAAGGCAGATTCGATTGTGGACGTGAGGAGGTCAGAGAAAACCTATGACTGATTGAGGACGACGTTCTAGTTCATAGGCATATTGGCGTACCGGCAAAGGCAGCGTCTCCAGTCTCGCAGTGGAGATCAAAGGCACGAAACGAGATGCCAATAACAGGCACAGAGCAAGAGGCTCTGTGGCTTCCTTCTTAGAAATGAGTATTCCAGGCAACGATACGAACGAACCTTCGCCATCCTCTGACTCCGACTTGTAATCTTTCGCCCAATCGGTCGAATACGGCACATACGAATACGTATCCAGCACTTCCGCCAGGGCGAGCACGATCTCCTCCTCCACCAACCCCCGCACGCCGCCATTCCCCAGGTGCAGCTCGCGCTCCAAGTCCTCCAAGCCAAGCAGCAGCCCGCCACAGCACGCCAGCTTCAGCACCGCATGTCCACCGCGGAAACCCTCCAGCACGCCCTTCATCCACTCCCCCAGCCTCGAATGCAGGCCCCGCGAGAAGACGCCGCCCTTGTCTTCCTGCAAGAGCTTGACCTTCGCCTGGACCGCGTGCCTGTGGGCGGTGCAGAGTGCATCAAGTTTCGCATGGGAGAACCGCTGGAAGAGCGGGCTGCTGATGACAGATGCGGATAGGGACGTTGGGGGCTGAGGCAGGCGGGCGAGGTAGTGCGCGATTGACGCTTGGACGACAGGTAGCGTCAGGGTGGTATCCGGGTGGTATAGATGGCTGAGCAACGCGAAGTAGCCCCTGTCAGCCATGGTTTGTGTCTGCAGCCCGGTTTCTCTGCCTCGGATGAGAGGAAGGCTGGATGTGACGGGCCAGCAAACAATATGATCGGTCTTGGTGAGAAGGCGCGTCGCGTTTATCACGTGGAACGTGTTTCCTGGCGCACTCACTCCTGGGCGCTTGTGCGATCAATGGATCATGGAAGGGAACGGATTTGGAGAACGCAAACTGCACACAAAGATTGCAGTTGCTAAATCGACCAACTGCCTGACAACACACAGCATTGTCTATATATATGCTAAAGATAGACGGTCCGCATGAACGTTCTCAGTGCAGCTTGTCCTGAGGTAACGAGAGCCCTCCTCGTTGCACGGCATGGGATACGTTGATACGCCAACGTCCATACTGTACATTCCAACGCCCCTCTCCGTCCCCACGCAGTGCAGGATCGACTGCGGTAGCATGTAGCAACAGGACGCCGCGTCTCGTGTTCGAGTCGTCTGTCTACGTGCCACACGAGGGTGTGCCTTGAGCTCGATTGCTGACTATGTTTCGCATATAAATGACTCACCTACTACCAGGCCCGAAAGTACGGGCGCACGCTATATGTAATCACCGAGGTTAGCGTGAAGCCCAGGCGTGCAGTAAGAAGCGTAGCTTTTCTTTCTTGACCCAGGCTTGTGGACAGACTGCGCGTGCTGCGCCGGACTGATTGAGACTTGGCGACCACACAGGCTCATTTGACCATCTCGCAGTGCGACGGACCAGGTTGCAGTCGAGTCCTCATATGGACTGAAAGACATCGATAGGCCCACCAACCGTGGGTCCCAAGACGCACGAGCGTCCGACATTTGTGCAAGCTTCCGGAGACCGGAGCGGCTCGAGCCCTCCGAGTCCCATCCGCGCCGGCCTCCATCTGAATGTAAATGAACGTGGAAAAGGCTGCCAAACTTGGGAGAACAGCCTCGAACAGGGAGCCTCACATGCGGAGATGGATCACCGGAAGCAGATGGGGATGGCCAGCCGCCAGAGAGCATACTGGGGATGGGATGCCGCGAGCTGCGATGGTTGATAGCACATGGGACTATCAGCCCATGATTGGATGCGGAACGGTCTGGGCGGCCGCCCACGATGCTTGCGGTAGGTGTCGGTACTGTGTGGTATCCTGCGGGACAAGAACGTTGCGAGACGGCAGACTGTCATTTCGTCGCTGATCTAGCTGGCAGGTGGCCTTTGAAAAGTTTCACGAGTGGTAGAATACCTGTCAAGATACGCTGAGCCGCCAGAGACACAGAGTCGAGATACAGACAAAGGCCGACAACTTCAGAGAGCTTCCAGGCATCGCAGTGATTACTGGTTGCGAATATTTCCTAAAGTAGACGGCCACCGAAATAGCAGCGCTCGCCCACGCAGACACAGGTGCGGGTGTTCCATGAGATGGAATGTTGCCGCCACGGCGCCCGCGCCTGGAGCCTCGGACGACGGGAGCGACGAGCGGGCGGGGCGAGAAGCGACGGGGAGCGGTGGGAAGGTCACGTGGCGGTCTCCCGGGTCTCCAGGCCGGGGCGTGTGAGCGGGCTGGCCGGACGGCGGGCGGGGTCGCTGGCGGGCGGCGGGGCAGGGTCGGCGGCGGCGGAGGGAGCGAATGGGAGTGGCGAGTCTGGGCTGGGAGATGGAGAGGTGGAAACGGGCGGATAGGCGAGCGGGGATGAGGTAATTCGTGGTTGGCGAGGGCCGGCCGGGGATGGCAGACGAGGCTCCCAGGCCCGTCTTTTCCTCTGATGTCGACGTCCATCCATCCCTCCTCCTAGTCGCGCTCTCGCTGCCCTCCCCGCCAGCCAGTCCGTCCTCAGGGCCTTCGTCGTCCACGGCTCTCTCTGTAACTGGATAATGCAAGTTTGCCCGTGCACACATTCCAGCTACTTCCTCCGTCGCGTGTCACCAATCGCACCCCCCGCACCGGTCGACCCCCTTCCCCTCGACCTCCCACTAGCCGGCCTATGTCCTCCCTCTCTGATGCGACCGTCAGCCCCTCCTCGACGCAGTCTTCGGCCTACGACCGCTCGCCGTCTCTCAAGCGCAAGCGGTCCATCGGCCACCGCTCGCCGTCTCTGAGCCAACACGAACGGTCTCCCCGCGCTGATGGTGGTTCTTGCGGCGGCCAGGCATACCCAGCCCAAGTTGGTGCGTCCATGTCCCTGCTCGCGTGTCCTAGTACCCCTCGTGCAGTTCGGTGTCGCTAGCCAAGCGGCGTTGGCTGTGCGGGGCTTATTAACGTCTCTACAGAGCAGGCGTACCAGGACTGCTACAACGTCGATAATGCTGTCTATTCCTGCTTCCCAACCTCCAACATCTCTCTCGCTCAGAACCAATGGGTTGAATTCGTCTGTAAGTCACATTCTGAGTCGTTGCTCTTCCAGTGAGGTCTTGACGTCCATCTGCAGGGAACAGTAGACTCCCCCAATTCACCAACACAAACGAAGTCGATATATTTCTGTATAATGCGGACTCACAAGAGCTAGTACAAAGTTGGTCTAATGTCGCCAACCCGGCGAGCAATTCAGGTCAAGTAGGGGCTTGTGTCAATGATTCGTGGTGGGGAAACAACAACGGCTCAAACTGGGACGGCTCGAACATCACTTCGCAATACTACTTTGCGATTACGCCCAACACTCAGGACGCCGTGGCCTACCGGTTCCCCATATCCACATTCGCTGCCGTTCGTGAGTAACGATGGTTTTGATGGGCAGTGGTGGAAATTGACCGCGATGACTAGAAACCACTTATGCTGACTGGGTCGTTGCTTCCATGTCGTCTGCATCCGCTGCGTCGGCCTCCTCAGCTGCCGCGGACTCGTCGAGATCATCAGCGACCGCGACCGCGACGTCGACGAGTCTCGGCACGGGCGTGGGCGGTGGGAACGGCACCAGTGCCTCCTCAAATCCCTCCGGCGGCGCACCCACAGCAAGCTCGACGGCGGCGGGTTCGGGGTCGGTGCAGTCGAACAGTGCCAACAAGTTCCCTGGCTGGGCGATCGCCGTCATCGTCGTGCTCGGCTTCCTCGCCCTCGTCGCCGCTGGCGTCATCGCTTTCCTCGTGTCACGGCGCATGAAACGGAGGAACAGCATGCTGTCTCATCGTGGATCCATGAACTCGGCATCGCCCATGATGGCCAACGCGGCTGGAAATACCCAATCTCCACTGCTAGCATCGGCTGCTCTGGGAGGAGCGGTTGGCGCCGCGGAGGCGGGTGAACATCGACCCACATCACCCACCGAAGGCCACGACGGGGCGTCGATCGTATCGCGCACAAGTGCCGATCCTGGTTTGTTCTCAGGCGCGGACGCGGCGATTCTTGCGGCCGCTTTCCGATCGCAGCTCCGGAAGCCTGACTTCACGGAGCAGCCAGTGGAAGAAGGCGAGAGTCCGGAGAGCCAGACGACCGAGCGGCCAGGGGCGCTGCTGAGCCGCGAGCTCGCAGAAGAAGGCAGGGACATCCGGAGCGTTGGCTCCTCGAGAGGAGTACGCGTAGAGACGCTCGGTGACACGACTGATGACGACGCAGCCACGTCGGCCACGACAATACACGACGATGACGAAACGGGGACGGTACAGGACCATCGGTATTAGCGTTGGAATCCCTCCTATGCCCTCCCCTCGCTTCTTGTCTTTGTGTCGTCGGCTGTCCTCACCATGTCCTTTGGGTCTGTCGCTGTCGGGTGTCTTTGCAATGACTTATTCACATTCAAACCGCCGCCTCCACGCTATGTATCATTTGACGTTATCCCTTCCGCTACGGTACCGTGCATTATTACCCTTCCGTGTTGTCCTCAGGTCGATACCTTTGTTCTCCGCGGACTTTGTCGCTACCTACGCACCCTTCGTCGTTACTGCTCGGACTCTTCTACAAATCCTTGGTACGGTTCTACGCCCTGCATGTTTGGCCGTATACGGCCTGTCCGGTCCTTACTCGCGTTTACACTTGCATTGCGTTACAGACAGCCGTCCGCTTGCGTCATAATCCCAGCCCCATCCTCTCCGACAGACCCCCGTGCAGCAGCGCTACCACGCCGTCTCCCTCGGAGCCCGCTCGTTTGCGACCTCGCTCCTTCTCTCCTGGCGCAGGCGGCCCTGGTCTCGCCCGACCCGGCGCGCCATGCGTGCCGACCCACAATCGCTACATCTCCGATACCCAGTTCCGCCAACTGGCTCCGCGTGCGCTGCTGCTGGCGAGGGATGCGGGAGAGGTCGTCACTGGTGGCCCTGCTCCACTCCACTAGGACTGGGGTGCCTTGTTCTACCGTTCGTTCATAGAAGCCCGGTATATGCACGTCGCAAAAAGCCACTTTCATTGATCGCAGATATACCTCCGCATTTCTTTTCAACGTGTACCATGTCATAGGGCTATTTATAATTGAAGTCCGGCAGTGTATGAGAGCGGAAGCAAGTCCTGAGGAGACCATCTCAGTGGCGGGGTACGGCATGTGGAGTGACGTAGCGATACAGGACATTCCATCGGGACCGAGGAAAATGAATGAAACACCCTGAGGTGCGTCACCTGGGCCAGGGCAATGAAATGCCAATCAGGAAAGCTCCATGCATATGAAGCACTGACGAGGGTTTGTACCTGAACAAAGACGCAAACAGCAGTGAGCAGCCCAGTTATGACGCCGGAATAGACTCAGACCGGTGAAGGACTCCATCACCGGGAACAGAGTCGGCAGCGGGACCGAACAGCTCCTCTTCGAACATCCACGGGCAACAACCACGTCTCATGATAGAAGGCTAGACTGGCTGCCATGCAGTCGGTAGAAAAAGGGACGAGGGCAACGGAGCGCCCATTATCTGCAGCGCATTCATAGTCATCATCAGTAAAGAACAATAGAGTACCAGCAATAAGGGACTGAAGGAATGTGTGGCGATATACTACAATGCGAGGTGTATACCCGTCGTTCTATATGGTGCGACGCACTGCTCCGGCAAACAGTCCTAGTCCAGCCTATGCTCGTTATGACTTCGAGCGCGCCTCGAAGTATCGCATCAGCATCTCATACCTGTTGGAAATCGTCAGCGCCACGACCGAGATAGACATGGCGGTGCGATAGACTCACGTCAACATCGTCACCGCGCTGTTTGGTACTGTCCGGACAAGGTTCACGGACAGGCCCCTGTACAGCCCTCTCCATCCCTCGTGCCGCACGATATCTGTCGCAGTCTTGATTAGACCGGCTCGGGGCTGCTGTGGTATCTCCTCTCCTCGAATAGCGTTGTTCACTATCCTCCTCTGCGTCTGCAGTCGCGTTCGCACTACTTCATGTGGATAAGTCGTGACTGAAGCGACCATCTTTGATGTGGCGGAACAGGCGAGAAACTGTTTAGGCGTCAAGTCCTCCGAGGAATTGCGTCCTACGTCGTGAATGCGTGAGCAGAGATGGCAGGAGAAGCGATAAGAAACTCACGGGCCCAGGTCTTTAACTGTTCGTACAGCGGGAACTGCACACCGACATGCAGGATTCCCAGAAGACTTGGCAACAAGCCACGGGAGAATGCTGACCACCCTTCAGTCCGGTATATGGTCAGGGCGGCATCCAGCGTATGTCTGTATCTTTTCTCCTCGAATGGTTGCGTCTGTGAATAAAAGGACGTCTTACAAATGTCAAATCGTCGGAGCAATGCTTACGCACCATGAAACGGGTTTTAATAACCCAAAGGGGATTTGTACAAATGGTGCTAGTCGCACCGGCCGCCATAGCAGACAGGATGTGAAGAGACCAGGGATGCTCCCGCGTAAAGGGCTGATATCCCTTGGCTTGAGCTGCTGGATAGATGTGTTGCACGGTTGAGCCTTCTTCCATTTCCCTCCCAAAGCGTTCTTTGATGCCGTCATACACCGCAAAGTAGATCGCCCAAGTCGGGAGGTAGCCAAGAATTGTCGGTCCCAGTCCCCGGTAGAGCCCACGTATGCCGTTGTGCTTGAGGACAGTTTTGAAAGTGGCTGGAAACGGAGGGTTGGGACACGCACGTTGAGCCAATCTTATGGGCTGCTGCAAGGCCGAGAGGACCCCTCACCGACCACGCCCTCGTATCTGGCCTCTCCATGAGCATGCCGCTGGGCCTGTAGCCTCGTCTTGATGACATCCAGGGGACAGGTCGCTACGCTGGCCACAAGACCGCCTCCCGCACCAGCTTGTGTATTCGAAGATGTCGATGTTGAGGCAATGGGGTACCTTCGACAGATGCTGATGACTCTCACCAATCATGCTATATGCGCTCGAAGGCATGCCTCGAGGCTCACGATGAACGCAACGCCTTGCTCGCCGGTTTCAAGCGCGGATTCGTTACTGACACGAGCAATGACTGGGGCGTCGATGGGGGGGTAGAGGAGGAGCCGCACAAGACCGGCGAAAGGCTTTGGTCATCGGGTCGTTCCGCGCGCCTCTGCGCTCACGCTCGCCAGTGGCCACCGCCGGCGACAAGCGATTACTATAATTATTTAATCTTATCACCCTCAGTTCCGCCTTCCTCCTTTATGTATTACTCAAGAACAGGTAAGATACAGGTTCTCTGTGTTACCTCGCGGAAATGTTCATCATGATGCTGATGAACTGTCTCGGAGGTGGGCTGGAAGATGTTCCCGATCTGCTTCCAGACGGGTATTTACTGGCACGTGCCTTCATTAAGCCAATGGCAGCGGGCGCCTGTCTGTCGCGGATGAGATTCAAGTAGCACAGGTTTCCAGTCCACTCTTTGTCTCCCGACCCCCATCTCTCGCAACCGTCTACGCTCCAGCCGTCCGCCCGCCATGAGCACCCCTGCCCTTCCTCCTCCCCCGGCGCCGGTCAGCGAGCTGAACGCGACATTTGGCGTCCTCCTCATTGGCTTCATCTTCGCCGTCACTCTCTATGGGTTGACCTTCTTCCGTGCGTGCCTTGCGACCCATCGCCGGTATATTCACTCACACTGGCTGCGACAGAGACGTACATTTACTACTCGCGCTTTCCTTCGGACACGACGTTGTCCAAATGGACGGTGAGTCGCTACTGTCTTCTCGTGGACACGAGCGCTCACACGTTCCCCTCAGATCGCTCTGCTTTGGTGAGGACCGGGGTGCACCCCTTTGCGAGGCGATCTCTCATTTCATTGTTTGTAGGGCTGTGGACACGGCTACTACTACATTGCGTGAGTTTCCTACTGTCTCTCCGTTGTCTGACATCCCTGACGGCACATTAGTCTCGCATACATTGTACTACTATCTCATCACCAGTTTCATGGCACCGTTCGATGCGCTTGATGTAACGAAGTGAGTAAGATATCCCTCTCTCCCGTTCTCCCGCTAATACAGGGCTCCCAGGACCTTTGTTGTGAGTTGCCTATGTTACCGTGTTACCTCACCTCCGATGGTCGGTTTGCTGACCGCCGGTCTTCGTAGTCGGAGAACGCGCTTGCGGTAGGTTCACTGATCCGACCTCCGTATCCCCGCCTAACGTGCGTCTCTCTAGGCGTTTGGAATCTTCTTAGTTCAGGTGTAAGTGTCACTTCTGGCCGCCGTAAGTACCTTCGCGCCGACGCCTTCTCTCTAGCTTCTACGCGTACAGGGTCTTCACTCGTGAGTTCCTCTGATATTTGCGATTGGTCTGTGTAGATCTGATGAATACTTACTCCCCAGTGAACGGGAAAAATCCTGTGATCCCCGGGGCTATCGTGAGTATCCGATGTATCCAGGGCGATGAGAAGTACTGAACCGGATGCATTAGTCCTTCATTGCACTTGTAAACCTGGGTATGTGTTGACATGTTGCATCGTTGTCTTTACCAGGCTAACGAAAACATCTGTAGTCCTTGGGATTGGTATGTCTATGTTTGCAGGTATCCTATAGCATGAACTGAACTACACGCTCTCACGCGAACCCAGTCTCGGCAGCGAAGATGTACGTCAATCCCCGATGTTGTCGGTTCCGCTCGCGTCTCACGCTCCTTCTAGTGCGCAGCAGCCGCTCTTCTACAACTTCGTCGACCACACGATCAAGGCAAGTGGACACGGAATGCTGGAAACTCGCCAGTCCGTTCTGATGTTGGTCCGCATAGGTGTTGACTGGGATTCAGTATGGTCTGAGCACACTCGCCAATCTGTTGATTGTCGGGTCGCTGTTCGTCTACTTGCAGCCCTCGCGCTTCCCTGGAATGAAGGCGGTGGATGGTTGGTATGAGTACATTGCCGTGTACTTCATCAACCGTGGCAGTTGCTTCACGTCAGTTCCAACATCATTCTACCATCTAATTTTCCGCTGACAATACGTACCCCAGGCTCCTTCAACTGGCTTCTCTCCTTCTCTTCGTCATCATCCCCAAACAGCAGGTCTGGATTCTCTTCCACTTCGTGACCAGCAAGAGTACGTTCCTCCTATGCATGTACTCGACTCACTCATCTGATGTTGCCTTCCGCAGCCTACGTTAACAGCCTGCTCCTGATGCTGAACTTCCGCAACGTGCACCACGGCCGCGGGGTCGACGAGGAGGAGAGCCTCAACCAGCGTGGCGAGTTCAAGAGCCAGCCGGGCTCGAGCAGCCACAGCCGCACGCCCGGCAACGCTACCTCACGCAGCGTGCAGTTCGGCGTCGTGGATACCGAGAGCAAGGTGCGCTTCCAGCGGTTCGTGTCTGGAGGTAGTTTCTGAGACTGGCGGATACGTAGGCTGCGGCTATGACCATTGGTCTCGACACCATGCACTCGGCCGTTGGTATCGACGATGATGAGAGCGACAGACGCAAGCCCCACGCGTCTGATATTGATATCCAGTAGGTTCCCGTCCTCCGTTGTCGAATCGCGGTGGTTCTCACTCGTCTGCAGCAAATCCCACGTCGACTTCTGAGCGTCGAACTGGGAGCTCCAAACGGGTAACGCGAGTCAGTCGCGGGTGGGGTCGCTCGCTGTGCACACGCAGATGCGACTTCACCCTAGCCGTAACGACGTATTTACGGTGTATCTGGTCGGCATCTAGTGCTTTTCTTTATCTATTGATGAACCTGTCTTAGTCCATGTCTTGTTGCTTTCCTTGCTGACATGTTCGCGCCGACTGCTGTGTACATATTTCCCGGCGCAATAAAACCTAGATACGCATATGCAGTCCTGGGTCTATTCGGCATGAGATCCATGTGGCAGTGGATTAGCGGGATGTATGGTACATGATGAGCCAAAAGACCCGAGTGACGAGGGGGTGTATCGAGATGGTAACAGTTCCAGAGGTGCAAGCAGACCGAAAATGTGCACATCGTCACGCCTTTTGGCTCTTTTGTTTATCCGCCACCCACCACTGACAGAAACATGGTTAGCTACAAGGCCTTTGCAAGCAAACTCCGTACGCACCTCGAGTGTCTTCTTCAACCCCTCGTCCATACCCACCTGCGGCTCATAGCCCAGCACCCGGCGTGCCCTTTCGATATTATGACATCTCCACACGCAGCTGAACGTCACCCTGAAGCGTGTGAAGCCCGGCTTCTTGCCCACGAGCCACGCCCACCACTCCGCGCCGCTCGCGAGGACCATGCCGACGTCCCTCGGGAGGCGGATGACGCTGCGCTTCGTCTTGTCCGTGCCGAAGTGCTCGTCGAAGAAGCGCCACGCGATGCGGGGCACGTCCCAGAAGTACATAGGCTCGCCGTTCGTGATGAAGAACACCTGGCCCGCGACCTGCAGCGGCGCGTCGTCGTCGCGCTCGAGCGCGGCGGGCGCGAGCGGGTCGAAGCGGCCGCGCACGGCGGGCTTCGGCGCGTTGCCCTTGTAGTCTGGGTCTTTCCAGTGCGCGGTGAACCGGTCTACGTTCGGCGGGGGCGTCACGTAGGGCCCGAGCGGGCGGCACTCGGACGTGGGCATCTTGCGCGCGCCGGTCGTGCAGCTGATGTAGGGCAGCGCATATTGCAGCTGCTCCTTCAGCTCGGCGACCTCCTCGGGCGACAGGGGGCGGAGGCGGTCCGCGGCGAGCAGGTGGGCGTAGGCGGCGTTTTCGATGTACGTCCAGTCGAAGAGGTTCGTGTTATCGCCGATCTGGTAGTGCGTCTGGCCGTTCTGGTAGACCTCGTACAAACCGGCGATGAGCTGGCGGTCGCCGGGACTATATTGGGCCTTTCAGAGTGGCCCGGGGATCTACTGTGCGGAGCTGACTTACCCGAACAACCCTGCGGGCCGCAGTGCGACTGTGTAGAGCCCACCCTTGCCGTTAGCCTCGAGCACCATCTCCTCCGCCTTGGCCTTGGACTCGTTGTAGGCGTCCATTGCCTTGGGCGGGGGTGGTAACCGCTCGTCAACGTTGATGAGGCTTTCCCCGTTGAAGACCACGCCTGCCGAGCTCGTGTAAACCAGCTTTGACACGCCAGTTGCGACCGCGGCTGCTATGACAGCCTTGGTTCCATCCACATTGACCTTCCAGTACAGTGCAGGGTCGTCCATGCCATGTGGGGGGGAGGCGGTGTGGATAATACAGGTCGCCCCGCTCTACAGACGTGTTTTCAGTATTGAGGCTACATGTGACGCTGGGCACTGACCTTGCGCAGTGCGTCGGACACCTGTCCCTCCTCGCTGATGTCTCCTGAGTAGAAGGGGACGTCATGGTGTCTCTGGACAATGTCAAAGACCGAGACGGCGTCGTTGCGGGCCAGGAGTGCGTCGACGATGTGCCGGCCAAGGAAGCCGCTACCGCCGATGACGAGATAGACGTCCCGCGAAGATGCAGCCATTGCGGCGAGGTGTGGGCGAGCGAGTGGGGGCTAGGAGCAAGCCAGGGGCTGGGGATGTATACTAATAAGTTATGTATAGCCTGACAGTGAAGTCGCACCACCCGGCAATATTGCAGCGGCTGGCGCCCGCAGTGTGGATCAGCTGGCCCGGGATGGCAGCGTGGATGTTATCCCCGCACCGCCGGGTCCTATGGCCCTGTTCCTCTCCGTCCTGCCCGCCCCAGTCCACCATCCACACCCACTGCCCCGCATGTGGGCAGGCGACGAGGGTCATTTCCAGCCACGGCGTCTCTGTTCTCGCTCTCCGTCCGCAGGGCCTCCTCGGCCTCCTTCCGCTCTGCCATGCGCGTCGCTGTAGTCCAGTTCGCACCCAAGGTGAGCCTCCGTCCGGCAGTCCGCAGCGCACATGTCTGAAGATGCACCAAGATCGGGCGAGTACAGGAGAATCTCGAGACTGCTCAGACGCTATGTGCGCAGTGCGTACCTGGACCCTCCAGACTCGCGTTCTCTCCGTGAATGGTGTCTTAGGTTGGCACCCCGTTCCGTCGACTTGGTATGCCTGCCAGAGATGATCTTTACTGGTACGCTACCCACTCAACGAGAGCCTGACCTCGACTTAAGCCAGCCCCGCAGGATACGTCTTCCCCGATGCCAAGTCGATTACCCCGCACTTGGAGGAACCGGGCACAGGGCCTACATCCCGCTTCTGCGCTGAGCTAGCGAAACGACTGCGCTGTCATGTAGCAGCCGGATACCCCGAACGTCTTGCCCCGGAGGAGGCGAAGGCGATACTGACACAAGAGCACGAAGGCAACGAGGTTCAGGCAGTTGGTGCCAACAGCGCCGTGCTCTACGGGCCCGACGGTCAACTAGTCGGCACCTACCGCAAGACCAGCCTCTTCACGACAGACATGACCTGGGCCGTCCCAGGTACGCACACCGTCGTACTCTCAGCGATCGCGTACGACTCAGTCCGCAGGAACCGGCTTCGTCACATTCGACCTCCCCCCTCCGTTGGGCACCGTCACCCTCGCGATCTGCATGGATCTCAATCCTTTCCCGCCATTCCAGTGGAACCTGGACGAGGGGCCCTACGAGCTCGCGACACACTGCATCGACACGAGGTCCAACCTCCTCATCCTGTTGAATGCTTGGCTGGACTCGGGCAACGAGGAGGACGAAGACATGGACTGGCAAACGATGAACTACTGGGCCGCGCGATTGCGGCCGCTGTGGGTCAAGCCGCTCCTCAATGGGCACGGTGACCACACGAGAGACAGCCACGCGCAACCTGGCGAAGATACCGTCGTCATTGTGTGCAATCGCTGCGGCGAAGAGAACGGTACGCGCGGCAGAACTTGTTCCGCGCATAAAGCTCATGCGATGCGTATAGACAAGACATTCGCAGGCTCGTCGTCGCTCTTCAGCATGAGACGACACTCCGGGAAGCCAAAGCTTCTAGCGGCCATGGGCCGACAAGAGGAAGGGGTCGCCGTTTGGACGGTCCCGGGTCGCTAGCACAAAACCAAACATACCACCGATTTCGTTCCGTCATTAGAGGGGCTATGTATATACACGCAGTACTATACAAACTATGGGGGAATGTGCAGGGTTCCAGTCCGAATCTAAAGCAATAGTGCATCACGATAGCATGACAGCAAAGCAGCACAGGGGCGTATCAGCGAACGTCTCTAGCAACTACGACCTCCTCCCCTTCTGACGAACGTTCGCGGAGATGCGCTTCAGAGCATCGACGATATCCTCAATCTCATCGAAGTCACATCGCGCCTTGCCCTCCCAAACCCCGGGTTTCGCGAGCTGGTGGATGGCCTTGGCTAGGGACCTGGATCGCGCCCTGTACCGTTCCGTTGTCGTACACATGGAGAATACTGAGAACTCGAGTTCCCGCGCGACCTTGGCTAGCACCACGGTCTTGGTCTCCGAGTCAGCCGTTGCGAGCTTCAGCTTTCCCCATAGTGAGTCACCGCTTGCAATGCCACTTGTGGGTTTGAAGACAACATGAAGGGCTCCTCGGATACGGTTGAACACTTCCTTGCGATCTTCGACCTGGGACCGCCACCGCGTTGAGAACACTGCAGATTATCACAGCTGAGGAAGACGGACGTACCGGGATCTTCTGCGAGAATGCGCTATCGAGTTCTACATCAGTTGGCGGGAGAGGAGTTGACGGCGCGATACCCGTGTCCTCATCGGACTCCGAGTCTATCTCGATGATGTCCGCGTCGAGTGCCGGCTGCGCAGCGTGATCATCATACGGGCCGTCTTCTACGACTAACTCAGGCGAGTCCTCTCGTACTGCTGGATGCGGGGCTCTCTTCGAAGCTGGCTTCCGTTTGTCGATACTTGGCTTCGGCTCGATGACTTCAACGTCAGTATCCTCGACTTCCAGGGATGGCTCGGCTTGGACTTGAAGGAACGACGACTTGAATGGTGTCTTGAAGGGCTTGTTTATAGTCTGCTTGAGCCTCGACGCTAACGAATTATCATCAATCCCACATATGCGTAGTCCGGAATCGTCGCGTTCTTACACATGCCCAGCTGAACCGGTTGAGCGACGGACTTCGGCTTCTTCGCCCTGCCCCCGTAGCCGTCCTGATCGGACCCCTTGCGTTTCCGCGAGTCAAAGGACGAAGCTCGAGACGACTCCGCCTTGCCGCCCCGATGACCCGTTCGCGGTACGACAGGCCCGACGTCCAGATCGCTATCGCCATCTCGGTAATTGCTCTTCCATCCGTCCTTCGAGGTGCCCGCGGAGTTCGCGCGCACGCCGCGGTTGACATTCGGACGTGCGCGGGGTTGATCATCATCATCTTCGCCGCGCGCTTGCTGGTGGAGAATGGCTGTCTGCGAGCTGACGAGGTCGTCCGGAGATAGCTCGAGCTTCCGGCGCCTCGTCTTCTCCGGGTACTTGCACACCTAATGAGTTGGTTAGGAGAATGACAGTGGCGATGATAGCAGGGTTGGGATTCGCTGAGACGTACGTCGCACATGCCATTGCAGTATGCCTTCAAAACGCCGGGGTCATTGCTGTCAACCTGTTCACCAAAATATCGACAAATGGTCTCAAGAGAGACGAATATCAGCCACGACAAGTGTGTGCTGTGATAATACGTCAGGCGTACCACGTGTCTGCAGACGTGCACGCTCTCTGCGAAAGTAAGCAACTGCAGCTACAATCAGCACCGTCTCCAATAGTGATACGAACGACCTACGGCGTCCAAGCTGTTGACGGCTCTTTGACTAGGCATAGGCCCATCCATCGACTCCGCGCGAACTAGTCGCCTCTCATGGGAGCCGGTGACCAATTTGCGGACTCTAACCACGTCCTCCCTGGCTGCGTGTGATATCAGCTACGGCGCCTCGCCGGCAACATCAAATTGAGCGGACAATCGACATACAGTAGAACAGGATGCACTTCGACGGCTAGGAGGCACTTAGATAACCCATTGACAGACGGCGCAATTGCACATACCTGACCGTCACGGCCACCTCGGCCTAGTGGGAACAGAGGTCAAGACGCAGCCTGAACTGACCAAATGCATCTACGCACCTGTTTCTTGATAGTAGCCTGGAATGGAACCACATAGTACTTGGTTTAGAGCCTCGATACGAACGGAGGCGATCAGCACGTACCTTCAAAGCTCTTGGGCAGGTCATAATGGAGGATGTACCTTCCGACAGACGTGAGCTTGTGTAAAAGAAGGTGTACTGACGAGCTGCTCACCGCACATCCGCCTTGTCGATACCCATGCCGAACGCAATAGTCGCACAAACCTTGACGACGAGCGTCAGACAGAACAGATCATTGACAGCCTCGATGGAGCACTCACGACATCAACACCGCCCTCGCCTGACCCACCAGTCTCCCATTCCTTCAAGGTTCTGTCGAGCTGTGCAGGCCTGAGGAGCTTCAGTTGACATCCGCAGTAATACCAACAGGAGTTCGCGCATACTCACTTGACACCCCGGTGATATGGTCGTGCGTTGAGACCTTTGCCCCTCAAATACGCAGCGAGGTCGTCGCATCTCGCTCGCGTCCGACAGTATATGATCCCAGACGAAGGTCGTCCCCGCCTATCATGAAGACCGTGGATATACTCGAGTACATCCTTCATGTGGTAAGCCGGATCTGGCGAGGACATATAGCGGACCTAGCAGTCAAACCTTGGTCCATTTGGCATGTCAATTTCACATAACGACGACAGCTCACCTCGTAGAAGAGGTTCGCCCGATTGAAGGCATGGACTACCTTGAAGAGCTCCTCTTCTGACATGTTCAAATTGCGTACTATGTCATCCTGTACGCTGTTGCCAAGGGAAGGTACATTTCATGTTGTGGCGATGAACCCAGACAGACGGTGCTTACACGGGAGTGGCAGTGGCAGTCAACGCCATAATGGGGATACCAGGAAACTTGTTCCTGAAGGACCCTAATTTGCGATACTCTCCACGGAAGTCATGGCCCCATTCCTGTGTGCCGATGGTCAAACGCGTAGTCTTCATGCCAAATGCACACGTACAGAGATACAATGAGCCTGAGCGTGTTCATCAGTCATTAGAAACCTCATGCACAGTGATTGACTCACTTCGTCGACGACTAGGCGGTTCAGTTTACCCTTGTTGTGAACGGCAGTGAGAAATTTGCGAATCTCAGCGGTGCAGAACTTCTCTGGACTGACTGTGAAACATAAAAGGTCGACAATGTCAAATGCCAGCGACTAGAAGTATAATCTTACTGTAGAGGAGACGGTAGGAGGGATGTCCTGACTCCAGATCGTCCGTAATCTATATCACGTTCCAGTGATCTGTCGTCGATTGCCAAAAGAACAATACCTCTGCTCTTTCTTCTTGAGAGGTCTCAGAAGTCAATGCGACAACAGAGATGTCGAGTGAGCGCAGTTTGTTGACCTCTTCAGTTTTACTCAGGAGTCAGCTTCGAGGAACTGGAGAGAATTGCGGAACTCACGATTCTTCATCAACGCTACATGGAATTGAGTAAAGTGAGATGAGATCATGATAGTGTGCGATAGGGCCTCACCCAACAATGGCGATACGACCACCGTCAGACCGTCCTGGGATCCTGTGTGAGCGCATATAGTCCGATTGCATGCGACGAACGAGACTGACTGGGGCAGCTATAGCTGGTAGCTGAAAGCACAAGCTCTGTAGCAGAGTAGGTTCAACATGCAAGGTCAGCAAGCAGTTGATATTCACCTTGCCCATCCCAGTAGGTGCAAGTACGAAGACGTCAGCACCTGTGCAACCGGTCCAATCATCAGGTCATCATGATATGCAAGAGGGCGCACCTTGCACCGCTGCCTCGACTATCTCCTTCTGTTTTCCCTTATATTCGGTATGTCCAAAAACTAAGACAGAGCTCTCTCAAAGGCGGATTGTGCATTCAGGAGCATGAACATACCCTCCGTGAGGACTCTGTGTGGTAGCGGAGATTCCGGAGAATATGACTCGAGTTGAGAGTGCCCACGCAAGACATGGAGCTGTGGTACATACCTCCAGCAAGCCGAAGATGCACTGGATCTCTCTTTTGAATATTGAGACGACGCATCGGCGGCATTCGTGCCATGGTCGGCCAACATGTGGCTGAAAGAGACCGGTGAAGTTCGAGAGGATGCATGGTCGTCGTCGAAAGCTGAAGATGATATATCAATGGGAGACGATGCATCCATCAAGAAGAACTAAGGCTCCCGCAAACGATCCACCGGCGTGGCAATGAGTTTGAGAACACCGTCTGAGCGGATGCATACGCGACGCGTCGCGCGAACATCCGTTGAATCTGCGTGACACACGCGTTGAGCCACGTGATATTACTTATTTCCATATCCAGCCTAGTGCAATGTGCGGCGCCACGAGCGTCCCATCAAACGTCAGGTCTCCAGGAACCGATCAACTTTACCAAGCGCATCTGATTCAGGCTGGATTCAGGCTTGAGTGCATCCCAGGAAGCAACGTAGGCTCGTTCCCAGCCGTTCTGGCGTCAAGAAATTCAAACTCAGTCGTAGCACTCCTCAGTTAGAGGCGCTTGTCTCCTTTTCCGGTTACTCTTTTCGGTTTCAAAGATTACCAAACGGAGGAGTGACCAAAAGGAGACAAGCGCCTCAACGACTGGCTTGCGAGTCTAGAAGCAACGCCGTGGCAAGTCTCTGCAGACATCGTCCAGACGTCTTGTCTACCTTGCATAGGTCCCCCGCCTCGACATACAGCTCTCCAGCGAGCTCATGAAGGCCGCCCTCGTTGGCAACTGTCAACGTCTGGGAAGGTGTTGTCTGTGTTCGTCAGCCAGGCAAAATTAACTTCGGTCCCGGGATCTTTCATCTAAATCGGTGTCTGGCACACTCTGTGAGTATTTCCCCGAAAAAGCTATTCTTCCTCATGCTGTGCTCCACGTCTCAGGCTATTGAAGTCTGCGCACTGCAGTACAATGCATTTTGTCAATTACTATGCTCAGCACAGCTATTTCACCATACACGAGGAAGCTGCCGGCTATGACACCGATTTACTGTTATGGAAGCGAAATGCAGAGCGTCATTCGGCGTGGATACATCAGCAAGAAGGGTGGTTACAGTTTGGGCGTGCAACCCGTTCCGCGTGGCTTGGCAGGAGCCAATGGCACTCTAATACGGCCTAATCCCGGCACCATCATTCTCTTCCCTCAGATTGAAGACGTCCAGTCACCGGCTCACCCTCATTGCTACATATGTCTCTGACCTCCTCTCCATAGACACCCGCGGCTGCCACGCCTTCTCCCATACCGTTGACGAACCCGAACTGCCATGGGAGCAACAGACATAACGCTCGACAGAGCCTACCTTGCGGCGATCTGGCTCGAGACCCTCTTCTATGGTATGTGATCTCTTCTCGGGAACGTCCAGGGCCTAAAACATCCACAGGCATGAACATAGTGCTCTTTTGTGCTTGCATATATATCTTGGTTGCAAAGCGGCGAACACCCAAAGTCAACAAATACCTGATTGCCATTGCCGTGCTCATGTTCTCCTTCTCCACCTGTCATGTCTTCCTTGGCTTTTATCGCTTGATCATGGGCTTCATTGTGCTCCGTGATCAGCCTGGTGGACCCGCTGCGTTCTTCTCTGACGTGTCAATACCCGCCAACGTAGCCAAAGTGGGCTTACATACCGTCAACGTGAGTTACCACCTCCAAATGACAATGCTGGGCGTAAATGCTGACTAGCGTCCGTCATATTTTAGTCCATAATTGGAGACTCCGTGGTGGTTTGTACTCACTGCAATCGATGTCCGTGAGATTCCGACAATTTCTGCACAGGTGTGGCGATGTTTTCTTGTGTGGGGCCGCAACTGGAAAATGTGTCTATTACCCATCATCCTGGTTTGCGGATCTGCAAGTAAGTGACGACCTCGTTCAATCCACCTGTAACTAACTGCTGCCCAGTATGTGGATTCGGACAGACTGTCTATTTTGCCCGGGGACAAAAATACCACAGTGCGTTTGCGCCAGCGCTTGTCAGGTGGAATGGCTCCCTGTTCAGTCTGTCCCTCGCGACGAACATAGTTGTCACTGGATTGGTCGCCTTACGTGCATGGTATGTTCGAAGCTTCTCATTGTTGCATGACGAGGCCTGAGATTATCTCGTAGGTACATGTTGCGCCTAACCGGAGGGGTCGCAGGATTCCGCTACTGGAGAATCCTCGTCATCATCGTTGAGTCAGGGATGATCTACTCAATTGCCCTGATCTGCGAAGTCACGCTCTACTTCCTCGGACTAAACTCGTTCTACATCGTCTACGATCCAATCGGGCAGTTGACGGTACGCTCCGCCCCGCGTATCATCCAGCAATTAACGGGACTGATCGACGTGACATCACAGGGCATCGTTCCGACAATGATCATTATCCTCGCGGGACTTCATCTCACCTCGAACGACGTGCAATCTCGGTTCTCCCGCACGCAGCCAGTCACCAGCCTGAGCGCGCCGCGGTTCCGCCCGGGCAAGACGACCACGAGCGATGGGACGACGACGTCGGACATCCAACTGGACACGATGCACTTCTCCACCGTAGACTCGTCGTTCAGTAAACGCAAGTCCGCGCCCGGTCTCTCTGCCAACGACCTCGACGACGCTGAGGCTGGGGAGACGAAGAACGTGTTCATCACACCTCTTGATGAACGGACTGTTCAACATTGATACTAACGATTCGATACAACCTCGGTATGATATCTCTTGATAATACCCCTATGAATTTACATGCAATATGCTCGACAGAGTACGTTGTATATACATTGTCAGCTTATGTATCAATAGGGGACATACGTCTCGCTTCCTGCTTGACTACGTACACGTCGCGCGAACATGCAAATGATTTACTTGTGAGTGGGAGGCTCTGCCATGGTTGTCCGGCCGCCAGGGTCTCGTCCCGACTCCGGCATCCACGACGCAAATACCTCAGAAGCATGAGACATCTCTGCTATATACATACAACATTATCCCTGCGATGACAATTGGAGGCCGAACTCTGAGCGAGCGCTCCGGTCGTACGGACAATGTGCGAGCGGACTCCATCGCGCACTAACCACGGCCCCCGGCAGTGATCGGCACTCGCTATAGACGACCTGATCCAACGAAGTCCGCCATGCCCAGCTCAAGCTCAGACTACGCTCAGACGCCACCTGAGCGTTCGCTGAGATGCGCGTTCCCCTGGGCGATCTTCTCCGGGAGTGCGGTTGCGGTTGTTGGTCCTGTGAGGTCCCCCTTGTTGGTCTAGTAGCCGTGATGGTGAGTTTAGCGGCGATAGCGTCCTCCACGGCGCCTCCACCATCTGTCATCGTAGGTCATCGTCCTTGCAACGCTTCGAGGGAGAATAATGGCAATTGAAGCCGAGGGAGTCAATCATCCGGAGGTAATATTAATACCAGAAACGATGTCGGAGGCGCACCTGCCATCGTGCGCGCTCGCCGCCCAGGAGTGCGCTTAAGTACTAGTGCGTCGTCGGATGTATCGCCGAACGTACTCAGACTGATAATCGTAATGTTCGATTACCTTTGTGATCCCCTGACATGATTCGAGATGAACGCCGTTAGTTCCTGAACAGCTTTGCATGATCTTCCAGCGAAGCAATACTGAATAAATAGACGCGAAACGTCGAAACACTGACCGCCCAGGAAGCGCGAGAGGTTCGCTCCGACCAGCTGCGTTGTTAATGTCCGATCCTGCAGGAGAGTGAGCAACCTGAAAGATCCGAGACTCTGTGCTTCACCTAGGCTGCTAGGCATGAGGGGTCGGAGGCATGAATGAATAGGGAAATTTTCTGGACGTACCAAAAGACCAAGGTACGAAGTTGACATCCTGTAAAAGAACAACCAATCAGATGAAAGTCTGCTTGATTGACAGACGCGACTGAATTGATATACTCCCGGCCGGTGCCATGACTGACCGTTCGCTAGTGGTGGTAGACCGCCTCGAAGGCAGTCACGATGAGCGTGGAGGCGATGACTCGGAAACACCCTCAGGCTACACCCGAGCAGCTGCAGGGTCTATTGATTGAACCACTGAGACAGTGATCAACGTGCCTGCGATCGTCGAGTTGATGAGTCTTGCGTCAGGGTAGCAGTCCTGCTGACCCGTGTAGTGTCGCTCAGGGGTGCGGCCTTCGCATACATGTCAATGGCTGGAGGCCAAAGCACCGAAATCGACTAGAGCGTAGACATTCCGACGGCCCGGTAAGTGACAGCAGTGCGGGCATTCGGAAATATGGGGCCTAAGCGCAGCTTCCCGTGAGAGGTAAGTACCGCGTGCAAGACGCGAGGAGGACACTCGTGGAGAGTTCAACCACAAGGGCGTGGTCGGATGCCGACATGGCAAGTCGTGGGGCGATAGCTAAAGAATGCAACGTGTCAGCAGTTCGGGGGTTCTCGCGCATTAACTTGACATGGGACCCCTGACTTCCATACCACGCCCGCGTGCACCGAGCCCGGCCACAACCATATGTCAGATAAAACCGTTATGTATATTCATAGGACACATGTATCCCAACCTGCCCGGGAGAAGTCAATCAGAGAGGGCATCTGAGTCAAGTCGGCACGAAGCCCATGTGCAGGCGGAGAGTGGAGAACGCACGATAGAACACCATATGATACAACATATCTACATCGCAGGGACGGTCATGGCATAGCGGATAACAAATCGAAAGAGGTCGTAATTCGAGCTGGGAGATATGCACTGCTCAGCCAGAAGAGCCATGAGGTCTCAACAGGCTGAGCAGCGACATTCACGTCTTGAGATTCCTGATACGGCTCTAGCGGGTGGCATTCTTGCGAATGATGACCATGAGGCCGTCAGAATGAGCGGAGAATATGGCGTCGACCTTGAGGTCGCGGTTATCCGACCCCTTGCGGTCTCGTCCACGGCCCTGCGTCGTGCTGTGGGTCGACCTGTGCGAGCGGCCGTAATCACGGCTTCCGGAGTCACGGCTCACGTTGTGCGAGCCGTGGCGGTTTCGGGCGGGCGCAGGTTCCGTTTGTCGGACGCTACAACATGGAGTGAGTACGCCGGTCCGACTGCTGACTATTCAAACAGGCAGCAACATGTGACGGACCTTGAATCCCGGCCTCCAACACATAGCGTGAACTTTCCGAAACCAAACCCGCCGTCGCTTGGCTGGCCACGTTCATTCACGCCCCACCCCTTGATAACGTCTATCCATGCCCTAACCGTGACCTCGTCCTTTGACATGACGAAGTCGTAGAAACTTCTTCCCATCACCCGCGTAGTAGAAATCAGGCTGTCATTAGAGCAGTATAAGACATTGCAGTTGACCGAGAAACGGTCGAGGATAAGGGCCGTGCGGGGTGACTGCTCTGGAAGCGGATCGAAGTGAGGAGGCGCCTCAGCCTCCGGGCTAGGGCTCGGCGAGCTGCGCCTACTCAGAGCAGATGCAGAAAACGCTGGGGATGGCGTGTTCTTCAAGCGATCTGGGATCGGGCAGGGCGGCATCGGGTTCGGGTCGTTCCAACGCTGCAGGAAGGTATACATGAGTCATTGGCACTCCTCAGAGCGCGTCAAAGAGAGTCGCACCCTGAGTTCGAAGTCCCTGGCATACGGCGTAATAATGCGGACCTCTTGCGCTGTTGAAGCGTTATGCATGGCCTTCGGACCTGGAGAAGCGAACGAGACGCTTCCGACGAGGACATTCTGGCAGACGGTACGGGACTGACACGATGTCAGCATGTTACACTGAATTGGTCATGCAAGACATCGGTCGGGGACGTACAATTGCACAGAGAATGTATCCCTTGTAGGGATCCTTGTGGCGCATACGAAGGTATGCCAGGACGGCTGCCCTGTCTTGGGTGATCGTGGAGTAGTGCATAGCCTTTACTTGATCAAACTCGTCTGGATGGACCAAATTCAGAGAGGGCGTTCCGATGAGCTCGTGTGGCTCAAAACCTGAAACACAGTTGAAGAGCCTGGACGCCATCCACAGTGCCACAGTGTCCTCGTACCCAGAAGATCATTGACTGATTCTGAACAGTACACCCATTTTGCCTGTCGTCCCATACAATCAGCACGTCGCCACATACGCGCGCCTACACAGACGCCCTTACTTGCTCTGTGAAGTCCACTATCCCGACTGTATGGGACCAGTATGAGGCTCAGCAGAGGACCTACACTGCGTCTGAGGGTTCAGCACGTACTGAAAGAGACACAGGGAGTGTTGGCGTCCATGGTGGTGTGCGCTCCGCGTGTACAAGGTAGAACGCAGTGGTGGTAAGAGAGAAAGGAAGTCGCAATGTTCGTGGAGATAAGTCGCGTATTTCTAGAAGCTCAGGCTGATGCTCCGTGCTAGTCAATGCCCGGTTATGCTACCGACGGTATAGTGGGGACAGTATGGGCGCAGGAGAGTTGTCGGATCAGGCCTGCAGGGACGACAATCCTGGCTGCCTGAGGGTCGTGGCAAGCGATTGGCCGCACAGGCAAGTGGCGAGACCTGATTAAGAAGGTGGGTGGCCGTTGAGGAATATCGAATCCTTGCCATTTAACGTTCCACGCGGCTGGATGAGGAACGGCGATGACAGCCAACGTCGGCGGGGCATCTGGATGGGCTGCGTGTGATGCATCCGCCTTGTCTGACCGCTGTGCACTGCTACGGCTGGTGCAGGCGTGCGGGCGGGCTGTAACGCCGGAATGCGAATAATGGCTGCGAGCTTCGGAGGAGCCGTGAAGGCGCGGGGAGAATGGACAGAAATTAGAATTACTCGCAGATTACTTACTCGCCATCCTACGCACCGCCTGTACGGTACCGGCGCCTCGCCCAAGATCCCCTGCTCGCTACTGGATCTTCCCACGCTTTCAATTGACACACTAACCGAGATTTCATAAGCTCCAGATCCCTTTCTACGCTTTCTGTTCTCAGGCGGTTCTTCCAATTGCCGTAAAAGCTTCCGCGTTCCTATTTTCTTACTTACCCTGACAGACTGTACCAGGACGTAGACGTAGGTACACTCGGAGCACTTACACGCACAACTCGCTCTCACAACGCATGTGGTCTACTGCAAGAGAAATTGCCGCGGGCGACCTGGTCATCGTCTGGCTGGTGAGTGCCCATCTTCTTCTGTTACCCCCGGTTGTCGCGAACACTACAGTCAGACCAGAGATGCAGTCCAGCCGCTGGTAATCACCCCCGGAAAAGAGCTGAATGGCAAGTACGGTGTATACCGCCATTCAGATCTCATCGGTGTGCCCTACGGCTCGAAGATCGGTTCCCGCAACGGCAGGGGCTTTATCCATGTCCTGAGGCCCACCCCCGAACTCTGGACGCTCGCCTTGCCGCATCGTACGCAAATTCTCTACATCGCAGACATCGCCTTCGTCAGCTCATGGCTCAACATCAAGCCTGGAAGCCGCATCATCGAAGCCGGTATGTCCTTCACCCGTGCGTCAGTCCCGGCAGGGAATCTACGGCAGTGTCAAGATTGACTTGGAGCCCTCATGCGAGCGGATCTCAAGTGTGAGACATTAGATTTGAAAAGCTCAGCGCTCAGCGTCCGATTTGGTACAGCCTACCGGGAGGCTATGCGAACTCGGAAGTTACAACTGCCTGAGTCTCCCGATACTGCACACGGAAAGCTCTACTCACCCGTCCCTGAAGACTAAAATATCCCTCGTTTCGACAGGTACGTTCCCGTGAACCTTCTGTTCTGAGAGTGCTGAGCAGCGTGCCTTTTTGTGTCGAACACAGGCACTGGATCCGGGTCGTTCACCCACTCTGTCGCGCGCGCGATAGGGCCCGCTGGTCACCTATGGTCATATGAATTCCACGAGGCGCGTGTCAACAAAGCCAGGTAGGTACTTCTCCTTTCTTTCATGCGCACTGCAGCACAAGATACAGCACGCTGCATCACTAGCACCGTTCCTAGCGCTGTGTCATCATCGTCGACATGTGTGCTCCGTCCCATGATTCTCAGGAATATTTCACGTTATGCCACGGTTCGGTTGGCTGACTAGTTTGGTCATTACAGGGAAGAGTTTAGCTGTCATGGCATGGACGACATCGTCACCCTTACCCATAGGAATGTGTGCAAAGATGGATTCACCGTACTCGATACTGTCGACGCCGGTACGTTCCGAGAGCCCGTTCAGACGAAGCTTCACAGTGTAAATGATCTGCTATTTTTGCGCAGTCTTCCTTGACCTCCCAATGCCTTGGGAGGCAGTCGAGCACGCTAAGAAAGCTCTGAGGGTACGGTATTCCCATTCTCCTGCCTATACAGCCGTATGGGCTGCTGTACGCATTTCCAATGCTGATTGTGTCCGATAGAAGGACCGAACGACACGGATATGCTGCTTTAGCCCTTGCATGGAGCAGGTGCTGCGAACCGTGACCGCGTTAAACGACGCTGGCTTCACAGGTACGCTCTCCTTTAACCTTCGTCATTCAGCGAAGGCGTAGCGGAAGCGATACCTTAGCTCACTGCGTGCCTCGAGACATCACCATGTACGAAACCCTCTTGCGCCCGCATCAAGTGGACTCCGTGCCCGCGCTTCCACACATTGGCCAAGTCAGCGAGAAACTGAAGAAAGCGGAGCAGAAACGGGAAGAGAAACGGCTGCGCCAGATCGCCAACTCGCGCGCCTCCGCGGCCGGCAAGCGCAAGCGTCCCGGTGATGCGGACGAGAGCGACGGCGGCAGAGCGGAAGGAAGCGCGGGGAAGAGGCCGAAGACGGACGACGAGGACGACGTCCTGCAACATGAGGACGGGCAGTTACCTCAAGCAGAGAACCATCCGTCGGGACGCTCAGCAGGCGCCGCTGAAACCGAAGAAGCAAAATTCCCTCAAAGCGTCACCGAGTCTGCGACTCCGACTAAGACGACCTTCTCCAAGACGTTCCCGGAAGTTCGGGGACACACCTCCTACCTCACATTCGCTTGCCTTCTACCCGCCATACCAAGTGCACAGGCAGATCCTGCGACTCAGGAGCCTGTCAGTAGCTCGGGCCTACCGGTCGAGGTAGTCCATTTGCGATCTCATTCTGATACGTGCGCTGACAAGTAGTGGACCAGGGACATACAAACGGTAGCGGTACATTAGGTACCTAGCGATTAAGGTATGGTTGCATGTTGACGTCAAAACTTTGTACACCATAACGACACGCACATCATTCCGCGACAGCCCTTCTATACGCTTCTTCCGTCTCCTTCTCTTCCTGGATCTTCGCCGCACTCTTCGTCGTCCGCGTGCGCAAGACCCTCGTCGGGGCGGGTATCGGCGGGGCGGCTTTTCTGGCGCGTTTCGCCGGAGAGGCCTGCGTGGATGGTCCCTCGTCTCCCTCTACCTCCGCCTCTGAACTGTCATCGGACGCCTTCCTGCGCTTTTTGCCCCGGGATTTATCGGCCTTTCGAGACATACGTGTCTTAGCCGGCTGCTCGACCTCCGCACCATTGTGGGATGTCGCACGAGCGCCTTTTGCGTAAGTCTGACCCATCGTCCGATCCGATGACACAGAAGACGATGCAAGGGGCTGGCCTACATTCAAATCTTGCCTCCTGTCCGCTGCTTCGGCGAGCTCCAGCATCGTTTTGGGCTTTAGCTGCTGTCGCTCGTCTTCTCCCGCCTCTTGAGCAGGGATCGAAATTTCTTCCATGAGATCGCCGCCGTCCTCGCTTATCACGTCGTCGAGAGCGGTAGGCAATGTGGCTAGCCTGCCGTTCTGGGTGGCCTCGGCCTGATCTGCAACTTCAGCCCTGGCTGCAAGCTGCAAAGAAATCGTCGTAGACGTCGCGGGCACTTCATGGAGATTGCGCGGGAGGGTATACGGTTGTACAACATCATCCGCACCGGTCAGGAACCCCCCCTGCGGTTGGACATCCTGTAGATACACGATCAGAACAGTGGTACGTGGGCGCCACATGGCCACCAACCTCGTCTGCGGCACCGACCGGTGAGCTCTCCCGACGATCCGCGTCCGCGTACTGTTCCTGAAGGCGCTGTCGTATCCGAAGACCATGAATGAGCTTCGTCCACCTCTTGATGACCTGGTCTTCCCGCTTAGCACGTCTTTTCTGTTCTGCTTCGTGTTCTGCTTCCCAGTACGCCTGAACGGTAGCAGATGTCGCTATTAGCAAACCAATCGCGTCGCGGTGCAGGGATGGGCCGTACGTACCTCCAGTATGGTTCCCTCATTCTCTGCCGCGACGACAATTCCGGTGATGACGGGAAACGCTCTGCGCTTCTTGAACTCGAAGCCGGTCTAGAACGCACGCTGTCGGACGACTGACTGTTGACAGAGGATGTACTACCTACCACCGCTTCCGCATAGTCGAAGCCCAACTGTCGCGCGATTTTGGCCGTCCCCTTGTCTAGCCTCTCTTCAGACCACACTGCGTCGGCGTATGCGGAAACACATGGCACTCACATGGTATGTGTACCGCACCAGCGGGCAGCATGGTCGGGACGTATAGATCAATATTCCCGAAATCATTCTTTGGGACTCGTCCCTGTGACCATGAAACGTTCAGCACAAACATGTAAGGGCATACGAAGCAGACTCACATCAATAATAGGATCGGGTCTGTATAACTCTGTCTGGTGCTCAGCATAGAGACCCTGCATGACACCATCTTCGCTGGCGAAGCCCTCCGTGTTCTCCCTAGCATTCTGAAGATCTCGATCCCTCTTCTCTGACAGGGCAAGCTCGATGGCGCGTTGCTTGTTGACAGTCATCGCACGCTGCTTCACCCACTTCATTGGCTGTGCACCTTCCTTGACCTTACGGCCCTGACGCATCCAGTTCTCGGCGGCTTTCAACTGGAGCACGGATGAGCGCGAGTATACAGGCTCGCCGCGGAACTTTCCAAGCTCTGCGAGAGGATAAATCATCTCGTCTCTCTTGAGGTGCCGTTCCAGAACATATCTGCATGAAGCCGGATAAGGTCAGCGTCTCTAATAAGTAAAAGGTGGAAAGCACGGACAATGGATGGTCCTTGAACCCCGCCATAGAGGTCGGCATGCCTTCCGTAAGTTGATTTGTCTGCAACTCTTCGTCCTCGAGATCGTCTCTGTGCTGTCATGCATGGGCATGTCAATGTAAGACGCACGATTGAGTGACAACCGCACAATACTTACCAACTGATATGGCCGCTTGACCATTGCTATAATCCTCTCCCACCACTCCTTCCGACCTCTCCCTCCCTGCTGAACCTTCGCGACTTTCGCACCATACTCCCTCGCGTATCGCGGCGTAACATCTCTACCGAAACTATCCTCCTCGAACGCGACCACGTACACCATCCGGTTCTCGACTCTTACCGGACGATGTCGGTCTGGCTTCACCGCAGCATTAGGGTTCGGCGTAGGATCGAAAACTTTGCGCTTGTTTATTAGGCACCGGATAGGATCGATGGGAATCCAACGTGCGTCCGCACGGGAAAAGACCTCCGTCCACAACACTGGCGGCGTAGTAGTTGGGTCAGGTGTGCGTTCTCCTGGATTACCGGATTGTCAGTCTCCGTCAGCAACATTGGCACGGATAACACTCCTAGGCGACCTACGCGGTGGGGGACGAGCTACAGCAGGCTCAGAGCCTAGCTTACGACCTCTGCTTTGCCGTAGCTTGATGACGGGAGGTGCTTTCTGCTTGCCTTTGGCGTCACCATTGACTGGCGTAGATGAACCACCATCCATTCGCTGTCCAGACCCCGGGAAAGAGGCCTCTGCGACCTTTGCTTTCGGCGTAATCGGTATCTCAACCTCTTCCATGTCCATGTCATCTTCGTCCTCATTGTCCGGCACTGCCTTTTCCTTCCCCTTACTAACGTTGGTGGGTGCACCCACGTCCTTCCCGTCGAATTTCTTCTTCTTTTTCGTGGCTGGGGTCTTTGGCTTGCCGACACCGGCCTGCCACGGCACACTTTGCAGACTCGCGACCAGTCGTGCGGGTATACCGAGCGCCCTGCACAACGCTGTGAATAACTGTGCGCTGGTATCCCGGGAGCCTCGCATCATCAGGGCATGCTTCATGAGACTCTTCTCGCTCCGGATAACCTCGCCGTCGTCATCGTCGACAATATCTTCCGCCTGAGCTTTGCCCTTACCCTTCGGGTCCCGGTTGATCAACTTTTGCACCTGATCGAATGTCCGATTTCGAATGTGACCTGTAGATTCGACGCGGAAACTGTCTGACCACCACTCAGTAAGACGAGTGACGGCAGACTCAAAGCGATGGCCGCGCTCTGCGTCGTCCGGGATGCGAGCCTTGGTAATGATAGTAAAGGCATTCTGCAAATGAAGGGGCGTGATAGAGAGAAGACGAGCCTGTACGTAGACGTGATTAGCCAATGGTGACATAGACTTTGTTCAAGGACGTAAGATGCACGAGAGAACGCACGTGTAGAAGGCGGTCGTTGATCCACTTGTTGCGAATCCTCGCGTTTGCGAGTAAGCAGACTGTGTGTACTTGATGACATGTAAGGCGAGCGAGCCGCTCAGCGTACAGCTGTGCAGCGCGCGGGTCCTTCCTGTGGGTGGGGTGCGGTCAACATTGAAGCTGCCGCCGGTGATGCAAGATACGTACTTTGCCCCTTTCTTGCCCCGCCGTTCTGTATGTATTGTGATCTCAATGTGCGAGTTACGTGACGAGCCTTCCTGAACATCATTGTCGGCCGCCAGAGACACCGCGGGCTGTTCCGCCTGCGGCACAGCGACCTCTTCCCAGTCGAAGTCGTCGTCGCTGTCGGCTCCGATGATCGAGCTGTTGTCGGCGCTGGACATAATTTATTGATACAAGCCTGGCGTGCGTAGATGAGAGTGCGAGGCCAGGCGTGAGGCAGTCAGACTTGAGTCAGACAAGGTTAAGTCAGTCCCTGGGTGCCCGAGTCGACGCGTCGCATGAGTCGCGCGTCATGAGGCACATGACCGGGATTGCGGGCGCTTGATGACAATGAGCCGCTGCGCTCATCACGGAATTCGCACTGAGTACACATAGCCGTTATCTCTGCTTGCATGCGAATATAAACACCAAAATCGTTATAAACAGCAAAACGCACTATAGCGCTAGCGGATTACACAAGCTCATTACAAGCTCAACATAAGCTCATTACCTACACACTACAATTCATATGTAGATCGATTGTAGAACGTCGCAAGCTTGCACATCTCACACAAGTCTCCGCTTCAGGCCCTCGGCAGTCCCATTTGTTCGCATGAAACCCGATATGATTCAGGTACAGTAGATCAGGTTACACAGCAGAAGCAACGGAGAAGACAGTATGTAAGACGCTCGGCCCAAGGACAAACAGCACAGGCAAAAAACCTGCCCAATGGTGTGCAGCAGGATCATATCCCCGGCATGAAGAGCTTGATCGTCATCTCGGCGTTCACCACGAGCATGCATCGCATGCACCATGGTCCTCGAGGGAGACGGCGTCCATCGGCGCGACGCTTGCGATGAGGCTGCGAATGTTCGTGCACGCGGCGAGCCGCTTCGCGACCTTCTTCGCCTTGCCGCCCTCGCTAGCGTACAGGACGGCGAGGCGGCCAGTGGCACGTCGATCGCGGTGAGGAGCTTGGTCTACGCTTTCGGCACGTGCGCCTTGTGTGCAGCGCGCAGTTGCTCGCCGAGGGGGCCGAAGACTCGAAGTTCGGAGGGGAGCTGCGGCTGGGCGACGACGAACTGCGAAGGGTGGTTCTGCCTGTCGAGGGGCGCACGGACCTTGTTCTTGATGGCGTCGCTGCCGAGCTTGAACGCGGCGTCGTCCTCCCAGGATGGGTTCCAGTCGTAGAGCGACCAGTAGCCCCCTGCTCCGACGGCGTGCTTCGTCTCATGAGACGCAGGTAGCACCACGAACACACGGAGCAAACAGCGCCGTGTGCCAGGGATGTTACCCGCAACCCATTCGGGCTCATTGCAAGTGTTTGCAGTGGATCTGAACCTTGTGGGTGCGCGTCATCGCCTGTCCGCGTTCTGCCAGGCCTGCTGCATTTCGCCAGCTACGTCTTCGTGTCAGGCACTTACTTGTCATGCTCGTACCTGTGCTAACCATGTCTGCCTCCCTGCTGACCGTGCTGATCATGCTCGCTCCCTACAACACTCGCCTCGTCGTTGCGTCCATGATCGTCGTACTGATTCCCTTGTACGTCGCACTGCAGCCCTTGTACGTCGTGCTCGCATGTGTGCATCGCGCTCACACTCGAACGCGCCGTACACGCGCCCGTGCCTGCGTGCATCATTGTCGTGCTTGTGCTCGTCTTCTTCACATGATGTTCACGCTTGTAGCCGTCTTGTTCGTTGTGTGGTCGTCTTCGTGTCAGTCCTGTTTGTGTCGCGGTTGGCGCACAGTCAATGTGCGCTTGCCTCGGATTGCAATGTGCATATTTGCATACCTGGCAGGTCTTTGATGGGAACAAGGAAGAACATACCAAGCTTCGAGTTGTTGGAGTCGCAGTACTTTGTGTGAGGCGGGCAGTCGCAAAGAGAGGACTTAGAGGTGACTCGACTGCCATGTTGCGTGACGTGTTGAGCATGTTTAGGGCAGACAGTGAACGGCGGAATCCGACAGCTACGATGTATACGCGTTGGATGATGCTTATAAGGTGTTCGTCAGACGATGCTGAAGTGAAATCTGGTGAGGCGACTGTAGGCACTTATCGAGCGCTTGTAAAGTGGCACAATATTTCGATGATCTACAAACACTGAAATCGCTTATCGTTCTGAAGGGGATTCCCTGATGCTGCTGCTTCGAATCTGCCGCGATCCTCCTCCTCCGAGCAATTCAATGAAACTTATTCAACGACTTGATCTGCTCGTTCACGGTCCCCGTCCTTTTGCCCCGCTTGGCCAATACGTACGTATACACTGAATACCAGCCCAAATCCGTCCTTCGCTCCCCTCCATTGAGCCAACTATCCTGATGTGCAACTTGACCCAGTCGTCCATATTGTCCCAGCGGCCAGCGCTGATACAGGCCAATCGTAAGATGCATGAACTCTACCGTAGTTTCCGTGAAAGGCCCATTTCCCCTCACGGCGCATATGCTCTCTTGACCATTTAAGCAGACATCTCGGGTTGAGGACACCCCACCCAACAGTGAGCAGGCTAGACAGCCTTGAGAGGTACGTTGGCTCAAACCCTGTCGTCGGAGTGCCAGTCGCTGTAACTGATATCTATGCCTTTGAAGATCAAGCATGTCCAGTTCCTCCGAGATCTATTCCGTCGCTATTATCGGTGGCGGCCCTGTCGGTCTCTGCGCCTCCATCCTCCTCTCTGTCCGAGGCAAATCGCACGTTCTCTTCGAGCGACGGCCGTGCACCTCCATCCATCCCAAAGCATGCGGGATCAACCAGCGCACCACGGAGATCTTCCGGAAATTAGGCATCGACGAAACCGTGTACGCTGTCTCTGGACCGCCCGAAGTGACAGGCCGCACCGCTTGGTACACGAGTCTCGGTCCCGAGGGCAAGGAGATTGCGTCTCGTTATGCGTGGGGAGCAGGCCCCTACGCCGAGGAATTCTCGAGATACAGTCCCAGAAAATACGTGGTACTTCCGCAGATCAGGTTGGAGCCGATCTTGAAGCAGAGGGCGCAGGAGCTTAACCCTGAAGCTCTGAAGTACCGCGCAGAGGTCACGGACGTACGCGGATCAGAAGCTGACAACTACGCCGTTCTTCAGGTCCGTTTTGATGGCAAGGAGTCCGAGGAGGACGTCCGTGCACGCTTCGTAATCTGCGCAGACGGCGGACGCAGCTTCACCGACAAGCTCGGCGTACGCTGGCTCGGCGAGAAGGACATCTACAACATGGTGACCGCCCACTTCCGTTCCCCTCTCTCTAAGTCCCACTCTGACCCTCGCAACTTCATCACCTGGTTCAGCCACCCCGACCTAGGCGGTAGCATGCAGACGGGCTTCCTCTATCAGATCGGCCCATGGCCTGCCGGTCCAGAGGTGGAGGAAGAATGGGTCCTAGTCTGTATGTCTGGTGCTACACACTCGGAACGCCTCGACAAGGAAGCCGCGGTGAAACGAATCCGCGATACTTTACGGCTCCCCGACTTACCCATCGAAATGCTCAGCCTCAGCCCCTGGAACGTTAACGCCATCTACGCGAAGCGCTATCGCGCGACCAAGCGTGTCTTCCTAGCCGGGGACGCCGCGTACCGCATCCCGCCATGGGGCGCGCTCGGCATGAACACGGGCGTGCAGGACGTCGCGAACCTGATCTGGAAGCTCGACCTCGCGCTGCAGGACGAGGCGAAGTACGGCGCGCTTCTCGACAGCTACGACACAGAGCGCAAGCCGATCGGCGAGCGCGTCGGGCGCACCAGCCTGCACAACCTCCGGAGCCACAGCCTCGTCATGGACGCCGCGCTGGGCATGAGCGCAGACAAGACTCCCGCGGAGAACTGGGCCGCGCTCAACGCGTACTTCGACGGCGAAGGCGCGGCGAGCAGGCATGACGGCCAGCTGACGGAGAACGGGGAGTTGGCGACGGAGTTCTACTACCCCTCGACTATCCCGGGGCACCACGTCCCGCATGCATGGCTCCGCAAGGCCGGAGAGCCTGAGGCGCACACCATCGCTGTGGTCGACCTGATCCCGCTGCGCCAGATGCTTCTGCTCGCGCGCCGGCGTGGGGTCGGGTGGGAGCAGTTGGAGAGCGCGCTGGTGCACGTGGAGATCGCTGGCGAGGCCGGCGACGTCGACTGGGTGGACGTCGACGGAAAATGGGCGCGGCAGTGCGGCGTCGGTGAGGAGGGTGCCGTCCTCGTCCGTCCAGATGGCATCGTACTAGTAGCTTGGCGAGGTGGGTGGAATGACGACTTCAAGGACGTTGCCAAGTGGGGTCGCGTGTTGGAGAGGGTGATGTACCTGGCCCCGTGAAATGTAGCGCTCGTTCTAGTCTTTGTCTCTCAGCAGGGCTTAGACCTCGAGTACAACGTGTACTGAATTGATTACAGCGGTACTTAGTGTCGATCTGTTTATAGTTGTGGGCTCGTGAACGATCGAGCTCAATGTAAGGATCAGCGTACCTTAGTGGGCACATGTGATGTACTATCGGCTTAGCCCAATGTCACTTGCCTGCGTTGATTGTTTGCCACGATGACCAGACTATTTCCCGCACTCACAAACTCAAAGACATAGGCGGAGAAAACTCTCGCATTCGGACAAATAGTATGTAGGAACAAACAAATTGCAGTGGTATCAGTCATGGTGCACGTCTATGGAACGGATTATATAGTACAACTGTCTGGCAGTGAGCGGACAACAAGGAAAGCGACGAAGGCACGAGGAGCATAGAGGAGGCTAGGGCTACATGATGTACAACACGCTGACGCCGCACGGGCCATCAGCCGAGCTCGGGCGATCAGCACACGGCGTCGTAGACGGTGAACTTGAGCTTGAGCTGGCCGTCGACCTGGACGGGCTCGCACTTGACCTTGTCCATGTTCTCGACGAGGTAGTGCGCGCCGGCGTTCTCGATCTTCTCCTTCTCGTGCGACGTGCAGACGGCGATGACCGTCGCGCCCGACGCGACGCCGGCCTTGATGCCGGAGGGCGAGTCCTCGAAAACGACGCACTTCTTCGCGTCGAAGCCGAGGCACTCCGCCGCGAGCAAGAACGGGTCGGGCGCGGGCTTGCCGGCCTTAAGGCGCTTGTCGTCGGCGGTGATGGTGACGGGCGGAGGGGTGATGCCCACACGGGTCATGCAGCCGTACGCTGTAGAGTAATTGAGTCAGCAACAAGCTCGAGAACGAGACTGTAGCGAAGGGACGTACCATATGTCTTTGCGCCGGAGGTCGCAACAGCGTAGTGACCCTCGGGGATGGACTCAATCATCCTCTTCACGCCAGGGAGTATGCGCACGGAGCGGTCGACCGCTGCGGCCTCCTCCTGCCACGCCTGCAGCTGGTGAAGCTTGTCCTGCTTACTCTTGTCCTGCTCCTGAGCGAACGTGCTCTCCTCGTCCTCGTCCACGGTCGACTCAGCGATGCGTGCACGGTCGGGCGTCATTGCAAGCAGGCTGCTGACGCGGTGGAGGAATGATGGGCGGCGGCGGAACGCGGTGAGGTTGCTGAGACCGCCGACGAATGACGATGCACGCGAGGAGTTGCGAGAAGAGGGGGCGGAGTTACCCGGGGTGAGGGCGGGTGTTGTTGCGCCCGAGACAGCGGGTGTGGCGACGGGGGAGTTCTGGCGCGAACCAGGGCCGTGGAGGTTGTACGCGTCGGCGAAGTAGAGGATCGACTCCTCGAAGGCCTGCACCTCGTTGTCCATCTCGTGCTGCTTGATGTGCGGCTTGAACTGGGCGAGGTTGTCGACGGCGCGCTTGCCGTGAGTGGCAGCGATCACGTAGGCAGGGTCGTGCCCAATGTCCTTTGCGACCTTGCCCCATGCCGCCTCGACCGCTGAGATGGAGTCGGTGAGGGTGCCGTCCTGTGCGAGTAGGGGTCAGACGAAGTCCGAGAGCGAGTGAGTGAAGACAACGTACCATATCAAAGAGGACGGCGTCGGCGTAGAAGGTCTTCACGTTCTGTGACTCGGTAGACATGGTGTAGAAGGTGTGTGGCGAAGGAGGATCCTTAGATGTTAAGCTTTTGGAGGAGTGGGTATGTTCGAGTGCTGAGGAGGACGGCAGCAAGGGCAGCCTGTTATATATGTTTTCGACAAACGCCGTGTGGCGCGCGGGGTGCAAAGATTATGCGAAGCATTGTCTGTGGAGACGAACATCGGCGCAGCGAAAGACGAGCAGTTTTCCGAGAAAGGAAGGAGGTGGAGCGATCTGCGAGAAAGCGCCCGGGGACGGTAGAAATGGGGTGGCGCGAGCAAAGCTGAACCGGAGCGCCTGGGGCTGTGTGTCGCTTGGCAGTCGGTTCGGCGGCAGCCCCACCACGACGCCTTCCTCTTTGGTGCAGGAGCTGAGCATCGATTCGGGCGCACTCCTCATTTGGCCTCCATCCGCACCGCCAGATCGGGGGCCTCTGCCTATTGATAGAAGCGCTCCACGGCGACAGGCCGTGTATCTTCCGGGGTGCGTTCTCCCCGACGCCCGCACACCGACGCAGGCCGACGCCCGGGGCGCCCTCGCCGCGCCCTGGGGTCATGACATCGCAGGCACGCCCGCCGTGCTCTACAAATTCACTCCGGGTGCCGCAGCGGGGCCCGGGCCAGCGCACGCCGCCGCACAGCCAGGGGTCGAGTAGTGCGAAGCCTCGACGGTGCCACGGACGATCGGCCATTACGAACGTTTGCCCACTTAGAAGACTCATCACAAAAATGAATGCCCGTTCGCATGGCGAGAAGGTGCAGAGTCAAGCGAGCGTCTCCTTACCATACTCGGTAAATCCTACTGGGCGGCGCCACAACCTCTGATGACGTTCACCTTCGCAGAGTCCGCGACTACAGCGCCTCCTACCTCATCTTCCGCGCGTCTTTACCACACCATTGGCTGGTTATCTTTGGGGTGCGACCTGGTACCACGCCGTCTTGTGGCATGATAAGCGACCAGCAACTTGCTGACACTCATCCTGCGTACCTCGAAACGGCCAAACAGGACTAAGGCAATCGATGCTCCATTTACATCCCGTTTGATGGTGCTTCCTCGACCCTGCTTTGTGCCATCATCATGACATTCAAGTTGTCTGCCGTCACGGCGCCATACGACGAGTCTGCCACGGACCACATGCGTGGCCGGGTGACTTCGCGTACAACGAGTTCTGTCCTGCCGTGCACCCTAACATGTCAGAACAGAAGGCGGATCGCGTTTGTGTTGGCGTTCGGTTCCTGAGTGACACCGTCCTGAACGCGCCCAAGCTTCCTGTTTCGGTCACCAACACCCACATTTGCATCCGCCTCGCTGCTTTGGTACGCTCGTTCGGGTCAAGCGGACGTAGGGGTGACGCGATGCCCAGCTGCACACGCATGCCCAAGATCAAAATTGCCATGCGCGCGTTCGGCCAAGCACGTTCCTTCCAACACAATGGCGACCGAAAACGGCGGTAGCGGGTTCGCATGTCCGCGAGTCCCCTTCTGCTCAGATCTAGGGCTCCTTCCCGGTCGCTACTTGCGTGTTCATCAATACGGCGCGGGTATGTTTCGCTCTTTGGGGCGGCAGGAATGCCGTAGGTGGACAGCTTGGTTCCAGTACCAGTCTTCGCGAACACGCTCAAATGTACGTATGACTGCCCGAGCAGGGCGCGATGACGATGAGGTCGCAAACCCCCGTCTCCACTTCGTCTTGGTCCCCACGCGGACACTGTATGGCATACGGCAGAGGGGCGTGGTTGCACTCGCAGAAGCACCGCCGTTTGGCTCTATCTGACCCCATATCTTGCGCACACAACCCGTTTTTCCCAGGTAGGCACCCCACCTTCCGCTTTGGGACAATGTGCTTTGCTTTCACGGCCGCGTATCTACATCTCTGCCAGGCCCGTTGGACGCGTCCCCGTCATCACCGACTCGAGCTCGACGATTATGCTCGACCTTCTCAGCCACGCAACGCCGCCGCCGCTGCCATCCTCACTGGACCCCGGTGTTGCTCAACGCTGCGCTGTACTTAGATTGCTATCGGCCGAGCTGAGTCCGTGAACCTTGCACTACTTCTTCCAATACTCTGCCCATTGATGCGAGGTCCCTTCCGCGGTATTTGCGCGCTACGTGGGATGACAATGCAATGGCATCGCGCAAAGTAGTGCTGTCGTTCTCGGATCCAAGCCGCTGTATAGCTTCCATTCAACTTGGATCGTCCAGACCAACGCCGGCGCGTGTCGTCTTTGCGCTCTAGATGTTGCAATGCGTGAGCCGAAACTCTCCTTGTCTGTTATCTGCACTTCCACTTCTGCTGCGCGGGATTGTCACCTTCCGCGCTTCATATAGCGTCGTTCCGCGCCATATCCGCCCGCCTGCTTGTTTATGCTAGATTGGCTTCCGGTGCGCTCGGCCCCAGAACGGCTATTTTCACGCAACATACCTGGTGAGGGACGATCTTCAGGGCGAGTTCGATAGGTCGCCGAACTTCGTGCACGGCGACACCCGCGACTTCCACTGTGCCGCCGGCGGCATGGGCCATCTCCGTCGCAGGCCGTGTTCATGGCTATAGCACTACTGCGTTATGCACCCTCGGCGGCCACGAGTGTCCTCTGTGCTCTTGCAGTACTGCAGGTCGACTGATTCAGCGAAACGACCGCATCGATCCCTGGGACCCGTCAGTTGCGCGCTCGGGCTGCGAAGCCACTGGCAGGCCTATGCTCCGGTGTTGAATAGCACGAGGAGCCGTTTACGTTGTCGCACTGCGCTTACGCCGATCACCTGGTACAAATGCTGCTGCATCGTTGATCGCTGTGCGTCTCCGCTGTCGACGTTGAATGGAGGCGAGGATGTTGCTCCGGTATTGCGCAGTTGATACCGTTGAATGCCTTTGATCATGTTCCGGTGCACTAGGGTCGAGATAACCCAGGGGTCTTATGTGACATTACACAGGTTGACTGCAGCTGTTTTCGTTCTGCTATATGCGCTGGGCTCGACGTACTCCTTCATGGGCACTCTGTACGGGATGCGATTGAACAGACCCTCAAGACCTTTGCAAGCCGTAGACCGGGGCTTCCTGCGTGCGTATAATCTGTTTACGCGTTCTCTATACAACACACTCATGATGGTCCTAGAACGTCGCTCAAGGTTCAGGTTCAATTTATATTCCGCGTTGGCCGTACTTGTGAGACGGGAGACATTCAGTGCACATCTGTCTATTGACGAGTGCGTCGCGGCTGACTCACGACTCGACAGGCACGGTCATCCCGACATTGCGCCTATAAGCACATCCTTCGCCTTGCCAGGTCGATCGTCCCGTCCAGAACAACACCGCCGTACGGTCAGATCGTACGTCCTGGACAATGTCGGTAAACCCAGTGCCTTTCGTACTCGCGGTCGAGCGCGACTCAATGGTCGGAGCCCCGCGCGCAAACCTACTGCGTCGGCCGTTACCCAAGCTGGCGCGTTCATCGTGGCGACAATCCTGCAATGACCGGTCACACGCGTTTGGTAGGACGTAGGAGCGGTGTTATTAACCTTTCTAGTACCGTCGTGCAGGTACCAGACGGATCAAGGTCTGGCGTTCGCCTTACGTGTATCAATGCAACAAGAAACGAACCGAGCGTCCGAGTCGCCCACGTGTCGTCGTAGACTTGCAAGTCATCGCACACTGCTCTGAACCTCAGGTTCGGTCTCCGTTGCAGAACGAAATAGCCGGAAAGCGTCTGTGCACTGGACCCTCGGTATGGTTGACATACCGGGGGTCCAGTGAACAGACGCCGCCCGTCGGAAACTGTCTTGTGTGGGTAAGTCGTCATCATGCAGCAAGAGCCCCGACTCGATGTCGACCTCGCTGGCAGAAAGCGAGAACAGCGGGGAATACTAGGCTCAGCATCACCGCGCGAATTTGGTGTCGTAGCCTTGCAGACTCGGAGTTTGCCACACAGTGTGCATGCCGGCGCGGCCTACTTCGCAGGATCGAGTCCGGCGAGGTTTGAGTGTCGTGGAGACTCGTATGTACGTACTCGGTGTTTTCAATCTTGTGTACACGTACTGACAAACCCACCAGAATGCTATCGCGTGCGATTCCTGTGGAGCTGCTCTGTCGTGTCTCGATGGTTCTACGGACTTCGTCCCCACTTCTAGATCGTCCCAGCAAAGATAGCTGACACTGCAGTGGCAGATCTCATTCCTGCCACAAACATCTCTCGGACGTCTTACATCGGTTCGCAAAATCGCGGCGGGTAGCGCTGTGGCTCTGAGTCCCCGCCCCACCTCCGCTACGGCACATCCATGCAGGATGGCTACAGTGCCCGCACCCATCGTCCGGAATGTTCGGAATACCTGGCCATCACTAGAACGGTCAAAAAATCGCGTATGATCGCGCGTCTCTGCAATCAAGGGAATAATAACAGTAAACACGAGTCTATGCAATGTAACACAATCGACGTCAATAGTTACTCTACTGTTCAATTGGTACATACTACGCGTGAAAATGCAAAGGGGTCTGCAATATCGCGCGGCGTTGGGAATTGATCTGACACACGCGAGCAGAATGTCAATGCACAAACAATATTGCGCTGGGTTGCACTACACAGTAGGCAATCAATCTGCCTGAAGCGCGCCGGTTTGCTTGACTGACCCTGTCCGGGCCTTGTCAAGTTAGTCTACCGCTTTGACTGCGCACAAACCCGCTCCGTGTCTAGGCGGGTTCCTGGTGGCTAGCATGCCTCCAGTGCGATCGAGGCGTTGTTATTGTCATGACTGACTGGGCGGCAACCTCAAGATGTCCCGGTTTCCCCCGCGAAGATCATGTCTGGAGGCGAGCGAGAGCTTCGGAGAGGTACACATCGGTAAAGCACGCCGTGGCATGGACTCAGCGCATAAAAGGGCCACGACGCGGGCCCTTTGAGTGCGCTGCTGGTCGCATAACACTGCGACATCGACTCGGTCGGGAGCCATCTGAGCAGCCGTGGCTGCAAGGTGAGTCCGCTCAACTGGCTGCCCGCGCCGGCAGGCACTGTTGGCGCGCGATCATGATTGTAGGACCCTGAAGTCGGTGAGTGACCTCGATTATGAATGCTGATGATCTACTATATTACCAGGAGCTTCGTGCTTGTGACGAGGTATGTACTGTTAGACACACAGTTGACCGTTGACGAATGAGGTACTGAGGCGTCTACTTATGGTAGAGCCTTCTATAGCTACAGGGGATCCGGCGGACACGTTGCCAAGTAGCGTACCTCGCTAATTCTACGTCTCGCTAGCTGTCTGTGTATATAGATTTACTGTACATGATCAATACCATATTTTGAGATAACGTTTGAATGCATCTTCGTGAGCAGTCTAGGCTGGCCGCAAGCTATGGACAGATCGGGAATCATACAGTACTACTTCGCACGGTTCGGTTCAGTGCTGGATCGCGCCGTGGCTTAATTGAGCCGCATTACTTTTTCCTGCAATACATGCGGCTGATTGTAAGCCTTTGTAAGATGACTGACAGTTCGACGTGTTGCAATGTTTGCGCCTCTTCACAAGGGCTCTCAGCCTTTTATGACCTCGCATTCACGGGACAATATTGTCCTACATTGCATCGATTTCACCTCTCTATCGGCGATTTTAAGCGATCGCAATTTTCTGTCGGGACCAGTGATGGCGTTGTGCTGAAAGCCCTCCAGAATTCGTGACGAGGATGCAGGCTGGGTGTCCTGACTACGGTGGCCAGGATTGTCGTGGATCACTGTACGCACTCTGCATAGGCAACGGGACTGTTAGGTCTGGTGGTGCATCGGGGCAGGGCAAAGAGGGCTAAACAAGCCTTTCGTCGCGCGCATGCGACAACATGCATGATGCAGACGACTGTAGTCACTAGTGCAGTGGTCAGCTACTCGAGCTGCGTGCCCGGCTTTCTCGAGCCTGGTGATATATTCCTTCATCTATGTACTTGTAGCCTTCACACTGTCTTCGGTGGCGCTACCTCCTGTCACGTTTGTTAGGCGACTTTCTCTCTTGGGATTATCCTCGACTCTTCACTGCAAACTTCAGCTTCATCTCAGAGTGTCCGCAAGCGCATTAGTCCCCTGTGCAGTGTGTCCCGCCGATGCGGGCTCCGAGCTGTGCTTGCTCGGGACCAACGGCTTCGTGGTTTCCATCTATAGCACGCCATGACGTCGAAGCCACAGCAGGCCACCTGGGTCTGAGTACGTAGGGGTTGTTCGCTCTCGAACTCTTAGCTATGTAATTGAACGTCTGTTCTACGACCATCACGGCTCCGCCTCTGTCGGCTTGTGTGGTCAATGAGCTCGACCCATTGGCAGACATCCAGGCTCAAGCGCTCACAAGCACTCACTCGGTCCGCTGGTCAGGCTCCCTTCTTCATTCAAATTGGGACGCGACGTTAACGCGTTGCTCACGTGAGTCAACGAAGTTCCCATGCATCAGACTCTAGTTATGGCACTTGAAGAAGAGCACATCCACAGATGCTGCAGGAGCGACTTAAACGTGCAGTCGTACGACGCCAAGCATCGTATCTGTTTGCTTGTCCGCCTTCTAAGTAGCTGCTGCCGTGCGGCAAAGGAGGCCTGCGAGGGAGCTAAGAGTACCCATGACAGGTAAGGGAAGTTCTCCGCCCTGGCAGACCGCCGGCTGCAGTTCGCGACAGTACTATTGTGGTCCTAATTTGCTTTTGCGGGACATTCAATAGGTCGGTTTTGGCACTAGGCCTACGCCGTCTCTGCGTGCATTTGCAATGACAAGTTGAAGAGGCAAGCACACTGTTGAGGTCATCCAACGCTGGAGGTCGGTAGCGGCGACCTCGGCGGCGACTCAGGCCTGAAGAGTTCAATTGATGCGGACAGTCAAACAAGACTCAGCGAAGGTCCCGCGAGTGTGCTGGAAATCAGATCAGCCTGCAGACAAAATGGCTCGGCTGCTCTCGGTACGGACGCATGTGGGATAGCGCAGGCGACTCGCTCGAGCACACTCCGCGCTGGGCTGCGCTTCAAGCGCGAGATGTAAGTGTAAGCCTGTATACACGACACGCCACGCTCGCGAGGGAAAGAAGTCGCTGCTTATCCTGCCCGCGTCTCTCCCGACAACTTTGCCTTTTCTCCCAGGTCCGCATCTGCATCAGAGCTGGAAGGCTCCCTAGGCATCCTGCCCTTCGTCCTCTTCTAGTGCGCTGCACCGCAGCTTCCGCCAGCCGGCCTTCACATTCTTTTGTACCACACTCTTTCCAGGCTTCGGCCGTTACGACATAACGGCACCATGCACGCGCGCACTCGCAAGACCAGGAGAATACACAATGCGCAGACAAGGGCACTGCAGGAACGCGACCCATCGCTCATCAACCTCCCCATTCCAATCCCCTCCATTCCCATCCTCGGACCTTTGCTCTCCCCTCTGATCGGCGGCCTGCCATGGCCAAAGTCGACCGCGTCGTCGACGAGTACGACCAAGGCACAACCTACGTCTACGCCTGCTGCAGTTCCGACCTCCACAACTGCCGTACCCACATCAATTGCTGCACTTCCTACGCAAGCGACCAGCACCGCGCACGCATCGAGCCCAACAGGCTCTAGCGGAGATAATCCGGGAGGTGGGGGGTCGTCCTCAGGCAGCGGCTCTATTGGCAGTGATACCTCTAGTGGAGGTGACGGGTCAAGCAGCGGTAGCGGCGATGGTGGTTCTGCCGGGACGAGCGCAGGTGGAGATGGAGATGGCAGCTCATCGGGCAGCAGTGTCGGGCCCAATGGAACAGGTAGTTCTAGCTCCTCGTCAGCGAGCGGTGGAGACGGGACAGGCAGCAGCGCGTCCGGAGACAACAGCGACAGCGGCGGTGGCAGCATTGGATCGACCATAGGATCTAGCGGGGCAGCATCTGGTGTTTCAGCTGGTGTAAATCCTGACGCCGGATCATCTCAATCAAGTGCAGTCGCGGCAGGCGCTGGCGCGGCTTCCTCCTCACACTCAGGCTCGATTGTCGTCTCTGGGTCGTCTGCACAGGCATCCAGTAACGCCAACGGCCAGGGACCATCGGGAAACACGTCGGGCGGCAAGGCAGCTGAGCCGGGAACGTCGACAACGGCAGTGCCCATGGCCGTGGGTAACGCGTTCACTGGAGGATCCAGCGGAACGGCATATACGTACGGCTTCGCAGCTGGCTCTAGCACTGTTGCTGCCGTTGGAGCAACAGGTGCGGCAGTTAGTGGTTCGTCTTCTAAAGGCTCGGGAACATATGGCTCGGGTTCGTCGGGCTCTGACGGCGATGGATCCTCGTCATCCGGCACGACGTCTACCTCTACATCTCACCATGGTCTCACGCGAGGAGGCATTGCAGCCATCGTCGTGGTTCTAGTCCTGCTGTTCGTCGGCATCATCCTCCTCTTACTACGCCGGCGGTCTACCAACAAGCGCGTCCAGAGGCGCAGAAACTGGCTGTTCGGTAGACAAACAACCGTCTACGGGAACACCGGCATCACCAGCTCCCAATTCTTTACCGATCATCCCAATGGCAGCACTGCCAACATGACCGAGCGCAGCAGCTTCGGCCCGGCCGCGTCGCACGCGCCTTGGGAGACGTTCAGCGACTCTGTCGGCGCGACCGCCGGAGGCAGCGCGCCTTCCTCCCGCATCGAGCTCTCCGTCCCGCCTGTCGGTCGGGAGATGAAAGGCCTCACGAAGCCCGTCTGGACGAGCCACCTCAATGGCTCCATGGTCTTCACCCCTTCCCTCGCCTCGCTCGCAAGCTCGAACGTCTTGCCTACCATCCGCAGCCCCGACCGCACCAGCTGGGGCAGCCAGAAGAGCATGGACAAGAGCTCCGGCGAGGATGGTGCCTGGGTGTCCTGCCCTGAGAGCGCCGCCGTCAGCACGAGTAGCCATGGCCTCCCCAGCTCCATGTCCGTGCGCCCCTTCAGCCCCTCCGAGGCGTGGCAGTTCCCCAAGCCGCCCGAGTCGCGAGCGGACGACGCGCTCCCCGCCAGCTACCGCCGCCAGAGTCGCGCCTCGACCCGCGTAGTCAGCCCCGACAGCATGTTCGAGTCCGGCATGTCCTCCGAGTACGCGACCGCGCCCGAGAACCCGTTCAGCGACCCCGCCAGCGCAGAGCCGGATACGCGCACGTCGGAGTCGGTCGACGCGGAGACGGCGTTGCACTTTGCGCGCGTCGAGATGATCCGCAGGCCGTTCGTGCCCGCGATGGAGGACGAGATGGCTGTGGCGCCGGGCGATCGTGTGCGCATGCTGCGGCGGTTCAACGACGGGTGGGCGTATGCGGAGAAGGTGGGCACGCGCCGGAGGGGGATCATCCCCATTGACTGCCTGCGCACGCCGTCGGAGGACCTGCCGGCCTTCCTTGCGTCGAAACGCCTGAGTAGCTATCGTGCAGGGAGCGTCTACGCAAAGTCAGAGGAGGAGACTGGAGAGCCGTATGTCAGATTCGCCATCTAGACCACCAACCGCTCCGTATTTATCCGAGCGTGGTACGTGCTATGCACCGAGCAGGGTTGTCATTGAGCTGACATTCTGGACAGCATTGAACATTCCATCCATCTCACGCACCGCCCTCACAAGATTGAGCATTGTTAGATTGTACAACACCGCACAAGCGTTGTGTGCCTGTCCTTTCGTGTGTATACCCTTTCCTACCTCTGGGGAGTGGTCATCTTTCGTATTTCATTAGACACTGATCTCGCTTTCACGTTCGTCGTAACAATCTTGGTTTGAACTTATTGCTGTACTGCTTACCACACGATCGTTGTAGGCCTGTGTCGCCTACGACGCCGTACCGCCTTGTAGCATCTGTTGTGTTGTCGAGTACATCTTCGTTTTCGTTCACCCTGGGTTGTTTATCTTGTCCTGCTGACTTTGGCGAGTACATGCAGAAGACACTTGCTTTGGGGCAGTTACTATGTAGTCCGTTAGGGAGTACGCCATGGACTTATGGTACACAATGTATAGTTGTTTGATATCGCCAGTCCGTGAGTGCAGTGAGCAAAATCATTGGTCAAATTGGATGCGAACTTTAGCGTTTGTATATTGTCATTTATCGAATGCATTATCAGCACCTCACATTGCCAATCGACATTTTGCAGCAACACAACAAATGCATACGATCGGTGCACCTCAATAAGCCACGCGCCAAGGATGCACGAACACTACAACAACAGAAGAGAAAGAATGTATGCCCCATATACTACTCCAATGACCAGCACTGGCCTCGCATTGGCAGGAGTCCCACGTGAGGCTCATCTAAGACCACTCGATGAATATTGCTATAGCCTCTCTTACGTCCGAGCGATGGACGACCAACCACGCAGGAGTCGTGCGAGCGGGTAACCCCGCCCCCCACTTCTCGACTGCGCTGGCTGGCTGCCGGACCCTCGCCAAAGGTAGAGCACATCTTGCACCTGGGGTCGGACCAGGTGTGAGATGCAGCCTCATGGAGGACCGGTCTCGAGGCGGCGCATACATCGCACAGCATACATAGAGGGAGACGTACCGAAGCCATGAGGAAGGAAGAAGGAAATGGGCCTCGCAGATGGATGGTCATGCCATGATCATAGATCATATATAACATAGGGCATTACACCGCGCAGCCGCCAGGGTAGTAGCGGACGTGCATGTCGGGGGATATGAGTACATGGACAACAGACAACGAAAGCAAGACGCAGCGAGAGACAACGCACGACCATACAAGGACATACAGCACCCGAACCCTCTGCCCCTCCACAACTACCGCCGCACGAGGGCGCCGACATATATAGGGACACGCGACGTCGGAGCGCGTGTCCTGGGCCCAGGCCCTGAGGCCGCTCGACTACCCGGACGGGAATGACTGCACGTTCGCGTGTCCATTTCTCCGACCATTAGACCCGTTCGTGTATGCGTATTCTTCTTGCATGATAGGTGTAGCACCGTTGGTCGCGATCGGGGGAGCGGGGTATGCATGCATTATGCTGGCGAACGTAGCAGGTACCGGTGGTGGCGAGGCTCCAGACCTAATAGGGTAGTGCCGCACAGAATCGCCATTGGACGTGGCAGAATGATATGGCGAGTGCTGATGTGCGTGAGGAGAGGAGTGGGATTGTGACCGTGTATGATGAGAAGACATCTGTGGTTGTGGCGAATACCGTTCCCTATTCTCCCGCTCCCGATGCATCACTGGCGAGTGTGACATTCGCGTGCTCGACGGAGACTCGCCTCGAACAGCGTTGGTGCCAGCAGGAGCATAATCTTCGTACGCAGGGTTGCTTGCACGCGAGCTCCGCCGTCCGCGTTGCGGCGGACCCTCCCGAATTTGTGGAGGAGGAACATACTCTTGATATTCTTGGTGAAACTGGATCGGCTTCATCGAAGGCGGAGCGAGGTATTGCTGGGCCCTCGTATCTTCTCCCTCGACCTGGATGATTTGCAGCTCCCTGTGCTCCTCCTTACCGTAGTACGAGCCGCCTTCTGGTCGACCACCTTCAGCCTGTTCGTGATCTTCAAGGAGGGCAGGAATCACTGCAGCATGACGGCCGCCAAGAGGTCTGTGGGCAGCATATCAGTCATTCGTCACCTGTCTGCGCCCTCCGCACTAACAAAAGAAGAGAACGCGACGCTCACCCGCCCTCGACGAAGTTTTGCCAGACATAGTCCTTCAGTTGATGTGCATTGGGCAGCTCCTGAATGAGGTGTTTGATAGTATTCTGGCCAAGCCCAAAGAAGTCCGGGCCAGAGACGGAGTTTGAGTGCTGTCGGTTCCGGATGCGGTTGGCCTCGCGTACGATGCTCGCCCACGCGCCGGTAGCGGTACCCGCGACGATTTTGTGATTTGGGTCGTCCTGCGGGACAATCTGGAACTTCGGCCCATCACCCCCGTCGAGGATTTGACAATGGTAGATGGCCTCCGCGTCCGGGTTGATCGTCGACAAGTAGCGCCTACAAGGACATGCCCGGGACGCTGAGCAGTCAATCGCGCACAAGTATCGCGGACACGTACCTGGTCACCTCGTAGTGAATGGGGAAGATATATCGCTCCGTGTGGAAGTGCTCGCGCATGCACACCTCGCCGAGGTTGATGACGGTCATGATGCCGACGACGAGGGGGAGGAGCGGCCGACCCTTCTTGTCTCGCGGCACCATGGGTATGCTGAAGCTCTTGCTCTGCACTGTATGCGCTTTGAGGCGCTTCGGCTTTCCCGCCCGCTGGACATCCGTCGGGCGTGACGCGGAGAGGGCGCCTGACGAAGACGTACGCAGCGTCATCTGCATTTGACTTTGAATTGGGGGCGCGTTTCCTACGACGTCAGGCCCTGCGGACTGAAAGGATGGGGGATACGCCGCACCCGGCACAGGGGGAGGATACTCGTCATGCGGAGACATCATTGGGGAGCCTGGCGACTCAGAGCGGTGGCCCTGCACGAGGCCGTGTGGCAGTGGGGGTTGCATCGACGACCCCGGTGGAGGACTCGCCTCCCCCGAGGGCGGCGCTGGTGGCTTCAGCCTCAATCTGGTGCCCGAGCTCGAGACAAGCACGGGCGGTACCCCGTTTCCCTGGCCCTGCGCCGATGGATGGGGTGGCGCGTACTGCTGCACTGGAACACTCATCTCTTTCCCTTTCTGCGTCGTTCGTGGCCGCCTCGCCTGCCGCCGTGCCTCTCGCGCCTCCTCCTCTTCGAGTTGCCTGCGCTGCTCCTCCTGGCGCTTGCGCGCGTCGGGCCCGATGTGGCGCGAGAGGACCATGGGGTCAATGTTGGGGTCTTCCTGGTCCACCTCGTCAATGGCCTGTCGCAGGTTGCCGACGAAGACTTTCTGGCTGTTCACTGACAGCAGGGAGCGCGGAAAGGCGGTGAAAGGGGGTCCAGGTATGGGTGCGCCAGGGTTGACCTGGGGGTTGGTCTCGAGCTCGGTGACGCGGTCGAGCAGCAGACTGCACCATAATGAGCAGCGTGCTATATGCGTCGACGAAAGAGTCACTTACGCGCGTTCTGCTCGCCATTTGAGGTTGCGTTCGCCGGACCTTTGCAGCTGGAACTGAGCTTCATTGTATTTCTGGATCGCCGTGGCGCACGAGATCACCGTCAATGACTGGGCACGACACGGATCTTCCTCGCAGATACGAAACGTGTATACTGACCTCCTCAAGTTCTTTGTACTTGCGCACGAGTTTGGAGTATTTTTCGACGACGTCCGACTCGGAACTGTTCTTGGGGATGTTGTCCCTCGGTTGTGAGGCTTGCGGAGGGAGGGGTGGCGGGCCCATGACGATGTCCTGGGGCGGGGGCATGTTTTGTGGCGGGCCCATGCTTGATCGCGAGGGGCGGCTCATGGTGGTCGAGAGACAAGAGGGGCGGGGACGCGCTGGGGTCCAGGGGCGTAGCCCAGCCAGGGCGAAGCGACCGTCGCCACCTGTTTGGTCCGATATAAATCCCACATTGAAACACTAGTCAGCTCTCCCAATCACGCAGATCATCTGCTTCTTCGTTCTCAGAGCACAAAGTCGCCTCGCAGGGCGGTGTGTATTGTTCTCCACGGCAACACAGACAAAGACTGCCCGCTGCGACGCGCCCGGCTGCGCAGGGAGGCGGGCCACCGAGGACGACAAGTCCGGGGAGGTTTGCGAGCTGGCCGGATATGGAACTCGGCGTGGCGTTGATTGACTGTTTTGGGCATGGCTAAACGCCCGAAACTTCTTCCCACTACGCCTCGTATGCGGACCCCGGAACTCCTCGTATGCTACGCCTCCCCAGGCTCACCCTTCTCCCGACGCAGCACACACAGTTGATCCGTCGTCTTTTCTCGCGACTCGTACACGCGACGGGCATACAAGCAGCACACAAAGTCGCTACACTAGCTACAGCGCACAAGGCACAGGACAAGGGATGGAGTGGAGGCTGTGAGAGAGGAGGGGCAAGGATGTGGACGGGTCCAGATGATCAGAGCATCTGTCAACTGACTCCGCCTCCGAATGCGGTCATCGCCATAGCTCCCTTCCCGCGCGCCTCCGTGCCTCGTTCCTCGCAGCCCGTGCACTACGCCTCCCTTCCCCAGCCGAGTGTCCTTCCCCCTTCGGGCATCCCCCTCCCATATAAGGCAACCGTAGTGTTCGCCCGGCCGCCTGCCCTTGCCGTTATCCGCCAAGCTTCCGCCACGAGTTTCCTTGTCCGCGATCAAGACCGTTACGTGGAACATATGTACCAGGCAGCAACGGGCTCTGTCGCCGCTTCGAGACACATGTATCTCGCTGCGGTGGCTGTAGCAGGCCGGACAGCATGCACACTGCCTATCCAGTGGTCCATCACGCCCCCAGGCGCCCAGCGTCCGGGGCAAGCAATATATTGTACACTGCCGCATACGGTATGATTCCGTCACTCTAGCGAACTGCTTCCAAGACACGCAGACACCGGGCGCCGACAGGGAAGAGCGCTACAGAAGTGATGGTTACATTGGATTCATTGACAACGTCGATCCCTTATTACATTGCTATAACTGTATTAGCAAAACGTAAGGTGGGGGACTCGTCATGTCGTGTGGCATGAGCCCATAAACATAATACGTATACGTGCGTGCGACAAGTCGGTACAGAGACATTATGGAGACAGAGACAGAGACTTGAGAGAAGGGGTCGTTTTGGACACGGGAAGAAACATGGGGCGGCGGGGTGCCTCGACGCCAAAGGCAGGGAAGATGGACACGAAGGCTGCCGGCACCGCCTTTTGCAGATGCCGGCGAGACCAAGAAAAGAACAAACCGAAGGAAACATGCAACTGTACTTGAGGGAAGGAAAACTTCTGTCCGAGGCGACGGGGGGACCTACTCTACTAACGATCGGATGGCATGCGTGCGACGCCAACAAGTCACATAAACCTATACCTGCAGAGAGGGGGGATCTGATCAACAGACTGCCCGACTCCGATCAGCCACGGATCCGAACGCCCAGCCAAATGATAACTCACCGAGAAAATCAAACCACGGAATGCATAGAACGAAGACTACCGTTGGAATATCTCCGTGATCGTCCTCCGCCGCTCCTTCCTCCCCGCGACCGTCGCGTTCCTGGTCGCGTTCCGCTCCTCCCGCTCGCGCTCCCACGCGCTCTCCAGGCTAGCCCTAGGGCGCGCCGCGACCGTCCTGCGCCAGCTCTCCGGTCGCTCTGTCTCGTTGCCCGACATCGGTGACAGGATTGGCGCCGCCTCAAGCCGCACGGGCGGTTCGTCGTCCATGGCACTGGATGCATTTGACGCAGACCGCAGACGCGCCAAGGATGCGCGAGAGACAGTATCGACGTTCCTGTTAGGACCCGCTCGAGAGGATCCTGAGGACTCGCTGCGGTCCATATTGGGACGATAGTACGCTGTGACAGGAGGCTCCCCGGGAGATCTCTCCGCCGATATGGTCGCGGGGGTGAGTGAAGTCGTCGCTCCGGGTGGCTTGAGGACAGCACTGAACGGGGACGACGCGGAAGGCTCTGCGCGCACGGTGAGGGTCGAACTACTTGAGACTTTCCTTTGCGCGTTGCTGTTCTCCGACGAGGAAGTGCTCACAGTGCGGGTGATGAGCGATTCAGATGGCAATGTCGAGAGCGACGGAGCGACGGAGGCGGGCGGGAAGTTGCGTTGGCGCTCTGACAGCGCCGAAAGGGATGTCCGCGAAGTCGGTGTGGGCGAGGGCTCGTATTTGTCGGGGGACCCCTGCTTCGCTAAGTTCAAATTCGTATGGATGGGCGCTAACCCTTCGGGCGTTGCGCGCTGGTCTCGGGACAGATACATCCTGCGTATGGACGACGACGGTGCCATCGTGCTGACCTTGATGGTCTGCGGTGTGCCATCCACAGCATCAGCAACGCTGCGACCCTCGCTGCTCGAAGTCGTGGAACTACGATGAAGAGCGGAAGCGGGGCGCACGTGGCTTCTCTCTAGACTGGACAATCGAGCCAGGGACGATTCCCGAGCATCGCGTGGGTCCCAGCTACGTCGAGTCCCACGGCTCTTCCTCCCGTCAGAACTGCGTCCGCCGCTATGAGTCACGCCAGTGTCCGGCGCGAGGCGAGTGGTGGGACTTTCATCGAGACTGACCGTGCGGAGGTGCTGCTGAGGGTCCTTGGCTGAGGTCGCATCACGAAACACTTTGCCGACGCCCAGGAGGAAACCAGTCATGTTCCGCACAACCTCGTCGCTCATCCTAAGGTTTTCTCGGTGCTCCGCCCCAACTTCTCTCCAGAGCTCAGGCAAGTCGATGCCCATCGACAAGTCGGTAACCTCTGCGTCGATCTGGGCCTCCAGCGCGCGATTGGTCCCAGACTTGAGCATCCCGTTGAGCTTGTCTAGCGAATGGACGACGTGCTGAGCAGTTTGGAAGAGCTCCGGGATCGTATTGGTGGTGGTCTGGCCCATTGGTGGGAAACGCGAGAGTTGGGACTCGAACATAGTCAGAGCCTCCATCATCAGCCGGCGGTGTTCCGCATTCATGTCCTTGTTCAATCCTGGGGACCCAACCGCAGCTGTGGATGCTGCTCTGACAGATGCGAAGGGCGAGGAGTAGGCGCGGTCTGCGAACTCTTGCTGGACTTGAGGAGACGTCACCGACTCTCTAGCGGCCAACACATACGTCGACTTGTATGCCCGTAATCCAGGCGGAGCCGTCCTAGGTGGCGGTATCTCGGGAGTGTCGTGATGCAAAGCTGCCATGGATGTACCGGGACGTGCGAGCATCCCTCCGGAGCGTGTCATGCGGTCATCGCGTCGATACGCGTTGTTGACTGGGGTGTGCGGGTCGAAGCGTGGTGGTGGTGCACCCAAGCCTGACTGTCCTTGAACAATAGAAGAGTTCCCCGTAGACTTGGTTCGTCGGGGAGATCCGGGTGCAGTCAGTTCTCCGCCGAACAAGTCATCTCCAGGATCCCGCCGCTTGGCCAAACCCGCTGCGCGTAACCCTTCACCTATCAAGGTCCTGCCACCATTACCAGCGAGCAGAGTATCTGAGCTCCCGCCTCTATGACCTTGTCGGCGGCCAACAGACTCGATACTTTCATTCGTGTACGATGGCTCCTCATCCTCGAGAGAAGCAGACAGATCCTCTGATAGCCACCTCGTCTGGTGTTTCCTAGTGAGATCACGGACAGTCGAGTACCGAGGCTGTCCTGGGCGACGAGGTGACAGCTGCGTGTTACTGGGTAGTGTTGACCTTGGACCTCGTGGCGACGACGGTGACGACCGATCGTAGCCGTTGCGATTACGATGTGGTGTAGATGGCTCTCCCTGAGGCTGAGACATGTGAGAGGCTAGTCGAACCGGAGAAGAGACAAATAGTGTTACCTTCTCTTCTGGGCTCCGCCGATCTCTAAACTCTCGAGGTAACGGCTGTCGGCTCTTCTTCCCACTACCCGGGCTACGGCGTGACGAAGCGACAGCTGCAAGAGCAGATGTCAAGACGTCATCTTCGTCTCCATGCGTGTGTCGGTGTCCCTCGTCCACGGACATCGCCATCGACATCCTTTTCCTCGGAGTTCGAGATGGTCCAGGCGACGGCCCTCTGTCTCGATCGCGCTGCGGGCGACCTTTTGCAGGAGATGCAGGAGCCGAGATTCGCCTCTCTCGGATGGGGAACGGCGCGCGGATTTCGGGGCGGGAAGGCGGCGTTGCAACGAGATCATCTGAAGAGTAAGAGTTATGCTGGCTTTCGCGTTCTGTTTCTGAGCCTGAATGGGAGTTCTCGATGCGGCGGGCGGGAGTAGGCAGAGGGTTCGAAGCTGACTGGGGCCTGACAGAGGTGCGTGAGGAAGTGCCGATGGCGGAGGGCGGCGAGACGGGCGAGCGGGGGTTGTTGGAGGGTGCTGGTGAACTGATCGGTGCCGGAGAATTGTTTCGGGATATGGAAGAGAGCTTGTCGAGGACCTAGGTAGTTTTACACGAGGTAGGACCAGATAGAGTTCCAACGGACATGAGACCCCCATGATACCATGCCCAATTGTACGGGTATATGCGCATAGATATTCAAGCGACGACAGCGAAGGCGATGCATCATGCGTGCCAGAGGACGGAGCGTGAAGGGGGACGTATATGTTGAGGTTTCCGAGAGCACCAAGGCGATCGAAGCATTGGACGTTCGAGTCAAAATATTTGCAGAGTAGACAGGTTCAGATTTGGTCAGAAATAATGCCTCAACCTCCTGGCTGAACACTCACCATCCGATTGCGCTGCGTAAGGCTCCTGACGCGGTCCAGGGCGGATGTGTTATCTTCATGGGCGGTTTTCGACTGCCGTCGCCTACCGGACAGGCGGGCGGTATTATCCTCCTCATTGTCAACTCCCCCTCCGTCCTCCTCCTCGTCCGTGAACACTTGGCTGCTCCGTTTCCCGTTGCGCGGCCAGTCGTAGCCATGGGGCATTTCTGAGGACGAGTTCGAACGAGACGCGCTAGATCGCTGACGGAGACTGCCGGCGCTGTTGCTGTTGCTATCCCCCACGCTCCCGCTGCCAGTGGAGTTCGTCGCCGGTGGCGAGGGGAGACCTGAGCCGTGTGAGGTCGATGGGCTAGGCGGTTCAGGCAGATCGGGTATAGATGGAGGCGAGGAGGTGGGGGTCGAGCCTGAACCGATGTAGATCGCCGACAAAGGACGCCGCGACCTAGAAGCCAGCGCAGGACGAGGTGGCATCGAGTGAAGCAGTGCGAGACAAGGTCATGTACAGGGAGGTGGACACCTCGAGAACGACGCAGACGATTGCTGTCGTCGTTCCCGGCGGCGTGAACGGCCGGGAGTTGGTGCGAAAGAGTCGAGACGGAGTCGGCGTTACAGTACACGTTTCTGCGCCTCGTTCCCAACGCGCTGCCAGGCGCTGCCGCAGCTTCCTCTTCTGGTATGCTCTGTCGCCAAACGCACGCAGCTCTCGACAACTGCTCGTCTGCCTGCAGTCGAGCACCTATACTATAACTGAAGCCCTGGAGTAGTTGATTAGGCCGAATGGGTGTGGTAAAGAGCGGGTGTGATAATAGGAGAACTACTACGATGCCAACGCCTAACTTATATCACAGATTGAACACCTGGTCCGAGCGCAAGTACAACAATTACCATGCTCGTGCAGACAGCCTTCTGACTCTGATGGTCGGAGTTTGCAAAGTCTTGTTAGTGAAAGTCCCTCGTATATGGTATCGTATATGTGCAGGTGTACTGCAGCCGGTCCCATTCTTGAAATCAAGGTGGCTTCAGCGCATACATCATGCCATCGTCTCGTCGCCAGCTAAGTATATGTCTCTGACAGTGCCTGTGGGCCTATAATCCCCGCTAGATACTAAGATAGTGCGGCATTTTGGACGGTAAGTGGCGTTGACATGTTGCGACCCGTGCCGACAACACTTTCTGGATCTATATGCTGTACCTTCAACTTTATGACTGGACACTGGTGATTTGTCGGCAAGCCCTGGTATATGCATTGCGGCTTTGTGCCCTGTATCCGAAAGTAAGCGTATTTCTTTAGACTTGGGCACGTAGCGAAACGAGGAAGGCAAAACGTACCGACGTGAAACTCACGCCCCGTCAAAATTTGTAGCCCCAGACACCATCGATGCATCATCCGTTGCGCCAGGGATGTGGCTAGCTCATTTGTCCATAGCATTTCACAGCATGAGGAACAGCTGCTACTTGACATTACTTTGCAATTGTCTCGGCACAACAGCGCAGCTAGTAGTCCAATGACGCCGAGAAGTGCTCATGCATCATTCATCTCATGAGGGTTGCAGCCCTGTGTAGAATTGTCAACCTCAGAAAACACGAGTACTACCCACCATCACAAAGGTTGGCTGCGCCGTACCGGACTGGCTGCGAGTTGATGGGATTGAGATCGGCGTGTCAGCGTGGCTGAGCGCTGAGGGCCATGGCAACTGCGTCGCTATTTCTCCATTCGCCGATAAATTGTATGTAATGCGACAACCGTTGCATCGTAATCTGCCTGCGTGACACACAGAGTATCATTCCACCTTGCTATGCAGTCGTAGAGCCACTTACTGAGTTCCTCTCGATGCAACACATCCTCTGTCCAGCAATAGCCTTTGCCTCCTACCGGTGTATCGATTTGTGAATACGTCTGTTCTTCCTGTATACAGCATTGCGTCATAAACGCACTGCGCCCACCGACGAACCTGGCCATCACCAGAATACGACAGAATCGACACCTATAGTCCAAGTATGTCTCCGGACCGGGAGCTGCTGGATGTAGTAATTTTAGCAGGCTTGTGGGAGACCTGGTTTGCAAGGAATTGTGGACACGTACCACGTTTGTGTCGACTTAGGCTACGGAACGGTCCGTTCACTGGGGGTCAGGTTATGTCGCGAACGTGCACTGTGCCGGAGAATAGGACAAGCCTAGGTTTTAGAAGCAGCGGCAACGTGCAGCTGCTGTCGAATATCAATCTTGACAAAGAGTGAACACACCGGGTGCCCTGAACATACGGGGGGGGGGGGGGGGGGGGGGTTACGAGGTGTCTTGTATGCGCGAAGGCAAAGCCGTACTTCGCCACAGCTTATCCTCCGCAAGCATGTTAGCCGCAATAGCCGACGCTGAGGTTCGAACTTGATATCCTCATCCGCCAGGGACACTACACACCCGACAGAACGTCCCAGGTGAAATATCGGCCCCGGCGATCTGCCCTACCAGACAGGCTCGCCCGCTCACCCACCCACTCCCGACCATTAGCCTTTCCCTCGCTCGCCCGTCCCCCCGTTCCCGACGCGACCTAAAATCCATATCTCTTCCCAGCCCGTGGCAAGAATACAGTGAATAAGATTCGCTTACGGATCCGCGTCTTCTGGTTCTCTCCAGATCGCGGGCGTAGTAGACTTCCGCTGTGCACCGTGTCGCGTCGCACTAGAGCGCGGACGACCTGGACGGTCTCTCTCCTCAGTCCTGGCGAGACCGTGACCGCGAGGGTGCGGGCAGGGTGCGTGGTGCCAAACCGGGTACACGGTCGTTATCGACGCACGCGCGCTACACGCACGCCGCGTTCATGATCTGCAACGCCTCTCATTTGAGTTCTATAAGCCTTCCAGCACGCACGGCCAAATACAGAACGCCTGCGCAAAGATAGCAAGCCTGGTATGAACCATATGAGGCTCACAGGTAAGCTGCTTCCTCTCCACGTGCGATCGTCAATATGATTTGAAGTCTGACCAACCCAGCGTAGTTCTCATCGGTGAACCGACGATAGGAGGGCCGTGCACGACGGAAACGTAGGTTCGACTTCTGTGTCCAACGGGCATCAGCGGGTCTGAGTACCACCCTGAGGATGCACGCACCTCACCAGACTTCACCGCGACTGGGACGCCGCAGGGTTATCAAAAGCCAATAACGCCTTCACACCTTTCAGGGAAGCCCTGACTACCAGAGGGTCCGCCGGACCCTGTCGAACGAGTTCGGTATGTCATCAGTGGCCGAACAGCCGTCCCGATAACAAGCTGATGCCTTCCGCGCCGCGCACACGCCCGCTTGACGACCGGGGCGTTCACTCTCGGGCGGGTGGAGCGAGCGACAACGTCCGCCACGCACGCTGCATATCGTGCTTCGCCGATGCAGAAGATCCACAGGGTCCAGAGGGATCGTCGCTGCAAAGTATGGAACGTGCGAAGCCGACTGGGGGCTTACGTCCTTCTCACGTACTGGCGGGCGCAGCAAATGTTTTAGAGCGTGGCGAGGAAATGGCGCGATTCTGTATGGTCGAGGGAGATCGCAGTGAACGCTGCTTGAACGGGACGTCCGGGACCCTGAAGGATTCCGTTCAGGACCGAGCGGTCAACGGTTTTTGGCCGCCATATTTCTAGCGGCGGACATTGTTGTGCGCCATGAGACGGAAACTGGAGTCACCAAACAATATCTTGCGCGGCGGGAAGGAGACCACCGACACATCTCCGGAGAGCAGCATGTCGCGTTGATGGGGAGACCTGGCTCCATGCGGTTAAAGCGGATATGCACCACAGTTGCGGAACCTTTGGGTGGTGGGGCGCCGCCACTGTCAAGTTTGATTGATGCCAAACATTTGACGAGCCAGGATCTGTGTGTGGACGGCAGGTAATTGTCGCTTGATCTTCTCCCAGTACAGATGTGGCACCCCGAGCAGAACCCGGCGTCGCCGAGATGCATCCGCGGTACGTACGGCATGCGTAAGGCAGGGCATGATACTGGAGGGTCCGTGAGATAGAGACCCTGCACGTCATGCTGTTCGACCTACCAAACGTCAATGTCGCGCGATGGTAGGATGCCATATACGGAAAGGAACCTTCCTCATACGGTAATATGTAGTATGGCGCGTTTCGACGCACCGTTCTGAGGTCAGGAATCAGAGGGCGGCGTGTCCGCGAGGATCTAGAGCAGAAGTGACGTAGTAGCGCAGGATACGGCTGATACGATGCTGCTGGAGTTGGTGGCGCGATGTGCTTGTGAACCCGGGCGTTCGTTGGGCGTTTCAGAGCTCGCAGCACGACGCCGCGCGAGGCGGAGGCAGTTTGGCAAAGAGGCCTAAACGATCAGGGTGGCGATGTCACTGTCGGCGACGGGGCCTGGGTACGGAATTCGGAGGGCTGCTTCGGACGTCTTCGCTTCCACCAAGGCTGGCGTCATCGGCGGGCACAGTAGGCTAGTAAATGCGAGCGATCTGCGCTGGTGGGCGAGGGGGCGGCGAGGGCCGCTGTGTCGCCGCCGAGTGTGACGGTGGGCAGCGTCGGCGGGGTCGGGCAGAAATAAGAGTTAAGCTTGGGGGCTGTGGCGGGGGCAAACAGGGGCAAACACGGGGTGGGAGGACGATCGCACAGACGGCCATTGATAGCATCCCAGGAAGTCACCCAGGATAGTCACCCAGCGGGCGGCCTTCTGCTCCAGTCTCCTCTATTTCAGCCCACAGCCCGCCGAGCATGGGCAACACCGCTTCCAACCCCCAGTCCCACCCGTCCCACCGCACCCAGTCCCCCATCGGCCGCGGCAGCCCTGCCCGAGCATCCCCCACAAACAACAATCGCGTACACCGCTCCCTCCGCCAGAAGAAGCGCTCCCTCGAGCTGCCCGACCTGGCGTCCCTCGCCCTCACCCCCGCCTCCTCCTCCCCCGCCTCGGTCTCCCCCCATGGAGCCTACCGCAGGCCGTCCTCGCCCATCCCTATCCCCATCTCTGCCCCCGTCCAGCAGGCCTTCGGGCCCCAGAACAACCTCCCCTCCGCTGCTCGCCTGGCCCTCAACAATGCCCGCAACAGCAGCCGATACGACCGATCCTACCTGAATGTCTACCCATCCACGCGCTCTTTCATGTCGCGGCTCCAAGAACATTCGCCCCCGCGCGAAGAGCCGCCGCGCACCGAGTTCGTCCCCGAGATCATCCACAGCACGCTCCCGCTCGCCCTCGTCAAGGCCGAAGAGGAGTTGAGTAACCCCGAGCCTGTGCAAACCAAGATCGTCTATCGCGGAAGCGGTCAGTCTGTGATTCTTACACGTGCGGGGGACGACAGCTGGCAGGGCAGGCAGCCCATGCAATTTGAGTGCGTGTCGTGCCCGTGTCCTTGATGCTGTTGTGCTCATCTGTCTCAGCCCGACGAGTGGGCAGTGGTTCACCTACGTCAATCTGTTTCCAGGGACACATCACCTCAAATTCATCGTTGACGATCAGATCCGGATTTCGGAGGACTACTCTCAAGCTGTAGACGACCGCGACGGGTCGCTCGCAAACTACGTCAGTGTCCCCTTCCCCTCGGCCAATGCCTCTCCTTCTGCAGTGGCCGCACCCGTCTCATGCGCCATCTCGCCACTCGCAAGCCCGCACCACCAACACCCGCTCAACGTCAACTCCTTCTGGAGCGACGCAAGCAGCACCGCCGGGGAGTCGGGCGGCTCAGGGCGCGAGCACGCGGAGCCCGAATGGACGACCGAGATCCCGCCCGAGCTCATCGCCGCCGCCGCCGAGGAGGAGGTCTACCTCCAGATGCAAGAAACCGCGAGCATGTCGCACGACATGTCGAGCAACTCCTCCGCAAGCGGGTACAACTCCGTCCCCACCCCGAACATACCGCCCGCCCCCGTGCTCCCGCGGCACCTCGACAAGCTGATCCTCAACGTGAAGCCACAGACAGTGAGCGGGAGCCCTGTACCGACCGAGCGCGAGCGATCCAGGCGATCGGGTAGGGATCGCTCGAGACGCGAGCGCGACAGGGAGAGCCGGACTCGCTCGAACCACCTCGGAATGAGCATGACCGCGGGCGATGCCAACGGGGATGTGTACGGCGACGGAGGGGTGCACGGGCCATCGCCCCTGGGCTTGCCCGTGGTGACGGCGAGTGGGACGGACGTGACGAGTGCGTTGGCGGCGGCAGACAACGCGGAGAGGGCCAGTCGAGCGGCGATGAAGCTAGATGTCACTGGCCTAGCGGACGATGCGAGTGTATTGCCCGTGCCGTCTCATGTCGTGCTACACCATCTGAGCACGAGTGCGATCAAGAACGGCGTCTTGGCTGTCGCAAATACGACGAGATACCGCAAGAAGGTGAGCATCCCACCTCCATGTCTTCACACTTGGTTTGGCGAGTACTGCATCATGGGCGACGTGCGTCGCCTCGCTATTTGATGTCACTTCTTCTTTTGTCTGACCATCTTATGCCTCCGCTGACTTCAGAATTCTATGTCTTCGCAGTATATAACGACGATCTACTACAAGCCGACATGAAAGCAGCTTCGGGACGATGTACTTGCGTCGGGCTACGATCATCCATTCACAGACATTCTTCTGCATAGAGTTCCCTCCATAGCCATCCTCCCGTCATCTCACTCCATACCGTCTCACCACACATCACGTCTCGTCCCGCACCACGATGATTCGATCCGCTTCCGCCTGTTGTATGTACTCAACATTCTCCTGGGCTCCGCCGTGCTGTCCGACTACTAGAGATGTACAAGATGGACCCGGCGGAGCCCCCGCTTCCTCCTAGACTGCCTGACGGGCGACCCTACGGTCGCGCTGCCCCGCCGCGGCCTCCCTTCACCCACCCAGGCCCCTACTCAGCGAGAAACCACCTTGACAGCAACATCCGTGTATCTATGCATCAGTGCTCGCTCGCCCTGTCTATCCCATTTACCCCGCGAGTGGCTCCTCTGCTTTTGTCGCCATCATCATGTTACGCACTATGTATCATGCCCCTCTGTTTCGCATGTGTTGCTTGTCCTCACTGGTCTACGAGTAGCCCGTCTTGCATATTATACCACCTGACTCGCATGACCCTGCAACTGGAACTTGATAGTTGTCCGTGTGCTATGCTCGCTGCCCCGCTACCTGATATCAGCCTACCCCATCGTGAGGGTGATGTGGGTCATGACTCGAAAGTTTGGACGTTTGAACTTTTGGCAGCGCAGTAATTTGCAACAGCCTGGATCGTGCGTATACTACCACTCCCGTCGCAGCTGCCAGTTCTTTTCATTTCCGAGTACACGTTCGAATGATGAATCATTTGAATTTGTCTCTGGGTACCTTTGGGGTACCTATACTTACGCAAATACGAGTACAACTTTACGGTGGTGGCAGGTACCGTAGCAAGTTTAAGCTCCCGTCCAGTCAGTGACCGGTGGCCGCGAGCGCTGTAGCCTCTGGCCTCTGGCGAAAATGCAAAGTTCCGACCAACACGATCAAGTTCAAGTTGTTCCGGTTTGCTCGAAACAAATTTCGCTCCCAATTCATCGCAGATGGCATGGGCAGATGCTAGGAGCCATGGCCACGAGTCTGCCGCGTTCCGCCCCATCCACGCTCCTGTCTCGCAGCGGGCCTTGCCCTTCCGGCTGAACTCTCCATCTCGAGAGGGGTACTAGTCATACCGTTCATAGCGGAATGGCGATTGAGATCGAGACGGCCTCGAGTGCACGACAGGCGATTAGTACTGGCGATGCTGCCAAGGCCGAACTGGCCGACACTGGTAGCGGCATGGGCAAGTCGTGCAGCGCGAAGTCGAAGCGCAGAGACGACACGGACCTGGAGAACAGTCCGAATCCGGTGCTGCAGAGCGCAGTATTTGCACTCAAGGTACGCATTCGCCTCTTTGCGTGTGTAGTTGTCTCACAGTGCGGCGTGCAGAAAACGGACATAGTGCAGCTGAACGAGCAAGGGATACATGCCGCCGCACATTTCGTACGTCTGTTGTCTCTGGGCCGCAGATGTCAACCAAGCTCAAGTGTGCCTGTTCCTTAGATTCATGGTCGTCTTCAGACAGAGTCCTATACGCCTCGCACCTGGCACACACATCCACTGCACCTGCTTCCCCCTGAGCCCTATTCACCGGCCGACCCGTCCACCCGCGCCTGCCTCGACTGGATCTTCCTCATCTCCTCGCTTAACTTCAGCTTTTGGTCGGAAAGGGAGGGGTTCCCTGATCGGTACGGAGTGGACTGGCGCACTGGGTGGGGGAGCGAAGAGAGGAAGGTGCACACTGGGTACTGGGCTTTGGTTGCTGCCATTAACAGAGGTGTGTATGCCATCCCAGTGTGTAGTCAGTTGACTGATTGGGTTTGCCGAAGCGATTGAGGAAGGCATCCCTATCACCGACTCTGGGTTCTACTCGTCAAGCAACGAGTGCCCGGATGGTGTAATCGAGCACGTCTTCAGACCGGCCGCACAATGCAGTGAGACGATTCCCCTCCTGAGGGAGCGCATTGCCATCCTGCGAGAAAATGGCCAGATTTTGCGCAAGGTGTGCATCTTCTCTGCTTCGGCTGGGTTTCACGACGCTCAATGGGCTTCGCGAATCGTGGACAGCGTTTCGGAGGCTCTTTCCAAGGCTTCTGCGACGCATTCTTACGGAAGTACAACGGCAAGGGCACAAGCCTGCAGCTCGCTCAGATGATTGTTGACACCTTCCCCTCTTTCCGGGATGAAGTCGTCTTTGAGGGGCGAAAGGGTATGTGTTTCGTGTGAATCTTGTGTGCCCACGTTGATCGTTCCCGCAGTGTGCTTCTGGAAGCGCGCACAGATTCTTGTGGCGGAGACCTGGGCTGCATTTTTCCCAGCCGATGATCAACCACATCCTCTCTTTCCCGTGGACGGCGCCATCAGCCAATTGACGATGTTTGCCGACTACCGTGTCCCGCAAATCCTCCACCACCTACGTATGCTGGACTACCCACCGTCGCTGGCGAAGAAGCTTCTGTGTCACGAACCGTTCGCTCCGGCCTGCCAAGAGGAGGTCAGCATCCGTGCTGCCAGCATCGTCGCTGTGGAGAGGGTCCGACAGGAGATACTGTGTCTCAATCGACACCCAAGCAAGAGTGTGCAGACGAGGGACGAAGTGAGTAGCGTAGTGATAGACTTCTACTTGTGGGATTTGGCCAAAAGGATTGAGGGTGGCGAAGATATCGTCGAGGAGATAGACACGAACGATCCGTTGCCCATACACCGGACGAGGAGTGTCTGGTATTGATTTCATACAAAGTATCGTACTTGCTGGATATCATACATAACTTAGTCGTACTCGTACATCGTATCATATTGCATATTACTGCAGGAGGATTGAAGTCGTCGGAAGAGGGGTCAAAAGGAGGACCTCCGCGTGCTGCCTCAGCCAGCATGCGTGCATCGTCCGGCCGTCTGCCTTCATACAGAAGTTTCGTCATGTTGCGATTTCCGTCGCAAGGAGCTACCAGCTTCTCCAGTTGCTAAGGCCGAATGGGAGCGTCCATCCGACATTGCGTAGGTTTCAGTGTCATCGTCAAACCATTCCAGCTCATCCCCGCGCTCCGTGCCATCATCGGTAGAGCTTCCTGCTACTGCAGATCCAAAGTTGCCCAGGGCACTCGTGAAGCGGATGTCGGACATGTGTGAGGTTTGTTCGGTCGTGCTGTCGTTAGGGTTGAGTGCGGCCGTGCGCAGGTTGAGGAAGAAATGAGACAGGAGAATGATCGAGAACCTGTGAGCCGTATTGAGTTGCAGCTGCGTCTCGCCCGAGAAGTCGGGCGCAAGACGTACACGTTCGAGAACACGGTGATGTTGTTGTACACCTGTTGATTGCTCAGGTATGCACAACCCGGCAATTCCATGAAAACTCACGTGTGTAAGCCACAATGTGGCATTCAAGATGTTGAGGATCAAGAGCACACTGGGAAGGTGTCAATACGGCGTTGTGCGTTGGATAAAGCCCTAGATCAACTCAACCCGAAGTAAACGCTCCCTACGTGTGGATTATGTATGTATATGATGAGTTACTAGCAGTCGCGAACAGATCCACTGCACGCACCGTCTCTCAAAAGCAGCGACGTGAGGGACACTTTGAGATCTGTGGAACGGCCAATCTTGGCTACGCTCCAGGTGACTCGCCATGTGGCAAACAAGACCAATGCGTCCACAGCGGCATTGCAAGCTCGTGTTGCGATTTGCACTGTGCAACCCCTATGTAAGCTGGAGTCAACCGGCAAGGAGGGGGGATACTACATCTGGAGGATTTTAGTGAGCACGAGTTCGAGGCAGCACGAGTGGCAACAGATGTCGTACTTATCCGTGAGATCCTCGTCGCTCAAACCAATAACACAGCCGACGGGAGGTGGTTCCGCGATCCGATACTGCATGTTGAAAGTTGTGAGCAATACGCTGCAAGAGATGTAGCCAGCTCGAGAAGGACTTACTGTAAGAACGCAATGCACAACGTCTGTCGCAGGGCCTAGGAGGGAGAGCGCTAGGATGGCAATAGGCAGTCGCCAATTCCGGCCGTTGATGGCGTATACACGTAGTGCAGCGATCGCTATGTGAAGCACGTTTAGCGTCGCATATGAACAGTGGCACAGATGGAACGAAGCATCTACATCCGAATGTAAAATACAACGCAGCAGCTATAGCCACATAACTGATGTAGATCGAGTATCCTCTGAATTGTCAATTGAGTGATCAGCCATCAGATGCCATGCAAGAGCATCATAGGATCCTACCGACATCTAAAATCCATTCTGTCAGATGAGCTACTCTGATAGTCAAAGATGCAACTTACTTCGCAGGGTCCGGAGTAGAAGGCAAGTAGAGTCCCGAGGAACAAGTAGGAGAAGGAGAAGAAGTGCATGGAGGCAAATAGGGCAGTGACGAATGTCTTCCTGTGCGTCCACACGACGCTGACCTCTCGATCCAAGTTCAGGATGCGATCGTACACATACAAGGCTGTAGAATACGTGATTCAGCGAACTCCGGCGCAATGATACGTTGAGTTCAGTGCATGACTTACCAAGAGTCGCTGTGACACAGCAATTGGTTGCAAACCTGGGCCGAATTCGTGTCAAACATTAGCGACGTTTGCCAAAGTCATGGGCCATGCAGTGCGCACGTAGCCTCTAGGGATGCGATCACTTCCTGGGAATGTCCACCTGCTGACATCGTCGGACGATGCTGGGGATTACATCGACGCGGTCAGCATCTAGCAGCTGATGGCGACCCTTTTGACCCGGAAGACAATACCATGGCAGTGTACATAGTCTACACTCCAACACTAGTGGATGGCGTGTTGATCGCCGTGCTGAGAATCAGCTCAAGCTCCGCCTATCGGATGTGCCAGGCCAAGCCCAGGCAGCCCAAATGAAGTCATGGCCGAGCCGGGGAGTGGCTCGAAGAAATGCCTTACATAAATAGCTTCGCATTGCTGTGCCTCAGAGTCATAATACTTAGACCGTGTTGTCAATGTGCCGGAACATACGCAGCGCCCAATAAAACCCGGTTGGGAAGTGTGGAGCTGTACTCGTGTTGTGCTACTTACGTTTCGTCAGACAGCATTCGCTGATCAGTAGGCGCTGGCCGAGCCATAGCATCAAGAAAGTCTGTCACAACAGTACAATTTGAGTCAGTCATCCAGGAGCAAGACATGATCACCGACAACCATACCCTCAGTTATTCTATCACAAATGTCATTTGTGCACTGTTGCTGTAAGGACAGATCAGTGTAGATTAGCTGCTAGGTCGGCGCCGCGTGTGTTCAGTCAGAAACTAGTGATTTGAGGTGTCAGGTATATCCAGATAGGCTGCCGTTTCCCTCAGTACGCATGGAATAATGCTCACCGCCGCGCTATAATTCTTTGTACGCGCGCATGTATGACTGAATAAGGCGGTCATGTCATCGTATAATGAACACCAACATCGACACACAGTTCTCCATGCTCATGCGGAATTCGAAACCTATGCCCTGAGCTGTGTCGCATAAGCGGTGAAGATCGCATCGATCCAACTTCAGTGGGCCTACCTCGAGAGCGTCATACCCCAGGGACCTGTGAGAGTCGTGTTAAGCACGCGGCTCGTATCTGGTACCAAAGCTCCTACGGACCTGCGATATCATATCCTCTGCAGCGTTTGATGGGGAGATAGCAGGTTCATCAGGGTCGGCGACCGCAGCTGTGAGCATACGAGCAGCTTCATCGCCGGATATGATGTCGATGATGTCATTCCCATCTTCAGGCTCATAAGCTTCAAGTTCACCCTCCTCGTAGTCTTCACCGTCTTGATGCTCGCTGGACAGAGCGAAACTTCCTGCTACCGCGGAGCCCATGCCACCAAGAACACCCGAAAAGCGGACGTCGGACATAACAGATGATTGCCCGGATAGGCTGCTGTCGTGATTGAGGGCGGTCGTCCGTAGGTTGATGAACAAGTGGGAGAGAAGAATGACCGACAACCTGACAAATGGTTCAGTGAGGTCCTATCAGGTACGAAGGTCTAGTCTGGACATCTCACGTACACGTTTGAAAATACGGTCACATTTTTATATATCTGCGCCACTGTCAGAGACTTGGACTGCGCGCCAACATTACACTCACATCGACGACCCATAAGGTGGTGTTGAGTACGTTGAGGACAAAGAGTACACTGTGCGTCAATAGGTATATCGTCTGCTCACATGATGCAGCTGGCCTACGCGAAGTAGACGCTCCCTGGATATCGATCAGAGTTGATTAGCAGTCGTTGAGCGGGCACTAGCACAGACATCGTACCATCTCTGAGAATCAGTTTACTGAGGGACGGCTCCACAGACATTGAACGACTGAGCTTAGCCACTCTGTAAGTGACTCGCCAGGTCGTGATCAGCACCAGAACATCCGCAAGAGCGTTACAAGCCCGAGTTGCAACTTGCACTGCACGCGCATAGTCAGCCGGATGCGTACAGACGCATCGGGAAAGCAGGCCTACGTCTGAGGTGAGGTCAGTGACAAATTGACGTTGACAAACGCAATGTACAAACCTATTGGCGAGCTTCGGATCGCTGAGTAGTATGGAGCAGCCGACAGGAGGCGGGAGGGGTATACGATACTGAGCGGAAGTTGTGGTCGTGAGGTGGGCAGCGTTACGAAGGGGGGAAAGCAGTCTACCGTTCGAATACAATGCATGATATCCGTGGCCGGCCCTAGAAGAGAGAGCGACACAATGACCAAAGGGATCCGCCACTCTCGACTGTCGATGGCCAGCGCGCGTAATGCTGCAATCACTGTATAGGCTCCGTCAGCAATGTGCAATATGAAGAAACTCAGCACTCACGTCCGAGGGTAAAGTACTGCGCTGCTCCTATGGCGACGTATAATATGTATATGGAATATGCTCTAAGTCAAACATTGATCAGCCGCAAGTATCAGCAGCGAACCTGGATCAGCGAGTACATACGACTTGTAGCTTGTCAGTGCGCGTTATACGGAGCATGATCGTGGATGCGTACTTCACAAGGCCCAGAATACAGCGCGAGCAACGTTGCGATGAATAACGAAGCAAGGGCGAATATATGCATGCACGTATACAGCGCAATGACGAGCGTCTTTTTGCGCAGCCATACGACTTCGATTTCTTGTCCAACCGTAGTTGCGCGATCGTACACGTATAGCACTGTATTGAGAACATTGTTCTTGCTTCATGCGATGGCGATTGTTGGACGTTCGAATACCCACCAATGCTGGCTATATAACAGCAATTAGTTGCGAATCTAAGCAGATACATGCCAGGCCGCCACATTGTGAGCCCCGTTGACTGCTTCCCCATAGAGCATATAGACACTCACGTATTCTGTAAGTTTATAATCTCATTCTGCGTCACTTGGGTGGTCGCCATAGATGAGGGTACCTCTTCAAAGCGTCGAGTTGGCCTGTGATCTGCCTGTGCGCTGCTCTTAAGGCCTGTATACTTGAGGACTCAATCCCAGGATCCCATTCTGAAGCAGCATTCCTTACCAAAACGGCGCAGAACACCATGATCTTGATGTTGATCATCTGTCTGGACAAGAGCGATAAGGTAAGAAGTTGAGGACATCAGAAGCAGCCGAACAGCGGACTCGGTATTTCTTTGACATCCTGTCGTACGGTCAAGCCAAGACAGTCAATGTCAAGGGTACAACTGGCGCGACCCATTTGTACGAAGGGGTCTGGGATGATAGAGGAGTCGTGGTCATGCTGCTACTATGCTGAGTTCAAATCTCTAAGTTCAATACATAGGAACACCGGAACTCACGGCAATAATTTGGAGTCGATGCGTGGGTTTCGTGATAGATAGCTGTCCGTTGATCGAAGACTCGGTCGAATCAGTGCATCCGCGCTGGTCGGACGCCGAACTTGCATTGAGTCTGAAGAGAGTTCATGCCAACTTTGACAGGATGAAGATTGCAGCACCATGCGCCGCCCCGCGTTCTCTGTACATGAGTGAGCATGTGCAAGCCTAGACGATCCGCACACAACGCAACATGACCACGCACCGTTGCACCGGAGAGAAGCCTGCTCATTGGGTCCGATCGACCACTTCGACATGCAGCTGGGTGTTGATCTGGTTGCTCGTTGAGTCACTGCGGGTCTACAAGAACATGGTCAGCGAGACGCGTGCGTCATGGCGTCGAGTAATTCAGTGAAGCTTCCGCGCATCGAGGAGTGATGTCCTCGTGTGGTGACATAGCAATACATTCTGGGCGCAGAAGGTGAACAACAGTGGCTAGTAATCATCGAATGCCTCGCTGCATCATTCCTCTATCTCCAAGTCGCCATAGGGCTTCGCGCGGAAGTAACTCTCATCAAAATGGTGCACACGGACAAATCCATCCTCTCCTCCGGACGCGTAGGAATCGCCCTTCGGTGAGATAGCGATGCTGTTGAAAACTGCGGTCAGTATCCATCTACCAAAATGTACCGTGTAGAACGTACGTGTTGACAGGCCCAAAGTGACCCTTAACACGGCCAACCTCCTCCTCGAAGACTTTGTGCCAGAATCGCGTCTCGAATTTGCCTTGCCGCGCTGATGTAGTCGTGACGCTCATGGCATCTTGTCCACCACCCAGCAAGACGTAAGGCTTCCCTGGTGCGATGGCTGCGCTGTTCAAAGGAGTCTCCGTCGTGTACGTCTTGAGAACGGTAAGTGTCTTAGTCTCGTGGAGCTATTGTGGTGGTAACATTGAGTCATCAGCACAGGAATCAGGACAGTTCAACATACCCGGGCAGTCTTGTCCTTGCTGCTCGTGATGAAGTATGACCGGTCAGGACTTAGCTGAAGATCGGTTACGACATCCATATGTGCGCGCTCGTTGTTGAGCACTTCATCGCCCGTCTTTGCGTCGAATAGAGCAACCTTGCCCGACTCGTGACCCATGAGGATGAGGTTCGGCACATGGGCAAATGAGCAGAGGGTCGCTTTCGAGCCGATAGGATTGAACATAGAGCCTGGCTCCTTGGATTCTATCGCACCGAGGAGAACCAGTGAACAAGCTGAGATTAGCACGGACATGAGATGAGCGGCTAATAGCAGACGCACGATTGGTTCCGTCGCCCTCCCTGTCAATGTTGAATATACGTACGGCAGACGAGTGGCCCATCCGCTGCTCTGTGATACACACAACCTGCTGGTCGTCCTCGCTCCAGGCGACTCGTTTTACCGCGGTGGGGAACTCCCACCAGTATAGACATTTGCCAGTCTGGACGGACCACAGGCGGAGGGTATTGTCAGCAGAGCCGGTGACCATGAAGCGTGATTGCGCTGTGAAAGATGGAGAACATAGTTTGTGGACATTGAAATCAGTCCCGCGAAACGAAGAAAAGAGCGAGGAGACGCACAGTCGATATCAACTGTCCAAACTGCCCCATTGTGCCCTTCGTATGTCCCGAGTCGCTCTCCGTTGTGTGCGAACCAAACGTTGATGACGTGGTCTTTTGAGCAGGAGAAGAGGAGGTCACCCTCCTTGTTGAACTTGATCTGGGTCAACGACCGCTCGTGCCCTGAAGCGAGGCGACCGATTGAATAATCTGTTACCGCGGAGTTATACAGACCAACCTTGCAGAAGAATCGGCCTCTGCAGGATAATCAGCAAGAAAGATAGAGAACTGGATAACGCTTGCATACCATTTTTGGAGAGATGGGAGCGAGACAGGCGAAGATGGACGCGGCGGACACAATGTAGACTCAGCAATTGGGCAAATGCTTGAGATCGAGACAGCCACCGGCAACTGCCGGAGGATTGATTCACCTTCTCGGAGGCGCGATACGATCTAGCCTCTAGTGTGCCGCCGCCTGATCAGAGAGCACTGTCTCCCTTATCCTGCACACCGCTCGTGCGGGTCGCGGGCTCGAGCTCGCTCTCATCTACACTCCTACTCCCCCCCCCCACAATCGCCGCTAATTCCTCCAGGTCTGCTGTAGACGCAGCACATGGCAGACTCGGACAGCGCAGCGCCGGTCATACCTCCAACAGCGCTCGCACAACCGCCGCCGCAAGGCTCCCCGGACGTGAACGCGACCCCGGAACCCGAGCCTCCTCGTAAGCGCAAAAGGATTGAAGACCAGGCATCCGACCGCTCAGCGCAGACCTGTGATTCTCAACAAGCGAACGATCGCACCGGCAATATGGATAATGGTGAAACACACGCTGCACCAGCAGTGCACGACGAAAACTATTATGACGAAGGTGCGGATTGTGTGATCAGAGTCGAAGACACGCTCTTCAGGGTGAGTCAACGTCTAGCCGGGGACGAGCAGCCCACTATGCCCAGAGTTATATCGGCTCACGCTCGCACTTATCTAGGTTCACCGCTTTTTGCTCGCCCGGGATTCATCAGTATTCCAGGATATGTTCAATTTACCTACGGGCGAGGCGAAAGAGGAGACCCCTCAAGAGGGCTTCAGCGACGAGGAGCCTATACATCTCTTTGGAGAAACTGCAGAGGAGTTCCGCATCTTCTTATCTGTGCTCTATGCGCTGTGAGTTTGCGTGATTCGTATCTTCTTAGTGACACCTCTCATGTATTCTTTATAGACCAGAGGAATTACATGCGTATCGGACGGCGTCTTCAGACATATCCCGTCTGTTGACCGTCGCCTCTCTCACGAACAAATATCACTTCATCAGCACCGCCTGGTGGGCCGTCTCTGCTCTCTACAGCGTCACTTCGGGAGAATTCGGCCCGCCTACGCATCCTATGGGTGATCTCACGCGGGCTTCCACCGCTGCCCTCATACGGATACTCGAAGTCGCTATGCGTTGTGGACACAGAAGACTCATCGACTTCGTGGTCGAGTCCTGGTCCAACAGGATACTGAGCAAGGACCTTGCTCCTCGCGCCGCTATGCGCGTAGCCGACAGATGGGACCTGGACGGTCTCAGAGGGGTCGCCTACTATGTCCAACTCATGGAGATGGGAAAGGACTTCGATGGGCGACTTCGCATGGGTCACAACCTGCTTTCGACGCAGACTCAAGAGATGAGGCCCGCGCGCTCCGTCGCGCAGTTGGTGCAGGTGCAGGGTTCTAACGAAGAGGCCGTCGTGCCTGCACCTGCGCGAAGCACTTCGTCCTCGGAACCTCCGAGCGAAGACGAAACTGCACCGCTGACTACCGTTCAACTGCGGCGTCTGCTTTCCGGATTCTACGCCATGGTCACGCTCTGGGACCACCTCCGTCTCAACCCTCCCAACTTCCCTCGTCCCGACGGTTGCACGTACCATATGCATGGCTGCGTCCTGACCTTCCGCACCGTTTGGCTGGACGCGGCGAAGCACGACAAAACAACAACTTACGGAAGCGCAGACGTTGTTGGTCGGCTCCGATGCGTGGAGGACCAACTCCGTGCAAGCACTGACCTGGCATGTGCTCTCAGCCCCGGCTGCAAGCGCGAGGCGCTGGCTGCCGTGAAAAAGCTTGTGAAGGACGTGCAGGAAGGTCTATCAGCCCGCTTTGTGGATTTGTCGGTCGTCGGTGATTGAGCTGGTGGGTGGAAGAAGTGGGGACGCTCGTGGGAGCGTCCAGGTTGTTTTTCATGCTATCTGTTGCAAGTCTGTTGGCTCGCATCATGGGTCTAGCAAGGCCATTCCACTGCTATCTCACTTCCTCACCGACCGTAAACACGTTGTTGTGTGTACCACGGACATGTAAATAGTGGTCTGGCCTTGTATCAGTAAGGTGGATTATGTACGTCCCATTTGCCCTTGTTGTGTTGTATCTAGCACTCATATCTAGGATACCATCTGCGTCTCGGGAGGATGGGTAGGGTTCAGACTACGGGACAGTTGCGGGACAGTGTCGTGGAAGCATAAATCAGACTTTTAGACTTGACCGGCCTCGAGCCGTCTCGACTTTGGACCCTGCGTGCGCCTCGGTGCCCTAGGCCCATCCAGTTCAGCACTTAGAGCAGGGTCCGGCATCTGAAGCCGTCTAGGGACAGTCTGGGCCGCGGCAGCAGGTGTGTGTTTCATAAGCATGACGGGCCCAACGCTCCTTATACAGGCTGTAGGGCTAGCGGGACTACGGCGAGCAGATGCCACGACTTCCTCTCCCCAACTCTCAGGCTTACTGGCGTTCAACCAAAACTCGTCAACATCCGTCCGAACAACCGTCATTCGTGTCCGATTGGCGCACCGCCCACCGTTGTACCTGATTCATGACCGGGCGGTCATCGTCATGAAGCACATCCATGATGTCTGGCCGGAGTGAGGCTGTGGCTGAACGTGAAGACATGAGGTACGCTAACATACACTGCTTTCAGGACAGTGATTTCGGGAAGTCGAGCAACGTTGACGGTGCCGACGTCAGGCTTCGAACTCTCATCGTGGTGCACAACCCGACATGTTGGTGGACAGGCAGGGCACGACCTGAGCGCATCTGCAATACGGAGCGGTTGGACATCGACGCTGTCGCGACTCAATACGTTGATACGGTGAGTGGCTCAGCTGCGGACCAGGCATTCGGACTGTGACGTAGTGTCTGCGCGTATACACCCGCGTACGATTAGTGAACGCAGTGCACCTCCCGCTGACGAATCGTGGAGCAAGAAGCCGCGCGAAGAGGTGGTTAGTGTGTGGGCTATGACGGAGGGGGACCTGCTGGCATCCCAGAAGGTGTGCGCTCGAATTGGACGGAAGCGTTGTATGACCTCGGGCGCTCTGCGCCGCGCGTTTGCTGACTACGTCGCTTGGATCAGATGTCGTTCTTGACATACACTGTGCGTCGGTAAACCCGAGCGTGGGTACGCCCGGCCATCTCCCAAATGTCACGCGACCGCAGACGACCAATCGTACGAACAGAAGGATCCGCTGCGATGGCCCCTGCTTCGACGAGACGTACATCGTGCGATATGCGCCTCCTCGGAGCAATGTTCATCTGATACTGGCAACGCATCAGTCAAAATTGACGAGAAAAATACGTGTGCAAAGTGCGCCCGGTACAGAGGTACGCCTACTCGCCCATACGCACGCCCAAACGCTCAGATCATCAACCGCCAGGGCTTTTGCTTGACGGGCTGCGCGCAAGCCTTGAGGCCGAGACCACTGTGTTCCTCAGGAACAGCGCACCTTCGCCCGGAGCCTGGGTTGATAGGACCTGAAGACAAAAACGCTGCCGCCGCATGTCAGCGAACCTGCGCGCGCGGATAAGGCGCGGCCGAACCTAACTGGACCCTTGGCACGGACTCTTCGGGAATCGTCGAATAGGAGGACCATATACCGTTCGCCCGCCTGGCGTCCGAGCGAGGGTGAACGCATGGTGACGGCAGCCGCAGTTGTCCGCTGTCTGTCGGACAAGGTAGAGTTGGATTTGGCTACGAAATCACGCAGTTGTGGTCGGCGGAAGTCTCGGACACGTCCTCGCTTCGAGCGCATGATCCGGGGAATCGACTCATCTTCAGCGAGGGCGTTGCAGGACGCGGCGCCCGTTCGCTCTAGGGTCGTCGACACGCGATAGGCCGGGGCAGTCAGGTGTCTGTGATTCGCTCGGAGGAGGGTCGTGATATCCGCAATGAATTCGGAACCCATTCCTACCCTAGAAATGCTGCCCCTCGAAGTACATCGGACCATTCCCTGCGCAGATGCGTCGGAGAAGCCGCGCGAGTATGTCTGACCAGTAGGACAGTGAGTCGCAGGTGATTGCGCTGCCTACCACTCTCCTGACCGATGGTCCGATGTCTCCTTGCGGATTTGCGTCACCATTGGCACGAACGAACCACTTCTGTAGATGTGCGGGCTGTCGCGCATAGGTACGTGGTTTCAAAAGGTACATTGGGAGAGATCTTACAGATGGAATGTATACTTGCGGCTCACTGTAGACTAGCTACGCTATCAGTGGGGCAGCATTGCATCCTGAACCGGCAAAATTAGCTTCGCACGAACCTCATTGTGTAGTGCAGTCTTGAATCTGACAGCAAGAAATAGTATATGGCGCCTTCAAGCAGGGATACTCTGCACTGTACATGTCCGACTTGTTTCCTCACGGAGCTCACCATAGAAGCATTTGATTGATCATATGCTGCATTCCAGCAATCTTGACTAAAGAAATATTGGAATAGAACCGGCGTAGATGGCACGTGCCTATCTGCATCTGCGTTCATTTGTTACGTAGCACATTCGCTGCCGTCGACACGACGACATTAGATCGCCGCGCTCCTCATTTCAAGTTGCCGTGCTCCACCATTCATGTCCACGACCCGATGCAGTAATTGCGTTGCCTAGTTGAGCGGGAAGCTCAGGACTGTTGAACAGAGAAGCACACGGCGGACACTCCCGCCTCGTGGCCACGTCGCAAGGGGCTCTGCGCAGCCGCTATGTCACAGCCTGCGAAGATTGCAAGCTTGTCTTCTGGGATGTTTTTGAATTGAATACCCGAGGATATAATTGTGCAAGCGAGGCCGGGTGCGTGCGCATGTCATAGAGCGATGAGGGCAGTGTCCGGTGCCCCCCGGAATATTAATGCGCAGAGGCGGGTGACAAATGCTCAGGTGGACGGGCAGAGGACGCGGTGGTGGGCGATGGGATCTTGTGGAGCCCGAACATAGGAAGAGTTGTGGGGCGGGTTGGTCAATAAGTTGGGAAGACAGGTGGAGCGGGGTGTGTTTCGCCTTGTTAGCCACGCTTGGCACATCGCCGTCTCGATAGACCTGCGAGATCTCCGTCACATCTCGAGATTCGGGGTACAACAAGCGGGGCGGACCCATCATACTGTACGTGCGCGGGCCGGTGTCTGTCTGGTCGGACGCTAGCGCGAGGGCGGTTCTGTGGCCGCTCGTCGGTTGCCGGAGAAGACGCACTGGCTCGCGACGTCGGACGGGGACACTTCTGGAGAGGTAGAGCTGGATCTCAGATTCTTTCTGAATGTCTCGCAAGCGGCGCGGGCAGGGTGACACGCGCGGTGATGTCATGCGCCATGTCTGCGAGGCAGAGTGAATCTGATCGGCTGGCAATCGAGGGATCGGCCCGTGCGCAACAGTAGCCAGGGGTGACATCATCTCTTCGCGTCGACCGCTCGTCCACAGCGCCTGTCCGCCCTCCGTTCGCCGACCTGGCGTCCTCCCTGTCCGAACTTGCCTTCTTGGGACACAGCCAGCCCCGCGGGGTAGCCCAGGACCGGTGGCACGCTCCCCGTGTCGCGCACGAGGACACGTCTTCCTCCGCCTCTGCGCAACGCGCCCGTGCGACGCGGACGCTGGAAGATGATGTGGGGGAGCGAGCCGCAAGCGCAGCAAAGCGGGGGCGCAGGTGACGTCAGGCTTGGACACGCTCGGACGAGGAGGCGGGGAGGCCGGGCACACAGTGGCTCAGGCTGGCTCAGGGCTGCCATACTTGTCGCTCGTCCTCAGGCTCCCGCCGCCGCCGACCCAAAGGCCTAATCGGTGGCTCAGGGCAACCCCCTCGCGTCCGTCAGGAAGGGGTGGTGGTGCTTCTCCACGCCGACTCCCCGTAGCAATCATAATCTCAGTCTAAGTGAGCCACCTCATCTCACCCACCCGATCTCGGTGCGTGCGCACATAATAGCCCCAACCGCCTCCTCCTCAGGCTGCAGACCCTCCCGTCGCCCTCCTACTTAACGACCTCTACACAGCCACGACCATGCAAGCCGTATTCACAAAGCAGGACCCTGCGGAAGGCCCGAGCACCCCCAACACGCCCCGCCCCTCCCACAAGTCCTCTCCTTCCTCCGTCCACTCCAGGCCGAGCCTCATCAACAACCCCAGTGCCGCCGTCGCCGCCGCACTGTCCGCAATTTCGACGGCCTCCCCTGGCCCGCCCGGTGCATTGCCTTTGCTTCCGGGCACTCCATTGATCTCGACTCCAACACCGACGGCCAGTGGCTGGCTGCCGCGGCCGCCTGGCGGGCCCGGACACTCCGCTGCAGGTGAGCGTGTTCCTCGTATGCACGTGGCGGCCCGATCGGGATAGTGAGCGAGCGTTGTTCCCACGGACACGCCGTCCCGGTGTTGGGGGAGGAGGTCAACTTTTTCGTTGCAACGTCGCCTCTGGCGCGTCCTCAGCCCAGTCGACCGCCACGAAATATTCCTCTGCCCCGCGAGCCCTCGTCGCGCCGCTCCCGCTCTTTTTATTTTCCCCGGCCATGTCGTCCGCGTGAACGTGCCCGCTAGACGTCTCGCCGCTCGACTCGCCTGTTACGCCATTCTTTCCGCCCTCTTGTAAATACCTCCCTCATCTCTCCGTCCGGACTCGCTAACCTCCATTCCCGTCTGCCTCGCAGCAGTGCATGGGAGTTCCCCGCCGCCATCGATTCTCGACACCCGGCCGTTCCAGAACACACCAGAAGATTTTCCGTTCGATCTTCAGAACCCCCTTTATATGTCGGGTAATGCCAGCAAAAATTGGCCCAACGCTATGTCTGAGTCACGATCCTCTGCCTCCTCTTCAGATCCAGGGCGCCCTGGCTCCCGAGGCCGTTCTCATTCGCAGGCCTCTAACCCCTCTCGTCGGCAGCAGTTCCGGCAGTCCTTCCAAACCCCGATATATTCTGGTGCTCCTGCGAACGCCCCTCCCGAGTCTTCCTCTGCCTCCGCTACTCCCTCACCTCCCTTCCAGAGCATAGCTGCCCCGTATCAGGCCGCACCCCTCGCAGCGTACGGCCAGCGCGGTCCGTTTGTAGGGCAATACACGATGTCCCCGCAGCCGCCCGTCAGCATGCCGCACTACGCCTATGCACCCCATCATCCCGGCCTGCATGCGCCCGACACGAGCATGCATTCACCGCAAAATCCGCTTATGGGATACAACCCAAACACGCTCGTGCCCATGATGCAGTCTCCCCATAACCCCGTCTTCCAGGGCTACGGCCAGTCGCATGAGGGCTCCTCGTCCTCCAGTCACAGCCATTCATTTCCTGGCAGTCCCGGGTCTTCTGCGCTATTCTCCCACTCCGCTCACTCTCATCCCCAGTCCCCCGCGCACGCCTCGCCTCCCTCTCCTTTGCATCCACAGGGATCTGGCCCGCACCCCCAGACGATCCACCCGCCCCACTCCGCCGCCTACGCCGGTCAGTCGCCGTACGCACCCTTACGGTACCCGACACCACCATTTCCTTATCCTCCGCAGTCGTATGCACCGTCTCCCTCGATATATGCGTCTCATTCCTATGCACCGTCGCACTATCCTCAGCACTCCTACGCTCCCAGCCCCGAGGCGAGCCAGGAGGGTCAGGGCACGTGGTGGTATGTCCCACCCGCGCGTCCGGCGTCTGGTCAATACGAGTCTTTTCAGAACACCTACTCCATGTCGTTCGGGGTCCCACATCGCGATGCCGAGGCGTACGCGCAAGCACCAGGCTCGTCTTCACTTCCTTCGCCTCGTTACCCTGTTTCACCACATCAGACGCACGGCTCCGCTCCCTTCTCTCCTGCGCAGGCGCTCCCTCCGCTAGCCGTACCCGACCCCCAGCGGCCCGCGCGCCCGGCCTCCCAAGCAGGGCCGTCGTCGCAACGCCAAAAGCCACCGGAGGCGGGTCCCTCAGCTCCGTCAAGTGCGCGCTCGGGGACTGCACAGTCTCGTCGTGGCCAGCCGCGCCCGAATCCGCCCGCGCAGCGCTCTGAATGGGTCATGTGGGTAGGGAACGTGCCCTCCGACGCCTCGCACGACGAGCTATGGCGCTTCCTCAGTCGTACACCGACGCCGCCTGCCATGGGCACGTCTGCCTCTGCGTCCGCGTCTTCGGCGAGCTCGCCGGGTGAAGTATGGGGCGGCGTGATATCGATATTCCTCATCACGCGGTCGAACTGCGCGTTCGTGAACTTCACAAGCGAGGCGCACCTGCTCGCGGCGATTCGGCACTTCAACGGCCAGCAGCTCCGGGCGGGCGACCCTCGCTGTCCGCGCCTCGTGTGCCGCGTGCGCGGACGCGAGGACGACCTGAAGGCGGGCGTCGGTGGGCAGCGCGGCGCGGGTTTGCATGTCCGCTGGATCCGCGACCAGAAGGAGACGGCGAGGGAGTTGGCGCGAGCGTCTGGCGAGGAGGTGCGCAGTCCGGCGAGCAGCGAGCCGCTGACGACGCCCTCGAGTTCGCCCAGCGATCCAGCACCCCTGCTCGCGCAGCTAAACTTGAGCAGCGACGAAGAGGGCGGGAGGGGCCATCGGTACCGCCCTCATCCGCACTCGAGCAGTTCTGGTTCGTACGCGAGCACGAGCTCGAGCATCCTCATGCAGCACTTCCCGAAGCGCTACTTCATTCTGAAGTCTCTGACCCAGGTGAGTCCTTGGTGGACTATGAGAGATTCCGTACTGACGCCAGCTTGCAGAGAGACTTGGATATCAGCGTGAAGGAAGGGCTATGGGCTACGCAGAAGCACAACGAGGTGACGCTCGATCAAGCGTACCGGACCAGCAAGGAGGTGTACCTCATCTTTGGCGTGAACAAGAGCGGCGAGTTCTACGGCTACGCGAGGTAAGTGCACGGGGGCGAGGCAAGGCGGCATAAACAACCAGCCCCCACTGACGCTGACTCTTGCAGGATGGCCGGTTCTATCCAGCGCGGTGAGCACCGCGTTTCCTGGTCCTCGCGTGCGGAGTCGCCCACGCGCCGCCGCACCAGCCGCTCCTCCGTCCAGTCCGCGGGAGGCTCTCAACAACCTACGTTCTTCAGTCCTGCGGAGCACAGGTGGGAGGAGAGCCCGCTCCCCGTGTCGCCTGACCCTCCCTCACAATCGCAGGCGCAGACACAGCCCCCGCCGTCTTCGTCGGTTGGACGCCATTCTCTACAGCTACCGACCGAGTCCGTCCACGCGCGACCGCGTCACTCAGCTCCGCCCGAGATGCACAGGGCTCACCGTCAATTGAGCAGGCCCGGTGGCGCTCAGCAGCCTATGACGGCGGACGAAGGCCAGATTCCTCGCGCGCAGACCCAGCAGTACGACTATGGGCGCTCGCTGCAGATGCAAGCTGAGGTTAACGAAGCCATCGCGCATCCCCCGCCCCAGATGCGGGAATTCGAGCTCGATCCTCAGGAGCCTCTGCGCCATGTTCGCGAGCACTCGGCACCTCCGCAGTCCTCACCAGAGGAGGCGCGTCGTTGGGAGTCGGTGCCGCAGGAAGCACTGGACACTGTAGCCGAAGAGGACAACAAGGGCGGGCAAGAGGACGCACAGCAACGAGAGAAGGAGGGCCAGTCGTGGGGTGAGCCGTTCAAGATCCAGTGGATTCGCACCAATCGGTTGCCGTTCTACCGCACGCGACACTTGCGGAATCTATGGAACCACGATAGGGAGGTGAAGGTGTCAAGGGATGGGACGGAGTTGGAACCGACGGTGGGGCAGGCGCTACTGGAGGAGTGGGATCAGCCCGCGCCGTCGCCCCCTGCCGGAACGCCCGTAGGGGAACGACGAGCGAGGGGCCTCGCGACCGAGGAGGCGCCAACTGCCGACTCGTCGCAGGGGCCATCAGCTGGGGAAGGAGGATAAGACCTCGGCAGGCCACCGCGAGTGTGTGGCGCGTTTCGATCTAACTCGCATTTACGACCCGAATCTGACTTGCTCTCCGCAAAATTACGCAACGCACGCTCACACACGAATCGCACGCACTGCACGCACGTCACCGCACACACATCGTATACAATATTTAACACCTACTCTACTTGCGACCGCGCCCGGGGCGATTCACGATGCCCCGGGTATGTCGACATTGACTAGGGTACTACTGGGATTATTGGGGTTTATGTCTAGGTGCTTTGGGTTATTGCTGCTTTTTTCGTGTTTCGTCGTACGCACTCAATCTGTTCGCTGCACCGGCATCCGCTTCCTCGCTCCATGTCCACTGCTAATGGTTTACCAGCTTTTGATTGTAGCAATAGGTAGAAATCCTGTCACACTGCTCTGTAGTACCTCGCATCATGGCATCATACACGATCGCGCCGCTGTGCGCTGGAACATGCACCATCTACTCGTCGCCAGACTGCGCGGCGTGGGCCTCGCCACTATGGGCCTTGACTTATGGTAAGTAGTTGCGAATGCGCGCTCGTCTCGGACTTTGTCGTCGGCGTCGTATACATACATCGAGGTTCGTCCATTATCCATGCTCGCAACCGAGGCATCCCTTGCGCTCTTGTGGCGCTGAGCACGCACATGCAACGATTCAGCGAGACACTGGTGGGTCGCCCCACATGCATATAGATGATTGAGGCTGCGGGCCTCAGTACGGTACAGTAAGTTACCACAGACCATGCAGCTGACCGAGCATCCGCCCACGCGACTCGGAGCATGGTAGTGTGCGAGTTGTACTCGATCCCAGCGCGATCCGATCCTAGACCGGAGCGCACCGTGTGAGACAATGTGCGTATGCGAACTGCCAGTGCCAGGGCGGGCGTAGCGGCGGCTCGGGCATCTCGGGGGGCGATGCCTTTAGATCTCATCCCGATTTAGCCGCGACGTGGACCCGCTGCCCATCCGCGAGGCGGACAAGCTCGAGAGATCGAGCCGGCGGCATCGAGAGCAAAACGAAGGGATGCATTTATAGGCATTACACGGCAGGCGGTACGATGTGTTCTCGGGGCACGGAAACACATGGTGAGGACTCATCCCGACCGACGATCGCAGGCTTACGAGGACTCTCGCAACTCAGTGCTGCGGCAATCCGATTCGGCCGACGTAGAGCGGATGATCGACTAGCAACATTGACCGTGCCAGGAAGATACACAGAAGATACCGCCAATGTGCGAGCGTCGTATCGAGGTCGCAACGGCTTGGCGGGTACCAATACATCATGTAGCCACCACGCCCCGACGCCGCTCTCAGCAGGGGAGGCCCGCGCACCGCACCGACAACTGCACTGCAGAACTGCAGGGCAAGCGCGCCACCACGCGCGCGTCCGCTCGCTCGCTCGCAAACATATGTAACGACCAAGTCGGCGTCGACGACAGGCGCTTATCGAAGTATCTAGGAGTCCGAGATTTTCCATTCTCCAAGTCCAGCAGAGGACTATATCTAGTAGGTTGCAAGTAAGGTACATCGGCTCGGGGGGCCAGTGAGGGTGTGGTACCGGGGATTCGTCGTGCTGGTTCAAGTTTGAACAAGAAAAGCAATAAACAGCAGAAAGCTCAGGCCCGTCCGTCAAGTCCGGGTATACACAGAGCAAGGGGAGCGGGGCGATGTGCAATGACAATACGTAAGCGAGGAGCAGCTGACGGGAGGGGTAGGGGCATCGCAGTGTCGGAGAGACGAAAGAGCTCCAGGAGAGGGTAATGGAAGCCGGGAAGGTCGTGAGGTATCGTTACACAGCGAGCGGGAGTCCTTGTTGTATGTGATCTACAGAGGGAGTGATGATACGAGGAGGTGCAGCAGGCATGCTACAGCAAGCGGGACCCATGGTGAGGGTGTCCGCCATGATAATGCTCCCCTGTGGTTCGGAGTATCAGACAAACGGTGTGAGACCACAGCGACCGAGGACGTACGAGGACTGGGGCGCTGTGACGATCTTCACGGTCAACACGGCAATGAAGCCGTCGTCCGAATTTGTCACATTGTTGGACGTCGTGATGTTGTGGTTCACGGCGTAACTTGTGTTCGGCGCGTAGCCATACAGGTACTGAGCGTTCGTCTCGTATGTGTACCCATCGTACGACGTCTGCCCCGTGTACGACGTGCCGTTTGTGAGGTTGGCAGTGGGGATGATATGAGTCTGGTTCGTCACGTTGCCGATGAGCCAGTCCCGACCAAGGTTGTATCTAGTCGGAGAAGCACGTGTTGGTTCGGAATGCATGTGCACGGCATTACGAAAGGTTGCGACTCACCCATTGAATATAATGTCATGGCCATCTTTGTGTGACTGAGTACGTGACTCTGAGATAACTTGCGGCTTACGCACCTGTCTCGGGGAGCTCATATGATGCCGCCATGAAGACCGCATTCCTGATGCCTCATTACTACACGAAAGCCAAGAGTGGTGAAGGCAAGCGTACGTGTCATGCTGGTCCCCATTCTGTATCCAATACCGGAAGTGGCTTCCACCCTCGATCGTCTCCTGGCACGTACCCAGCTCGGGGTCGCCATAGTCCCATCGTATCTCAGCGGTTTGGTTAGCTATGGGAACAATCTCAGTGTCTCGGTCGCTCAGCCCGCCATGGTCGAGAAAGTGCGCACCGTATCCATTACCGTCTCCCAAATTGGCTCGTTGAGGAGTGCCGTCGTGCTGACCAAGACATTCTGTCGAGTACCCGAAAGAGCTGCCTCGCGGGATCAGCCATCCGACCAGTACCAAGGCGATCGGAAACACGCACACAAAGTAGTTCAGCAGCCCCCCATCTGGCTCTTGGTTGACTAGCACAGCTGAATCCGAGTCCCCGGAAATGACGACGTTGATTGCTTCGCCCTGGCCCGCAGGAAAGGTTCCGTCCACTTGCTGCGATCACGAGCGCGCACGTCAGTCTCAGGCATCGTGACAGCGGGTGCCAATCGTTGGTTTGCCCGAGGAGACAACAAACGCACCGTGAGCCAGGTCCCGCCGTTGTCCGTAGGGTTGTAGAAGCCGGGCGCAGGCACGCTGGCCCGTCGCCAAAGCGGGCTTGGAGGCGCCCCGCGCGCGTCGAGGTTGGCGTCCGGGCTGGGACGGGCGTGGGCGAGGAGTGATGGGGGACAGAGGGCGAGGAAAAGCCAGGCGAGAGAGGCCATCGTCGCTGGGAGACGGCAGTGGGAGAGAGGGGAAGAAGGAGCGAAGAGAGCGAAGAGCTGGGCGTCGTGAGACGGGTGATTGTGTGTGCCCGATTTGGTAGACGCCTGGGGTTGGCACAGGCGCCGCTTATGCAGGGAGCCCGGCGTCGACAACGGCCTCTCATCCCATTGTTCTATTCTCGCCATGTGCTGCGCTCAACGTGCGACAGGCTGTGCATGGCCTGTATCCGTAGGCGTCGTTTCTCTCGGACGCTACGGCCTGCAGCGTACTCGCGTCCGTCGAGACCGAAAGTGTGGTCTTCAGCCACTGAGGCAGATCGCGCTGCCCGATGCATCTATGACCACGCTTGGCGTCTCCAACCTCCAGCCACCGCCCCTTGTTATTCTCCCAGCGCATGGCTACGGCATGCTGTGTTCACTGGTCTAGACACAGCTACCTATTCATGAGCGTCGTAAACTTGTCTGCCACGGCGTGGTGGCACAGCGTCGGCCGTCTGGTAAGTCGCTTGTAGCGCGGCTTCGGTGCGGCCTACATCGGATCCGGAGTCGGTTCTCGGGTTCGCTCAGGCTGCGAACATGACACAGTTCCCGCTGAATTTGACCATATCCTCGGCCGCGGCGTCGCGCTGCCCATGCCCCGCGTAGCCAGCAGCATGTGCGGGACCGCTGCGCACGCTCGACAGGGTGTGCGCCGCGAGGCTTGGAGAGGTATGTCATTTGCAGGCACATCAGTCGCGTACGCGGATGGCGGAGCAGGACGTTGGAGATATTCACCGAACATTCACTGGTCATGTCACTCTTTCTCTACGTCCACCTGGTTTTGAATCCTTGTAATTCAAGTCATTGTCAGCTCGATCAGTCCTTCTATGGTCAGAGGATAAGGTTGAACGGAGTAACGCTGCTAGTATCATCTTCATATGCAACAGCCGCGATCATTGAGCCGGATTTGTTCCCGAAGGTACAATCTGTACATATCAACCGCGGGATACATCGTGAGCTGACCGTGATACAGGCCACAGCTATGTCGGTGGACAATTGAACGATGAACATCACATCACATGTGAGTTGAGCTGGATTAGCTGCTCAACAAACTACTTGAATGTTCAAAGCACGTAACAGGGCTCCCAGCTCAGTCGTTCAGGCACGTCTCGAGACGTGCCTGAACGACGAAGTGTGCCAAAGAAGTGTGCACTGAACTGGTGCTCACCACAGGTAGCCCCACATACATGGACCTTTCGTGGTGAGTCTTCACTTCGACTCAGCCAGCGATGGGTTCCCAAATTAATGTAGCAACAATTGTCGAGATACCAGCCACGACGTACGACTAGTCGTTAATCCATTTCCCTTCGTCAAGACTTCTAACGAGGTCGTGAACTTGAGGGTGCCTCCGATCATGTCCATGCTATTAACGTATAGGAGGCGATTGTATTGCACATTCATTATGTACGTAGTATAACCTTATAATCGCTACAGTATCACTCAACTAGGCGGCGCAGATGAGATAGCGTGAACTGAGAGCAATCGAGGAGCAAAGCTTGGAAACAATGGAGAGACGTGAAGATACACCAAGGGAGAAAAGGACTAGTACAAAGAGCGTATATGGATACATGTCCGGCACGTAAGTCTGTCATGAGCGAGGAAAGCCACGTCTAGGTCAATTGCCGATCCCGGGGGCTCTGGCGAACGCGCCATGTCCGGGTGAAATTCGCGGCCACAGAGGTGCCGACGGCCCCGTCGAGCTTGGGGGCCTTCACCCACTCGTCTTTTCAGAGGCATCCCTAACCATACGCGACGCAGATTAGAACACGTTGCTGCCACATTAGTAACACTACAGTCGACTCACAATGCCTCGCCTTGTCCGTTGGGGTCTAGTCGGGAGAAATATGCTTCAATCGCCTTCATGGCTGAGTCAAAGCAGAAGTCCGTCGGAGTCGACGCGGGCAACTGGTCGTCCCAAAATTTCAGTTCTCTGAACCACTCCTCGAATCTGGGCGGCGAGTCAGTTGACGCGGTACAGGTCCTCGATTAACTAGACGATCCACGTACTGGGTCGGACTCATATTGGGTGCCAGTGGGGCCCGGGGCCCTGCGAGGCGCTCATCCTCTTGTAACTGAGGCACTGGCTCCGACCGTCCAAAGAGGGGGCCCGGCTTGTCGGAATCGATCTTCAAGCGGTACATCTGCATCAAAACGCTGGAGTATCTACGACATATCAGCATTCAAGTTGGTATGTGCGCCACAGAGTCAGGAGCGACGTACTCATCGAGGGTGGAATTATCGAGGGTGAGATTATGTTTCTTGAAGTCCTCGACCCAGAACTCGATAAACTTCGTCTGCTCCTCGAGCTCGTTGTTCACCAATGCGCCGTCGGCCTGTGCCATCTTGGAGAGCACTCCCAGTCCGGACTTGAAGAACGATGCAGACAGACTCACATGAACGGCGCCCTTTTATACTGAAGCTGAAACATCACTGAGGGGCCACAATGGTATGGCACGACCCGTTATGGCGACTCCCTGTGGCCGCGACCACGGCAACGACGTCGTTTTTCATTCCATGTTCGGTTAGGAAAGCGTTGGCCACTTCGCGACGGACAATGGTTGCCTTTTAGGGCGTCGCAGCCACTTCTGTTCTCGGCGCGGTAAGCGCTGGCACCGTCAAGAAGTCGGGACGGCCTAGGTTCGACACAAACCCCTCCCAGCTTGGTATGAGACTAGGGACAGCCTCGATGCATATGGCTAAATGGACCCTCAGGCTCCTCCTAGGCCTCCTCCTCCCACTTTTCGGGCCCTGGCGAATCTTATTCCTGATTTGGGTTTGTCGATGCTTGAATGCACTGTGCTGCGCATGCGTCCAACTTGTTGACGTGCGGTCAGACACAATGCTGAATTGGGTATCGCTATGGGATTGGAGTTCGACGCCGGCAGTGCGACCCAGACGCAGTGCTTGTCAAGTGCTCTCACACAACTCTCGCTACACCGTGACTGATCAGAAATCGTATCAGTGGGCGAAGGGAAAACCTGTGGCCACTGCGCCGAGCGCGCCAGTGCGACCACGGGCACGTGTGGCATGCAGCAGTGTCGCGACCGCGTACATACTCGTGTTTCTCTCCTGAGTGCACGGTCGTGAGTTTCTCTTCGGCTCAATACTGTGATATGCGATCAAAGAGATGTCATGGCATAGGGCAAGAAACTGGTAATACAATCTGTTCGAAGCAGTTGACAAATATACAGTAACCCACACAGGCGACGGATAGAATAAGGAGGTTGATAAAAGAGTAGAAGTCATGACAACGGAGGCTTTGAACGGGTTGACATAGCCAGTGTGTACGCTGTATGAAACACCTAAACTGCTAAAGCGTCTTTTTGGTCAGCAATGGAGACTAGCTAAAGCGTGGCCACGCAATGTACCATGCTGAATTGGGAAGGGCTTTGAAGGGCTTTGATCGCTGTCCAAACGAAGTGACACGCCGCATCGTCGGCTTCCTTTGTCAATCTACTTTGGGGATGCAAGCGACAGACAGAAGGCAAGCGTACGTTACATTCCTGGCCATGCGTGGAGGCGAAACAATATCATACAAAATTTGACACAGAAATTGCATAGGATTCCATCGCCCTGAGAACAGACCGTTGTAGCTTTGTGGGGCCGTCATCGACCCGTCGGCGGACGTCAGTACGGTCCACGTTCATGGTCGCGAGTTTGATTATGCGGCCACGCTTGTCCTCCACTTGTGTTCACGGCTTGTTGTCTCGGTTCGTCTGCGGACGTGGCGCTATTGTCCACTGGATCGAGCAGGTGCGGAACGTTAGGGTCCAGTGTGGCCCCGGCGCCTAACAGATCCTCGATCATCTGCTGAAGCTCCGCCTCGAACTGCAGACCTGATTGTTGCGGTGCGTCAATCATAGATTGGCTGCGGTGGCGATCGTCCTGGGTGAGTCAATGTAACTGATCAGTAAACACAGAGGTCCTCACCAGAATGTGTTTAGGTACTCTGGACTGTTTACGTCGACGTCCATTGACCCTTCGAACATCAACAGGAAGTCAACGTCCGAGAAGCCTTCTTCAGCAGGGGGACCCGTCGGAGACTGACCCGCGGTCCAGTCCGCTGTTGTCTGGGGATCATCTTTCACTTGATTTGACGGTGCCGGCGCTCTAGGTTGGTTCAGCGTGCCGGCTACAGCTCGAGACAGGGGCATCACGTACGACATTGTACTCGGTACGTCCTCTTCGTAACGGAACGGTGGCGCGTATTCTCCTTCCAAGTGCTCGATATGCATGTCCAGACGCGAACGTCCTTCGACTGTGGGGATGTGGGGATGCTCTACCATGCTGCCGAGGTGTCGAGTGGCTTTGCTGGATGTGGAAAATTGCCTGCATTCGACGTACTCTTTATATGACAGAGCATCGTACGCCACTCAGCGCGGCATCTACGCGTTTTGACCTTATACATGGTGCACAGCGACATAATAGAACTGTTGGTCGTCTTTTGTGTTCTTGTTCTGGCTTCTGATAGTTCTCCGCATCGTCGCCACCTGATACGCGTTTAGCACCTCGACGGTCTTGGCGCAGACAGCTAGCTTGTCAGAGGAATCAGCTGAGAGCAGCAGTGGGACGCATTCGCCACTCGAGATGCCCTCGGAGCTATAGACTGCTAGCTGCTATAGTTAGCTCCGACTCGAAACATGGTACTCACCATCAGATTGCACCCTTGTATAGATGACTCCGTTCTGCGCTGTTCAGGGAAGTCGGGTCTGCTAAAGGCGCACCCCTATGCAAGGGAAATATACAGCTTATCCGCTGGTCGCGCCCGTGCGGCCCGCAGAGACAACCACAGATACGGCTGTGCATTCAACCTGATTGTATAATGCCGCGACGCTGCGTCCGTGCTGAACAATGCTTCAAACATATAGAATCTACGCACAAACGAACGGCGAGGACGAGTGGCAAGATTCGAGTGGCGGGATTCGAGTGGCAGAACTCCGCGTTCAGGACGAGTGGCAGGACGCGTCGCACGGTCCACGTGCTGGCGGGTGGGCGCTGCCTTCGACGCGTCCGACCACGGTGGCACGCCTTTCTCTCCGCCTCCTCAACATCTCCCCACCACGCGCAATGTTCGCCTCACCATCCAAGAAGAGATACTCCGCAGAGAAGAAGAAGCAGCTACTTGCGAACCTAGACCTTGAAGGCACGCCCCATCTTCTCACCTCGATTTCATCTAACACCCTTCATCTTGAACAGTCGAGCACCGGACCCAACAGATCGAGGAGTGGCTCGCAGACGTATTACACGACTTCCGGCTCCGCCATGAGGGACAAATCTCGCGAATACCACGTGTCGTTCGCGATAGTACAATGCAAGACTTCGCAAAGTACAGGGGGAACGTGCAGGAGTGTGTGAAGGCGATGGCCCGCGACGCGCTCGGGACAGAGCAAAAGGGGATCGACAGGATAACCCTGAAACGGAAATGGGCTGCGTCGCAGGAGGAAGCGAATGCAGCCGCTGGTCCAAGTTCTGGTACGGGGTCGAAAGATGCGGAGTCGTCGCGGGGTCTCAAGAGTGGTGTGTGGCATTACTCCTTCAGCTTTGTTCACAGCGCTGACAAATGAATCAGCACGCACTGCTGTTGCTACACCCAAGAAACCGAGCTCCATGGTTGGCTCCCAGAAGCCACGATTCGCTGTACCTAAAACTCCTGGAACTGTGGGTCCTTGTATTCCTAGTTATGTGCGTAGGTCTGATGGTTATTAGGCACGTCCAATGTCGCGCGTTCCACCGACGACGATGGGAACTCCCAGTCCACACAAAGCAGCTCCCGGGAAATTCTCCTTGTTCTCCAAACCGGGATCGCGACCCGTTTCACCCTCAAAGCTTCCATCCCCGTCGAAAGCATCTCAACCAATCCACCATGTACGCACAGTCCGTCCACCATCTTCAAGCATCTTCAATCCGGTTCTACCCCCTCAGCCACGCTGGCCGAGGAAAGACGAAAACATGATGAGTGTCAATGGCTCGCCACTAGCCAATCCCTACCAACTTGGCTTGAATGGCTACTTTAAGACAGTAGCAGGAGGCGATGGCAATTCCCTTGGCGACACTGATGGCAGTGACACGGAGCCTCCGCGACATGTCAACGGCACACAGATGCTCAAGAAGAAGAGCAGCATCATCATACGCTCCTCGACTTCGTCCCATCTGTCCCAAGGTGGACACTCAAGAACGAACTCGCAGTCGAGCCTTGCACAGTCTCAGGCGTCTCGGTCTACCCACTCTCGCAACGTCTCGCAAACGGGCACGAATGGCTTCGTCCCGAATCGCACGAACCATGCACCAAACGGCGACGACGCTCCCGAGCCGGCCACGTTGCTGTCATTATCCGCGCTCGTCTCCGTTCCGACGAAGGACGGACACGTCTTGGAGTTTGACCCTCTGCGCACGTCGCCGGAGGAGATCGACGCACTGGAAGGCATAACGGACAGCGCGAAGAAGCAAGCCAAGGAGGACATGGCGCGCCTGATACAGGCCGCGATGGACAGATGGAAGATCAGCTAGGGCGTACCTGCCCGTGTTTTCGTCAGTCATTATTTGCTATCTTCTGCATTGCCTGGTCGCACAGTCGCACTTCGAATTTCCCATACGCTCACTGTCAACGCTGTATACTGTAGAACAATCGCACATCACATATATTATAGTATTCCGGCTGCTTTCGTTCTTAGCAATGGATCACTAACGGTCTTGGGCCTCTCGGATGAGCAACATGAACGTTTGACCGATGGATGGCATCATTCAGGTCGAATAGCTGAGGTACATTGTCCTGGACAATCTCAACTGAGTACCTCAAGGCGGGCCGCTCTGCAAATGGTCTCGCCGCGATCGCGAATCTTGACCAGCAGCGAGTTTGGCGTGCGCAATCTGCAAGCAAACTTATCAGGAGAGACAACATCATAACAAGGGAGCACTACAGACCGTTCGTCTCGCTGCTGCAGATCAATGAGACAACTCACTGGGACAGCACCGATCGCATGTCCTTCCCCACGGGACAACGAGTAGTGACCTGTGGTCACGTAGCCAATGATAGCATCCGTTGAAGGAACCAACTTCGAGAGCTGTGCAACTTCAGCGACTGCTCTTCTGGACATGGTGATCTCCGCGCTCACCTCTTTCTCATCAGTGTCTTCTGAGAGCATTGCCGGAACACCTTGCTGTCTGAGGGCCTCCGCCTCATTCCATTTCCTCGCTTCTTCGTCATCCAATCTGTACAGCAGGGCGAGATCCTCTGGATTGCCCCTGCCGCACAGTAACACCCTGACCCTCACGAGCGCGCCTTGCCATAGCTCGTTCGCTCGCACATTGCCCCCTAGAGGGTCTTGACCACGCTTGATGCGGAGCTGGTCGATGCAGCCCAGCAAACCGGCACTAGGGTTGATCATAGACGAGATGCTCTGAAGTATCGAAGGAACGTCTTGTCCGCGAAGGAGCCAAGGGCGAATCTCCTTCTTACCCTTCCTCGGCTGCGTGCTAGTGCCAGGTGCAGTTTCCTCGGACTCCATCTCCACGTCAGCTCGCTGAGCGGGAATGAGCTCCGAAGCCGGATCCTCGGACTCTTGTGCAGGCGGTTCGCGCAATCCGAGCACAACCTCCCAGTCTGGTTTCCAAGGGCTTCGAGTCCCGATCTTGGCATAGTTCACCCGCTTCGCCGGTGGCCTGCGTTCCCACCTATCTTCTTCCTCTATCTCCCTCTCGTCCGCATACTCTTCGTATGCTTCTGTGAAGGGGTAATCACGCGGGAAGTAGGCGCAGCCGCCTTCGTAGGTCTGTGTCTGCCGCTCGCGCTGACCACCAGTTCGGGTACCCGTGTAGATGAGCGAGGGTAGGAATGCCATGGCCCAGCCTTGCGGGATGATCAATGTCCACCCATGCAGCGCAGTCGAGTTGCTCGCATAATGATGGGAAGAAGGCGAAATCGGCGAGGCACCCTCGACAGAGCGTTGAATGAGTATGACAGGTACTCGGTTGTCCTTCTGGGTTGGCTGCAGCGGGGTTCCCGGCACCAAGTTCTGCGAAAACCGCTTGCGTCAGCCCTGTGTAATCGGTCTCAAGACGCGCTTCAATATACCTGGGACTTGCGCTCGTCTATGTCTTTCTTCTTATACTTTGGCTTCCGCAGTCCATTTCGTACATTTTCATCCCATATGTCGCTTTGTGCCAGCTTCGCTGATGGGAACACGGTCATCGGTGACGACGTGAGTCCGCCTTCAAGTTTTGCGTTCTTGGGAGGGAAACTGATTGACAGTCAGTTCAGGCGTCAACGAATGGGATTGAGATAAGTGATCCGTCATAGGCACATACCTCAGACGAGGGTCATGGACAGTGAAACCAACTACCATGCCTCTGGGTAACGAACCTGTAGATTGCAGTTTACTCAAGGAGTCCCAGAACTGGTGAAAGATCCATCAACAACCATTACCCCCCGCCGAAGCCTATGCTCTCACCTTAGGGAAGTCATCTCCATTATCGTTCGTGGGCTTGAGTGCACCCTTGATGACCTGACTGGACTTCGGCCCCATAATCTCGAAGACGTTGACATGCTCTCTCAAATCAACGATATCTACCTCAGCTACCTCTCTGCTCGGGTCTGCTGTCTTCGCGGCATCCAGAGCATATGATGCGGCGACGCGAAGTGTCTGATGCGTGACGTGCACGACAGAAGGGTGCACACGTATCCAGACCTTGCGTGGAGGCTGAGCCTGGCCTGAGGCGCGCTCTCGCTCCTTGGCTTTGCCCTTGCCTTTTCCGCGGCGTTTCTTTGACTTCGAGACCTCGGAGTGAGCTGCTTCCGGTTTAGTGCGTTCCTGGGCGACTGGTCGCCAAATAACGGCCATGGGAGCGATTAAGTCGAAAGGGTAAGATCTGTGCTTGTAGAGGTGTGTCTCGCAAACCCTTGCGCCTGTCAGGAATCTTCGTGGTAGCACCTCAGTATCACGCCGACGTGACTGTCGTTTACCCACTACTTACCGTTTGGCTCCAGGACTAGGGCCTTGATAGTCCGAACAGCTGTCTAATAGGGTGCGTAAGATGTCCTCTGGCCCCGCGAGCTCGATGAGTGCGAAGTAGGATGCATCATGTAGAATAGAACCATGGACAGATGCTCTATGAGAGGGTCGGAAGGACTTCTCCGTTGGCTCAACGGCCTACGAGCTAGCGTCAGGACAATCTGCACGCCTGGTACTGGGTGTCATCGCGTACCAATCTGTAGCCCCACATATTCTTCATGTGCATCCGCTTCGCATGCCATATATGTGTCTCCAGCCATGTTTTATCAACTATGTGGGCCGCTTGAATGAGAGTGCTTTAGACAGGATGTGTGACTATCTCTCACGTTGGCGTTTGAGAAACTGCTTCGTCCGCGGTAGCTGTTTGTGCTTTCCGCGTTTGGGAACGTGGCGTCCGAGTGCTTTCTTGCGCTGAGGGTCCATCTAGCATCATGGACATCAGTCAACGACATTCAACCGACATGCAATAGAACGCTCACCTCCGCTCGAGCCTTCTCTCTCAGGCGTAAGGGGACGCGGCGTACATCATGGCTAGCGGCGCGTCGCCTCAGATGACGCGGAAGTTCTTGCCAGGCTCTCTTTGTAGATGCAGACCTAGATATAGGGTAAGCTCAAGAAGCACTCACAATGTAGGGGTAAGGATCCCGACGTACTGAGCACTCTTCATAGCATCTTCCATTGCGCTGATCTCAAAAGACCGAGCCTAGATACCGCTGAGTATCGCTTGCATCAAAGTTCATCGAGTATAGTACCTCAGCAAATCGCTCCACGTCGATGGAAGTCGGTAGGCCCTGCATACCTGCGCGCGCTTTGGCGTCACTCAAGCTTCATGAAACTCGCTGATTCGCTTACTGTCGAAGCGAACAGACTTAGACGGCCCCGCGGCTGAATTGCCACTGCTGCCCGCTTGTACAGATTGCACTGGTATAGTACGGGCCATGGCGGTCTTCTGTTTCTTCTTCTCGCGAGCCGTGGGGGGATCTGGCGATGTGGAGTCGTCTGACTTGCGCTTCGGGGCCATGAGTGATGTACAAAGGTAGTTTTGCGATAGAAAGCAGATGTCTAGTTGTATATTTCCAGCAGGATTGAGATGAGATCCGTGTTAGCCCTCGTGGAAGACAGAAGAGGGACGACGCGAGGACGCGCCGAGACAGCAGCCACAGCGATCGCGGGTGCGTACAGGATCACGTGTATCATACCTGCCTTTTCCGGTTGACGCGTCTGTCGCCGTCACTCGGGTTCTCGACGTCGGCCTCCATTTGGCCTCCATACACGTTCAGCTCAGCACAACCATGTCGTCCTCGCTCCTGCGGCTCGCTGCCTCCGCGCGGCCAGCCCCGGCAAGCCTCTCCAAGAGAGCGCTCTCGACTACTCGCATCGTCCGCGAGGCAGCACCGGCGACGCCTAACCTTGGCACCGTGCCACCGCCCAAGAAGCCCGTGGGTGCATTCCGAGGAGGGTACGCTATGCGCCCGAGTTTTCTGCGGTTGCTTGGGCTGACGCATTAGTTGTATGGTAGAGTTGTCGGCTTTCTCTTTGGCTTCTCCCTGGCGTCGTCTCTCGCCGCCTATCACTTGCTTGAGGAGTACAAGCTCGCGTCCGCCGCGCTGCAGGCGAGCGTGGAGGAGCTTCAGCTGAGCACGCAGAAGGTGAGCCTTTCATCAGATTCCTCTATTGTTTGCATGCTACAATACTACCTTCACAGGTTTCTGCACATGTTAGACGGATCGAAGCGGTAGAGAAGGAGCTAAAGGCGTTGTCGGACACGGCATCCTCGAAGGAGGACCTCTCGAGGTTGCGGGCGGAGATGAAGAAGCTATACGATGGCCTCCATGTCGGTAAGTCTGGCGCGAAGTTACTTGCACGTCCATGCATTGACCTGCCGCAGAGTTTCTCGACTTGCGCTCACACGTTTGGGGGATCCGTAAGTCATCCCTTTGCCAGACCCTCACATACCAAGCGATTGACTTCCCGCTCCAGAGCAGGACGTGCATGCCTTGTCGAAAAAGAAATCGACCTCTGTTCATGTCGTATAGAGAATACAGTTGTGCTGTGCTTGGCCGCCGTAGACTCAGTGATGGGATGTGTAAATTGTGATATGCTGCAGGCAGGAGACGACATGCACGGTACTGTGAGGTTAGTCTTCATCACTGTTGTGTTGCATCGACTTTCGTATTTCTTCCTGCAATGCTCCTGCGAAGTCTTGAATGCTCCCGCCACTACTCATTGTGAACGCCTCTAGCGGTACCATGTTGTGCTGATGAGCAGGCGCGTTTCGGGTTGCTGCCGGGTGACTAGGAGAGTCCACGACGCGCAATTCTGGTTGCGGGGAGTCGTCGCCTCGGACTAGAAGTAGAGTGAGCAGGTCATCGAAGGTGAAGAGAAGCGGGTCTGTCCGTGGTGCGTAGGGGTTGAAGTCGATGATATGCCCTCGAGATAGATCGCGAGTTAGCAAGAAGTCGAAGACGTCTATACAAAGCGTTTGTCAGTGAGTGTTGTACGTCTGTATTGTGCAAAGCTCTCACAATCACCACCAGCCTCCAGCCATTTCCCTTTGATGTTGTCCTCCCAGAACGTCTTCACTGCGTCTAAGACCTTGCTCTGCGTGCCCGACTCATTCCAGAAGTCATAGTAGTTCGGGTCCCTCTGTGATATGCCTGCAAATCATCGGCATCATGCGCGGTTCATGGACCTTCGGCCGACTCACCTAGCAGCTTCTCTTGCCGGACAAAGCAGCGCAACTCCCTACTCCGATCGACAGGATACCACTTCCGCAGTACAAGTTCAAGGTCGTAGCTCGGCGGTCTTGACTCGCATCCGTCGAATACGTGGTCGGGACTGAGGTCATGCTGTACGAAGTCCGAAGACTTGAGCAGTAGGTAGACATCGGCAGGTGACATGCATTTCAACGGCGAGGACGCCGGCAGCATCCATGTAGCGTCCTACGGCCCAGTAAGCATCCTTGCGCAGAAGAGACACTGGCGCACATACACACCCGGGGAGACGAGAAGTTCAGCTTTGGAAAGACCGCTCCGTATTTTGACACAGCGTCTCGTATCTTTTCGTCCAGTTCTGGGAACGCGAATTTGCGCTCCTCCTCATCCTCCTCATCGCTCTCGTATCCGCCGCTGTCCTCCTCGTCGGAGAGAGTGCTTCCTGCGGGTCTGCATAAAGTCAATGCGACATACTCGCGTTTAGAGAAGTGGCAACTAACCCGTCTTCTGCCCCTTCGGGCATGAATACACCATCGGCGTCCAGATACTCGAGAAAGTCCTGGCTCAGCGGGCGAATTATGGTCGACTTGATGCTGAGGCTCGAGAACCTCGGATACCAGGAAGAGAACTGGAATGAAAGTAGAGATTCGTGCGTCAGAGGTGGGAATACACCGGGGGTGTTGACTGCAGATGGCATGGCCAGGGTCCGTCAGCGTAAGAGACGAGTGAGCAAGTCGAGAACGAGATCTATAACATTATGGGACGAGGGTGTTGCTGTGGCGCGCGTAACTCGCGTGGAACGCACATGGAGAGCACATGGCGTCCACGTTCGCCGCGTGGCCTCAGCCACCTACCGGTCGGGCGCTCTCTCCTCCCCGGCGCCTGCGACCCCCGCCCGAGCTGTCCCCGAGGCGGGATTTCCGCGCGCAATGCAGGACAACTCAGTACCGGGAAATAGGACCTGTGAGTACTGAGGGTAGTGGAAAAACAGGACACATCAGTACCGGGCAATAGGGAATATCAGTACCGGGAAATAATAGGATGAAACAGTGGTGATATTCAAAACATCAGATCATATTCAAGAAGACAATTGCTGGATGTGTACCACAGGCCGGGAAACATTCAATTAAAATGCAATCACAAGACTGAACATATTGTGAGTGCCGGGAAATCAGTACCGGGCAATAGGATACCAGGACAATAGGGAGTGTCACACCAGCACCGGGAAATAGTAAGAAATGTCAGATTATATTCAAGAAGACAAAGATATCACTGAACCACAGGCCGGGAAGCATGAAGACTAACACACAGCATTGAATGAACTAATGCTGCCAGCCTGTGGCGAAGCCATGGGCTGGCAATGCCCAAGCATATAACCTTCAAAGTAACACGCGGCCAAAGCACAGAATGAAAGAACCGCCGCCAGACCTGAGGCGAAGCCCAGGTCTGGCATTGCCTAAGCATATAACCTTCAAAGTAACATAAAGCACAGAATGAAAGAACCGCCGCCAGACCTGAGGCGAAGCCCAGGTCTGGCATTGCCTAAGCATGAAATCTTAAAAGTAACATGAAGCACAGAATAAAGAAATCACCTGCCATGGGCTGGCAATGCCCAAGCATATAACCTTCAAAGTAACACAAAGCACAGAATGAAAGAACCGCCGCCAGACCTGAGGCGAAGCCCAGGTCTGGCATTGCATAAGCATATAACCTCCAAAGTAACACAAAACACAGAATGAAAGAACTGCCGCCAGACCTGAGGCGAAGCCCAGGTCTGGCATTGCATAAGCATGAAATCTTAAAAGTTACATGAAGCACAGAATGAAGAAATTGCCCCGTAAACCCGTGGCGAAGCCACGGGTTTGCGATGCTCGTCTATCTATAACATTATGGGACGACGGTGTTGCTGTGGCGCGCGTAACTCGCGTGGAACGCACATGGAGAGCACATGGCGTCCACGTTCGCCGCGTGGCCTCAGCCACCTACCGGTCGGGCGCTCTCTCCTCCCCGGCGCCTGCGACCCCCGCCCGAGCTGTCCCCGAGGCGGGATTTCCGCGCGCAATGCAGGACAACTCAGTACCGGGAAATAGGACCTGTGAGTACTGAGGGTAGTGGAAAAACAGGACACATCAGTACCGGGCAATAGGGAATATCAGTACCGGGAAATAATAGGATGAAACAGTGGTGATATTCAAAACATCAGATCATATTCAAGAAGACAATTGCTGGATGTGTACCACAGGCCGGGAAACATTCAATTAAAATGCAATCACAAGACTGAACATATTGTGAGTGCCGGGAAATCAGTACCGGGCAATAGGATACCAGGACAATAGGGAGTGTCACACCAGCACCGGGAAATAGTAAGAAATGTCAGATTATATTCAAGAAGACAAAGATATCACTGAACCACAGGCCGGGAAGCATGAAGACTAACACACAGCATTGAATGAACTAATGCTGCCAGCCTGTGGCGAAGCCATGGGCTGGCAATGCCCAAGCATATAACCTTCAAAGTAACACGCGGCCAAAGCACAGAATGAAAGAACCGCCGCCAGACCTGAGGCGAAGCCCAGGTCTGGCATTGCCTAAGCATATAACCTTCAAAGTAACATAAAGCACAGAATGAAAGAACCGCCGCCAGACCTGAGGCGAAGCCCAGGTCTGGCATTGCCTAAGCATGAAATCTTAAAAGTAACATGAAGCACAGAATAAAGAAATCACCTGCCATGGGCTGGCAATGCCCAAGCATATAACCTTCAAAGTAACACAAAGCACAGAATGAAAGAACCGCCGCCAGACCTGAGGCGAAGCCCAGGTCTGGCATTGCATAAGCATATAACCTCCAAAGTAACACAAAACACAGAATGAAAGAACTGCCGCCAGACCTGAGGCGAAGCCCAGGTCTGGCATTGCATAAGCATGAAATCTTAAAAGTTACATGAAGCACAGAATGAAGAAATTGCCCCGTAAACCCGTGGCGAAGCCACGGGTTTGCGATGCTCGTCTATCTATAACATTATGGGACGACGGTGTTGCTGTGGCGCGCGTAACTCGCGTGGAACGCACATGGAGAGCACATGGCGTCCACGTTCGCCGCGTGGCCTGCTGGCCGTCCGCTCTCTCGGTCGTCCGTTAGGGCGCCAAAGCGATCCCGTGCCACCGGCGCCTTGGCGATCGCGCGATGGCCACTATCAGAGATCGCAGCAGCTGCGCGACGACTTGCTTTCTCCCCCCATCTCTGACTCTGTCTGTACCTGCATAGGTGTGTATTTCGACCTTTGGAGCATTCCTGTACTAAGGATCACATATCACAGTCTCTGTCATGAATCAGGGCCGAAACCAGTGAGTAATCAACCAAAAAATCCAGATATGGCTAAATCATGCATATCAGGCCTTCCTCTCATGCTCCTGAGCAACAGAGGCCCAATGAGAGAGAGAATCAGTGAGTGATTATGAATCCTGAATTGTCTATGGCTAAACTATGCATCCCAGTCCTGAGCCACAGAGAGAGCCCCAGTGAGTAAATCCATATTATATATTATAAATGGCTAAACAATGCACAGAAACCCTGAGCAACAGAGAGATGATGAGTAAGTAATGATCTGTTCTATACCATAGATGGCTCAATCATGTATTTCAGGAACTCTCAGAGAGATAATCAGTGAGTAGAAAATTGTTTTAAGCTCAAAATGGCTAATTCTGTGCATAACAGACATTCTCCTCACACTCCTGAGCAACAGAGGCTCCATGAGAGAGAGGAGGAGCGCCAGGGTCGTCAAATGACTTCCCCCAGTGAGCGCCGTGAGAGGCAGAGAATAAATCTCTCAGTTAGACAGCCTGATTTCTCTGTGGATCCTCAACCTGGACCACATGGGCCTGAGCTTGCCCCAGTCCATGAGCCTCAGCTGGGCCATGCTTTTCAGCTAAGGGAGGATATGCCTGTAAGACCATATCAAGGCTATCCATACCCTGGGATGTATAATGCTGGGAATCCTGGGGTGTACAATGCTGGGAACACTGGGGTGTATGCTGGGAATACTGGGGTGTATAATGCTGGGGCTTATAATGCTGGGAATGCTGGAATGTATAATGCTGGGTATCCTTATGGCCATGCACAGGTCAATGTAGCAGGCCCCTCTGGGGCATATGGTCAGAGATTGCCTCCCAGGAGAAATTACTTGCAGGAGGCTGAGTTAAACACAAACAGAAGCCATGCCCAAAGAGTCATTGATAGGAGAAATCAGAGTGCTGCTCATGAGGAGCAACAGAGACAAAGACAGCTTGAGAGACAGGTCCAGTTTCAACAAGAAGCTGCTGCTCATGAGGAGCTACAGAGACAAAGGGACTTTGAGAGACAGGTCCAGCACCAACAGGACATTGCTGCCCATGATGAACTGTTGAGACAGCAACTGCAGCAGCAGCAGCAGCAACATGAGGAAGAGGAATTGGAATATGTTGAACAGGAGCAGCATGTAGCTCATGTCTATCAACAACAAGTAGACCATATACTAGAGGCTCATCAGCATGAGGCCAATGAAGTTCAGGCTATCCAGCAACTTCCCAAGGGGAGAAGGCCATACTCAGAGCCTGTCGTCAAACACAGCATTGGGCCCATGAATCTTGAATGTCCAAGCTGTAAAGCCCTTCACTACAAAGGAGAGAAATTGACCAACTCCTCCCTGATTCATCCTAAATTTGGCATATGCTGTCTGCAGGGTCAGGTACAGCTTGACCCACCTACCCTACCTCCATTGGCTTTGCAGAAGCTGTTCAATGGTGTAGATAATCGCTCATCTCACTTCCTGAAACACATAAGACGTTATAATGCTGCCTTTGCATTTACCTCAGTGGCAGTTAAAGTTGATCAAGCTGTTCTGATGAGATCTGGGCCATATTCTTTCAGAATCCATGGGGATCTATACCATCTGATGGGTAGTCTCATGCCTCAGGATGGTGATGCTCCCAGATATGCACAGCTCTATATCCATGATCCTGCTGAAGCATTGGAGACAAGGCTTGCCAACAATGCTGAGAACAATAACAGAGATCAGGCTGTCATGGCCTCTGTCATGTCAGATATTCAGGATGCCCTCATGCAAGTGAACCCTCTCATTCCTCTGTACAAGCAAGCATATCAGATCATAAGGGAGAAGCCAGCCAATGAGCAAGTGCAGCTTGAGGCCCACATAATCTTGCAGGCCTCTGCAGATAAAAGGAGATACAATCTTCCTACAGCTGAGGAGGTAGCTGCAGTCATACCTGGCTCTGGAGATGATGATGTTGATAAGCACAGAGACATTGTCCTGCGTTTACAAGGTGGAGGACTAAAGAGAGTGAGCAACTTGCATCCTCTATACCTCCCACTCCACTATGTCATGCTGTTCCCAAGAGGGGATCAAGGATGGCACATGAACATACCATCTATACCAGGGCCAGAAGGCAGAGTGAGGAGTGCTGAGGTCTCTCAGAGATGCTTCTATGCATACAGGATCCATCCCAGGCTGCTTCAGAACAATGAGTTTGACTATTTGTTCAGAGGAGGTCGTCTCTTTCAGCAGTACTTGGTGGATGCATGGGCTTCAATTGAGGCTGCTAATCTAAACTGGGTTAGGCATAATCAAAAGACCATAAGAGCTGAGCTATACCAAGGGCTGTTGGATGCAATGAATCAGGCAGATCAACAGAATGATCAAGTAGATATGGGTCAACAAGGACAGAGACTCATTCTGCCATCCTCTCATGCTGGGAGTTCAAGGCATATGTACCAGCTGTTTCAGGACTCAATGGCCATCTGCAGGAGAAATAAGAAACCAGATCTCTTCCTGACCATGACTGCCAATCCTAATTGGCCTGAGATCCAAGCTGCACTCTTGGAAATCAATTCTGCTGAGAATGATCCTGCTAAGCATCAGACTGCAGCTGATCGTCCAGACATTGTAGCAAGGGTCTTCCAGCTGAAAAAACAAGCTCTGCTGAAAAAGATCAAAGATGGATTTTTTGGCAACTTGGCTGCTGATGTCTACACAATTGAGTTTCAGAAGAGAGGTCTTCCTCACATGCATCTTCTCATATTCTTCAAGGAAGAACATAAGATCCATGATGCCTCTCAAGTAGACAGCATTGTCTGTGCTCAGCTACCTGACCCAGTTGAACATCCTCAGTTGTATGCAACTGTGACCAAGTGCATGCTACATGGTCCATGTGGTGCTGGATATCCCAAGGCACCTTGCATGTCTGACAACAGTACTTGCTCTAAGAGATTTCCCAGGAGCTTCTGTGAGGACACCATCTTTGGTGATGATGGATATCCTGTCTATGCCAGGCCTGATAATGGGAGGACTTTCACAAACTCTAAGGGCCAAGTGTTCACAAATCAGGATGTGGTTCCTTACAACCCTCATCTGTTGGCTGAGTTTGACTGTCACATCAATGTGGAGGTCTGTGCTTCAGTGAAAGCTGTCAAGTATATTCACAAATACATCTACAAAGGTGAGGCTATATTCATATACATCATATATATTTTTCTGACTTTCTACAGGCAATGACAGAACAACTTTGCAAGTTGGCCAAGTGGATGAGATTAAGGACTATGTGGATGCCAGATACATTGGCCCTGTTGAGGCTGTCTGGCACATCTTGGAGTTTCCTATGCATGAGGAGAAGCCTACAGTCTACAGGCTACCTGTTCATCTCAAAAATGAACAGGTTGTGTACTTTGAGTCAGATGCTCAGGTTGAGGATGTGGTTGGTGAAGAGAGATCATCCAAGACTCAGCTCACTGAGTGGTTCAAGGCCAATGCTGAGTTGGAGGATGCTAAGAATCATCTCTATCAAAACTTCCCTGAGAGATTTGTTTGGGATCAGAAACAAAAGAAGTGGAAAGTGAGACAGAGAGGCTTTGCCATTGGAAGAATGCACTTTGTTCATCCATCAGCCAATGAGAGATTCTATCTTCGTCTTCTCTTGACTGTGGTCAAGGGTGCTATAGGCTGGAATGATCTCTACTCATTCAACAATGCCCACTATCCCACTTTCAAGGCTGCATGTCTTGCAAGAGGTCTTTTGGAAGATGATGGTGAATGGAGACAATGCCTCAGAGAAGCTACAGAGCTCAGGACAGGCTCTTCACTGAGAAGTCTTTTTGCAATCATTCTGCTGTTCTCTCATCCACTCAAGCCTGAGGATCTATGGCATGAGTTCAGAGCTGGGCTATGTGATGATCTGAGCCATAAGCTGATTGAACTTGGCTATGCTGATCCCACTGAGGAGAAAGTCTGGGATTATGGGCTATATCTGCTGAATCAGATCCTTCTCAAATATGGGAAGCAGCTGACTGATTTTCCTCCTATGCCCATGCCTGAGCATCCTTGGGGAGCTATTGCTCAGAATCCCCTTCTGCAGCATGAGCTTGACTATGATCATGAAGCTCTCATGGAACAGGCTGAGGCTAATATTGAACATTTCAATGTTCAGCAGTCTGCTGCATATGATGCTGTCCTAAGCTCTGTGAACCTGAATCAGGGAAAGATGTTCTTCCTCCACAGTGCAGGTGGTTGTGGCAAGACCTATGTATGCAACACTATTGCTGCTGCTGTGAGAGCTCAGGGAAAGGTTGCACTTTGTGTGGCATCTTCTGGAGTGGCATCTCTACTGCTTGAGGGTGGGAGAACAGCACACTCATGCTTTAAGATTCCCATCCCTATTCATGAGACTTCAACATGTCGCATCAAGAGAGGCAGTGAGCTACATGGAGTTCTGCAACAAACTGGAGTCATAATCTGGGATGAGGCCCCTATGCAGCATAGATTTGCTTTTGAGTCAGTGGATAGAACCTTGCGTGAGATCTTGGACAAGGACATACCATTTGCTGGCATCACTGTAGTATTTGGTGGAGATTTTCGTCAGACTCTTCCTGTTGTCTTCAAAGGCTCCAGACCTCATATTGTGGCAGCTTCCTTGAGGAGGTCACATTTGTGGAGACATATGCATGTGCTTCACTTGACACAGAACATGAGATTAGAGAACAGTCCTGCCAGCCAAGCCTTTGCAGAGTGGCTTCTGAAAGTTGGTGCTGGAAGCAATGTGTCTCCACAAAAGACAATCCAATTGCCTGAGAACATGAAGCTCCAGTCCAACACTTTGGATGGCTTGATAGATTCTCTATACCCAGGTCTCAGTGAGGGGGACAAGCCAGATGAATATTTCCTGCAGAGAACTATCCTCTCCTCAAAGAATGATGCTGTTGATCATATCAACTCTGTTGTTCTGGACAAGTTCCCAGGAGAGAAAGTCACCTTGGCATCTGCAGACAAAGTCATTGGAGATCAGAACATCCACTATCCTGTGGAATATCTCAACTCTATCAATGTCTCAGGCCTTCCACTGTCTAAGCTTGAGCTAAAGAAAGGGTGTCCCCTCATGCTCTTGAGAAACCTTGATCCCAGAAATGGACTATGCAATGGGACAAGGATGATTCTCATGGACATTAAGCAAAGGGTCCTGAAATGTCGAATTTTGGGTGGCATTCATAGTGGCAAGGAAGTCTACATCCCAAGAATTAGCATTGAGCCATCAGCTGAGGATTTGCCAATCCCACTGAGCAGGAGACAGTTCCCTGTTCGTCTTGCCTTTGCTATGACTATCAACAAGGCTCAAGGACAGTCAGTGGTCAATGTTGGACTTGATCTGCGCACAGCAGTCTTTGGCCATGGTCAACTCTATGTTGCTCTTTCCAGGTGCACTTCTGCAGACAGGATTAAAGTTCTATTTCCTGTAGACCAAGGCAATACTGATACTGCCAACATTGTGTACCCTGAGGTGCTCATTCCTACTGTGTATGTTATTTCTAATTTTCTATGGTACACACTTACTCACATGTTTGCTTCAGTCCCCAGGTCTAATGTACCCCATGTAGTATTTGTAGTTTTATCTTTCTGTTGAATCTATTGCTTCCACATCAGAATATGACAATGTTACACATAGATGGAGCATTTTCAGTAGCAAAAGACTACTACAATGCCACACAGTTACATGCAACATTGAATGAACCAAATGCTGCCAGCCTATGGCAAAGGGCTGGCATTGCCCAAGCATATAACCTTAAAAGTGACACAAAGCACAGAATGAAGAGAAATGCTGCCAGACCTGAGGCGAAGCCCAGGTCTGGCATGCTGAAGCATATAACCTCAAAAGTGACACAAAGCACAGAATGAAAAAAGTGCTGCCAGACCTGAGGCGAAGCCCAGGTCTGGCATGCTGAAGCATATAACCTTAAAAGTAACACAAAGCACAGAATGAAAGAATTGCCGCCAGACCTGAGGCGAAGCCCAGGTCTGGCATTGCATAAGCATGAAATCTTAAGAGTTACATGAAGCACAGAATGAAAGAATTGCCCCGTAAACCCGTGGCGAAGCCACGGGTTTGCGATGCTCGTAACATTATGGGACGACGGTGTTGCTGTGGCGCGCGTAACGCACATGGAAAGCACATGGCGTCCACGTTCGCCGCGTGGCCTCAGCCACCTACCGGCCGGGCGGGTCGGGCGCTTTCTCCTCCCGGCGCTTGCGACCCCGCCCGAGCTGTCCCCGAGGCGGGATTTCCGCGCGAAATGCAGGACGACTCAGTACCGGGAAATAGGACCTGTGAGTACTGAGGGATGATAAATTAGTCAGCACCGGGAAAACATAACATATCAGTAGTGGGAAAACAGGACACATCAGTACCGGGCAATAGGGAATATCAGTATCGGGAAATAATAGGATGAAACAGTGGTGATATTCAAAACATCAGATCATATTCAAGAAGACAATTGCTGAATGTGTACCACAGGCCAGGAAACATTCAATTAAAGTGCAATCACAAGACTGAACATATTGTGAGCACCGGGAAATCAGTACCGGGCAATAGGATATCTGAGTAGTACCAGGAAAATGATACATAAATACCAGGACAATAGGGAATATCACACCAGCACCGGGAAATAGTAAGAAATGTCAGATTATATTCAACAAGACAAAGATATCACTGAACCACAGGCCGGGAAGCATGAAGACTAACACACAGCATTGAATGAACTAACGCTGCCAGCCCGTGGCGAAGCCATGGGCTGGCAATGCCCAAGCATATAACCTTCAAAGTAACACAAAGCACAGAATGAAAGAACTGCCGCCAGACCTGAGGCGAAGCCCAGGTCTGGCATTGCCTAAGCATGAAATCTTAAAGGTAACATGAAGCACAGAATGAAGAAATCACCCGCCATGGGTTGGCAATGCCCAAGCATATAACCTTCAAAGTAACACAAAGCACAGAATGAAAGAACCGCCGCCAGACCTGAGGCGAAGCCCAGGTCTGGCATTGCATAAGCATGAAATCTTAAAAGTTACATGAAGCACAGAATGAAGAAATTGCCCCGTAAACCCGTGGCGAAGCCACGGGTTTGCGATGCTCGTTGAATCTAGGATGAGCTCGGCGATCGGGAAAGCGGGACAAGATCTCGATCCATGACCACGTGCGGCAAGATTTTGAGTACCGGTACGGCATTGGGCGTCTACGGACCTGTATATACTCACGGAGTGCAGTCTCGCGGCGACGCCTTCGACGACGCCATGCCCATCGACGGACACGCATACCTCGTCAATCAAGGATGGGGAGGCAAGGGCACGGGCCTGCGTCAAGGTGCCATCTCGCGGCCAGTAGCAGTCACCCAGAAGAAATCACTCGCGGGAGTGGGCAAGGATCGCGACGAGGCGTTTCCCTTCTGGGACCAGTGAGTCTCCAACCGTGTCTTCAAATGTGCATCGATTGTCTGAACATAGAGTTTGCGTAGCGTCTTTGAGGCGGCGGCCATGAGCATTCAGGTCAAGATCCAGAATGACGATGATGATTCTGTGAGTCGATTTGCGAGTCTCCATCTCCTGCAGCCATTCATCGCCTCCCAGGATAGTGAAGACACTTCTACACCCACCTTCGAGCTTCAACGTACTAAGACAGGAATCATCTCGAATCGTCGCCCAAAGACAGGCATGCCCGCCCTCCCCGGGACCGCCACCCCAGACTCGCAGGCCAGCGGGAGCGGTAGCGTCACGCCACGACTGAGCGTCATGGCAGCTGCAAAGCAGGAGGCTGCGAAACGCATACTCTATGCGAACTTCTTTCGTGGACCTGTCCTTGGCCCCAACGAGCCTTTGGAGGTCGCCCAGTCGGAGAGCCAGACCCCACCTATCACCACTACCCAGTCTGCGCAGGATCGCGAGACGAGTCCCGTTCCTACAAGGAAGAGCAGAAAGGGGAAGGAGCGCGCTGTTGATCCCTCGCCGGACGTGGAGTCCGCCGCTCAGCCAAAGAAGCAGAAGAAGCGGTCTGCGCTCGATGATGATGATGCTAGTGAGACGAAGAAGGAAAAGAAAAGGCGGAAACGAGAGGCGAAGGAGTTAATTGCAAACGAGGAAGTAGAGGCGGAAGGAGGGAAGAAGAATCGGAGAGCGGAGAAAGCATCAACACCTGCGGAGGGTGCGGAGGGAGCAGAGGATGGGGATAGGAACCGCGAGAGCGAGGAGCGGAAGAGGCGGAAGGCAGAGAGGCGAGCTGCGAAGGAGGGACGCCGGAGGCTCAAGCAACAACGGAAGGAGGCTGAGGTTGTACCAGAAGGTCTCAGTAGGGAGCCTGCGGATGAGTCGGAAGCAGCGGGGGCGGCCGAAGACGCGTCCCGCAAGCGCAAGAAAGACAAAACACATCAAGAGGGACGGGACAAAAAGAAACAACGAAGGACTTCATCTTCATAACGACCCCATTAGGTATCATCCACGTATGTACTTCTACACGATGGTGCTATGGTACTGTGTTCCGTCCGGCAGCGTCATATTGGTACATCACATATGCAACAGCGGAGTGCTACTATTTGCAAGACGGACTATTAGACATACAAGCATTTCCTTCGACATGGCAGAGTACATAGGGAGTGGACAGTGACCAGCAACATGACGTGTCACAGGCCACACATCGAACGTATTTAACAAAGCAGATTACTCGTCACCTGGACGAGCACAGGCACCAGACAACGACGAAGACCCTCAAGAACGGATGCTCCTCCATGCGCTTTGCATAGCAATGCGTCTAGCCTATAGACAAAGAGTCAGTATTGCATCCTCGACATACGTGCTTCGTACGAAGTTCTAGCAGCAAAAGGTCAAACGCACCTGATCGAGCGTGATCGAGTCCTCCCGCAGCTCGACCTTCTGCCTACCATCGTTCTCCTCCTCGTCATCGTCATCATCGAACGTCGTGCTCCGTGGGGCACCACGGATGCCGCCAAAGGCCGCCTTCCCGCCCGCAAGTGAGAACGGCGTCGACGCCACCGCAGTGCCGAAGACACTCGCGTTCTTGGGCGCACCGAAGGCGGCGAAGTCGGTGACGACCTTGCGCGGCGGAGAGCTCGACAATTTGGGCGACTTGGTCGGACTGGCGGGAGCAACACCCGTCGACGTACTGCCGGAACGGGGAGCGTAGGGAGAGTAGGCGTATGAGCGCTGTGAGGTCATCCTCGCATGGAGGTATTTGTCAGTGAACCGTGTCCCAGGGACCTGCGTTATGGGAATGTCAGCAAGGCGAAGGGGATATCGAAGACACAGCGGCATACCCTCTTGAGGTGTGGGCGTGCCTCCGTGAGGGAAGTCGAGTTCATGTACACGCTGACGTTGTGCTTCGCCTCCTCGGATTCGCGGTAGATGCTCTCGATGACCACTCTCTTGGTGCTCTCGTTACGGAGCAGAAGACGTTCATGAAGCTCCCGCGCGACGTCATCGACGCTCTCGTTGTTACCGAGGATCCTTTGCGAGACGGCTTCTCCGACCTCACGGACAAGCCGCTCCATGTCGAGGTTTTCCAGCACACTGCCCACAATGGCATGTGTGAGCAGGTCTGCCGTGGTGAGAGGCAGCATGAGGCCTGAGGTGATGTTCACCAGGGCTTGGTAGAAGTCTGTCGCGTACTGGGACTGTGTTCAGTACCATGCTCCGCTTATATTGAGAAACACTTACTGCGTAGCCACTCAATGCAGGCTCGCACGCCACGAAGAACTGAGCGTAATCAGACAAACCGGACGAACACGTACAATGAGAAGGTTCATACCAGTGTGATGCCGCGACTAGCCATCTGCCGCGCAATCTGCAGTGGATCATTTCCATCCGGAGAGCCATCGTCAAAGCCTACACGACCCATGAAGAACTCAAGCAAATATCAAAGGAAACAACTTACCATCGCCGTACTCTCCAATCCCGTGCGGAGGTGCATCCGCGATCAGCACAATCATCTTGCTCGCGTAAGGTCTCCACTCCATGTTCAGTCCTTCCCAGAGTGCGGCGGTTACTGCCTCCGGTCCATCGCCGCCGCCCGAAGCGTATAAGCTCGAGAGGTGGCTGTGAACCTGCGAGATGTCTGAGGAGAAGCCGAAGTTCTTGGTGACATAGGTGTGGTCTTGCGGTGGATGGTCTCTGTACGCGACGAGCCCAATGCGTAGATCTTCCCGGGACTGCAGCTTGCCAGACTCGTAGATATGATTGCAGATCTCTTCAATATTCCTTGTGGCGGAGGATATGTAGCTGCCCTGACTCCCCGTGCAGTCTTGCACGAAGACGAGATCGCTGATGGGCGGTACATCAAGTCAGCTGGGGTAGAGGCGGGCACCGCAGGCCACGTACAGCATTTTCCGCCCATCCTCCGGTGGCGCACCGTTGCTGTCCGCCTGCTGAGGGCCGTACGCGTCGGGCTGGGGGTAACTGGTAGATCCGGTGTCGAAATCCATGTCTTCATCCATCGTGAACGCTGCGAGAGGTCGTGAAGTGAGTAGTGCGCTTGGGCAGCTCCTATTGTCCGGATATCACTCGAGGGGTAACTCAGAGGCACAGCGTGCAGTCGTGGTCGTGGTGGTCGTGATCGATGGTGGTTGTAGAGTGCAGAGATGAGATGTATTGGCACGGCGCGGTTGAAGGCTCTTTCAAGTTACATATGTCATTCTGCCGCCCGCGCAGTGTACTTACAGCGCATCTAGCGCCGGCACCACGCCTGAGTCGCGCGTCCTGGGTCCCTTGATCCCGGGGCCAGGACCCGGGCACTTCATGCCTCCCTCCTGCCTCCGATCCCTCGCTGATCACAATCTCCAGCCCCCGGTCGAAATAGCTGGTCTACGCAGATGTAAGTAGAGGTTATAAGTAGGTGAATAGTCGGATAGTCGAAGTAGGCTAGTAAGTAGGTAGTAACTAGAGCTCTCTTCGCGACGCAGTGCCCACAATCCAGTTTATCCACTGCGCTGTAACGTTGCTCAAGCTGCCCGGTCGAGCGAATGTCCGATATACAAGCACAACACCCGTCGCCACACCCCCGATCAGCGTGCACACCTTGACATACATCCGGATGCGTGCGGCGGCTGTCATTGCGCGGTCTGAGCCTCCTGGTAACGCGGAGTTGCTGGGCAGGCGCACACGTGAGGAGAATGCAGCGTGTAGAAAGCATGACAACGTACGGGTTCATTGCAACGCTGCAGATGGCATGGAACACGTCCGCCATCTGCCCCGTCTTCACGCTGACGGCGACAGGAACCTGCAGCCCTAATCTGCGGCAGTACACATCTGGCTGTACCTCGTGTCTCTAGAGATCATGGTCAGGCATCCGCTATGCAGGCCCCTATAAACGTTCACGTACCTGCTGGGCGAGGTCTAGATCAGACTTCGTTGCCACGAACAACGTTGGGATGTGGTCCAGACTGTACTGTTGCTGCAAGGCTGTCAGCTAAATCCGGATATAATGGATGCAGTAACGCACCCTCAGATTACTGATGTACGAGAACGAGTTGGTGTCGCTCGAGTCGTGTACATAGACAATGACATCCGCCAAATCCGTCTTTCTCGGATTCCGCAGCGTTTCTGCCTCGTATTTTGAGCCGAACTCTTGCAACTATCACGACCACATCAGAGGGGATGACGGCACTGAGCACACATCTGACGCACCACGAGGTATTTTTCTGACCCATCAATGTCCACTGAATTGACAACAGAGTTCATCTTCTTCGTGGTCTCATACTTCTCGCTGAAGGGTTTCCCGGCGAATGCGCGAAGTAGAGAGGTCTTGCCCGAGCCCGCCGCTCCGCACATGTAGCAAAGGAAGACATTGCGCGTCACCTTGCCTTTGCGCCTGTCAACCTTCCTTGGTCGAGTGATGTGCAGCGCGCTCGTCCGAGGTTCGTCGGGGTAACCCAAATACGCCAGGTAGGCAAGAGTGGTCCGATGATCGAGAAGAGTCGTCATGCTGGAATTGGCGGCGTAATGAGAAGCCAGTCCGGAGATGAACAGCATTGTGCACACCTCCATTGTGCCAGCCACCCTTGCAGAGTGACTGCACCTGTGTCATCCGCAACAGTCGTGTCTGGGAACTTCTGACCTGCCCAGGGATTACCCGGGGATGTACTGAATAGGTCTTCCAATTCCTCCGTCTTCAGAGCGCCGTCTTGGTCCTGGGACAAGTTGATAGCCTAATAGACTACGCAGGAGATGACACGGACCTTGTCAAAGGTTTCAAAGATGTCGGTGAGGTACTGGTATCCCTTCGGACTCAATTCCACAGAACAGTCGTAGGGCACGTCGAATCTATAGTGATACGTCAGCAGCGCTTCTTGTAATATTAACGAAGCAGGAAGACTTGCTTCGGATACAGGAAGCTCTCCGTCAGTCGTAGATCCTCAGCATAGCCAAACTTGCGCAGGACAGTCCAGGTAGTCTCTAGCCGACCACGCTGAATAAAGATGGTATGCAAATACAGGAATCCTGCTTCAGTGAGTCCGCTGTCACGGACACCACCATCCGCGTGTTCTTGGACCATGGCCTTGATTCCCTCCAGTTCTTGAGCTTGGAGCGGGGCATCGAAGCATTTGCGCTGAGAGGTTCGCGTATTCAAGCGGCATAAGCAGGGTAGGGAATGTGTCAGACATACCTGGAACTCATTTAACTCGGATGCATCCAAGATGCCGTCCTTGTTCGTATCACACAGCTTGAATATTCGTCGAAGCGCAGCGACGCATTCCTTCTTCAGAACCTGCATGAAACATACGTTCAGCACAAATTCTCCAGCACACGCACGCGCACCAACATGGTCTCTTGAGTCGTACAATGGCGCAGTAGGATGAAGGACAGCTCTCTGGGCAAAGTAGAAGACTTCTGACACGTTCAAGGGCAGTTTCGCAGAACACTCGACGCATGTTTCAACTTCCTACGAGACTACGCTTAGTTCAATAAGCCCCGTGGAAAGGTAAGGGCTCACCTTGAACTCGTTCATGATAGGAACAATCTCCTCCTCCAACGCCTCGTTCGTGACCTCTCCCCCTCGAAGGTCAATCTTGTTACCGACCAGAATGACGGGCACCTTAGCGTGGCATATTCAGCATGGTCCTGTGAGCCTCAGGAAGAGCGTACATTAACACCAAGTTGTCGGAAGTACGGTAGCCAGTATGTCGGTATTCGGTCGAAAGAATTCGGATTGTCGATGGAATAGACCACGCAGATTACATGTGCTTTCCGTATTTCGGACTCGAGGTGCGGCCGATCCTGCGGACCGCCTAACATTCCCGACGGTTGGTCAGCTACACACATGGAGGCGGAGCGGCGAACGCACTGCCGGAATCTACTATGTAGGTGGTAACGTTCTCGGGCGTGACTTCTGGGGGTATAGTGACTTCGGGAACTATGTGTTGGACCTGACGTTGCGTCTGTCGGTCAGGAGCTTCATAGAGCGTGCAATGGAATGCTCGTACATGGGCAACGAACGACTCCTTGATCAGCGAAGTGACGATGGTACTCTTGCCGACAGCCTCTAGCATGAGCTGGTGGATGAGAATTGTTGCACGGAGGACTGCGGAGAGGCTCACCGTCGCCTACGAGTAGAATCCGAACATCCCTTCTCATGTCCTGGCCCGCTAGCAAGCGTCAGGGACTGTGGTGCGCGCGTTGTATGTCGTGGAAGAGAGCAGCGGCTTGCTCTCAGCCAGTTGTGCCTCGACGCCTCGGCACGCGCGTGACGATCGCGATCACCCGTAAACCCGCTTATGTAATTCATGGCATAGCACCGTTCATAAGCCCAGTTGCAGTGGCTGCCCGCTCCAGACACCACGCCCGCCTCAAGATTGCTCCCCTCGCCTGGCTCTGCGTCCGACAAGCCATTCCAAGCTCGTTCGCACTGGCACACATTCGCGCGTGAAGCACAGTACGTCGGGAATACTCATACGCATTCGAGCTACTTGCTCACCCGGGCCCGGAACAGCGTCATGCACGTCAAGCGACTGCCCAGCGATGTAATCATCGTCATTATGCAGTATTTGTCTGCACGCGACCTGGCCGCACTGTCAGAAACATGTACATACGCGCATAGCTTGGTGAGTGTCTGCAACCGTCAGTCAACAGGCGTGGACTTCACATGCACTTCACAGGTTAGCGAGTTCGGATGGAGCCTGCTCGCTCGTCAGACTAGCCCATCATCCTGCAGTCTTTCCAAGTCTCTGATGACATGGCCTCCGAACGCGCAAGTCCGGTACGTAGATCCCGATTCCACTCCGGTGTGTCGATTGCAGACTAATCTTTCATGACATAGCTATCACACGATCACTGACCGCAACTGGGCTAAACATCAATTCGTCGCACGACCGGTGGCCCGAAAGTGGATGGGAAAGCTCCAGCCAGCACTGGCAATCAACCGCTCCAGGCTGTTAGTCGGCGCAGGCAACACGATATACTCGTATGCGTTCGCTGTTGCTAAACCTGGAGAGGCGCCAGGTGTGGTATTCGAAGGTGCCTACACCACTAGCCATCGCCTGCAAGCCCACCGTGACATCACGAGCATGGCTTCGGTCGAAGACGGTGGTAGGGACGAAACCCTCTACGTCGGATTTGCCGACGGCGCTCTGGAACGTGTTACCCTCCCTCTCTCAGAGCCAAGGAAACATGACCAGAACGTCCACATCGACCCTTTGCACCGAGAAGGCAATTACTTCCACGGCGATGACATCGTGGAGAGCGTGTCTTCAGCAGGAAATTACGTTCTCTCGCTCTCCTCGAGCGGTACTGCAGTGTTCATGAACCTCTCCTCCGCGGAACCTGTTCCTCAATTCCTGGAGCTGGACTCCCGAGGCTGGTCGACCTACCTGTCCGCCCGTAGTTCGACCCCATACGCAGTCTTCGGTACCTCCTCCATGAACCCGCTCTCCGTGCACGACATTCACGCGGCCGGGCTGTCCCCCAACCCATCCGCCATCCTCGCCTCAGGCGCGTCTGACGAGCGCCCAAAGCCCTCCGCTGTCTACGGGATCGCAGGCGCGCCTCCATCTTCCCCGTGGGGCCACTCGGACCAGATTATCGTATCAGGGTGGTACGATGGGCCAGTGCGCGTCCACGATCTTCGCTCCTCGAAGCGTGCCTACTCGACCGATCCTTGCTGTCCAGCACCCCTCCTCCCGGTCCTGTCGGTGTTCGATCCCTGGCTCTTCGAGCCAAACTATTCCGTCTCTTGCGGCGGGGGCGCTTCCAGCTACATTGCGGCTGGGACAGCGCGCCATAGTGTCGTCGCTCTGTGGGATGTGCGCAACCCTTCGGCGGGCTGGAGCGTCCACGCGCCAGGGAATGATTCCTCCCCGGTGTACTCGGTCATACTCGAGGGTTCCCGCCTGTTCGGCGCGACACAGTCGCGTCCGTTCGTGCTTGACTTCGGCCCGGATGTCAGAGAGGATACCTACCCAGTTCTCAAATTCAGTAATGCCAGAGACGAAGAGGGTCTCAAGAAGCGAGACAGGACTGGTATCGGTTTCTACGTAACACGATACGATCATAGCCGGTAGCCATACTATATCTGATGACGAATTTTGACAATGGGTGAAGGAAGACAAGACGAAACGAATAACAATAGGAGATAGCTGGTACATCGGACTCCAGACATGCGGTGTGTACAACAGATAGACAGCAATAGATGCACAATAGACTGAGGTATCATAGGGAGTCGCGCGTCTGTGAACAGAGGGAATATGAAGGACAGATGGGAGACAAGGTTCATGTCGAAGATGCATACAAAACGAGATCTGAGACGTCGCGAAAGCAATGGAGGAAAGCCGGTTAGAAGGAATGGTCATCATGCGGTGGCAGACGTCGGTGTAGATTGATGTGACTGCGAACGAGTCCAGTTGAACAACTGTCGGACGTCGCTCGTGGGCGGAGTGTCGGTGGAATGCTTGGGCTCAACCAGCAGACTGCGCCTGTAAAGGTCCTGCAAATCGCCTTGCCGGGCCGACTTCTCGAAAGCGTCTCTGAGGTACTCCTGCACCTCCGGTATCTGTTTCAGGTTATACGGTAGTTGGAAGCGTTGCATGTCTATATGAACATTCATTAGTCGTGTTGTATATACTAAAAGCTCGGATGGTGAACATACCTTGTACAATGCGCGCAAGCTTGTGATACTTGTTGAAGTTCAACAGCTTCTTGTCTGGCGACTTGGGTGACGGGCGGAACGAAGGGTTGCCCTCGCGACAAAATGTGACATCCGTGAGGTACAAACCTGGAGAGGCACAGTATCAGATATATGACACATGGACAAACCAAATTCACATACCGAGGAATGGAATCGCCGGAGGGGCTGTGTTGCGTAGGCGGGATCGGTACTCGTTGTAGTTCCGCGCATGGTCGGACAGCTTCCGCAAGGCCTCGAGTTGCATCTTGTACTTCTGCGACAGGCCCTGTGGACAGTCAGGTTTCAATAGGGTTTTGACCAACGCCAAGTCGATTGACTTACCATCCACGTTTGATGTAGACGCGAGATGGTTGATGAGTCCAACGCGGCCAGGATGGCACGCAGAGTGCTGAAGTTGCTGAGCGAGTTGCACCGCTATAAATAGGATGCGATGAGACATTGCCGATAGCATGCGTTTGTGACACTCACGTCTGCGACCTTGATGAAGAATTTGACCAATGATGTCCTCTTCTTCGTATCGAGTTCGTTCAGGATGCTTTCGGCCACGAACCCGGTGATCGCCGTGCTGAGAGAGGTCACGGCCTTCACATTGATAGGGGGTGTCGCGCCTTCCTTGCCAGACTCCAGCACCTCCTCAGGCTTGATAGCGCAATACAGATGGCTCTCCATCGTCGTCATTTGCCTAGCCAACTCCAACGGGTCGAAATCTGTGATCGAAATCGACGCGAAGCTCTTTTGTCTCAATGCATTCAAGAGGTTCTTCGTCATGATGGGCCGAGGAACCTCCGATAACGGCATGGTGGGTGGGTTGAGGGAAATAAGGGCTTCACGCGCCCGGTCCGCCTTGACGGCTGACATCGCTTCATCCGTTGACTGCCACTGGGCAATGAGCTCTAGGATCCGCTGGGAGGACGGGATGGAGACCTCCGTGAGGCAATCACGCGTGAAGTCAAACAAGGTCGCCAGTGCGACGTTGTCGACAACAGGACGCCAGTGAGTCTCCAGCCACATCTTCACAAAGTTCGACACGCGTAACCTGATAGGGAACCCTTTTCGCTGCTTCCACGTGTGCACCTCGTCCGGGGAAAAGCTAACAGGGGGCTTGATGTTGTAGCGGTCAACGATGGCGCCCACAAGTTCCATGGGGGTGGTGAACAGGCGGAAGGTCAAGAAGAACACCGAAGAGAAAGCTTGCTCTGGTACGGAGTCGTGCGGCGTCATCCGCTCAATCAAAGCAGCCAACGTCGCGCCTACGAGCTGGCCGTCGCTGTTGTACGCAACGTCGTCCGCGGCGTGGTCATGCGTCAGTGCCCAAGCGACTGGCGTTCGCCTCACCGGCTCGGGTCCAGCGGGCAGGTCGCCACGCAGTACCTTCTCGTCGAAAGAAGCAGGTGAGTACGGTCTCCTGTGACTTCCCTCCCATGTTGTCCTGTCGTCTTCCGTGTGTGTCAATGACACTGGGGACGGGAAGTCCGGTGCAACGTCGTGTCGAGGGATGTACAATGGCGGGAGCGGCTTGTTCGAGGGTGGAGACGTCAGGGGAGGAGACGATGGCTCCGGCGGCTGCCAGGGGTTTGGTAGCGTGTCCCCTGTCGGTGAAGCAACCGACTGCCTCGCGAACCGAATGGTGACTTCAGGCGAGGACGGTGTCCTCGCCTGTATAGTGAGGTCTTGATCGTCTCCGTCCGCATCGCTCGAGGCATATAGCTTGTGCAAAGCCTGGAATCCACCGGATTTGCTGGGGCGGCTGACATGGGTAGCCACGTATTGCGAGAACTTGCGAGGGGAGGTAAGGTCGGACTCGCTGATGGTCGGAAGGTGGATGATGAAGGGCCGCTCTCCGTTTGCTCGTCGCAAGCACTTCTTGACTGCACCGACACAATCTGCCCCGACCTTCAGAGCGTCTGTCGCGCACCGCAGTATTAGACTCTTCTCTTCCTCCTCTGACATACCCTCTGGTGCTGGTAGCGTCAGAAGACGCACCGAGTCGACGAGTTTCCCCGTGATGGTGTACAGGGCTTCCTTCGCCGCCTGCAAGCCAGATGACTTAGGTACCGGGAGGTCAGGATGCTTCAGTACGGCATCGACAATGGTCAAGAGCTTGCAGACCATGTCCACCACTTCACGGATGAGTTCGTACAGGTGTCCAGTGCTGGATGCATGTGTTGAACGGGAATGCGAGTGTGCGTGACCGATGAATGCCGCGATGGTGGACAAGTACTGGTCATGCGTATACCGCAATGCTTCCATGACCTCTGGAGTGGTCGACGGCCCTGAAGGGAAGACAGGCGTGGCGGGCGTCGTCATGGATTCAATGGACGAGAACGAAGACGAGGAGGAATGGCTGCTGACGGAGTTGCCTGCCTCATGCCGAACCATCACACCGTTGGCGTACCGATTCGGACGAGGAGTCGACGATTGGCGAAGCGACCCGCCGATACCCTTGCGATGGCTATTCGTGGGCATTTGCGCAGCGTCGAGATCGCTTGGTCGGGCTCTCTGGGTCTTGAGGTCGCCCATACTCTTCGCCCGCACCGGCGTCGACGCGATCCCCATTATTTGCTTGGAGGAGGGCCTGCGCTGGATGCCGTTGATTGACTTCTCGTACTCCCACTTCTGCCCAGCTCCACCATCGTCGGACACTGCTGTGTCTTCTGAGCTCTGCATCTGTCGACTTGTGTGTGTACCAAGAGTAGACTCTGGTGGAAGGCCTCCGTGGGCGGGCAACACGATGCCGCATTGGGTGAGGAGAGCCAGGAGCCCTCGGACGTGCGCGAATAGGTTACCACCTAGTCTGACCATGGCCTCCACCTCGAGCTCGCGAAGGTCGTCGTCCGTCTCCTCTTCGGACGCTTTCCTAGCTTGGGTTACAAGCGACGCGAGGTCAGACAATATGCGCTTCCTTTCTTGGGCTAGGATGCCATGCCGCTTGAGGATGGGTGCGTCGCGCTGAAAGCAGCCGACGTCGGAGAGTATGGCTCGAACGCAAGAGATGATGAACGCCGTCGATGGTTGAAAGTGGGCAATCCTGTTCTCCCTCGCAGCTTTCTGCAAGAGGGAGAGGCCATGAAGTAGAGGGCGCATGAGAGGTGGACAGTATATGTCCGTCGTACCCCCGCCATCTGCGTGTAATGGACGGTGGTCTGTCCTCGTGAAAGTATCGTGCCGGTCGATGCCTCGATTGGCGGAAGTCGTCCATGAGTTGTTTGAAGCCACAGAAGCGGAATGTATATGTCTTGACCGTGAGCGCTATATTGACATGAACCTCGCATGAAAAGATAGATATGCGCACAATTGCGGTGTACGTACCGTCATGTCTGGCAGCTCTTCCTCTGTCAACAGGCCAACCTCACAGGTCACGTAGTTGCTCGGAAACCATCCCCTCCGCCCATCGACCTCTCCATCCCACCACCCACTAGGATCGCGATTCAATACCCGGATGATCTGCCGAGCCTGGAACGAGAGGCAGTTGATGTTGTTGCCCTCAGGGTCGTAGTCGTGCATCGCCAGGACGTATTCGCCATTATCGTCCTCGTATGAGAGAGACTGCTCGAATGACCAAGAAATGCGGGACGCGGCATGCGTTGCCCGGCAGGACGTGGACGGACCGGCTTGCGCCCGTGCAACAGGGCTGCAGATAGATGACGATGTCGATGCAGTAGATCCACTGCGAAGCCGCGAGCTTTGTGCGGACCCAGGAGTAGACGGGGCGAGTCGACTGGACGAGGGACCCGCTAGAGCAACAGAAGTATCGATTCGTAGTCCTGCTGCAGGCATATCTTGATGTAGGAAGCGTACGTGCGACGCGGGGTAGTAAAGCGCTATCCGGGCGCGTCGAGAAGTGGAGGGGCTGAGATAGCTGGCCAAGCGATATTGGGCCTGTCCGAGAAGGCGAGCCGCAATGGTACGCGGGGAAGCGGAGAAGAGCGAACGAAGGTGGGGTTATGCCCGAACGTCCCGTACGCGTCCCAGTCGGCCAGATGGATGCCTAGACAAAAAGCCGCGAAAGTATAAAGACACGCCCAAGGGAGACGGAGACTGGCCGCAGTGCTTGCGGCAGCGCAGGCCGGCTAGGAAATCGACACACGAGACGAAGTGCAGTCTGAGCAGCGAATACGAACCACGGTTCGGTTCGGCGTCACGCGCCTGTCACGCGTGACACACGCGTGTTCTGCCGCCACTATCGCGTCGCGTCCTCAAGATCGCGTCCGGCTGCATTTGGCTGGGTCGTATCAATCGCCCCTCTTTCATCAGATTCACAGCAAGTTCAACGTCTGCATCCCAGCGTCCATACATGGGCTCACGGCCCCCATCGAGCATTTACCTGTCACATAGCTCACGTCCAGAATCACGACCCACTTGGTGCGAACGTGACATTGTGCAGCGTTGCGCCCGCATGCATCGTTTCTGTATGATGGAAGCAGGCTGTCCTTGTCTTTCACACGTTGGTGTTGCCTGTGAAGCCTAGCGAGCGCCCTGAAGGTACTGCAGCCGAGCCTAGGCAGTCTAGCGTAGTAGGCAGCTCTTGACGATGCCTGAAATTTGTTGTGGTTTATCTCTTGCGTTGCCCACGGGGATACAGACCGAGGTCCAGGCTTCCATGGATGCTAATTGAATTACTGATTGCATGCTTCGTGTAGGGGAAATCACCGGAATAACTCCGTGAAAGTTATGGATCAGTCGGGGGCATGTGTGACTAGTGTACGTTCACCAAACTACGTAGACCATGTAGGTGATACTTGGGGAGGGCCAAAGAGGAACCGCACCGTCCCTTCATTACGACCGAGCAGCGACGCTTCGTGTTTAGCCGAATGCGTAAGGCTCTCGCGTTGTCGCGCAGGATGCTCTGATTGCCGCATAACGATCTTCAGGCGGATGAGCTGGTCGGTGCTGTACGGCAGAGACGGCGGCACTGCGTTCGCTACAGCTTGCGCGCGGCTGAGATGTGGGGAAGGAGAGGACGGCGTAGTAGGTGACGTATTCGGTTGGTGACTTTGAGACGCCCCTATGAGCAAATCTATCACCGCGAATGCGACCTCTGTAACGAACGGTCAACGTCCATGCAAGATGAAATGGAAGCAAATGTGGCGCTTCTCACCTTCCAAGTCTTCTACGTGTGCTTGGAACTGCCGCTCCCATGTACCGGGCTGCTTAAGCTGCATTGTGATTTGATGGCTTACGACGGCGTCAGGTGTATTAGGGGATATTGTTTGCTCGAATGACGTGAGGAGCGCGGCCATGTATATGCAGCCAAGAGCGACAGCATGCGGTGGAAACTCAAGGTTAACCAGAGTCCGGAAGCTGTAAGACAACTGCTCAGTAGCAAAATGGGCCAATAGACGTCCCTCCTACCTGTCAATCGTAAGACGCCATGCTAGCTTCGTGAGTTTCTTTGTGGCTGCATTGGGGTAAGCATGTATGAGTGAATATAGTGAGAGTACCGTACCTTTTAGCGCTCTTCCAATTTTGATGACGTATGGGAAGGGCATTCTGGATGTGAAATTGAAGCATACTGTCTCCAGCATGAGGCGCTCCACCGCCAGAAGCCTTTGGCGGTCAATCTCAACGGTCTAGTACAGCAGTTATCAGACGTAAACTTTCATAGGGACAAGAATTGTATTGTCAACGAACCTGGGGGTCCATGTCTATCTCTCCGACGATAGATTTTGACTTGGCCGCAAGATCCGGGAACCGCACCCCATAGCTGACCATCAAGATCTCGCGAGGCTTCTTGAGTGTGTCATGCATCTTCGATGATACATACAGTGCGGCTAGAGTGACATCCTGTATTGCGGGAATTAATACCAGAGGTTAGCCCTTTGAGGACAGTGACCAGGAATACGCACATAGTAGCTGAAGTCCTTGCGCGGGAAAAACAGATGGAATCGGTGATACAGGTTCTGTGCGGTAGCAATAGTCTTCCGAGGACTGCGTACATGACCGTGATATTAGACTGAATGCTATTCGGGCTATTAGCCACGGCGAGACAAGACGTACAAGCCGATCTTCGCACCCACAGCTTCAATAAACCCGCACGCCTGTTGTCTCGCCTTTTCCTCCTGCGTGAAAGACAGCTTTCCCCTCTGTTTATCCGACAGTTTCTCTACTTCCGTAGGAGTGAAGTAGGGGAGGTGGTGCTTGACGTACGAGGCTGCGAACTGAGAGCCGTCCATGGTGGCTGGGAGCAAGGGGGTTCGCGCTCGCGACTCGCGTCGGTGGCGTCAATGGACTTCATCGTGACCTTTCCTGCCCTCGTCGCAGGCAGGCTCGTCCTCGCTCTCTCGCCTCTGACACACTACCTGCGGGATGACCATCTACTGTCGAGCCCTCTGACATCTTACTCGCGGCGTAAGTTGACTACGCTTAGCTTGCCGGGCCCGGACTACTGACGGCCACAACGTTCAGTGCAGGAAGGTATCTACCTGTTCAAGCATGGGATCGATCCATACTCTGGAAGCACCTTCCGCCATGTAAGCCACATAATACTCGCTTTCACCAACTTCTGACATGTTTGCGTAGTCACCGTTGCTGTTGTCGCTGTTCTCAACGGTGATACCTCTCAACGAGGTGACAGCAGCATTTCTCTGGACCGCCAGTGACGCGCTAGCAGCATGGTCACTGGTGCGCATATGGAGGGCGCGACAAAATGTATCAAGTAGCTCGAGGGACAGCCTCATAGCTGGGTTGTACGTTGCCATCCGCTTTAGTTTGTTTCATCGCGCCGACCCCGGAACGAAGGTACCTACTCAACCCGTACACCTTCCTGCCTTCTCTCGGGCAGTCTACATCCAGCTTTGAAAATGCACTATGTCTGCTGTCTCTGATGCTTGCATGTCAGAGTACGTCGTATGGCAACCCTATGAATAACCGGGTCTCTGACCTTCGTCGCAGAACAGGCATCAGCTTCCCTGCTCGCCCTCGCTTTCCTCATCCAATTGTCCCTCCCATCAATCCTTCTCCTCCTCCCTCTGCTATTGCTACTCATCTCCGAGCCAACCTCGCATCTAGCGTCACCCTTCTTCTTCAAGACCGACATCCGCCGTATAACACCCCTCGCTGGCCAATTTGCGGCCTATATCTTGCTCCTCTCCGGAGCCGCGACGCTAGTCTGCGGAAACCTCAACTGGGTCGAGAAGACATGGGGTGCATCGTATGTTGACAGTGTCCTCGTCTAAACCTGATCATTTACATCGCTCGCCAGGCTAACGCTGCCCGATCTAACACCTAACCCTGGACTTTGGTGGTACTTCTTCACCGAGATGTTCGACCACTTCCGGCCGTTCTTCCTCATAGTGTTCTCGGTTCGTCGCTCTGCTCTCTGCTTTGATTAAGCACTCATTGATGTCGCGGCGATAGGTGCATCTCCTCATATACGTGCTGCCGCTCTGCATCAAGTTCCAGTACGTTGTCGATATGAGCTCCGAGTCTAATCCACGGCTCACGTCCGGTATAGGCATGATATCCTCTATGCATGCTACCTTCTCTTGGGTATCCTCAGCATATTCAAAGCGTATCCGACGTTGTCAGATCCAGGCCTCTTCCTCAGCATGCTCTCTCTCTTCCCCGAGACCTTCCCATGTACGTCACGATTCTCTCTCTCCCCTCCACGACACTCACCCGGTTCTAGATTTGCACCACCCAATCGTCACCGCCCTCCTGCACCTGCACGCAGCGCTGCTCCTCCCGCTCTTCCACTACCTCTGGCTCAACCAGGGCACAGGCAACGCGAACTTCTTCTACGCGTCCACCCTGGTTTTCGGGATGGCGAACGGTGCGGCGCTGCTAGACTCAATCTGGGCAGGATTGAGGATTGCTATCGGGGAGGTGAAGGAGGAGCATGAGGTCCTGCAGGAGTAACGGTAGCTCTGAGTCTTTGAATTGGGAAATCGCTCAGACATAATGTACGCTTGAGATTGTAGCCTTTGAGCCAGAAACAGGTGATATTACATGAGGTGGGACGAGAAGGCATCATTCGTAGACATCAAGCAAGAAACGCGACAGTAGATGGAAGTCGTGGTACGGTAGGTAGCGAGGCATAGCGACAACAGCAAGGCACAGCACAAGAGAGCAGACTGGAGCAATCTGAGGATTAGTCAATGACAGCTACAGCGACATCCAAACGATCAGCAATGGTGAAAAAGACGTAGCACGGCCCAAGCAACTGTCACCCTTGTGGTCAGTCCGCATCCGCGACCTCTGAGTAAAGTACCAGGTTCTCGCCGTTGATCTCAAAATGATTGTTTCCTGCAGAGACGAACCACTCGCTTTCCACCGAACCTTCCTCTCTGATAACCGCTACTTTGCCCTTACAATTCCCTTGAAGAACGATCGCCTTCTGACCGAGGAGGTCAGGCCTCACAGAGGCAAGGTACTCGACGGGAATGGTGAAGACGGAGGGGGCACCATCACGAGGGTCCAGCATCTTCACTTGCGCAGTGGACGAGAAAGAGCCGTTGCCTGTGTTGAACACCGAGAGGATGACAGCTTGCTCGCCCTCGTACTCGCCGTTATACCAGCCGCGGTCGTCATGGCCGCCCGAGGAGCCCGTAATGACAACCGTCATACCTTTCTTCGTCGACATAATGGGATCCAAGAGCCAGTGTGCAGCCGCGTCTTGGGAAGAGATGAGCGTTACTGGTGACGACGTCTGAGCTACCACATACCAGTGTTTCCGGGCGCTGTCACGGTGTCATGACTCGTTGGAGGATCAACTGGCTTGTCTATGGTCTTCAGTGGGTGAGCACAAGACATTCTATGATCTGCGGGTATTCCAAGGCGATTTCTCTCACCAGATTGCGCTGGGCCATCGGTTTCGCCGGTCTTGGCTTCTGGTTGAAAGGCCGGAAGCCAAGGTAAGTCGGTCGCGATGATGAGCCGTTTTTGGACCCGGTAGCCTTTCCCTCGAGCTTGGGTTTCTTCAGGACCTTGTTATCGTTGTACACCATTGATTGGTCAAGACCACTTTCTGCCATGGACGAAGCAGAGCGCTTTGTCATTTGAAGTGCTACATCGTCGGACAGTGAGTCGTCATGGTCATCAAATAGAGAGTATGGTAGGTATACCATGAGGCTCATGCCCTACGTCTCCCTTGTTCTTCGACTCCCATTTTGCTATCATTTCAGCAGGACACCTGTCGCGCGGCACCCAGACTGGCTGCAAACGCTCTCCAGTGTCGGGGTTGTCCTTCAAAGTCACTAGAAATCCAGTGTCGATGATTTCTCCCATAGTGGCGTGACTGGGCGGCACAACCATTGTGTCCCTGACAAGGACTCAGGCTTGGAGCAGGTAAGTAGGAGGGTGACCGTGTAGAGAATGTAGAAACCCGGCCAGCATCTGCCAGCATGGGGCCAGGATGTTTGGATCGCCATCATTTGTGTACGTACAGGGCGGGGTGGGCGGCGAGAGTGGCGACGACGCGAGGGCGTCCCGCGAAGGTACCGCAGGGTACCGCTCCGGTCAGCGGGCGCCTACGCGACATACGGGCTGCCTGAGAGGCAAGGATCACCCAGCGACGACCCCTCGCGATCGCACGTCAGGCCCAGGAGCACACTTATCGTAGCCACGGCCACCCTCGGCTGCGGGCGCGAGCACAAGGCGACCCAGTCTGTCCACCGTGACCCCTCGACTCCCGCGCGCAGATATAAACTCAGGCTCTCGTCTCACATTGACAAGGTCCGGCATCGGTCACGCCATGTGGTTCCCAGCTGGGTTCCCGATTACTGTCCTTGGGCTGGCGTCGCAGGTACCTCTGGAGCCCCTTCTCGAGACACCTCAGGCAGCCATGTCCACCGCATACACCACTGATTTCGCCTTCAAGGAGGGCAACAGCGTCTTCACGCCCAACGATTTGGTCGAGCTGGTGAGGCCTGGGACTGGGCTCGCCAACCCCGCCGGTGACCTCGTCCTCGTCCCTGTTAGCCAGTACTCCAGGAGCGATAGGAAGTGAGTATTGAGCTCATGATGCATGTATATCGCTCACGGATCGGTCAAACAAGGAACACCAAGTCGATCCACATCGCCTCGGTTGAATCGTCCATCCAACCCTTTGAGATCCCCCTCACAAGCAGCGGCGAGGCTTTCTGGCTCGACTCCCGTACAGTTGGACACGCAGTAGCTGAAGGAGAGGATAAAGACAAGGTCACCACGCTCTACGCCATCTCCGTCAAGTACGAAGCCGATTCCTCTGGGGCTCCTCTCAGCGTCCCAGAGGCACCCGTGCTAGTCGGCAAGTTCCCCACATCCACCGCATCGAGCTTCAAGTACTCTGCCAAGGCCGGTGTCTTGGTCTTCTCTGACTATGTACACTCCGATGGCGTCTTGGAGAACGTGAAGAAACACGACGAGGCCTGGGAGAACAGAGGTGATACTGCATACGTCTTCGATGAGACTTTTGAGAGGCACTGGGATACCTGGGTTGGGCCAAAGAGGTCCTCGTTGTTCTCCGTCACGCTCTCGCAGTCCCCCGACACAACTTGGGTATTCGGCTCTGAGTTCGTAAACCTTCTGAAGGGTACTAGTCACGTAAGCTGGGAACAAGCCACGTTAGCACATGCTGCGGAACTCACCGATGATACAGACTTGCCCAGTTGAACCGTTCGGGGGTACGGATGACTTTGATGTCTCTGAGACGCGCGTCGTCTACACTGCCAAGGACCCCGCTCTGCCGCCGTCATGGCATACGAAGCAGAACGTATGCACCGCCATGGTTCCTACGCGTCAACAGCACACGCTGAATGGCCATTACAGGTGTATCTTGTTGACATCAACGGAGCAGACAAGCCCGTGGAGCTGACGTCTGGCAAGCACGGGGCCACTCACAGCCCGGTGCTCAACAAGCAGGGAGACAAGGCCGCCTGGTTGCAACTAGACAAGGACGGCGCTGAGGCTGACAGGTTCGTTACCTGAATGCACACCTCGCAGGAGGTGTACTTAGCTATCTACGAGCATAGGGCTCAGATTGTCATTTACGACTTGACGAAACATGTGAAGTACACGCTCACGAGACACTGGGACCGCTCGCCAGACGCATTGGCGGCAAGTAAACCCTTCCCTGAAGTCCCAATAACCATTGACCAATTGTTCTCAGTTCTCCGAGGACGGCAAGGCGATCTACTTCACCGCCGGCGACATCGCCCGCATCAAAGTCTTCGCCCTCCCAGTCCCACCCACACCCTCCGAGTCCAGCGCGGACCCCAGCCTCCCTGCAGCCTACCGCGAACCGATCGAGCTCACCTCCAGTGGGGCCGCCTCTGGCGTGCAAGTACTCCCGAACGACCGCCTCCTCTTCACGCGTTCCTCGCTCACGTCGCCGAACGACGTGTACGTCCTGCGCGGGCTCGGCCACCTCGACCTGCTCACGACGGACACACAGTCCCGCAAGGCCAGCGCTGCAAAGGTCGAAGTGGAGCAGCTGACGCGCTTCACGGCGGATGCGCTGAAGGGCAAGGAACTTGCTGCGGGCGAGGACTTCTGGTTCGAGGGCGCGGAGGGGCATAAGGTGCATGGATGGATCGTTAAGCCGCCTGGGTTCAAGAAGGGAGAGGACAAGAAGTGGCCGATCCTCATGCTCATTCACGGAGGTACCGTCCCTCAAGGTAGCACTCGGGATGCTGGAATGCTCACCGGGTCATAGGTCCCCAGGGTGTCTGGGAGGACCAATGGTCGAATAGGTGGAACCCGAACAGTGAGTCTACGCCTCTCAAATCACCACATGCCATGTCCCTCAGGCTGAAAATGTCCTGTAGTCTTCGCCCAGCAAGGTTATTTCATTATCGCGATTAATCCGACTGGTTCAACCACTTTTGGTCAAAGTGTGGATTCAATCTAAGACATGCGTCACACGACGAGCTGACAGCACTGGAGCTCTTAGACTTCACCAACGCGATTTCCGAGCATTGGGGCGGCAGACCATTCGAGGACTTGCAGAAAGGCTATAAATACATACTCGACAACTACCCTGAGGTCTGTCATTTAGGAATATTCCCTGCATGGGCTGGAATGCTGAACCGTCTCTCTGTCACTTTAGGTTGACCCAGACAGGGCAGTTGCCGCTGGGGCGAGCTGGGGCGGATACGCTATCAAGTATGTTCAATGTCTGTCGTGGAGCTTATGGGCTCACTTTCTGCAGCTGGATCCAGGGGCACCCAGAGTATGGGTTCGGCTTTAAGGCACTAGTATGCCATGACGGCGTGAGTGTCTCGCAATGAGCTTGAACGAGTCATGACACTAAGTTTGTCCGCAGGTTTTCTCCGCCACTTACAACGGGTTCTCCACTGACGAGCTCTTCTTCGTAAGCCTCTCTAAGCTTGCTTTACTACAGCTCAGTGCTCACTTGAGTTCTTCGCAGTTCAACGAAGAGTGGGGAGGCCGCCCGTGGGACGAGCGCGCCAAGAAGAACCTCGCGAAGTGCGTCCGCTTCCTTCGCACAGAACCCGCGAACTCAAGCTAACCTCCGCTGATAGATACGACGCCGCGAACTTCGCTGACAAGTGGTCCACGCCGATGCTGATCATCCATGGGAGCAAGGACTACCGGCTCCCCGAAACGGAGGGGATCAGCGCCTTCCATGTCTTGCAGCAGTGCGTTTGTTCCTCCGGCCGGGCTTGGGTGTCTGAGGTTAGGTGACTGATGTGGCGTATCGTGACAGGCGAGGCGTGCCCAGTCGGCTGGTCATCTTCCCGGATGAGAACCATTGGGTGCTCAACCATCTGAACAGGTATGTGGAGGCGGTGCTGTATTCTTATGTTGTGAAGCTGAAGCGTGCTGGTTGTAGCTTGAAATGGCACTACGAAGTGTTCCGGTGGTTCGACAAGTTCTTGAACAAGGAGTAGGGAAACTGATCGCAGTTGTAAGTATAAAATCGATGCGCCGCTAGCATTACGTTTGTATACCACCAGAAGTGAAGACACACAAATCAAGGGCGAATTGTGGCTGATCCTTTTGAATCCCACGACGCATCTTGTGGAAGGGTTCCATCTTCGGCCCTCCTTCAGTCTGAGGTGATAGGCTTCAAGTTCAAGCTTCAAACTCGGTGTAACTGAACGACACGCGTGGATCGCTTCGATTGCTCCGAAGCACGAGCTCAGCTTTCGAGATTATGTATCGGCTCGCAGTCTCGCACGAACGCACTAGGTATGTGGGCTCGAGACTACTGAACGACCGTCCAAGTGGTGGATCCGGACCTGACACCGTCCCGTGACTGACGCGTCGTGCTCGCGCCATCGCGAAACATACATACTCGGACTCCGGAGTTGTACGGCGCCGACTACATTTCTCCCTCTGACAGTAAGCACACATCCGCTCCCATTGAGTTGCTTTGTACTCGCATCTATGCTGCAGTGTCGAGCTTCGTGGCTTGTCTATCCTTCGAGGATCCAATCATAGGGCACTGCATGCGCGGCGCGCACATGGATCACGAACTGGCCTGCCTGTCCGCCGCTGACGCCAATGCGAGGCTGACAGTCAGTAGGAAACCGTCAGCCTCAGGTCAGCCCCCTCAAGTATATTAAATAGCGGTTCGATCGCTCGTGAATCTCCTATATCGAATCATCATCATCGCAGCTCCCAAGCATCTCACGCATTATTACTACCAACCTCAATTTACAACCATGGACTCGGAACACATGGGCGCTGTGAAGCCTTCGGACGACATTGTGCTTCTCGTCTCCCTCTGGGTCTTCTTCAGCGTCGGCCTGGTCGTCAACACCTTGATTCCGGGTGTCTTTAAATACATCTGCGTCGACCTCAGTCTCGTCGCATGGATCGCCCGTGCCGAAGCTGTCTACCTGTTCTACTCGATCTTCAGCACGACCAAGCGCGCCATGACCCAGGAGTCGGTACCGTACGTCCCTCCAAGGACCGTGTATACGAAGGACGGGGTGGACTACGAAATTGAAGGCAACGACTACGACGAGGAGCTCGCTCGTGCTCTGTTTGGCGAGGGGTGTCTGGCGGTGAATCGGGCCCGGAGAGCTAGACAAGAGAGCCTCAAGCGCCGCTTCGTCCAGGGCCTCGAGGACGACTGCACCGAGTGCAAGACCTGGTTCGAGGAGCTCACGACGCCGCATGAGATCAGCGCCAATGTCCGCCGCCGCCGTTTCGAGCCTGCCGTCACGCAGCTGCGCTGCTACACTGCTATGGGCGAGGGTGACCGTTCTCGTCCTCGTCGCGGATTCTACTAGTATCAAAGCAAATTGACGACACGGTGAGCAATCCTGCGGAATATCCGTAGTTCATTCAAGGTACCTCATGGCCTACGCCTTCCCGACTGTGCCGCTGACACTCCCTGTAGACTGATGCGCCGATATTGATTGAAAGCGTCCGGGCCCAGTGGGGTTGTCCGTCTGAGCACATTGCCAACAAGCCTTGCTGTGGCTTCGCATGGTACGCGCGAAGAGCAACGAGCGTCACCCACATGGATCCGAGTATCCAGGAACGACGGGTTCAGTCACATTTCGGTCTACGGTCCTTCTTGTGGTCAAAAATTCTGATGGTCAACTCGGTGAGTCGGGGTGCGGCGCGCGTCGAGTGGGGATAGACTAATTTGTGGATATACAGCGGCAACATGAAGACGTTCGGAGTAGGTGGACGTGAATTCTCGCCCAAGGACCATGCGAACACTGAGCGGTGCGGTCAGGAATCAGGATTGCATTCGATGTTGTGGTCGTGTCGTGCCGTGTCGTGTCGCACGGGATCATATTGTTTATTCTCGCCGGACTGTGCGTCAAATTAATGGCCGTACCGTCGAAGAGTCGTCGCCGCATCTGAGAACAACTAGAGGTGTGAGTAGCCCGCACGCTAATGGCCCATCCGCAGTCTGTGTCAGTGATAAGCGCACCTGAGAATTGCGACGATTGAGCCACCCCGTGGGGGCATTACAAACGACCGAACGGCATGCAGTACTGTCTCACCTAGGTTACACGGTGTCCTGCTATCATCGCGAGGCGTCAGGAGGAGACTCAACCGCGTTGGTGATATACATAATACAGTTGACCACTGAGCGTCTGGGAACATATGCGCTCCCGCGTTTGCAATCCCTTCTAATTGAGCTCATGGACCTCGCGGGCCCCGCGGGCGCCGTCTCACCAAAATTCGGTCAAGCCATTAACAAGTGGGGGTTTTCTGGCCCTAAGGCTACAGCGACGGCTGCGGGTCCTACGGGTGCCGTCGAAGGTGGTTCCTTGAGGAGGGGCGTTCAGCAGCATCTACGACATGCATATACGGGTTTGCGTACCGATTTCAACGAGGCAGGGAAATGGGGGACACTTGCCCGCAGAACTGCGCTGGTGAACGGGGGAAGCAGGTTACGCGGCACAACGGCAGCGCCCCATCCCGCCGCATAGGCCAATATCGATGCCAGGCCGTAAGTAGCTATATAGTCCTGATAGGGGCACGGTAGCCGTCCAGAACGCAAGTCACGGAACACCAGTGCGGGATCTGCGATCTGCGTTCATTGACGGACGGTGACTACATCGCGGTCCCGCACGGCCCTCGACATCATAGTACTTGCGCATCGTTTCGGCAGCGGGCGCCCAGACGCAAGTCACCTCGAGTCAAGTTCTCGACGCGCAGCCCGTTCTCCCCCTATCCACCATGCGGCGACGGTCCATTGCGGGAGCTTGTTTGACAGATGCCGCCCGAGGCCGATGATGGGCTGCAAAGGCCGTCCTGGCAGTTGGATGCGCTCCCTGCCCTTTGTGCCAGTGCGCACGCGTGCAGATCGGCGGCCGGGCAGCTGGTGTGCTCGGATCTGTATGCAAAAGACTGAGCTTGTCTGCGGGTGTCAGTACCAGGGGGCGACGGGTACGCGGCTGAGTCGCCGGTAGTACGCGACTGGCACACACTGGTAGCCGGCATATGGAGAAGACTGCTACACACAGGCCGCAAGAAGACCTGTTGTGTGATCTGAGGAGATGATGTCGTTTGCGACATGTTCCACTCAAATATGTAGGCGTTTCACGTCGATGTGTGCTGTGTCGACGAGTCGTTTGACAATGGTGCTCGGAAATTGCAGCCGTCAGCTGTTGTGGATATTGTCGAGGTGACACTACACCGGGCACAGCTGAGAGATTCCGACGCGGGCGGCCGTGGCCGCCTCCCCAGCAGCAAAGAACCTCGTCAGCACTATTGCAGCTGTTGGCAGCGCAACATATGCGGCCAGTATGCGGTAAAAGCGGCTATGGCGAATCCGAACATCAAGGCGCACCGGTAGTTCATGCCTGTACGTATGATTTTTCAAACAAACCAAATTCCTTTCGCCATGATGCTATGATGGTTCTGCAGCGCTCAGTCGACAGAAAAGACGAGTCATAACTTGAAGGGCGCTGTGATTGGTTGATCAGGATGATTCTGGAGATATGAAGTAATATTGCGAACCTTTGATCGGCTGACTGAACCCGACACCTCTGTCAATAAGTGCGTGAGAAGCAATGCGCGAGCTTCTGGCGTCGATACTTCGCCAAGGAGGAGGAGGTAACTAAAATAGGACAGTCAGTGCTATTTTTGGCTGTCCGCGTCTGAGTATGTGTATTTACCATACGGTGCCCGGGCACTTGCCGGGCACTGTCAATACCTGTCGATACACGACGCGTCACTCTGCCGAGTCTGCGCAAGGTAGGCACCTGCCAGTACTAGTGGCGGAGGACCCGAGTCAATTCTGCACCAAGACAGAGTTGAAAGGAACTATGCTGACCAAAATGTATCCGTAGCAGGCTGGAGCCTGTCGACAGAGCTCGAGGTCGGAGGAGAGACCGGACCACACTGCACGTCATTGCGGACGGCTCATCTCGGACCAGCCACAGCCGCACAAGTGGCCTGGCTGGAAGGTTTGCGGAGTGCAGCTGCAGCGCCTGCATGCAATGGCACGTCCGTTTGGGTGTGTGCTACTGCCAGGACCTGGCTGGGACATGTGAACAGGGGCGTGTCACTGCGTCGATATGACGGTAAGAACCTACAAGCCGGCAGGGGATCCGTGCACTGTGACAAACACTGGAGGGCAGCCTCCCGCTTACCGCGCATGTAGCGATGCGCCCCGGGACCTGGTAGAAGCGGAATCCAAGGGCGGTAGTGACCCGCATCGGGATCTTCAAGTTGTCGCGGCGGAGGGCGCGACTTCTGACCGCCCTGGGCCGTATTCCGCAGCGGCAGGGAATGTGGAACGACTCGAATTTGGTTGCTGCGATCGATGTATATTTGCGCGTCTACCTCGGCAGGATATCCCCGGTCGCCTGGGACGGACAAGTTTCCAGACATATGGTTGCCTGGGCCTTGGAGGCGCGCGGTGTGCGACTGCAACGGTCGCGCCGCTGCATGCACGCACTCCCGCGCCGCTGAGAATGCTAGTGCAGCGGGGGAGCGCGGCGTGCAGGCGTGGGCGGTGGCATCTGGAGCGAGCGGGGTGGCGCTGGGTGGCGGGGCGTTGAGAGCGGGGGCGCGATTGGGGCGCGATCTGGGACTGTGGCGGCCAGGCACAGATCACTTGGCGGCGGATGCATGTGCGGAGGGCGACTGCGATTGGCCCGGGCGAGATGGGGGAGATCGCATCGGGCTGAGGACGCTCACGTTAAGACGGCCACGTAAGCGGAGAGGATCCCCCGCTGCGGAGATTGCAGTGGGCATCATCGCAGCTGCACTGAGACTCTTCGCGAACCAGCCCACCCGCTGCGACGGCAGCCACGCAGCCAGACAGACGCGACCGGCACAAGCCTATGCGTGCAGCCCGGCAGAATATTATTATCATTATGCGCACAGAGCGGGGGCGAGGGCGTGCATGCCGGGCAGCGACGTCGGTTGCGCGGCCCCACAGCGTGAGTCGAACCAGTGCCGAGCTGAGCGCGCACGCGCACGCTCAATCTGGACTATAAGGAACAGACACCCATGCCCGCAAGCGCCAGGTATTCCCTTCGTTCCTCCCCAGTCGTCAGTCTCCGACTCGACCACTTCCTTCCGTCTCCGCGCCGCCTTCCCCCAGCCATGGCGGCATCAGTCACCGCGGACTCAGTGCAGGAGAAGGGCGATGCCCGCAACTCATCCATCTCCAACGAGAAGGGGGGTCACATTTCCCGGCAGCAGAGCCCGGTCGATCTCGACAAGGAGAAGCAGCAGGCCATAGCTGCCCACCCCGCCCCTTCGCCGGACAGTGACAAGCCCACTTCGACGGTCACCAAGCCTGTGACATTCGTTCAACTCTTTCGGTACGTCTCCTGTTCGCTTGCGCACCTCCGCCGCCTTATCCCCCGCCCCAACAGGTTCTCCACAAGGACCGAAATATGCATGGACATCATTGGTGTCATCGCAGCTGCTGCTGCCGGTGCTGCCCAGGTGAGCTTCTTTGCCTGTATATCCAATACCAAAGATTGCTGAATGCACTCGTTCCGAAGCCCCTCATGAGTCTGCTTTTTGGTAATCTTACGAACGCATTCGTCGTATTCGGAACAACGGCGGAAGCGGCGAAGGCGGGCGATACAACTGCTCAGAAGGAGTTACCCGCAGCGGCAGCATCGTTCCGGCGCGTTGCCGCCAATGATGCATCGTACTTGGTCTACATCGGTATGTTTCCAAGAATTATCTCATGATGGTGACTGCCTAACTAGCGAGGAAGGTATCGGTATGCTTGTCTGCACGTACCTGTACATGTACATCTGGGTCTACACTGCTGAGGTCAACGCGAAGCGAATCCGTGAGCGCTATCTGCAAGCGATTCTCCGACAGGACATCGCCTATTTTGACAACGTCGGCGCCGGTGAGGTCGCTACACGAATCCAGACTGACACCCGTGCGTTAACTCCTACGTTAACGAGGTTAGAGATTGCTAACTTAGGGTCTCCGTAGACTTGGTGCAGCAGGGTATTTCTGAGAAGGTTGCAATTGTGTGCAGCTTCTTCGCTGCCTTCGTCACCGGTTTCGTCTTGGCGTACATCCGGCAATGGCGGTTGGCACTGGCTATGTCAGCCATGCTGCCCTGTATTGCAATCACCGGCGGTGTCATGAACAAATTCGTTTCCGGGTACATGCAGTAAGTGTCCACCGTCTCCCGTCATGGTTTGACTGGGGAAACTCACAGCGTGTAGGCTGTCTCTCGCTCATGTTGCAGACGGCGGCACCCTGGCCGAGGAGGTGTTCTCGACCGTGCGGACAGCTCAAGCATTCGGCACGCAGCACATCCTCTCGGAACAGTACGATTCGCACATCGTGAGGGCGAGGACTGCCGACATGAAGGCCGCGGTCTTCCACGGCGCGGGGTTGGCCGTATTTTTCTTCGTTATCTACGGAGGTTATGCACTTGGTATGTTCACTCATGTTTTTCGTCCGTAACGAGGTCTGATGTCCTCTCGCAGCATTTGACTTCGGTACCACACTCATTAACGAAGGTCATTCCAACGCTGGGCAAATCGTTAATGTTATCCTGGCCATCCTCATTGGGTCGTTCTCTCTCGCTCTTTTGGCCCCGGAAATGCAAGCGATCACTCACGGCATGGGTGCTGCAGCCAAGCTTTACGAGACCATCGACCGCGTCCCCGACATCGACTCGGCGAGCGAGGAGGGCCTCAAGCCCGAATCCTGCGTCGGCGAGATCGTCTTCGAGAACGTGAAGTTCAACTACCCGTCTCGTCCGGACGTCCCCATTGTCAAGGACCTGTCGATCACCTTCCCGGCCGGCAAGACGACCGCGCTCGTCGGTGCATCTGGCTCCGGCAAGTCGACCACCATCTCACTTGTCGAACGGTTCTACGATCCGCTGGAAGGAGTTGTCAAGCTCGACGGCCGTGACCTCAAGGACCTCAACCTTAGGTGGCTCCGTAACCAGATCGGTCTCGTGTCGCAGGAGCCTACGCTGTTCGCCACGACCATTAAGGGTAACGTCGCTCACGGTCTTATCGGTACCCAGTGGGAACATGCGTCCGAGGACGAGAAGACGAAGCTTATCAAGGAGGCGTGCATCAAGGCGAACGCTGATGGCTTCATCACCAAGCTCCCGCTTGGCTACGAGACCATGGTCGGCGAACGCGGATTCCTGCTCTCTGGCGGCCAGAAACAGCGTATCGCCATCGCGCGCGCGATCGTTTCGGACCCGAAGATCCTTCTCTTGGACGAGGCGACGAGCGCGCTCGATACCCAAAGCGAGGGTATCGTGCAGAACGCGCTGGACAAGGCCGCGGCGGGACGCACGACGATCACGATCGCCCACCGGCTGTCTACGATCAAGGACGCGGACTGCATCTACGTCATGGGCGATGGGCTCCTGCTCGAGTCGGGCACGCACAAGCAGCTACTCCAGGACGAGAACGGACCGTACTCGCGGCTCGTCGCCGCGCAGCGGCTCCGGGACGCGCGCGAAAAGCATGGGAACGACGACAGCGACGATGCGACGGATGTCGCGAGCGGCGAGGAGGAGGAGGACTACGAGAAGGCCGCGCAGGCGGAGGTGCCGCTCACGCGGTCAAAGTCCGGCCGGTCGCTCGCGTCAGAGATCCTCGAGCAGCGCAATCAAGAGAGGGAGAGGCACGCGGACCACCAGTACGGCGCCCTCACGATCTTCCGCCGCTTCTTTGGCATCAACCGCGAGAACTGGCACATGTACCTGTTTGGTTCGATTGCAGCGATTGGTGAGTGCCGGTCTGAGGCGCCCCGGAACTTCCGCTGACACGGGTTGGCTTACAGCTAACGGAGGAACGTACCCGGCGTTTGGTATTGTCTATGGTGAGGGGTTTTTAGTGTTAGGTCGTGCTTGTGGTAGCTGACATCTGCGGTGTGACAGCCAAGGGTATCAGTGGCTTCCAGTCCACCGACCCACATGTTCGTAGACACGACGGAGACCGTGTTGCTCTTTGGTGAGTCCTCCGCCTACACTGGTGTGTGATGTACAGTGGGCTGACGCCGTTGCAAGGTTCTTCCTCATTGCCATCTTGTCCGCGATTGCTATTGGTTTCCAGAACCTCTTCTTCGCTACTACCGCTGCCCAGTTGACGAACAAGATTCGCTCGCTCAGCTTCAGCGCCATCCTTAGGCAAGACAGTGAGTGGTCTTTCTCATCGCATTCACATATGGATCGCTCATTCATTGTGCTTCAGTCGAGTACTTCGATGAGGACGAGCACAACGTGCGTATTTCGTGACCATGCACAAGGTCAACGCTGACATTCTGTCTAGACGGGCCAACTCACCTCCAGTCTAAGCGACAACCCTCAGAAGGTCAACGGTCTTGCTGGTGTCACGTTGGGAGCGTAAGTGCGGACGTTCAGATGCAATGAATGGTCGACTGATTTATCCCTCCACGACAGCATTGTCCAAGCTATTGCGACTCTCATCTGCGGTACTATCATCGGCATTATATTTGCGTGGAAGCTTGGTCTTGTTGCTCTCGGTACGCATGCATTTCCGTGGGCCGTTAGAGATGAACTCACAAGTGGTATACAGCCTGCACGCCTGTGTTGTTCTCTGCTGGTTACATCCGTCTTCGTGTTGTCGTCTTGAAGGACCACAAGAACAAGCGCGCACACGAGCAATCCGCACAGCTTGCTTGCGAGGCCGCAGGCGCCATCAGGACTGTTGCGTCGCTCACGCGCGAGGACGACTGCATCCGGTTGTACAGCGAGAGTCTGGAGGGCCCGCTCCGCACGTCGAACAGGTCTGCAGTGTACAGCAACGCGATCTACGCTCTGTCGCAGGCCATGTCGTTCTTCGTCATCGCGCTCATCTTCTGGTACGGATCCCGACTCGTGGCGGACGGAGAGTTCTCGACGTTCCAGTTCTTCGTCGGTCTCATGGTACGCAGTCACCTATGACGACGCAACGTGTCGTTCACTGACGTATTCATTTGTCCACAGAGCTCGACGTTCAGTGCTATCCAGGCCGGCAACGTCTTCTCGTTCGTCCCCGATATCTCGTCGGCGAAGAGCGCTGCGACGGACATCATCTCGCTCCTCGATTCCATGCCTGAGATCGACGCTGAGTCGCCTGAGGGCGAGATCGCCACCGATGTCCAGGGCCATATTCGCTTCGAGAACGTGCACTTCCGCTACCCGAGTCGTCCCGGCGTCCGGGTTCTGCGTGACTTGAACCTCACTGTGGAGCCCGGAACTTACGCCGCGCTGGTCGGTGCTAGTGGATGCGGGAAGAGTACGACGTGCGTCTCTGCCTGGTTTGATGTGCGGGACTGTGAAAGTTGACTTGTTCGTACAGGATCCAACTGATTGAGCGATTCTACGACACGCTGTCTGGCACCGTTTATCTCGACGGCCGGCCTATCACGCAGTACAACGTCTCGGAGTACCGCAAGCACATCGCATTGGTCTCACAAGAGCCGGTATGTCATTCATGAACATGTTCACGCCTTTAGGCCTGACCATATGATCACAGACCCTGTACTCGGGCACAATCAGATTCAACATTCTCCTCGGCGCTGCCAAACCTCGGTCTGAGATCACGCAGGAGGAGATTGAGACCGCGTGCAGGAATGCGAACATTCTGGACTTCATTGAGAGCCTGCCTCAGTACGTAGCGCCGGTGTCTCAGCCACGCTGTCTCGAGCTGATCTGGATGTAGGGGCTTCGACACCGAGGTCGGTGGCAAGGGCTCACAGCTTTCCGGTGGTCAGAAGCGTGCGTGTTCCACGTTCAATGCACACTTGACCGTACTGACCGTTAATTTCAGAGCGTATCGCCATCGCACGTGCTCTGCTACGTAACCCCAAGGTTCTGCTGCTCGATGAGGCAACGTCCGCGCTCGACTCGAACTCAGAAAAGGTGGTGCAAGAGGCATTAGACAAGGCGGCCAAAGGCAGGACGACGATTGCCATTGCTCACCGGCTATCAACCATCCAGAACGCCGACCGGATGTGAGTGTCTTGTCTGCATCAGAGCATGAGTGCACGTTGTAACGGTGCCCCCAGATTCTTCGTCAAGGACGGCGCCGTCAGCGAAGCTGGCACACACGATGAGCTGCTTGCCCTCAAGGGTGGCTACTATGAATACGTACAGCTACAGGCACTCAGCAAGAAGTGATATAACCCTACCCTTTGGACATTATCACGCACTTCTCGATAACGATACTTATGACCCTATTTTGTTCTAGTTGACAGTATAATGTTTCGCCGGATGGTCGTTTCTTTCGCTTCCTGGGATTACCCATTATGTAGTAGCTGCACCCGCTAGATTACGAATATCCGCACACATACAGCATGCACGAGGCAATTGTACCCGCTTGACACCTGTAGTCGATACCAGCATAAGCATTGGCAGTCGCTTGCAACACAGCCCAGAATGTGTGAGGTGCGCGCGGAGGCCTGGCTGCAGGAGGCGCGGGAGCATGGCTCGGTATCTCCCGCGCCAGCACGCCGACGCGTCCTGGCCCATGTCATCACTATCATAGCACAGTCCACCTTCTTATCCTCTCCCACACCTCCTCCTCCAAAATGTCTGTCGCGCTCACCCCGAGCCACGTCCTCGGCTTTAACAGTGCGTAGGCCCCTCAGCCGCTCTGCGGCCTCGGGACTGACACGTCTTGTGCAGGGCCTCTCACGCAGCACGTCAAGCGCGCGTTGGGCATTACAAACAACAATGCCCAGCCAGTCGCATTCAAAGTCAAGACCACTGCTCCTAAGGTGCTCGCGGCTTGTTACAGGCGCATACAGGCGTCACTAACCATAATTCCTGCTGTAGCTGTACTGCGTACGGCCAAACTCTGGGAGGGTGGAGCCGGGCGAGACTGTCGAGGTCCAGGGTGCGTTGTTCCGGACGATGCTGGAATACGGCATCCCCTCACCGGACATACGAAGTTATGCTGCAGGCGATGAAGGAAGAGCCACCATTGAACGTCAAGTGCAAGGACAAGTTCCTGATTCAGAGCACGGTCATCACGCCGGAGAAAGAGACAATGGCCCTCCCAGATCTCGTGCGTGTTCTGCCTTCGACCCGACCCAAATATTGCTCAACACTACCAGTAGTGGTCTGACAACGCTGAGGAAGTCCACTCGCAAAAGATCCGTGTTGTGTATCTCCCACCAGAAGGGCAAACAGTCCCCGAAGAGGAAGAAGGCGGGCTCGGTGAACAGCCGGACCACTCCCGATCTGTGAGTTTTTATCAACGCCATTGTTCCCTAGCCTGTCTGAAGGCATCAGTTCTATGCTACCGTCCGTCAGCATCCCAATGGCAATGGCGTACCCGAACAAATTCGAGAGCACAGTGGCGAGGCAGCTCAAGAGGAGGAGACCCACCATGACGCACCGTCGTCACCGCCTCCGGCACGACCGGCACAACTCCACGAGGAGTCACCATACGAAGGGGCCTCGCGCGAGATTGAGGAGGAGGCACCCGTCGTGAATGTCAACGTTCACACGCCCCAACCTCCGCCTCCCTCCGAACCTGCTGCCCCCGCACCCGACGTCAACGAGGACATCCTCATCAAGCTGCGCGAAGCACAGGCGGAGATTGAGCGACTTCGCAACCTCATTTCATCCATGCCTGAGCCGAGCACGGCGGCGCCCACTACAATCACGAATGCCACCGAGTTCCGGCGACGTAGGCCCACGTCACCTTCGGATGACGGCAGTACGTGGGACGGCGAGACGGAGGTGGGAACATCAATCACGGGCACGACGACCATGGAGGACACGTTGATGCACCCTGAGGGCGTCCCCCTGCAGGTGGTCATCATCATCGCGCTGGGTGTCTTCGTCACGACCTATTTATTCTTCTGACGTTCCTGCGTCGCATGTCTGGTCGCTGTGGTCTGGTCTTCGGCTCCTACGTATAAACATTATTGGAGCACCATGAGCGACATCTGTCAGTTTCCGTCTCCCTCGCAAATACCTCTTCTACTATGAACCTCCGCCTCGGTCTCTTGGATCCCTTTGTTTCGTTTGATATAGCGACTCCTCTCTTTTCGGTGTGATATTATTCGTTGTACATATGTTATATACGAAGCGGAGCACTGAACCTCATGCCCATGTGCGGTTCGACTAGTCTGCGTAATACAGTAACTCTATGTTCTCTTTCTCCTCTCCTGGGCTTTTAGTTTATATGTAAGGCAGTGATGGTCAATTCACCCGAAACACAAACCGTGGTAGTGGGCGAAGCCGTGAAGCTAACATCAGGGCTCAATGCGATGTAGTGGACGATGCATCCGAGAACGCTCGCGGCTCGCTGGGCGTTCAGTACGATTTGAATCTGAGGCCCTCGATCGAACAAATCTCATAACGCATTCTCTCCCCCGCATCCCATCTCCTGATTGCCTTGCCAGTGTGTATCCTGCATTACAAACAACATGTCGCTTGTCCTCCCAGGGGAGCATGTTCCCGCGCAACACGTCAATCTCAAGCTAGGCCCCGGACTGCTGCAGCAGTCAAGCCCCGGCGGGGAGTCGTCGATCATCGCGACCCGCGCCGGCGAGCTCAACCACTCTGCCAACCGCGCGCGGTGGTGGGTCGAGAGCAATGCGCGGCGGGTGAGTATCGTTCGTCCGGTGGTGCTGGCTGAGCTGACAGGAGGGAAGGTAGTACGTCCCTGCGCCGCAGGAGTCGGTGATCGGCGTGGTCATTGCACGGAGTGGGGAGAACTGGAGGGTGGACATCGGGGCGGCGCATATGGCGAACCTGGACGGGCTGGCGTTCGAGGGGGCGACGAAGCGGAATAGACCGAACCTGAAGGTGAGCAGAGTGCATCTCTCGCGAGGCTGGCGATGAACGAGGGACAGGTCGGGTCGCTGCTATATGCACGCGTTTCGCTCGCGCACAAAGACATGGAGCCCGAGCTGGAGTGCTTCGACGCGCAGACACGCAAGGCGGAGGGGTTCGGCGAAGTCAAAGGGGGATTCGTCGTGCATTGCAGTCTCAAGATGTGTCGCCAGTAAGAGTGTAAAGCTCCCTGTCGTGTTACACCCTCGCTTCATCGCTCTGGCACAGACTACTCGACCCCAAACATTTCCTGCTCCCGATGCTAGGCTCGCGATTCCCGTTCGACGCGGCGACGGGGCTCAACGGGCGTGTATGGGTCAACGCGAAGGAAGCGAAGCACATCATCGCCGTCTCGAGATGTATAGAGGCCGTGGACCCGGACGGCGGAGGGATGAGCGAGGCTGAGATGAAGAAGTTCCTTGGTACACTCGATATATAGTGGTAAATAGTCCATGAGGTCGCGGTCGCATAGCATAGCACATGTATGATACATAATAGTCGCATAATGATACAACAGTCTCGAAACAAAGGTCATTACATACCCACGGCAATCTATCTGCCATATGGAGATGTCTCCGCGGTCGCCTCCTCCTCGCCCTCACACGACAGCTGCACCAGCTTAATCGTCATCCGCCAGACGTGCCCTCTTCGTCGGTCTCCGTCCTGACGAAGTGACGCTGTGGCTATCGTCTTCGCTCATCGGGGTGGCGGTCGCGCGTGCATTGGCCCGCTTCTTCCTCTGGTACTCGCGGTCTCTATTCTTCTTCTGCTGTGCGGCGGTGAGCTCCTGCGCCCTGGGAGCAGGGGGAACAATGACCGTCGTCAGTCCGGGAGTCGACATGCGCGAGTTGTCCTCTCCGACTCCCGACTCTTCGCCCTCGCCGGACAGTTCGAGCGACTGCAGGGGTGAGGTCAGTCACGCAAGACTCATGGAGAGGGGGTCACACACCTTCTTGAATGTCGTGCTGCTAGTGGAGAACATACGATCTCCATCATGGATCTCGTACTTCTTCCGTCCTCCTGTTGGGTTCTTGAGGTATCCCTCGAAGCCGTGGATGATGTTTCCGCCGCTGTGTGCAGCGGTATCTGTCAAGTACGATGCCTCGAGGTTGTAGATTTGCACCTCTAGTTGGGCCTGCTCCGATGAGGGAACGCGAAGAAGAGGGTGGTGCGTTGGGGACGCACCAGAGACCTGTCTACGTTCCGCCGCTTGGAGAGGGCTTGTAGAAGCTCCTTCTTTGCGGCGTCGTATCGGAGCTTGTCCTCGGGGGATGGGTTGTCGCTGGCCATGTTAGCTGCTACTCGAGTGACAGCTCAGCTGAGAGTGGTTTGGAGGACAACTGGAGGGTTATACTGTACTTAGTAGTAGAGATTGATGTTGAGCCACAATCGCGCAAACGTCGCGCGGGCGGCCGCCGCGCCTCCTCGCGCATCCCTCATAGCACGTGATCGGACGCGCCTGACACGCTGCCTGCTCAGATTCCCTCAACCCAGTCCCTCAGCCTACTTTCAGCTCTACGAGAACAGTCTATCCATACACTCGCTCCCCAGAGTGGATTTAGGCCAAAAACGTAGAACTGGAATTGTGATATGATAGGGCTCGAGCACATCCTACAACATCACATGACCAGGCGGACAGCGCCGGGGCGAGACAGCGATAGTAGCCGTGTTTGTGCGTTCATACATGACAATGATATAATCTTTTATCGCACATGTCGAGAGTTTGATGGTCTGAGACGGGCTGAAAATCTGTGCGCGTCGGCGAGCATTTCTCGGGCTACAAACTCCTAGACACTGCAGCAGTTGCGAGCGCTGGGATGGGCGTCTACGGTTGACCACGCAAATATCGAGGCAGTAGCACTCGGGACAGCACACAAAATCAGGCTTCAATCGTAGGTATTGACTGCGCCGTTCTCACACACTTTTCTGGCATGCGTGCGGACCGCAAACTGGCATAATGTGCGATCATGGCGAGTTTGCAAGCTCGTGCGCGGCGAGACAGCGCCTGGCCGAGGATATAGTGAATCTCAATGTATTCAGCTCACACTCTTGCACTTTGGGCATCGTTTATGCCCTGCACGCTCACCTCGATGCGCCGGATATCAGTTTGCGCATGCAATCCTGCAGAAGAGCCATTTTGCTGTCCCACGTTTGCGTGTTCAACCGTAGACGCCCATCCCAGCGCTCGCAACTGCTGCAGTGTCTAGGAGTTTGTAGCCCGAGAAATGCTCGCCGACGCGCACAGATTTTCAGCCCGTCTCAGACCATCAAACTCTCGACATGTGCGATAAAAGATTATATCATTGTCATGTATGAACGCACAAACACGGCTACTATCGCTGTCTCGCCCCGGCGCTGTCCGCCTGGTCATGTGATGTTGTAGGATGTGCTCGAGCCCTATCATACAACTGTTCGACCGGGCCTTCCGCGAAGACCTCCTGCTGCAACTACTAAAATGCTACAATGACTCGATGGCAACTAGCAAAGTCCAGGCAGAGTCCGTAAGGTATGTCTACAGGAGAGCTGGGGGGGTCGAGCGCAACAACTAGCAAGATCAGATCATGCTACACATCGAGGAGCAGAGTTCAACAGACGAAAGCTTTCATCATGTCCGCATAGCGTAAGTGTCCCGAGGGAAACAACCCCTCGAAGAGTCCAATTGCAAGGGTCCTCATCCCGTCCTAACCGCAAGGAGAGCATCTCAGGCGGATCGCCGCGCGATGGCCTCGGCGTTCATTGCCGCCTGGTAGCCATCCGTCGCATTGTACACGATCGGGGTCGTGGTCAGGCCAATCTTCCGGCCAAGTGCTCCCTAGAAACGGCAAGACGGCAAATGATGAGCAGCGGTCGTATGCAATGTCGGACCGAAGAACTCACCTCGCAGTCGTCCCACTCTTCCATGACCATCAGGTTGAAGGTGGCGTTGGATGCGGGCTTGCCTGAGCCGAAGCCACCCTGCGAGTCGGCGAAGTCAGGCATCGTGAAGTTCGACGGTGCTGGGTTCGTCGGGTAGGGGACAGCTGCGAAGATGATGAGGGGCAGGTACGTGAATACACCTGGACTCTTTACTCACCAGGGTAGTTTTCAGCATCGTAGTGGCCGAAGTAATAGCCGCTCATCCACTGCTGAGCAGGGGTCATGTTGACGGGAGTCTCGGTAACAAGGTAGAGGGAGTAGCCATAACTCGACTTGCAGTAGTCGGCGTTGATGGAGTACGAGAAGTTGAACACGGAGCCAGGCATTATCGCGGTCCATGCAGCAGGCTGTTCAATCGTCCCTCCTGCGTAGACGGACGCTGCACAGGCGAGAACAGACGAGAGAAGGGTCGTGAACTTCATGTCAGATATCTTCGTGGTGAAAGGACAGAGGGAGGTTGATACTGTCTGATAGGGGAGGGAAATTTGTTGCGGTGTGGCGCGAAGGTGTGGTAAGGGACCCGTGTCCTCGCTTTTATACGCGTGTACCACGCTCCACCCTGCGAGACAATCCGTCGGCGCCAAATTTTCAGAGGCCTGGCGGCTTCGGACGACATTCGCGAGCGATCGAAGGCCGAGCTGGGCTGTCAGACAAAATCCCGCGCATCTGAAACCCACACGGGCCCATCCGGACGCCCCAGTGGCAGTGACTAGAGCCCCGCCAGTATCTGCCTCGTACCACGAGCAATGACACAGCACCCACTGCGCATGCTTACTGACTACCTACGCGTGTCGCGCGTCTGAAGGAGCCGGCACATTAGTAGGCAGGGAAAGCGGGGGCAACAAGCCACCGTGTGTCACAATAACTTCCGGCCCCTCCGCATCCAGGGTCAGCAGTGTGGACTGACTGCGACGTGAGTGCAAAACCAACCTCCTATCACCCTTACATGTAGTACATGGTCCAGTCACTGGGAGCACGTTGCTGGAGAAGCACTCGTGCCAGGCTGCGAGTGGTAGATGCTATCCAATTGCGGCGACTTCCCTCTCAAACAGCATCCGCGAGGCATCTTCATAACTTAAAGGCTCTGGTCTTGTCTCATGCAGGGCAGACCTCCCTGAACGTTAAATTCTAGGTCAGTCAGTACAAGCAGCACGAAGTGATCGTCAAAGCCCAAGCCTGAGAACCAGGAAGTCTGCCTACCATCACGGACTGAAAGAAGTCAAACAATCTCTCGGGGCCGATACTGTCGACATTGAGTTCAACTATCCTCAAACTCAGAAAGAGAGAATGCATTACGACAGTACCGTGCGAGAGCAGAAATGATGGAACTACATGAAATAGACAAGATCGTTCTTCTTCTTGCTCTGGACTGTCGGGGCAAAGGGTTCAGTACTGTTTCAAAAGAGGCAGATGTGGCAATAGACCGCGGACTCACCTTCGGCTATACCACCTAGGAAGTGTTCGTGGCTCAGCTTCGTCGCGCCTTCCCTCAATGCGATCATGCCAGCTTCGACACAGACCGCCTTCAGCTGTGCGCCGTTGAACTCATCCGTACTGCGGGCAAGCTCCTCGTAGTTGACGTCGGGGGAGACGGACATCTTCCGCGAATGAATTTCCAGGATACGCCCCCGTGCAGTCTCATTCGGAAGAGGGAATTCAATCTTCCGGTCAAGACGACCTGATCGAAGAAGAGCAGGGTCGAGAATGTCGATACGGTTCGTCGCGGCAATGACCTCAACTCGGACTGTCAGGGTTGCGAGGCACGGACAGGAACTGGGCCCTTACCTTGATACGCTCGTCACTGCTGAAGCCATCCAGCTGATTCAGGAGTTCCAGCATCGTCCGCTGCACCTCGCGGTCACCGCTCTTCTCCGAGTCGAATCGCTTGGTACCAATAGCGTCCAGCTCGTCAATGAAGATGATAGTCGGTGCTTTCTCCTTCGCGAGCTCGAACGCGTCCCGAACGAGTTTGGCACCATCACCGATGAACATCTGTACGAGCGACGGACCAGCGAGTTTCAGGTAGCACGCGTTGGTCTGGGCCGCGCACGCACGCGCGAGAAGCGTCTTGCCAGTTCCTACAATGCAAAGGTGAGCGACCCGCGGCGGGACTGCGCCGAGACTGACATACCGGGAGGACCATACATGAGACAGCCCTTCGGGGGCTTAATACCGAGCGTCTTGAACTTGTCCGCCTGCTCCATGGGCAGGACGATCGCCTCGACGAGCTCCTCGATCTGCTTCTCCAGCCCTCCGATGTCGGTGTACGTCTCCGTCGGCCGCTCGTCCACCTCCATCGCCTTCACCCGCGAATCGAACTCCGCGGGGAGCGTGTCGAGCACCAGATACGAGTCCTTATTGACACCGACGAGGTCGCCGGGCTTGAGATTCTCGGCGGGGACGAGGCCGATGAGGGGGAGGAAGACGGTTTGCCGTGTTGAAGTCTTGATGACGGCGCACTTGCCCTTGCGCATGGAGTCTAGGTCCCTGTTCGCACCGTCCTCCTCTATTTCCGGGTCGACGTCCAGGATCTACTTCTGTCAGCGATGTGCCTGACTAAGGCGGGTGTGCCGGCGTACCTCGACTACATTCGCGACGAGGTAAGGCAAGACCTTGTTCTGCTTGATCTTCTCCCCATTGTCCCGGATCTTCTCCTTCATAACATTCTGCTCGTGTTGAAGACGTAACGTCTCGGACCGCATCACCTACAGTTTCCCTCAGGAAAAGGCTCCGCGCACAAGCTCGTGCAGACGTACCTTCAAGTCATTGTCGATAAGCCGTATTCGCGTAAGGATCTCATCTGTGCTAAGGGACATAATCTCCTCAGGGATGTCCGCCCATGTCTCCTCGGCAGGCTGGTCGGGCGTAGTGTCCATAGCGTCCTGCGGCGCGTCCGTAGACGAGGACGGTGTAGGCTCTGGTGCCTTCTCGTTGTTGTTGCCTGGTGGAGGGCTGGGAGGTTGTGTTGAGGCCATGATGGCGAACGGGAATAGTGAAAGAGATTGAGGGGATACGGGCGTGAAGGGAGTGTAGAACGGGACGTGAACGACTCTCACTCGAATGGACGCGTACGCCTGCGACGCGTGACGCGTATGGATGACTTCAGCAGGAAGGTAAGTTTGTACACTTGCCACTTTTGGAACTTATTGGCAAGAAATCCTTGGAAGGTCCGATAAGCATACGGGCGTCTACGCGCGTATACTCGCGCCACATCTTTGCAAGCCCCCTCATGCAGAAATCGAGTCTGTGCTCAAGACGTTGCTGTAGCCTGCATCAGACGAGTCGCTATGGTCTCAAGGACATGCCTCCGATGTGCTTTGAGTTATTTGACCCCAGGGCATATACCACTGCTACCCAACGGCGGTGGATGTTGGTAGGCGTATATATAAGTACCACTACACGGTTATCTAGGCTCTTGGCCAGACAATATCGCAGTGTTGCCCTGGACCCGATTGAAGGAGACTGGGAAACTACAAGAAACACGCTTATGAATGGTTCGAGTCTAAGGTAGGTGCTACTGTTTCCGCGCATAATCGCTTCGACGTGCTGAACGATCTGGCAAGCTCCGTCAACACATTGCATAGCCCAACGAAGCAAAACGTGTGCCTCAAATACAGAAATGTAGGTGATTATCGTTGTCGTTTATCAAGTGCGCACCATCGTCTGCAGCTGCCATGTAAAGCGGGGGTGAGTCACCAACGACGGATCTGCGAACATATACTTATGACTACCCGTACATTCAAAATGAGGTGTAATCCGGGGCTTAGCTATCTTGCAGTCACTCATTGGTCACTCATGGCGAACTTTACCGACGAGTCTCTATCCGCCGCAGGGCCCAGGCAGCATTGGACGCGTGAGTACACAGGCGCATTATGGTACGCGTCGGTCACGGGATGGCGTCTATGTACGCTTGATTGAAGTTGGTGTACGCGTCTATTTCGGGGAAGAAGGCGGTTCTTACATATCGCACGAGATGCTGTACTTTAAGCTCCTCGTCCTGAACAGTACATACGAAACAACGAGATCCCCTCATAGCCACAGCGGCGTGCACTTCTGCGCGCTGGATTACTTAGTCTTGACAGTTGTGGTACGCAGTCTTCCCCAAATCGCTCGGAGTCGCGAGTTCGTTGGGGCTTAGGTATCGTCTCACAGCTTGCGCTTGGCCTATCTCGAGTTCTGACGCCATCGAACAGGAACAACGAGGTTATTACGACAGTCTGCTCCCAGACTAACGAGCTACACAAGGTCCATACAAGTCCGAAACTCGCTGCGCATGCTGCGCGCGTTCGCGGCTTGCTCAACCTTACCCGCTTCATTGAAATAGAGGGCGATCATTCGCATACTCCAGTCGCTCGTTCCTCCTCTCTTCCTGTAGTCGACGCACACGTCGATCATGGGCACTCAGGTTGCTGAGGTCGTGTCACCTACTGTGGTCGGAACCACGCCTCCCCGTCCTACCTCGCCGGCCGATCCGCTCGAGACAACACCGCTCTTGCACGACCCATCGGATGCTGCAGCGAACGTTTCGACGCAGAAACCACCACTGCGACTCTCGCCGATAGTGCTCATCACACCTGTCGCACTCCTCTTCCAGCTCGCGGCATACCTTCCACTGACCACCGTCATCGATGCAATTCGCAAGATCGTTTGCCGGTGGTGGTATATGACCAATGATCCCGACAAGATACCTGCAGACGGCTCTATCCCGAGCATTCTATGTAGCGTACCTGGCGTGGAGCAGAACTTCGCCACCGCGTTGACGATCACAGCCTTCGTAGAGGGCCTTGCATGTAAGTCGACTGCACTCGAGCTGTGACTTTTGATCGTCCCGAAATTGACTCAAACTGTAGCTCTGATTGCTTATAGTGCCCTGAGCCACATAGCCAACAAAGTCGGACGAAAGCCTGCGATTCTGATAGTCATAGCCGTAGGGATTTGTGCGGATGTCTCAATCTTGAGTACTGCCATAGTTCCGGAGGCGTTGGAAGCAGTCGCTCTGCTTCTGTGGCTTCTGTCCCAGTCAATCGCGACCGTGACGGTCCTCATGTTTCTCCTCAATACGTATGTCGTCGATATCGTGCCAGCGGAGCTCAGGTATGTTCCTGTGTAATATATATATCTTATCGCCGAGTGTTGACCCTCGCCTAGGACAGCTGCTCTCAGTAGGATCTCTGGATTTGCTACGCTAGGTAAGCGGTCTCTCACCGAGCTAGAAAGCATGTTCTAACAATTGAATCAGGCGGTGCTCTCTCCTTCATGGTTGGAGGCGCCATCACCACGCACTTCAACGATGCAGCACCAGTATATTACGTCGCTCTCACCCTGCAATGTGCCAACTTCCTCTACGTCGGGGCTCTCATTCCTGAGACACACCAAAAGGTGCACGCGGAAGAGGCCACGCATCCGGTAGCGGAAGACGACGCTCCATCAAAGAACGTCGCGATCGCGGCCCTTCAGTACTGTCGCAGCATCACAGTCGCTGCTGTCCTTCCCCTGAAGACCCTGTCGCCTACTCGAGACCATATCACTGGGAAGCTCAACCTACGGCTCCTATGGTGCGCGATTCACGCGTTTATCTCCGGACTAGGTGACGGCTACGTAATGCCTGCCCTGATGGTATATCTCACCACCAAGTACGACTACTCACCGACGGAGGTAAGGCATTCATACTGCTTGCAACGATGCGCTACTAAGATTGTTGTAGACAGGATACGTCATGACCACACTGACGTTGACGTACGTCGTGGTCTTAGCCCTCATCATACCGCTGCTCGTTCGACGCTTTCTCCGGCCACTCTACGTAAAGGCGACCCATCTGTCAACAGTCTCAGATTCAGAAGGCGTTAGCGAGGTAGCGGATGAGATGGATGTGCATATTGTCATAGCTTCCGCGTGGATCAATGTTGCTGCTCTGTTGTTGTTGACGAGTATGACGTCGCGCGGGCTCCAACTAGCGTGTAAGTTAATTCCGCCCACTTGTAGGAGAAACGTCCTCGAACTGAGTCAAACGCAGGCATTGTGTTCTATGGGCTGTCAGCCGGACGTGGTCCTGTCCTTCGCAGTCTCGTTGTGTCGACCGTTCCGCCAGACGAGCATGGTAAGTGTGCCATGGCATCATTCATCGGATCGAGTAACACTCATGTTGAACGTTACCATCAGCATCAGCGTTGGCAGCCATTGAGATGACCGTGGGCTTTGGTATGTTACTGTCGCCCGTCATCTTGGGTCCCATTTTGACCGCGTGAGTCGCCCATGTCTTGTTGCTCGATTGCGGAGTGGTTCTCATTGCATCCATCTCGTCTAGCACAATATCCACCTTACCCCAAGTTGTCTTCTATGTAGTTGCGGTACGTGCATCCACCGACTCTCGCCGAGAGCCTTTCTGACGGAAATGCACAACTCTGCACGCACAGGGCTTCATCACTGCCGCAAGCTTGGTACTATTGCTGGTCAGAGATTCTGATCGGTACCAGCCAGTGCACGAAGACTCGGAGTGACGTTGGCGGCCTGGGTGCCTGGTTGTTCGAGGTCATTCTGGTCTATAGATGGCTGCATCCTACTCGTCATTTTGAATCGTAGACGTCGGCTCTGATGATTGATTGGCAGCCATGTACTAGTAGGTCTGCTCGTCGGCATGCGGGATCGTGAACCTTTCGGACCGTCGTTGACCCCATCGTCCTACCTCAGCTTGAAACCTAGGCTTCTGTAATTTCGATTCAACCGTCGACTGTCATGTGCTGTCCCCTTGCATCTGTGACTGCTAAATTAGCATCAACATGGTCATTACGTGCCGCATGCCACTGCCACCACTGGCAGTTGTTCGCTTCAACGCGTGTTTCCATAGCGCGCAATTCGCAAGTCTGACACTCATCATAACTTACGTATAATACCTTCTGTCGCTCGCCAGGCCGCAGTGCTTCTCCGGCGGTCTCCTGGACACGACCTCGTCAGACGGTTGCCTTCGTTTCTGACCGGCGGGGCCGACTGAAGGAGAGCTGGGCAACGGTCCAGCGCCTATCGACTAGGATTGCCTTATCCGGGTGGTCAGTAAGCGAGCCCCGCGAACGCCGTCGAGGATCAGGATCTTACGTCTGCATAGCATCTCTCTACCACCACTTCCACTCACCCTCGACCAGAGCTGAGCTCGGTTCTCTTTCTGTTCTATACCCCTCGCACTCTGTCTCTCGGACGCCAGGAAGCCAGCCATGTCTTGGAGAGGTATCGGCAAGAAGCCGCGCCCGTCTGCGAATGCTCTGTCGGTCAATGACGATGCTGCGCGCTCGACCACACCGACGCCTGGCAACCCGAGCGGCAGCTCTTTGTCACGTTCAGGCCTCCTCGCTATCCGAGTCCTGTGGGCGGAGGGCCTCTCGCTACCCGCTGGGCAAGGCATGCCGCCAGCAGTACAGGCAGCGCTGTCCTCCCAGCAGGCGAAGGTCGCCGCGTCCGTATCGCCGTCGAGTGTTACGCAGCACCGACTGGCCAACAGGAAGAGCAACAGAGACAGTGTGCAGAGGCAACAGTGCTGGTGGCTCCCCTACCTTGTCATGGAGTTCGAGGTCAACCAGGTGCTGATCACACCGCTTGGGGGAGACGTGGCCAAGCCGCTGTACATGTACGAGACCAACTTGTGAGTCGTTTCTTCATTTCTATTCCCCTGCCAAGCTGAAACGTTCCCAGCGACGTATCACGACACTCGGATATCTCGATTCAGTGCTACCTCAGAGCAGAAGAGCCGAAGCGCGGCGGGGACGGCATTGCCGACGACATGGGCAATGATATCTTCATGGGTGGTGTGCGATTCACGCCGGACTTCGAGGACAGCGCGCCACAGGACCAGTGGTATGAGCTTGTGGGCGGCGATGGCAAGATTCAGATCGGGGTGACATTCAAGCCGAGTTCTGGGCACTCGCTCACGATCGACGACTTTGAGCTGATCACGGTCATCGGGAAGGGCAGTTTCGGAAAGGTCATGCAAGTTCGCAAGCGTGACACGTCGCGTATCTATGCTCTGAAGACAATTCGGAAGCAGCATATCGTCGAGCGCGGTGAGATTACCCACACGCTCGCGGAACGGATGGTGCTTGCGAGGGTAAACAGCCCTTTCATCGTACCGCTCAAGTTCAGCTTCCAGTCGGAGCAAAAGCTGTATCTCGTGCTCGCGTTCGTCAACGGCGGAGAGCTGTTCCACCACCTGCAGCGCGAGCAGCGGTTCAACGAGGAGCGCAGCCGATTCTACAGCGCCGAGCTGCTGCTGGCGCTCGAGCACTTGCACGAACTGGACGTCGTCTATCGTGACCTGAAGCCGGAGAATATTCTCCTTGACTACACCGGTCACATCGCACTGTGCGACTTCGGTCTGTGTAAGCTGAACATGAAGGACTCCGACACGACCAACACGTTCTGCGGGACACCAGAGTATCTCGCACCGGAGATTCTGAATGGGCATGGATACAGTGAGTGCGCAGGACAGCGTTTGGAATGCGATGCTGACACTTGGTTGTAGACAAAACGATCGACTGGTGGACGCTGGGCGTCCTCTTGTACGAGATGCTTTCTGGCCTCCCTCCATTCTATGATGGTTAGTACATTCACAAACCAATATGCCGAACTACAGTTGACGATGTTGCAGAGGTCACGGACAAGATGTACCAGAAGATCCTCACCAGCCCTCTCGTCTTCGGCGACGAAATCGCCTCTCAGGCTCGGAGCATCCTGACCGGCCTTCTGACGCGCGACCCCTTGCAGCGTCTCGGCGTGAACGGCGCGGATGAGATCCGGAAGCACCCCTTCTTCGCGAAGAACATCGACTTTGAGAAGCTCGTGCAGAAGAAGATTCAACCGCCGTTCAAGCCCAGTGTCTCCAGCCCTGTGGTATGTCCCTTCCGATAGATAGCCGTATCAATGTGGAGTACTGATCGTCGCGCAGGATGTGTCCAACTTCGACACCGTCTTCACGACCGAGGCTCCCATGGACAGTGTCGTCGAGGGTTCTCAGCTCTCGCAGACCGTGCAAGCTCAGTTTGCAGGTGAGTTCCTTGGTTCTCCAGCGAGTAGTTCCGGGCTAAGCATATCGTGACCCCAGGCTTCTCTTACGACGGGTCCAACATGCCTGTCAGCCCCGTCTAATCATCCTCCTCGCCTTCGTCATCTCCATTGCATATCAACCTAGTAATCTCTCGCATTTCACTGCTATCTGGGCCCGGTCACACTATGCAGGATCTCTTAGCCTATCCCTACTGTATTCGTTCTTTTTGGTATCGGGTATGTCTGTTGGAAGTCGCCCCTCGTTATTTGCATATGTCGGCTCCCATCCCCCCAACTCGCATTCGTTGCTCGTGCCCGGCACATACTGTAAAACACACGCTCATTCTAATAGAAAATGGAAACATGGAACCTGGATCATCAGGACGTTTATCGAAGCCATGCTGTCGCTCATCATGACCTTGCCTTTCTCCGAAGGCCTCACTATTCCTTATGCGGGCAGGTCTCGTACAGAGCCACAAAGGATGGGGCATAATTCGGCAGCGTAACCATGCAGACTACGCGTTAGTGGTAGCTAGTGGAATCGGCATTTGCAGAGGCTCTAGAGTTATACACTGACAAGCACAACACCGCATCAGCTATCATTGAGATTTGCTAGCAATCTTCGTCTGCTCTCCGTCTCCGCTCGAGCCATGCGCGCCAATCCTCTCGATCCCCGTCCTACCAAGGCCTTCATCCGACGCAGCTCCTCAGTCTCCCGTACATGTTGGGCGAGCGCCGCCTGATTGTGCGTGACACGTTTCTTGGACGCCTTGTAGGGTCCAAACGTCTTGGCCTTCAGGCCGATCCCGAGACGGTCTGACTTCAGGACAGTCGTGAGCGGTGTGAGCAGCGCCTTCGGGTTATGGGATGAGAGTTGGTCCGGTTCTGCAGGAGGAATCGTGGACGGGCGTTGCAGGTCGGGTTCGTCAGCTTCGGGTTTGACATCCTCATCCTCGCCATCTGAGAGGGTGAGGTCAATGACGTCCACCGTTCGCATTTCGCTGATATCTCCGTCGGGGTCCCACTTCACTTCGCGCTGCTCCTCCTTCACGACCGCCTTCCCCTTCTTCTTAGCTTCCCGGGGCGTGGGGCTCCCCTCTGGCTCACGCGCTCGTCTGACCACCCCTGCGCCCAACGGCTCGCCCTCATTCCAGCCGCTCTTCTCGAGCATGATATAGCCCTTATTTGAGGGCCCGATATGGAGGAACACTGGTGGGGTGAATGACTTCCCGGAAGGATCGGGAGGCGGGTCTCGAGCGAGAATGTCTGCGAGGGTCTGAGTGGGTGTCGAGCGACCGGTCGGTGGTTCCGAGCGCAACGCTCGGGTAACGAACCAGTCATTCTTGGTCGATTTGACAGACTTTGGCTGTACCGGCGGCGCTGGTGAAGGCGCAAACGGAGTCGAAGGACCTGCAGATGCGGTAGACGTAGAAGCAATGGGCTTCTTGTCGTCTTCGACGGGAGCACTGCTGGATCGGATCAGCGACCTGTACCAGCTGCTCACTTCGGCGTTCGGCTTCTCCTCAACTGCCTGGGGGGTGCCTCGCGGCATGCCCATCATGTTGTTGATCTCATCGTAGGAGACGATTGCTGGGACAAAGCGAGGCGCGAGCGCAAGCCGGCGTTGTGCACCAAATGACGACTCCGTTTGCCATGGGTCCGCCTCCGGTTCTGGAGGCTCCGGTACCTGTCCAGTAGCCTTCTCGAGTTCCTCTCGTTGTTTTGGGTCGTAATGTGAGTAGATGTAGTGCGTGACAGTGGCCATTAGACAGGTGCAGCGGTTGGGTATCAAGTGGGAGTAGGAGACAAGGGTGAGCCTGTGGCGCTGAGTACCGCGCGTCACTGCAGTCTGCAGTCGATCCGGTTCAGCTCCAGGCTGAGGCTAGTAGGCTATCCCGGTAAGGCCTGCCGCCTGCCCATAGCGACTCCTCCACCGAACGCAGGTCCCCGTCTATTCAGCATTGCAAGATGTAGATATACAGCACAATGTATATTCATGGTATAGATCAGCATGAAGGAAATAATTTCTCAGTTCCGCGCCCTCACAGCGCCCTCCAGGAATGCAACTCCAGCCTGCACGCCATCCACAATCGTGACCGCGCCGCCCTCTTCGTCTCCCAACTCTGCCAAACAGACCTCCCTGACGATCTCAGCCATGCCCGTCATGCATACACAGCCGAGGCAGATGACACCGACGTTCCCCTTCCACACTAGCCTCCTCGTCGCCTCAATCACGCGTCGCTCGACCTCAGCAGCGGGCCCATTGTGCACGTCTATCCCACTCATTCCCGTCGCCTCGACGCCCGCGAATTTGCTGCTGGACTCGGTGCCAATATACTTGTACACGGAGTCCGCGAGGATTGTCTCCCATGCCTTGCCAGTTGTGATGATGCCGAACTGCGGTTTGTGACCGACGAGCTGCAGGCTGGCGCTGATACTCGCTTCGAAGATGCCTGTCACGGGCTTTCTACCCTCGAGGATGGCGGGCTGTGACTTGAGGGCCGAGACGAGCGAATGCTCTGAGTAGCATGCGACCAGGAAGCCGTCATATTGGTTGAGCAGGGGTACTAGGTGAGGTAGACAGAGCTCTGTGCTCGCGGCCACGTCCTCCATGTTATTGAGGCTCCCCGGGCCTGACGGCGCCGTGAAGTAATCATACTTCGTCTGAAGTCATACACCGCGTATGAGATCGTGAATTGCCATGAGAATGAGTAGACATACTTGGCTGAAGCTGAACGAGTTGACCAGAGCCTCGATGCCCTTGGTTATAGACTCAGTTGAATTGGGATTGATGATCAGAATCGAGGGCATGACTATGTCGCGAGAGCGAACTTGAAGTAAAGGAGATGTTCGACAGTGCACCTCTTTCAGTCGTACCTAATCAGGACACGTTCGATGGACTACAATCACCGAACGGATCTGTGATGGAAGAAGCACTGAGCCAATTGGCGTTCGACATTTGTACGATCATCAATCGGGGTGAATACACCGATGGGCTGTATGGATACATTACTACAATACTTGCTTGCTTGCGGGATAAGCCGAAACGCAATAAAACAGCGTGAAAACATGGTACAGAAAGCAAGGGATCTGGGAGTCTCGGAGAAAGCAGAATGGCGATTATCGTCCTGGGTATATGATCGTAGATGCACTGAATATCACCGGTGTGCAGGTCCGTTGAGATCGAACAGGTTACACCGTCACTGGCTCTCCCCAGACACCCTTCGTGGCCTCGCACTTCACTTCGGCCACATACATACGAAGCCACTGCACCATCTCCTTGCTGATCTGGTGACAGCGAGATAGATTGAGCGATTCCAGGCGACGGGGACCGATCAGGGACGCATGTCCAGAGGATGTAGAAGCGGGAACTCGAGACAGGATGTGCGCCTGGTACGCGAAGGCGGACGCGGACGACGTTGGCCTTGATGGCTGTACGCTGGTCGAAGCCGAGGACGAACTACCGCGCGACAGCTTCTGCGGTGGAAGTGCGCGCGACTGCGCGGGAAGGCGAGATTCGACCACCGCCCGCAGGGCCTCCCAATCAACGGAAGTGCAGCCTTCCAGCCACACGCTTGTCAACTTGGGGCAAACCCATGTCTGAGCTGCCGCCGGCGTGGCGAAGGTCTGCGACGCGTGTGAGGGTTCAGCGTTCCCGCGAAGCCATGAGGAAGTAATGCGCACCTTGAGAAGATTCGACGAGACGTCATCCGCGTCCACGAACTCGAGGCTATTTAGCGCGGGAAGTCGCTTGAGCAACCTGACAAGCTTCATCTCGTTGAAGTAACTTGACTCAATACGGAGATGGCGGAGCGGTAACCGCGTCAGCGACTGTCGTCGTAGGTACTCCAGCATCGGAGAGACGTTATCTAGGAAACATAACTCGATCCGCTCGAGCGCTGGGAAGGAAATCAGACTGAGGATAGTCCTGGTGCGAACATTGCCGCAGTAGTAGAAGGAAGCTTCCACTAGACGCGGTAGCTGCACTGGCCTCGCATCAGCCACATGCACTAATCGCTCTCCGAGGCTATCTTGCTCCGACGGGTCGAAGTCCGGCAAAGAACACGAATCTGTTTCGATGTCGGACATATTGCGGAGCGCAAGCTCTTCCAGGTTTGGACACGCTCGCAAGATCCCCAGAATGACGTCGACTGAAGGAGATTGTGCGTTCCAATACCCTCCCAGCTTGAGCACGCGTAGTCGCGTAACCAGGGCGGTATCCCAGTTGAAGTTGAACGACGTGAATGAACACGAACGTAGGCGTGGCGTGTGGCCCTCAAAAAGCGGTGGCGGCGCTCTCGAGAAAGGGTCCTCCTGCATCGAATGGCAGATACGCACCGACATCACCTCAAGGAGAGGTGCACGTTCCCTACAGCGCGTTAACGCAGCATGCGCCTGCGGCCTATTGGGAACGGTCAAGTGGAAGGTTCTCCAGCGCCAGATAGCAGGGCGCAGGAGGTCCATGGCTAGCATGAGGCTTTCTGTGGAAACATTGCCGTACTCCACGCGTGGACTGAAGTCGACGCCAATGTAGAGGGGCACCGTCTTCGAACGCTCCAGCTTGACTCGCGCCTTGTCGAACGAATGGCGCGTGCCCATCCGGATCCGCGACCACAGAGCTGGGGTATCCACCGCGACGTCCTTCCACTGCCGACAGACGATCATGAGGTTGGCTAGCGTGATGGGATCCTCCTCTTCTCCGTCGAGCACGCCGATCTCGAAAATGGCTGAAAGCAGCTCGTCCGGCAGCCGTTGGACGGGCGACTGCATACGGACTGCCAGCTCCAGCCTCGATTCGAGGAGGTCCCGCTCGTTGAGCAATGACGCCATCCTCGACTCGAGAGTGTGTATGGCTTCGCGGAGATGAGGAATCGAGAGATTCTGCGCCGGCCTCCGAGCACGAGACCGAGAGCTATCTCCGTATGATGCAAGGCCCTCCTGAGGTCTTGGAAGGGAGTTCGTGCGCGAAGTGATGCCCGGTGCAATTGGTGCGAAGGACGGGTAAGCTTCGTGGGCTTCGTATGGAGGTGGCGGGGACGTCGGTTCGGGAGGCCTCGGACCGAGGGAGGTCCGAATGCGTGGTGGGTCGATAGGGGCACCAGCGACGGATGAGGCATACATCCTGCCGTGATGAGGGGCGGAGGCGTGAAGGATTGATGTGCGGCGCATGACAGTAACTGCCAGACAGTGGTCGGAAGACGTTCACTTATAAGCGGCGCAGGTCCGGCGGGGCGGCACGCGCGTATTGTCGAAGGGGCGATGCGACGATGTCTTCGTGCTATCTCGAAGCGGGTTTGTCAAGGGCACGCTGCAGCTGGAGGTGCCTTGCCTCTGCCCTCGCAGCGTCACTGCCTGAAACGTCCAGAAAAGCGCCATCGCGGCCAGGCGGTCACTTCGAGTACGAGATGAGCCGAAGGATGGAACTCACCACGACATCGAAGTACCCGGGTCAGCGTCGTGTGTAGGCGAGGGCACGCAAGACGTCTGTGCAGGGTCCACTCGCCATCGAGCTCTGAAATATATGGCGGGCGGGCGATCTGGCATTGATAATGGGCTTTCTTTGCGAGCTGGTGATGGGCGAGCACGAGGCTGGGAGCATGTCCGTTCCAAAGCGTAGATGCCATACGAATGTTTAGAGCTGACCTGCAACGTGGGACGTCGAACAGCAGCAGGCAACACGAGGGAGGGAACGAGGCACGGATGGCTGCTGGGTTCGTGGCCGAGCGCGCTTCGGCTCTCCATTATTTATCGCCCCGTCCCACACTTTCAGGCCAAGCTGACCGAAAATTCTTCTGTCTCGCCTTATCGCGCCCTCATATCGTACCCGGTACCGGTCACAGTCCATCAGACTGACCTTTCTCCGCATCGACATTCGGTAACGGCAATGCTTGTCTAGATCTACTCTTGCGCAGCGCCTACTAGACACCATGACACAGGGACAACGCTACACTATTGGACTGCGATGATCTTTTCTTGCACACATGACTATGGTCCAAACGGGGCAAACATGAACGGTTTTATGATGCCTCAGCGCAAGGCTGGTGACTGTCCGCGCTTCGGTAGTAGACAAATTGCGAGAGAACCTGAGGACATTTTTTGAGCGCGCACACAATGATGACGCGAGAAACTCACAAAGACGTCCAAAAAGACCGTCAGAGCGCTCCCTGAGAACGACGAAGGTGAACAGTGAAACTCGGCACGATATGTATCGGTTGTACCACTCACCCGCAATCCACGATGCATTCGCGATGAGATGCTGGAGGTCCATGGAGGCGGCCAAAATAGCTAGGACGTAGGTCGTGTTTCCCGTAATTGAATACACGAAGAGGAAGGGCGAGAGCCCTTCACACCTCGTCTTGAAATTTTTCACTGAGCCATGCGCTCCGTTCATTCCTGCAAGCGAGCAAATAAGGTAGTCCCTCACCAATCTGTGGTACCCGTGCTCCGACTTCGATCCGGTGTGAGCGATCGAGCACTCAAATTATGTACGAACTTACGGAACATGGCCGCACTGATCCAACCAAGGATCTGGCTTCTCCATTCAACAATCTCGTCGCGTTTGGGTGGAGCCTGGCCTCGATGGATGCGCTCGTCCATTGCCCAAGCAGCGATGCCGACCACGAAGACGAAACATAAGGCGCCGGCATATTTCGTGAACTCTCGGGTGATGGAGGGCTTCACGCTGACTTCTGCCGCGTTACCATTATGTGTCAATAGGGGCGTTCGTTCGAGATCTTGAGCAGCCGATTCCGAGGATATAGGTGCAGGTTCTCTTGGTGATGCATTGTTTGTCCAGCGGTAATAGTAAATCTGGAACAGAAGTATCGAGTCGCATACCGAATACTGATTGTGATGATGTGTGTCAGTGCCCAAACATTGTTCCCGAGAGTCAACTAGTCATATCTGCTCACGTATGTTGCCAGTATGATGATAGTCGGCAATAAATTCGCCAGGAGAGCGCCTGACAGGCTGCATAGGTCTCCAATCAACCAAATGAGTACGAAGAACACGCTGAGCCCTTCGCCAGACTTGAGTTGGTAATTCTCGTAGATCTGCGGAGTATACACCACAAGCCTTCGGGATGGTGTGCGCATCAGCACATTGCACGACACGTTGACGGCTCAAACTCACCAGCATGCTATAGACACCCAGCCTAACTGCGCACATCAAAAGTCAGCCTGATTTCTGCCGATCGTTATGTCAAAGAACGCTACATACGACGTTGCTCAAGGTTCCATTTCCGTCAGCGTCCATTACGTTTGGTGGGCCTGATGAAGTCCACGCGTTGCGCCGGTAGTTATCTTGATAACGCTGAGACGAACAGCAAAAGCCGAATGCGAATGCTTCCTCAAGGCTGGTAGCCCGGGAGTCTAATAGAGATTGCTGACAAGAGTTTGAAAGGATCTGGCTCGGAGGGACGACGCAGCCTCAGGAGTCCGAGCCTGGTCCGAGCGAATCGGTGTTAGACGCCCGTATCCGGCGGATGCCGTGGCCGAGCTTGCCTGCCGGTGTCGTCAGTCGTGGGCGAGTGCACTTGTACGTTCCACCGTGCATCTCGGGTCACCATGAATTCGCAAGAGGCTTTCAAACGGTTCGCGCAACAGCTGCAACGAGCGAGCCAGAACGGCCCGGGTGGAGGCAATCGCCTCCCTAGTGGAAAGGGATTCACGGCCGGCGCGGGTCTACTAGTCGCGCTCATTGGTGGAGGTCTTGCGCTGAATGCGAGTTTGTTCAACGGTGAGCAATAACCATTGTCCTCGAAAACGCTTGTTCATGTTTCTTTTAAGTGGATGGTGGTCACCGGGCGATCAAGTACACTCGGTGAGTAGGGTGACTTTGCTGGCGCAAACACGCCTTCATTCTGTGACACAAGTTTGTATGGTGTAAAGCCCGACGTGTACCCTGAAGGTACCCATTTGATGGTAAGCACCCTGTACAGTACGACTACACGTCGTTACCCATACTGCAACGCAGGTACCATGGCTCGAAACGCCCATTGTCTTCGACATTCGCGCCAAGCCTCGCAACATTGCTAGTCTCACTGGCACAAAAGGCGCGTCGCAGAGGCTCTCTGTTCCCTTATGTAATTAACGGCGGATGTAGATCTGCAAATGGTCAACATCACCTGCCGTGTCCTCTCAAGGCCGGAGATCAAAGCTCTACCGACGATATACCGGGAGCTTGGATCGGACTATGACGAGCGGGTCCTCCCATCGATTGTCAATGAGGTGCTGAAGAGCGTCGTGGCACAGTTCAATGCAAGCCAGCTCATTACGCAGCGTGAGATGGTCCGTCCCTGCCTTCAGGGTCCCGCTGGGATCCCGCTTCCATATTTGCACGCCGCCCTAACGTCCTGAGCTTGCATAGGTATCTCGCTTAGTGCGCGAGAACCTGACGCGTCGTGCGCTGCGATTCAACCTCGTGCTGGAGGACGTCTCCATAACTCATGTTGCATTCTCACCGGAGTTTACACATGCGGTCGAAGCCAAGCAGGTGCGTCATTGAAAGCCTATACGGCGCGATGCCTTGTCTCACGATTGTTTCAGGTTGCCCAACAAACAGCGCTTCGTGCTGCTTTCCTTGTGGACCAAGCTATCCAGGAGAAGCAGGTTGGTTTATTCATTACTGCAAGCTGGTCGCTTGCTGAGGCTGTTGCAGTCCATTATCGTCCGGGCACAGGGTGAGGCAAGAAGTGCCGAGCTCATCGGAGAGGCCGTGCGATCGAACAAGGGCTTCTTGGAGCTGCGGAGGCTGGAGGCAGCCCGCGACATTGCACAATTGCTGGCGACGTCTGGCAACAACGTGATGCTCGACTCCCACAGCCTCTTACTCAATGGTGAGCTCCCATAGGACACTGCATTCAAGTGCCGCAGACTTATTGGAATCGGAATCAGTTGCGGGTGATGCAAACGAACTGTTGCAATTCAAGCAGAAGAAGTGAGGATGCTGCCTAGGCTCGACTAGTCATGACCACCGCTGTACCTTTTCTGGATGCTATCCACACTCTGGGCTCTCCGTACTCCTCAGTAGCGCACGTATGAACCGGCCGTGTGTCTGCGGTGGGATTACTTCTAGCTCCATTGAGCCATGAGATGAAATTGAGCCTTTGAAAGGAGCCGTTGGATCGGCCCTGCGGACGACTTCTGCGAGGATTCGGAGGAAGGCGTCCCGTACTCAGAGCACGTGGACTGACATGATCGGTCTGCACGAACGCGTCCAAGTCGCGTCTTGCTTTTGTAGTTGTCTCTCATTGTGATCTTCGGTATCGACACCCCCTTTCCTCAGCTCAAACGGCATGGTACGTCTAGACAAAGCTTCGCATCGGACCAAAGGCAAGGAGAAGCGCACGCGGCCTGATCCCTCCAGCGACCACGAGGACAATCACGATTCGTCTCTGGCAGAGAGACCCAACAAAAAAGTCCGCTGGGGCAACGACCTGGGCACTGTGGAGGAGAGCATAGATGATAACACAGAAGAAGGAACGTCGAACACACCGGAGAAGGCACGTACCGTCCTCGTGCATTCAGCCACACGCAACCAGTTTGACTTATCTTATATGCCAGATCTGCTTTGCCGCAACTGCCCAATTGTGAGTATTCTTCAGCATATATGCGCCATGAGAAGCCTACTCCGTGTGCAGCGGACGTATCGGCTGCGCATATTACGATCCGGTGAAGTGCACGATATACACATTCGAAGACACGCCTGAGAATCAACACTATGACCTGACGAAAAGTCGTACGTATCCCGAGTGCCGCATATAGCTCCCTGAACTCAGTCTCCTCGCAGTCTTGGAACAATGCGGTCCCGATATGGTCATCACGAGTTCAAAGGCCGACGACAGCTTCATGGACGTGCTCCGAGACCACAGTACGTCCCGTTACACGCGCATATATGGGAGTGGGATTGCGACCGACTATCGATGATTCATCGCAGTGGACTCGTCTGGAGGCACTTTTCAGGTGCGACCCCATAAGGACTTCTCGGCTGCGAAAGGCCGTGACCGCCTGTTGTCCCTGCGACTTCTCTCTGAGCTGCCGTCAGACCTCGCGCGTGACATGCCTTCTTCAGAGTCTGACAGCGGCTCAGAGCCCCGGAATGCGTACGAGTTTATGCGCCGCCGGCAAGAGATAGGTGGTGACCCGACTATGCAACAATGGAATGCGTCCATTCGGCTCGCGAACTACGCGTCTATGGAAGCGACGCCGCTATGCGTGTGTTTCAGTCCCTTTGCTTAGCTGGAACGACGAGCTCAGCTGCTATGTCTTCAGTTAGGTAGCGTTGGTGCTCTGCTCGACCACCTTACGCGAATCCGAGCTGTTGGAGATCTCGATGACGAAGGGATCAACGGTCTGGAGGTCCGAGCCATAGAACCGTTGGCGCCACACCAGACGATGCAGATCAACGCGGATGCGCTGTTTTCTCTGCAGATATTCGAAGACGAGAGCCACGCGTCGATCCACTCCGACAAGACGAAAGAAGGGCTGTCGCTCTTTGGGATACTCAACAACACCAAGACAACTCTAGGACGTGCTCTCATGCGAGAGTGGTTGCTGCGCCCGTCACTCTCGCTCTCAGTTATCGGTGCACGCCACGATGCTGTTGCCTGCTTTGTGCGGCCTGACAATCAGGCAGCGGCTGGTTCGATGCATTCCCATCTCAAGGGTATCAAGAATGTACCACGGATCCTAGGCATCATGAGGGCTGGTAAAGACAGAGTTTCGGACTGGCAGTGCCTTGTGAAGGTTGGATCTCGCGCAAGTTCATTGTGCACTGAAACTCAACTCTATATACATCAGTTCACTTTCCATTCGCTTATGCTACGGGATGCCATGGGTGAATTGTGCCATGCTGGCCATGTAGAGATCGTCAAGAAGGCGAGATTTCCGTGTCACTTTTCCGCTAGGACTCATTGACAGACACTAGCTTGTTGAAGCATTGGAAGTTGCGAGCTTCAGAGAAGTTGGAACCGCTGTGAACGAGACGGTACGCTGCGAGGCCTTGCGTCTGAGATCTGGTTACGCACCTTCGCGTCCAGATTGATTGGGAAGAATCCGCTCTCGCTGGTCGTGTCTGTGTCCGGCCGCATATTGACGAAGAACTGGATAACTTGAAGCACATCTACAATGGTATCGACAGCGTACTGGTACGTGTTTCGTATGTCACACTGCCATGTCACTGACCAGATCGCAACAGTCAAGAGTAGCTCAACAAATATCGGAGACGATACCTCCTGATTACGCATCGTCGCTGAACGTTGTCTACTTTCCTCAGCTGGGTACTGCGCAGATCGGCTTCTCTGACGAATCGTCTTGACGGATATTAGGCTTCCTCATATGCGTTCCGATGCTGGAGGAATGGAAGACAGATGCCGGAGTCCAGGTCTTGGATGGGTGGACCTTCCAAGTACGTTTTCTGTCTCGTGAACTCAGTGATTGATGAGAAGACGCCTTGTTCAGTTTTCCTCCGAGTGAGTCGGTAGCTTTCGACGTCGTATTTTACCTGGAACTCTTTCCCTAGGTCCCACGTTTACTTCAAATCACAAGAAATGCACGGTGAGCTCATTTCCGAGCATCCTGGGCGCTCGAGTATTAATGATGGCCTAGACATGGACGCCCATATTGGCGACCTCCACCCCTCAATCGTCGGTAAGTACCAATTCTCGTCAGATGTCAGACTCGTGATCGGCGCTCATGCAAACGGTTTGGCCAACAGACCGCGAAATCGAAATTGTGCAAACGCTCTCCGAACGGATACTTGTTCATGCTGAGGCCATGCAATATGCATGTGATGTCTGTGCAGAACTTGACTGTTTGTTATCCTTCGCAGAAGCGTCGACCGCGTGCAACTTCATTCGGCCGCAAATGGTAGGAGAGAATATTATCGAGATTAGACAGGGCCGGTAAGCCTCGTGTACATCCAGGATTTTAGCCATGCTCATGTTATTGCAGGCATCCTTTGCAGGAGCTTGTAGTGGATACTTTTGTTCCCAACGACGCTTTGCTATTAGGTGGTTGCGGTGTAGGCGTCGAACTCGATGACCGCAGCGAGGATGACGCCTCTCACGACGGCGCGAGGGATAAGAACAGCATCGTCGTTTGTACAGGGGCAAACGCGTGTGGCAAGGTGTGGTATGTACGCTTCAGAAACGAATAACTGACGTATGCCCTCCTGCAGAGTGTATATCTGAAGCAGATTGCTATGATCCAGTATATGGCTCAGGTAAGTCCGCATGTAGCCAACGTTGTATTGACCTAGGTTTCATCACAATGCAGATCGGATGGTGAGGTCTCGCGACTACTCGGACAGCCTATTCATTGACTGCACTAGCTTCGTCCCCGCTGAGTGCGCCACTCTGGGAATCGTTGACAAGAGTAACGTCCATGAAGCCGCTCGATTATCTGCCATTCACGAAATATCTAGTCTTCACGCGCGTTCAGACAAGGGAATCCGTCTCCAAAGTGACTCTGCTACCTCTCTATCCTTCTGGGTGCTTGACTGCTCTGTTGGCGACACGTCTAGGTCCAATCAGCATTCATGATCGATTTGAACCAGGTCTCCTTCGCTCTGCGCAATGCCACGGAGCGGTCTCTGATTTTACTGGATGAGTTCGGAAAGGGGACCATGTCTTCAGGCTCGTATCCCCTTGCTCCAACTGGCTTGGTCTATCACCTTCTGGGTTCGCTTACTGACAACTTCGTCGCTTGGCCCTGTCTCTGCCTCGGCTGCCTCGACTGTCATCCTCTGATATCCAGACGGCGCCGGACTCTTCTGCAGCGTTCTCAAGCACCTCGCCAGCAGGGGCTCCGCCTGCCCCAAGGTCCTGGCCGCGACGCACTTCCACGACGTGTTCATGCCAGACCTGCTCGACCCCGGCTCGCTCCCGATCACCTTCGTCCACATGCAGATCCTCCTGACGTCGAGTTCGGGCCATCTCCTCCGCGCGAGCGGCGCGGGCGACGCCGACTGCGGGGTGGAAGACGACGGCGAGGAAGACGGGGCGCAAGTTGCCCCGGGAGAGCGGATCACGTATCTGTACAGGTATGCGAATCTGGTCGGCCGGGGTAGGAGAGTATCTCACAGACGACGATGTGAAGGGTCGCGAAAGGCCTCTCACTCGACTCGCACGCAGCGATGTGTGCCGAGATATTCGGGATACCGCGCCGTGTCGCACAGCGGGCGCAGTATGTCAGGTACTGCACCATCCATATTGCCTCACTGCAGTTGCGGACGTTAACACCGCCTGACGTCCCTGCCGTTCAGCCGACTGCTAGCGACGCACGAACTCGGCCAGCTTCTTGACGAAGAGATGAGCGACGTTGAGCGCAGGGATCTCGAGGACGCGGAAGAGGTCTGCCGGCGGTTCCTCGCGTGGAACTTCGCCCGCGACAACGACGATGATGACGACCCGGACCCACGGCAGGATGTGAGGCGCACGTTGGCAGAAGTACTCGGGCGCCAAGTTGAGTGAACGGAAGTGCCATACAGTCCGTTGAACCGTGTACGCTTGGTACGCAATTGTGATTCCCGTGCATATGGACTGTTGTCTCCGTGTGTATCGCTTGATCTCATGTAGGGTGCATCGTAACCCATCGCAAGGGAAGCTACAGTGCTCTCAGCAAGGCAACACGGTATGGATTACACGGCCTCTATTCTAAAGGTATATACAGCACGTACGCTCATACAATCTGGGTCCGAATCGACACACAACAAGCAGTCAACGTCCATATACCACAGGACTCACAGTCCAGTCCACTTCTCACTTATTCAGAACGACACAAGGGCCCCCCTCACCTACGACTTCACCACCACACTATCCTCCTTATGGATCTCCAACCCCGGCGGGGCGCCCAACACGTCCTTGATCCCGCCATACAGCAAGAACTGGCCACTGACCAAGCCCGCGGTCATGACCATCCTCGGGCCGAGCCCCGCGAAGAGGCCGCGCACGCCCGCCTCGCGCGCGAGCACGCCGAGGCGGTGGACCATCGAGCCCTCGGGGCCGTGGCCCTTGTTGATCTGCGAGAGCAGCGTGTCCGCGGGCTGGCTGAGGATCGCGGCGGCGAACCCGGCGACGACGCCGCTCCCGAGCGCGATCGTGAACTTTCCCGTGCCCGAGAGGTTCGCGCGCGTCTCCTCGGACAGGTTCCTGAACACGAGCTCGTGGCAGAACTCGTTCACGGTGAACTGCCCGATCGCGTACGGGATCTGTCTGTATGCCCGCGAGCACCGTCAGTACGCTGCTCTCGAGTGTGGAGGGGCGAGGAGCGGACGCACTTGCAGAGGATGGGGAGGAAGCCGGCGTAGAGCCCGGCGAAGCCCTCTTCGCGCACGAGTCGCATGAAGCCCGTCGTGAGCCCCGTGGCGTACCCTCTTTGTGAGACGAGCCGGATGCGCGTCGCCTCGAGGGGCGTGAGCAGGATATCCGCGAAGAATCTGTCATGCGGGCGCAGCAAATGTCAACGACGATCCGGGTGAACAAGGAAGGTGGGGATGCGCACTCTGCTACGGAGGACGCGCCGAGGTAGATCGCGGTGCGGTGTGCGACGGCGGCGTCCTGGCTTCCTGCGATCTGGACGAACTGCTTCTTCCAATACTCGTAGCCCGAGAACTTTGCTCCTCCCTGTGACAATGCCGCAGAATGTGATGCATTCGCAGAGAAGCCGGATGGAATGATCGCGTGAGCATGAACAGTAGGTCGTACGACTGGTCAGGACCGCCCAAGATGTATCAAGGGCGCTATCACGTACCTGGACAAGGTAGCCAACAGCGGTAGGCCCGAAGCCCGTGAGGAGCGCAGAGGCGCCCTCTTTCGCGACGATGGCACGACCGCCGGAGAGGAGGGACTGGCCCTTCATGGCGGGGTCGATCTGTATGCGCGTCTTGACGACGTCAATCGCTGCGACGCGGATGGGCAATGTGGCACGGCAGATTCAAACAGTAAGACGTACGCGTCATGCCGCCGTGTGTAACGCTGGTGTAGTGGACAGGCTCTCGTCAGGACGGCGCACTGGTGGAGACACGAAGATTGACTTACGTGCAACATAGTGCGCCTGCGAGGAAGAACGAGGAATAGTCCTTCGTCGTGAACTGCGGCACCGCGAACGGCTTCGGGGACGGCGTCGCACTCATGATCGTTCGTGATCCTCAAGCGCGGTGAGGTCTTAAAGGGAGTCGTTACTGGTGAGAGATACCAGATGATACACTACTCTATTGGGTCGATGGTCTAGACAGGCGTAAGTAGGAGAGGGCGAGAAGGAGGGAAATCGTGACGCACCAGACCGCGGACGGGGGTTATAAGCAGGTGGCAGACGGGGAGGTCGGCGTGGACGGGTCGGCGAGAGGCGGCGAGGGTGGACAGGCAGGGGCGTCGGACCCGCGTCTGTGTTCGCTCATCGCCCACTCGGCCCTCGCACCGCCCTGACGTCACACCTGCCACCCCGCTGCAGGCAAACGCGCTGCCGTCGGAGCACTCTCGCACGCGGTCACGTGGGCGTGTATGTGGGCTTCTGCCGCACCAGCTGAATGTTCGGTGCGCAGAAGCAGGACATGGACACCCTGCAAGTGCGTAGGCCCAATGGACGTGCCCTGAGGGTTGTAGGACAGCATCTAGCGCGTTCTCAGAAAGCTTGCAATACCCAGTATACTGTACACCAGTTGACTACCGCGCGCCGATGACACACCGACGAGGACTAAGACCATGTCCGACTGAGCGGCATATGTACATCAGCCATATGTGCTGCATGCGTATCATATGCGATGGCGTACTCACAAGGATGCAGAACATTCCAGGTCCCAATATGCATACTGTTGGTACAGAGTTAAACTACACATGCGCGATCATGGACGTTGCCAGAGTCTGTGAAGTCCGAGTCCGTACTATTGCTATAGCGTAATCATCCAACACACACCCAGCTCACAGCTCACCACACTCGTATTAGGGTATTCCGTATTTTTGTCACTGCCCACAACGCTCAGCCTCCCATCGCACGACCCAACCATTACTCACAGTCCTCAAACACATCCTCACTATCATCCCCGTGCTCCTCCCAGCCTGCCCACCACCACTCCTCATCTTCCTCCCTCCTCTTCGCGCCACCGACGTCTTCCGCATCCTCCTCACTGCCCTCCTCCTCGGTCGCCTCCCCGAAGTACGCCTCCACGAGCGCCGCACTCGGGTACCGGAACACCTTCGCCCTCGCCACCTCCGCAAACCCGACCGACTTCCGCCTTCCCGCGCGTTTCCTGCTAATGTACGCCTCGTCGACGTCGGCGTCGATAAGGAACGGGTCCGTGACCTCGTCGTCGTCCTCTTCGTCGGGCGGCGGGCCGACGCGGTAGGTGAGCCGGGTAGAGAAAGGGGTGCAGCGATCGTGTTCGTGCACGAGGGATGCGTGGAGGTGTGCGTAGGGCGGGGAGGAAGATTCGGGCTGTCGAGAGAGGTCCGGGGCGGAATGGCCTCTCCGCGAGAGCGTCTTGCGCTCCGCCGGGCACGTCGCCTACCCAAAACGCACACACCCATCAGCACCGCGCGCACCCAATCAGCCAGTCTCAACCACTCACCGCCTCGTTGAACTCCATGTTCACCCTCGCCAGCCTCTCCAGCGCGCCCTCCAGGTTCCACGCGGGCAGATACCCGACGTCGCCCGTCGCGAGGACGCGCACGCGCACGTGGTGCGTGAGCCCGTCGTCGCGGTCCGCGTCGAGCAGCGCGACGCGCGCGCCCGCGCCGACGGCCAGCGGCACGTTGCGGAACGGCGGGCCGAGCACGGTCTGCCCGGGCGTGGGGAAGGGCTCGAGCGTGTAGTGGATGCCCATGGCGGACTCCGCGGCGGCGGCGCGCCACGGGTCCGCGGGCGGGAGCGCGAAGTCGGAGAGCGTCGGCGAGAAGGCGGCGCTCGATGAGGAGGAGGAGGAGGAGGGCGTTGGCGAGGAGGGGCCCGGGGAGGAGCTTGTGGCGCTTGTGGGCGAGCTGAGCTCGAGGAAGCTCGTGGACTCGCGGGTGTGGGAGATGGTGATGGGCTGGGTGGTTGTTGCGGCCATGGTGTATGGCGTCGGATGCGTGGGTCTAGGGAGTGGGCGGTGTGAGGATGGGACTGCGCGGGTGGACGAGTACGCACTGTTTATAACGGAGACTGCAGCAGCAGGAGGCGCGGCGCAGGGAGTATAGAGGTCTCGAGGCGCGGACACAGACACAAGCAGACACAGACACAAGAAGGCGGCTCAGACGCTGGCTGGAGTGGAGAGAAGTCCTCGGGCGGTGGCGTGCGGTCGCAGAAGGCCAGTGGGTGTAGTTATGTGTGCACAGGCGGGCCGAGCGGGGAGGATGAGCTGGAGGGGCGGCGCTCGGTCGCTGACGAAGACTTGTACGGGATCAGAGGGACGCACCGCAGTCTGACAAATCCGAGCCCCCGCCGTCTCCGAGCGGCCTACACTTACTTATACGTCGCGCTGCGCTGCCCGACGCCGAGTCACCGATCCAAGCTTAGCACCTGTCAGAGTGCCAGCAGCGAATATGAACGGGCACCGCGCAGGAGGAGAGCGGTGCACCGGGGGGGACGCGGTGCCGGTGCTGGGAGTGGTGGGGCACTGCAGAGACGCAGAGCTGGCAGGCGGCATGTAGCAGGGTGATAAGTACTGTATGCAGAGCTGGGCTGGTGGGACAGATGTGTGTAAGCAGTGTCCCCTCGTCCCTCCTCCCTCGTCTGCTGACCGTCCTTCTCCCGCTCGAGCACTCGACGCCCGATCGCCATTCGCTCGGACTTTCCCGGTGCATGATCGAAGGTTTCGAAGCCGCCGATAGAATTAGGCGCCTGCGTTTGCCACCACGCATCTGACTGCCACAGCCATACAATACTACTCGTTTAACTCACAGCTACGATCCGATTCAAGCAGTGATGAACCAGCAGGACACTGTCTCGTACCGGGTACGACACAAGTACGACCCCCGTAGAGCTGGTCCGTAACTCACGCACGAACATACTTCGACCCACGCCACCGACGCCGCCGACGCGGTGGATCAATTGATCATGGGTGAGTCGAAACCTACATCGCACACCAGAACGACTTGACAGTTTCTGCATGGTCGGTAGCTGCGAATGGCGCATATACTTATGTCTGTCTCGGCGCTACTCCTGAATAGCGGCTCGACATGGAAAGATACTGTCTGGAATCATGTCCGACCGTGAGACTTCTCCACAGGCCGAGATGGCCATGGCTCCTGCTATCTTTGCAAGCGTAGGCGAAGTACCAGATGCTCATTCTATGCATCGTGAATGAAATGGCGGATGCCTCTACCGCAGCCGTACATGTCGTACTCTAGTGAGCGCAACATCACCTGCCAGTGCGGGGCACTACCGCCCTACGAGTGACCGTCAGCGCATATATGGCACCGCTGGCAGTATTCGCATACTTTGCACAGGTGAGTTCCACAGTCCATTAACTCCGATGTCCACCGAGCTCACTGTGCTCCATGATGCATCAGCTCGGGTGGACGTATCTTGCCGGTGAAGTACGCATACGTAGTGCCGCCCGCACTCTGTCACCGTCTCCCCAAATATGTAGGTAATTCTCTACCAGCTGTGGTCCCCTTCTATCTGCCATCGGGTACAGTCCGACCGAGTTTCAGACTGTACTCAGGCTCAGTGTATGCGGCAAGAATCGTGATCTGACTCCGTGAAGCTACTCATCGTATCTTACTTAGTACTTAGAACGACACACGCACCCATCTACGGACGTCCGAAGCGTTGCCTTCCAAAGTTCGAGGTGGACGAGGGTCATGGGAACAACAGGCCCTTCCTTTTCTAACCGCAAAGCCGTAGGGATTAGCCGCGCGCAGTAATACACTCTGACAACGTGAACACGGCACCGCACACCAGCCCCGCGGCCGCGCTCAGCTAGCGACGTCAAGAGTCGTCAGCACTGACTCAACAACTATCGGGACGTGGGAACGACGCCTCGACACGTAGACGGGGGTGTGGCCCGAGCGAGACGAGGACGTGTCTGCAGATCGCGGACGCGCGCCGACGGCAGGAATGGGACGTCTTCTGTGCGATCCTTCAAGTTGTGGCTGTAAGTCTCGGTATTCAGTCTCGCTAGTGCTGACTGTCGCGATCTTACATACTAATGTGATACAGTATTTTCTAACTCGTGGAAAGGGCATGTCCCTTCTCCGATAGAGACGGCATACGTACCTCGACGGCCCGCGGACTCAGTTCTGCATACGCGAGGTAGCTTCTATCGCGCTCCCACCGACACAAAGCACGTATGACTATGCACGGGGGCGGGGCATATATAGCTACCCCGCACCGTCGCGAGCCAGCCGCATCGCTCGCTTCTGTCATTGTCTTCCTCACATTATGCTATCCAGCCTCTCCTTGTTGTTTCTCGCTTTCTGCAGCTGGGGCTTATGGCAGCTGCTAACTTATGTCCGCTACCGTATTACCACGGCGCACCTGAAGCGCATCCCGGGGCCGCCGGCCGACGCGGCCTCCTTCTGGTTCGGTCAGTCTCCGTCGCAGAGTCTAGGTTCGTCTTCCAAGTATTGACAGTCATTCTAGGTCACTTGAAGCAGTTCTTCGCGCGCGACGGGGCCGACTTCCAGAGACACGTCGCGAGAGACTATGGCTCAGTCGTCAAGATGAGCGGATTCCTTGGCGTACGTGTACCCGCTCCGTGCCGTAGAAAGCCCTGACAGAGACTTACGCTTTCGGCGTATGCGGTATTGGTGTGGCAGTCTCCGCTCCTTTACGTCGCTGACCCCAAGGCCCTCCATACCATCCTGATCAAAGAGGAGTTGACTTGGCATGAGACTCCGGAGTTCATCGCGTGCGTCGATTGAATAGATGCATCGCCCAAGGCGGCCTGGCTGACCTTTTCGGACAAATTACAGGACGAATAGTATCGTGTTCGGTGCGAACGCGCTGGTCTCAACACTCGGTATGCCTCCTTCTCTTTCCTGTCCAGCTATCTCGGCTCGTGTAAACGGAATTCACTCATCACGCCGTGTACTAACACGTTGGTAGGTGCACATCACAGCCGACAGCGCAAGTTGCTCAACCCCGTTTTCTCCGTCAACCACATGCGCCACATGCTCCCTCTCTTCTACAACGTCGTCTACAAGGTGAGCCTCTTCCAAGTACATCTGCTCAAGGAACACTCACCGCCTTCCGCGCCTCGCAGCTCCGCACCGCAATCGAGTCCCGCGTCGGGAACTCGGGGGAGCCCCGCGACATAGACATGCTCGGCTGGATGAGCCGCACGGCCCTGGAGCTCATTGGGCAAGGCGGCCTTGGGTACTCCCTCGATCCGCTCGTACAGGACACCACAAACGCGTATGGAAAGGCCCTCAAGTCACTCGCGTACGCGCCCTTCATCCTTCAGACCGTGCCCCTCCTCTCACGCCGTCCTGACATCTAGTCCGGGACTCCAGTCTCTGAGGCTCTACCGCAAAGTGACGGTCATCACCCCCAAGATCGTCCCCGCGTGGCTGCGGCGCGCCGTCGTTGGCATGTTCCCCCGCGGCACCGCCGTGCACACCCTGAAAGAGATTGTCGACACCATGGACTTCCAGTCGCGTGCGATCTACGATGCGAAGAAGGCGGCGTTCTACAAGGGCGACGCGGAGGTCGTGAAGCAGATCTCGGAGGGCAAGGATATCATGAGTATCCTCAGTACGTTGCGGTTCTGTTCTGTGATGGGGTTGCGTGTCTTGATGTCCTGGCAGTGCGCGCGAACGCGTTGGCGGACGCAGCGGACAGGCTTTCGGAGGAAGAGGTCGTCGCCCAGATGTCGTGAGTTTACTTATCCTCCCGGCCTTATCGAGGAACTGATGAGTTCTGCCGTAAGGATCCTCATCTTCGCGGGAATGGACACAACATCGAATGCGCTCTCCCGCATACTTTACTTGCTTGCACAGCACCCAGAAGTCCAGGAGAAGCTCCGTCAAGAACTCCTGAGTGCCGGTGCCGCTGACGGTATTCCGTACGACGAGTTGAACCGCCTGCCGTTCTTGGACAGCGTTTGTCGCGAGACCTTGAGGGTGTACGTCCTTCCACGCTTCATTCGGCGCATGCTAGAATGACTGAATCTGTGGGCAGCTATCCACCGGTCACGCTCTTGTTCCGAGCGTATGTCTTTCCGTGACTACTATATCCAAATGCTAACATGTTCCGCGCTCGTCGATCTAGTGCTACGCAAGACACCATTCTGCCCCTGTCAGAGCCCATCTACACCACCGATGGCACGAGGATGGACGAGATCCCCGTCGTGAAAGGTTCGCAGGTGATGCTTGGCTTCCTTGGGTGCAACACCAGCAAGGCAGTTTGGGGCGAGGACGCCCACGAGTGGAAGCCCGAGCGGTGGCTGTCGCCTTTCCCGTCCTCTGTGACGGAAGCTCGCATCCCAGGTGTCTATTCTAATATGTACGTCGGACTGGCCTGATTCTCCTGTGGCCATCATCTGATGTATGTGTCACATTCGCGCAGCATGACGTTCCTCGGTGGGAAGAGAGCTTGCATGTACGTCAGCTCGTTGGCACCCTCGTGTTCATCGCCATGCTGATTTTCCGTGTAGTGGTTTTAAGTTCTCCGAGATGGAGATGAGTGAGTGACCTCGTACGCTTCTCGATGTTGATCAAGGCCGCTGACACTTCACCGCAGAGGTCGTGCTCTCTGTCCTCCTAACGAAGTTCACATTCGCGCTGTCCGATAGACCCATCGTGTGGAACGTCGCGGCTGTTTCGTACCCATCTGCCGACACGTACAGCGAGAAGCCTGAGATGCCTCTGAGAGTGGGGCTCTACAAAGGAACTCAAGTATAGTTCGCCTGAGTCCTCGCCTGATTGACAATGGGCTCAGGCTGAAGGCATCCGTGGTGATGCAGGTTCGTCGTGCGTCCGAGATATATGGAGTCTCCGGGCTCAACCCTGTATTGGACCTTCGGTCAGATGTATATACCTTGGAATAACTGGCCTATGCAATGTCAGTATACCTCGTTTGTCGTCGTTGTCACCTAAAGTTGCAGTTGTTAAGACTAAATATATAACGGCGTATCTTCTATGCTCGTTGACACACGCCATTTGAACAGACATAATGAAATGTGATCGGTCCGCAGCGTGGGCTGGACGACCCATCTGGTGGAACCATGGTTTCATATGGGAAGCCTGTTGAAATGAAGGCATTGGCCCAGATGGTTGCATCCATGTGCACTTTATTGGGAAGCACAGTTAGATTGTCGCTTACAGCTGAATAGCTACTGTGGATTTACTGACTGCAGAATCGATGCCAACGGCCATTCTAGTACCGGGGAATGATCGGCCGCGGCGCCGCGTCTTTGCGTACGTTCGCAGGTAGCCTGATCTAGATGCATTCGAGAACCCCATGCCATCGTCATGCTTTCAGCAAACGATTCACGGACGAGGAAGTAGTGCGCTGACCTTTGATACCTTCATATCCACGTAACTAACCAGTCGGTCAATGAAAATGCGCATGTGCTGTTGCGCTAACTCTCCACACACTTCGCACGCGAAGGCTTCCTTGATTGCCTTGTCAAGCAGCAGCGTGTCGCGCCGAATGGCATCGCTGGATGGGTTCTCCTTCAGGATATCAACCACGGCTACCAAGTAGTCCCACCACCATTTGGTAGGAGTCAATAGTCCACCTTCTGAAAACTTGATGTTCACACCCGCCGAGGGGCAATCGTCTACATCCGCGTCGCATTTCATCCATACCCAGTCTTGGGATAAGAACGGTACATCGCGCTTGAGACGGACTAGTGCGTCGGAGCACCGCTGGTGATAATCGAGCAGTAGCAGAGGTACCCTCCCGTCAACGAGTTCAAGCTCCGGGACGCCATTCAAGTTGACCGAGACGTACAGCATGCGTCGGGGGAGCTGCAGTGATGCCCTCGCGGCTTCTTCGGCTTCCTCCGCGAACCCATAGTGTATCGCCAGACAGTACACACGTAGCGGCTCCTCCTTCGCGAGTCTTCGGAGATCTTGTCGAATGGTAGGCACGATGCCATCCATCGCATACTTCACGGCTGCAGCTAGGACGGGGGAAAGAAGGTCGAGATAATCCAATGACGGCTTCGTGACGGGATAGCAGAGACGTAGTAGTCTTTCGAGGACCTTGCTCCTCTCTTGCATGACAATGACAGGACAGCCGTCCTTATAATCTGTCGAGCTGGTACTTGGTTCTCCAGGACGTCCGCTGTTTGCGCTTGCAAGGCTGGACTCTGCGTGGTCGGTCGGAGGTTGGGGCAAACTGAACATGTCTTCAAAGACAGAAGACGCCTCGGACATGATAGCTTTGCGGACGCGGAAGTCAACTCTGTCCGACGACCTGAGGATTACATCCCCAGTGGTCTTGTCGAAAGGAGGAGGAGCGTCGCGCGTCGGCTGTTCAGTGGCGTTAGTGGGCGCGTCCACCTCCATCATGTACTGTTACACATGAATAATCAGTCGAAGAGGAGAGAATGACACAAGACATTACCGAAATGTTTTTATAAGTTGACAATTCTGGAGTTGGACGACTCGGACGCGTCGAGATCAAAACGACTCATTCGTAGTACGCCGTAGAATCGCTGTGAAACCGACACGTACATATGAGTAGGTTGACAACAATAGGCAGTTCTGATACAACGCACAAGGTGAAACCACCTTCCCGTAAGTAGCTCCTCAGCAGAGAATTGGACGTTGCTACGAGCGCTCAACGTCGAAATCTGAAGATCTAAACGCGTACTACGGTGCATGTGATTCGTCGCGTCTGTGGCTGCTAGCAACACTGTCACGGTCAATACAACACTTCGGAGGTTTGACTGAGGCACTCCGGGTCGTTATGGGACTCCAAGCACACCAAATTGACAATCCTACATCATTCGCGCGTACGACAACGTTCGCCGCAATATACGCCACAGTGACTCAACCCCGAGGGTGTAAATATAATATCGACGAGCCGAAGACGACCAATGTCCGTTAACGGTGCCGGTCTTGGAATCCGCAGTACCAGGACCTGTGCTGCCCGGAGTTTGGGGGTTTCGAGCAGCATGACGAGTACTTGTAGGACGCGGGGTCGGCGGTGAGGAAGATGCGATGGCGTGATCGCGAACGTATACGTACTAGGTGGACCAAGAGGGGGGCGCGATCTGAATCGGGGACGTCGTGCTCTTGACAGGTGGGGGGGTAGGTGGTGTACGGGGTCTCAGGATCAGCCACCAGCGTGAAACACCGTCGGTTTTGCTCAATTTTGTCTCTGGCTACCGCATCCCAGCCAGTGCACCTCCAGGATTAAGCGTAGGTACTCATGTATATGCCTCATATATGCCACCGCATCCAAAAGCTCTACGGAAAAGGTACTCGAGGAGAAGTTCAATATCATTGCATGGCATAGATGCACGTGAGGAGTGCGGTCATGTGAGCTACGCGTCGTTGACAGCGCTCGCTCTCGACTTGTTCCCGCGCTCCTTCCCGCGGCGGGAGACGGTGGTCAACGCGTTCAACTGCGTACACTCTTAGCTTCACGACTGTCACTCGCTGCTGGACGCCGGCTGATTGTTGCCTTTGAAATTCACGGAAACCTGCAATATATCACTGTCCTGTCATGCCCGACATTATCTCGACTGTCGCCCCAACATGGAGGGCGCCCCGGAGAGCGAGAGGGAGAACTTCTCATGGCTTGCGCTCGACGAGCTTGATGGCGGTATGTCACTTCTATACTCTGAACATCTCCCTCAATCACTCGAGCCCTCTGTCAACCTTCTGCCGGTTCTGTCACCCCTTCATCCTCTGTCACACACCCTGTCTGGCGGCTCCTCTTCTACCTCCACCTCGTTTCCCGGGACACCTGTGCGACCGCTCACTCCACCGGGTCTACCGCTTGAACGTACGCTCTTACCGGAGCAAATCCCACTGCTATCCTGGAGACGCGATGTGAAGCAGTGCTTCGAAGTCCAATGTCCGCGCTGCGACGCATGGATTCGCACCGGAGCGAAGTTAAAGCCTTCTCTGAAGCCTCTCGAAGCTCACATGCAGGGACGCCGATGCAATCCCTCCGCCGTCCTCGAAGCGCGCGTGCGTACCGAGGCACAGCTTACACGCAAAGCGATGTTACCGCAACCTGGCTCGGCTTCGTCTTCAACGGCCTATAATCCCATCCCGTCATCCTACGTCGTCCCCCGGCCAGAGCAGGTTGCGGTCATGCAGTCTGCGCCGGCGGCGGCTTTTCCATCACTCGGCCTCGGCACGTTCATCCCCACGAACTACGGTAATGCATACAACTTTATGTAAGTTTCATTTGCTTTACGTTGAAGTCCAGACCTGATTAGTTTGAACACAGGAACTCCGGTGATAACAACACGTCAGTGACGCGTTTTCCGGCAACAGGTCCGCACCACCGACTGGAGCCAACGACTCGAAGTTCAAGCTCGTCGCTGGTGAACATATACTGAAGGCGATGCGTGGAGTGCACGAGGAACTGCACGGGCTACGGGTGAGTGAATTGCTTTCAAGCATGTATCGTTGACTGATAACAATGTTCGATTGAAATCCGTCATGAACTACAGATCGTTCCATCCGAGTTCCCGTGCGGCTTCTGCGGACGGCCCGAGCGGCTGTGCGTCGCACCGACAATGACCAAAGGAACTAGTGGCAGCTCACCGCAAGCAAGGAGCGAGTGCCCGTACTACAAATTGTTCTTTTATCAGCCGAGCCTCAAGTCGTCAGGAACGACACCGTGCACAAATGTACCGATTGTATGCAAGATTCCCGGCTGCAAAGCGGAAAAAGACGGGAACTGGAGCGCTGTATGGAAGTACAATATGCGTGAGCATATCCGCGTTTTTCATCCATCCTATAGCCTCGACAACGTTGGGTTGGACACGCTGATACCGCTTCCACAAGCGACCCTCCATGATATGTACATCTCAGACGAAGAGGAGCGGGGTCTGAGAATACCAGAGACCAATGTTCCATATAAGCCACCCCTCCCCCCTCTCGAGTCCGACGCGGCGACCTCAGGTACAACTTCTGCGCCTTGGAAGGCTACAGGCTTCGGGGCCGGAGCCAAGCGTCGACGTTTGCGGGGACCATAGTAGTAGTTGTAGCCGGCAAACATGCATACTATACAGTACTATCTACATGTAATGTTGTCGACAAGGATTCATGTTATATATAGAGGGCAATCTGCCGTCGCGTTCGTTCTACCTCTGGATGTACGCACACCAGGACGCGTTTGGCACGTGGCGAGGGTTGCTTCCTTTCTGGGGTTGGTACCTGGGCGCTCAACGACTCAAACAGGAAGGACCCCCCCCCCTACCCAGTTTCCGGGGTCTCAGGGATTTGGGAGGACGATGTCTGAAATTTTGTTTCCGCCCCCCTCTTGAGGTGGACACTTAAGCTCCCAGCTTGACCTGTTCACAGTGAAAGGATATGTCAATTGCACCCTCAAATGACGAAGGCTGACACAGCAGACCTTCGAGACCTTGTTGTCCACCACCCTTCCCAATTCCTTGACAAACGCACGCATTTGCTGTTGTGCGAGCTTTTCGCACAGGTGGCACTTCAAAGCCGCCTTTATTGCCTTGTCGAATGCATGCGTCTCTTCCGAAATCGATGTACTGCACGGCGTGTATTGTAGCCTCTCGAACATGGTGTACATGTACTCGTACCACCACATGGTAGCAATACAGCACTTCCCGTCAGCCATTGTGACTCCCTTGGGCGCGGGAGGACAATTCTTGCCGCTGTCGGTGCATAGGAACCATACCCAGTCGGCTCTGCGCCATGGGAGATTGGTTCTGAGGGCGAGGACCTGCTCTGAGCATCGTTTGTGGTAACGTAGAAGGTCCAACAGCGCACTGGCGTCGATCAGCTTGAGTTCGGGGGCGTTGGAAGAGTGTATTACTGCGATGGGGAGCGCCAAGCACGCCTGCGCTGCCGCTTTGGTCTCTTTGGTGAAGCTGAAGTGAACCGCAAGGCAGTACGACCGTAGCGGAGCGCTATCCACAAGCAGACGCAAGTTCCCTCGAATAACCGGTAGGATATCGTCCATTGCATACTTGACAGCAGTCGACAGTAAGATAGCCCCAGCTCATCTTCGACCACTCCCGGCGCTTCGGGTATGTCACATGATCTTGCCGTATCACTGCTCTTGCATAGAGCGAAAACTCGAGTACAGCACAGTCAAACAACCCCGAAAGGCAGAGTGTCATGACACGAGGGTCACTGTGAATAAATTAAGTGCGCTATTGCAGATGTGCGATTTTGAAGGCACTTGAGAGCACGAAGCGCACGAGCATAGGCGCGTGCGAGGTATGGCGATCGCGAGGCGATCTCAGCACCGTATCGCTATGGGAGACCAGACGGCGGCCTGGAACTTTGATTTTTTCCCCTAACTATGTTCATGACTGTACCACCGAGAAAGTTAGGGGCAGCGATTTGGGGCTTATGTGTTGTGCGAAGGTCTGATACATCTACAGTACTGCCTAGGACGATCTGGCAGCCAAGCGGCACGTGATAGTAGTCGAGGATGAGCTGGGGCTATCTTAGGGGGTACAAAAGAGGGTAGATTTGGCTGAAGGGCGGATTTGCGACTGGATAGCAGATGCGCAGAATGATGTCGAGCACTTCACTTGCTTCCTGGACTGTGACAACAGGGAGGGCGGTCCCCGACGCTTGTGTGCTAGCGTCTAAGGATCCTCCTGCGCTCTCCTGGGATTGGGGCTGTGGCAGCGTGAACATGCCGTCAAAGATAGGGGATACTTGTGATAGGATGCACTTATGGACGCGGAAGTCGACAAGGTCTGATGAGCGCAGGATGAAGTCCGCGCTGAGCTTGTCGAAAGGTGCCGACGCTTCGCGCACCGTCGTATTCGGCTTCTCGACCCCATCCAATTCCATTCGGACGTCCATCCACTAGGGTCTAGATGGATTGCAAACGATCTTCCTTCAACTTGCCAGCGGCGGGGTGACGGCCTTGTATGAGAGATTGGGATTCCGTCCACGAAGGCAGCGCGAATGAAAGAATGAGACAGTAAAATGTCATGTATATGCAGCTTTGCTTACCTGCTACACGCACAGAGGGCAAACCGGGTCACCGTTGCGGTAGGTCGTAGCGCGTCACCGAGACAGGAGCGCTCGCCGCGACGGCAGCGACGCGTCTGTGGCTGCAGCGCTGATCACGTGAGTAGGGCGGCACCACCACTGGGCATATGGAGACCCATCGCCGCACATCGAGTTGAGTATCGCAGCTGGGATCCGGAGCTTATGCCGGTGCTACTCATGGGATACAACGCCCAGTATCGATCCACAAGGCTGTGTCGTATCCTACAAGCTAGACCCTCATGGCTTTCTTCGACGTAACCTTCTACTTCCACAGCGCGTCCGGGCTGCCCAAGATGGACATGGTTGGCAATGGAGATCCATATTTTGTAGCCAGGCTTGATGGAAAGGTTGAGTACATGTACGCGATTTCTTTTGGTAGCAGAGCTGATCTCTGACTAGTTTTTCAACCTAGATCCTCGGTGAAGGAGAATACCCGTTCTCCTGTCTGGAATGAGCCGTGGAGGATTAAGAACGTCCCTCAAGGAGCTGTTCTGGGAATCGAGTTGGCGGACAAGGATAACAAAGGGATGACGGATGATTACATCGGTCACTTAAGGGTCGATGTGACATCCGGGGAGAAGGAGGTCCAAATCACGGAAGACAAGCCTCTGCGACGGCACAGAGGTACATTTCAGCTGAAGGTACGTCGCGACTGCGATTCAAGAGAATACAGCCTCAGACTGTGCGCATCCTCAGATAGACCTTGTACTGTCGACCGATCCAGAGGCGCATGAATATCCATACGAATTCGACGGTCCCATCCGCTACTCGTTGCACTACTCGCCCACGATGGGCCGCCTTACGAGTGCGGACAGTCGGCTTTACGCTACATGGAAGATCTACCTCAGGGGAGTGCGCCGCTGCTTTGGTGACGAAGTACAGTTCTGGACGAGCAAAGCGCGGCGCACGTTCGAGGGCCCCGCCTCCGCTGCGGTGCGCTCCGTCAAGCACACCGCCCACCGTATGCTATACGCACACGCCATCTCCAATACGTTCGGCGTGCTCGAGAAGCCTAGGGACTTGTTCCACCTCCTGCATAGGCATTCAGCACCAGGCACCGACGGGGCGAGCGCGCAGGCACCTTTCGCGCACCGCATCAAGCCTGCGGTGTATACCTACGTGATTTCCGTCGACGACGACTCGATGCGCTTCTCCGAGACGGGCGCACGCTACCTCGTCAACATGGTCTCGAAGCACTGGCTGCACTCGGACTGCGCCACCGCGGTGCGCTTCGCCGGCGAGTTTCACCCGCGGCCGGAGGGCGGATGGGACAAGTTCAGCGACGACATGCGCGATGAGGATGTGCGGTGGGAGCTTGTCATCGACAACAACTCGGGGACGTACGCGCCCAAAAAGGAGCTGCTGCCTGCGCTCAAGAGGGTGCTCGAGATGAACCTCCTGGGTTTCACCATCCTCGCTTTGGATCGCGACGACCCGGAGGTGGCTCGCAGTAGCGAGGCGTGTAGGGTGTACGCAACGACGAAGCGCGGGGTGAGTGTGGAGGATCTTCAGCCTTCTGCGCCGCCTGGGCACAAGACGCTATTCGAGTACGCATCGGAGCATCTTCACATGCGCCATCCATCGCGTCTCATACCAGAGACACGACATGTAGACACAGCAACCTAGAAGGCTGGAAGGCGGCGATCTCATTTAAGGGTACTATACAACCGGCCTGACATACCTGAATCGTCTCAATCACAACAATACCCTTGTAATACGGATATGATTGCTTGGGCGGACTTGGAGATCTGTAACACGTCGTATGAAGCGGATGACATCAATAGTATGTGCTGATGAATATGGATAAATCCGTGTGTTACGAGGAAAGATAATGACATTACCCAACACCTGTCAGTGCAGTAGACTGCATATCTACCTCGCGCTCTCAGCAGCGTTCCCCCAGCCAAGTACCGCACCCCAGCTGCGCCACATCCGGTCTAGTACTCGCAGTTTCTCCGCCCGCCCTAGGGCCGGATCCTCTAGATCCACTACATCCTCCAAAAAGCCCTCTCGGAAACGCGAGTTGGCAGGGAGGTGATTCTCCGCATACGCACGTAGGTGGCTGACAGAGAGCAGCAGCAGCCCCGAAGTGAGTGCTGGGATAGATGAGGGCTGGGCAGCGGCACTGTGGGCAACTTTGTGATGCGACTTGGGCTGAGCGATCAAGAGACGTTCAATGCGTCTATAGAATCGGACCGCGAGTCAGGATCGGAGCCGCCAGTGGTGTACATCGAAACTTACCGCATCTTCAGCCAGATGCTAGCACGCTTGATCTTGCCGCCATAATTGCCTTTTCCTCTTCCACCAGTCCAGATTCCCCTCAAGTAACCACCAAGCGCATACACGATAGCCAGAGCAGGCGCTACTCCAACAAAGGCAAACGTCAACTCCTGGGATTTGAGCAGTTTGTCGATTCCCGCCAGTGCCTGATCGATGTCGACCTGTTACGCAAGGTCTCTCAACAAATCGTCGTGGCACGAACGCTGGCAGCGACGTACCTTAGCTTTCTGTAACTGGATGAACAATGTCCTCAGGAGCGTCCCAGTAATTGCTGACTTCAAGGGTTGCTTAATGTCCTCCTCATAGATCTGCATAACTGACGTCAAGTCGCCCATCTGGATCTGCCGCGAGAGGGCCTCCAGCTGCGGTGTTTCGTAATGCAGTTTTTCCTGAGCGAGCGCGATCGCCATTCTCTCGAGTGACTGACCATGCAGATAGACCCTGCCAGTCAGCGATAATCGAGCAATGAAAGGCGGCATTACTCACGTCGATATCGGCTTGCACGCTCTCTCTGCTCACAATAACGCCGTCCTCGCCCCCTGCCCGTACCGTCTTGACCACGCCCCGCAGCGGCTCCAGCAGCCACTGTTCCCAGAAACTCTTCATCGTCTCTACCGCCTCCCGACCCATCTGGCACATCGATGCTCGCGACGCATACGCGGTCTTAGCCGCAAACAGCGCGAGAGGGGGTAGGAGGACAAGCCGTGGCCAAAGCAGAGTCAGACGCGACGGTCGTGCGAGGTTTTGAGCATATAGTGACGGAGTCCGCAGTGCTGACGAAGACTGCTCGCCGGTGGTGTTGGACAATGCGGCAGCGATGTTCTGGAGGGACGGAACGGTACCCGCAGGGGCGTCTATGGCATCACCCCGGACGAACTGCTGCAACGCGAAAGAGAATTCATCCAATTTGGTCATTCCTTCAGGGGATTGATCGTCAAGGGATGCCGCAAGCAAGTCGCGCATATTGACTAGGGTACCGAGCATTTCCGCCCGTTCGTCCCGGAGCCGCTTCAGCTCCTGGTGCTTGTGCCGACATTCACCCTTCGTGAGATCCAAAGGTAAGGAGACAACTTGGATAGCGGAGCAACCGAGGCCGACAAAGGTCGAGACAAATGTTGAATAGGCAGAACGGACGCTGGTTCCAGGTGAAGAGACGAATGCAGATGCCGGAGGAAACCGACCAACTGAGAGCGCAATGCTGTATGGTTGGGAGCGCAGGTGTGGAAAGAGAGCAATTGAGAGTGCATTTGGACGGAGAACCCCACGGGAGGGGAAGAGTCGGCGTAGTGACGACGGGGTGAAGAGAGATGGATGAACCGGCAAGTTACGTTCTCGCAAGGTGGTCAGTATTGTGTGTGCAAGACTTGCCAACCGCAGTGGAAACGCTGTACAACAAGTGTGCCAATGAACATAAGCATTATGCACATAAATAACGGTGAGCAGGAACTCACTTTGGACGAAATACAGAGCGACACTGCTGGAGGACCTTTCAAGATCCGCCCACCATTCCAATTCATCCTCTACTCGACGTGCATCTTCCAGCACTACGTCCAGAGCCTGCGCGTACAGGTCAACAGCGAGTTTGCCCAGCACGGCCTTCTGCAACGCGGCTTCTTCGTCATCGTTCGCCACGAAGCCGCCTGAGTCGCCGACAGGAAGCTTCTCCAGAGCACCTAGATGTTGGCTAGCATCCGACGTTCCCGAGACTGGCTGGTTCAATTGCACAAAGAGAGCACGCAGCTCATCCTTCGCCTGGCCTCGCGAACCCCCCGGAGGACTCGGAGGCACGGTGGTCGGCGGGAGGATCCTCTGCGTCAAGTCATTGGTGAGGTGCGAGACAAAAGTCGACATATCGCTTCTTCTTATGTTGTCTTCGACATGAGGATGTTGGTGGTACGAATGCAAGCTGGAACGGAATGCAATTCGACGCGTCGCGCATCTTGTCGGACGCGATGACGGTGTGCTTTATGGATCGTCCCTGAGAAGTGCCACCGCGTCAGGACTCAGTTCCCGATTGGGCAGGTGTGAACGTTCAAACGTTCACAGTTCACCAGCACCAGTCGGCCCCGGAAAAACATGCTGTATCTCATTACCGACTATATCCTGAACTAACGCTATCAGAAAAGATGCCATCGTACTGCCCGTGCGATAGAGTAAATATAAGGTTATGTGAAACTCAGAAGCACGGAATTGGCTGGGTTACGATTTCCTGAACCCAGGTCAACCTGAGACAGGCCGCCCTTCTCCATCGCGTCTCCGTTTCAACCGCTTGAGCATGCTGTACATATCTTCCAGCATGTCTTCGGCCTCGTTGATCGCATCGTATGGTAATTGCGAGCCATCCTCTTTGATCCCATCGCATGCTCGCCGCAACAAATGAAGGCGGTCGGAAGTCGTGTGCGACCTCCGCAATGGACTGCGACGTTCAGAGACGCCAGGAACGCTTGAAGAGGCGTGGAGAGGAGGTGTCGTCTTTGGTCGTTCTGGGCGAGCACGCTGAGAGTTGCCGGTCTCATCATCCTGACTGGATGGCACGATGTTCTCATCGAAGGCGGATGAAGGTAGATAATCTGGGTCCAGTAACTTTAACATGATGGGGATGTCTTCGGAGAGGACATCATCGACGAACCTTGAGAGTCGGAGTGACGAGCAGCGGTATTTCGACGCCTAAGGTGTTCCACGGGCTCCAGCATCAACGACTCGTCAACGATCTGAGAGCTCGTTAGTCGGTCATCCAGCTTCACCTCTCCCTCTGTTCCACAATGTCGGTCAGCTGAAGACGCTGATGCCTTGGCTAATAGAAACTCACCCGATGATGGATCCAGCTCCTGTTGTATCCTACGTGCTTCGTCAGGATCAATAGTTCCCTCCCATGTATCGTAGTCGTCTATTTCAGCAGGTGATGCGACTTTCCTCTGACGTAGCGTCTCTCCCTTCCCGGCTACGCTGGGAGGCGGGCTGGACAAGGGAGACACAACTGCTGCATCGGATGCCGTGGCCCAATCTCTGAGGTCATTGCGCTTTGGTATCACAACGCCGTCGAATATCCACTTCGTCCGTCTCGGGGCCGTCTGCGGTTCTTCCGAATGCATGTGGTGTGACTTCGACGGACCGGCCGTGGGGCCGCTACTGCGTGAGGGCGAACCTCTTACAAGTCTCTGCGCGCCACCAATGGAAGACCCTTCTCCACTCTCCCTCAAAGGCATCCTGCGCTTCTTGCGAGGCTGCGAATCGGATTGCACAGAAGGGTCTTGGGGGCCTGCATGGTACCCGCGCTTGCGCCCAATGGGTAGACTAGGCAAAAATGACGGGGATGGATCCGGAAGCGACGAACTCGGTAAGCTGTTTGCCCGTCGCGATAACGGGTACGACGGCGATGGGCCAGGGCTGATGTCTTTTTGCAGGAAGGGAACCTCCGGACTGAGAAGGACGCTGGAAGCCCGAGGGACTTCACGCGGGGTGCGTTTCCCGCGGATCGTTGGCGTATCCTCACTCGCGGAGGCATCAGCCTGGGCGTCGTCCATGTCTGCCAGTGGGACTTCTTGGCTCATGCTCGTGTCTCTTCCCCGCGGTGGTGTATGGATCGAGGCCCAATCCGAGTAGAGCATGTCCTCCGTACGGGCGTGCCCTGGTTGGAGAGAAAATGTGCTAGTTGAACCGTCAGGATGCACCATCGAGTCTTCTAGAGCGACTGCGCGTCGCCCCGCACTGCCGGAGGCGGGGTAAGCAGAGCCTGATCCACTTGCATTGTTGAGGACGGTCCTGCGATGCTCATACGCAGGCCCACTGTGCGTTGGTCCCTCTGCCATTGGGATAGCTAGATGTGAGGGCTCGTAGAAGAGCTGACTTGACGGCGTCTCAGGAACGATGCTCTACAGCACTGTTATTTAGTAAACCGGCGATCTGACAGATATCCTTGGACACACCTCCTCTTGCGACTGAGATTGTGTCTGCGACTGCGAGTCATACGAGACATCCGAGGGCAAATCACCGCCAAAATAGTCGTGGTTAATCTTCAGCGCTTGCTTCAAGTCTTCGTGGATCGCTGTAGACTGCAGCGTCAAGGTGTGGCGAACGCTGTTCCAGAAGTCCGCGAAGGCGGTAGGTCCGTGTGCGGGATGCACGATGCGCTTGAAAGTAGAGGCGAGGAATGGCGCGATTGCGCCCAGGGACTCGGCGGTGAATGAATAGCCTGCAAGACGGTTTAGAGTAGCTTGATACAGAGGCATTATCTACGGGAAGATCCGTGAATTATGTATGAGCAGCCAATGGATAGAGACGGGAGAAACGCACTACGTCATTATACTGTTGTCCAGGTACGAACTCTTCTTCATCATGAATCCAGATACACAGGCCATCGGAGACGGCAGATACTAACGATACAATAGCAGGTTGAGGGCATGATTGCACTAAAGTCGACAGAATGCGGATCGTTTGTAGAGCTGGGTATAGCTCTTCCTGCTTTGACGCGTACAGCTCGCACAGGAAGACATCAATTAGATGCAGGAAGTCTCTGGGTATCATGTCGTCGTGGTCCATCTTGAGATGCGTTAGGAGGGGAATGACTAATCGGGAATGACGGCTAGTGCTACTGAAAGTCAGCGACACGAGACACGCCCGTTCGCGAAGAAGCACGCACCTTTCTGACTGCTCGTCAAACCGTGCAGCTATCGTCTCGAGGACCCGATCAGAAGGAGTATCAACTGAGCCTGCAGACGCAATCGTAGCACGCAGGAGCTCTTCCCAAAGCCCCACGTCGTCTTCGCAGAGAGCAAATACCCTGCGCTGCCACGTTAGCGTAGTGTCATTATTTATCGTCTGTCAGTCACGCACCCTATAGGAAGCGTCACCAGCGAGACCGTCACCTTCCAGTCCGGCTTTGCCTCCGAGAAACACCACGACTTCGCAAGCACAGACCACAGGTGCCGCTTGAGCTCCATCTCCTGCCGCGCTTCGTCGTGCACCGCCAGCCGATGCAACAGATCGTGCGAGCCCGACAGAACCAGGGCGCCAGACAGCTCAGCCCATGCATCCGCAATTTCTTTCTTGGTAAGATCGTACGTGCGCTGAAGGACCGCGCGAAGAATCGGCTCGGCGGCGCTGGCAAGCCAGGAGGCGTTAAAGACGTTCCGGGCCACTTTCCACAACATGAGTACGAAGCGGAGTTGGTTGACTCGGAGAGCTGTCTCGTCGATGGGTTTCGTGGTAGGATTGCCCTGCCACGCGAGTATGTCGCAGCAAATATTCGCCACCTTGTGAGCGCATTCGGCGGAGGCGGTGAGGTGTCGATGTTCTTGTGTTAACTGCGCCAGGACAAGAAGCAGAGCTTGCCATGGACCAAGAAGGTCGTGCTGTACGTTGCTATGAGTTCGATAATATTCCTATATGTGACATGAGTTCTTACCGGAGCGGAGAAAACGCCCTGTGAACCGAGGACGTCTTTCTTGACCAGCGCCATCCAGCTCTCGACCAACTTATCCCAGCTTGCAACGATCTCCGCCTCCATGAGCGGCCTGATCCCCTCCACACTGAACTGCGTCAGCTCGGGGAGAGCCTTCGCCAGTTGCTCCTCGCTCATCCGTTGAATCGTGCCATCGAGCAACTCCTTGACGATAATGCCTTCCCCAAGAGACCTGCCTTCTGTGGCGGGGGTCGATGGCGGGGTAGGCGCAGATCCTATCGCACTCGTCAGACGCGACAAGATCGCCCGTGCCTCAGCGCGCACATTGGCACTGTCCTCCGCCATGCTTCGCAACACAGCGATAGCCTCGCCGACGTTCTTCTGCTTCGCCAAGGGGTCGCCGTGCGTCAGAGGGGATCCCAGGAGCGTGCTGATCAGCGCCGCCCCGATGCCATCCCTCCGCTCCTGCTTGATGACCTCCAAGACGCTATTCCTGATCTTGCGCAGAGGCTTCTGAGTGTTGCCGGCGTCGCTTTCCCTCTGCAACTCCGCGAACGCCCAGACGAGACACCGCCAGACGAGCGCGTGCACAATGCGCACGGACCGTCGATTGTGGCGCGCTGTCTCGGCCGACACCTTCAAAACGAGCTTGAGGCTAGCTTTGTGGGTGAAGATCTCGGCGCCCGAGATGGCTATAGCGCTTGCTAATATGACTTGAGCTCGTACGACGTGTTGAGTGGGTGCTGGCTTGTCTCCCGATCCGAGCAGGGCCATGACAGTTGTGACGAGATTCCTTGTCTTGGAGCTGGGCGACGCCTGTTTGCCGTCGGCCGCGTCGATAGAGTTCTGAAGTGGGCGCCTGAGTGGCCCAACCGACATCCTGCGCGTGTCTTGGTCGTGAGACACGACCGCGAACGCGAAGCCGCTCAGAGCGTAGACGGCTTCTGTGCGGATATGATCAACGTCGGAACTGAGGCGCTTGATGACGGGAGGGAATATGAGGGTGCACGACTCAAGAAAGATGGATGAATGCGCATGCAATAGACTTCCCAGAGCCTATATGCGGGTGAGCATCTGAGCTAACGGTATGACAGACTGGTACTCACCCTGAGATAATTCGGTATAACGAAAGTGTCTTCGCTATACAGTATTGTCTCGTTTAAGATTCTCATTAATTGAGTTCGTCTCGAAGCTACGGAGGCCACCGGGAAGTGACCGTTCGACAGCACCCAGACGGCAAGTGTCCGAACTTTCTTGTCGCTCGGTATCGGTAGAAGTGGAAATTCTATGATATCCAGTACATCGTTAGCGAGCTGAACGAGGTCATCGGCTAACGACAAGGTATCAGCTAGTTTGTCTGAAGAGCAGAGGCGCTTCACTCACCAGCGAAGACTTGAGACAAAGCCGGTACACGCAGAACATAGGATACTGTTCGGAGTGCTGTAAGACATATGGAGACCGTGTCCGTTGCGATCTTCATGTCTTCGTCCCGTCTTCTCGGCTTGTCGAACCGGACATGATAATCCGCAAAAACGTCTTGGGATGCTGGCAAGAGCGGTTCGACGAGGGCTCGTCGGACATCTCTTCTCAAACACTTGACTATAGATACCGAGTGTTGCTCCACGAATCGTAAGGCTGCCACATTGCTGGGACTGCGAGAAAGGACATCTGAGATGCGCTTGACCCTGCCACAAAATGTGTAGTAGGCGTCCATGACGTCGTGAAGGGATATAATAGAACGTTCATCATCCTCGAGAGATGCTAGAAGCGTGAGTATAGGAGCCTTGAGGTAGCGCTCTTCGGTGGAGGGTTCGGCGCCACAACCATACACTTGAGGGTTCGTGGACATTAGTTACGTGACGCGCCTCGTGTCGTCAACAAGGTAGTTATGTTGGGTGTAAGTGCAACAGCGAGTACACCGAATGGTTGAGGGGGGACAGCTGAGTATGTGTTTATTTGCGAGTTCTTCAAACGTGTCGAGCAAGCCGAATGTCGGAACCCCAATTCTTCGACGGCTTCGCAGGTTCTGCGTGTTTCATAGTTTGATGCGTATGGGCAGACCAAGAATTCGCGACGACGAGTCGACAATACTTGCGTGATCTGTCAGTCGTCGCGGTGGATGCCGTGGTTTGGAGGAGTGGAACAGGGGCTACTGCAGCAATAGCACACGACGAGGCGCTGCAAGATTATAGCAGAGCGCGTGGTGTATTCTGTGTTATGTGGGATACAATCTGGTGAGCCTCCCGCACTGGGGGGATACCATCAAAGGGCGTACGCACAAGTTGTGGACGAGTTGAGGAGGGCGCCCGCTGGTTGAACGAGCTCGGGAGGAGGCGTGGGAACAGCCTGTCTTGTCCGAGATCATTCAACAAGTTGGCCACATCGGCGCCCGCCGGGCCGGACCGCACTGTGGCTGCCCACTGTCGCCACCGGCTATTGGCTGCTATTGGTCAATAACTGTCTTTGATGCTCGACCAAACGCGCGCATGCAGAACTTACTTCTTTCATGTCGAACTCTGTTCGCAATGATCACTTATAGCAAGCTCGCAATCGACGGTGTACGTCCCGAGGATATTCAGCGCCCATGCTCGTCGGATTTTAGGTCTCAACGTCAACACTTGAGGCAAGCACTGCAGTCACTCGCGGCGCGGGACGGTTTCTGTGAATGGAATCTATGTAGGTCGCCGCCTTTGAGCTGGCTGCTGCAAGAGATGCTGCGGACCAGCTGTGTTGCGCTGATCTCATTGGCCAGAAGGGCTGCCCAAGGCAGTCACGATTGGCCAGATCGTTGATGGTGGCAACCGGCTCGTCGACGGTCGTCGCGCCGCGATGTGCGCAAGCTGCCCATTCGATGGAACGTCCGGCCTCCGAAAGGCTTCTACCCCTTGGTTGCGCTCAGCCTGAAGACAGCAGGCAGTTCGCAGCCTCTCCTCCCGCCCTCGCTCCATGTCTCGCAACTGAGCTTGCGCTGGCCGCCTTTCCCAGTCTTCTGGCCAGTTTGACACTGCTTCAGCTCGATGTACACAGCTCCGGCTAGCCTGTGTGCACTACTATTTCTTCTGCTGCCCGCTCTTGTGATCGCTCTCCCTGTCAAGCCTTCGAACAACTGGGTTGTCTCGCACGCGAAGCCAGTTGCACGGAGGGGCCTGAGTGTGCCCCTCCAGAGACGGGAGGTCGACCGACGCAATGCAGAGACATTGCTTGCTGGGTCCATCGGTGTCGGGGATGTTGGCGACACGTACGTCCTAGCTGTCATCCTGAAGTATAGGTCCATACGGTCAATGCTAGGTTCTACACCGTCGCCATCAAAATAGGGAATACGACGACCGCCGTCAACCTCGGTGAGCATCGTCTGCCCAGCCAGTCATGAGCGCGTGAGCAGCTGCCTGACAGTCTTGTAGACACAGGATCGAGCGATCTATGGATCATGTCTGACGGTTGCCAGACACCTGTCTGCAAGCGATCGACGGCTACCCCGTTCCCGGCAGAGTCCATGCATTTGACGGGGGCAACTGTCAACTTGACGTACGGCGATTCGCTTACAGGGACTCACGCTTCGGGACCCATCGTAATGGATGAAGTGACACTTGCCGGCCTGGCTATGCAAATGCAACCACTCGCCGCTGTGAGCAATACGGACAACACGGCCGTCTTGAACGGTGGTGCTGGGATCATCGGTCTCGGGTTCCCAAGTCAAAGGTCAGTCGTTGGATCTTGGTACTTCTTCCTGTGATGTCATCCCTCTAGGGCTGTTTCCGCATTAGCAACATACAAAGTGCGGTCGTGAGTGAGAAGGTGACGTGGTGCTGGAGGTTTATCCCCAAACCTTTGCTAATGTGCATGCAGTTCGGGCGTTCTGTCACTGCAAACGAGTTCGTCTCGCACATCAGCTCTCTGGGTCCCCTCGTATCACGGATGGCGGCAGCTAGTATCATTCAGCAGCCACTGTTCACGGTATGACACGAGCACCTCTACCCAAATGTCGTCGCTGAACCCAAATATAGGTCACTCTCCAACGAGACACCATAGACGTCAGCGGGAATGGACAGCTTACTATTGGTGAACTGCCTGACGGGGTGGATAACTCCTCATTGACTTGGGTGCCTGTTCGACTCTACTCTACCACTGATGGCGGTCTTCAAGCTCCGACATATGCGGCAGGTGAGACGTACCCTCTGTAAGTATCTGTTGTTGTATCAGCACCTCGAGGATAACCGTTCCACGTTCAGCCGATGGGAGGTTGCCATTGGTAACGTCTACCTCGATGGCAAGCCGCTAGCCAATTCTACGATCGAGCCAAATGGCATAGCAACGTCCTTCGTCGACGCCCTCATCGACACAGTGAGTTCCTACGTACTACCTCATCCCTATCACAGCCAACCTTGGCACAGGGCAACTCCCTCATCCGCGGACCCTCAGACATCGTCAACAACATCCTGAGCAGCGTTTCGCCCGCATACGCCTCCAACGCGAAGTCCAAACCAACGCTCTCCTGCAACAGCTCCCACTCGCTCGCGTTCGAGATCGGCGGGCAGCTCTTCTCCGTCGATCCGCGCGACTTCCTCTCGCAGAACTCCGCCGGCAACGCGACCGACTGCGTCGTGAGCAGCGTCGCGCCCACGGACCCGCCCGGCTTCGGCTCGCTCTTCAGCTGGAGCCTCGGCGACCCATTCCTAAAGTCAAACCTCGTGGCGTTCTACTATGGGAACCTGACGCATCCTTGGGAGGACCCGCCCCGCATTGGATTCTTGTCTATGGTCCCGAGCAATGCGAGCGCGCTGTTGGGTGATGCGGTGACCGCAGCAATGGAAAACGGCGGCAAATTCGAAGGTGACCCGCGCTGATTGGTTTGAAAGACTGTAGCTGACCATTTGTTGCACCTAGGAACCTCCATGCTGGCGCCGACGTCGAGCACAGTGGAGTCGTTCAAGGTGACTGCGACGTCAACTTCGACCTCGCCTCCCGCCTCAACCACGAGCGGGGTCGACCATTCAAGTGTGAAATCATCCTCGGCTCCGGTGTCGCTCTCTCATTCACTTCTCGGTCTCTTACTCCCTGTATTATCATTTTCGTGGGTGTCATTGCGGTCAATGTGAGGAAATTAGTGCCATTAAACTACTGCAGCGAGCATGAGATGTAGAGTAAATAAGCGGTGCCGATCGACGTGCCAGACAAAGAGAAATCACAGTGCATAGAGAACGATCGTGACACCTTACAATTCCGCACTGTAGTATATATGCGCGACTGAGTGCACGGCGCTCTGGGAGAACGTGTCCAACCCTTCAAAATGCGACAAGAGAGGGCGAGGCTTGCAGAGTTTCCACCTCCCGCACTCGTACTTGCGTGTCCAACTGAATCTTCCACAGCCTCTCTTGCAACCTGATCGTCGACATCTCCTTGTAAAGGGCCATGAGCTGCCGCCAACAATCCGCCTCGCCTTCATCGTCAGGATCTTCGTCGATTTGGAAAGGCTCGTGCTGCACGCGTCGGATCCACAGCGTTTCGAAGGTCCTCATACCGGGGAAGAGGTCGGATAGCACGTCTGCGAGTGTAGCGAGATCCGTCTCGTCGAGCTCCCCGAGCGTCGTCGCACCGGTTGAAAACCTGGTAAGACGGTCCGACGGCCGATAACCCTTGGCGAGCCGCTCCCCCGCACCGAGCGCCTCCTGGAATTCGTCTACGCGAGCGTCGAAGACGAGGCCGAGGGACGCCAACTCTCTGCACCGCGTGATGAGCGAGAACACGCCCTGCAGTGTCGCTTGAGAGTCGACGCGCTGCCTCCAGCTTGCGCCGAGTTCGAGCTGCTCGAGGGTCGGTGCCCATGCAGTGGCGACGTCCTCGAGGAATGCATTGTCGACGCTCACGGGACAACGGAAGGTGACTTGGCAGCTCTTAACGTTCCAGAACGAGAGTAGAGGTCGCAAGGTGTCCGCGTCGATGATGTAGTTGTCGTCGAGGCGCGGGCTACCGATCACGGACGTGAAATGCATGAACCGCAACGGCATCTTGTGGCGGCGCTTTGCAAGGTGTTGGAAGAACGTCCTAGCCTCCTCATTCGTCGGGGAAGATGTGACGATGACGACGAGCCTCTCTAGAGACGACGATTGGATGAGGTCCAAGTAGCGAGAGCATCCGGCTAAGTCGCTCGCATGGATGGTGACGTTCCGCAGTGAAGGGAAAAAGGGTTCCGACGAGTCCGCCGACTGCTTTCGTATCTCGTCTGAGCCGAGAAGCTCATCCACGAAGATGATAGTCTTCTCAAGCTTCGGAAGCCGAGACAGTTCAAGCCAAATGTTTGGGGGTAACGTTGAAGGGGTCTCTTGAAGCACCTCGAGAGACTGTACGGCTTGGTGCAGGAAGACAACATTTGGGATTACTGCCTCGAGTCCTGGAACGTATGGGCAATAGAGCCTGACGTGCTTTATGTCGGTATGTTCGACAATGAATGCGGTCACTTCGTCCACCAGTCTGTCAGACAAACTCTCCGGCATGCCCTTGAACGCGTAAGTTGTTAAGTCCACCACTCGGGGCCCGAGCAACAGGGATAGTTCGTCCATGCTGCCTTCTGGAAAAAGATGGTCGTAGTGCCACAGGATATACCGCAGATTGGGGAACAGATGGTCGACAGGTTTGTGGGTCAGCAGGTAGCTGTGCGCAGAAGGAAACGCCTTGATGACGCAAGGGAACTCCGGGAAGGTGAGGGATGGCCCTATAGCTCTGACGCGTTCAGCGTAATGCAGGAACCTCGTCCATTCATGAGGTTCCGGTGGTCTTTGGAGCATCTGTGAATAGCTCGTAAACAGATAGGTCGATGGAGTGAGAACAGAGCGACAAACCACATATGTTCTTTTACCTAGGTCATCCATCCCGTAGGACCAGGCGTCTTTGGGGAAAAGCGTGACCAATGGCCCCAAAGATGGGAGGTGACTCCATAGGACGTCGAGAGCCGGTTCGACAAACAATCGACATGTCAGGGCCAGGCTTGCCAAGGTGCAAGGCGCGAAGATGGGGTCCTCGACCACCCTGCGGAAGATTATGTCCAATAGCTCTGGGACCTGGAGACACGGGTGCATCAGAGCTCCTCGCGCGGTGACAGCAGTCTTGAACGGGGGACGGTTGTCTCAAGAGAGGTGTTGGAGAGGGAGCAGATTATTGTATAGCGAATTTCTTGCCAGCGAAAGGTGGCAGAAGTGTCGATACCTGCAGTGGCTGTGGTCGGCCAATGTGCAGTACTGAGTATAGCAACGGGCTGAGGCTCGACCTCCCCGGCGGGCCTGGAGCGACGTCGCAGCCACTGGGCGCCAACGCGGTGGCGTGACTACGCAGCTCACGCGACGCGTCTCGGAATTCCCTGACACCCCTGCGGAGGGCCATGATCAAGCCACGCCCACACTGTTCACGTACCCCGGGACGCCCCGAAGTACAGGAATAGATATCCAATGCAGTGCAAGGTGACCTCATCTTGAAGAACGTCCATCCATCATCAGCGGCCGGCCCTCCGACGATATCGTGACCGTCGAACGGCACAACAAGGTTGTTGAGCCTGATCATATATATATCGCTCCCCCGTCTCAGTTTCCGTGTTCGCCGCTCCAGCATATTTTGCCACTAGTCTCTGGCCCCAAAGGTGACCACTTACTACTTATGACGGAGCTCCGACGAGAACGGCAAGAAAACAAGCGGCGTGCTTGGCGTCATGGAAGACCGACAATTGCCTCCTTCAAAGCGGTCCTCCTGATCCGTCGCTCAGAGCCCTTGGGTCATCGATCCGTTTGAACACCGGAGGTAGATACTTAGATATCGGAGCCTGTGTGAGCTGAAGTAACTCTGTAGTCATCAAGATACAGGAACTAGCGGACCGGCGTTGATTATTGCTGACCTCGACTGTCCGAACATCGACTTGCATTGGTCAGCTCTGAGTCGGTGCGAAGGTAGCCGTTCGCGAGTTGACTGTGAACCGGCACACACACGTACTGCGATGGTCGCAGGACAGTCTTCGCTCCTTTTCAAAGTCTCCTTATAGAATGCTATACTAAAATCCTAGCTGCTGCAAACAAGATGCACACTAAGTGGGCAGTCACAGGTGCAGAAGAGCCGGCGCCGTGACCCAAGAGCCGACTGCTTTCGAGGGAGACAACGAGATGAGTGAACCAAATGCTGTAGCCCGCGCCGCATCCAATCGTCATCTGTATGATACTCATATACAAGGGCCGTGTTGGTATATTGACCGTACATGGTATCTTCCCCTACCACTTGAGGTCACCAGCCACTTCGCCCGCATGGCAGCCTCGAGCGTCCGATAGGTCTTCCACCGGAGCACTTGCGGAAACTATCACGGACGCATCGAGGCACGATGGCACACGCGGGGAGAGCAAATGGGCGTCCCGTAGGGCCCTCCGTATGTAGTACTAGTAGTCTTGCCAATGTCCGCCAGCTCGCCGGCCGGGACGTCCGGAGAGAAACGCCCATACGGACCAGCGTCGTGATCGTGACAGTGTCACGAACGCATTGAGTCCACGCTGCGGTCAGTACCGTGATCCCATCTCGCAACGAGTAGGGATCCGGTCCTCTGTCTGTCCTGCGTCACCATCCTCTATCCTGTGGCTGGGCTGGACGTCCAAGATCCGGGGGGCTGGGCGACAGCAGGTCGATGTGGACGCTCATCTCGGCGACGGAGGATCATTGAGATGCGCTGCTGAGCCAGACGGGTTAGGTGAATGCTGTCTGCTGATGCGTGTCTCGAGTCTTCTGGACATCCGGACAACTCGAGTTGCGCGGCCTGTGGATCTAATTCTCCTCAAGCGGAGAGTACTCCGGAACCTGCTAGGGACTACGTCAGTGCAAGCCAGATCGGCACACTCACCGCCAAAAATAACCATGACACTCAACTGCCAGTGTGACGCCGGGTAGGCTGTCCCGGCGACCAAGGATCATCGAGGAGAGCCGTAGTCCACCTATCTTTCCTATCTACCTCGAGAGACGGGTACGTCAAGGTTTGTACGGTCCTCAGAGTGATACATGGTATCTCCGGATAGCTCAACAAATACTCTTCCGAGCGAGCGTGACGTAGGATGTCAAGGGATATCCGCCGTCTGCTGTTCGTACGATGATGTGCATTGACACGCTGGGGGAAAACCGGGTACTCACCACATCACGCAACGCAAAGCACTCTAGTCAATTGTACGACCGTATACCCCACGGCGCCCCGGATGGGGTCACCTAGCGACTTACAGCAGGGAGCCGCTCGGAGACCGTCAGTTTGCCAGGATGCATCAGATCGTGACGCTCTGACATATACGGCACAGACTTCGTGAGAAACAGCGAGCAGACCAGCCGTGACCACAACAACCCGCAGCTGTGCGTTGGGATCCCGGTGCCTCGGACGTCCTGTGTCCTGACGCTTGCATCGAGTTCGTCTCACTGAAGACCACATGGCTGTTCGAGGCGGACACTCGGAGCCCACGTTGCCCACTACCATCTAGACAACCTGTTGGACGTTGTATCCTGTGAAGAAGGTACGATCAGGGGCAGGTACGATCGAATGGAACGACATACCCATACGATAAGTTGTACGTGATACGTGTAGTGATCGTTGTGAAGAGCAATACGGGGTATGAGCGGATCAACGGTATCATGAAGCGGAACAACTGGGAGATGAAACTCGCTGTATGGACACCTCGTAATAAACTGTCTGTTCTGGTGTACTGGCGGAGCGCACGCGGACCATTTCTTTGGGCAGCGCGACAACGTCGACGCAACTTCATTGACGAACGCCAACAGAGACAACCTAGATGAAGTGAACAAACACAGCCCGAGGTTGACACGAGGGTATAGCCGGGCTATGCTTGTGTGGTCCGTTCAGCCATGTCACTAGATGGGGCACCTCAGAAAATGGACGCAATATGAATGGTAGTCCACATACCAACGCCCGTTGTTCAGGCCCAGCCTGCGACATTGACACTGCGCGACGCATCTCGAGATCAGTCTGGACACCGATGCGACATGCACCAGACTCGCGCGTTTAACGGGAGGCAGGACTTGAGGCAGGCTTGCATGAAAGTAATTGAGTTGTCGATCCCAGAATAACGTGCCCGGTGCGCAAGGTAGCCAAATCCAAGTGGTTCAAACACATGCAGGCGCTACAGTCCTGGACTCCGCGAGGCGTTCGTTGATCCCGATGACAATGCAGCATGCGAACACTATGTGAACCGACGTACCTCAGCAATGAAGCACATGCGCAGAGTAAGCCGACTTACGCACCTCGCATGCAGTCGCAGTGGCCCGTCCTCTCTAACATCCAGGAACACCTTGCGATCCACACAGTGGCATGTCCGACCCCTCAATCCCCCGGTCATCAAGATGTCAGCGATGAAGCGAACAACGGTATCTCTCCCTGCCTGCGCCCGAACTGAGCACGCACCGCGCCATAACCGACTGACATTGGCAGCTGAGAGATACGCGCAACGGCCGCAATCTCCTTCCAGACCCTCGACCGACCGACACACGGACTCGGACATCGCCCGTCTCGACGACAGGTCTGTGAATTGAACGCCGGGCGGTGATGTTGAGTACCTGAAGCTTCGAGCTAACCATCTTGAGTCTCGTCTATGCCGCCCGACGTGAGTTTATCACCGTCGGCGTGGCGCCTTAGTGCCTCGCCGTCGTGTCTATATGGGTGCGCCTGTCCCCTTGCTGCTTGTCTGCCGGCGGCCCCGCAGGCATCCGAGCTTGAGCGAGATGCCGGAGGTGAGCAAACGCGCGCGTACATCGAGACATTGAAGTGGATGAATACCAATGAATGTGTTAAACCCAACTCGCCGGGATCCGATGTCAATGTGGATGCTTCGTCGAATATCGCTCGCCCACTGACACGTTCGATCTTCGTATGGATGAGATGAGCATAGTGAGCGTCGTGATCGAGCGGCCTTTGCTGCGGGTGCGAGTCGGAGAGGCATCGGGTCCTGCCAGGCCGCTATGAGCCCGAACGCGCTCCAGTAGAGATATCAAAGTCACCTACAGATGGTCTATCTCAGCGGTGTCCCGAACTCTGTTACAAAGGTCAGACAGACGAGACGCGGAGAATATGCAAAGGCCGCAGACGCACCATTCAGAGAACGACCTTCGAGGTAGACACCATTCAGAGAACGACATTCGGGGCAGGCACCATTGACACTGTCAACCCGACTTCTGTGTACACAGTGTCAACGCGTGTCCGAGGATAATCAGCCTTCATTCTCATACACAATCCACCAGCCTGAGAGCATCTGAATTGCACCACCCGGCCAGGCTCGAGAACGGGCTCCGGGAGGGCTTCGCAATAGGAATCAACGAACACGGGGACATCCTGTTAGACAAAGTGACTCGCCATCCCAACGCCATCCATTCAGTGGGCCTGGGGCCGCTGCAACGCGGTGGGCGGCAGTCGCAGCGTCCAGCATTCGGTGGCCGAGTCAATGCACAGATGACACCGGGCGATACCACACGCACATTCCCGGGGAAGAGACGCCATTCCAGGAATTGTCCGTCGGGCGTTCCGACCGACCGTGACCACTGCCCGTGGCCGGCGGGATGTCGCGCCCGGGAGGCAGTGTGACGCCTTCCGGATTGCAACGCAGCGTCTGCGGGGAATGCGGGGAATTTGTCACTGCCCCGCACGCCTGTACATGTCACGCCGACTCGGAAGCCAGCTCAGACAGCCTCGAAGGCATGTCACGACGCCTCCCCCGCCCCCGCATCTAGGGTCTCCGATCTTGAACGGCGTTGCTCGGAGGGCCGGAGATCGCTGTATCTAAGGGGGACCCGGGCACGATCCTCCCACCTTCAGCTAGGCCCAGCCGCCCCACGGTGATCGCGACGCTCAAGAACGCGAGCGCAAGCGATCGTGGCGGGCGATGCACCAGGCTTGTCAGCGCGAGTGCGTAAGCCCCCGCATCTCCGCCAGGACGCCTTCCAAGTCTTCTTGTTCGGTTTCCGGCGGTTGGGAGATCGAGAGGCCAGATTGGGTGGGGCGATTGGTTGCATGTTCAATTGCATGATCATGAACCCACATGCGCCGCGGCGGCGACCAGGGAATCCCATCGCAGTGGTTGGGCGATGCGGCGATTGCGATAAAATAGCGCGTGCGTCGCGGCGACGTGCAATTGAACTGCGCCTTCGAGGCCCTGTGCGACTCTTTCTTGGATTGGAACGTTCTTCGCGCGATTCCGAGTGCGTAAATGCGCTGGAGAAGGACGGTCACGCCTAGCAATACTGTATGAAGCTCGAGCGTTAGTCGGACATCTCGCGAGCTAGAGCTAGAGCTAGGAATAGTTCCCCTGAGGCTTGGCCTACTGAGGGATGCCGGCTCGCTGAGGAATGTCCCACGGCCAAGCCTATCCGTTGTCCATGTCAAATAGGTGCCCGTACAAAGAGCCCGATGAAGCTAAGACTTGATAGCTTCATTTGCGTAAGAGAAGCTAGATTGAAGGGCGAAGTGGCGAGATTTACGTCGCGAGAGCTCCCATCGAACACGACTTCGAACCATAGACGTGCATAGCTGTCAGCGAAGCTGCACGGGGCCGGTAGCGAAGAATCTCCAAGTTTGGCCCGCTGGGGTACTTCGCTGTAGACCTTCCGTCTCTCCCGCGACACAGGCGTAGGAAAGGCGGAGAATACACTTGTCACGCAAGGTTTGCGCGCACGGTGGCTCCATATGAAGGTGGGGTGGGCTCAGGCCTCGACTATCGATCGACGAGACCGCGGTCTGCAGGCGGCGTTCTGTGCAGCGCACATTGAATACAGTGCCAGTGCATACAATCTGCCGTCCGTGACCGCAGGCCGCATGTAACAATCAGCTCGTCGACCTGTGTCCCGCGCACCGCCTGTCTAGTGTGTATGGGCGAGCATCAAAACTCCGTGACAGTCGAGGGGACGACGTTCATTCGCCAGGCCAGATGACCAACAGTGCCTCGGATTCTCCTGATGGCGTTACGTGACGGCCCACGCCGCGGCGGGTGTGGCTGCGACAGGGAAACCGTGTTACCCCAGAGTGCCACACTGCCCACGGGGCGCTGTGAGATCACGGAAGGCCGAGCGCGCGGTTGGCAGGAAGTGTTCTGCAATGGCCGGCTCCTCCGATGCATAGAGGGACTGTCGAACACGGATGTGCATTGACTGAGAGCGCGGCTGGTGGACATGGGAGCAGGACACACGACCGCAGTCAGCCATGCGACCGAGTAACGCCAGGCGTGAGGCGTGTCACACGCCGCGAGCGATTGACCAGCAGGCCATGGTAGTTACGGCTCCGACCGCTGGCAGTGGGAGTTGGAGGTGGCGTTACGAGATGTCTTGTTCTGTACGTACGCATCGGTTGCTGATTCGTGCGAAGTGAGATGCGACCCACGGTGGCCTGAGTGCGTGATAGGAAAGGAATATACTTTGACGAACGATCAATGGTTACGGCACCGTAGCGAATTTCCAAAGAGATCTGGCCTTGTTTGAGAAGGTGTCGCTCTTGACAGGGTGCCTTCTTGAGCCTCTCAGCCTCATCGGAAGACTGGTGGACGTCCGAATCTGGTAGATATGGTAGATCTTCGCCTTGCCCTGAAGGCCCAGTGTCTGTAGAGCGAACATTAGGAAGGAGATGATGTCAGGGTCTGGGCCCGCGCGCGAGGTTGCGAAGCCACGAACGAAGTCGCCGAGCTGGCGATCACAGAAGGCAGGGCGCCTACCCCGCATCCCTGTCTTCCCCACACATGACGTCATGACGTCACATAGCGCTGGCCCTCCAGTCACAGCCAATCGACGACGGCGTCGACCCCGCAACGCTCGCCGGCCTCGGACGATCTGGATCTCGCTTAGAGCCTGCCGAGGGTCTCCATGATTGTAGCCCAAGTTTCCACTGCAACACCAGTGTACGTAGGGACGCGACACACGCCAGCGTCAGCCAAGGTCAATCTAAAACGATAATGCGCCGGTATGATCTGCCTATGCAGTCCAGGCAGTGGATGCCACAAGCGCCAGCCTGAGGCTCCGAGGACATTCAGAACCGCAGTCAGGAGGATCGTCACGCAGTGCAGCGCGGACAGCCAGAACACCGTAAGCGAGAGACCCACGGGACTCCGAATGTCGAATGAGGCGGTGTCTGCAGTCCGTAGTGAGCGAGGACAAGGATAGAACCTCATATTGCTCGACATACCAGTACAGCATCCCGGAGCATGTGCAATACGACGATGCGAAAACTTTGCGTCCGCTTCAATGAGGCGACGCCCAGACAGAGCCTCGGCCAAGGAACCACCAGTGCAAGTCGACCGCGGCCGTACAGAGCCCACGGAGCATCGTCCTCGTGAACTGCATGACCACTCGGACTGATATAGAACTGGGGTCGACGTCGAGCCATCGTCCTGGATCTGTGGAACAGTGTGCATTGCGGTGGTCCATCGTAGCGACCGCGCGGACCCTGAGATTGGCCTGGGACGCGGGCATCCTATATTTGTCTGAAGCGCATTCACCATAGCCCGATAGTCCGCAGCACGTCCACAACGCGCCATCGACGTCCAACAGCCGTCGAAGCCGACGCGCCACCCTCCCCAGTCTCGCACGAAGTCAGCGAGAGATTGAAGAGGCGAGTCTCGACCAGGCCATGGCATGGCATCCGGGGTACCTGGCCTGCATGCACATGCACACGTCCGGCCGTCCCCCCAATATCCCGCGCTATACCATTCCGAGCCCGTTGCTCTGATCAACCAGCTCGCCGCATCTTGACGCCCGGGCCGTCCGTGCGCGGGCGGAAAGGGAGGCGTCCTGCGCAGATTGGGATCTCTGGCCCTCCCGACGACGAGTCGAGGCCAGAAGGGACACTGGAAATTCGCTATCCGCGCATTTGCCGCGCGCGGCGCGTGGATAGGAGTCATATCTCGGGACTTTTGGGTAGAGAACTGAGTGTCACAGTGGGCGCGTCCACAATCGGGGAGTGGATGCCATGCCAGCTGCCAGAGAGCGGGAGGGACGGGGAGGCGAGCGGGAGCGGCATGTGGCACCAGGACACTTCGGGCGGCGGCCCGAGGGGGGTAGATGGGGAGATGGGGGACAAGGAGGCCAGCTGAGCGGGGCGTTGGCAATAGACACAGACAAGGCAGACAGCAGCGGCGGGACTCGGAAGGCCTGGGGTGCACCTGGGGTCGGACAAAACGACGCGTCGCATTTGGTTGCAACTGGAGGTTTGAAATTCGGATGCGCGAGGTGGCGGGATATGGCATGGTGTCGCGCGGCGGTGGTGGTATATGGTATGGTCGAGCGAGACAAAACAACATGCTTCCGTTGGCCGAAAGCTCACCGCGATTAATGGACTGGTGCGCCAGCTGCCCCGAGACAGTCATGAAGACAAAGGGAGAGAAAGATTCAGAACAAGACCGGGCGCCTGCGAAAAGGCCAATAATGTCCGCCGAATAATGGAGGCATAGAAGATGCAGCATGTTCAAGAGGTGGGCGCGATCTGAATCGGGGACCTCGTCCTCCCTTTGAAGGGGGTGGGGGGGTGGTTTCCGGGGTCTCATTTTCAGCCACTCGCGCGAAGTTCAGCCCATTTGGCCTAGATTTTCCTTGGGCAGTCTAACTCACCAAGTATCCGGCACAAATTTATTTATTCCGCCTCTTTATGCGTAGCTTAAGTGCTATGCAGTTTCCCGAGTGCCACAGATTGAATTTGCAAGAGGGAGTCGAATACGGAGCGTCGGATGGATTGCACGTGCCGAGCGCGGTCATGTGAGCAGAGCCGTTGAATGCGCTGTTTCCCGCGCTTGCTCCCACGAGTGGCGCTCGCGCTAACGGCGCGATGTACGAGGCCTCTGCGTTGCTCCCGCGTCGCGACTATCCCTAGCTGGTTGTCAGACGGGCTGGTCGTCGTCGTCGTCTTTGAAATCCCACTAAAGTCTCATATAATGCTGCGCTGCCATGAGCAACCGCGTGCAAGACTGCGCTGTCGATGTTCGATCCCGACGACACCTGGAGGGTTATGGACGACAGCGGGAGTTACGCTGGTCCCTCGCTCGACGACCTTGAATATGGTACATCTCAGCCTCTCTCCGAGGATCTATCTGTCACAGGTCCTTCAGATGGCGCGCACTACTCCTCTGATCGCGTGCAAAACCCACTCCCAGATCATTTGCCACTCCCTGCAGCCCCCGTCAATATCAGCCCCGCGTTCTGGATGCAGAGCAATCTGCCCGCGCAGCCTCCACTTGCCGCTCCGCCAGCGCCGCCTCTGCAGGAGACTGAGCTCAACGCCGAGCAAGCCTCCCACTCGTGGAAACGGGACGACAGAGGGTACTTGTGTATCCTGTGTCCCCGGTGTGGTTCATGGGTCGGCACGGGCTCGAAGACGGGGTACACTTTGACCACTCTCGAGACGCACATGCAGGGCCGTAAGTGCAGACCTTCCGCTGCGTCTGACGGCCGTGTGCGCATGGAGGCGAGGGCAGCCCGCGAAGTTCACCTACCTCCGAGCAACTCCCCGGCCTTCCGAGGGTTCGACGCAGGGCCATACGCCGTCCCGACGCCTCAGGAGATGGCAGTGCTTCCTCCGACACCATTCTATGGCCCTGCGGCGCATGTGCAGAGCGCGCCGCGGCCAGCTACTGTGTCCGGCTTTCAATTCACTTTTGATGAATACTACGCGCCGTGAGTGTCCGCTATCATCTTTCATGGATTGGCATGTCTCAACTAATCAACTTGCAGTACCTCCAGTGACGAGCTCGACATCGACGGTTCTGGTGTTCCGTCGTCAAGTTCGGTCCCATATGGGCTCAATTCATACTCGAGTCAGCCACGAGCCTCTCACAAACGGAAGCGAACATCGCGGCATCACACTCCGTCCCACAACGCTTTCGACGCTTCAGAGCCACAGGATACTTCACAGATGTCTTCGAGTACGACAGTGCCCACCGACTTCTCTCCAACTCCATCGTGTTGCGGCATTGCTCTCGTCTGGCCTCATGCAGATTTCTTTGAGACCTACCCGTTCCAGCGTCATGATCTTAGTGCTCCCGGCTCACTTGGATATAAGCTTTGCGCGGTTGGTGACGATGGCCAGTCGTTTCGCATACAGTCATATAGGTGTACAGGCTCGCTCCTTGTAGCTGGTGACGAGGCTTGTGTCGAATGCCTGAGCCTCACTGGTACCGTCAAGCACCTCGCGGAGATGTCCGGCAATGCTCGACCGCACACGAACTACAAGTATCGGTCACATAAGCAGCTGAATCAAGTCACGGAGTTTTTGAGAGGCGAAGTGTCTCGCTTGCGCTGTATGGTAATGTCCTGGATTTGCGTCTCTAACATATGTGAATGGCTGATTCCTGTACTATCATCAGACTCTCAACCTTGGTCGGCGGGTGGCTTCCGTACTCAAGAAACTCGATGACCACCGACGCTTTCTCATGGCGATTGCAAACGGAGATCCACGCGGAATCAAACATCTCATCACGCAGGGACTGAAGGACAGGGTCAGCACATCCGAGCTACTCAAGCGTGTCGACGAGAGTACCGAGGGTGTTTACCATGCCCGCGGTTATTCGGCATTTGATTTTGATCTTGCGCTCCTCATTCTTCGTCTTGGTGGACGCAAACTACTGTATGCTATGAATCATTGCCTTGCCATACCCTCGATCCGCGCTCTGCGTCGTGCACGCCGTTTCACCCGTATAATGCCTAGTTTCGGTCGTCCAACACTCTCGGAGGTGCAGTGGAACTTCGGGGAGGTGCTCGGGCCAACGATCAAGCAGCTGAAGGAAGCTCTACGTGCTATGGCGCGCGATTCATCCGACGCGAGTCCGGGATGGCAGCCGTACGGCCGCACTGGCGTGTCGGTCTGCTGGGACGAGATCGCGCAGGAAGAGGTTGCGTGCTACTTCCCGCATGCTGATTCGGTTGGTGGCTTATGCCGGGAACACTGCGGTGGGGTGGATCTACGGCTTCGTACTTTCCAGAGTGCCACCAACATTGCGGAGAGCCTCGACAAAGGCTACGTACACTTTGGGAAGGAGGTGTCCGTGCTTGGGCTCACCTCGTTTGGTGATGTTTTCCGTGGTGCACTCCCCATTGCTGTATCACCGACATGCAAGTCGGAGACCCCAGAGGAAGGTGCTGAGATTCTACGGACCATCTTTGCGGCGTGGAAAAGCAACCCGGACTTGGAGAAGTACCTTGGTCCGCTGTGGTCATTTGCATCAGACGGAGATGCAGGTCGCCGCGCAATGGTCTATAGCATGTTCATGTCAAGAACGATCGGGTCATCAGATCCCCTGCACAAGATTGTTGGACAACTACCTGGTTTAAACCTCAACGTCGGCGATGACAACATCACTGCGGATTTTGACTGGAAACATGAGATCAAACGTGAGTATTCACGACTCCCTGATGTACTCGGTGAGTCCCCGATGCTGACGTGAAGTGTCTAGGTCTTGGCCGCCTCATGCGTACTCAGGAGGGAATTGTTGTTGGCGACACTATCGTCAACCGCCATACCATTTCCAGTCATCTGCGGCGCATCCCAGGAATGTCGGAGGCTGCTGTTGATCGCCTCATGAATCCATCAGATTCTCAGGACGTACCCCGCGCAATCGACTTACTCCGTGCCATATCATCGCTCTCAGATCTCTCCTTGGACCAGTACTCTCCCACGGAACTTCAAGAACATCGGGCAATCACAGTCGTTGGGGAAATGCTCTCGGCATTCGTGGATGCGTTCATCCGTCCTGAGTGGTCCCTGACGCAGCAGGTCATCTCGTTGAGCAAGTATGCTCACATGATCTTTGCGCTGTACCGACAACATCAGACGAGCTTCATGCCCAATCAACTTTACGGTGACACGCAGACGACAGTCAAGAATGCTATCTTTTGCATCGCGAAGCAGCAGCTGCTTGACGGGACGCAGTGTTTCTATCTCTATGACACAGGCGATGATAAACTCGAGGAGCTCTTCGGCTCTGTGCGCATGCAGGGTGGGCATAACCCGAACTTCTCTTTCAAGCAGCTCATCGACCGCCTTGGTGCCGCGGTTGATATTGATGCTGTCTTTACGGCACACCCGGAGCTTCATCAGGGTTCACGCCGCCGCAAGGTCACTCGGACCGAACACGCTGATCACCTAAATCATGCGTCGTGGACTGGAGACACAGTTGCAGACCACGTGGACCTCCGCTCTGCATGGGCAGAAGGACGCTCAGCAGCGACATACTCGCTCTCAGAACTGCACATCAAGCCTGGGTTCGATGTCCTGTTCAGTTCCACGTGTTCCATCGATATGCTCCAACCTATTCGGCATGGCAAGTACCCTGGAGTCTCGTCAGAGCAAGATCGATCACAGGAACCTGTTACCCCACCTTCACCACTTCCCGCTGCGGTCCCCCCAGTCCCAGGACCCTGTACGCCGGTTGCTTCCAGTGACTCAGAGGGAGCGTCCTCAGAACCGTGTGTACCATTGACCGCCGTTGGCTCCGAACCGAGTTGTCCAAGTCATGCTCAGGCTGGCTCAGATGCCAATCACGGTGCCCAATCGGACGTCACTGCCTCCGGTCAGGCTGCCTCAGGCTCGGATATGCTCGTTGTGGAGGAAGAGACAGTGACAGGTGCTCTCATACAAGCTTTTGCCGCATCGGGAGACTCCGATTCCGAACGGAGTGACGCAGGCATCGTGTCCGGTGCTTGCGTCCAACTTGAAGACCGTCTTGACGAGCCTGACGAACCAGATCAGCGATTACCAACCACTTGCGCCGGCGCAGCGAATGCATCACCGTGGTTGTTGACCGAACAAGGGCACAAGATTCATAAGACGTCCGTCTGCGTTCAAGTCATCACGCCTGACTGGATCCGCAAATCCCATGAACGCATCTGGCGTGTCCGCTGTTACAGCTCTGATGTCAAGCCACGCGACCTGAGCTCTGCTAGTACCCTGAACCCTAACCTCTTCATCCTCGGTGACCTCTTCGCCACGCTCATTCGCTGTGATGGCCAGGCAGCTCTCGCGGTGTTGAAATGCATTGCAATTCACGAGAAAGGAGAGTCGGTGTCAAGTGTTTCGATTGCGAGTCTCTCGCACGCATCGTCAGGAATCAAACTCACCGGGCAAGTACTCGAGCTATGCTCTGACTCACTGCCAACCGAAGCATCAGCGCCGCCCCATGATACGTCCCGGGCTGGTGTAGCGGTGCCGGGCTCCTATGTCGGTGCACAGACCCAGGTGACCCATCAAGAGCCAGCATCCGAGTCGGATTTGACGTCTGAGCCAGCTGCTGGCAGTCCAGACCTGCGTTCAGCATCGTGGCTGTGGACAGGCACATTCGTGAAGCTCACCTCCGGTCCTGATAGTGGTACTGCGGCAGTGCCGGCACCAACACCGACGGCGGTCAAAGTCTCACACAAGATGCTTGCGGTGAAGATCTGCAGTCACCTGTGTCATATGCTGAACCCAAGGATCGCGGATGGTCGAGCTGTACTGAGCGAAGATCAACGACCTCACCTCAATAGCGCTGGGTTGACATGGCAGTTCTCTGAGTCCGAGCTCAAGGACATCGTGGACGTCCTGTGGCGAACAATCCGTGAGAAAGGTTCAGCGGCGTTACTGCCGCTGCTCCCTACCGCAAACCAGCAGTTCCCGTACAAGACACACAGTGGTGAGCCACCTATTAATCAATTAGCCGTCTTCATACTTAACATGCATTGTGTTCTTTAAGGTGCACCCATGTTCCTGTCGGAGGAGGCCGCACACGAGATGGAGGCACAGAAGATTGCGGACAACACGAAGCGTCGCTGCTACCAGTGCCTGGCAGAGGTAGATCCAGCCCGTATGCGAAATCATGTTGGGGAGCATGTATTAAAAGCGATGCGCGGCGTTAAGGAGGACTTACGAGGGCAGCAGGTGCGTAGTATTCCACATTGCGAGCGGGAATAATCATGTTGAACCTATGATCGCTCGCCGGCTTCGTACGCCGCTAGGTCGATCCATCCGAGTTCCCTTGCGGCTTCTGCGGACGTCCCGAACGACTCTGTTGTGCGCCGACAATGACTAAAGGGAGTAGCGCAAGTACACCTCAAGCACGGAGCGAGTGTTCATACTACCGGCTCTTCTTCTACCAGCCTAGCCTCAAGTCCTCCGCGGCAACACCCTGCACCAACGTACCTTTCGTCTGCAAGATACCCGAATGCAAGGCGGAGAAAGATGGAAACTGGACCGCCGTGTGGAAGTATAACCTTCACGAGCACATTCGTCGGTTTCACCCTAGCTTCAGTGTCGAGAGCACAGGCCTTGACGGGCTGATCCCTCTCCCACCGGCCATGCAACATGACATGCATATTTCGGACAGTGAAGAGCGTGCTCTCAAAATCCCTGATGCACACATACCGTACAAACCTCCATTGCCCGAGCTTGTGAATCCCGAGCCCACTGGGCCAGGTGCGCCGCCGCCAGCAAAGAGACGACGCCTGCGCAAGCAGCCATAGACTTTTGTATTTTTTTTTGGTTTCTCAAGTACGCTACATCAATACAATGTGTGTCTTTCGAGCCTCTGAGGAACGGCAAGGTAATATGGGCGATTGAGAGCGGTGGCGTACGCACCAGCATGGATACTTGCTGCGAGGAGTGGTAGGTGAGCGACTGAGAGTACGGGCAGCCTAACGGCATGCCCTGTCGATGATGGTCATCATCGTTTGCACTAACACAGTGCTACAAAGGGACGAGGCTGCGGTCATGACGGCTGTTGATGTAGCCATACCGGGGAGAGGCAGAGGGCTGGACGAACTTGTCAGGCGACGGCCGACAAGAAGACGCGAGGCGGACTCACCGATACACGCGAGCGGACAGCAGAATTGCGTTGGATGAGCAAGGCATCCAGGACCAGTGTACCATGCCGCCGACGCGCGCATGTCCTTTTCCTGCATAGCTGCGGACGGCGGTGGCCAGCTCGTCCTCAGAGGCCTCTGGTCTAGTCTTACGTCCTCCCGTCTATCCCACCACCGCCCGCCGCCCGCCCTTTCCCTCTCTTCCCCCTCGTCCTCTCCCTAATGCTACCAGTTGCGTGAGGCCACGTTCCGGCAGCCTGGACGACCACCACAGACTTTGATAGTGTTGAGGTCATGGTCGAGCTGTGTCCAGGCATCCTGGATGACGCGCAGACGTGTTCGACGCGTGCCTCGGCGTCGAGGATGGCCTTGACGGCGGACTCGGCGAGCAGCTGGGGCTGGCCATTGGAAGGGGTGGTATGGACGGTGGAGGGTGAAGCGGTCGCGTCTGTGGGTGCGCGCTGCTGGTTGAGGGAGGTGGCGGGCTGTATGAGGCTCGAGAGGAGGCGTTCTGCCCAGATTCTGCCTTGTCGGCGCGCTGGAGAGCTTCGACGCGTCCAGCGAGCGCGTCTCGGACGACGCGTCAAGACGCGTCACCCGGCGTGAACCCGCTTCCTTTTTGGGACGGGTTCTTGGGCGTTAGACTGCCAAGAAAGGAAAGGGGTACCCCCCCTACCCAGTTTCCGGGGTCTCAGGGATTTGGGAGGACGATGTCTGATATTTTGTTTGCGCCCGCCTCTTGAGCATGTTGTACACAAGACCCGCGCTAGCCTAAGTTTCGCCACATAATACTCGCCTTCGCATACGTAGAGCACCCAAATATAGCTAATCTAGCACACCCCTCCGCCGTCCTTGCGCCGTCCTCATCTCCGTGCGCGGCACTAAAAAATGCACTAACGAATATATTCAGCCGTCGTCATGTACCGCGCCACACACAATACCGTCCATCTTATTCGACTCGTATTATGAGCGCATCTCATACGCCACCACATACATACCTGCCCCCGCGCTACACTACGTACGTACATGTGTAACGCCTTGTCCTCATCCAGCCTCCCGTACGTACACAGATCATCCCGCTAGTCACTGCAGCCTATCACAACGCCTCTTCGCCCGCCGGCCCGCCGCATCTCTTCCCAACATCGAGATCAGTATTTTCAAACCGTAAGCACAGCGTAAACGCGCACAGGGTCGCGTCGCGCCGCCAGAAGCGTCGAGCGGTGCACCCAAGCCGTCGGCTCTGCGTGATGCAACCGTCAACGCGCCGATCCTCCGTCAGGCGAGCCTCGGCCCTCGACGGGCCGCAGCGAGCCTGGGGACGATGCGCGCACACAACGGGATCGCCAGATATGCGAGACAAGAGCCCGGTCAGAATGCGGAAGGCTGGCATGCAGCTGAAACGCGCTCCGAATATTCAGGTGCGCATGGCTGCGGCGGAACCGGCGAGTGTGATTGTCCGGCCTAGACCGCCGTCGGCCCTAGTCCATTCGACGCAGCGCGACGGGGAAGGCCATGCCCGCCGCGAGGCAACGAGTGTGACGACGGTCTGACCTGACCCAGACCTGTGACTGTGGCGCCTCCCAGGTTCGAACAAGACTGACCTCAAGATTTGCCTAAACACCCACTAGTGTCGTCGGTTGCGAAGGCACACGGTCTTGAAACCAAACACACAAGAGGGAGATCCAGATGAATGCGTTTCGTCACTATATTGCGTTATGTACGTATGCGTAATGAAATGAACGTATCTGCTGCGTGCCTATGCGCCACCAACCCAGGGAGACAGTATGTAAGTCCAACCATTATACGTAGCGACTCGTACAACCCGTTGCTAGTAGTACAGCGAAAGCGACACACCAATCCAAAATGAGACCATGAAGAAATCTGGGAGGAAAAGATGACGAGTAAATATGAACCGAAGTCCATGGGCATAATGTAGAGCGTGATATGTGCGTGAAAGGGGACGGGGAAAGTAATGGTACACGATAACAAGACAGCGCGACGACGAAGGCGGCGGAGGAAGAGACGGAGACGGCGTAAGGAGCGAGAAGGCGGCGAATAGACCGGGTCGTTAGGTTATCGTACACAATACTACACTTGTTATGCACATTTTTTGCTGCGCCGCGGGGCGCCAACGCGAATAGCGGTGGATGAGGTAGCGGATGATAGGAAGGGTAGGGTAGGGCGGATTAGTGAAGAGGAGCCATGACGATGATGCGGGTTGCGAGGGGCGCGATGCTGGCGGTGATCCAGACGAGATATCCCAGCGACGGAGACGACGGAGACGCAATTGAGGATGAGGATGCGTAGTGAGATGAGGGATGTATGTCGACAACGAGGAGAGCAGCAGGGGAGATACTGTGAGGAATAAGTCAGGTGGCGGCGTCGTGAACGTCGTCGGGTATGTCGTCGGGAGGTATCAGCGTGCAGGGTATGGGAATGCGTGAGGGATGCGATGCAGTGAAGTCCGAGGTCCGAATGCGATGCGATGCGCCGAGAAGATGCTGGAGAGGAGGCGCTGTGCCTATCGCCCGTCCTTGCCAGGAAAGAGGAAGAGGCGCTTCAGAGGTTGATGTACCTCGACCTCGACCTCGACGTCCTGCTCCCTCCCGTCGACGATCTTGCGCTCAATGCGCTTCTCCTTCTTCGGGATCTGCAGGATGGGGTATGTCATGGTATCGTCGGAGTAGCTCCACGAAACACCTGAGAGGGATAGTCAGCGACCGCCGAACAGTACGCGCTACAATAAACTCACCAGTCGACCTCTTCGTCGGGCTGCTCGAGGGCGGCCTCATCGTGAGATCCGCCTCAGTCTCGAGGCTGTCCGCAGTCTCCATGCTCGCATCGCTGTTTTGCCGGCTGAGCGGACTAGGCTTGCGGCCGTAGGGGTAGTAGCCGTAGCTGCTGCCCGCGCTCGTCAAGCTCGACATCGTCGTCGTCGAAGGCGACCGGGTCATCTTCACGTTCGGGACGAGGAGACGACCCTCGGCACCGGGCTTCACCAACGAGAACTCCTTGCGGCGCGTCGAGATCGTCGCAGGCATAGATCGTGTCGAGCCCGTAGGCGACGTCGAAAGCGCACCGCTGAGGGACTGCCGCGAATCGCAACGAGAGTGGAGGAGAGGGTACTTGCTGAGCTCATCTGCCTCAGAGCGCGAGCGCATCTGCATGCTGCCCGAGGTCGCACGCGTCACCGGGGGAAGCGACGCGGCCGAAGGGGAGGTCGGTTCGAACGTCGGCGTCGAGACAGTCGAGTAAACCCCGCTGCGAGAGCGCTGGCTGCTCGCAACGAAGCCCTTGTATGCGCCACGGACACGCTCATCGTCGAAAGGCTTCGACATATCCACAGGGGCGGAGAGGTTGTAGACACTCGCGCGCCAAGCGTGTGTGCCGTCTGTCCAACCGGGGATGACCTTCCGTTCACGACGCTCCTCGGCAGGGTAGACGGAGTAGGCAGACCGCTTCTTCGGCGGCTCAGAGCACAGTGCAGCCTTGATGCGCTGCGCAGACATCATGACACCGCTTTGGAGGTCGTCGAGAGAGGCGGTGCTCTCGTTGGTGTTGCGATGGATAAGTGGAGGTGCCGGTGGCGGCCTCGAAGGGAGATCGGGAAAGAGCTTGGTGAGGGCGACATACGCCTCCGGAGTGGCGGGCTGGTCCTCGTCGATGCTACTCGCACTCGGCGGCGAGGAGCTGAACGAGGAACGCGAGTCGAACGACGCGCCGCTAGCAGAGTCACTCTCGCTAGAGGAGAAGTCGGAGAAGGAATTGTGTGGCACCGGGGGGAGGGCCGGAGATATGCAGCGGTCAGGGTTGTACTCCATGCCCATGGCGCCGAAAGATGATTGGAGGTCGGCCAAACGGCACTCGTCGGAACAGTAGAGGGGCACTGGCGACTGGTCGATGACGGTGCGGTGACGAACGGGCCCTGTTGGGCGCGTGTCGACAGCGATCTCTGGGACGGATGGCTTCTTTGTCTGCTTAACGGTGTCGTCGCGCTTGAGCGCGCCGTTGGGCTTGACACGACCAGTGCCGTGTACGAGACCGCCTCCCCTAGCACGTATTGTGCCCGTCTTGTTGCGCGGAAGCCGCGCGGGAGCCTCCTCCTTCACCTTCGACTCTGCGGGCACGGTATGTGAGCAACCGGGCGCGTCGTGGACCAACGCCGCTGGACTTACCATTGGTGGGGGAGCTCGGTGGGACTGCAGGGGCTTGCTGTGGGGGGTTGATGGGGACGTAGTAGCGTTTGGGGAGGATCTGGCGACTGCAGACGGGACACCAGGTGGTGTCGAAGGCAATGTCCATGGCGGGTGGGTGAGGCGTGTGCCAGGACAGCGAGTATATGAGGGGACGTAGGCGGTCCGAGACGGAATAGGGGGTCTGGGGAATGCCTAGTGTGCCTGGGGCGGCCTGCGAGTCGAGCGGAGGCGGCGTGGCAAGAGGCGGCAGCGGGAGGCAGAGGACCTGCAGATGGCGCTGGGAGTGGGGAGGAGCCGGGGAGGAGGCGTAGATTATTTATCGGACGCGACGGTTGATGGGCGCGAGTGGGAGGCCCTCGAACGAGCGCCCGCTCCCATTGGCTGCCCGATGCGAGCTCCGAGCACCTGAATATCAGCGTGACGCGTGACAACAGCTCCCCGTCCGCCAGGGCCGCCGCATGCCCGTCCGGCCACACAGCGACGGGGTGCCTACTGCCTATTCCGGCAGGCACGTCATCAGCCACCCTGGCGCCTGCTCCCCATTGGCCCCATGGACGCCGGCCACCCGGCGCGTCCTCGCCCGGGCCAATCACCGCCTCCGCCACTCTGCCCGCCTCTGCGTTCTGCCCAGTCGAGACCGTCTCCAGAGCGCTCCCTCGCTTGCCTGCCGTCCTCTTCCCTTATCCGGCCGCTGCCTCAACCCTAATATTCTTTTTGCGATCCCCCGCCCAATTGCGGCGGCCCTGGCTGCCATTGGCTCCTCGCCCATTACGTCTCCGCTGCGATTCCCCAGTCCATTTCCCAACCCGGCCGTCTGCTCTCGCCTCGCTTCCATCGCCTCCCAATTCCCCCCGCAATGCAGCCGCCGCCCGCCTCTACAGCCTGCGAGCACTCCCGTCCTCATTTTCGCAGTGCTGGTCATGCGCGACCGCCGGCCCGCGCGCCCTCTGCCCGACGCAGTCCCGACCATTTGCCGCCGCAACAGACCCTGTTTTACCGCACCGACCCAGGGCTGGCGGTCCAGCCCCGGATTTTCCCTTCCAAGCGACCCGCTTGACCATTCCTGGCCAGAAGCACATGCCTCGCGTGCCTATCGCCCAATCTCAACAACGCCCGATCTCGCGCTCCGGGGATCTCGATCGCGCGCACCCCACGGTTCTTTCCGGGCCAAGACGCGTCTATCATCCTCAGCCTTCCCCACGCTGATTGGCTGCCTCCGCGTCCTCCGCCGCGTCCTTCCCCGCGCCCCGCCCGACGCCCGACATCTCTCCGCCCCCGACGTCGCCCGCCCCGACGCCCGCCCGCCTCATCTCCCGCCCGAAGCGTCGCCCGTGCCTCCCAGTCCGCTGTGCCCGACGTCGCCCTCGCACTGCTCTGAGTCCGCGCTATCGCCATCGCGTCTCTTGGTGACGCGTTGCCACCGCCATCGACCGCCGTCGCCGGGGGTAACCTTCCCATCTCGGACATCGCGCCCCCTCCTTCGCGAAGATCTTCCCGCCCCCGTCCGGATCTGTCGCGCGTCACATGTCTTCTTGCTAATGCCTGAGCTGCTGTCTCGCCCGCAACTACGTCCTATCGCCACAACGATCATTGTCACTCTGGTGATCCGGCTCCCCGTCTACCCGCAACCGTCTCATTGCTAGTGTCATCTGCTCCGGCCTTGTCTCTGCGGCCGCTACCGGTGCACTCGGACTGCCAGCCGCGGGATCACTTATGCTGTGCATTCCGCAATACACGGGCCGTTGACGTGAATATTATCCTCGCAATGTGCGCGCACGCGTACCACACGCACCGCGCGACGCTAGCTCTCTCTGGCACGTTCAGCTGCTCTGTTCTGCATCGTGGCCCTCGCCTGAGTCGCCTCTCGTCAATATCCCTCCTGCAGGCCTCGCTGTCCTGCGGGGAACAAAACAAGCCACCTCGCGTCCTGCCATGCGACAGCCACGCGCAGTCTCACTCGCCTCGCCACCGTACATGGCCACTTCCTCGCGCCGCGCGAATGATCACACATCAGTCACCCGTTCATATCAGCGCGTCGCGCGTTTCACCCGTCCAGGAGGCCGAGCGTGTGGCCTGCGTTACCGTTACATACAAATCCTGTAAACATCCTCGCGATCGCGCGGCGCGGAGGCGGATAGACGGACGATCAGTGGCCGATGGACGATAGCTGACGGGTGTCACGGATGCCATCGCCCTGGTATGATCCATCATGCACGGAGCACTCGGTCCTCTCGCCCAGCTCCGTGCACTATCGCGACAGACCACGATGCTTCTCTTGCTCCGGTCGGCCTGCCTCGATCGCGTCCGCACGCCACCCGCTCCCTCCATCCGATCCCCATCGTATCGATCGTATGTCCTCCTCACATCCAGGCGCCCACACAGTGAGCCTGAGCTTGATAGGCTCACTGGCCCCGCCGTGCTCGGGACACGAAGCCGAACACCAGTACGTTATATGAGGTGAGTGCGCAGACGATGTCTTGTCAGCGAACCGTCATGTCCGTTTGAGTTGCGCCGGGCCAATCGCCACGCGCTGTTTCTCATGTACTACTCTCAATCGCCCACATGCAAAGCACTGGGAGGCTCACGCGCCCGGAGGCTATCGGTCAGTGCGAATGGTCCCGCGACGCTCTACAGACACTAGACTATGTAGCTCAGCCACGTACGCCACGAGCATACATGTCATTAGCCTCCGTCGACGACGAGTCACACAGCACGGCCGCAGCAAGTCCGCGAGCATACGTATGGTTGTGACGATGAGTCCCCGCACGGCGGACGGTCCCTCTGGGAGATTCTGGCCGGACACCGCAAAGCCCAAGCAACCCGTGGCCTTCCCGAATACGTCCGTGCGTCCCCCAAAGACGGTGTAAATCCGCTACCAGATCCGAGTCAAGCCCGACAAGCCTGCTCCCTCCTCACTCCCGCACGCAGCACTGCTTCGCCCGGCGGGAATGTGTCGCATATGACCAAACGATGACTACGATGACTACACCAGTTTCTCCGCACCGGTGGGTGCGAAGGCTACGCGCACAATGCACGAGCGGTTCGGAATGCTCGTCCGAGCACGATCCGCCATGAGCGAATGCGTACGCAACATAGCGTTTTCGTCCCACGACATACGGTGCAAGGGCCGTTCGGTGGCGAACAGCGAATCAGGCGGGTGCCCAGACTAATTCCTCCTCTCCTACAGGTATTGCGGCCGCGCGAGCGTGTGCTTTGGGCGGAGGATATACACGATAGACGTCGACGGTGACGGGCCAAGGCTCACAGTCCGGGTGAGCGTTTGTCGAGTCTAACGTTATACGCTTGTCTTCTTGCCATACGCAGCCGCGCTTCGTGTCTTCCTATGCCAGGGACGTATGTTTCTTTTGCCATACCGAGCTGCTCTGCGTCAACACGAGCGTCGACGTTCGGTTCTCCGCCGAACTTTCATGTTCATGTAAACGCTCCCGTCGCCTGAAGCAATGGCCAGGCGCGCGTTCGGCCCTGCAGCGAGGGTGTGCTATATTCGACCTAGGGCCTAGGACGTACAGACGGTTCTTGGTCAATATACAGCAATTGATTCTCTAGCGTCCGGCCCGTGCAAGAAAGCGCGACCGTCCATTGGCGGCCGTCCCGGTTATGAATCCGAGACAGCGTGCTCCAGTTCACTAGTGCCTGCGCGCACCGTCGCTCCGATGCACCCAATCCCGTCCCCACCCTCGCGGTCGCCGTGGTATGACCAGTCGCACATCGCAGGACGAACCGTCGGTCATTCGCCATGCACACGGTACCGACACCCGCCAGCCACTGGCAGCCACCGCGTAGGCGCCCAAGTCAGGAACATCCCGTGGCCTGCAGATTTCCCTGCGAGATGCTTCCGCCCAGTCTGTGCCTGTTCCGCCCGCCTTGCCATATCGCGATCCCGCCCTGATCCCGCCATTCGCTGCCGGGTACGCGCATGCCATGTGGGCCCGCCATGGTCTGGACGACCGCGACTCCGCGAACGCGAGGCAGCGCGTCGCGTTACTGTTGCCGCGTTAGTGGTTGGCGGCTCGCGAGGGCCCGGCGGGGCCGCGCCGGCTATCGACATCACTGTCCACACCTCCGAGGATCTCTCTGCTCACAAAGGAAGGGACATCTCCGAGAAGGGTGGAATATCGAAATTGATGGGTGCGGTTACGTCCGCGCGGGAGCACGTTCGGTGCGGATAGACTTGGCGATGGGTGGTCGCTCTGCAGGTGCGCATGCCATAAACTTTTACCGTCCAGCCCGAGCATTTGGTGGGGCTGGTCTAGATCCTGATCTTGTGGCACGCCTACTAGCAATCGAGCTACCGGCTCGCGCCGGTCGATCACTCCGTCGCTGCAAACTGCGGTACGTCACGCGTAATAATCGCGGAAAATGTCAATGCACCTTCATGTTTGTCGTGCTCAGTCTGCAGGCTCCGGAGTGCGCTTCAAGTTGCGTCCTATCTGTACGTACAGTACTATGCGACCTACTAATTGCAGGTCTTATCGCTGCAATGCCGCCGGACTCAAGGCGCTCCGTATGTTCGTAAGTGATCGCATTCGGTGCAGCAGAGGCCTCATTTGCTTACTCGTCTCCACATGCATCTGACTTTACGCTAGACAAACGCGTCTATACGTATACAGCATCCCGAAAACAGTACGAGGACAATAGTCTCCGAGGCCTGCTGCACACCTGAAGATTGCTGAGTCGCTCTTTACGTTGATCGAATTGCAATGTTTTGATGCAGCACTCTCATGCTGTTGCTATTTTCATGCCAGCCCTTGTCATTGCAGGCAACTAGTGAGACGCGCCTCTGTCAGGGTTTCTCCCTGAGACTCGCGCCTGTTTTGGCGTTCATGCGGCTCTCTCGAAGGTATGTTGCCTCACACGTTGAATGTCTGGGTCTCAGAGAAGCGTAGGGCGTGTAAATTGTAACATGAGTCGCTCGGGATTTGACAACAGGAGGCCAGAGTCTGGAATATGAGCCTGCAGGCAGCTGTCACAGCGCTTCTGTCTGAGCTCATTGGGGGCACCGGTTGCTTCTGCGGGCGGCAGCGTCACGGTTTCAACTCAAGACGTATGGCGCTTCGGCACCAGCTTCGCCGTTCATTGTCAATTTGCTGCCAGTGGTCGACCATCCAACATGTGTACGTCAAACCGTAGGAATACCTCGTCGGCTGCTGTTTGACGGCCTCGCTCCTCGTAGAACGACTAACATCTCAGCTGCCATGCGGTTTCACTGCCACCAAGAGTGCTCGCGGTACGTCAGCTCATTACCACCTGTAGCATGCTTTACGCATCGGGGTCTGTCAACAAACACACACTCTTGACCAATGATCGCGTCTGCATTGCAAACTTTCATTATAGAGTTGCTTCTTCCAGCTCTAGGTGCAGTCCAGCTGGATTCCGCAAGCTGTTTGGTGAGAAGATACTGGCGGTGTGATCACCGGAGGCCTTCAGATTCCTCCGACTTTCTCGTGAGTACATGACGTTTCTTCTCTCCTTGTGCTCTTGGTGGGAGCCGACCTTCACAACGAGGCCCCGCTGACCACTTCGTGACGTCCTTTGTTCAAAACTGACGCGTTCAATCGGCAGATGTGATTGCGTATTTGTGACAATGACATGGACAGCGGCGTCGCCTGCGCCCGGTCGGGATTCCCGCGCTCAACGTCGACTCCCACCACCTTTGTCACGTCGTCCGGTCAGCGAAAAGCTGCGGCAGACTAATATTTGAGATGACCGCAATGATCACGGTCATCCAGCCGGGGAAAGACTGGACAGTTGTGCGAGAGCGCGGATTTATCCCGCGGAGAACGGGACTTCAGGGGTGCCTGCTGACTCGCTGATGAAAGAAGGCTCGCCACGACATTGACCATTGAACAAGCCACCAAGCCATCAGAGTGTATCCGGCAAAGCAGTCAGTTATTTTGGGGACGACGCGTAGCTGAGGTCCGGGCGTTCGGGCGATTGAGTAGGTGAGCGTTACGTTGCTATGTGAGTGCGGCAACCTGAAACACGAGAAGCATGGGTCCGAAGAAGCTGCAGTCGCGACGCCACGAATGCGGCCTCACGATGAAATTCTGACAGTGTCAAAGTCAAAGGTGTGCAAATCTAATCAGAGAGCCGTGACGCATCCCTTTATCAACGGGGTGCCCTTCGCGAGCCCGGTAGCGGAGCGGCGACAGTCCAGCTACGTGAAATACGAACGTCGTGATCTGCCTCGGGCAATATAGTCAACATACGAGACATGACGCTTGTCTCCGGCGATGGCTCAACTTTGGGAAACGTGCAGGGAGAAAGCCATCTTAGGATGCACTAAAGTCGGTCAGTCGCATAATTCGAGTGAATAATCGTCCATGATGTGATCCGTCGTCTAACGTACTACGGAGGTTAACATTGACCTCATCTGCGTGCGGTACAGGTTAGATGGGCCCAATGATACAGTGATACCTCGCGATGGATATACATGGTGCATGGTATCCTGCAATAGTCTCATTCAGCTCATGCATCGCGGTCGAAATCATAGGCCAGTGGCCTCCATCTCGCTGCTGCCCGACTGATACTTGCTGATTTTGACACGCCGGGCTTTTCCGTGTTACAGGTGTATGGATTTCACCATATGGTCCCAAGTCATCTGTGTGGACGAAGGCATCACCCGTGGAGGTCGGCTGTCAGTTGATTTTCAGCGGCGAGGCTGTCCGGCCGGGTGACCCAAGTCGCTCTATTAAGGAGAACTATCAACCTGTTCACCGATGACCCACAATGAGCCCGTAGCCCACGGCGCGAGCTCCTTGCACGCTCCGTGAACACTCGGAAAGAATCGCGATGGCGCCTCCCAATCGCGATATCACTCTGCCAGAAGCATCGCAGACGCTCAACATTGGTACTGCCAACTGAGCAGGGGCACGCCGTCCTGCGTCCCGCAATAGGCACCTGCGAAGCTCGGAAGCGAAACGCATTTGAAGGACTGTCCCGGATCTAGCGAGACGCGGGTTATATTTCCAACCTCCTTGGTTATATCCGGGTTCAGAATGCCCAAGGCTGGACTTGGGCTAGACGAAGCACGCATGCGCATGCCAGCGTCTGGCGCATCATACGGCCCGCGCGCGTTGTCGGAGTGGAAGATTTGCTTCCGCGCGCTGTGTGACATTGTCCATGCTGTCCCGTGTCTGGTGGCGCGGGCATCTCCGACAGCAAGTGCATCCCTTGAAAGACCTCGATGAGTAAGTTACGTGCTTTGTGATCCGTCGTCCCAGGTTGATTGACGCAAGGATCGGGCGTTCATCGACGCGTCTCCCGGACATCAGCGACCGGAGAGCAGTAGGTCGGCAATAACACCGGATGGACGCCGCCCTCGGACTGCAGCGAGCTGGCAGAATCGCATGTCAATTGTGCAGGCACTAATGCTAATCAGGAATATCCCACGTACATTGTCTATTGGAGGACAAGCCAATGCAGGTGCCCAGTCATAGATGAAAACGGTGAGTAACATCATCGGGTCCATTGTACATGTCGACCTGTGCACTCACTCTATCAAGATAAATCATGGCCTGTCATTGGACAGAGGTTCACCGACGGCCGGCGGTCACGGTAGCCACTAGGCCTTTTCGAGCTTGAATGCCTCAGGCTCCCCCTTCTGTCGTTGCTTACAGTGCATTCCTTGCGGGAGCCACTGCTGCTGTCATGGTACAATGCGGCAACACGGGTTGTCAGGATCTCACGTTAGAGAGCATATGCTGGGGGATATCTGGGCTGGAGGGGTTCACCGTGCGTCTTGTACTGGCGTACGACGACCGATATACACTAATCAGGCGCAACAGCCCACTACGCATGCCACCGTTGAACGATGCATCGTAGCGAAAATGCATGCGTTATAGCTGTTAACAATAATCACCTTGCATCTTACGTCGGCCCTCGCAGCTCCCCGTATCTATCCATTGACTCTATCAGTACCTGCCACAGGTCTTGACTATCAGCCTGCGGATGCGGCGCCCGGGCCCGCTGTGAGTACCGCTAGCTTGGTATCGAGGTGATCAATTCCGCCAAGACGCAGCTTCATGTCAAAATAGGACGGCAAGTAGTGGGGAGCCACTCACAGAACGTCAAAGCGTGTCGCCTCTCCCATGCTCAAATCTATCGAGAGAACGTAAGTCATGATTGCCGGCGAACGACTCAGCTAGATTTCCAACTCATCCGGGGTCTTACGTTCAATAGGTCGGTATATCTCCTAGACAGGTTAGTAGTTCCTCGAGCTGTCCGACCTTTCCGTTCCGGCCCGCCTCCTTGACGTTCGAAAGTAGTTAGGTCGATACCTTTCCGTAAGTGATACGCATTCGCAAAATAGTTCTCACTGCATTCAATCCACAGTCTGACAGTCTGCTGAAGACTGGAGGTTATCAACCTGAGGCCTCAGCGGACGAATCGGATGAAGTCTATTACTAGACGTCATACTTTATGGGTATTCCGGTCAGCCCAGTCAAGTAGTACCGTCACGACGTGCGTTGTCTTACTAACGAGGTCATTCTTGACAATCAAAATTCCTCGGAACCGCTAGGTGTAGGCGCGGCACGACTTAATGATATGTACAATGATACATGCTCACAAAGCGATTGCGAGGACCGTAGCCGCCATCCCGCTTATCCGCAAGTGCTTCCTGAAATGCTCCTTATAGTGGCAAATAAGGTCCTCCCATTTGATTCGACCCCCGTAAGGCTGTACTCTTCTCTCAAGTTATGCAGTAAGACATCTAGGGTCTTATGAGCAGATGCGGGTCGTTCACGTCTCCCGTTACGGCGCATGGCGAATAACTTGGCATCTCCTCGAGCTCCAATGTCCGTACAATCGCCGCTGGGCCGGGCGCAACGCTATGCTCACAACGCCCGGGCTCTTGGCTCATCGTATTCAGAACTATCCTGCCAAGCATCCTAAGTGACCTTGGCGGATCCGGAAGTTATCAGTCGCCTTCTCAAGCTCGCATTTATGTATCGCTGCCCGAATGCAAGATCCTTGACGGAGTCTCTAGAGGGCCTTTTGACGCGCAAGGTTCCGACTCAAAGTATTGTTCCATGGATGGTACGTACTACGGACATCCTTAGAGCCTGCATGTACCTTGGTTGCGAGGCATCTCTCACGGCACTCCGAAATTGGACACCTAGGACGAGACGGTGTATGGGACTCGGAAGTAAGTACTGCGACAGTCGCAGGTGATGTTCAGCGAATCGCTTCGGATACGAAGGACGCTAGTCAGCCTCCGTACATCATGTAATACACCAATATAAACGAGTCGCTGTCGAGTCGCACAACCGTAGTTTCCGGAGATACAAATGATACGCATACAAATACAACATAGTGCCACAAAGCCCTCAACTTGCATGATCACTTCAGTGCATTAGTAACGAGCTCCAAGATCTCCTTGGTGCTCTTCCGTGCGTTCCTGAGGTCCTTAGCAATGGATTGCCATGTCGGACCGTGGTGAGGGTCCGCAGCCACGCATTTCTTAACAACCTCCTCCTGTTGCTCCTGCAGTCAGATGGTCAGAAGCCGTATCGCCGCATACGAAGCAGGGTATACTGACTGAGTTTCCATGTTGACGTTCGAACTTCAACCACCATCCCCAGTTGTCTCCGAGGTCAGGATTGGCGGTGATAGCGCGCTCGAACCACTGCCTCGCCTTCTCGATCTTTCGCTCAGCCCAGAAGAGCCGTGCGACAGTACACAGCACCAAGGGATCGTCCGCGGCTTTTCGAAGAGCGTCGGCGGAGCGAGACTTCCGGGTGGGGCGTGGCTCTGACCATATGGTCATGGACCAGAGCAAGCCGGAAGTCTGGCATTCCTGTAAGCCTATGTGCGAAAATAGTCTCAGTATCGTGCCAGAACACGTCACAGCGTGTGGCTTACCCCTCGCCAGCACCGTCTTGGCCTGTGCAGTGCCTCCACTACGTTCCTCGACGCCTACTGCCTCGGCCCATAGAACGTCGCTGCCAGAATTGGCCAGGCGGGCCTTGTCAAGAAGCGCTCTCGCCTTGATACTCTTTCCGTCCGCCTCTTCCAGTCGGCTGGCTAGGATCCACAGAGTGACTTCTTTAGGGCATTGCTTGATTCCAGCAGCATAGGAAGCGCGAGCTGCGGCATAATCCTTCCGGTCTTGGTGGATCTGACCCTGAATCATATAGAGCTTTGCAAATTTGGTGTACTTCTTAATAGCGGTTGCGAGCGTCTCGAGTGCGGTGTCAATCTGCCCCTGCTGCCGTTCGAAGACGGCTGACTTCATCCAGATCTACAACATACTATCAGAGCAATGTCACGCAATCGCAGACGTAAACGAACGCACCCTTTGAGTATCGGCCACAGTTCGGGCCCGTACGAGAAGTTCTCTCGCGGCTATAACCTCGCCATTCTCAGCTTCAATCTTGACAGCGGCCAGCCAGATCTGTTCGCTTTCCGGGTTGGCAACGAAGGCCCTCTCCAGGACCTCACGCGCGCCGGGGACGTCGCCGGCGAGCCACTTTTCTTTCGCCCACATGAGCCAGAGGACCTCCGCCTGCGGACAGTGATGAACGGCCCTCTCGAGGACTGCGGCGAGTGACTCCCTGGAACAGCAGTCAGACGATATGCAGGACTGTAACAAGACAGATGAACGGACCTTGTACCATGTGCCTTCTCGAGATCCGCAGCCTTGCGCCATAATACCCTCTTGTCCGGGAAGACCTTGAGTGCATACGCAAGGATTGCCCGCGCGGTCCCTACGTGACCTCGAGACTCTGCGCTCTCTGCGTCGCTCATCCAAGTGTCGAGCCTATCTTCTTCCTCTACCTCCATCGCTACGGTGGCTTTCACGATTGCCTCGCACGTGCGTGGTGACCCTTCGCTCTCGCATCGCTCCGCCTCCTTCAGCCACAACTCGCGAGTGAGCAGAACGCCGTGCGCGCGCAATTGCCGCACACCGGCTGCGATAGTCTTATCAACGACCGCGAGCTCCTCGTTCCGCACCGCTTCCGGCATCTCGGTAGCGTAGGCTTGTTGCTCGATCAGTCGGCCTGCAGCAATCCAGATCTCGTGGCTTGTAGGCACCGCGCTCCGAGCCTTATTCAGGACTGCCCTGGCCTTCTCGGGTGTTTCCAGACGAGCAAGAGCTAGCCACAACTCTACGGAGAGAGGGATGACTTCCACTGCGCGCGACAAGATGATGCGTGCGTCGACAGGATTAGACTCAAGGTTGACGGTCTCCTTCCACAGGCGTACGGAATTCGGGATGTGTTCAAGAGCTGGGAGTGGCGTCAGCATCGAATGAGGATCCACACGACCTATTACTCACCCTTGCGCAGGACACGCTTCTTGCCCTTGGCGTCGTGTTCCAAGTCTGCGGCAGCCAGCCAGATTTTTACGCTCTGGCCCACATGCTGTACTGCGTTGGCCAAAACGACCTTAGCATCATCGTTATTCTGTGGCCGAAATCAGCATCAAGTATCGTACTACTGACTGTGAGCACGTACATGCAAGCGTGCAGCTTCAAGCCACACATCCTCACTCTTCGGGCATTGCTCGCAACCTTGCTTGATGAGCTTGCGTGCTGCAACCATGCGGCCAGCATGCTCTTCCAGACATGCAGCGGCGATCCAACCGGGCGCATGCTTGGGATTGGATTTGACAAGCGAATCGAAGAGCATACGTGCACGCTTGATATCGCCAATCTCTGCATCTGTCTTGATCACGACGCTCTCCAGGGAGGTGAGGTAGCCTTTGGGGTCGATAGAGGTAGAGAGACCGGAGTTGGTGGAAGTGCCCGACACCTGAGGAACAAATCATTGAGTCCTATCTGTATGATGAACAAACATTGCTCGTACCTGATCTAGTTTCAACGACAAGATCTTGTCACGAGCTTGACCCATCTCCACGAAGTTCGTGAGCGTGCCGCTGTCTGCTGGGGTCTCAAAGCCTCCTGCCTGGGACAGACAACATAAAGTGAGTACACGAGTGCACATGAGCACTGCAGCACTGCAGACTCACCGCTTGCTGCCTCGCGTCCAGTGCATTCTCGTATTCGGTCTTAGACCTGTCTCCGACAATGATGCTGTCGGGCACAACAAATGACCTCTCGTCCCTTTTACGCTTTTTGCGCGTAAGATTGCCCACCTCTGGAATGCTCTCCCATTCTTCGTCAGTGACAACCGCCAGGCCGCGCTTCAGGTCAGCAAACTGCTGCTGAATCTTCGGTCGCTCGGCTCGATGCTTCGCAAGCTCCTCATTCTCGAGAGCCTCCCTGCGGCGCAGCTGTGAGTGGACTTCAACATATTTGAGCTCCTCATGCGTACCGACGCGCCCGCCGCCGAGCATCCATGTTCAGGTCCACCGACTCATATATACGATCCGCCTCCTCATCGTCAGCTTCGTACGTAGTCCCAGCGAAGAGACCGTATTCGTTGTCGGGATCCTGGAACTGATCCGGGTCAACCTCCGCTTCCTCGCCTCGCTTCGCTTGTGCTTCGCTATACTATATGTCAGTGTATGATGCACGGGTGTAGTGGGAGTGTACGCACGCAATGACTTCCGCGGAGGGTCCTTCACGGGCCGGACCAATATCCGAACGTGTGGTGAAGCCAGAGGCACCTCGTCCGAGACCAGCGACATAGGATGCCGGCGCCGGCATAGAAAGGAAGGCCAGCTTGTTGGTCTTGTTGTTCGCCGCCATCTTGCAGTGATAGCGAGCGAGACTGAACGACTGAGGGAGATGGTCGCCGTCGGTGGCGAAGTTACCGAAGTGTGATACTGCAGTAGCTCAGTCACGTTACAGTTGTGCCGTCCATGGAGTTTGTCATCATTTGTTTCCTGTGGCGCAGGACCTCCGTCAACTTGAAAGAGCTGCGCCCTGCCGCATACATCACTCAACTTGCTCATTGTCGACTGCGTCATTCTGGCTCATTATCATGCACTTTCGCATCGTGTGTCCTCATAGAACATGCTCATCAAGACATGTACGGGTTCCAATCGAGTCCATAGAGCTATAATACAGTTGCGCCGTTTACTGCATAATACTAGTGATACTACATAACATCGCGGATTGCAGACGAACATCGACCCTCATGAGCGTTGCATTCATCAGATCGACAAGGGGCAGGCATTCAATATCCCTCCTGTGAAGATTAAGCACATAATCCAGAGTATGGGTGAGCATTACGAACCTTCTTCTCTTCGCCGCGCACGACCATGCCGGGGTTGCGGGTCACCTTGCCAGCTATCTTCTCCATGTTGCCTGTATGGTCGAACTGGTGAGTCACCATATAACCGATCGTTTACCAGTAAACTTACCCTCGACACGTTGGGCCATAGATGGCTTGCCGCCGGCTCTACCCCCGGGAGCACCGCCAGGCTGGTCGCCTTGGTACGTGTTATCGCCTTGCGCGCCCTGGAAATTGTCCTGTCCGGCACCGCCATACCCGCCCTGGGCACCTCCCCCGTATGCGCCGCTGCCCTGGTAGCCTTGGTCCTGGGGGCCGCCTCCCTGCCCTCCAAAGCCTTGATCGCGGGATTCCCGACCCTGGCCCCCTTGATTAGGGAAGCCTTGGTTCTGGTCGACCCCTTGGTCGAAGCGGCGGTCAGCCTGGCCGCCGCCGAAGCCCTGGTCAGCCTGACCGCCACCGAAGCCCTGGCCACCCTGGCCGCCGCCGAAGTCCTGGCCGCCACCTTGGCCGCCGCCGAAACCCTGGTCACCCTGGCCGCCGCCGAGGCCCTGATCACGACGGCCGTAGTTTTGGTTGCCACCACCCTGGGCGCCGAAATTGTTGGCTGTTAGGCAACGTTCAGATGCATGGACCGTCTAACAGCTGGTGACGTTCACTCACGGTCGTTGTTCCAGTTACCAGTCTGGTTTCTGTCGGAGTCCACCATATTGGATTGTCGATTATTCAACGAGGATGAGATTTCAAGGGGTATGTGAATGTTGGGTGGTATGGGTTGTGAGGACTTAGGATAAATGTACTCGGTCTTATATCTACCCGAAACTGTGGTCTCTGCAATTCGCCGCCGACGCAGGGGGGCGAGCGTTCTGTCAAGGTACGCACGAGAGTGGTGCTCATGTCAGGGATGGTGCGGCATATGTCCGAGCCTCGTCATCGAATGGCTGCAAGCGGGTAAGTGCATCTCTTCGCAACTGCGGTACTCCTCTCGTGGCGTGGGTTGACCAGCAGATGACATAGAATCCGGGGCTGGACCGAGCTACTCCAGCAGCGAAATAAAGGTCATTGCTGCTTCCTAAGGTACTGACCAAAGTATTGCCCGTAATAGCGACTGTTGGAGCGACCGTGGTGCCTAGCCGCAGGATCCGAGCGGGCCATATTTGCACTGCATGCTGTCAGTACACCGTCATGATACAATTGAGGCCATTGTACAAGATCTGCCAAGAGAAAGGCCACTGCACACTAGGTACGCCTTAGCTGCAAGGGGATACTGATTTTCTGTGCTGCTGCTGACCTACGTCATACAGCTCTAGACTGAATACTTAAGTACTTGTATTCTCTGCCATAGGCAAGGGTGTAACTCAGCAGTCGTGGCAAATTGAACTGGCAATACATCATGATACGACGTGTCAGTCGGTTGTGCGTACTGCATTTACAGTCACTATCATCAAGCTTCAAGCTCAAGGCCAGGTGCAAGACCGATCACTCCCCCATCTTACTACGGTGTGTAAGTAAGTGACACCAGGCGCATATATATATCCTGACAGCCACATGCGCATGACGCGGAGTGGATCATAAGTAGCCAGGGCGTGAAAGTGCTTTGTTTCGGTGGAGCAGTTCGCCCTAGTTCGCCTAGGCGCGCTCGGTATAGCAGCCGACAAAGTCGTCTCCAGGTCAATTACCTACCCACTGACGGTTAGGAGAATTCAAACCCCTCGAGTCGATCGTGAAAATGCTACTATACATTGCTATTACTTCCATCTACTTCTGACGTCTCGCTACGAAACCACGAGACTACAACACCAAGGGGGCGTATGAGGGCATAAGGCAGGTGAAGATGCCGCTACTAGTTAACGTTCTCCTGAAATGTGCATGAGCCTCGTGTTACAAAGAGCATTTGCGCGATGAGACATACCCTACGCTGCTCGCCGCGTTGTTGCGTGCCAGTGTTTCCGGTCACCTTACCAGCCACCTTCTCAGCGGTACCTTCATGAGACGTTAACGTCAGAGCCACATCCCAGCAGGTAAGGTCAGGGACGGTACTAACCCTTCACACGCTGACCCACAGATGGATGGCCGCCGGTACCCTGGTTGTTATTCCAACCTTGGTCGCCGGCGTTGCCTCCAGCGTTGCTCTGCTGCCAGTCACCAGTACCCGCACCGGGCACGTTGTTATCGGAGGTGTTGCCCGGGTATGGGCCTGTGTTGCCCAAGCTGTCGCCGTGGCCGGCGGTATACTGCGCACCCGGGACAGCGTTGTTGTCCCGAGCACCTTCACGGCGCGTGTAGCCCTGGTCTTCGAACCCTGGCTGGAAGCCGGGCTGGTCGTTGGCCGAGGAGTTCTGGTTTGAGGAGTTCTGAGTCCCGTAGCTGTTCGCTGTTAACCGCGAGGTTAGCGGCCATTTGTGTGAGCAGCCTATGAAGAGTAGCTTACGGTCGTTGTTCCAGCGCGTCTCGTTGCCTCGCGGGGGGTTTCCGTATGCGGCAGACATTATGAATTCTCGTTACGCGGTAATAGATGATTTGGAGGTCGTGGTGATTTGTGGGAGAGAAGTCGTGGGTTCGTGTTGATCAAGCAGACGTGCCGTCACCTTATATGTATACGGTTGAGGAGGCCCCTGGGAGACGTATCGCGGTGTATGACGCATTATGGACCCACAACTGACACAAAAAATGATCTCATGCAACGGTGAGATGCTCCATGATGCGCCTCCTCGTGTCCATTGTGGGACGTGAGTGGATCGTGCGTGGTCGTGCGTGTGTTGTGCGTTGGAGTCAGCGGCATCCGCGCCCGCCTCTTGTGTGACGAAGAAAATACGACTTGACGAGTTACCCGTATGCGACCAGCGTAGATGTCGGCGATGGAGGTGCAATACGAGAACACTACGCCGGAGTATGCATTGGAGCTCCTCGACGTTAGAATCTGTCAGTGTTACACCACATTCCATTCTCGGAGCTGCACCCCGCACCACGTGCACTGGTAATTGCCTTGTCCGGAAATCCTTCTCCGCGAACATACAAGCGCCCGTTTGGCGTCTACCCATTGCCCCAGAAACGTTCTGCAGCCTAGGTCTGCGGCGCAGTTTGGCCTCCAAGGCAATTCTCATCTTCTATGTACTTGGAAGTAAGCGATATGCCGCGCCTCACTGACATTTGCTCATTTCAACCTCGTGTCAAATAGTTCTTGCCCTCTCGGATGCCGCTGGAAACATTACGGACGTCCGGACAACGTTCTGCCAATTGAGGTATGTGGATCCGTCCATGAATCATATCTACGACAACTTCCGTTGTTTATACAACCGGATCACTTCTCAGGCATCTCTATACAGCCATTGGCATATGACCAGCGCTACATCGACACCAGAACCGGGTGTTGGGAACGGCGGCGACACATCTATCGATTTAACATACCTTTCTCATTTCTCTAAACACCTTGACCATGTCCGTGCACACTTATCAGGCAGGGACAGGAGCGGCCGGCTCCCTCCCTCATTCTTCCCACCCAGCGCGTACTGGACGAGTGCTGAGAAGGATCTCTTCTTCCACGCGCTCGCCATACACTCCCGTCTTAGACCAGACTTGATAGCCGAGGAGATCAAGACGAAGAGCGTTGTCGATGTGTGCTTATATGTCCAGCTGCTGGAGAACGGCGCTCGTACGAATGGTCCTGTGCTTCGAAAGGACTTTCTGACAGCCTTGAAAGTCTCTGATGCCCTGGTCGCTCTGGAGGAGCAGAAGGCGCAGCCTTTCCTAGACGCAGAACCTACATGGGAGAGTCGGGAATTGCAGGAAGCACGACAGGAGGAATTGGAGGCTAGGGAAAAAGCGGTGCGAGCTCGCAGAGGTCAGGCGCAGTCGGAGAGCAGCGAACATTATCGAGAAGATGTCAGGCAGAGGAAGAAGGAATTCAAGCAATGGTTGAAGGAACGGAAGGAAGAGTGGAAGGTGGAAGACACTCTGCGAGCTTTGGGCTGTGCTACTCTCGAGGCCATGAACCGAGTTTTAAGGGAAGAAGACGAGGCGGCGTTGCAGATGGACGACGACGCTAGTGTTCCACCGGACGATACCAACCAGGAAGCTCAAGAGGTCCACAGTGTTCGTGGCGACCAGCCGGTGGCTGAGGAGCAACATGCTTCTCAAGGACTCGAGCAGCCTGTTGCGGGCACGCCCAACGACGAGATGATCGACCCGATACTTCGCAATCAATCGCAGAGTCTGCAGTCTACTGTCGTCAGCGAAGGCGCGCCCGCACCCCGTCATAGTCATTGCCCTGCTGCACCGCCACATATGCTTCCACATCACCAATTTCGTCCCCAGACACCTCCATTTCGTCCTTCTCCTCTTCCTCCCACATCTAGCGAACCCATCAGTCGCGCCAGTTCGGTGGTCTCCAAGTCCCAGCTCGACCCCGACCTCGCTGCTGCGCGACGTCTGTTCCAGAAGCGACTTCACATGAGGAAGAAACGCGCGGAAGCTCGCGGAGGTGGTGTCGTATCCACAGCTTCCAAACTCAAGCCAGGCCGAAAACGCGCAGCCAAGGTTCTCAGAGGACCTGGCACGGACGTAAAGTCCACGAGCTGCATCAAGCGACGCGCATCTAGCGGTGAAGGCGGCGGCGGCGGCGATGACGACGATGAACCGGCCGCGGAGGGTACTGACGAAGAGCGGGGTTCAATGGACAATCAAGCTCCCGCGGAAGCTGCTCGCAAAGACCGTTCTCGTCGCTCACATGTCTCAGGCTTGACGCTCCCTTACAAGCTTCTCAAGAAGTTAAGAGAGATAGGCCTTGACGCGGATGAGCTACAGGAGCAATATGTTGGAGCTCTGAATCTCAAAGGCTTGGCCAGACTCATGCGGTATGTATTCTTCTTAATGAGCGTATAGTAGTTGATCGTCACAACATTCCGCAGACTGTACAACCGCCTTCATGACGTTGATTCTACTATATCTTCGCAAATCTCGTCGGACGTGATTCGATTGCTGAACGCTCACCTCTCGCAATTCATCACGGAACTGATTCATTGCGTCGTCGTTCTACGGGAGCAGGACCGGGAGTCCAAGAGAAACACCAAAGGCTGGCGTCTGGGGAAGTTTGACGTAAGTCAATAGATGCAGCTCTCCGAAGAGAAATCGTCCATTGACCCACGGAACGTCAATACTTACAGCGTATCTCCCACGTGCACGTTGAACAAGCCTTGGTATTGATGGGCTGCGAGAGCATTAACAAGAAGGAACACTTCGACATCCTCCTTCAGCGTTCCGGTTTGGCGGAGGACGATTCTGATGGCGCGCCTGGTGAGAAAGATGTAGCAAGTGGGGACTCGTCGTCCGAAGACGAGGCCGATGACGAGCGCGAGGCCGACGAAGTAGAACAGGATGACGAAGATGACGAAGATGAGCAAGTATTCGACCCTCACAGGTTCCCATTGCATCGCGCCGTGGCTCCTCCCCTGGTCTATTATCCGGCAGCCGAGTCCTCGCCTTCAGCGAGCGGTGTTCCTCGCTCTCTGGATGTCTCTTTGTATATGCCCTGGCCGGCATCTACGGCTTCCGCCGAACCTCCCGCTGAAGAAGACCTCATGTCGGACGAGACGGAAACTGACGCGCTAGTGGAAGAGCTGATTGACGAGGAGCAGCTCGATGAACATGATCGCCTCCTGGAAGAAGCCTACGAAGAGAGTTTGTGGACCGAATTAGCGGGCTCGCCTCCCCCGGAGATGCAACGACGACCCAAACGCAAACGCAAGCGGTCGTACGATGACGACGGAGAGGACGAGTATGAGGGTTGAAGCTTGAAGATCAGCGCCAAGGCAAATCTGGTAGAGGTCACCGGATGGCGTGCGATGACATGCAAAAGTATCCTGGTCAGTATTTCTTCCTGTGGATGCTGTCTGACTCGAACTGAGGTTTCATGCCCTCGCAGTATATAGTGATCATCTATCGCTACTTTCTACATGTACAGGTATGTATGGGAACCCAACCCTCATGCAAGGTACCAACTGACATCTCAAAGCATCTAGTCGATCGTATAGTATATACCACCTTAATCGGAAGTATGGACTTTAACAAACGGGTTTTTGTCTCACGCTACTTATCTCGACATCTGTGGACGGTGGACGTGCGATGATCATAGTAGGTGTCCGCCAGTCGCCTCCTGTTCGAAGTCTGTCTGATAACGCCTCGGAGGTAGGCTCACTTTCAGTATCCTTCTTATTTGCTCCTCGGGTTTCCTACTTACGCTGCCCCCGATTACGTCTTATCTGCTCGCTATTCAGCCGTACAACACGGAAGTCTGCCCTGCGTTCGAGAGCAATAACATCCAAGCGCCCGCCGCGGATGAACTAGGGTGGCTAGATCAGCTTTCCGTCGGCGGGCGGTTCTGCGTCCAGTACATGACCTCCTGTTCCCGGCATTCCCTGTGGCTCGCTGGTCGATTCGTCGGCTTCGTCTTGCTGGCCGCGCATTAAATCCTGGAAACTGGCTCAGACTCCAACCTCGTCGCCGAACACTAATTATACCGACGGTACTGTGGTGCTTTGGTGAATAAATGTGCAGCTAGGTGCTAATGCCTATGGTGCGGCGCTTGTACTTTGCTCACGGCAGCTTCCGCACCAGGTAATTTCAAGACTTGAGTGTTCAAAGCGTGTCGAATGATCTTTTCAGACTGTAACCCTTTGGTCGACACTGATGTGGTGGTCGGGTGCTGCAGGAGTGAGCTTCGTAATGACTTCCCGAGATGACTTTGCTAACCATAGAGCAATGCAAATGTTAATCCCGCGGCTCCCTGTCCCTCTCTAGTGTTTCTGGTTTGCGACATCCGATTGATCCGGTCGACGGACGAACTTCGGGAGCCTCCATTGAGAGCAATCAAAGCTGGAGAGCGTCTTGCTTCCACTACTCGGACAGAGACGCTTCTCCTGCGCAACGGTGTTAGTGGATGCTTCGGGTGGCGTCTCAAGGACCTACTGACTGCGGTGTCATCTCCGAGGCTTTCTTCAACCACTTTGGGTCGAAACGGCGTACGTCTGATGTGCATCTGTCAACGACTGGTGTTTGCTCATCGAGCCGAGGGCGCTCGTTGCTTCGTATAAAACCTCAGCAGTAACCCTTGTCTTGTCCTACATTCAAACACCTCGACTCACCGACTCATCAGCTTCTCATATCTCGAGCCATGAACGGAAACACCCACCACGCAGTAACTCGAGTGGCGATCGTCACTGGTGCCTCGAAGGGCATTGGCCGCGACATCGCGCTGCGACTTGCTGACGATGGTCTCGACGTGACAATCAACTCGCGCAACGCTGCTGAGCTCGAAGTGGTCGCTGAGGAGATCCGAGCGAAGGGCCGCAAGGCACTGGCATTCGTCGGCGACGTCTCGGACGAAGAAGTCGTTCAGAGCATGGTTGAAAAGACGGTAGAGGTCCTTGGAAGACTTGATGTGGTAAGTGTTTCAAACTAGTCTGCTGGTGAATGATGCACATGCTGACCAGTTATTCAGATGGTGGCGAATGCAGGGACTGCTGTCGTATCGCGGGTGGTTGACAGTAAGAGCAGGGGCATCTTCTGAAACAGCTATTGCTAATGCGTGACCGCTCGCAGTGAGCCTGAAGGACTGGAACTACTGCATGGACAGTAATCTGGCCAGTGTGATGCTTTGCTACAAGTATGCTGCACGCCAGATGATCAAACAAGGCGAGGGAGGGAGAATCCTCGGTATGTAATGTCCTCCACGACGGTATTCTGGAAGCCGCCACTCACCGGACTTCACAGGTGCGTCGTCTATTCTTGGCAAGAAAGGTATGAATTCCACATTACCATACCCCTAAAACTCCTGAGACAGAATTCTGTCAGGCGGTCCCGAGGTCTCGGCCTACGTTGCAACAAAATTTGCAATCCGGGGACTTACACAGTGCCTGGGTGAGTGTATAACGCCCATTTCACTCCATGGCGCTAGACATTGCATGTACAGCTATCGAACTTGCACCACACAAAATCACTGCCAACACGTATGCACCAGGTGTTATCCTGACACCATTGAGTAAGCGGGACGGTCCTCGATGCTCTGACCGGCTGACGGGCACCAATAGCGAATATCGATGTCCTCGACAAGCAATACGGTGGGACCCATGGGGCGTTCACGAAGCATGTGAGTAACCCATCCCATGTTCCCGTGAATATACCCCTCAGACAATTCTTCAATCCCATGAAGGTTTGCGGCATAGCACCGGACGGCCCCCACTCATCGGGAGACACCGTCGCCAGTCTGGTGTCATATCTGGCGAAGCCCGAGGCTTATTTTATCACCGGTGCGTTACTTCCTGCGCATTGATCTGCGCAGTTGACTGACATGGGCACTCATGATACTGTCAGGGCAAACAATTGTCATGGACGGAGGCGTTGTCATGAGCTAGTAGAAGGCAGTGACCGATGTCCTCAGGCTACGGTTACATTAATTATCTTAGTGTCCTATCATAACACTGGCTGTCCTAACCATTCATACTATACTAGTATTAGCTCGTTAGCCAACAACAAGTACGGGAGATGTGTTGATAATGGGCGTACTAGTTGTCTCAAGGGCCACTTTCAACGTCGACTAATACTAGCAGTTACTGTGTAATCGATCTACTTCTTGTTCCACTGGCATGACCGTCGTGATATCCTTTCTCACAACTGTCTGGCGCACAAAGCTTGGCATGGTGCGCTGTGCTTACGGCAGCTAGTGACCGAAATACGATCTGAGAGAACATTGCGACGGTCGGGTTCAATCACTGGACCTGTTTGTGGCAATGATATGTTACCTGGGCGCAAGCACTAGTACTTCGCATGAGGGATCATGATTAAAGGTTAAGGATTTATTACCTCCTCTCGAACGATGGGACATGCCATAGCACTGTACTCTGGAAGAGATATCGTTCTCTAGGCTACATGTTGACGGGGTGAGGGCCCTGGGACTCCCCATGCCACGGCGGCCTGAGGTGGGTCTTGAGGCGATCCGCGGTGAACCTCTCCATCGTGGCGTGTGCCTTGGCCAAAGCTTCACATGTATAAAAAACATAGGCCATTCACGATCATTGACTCCCGGCGGAACGGACACAGCTTGTGTCACAGGAGGTCCGATTTACATAGGGCCAGCCGCGCGCGTACTAGTACCGTCGATCATACTGCATCAGCTGTAATCACTGTGTGTACCAATCAACAACTTGCTGTGACAGCGTCTGCGATGGTAAAGCGCGTAACTTTGTTGTTTGGGCCGGTCCGACTCGGAGGTCCACGCGAGGGTTCTCGTGCCCCACATGAGCTCGTAGCCTGAGGCTGCTAATATCCTCGGTGAACGGATGATTATGTGGGTTACCGAACCCCACATGGACAGCGCGTTGTACGTCTCTTGGTTCACTGCTAGGAGTCGGACCCACCAACACGCGTACACGCATGTCCGATGCTTGATCAGCCGTACTCGGACTTCACCATCCGGGGAGGGACATGGTCCCGCATCGGGCATCGAACGTCTGGCATAAAGGAATGAGCTGCTGCTGCAGTCCTCCAGACCTGAGACCACTCCATTCACGTATCTACTTACAGCCTCCATCTACATCTCAATTCCAGCCTCTACTGACATCAACATGCATGTTCTCGTCCTTGGGTATGCCGTATGTCGAGTTGCAGTAGTCTCTTGGATTGACCAAACGACCTGACATAGCGCTTCTGGATTCATCGGGCTCCCCGTTGCCCAAGCATTGATCCGTGCGGGACATATCGTGTATGGCCTGACGCGCTCGCAGCATAAGGCCAAGCAACTCGCCGCCGAAGAAAGTGAGCACGCTCTAACGCTTCAATACTGGGTACTGACCTTGAATTGTCCAGTTATCCCTATCATCGGGGAGACGTCGGACCCATCCACCTGGCTGCCCATGGTTGCGACACTTGATGTGATCATCGACGCCGTCGGGGGCACGAACATCAGGGCGCTCTCCGAGACGCTTCTGAACGCGACCGCTGAGGCCGCGCGGAAGTACCGCCCTGCGCATGCACCCAAGCTCACCTACATCTACAGCTCTGGTACATGGGTGCACGGCGACGACCGTAAGAACATCGTCAGTGACACGACGCCGCTTACGAGTCCCCCCGAGCTCGTCTCATGGCGCCTGGAGCAGGAGCAGCGCGTCATCCACAACGACGTTCTCAATGGGATCGTCATCCGCCCCGCGCTCCTCTACGGCCGCTCCGGCTCTCACCTCGCATTGTTGTTCAAGGGCGCGTACGAAGGGAAGGTCGCGTGGGTTGGTCGTCCTGGTGGACGCTACGCGCTGATCCATTGCGACGACCTCGCCGATATGTACCTGCTCGCCGCGGAGAAGTCCGTCATCGCTGCAGGGCAGATCTTTGATGCAGCAAACGACTTCACGGAGAGCGTAGACGACCTCCTTCAAAGGCTTGTGGTGGTCTCTGGAGCGAAGGGGCCATTTGAGTACATCGAACCGAGCAATCGTGAGTCTTACATCCTGACAGACTGGTCGCGAGTAACTGACACGATACCACCAACAGTGTTCGAGATTGCACTTACCACGACTTCCCTGGTCCGCCCGTACTTGGCCCGCAGTCTTCTTGGCTGGCGGCCACGGAAGGCTGGTCTCGTTGACCATTTGCATATCTATTACAGCGCATGGAAAGCGAGCGCGGGACTATAGGACTGTAAATCATGGTCAATATCACCGAGACCGCAGACACAATACATAGAGCCAGACTGACCGTAAGGAACTGGCAATGTATGTTAGACTCTGCTACCTCGCCTGCAGTAGCAGGTTATAGGGAGGTATGAGTAAGGGCGGATGCACGTCAGCTGTCCATATTACTTACAAGGTCCGCCGCAAAGCGTCAAGGTTGCGTTTACGAGAGCTGACCATTCCCCCGCTGCATGGCTACGCACTGTTGAACATCAGTCATTCCCGTCCCTCGCCAGCACGGACGACCCCTCAACCTGGCTCCCTTGGTGGCAGTCCTTGGTTGTGTCGTCTAAGCGATAGCGGGACCGAGCATCAAATCCTCCCTCAAGAGCTCGTAGATGCAGTAGAAGAGGCCGTCAAAGAGCATCGCCCGACGCAGGACCCAAAGCTGACATACATCTACACATCTGCATGCTGGGTGCATGGAGACAACCGGAAGGACGTCAAGACTGACACCACGCATGTGACCCAGCCGGTAGAGCTGCTTCACTGGAGGCCCGCGTTGGAGCAGAGGATACCGGGAAGCACTGTGCTGAACGGGATCGTCATCCGGCCTTCGCTGTCGTATGGCGAGTCTGCCTCGATCCTCGCGCCGCTTTTCAACAAAGCGTACGAGGGCAAAATAGAGTGTTACGGCACGCCGGGGGACGCTAGGACCCCTGATAATTGGGGAGGAAGCCTTAATCGAATCCGGACAAATTTGGGCGATTCGGAGGGGCTGGGGCTGATGTTTGTCCGGACAAATGGGCAAATTTCGCCGTGAAGGGCTGAGGAACTGTACGGACATAGCTTGTCGTGATTGCTCGAGGGGTGAGGAACATCCGGACATGGCCAGCCCAGGTGCTCTCGCGAACGGCGTCAGCGCGACGACAACCCCCCGAGAGCACCAACCCTGCTAAATGGCGGGGTCCGTCGGTAGAGGCCTGAGGAAAAGTCCGGACAAACCCCCGCCGAACTTGGGACTGCCTGATTTTATCCGACCAAATCTCGCCAAATTTCGCCAAAAAAGTCCGGACAAAAGGGCTGAATTTGCGCGCGAGCAGATCAGGCCTCTCCGCATATAATCAGGGGTCCTGGGACGCTATCCGTGTATCCAAGCCGATGACTGTGGGGAGCCCTATCGCCTGGCAGTGGAGAACGCCGTCATTGTCACGACTTGACCATTGATGCTACGAATGACTTCACCAAGAGCATCGATGACACCCTGCAGATACTATTAAAATTATCGGGTGCGAAGGAGCCGTATACGTACCACCGCAGACGCGTGCGTGACTCATGACTCGGCTGATAGAGCTCTGCTAGACTGATTGCGCATTTGACACGACATATAGCGTTTGAGAAAGGCATTACGGTCACGACGCTTGTGCTTCCGTACTTTGGCGCAGAGCCTTCTGGGATTGCAAAACTAATGTGGTCGATGGGCTTGAGGCGTAAAGGAAGGCCATGAGCGAGGGGCTGTAGATGTTGCGGCAGACAATGAAGCTGATGTATAATAGGAATTGTATGAGTTCATTAGCCAACTAAATGACGAAGCCTAGCCGGGAACTTACCTGTCATGACCGAATCCACCCGGGTACCCGCATTATGGGATATAGTGATTCTCTTTCGATCCTCGTTGTGAACTTACGCATACTCGTGCGAACCTGTTTAGCTATAGGGAGGTAAATGCCTGCGAAAGTTCGATGCTCGGTCAGACTCACATGACGTCTACTGACACTAAGTAGAGACCATGAGTAAGGAGACGAAGCTGCCCGAGGGCAGCTGAACAAGCCTGAGGGTGGACATCGGAATTAGTTCGATATATAATCCATCGCGTTGGACTGTATACCTATACCAATATCACCTCCACGACTAAAGAACATGAAGGTCCTCGTCGTAGGGTAAGCCAAGCGCATGTATACTCACGGTGCACCAGTTGAGGCCATGCCATCTCGTACAGTGCATCCGGCTTCATTGGGTTGCCAGTCGCACAAGCGCTAGTGCGCGCTGGGCACGTTGTGTACGGTGTAACTCGTTCGGAAAGCAAGGCGAAGGCGCTGGCAGCGGAGGAAAGTGAGTCTCCCCGTAGTTCGCAATGTTGAGCCATCCGCATTCAACCCGACTGCCGACAGTCATTCCTATCGTCGCACCCGTCGAGGACCCCTCCATCTGGCTGCCGCAGGTGGCGACTCTGGATGTGGTGATCGAGGCGATAAGCGGCCCGGACGTCAAGGTGCTCTCGGAGAAGCTCCTCAACGCTGTCGCGGAGGCTGCAACGCAGTATCGCCCACCTTCCGCACCGAAGCTCGCCTACATCTACACCTCGGGGTCGTGGGTCCACGGCAGTAGCCGCAAGGACATCATTAGCGACACGACACCGATTACGCAGTCCGTGGATCTCGTTACGTGGCGGCCGTCGCTCGAGCAGAGGGTCGTAACGAACCCGATCCTGAACGGTATCGTCATTCGCCCTGCGCTCTTGTACGGTCGCTCGGCCTCCATCCTTGGCATGTTGTTCAAGACGGCACACGAAGGGAAAGTCAAATGGTTTGGTACGCCGGGAGGTCGTTACGCAACTATTCACCAAGATGACCTCGGAGAGCTGTATCGCCTGACTGCCGAGAAGGCAGCTATCATCGGAGGACAGCTATTCGACGCAGCAAACGACTCCAGTGAGAGCGTTGACGACATTCTGCAGAGGCTCGTCGAGGTGTCCGGTGCCCAAGGCTACGAGTATGTTCCGCCTACAAACCGTACGTGATCCCGCCGCCCGCATTGAGACCGCGTCTGACTAGCATATGACATGTAACGTACCTAGTCTTCGAGAAGGCTATCACCACGACATTACTCCTGCGCCCGTATCTCGCTCGCAGCCTTCTTGGATGGCAGCCACGCAAGGCCGGCTTGGTCGACCACCTGGAGATCTACTACGATGCATGGAAAGCAACGGCTGGGTCTGCGACACCTAAATCGGATTTCATCGGTTGATTTGGACGATGTTTCGACAGGAACCCTCGAGATCAGGATCTTCTTCGAGTATCGGTCAAGTTGTAGGATGGAGTAGGCAGAGCAGGGACGTCAGGGTACATGTAGCCAAAGTGAATCGGGTTGAACGTATTCGTTTGGGTTAGGTGCCAGGACTAGAATGGAAGCGGAAGTCTCTTGTAGGACCATCATCCAAGGGTGGTTGAGAGAACGATCCAATTCCTCAACAAGACTCGGTCAGAGTGAGTGTTTGGAGGCAACTCTAGTGAATTTGGAAGTCGTCGACAATTCCTGTAGCGGCGCAAGCGCCGTCCCCGACTCCATGTGGGTGCCTGAACCGTAATATGAATGAACATCGATTGAGCAGTGAGGGTGGTGTAGATAAGATGATACAATAATCTACATAGATTTCAAACTCCGCTTTTAGTGGTACAACATAGACCTAAAGCGGAACATAAGTATCAGCATCACTACTGTATACTAATGCTGTCTCCTTCTGGGTCAGATACACCTGTGTGTTCCAGCAGTACAGTTGGTTGATCATCTGCATGTTTAGAGTTGTCATGCATAAAAGCCTCTGCAGGATGTTCTGTAAAACCTGCTGTTTCTTCTTGGAAGATTTCATCACTTTTTTGGTGAATGTCTTGGATGAATTGAGCATCAACACCAGGAAGAACACCATCATCTGGAAATTGATCTATGTTACTCTGATCCAACAGGATCTGCTCATATAATCTGTTATGGTGCTTCAACCAAAGAAGAAAATGCCATATTTTGGCTTTTCGCACTCTGAATGTATTGCCCAGGTCACTGGCTTTGATTTTATGAGGTCCAATAGATACAACTGAGAGATACCCAGTGATGTCTGCAGGAGTTCTAGGAAGCACTGTTGTTGTTGATATGACATTCATATCACGTGTTATGGTGTTTCCATGAAAAATCTTTGGCTGTCCAGGTTCTGAAAATCCATACAAACAGGTTACATGGGCAGTGATATGATAAATAGCACATGCCATCTCTTCAACCCATGTAAGGTCACAAAATTCAGTAGGAAGATGACCTCTATATAGATTATTTGCCAGTGCATATCTGGGCATAGCTGGTTTCTTTAGGGAATTGTAGCAGTCTGAACATAGTGCTATTCTGTGATTGATAGGATCACTGCATAGCAGCCCTTTTTTATCCAACATGAAGCCATCAAATTCATTTCCATACAAGAACTCATTGGAATTTTGTTGTACAATGCATTTCTGAATAATCCATGGGTCATGTACCTGCAAAACAGACATGTTATGCACTATGTTGGGGATTTGATTCATATCATAGATCTTTGTTTTCAATCTATGGGCACTGCTAGAGCACACAGAGCAGATGAGAGGAGAATGCCATTGTGTTGCTTTCCAATAATTGTATGCACATTGTAGCTCAGTCTCAGTGCTAGGTATGGTAAGCCAATTCATTTCTTCACTGAGGTATGATTGCTTTAGTTGTATGCTCTTGTCTTGTCTTTTCAACCTTCTATAGTCTCTTTGATACTGAACTTGCCACTGTTTCCTTATTTCTGGGAGTGTGTTATGGAGTATTGCATTTATCACAGCATCACCATAGTATGCAATCAAGATACTTTCAACAATATTGCATGGATTTGGCACATTAGATAACATGTTGCCACTGTATGTCACAGCTGTGAAGTATTGTTGGTACACTTCAGCAATACTCAAGTCACTGATATATTGCTTAATGGCCAATATCTTGGAAACCAGTATTTGCATTGCTCTTGTTTTGCTCTTCATGTGGTCAGTCTGAAATATGGTGTAACAATGATCTAAAATGTCCTTGTCTAAACATTTCAGTTGGCTGAGAATATGAGGGTCTATATCAGGAACTGTACTTGAATGAGCAACATCATGTGCTATACTGGAAAGCATAGGAGATTGGCATAGACATTTCAGAATCTTGCAGCCATATAATTGTATATAGTAATGCTTCAAAATTATATATCTACAGTGGAATGGTGAACTGAGCAGCAGAGAGCAGTTGCATGTTTGGCACAGGAGAACATCTGACATATTTGCCAATAACACTTTAGATGAGTTGAAATGCTGCAGTAGTTGCTTAGCCAAAGATGCTTTGGATTGCCTGATACCTTGTGTCTGATCAACACATGTACAAACAGCAGCCCATAATTCAGCTCTGGTAAGGGATTGTAATTGCTGCAGGTAATAATCATCAGTATAATAGAACCATGAAGGATTGCTATTCATGATGCCTTGGACTGTGTCATTAGGGACACTTGCAATTGTATGTGGTATGCTGTCTGATGATGAGACTGGTATATAGTCTGCAGAATCATCTGGTAAAACTGGTAGTGGGCCTGAGACACTGTCTGGTAAAACTAGTATTGAGCCCAAGGCCCTGTCTGGTAGTTGGGAAGTAGGGGCAATACTAGTTAGTTGTTGTGACATGGAAATGGCAGCTGCTTCAGGGGGTAAGACAAGATGTGTTGAAGTGAATGTCTCGATCATAGTGGCAGGAGGCATGTTATATATGCTCGGAAAAAACCGGAGGAAGATCCGGCCGCACGAGCGGAACACAGAGCCAGGCAGAGCCTCGGTCAGACGCGAGCGCACGGCTTGCATGTGGACAGTTTCCCTATGCGGTATCGCGCGTACCGTATATGGACGAAAATTTCCCACGGCGACACGGCATCCCCGGCGCAATATCGTTTCTACTTGACAGAGCCCTCCCTCCCTTCGGGAGGAGTCGGGGATTGTCGGGATCATGTGATAGTTAATCCATCTTTTGGGTACTCACAGAGCGCTTATTTAACGGTACTGTACTTCCGATCGTTGAGGACCGTCCTCTGTTACACTAAAGCCCCTGGCACTTCCCTCGCTCACGAACTAGTCGGCTGTAACAACTGGGTTTCTGTTGATGGCATCCTTGTCCACGCTCCTGCTCGGATCGGCGGAGAAGAAACTTGTCTCCGTAGACAAGGGTCTTGACGCTATTTTCCAGTCATCGGTATGTGCACCCTTGCCTCAACTGACTGGCGGTCATGTTCAGACATCAGACCGCGTTCGTTACAGGCCGGCCCCTCTTTGAAGATCATTCATGGAGCTCAGAAGACAATACCTGCATCTGACGCCTCAGCAAGTACAGCTGGAGCTGATAAAAAGCGGAAGCTGCCTGTGAGCGATCCGCCGGAGTCGAAGGAGCGCAAGAAGTCTCGGAGGGAACAGGACAAACGTGCGTACTCCCTTCATGTTGAAGTCTTTCTTGGACCGCTCACTCCCTTCACAGCATCCAGACAGGATGGCAAGGCCGACAAGCCTAGTAAGGCGGCAAAGCGCGAGAAAGCTACGGGAAAACAGAAGGCTGCAGCCTCCGACCCCGAAGACGACGAAGACGACGCTGAGGATGAGACGTCTACACGCGCAGAACAGAGGTCGACGCAACGTACTGTAGGAAACGACGAGGACGAGGACGAGGATGAGGACGCCAGTGACCCCGACGATGAAGGCGATCCATCTACGCTAGTTCACGAATCTCTACTCAAGGGCTCGCAACGCAAGGATGGCAGCGGAACTCAGCGGAAATTTGTTCCACCAGACGAAACACCCGAACGCCGCAATGCGAGGACAGTATTTGTGGGAAATGTTCCTGTTGAGGTTGCCAAATCTCGGGTGCGTGTATGCTCGCTACGATGCAACGAACCGCAGGCTGACTAACGACTCACGCACGCAGCCTCTGCAAAAGCAGTTAAAACGCCATTTTACAACACTTGTCCCTACCGCGAAGATTGAGTCAGTGCGCTTCCGCTCCGTCGCATTCGCTGCCCCCACCTCGAAATTACCCACCATGGACGATGATGCGGGTAAGGCGAAGGCGAAAGGGAAGTTGCCTGCAAAGGACGAGAAGGACGGGCGACAACACGACCGCGATCGTGCCGCGTCCTGGCGCGCAAAGAACGACGAGGAAGATGACCCCGAGAAGAAGTTCCTCATGCCCAATGAGAAGAAGCGCATAGCGTTCATCAAACACGAGCTACACAGCGGGGTCGATGCTGTGAATGCGTACGTCGTCTTCGCACACCCTGTACCCGAGACTGGGACGCGACCGAAGAACGTGCCCCCGCCTGCACCCACCATGGATCCATACGAGGCTGCGCGGCTTGCAGCGGAGCGATGCGACGGAACAGTGTTCATGGAGCGGACGATTAGGGTGGATAGAGTAGGCAAGGACACCGATGCCTCCAGTGCTGCCCCGCTTGGCGACCCCAAGACGACGATCTTCGTCGGCAACCTCGACTTTGCAAGCAAAGAGGAGGATTTGCGAGTGTTCTTCGAAGTACTTGTCACTGCTGAACGGGGTGCGCCTGAAGAGCAGGAAGGCGAGAGCAGTGAGGAAGACGAGGAGGGCGACGAAGAGGACGAGACACTCAAGAGCAAGGTCCCCGTGAAGAAACCACGGACGTGGGTGAAGCGGGTACGGATTGTGCGGGACAAAGACACACAGCTTGGCAAGGGCTTTGCATATGTGCAGTTTGTGGTATGTGTCTATCATATCTTCTGCATGCAAGCGTCCTGATCTACAATCGCTAGGACCGGGAATGCGTTGACGAGATCTTCGCGCTCGAGGAAAGCCAACTCAAATTCGCCAAGCGCAAGCTTCGTGTCCAACGCTGCAAGACTTTGCCCGGCGGTGCCAAAGTACTCCCCAAGTTCGCCAAACCCCCTCCTGCCGCGAAGACGCCTGCTGTCAGGCGACCCTCGACCTCCTCCCACCGCGAGACCCCGAAGGGCAACCCCGCCCTGGGCGAGAAGATCTCGCACTTGCCGAAGGACGAGCGCAAGAAAGTGAAGGCGTCGGACCCGGACCGCGTCGCGCGCAGGGCGGCCAAGAAAAAAGCGAAAATCCTCGCGGAGCATGGCGTGAAGTCGAAGCCGCGGGTGGAGCGGGAGCGGGTACGGAAGCGGCCTGGGGAGAAGAAGGCGGTGGGCAAGCAGGCGGAGAAGAAGAAAGGGAGGGTCAGGAGCGGCAATGCGTTGGCGAAGATGAATACGAAGAAATAGTCACGTTGCTGTGCTATCTATCGTATGTGTTACTTGGGTTTGCTTAGAGACCTCGGGAGTTTCGTGTGCTCCAGTCTATTGATACAGTTGTAAGGTACGTACGGTACAGGATAACATTAACAACAAAGCGAGGGCGGACATGTCCGAGCAGGAACGACGAGACACTATACAGAGGAAGATGAGTCGAAGGACGCGAATCCCCAGTTATTTTTTTGTCTTCGATTTCTTGCTCGACCCTGCGTCCTTCTTGTCCTTGTCATCCGCCTATGATCGCTTTATGGTCAGTTGCTGCTCAGCACACGTTCAACAGGTGAACCTGACCTTCCGCTTCGTGCCCTTTTTCCCCTTTTCCGTCTCTTTCCCCTTTTTGGGTTCTGTCTTGGGCTTAGCAGTGAAGAAACCATCGAGTCGCCCCTGCTGCTTTGTATTGAGGAACTTCGAGAGTTTATCGGCACCCTTGCGAACGCGGTCCTCGCTGAACGATCAGAACGCATGAACGAGATGCTCCACCGACAGCCGGATAGTAGACCCACTTGAATCCTTTCTCAGTCACCAAGAATTGCACGAGTCCCTCAACGTCTGGACTGGTCCAATCGACCTGGGACAGTGTTACTTGGCATGTGCCAGAGCGACTGAGATAGCAACTGTACCTCGACGTCTTTGGCTGGTGTTACATCAGGGTGCTCAAAGAACTTCTTGGCCTCCTCCCATGGCCACTCTTCAGGTACCACGATGCCTCCTTTCTTCTTCTTACCATCCTCGTCTTTCGCTGCATCTTCTTTGGCGGCAGTTCTGCCCAGAGATATAAGTGATCATACTCATGTTTATGCAGCATTACATACTTACTTTTCTCGCAGATGCTCAATGACAGCCCCCAAGTTACCATGCTCTCGAATTAGCTTCAACGCCGATTTGGGACCAACTCCCTTGATTGGCTCGAGGTAGTCGCAACCCAAGAGTATACACAGCTCGATGAACTACGGTACACGACGTTAGTCGCCGGACAAACCCATTGGACATGGACTTACCTGTGACATATTCATCTCCAGCCCTTCGAGGGCCTTGTCTAGGTTGATTTCGCTGATGGGTGTTTTCCGCGCTTCCGAGAAGGTGAGGTGACGCAAGAGGACCGGCGCGTGGAAGGTAAGGGTATCCATGTCTTCTGAGCCCGCAGCATACACCTGGGCATTGCGTACTTAGTATGTGTACTGAATGCGAGTAGATGACTTGTCTCGCCTTTCCACCGCGAGCCAGTTCAGCGCATTGCGCTTCTGCTTCTGAGGGTGCCTGCGCCCACGATTGAATGCAAAGGAGCAAGGCGGGAACGCACGGGACATACCACAACGAATGGAATTCCCATAAGGCCCAACAGCCTCCTGCACTCCTCGTTATGCTCCCGTGTTACTTTGACTGTCCGCCGCGCGAAGCGGTCAACATCCTCGGCCGTACCTAAATCAAAGTGATGTGGGTCGGTTCAGGATGTCATTGATAGAAAGCCCATTTACATACCTGTCTCTTTCGCTTCTTCGCCTTCCTCTTGCGCCTCTTTTCGGAGGGCCAACCGTTTGGATAGCTGGAACGCGGTTGAGTAGGACTTGAGCAGTCAGGCATGAACAACAACATACAACGCCAGCCTTGAGTTCTGGTGGCTTCCCATCGAAGACATATAGAGGCTTGATGCCGTTCTCCACCATACGAATCGTACGGTAGAAAAACCCCATGAGGTGACTGGATAGATGTGATCATCAGTATTCAAAGCCGCAGACCATTACAATTGAATCAACGCGCCTTGTTGTCTCTCCAGCATCGTTCGTCAACATTTCTCCATCCTTCTGCCGTACCGCGATGAGGAATTGGTATATAGACATGGACGCGTCGACGGCGACCTTGCGCCCGAACAGTGTCTTGATCTCATGCTCCTGTAACTGCGTCGGGACCTAGCGCAAGGTGGCAGAAAGCAAGGCTTACAGTAATCGCCTTCGGAGCGTGTTCAACCAACAGACTGGTGAGGCCTTTAATACCCATGGTGTGCAGTTGATGGTGGGACGTTGAGACGTGAGGCGCGCTCAGTCGCGCGAGCGTGACGATGACCCACCGCGTTACGCAACAGCACGTGAACTGTGGGACGCGCTTGTAACGTCACACGCCGTGTCTCCGGGTCCGCCGCGCCCCGCTCGCCGATTGAAGACCTCAGGCTCTCGCTCGCTGCTACATACTCGCTTCCTCAACTCTTCTTGCGTGTCAGACCTTTACCCTAATAAAACGCAACTTCGTCATACAGCTTCAGTCAACTTGCAAAGAAACGCTCTCATGAATGATAGTCGAGACGACCATAGACCACAGAAAAGGCGGAGAGTGGCAGAGGTGCACAGCGGGGTAGCGTACGTTGTCAACGACATGTATTACACAGACACCATGCAACTGAACCAAAGGATAGTGTCCCAACGCCCCAGCAGATAGTGCTGGAAGAACTAGATGTCGAACTCGGCCTGAGAGAGCGCTTGTACGAGACAGTGAACTCGAGGCTGACCTGGGCACTGCTACTGCAGGAAGCTCTTGAGAAGGAGTATCCTGGTAAGTAATTTGGTCGAGTACTGAGAGGTCTTACCAAGACAGTAGTAGCTCGAAATGCGGACTCCTCCGAGTTCCGAGCTGCCGCTCTGGATGCACTCAAAGCGGCAGAGGAACCGAGCAAGCCTCTGTTTGACAGAGAGTTGTTTCCCATCGACGGACGTCCTCCTCGTCCTCCGGCTACATCTTCTATTGATGCTCCTCCACCGCAATACCCATCTCGCAGCAATGCCTCCCGGGCCCGGGGACTCCCTCGAGCTCCGCCACACCCTGCGAAGAAGCTTCTCTTCCTGCGCAACACCAATACCGATCCGCCTGAGATAGCGAAACTCGCATGTCTGGACTGCGGACGGTCCGACTTCTCCAACCTCCAGGGTCTCCTGAATCACTGTCGCCTCCGGCACGGCCGTGAATTCGGTAGCCACGATGAATGCGTGCAAAGCTGCGCTGTCATCGTCCCGGAGAAAGAGCGCGACTGGGTAGTTGCGAATGGGATGGAGCTCGCGGGAATCAGTTTACCCAGCTTGAGGCGGTTGTTCGAGATCGCGGTGGGTGCTGGCGACAAAGTCAGGATTCCAGGTCCCCGGAAGGAACCTGAACAACCGAGTGTGGCGGAGGACAAAACAGACACGGAGAAAACAGTGCAGATGCGCGAGACAATTACAGAAGTTACTAAAACACTGGGTTTCCACAAAGACACCCCTGCGCTTGCGCCATTCCTGGGAAGGGAGCCCAAGAAACGCCTCATTAACGTGTACGAAGACCCCGACGAAGTGCTGGATATCTTGGACGAGAGTGGAGTGCCTGCCAATAGCCTGGTGGCAAGGAAAGGCTGGCGAAAACCTTACAGCCATCGTAACATCGCGCGTGCGGAATTGGACGAGATCCCTCCAGAACAACCTGCAGAGCCTCCGGATGATCATGACGAGCGATCTCAGGACCAAACACCAGTCGCAAATGGTACGTCTGCGATGGGTATCGCATCTAGTCGATTCCACATCGTCGCCCGTGTCAAAGTCGCCGATTCGAGCCTCTGGATACCCCCAGGTAATGTGGCTTCTCCGTCTCGGCGAATATAGCTTGCTTTAACTTCTTGCTCAGAGCGCCGTCGCGATGATAGACCGGAGCACACACATCGTTGGCGCCTCGTAGTGTCAAGCCCGTCCTACGTGCGTATCGTGCTCCTGTGCATCTGGTCTGTGGTTTCGCTGACCAGAGTTCTGTTTAGAGTCTGCACATCACCACATTCCTCGAGAAATTGACCGTCACCTGCTTATCTGACCCACCGCCCTCCACACTCATCAACCCCATTGTGGTTAGCGAACCACCCTTTGCTATAACCTCCACGACAGATAGACCCTTCCTCGCGCGGTTCACTCTCACATGGACGGGCAGTGTGAATGCGCCCATGGACGTCGAGCACTGGGTCGACGTGCGTAATTTTCCTCCCTATCGCAGCGCCTACCCAATCTCACCCGGAACAATATGCTTTCTAGGTCGACCCCATGCACTTGGGTCATCCCGTGCTCGGTGACGAACAGGTTTTTGACGTCGAGCTTGACCGGAACACGCAGCTTATGCCCGTCAGGCAGGACGTTAGGAAACTGACTTGGAAAGATGAGGATGTGGGGGACACCACCGATCGCGGCAAATTCGAGGGGGGCAGAAAGATTGACGAGAACGCTGACAGTGATGAACAGGGTGCGTCCACCTCATATCGCGGGGTTGGCCGTATGAACCTAACCTGCTTCCATGCGCCGCCTGTCGTGTCCTTGACCTCGGTGACTTTCAGGGTACGGCGCCGTCCTGCGAACACTGCTGCAAGAGGTGCCTATTACTGTCCGAGGTGAGGATTATGTTGTCCACCCATCCCAGATGTGTGCATGTTGAAACTTGACACCATCAGACGCACGCTCTCGCAAACAATGGGCGCCCACATCCGCGCTCGTGCCTACAATAGCTCAGTATCGAAATCTTACACCCGGGCGGCGCAAAGCCATCGAAGTGTGTATCTGCACCTTTTCTCCATTTCTCCATTTAGTGTGCTGATTTCTGATTTCTTCCCAGCTGAGCCGTGCTCGTGCGCTCCTCGCCGCGTATCGAGAGCACGCAGGCTCGACAGACCATCCGGAATCGGAAAACCCCCTCACGGTCGCAGATGTGTACCACTGGATGGAGGACGAGGGGCTCTTCCCTCGCGTCGCGATCGCGAGCGATATTATGTATTTGAAGGACGACAGCCGGCCTGAGAAGACGACCAACCCACATCAGGTTCCGGAAGCATACTGCCGATTCTGTGGGCTCCACCAGGCCTTCCATCCTCTCGGTGTTAAGACGGAAGACGACGCCACCAAAGATGTGAAGAGCCCATACACAACGGGTGTCTGCATCGAGTTTAATGCGCCCCCCAGCGATCTGCTACTGCTGGACGTAGAGAAGTTGTTGCAGTCGACTTCCGGTGGCGCGCTCGGAGTGCCGTACGGTCTGTCTGCAAAGTTGTGGACCAACCTGGACAAGGATGCAACACCGGAGAGAAACCCGTCCTCGGCGGATCTCGTCGCCGTCGCTCATCCAGGGCTTCTCACATCCATTCGCGAGTTGGCAGCGCAATGGCATCTGCCCCGGTTACAGGTATCGATTCGGCCCTCGCTCACAGCTGAGGATGGCCTAGTGTCGCTTGCCCCGATGGACCGCCCCCACCAAGAGCTGCTAGACGAGTTGGCGCCGTACGCCGTGCTCTCCGTGGTGGCGGGCTGCATGGTGCGTCTGCTCGTTCGCGGTGGTTTGGACGCGCTCCGGCGCGACGACTCGGCCCAGCAAAATCTCGCACGACAAGACCGCACAAGAAAGAAAGGCGGAAAGGCCGAGAGGGGCGGCGCGAGATATTTGCTTACGCCTTCCCACATTGCGCGCGGACTTACAGATCTTGCGGGCCGTGGGCTGACGGAGAGTGCCGCGCTAGTGTGTCTCGCGAGGCTTGGAACGGCGACTAAGGAGAGGAGGGGGATGGTGGTTACCGGCAGCGGTGAGCCGTAATTGTTGTTGCCAACGCGCTGGGTCTGAAGATCTGACTACTAACCTGTCGTGCTTTGGTCATTCGTGTAGGCGTTGCTGTGAAACCCCCGGACGAGGCCGCGGTGCGAATCAAGGAAGAGACTGAGGATATGTAGGAGTATTCTGAAGTCAGTGGCATTGTGTGTGTGTTGAGCCAGAATACAGTCAGGCAGGTGCATCTCGAGGCACAGAACGCGCCCACGTGAGCGATCATTCACATAATTGAGGTGCCACTTGGGTGCCACCGATCTAGGCCAAGATTGGCGAGGCCGATGGTGATCGTGGCCAACCTGGCTCAGGCTGGCTGCCGCTGGCAGCGCTGGCTGCATGTGTCTCGTCCCAAAGCGGGAAGCAGGAACGCGCTCCGGGAGACGGGGGCCCCGGCTGGCATTGGCTCGTTGATTCAAACCGCCGTGCTTCTTCGACAGAACTTCGGTCTCAGTCTTTTGGGGACAGCGTGGCTCGCCTGGCGCCTGCTCGCTCTTCCTCTTTCTCTGACGTTCATTCTCAGCGCCGCATCTGCTGCTCTGAAAGGGACGGGGTTCCCGTACATCTCGCCCCTCGGGTCGCCCACACTCCTTTCCCTTCCAATCGCCGTACGCGTGTTGCGCACGTCCCACCGCGGCCATGGATACTATCGGCTATGACACCACGTTCGGTGCGGCCTTCATTGGTTTCGGATGTTCTGCCGTGTGCGTACTCGCACATCTTGCCTCATCGTGCGCTTGTATACGAGATGGATTTGCAGATTACTTGGGAACCTCAGCAGCCAGATGTACCAATACTTCCGGCGATATCCCCAAGACCGTCCGTTCTACAAGGCCTTGGTGCGGACACTTCTCATTGTTTCTTGGCAGCTCGAGCTGAACCTTTCTGTCCCAGGTGGCAGCGCTATGGTGCGTCGCGTCGGTGCACGGCAGTGAACATCATTTGACGCGTCATCAGGATCCTGGAAGTCGTCGACTCTGCGTTCATCGCGTACGCAGTGTACTTCTACCTGGTCACGTACGTCCCCGCCAATTAATCCCCTCCCAATGAGCTGACCGCCGTGTAGCAACTGGGGGAATCCTCTCATTCTCATCGAGCGCGCTCAATGGTGCGTCGTGATCTCTGTAATACAATACTTGTGCCACGCTGACCCTCTGCGATAGGTCCCTAATCGTGAGCTCCTCCCGCGGTGCCGAGTTACTCTCGCTGATGTACACTTGCCTAGCTCCAAGTCACACTAGGCGTGAGTGAAATGACTTCCTGCAGAGCGTGGTCTTCATATTGTTTCCCAGGCGACGGCGGGAGCGATCGTGAAAGCGTGAGTACCCGAAGCCATGCCTTTAGTCATTTCATTGTCTGAGTTGGCAATCCGCAGGTGCTTCGCCATGCGTGTCTGGAGATGTGAGCCCACCGCCCCCGTATTCGCGACGGATTTCTCACTATGCTGCAGTCAGTAATTGCAATATCTGGATCACGAGCCTCATTGTAAGGTTTCTTTCGCTAAATTTGTCCGCTAGCCGCTGAACCACATTGCCTCCGTAGCTGCTTTTGACATTCGGCCAGCTTGGTATGTCAATCGATTGTGCAGTATGGCAGACAGAGTTCTAAATCGTCTATCCTTGTTCGGGTAGGGATGGCATGTGGTTGGTCATATTCATGCTGCACGCGGTCTGCCCAAGCTAATGTTGCTGCTTCGTTGCCAGTCTACACCGTGCAAGCGTGAGCACGGGTGCCCTCGAATTTGCTTCTGAGACCCTAACCCAAGGTGCCTGCAGGTTCCAGCTCGCCAACCTCACCAAGCTCGCCGATCTGAAGGTATGTCCAATTGTGATGCACTGCAGCCGTCGCCTATAAAAGAATACCTCTGTAGGTCGTCGGCACCATCTCGCTCGGTCTCGGGGTAGCGACGGACATAGTCACCGCCCTCGCCCTGTGCTACTTCCTGCGGAACTTGCGTACAGGGTATTCGAAGTTAGTGCCTCCACCAGCTTTTTGTACGACAATGTGTCCTGACGACCGATCGATGGCTTGCAGGGATGACTCGCTCGTGAACAGGCTAACGATCTATGCGTTGAACACGGGCGTCATTACCAGGTACGTGCATTGAGCATTCTAACATGATGCATGACCTCATCTGTGACCATCCGCATGCAGTGCGATCAGTCTGGCCACTGTTATCTTGGTGAGTGTCTCGATTGGGGTCTATCCACAGCCGGAGTAGATGTTGACTACTACCGCAGTACGATATGATGCCTGAGAACTTCATCTTCATGGGCTTCTACTTCGTCCTGAGCAAGCGTACGTTCCTTCATCTGGATACCGTCTCTCATGTTCACTCACCTGCCATTCAGTGTACGCCAACTCCTTCCTGGCCACGTGCGTATCTTCGCCTTGCTTGGTGCCCCGCTCAATGCTCACGTCTCCCCTTCTTACGACAGGTTGAATACCCGCAGGGTCGTCCGCGGTCGTGGCACCGACAACGACCAGACTACGATGCCCACATTCCTCATGCTCGATAAGGCAACACGGATGGGATCGCAGCTTGACCCGGAAACTGCCACGGTACGTGTCGTGTGATACGCGCTTGCGATGTTAATCTCACGCAGGTGGTGTATTCGCAGGGAACTGTTGTAACAGTAGAGGTCGGCGTGCATCGAGAGGTATCGATTCACAATGACTACGTGCGTTGATCCTCCGCATCATCTGTATCAACGTGTTGACGATCATCATTGACCCACCAGTCGCAACCATACGCCGTCGCCCTATAAAAAGGACCGCTCTCCCTCAGAACCGCAACAACACCAAGACCGCGCTACCCGCACTAGGGGCCCTCGTTCGACACTTACCTTCTGACTCGCTCGTACCTGCGCTTGCCTTCGTCTAGATTCTGGCCAGGCGCGCCCTCTTTGACAGATCTGCTGGTCGTTGTTTATACCTTCTTTCTTCGCAAGCGCAGAGCGTCGACTACGACGGCTCTCGCGTCGGCCACTTTTTCGTTCGTTGGTATGTTTGAGAATATCCTACGCCTCCCCTTCTAGACCATGTACTACTTACGTTACTTCTGTCAGTGTTCCTTTAGATGCCCTGTTGTTCTTCTTCATTTTGGCTCGTCGTTGGTTCGCCATTCGTTTACCCACCATTTTGTGTATCCATAAACTTGTCTGCCATGTACAAGGCGGTGTACGGTCACCCACTTATCGCTGGAGCATTCAAATAGAGCAGGTCCGGGACTTGCAGTTGCAGCTTGAAGCTCAGCCTCAGATATTTTCGTACGTGTGTCACCGCTTTTGTCGCGTCGCGACTGGCTCCGCGTTTCCAACCTTGATTCCTGGGCATGTCGGGCGTGATGGGCTCGTGCACATGTCGGATCCCTTGATACCTGCTTGACACTCGCGTAAATGTGAGGCAAGTTGGGCTTGGACCGGACCACGGGATACAGGGGCTACGTCTGGGCTACGTGCATCGTGCAGATTAGTTTCACTGCGGGTACGCTCTCATCCAACTCTCATCTGTCAGTTTTGACTTGTACCGGTGCTGAGGCGCTGGCGTGTTGGAGCGCGGTTTGACATGGCTACTTCTTAGTGGTGAGGGGTACTCATAAAAGCGCTTGTCGTTCTTTTATGGTCGGCAACGGAGACTAAGGGGTACTGTACCTTAAGCTTGTCGCCCTGATCAGCGGCTGAGACTCGAGCACCGTGGAGAGTAGTGCCCCATGGAGGTGTTGTCACAGCGGTGCGCGCAGTCTGAGCTGATTTCAAGACGAAGGCTGCATGGTTCGTGCGGTCGCATACATAGCTTGCGGCGCCACTGTCACGACGTCGACGATTGTTCTCCTGTCTCGGTCGTGGAGTTGTACTGCTAGCGCTCGTAGATGTGGATCGGCGCTACTTTGGCGCTACTGCGAATGCGGTGTTGTGAATGAGTGATGGCGCGATCAGACTGCAACGCGGGCGGTGTGGTTTGACAGTTGCCTTCGGAGGTGGGGAGCTCGGGGTGAGGCTCGGTAAACCAGAAGATATGTCAGTGCACCGCCCCGCCGAACCGATCGCGAATATAAGCCTCGCGCCTCCGTCGGTGCACCCCCATTCACATTCATTCGGCCTCCCAGCTTCGCTTTTAGCCTGCCTTTCTTCGCCGCGCCCTCTTAACGCCTTTCACATCAACCTTTTGTTTTAACGTCCCTATCATTCACTATGGAGAAGGTTGGCACCCCCCAGTACGACAACAGCTACGGGAACGCACCTGCTTACCAGCCGCCCATGTCTGCGCCGCAGGCCCCGCAGCCCATGTCTGATGCCGCCGTTGGTGCGGGCTTCCAGAACCAGCGTGAGTACCCCTTGCTATGCTTGTAGAATCGCGGAGGTGCTTACATGCGTGTGATGATGCAGTCCTTGCGCAGTGCGCGAGGGGCCAGCACCAAGTTACGAAGAAGTACGGCGTGTGCGGTATCATCTGCGCCGTCTGCCTGTTCCCGATCGGTCTGCTCTGTCTTCTGTACGTACCTTGTCTGTCTGTGTGAGTGGAATGTACTGACCCCAGCCTGCTGCGTAGGTGCGACGTCAAGAAGAAGTGCGAGCGGTGTGGGCAGATCATCGAGTAAACGTCAGTGTGAGCGGCGGTTCTACATAGGCACCTCTGCCGTCGAGGTGCGGGGATGTTTGGATAGTGTATTCTTCTGGGAGGCTTCAGAACTTGTACTGCTTTCACGACGGTCATTATCATTATTGTTTCCTTTCTTCTTTACAGCAAACTGCGCGGCCTAAGAGCAATCGTGAAAAGGTGAGCAGGATATGCCAAGATCTACGTCAGCACTCACAGCCTGTACAACGCAAGTTGCTCTTGGTTTGCCTATTCCGTTATGGGGTCCAAGTAAGTACAGGGAACCGTCAGAGGGCGCCATGTCAAAGCTGTACTCACATGCAGATTGTTCTCAGCAGCCACCTATGATATATGACGGGCGGAGGTAACCGTGTGAGGCCAAACGGTCCACCATGGTGGCTGGCCATTTAGTCTTCCGCGACAGTAACCTCCGTCATATCGCCGCAGCCGATTCCACTATCTTTTCAGTGACAGCTTCGTACCGAGACCTACTAACACCTGTCGTTCCTGGTCCACCCGGCCCTTGTAAGTGAGTCAGCGCACCGCCTCACCGCACATTGCATAAAGTTGAACCGCGTGCGCGCGGCACGAAAGCAGCAGTCCGCACTCCTCCCCGGACAACCGCCTACCCCCATCGATCTTGCGCAACTCTCCCTTCTCAATCGGAAATCGGTTTCATGATGGCTAGCAAGGACACCGCGAGCCCGCCGCAGTATGAGGCCGTCGCAGGCCCCCAAGCCCAAGCCCCGGCTCTTGCGCCTGCGCCCAGCGCCCAGCCAGTGCAGGTCCCGCAGCCTGTGAACACGGAGGCACAGATCGGGTTCAACTACCAGCTCGAGTGTGAGTCCCAAGTCCGTTCTAAGTACATGCACTGCAGAGACTCACCATACGATGCAGTGATGGCGAAGTGTGCGCGGGGCGAGCACCAGGTCACGAAGAAGTACGGCGTCATCGGGATTATATGCTCCGTCGCGCTCTTCCCTGTCGGCATGCTCGCTCTTCTGTACGTCGTCCTTGTGCGAGGCGAGCTGAGATGGCTGACGGACCCTTGCGTCGGCTTAGGTGCGACAACACGAAGAAGTGCGACCGGTGCGGGCTTATCGTTGCGTGAGAGGCCTAGGGTTGTTGTCACTTTCTCTTGGCTTTGCTGTGGACATTACTGGTGTATGTGCTCCGCGCGGTGTGTATCGCGACTGTACTATTACCTTTTTGAACGCCGAGACAATGGTGTTCGAGTTTGTTCGAGCGCGGAACAAGGCGTCAGTGCACTCCTTTGGACGATGTTGTGCTTGCAATTGATGGACTAGAACAGAGATCCGGGACAGCTTGGCAGGATACAACAAGCTTGGCCAGTCGTAATGAGAAGGTCAACGCGAGGTCTTCGCGTGGTGCCTACAAGTGCTGTTAGTATGAATTCGTGCGCATATCACTTGCGGTTGGACCCGGACGCGATCGTCACCGGTAAAGGATACGCTGCTTTGCGGAGCGTCTTGGAGCAGAAGCATCGGAACTGCAGTGATGAGAGTCCCAGACTCCAAGCACATACCACAGATAGCCCCGAGCTTGTGCGAGCGGAGGATATATCCGTTACGCAATGGCTAAAAAGACGCAATGGCGCTGAGAGCTGCCAGTATATAGGATGCGTTTCGCTGTGACGCAAGGAGCCTGGTCCTCCGCGCTCCCAATGTTCGTCGGTACTTCATCCAACCCTTCATGAAGCGTTCTCGTAAAGGCCTCCCAGGGGATACGACAAACGTTTACGGGTGGTGGTTCACCCAGGTACCTCCGGTTCCTGGGTGCACGAGCCAGTAGCGTAAGGTGCGTGTTGCTGTACGCTGTGGCGTCAGTTCCGCTGTGAAGGCATGACACGTACGATAGCTCCGGGTGTCCTCAGTTGACCCACTGAAGGCGCCATCCAGTCAGCACCCAACGCGAGCCTGCTGTATTGCCAGTGTTCTTCATTGAATTCGGGCTGCGCCGCGCCTGTCATCGGCCTCCGCGTTCTTTGTCAAAGAGCCTCCAAAGCATACATAGGAACTCGTGAAGCGTGGATCGGGGCGTCTGGCGACACTATTTGGAGCGTACGGGTTCGATGAGCACGGGAGCGGAACGAGCATTCCAAATACGCGCAAGACATGCGGGCGCGATGAACCAGCGGTCGTGAATGTCGCAATCAAATCTTTATCCATGCCAACACGCGTCCGCCGCGTGCGGGCGCAGAACGCGCCAGCAAAGGCAGGCCTCGCGGGGTGTGCGCGACGCGCAGGGAGGGATTTGACGGGGCGCGGGACGCTATGAGAAGGCGCGAGGGTCATCTGGCCGCGATTCTGTCTGCGTATGCGCCGGGGAGGGCGCGAGGGTCGCGGTCGTCGCGTATTCGCGCGTCGCGTTGCGGTCAGGTGGGTGCGTTGGCGGCAGGGCGTTCCCAGGAGGACGAGGCGGACTTGGGTGCAGCCGCTAAGCGTGGGCCCGTTGACGGCGCCGCGCTCTGTGTTCCACCACGCCAGGCGAGGGTGTACGGCATTTGATGGCTTGTTTCCGAGGTAGGAGGACTACTGCGACCGTGCTACGGATGCGTGGAGGACTCCGAGGCTATGCGCGGATACCGCTGCTCTATTGCGGGAGTCATGAGCATCGTGGTTCCATTGGACTGTTTCTTCGGGAACAAGGAGGTACTGGAAGCACGGTCGGAAGAAGTCATATGTGACTAATGGCCGCGGAACTTCAATGCTGTGGTGCGCTGCCGCCGACGTTTTGTGTTGGACTTTGTTGGACGGGCAAACGAAATGGCACGGATTAGGAAGGCAGATGGCTGGATTGAGACGGCGGCGAAGGGAAGAAGGCGCGGGGCGCTGAGGAGATGGACAGGCCTGGGCTGCGGGGGAGGCTGAGGCGTTGAGTAGAGATGCCGAGCGGAGCCGAGGGTGGGGACGATCTCCGGGGCGCGTGCCGGAGGGCTGCCGGTGGCCATCCGACGCAGGCCCAGCTCTGCTTCAGGCGACCGCCATAAGAACGGCCTCCGCCAGCCCGCCACTGCGCATGCATCCGCCCTCTTGCCTAATTGCGCCCCCGCCGCCGTCCTCCACAGCGACGAGCCTCTTTTCCGCACAGCCCCCTCGGCTGTAGTCAGCTTGGAGCAGTAAGCATTCTCGTCCAGCGCTGGGCATTCTCGGCGACAAGCCGACGGCGGTCGCCTTCCATTGCCATTATCTCTCCACATCCTTCGGACCCTCCTTCAACGCTTTCGCGTTACCATCACGTCGCCTCACGTCGTTACGACCACGTCCGACTCTACGACCGCCAGTCCTTTCTCGAAATATCATCGCTGAGAGGCCCGGAACGACCACAACTCCTACACCATGTCACGATTCAATATGGTAAGCATTCTTGGCTTGACTTCGGCTCTTGCGCTGATTTCATGCTCGCCGCCAGTTCGAGGTTTCCATACCTCACATCATCTATGCCGCCCTCGGTGCCTTCGTCGTCCTTGTAGGTCCATCTTTGTCCTCAGCATAGGTTCACGTTGCCTGATCGGCCATGCAGTTCGGCATGCTCTCTCTGTTTATCCGAGAAAAGGTATGTTCATTCTTGCATATCGTGTGCATGGATAGGGCGTAACATAAGCCTCAGCTGTACATCGGAGAAGCATGTTGGGCATTCTTGTTCGGGGTCATCATCGGTACGTCCTCTGAGCCACTACTGTACCCAGCGTTATGAATCTGACCGGAGTAGGCCCATATGGTGCAAATATCTTCAACCCTCGCGACTGGGGCGGGGGCAACATCGAGACCACCAATACTATCACTCTCGAGTTCACGCGCGTTGTCCTTGCCATCGGCGTCTTCGCCATAGGTGTGGAATTGCCCAAAGCGTACATGGCGAGGCACTGGAAAAGCCTGCTCTTCCTTCTTGTCCCTGTCATGACATGGGTGCGTCTCTTCCTATCCCGCGCGCTACGAGCCAAAACGTTAACTTACTCGGGACCGCAGGGCTGGTTCGTATCAGCTGGCCTCATTTATGCGCTCATCCCCGGACTCAACTTCCTCTCCTCCTTGGCAGTCGCAGCCTGCCTCACGCCCACCGACCCTATCCTGGCAGCGGCGGTCGTTGGCGGTAAGTACGCCGACAAGCACGTACCCGCGCATTTACGCCACCTCCTCGCTGCGGAGTCGGGCTGCAACGACGGCGCGGCGTTCCCGTTTCTCTTTATCTCGCTCTACCTCATCAACGATGGATCGACGGGACAGGCGATCGGAAATTGGTTCCTATTCCTATGGCTATGTGCGTACATCTCTAGTCTGCCGAGTGAAGAGGTTGTGCTAACCCGCATATCACGATGTAGACCAGATTATCCTCGGCGTAGTGCTGGGCGCGATTATCGGGTTTGCTTTCCGGTACCTCATGAAGTTCTGCGAGCGCAAGGACCTGATCGACAGGCAGTCCTACGTCGCACAGTACGTGTCGCTCGCGATGCTCACCATCGGCGTAAACACGCTGATCGGTTCCGACGACCTCCTCGCCGCGTTCTCGTGCGGGACTGCGTTCGCTTGGGATGGGTTCTTTAACAAGCAGACGGAGCAGGCCGTGTTCTCGTCCGTCATTGATCTGCTGTTCAACATTGCCTCGTTTGTGTTCATTGGCGCGTGGATGCCCTTTGATTCGTTTGCGGACGCGACCCTGACTCTGAGCGTGTGGCGCCTCATTGTCATTGCGATACTGGTTCTGCTCCTCAGGCGATTGCCCATCATAATGGCTCTGTACAAGTGGATCCCGGACGTCAAGACGTTCCGGGAGGCTATCTTCAGCGGACACTTTGGGCCTATGGGCGTCGGTAAGTCCGCACTGACGTCAAGCCGCCGTGATGCAATCGCTGACTTCACCCAGGTGCCGTATTCATATCCACACTCGCGGCGGAGCAGCTTCCGCAGCCCGAAGACCCGCCTGCGAACCAACGCCAGCTGCTCGCGGCATCCATCCAGCCCATCGTCGCGTTCATGGTGCTCTGCTCGATCACGATCCACGGGCTCTCGATCCCGTTCTTCTCGCTCGGCCGGCGCGTGCACTCCGTGACGCGCACCTGGTCGCGGCACGACACGTTCGGAACGCTCACGTCGCGCGGCGTGCCCGAGTGGGCGACGCACACCCGGCATGTGCGCCCCGGCGAGGAGATCATCATCAACCGCGACCGCGAGGACGCGATGGAGCGCGGCGCGATCCCGACCCAGGAGGAGAGCGTCACGGAGAAGGAGCGCAGCGAGTCGAGCGGGGAGCCCGAGTATACCGAGACGCGCAGGCGGGATGGCTCGGATGTGCGCGACGAGAACCCGCCCGATGGCGACAGCCTTGAGGAGGAGTGGCAGGAGGGCCCGCATAGGATTGTGGAGAAGCGCTCTGGGCCCGGAGAAGAGGTGTGTTGCCCTTGTTCGATGTCAATCATGTGTCGGTGTACTGATGCCTTGCTCTCAGGTGGAGGTCGAAGTTCAAAGGAATTACTACGGCCCAGAGCCAACGACATCCGACTCCGTGCGCGTCGCGGAAGAAGCGGCAGAGGGTGTGGTAGGGGAGATCAAAAACAGAGTAGGGAGCGGAGCGCAAGAACTAGAGTCGATTGTTGAGAACGCGCAACGCAACATTCAAGAAGGCGCGGAACATGTTCAAGGAACAGCGAGGCATGTGGAAGGCCGCGCGCAGGAGGGGGGGCGGCACGTCATGTCGATGCTGCAGGGAGAGGGCGAAGACGAGGGAGACGAGGGATGGATGTCGGACGCGAGCGACGGGGGGCGCAGGCGTGAGGGGAGGCGGCGCAGCAAGAAGCCCACCCGCAAGAAGCTGTCCCTCCGCCGTCACTCCAGCGGCGGTCATAAACCCCAGCGAAGCTCGAGCATCGATCAAGCCGCATTGAGCGTTGCACATCGCCAGGAGCAGGAGCGCGAGGGGAGCTCGGAGTCGCCCGAGGAACACCGTGGACGAAACTCGCCGGAGCCGGGGGGCGCGGCGACGCCAGCGTCCTCCATGCGCTTCCCGCGACCAAAACACTCCCGCGTAGACTCCATACGCACGACGGACCTGCGCTCGCGCGAGCAGTCGCCTTCGCGCTCTGTGCGTTCTGTGCGCTTCCTTGACCAGCGCTCGCCGAGTGGGTACAACACCCCGCGCATATTCTCGCCGTCCTCCCCGGCGACGCCGTTGCCTGGAAGTGAGGTACCCTCTGAGGACGAGGGGGAACGCTCGCAGAGCAACCACCACGCTGACGACTCCCCGCGCAACGTCCGCTTCTCCCTGCCCGATATCAGGCGGTAGTCGTACCCCCGCCCGCCGCGTCTCGTCTGAAATCTTGGATAGCATGCTCCGTGCGTACGTCGCAATTCACTAGATGGTCTCCCTGTAGATATGCTCATCTAGTGTGAACTGTATGGACCCTGTAATTCGTGTCAGTCTCCGTGTGTATCACTTATCCGTACATAGCATTTTCTCACCTTCTCTTATTCTGTCGGAAGTCTCTCTGCATGGTCGTTTGCTCACCCACATGCATCGATTGTATCACGTAGCATTCGTCGCGCTTGTCTCTCGCATCTTCCATAGCTTCTCAACTCTGCAAATGACATTGCTGCTCCGATCGATCCTACGCGTTTTATGGGTGTTCCTCGACAGTGTCTGAGGAAGTCTGAGTCCGGGTCTCCTACGCGATGCCCATCGTCGAACATGCTAGCAGTCAAACTCTACTAGTCTCGCTTCTTCTTCCTGGACGTGGCAGGCTGCGCCCTCCTCCCCCGCTTCAAGCCCTTTCTGACGCCGTGGGCATTTGACCGTGCCTTCGTCCACCGTCCGCCCGTCCCCACTTCCTGCGCAGCAACGCCGACTTGGACTAACCACCTAATGGTCAGCATGCAGACGGACAAGCCCGCGCCGATGATCGCCCTCAGCCATGTACCCTCCAACACATCAAAGAACAGGGCGAGCAGCATCGTAGCTCCATCCTCCTCGCACTCCCGGTCCGCGTCGAGGATCTCGAACGGAAGCGTCGTCTCCGAGGGGCCTTCGCCCGTGTCCGAGCTCGCGCTCTCATGTGCGGACGGCGAAGGACAGGCGCGGAGGAGCGCGGCTGCGGCGCGCATGCCAGACGTGAACCCGTCCTCGTGGAAGCCGTACTTAAGCCAGGCCCCCGCGAAGGAGATCCCGCGTTCCCCTTGGATCCTGGGCATCTCCTGCTGCGCCCGAATGGCCTGCGGGAGGACATGGGGGTCATCTTGGGACGGGGCGGCCGTGAGTCCGACTGACGCACCTTGGCATTGAGGACGGGGTGCTCGTAATGGTACTCGCCTATCACCCGGGAGGGATCGGGCTCGAAGGGTGGGTTGAGCGTGACGCAGAGGGGCCCGTAGTCCCGCTCCGGGATGTGTTGGAGGGCGTTCATCCAGTCTGCGCATGTCTGTGGTCAGGCTGCCAGTGCGTACATGGAGGCGTCAATGGGTGTTGACGTACATGTGCTGTAGTGTGCGTGCCAGTGGGGCGGCCGTCAGCAATGAACCTGAGCGCATGTGTGATGAGACCGTACAGGGAAACCCGGTCCACGTTGGCCTTCTTCCGTCCGTCCTTGCCTTCTTCAGACGCAGTGAGGTAGTTCCAGCATGACCAAGTGGCGCGTCGTTCCGGCATGAGCTGTCCACACGCAACGTCGTCAGCCCTCACTCACGCATAGCGGACCACAGACTCAGCCTACGGCATTGTCGAAGTGTAGCACTGCCACATTCTCGTTCCACTCGAAGGCTCCGAGGATCCTCTCTTCCTCCGGAGTTGCACCTCCTCCAGCTCGGAGGATATCGAGCGCAGTGTCGCTGTGGCATGCGAAGATGACGTGGTCGTATACCGCCCGCTCACCGGATGCGGTCTTCAGTTCAATACCGTGTACTTTACGAACTTTGGCAGACTTGACGCGAGACAGGTGTAGCTGTGCCGCAGGGAGGTTGGACAGGATGCGGTTCACGTAGCATTTACTATGGACGCACAGAATCGAGTGAGCGTTGGACCATGGCGAAATTCGACAGGGATAATGCATGACACGTACCTGCCTCCTGCCAGCGTAAGCCAAGAGGGCTTGCCGAAGATCTGCAGAAGGTGGTGATTGTGCATGAATTGGATCTACAGATGCATTGCTTTTGATGAACACGCAGAGCGCAGAGGTAAATGGTGTCGCCTCACAAGCGTACGAGCTGAGAAATCAAGAGCACACTTGTCGGGAGGGGTGCTCCATATGGCTGCTGTCATCGGCTGTGGTCAGAAACAGTTAGACGCATATTCTGTCCAGTGAGATTGCGCAGCGAAGGGTACATACGATGAGGTAGTTGTCTATGAACGACTGGGAGTACTCTTCTCGTCGCAGGTACTCCCCAATTGAGATTTCCTCCGACGCATAGAGGCCACACGTCCTCGAATCCAGCAGTCGTCTGGCGCAGGCATTAAACCGGACAACGTCATAGAGCATCCGCCAGTGGTTCGGATCCAGCAGGTGCTGGGCTTGGCAGAAGACAGCACCTAGGCTCGCACCGCCCCACTCGAAAGCCCCGTTATCCCGAGAGACGGAGAATGTCATGTCGGTCGCCTGTATGCGCGCTTTCAAGGAAGGGTAGAGGCATAGAAATCGGAGGAAATTCGGGTAGGTGGTAGGATTGAATACGATCTACAGCCCATGTTGGTGTCAGGCTAGCGGTCCACCCTCTCAATTGATATACTTACGAAGCCGCTGAACCAAAGGCAAGCTTAGATTGACCAAAGACAACTGAAGTATGTACTCACGTATCAACATCCACCACTTCTCCTGCGATCGTGAAGCTGACGGTATTCGCGTGACCACCGATGCGATCCGCCTCGTATAGATGTACTTCATGCTCAGAGTACTCGTTGAGCACCTAGCGGATAGCGGGTAAGAAGTTCAACATCAGGTTAGGCATTACTAGACGATGCGCACCCAAGTAGCAGCAAGGCCAGCGACACCGGACCCAACAACCGCGACCTTCATGAGAGGCGGTCACTATCACAGAAATACAAACATGGGCGCGTTGAGTGGGGTGGGGATAACTACCAGGAGCGACTTGGTAGAGTGGAAAGTCGGTTACCGGACGTGGAGGGGCTACGCGCTTCATTTGACATGCCGTGACGCGAAGCCCGCTATGAGCGGAGAAGCATCAGCCCTCTGTTGCACTCACTTCAGGATTCGGCAATGCTGCTGGGCCTGTGATATCTCCGCAAAGGCAACATGCATAGATGAGAAGAGTCTCGACGATAGCGAACGACATCTAGTGATCCCGAGTAGCAATGTCCTTCGACATAAACTACTTCTGACCTGCAGTCGGCAGCGTGGTCATCTCGTACGGATTGGGCAAGTCCGGTTCCTTCGAGGGTCGCGGATGCGCGTTCGGCGGCGCGTTCACGTCCCGTGACCGCGAAGGCTGGTGCGTCGGTGGTCTGCCTGCGCCACCGTGACTCGGAGGGACATTCATCTCTCTCGACCGAGTGGGCTGGTGGGCCGGTCCTGTACCGTTCGGAGGAATGTTCATCTCTCTCGACCGCGAGGGCTGGTGCGCCGTCGTTGATGGCCTCCCAGCCGTCTCCGGGTACTTGACGGCAGCATCTGGGGACTCTGGGCTAAAGGAGTGTTGGACGCAGCACGGTCAGTGGAGATTGATGCTCACGATGCATCCGTCTTCTTCGTTACACCTTGCCAATCGCAGGTGTCACATACCCAGATCTGTTTCGAGCTGAAGGATGCGACAGGCAAGAAGAAACATCTCAGCTGATGATGGGACTCCGCGGGGAATACAGCAACTGCGCGCGCGGTCAACGTTCATGCTCCTGGGCAGAAGGTACGCGAACGGGACTCACCATCATCGCACTGCGGACACACACGAGCAGGCTTCTCCTTATCAAGGTTCACCTTAGTAGGGCATCCGACTGAGCAGGACTGAGAGCGGGTCGACTTCAGAACAATAGTGCCACTTACATGCAAATGTCATACACGACCCCAAGCAAACACATCCCGACAAACAGGTGCTGCACAAGAGACAGCAGCCGCAATCCAGGTCAGACATAGGTGCAGATAGGACTCTATAGCAAAGTTTGGGTGAAAGCCAAGGACGATCCAGCCTGGCTTATGTATGTGTCTGTTCGCTCCGAGTCCGAGTCCGAAGTCGAAGCCATATGTCGCCAAGCTTCCGAGTCGTTTAAGTACCCCTCCGACTCTGCATATGTGCACGGCCATCGCCTGCGGCCCTGACTGCACACACCAAATGACAGATCGCGAGAAATGCAGAGGCTCGTCCGTGCAGCAGCGGCATCTCGTCGGAACTCGTCCGACTGAATGCCAGTGTCCGCGTTGGCATGGCTTCTGGGCGTAGTGTTACACAACATTGACCGAGTTTGGAACCCCACTAAGTTGCCACTAAGATAGCACTTCTGCATAACGGCCGTCCGTGCATGATCTCTGCGCAGGCATCCGCCCCTGCATGGTCTCACCTGGTAGTACACCGAACTTGAAGGCCATCTCGGCCACGAAGCCGGTCTATCAGGCTTGATGGAGCCCGCTAGCAGGTCGGCCCGTGTCACTGCAGTATGTTTTGTACTGCCATTGTATACGCGGGTACCACTCACACGTGTCTGTACATATACCGAAGCCTAATACCTGCAGCACAATGATACAGGCCACAGGCGCACGTCCAAGACGTCTATTAGTTCCGAAGGTCGGAGCTGCTCTGTGTCAGTGGTGGATGCCATTCGTGAGACGGACACGAAGTGTCACAACGCGTTGAACATGAATGATCTGTACACGGTATGTCGCAGCACCGTGACAGAGTTGATTGAGGACCAGTCACCCCGAAGAGTGTAACAGTGCGAAAAATTTGGTAACGAGCCATGCAGCCCGCGAGCAGCCGGGGTACACGGTTCGTGAACGCACACAACATTCCAGACGAGCCAGAACGATGCGCGTACGAGCCGCGAGTCTGCTGAAGGACAACGCCCAACGAGAAGCCGTGCTTCAAGTTAAACCCCCTCGTACACCGACGACCACTGAACCAGCTTGGGTTCTTCGCCTCACCGACATACCGGTCATAGCGGTATATTGTCATGCACCTTCCACTGATTACGCACTAGCGGCAGCCCATATGACTAGTGACCTGGTACCAATTGGCCGGCGATCGACCGACCACGAAAGCACAGCGCCCAGCCGAGGCTACCGTAACATGCGCATCACTCTGTGGAGGCCAGGACACCGCTAGCTTTCGTACCGGCTACCTTTGGCGGGGCACCCAAGGACGTCAAGATTGGGTGCAGACGGTGCGATAGAGGTGCTTCAGCCCGTGGATGGTAGCCCAAGCCATGGTGCGATACCGCCAGGGCCGACCCCACCCTTCCCTCCACGAGCTTGCGACTCGCTTCTCCGGGAAACGAGAGTAGGCGGCGACGCATGGCAGAGGAATCGCCTAGCTGTTGACAGCGATTGACCATGCTGTAGTCTGTCAAGAGCACCCCGAGCCGGCCTCGCGAAGCGAGAGGACGTAGAACGCCTCTGGTACGTGGCGAGGGTCGCGGCCTGCGAGCTGCATGGGTGAGGTTGTAAAGCCGGGAGAGATGCAAGACGCACTCTAGATAGTGCATGTTTGGTGTTGTTGTTTAGGTAACAGAGAACAACAGGATGGTGATTCACTGTTCGGAACCTAGTTCATGAGTGACAGTGCGATGGGACCTCTCGGTCATCGAGCCCGCTCAGAGCGACAAATCCAGGTTGACCTGTACCCTGAGTGATGTAGCGTCCTTCGCCGCTGTATAGTTGCAAAGCCATTGATCATGTCCGAGTCCTTTTTTCTGCCTGTCGTCAAGGCCACGTTACAGATAGCACGCGAAGCATATAAGCTAGCCTGAGACAGGACTCGGAAAAGCTGAACTTCACAATGTAAGGGATGGTGCACCGCAGACCTAATAATCAATACTCTAATGAGTGGGTAGAACAAACGTTCGACACGCTCTCGAAAAGCGGAATATTTGCAAAAATTCCATGCAGCCCACGAGCAGTCGGGACAACTAGGTCCATGGCCCCACGTCCCAGTCGAGCCAGGACATGAGAAGCCAAGGAACCGCGATACGCTGAAGGGCAGCGGCCCAGAACTCCGTTGGCTAGCCTCCTCGCATACTCGCCGCCGTCTCTGCGTCCTTTGCCTCTGGGTTTAAGCTTGCATCCACAGGTTCCGGGTCTGTCTACACATAAAGTACACACGCCAGCGCAGGGGTTCGTGCCCACTGAGGAGCACCCCATGGGTGCACCGACGAGTGAATCGTTTTCAAACGACAACCATTGTAACCTGAGGAATCATTGTAACCTGAGGAATGCGGACCAGGCTCAGGGTCGCAGCGAGCGCCGTAAAAGTCAACGCTGCGGTATGTGAAAGAAACCAACGCAACGAGTGTGGATGACTGCCCTGTCCTCGCGGCGCAGTACATGCCGTCGCCCTCCGAGATAACTCGGGCGTCGCGACGACGCTGGGCCGGATTGTGGGTAGTGCGCTGCCTGGCCGTTTAGGGCCTGGCCACAGTACAGCCTGCGAAGAGGACTCGAAGACCCAGACCAGCCTCGTTGGGTGGGAGATCATCGAGGATCTCTTGTTCGGAGCGAGGGTCGCGTTCTGCGGGCTGCATGGGGGGAGTGAGAAGGAGACCTGTCCGCGCAACGTAAATACAATTCGGATAGTGTTTGGCTCTGTTGTGAGGGCTTATTACGTTGCGCGGTCACTTTAAGGGAGCTATGACCTTGCAGGACGGATATGCATTCGAGCACGACAACAACTTTGAAACGAATTTGGGAGTTCCGCGAGGTCGAGCAATAGAGGGAATGCAATGACTTTGAAGAACTAGCTCCCGCCCCTTGGCCTGTGCACTACACGCGATGTGCTCGAAACTTCCAATGATCATGCAGCAATACCTGAAGGCATAACTATGACATGAGGGTAGCATCACGAAGGTCCAAATGCTCTCGAAGAGCACAATAATCCCAAAAATTCATCAGCTGCAATCCAATGCAGCTCGCGAGCGGCCGGGAAGTATAGGAATCCGTAGACAGCCACGTCTCAGCGTGAGCCAAGATGTCGACACTACGAGCCGCGATATTGCCAAAGAGCAGAACCCCAGAACCTCGACGGTCGACCACCTCGTACATCCGCATCCATCCTCTCCCGTCATCCAACCGCAAGCAGTACTCTACTCCCAGAACCACCGACCTAGCGCACTTGCCCAACCAAGACCACTTGCGGCCGCGGAGTGACCCCGGCAAAACGAACGCACCGAGAGGGCGGTCATGGAGAGCGCCTACTACTCATGATGGCCGAGGGATATGGGTACCTCAAAGCGATGGGCGCAGCGGATGCGATAGAGATCAACACAGGGAGCAATAGGCGTCCACTCGGTCCCCAAGGTGCAGACATCGTCCAGTCAGACCCTCCCCTCCTCGAGCTGTCGCATCGCATCTTCGGGGCGCCACGAACGACGTTGGACCCGACCGCAATGCACCTGGCCAATTAAGGCCCGACTGCAGTACAGTCTGATACGAGGACTAGAATACCCAGGCCGGCCTCGCAGATGGAATGACATGACTGTCTCCTGTGCGGGGCGAGGATCGCGGTCTGCGAGCTGCATGTACGGGAGTACGAAAGTGAAGGAGCATGATCGCGCGCGCAATGAACACGTTCCCACAGATGTTTGTCGCTGTTGCTGGGGATTAACAGTGCACAACACGTACCGTTTGGCACATGACAAGCACACGTACTTGCGCACGGGATGCGCGAAGATCGCACCGTAGTACGTACCCGCTAATGGTACGTACACCGTCTTGGTGCCAAAATCGCGAGGTAAGCACGGAAGAGGCCAACGAAGTCTTTCCACGACTACATCGCCTTGTTGCGAAGCTAGTCCCTTTGGGTTCATGCATCGTTTGACCAAGAGGATCATCGCAGCGAGGCAACCGGTCGATGAGAGAGGACAACGTACAGGATCGTAGTATCGCCACCACCATGACCGCGGGCATAGCGGGACTGAGTAGACGGTTTGCACCACTGACACGAAGCCGTGAACACCTGCCAAGCCAAACAAACGTCAGCTTAAAAACCCAATAATATGCAGCCTTACCAGCGCTAGTATTGGGAACGTGACGGCGAACTGGGCATGTGAGATGTCATCCTCCAGCGCCATTGACCATTGACAGCGGGAACTTGAAGCGAAATACGAACACTGTCGGGCTTCGACCTATCTCCACAGTACGATCCAGCCTTGACGTAGCGGTCGGAAAGTGAGCTCAGGGCTGGCTTGATAGTCGCGACAAACGCGGAATACATAACGTCTCAGCAGACCAGCAAGGGAAGAGGACATTGGCGTAGGTACAAAATAGGATGTACAATTGCATGAACGCGAGCGCGCCAAATGCGCGTCTATCTGGACCAAACAACGCGAACGCGTCAACAAACCGGACGCGTCGCTGTTTATTGGACGCGTCAACTTGTACAAACAAGGTTATAACCGAGGCCACAGTCGTCGCCTCTCTCCTCCTTCACCGTTGTACCCCTCCTCCTGCTTGCTCCTCCTCCCGGGGGCTCTCTAGGCTGGCCTGACCTACCTCTTTCTCACTCCTTCCCTTGCACGGTCCTGACACGCGCCGGCCACGTCTTACGATGAGCCTTCCAACACCACCTAGTACCTCCCACAGGGAGAAGGAGACCTGGATATCGCGTCTTTCACCAAGTTCACGCGTCTCATGGTCGGAGGAGCACCAGTACCACACACTTCCAGCCAGCCCGTCCTCGACGCCACCAAGTATCAACGTCAAGTCAAGCGCGTCGCAGCTTGCACCAGGCAAGTCGATTTTGAAGAAGACGGAGGACGTGCTCCCTTTGATGGACGAGGAGGAGCAGAAAGAGTGCACTCCTGAGCCGGCGGATCCTCTGACCGACCTGCGCTATCTGGAGAATCCCGTCTCACTGATTCTCGATTCGAACGCGTCGCTGCGCGACCTCGCGGAGGCTTACTCTGTGCTTTCTTCGCGTTGCAAGTCTGCCCTGACCACGGATAGCGTGGTTGACTCGACGTGGCCGCTTTTCCAACCGCTTCGGAAACGTCGTGACGCGTTCCTTGATGCTGTCATTCGCGATTTAGGCCGCGTGCACATTGACCCCCTTGAAATACCATCAACCGAAGGCGAGCCATGCCCGGCGCAGGGGCGGGAAGTAGTCGTGGCATTGCCCTCCCCCAAGGAAAGCCCTCGAAAGAAGAGGGGTATGTCCGGAGAGCAAGCCAAATTCGCGCGTGATGTCTGCACTGTCTGCCACGCTGTCATACGTTTCCTCAACGTTGCCTTCACGTTTCCTGCGCTGTATCAGTTGTACTCTGGTACGTAATGCTATTTATCCGTACCAATCTGACAGGGTGTACTGATTTGCTGTCAGTCAAACAGCTGCGCTTTCTCTTGACCCACGTTCTCGCCATCCCGATGGCTCCTGAGCTCCCGACTCCCAATGCACGTAAAACCTGCGCGTTAGCCGTGTGGCTAATCCAGACGATGGAGCTTCCATCGGAAGTTATCGAACCTGCGGCACCGCGTATAGCGTACGCTATTCGTCGGGGTATCGAAGGCGAACTCGGGAGAGAGGGGAAGAAGGGAGCAGTGAATGACGGTCTCAAGGTCAGTATATGCGCCCTTTCCCCGTCCCTGCGACTGACCGCAACGCAGGCGATCTATGAACTGTCCACTGCTTTCCCGGAGATTTTTGTACCGGCATTCACGGATATCCTTCCATCCCTCCTGTCAAACCTCCTCGCACCGACCCTTGTTTTGCGCGCGCAGGCATGTCATGCGCTCGGAGGCTTTGCGTATGCGGTTGCGAACATCTCTGCATCTCCAGTCCATGCTCGTATAGCCAACATCGTCGCCAACTACCTGCGGCCTGTCGACTCACCACCTCCACCACCTGATGCGAATGGCAACGCTGCCCCTCCCATGACTCCAGGGAGTCCGAAAAGGGACTCCGCCATAGTGCGCACCCTCCGGACGCTGTTAGCTGCGACAGAACCTAGGCATGTCGCTCAAGGTCCCGTTTGGGCGTGGATGGTCCTCGGCTACTTCATCGTTCTGCTGGGCCCGATGGTGTACGAGGACGACGCGATCTGCCGCACCATCACTGCCCTATTCAGCTTAGGTCTGCGTCACGGAAAGAGCTCCGTTCGTAACCTAGGGTTCATGACCTGGCGCTGTATGGTCTGGGCGTACTTCTACGCGCCTTCGATCAAGGTGACCACCGATGGTGACGAAGACATGGAGGATGCTGACGAATCGGAACGCACCTCGACTGTTGCATCCCCTGGGGAGCGCATAAAGAGCGCCTGGAAAGTCATGGTCTCTATACTCGATGTCGGTGTAGGCTCGGCCGTCATTGCCTCGCTTCTGTCGCAGCCCTCCTCCGAGTTGAGCCTCCGCCGCGTTCTCGGCGTCCTGCGCGCCATGAGCAGGAAGGGTGGACATACGACGAAGGAAGCCCTTGACACCGCCATGGAGCTCCTTGGTGTCCCCGACTCGGCAGACGAGGCCATCGAGCCCCCGACCCTGCTCCCGCACGGCCTCTTCTGCGCAGAACCGGGGCTGCTCACCGCAGACTGGTCTTCACTGCCATCTGCCGCTCGGCCATTACTCGAGGAATGCCTGCGCACGCACAGCGTGCGGAAGTTGACGGAAGACGAGGTTGGGACGAACTGGGTGTTCAACGTCCTCTTGGTGGTCTTCAAGAATGGTCTCAGCGCACTGAAGCTCTCTTGGGGCGTCAATTGCCCGGTACGTTTCTTGTGCTCGTTGATGCCTCGGCTTGAATCCTGACCACGGTGCATATGAAAGAGTGAGCTTATTGCCCTGTGGGGCGCTCTAATTCGCTCGAAGAGCGACGGACTTGCCGGTATGTCTCTCTTCCGTCGCGTATGCAGTTTCTCACTCTGTTTTAGATGAGAATGACAGGGATGAGCTCACGTCATGGGCGGATGTCATGACTGGCCTCCTGATTGACCTTGTCGACGATCCCAAGCTCGACGTGGTCAAGAACGCTCACGGCGACCATGACAGCGGATTTGTGCCCACAAGCCCTGTCAAAGGAGTCCGAAAGCACCTGATGCCGACACTTGAACGCATGAATCTGGGGCTGAAGCTCTACCTTGCGCGCGAGCTCTGGCACGTCCATATGAGCATATTCTCAGGTGAAGCACTGGAAAAGTCCTCAGAGAAACTCTTGGGCTATCTTCTCTACAACGAGGAGTACCTCGTCGAAGAGCTGGACGAGGCGGACGGCGTGCGACTGCAGTGGGCTTCGCTCTGCGCAGAAACGCTGTTCGCGTGCGATGCTGCCCTGTTGGAGAAGTTCTGGTCGGGACGTCATCCCAAAGGCCCGCAATTTGGCTGGGCTTCTGAGGTGCGTCGACTGGTGTGGTCCGCGTTCGTCGAAAAATGGCGCGAGAACTCCGAAGTGGCCTGGGAGATGGGTGTCATCCTCCTCAGTGCACCGTTCATGTGAGTTGATTAGCGTCATGGCTGTGCGAGCTACATCTGACTGGATTGTAGGGACTTCGCTGCGTTCGACATGTGGAATTACGACGCAGAGGTTTGGAATGCTATCCTCCGCGAGACCATGGACAGGGCACTCGACTACGGCATTGACTCCGTCACCGTCGTCGACCAAGTCGCGTCGACGGTGTCCTCTCACCACTCGCCTACCATGTCCGCCTCTGCAACCCGCATCGCCGACCTGCTCCTCTCGAACCTGGACATCACCGATGCACGGGACGTCCCAAAGGATGTCCTCGACTTGGTCAACGACACGCTCATCACGACTTACCCTCCCGAGCCGCGCAACAAGGTCGTATCTCTTTGGCTTATCCGGACACTCACGAGGGTGATCGACGCGTGTCCGATCGAGCTTTCGATGAACATGTTCGAGCTTCTCCAGGAAGGTCTGGCACACTGGATCAGCGACGACTACCAAGTGTTCACTGCGGAAGAGTATGCCATGGATGTATGTACCGCATGGTTGATTGGCGAAATGCTCTCTAACGTCCCTTGCACAGATCCTCCCAGTATACCAGACAGTCTTGCTCGGCATCCAGTCACTGCCTCGCATTGTCGACGTGATCGAGGCGCTCGCGCCCATCGTCGAGGCCGGCTTCTGCGGCCGCCCCAACAAGCCCGAAGCTATCACCCAGGCCTTCGCAGACTTCTGGGAGGCATCCTACGCCCGCGTCAAGGAGCCTTCCGATGGGTGGCCCGAGCGGCTGCAAGCCTGCCTGCACGCCCTGCACGGGGACAAGCCTCCTCTGTCCGTCGGGGCCTTCGACATGGACGACCTCCCGCCCTCCTCCGACTTCCCCGACTCCAATGACGACCTCTTCGCGCCGGACACGAACGACGCGGAGAGCGAGGAAGAGGAAGACGAGGTCTCCGCGTCCATCCTCCTCGCCTCCCCCGGCTTCGGGCCTCCCATCCCCGCACTCATCCCCCTCCCTCCATCGCCGGTCGCCGGCCCGTCGCGCTTCACCACCCCGCCGTCCACGCCGAAGCTCTCCCCCGTCCGCCTCTTCGCGACCCCCACGCGCCCGCACAGGGCAGCCGGTCGCACTGAGGAGCCGTCGTCGCCCTCGTCCCCGCTGGCGTTCCCCGACTCCCCGCAGCGCGCGGTGCCGGAGCCCCCGCGCACGCCGATGACACCCAAGCGCGCGTCGCAGACGACCCCAAAGCGCACACCGCTGTCGTCCGCGCGCAGACGGAGTGCGCGCGAGAAGGAGAACGTCGAGCCGCTGCCTGTCATCGCGACTGTCGCGGAGCGCATCGCGATGAGCGCGTCTGCCGCAGCCAGTGGGCCGTCCGTCCTCGGCAAGCGGCCCTCGGGTGACGACGAAGACGATGTGCAGCCGCCGAAGAGAGCTAAGCTTGACTTGCCGGCTGCTCCTCTGCTGGATCCTGGCTTGCTGCTCAAGAAGTCTGAGGATGAGCCGTTGCGGACGAGTGTCTTCTTCCAGGACGTCCCGAGTACACCCAAGCGGCCGAAGACGCCCCATTCCAGTGCGCGCTCACCGGTGTTCGATTCGGACTCGGGCATCTCCCTGTCATCGTCGCCTGAGATCCCGGTGTACAGTGCGAGGAAGTCGACTGGAGTGACCGCGAAGCCCTCGAGCGTCGCCTTCGCTGGCTTGCCCAGCACCTCGAGGCGCATTGCGACCTTGCCCAAGACGCCATTCCCCGCCAGAGCGGCGGAGTCCGATGAGGATCCGTTCTCGTCTTCTCAGGCGTCGTCCTCTGTGATACCAGCGAGTGAGCCACGGACGCGCAAGCGGAAGGGCGTCTTCATGGAGGCGGTTGAGGTGCCGACGTACAAGGAGGTCCTCCGTCGCGAGGAGGCACAGCGGAGGCGTATCAGTCTCTATGCCAGTCTGCCGCGGCGCGCTGCGTCTTCCGTCGCTCGCCAGAGTGCGACGAGCAGCAAGCCAGCGGAGTCAGGTACGAGGAGGACACATTCGGCTGTGAAGGCGACCGAGGCGAATGTTGCAGAGTCTGAGAGGGACGAGCTCCCGGAGACACCGACAAAGAAGCGGAAGAGCCGCGGTGCGGTCATCAACGGGAACGCGGAGGCGGGGACAGCAGGGTCTTCTTCGTCCATGTCGTCCTCCCTCAGAGCCCTCAGAAAGGCTCCTGTCCTGGGTAGTGGTACGTGTTCCTCGCAGAATCTCTTACTGGCCGCTTGCTGATCTCACATCATCATAGACGACTCTATCTTGCATGCTACGCCCTCAAAGCTCCTGCCAAAGGAGCACTCGTCGTCCGACGACGACCCCCGGCTGGGGCAAGTCAACCCCGTCGGGCTCTCCTCGCCTGCCCTCCGGCGCGTCAAGGCGCAGGCGGTGGACCTGTCGGACCCGCCGAGCAGCGACGACTCCGTCATGTCGAACAGCCCCTCGCGGGACCTCGTGAAGCGGCGCATCGCGCGCCTGCCGGGGAGCGTAGACAGGAGGAAGACCTTAGACCCCTCCCCCCTCAAAACGCGCATGGTCGCGGTGATTGACTTGACGCGCGACGACGACTGATGTGCACCCCGGTGCAGTCGTACCTATATTCTTGGAATACACTGACTTGTGTTGTGTGTTTGTTAACCGTGGATTTGCGATTTGTTAGCTGTGATATCTCGTCTGTCTGTCTTCTCACTACTCTGTCCATACCTCCTCTGTCCATACCTCGCATTGTACTGTATCAGCATCTGCAAATACACATCCTCGAGCTCCCGAATGCGAAATGAAGCCGCCCGCGACATGCGTGCACTCAACGGGGACAGACGACACGGGTGGCGGGAGTCCCAGCCACCTTGCCGAATGTGGCAAGCGGATGACCAAAAGCGGCTACTACGATCGCTTACCGGGCGGCTGCGCGGGCTTCGTTCGCGACTCGGAGGAGCGCACAGCCGACGTGTTTCGGACCCTTCCGATGCTTCCAACAACAGGAACCCGAGCGTCCCCCGCGTCCGTTGCTGGGCTAGGCGGGATACACATGTGGCCCATTTGCCCTAGGAGCCGCGTGCGGTAGTCGACGTTGGTCGTACAGGTGAGCTTCGTATGCGTACACTAGGATGTGCTAACGCTGTCCATCTTCGAACAGACATGAGCGGTGCCTCTGCACGTCTTGAGGCCTGCCGAGGGGCGCAAGGAACGGCGGAGACGGAGGGCGGGGTGTCAGCGGTGTACTCTCATGTCACAGAAGCGCGGCGGCCCCACCGTTCAGCACGTCCCGCCTCGCCCAGCGTGATCGGGACATATGCTGGTCTGACCTCGCGTAGCGGCCTGACGACGGGGGACTCGACACCTGCCACCGCTACTTAACCTCCTGCGCGCACACCGCACCCCCATCGCGTCCGGCTGCCCCGCTGAACGTTGAATAGCTCTCTCCCTCCCGCCCCGCTCCTTTCGCGCTCTTTGCACGTCCCCTCCTTCGTCCGTCGACACCCGTCACGCCTATACCCGTGCAAGAACCCACCCCCACCCCTCAACGTACCTAATAACACGATGATGTTCGGAAAGCTCTTCGCCTTCGCCGCGTCCGCCGCGCTCGCGCTCGCCGCGCCCGCCTCGTTCATCCCCATCGCGGACGACATCATCCTGTGGTCCGCGGACATCCAGTCGCCGAACGTGTTCTCCGTCTGGCCCGTCGGCTCGACGCAGACCATCAAGTGGGACCCGAGCCAGGTGCCCCAGACCGCCGCGAACCACACCGGCATCGTCCTCCTGGGCTACTACGAGGACGACAGCGAGAACCTCGATACCCGTGCGTCGTCCCGCGTCCGCCGCGGGCTGCGCTAGCGCTGACGTTCGTTGTGCCTGCAGAGACCCCGCTCGTGGCGGGCTTCCAGATCGCGGACGGCCAGGTGGACATCACCGTGCCGAACGTGACGGAGAGGAACGACTACATCGTCGTGTGTACGTCCCGCCCGTCGCTTCTCTGACCCATGCGCGCCGCTCACGTCATCCTCCAGTGTTCGGCAACTCGGGCAACGCCTCGCCCACGTTCACCATCAAGCAGTAAAAAGTCCCTTCATCCCTTGCGAGCCCCGCGAGCCCGCACCTACTAGCTTGACCCACGCAGCGGACCCCTACACACCTTACGGACGGACTATCACCCCTACTAGCATTACCACACCCTACCGGACCCCCATCGCACATCAGAGACTCTGACGCACCTGTGATCACCCTCTGGACACTTTGCCCTCGTTTTGTCACGCACTCGCGCTGCACATGTTCACTAGCACCTTCGTATGCTACGTAGTCTAATCGTATCAATGATTGACCTGCTGTTCTCGAGGGAGCTCTTCGCTTTCGAAAGTCACGTTCGGGAAGCGGAAGGGTTTCCGCTTCGGTACCGGTGTGAATTGCGTGAGGTGCACGGACGAGATGGCGATACTTACAGGGAAGGACATTTGTGGCCGAGCCGTTGGACCCGGGATGAGGTTGTCTTGCGTGACTTGGTAGCTTCGACGCGCAATAATGCGGAAGCATCTCGTCAATCGTCCAGTGCCTGACGAGCTTCTCGTGATCGAGTATACAGCCCTGCGGACAGTGTTGCAGCCAAGAGATCCTTTCCTCACACTCTGAATCACGCATACGTCCATTCAACAGCAACAGCATCGCGAATATCCATTGTGCTTTTCGTACAAGCAACAGCAACGCCGCTCGGGCGTACACGTACACAACGGGCGGGACGTCGAAACGTCATCGGTACATCCAGCACTGAGAAGGCATAACAAAAGGTCGTTCTAATATACACTGGTATGTCGACTTGGTCATTCGTCCGTTCACGGCGCGGGGCGGGGTGTAGACCTCTAGCAGCACATCTCGCACGGGCAGCCTGCACAGGCAAGCCGCGTCAGCGAGCGAGCACGGAGGTAAGAGGGGGGAGACGCACAGATGATATCGGCGCAGCACTCGCAGCAGTCCTTGCAGCCCTCGAAGCAGATGAAGCACTCGAAGGCACCGATGAAGCAGTCCTTGCCCGCGCCGCCTCCGCGGAGGCGGCTCGCCTTGTGGTTCTGGCACTCCTGGCTCTGGTTCGCGCGCTGCGGGGGGTTCATCATGCCTGGGCGTCGCACAACATCGTCAGCGTCCGTCGTTCGAACACGACAGGGGCGAGCAACGTCGCGCGCCGAGAGCGGAGCGCGCGTGGGTGGGCTTGTCGTCGGAGACGTGCCAAGGCCAAGGCCGCCAAGCACCGTCGGCCCCGCCCTCACACACGATCAACAGAATTCGGGCGGACGCTGTTTACGTCCGCCGGGCTCGACAGCCGGGGGAGACCGGAGACTCACTCATCTGGACAGCCTGGGGCTGGGTGGCGGTGGTCATCGCGGGCTTGGGGGCTTCCATGGCTCTGGCGGGGGCGTGCGTGTGCGTGCGGACGGCGCGAGATGAGGTGATGGGGGTGCGTGGGTGGGCAGGGAATAGCGCGGGGGCAGGCTTATAGGGCGAGCGCGAGTCGCCCCATGCCGTGCGGGTGGGTGGCTTGTTTGGCGTTTACATCATCGCGCCTGCCTGCTCGCTTCTGACAAAAATAGACGCACCCCTCCACTGCAGCCCCTCCGCCCGCCGGGTGCCTGGCCGTGCCCGCACCACTACGCCTCCCACTCCGCTGCGTGTCGCTGGGGTGGAGAGTCCGCGGTCTGTGCGCCCTCCTGGCTCCTCCAGGCGTCCTCCTCGCTCTGCGTGCGAGACAACGCAGCCGCCTGCGCCTGGCAACGGGGTCCCTCTGACGTCGCCATCGCGCCCCCACTCTCTCACGGACGCGTATATCGAACGACTGCGTACACGCGGATTCAGCTCGGGGTGCTCTATGACCACTGCCATGACGCGCGTCTCTGATGCAGCAAAACGGCCCTCCTGCACGTTCACTGCCCTGCCGTCACTCTCGTGCGCCCGCTGTTCCGGTGGATGCACGCGCAGGTGCAGTGAGAACGGAACTGAACGAGCGGCGCCGCGCAGCCCAGGGTCTAAAAGGCTATTACTATTACTGTAGAATTTCGACATCAAGTTCAGTCACAGGTCACGGGCCTCTCTGAACTGGGCTTTCAGTTCAGAAGTCACAGGTCGCAGGGGGTCCTGAACTGAGGTTTCGCCGATGGTCACAGTGACGGTTTGTGAACATACGTAGGCCCCAGCGCGGACAGACCCTCTGGACTGAACTAGCCCTATGGTCACAGGTCCCAGCCGGTCCTGAACTGGGGCGCCTACCTAGTTCAGCGTCACAGGTCACACCCACTGAACATGATGTCGAAATTCTACAGTAGGTGACGGGATCGCGGCTTGCGTTACGCGCGAGGGAGCTGGCTTGCGGGGTCCCAAATACGGAACGACCACCCGAGCGTTGCCCGCAGCGCCGGGCGAGTGCTGCCATCTATCGCGCTGGACAGCCTGCGGGGAAACTCGAAGACATTGCCAGGTCGCCTGTACCGCTCGTACGACAAACATCCGAGCCTCGGCCTTCGTATTCACGGTGCACCTAGCTCAGTACCGTAAGTAGTTCTACAACCACCTACAGAGTTGCAGAAGTCCGGAGGTGCCCTGCGTTCCGATGTTGTACTGTGCGTCGTGTTGTAAACTAGGTGTAATCTTCGGAATGGAAGCGGTTTGCCGAGGACTGACAGGAGTCTGCCTTATCGAAGTCGCCCCGCACCTTCAGGGAGGATGACATCCACTCTAGATCTCAACAGCAGAGAACCAAGTGATCGAGCTGAGCGGGAGCCTTGGAAGACCGGGATGCGGATGAAGGAGAGAACTGTACGTCCCTTCACGCACACGGACAAGCTCGCAGTTCCTGGATTCCGTTCAGGGCACCTGCACAACCAAGCCAACTCGCATTCAATTGAGGTCACCGTGTTTCATTACCGCTGATATAGTTTGCGAAACACGTCACCGTGCATGATACGGGACTCACCTGGACCCCGATGAATGACAACCTTCTGTAGGTCAACTGTAGGTCGACCTCACCGCATACTCGGCGACCGCGCCGGGCCGCAGGATGTAATGATCTATGACACCCAGTACGAGCATGGCTGAACGCCGCGAAACCGCGTTGCATAGGGCCACGGAGATGTGGGTATCTGAGGACAAATGTCTCGAAGTTAGCCCTTGGCGCATTCAGCGGGGATAGAGAGACTCTCGGCCCAAGGCCGTGGCGATATGCTTCGGGGACAGCGCGCAGCAACGCGTCTGCTAGCATCCAAGTTGGCATCCAGTGGCGTCCAAAGACGATAAGGCACAACCTAGGCAAGCAACTGACCTACTTACTGCGACGGCGGCTCTCGTCCACGAGCCTGATACGTCACATCGAACAAGCCACCGCCTGCAATGCCATAGTTGTGATATGTCGGGCGTAGACAGATGATCTAGACGAGCGTTGGTCAACTCATTGAAAGGAGTCGTTCAGCTCACACGCCGCAGGTGTGTGTGCAATTCGTTGGTGGGCGCATCTCGATGAATTGTATGCAGAACTCTGCATGGCCACTGCTTGTCAGCGTCCCGATCATCCGCAGTGTGTCTGAGTAGAGCGTACCAAATTGACGAACCGCCTTGGCTGATAAGTGTTGAGCACACGGAAGACGACCCCGGGACGAGCCAGTCTGACAAGGTCTGGATGGCAGCCACCGAGCGCTGAACACGGGGAGAATCTCGGCGACCTAGAGCGGTACATAGAGGCTTTATCGCCGTCTGAGAACGCTCGAGACACGCAGACACGCCGCACATATCTGATAAGTAGACGGAGGGGGGAACAGTATGTATAGCTAGAGGTTCGAAGATGCTCTCTCTCACCGTTCACTTCCGCCTGCGATGATCATCCGTCAGCTGTCCCAGCTCGAGCGTCCAGATAGCTGCGTACACACAGAGTGATAGAGTCTCTGGGAGGGGCCGCGCAGCAACAACCTATGCAAGGCGACCAGGTTTTGACTTGCTACCAACGCGCAGACTGATGGATGTAGGGGGCTCTGGTCAAGTTGAACCGGGAGTGCACACTCACCGGAGGAGATCCCGGCCGGCGCGGATCACTCGCGCCAGCTTGATGGCCGGACGCCGCGGTCCCCGCCAAGTCCCCGCCGTCCGATCAGGTCCAGTGGAGGCGCGTCGGTCGCCGCCGTGGCAGTCGCCGCCGGTCCCCTGCGCTGCACCACGTCGTTCCGCGCCGCGCCACCGCACGCAAGTCGCCGTCTCGCTTTTGGCAGCAGCCTTCCCAGGCCGGAAGCGCGGTAGGCCACCCGGAAGCCTTCTCTCGTAAACTCACATTTACCGACCATATTCGGCACCGTCTGCGTCACCGTGTCTCCGCCAGCAGCATACTCTGAGTCATCTGCACGTCCCCGCTCAGTTATCGCCCCAGCTCGGGAGGGACCCTTTCTCGTTCCAGCCTATCGCCAGCCAGAGCCCTCGGTCTCCGAGCGCGTCGCACCATCGATCGCCATCCTGCTTTTGCCCTCCATACCGGCCTGACCAAGACAAGACAATATAAGGAAGGAGCGCATGGCCCGAGATGGCGTCCTTCAACCGCCTCAGCTACTACTCGGTCATGGGCGAGGAAGATCCAGAGCTCGAGGAGGGCCGCGAGGATGAGGGCGGCGGCGACGAGCGCACCCCGCTCGACAGGACGATCGACCGCATAGGGATGGGTGCGTCCCCGCGTCTCAGATGCTGCAGCCTATTGACGTGTGGCCGTGTCGGCGGGTTCTTTTCGTGCTAAACGCATATGCATATGCCACGGGTGTGATTGGGCTGCGCGTAGGATGGTACCAGTGGACGCTGCTGTCGCTCTGTGGGTTCGGTGAGTGTTGTCGAGTTCTCGAGGCGAGAGGCCATGATCCGGGCGAATGCTGACCGGTGACCCCTTCCCCGCACCCACCTCCCCGCGTGCCCAGGATGGATGGCGGATAACGTGAGTCGCGTTTGAATGTGCCGAGGCGCGTCCAACGGATGTAATAGATGTGGATCCAAGCGGTGGCAATAGCCTTGCCGCGCATTCAGCGGCATTTTGAAGGTGAGTTTGGACATTGGGATAAGCTTGGATGTGTGCAGCGAAGACGGCGTGTATCGACCCGCCAGCGGGTTGGATTACCCCATGGCACTAGCGGATGACACCCACAATACGGCATATGCTGCTATGCTGCTCATGTAGGGCCAAGGCGATTATTTGTTCACGAGCATATGATTCGGGACGAGACAGTACAGAGTACCTCCGCATACACAGCCAGCGTGTCATCTTTTATGCGTCAAATGTCCATTTATCAGGCTTCGAGAATAGTTCCGTGATACTCATGCAACAACCTCAGTGCGCGACAGCGTCATCGGCACGCTATCCTCGTCAATGTTCGCGGGGATGATGTTCGGCGCAGTGGGCTGGGGAACATGTGAGTGCGACGATCGATCTTCTGGAACACAGCGACTGAGGAATCATTGCCACAGGCTCCGACCTCATGGGCCGCACAACCGCCTTCAACGCTACGCTGTTCCTCACGGCCTTTTTCGGGATCTTCGCCTCATTCGCACCGACATTCATCTGGCTATGTATCTCTCTATTCTTCCTCGGGAGTGCTGTCGGAGTAAGTACTGCGCTCTCTTGTAAGACTCGAGCTGACGCAATCCCGAACACCAGGGTTCCATGCCTACGGATGGCACTCTTCTCTTGGAACACATGCCGAATGGGAAGCAGTATCTCGTCACCGCGCTCTCTGTGTTCTTCTCCTTTGGCTCCGTCCTCGCGGCCTTCGTCGGCCTTATCGTCATACCTGGCCACTCCTGTCCGCCGGCTCCAGCCGCCTGCGACGTGGACGCCCAAAATCAAGGATGGAAGTATCTACTTTCGACCCTTGGCGCGATTGTAAGCATACATTCTCGTAGCATGCGAGATCCGACTGAACGTAAGCCGCACAGACAATGGCGATGTTCATCGCGCGGATCGTGTTCTTCCGACTGCATGAGTCGCCGCGCTACCTCGTCCACGCGGGACGCCCGCAAGAGGCGCTAGAGTCCCTGCAGATGATATCGAGGTTCAATGGGGACGAGCTAAATCTTGGGCTCGAGGACGTGCGCGATAGCGTGTACGCCCCTCTCATCACCGACGAGCCCGCCAACATGAACAATCACGATCTACACGACCCCCCATCAAAACATCCCCAACACGACTCCATAACAGACACCCCTCACGACCCGTCTGCCCTCGTCTTCGACGCAGACGCACACGCAGGAGAGACGCGAGACTCGCGGGGGAACAGCGAGGAGCGCGCGCCGATGGCGTTCGCGAACAGCCGCGACCTCCTGCGCGCCTCGCCCGAAAGCGAGTCCAAGAGCTACGACGCGACGGGCGAGTCCAACGTCGCGCTCGAGGGGCACCACTTCCACACCCCGCAGGTCTCCCAGATCTCGCGCACCTCGACCCCCGCGGGCTCCCTCCGCGGCCGCCCCGAGTCCCTGCTGCACACCGACGCCGAGGCGGAGGACAAGCCCCCGCTCTCGCGCGAGCCGTCGATTGCCGCATCGCGCCCCGTGTCGGGGCTCTTCGCCGACGACGTAGGAGTCGATGCAGAGACTGCATACCCGAGACCACGACCACGGCTGAGTGGCAGGGGCAGCAGGCGCTTCTCCGCGACGTCGTCGGTATACGAGCCCCGCCCGAATATTTACTGGAAACTCCCAAGGTGGCTGAGGAAGCCGCTCTGGGCGTGGCTCGACCGGATCGCGATGGTGCTCGTGCCGGAGTGGGTGCATACCACCCTCTTGGTGTGGGCGGCGTGGTTCGCGATGTCGTTGGGTGAGTGCCCCTACGCTGTTATTTGCATGTGGGAGCAGATACTTATGGGTGTTGGGACTCTTGCAGCCTACACGATGTTCAATGTATATTTGCCGAAGTTGCTGGAGGGCCGTGGGGCACAATTAGAGGCAGACCTAGGCTCTGCTTCACCGAAAAGTCTCGATGCGAGCTTGTGGGATGTAGTCATATACGCCCTAGGAGGATGTCCGGGCGCCGTGGTAGGTGTTCACTGTCATATGCCTGGTGATCTGTCTCATGTTGTTTGCTTTCTATAGCTCGGAGCATATCTGATCGAGGGCCCGCTAGGACGTAGACTGTCGCTAGCAGGCAGTACCTTCGTGACTGCATTTTTCTGCATCATTTTTGTTATCGTCGAGCAGTCGTGGGCGGTGCGCGCGAGCACGGTCGGGATCAGTCTGAGCGCGACGGTATGTTGGTCTCAGCTTGCGATACGACGAGAAATGGCTGATTTTTGGTATTTTCGTTCAGGCCATGTGGGCTGTGTTGTACGGCTGGACACCCGAAATTTTTGGCACGAAAGGTAAGCTCAAAGCGACCATTGAAAATCTCGCATATTGACGCTGTTACCAGTCCGAGGCTCCGCTTGTGGCATTGCCTCTGCCCTCTCGCGGATGTAAGTGAGAATCGCCTTCCTTAATACACGCGTACTCATCTTTCGAGCAGAGGTGGCATGATCGCACCCATGCTCGGCGGCATGCTCCTCGCGATCAATCAGTCGATACCCGTATATGTCAGCATCATCGTCTTCGCCATCGCAGGCTTCTGCGTTCTCCTGATCAGAGAACAACCTCGGGAGCACGGTGGAGGAAGAGTAATTGTGCATTGATCTGCAAGGATCCCCCACCTGCCTCTCGAGGCCCCTTTGGGGCAGCTTTCATCGAAACGAACACTCGCATCGCATTGTCAAATCATCGTTACGTTCCACTCGCTCGATTTTAGTTGTAGCAATACCCTGCATCATATCGTGACATCGAAGATCGACAGCTGCATTATGTGATCTGTGTAATAGTGTACAATTACGATGACCTGTCTAGAGGCAGGTTGTATGATTATTGATACAGGTGTGCCGGAACAGTGGTCGAAGACCGAACAGCGCCGTCTCGCTTGAACAGAAAGCATTGCGTCAGACCTCAAACAGGTGGTTTCACAATTCCCGGGCTGATCTTGTAGTACACAATGGATGAATCCTCCGTGTTGATAGCTAGATAAATGTGCGGAGGGCTTCCGAGTTCACCGAATGCATCGTGTAACCTGGTTGTGCGCCGTGAACAATTATGCCAGGCGATATTTTCGAGCCTCACCATGCGATCGAAAGTGACTCCGCGAGCGAGCAAGGGATGACACACAGGACGGCCTCCTTTTCAAGGCGTTAACACCGCCCGCTAGCTAGGAACTCGTAACAACAACTCACCACTTTTGGTCGGCGGCCTTTCAATGCGCCTCTAGAGCAGCTGGTAAGGTCTACGACCTCGAGGTCGGTCCACTGCTGAGCTGTAGTGATATCGAGTCAGACGTCGCGTCCTCGTATGTTCCGCAGCACTGCTCCCGATTCTTACCTAGTTTTAAGTCATTGTAGGTTTGAAACAATGCTCCAGCTGATCTTGGATATTTTGGTACGAGCGCGGAGAGTTCTGTGTACTGTGATGATCAACTATTCAGTGATGCGCAGTGAATCTCGATGAAAAACGCACGGAAGGATGTTGTTCCATTGAAACTCTCAAGCTAGTAGGTAGTAGTACGCCCACCTGTGATACTTCACGGTGACGTTGTCGCTGAGCAGTATAGGAATCACGCAGACGACTCGCGCCTCCAAAACCGAGTGCTTGCTGGGGACAAGTGGCAAGCTGAGCGCGACTCGGCTCGTGTGGGTGAACGCGTGACAGCTGCGTATGTGACAGCACGCGTCTGTAACGCGTTCAAGTCACTGTCAGCGTACGACGATGATCGCAACTCGCAAGTACCGCCCGACCGACCAGGACACAAGATTGGTTGGTGATTCACTCCGTAATATGTACAATGCAGTATCGAGCAAATAGCGCAACTTTCGAATTCGGGGGTTTACTAAGTTTGATCCAGGATAAACGCGAATCACAACAATACGAACTCGGAACGGCGCCCAAGGGAGATGCGACATGGCCTTGAAGAATTCTGTCCATCTCAAATTCCTCTTGTTCAACACGGTGACTACCGATCAGTGACGAACCTCTCGCTGGTAGATAGCCGCGAAGACACCCTTTAGGGAAGAGCACCGACGATCTGTCATGTCATCACGAGGCGGGCGTCCGTACTTTGTGTCAGAGCCTAGTGTGAGCTGATCAGACCATGTATACACAGACAGACTAAGCCTTGAAGTTTGCAAGCTTGAACGCGCGCGCAAGGATTGTCTCAGGCGAGCCGAAGGGGCCCGGTACCACTGGTGTTTGTCGCTATGACATTGAAGCTTCTTCTCGGCCCCATTTCCTCTATCTCAAAATTCACGCGCTCACCATTTCATGCTGTGAAGAGCTGATTATACCAGGGCGAGTGACCTGGGACAGCTGCTCGTGATAGGACCGGCGAAAGATGGGGTGACCTTGGACCGCTCTTGCCACTTTTCGCGATGGTCCGAGAAGAGGCACCAACGTGCGGTGGGATGATGGCGTAGAAGAGTCCGTCGCCTGCTCTGACTAAATCACTACTTCTGATGGGATTATACGCCGCGGTCCTGTGTGCTGATATGGTTAATGGCCCGTCTCATATTCAGACAGGCCTCCGATAACTTCCAGCGTATTCAAGCTGGCAACTGCCTCACCTCAACTAGTCCACAGCAGTACGCCGACGGCGCATCTGGGTCGCAGCTATCGGTATGCACTTGCCCACGCCCTCATATTTACGTCTAACGCTGCAGCCGCGCGCATTGGTTGAAGGTCATCAGTTAAGTGGTCTATTTCTCGCGATGGCTGCGTTCTTGACAATGTGATACTCAGCGCCGCCAGGTCGCGGACCGCACCAGGAAGCTGACCGGTCACGCTGACCAGCATATAATATATGACGTGCATGATTGCTGGCTTCAGGCCGGGCCGTCAGCGACATATCGCCGACATGGGGGACCCTTCAAATGCATACGCCACCCCATGCACTCTGTCAAAATACAGGATGAATGGGACATCCGAAAGCGGGAAGGGTGTGGCTTATCTAGCGGGACAGCAATGTCGCAGTGGTACGTAAGGTTTATTTCTGTGACACCAGCTATGGACGCCAGGTGGAGGGCCGATACGCCGCTACAGATGCATTAGATTCCCTAGCTTCACGGCTTTACCTCCGAGCGGTGGAAAGCGCCATAATACGACATGCTTTGCCATGATAATCCACGTCGGATCCTGACTCAATCATCAAGCGGTTACAGACGCTACTATTCATCCGATAAGAACCACTGTACCGGGGATCTCAAACTCTGCTCGCGGAGGATCCGAAGTCCATAGGATGAACGGTTCTGGACCGTTGTGGCGGATTCATATGGTGAGATGGTGGGATAGTCCATGGAGACAAGCTGAATGATGCATCGCAGTTCTCCATCTCGATGTCGTACGGCCCCTTCCGCGAGCCACAATAAACCTTGCAGAAGGGCACGCACGGCACACGCGCTCAATAGGCCCGCGCGGCCTTACGTGTGAGTAAGGGTCCTCGGATCAGCCCTTAGACTTTTGCAGTTTATTGAACCCTATCGAGGATAATCAGTCTCGCAATGGCCTCCAGGTGAGGCAGGCGGATGGCAGAGAACCGTTCTTTGAACTGTAAGTCAATGAAGTTCCGTCGGACTCACCAGCCACGCTTACGAGAAACTGTTCAGATGCATATCTTTGACAGGAACCCCGCGTGAATAGCATCTTCCCGGAGCCTTCTATTCGAGAGCTGCGCGGACTTTTGAGTCCTTGCTGCGGGAGTTTTGCGAACGAGGTTCTCCCATTACTCGCGTACCTCATCTGACATACCATAGGCAAGACCATCCGTGCCTGCACGCCGGGCGACACATCATCTGCAGGGTGCCAAACCGTTGTGGTGACCAATTGCCTACAATTTTTCACACTTACCTTGGTGATTGGATTTTGCAAGTGCAACAAGCCAGACATTGGGACACTAAAAGCTGGGATTATCGGGCGAAGTGAATAGCTGAACCGTCACGGTGACTGTGGTTCGAGGTCAAACAGAAGACTTGCCAAATTGAGCGGACGTGGAGCGAGCACGTGGATAACAAGCGCTGCTGAACTCCGGCAACCGCGCTGCAGCTTCGTGGCTGTCTCCTCCACTCAACCGAGTCGGTTTTGTCAAGTCTTCCTCTCAACTTGCTTGGCGGCCGGTTCCTTTCACTTTCATATTCATAGCGTGGCTTACACAGAACATGGGTCTTTAGGGGGGCTTGAATTGCAGTTTCAAGTTCCGCCAATCCATGCGCTAAGCATGCATACTCATTACACGTCGGGGTCGCGTCGAAACTCGCGAAGAACAATCAGAAGTGACCTTATGATCAGACGGTCTAGGTGTGTCCAAGACCCCTCATGTTGTTATGCGTGTACCTGCATTGGCGATGGCAATGCAACAGCACTGATCACTGGTGAGCTATGTTCCAATCTCCTCAGTCGGTGGCTATAGAACGGACTCAACCTTCTTTGTCCTCGTGGCTGCTTTTACTGCCGTTGAGTACCAGCGTTGACAGAAACATCGTCTTCGGATCACTGCATCCATTAAACTTCGACATCCGGGCTGTAATCTGACTGCAATCTCTGTGAGATGTTGATCGGTGATTGGGGTTCGACATTCTAACCTGTAAATGACCTTCTGGCTTTCTCACCACTCACTCGGACCAGGGTTTCCATGGCAGGTACTAGCGAGTGGTATCCCGCAGACCTCCGGGCACCCGGGAGACAGCTCAAAGCTCATGGTCCGCGCCAGCACGGTAGGTTTGCCGGCACATTGATTACCGTAGCGGCTCCTTTTGCACGTCTCATATGCGCTTGGACCCTCTTTTCCTGCTGTGCACATGGAATCCTGACGCAAAACCTCGCAATATACCCGTAGAAAGCACCTACGTTCCACTGGCAGTGCCCGTCGGTCTAACGACATCGCCGCCAGCTAGGCAGATGCCGCGACCCAGCCAGACCTGCGGGGTTCGAGATATGAGCTCCGGAAGGGATCTGCGGTCTGGATATGGAGAGTCTCGTCATAATCTCGTTACCCCACATCTCTTATGAAGTTCTTTCGGCGCCTCTAACCCCCGCCTCCTACCGGACTCTCTCGAACATTGACCTTGTCTTCCATTCGCTGGTGAGTTTACAAAATCATGGGGCTATTTACGCCAGTGCGCCGCTGCCGAGGTGGTCAAGCGTCGTCTTCGCGGGAGCCGGACAAGTCTCGACTCTGCATATGTCATTCTGGATCGCGCGGTGTCTTCGGTCTTTGAAGCTACCGCGAAAGGTGTCCTAAATCTTCTTGCGTGCGGATTGGTTCAGGAGACAAATGAAGACGCGGGGGCATCGATCGCGTCCGGGAACCAGAGACGGCTCCCAGATAGCATAGGGCCGAATGCATACCCTCCACACTAATCGCCTTCAATCGACATCGATAACATGTTCTAGACGGAGCGCTCTCAGGCCACTCGACATTTACTTATGGAAAGACAGGATCGCAGGTCTGACTGGCCGGATGACTTCAGATCGGATCAAGATCCGTACTCCGCCTCCGTACTAGTATAAGTCTGTGGCCCCAGGGTCTAGTCTTGCTCGTACGCCCCGTCCTCGTCTATCAGCTTTTGAGTCGCCGTACCCCGAATACATCATGGTGAGTAGCACGCTGCGCTCCAGCTCGTCGACGCTCACGATGCGACCGCAGGGTGTCACAGTTGAGGTTATCAAGCCTGGTGATGGCGCTCACTTCCCCAAGAAGGGTGGTAGGTAGACTGCGTCATCGTTCAGTCCACGTCCTCACCTCGCGAACCAGACAAGGTGACAATACACTACGTGGGTACATTGGTGGACGGTCGTAAATTCGACTCGAGTCGGGACCGGTGCGCCTCATACCATGCCATGCGCAGCACCCGCCGCTAACAGTGCCACAGGGGACAACCCTTCGAGACCGAGATTGGTGTAGGCAAGGTGATTAAGGGCTGGGACGAAGGTGCGACGCTGCGGGTAGCAATCTCCCAGCTCCGGAGTACTGACGACGCACAGGTGTCCCTCAACTATCGTTGGGCGAGAAGGCCGTCTTGACGGCAACACCAGACTACGTGAGTGGCCATGAATTTTCGACCGCACGCTTTCAGGTCCTCATCGCGATGCAGGCATATGGCGCGCGCGGCTTCCCACCCGTGATCCCCCCGAATTCTACGCTGAAGTTCGAGGTCGAGCTCCTCAAGATCAACTGAGGCCTGGGCCCGATCCTCACGCACCTTGGACGTTTCTATTCTCTGTACATATGTTGTTGGGACCGCGAGGCATGTGAGATTACCACTGTTTTATATCATCGCATTCACTGTACGACCCGTCGCGCACACCGAGTAATGCGGCGCGCTGTTCGCGGACGGCGGGCGCGCCGCTGGGCTATCGAGGATCGATGGATAAGAGGAGGATCGATGAACAGGTACGCCGCTCGATGGGTCCACAGCTTGGCCTATCTCCTGCATCGTCCGTGCAAAGGCCATCCACATCGGATGCTTCCGAGGGCGTTCATCGATCGCGTATGGCTTCCACACATTCGCGGGTGATTGCCTGGCTTGCAGCGTCTCGCACAGCGCCCTCTACCGTAAGCTGGATGCTTTTGTTCGTCCACGACGAGCTCCGTCCCGGCCAGCTCACACACATGCTCGCGTGCATCCCCTTTCAGCCCCAGTAATGATGACGAGCCACACATCATTTGCTATCCCGGTCACGTATACGTCACTGATCAACAATGTAGGCCCGTGAGCAGGGGACCATCTGGGCCGTCATCTGTCTTATTAGTCCGAAAATGCACCTTGCGCTACTTGGACCTCCTATCTCGGAGCGCATGCAATAGTTCTTCATGGGACCCCTCCCTCCAGTGCCTAGATTCTAGAAGACGGCAAGCGTGCTCCGTTCAGATAGTTTGGGGGTCACAATCGACGGCGGACCGACCTTCTGCGTGTACCCTGACCGAATCGACAAAGTACTCGTGGTTCTCGCGCAATTGGTGCAAGACGTCTGTCCAGGTCGGGCCTGATCCGTCGCATGATCAGCACAACGCAAGTACAACGCGTTTGCCTGGGCCTCCGGAGAGCCCTCGCGTATGCTATGCGAACCTGCAGTAGATTGCCGGCGAGCTCTGTCCTCCTCGCGTCCTGAGATAAGCTCCTGCAATCCCACACGCATCTCTGCGACCTGGCCGTCTTTTTCCGACTTTCTCGCAGCGAAGGCGGCCATCCTGGTTTCAGAGTCTGTTTTGCATTGACGTAACCGCTCTGCATTCGCGTGAAGCTCCGATTCAAGCGATGATAACTGGTCCCGGTGGTTCGAGAACGCTTCATGGCCGCCTGAGGACTGGCCAGCTTGCTCGGCGTCAGACATGATCTGTCCGATGGAATGTGGTCAGGTCGAAGCAGAGGCGACCTGTGCACTGGAATGGGTTCAGGTCTTACATTGCTTGTGTTTGTCCGCGTTACAATCACCAGGCTTCTGACTCAATGGGTAAGTTAAGTTAGACTCGTCACTCTACTGTCGTTCGCGGGGTTCATGCATGCATGCGCCACAGGCGCGTCGATCTTCACGTGACGCGACGCGCTCAGGCATGATCGCGTCGCGTCGTATCAATATTGACTCAGTGCGGCGGGTCTTGCGCGTCCAATCCATCAATCTGAGAACAAGAGTACATAGCGTGCTTGTACGAGCCCGTATGCGAGCTATAGCAATCAACTCAAGGCTAACAGCTTGAACGCGTCCAAGGTTTCCCGTGTCCGCCACGTGGGGGAACCGATCTACCTTCTACCGTCGTGCCTTGCGTTATTCGGCTTGCCATTCATCTATTTCAACGCGCGTCAAAGCTGTCCGATTCTCTCCCTTCTCATCGCTCTTCCGTGTCTACGTGATCGGGCTTGCCAGGTAGTACCATACAGTCTTTATTGCCGGTACAAGTACTGAGGTCAATTATTACTTTCGTCCTCGCAAACGTATCGCATTGCTTCGCTAGAAGCTGCACCTCCCCTTTTGTGAATGGAGGGTGGCCGGCGAGAACATAGATCTTCACCTATTGGCTTCGAACCTTGCTTTGCGATGTCACAACAACTAAAGAGCTGTCAAAGGCGCGAAGGCAACTCCACTGACATAACTGTACGCCGCGGCTTCTCGAAGTTCTGACCATACGGTGCCAGCAAAAGGCTCGAGGTCCTCCTCTCCAGTCCGCGCACGAGCTTTCCTCCATGGCCGCAACCCTTACGAAGTTATCGTCAAACACTCTCATGAGAGCGATCCTTGGCGCCGCTCGGTCTGCTCTCGATCCGACGCTCAGAAAAGGCCTGGAGTTCGTCTGCGTCCTATGCAAGTTCTTCGTCGTCGAGTAAGTTCAGCACTTGATCCCAAGCAACAGTGACGGATCTCTTTCCGTATGGCTGGCATTACAGGACTCTCAAGAACCTTCGGCACGGACGTCTCCTCATCATCTGCCCAGCTGTACCACACTCTAGATTCTTCCAGGAAAATTATCATGTCGCCTTCCCGGCGGCTGTTCAATCGGGACCCACTGGAGGTAGGACAGCCACCATCACGGTCAGGGACCCGGTTTTCTGGCTGCGCCTCGCCACGCAAGGGGACCTCGGATTCGCAGAAGCGTTCATGTACGGGGAAGTCGATTGCTTAGATCTGACTGCGCTATTCGAGGTACGTCCAAGCTTCGAACTCGGAGACACAACGCTCAACCGAATCCGAACCCACAGGTACTGCTGGACAACCGCTCTTGCCTCTCCGAAATCGACACCTTGCTGGCCAAGGCATCCCGAGTGGTGGAACGCTTCTGCGCAACGAACCTCGTGAACAACCTCGCAAATGCACGACAGAATATCAGCGCGCACTACGATATCAGCAATGAAATGTTCATGGGTACGTGATTGCCTACCTTCCAAACTCCAGGAGGTCCCTCTTCTGGGTACCCGAGCTTGTGTTCGCGCGAACGATCGAGTACGTATATGCGCTCTCGATGCCTCCATGGATATCTTGACCATGAATGGCTAATATACATGTGTGTGGCTGCATATATGCGCGTTCTCGGGCATGCGCTTGGTCCTTAGCCTGCATCCGCTTGTGAATATGACTTACACGAATTGTCAAAGTTTGTGTCCTCTTACATGACAGCGGCACAGCTGCGGCTTGCATCTATGTGGCCTTCACTAGCTCTATTCTATCTCGCGGCATTGTTCATGGCTCACCTTTTGCTCGAAATGACAGCGTTTCTATCCGGAGACATGACCTATTCATGCGCCATCTTCCCTGAGCTGGACACGGATCTTCATGAATCGCCGCTCCCAACAGCCGCCTCCGAGTCTTCGGCAGATCCGAGCGCATACAGCTCAACCGCGAGTCCATCTTCCAGCGAGGGCACTCTAAGCGGCGTGAAGATCAGTCAAGCAAGTACCAGGATATCCGAGGCAGCCGTCAGACGCACTAGGGACAAGGACGACGACGCCGAGCTGTGCGATGCGCAGATCAGGAAGATGCTGCACATAGTGAAGCGTGCGGACATCAGACCTGGACATAGGGTATGTTAGCCGTCATACCTGCTGAGCCGCAAAAGTGATGTCGAGCAGGTCCTGGAGATCGGCTCTGGCTGGGGATCCATGGCTATATGCATGGCCCAAGCCTTCCCCGGCGTCACCGTCGACACGCTCACCCTCTCCGAAGAGCAAGCGCATCTCGCACGACAGCGCGTAGCCGAGATTGGTCTCGGTCCGCGCCCCTGCCAGAAGTGCGTGGACGCCGGTATATTCAAGGACGCGGACGTCGGCGGGGTTGAGATGCTGTACGACGAGAGCCGATCTCGCGCCCCCGGATGCTTCTGCGAGCCTGCTAGAGTGCGCGTGCACTTGATGGACTATAGGAGCATGCCGAAGGAGTGGGAGGGCATATTTGATCGGATAGTCAGCGTGGAGATGGTCGAGGCTGTTGGTCAGGAGTTTCTGGAGGTGCGTATATCTGCAACTCATTCGTTGAGGATACGTTCGTGTGTGTCTGTTGGATGTGTCGGTGTTGATGCGTCTCGTTGCGAGTGCAGACGTACTGGGCTCGGATCGACTGGGCACTGAAGAGGGACACTGGCGTCGGTGTGGTGCAAGGGATTACTTTGCCTGAAGCGCGTAAGTCAGTACTTCTCGCGTACAGGGGATGAGCACTCACAGGGTTTCGCAGGATTTGAAGCATATGTTCGCGACACCGACTTCATAAGAAAATGGGTGTGTCTTCAGACTTGCGCCTGGGGATGATACTCGGGCTGACCACGCGCTGCCCTTTCCCTTGTAGAGTTAGTGCTCCGTCGTTCCGAAGCACAATGCCCACGTACTAACGAGGGTCCAGTTTTCCCAGGAGGGTTCTTGCCAACGCTGAGCCTACTCATCTCTACGATGACCAGTGGCAGTAAGGGAAGGCTAATCGTAGATTCTGTCGATAACATCGGGCCTCACTACGCTCGCACACTTCGAGAATGGAGGAGACGGTTTGAGAATCGCTTCGATGCAGAGATTGTCCCTGGTGCGCCTGGGCTCCTCGCGTTGTACGCACCTCCACTGATGAAGCTCCACTGCCTAAGCTCTACGGAAGCAGTATGCCGATGTCTTGAGTGATGGCGCACCAGGAAGCCAGGAAGAGATCGAAGTCTTCCGGAGGAAGTGGCTATATTACTTGTGAGTTGGGCAAATGTGACATTTCCGTATCTGTAGGCTGATTGTCCCTGGCGTCAGTGCGTACTGTGAAGTCGGCTTTGCGAGTCGCAGCCTGGGCGGTGAGCATGCATACCTCGTGAGGCAATCTCATGCTGATTGGCGACTTACCCCATTGTTCAGACCATATCGTGACATTCACGAGGGAAGGGCACGTAGAATACGGATGTCAGGTCTTAGGGTCTGACGTGGATGTCGAATGAACGTCCGTACGTGTCACTGCGTCCGTGTTGCAGCAACGGCGTACCATAATATACTTATGCAGGACGAGAACTCCTCTCTCGGGAAATGTCAATGCAGACCTGTTGCCTACCTCTGGGGGTGCACCGTGTGGGCGTTGGGTTGCAGGTATTGGTTTTGTATTCGCATCTCGCGGCATTGGAAGTATCATGCCAGTTGTTACGCAGCCTCGTTGAACATCTATGATGCTGTCAGGCTAGTTTACGCCGACCAACCTCCTAGAAACGCATAGACGTCAGTGAAACAAGTGTTTTCAGTCGGAAGCTCTCGATGCCTACCTGCGTCTGTTGCTGTAAAAATAGTGCCAATGCCCTCATATTGGGTGTTCCCAGTTACAAGGTGCATAGCGTGTTCTTCATCCGGCGATAATGGTGTGGTGGAAGGAAAGCAGACAGATGTGATCAGCCACCGACACGAACCGCCCATTCCCGAAAGGAAATGGCGCCACCGTCATAGACGTACGAGCGTCACGGTGACACGCTCTCAGGCCCTTCTTCTAGCCACGACGCGTCCAGCGCGTGTCCTCTCTAGCAACCTCACCCACGACCGCCATGGCCCCCTCCAAGTCCGTCGCTCGACGCGACGCCGAGCTCAACCCGCGCACCAAAACCTATGAGTTCCTTGGGCCCCCCGGCGCGCTCTTTGTGACCCTCTCCGTCCCGATCATGACCTACGCGCTGTACTTTGGCTGCTCGGAGCACACGGGGGGATGCCCGCCGCCGCTGTCGAGCGAGACGATTGTCGCTTCGCTGAGCGACCCGAACTGGTGGAAGAGCCTGTGGGACACGGAGGCGACGCTCATGTACCTCAGTTGGTACGCGTTCTGTGTGGCGGCGTGGTTTGTGCTTCCGGGTGACTGGGTGGCGGGCGTACCGATGCGTACGGGGCAGAAGAAGATGTACAAGATCAATGGTACGTGCTGCTCGTGTCGCATGCGATCTGTATGTTGAGCGGGTTATAGCTTTCTCGACGATGCTGCTCGCGCTCGGCCTGACGGGAGGCTACATCTGGCGCTACGGCTTCGAGTCATTCACCTTCATCTACGACAAGTGGGTTGGCCTGGTGACGGCCTCTATCCTCATGTCCGTCATCCAAGGCATTGGATGCTATGCTGCTTCCTTCCGTCCAGGCGCCCTGCTTGCCCTCGGAGGTAACAGTGGCAACCCGATTTACGACGTTCGTGACACCCTTTGTTGGTCATCATGCCACTGACAACAGTGGCGCACTAGTTCTTCATCGGCAGAGAGCTGAACCCCTCCATTGGCTATTTCGACCTGAAGTCTTTCAATGAGCTCCGACCCGGTCTTATACTCTGGGTCCTCATTGATATCAGCATGATCTGCGAGCAGGCTGTCCGCCGTGGTGGATTGGAGAAAGTCACCGACTCGATGTGGCTTGCCACCGCTTTCCAGATCTTCTACGTTTTGGACGCGTTGTACAATGAGGTACGTCAGTCACGCCCTTCCGTGCCACCGACCTAATATGCGCGTAGCCGGCGATCTTCACGACCATGGACATCACGACCGACGGCTTCGGCTTCATGCTCGGCGTTGGCGACCTCGCCTGGGTGCCCTTCGTCTACTCCCTGCAGCCGCGCTTCCTGGTCTTCAGGCAGAATGAGCTCGGCATCCCCGCTGCCATCGCGGTGCTCGCCGTCAATGGCCTCGGCTACTACATCTTCCGCGCGGCCAATGGCGAGAAGAACGACTTCCGTAACGGCAAGAACCCCAAGAGTGCGTACGCTGTGAATGCGGTCGACTCGCTACTCACGAGCATTATCTGGATAGACCTGAAGTATATGACGACCGAGCGTGGTTCGAAGCTACTCATCGAAGGGTGGTGGGGCAAGTCCCGGCACCCGAACTACATGTAAGCTCCTCAACCCGTATGCATGCGACAATCTGCGGATGCTCATGACATCGCAGGGGCGACCTGATCATGGCGTTCGCATGGTCCCTCCCGACAGGCTTCGAGACGCCGATCACGTACTTCTACGTTGCATACTTCGCCGTGCTCCTCATCCACCGGCAGATGCGGGATGACGAGAACTGTGAGAAAAAGTGCGCGGTGGCTTCAATTACTCGGTGGTTTGCGATGATACTGACGGCTGCGTGGCAGATACGGAAAGGACTGGCACCGATACTGCGAGAAAGTGCCGTACCGCATTATTCCCTACGTATACTGAGGTTTCCGGACGGCTGGAGACAAGCTGAAGGGGGCTTCTATGTGCCGACGTGATTGAGAAAGCGTGAGGATCTCTTGGGCTGTGTGAAGTGGACTGTCTATTGTATTCTGGTTATTAAGTATATGCTTCTGCGTCTGTGGTAGACCGATCGTGATATGATAACTTAGTTCTAGAAGTCCTCTCTTATTAACAGTGAGTGTCTGCGACGCGGAAGTTCGGGCACAACTATCATACAGTTCTGTCCTGCCTGAAGTCAGCTACAACGTATTGTCATGGGCTATGATCGTGAGGTATTGCTGCTTGCATTGAACCACAACAGAACTCCATATGTACTGCTGCAGGCCTACAACTCAAGTCGCCGGTCTTGCCTGAAACTGAGTCCTGTCACCTCACGAGTGTCCGACCCGATGGCTCCCCAGCTCAATGCGCGTTATGGTCATGATGGAGATCCGGTGCAAGCTAGGCTGACAATTGTGTTGTTCAGGCCGACTGCGGCCGATCCCGACATCTGTCAGTACATAGTCGGCGCAATGAGTGACCCTGCTTCATCATCCGGTAGTTCTAGATCATTATCAAGTCTGCATTCTGTACGTCCATGACTGTTGACGACAGATGCTGACCCGGGATGCATGTCATGAGTTGTAGAGGGGCACTACTCGCGATGAGTGAAACACTGAGGGCTTTCATAAGGTGGAGCAAGGCGCACCGCCCTAACTGACACCGAGTGGGCACCGAGATGAATTGGCTGGAACTGCGTGCGTCCGATGCAAGCCGCGGAGAACGTGGTAGGGTCTGTAAAGACCGTGGACGGGACCGGGCTGTGAAGAACGTGTCGACGGTGTCGTTCACCGTCAGCGTGAACATGTTGAACGCTTCGTACCTGTCCAGGTCTCTTGGCTCTGCTTTTCCAGAGCAACTCGCACTTGCGCGCATCGTGTCGAAGACGTTTGAACGCGCACGACATCCCGCACATCGAGCAAGATCGCGCCCAAGTTATCAAATAGCATTCAGCTGGTAAGCAGACACCGGGAGAAGAGCAGAGGAAGCCAAGGGGGAGGCCATGTGAAGAGCCTTATCGCGGTCGACTTCACGAAACGACTGTCTTCGTATGTGATGCCGCTGCAAGACGGGCACTTGTCACCGCGTGCTACACACCCTAGGACAACTGCTGGAGTGTGGAGCCAGGGTATAGGCAGGCTTAGAATACACTAGAATGTCTTGGGCCGGCATGCACGGACTCGTCCTGCGCACGAGAGCGTGAGCGTCGCCGCGGCACGAGCTTGAAACACAGCATGACGGGCATACCTGGGCGACTCGCCAACAATACGTTCATTTACTCCGTTGATTGCTATGCTCGGGCCTGGTCGCAGGCCGGCGCAGTCGAGGAAGTGGAGGAGATGAGCAGAGTAGTGAGTACGCCGGGTCGGGGCCGACGGGGCGAGAGCGGGATCACTTACGTAAGCAGAGAGCGGCTTCCGGAACATGCCGATGCGCACCCGCGATCAGCAGGCTCTGCGCGCGGGTGGGAGCAGTATATAAGGAGCGATGCGGCAGCCTGCCTCCCCAGCAGTGCTCACCCGCTCCTATCACACACGCTAACGAACAACCTCACGCTATGACCATGAACAACCTCACGACTGTTTTCCTCTTCTCCCTGCTCTCCGTGTTCGCGCTCGTCAGCGCGTTCCCCATCCGCCGCGACGTATGGGACCCCGAGATCCTCAGCCCGAACTCCAGTACGGTCTGGGTGATCGGTCAGACCTACAACGTGACATGGTAAGGGGAATCTGTGGAGAGCTGTTTCATGGTGTACTGATCGAGCCCCCCATTAGGAACACGTCTGACCACCCGGTCAATATCACCAACAAGATCGGCAAAGTCGTATTAGCCACGAATTACATCCAGAACTACGGTGCGTCTCGACTGGCATCGCGCTTCTCCCACATATCCTGATGATTGCGCTCCAGAACATCCGCTTGCCTCCAACTTCTCCGTTTTGGATGGCACCGTTGCAATTACTGTCCCGGATGTCGAGCCTGGCTCCGACTACTCCATAGTCTGTGAGTAACTGCGCCCTCGCCCGCTTCAACAAATCATTAATTTCTCTCCAGTGATGGGTGATTCCGGCAACTACAGCCCCAATTTCACCATCACCTCTGCGTAAACGATGACCGACTCCTCGCCTACACATGCCCCCTACCCCTCATCCCCCCTCCCACGCAAAATGTCACGCTGATCAACATCTGACATTGACGGACTCTTCACACGTAATCGGACTTCGCATTGGGCTTGTAGTTTCTCAATCGTGTACACGAACATTGAACGATTGTCGCATTGGACGTTTACTGTACATCTAGTCTAGTTTACTCACTCAGTCTAGTCGCGTGTTTGTAGGCGAGGTAGCAGTTGGTGTCGTAGCGTTGCAATCAATGAGTTGTTCGACGCGTACTGTGACTCAGACAGTTCTCAACGTCGCCTCATCCATTGACGTTCACCTGCAGCTAACTTACCGACTGACTTTTCACCTCAATTGCGTTGCTGGCACAGTAAGACCGTCGAACTTATTACAGACAGATGCAAGTGCAAACAGTACATAAGAAATGAGTCGCAACCATTGGTACAGTTGGCCGAATTCGTAGTACGTACTATGTATGTATCAGACTGAGATTGGGATGGGCTCGTACCTATGTAACAGCCCTGACGATCCAGGTCCTCGGAGACATCGTTACTGTAATGCCCATAGACTCCGCGCGTCGCGGCTCGTTCGGAGTGCTTCGACCCCCGACGTCGGCTTCAACACTACAGTATTCAAACATCTCCGCTGTCGTGCGCACCAGCAGTTTGGGCTCGACTCACTGTTTCAATCATGATGAGTCCACATATAATGCCTACGATTTGACGAAGCGTTGCAGTGACGCGACGGTCATTGATTGGGTCCATGGATGATCCTCAGCTCGGCCCCACACTGGTGTCCTCATCGGAGACCCTCGGCCTCGCGTACCACGGGCGCTGCGAGAAACACTGCAATGGCCTACGCGCTTACGACTCGACGGCATCCCCTGCCCGCGACGGTGACGTTTCTCGCGGTCATCCCAGCCACAGTGCGGGTCGGAGACAGACCACGCCGAGCGCAAACGCACCGTGCAAGACCAGGACCCCTGATAACACCCCCAACACATAGGTCGGAATCCGGACAAAAACTAGCCCTAGAGGCCGGTTTGGCCTGGTCGAAATCCGGACAAATCAGGTCCAAGATCGAAAATTGCTGGACGTGGATGTCGGACAAAAACAAGGTGGCTCTGGGTAGGCCGGTCGGGCATCCGGACATGGAGCCTGGGGTTGGAGCTCCGGGGTCCGGCGGGGTTAGGGTTCTGGGGCGGGAGATATACCATGTAGGCACAGGCCGCACCGCTCAGACAGTGAACACCTCTAACATTAGACCTAACAGTACTTAGATACATTGTGTTGTCGAGATATCTTCATTAGGACTGTGACGACCCATGGACTGTGCGCGTCGAACATCCTCTGACGTCGTTTCATCACTGGCAGGCATAGCCTGAGGCCGACGAGGATGGTATGCGCTCGATGGTCATTGCTCGGATGTACTCATAGATACTGTATGTCTGTTTGTCCACGACATTCACTGTAATCTTCATTCCAGTCACTCAATGATCCGAATGCGCAAGCTAGTTGTGCCTGCGCAATAGGCGGCGGAGGTGAGGCTGGGCATAGGTCGGGCATAGGTAATATTGTATCCTCCTTGATAGACGTTCTGATACCCTCAAACGATACTACTGGTGCTGATCAGTGTCTCTACAGCGAAATCCACGTCGGGGGCGAATTTGGACGCTAAAACAGGCTAGAACAGAGAATCCGGACAAAATCGACCCTAAAGTAGGCCAGTCTCGAAAATCCGGACAAGAACCGCCGCCAGGCGGAACCTAGGTCGATTTTCGGACACAGACCGTCCAAATCTTGTGAAATTCGGTCGGACAAAAACTCGAGACCTGCCGACCTAGGCTTTAGAGGGATTATCAGGGGTCCTGCAAGACCGTGCAATTCACTACGATGCGGGCGTCACAACACCTGCCGTCATTGATGGCGCTCCGGGCACGCGGCGGTGGGCACGCTGGGAACTCGAAGCTTCGAGCGGCGCAGAGCCGGGCTCGGAGTAGGTGTACTGTATGTATTGGGAGCTGGGCACCTAGCGGCGAGAATGCTCCTTGGGCGTATATAAGGCCCAGAAACAGACATGATCCTCAGCGAACGACGATACCTACGACTTGACACCAATCACAACTGCGACAATACTCATCACTCACTTCATAATCAACATGATCTCACTTGCACTCACCACTCTCGCCGCTGCCCTCTTCGCTTCGGTCGCTGCGAATCCCATCAAGGCGCGGGACTTCTCTGGCCCTTCGGGCTTGACACAGTTCCAGCTGAACACTGTGCCTAACGGCGACAACGACACCTACTCCGGGTGGTGGCCCGTTGCCTTCCACACCGGCGCCGGGGAAAACGCAGCGGTGCTCACCTCGAACCAGAGCGAGACCCTCACCTGGCGTACGCACCCTCGCGTCCTCCTCGTAGTTCGCAACTCACCTCATACGAAACAGAGTTCAACAGCACGACTGGCGACGTGTACTGGCTGACGTCGAACGGGCCGAACGGGGGAGACATCCCCTGGTCCATCGGCTTCGTGGAGGGGGCGCCGTACGAGAGCGACGCGCCCGCAGGCTACAAGCTCGTCACGATCAACGCCGGCTGGAGCAATGCGGGCTTCTCGTTCGACGGGGACGTCCTCCCGAACCCGCCTGGCTACGGCACGTTGGCGGCGTGCTATGTCAACGGGACGGCGCCGTACTGGAGCGTGGGCCCCCAGGTGCAGCTGCTGTGGAGGCCGGATGATGTTCCGGTTGGGGACTGTGCGGATGTGCTGCTGAAGGCTGTGTCGGTCGAGTAAGGCGAATCACTTGGTGCACGCGAGGCCGCCTGGGCCCTGCCTGGCACTGGGATCATGGGTTTGAAGAAGAGAGGACGGACGTTTGACATTCTTGAGACACGTATTCGGGCTTTGGGGAAGGACTTACTACAATAGTTGATCCTTGTGATGCATAGTCAGCCTACATGTATACGGCATACCTAGCTTCGAATGGTAGACCGTGATAATCGCCAGTGATGGTGAAGTTGTATGAAGTGTCAGTTGCGTACTAGACATGAGTTTCTCTGAGGACCAGTTATGCACACATCGCTGGCACATGCACAGACTGCCCTAGGCGGACATTTCGACTCGTTGGGTTGTGTCGAGGCAGGACATTGACCGGGTCGGTATGGCAGTGACGAAAGAGGAGATGGTTGGCCGCGAAAGGCCCCGCGACCCGCGACTTCCGTAAGATCACGTGCGCGCGTGGAAGCAGGGGTGCCCGGTGGACTGGGCCAGGATGGTCTGAACGAGGCAGTATATCCCGCAGAAGCAGGGCCTGGCGGCCACGCAGGTCAGGTTGCACTCGAAGCTCGAGCACACGCATCTGCCCCAGCTACGTTTGTGCAACCTGTTCTTCTCTGTCCCCCCACCAGTACCAGTGCATAGCCTCGCGTCCGAATCGACGTCTGATTGTGTCCCGATGGCTCATCACGGAGGCGGAGATGTGCCCATGCAAGTGCGGACGAACGCGTTCCTTATCTCAAGAGGACCCAAGTCGAAGGAGCCGTGGTTCCAGTATCATGGTCCGTTACTCTTGCCGACGCATGGTTCCCGTGGTTGACAATGTCATTGCATGTAGTCGGCAAGTACAGTGCACACATGGATCGTCATCGCGTGTCATAGTCACGTCCCCCCACAGTAATCGACACGCAACTCGACAGATTCCCTACTAGAAGAGCCTTCGAGATTATTGACAAATTACAGAGGGTCTTCCCCCAGTATTTCACCCCTCGGGCCGTCTTCGATGGCAAGGCGGGTCTGTTCTCGAAGAGGGGGGACATCCCCGCTGGGCAGGTACAGCTACTTCGCAATGCGAATGCCGCACGACTCACCGTCGATCAGCTTGAAGTGAGGATGTCTGCGAATCCCACCTCATCGAAAGGCGTATTCAAGGTGAACTTGACACGCGTGCGCCAAATCAAGCCTGAGTAAGTACATGATCAATCACTGGCAAGCAATCGGGCAATAGAATACATACCTTCACTTGACAGCTGGATCGAAGAACTCCTGGTACGAGGCGCAGGAGAAGCGCCAAACACCGACACAAGCACCACTACTCTCCTACAAATCGTAGTCCGGCAAGGCGCGAACATGTATGAAGCCGTTCCCGACGCCTCCTAGAGTGTGATGCTAATACTCAGCTTTCAGGCGCCATCACTATCCTCCGAACGCCCGTGCGTTCTTCGTCGAACACGGGACGAGAGACATGAATGGCGGCTTGCGGGCCTATAGAGGCTTTTACCAGTACGCCCATCGGGATTCTTGTGGCCTCAAGTATGGAAACTCATGACGTCGGACAGGAGCGTACGGCCTGCTATAGGACGACTGCTGCTGAACGTCGACACAGTGACTGCCTTGCTGTAACTCCCAATTAGGCTACTACAGCACGACGTTCTACTCATAGGCTTCATACAGATACCGACCGGGTCCGCTGCTCGACGTGGCCCTGAGCTATCTAGGGAAGAGAAACCCCCGAGATCTCGCAAACCTCCCGACCACGGAATTCAACAGACTGCGGGCTTTTCTGAAGGGCGTGAGGGTCACCATTCAGACCGCCCGCTCAGACAGGGCTCGGCCGATATCCAACTTGGTAACCAACGCTGGGGCTTACGAGTTCGAGAAGGACGGATCGCCGACGACAGTGCAGGTACGGTATTTTATTCTCGCCGTGAGGTACATTAGCCACTGACCGGCCTTTGCAGGAATATTACCGCCAAGTGTACAACGTACAACTGCGGTACCCTTCCATCTTTGGTATCCGCATCGGACGCGACGCCGTGTTCCCAATAGAGCTGTGCAACATCGAGAAAGGACAGCTCTACAGGAAGAAGATACCCGCTGAAATCGGCCCCGATTTCCTGTCATTCTCGACGCAGAAGCCGCACGATCGACTGCAGACCATCGAGGCCGCTATCTCAGGGCCGGTAATTTGTCTCTCCGTCTCTCGTTTACTGAGTTGATGCGATGCAGAATTACTAGAATCAACTCTTCAACTACGACGTCTCCGACTTCATGCAGGAGGCTGGCCTGCAGATCGATCACACGCCCCTTCTTGTGCAGGGACGCGTCATGCCAACGCCGGCGATTCAATACCGCGGCTCATCGCTCGTGAGTTCCAGTCCGTACGGTTGTTACATGGGTCGTCGATGAATGATGAAAATGTCTCGCTCAGAACTTGCAGGACAAAAGCGGTGCATGGAACGTCGTCAGGAAGCAGTTCTTGTCGCCTAAGCCGATTGAGGCGTGGGCCGTCGTGAACTTCGACCCTCGCGCTTCTGGTGATAATAGGGCCCGGTTCCTTTCGAAGTTGAGCGAAAACCTGCAAGCGTTGGGTAAGCTCGCCTCTATTGTTCAATTGGAACGATAACATTTTATCTCTGTGTGTAGGTGTCCGTGCGTACCTCGGTCATGCGCCATGCAAGTGGTTCTCATGTTGAATTCACAGAGATCAGGCTACCTCCCGTAATCGACGCCGGCAATCCGAACCAAGTTGCTGATGTAACTACTACACCTTTCAGCCTGGACAGTCCTAACGCGGCTTCCTAGTCGATAGAACGAGTCGCCAGGAGGGCACACCCTGAAGGCAAAGCTCCTACAATCGTCATCGCGTTTCTTCCCAGCAGTGGCGCCGAAATCCGAAGGGAGATCAAACACTGGGGTGACATCCGACGTTATGTGCCGACGCAGTGTGTGGTCAGTCTTATTGAACTGCACGTTGTTCCCGAGTTTATCCATATCCTCAGCGTGCGGGTAAATGGGAACGAGTCTCGGACCAGTACTGCAATAATGTCGCACTGAAGTGGGTATTGAGCACCATCGTGTTAGGCCCTTCTCCCGGTTCACCGTGCTCGCAGAATCAATGCCAAGATTGGAGGCATCAACTCCAAGATTATCCCCACACTGTCCGGCCTGAAAGCTCTCGTCCCGCCTCGTACGATGGTGATAGGTATAGCTACGCATCGCGTCTCCGAGCTTACCTTGACGGAGGATTTGCTCATTGTACTGCAGGTGCAGACATCGGTCACCCTGGGCCCGGCGTGAGCAATCGACCGTCGATGACGAGCCTCGTCACATCGCTCAACGACGACTGCACACAATACGCTGCGTTCTCTGCTATACAGGAGCCCCGCGTGGAAATCATCGCCAACTTGCAAGCGATGCTCAAGGTATCGTAGATTGTTCGTCACTGAGTCTTCGTACTCAGGCATCAGACAGGATGCGATCTACCAATACCTGTGGCATAACGACGGCCAGTATCCCCAGCGGATCGTGTTCTTCCGAGACGGTGTCTCCGAAGGAGAGTATGCACGGGTCGCCCGAGATGAGATCGAATCGATCAACAGTACGCGGTCCGCACTGCAGTCCGGTTCATTAGCATCTCATGCCCTCTCGTGTAGGCTGCCTGGTCAACCTGGTCGGATTTCAGAAGAACGGTGAACCTGTCAAAGATGGAACCAAGGTCTACGCTCCCGGAAAGAAACCACCAGTCACATTCATTGTCGTAGGAAAACGGTTCGTGCATCTCCAAGATCCAGCGGTCATCTGGACACACTTCTGCATTCTAGGCATCACATCCGTTTCTTTCCGACCTCGAGGTATGTGTTGTATCTTCTAGCGGAATTGTCTGGCTGATGATTGTACTCAGAGAAAACGCTGACCGCTCGGGGAACTGCCCTCCGGGATTCGTCGTCGACAATGAGATCACTGGAACGGCGTTCCCGAACTACTACCTTCAATCGCATAGTGGGATCCAAGGCAGTACGTTAGCCTGCTCATACGTGTGCACCGTATGCACATCTGACCCACCTTAGCGAGCCGACCCAGCCATTACATCATTCTGCGCAACGAGATTGGACTGCCAGTCGAAACGTATGTTGTGACTGTTGACCATTTCCTCTCTTCTCCACATTGACGTCCGCTCTAGGTGTCAGCGTCTCTCCTTTGACCTATGTCATGTGTATGCTAGTGCTACACGCTCTGTCTCAATACCAGCACCCGTGTATTGTAAGCCGCTATATTCATCTACTCTGTCGTGCATGCTCTGACACTGGCCACCTAGATGCCGACGTAAGTTGACACCCATTTGATGAAGAGTCCGATTCGACACGGAGCTCATATCTGTCCCAAGCGTGTCTGCGCAAGAGCGGACTTCCATTACAGGCCCGACCTGCGCTTCGGCGACACCGACTCCGGGATCGGGACGGACTCCTCGGTGTTCGACCTGCAGAAATGGGAGGACGGCTTCAAGCCAGCAGGATTACCGGCACTCCGCAAAATGTACTTCCTATAGACATGGGCCGTCCCGCGACCGGTGGTGTTGTACGAAACTGGGAGGGCATCGAATTCTGCAGTCACCGCTTTGTATCAAGAGAAGAATGAGGTGAACTTCCGGGATCTGTTGGTGTACGCTTGCATAGGTGGTAGCTCACTTTCTGGTGTGACAGCACAGCTAAAGCATCGTGTAGCCTGTAGGATTGGTAGTACTTGTTACTCAATGTATCGTAGGCCGGATCTAGAACAGTGCTCCTGCTAGGCGGAGGATTACTATGTACTCGCTGAATCACAATTTCTCATCGTGTCCTTCACCGTGCACGGGTGGATGGTCCAAGGCAGATCGAGAACATTGGTCGATTTGAACGACGTCAGTCTCAACGCAGGCCGAGGGCACATGGATATGACCAGGACATTCGATGCGGGTCTCATTGACCGGCGTGTGGTCAGCCAGAGCCAAGCCAGAGCATCTAGTATCTTCCGCCTGGGTGGTTCCCGGATCGACATCAAGTATACACGTCGGTTTCATGGCGTTAGTGCTTATCAGGTACCTTGAATCGTCCACATGATCAAACTATCCTGCTACTGAAGCATGGCAGGAATGCTTGGCGGAGGTTCCCAATGCCCACTGGAGCTGAAACCATAGGAGCCATAGGTCATAAGTAGTCACAGTGCCCAGGCGGATCAAGCGGGCGGGGACGTCAAGCAGACCGGACCGCGGCACGAAGACATGATCCGCTATGCGACACGGAACCGGGAGACTGCACCGAGTACCGGACACGGTGACCGAGTTCTACTCTCTTGTTTGTAAGCGCACTAGAAGGCACTAGAGCGTTAGCCGTCTGCATAAAAGGAGGCCAATGGATGACCAGCACCTCGTGGCTTCACGAACTCACGAACACCTGCTTCAACTCTTGAGTTGCCCATTTACGACATAATGACTACCAAGCTCACGACCATCCTCATCTTTTGCTTCACTCTGTTCATCGCTCTGGTCTCCGCTGCACCAGTGCGACGCGATGTGTGGGACCCCAGGATCATTACGCCCAACGCAGAGACCATATGGTTGACGGGCCAGACATACAATGTGACATGGTAAGTCTGCGGCCACTTCACCGATTAAAATTGCGCTGATACAGACACACCGTGCTTGCACTGTAGGGAGACCGACGATGCGCCAGTCAACATCACCAACAAAATCGGTCGCGTCGTGCTTGGCAAGGACGGCATCCAGAACCAAGGTAAGCACTGTACTTATAATACCCAGTCCATGCCGTACTGACCTCAACAACCGCGTCAGCTGTGCTTGCGAGCAACTTCTCTATTACGCTCGGAAGCATCGAGATCACCGTCCCCGACGATCTCGAGCCTGGCTTCGACTATAACATCGTTTGTGAGTACAATCCTTGCTATGCAGTTTGGGCTAAATATAATGCGTCAATCAGTGTTTGGTGACTCGGGAAACAGTAGCCCCCAATTCGCCATTCTGTGATCATGGCAGGGACCTAATGTTTCGGTCAAGGACATCAGCTCTAATGCTGAAAAGTCCCTCCGATGCTTGGTGTATTGGCAACGGACATTACGTGGACTCTCGTCATTTACCTTAGCACGTCAATGGACAAGTTTGTGGACCGAGTAGTACCAACGATGATTATTCTGGTTGTAACGTGGAACAGAGCTGACAAATCCGCCAATGGAAGAAAAGACCTTTGCTGTCTTCGACGGCTCTGAGGCTTCATGAGGCCGCAAGGCATGACAGCAGCAAGCCATACTGATCTTCGTCAAGACCTGTCGGCTTGCCAGTCCACCATGACCAGTTACCTGTGAGAACATGGTCAGCGAGATAGCTCTACGGAACCTGAGTATGGCATAAGTGAAATGTCTCAGCAAATATAGTCGTCACTTCTGCCCCGACATTTGTCAAGGCAAATTGGACTCATTAAATCAGTAAAACATCGTCGACAGCTGAACAGAGGCCTCGATAAGTAGCAAAGCGAATCTCACCTCCACAGCCGTCCACTCAGTGTAGAGACCGCCGCATCGTCAAATCAGGATGAGAGGCGAGGGGCCTACGAGAAGCTGAACAGTACCCAAACGGACATTGTGGTAGGAGGACGAGGAGGACGAAGAGCGCGTTCATTCAAAATTTGACCAGGCTCAGGATTCAGACGCTCGCTCGCGATCCCGTGATGGGTCGCGTAGTACGCGTCGGGCGTCTTGACGATGGTTCATTTCCACGGTTGACTTGTCCCTGTCTGCGTAACGCCCATTCGCGACTCACCGCCTCACGCAAGAATAATAATGGCTACCTCCAACTCAAACTCAACAAGCAGGCTCACGCGCCCCGTTCCCTACACTCCCAAGCGACCCCACTCAGTTTCCACCGAAGATCTCACTAGCACCGGCCGGATACCCCGCTCGACGACCCCCAGCCTTCTCAGCTCGGCAAAGAAATTCAAGGCGGCCCTCTCGACGGAGTCTCGCTCGCGGTTTACTGCGAAACCTAGGTCAGGGCTTACGTCCGTCCCGGGTTCACCCACGAAGGATGTACGACCGAAGACGCCAACTACCCCCAAGCGAGGCTCCGAGAGCCCGCTGCTCTTTCCGCAGATCAGCGAGATGGATGTGAGCAGGATCGACCCAGAAGAGGCGCTGGTAGACTTTCAAACTGTAGAGCCTGGGGACATCTCTGGCGAACTCGACGAGGCTGCGCTCGCAGACTACGGTAAGGAGGACAAAGTACTTGTATCGATAAGGTGGGCATCGCATTTCCCCCTACATCAATTCAAGGACTCTGCCGCGCACAGTCAGAGTAAAAGAAGAACATAGTCATGCTCACAATACGTCTGCCAGAATACGGCCCACCAACGCCACTACCGCATGGCAGACAACAGACACGATACCCAAGAGCATGAAGCTCGACTCTCAGTATTGTAAAACTACGACGACGACACCCCAAGACTTCCGCTTTGACGAAATTCTCACCGGCTCCGACAACAAGCCCGTTTACAACGCCGTCGCGCGCAGCCATGTCTGCGCCGCGATGGACGGCTACAATGCCATTATTTTCGCCTATGGTCAAACCGCTAGCGGCAAGACCTTCACGCTCGTGTGTTCCATCGTTAGACCTGGCGCACGCATACGTACTGATGGGATGCGCAGACCGGAGACGAAGACCAGCCCGGTATCATTCCCCGCGCGATGAAGGACATCTTCGCCTACATCAGGCGGACGCCGACACGCGAGTACCTCCTGCGGTGCTCGTACCTTGAGATCTACAACGAGACCATTCACGACCTGCTCGCACCACCCTCCTCCTCCGTCTCGCAGCCCGTGCAGATCCAGGGCACGGGTAACAACGTCATCCTCACGCCCCTCCGCGAGGAGGTCGTCACGAGCCTCAAGAGCGTACGCGAGGTCCTTCAGCGCGGGGAGGGCAACCGGCGCACGGCAAGCACGGACTGGAACGAGAGGAGTAGTCGGAGCCATAGCGTTTTCCGCGTGGTTATTGAGAGTAGAGAACGCGGGAGTGGTACTGATGAGGGCGGGACCCCTAGCGGAAGGACGACGCCAGGTTTCAGGCCTCCGACGCCGGGCGGACCGAGGCTACAAGCGAGAGGCGGACGAAGTGTACAGACGTCTGTTCTGGTAGGCTGCTGTCGCCTGGATTCCTGATGTGTATACTGAACGGTTCTCCGTAGAGCCTTATTGATCTCGCTGGCTCTGAAAAAGCTACCTCAGACAAGGAGCGCACTCGAGAGGGCAAGTACATCAACACCAGGTATGTATCCGTACTACTTCAACCGCACACCACACTGACACACTAGTCCAGTCTGCTCACTCTGGGTACCGTCATCGGTACGCTCGCCGAGAACTCCGCGCGGAACAAGCACGACCACGTCCCCTTCCGAAACTCGAAACTGACGCGGATGCTGCAGCCCTCGCTCTCGGGAAACGCACGCATCTCCGTCATTTGCACGATCAACCCGGACACGGGCGCGATCGCCGAGTCGACGAGCACGCTCCTCTTCGCGCAGCGCATCAAGAAGGTGCAGCTGAACGCGCAGAAGAAGGAGGTCGTCGACACGGAGGCGCTCCTCGAGCGTTACAGGAAGGAGATCGAAGAGCTCAGAAAGAGGCTGTCCGAGAAGGAGGCGGAGGCGCCTGCGTTGAAGCGTAGGCTCTCTGCGCGCGAGGTAGGCTGGGGCTGTCTGGTGGTGGGTGAATGGCTGATAAGAATCGTTGCGTAGCAATTGGACGAGTCCCGGGCGATGAGCGACCTAAACTCGCGGATTAGGCAACTCACGAAGCTCATTCTGACCAGTCAGACTGTCGACGAGAACAAGGATAACGAGTCCCGTCCGGCAAGCCCGTCGAAGGTCGACTTTGACATGTCTCCCTATCAGGTGCGTGTGATTGGTGGTGTTTTAGCGTTTCAGGCTAACAGGCCCCGTAGCTGCAACAGGAGCTGCTTTCCGCTCGCAGACAGATCGATACACAGGCTACTCAAATCCTGTCGCTCGAAGCAGCCCTGCTTGCGCGACCGCAGCTGCCACCCGACGCGCCTGAGAGCGAGAAGGACAAGGCGTTGAACGAGCAGACGAAGACTATCCGCGAGCTTGAGATTGTCGTCAGAGGCTACGAAGAGAACCTCGGTGAGCCTTTACGCGCAGTCAGGGAGGATGTAGAGAGGGAATGGATCGCGAAGCTAGAGAAGGAGAAGCGAAGCCGAGAAGAGAAGGAGGCGTGGGCAGACGCGCTCGTAAAGCAGCTCGAGAAGGAGAAGAAGGTGAGCAGACGTCCAATTGCCACCTTTGCGTTACGCTCACACGTACGTTACAGACCCGCATGAAGCTCGAGGATGAGCGGCAGGCTTTGGCGGCCTTCGTAAGGAAGTTCGACGCACTCGGCCTCAGCACAGGCCTGCCCATGGCAGTCCCGTCGAAACTCAACCCGCCGATGCCCACGCCCGGCGGTGCAGCGGCGGTTTTCGCGCAGCGACAGCGGAGTCGGCTGCAATCCATGGATCCGGACCCGACTATGTCGCCGGTTGCGGAGACTGATTCGCCGATGCGCTTGCCCGCGGTCGAGCCTAGTCTCCTTGAAGAGGAGTGGGATGCGGTAGACGACGTGAGCTTTGGCGACGACAAGCCGTTTTTCCCCATCCCTACCAAGTCAAGGAAAGGGTCGCATAGCCCAGTGCGAAGCATCTTGGCCCGGGGTCAGAAAGAGAATATGCCTGTGTAGGATTGCGCATATGCGTTTCATGAGTTACTCGTACATGTACCGTCGTATGGACCCCTCAGCTCTGGAAGCCATGTCTTGTATGAACACATTCGATCTTCTGCCATGTGATATCTTTGCCTCATCGTCCGTATTTTCGTGTTTCGTTACAGTATGTAGTAGGAGTCAGTGTCTTGATTCAATATGCTTACTTGGATCTTGCTCATCAGCTGAAACTGCAGGGTGAGAATGAGGCCGACTGGGTCGGATCTGTTGGCAATGACGCTGACGGAGAACTCGGAACGGCCGCTTCTTGAGAAAGCAGAAGACAGTCAAGAAAGACATAGCCACCGCTAATATCTGCGCCTTGTGGCCGTATATGGTTTCTAGGTGGACTTGTACGGCCCGGCACGTCGGCGAGGAGGCCCCACGGCGCGAGCCGTGTGGGGGCCGGTGCGTGCCGGCTGTCCCGGCGTCGGCATTCTCGATCGGGGGTGTGATCTGCAGCCCGATTTGTTCGCCGGCGGCTGCCGATTGGGCGAGAGGCAGGCGGAGAGGGCATCGGCCGACTGGGCGCTCGGAGGACAAAGTCGAGGAGTGGGTCGCGGCTGGAGCTGCCGCCTGCCTTGCGGCTGACTCAAGATAAATACATACCGCCATGCACATCCGTCGCCGCGGAGGATCCCCACCTGTAACGACCTATCCTACTCCTGCCTCCCCTGAGACCTTGAGATTTTAACGAACACACCATGACACGAGAGTCGGGCATGACATCAGAGACAGCCACTCTGCGAGGCGACACAGAGCCTAGCGCACCCAGCGCACCCACGAAGACCGGTTTTCCGAAGCCTGATTCTAGGATAGGGCAAGAAATAGCGGGCGAACGCTCAAGCTCCCAGACCACTTCGCAGTCACACGAGGATGTTCAAATTATTGACTGGGACGGCCCCGATGACCCGGAAAATCCAAAAAAGTGCGTCGTGGCTCAGTCTCAATCCGTGAAATGCTGAACAACTTTCTGCAGCTGGAGCTTCAAGAAGAAATGGGCCGCGACCGCCATTGTGTCTGCGTTCACCTTCATCAGCCCGGTGTCGTCATCAATGATCGCACCGGCGTCCGATCAGTTGGCGCAAGAATTTGGAATAACGAGCGAGACTGTCATTGCACTGGTCACGTCCATTTTTGTGTTGGCGTATGGTACGTTGTTGATTCATCTTGGTGCGTACAGACAGTCTCATTTGCGTTCTACAGCATTGGGCCCATTATTCTTGGGGCCACTAAGTGAGATTTTTGGACGGTCGCGGGTACTTCAATTAGCGAACATGTGGTATCTAGGTAAGTGCGAGATAGTGCGCACGAAGGCCGAGTCTCTCAGGCTGATTCTTGTTGCAGCATGGAATTTGGGCTGTGGATTTGCACAGAATACTGGGCAACTCATCGCCTTCCGTTTCCTCGCGGGCCTAGGCGGCAGTGCACCGCTTTCAATAGGTGGTGGTGTACTCGGTGATTGCTGGCGACCGGAGGAGAGAGGTCAAGCGATCGCGCTCTACTCTCTCGCCCCGCTTCTCGGCCCTGTGATCGGGCCAGTCTGCGGTGCATGGATCGGGCAGCGGTCCACTTGGCGCTGGGTGGTACGTCTCATTCAGGCGTTTGAATCTCACATGGCGCTGACGTTCGCGGTGCAGTTCTGGTCAACAACTATTGTCGATGCCTTCATCCAGTGCATGGGCGTGTTGTTCTTGCAAGAAAGTAAGTTGCTATTTGCCTTGCCGACTATACCGTCTCACGGGCGGGCGTTGTTATCAGCTTATGCTCCTATCCTCTTGGAACGCAAGGCTGCAAGAATCCGCAAGAATATGGATCCTGAGAAGGCCGAGAGACGAATCATCCGTACCGCCTTCGATAGCGCTGACAGACAGTAAGTGCCCACTGCAGCTAGCTAGGCAAATTATTGATCCTGACACTCCGTCTAGTTGGCAGCAGATTGTCTCAAGATCCCTTGTCCGACCCTTCAAGCTGTTCTTCCGCGAGCCTATCATCATGCTCCTCGGTATCTACATGGCCTTCGTCTACGGCACCCTCTATCTATTCCTCACGACCATCGATGGTATGTTCGAGGGCATCTACGGCGAGCGCGTCGGCATCGCGGGTCTGAACTACCTCGCTCTCGGTGTCGGCCTTACCGGTGCTTCGCAAATCAATGCACGGTCGCTTGATGCAATATACAAGTACTTTACAAAGAAGAACAATGGCGTCGGAAGGCCGGAATTTAGGTTGCCGTCTATGGTGCCTGGTACTATTCTGCTGCCGATTGGACTCTTCATCACTGGGTGGACGGCACAAAATCATACACATTGGATCGCACCCGATATTGTGGTTATCCCTCTGCTTGTTTCACACTACGTCGTCTCTTACATGACTTTGTCTTGCAGGGCATTGCGCTGGTAGGCGCCGGGATTATCCTCAACTTCCAGTGCATTCAAACATACATCATCGACGCGTTCACCCTACACGCCGCCTCAGCGCTTGCTGCTGCGACCTTCTTGCGTTCATGCGCAGGCTTCGGCTTCCCGCTGTTCGCGCCATCCATGTACAACGCCCTTGGATACGGCAAGGGCGACTCGATACTTGCCGCTGTCGCCATCGTGGTCGGGTGCCCTGCGCCATGGCTATTTTGGACGTACGGCGAGCGTATACGAGCAGCGAGCAAGTATGCGCGATCGTAGACGTTTGTTCCCATTTTCGTGTTAACATCTCAACATCATCTACACGCGGTCATCTGTCATCATTTGTCATTTAACGCATGACTCTTCAGGAAGCAACATCACTACTTTACGTTGTTTACGAAATCATGGACTTCCGTTGACGCTTTGTTTTTGTTTCATGCCGCATCGTCGCATTATAGAGATACCATACCATGCATGCCGTAGTAGTACTGATCACGCAATGTATTCAACCACAATGATGCAGTGTAATCCCTCATTTCGTAATCTTTTCAGAACCACGGTCTACTAGTATACATTTGAGACGCGCGCTTTTGAGCCCTGTTTCTTGTGTCCAATACTGCTTCATCTGCTGGCTCCGGTGCGGCATATATTCAAACGGTGGTCCAATCTCCAGCGCTCACCCTGAATCGACTCATTGGCGTTGGTGTCGTCTGGGCGTCTGAGTAGACGCCCAAAGGTTGGTAAGATACGGATCTCGATCTTGAGCAGCGCCACATCAGCCTCTGTCCCGACGCTGTTCATATCACTGCCACTGACTTTCCTCCAGGTTCTCATTTTACGATGTTGCGGCGGCGCATGATTCGACACTTGCCTCTGACGCTCAGGCTCTCGCACATTCCATCGCAGCACTTGAACGCGAGTATCATGTTTCCAGTGCAATATCGCCGGGTATACGCAGTGAGTCGGAGGTTTACTACAAACGCGTCGTTGGCCCATCAAGAACAAACACTTCAAGTTGATTATAGCTTCCAATTGCGCAGCGTGCGCTCATAAAGCCATGTTGGGCGACGCTACCATCCACTCTGCTGCGCTCGGTTTGTAGTGCTCGTATTAGGTGCTACATACACCACCAAACGTCGCCGGTCAGACCGCGATCTGAGCTGATCGCCCGTCGCCGGTCTAATGTCTCACGTTCACGTGAGCTTATAGTCGGGTTATCCTGAGGTGACCGCGTAGGATTTGGTTCAGCCAGGTTCTCAGCTTATCATCAGCCTATTAAAAGGCCTCTGGGGTCTGAGCAATCGGCCGATGATAGTGGTTCTCTCATCCCTGACCCATCTCACCATGAGATGTTGTATCCCTGTCGATGCATGTCTGCCTGTTGCGAGCACAGGCGCCGGCCAGCGCCCCGGGCAATACTGAGCGAGCACGAAACTTACTTACTTACATCCACTAGAGACTGATGCCTCATACTACTGAGTACTAAAATTCGAAAGTCCGGCCAAAAGCTTCTCACTGCGTCAGACAATTCCCGCGCTGAGGCCCTCCTCTCCTTTTCCTCACCGACGTTCGACTCCTCCGTTGGTCGGTGACTCAGTGGCTAAATGGAGCATCTCCTCCTCCTCCTCCTCCTCCTCCTCGTTGCTGCCTCTGCTCATCGATAGAAGCTGTTTGACCCCGCTGCTCTTCCCGGCAACATCTCTCGGCTGCTTACAAACTTTCCCGACACGCGCTCGCCGGTGACTGTCGCCAGTGAATGGCCTCGAAGGAAAGGTTTGTCGACGCTGTACGAGCTATGGTTAGCAGGTCCGTACAATCCTTGTTGGGAACTCACAGCTCGTGCCGGGTGCGTCAGACGTGCTGGCTTGAGCTTTGGACTCTGTGGTTCACCGTTGCTACGGTCCTTCTGAATTGCAGGTGCGTCCTCGTCATAGTGCACGGTTTATTCAATCTCCTGAATATATCTCCAGATTCATATTATGGACTTCGTGTGGCTCTTGCAGACACGCGGGACTGGGCCCCAGCGGTGACAAGATTCGTTCACGGTGAAGTCCAGTGAATGTGGAGTTAGAGTTACAAGGTGCGTCTATATGCGCAGTGAGTAGAAACCATAGAATTGACGACTCTTCTTGACAGCGTCTGATCCTGCGAAACATAATAGTAAGTTCACCGTGGCCGGTCAATCATTCATCGACCCGTATTCATTGACCCGTATTCATTGACCCGTGCATCACTGAGTGGACCGTCCGAGTCAGTTCGACCACCTGCTGCCCAATTGCTGTTGCCCGTACAATCATTTGTGTAGTAAATCGTTGGCCCGCGTCGTTTCCATACTACAATGTATTTTTGTTATGACATATATTGCATTTTACACGATCAATGTGATTCTGACATTTGCGATGCAACAAGCGTACGAGAACCCGAGATGCCAGCCTGGTACAGTGTGATACTTGTGTGATTATCAGGGGCGCCACGACACGGTATACACCCGACTGTAAGGCTATCATAGCCGGTGGACGGGTCTGACGGTAGTCTCTTGCGCTCAGCTGATCCTCAGAGTCGGCTGAGCGACCACCCCGAAATGGTCGATGCGACCATTGCCACCATCTGACGGCCGGGTCGCACGGTCTGAAGCGCGGGTCGCGGGGGGCTCCCCGTAAAATGGCGAGCCTCAGATGAGCCACAAACGCCGGTGTACTGTAGCGGTCGCCACAACCCGGCGGGGGGTGTGACGTGTGACAAAAGTTTACGATCCGGCGCAGCGGCGGGGGTGGGTGTGACGGATGACCGCCGCCGCCCGGAGGGCGGATCCGTAGTTGTGCCCGCCGCAGGCGCCGCCCTCAGCACTGAAGCGCCCTACGACAGCATTGGCGCCGGCGGTGGGAACGGCTGTGACCTGTGACCCGATGGGTTTGGAGCGGCGGGCGGCGGGCGTGTGACATGTGACAACCGGGTTGTATTGACCGCTACAGTACCTTGTACCCTTCAGGCACCATGCAACTGGTGCCGCTCTGCTACATACATGATATTGGTGATGTCGCTCAATACCGTGAACGAGGGCTGACCGAGTCTGAGTAGTGCAGTGAAAATGTACGGTGCGATATAAAAAACTCAGCTTGAGTGTGCTGAGACCCGCGATTACCGCAGAGGATTCATTTGTAGGATGCCAATGTGAGTTTTCAAGCGCCGAGTCAACCACTTGCATGAACGTCTCCTATGTTCTTACCACATGCCGCAGCTTAGGAAATCAATTGACAAGGATAGGCGAAGCAGCGGTCACGCTCAGATCACCCTGTCGGCGATTGCTCGTGTTTCGTCAAGACTCCTACTTCAATTCGCTGACGCAGGAACATGCGCAGCGCGGAAGGAATTGTAGTGAGAACTAAACGAGCAAGTCGGGTAAAGAAATGACCGGGGGAGTTGCAACTAACTCTTCCATCACACCACCAGCGGGCCTTCACTGGATGGTGAAGTCATCACTAGTGTTGCCAGAATCGCCGTACACTGATCGTCAAAGCATGCCAGTGAGTGAAGCATTCATTCACGTTAGGTGGCAATTGGCACTTACGGGTGATGATGTAGTCAGTGCCAGCATCGATGTTCGAAGGAACAGTGATCTGAACGCTGCCGTCCGCGAGGGGGAAGCCACCGGACAACGTGACTAAGAGGCGTGTCAATTGACCCATGCCTTTGCGACGCACCAGCAACTCGGACGCACCAACGCCTTGTTGGCCTGTCTTGCCGAGAGTGAGCGTGCCATTGGGGTTCGTGACGCTTGCGAGCGGGTTGCTCGCGTCCCTGGGACGGGGTCGAGGCCTTCAGTTCAAGTCACATCAACAGAACCGCAAGACTTACCAAGTGACGCTGTACATATGTCCACGGACCCATACCGTCTGCGTGTTCGGCGAGAGAATCTTGGGATTCCAAGTCGCGCGAGCGACGTGGACGTCACCTGCGGCGACCGAAGCGACAGACGAGGCAACAGCCAGAAGGAGAGCAGTCGCGAGCTTGTTCATGAACATGGCGATTGGCATGGTGTTCTTCGAATAGATGCGCTGTGTCCTCTAGAGCAACGAGTTGCACTGGCTAATTGATAGCAGGTTCACGCCCTAATATACCTCCTAGAGGCTCGGATCATCATCCTGGATGTGACGCGGTACGAGAAAATGTCCGGGTTCAGATGCGCTTGCGGAAAGATGTGCTGCGGCTCTGTTCGAAACACCTTCTACAGGCAAGAGCGCACTTCTCGCACCTGGATTTGCCTCGTTTCCGTGCTCACCGCATACGATCGTGTAGTCATCACCGTAAAATTATACCCAGTCTACACAAACCGGTATACACCCATTAGCCCAGTCACTGGCTGAGCTCTGCCTCACTGGCGTGCAAGCTCTCCGTCGGTACCGGTTCGCACAGCTGATTGCGTCGAACTTGTCCCCATCATCCTAGTACGTCTCGGGTACCGGTGATGCAACTTCGTCACCCTTTCCACTCTGTCGGACGAAGCACTTGCCGGGAACCCTTGGGATTCACTGATCACATATCACTGAGGTTCGGAAGTATCTTGTACGATTTTACAGGCCTTGTCAAGGAAGGTGAGTACCAAGAGCGGGCGTAAGAAATCCTACGGCGGTATTTAGAGAACTCACGAAGTCTACCAAAACCACCAGCAGTGCACAGAGGTTCTACACGCACAAAATCGACAAATCATCATGGCGCGTACTGCCAGCTGTTCAGACCATGACCCTACACACACTGCACTTGATCATGAGCGGATGCAGGACGCCGTTATAGTCACCTATACCAGGCCCCAGTGGCACAAAGTCTAGCAGCTATTTCTTGAATTATGTCACGGTACGCAACATAGAACCTGACACTCAGCTCGCGGAGCAATCATAAGTCTGCCAAGGAGTACGCGTCACAGTGACCTTGTCGTTGAAGTTGGCAATTTAAAGGCAGGATACGGTAGCGCTGTGACGGACGCGTGACGTTTCGCGTCGTGCATGAGCCACAAGCGCGCCCGGCCAACGCGTCTTCACCGACTTCCTCCACAGCACGCGTCTGTTCGCCGCCCTGTTCCTGCAGAACACGACAACAGACACTCGAAATTATGTCAGACAACTCTGCACACATGTCTCCGCCAGATTCGCCCGACGTACCACTGGCTGGCCTGGAGGAGGACGATGGGACGCAATCAGAACCGATCGACGTGCCAGACGATCTACAGAACGACGAAGAGGAGGAGGAGACACAGGAAGGAGAGACAAGGGGGCAGGGCGAAACTGCCACGCGTGACAAAGAGTCTCGAAAACGGGAGAAGGTCGTCTTCGACGCGAAGAGGCAGCCGGGCAAGACGCACCTCCCGATCGCGAGAGTGCGGAAGGTGTTGAAAGCAGACAGGGTAGGTCACTGTTCACTTATGGACCTTCACGTCCTGACATATTGTGCAGGAGCTGCCTATGGTGCAGAAAGACGCCGCGTTTCTATTCGCTGCGGCTGCAGAGGAATTCACGATGCGGCTAGCTGCCGCGGTGGACCGTGTGGTGCATAGGGACAACCGACTGACCGCACAGTACAAAGACGTTGGTGAGTCTCTTTCACAGTATTGCTAATGAAGGGATGTTGACGGCTATTGCTCTCAGTGTCCCTCTCACGAAGAGACGAGTTCGTCTTCATGGATGGTACGGATGCAGCTTCTCAAACGCTCGTCCTGTCTCAATTCTTCGCAGAGATCATCGCATCAATACCGTCGTCACAAGCCAAACGCAAAGTCAAGGACCTGGTGGTTGACGACAAGGAAGGTAAGCGGAAGAAAAAGAAAGTCGGGCCTATGGACAAGTTCTTGGGCGCGAAGAAGGGCTCGGATGAGGCGGACGATGCTCAAGACGAGTCGGAGGCGCAAGTCACTATGAACGAGGATGGAACGATGTCAATGTCTCTGGAATGACAAGACTTTCCATCTGAGGTTGCGATGTCCTTCCCCAGCGTCGCTTGGAAACCGCTGTCTGTCTGGAGTCACCATGCCAGGCCACTGCTGGCCACTGGTTGGTCTATCGTGTCTATTTATGTCAGGTGCCACAGCCAGTGTTCATCGACCTTGATGGGCTTATGCGTCGGCGCCCTCCTACGAGCGAATGCATGCACAGCGAATGTATCTCGCAGAACTGATTGATATACACCTCGCTGGAGCCAGGGGACACTGGGCAGTCGGGGAGGCCATAGCACAGTTCGCGATGCGGGTACTAGGTGGGGTATCGTAATAGTACGGACAGCAATGCTACGAGGGAAACCAAATCTCGGGCCATATATCATCGTAACGAAGAGACGTATGCAGGCATCGGGCCCAGGCGTATGCTATGCAATGTGGTAACGGACGCGGCACCATCGGTGTCAAGGCAGCATCACCAACCACTGACTGGGGATTGGGATCACTTCCTCATCACCTTCTCACGAAGCTCCGCGCCCTTGAGCCTCGCGCGCAGGTACTCGAGGCGCCCCTCGTACCGCGCCGTGACCTCCGCGCGCCGTCGGCGGATGTCCGTGAGCTCCATCTCCATCGCGCGGATTTCCTCGTCCTCCGTGTGCACGGGGTTCTTGGTCCCGCGCCCGGGCAGCGGCGGCACGTCCGCCGCGAGCGTCGCGCCCGCCCAGCGCGACTCCTCCGTGGACGACTTGCGGTGGCCGCTGGGGCCCTCCGTCTCGGCGACGGTCGCGAGCGGGAGATGGCTCGCGCTCCGGGCGAGGTTGACGCTGGAGCTGCTCGCCATGCCGTAGTGCGCGGACAGCCCGGGGTAGTTGCTGAGCCCCGTCCGGCCGCGCGAGGACATCGAGGAGATGGAGCCTTTGCGGCTCACGGGTTTTGCTTGTTGGGAGATGAGCGTCGTGGAGGACGTCGACGTCGACGTGTGCATCTTCCGGTGGCCCGAGGGGGAGCGTTGGACCGAGGGCGTCCGCGCGCCCGACCCGCCAGACTTGAACGAGACTGTGTCCATGTCCCTCGATGTATGTAGCGAGCGCGCGTCGTTCGTGTGTATGGACGTGGTGTCTACGGAGGGGCTCAGCGGGATGGGAGGCCGCAAATGAGGGCGCTTGTGCCGCTTCGTCAGAGTGCTCAGCTCCAGGCCATTGAACGCGTCCAGCAGTCGTCTCCCTTCTGCTTCAACGAGTTCTATCTGATGGCGGATATCCTTCGCCGACTCCAAGTCGTCGTCGTTAGGCAATGACTCTCCGAGCAGTGCAGGGCTGGTCGGCTCGAACACGGACGCTGCCCCGGGGAAGGCCGACGGTGGGGCAGACGAGCCAGACCGCTTCCTGCCTCTGGACGGACGCAGGTTGGAGCCGCCGGGATCAGACTGAGTGAGGATGGGACGGAGTTGCGGGGTACGCGTACGATCGAGGCCGCTCCTGAACGATGACTCGCTTGCTCGAGACGTGAGACTGCGCGCCCGGTCGGCGTTAGAACCCGTGGAGTATACGCTGGCCGTATCGCCATTGCCAAGGTCAGAGGGAGAAGACACGACACGTCTGCTTCTGCTCGTCGCGCGCTTGAGGAACCCGCCGATACTGGAGGTGAGCGAGGTCTTCGACTGAACAGACGAGGCCCGAGATGACTGTACATAGAACTGAGAAGAAGGTCGGCGGTCGTTGGTGGAGGAGATGGATACTTTGTTGTTATAAGCTTCACTGTACACCCAGAATATACATGGTTTTACTCACTGCGGCTACCGCCAGCGCCATGACCACCGCTAGATATGGGTACGAGGGGCGCCTCTGTGGGGATTTGAGAGTTACTGGCGAACCTTTCGAAGAGGTTTTGCCGTAGGAGACGGTATTCATCATCACTGTGGAGCAGGTGAGCACATGGACAGCATGTAGCAGATCAGCGACGCACCTGAGCAGACCCTCCGAGTTGGCGGTGGCCAACCCGTTCAGCCGTTGCGCCAGTGTTATCCTGGGTACGCTCAGTACAAAACCGGGGTTTTGACCAGACTCAAAGCTCACGTTACTACATCCGTCGACGACCGAGGGGCGGCCTGCTCGCTGACGGTCTCCGCATGGCGCGCAAGTGATATGGAGGTCGAAGAGGCGACCCGGCGCGACAGCTTATTGAAACCACGCGACTCCGAGACCCGTGCCGAGACGAAGGATTGTTTGTCGGAATGAGCGTAAGGAGAAGAGAGAGACGGAGATGAAGAGTGGTCGGTCACGGAGTCGCCGTCGAGGTCGCGCTCCTTGCCCTTGCCCTTGCCATTGCCGTACTGTGTGAGAGCGCCTGGGCTGAGCAAAACGGTATGCATGTGGGCTGGTGGATCCACTCACGAATCGAGCACGGATGGCACGGAAGGAGACGGCGCTCTGGCCGTCGGGGAGGGTGCCAGTGTCCAGGTGTTCCGCCCTCCGAGAGAATAGCCCCATCACCGATGCATACTGGCCGTGCTCTCGCAGAGTCTCAGTCACACTCGGCTCACTCTCCCAGAGTCCCGCCACCCGGTAACCCCTTACATATTCCACAAAAGGCTATTCCGCGCACAAATACTAATACTCGCCGCCGCCCTCCTCTCGCTCGCGCTGCTCTGTACAATGCGCGCTGCAGTCTCGAAGCTGACCTTCCGTGAAAGCGTCGCAGGCCATCCACCCCCAGAGAGATGACCTCCTTCATCATCAAGGCTCACGCAGACAGACCTGTGCCGGAAGCCTGGCAAGCCGATCCTGACTGTCCGTTCTGCCGTATTATTCGTGGCGAGGCATCGGCTTTCCGTCTGTACGAGAACGACCACGTCGTCGCATTCTTAGGTATCGTTGAGCCCATCATCCGCTACGTGTGCGCTCAATCTGGTCTACAGACATCCTCCCTTTGCGCCCGGGACATGCACTGGTAGTACCAAAGACCCACTGTCCTCGCGTCTCCGAGCTACCTCCGGAGTTTGCAGCGGCGACTGGGATGGCGGTCTCGACAGTTGCGCGTGCTATGACCGAAGGTAGAGCGTCCTGCTGTGAATACAGCCCGCTGCTGATCGAACATACTATCAGCATTGGAGAACACGCGTCTTAACGTTGTCTGCAATCAAGAATACGCACAAGCAGTCCCACATGTGAGTTCAGCTTGTGTACAAGCTCCACCAAGCTCATGGACAATGAAGGTACATTACCACATCATACCTGCACCGAAGCTAGGGCCGTCATTCACTACCTCTGAAACGACGAAGGTCGACCACGTCGTTGAGCCACTGACCCAGAAGGAGATGCACAAGCTAGAGTTCGAGAATCGGGGTCTGCTGGATGACGAGGAGGCGAAGGCAATGGCGGAAAGGATTCGTGCCCGTCTGTAATACATAATGGCTGTACTTGCGTTGTGCCACCTTGTCTGAGAACCTGCGAGTCGCAGTCAAAACATAAGTGCTTGCGACATCATCACTCTCCACGGTACCCCGCGTTCTTTGAGGTCGGTTCATGGACACCGTTCTCGAAGCCGAGGTCGAGGACATGTATGTATGTAGATGCCTTTTGCGGGAGTGAGTGGGATTGTGCTAGGCGGTCTCGTGACCGAGGCGAGCCTGGACGACGGTGCCGGTGGTCGGCGGTATATCAAGTATCTGTACGACTACGACTCCGAGGCTGCTCTCACCGTCCCCCACTTTCGCCACTCTACCCTGTTGCGGCGCACGGGTCAAGCGCATCCGCAGCTGTGCATGATGTCCAGCGCACCGGATCAGGATGGCGAGGGTATTCATAGCTCGCCCGTGACGCCTGGCGCGACGCCCACAACCTCCGCATTCGCACACCGTCTCCCCCTGCACCGCAGCGTCAGTCGCTCGTCGCAGTGGTCCGCAACAGACACCCCGCGACACCACCACCAGGGCACTTCCTACTTCCCGGAAGCCCCCCGACCCGTCTCGCCGACTCCCAAACGAACCAAACCGGCCATGCGCAACGCGTCGGTCACCTCGAGAAGACGGCCCGTCCGGAGCACGAGCCTCACCAGCTCGCACGCTACTGCGAGGGCCATGGGTGAGGATCCAGGCATGCTGAGCGAGGAGGACGAGGACGAGGACACCGGCAGTGCGGGCATCGCCGAGGCGGGCGGCGTAGAGGCAGACGACGACGCGGACGACGACGACGACCGAGAAGTCGACCCGATAACCCTGAGGGACCGGCAGTCGCTCATCAACGTCGAGCACCCCTTCGGTCTGCCCATCTGGAAACCCGCACTGTACAAGAAGTCGCGGTCGGTGACGCGGTACGCCGACCAGGCGCTGCACTCAGTTCCCTCGGCCCAGGCGGAGCGGCACTTGCTCCCGGGCAACATCCTCTGGACACTGTGCTTTGGTTGGTGGCTTGCCGTATCCTGCTTCGTCGCATCCAGCTTGCTTTCCTTTGTCCCGAGGGGCGGCAAGCAGTATGCTACTCTCATGTTCGGCCTTGGATGGTACATCGCCTGGCCATTCGGCAAGTACGTCGAGGGTGACCTCTCCTCGCTACTACCTGGTGAAGAGGGCTTCCCTCCTCAAACCATCGTGGAGCATCCTGATGAGGAAGAGGACGAGCAGCTGGAGAGCGCGAGCGATGTCGAATCTACTCCGACCGAGCATTCCTCTGAGGCCAGTCATGACACCATCACCCCCGGCGACGTCGCGCCCACGTCGGCCAACTCTACGGCGCAGCATCCGCAGGTCGCTTCCTGGAACGACATACAGAGTACTCAGCCTAACAGCGCGACAGCGCTCCTGGGTCACCGGAACGCGCCGCGCTTGAAGCCGTCCAAGTCATACGGTGCGACGAATTCCACGCTCAAGTCGCCACCGATAGCGTACTCAATCGGTGTATCGGAGGACAAGCATGGCGACCGGCTCGGGAAGGCACTGTTTCGAGCGATATTCATTTGCGTCATCGCGCCGCTCATGCTATTGGTATCTGTCATCTGCTGGGGCAGCATATTCGCGATCCCAATGGCACGGCTGAACTGGCAGCTGGTGAAATACCTTGTCGAGCAGCCGATGCACATCCGCTTCTGCGCAGCGCCTGTCGTAGCAGTGGCCGAGCAGCCAGAGGGTGACGGCAACGCTGCTTCCGCTGAGGCCGCCGTATCGTTCAAGCCAGCCAGGCTCGCCGCGGGCCAGATCGCACCGTCCGGCTCGCCCACGTCGACCGTGTTGCTCTGCACATACAAGGCGTTCGGGTGGAAGTACTACAAGTACACCGTCGGCGGTGTCAACATCATCTTCGTGAACCTCATGCCCATCGTGTTCTTCGTCATCTTCGATGGCTTCGTCCTGCTGAAGATCGCGGATCGCCGCGAGAACGCGGGCGAGCACGTCCCTGCGGTGCTCGCGTTCCTCACATCGCGCGCACTCATCTTCTTGCTCAGCATGGCGAGCGTCATCCCGCTCTCGTACTTCATCGGCATGGCCGTCGCGTCCATCTCAGCGCAGTCGTCCATCGGCATGGGTGCGGTCATCAACGCGACGTTCGGTTCGATCATCGAGATCCTCTTGTATTGTATCGCGCTCACGCAGGGCAAGGGCCATCTCGTTGAGGGATCGATCATCGGGAGTATACTGGCGGGTGTGCTGCTGATGCCGGGGTCGAGTATGTGCGCAGCCGCGGTGCGGACGAAGGAGCAGAAGTTCAACGCGAAGAGCGCGGGGGTGACAAGCATGCTGCTGATCATGGCTATCATCGGTACCCTCGCGCCGACGCTCTTCTACCAGACGTATGGGAATGTGAGTGGGCCGGTTATGTTGTGTGACCCGAACTCATGGTTATTCAGTTCCAACTTGTCTGCGAGGGCTGCCCGCCGGAAGGCTCGAAAGGACCGTGGTCTTGCCAGCACTGTTACTACAAGTATCCGGACCCTGTCGACGATCCCTTCTACCAGTCGACGGTGAAGACGTTGATGTACTTCTGTGCCGGTATCCTGCTTCTGGTGAGAATTGCCCCACGCATGCTATGTCCCAATGTCTGCTTACCTCTGTGTCGCAGTCATACCTCATCGGTCTCTGGTTCTCTCTTCGGACGCATGCAAGTCAGATCTGGCAGAATCCCCAACAACTTCTGCAGTCTGCGGACCTGCAAGGCGGCCAACATCGCTTGTCCCTCTACCACCGACTCGTCCCAGGGTCCCTCGGCAGTGCGACTCGTCCGTCTCACAGCTTGTCCCACAAGTCCAGCACGATTAACATCACTGTGGACGGTGTAGATTCGCGATCTCAGACCCCGACAGCATCCATGTTCAACGTCCCTGCTCACGGCCACGCTGGCTCCTCGTCCTCCGCCAGCACGAACGCCCCGCCTCCAGCATCAGGTCGCAGGGTGTCGTATGCTCCCGGCCAAGTACCACCGAGTCAGAGCCTGGCTCCGCTGATGGAGAGCGTCGATAGCGCCATGAAGGACACCGGCCTGCACCCCAGTGCGCTCCCGGAGAACATGACTACGGACGACTTCACAAGGGCCGTCGCTGTCGCTACTGTGAGCGCGCTGAGGCACCAGCATGAGTATGCGCGGTCTCCCGCGAGGGCGCGCATGTCGGCGGCGGAGGCAGAGGCAGCGGCCGGGCATGGTGGACACGATGCGCCGTCTTGGAGCAGGACGACCAGTGCGAGCGTGCTGCTCGCGTGCACGGCTCTGTATGCTATCATCGCAGGTAAAGTTATGGATGCAGTCATCCCGTCCGTATGAGCTAACGCGCTCCACAGAATTGCTTGTCGATGTCGTCGACGTCGTCCTTGAGGGCTCTGGCATTGACGAGAAGTTCCTCGGTGTGACGCTTTTCGCGTTGGTGCCCAACACCACCGAGTTCATGAACGCCATCTCGTTCGCTCTGAATCGCAACATCTCGTTGAGGTCAGTGTAGTCAATTTCTTCCAGAGTTTGTGTGGAGTCTCAAACAACGCGTAGCATGGAGATTGGTTCTGCCTATGCCTTGCAGGTCTGTCTGCTACAGATACCCGCCATGGTCGCATTCTCTGCCTGGTATGCCCCGGAGAAAATGGGAGCTGTTTCCGACACTTTCTCGTATGTTCACTCCCATCCTCTGGCGTTTGTCCATTCACCTGATTGTGGCATGCGTCAGGTTGATCTTCCCCCGCTGGGATGTTATCGTGATCATCTTGTCGGTCTTCCTCCTGACTTATACCTATATTGAAGCCAAGAGCAACTACCACCGTGGAAGTATCCTTATTCTCAGGTGAGTGTCATGCAGATTGAATGGTTGCCAATCTAATGCTCAACTTCAGTTACCTTGTATTGGTCTGTGGATTTTTCTTCGCTCCTCATGACGCAGAAGACGATGTCGAGCCCTTTTCATCCGTTCCGCTATCCTTCTTTGCCTCGTTCTTCCATTCTCGATAGCAGTAGTACAAAACACCCGGGGCACCTTGCTAATTATACAGATCTGCCGTCTCGTACGTAGCATACAGTCCTTGCCACGACCTGTCACGACCCATACACATTTGTCTCTCACTCGGACACTCCAAGCTGCATTCCGTCGTAGCGTACTCAATGTAAGCTCTGTAACTTCTCCAATACATCTTGAATTTGAGGACCAGGAATGGATATCCGCTCGGCTTCGTTATCGCCCGCGAGGAACTTGTGTGGATCGGGTACCGAGAGGTAGTGCTCCAAGAAGTCGCCATCAAGGAAGCCGAACGCTGCTTCTGCATCGGTGTGACCCCGCGAGTTCGCTGGTGCTCTCCATCTGCGGTGCAGCTCGTCAATAGCGAGTTACCACGAAGATACAAGGATTACCCACTTTGGATGGAATGTGTTACCAGGCCCGATGATATGTTTCGCCATATTGCGCTGTAGCGCAGTCATATGCAAAGAAATGTCATCGCTCATCTCGAACACGACGCCGATGCGACCTGCTGACGTGAAGAAGACCAGTTTCGACTCGAGCAAATTGTTCGTGAGGTCAGCGGAGCCGAGACCGCCTATGACGTGCGTGAGTACGCATTGTAGCCCTTGGCAAAGAACGCATACCAGGGATGAACTTGTTGACGACGTCTCCGATGTGGTAGCTCCCGTCCCTCTCCAGCGTAGTACGATCACTGGATCTAGCGAATGTGAAGAGGTTGCAATCGCTCTAGTGGGATATCTCAGCCAATCTGAACATTGTTCAGAATCGGGATGTACATACGTTGGCTCCAATGACACCGCCGTTGCCTATTGTCTCGACTGCGACGGGCCATACAGGTGCATAGTCCCGCGCCTTGCACTGCAGTTGACCGTTATTGTCGAGGCTTAGCACCGATACCGAGCTGATAGCGTCGCCCACGACGAGAGTCCGGCCTTTGCAGACGAGACTGGTGACGATGTAGTTGTGGTTCCATTCGGACACCTTGCGTAGCTGCAGGGTCGAATCGTTGATGGTCTCGGTCTTGAACAAGATTACCTAAAGAAGTATCTATCAACGGATGTCGTGTGTATTTGGCAGAAGGTCACATACCGAAGTGTTCACAGCAGCAGCAATCATACCCCTGATGTTCACCAGCTGGTATACGCATCCGCCAACATCCCGCGAAGCCAACATTCTGAGCGTGGGGGCAGAGCCTGCACTCGTGTCAAGCGAGAACAGGATGATACGACCCGCAGATGGCTCTCGCTCGTCAACCTGGAACTCGACGGTTCCAATGCAGATCGAGCAAGGACTCGGGTGTTCGTCCCCTCCTGATAGCGCCAGCGTCGCTGTGATCTCCTCGCCGGGCTCACAGGCAAACGAGGCCAATGCTGCGAAGACGGTGAGTATTCGCTGCGTGCGTCACGTCGCGACGATCGGCTTACGATTGAACGTAGTATCATCGAGGACCTTTAGTGAGCTAATCATGTCTTCTGCGTCACCAATACGCGGTGGCGTAGTCCGGGTGCAGGCAATGATGAACGCTTTGAATTGCGCGTGGTGCGATATTCTTCGCGGGTTCTCCAGCCCCAAGGGCACCTAAAACAAAGTAAGTGCTTGGCCTCCAGTACCAAAAGGGACACGGACCGTCTTGATCTGCATCTTGTCCACTCCGCGCACGTTGCCAATGAGTAACGAAGACGGTGTTCCTAGCACGAGACAAGACGGGTAGGCTGAGGAGTTGATACTGGCTGCGACCACTGGTTCCTGCAGGGCCCAGATCAATCAACATTGAGCCTCTAGAAGCTAGCCCAAAGAGGGGAACCTACCTTGAGCATCACTGGCGATTGATTCAACCTCTGTCGATCCCAATACATCACACTCGCCCTGCTCCCGCTCGCAAGCACCGCCTTCCGGCCATCCACAACGCACGTCGTGAACGACACTGGCGCCGTTCCCAGCGAGAACTGCTTCTGTTCCGCGAGTGCGCCCTCCTTCTCCCTGATGCCGAACGACACTACGCTCCCGTCTGCAAGGCCCGCGAGGAGGTGCGGCCGGAAGTCTGGCTCCTTCCTACTTCGGCTCGCGCCAAAGTTGTGCAGGAGCAGCGAGCGCGGCAGGGACGGGACGCCGACCTCGCAGAGCGTGCTGAGGTACGTCTCCGCGGTGTTGAGCGATAGGAGCGCGACGCGGTTCGTGCCCCAGAAGGAGACCGCAATCATGGTCGCGTAGTTCTTCGTCGGGTCGAAGGGCGCGCACGAGACGGCGGCGATCTCGAGCGGGCCGTAAGTCGCGTCAGCAAAGTCCCTATGTCTGCAAACGAAGTCAGCCTTGGTGCGTGTCACGGTGCATAACCCTAGACGCACTTGAGCAGTTGGAACTGCCTGCTGTCGCTCAAATTGTACAACGCCAGCCGTCCCCTCCCCAGACCGAGCACGACCTGGCTCGCGTTCAAGTCGGCCGCGACAATGCTCCGCCCCTCCTTCTGCGCGTCCCACCCTTCGCTCACGAGAGAGAACAGCCCAAGCGCCTTGTCGTACTCAACGAGCCGCAGCTTCTGCGGCGTGACCTGCACGACGAGCGACGAGTCCACGTACGCGGACTTGCCGCCCGCCGTCGTCCGTCGCGGGATGTTCTTGATTGCGAGAGTCGGCACGGATGCGAGGAGCCCGTCGGTGCTAGGGTCGAGTCGTGTGATGGACTCGGCGCTGTCGAAGCGGAAGACGTAGGTCTCCTCCAGCGTGGACGCGATGATGTGGCTGTCAACACTGTGTACCGGTCAGAAATCGATTCGCGGATGCGGAGTAGTCATATTCACGTATCCTCGAAGCGGGACCGGATCGCCCAGATGTTGGTGACGTTCGCCAGCCCCTCGACTACAGCTCTCTCTTGGAAGTCTGCACCTGTCCTGATAACCTTCAACGAGCCGCTGTTCCGACCTCCCGAGCACGTTATGATCTGGGGCTAGACGGATAGGTCATGAGTGTGAACCTTGAACCTTTCATACTTCACGAGGGATAGACGTACCTGCCCGCTGCCCTCCAAATCTGCCATCGCAGCATCGACAATCGGGGCGACGTTCTCCCATCGGTCAACAGCTTCCACATAGCTCCCCTTTGTACTGACCACCTTCCCGTCCTTCCCCTCTCTGGCCTCCCGCGCCTCCATATCCCAGTCCCTATCTGCCCGCCCCTTCCCCTTCGCCGCCGACGAGCCCGCACTCAGCGCAGCGGGCTCCACCGTCGCGACGCCCTTCGGCACCGGCAGTGTGTCCGCGTCGACGTCTGACACGGGCGTGGGCGAGACGCGGAGGAGCTGGGGCTCGCCGAAGTGTGAACCGACGAAGAGGACCTGGGAGGTGAGGTAGGTGAGGGACGTCGCGGGGGAGGTCGAGCCGAGCGGGACGACTAGGAGGGAGGGCGGGTCGGTGAAGGCGAGCATGGTGAGCCGGCCGTAGGTGTCGCCGATGAGGAACCGTCGACCGTCTGGGTCTACGGGACAGCATCTGCAACCACGGAAGTTGAGGATACTCGAGAAACGAGATGGGCGGGCACGCTCACGCTGTAATCTCGCTCCAAGGCCAGTTTACCCGCAGGCGGGGCTTCGCCTTCCTCGCGTCGCGCTCCTTCTCCTTCTCCTTCGCCTTCAGCATCTGCTTCGAGTCCCCGCTCGAGAGGCGCTCGCTCACGCGACGCTGCTTTCCGCGCTTCACCTCCTGCTGCTCCCGGCTTTCGTGCTCGATGAAGAGGATCTTGCGTCCACCGAGCACAAGCACGCCGCCACGGTGGCTCCGGCGACTGTCCTCCTCGTCGTCGTATTCGTCGTCTTCCGCTTCAGGCGAAGCATAAGGAGGGACGGGGACGAGCAAGGGCGGGGATTCTGTCTCGGGGAAGGTGGAGGACGGGAGGATGCACGAGCGGATGGTGACGGAGGGCGTGGGTGAGATCTCGTAGTTGTCGAGGTCGATGTCGCGGGAGAGCAGCTGTAGCTGTCGTTGGTGGTTGAAGTGTAGGATGCCGAGTGCATACGAGTCGGACTCCGTTTGCAGGAAAGTCAGAGCGACAATGTATAATTCGGGGATCCTACAACTGAGTTGTTAGAGTGCGCAGGGTGCAAATGGTGTGGACGTACGAGACATCCATGACCTCCGGCTTCTTCCCTTCCCTAAACTTGATGAGCTTAAGCTTCCCGGTGTAGCAGTTGACCACTGCGATCCGTCCCGATGAATGTACGAGGACGTCCGTAACAAATTCAGCAGGGCGAGCGTAGCGATCGTGCAGCTCGACATAGTGTTTGCTGACAAGGCTTGGCCTCCCCTCGCCGTCAGTAGTATATCCCAAGACTATCAGTCTGGGGTCAGGATGATCTGTAAGGACGAGGATCTTGGAGGTATCGCCAACCTGTGAGGGCATGTAAACTCGACACTCCAGGTGAGACAGCAAGCTAGAGCTCACCGGCAGTGCTTTGACTGCCACGACCCTTCCCCATATCTCAAGGCTGCATTCCTTGCGCAAGCCGTCTGCTTGCAGCGAGAAGACCTCGATTCTGTTGGTCTTTCCGACTACGAGGAACTCTTGGTCGGCCGTTAGACTGCATCTCGCGGAGGACACGACTGAGGATGGCTGGTGGAATGTCGCGACGACCCTCATCGCAGGAAGGGAGGAGAACGCAGGCCTGTAAGTACGGAGAAGGGAGTGGATGGCCTCTCACACGTAGGCGCCCTGGGCCGATCGCTCATTCATGCCCTTACGTCAGAGTTTCGAGCAGAGAGCGCCCACAACACTGAATAGCACTATCGCGACTCACTGGTCACAACATGTATTCCCTTGCTCGCAAGAGCAAGGCTGCCGACTGCAGTTGATAGTAGCTGCTGCTTCAAATGCATTGTTACTAACTATACCAACTACGGGCTAGCCAGCCTACAATTGCAGCGACTGTTGCGCTTGACGCGATCGCAAAGGCAACAGCGCGATCAGAAGTCAGTATGTGTAGAGTCCGAGTCCGCTCTGCAGCACGTCCACCGTCGTCAGCAGCTGCGACTACCGTCGAGGCCACAGACGGCTGGGTCGAGTAGTACACCGTCTCCATGATCTGCGACAACACGCGGTCCTGGGCCTCCATCCGCTGCACCAATGCATCCGCCTTGCCCTCGAGCATCGCCGCGTTCTCCGCCGACATCTCCTCGACCTTGCGCTCGAACGTCTGCGCGAGCCTTTTGCGCTTCCACGGCTCGACCAAGACGATCGCGAGCACGAATACGAGCATGTTCACGCCCATGACCGCGAGCGAGCCGTACGTCGACGCGCTGCGGATCTTGTCCGACCACGCCTGCTCCTCGTGGTAGCGGTTCAGGATAACGCGCATGAGCTCGCTGAACTCGCGCTCGACCGCGTCCTCCGCCACCGACGCGGCTAGCTTCGCGCGCGTCTCCTCCTGCTCGTGCAGGTGGTCCTTGCGCACGAGCTCTGTGAACCGGATTACGTCCTGGTCCGACCAAGTCGACTTGCGCTGCAGCAGGTCATTCACCTCGCGTTGTGAGGACGCCCGTAGCCGCACGGCGGAGTCGTATGCCTCCTTTGCTTCACGGGCTTCCCGTCGGACGGCCTCGATCCGCCCCTCTATAAGTGCAAACCCATGTCAAGGTGCGGTACAGCATCACTCGTGCGACCTACTCACCCTGTGTCACGACTCGTCTCTTCAGCTCCTCGATCTCCCCATACCCTGTCGCCTTGTTGATCTCCTTCCCCAGCTGAGAGAAGGACCGCGCTACATCCGCAGTGAACTGGTCTATCCGCCGGCGCGCGGCGGTAGCCGTGTGTGTTGTCCACTGCTGCACCCGTTCTCGCACCTCCGCGATGGCATCGACGTTGGACGAGGCTATCTTCTCTTGCTCTCGAGGTTGCGAAGGCCCCGGCTGAGTCTCATCGGATGGTTTGGGAGGTGGCGCCGCATTGGTGATTTTGAGCCTAAGCTGAGCGCGAGCGCGGAATGCATGGTGGATGGGGACGAGTCGGGGAGCAGACAAGCAGGAGGCACAGTGAAATGACGGCCGAAAGAGGGACGTCCTGAGCATGTCCAAGCACAAGGATAGCAATGGAGCTTGGAACGATGAGTGGGCGGCCGCGTCCAGCGGGCTTGTCGGGAATACGGATGCGTACGGCGGCAGCAGCTGCAGCCACTGGCACACTTCGCGATTTGCCTGTGCTACGCGTACCACGTGACTGGTGTATATCGCGTCGTGTTAATCCCCGGGCTCGAGTCGTGCTTTCCTCATTTCCTCATCATTCATACATTCACTTGGATTTTTGGAGTCTCCAAATATCCAGGAAGACTAATCAGGCAGTCACGAAGGACAGCAACAGATGATGCAAAATCGTACTCCGTTACTGACGTCGACCTTCAACATGAAGTCGAGGACCCTGTCTACCATTCAATATTCAGGCTCCAGGATGACCGTTGGATGCACGGGCCAAAAGTCAATAGTTTCGTGGATTCGCATCAATGACAACCATATAAATCACCCTACGTACCTCCCTAGTCGATTACTCTTGCCAAGCTTTACGCAGTTGAACATCCGAATTATCGTGCAGGCAAACCGGTATTCCTCTGGCCAGCACCTTCGGTCACCGGTGGTGCTGAGGCTCTGGCAACTCATAGGAGAGCATCCGACCGTGTATTCCGTGCCAAGGTGCGCTTCTCACTTCGCTGACTACGTGCTTCCCGCTTTCCTGCCATGGCAGCCTTGCGTTCCCTTTCGGGATAGTCGATCAGCTGGACAAGGGCGCTCTATGGAGGCAGTCGGGGTTTAGCTACGGCCTGCGCATGCACCGCCAATGTCAGTGAGATTGCGGTGAGATTTTTGGGCGGTATGAGCTATCCAAAGACGTGTGAAGGCGGCATGAGGAATCAGGATCTGGACACAGAAGATTGGTGAAATCGCAGCAGCTGCACGGTCGAGACTTGACAGCGGCCGCATAGACACCGACCACTGGGTAAGTGCTTATCTTACTCAGACTTGGTGTGTCTCACACTGTGACAGTGCCGGCAGTCGGCGGAGAAATGCAGCGCGCGGGGCGTACTTGGGGCGTACCGTCTCAGTACCGATACGTCGTCGTTGATGACTGCTATGCGGCGAGCCAGTACTTACCCGCGCACCCTATGTACTAAACGGCAACTCGTCATGTTGATGAAGCGTTATTTGCCTGTGACTACGTACCGCGATTTGCATTGCCTGGTGAACAGGGTTCCGAATTGACTGACCCGGCGCGGGCCACAAGGAACGGCAGGGGTCGTAGCGTGACGTAGGGGGACGCCTCAACTCGGCAGACAGCAGCTTGATTGCCTACTAGACACGGTGTCAAGCATATGTCAGACAACCTGTACGTACTGTAAATTGCTTGCTTAGAGATGCAAGTTGCCCTCCAGTCGTCGGGGCATCTGGGTCGCCTGAAGCCAAACCTCGGAAGCATATGCCACCCGAGACTAGAGGCACTGTGCAGGCACGCCTCAGCCTTGCCTTGATGTAGTAAGTAGGCATCGAGAATAACACTTTTTGCCGCCACAACAGTGAGCCGTGCACATATAGCAGCTGACGAACGAGAGACATCGAAGGTGGAGAGTATGCCGCGGGTGATGGGATGACCGTGCAGTCCTCCGAGGAAGCCAACGTGGCTGGCGATTTCGGGGATCTGACGAGGCGCGAATGACAGCGGGGGAGCGCCCGTTGGAGAGGCAGCGTAAATAAAAGTGGTTCCAGGTGCTCGCTCGCGCCTACATCCTTCCCCTACCCTGTCCTACTCTATCTCTCTTTACGGTCCCTAGTCCCCTCAGCCCGGTCGTCGTACCCCGCCATGGCGTCGAACTCGGACATTATCGTCCTCGCCGTCGGCCTGGTCCTCGCCGCAGTCTACCTGTTCCGCGACCAGCTCTTCGCCTCCAAGCCAAAGTCAACGCCCGTTGCGCTCCCCAGGAATGCAAACGCAGGCGGCGGTGACCCGCGTGACTTCGTCACGAAGATGAAGGAGGGGGTGAGTATCGGCTGCACGGTGGGGGCGTTGCAACGTATGTGCGCGCTGCAACCCCGCAGCAGTGACTTTGCATGCCCGTATGTCTCTGTATGCTCACATATCGACGTAGAAAAAACGCATCGTCATCTTCTACGGGTCGCAAACTGGTACTGCGGAGGAATATGCCATTCGTCTTGCAAAGGAGGCTAAGCAGAAGTTCGGTCTCGCATCTCTCGTGTGCGACCCCGAGGAGTACGACTTCGAGAAGCTCGACCAGATCCCGGAGGAATGCTGTGTCTTCTTCGTCATGGCCACCTACGGCGAGGGCGAGCCGACCGACAACGCCGTCACGCTCTGCCAGAACCTCTCGGACGAGTCATTCGAGTTCAGCAACGGCGAGCATAAGCTGCCCGGTCTCAAGTACGTCGTTTTCGGTCTCGGAAACAAGACATACGAGCATTACAACCTCATCGCGAAGAACGTCGACCGGGACTTGCAAAAGATGGGTGCCATCAAGATCGGCGAGCGGGGCGAGGGTGATGACGACAAGAGCATGGAGGAGGACTACTTGGAGTGGAAGGATGGCATGTGGGAGGCGTTTGCCCAGGCGATGAACGTCGAGGAGGGCCAGGGTGGAGACACTCCGGACTTCGCTGTCACGGAGGTGGAGGATCACCCGCCTGAGAAGGTCTACCTCGGTAAGTCTTTCGACATATATACTACCGTCGCCCTGGCTGACTCCGCTTAGGTGAACTGTCTGCCCGTGCCCTGACCCGCTCCAAGGGTATCCATGACGCGAAGAACCCCTACCCGGCTCCCATTACCGTCGCCCGCGAGCTCTTCCAGCAGCCCTCTGACAGGAACTGCGTGCACATGGAGTTCAACTCTGAGGGTTCCGGCATCACGTACCAGCACGGTGACCACGTCGGTGTCTGGCCGTCCAACGCTGAGAACGAGGTCTTCCGGTTGCTCTGCGCGCTCGGTCTGCACGACAAGAAGGACAAGGTCATCAACATTGAGTCGCTCGACCCCGCGCTCGCCAAAGTACCTTTCCCTGTCCCGACCACATACATCACGGTACTCCGCCACTACATTGACGTCAGCGCTGTCGCCGGCCGTCAAATGCTCGGCGTCCTATCCAAGTTCGCGCCCAACCCGGAGGCCGAGGCGTTCCTGAAGACACTGAACACGAACAAGGACGAATACACGAACGTTGTCGCGAATGGCTGCCTGAAGCTTGGCGAGGTTCTGCAGCTCGCTGCGGGTAACGATATTACCGCCGAGCCTTCGCCCGAGAACACCACGTCGTGGTCCATTCCCTTCGACATCGTCGTCTCCAGCACCCCCCGTCTCCAGCCCCGGTACTACTCCATCTCGTCCAGCCCCAAGCTCTACCCGAACTCGATACACATCACCGTCGTCGTCCTCGCGTACGAGTCTGTCGAGAGCGAGAAGGTCAAGTCGCGCTGGATCCACGGTGTTGGCTCCAACTTCCTCCTCAACCTCAAGTTCGCCGTCGGTAACGAGCACGTCTCCTTGATCGCAGAGGACGCGAAGCACAACCCTGCGCTCGCAAAGTTGCCGAAGTATGCGATTGAGGGCCCGAGGAACGCTTACAAGCAGGAGACAATCTTCAAGTCGCCCATCCACATCCGGAGATCCACCTTCAGGCTGCCGACGAACCCGAAGAGCCCTGTGATCATGATCGGTCCTGGTACTGTGAGTCCCTTTTCCCCTCATGAGCGAATGCCATATAAATCGACTCTAGGGTGTGGCGCCATTCCGCGGCTTTGTGCAAGAACGTGTCGCCATGGCTCGTCGTACGATCGAGAAGAACGGTGTCGAGGGTCTCGCCGACTGGGGCAGCATCCGCCTCTACTTCGGCTGCCGCCGCTCGGACCAGGACTTCCTCTACAAGGACGAGTGGCCCGAGTACGCGAAGGAGCTGCACGGCAAGTTCACGATGCGCTGCGCGTTCTCGCGCGAGGTGTACAAGCCCGACGGGGGCAAGATCTACGTGCAGGACCTGCTCTGGGAGGACCGCGACCACGTCGCGGACTCGATCCTCAACGGGAAGGGCTACGTGTACATCTGTGGTGACGCGAAGAGCATGAGCAAGGCCGTCGAGGAGACGCTCTGCAGGATCCTCGGCGAGGCGAAGGGCGGCTCCGCGGAGGTCGAGGGCGCCGCGGAGGTGAAGCTGCTCAAGGAGCGCAGCCGGATGCTTTCGGATGTGTGGAGCTGAGGGGATCCCTTGGATGACGGTCTGTTATTTGCATGTCGTACACCACGCTGCTTTGCATCGCTGTCGCTTTCGACGATCCTTTTACACCGTGTCGTGCACGGTGCCGGCCGTGGCATAGTATGATTTTTGGAGTTTAGATTTATTTATACGTCTTGTGCACTAGACTGGCTGCAGGCCACACATACAATGATCATCTCCTGCAACTCTCATTTCTATCTCGATGCGCCATCTGTCATATGTGTGCATGCTATCCGGGCCTGTGCACCACAATCTCGTCGAGGTTAGAGGAGATCGGGCTCGTAACCCTCGAATACTCCGTGGTCTGCCGAGCTTCCAAAATTTCATTGCAGGTGCTGCTGAACGACTGTTGAATGTGCTGTAAGACCGTCTTCGGAACCGGGACTCGTGTTGACCGCGACGTACGAGCAGTGCACGTAAGCTGCACCAGGGTGCTGAGGCTGCCCTGCGTGATCGAAGCCGCCTGTTCCCTCGCCACTCTCGGGGCGACGATTTTGCATGACGATCCCTCGACGAGTGACTCCTGTCTGGGTGGCCTTGCAACTTCAATTCCATTGTAGCGACAAGCCCATCTGCCCGCATACAGCGAGCAGGCGTTTCTGCAGCTCGTTCACGTCGTCCATGCTCGGACGTTTCGCCGTCGCCGCCGCCCCGCCGCCCATCTGTGCGAGCATATCCTCCAGACTCTCGATGGCGCGTTTTCCCTGGACTTCTTCCGGGACAGGCATCTCCATCTCGTCAGCCTCCTCTAGCCTGCGGTCACCGAGATGCTCCCGTGCGTGACGCACCGCTTCCAGGTCTGGGGGAGCGATGTCGGAGAAGCGGATGCTTCCTAGCTGGGACGTTATGGCGCGAACTTCGTCTACGGACACGGTGTTCTGGGAGGCCGTGACAGAGGTTTGGAGGGAGGAGAGGAGTGCCGTGGCGATGCCTCTGAGAATGCCTAGCTGCCGTCCGATGGGTACGCCGACTTGGGCGAAGCCTTCGTCAAACCCCGCTTGCAGGGCAGATTCTTTGCCTGCGGTGATGCCTTCACGGTATCCAGCCTGTGTGGGGATATTTCTTAAGAACACGACCAAAGAGGTACATATGCGTACATACATTGGTGAATCCGGATGATAGCTTGGCCCACTCTGCGTCCTGTACGGACTGAGGACCTTCTTGCCAGATCTCTTCGTCCTCCATGTGCTCTTAATAGCAGAATCTCTCTGTAGTATTTGAGAGATTTCCAAACCACTTTTATTTTCCAGTGGTGTAAGGATCGCAAGCAAGCGTTGAGAAAGGTCGAGAATGAAAGCTAGCAATTCAGGTTGAAAGCTCCTGTGGCCTCGGATCTCGATCGAGGGATGAGTGATCGATCGAACCAATCTGGATCGACTCGCTCACAGCCGGCCACGTCGATGGCGTCATGTGACGGACGCGACACGTCCGTCGTCGTTGGGCGGCGCGGACTCCGGCGCGCGGCGGTGTAGTCTACTTCTTGCTGTCGTAGCTGACCTCGCCATGTCATTCCTGAGGTATGCCCCACGCGAGTTGCCCTGTCGAGCATAAACGTCTGAGCAGTCGCTAGGCTCGCTATATGTGTTGCAGGCGTGTATTCGATGTTCCTGGTCAGCATCTGCGTTACATTCGAGGGAGACCATACATTGATGTCCATGCATAGCTATGGGCTATAGCTCAGGAACGATGTGAGTGCTCCAACGGATAATCTACTAAGAGCTGAAGCTGACTGCCTTCAGTATCGGTGCCCTTTGACACCATTGACGGCAAGTCCTCAGACAAGTTCAACTCGCCTCTCTTCATGAACACATGCCAGAGTGCCTTCTGCGTGCTCTCCTCATTCATCTACTTGCGCATACGGAGTCCGCGGCATCAGTCCGTCCCAGAGGTTCTAGGGCTCGCGCAAGCCTACCCCGTCAAGCAGGCATCCAATGGCACGGCGAAGGCCAGCGGGCACTCACATCACGCGAAGCCTGACCACCGGTACTCACTGAAGTCACTCCTCTTGCGCTACCTCCAATGCTCAGTCTTCGTGACCTCCGCCGCGCCCTTCGGCTTCGCCGCCCTCTCCTACATCACCTACCCGGCCATGGTGCTCGGCAAGTCCTGCAAACTCGTGCCCGTCATGTTCATGAACGTCCTCCTCTACCGCCGGCGATTCGCACCGTACAAATACGTCGTCGTCGCGATGGTCACGCTCGGAATCACGATGTTTATGGGCTTCGGCGCGGAGAAGCCGGGCAAGTCCAAGCACGGTTCAGGCGCGGACGTGGGCAGCCTCCCGATGAGCAAGCAGCTCATCGGCATCGGGTACCTGCTGATCAATCTCGCCATCGACGGCGCGACGAACTCGACGCAGGACGAGATCTTCGCGCGGTACAAGGTGTCTGGGCAGCAGATGATGTTCTGGATCAACCTGATATGTACGCTCCTCACGTCGCTCATGTGTGTGCTGCCGCTGCCATACATCCCGGTGCTGCATCCCGGAGAGAGTGGGACGACCGAGCTGCATGGCGCGTTGGATTTCATCAGGACGCACACGGAGATCGTCAAGGCTTTGCTGCAGTACTCGTTGACCGGGTCGCTAGGGCAGCTGTTCATCTTCGAGACCCTGCAGCATTTCGGCTCACTAACCCTTGTGTACGTGTTCGCTCTTGCTTCTGAATGCATCAAAGCTCACGGCGCGTATAGCACTGTCACTCTTACTCGGAAGATGTTCACCATGCTGCTATCGGTCGTTCTCTACAACCACAAGCTCACGCCGGGCCAGTGGTTAGGCACTTCCGTCGTGTTCGCCGGGATATCCGTAGAAGCCTGGGTAAAGCGGAAAGGTCCGTCAACGCCTTCATGCGTCTTTGGTATCCCACTGACCATTCAACACAGACGTACACGCAAAACGAGTCCTCCAGGAAAAGGAGAAGGCCAAAATCAAAAGCCTGTAACTCGTTCCGGGTGTCAACTCGGATGGTCGTTAGCATTCATCAAAGGATATACAACAGGATGGGCAGCAAACGGACAATATCACACACAACGTAGCATTACAACCAAGGAACTAGGTAAATTATTGATCATCTTGCCCTAGAGTGGTTTCTGCGCAGTCCGACAGAAAAAGAAAGGATGTATATCACGTCTGCATGGCATCATCCTGGTCGACGAAAGCTCGCTTGCGCTCTTCATCCCTGGGGGTGGCGTGGGGGGATGAGTGGTCTAAAATCTGGGCAGCCAGTGGGCATCCGCGGACGTACCTCTCATCGCCATCTTCGTCATCTTCGACAGCGCGCTTACGCCGCGCGGCTGCGGCCTGGTATTGCGGAAACGAGGCCACCGCGTTGCGTGCCTTGTAGATGGACTCATATTCCTGTGCCGCGGCAGTCAACATCTGATTCCCCTATAGGCGATGCCAGGACGCACCTTGAGCTGGGTTAGGAAGCCGCCGTTTGGAGAGATGCAGTATCGCCTATTCTGCACGAGATGGAGGGCGTCCTCCCAGGACAGGTTGTGATGCTGCATGACGTACATCACGACGAAGGCAGGCGAGAGGCTGATGCCCCCTATACCACCAATCAGTATCCCGTGTGCTCCCTGCCAGGATGGCTGGGACCACATACCGTTGCAATGTACAAGCACTCTTCCACCGGCTGCGACGGCCTCGTCGATGAATTGCTTCGCTCTACGTGCTACACGCGTCAGTGGCGGATCGCACAGCACGGATGTGACACGCACTGAGGGAATAGCCGGATGAGGTTCTGCTCCTCACTGTCCTGCACGTCGAGCACCATGTAGCGGAAGTGTTCCGGAAAACGGGGCCGGACGGAGAACGCCTCTTTCGCATCGCGGATGCACACACTGGCGAGGAGTGCTTGAGCATGGTAGCCGTGGCGCGCGATCGCGCGCACTTACATGTGGGTTACGCCGAGCTCTTGGAGAATCGGCAGCGATTTCGAGGCTTGGAGAGGCCCGAGGAGCAAGCCTGGTAGGATCTCTTGACATTGTCTGCGCATCTCATAGCTGGCCCGTAGAGATACAGTGAGCGGGCGGAGGTGGATGGGACATTGTGGCCCACTACTTACGACCACTCCACGTCGCCCGGGCCTTGTATCATGTCACGAATCTGCTCGTCCGTCATCTGCGGCGGCAAGGTCGCCATGGCGGGTGTGGTATGGCGAGAGGCAGCGCTGTTCTATGGTGAGTGCGGGAGGGGTGAACGTGGTAGGAGGGAGAGGGGGCGAACACTGACAGGACGCGACCGTGACTGAGATCACGGCAGCGCGTATTCGTGCCCACTTTGGGTCCGGACGCGTCTCGTGTGGCTCTACCGCTCGTGACGCTCCCCGCATCCATTGTCCTCCCCGTCACGCCTCCCAGCCTGCGCACTGAGACAAATATCGTCCGGAGTCCGTCGCGATCTAATCCTATGGCAGACGACGAAGAGATACCGTGAGCAGTTTCGATTTCATGTGCTCTGCGAGAACGCGAGATGACCGGAAAACGTGCCCCTGGCAGAACTCTGATCGAACATGGCACGGTGGACGAAAGCGAGCCGATTGAACAGCCTCGGACCGTGCCTCTGACCATCATATGCGGCTTTCTTGGAGCGGGTAAATCCACGCTAGTGAAGTACGTCCCGGCCCAGCGGAGACCATCCATTTTGTTTACTGAAGTGGTTGGCTTCGCAGACGAATCCTTACCGAGCGACATGGCTACCGGATAGCAGTCATCATGAACGAGTTCGGAGATACTGCTGTAAGACGCGGAAGGCATCATACATATCGAACACGCCCGATGCTAACGCGTAATGGAAACAGGACATCGAAGGTTCGCTGGGACTCACGACGGAATGGGCCTATGCTCATGCGCACGATTGAGCAGCAAAAACCATCAATGTCTCGTCTCCGGATGACCCGGTTCAGCAATCCGAGGAGTTCCTCGAGCTCGCGAATGGATGCCTTTGCTGTAGCATCAAAGACACTGGCGTCGCTGCGATCGAGAGGCTCATGCAGAAGAAGGGCGCGTTCGATCACATTCTTCTCGAGACTACTGGACTCGCAGATCCCGGTGAGTACGCTTCCTCCACTAGTTGGTTGTTTGGAGAGTGACGCCTTCCGCAGGTCCCATCGCGTCCATGTTTTGGCAAAACGAAGAGTTCGCAATGGGCCTGGGGAGAGATATTCACCTGGACGGTGTGGTATGCGTCGTCGATGCTGTCTTTGGCCGACAGGTACGCCATCCGTGTCATTATATGCGCCTCCATTTGATGAGACAAAACATAGCAAATGGAAGAAGATCATTCGGACGAGGGCATCGGCGAAAGCCTCAGGTTAGGTCTGCCAATATATAAACCGAGGGCCTGCCCTAGCTAACCGACATGGCACAGGCAGATCGCAGGATCAGATGTAATCCTACTAAACAAGGTTGACTTGGTGCCTGAGGCTCAAGTCGAGAGCACGGAGGGTATCATCCGGAGCATCAACCCCGCAGCCTCGATATACCGGACTGTTAGAGGACAGATTGACCTCAAGTACATCATGGGCATCGACGCTTACACCACACGCCCCCTCATTCAGGGTGCTACACACCCATCTCGTCTAACGCACGAGGACCATGATCATAGCCACGACCATAACGATCATGACCATTCGCATCCTCCGACCCACTACGAACTGCGCGGTATATCCAGCCTGCAGGTCGATTGTCCAACTCTCAACCCTTCCCAATACCAGAAGCTGGACGAGTGGATACGTAGCGTGCTGTGGGAACGTCAGGTTCCTGGCGAACCTTCAGCGGACGGAGCGTCGGGCCTGATGGTTCTCCGATGCAAAGGGATGTTCAAGACGACGGCCGGCGGGACATACGTTCTGCAGGGCGTGCGGAATCTGTATGATATCATGCAGGTGAATGAGGGGGAAGAGGCGGATACGGGCGTGCCGGACATGGGCAAGGTTGTGCTTATAGGCAAGGGCTTGAACGAACAAGTACGGCGAAGTCTGCAAGGAGTCCTTCGCGGATATTAATAAAGAGGAAGACAAAAAATTATCCTAGCGAGTGTATACTGTAAGCACATGGATAGATCACTGCTACCGGGCGTAGTGTGAGGTTAGATCTAGTTCCGACTCCCGAGGAGATCATGGGAGCTACGCTGCTACCTGAGCTTTTGAAAATCGAAACTCGAGGATCGCACAAGCGCTCGTGGCGGGGCGTAAGTCCGTAAACCCCGTCCGATCGTTTGCTCACCTTTCCGAGTCCGGCACATTCTGCCTCTCGGTACCGATTTCACTGCCCGCGGTTTCGACGAGATACCGAATTCCCTTGGACCCCCAGACTGACTCCTCTGAGCGTCGCCTTGACTCTACAATCTCTCCGATAAAACGCAGGCGCGTACACTGGTCGCATACTAGTACACCGAGCTACCACTCCTCACTCAACTCCTTCACGAATCGACATGGCTTTGACCCCAGAGGCAATCGACGTTCGGAACGTCACAACTATTGGACATGTTGACCACGGCAAGACAACGATGATGGATGCCCTGCTAGCGGCAAACAACGTTATCTCCACGAGAATGGCAGGGAAGATCAGATACTTGGACAGCCGACTTGACGAACAGGAGAGGGGGATCACGATGGAGAGCAGCGCGGTCTCTCTGAGATTCAAGGTGATGGAACGGAATGAGGCTGGAGGTATGTGTGCGCTGTACGGTGATTGCGCAGCTTGTGATCAACTGCACTAGAAAGCTTTCCGAAGACATACGCTGTGAACATGATTGACACACCCGGACACGTCGACTTCTCCAGCGAAGTGTCTACGGCGTCGCGTCTGTGCGATGGCGCGCTCGTCCTGGTCGACGTAGTGGAAGGCGTCTGCACACAGGTGACTACATTCTTGTCGTTTGACCGCTTGAGGATTGCCTTTGAACGCGTTCACCAGACCATCACAGTCCTGCGGCAGGCATGGCAAGACCGTCTGCGACCCGTCCTGGTCATCAACAAGTTTGACCGCCTCATCACCGAGCTCAAGCTATCGCCCCTCGAGGCCTACCAACACCTCTCGCAGCTCATCGAACAGGTGAACGCTGTCATGGGCAGCTTCTTCGCAAGTGAGCGGATGGAAGACGATCTCCGGTGGAGAGAAGAGCGTGAACGGCGACTCAAGGAGAAGAAAGAGTCGCACGCGGAAGAGGTGGATGCGGCAATAAACGAAGCGGACGATTTCCAGGAGAGGGACGACGAGGACATCTACTTCGCGCCGGAGAAGGGGAACGTCATCTTTGCCTCAGCTATTGCCGGCTGGGGCTTCCGGATAGGCAAATTCGCTCACCTATACGCAGTGAAACTCGGGATCAAGGAGGCCAAGCTGCGGACAGTGCTCTGGGGAGACTTCTATCTGGATCCCAAGACGAAGCGGGTCATCAGTCACAAGCACTTGCGCGGTCGCGCGCTGAAGCCGTTGTTCGTCCAGTTCATCCTCGATAATATTTGGGCGGTGTATGACGCTGTACTTATCAACCCGTATGTGACAATGCAATTCAGTATACAACTCATGGTTCTGAGACGCGAGTCGTAGAAACCCAGAGAAGGTGACGAAGATTGTGTCAACGCTCAACCTCAAGATCCCGCCGCGCGAGCTGAACTCGAAAGATTCGAAGCAGCTCCTGACGCTCATCTGCGCACAGTGGCTGTCACTCTCTTCATGTGTCATCCAGGCCATCGTCGACGTCGTCCCACCGCCGTCCGTCGCCCAAAGCACCCGTATCCCGAAGATGCTCTATCCAGATCTGTACGAATCGACCATCGCGCCGAAGAACAAGATTGAAGAGAACCTTTACTCGTGTAACGCGAGTCCTGACGCGTGTGTGGTTGCGCTAGTGAGCAAGATGTTCGCGATACCCGCAAAGGAACTTCCCGGGAACAAGAAGAAACCGCTAACCGCAGAGGATATGCGCGCCAGAGCGAGAGCAGCGAGGGAGGCACGTGCAGCACAGGCTGCAGCGATGGACGGAGACACGGCACCAACCGAGACATCGTCCACGCCTCTCGAAACGGCTCTGGAAGAGATGGCGGTGGATGACAAAGAACCAAACGGGACGGGCGAGCCTGTCGAGGCGGATGAGACGCTTCTTGGATTCGCGCGCATTTACTCAGGCACGATCCGCACGGGCACAACGATCTGCTGCATCTTGCCGAAGTATGACAGCGCGCTGGAGCCGACGCATCCAAGGAACGCAACGCATGTGGCCACTACGAAAGTGGAGGCGCTGTACGTGATGATGGGCAGGGAGCTCGTGCCTGTCGATCATGTCCAGGCGGGCAATGTCTTCGCCGTGCAGGGTTTGGAAGGTAAGGTGTGGCGGAGCGCGACGCTGTGTGCGCCGGGCGAACAGGGTCTGTCGGAGGGTGCGGACCTTGGTCAAGTGAAGGATTGCCTGCTCAATCTGGGAGGTGTCATTCGCTACGTAAGTTGCCTTGCTCGTCGCCCTGACATTCCGTATTGACTTCCGTCATAGGCAGCACCGATCGTCCGGGTCGCACTTGAACCAGAGGTTCCTGCAGACATGCCTAAGCTGATACGGGGCATGAAGCTGCTCAGCCAAGCAGACCCTTGCGTCGAGACGTTTCAGCAACAGACTGGAGAGCATGTCATCTTGACTGCGGGTGAACTTCACCTCGAGGTGGGCAGTCCGGCGGCTCCAAACGCGCAACGATAAACCTGACGGAGTGATGTAGAGGTGTCTCAGAGATCTACGAGAACGATTCGCGAAGGTCGCAATCAATCCTTCCAAGCCTATCGTACCCTTCAGAGAGACGGCTGTCAAAGCACCTGGTAAACGACTTCTTACATCACACTTGTCCTCGTTCTCATTGCATAGTCAGACATGGCACCGCCGAAAACACCTGGAGCCAAGCGAGGTACAATACAGGGAACAATCACCAATAATTTAGTCAAGTTCACTATTCGCGCCGCGCCGGTCCCAACGCAAATAGTAGAATTTCTCCAAGACAACCTCGCCACGCTCAAGCACATGGAAGTCGAACAGGGTTCAGAGCGCGGTAATATGAACGGGGCAGGGGAAGATGAAGATCATGATGCCCAGAGTGAGGTTATCAAGAAACCGAGCATCAAGCCGGAGGAGTTCTGGAAAGAATTACAGCAGACGTGTGAAAAGGTTGGTGGGGAATGGGGAGACGTGGTGGACAAGATCTGGGCATTTGGTCCGCACAGAGTGGGCAGGTGCATGCTCATCGACACGCGCTCGGTTGGACAACCCAATTCGTAAGTAGATTCTTTGATTCCACTGCCAATCAATGGAGCTGAAGTCCCCGTACAGTTTGAAGCGGCGACAAGAACGCGGGAAGGTCAATGACACCAACAGAGACAGAGATCCGCTCCTGCGTGACTTCGACAATCACCTGGAGGCCGGGTTCCAGCTAGCCACATTCCAAGGGCCCCTGTGTGCTGAGCCGGTGGAAGGCCTGGCTTACCTTGTGGAATCGGTGGAAGTCGATCGCGAAGGCATCGAACAAGAAAGGCGTAAGCACCAGCAATCATCTATGCGATGCATCGGTGTTGACTATGTCGTCACAGAACATAATCGCATGGCACAGGTCACCGGCGCATTCATAACGTCCGTGAGAGAGGCGTGTCGGAATGGTCTCCTAGACTGGTCTCCCAGGCTCATGCTCGCCATGTATACTTGTGACATACAAGCTTCGAGTATGTCCCTGCTCATAGTCGTGCTTGTCTGTACTGACTGTAAGCCAATCAGCGGATGTCCTGGGTAAGGTATATGGAGTCGTCGCCAAACGCCGAGGCCGGATCGTCTCCGAAGAAATGAAAGAAGGAACGGAATTCTTCACTGTCCGCGCTCTATTGCCGGTGGTCGAAAGTTTCGGTTTCGCCGACGGTAAGCCTAGTCAGCACGGCAACATAGTGAAGCTTTTGATGTACCTTTCGTCACAGACATCCGGAAACGGACCTCGGGGGCGGCAAGTCCGCAGCTCATCTTCAGCGGGTAAGTCGGAAACGTCCTTTCGCCACCTGCACCACTCATCATGGGTCTTTCAAGGTATGAGATGCTGGACTTGGATCCTTTCTGGGTCCCGACGACTGAGGAAGAGCTGGAAGATTTGGGAGAGAAGGCCGATCGGTCAAACATCGCGAAAGCATACATGGACTCCGTCCGGGATAGAAAGGGCATGTTTGTGGATAGGAAGATTGTCGAACATGCAGAGAAACAAAGGACCCTCAAGCGGTGAGCAACTGGCAATTGAGATGAACAGAGAGAAAGGACTGCGCACTTGTATCGCATATGTCCGAGCTGTATTGCATACGTACTCAGCCATTGTAACCTACAGCATCCCCGCCAAAACCATGTAGCATGTCTGCGTCGTCATAATATGGAATAAGCTCTATACGAAAGCACTTGTACGTTCGACCGTCCGAGTCAGGACATGATGATCCCAATCGCGGTCTCAAATTGTAAGTATTACAAGGCCTTCCGGATTGGCGAAGTCTGGCAGTGTGTCTTACACCAAGCCATAATCATCAGCAAATATTATGTGGCCACACTGCACGCTTCTGCGGTGATCCCTGGTGCGGATTCTGAGTTGTGGCGGAAATTCAAAGAGGGACCATCATTCGCGGGACTCGAGCCGACCGAGGAGGAGGGCACCGGGCACGTGGTCGCCGCACGGCGCAGGATCTCTGGAGACCACTTGCGGAATCCGCATCTATCAGGAGAGCTGCACTCGCGCTTACTCTGTGACGCTGCTCAGCCTCGCCCTGCCCTACTCGCCGCCGCCGCTCTCACTGGGTCAGCATGGCCACCGCTGCAGCCTACGGTGCCCAGCTTGGCATGAGCCCCTCGACAAGCTATGGCTCCCAGCATGACATGCAGCAACTCGCGGGCGAGGACCAGCAGGAGGAAATGACTACCTTCTGGTGTCGTGCTCTCTATGACTACCAGAAGTCCGATGCATCATCTCTCTCGTTCCAGAAGAACGACATTATCGAGGTCCTGAGCAAACTGGAGTCAGGATGGTGGGACGGTCTACTAGGCGAGGAGCGGGGTTGGTTCCCTTCCAACTATGTGACGGTTATCTCGGAGGAAGAGGCAGAGATGTCCCTCACTGGGACAGACATGTCTGCGTCCCAGCAGCCATCTCTCGCCGATGACTCTATGGTGGACATGGCTCACAGCATGTCCAGGAGTCTATCTCAGGACGACGATTGGCTCAATGCCGAGATGGAGTATTCCAACCCCGTCCAGACTCCAGCACCTCAAAGGAATGGCGTGAATGGGAGGACCATCCAACATAACGACTTTTGGGTACCCCAGGTATCGCAGGATGGCAGGGTACGTGTGATCAGATACACCCGCTCCGTCTACTGACGCTCCATGCATGCAGATATTCTACGTGAACACACAAACAGGGCAGCAGTCGAGAGACCTTCCTCAGGAGGTCGAGTATGACCCCGACGCAGACATGGCTGCGCTGGGCCCCCAGACGTCCTCCCGAGCAGGAACCAGTGCTGGGCTTGGCTTGGCTTCGGCAGACGTACAAGACAATGGGTATGGCGCTGCCGCCGGGTTTGGTGTTCCGAGGCGGTCGCGTACACCGGAGCCGTGGATGAGGCGGCTAGCCGACGACGGTCTCTCGTACTACTACGTGAACAAGCTCAACGGGGAGGTTTCCTGGACACCTCCGGAATCCACCCCGGTGCGGGAGCTCCCGAGGACACAGGGACCATCGCGAGAAGGAGGCTTTGGTAGCCGCGAGGTGGCGCCGACTACGGGTCGTCTACGCTCAGGTTCATCTGTGTCTGCAACGAGGGAGCGTAGTGGCAGCCTCTCTGATAGGCTCAGCATCAGCTCCGAGGATTCGGACATTTTCCCCACTCGACGAGATCGTTCAGGATCGACACTAAGAGATGTGGGGGCGAATGGTGCCCGCCAGCCTCAGCCGCATGCCCAACAGATCTTCCTTACACCTCCAGAACATTTGGCCAAGAGGCTGCAGCACGCACTCGTTCCCCCAGCCCCGGAGTCACCTATGGATTTGTCAAGTCAAGTGCGGGAAGCGATAGCGGCAATTGTGGAGCATCTGCAGACCGTTGCGCCTCGCCACTCGGAGCAATTCGAGGAGGTCGATCAACGTGTACTGGAAGTGGTATCAACGGTGCGGAATCTACTGTATGTCACGGCTACCCCATCCGGTCACATTCCCAGCAACCTTTATCCCCGCGACGGCCAGGATCCACGACCGTCATCCACCGGTCAGTCTCTTCAGGCGCATCTCAAAGCAGCACAAAGGAAAGTGGCTGGCACCCTTTCCAAACTCGTTCTGTCGGCTTTGGCCATGCAGTACGACCCCGGTCTGCAAAACGGCGACAAGCCGAACAGGTTGGAGTCGGACATCACGGAGCTCGAGCGTGCTGTCGTGGCTTTTGTCACGGACATGCACAACTTCCAGGAGCAGAACGCACGGGGGCAGCCGTTGCCGACGAAGCGTTTGTTCGGTGTGTTCTCCACTGCGAGCATAGGCTTGGGTTTGCCGGGGGCTGGTGTCGGTGCGACATGGAAGGGCTTCGGATACGTCGCCATGGATGCGACTGGCCAGCCGCCCATGCAGGTTCTGTCCGCCAATCAGGTCTCCGACATGAAGACGGCGGTAAAGAGCCTTTCGGAAGCGTTGGGTGGGGTAACGATGCTTCTGAAGCGTCCAGACCTGCCTATTGGTACGTCAATAGGTTTATTTGCGCGGTATTACGGCTGATCGGGCGTTAGAGCACGTACGCTTCGAGACTCAGAATGCCATTGCACAATTATATTCCACGCTGGAATTGGTCAACAACATCGATATCGCGCGCCACGTCGACGTCGACGGTGTCAGCGTATCTAATGCGCAATACCCGCCGCGCGGGCCCTACGCAGAGATGGTGGAGAACGCTCGCTTACTCATGCGAACGCTAGAGGCTTCCGTGCAGTCGCTATTCGATGATGGAGCCACCCTGTTCATCGCTGTCCAGAGTCTCGGACAGACTTACTCTAGCGAGGAAGACTATGCGATCCGGGACTACATCGACGCGTTGCTGGTCGCGATCGTCGCGAATGCTAATGTGTCTGTGCAGAGTCTGGAGTCCCTGCTCGTCGTAGGCTACGACCAGGCGAACTCGAGTCAGCATGACTACCGCAGCTCGATCGACTGGCGGTTGTCTCGCCCGCCGGACGTGTTGGATCCTGAGGCACCGCTCGACTTCGAGGCTGCGTTGAGCCGGCCGGCTCCGAGAACCCTGCCCTCCGAGCCGATCATGAGCACGTTCGACATGGGCGGCCGTATGCGCTCGGACAGTTCGGTGGAGGCGCCGCCTTGGTCCAGCCAACAGTCCGTATCGGCGACGGAGGAAACGCTTGTCGCTCCTTCGCCTGAGCCTTCGGAGATTGAGGAGGACGAGGTTGACGGTGCGTATAGCGGCCTCTGTTGACGAATTGATGCTCATGAGTTCGTTCAGTGCAATTGCCCAAGTCGCCGCCTCGCGGGAAGCCTGGTGCATCCAAGATCAAGAAGTTCTTCGGAGACGATGCACCGTCTCACATCATTGAGAAGATTAACGCCGATTCTAAGCCGTGGTATTTGCGTCCAAACTACGACAAGACAGAGATCATGATGGAGCCGGACGGCTCCGTCAGGGCTGGTACCCCTGCGGCCCTAGTAGAGCGCCTGACTGCACACGAACAAGGAGGTGAGCGCAACCTGCAAGATGAAACATTCCACATATTCTCACTGTATCGTCCTAGACACCGCGTTCAACCAGAACTTCCTGCTGACGTTCAAGTCGTTCATGACTGTCGATGACCTCTTCGATCTTCTCGTGAAGCGGTTCTACATTCAGGCTCCTCCCAACCTCTCACCGGCTGAGTTCGAGGAATGGTCCAAGCTCAAGCAAAGTATCATTCGGTTGCGGTACGTGATACGTGCCATCTTCCTTCGCGATATGAATAGCTGAGACGCTCCGTAGTGTCTTGAACATTTTCAAGACAATGGTCACAGATGACGGTATCCTGGAGAAGAGCGACTTGTACATCTTGGGTCGTTTGAAGGAGTTCGCGTCCAACGAGGATGTCGTCAACGTCGCCGCTGCCAAGCAATTACTCATTTTGATCGAGCGAAGTGTAAGGTGGATCTACCTTTCCACGCTGTTACTCTGCTCATGTACATCACAGCAAAAAGGAGGCGATGCGCCGATCAAGGTCACCCCAGTCCCCATTGCTTCGCCAGCACCTCTATATCCCCGGAATAATCGGAAGATCAAGTTGCTCGACATCGATCCTATTGAGATTGCAAGACAACTCACTCTCATGGAGTTTGCGATGTACAAGAAGATTAGGCCAATGGAATGCTTACTACGGTCAAAGGAGTCGAAACCGGGCAAGCACAACGACAATTTCTCGCAGATCATCCAGCTCAGTAATCGGGTAAGGCAAAAGCTTCAGACTGCTGTCTTGTTGGTTGACGATTACGACAGATTGCAAATTGGGTTGCAGAGTCTGTGCTGGATCGAGAAGACTCTAAGAAGCGTGCATTGATTGTCAAGCATTTCATTACCGTCGCTGACGTGAGTCGACCGTTTTCTAAACGTATCCTATCGCTGATGACCGTGACCATAGCGTTGTCGTACTCTGCAAAACTTTTCGACTATGACGGCCATCGTCTCGGGCTTGGCTACCCCACCGATTCGACGGTTGAAGCGAACCTGGGAGCAGGTCAATGCGCGTGCTATGAATCAGCTACGGGACTGCGAGTCGACCATCGACACGGCAAAGAACTTCACCAACTACCGTCAGACACTGGCGCGGATCACACCACCTTGTGTACCCTTCATTGGTGGGTTTCTGATTTCCATTGTCGCTAAACGCGCCCTACTCATGTCGCTTGTCAGGTGTCTACCTCACGACGCTAACTTTCATCAACGACGGTGCTGGTGACAAGCTCGGAGACAACATGATCAACTTCCGCAAGCGGCAGAAAGCGGCAGAGGTCATACAGGACATCAAGCGATGGCAATCCAAACCATATAACTTCCAGACTGTCGCATCTATTCTACTTTACCTCGAAGAATGCTTCAACAAGTACGCCGACGGTTTCGACTACGCCGATCAGTTCTGGAACCTCAGTCTCGAGCGCGAACCTCGAGAGCGGGAGGACGAGAAGATGGCTAGGCTGCTGCAGGAAAGTGGCTTCCTATAGTTGTGCTTCGTGCTATTGGACATTTGGTGCTCTTGATTGGTCTGTGCGCATTGCTTGTAACGTTATATCTCTCATACTTGACTTATTCCTGCTGTATGATAGTTATACCTGCTGTGGATATATGGATAGCATTGGATTTATGTATTGTACTCCATACCATGCCATAATGCTCAAATCCACAATTGCTATGTACACGTTCTCCAGGATCGCGGGTCGAAGCCCTCTGTGCTCAGTCCATCGCGTGCGTGGGAAGATGGGGCGCGTCTGTGGCGTGTCGTCGCGGCGCGCCTATAAGCGATAGCTTGACCACGATCCTCCATCTCGACTCAGTCACAACGCAAAGATGGAGGAGGAGACGTCCTTCTTCGACAAGGAGCGAGATCGACTGACAAGTGAGATCACAAGCGTAGGTTGCGACGTGGCCACCCATGAACGCGCCTCACCGGTTGCATCTGCTTTGTCTAGGGTTTTGAGGAGTTGCTGTCGTCGAGCAACAATCTCAATCGCAAACTCGAGGAGGTCCTGGGCATGACCAGAGAGTATGAAACGATCGCAGCGCTCTGGCAAAGTTTCCAGGATTTAATGCGCGGTCAGCAAGACGAGGCCGACGAATCGACCAGCGAGCCACAGGGAATGCCGGGAACAGGAGGTCATGTTGTGTCAGTCAAACAGGGGAGTACAGGACCAGGCCAGCATGATGTATGACATGAATGCTACATATTGGTCCGGATATATGGGCGACGGCGCTACTGGGTTGTTGACATGCACACAACAGGTATCCAATACAGAGTGACGAGTGAGGGATGCAGCAATGCGAAACGAAATAATTATGACAAGAATACGTGAACTATCACATGTCCGCCCAGCTCGCAACCTACGAACGATGCTGATGAGCGATCGCGCCAGCTGTTGAACAAGTGGACGTACCCAAGAGAAGCCCTGGAACTCGGCTTGGTCGCGGGTGGACAACTGCGTATGCACAGGTGTCAGCGTGGGCTGTTCACGAGTGAACTCTTCGTCGAAGTTGCTGGTGTCAGCGGTGCCATTCTGTGATTCATGTGAGTGATGCGTCGCGGACTGACGATGGACGACGACGTACAATCGTGGGGAAGTAAGGAGGAGGGATGCGCTTGTTGAGGACATCGTCGAAGCTGACGTCCTTGAAGAACGGATGTCTCTTGATATCTTCGGCATCAGCCTTGCCAGACCCGAGCCGCCGAGTCGGGTCGCGAGTCAAGAGCTACAGCAACGACGTCAAATGATTATGCGTGACCTTCAGGAGCATAGTTGCCGCACCTTCTGCAGGACTGACACAGCATCCCTGGGCATCGTGATGGGATACAGCGGCTCGTCCTCAAGAATAGCATCGAAGATTTCATCTTCGTCATCACCACGGAATGGCGACTGCCCCAGAAGCATTTCGTACATCAGGACACCGAAGGCCCACCAATCCACAGCGCGGCCGTAACGTTGTTCGAGCAAAATCTATACGACAATGCCCCCGTCTTAGTAGATCGTGATGCAGAAGGCGCATGAAATACCAACCTCGGGAGCCATGAACTCGGGAGTACCGCAGAATGTGCTAGTGGTAGATCCGTGCCACATTTCTTCCTTGCAGAGACCGTAATCCGCGACTTTGACATGGCCTTCGACTGTCAAAAGGATGTTGTCCAGCTTCAGGTCACTGTCTAGACGTCAGCAACAGATTAGCGACTATTGATTCTGAGACGCACCGGTAGATAATCCCGTTGGCGTGGAAGTACTCGAGGGCGAGAAGCACCTCGGATGCGTAGAACTTCGCTTGACGAAGAGAGAACTGCTTGCGCTGGATATGCAACATAAGATCACCACCGCTCACGTACTCCATGACGAAGTAGACACGGGTCTCAGTCTGGAAGCAGGAGTGCAGGCCAAGGAGGAAGGGGTGACGTTCTTTGGCCGCGGCGAGGAAGACACGCTTCTCGGAACGAGTGCTAGGGGAGAGCGTCCATGTCAGCGACTACGCCGTGTCCGAAGATGATCGTGCTACCTTTCGACTTCGTCGTTATCAATGATGAACTCCTTCTTGAGGACCTTGATGGCATACAGGCTACTCGTCTTCTTCTCCTCCGCCAACATGACCTTACCGAAGTTACCCTTACCCAGAACGGCAAGGAAGTTGAAGTCGTCGAGGCCGACCTTACGCTTGCGCGCAGCCGGTTTCTGGAGTTGCTGCGCCGGTGGCTGTTGCATCTGCTGTGCTGACGCGAGCGACGACTGTCGCTCCGGTGGACGAACGTACGCACCCGCCTGCGGGGGAGGAACAACCTGCTGCTGGGGAGTCGTCTGTAGGGATGTGAGTATTTAACAACCCCGCAGTCGTGTGACGCTCGCTACGTACCTGATAACCATATGTCTCTTGTTGTTCGTATGCGGCGGGCGCAGAGCGCTGCGATATTGGTTCTGTCGGGAAGGCCGGCCGGAGCGGGCTGCGTCCCCCGGGAGGCACTTGCGGTTGTTGCCCGGCATACGCTGCCTGAGCGGCTTGTGGGAGAAGCGTTTCTGGGGGCGGGGTCTGCGTCTGCGGACGCGTATATATCGCGTCCTTCTGAGGAAGCGGGGGCTCTGTCATCTTCATATGTTCCAACTCGGTGGACAGCGATTCCATTGACGTTTCTGGAGGCGGCAATTGCAGTCGGGGCGACGGCTGCTGAGAGAACTGCGCGGGTTGTCGTGACTGTGTCGTTGTCCGTCCTCCGCGAGATTGGTTGATGATGCGCCATTGCCGCAAGAGCTGGTTGGCCGTTTCCATCGACATACCACAGAAATCGGGAACGAGGTGCGCGCAATTGGCGTGACAGGTGATGTCGCACTCTGTGCATTTACGAGCGTTCTTGCGACCAAGGGGAAGCATATACCCGCAATGACAGCACCAGTTCGCACCGATATTGGTGATAGGTTCGAACCGATGCGGGATACGATGGTTGATTTTCTCCGCATCGTCCTCCTATACATCACCTCGTTAGACATCCCCCATTGTGGTAGTCGTGCTATCGTACTCACTCCATTGTTGGACTTCGATATACACTTTGTCACGACCTTCTCGTAACACTTCTTGTGACAAGTGTACCGACAGTCCTCACACTGGTATCCCACGGCGTTCAGCAGGAATTCGTTGCAGAAAGCACATAGGATGATTTGGTAGAACTGGCGCTGGATGAACTTGTGACCGTTCATCTCGTGCACTTCGTCCTTGCGCTTGCGAACGGCGGCCTGACGAGCGAGACCACCTGGTGCGTCGAGGGGACGCTTGCGCAAGTTCTCCTTGGCTGTAGTGCGATAAGCATCGTCTGCGATGTCAACTGGATCTTACTCACCGAAGTTGAGACGCATCGCGAGAGCACCAGCAGGCTCCACTGCGAACCAAGCATCTATACCCTCTGACTGTCCCATCGACGGCATAGAAGACGACGGAGGAACCACACGGTTGTCGTAGCCCACCGGCGCGTCCATACCGCCTGGATATCCTGGAGCACCGGGCGCACTGTCACCGTTCATAGCACCAGCAGTGACCCAGCCACCCTGGCCGCTATCCATCAACACCTTCTGCTTGCGCTGCGCGTCGACGAGATCGTTGATCTTCACCCAGAGAAGACCCGTCGGAATGGGATACTGATCGCTCGGGGACTTCTCATAGACCGTGATTTCAACTTCATTAGCCTTGTCAATGACGATTTCAATCTCGTCCATCCACCGATCTGTCTTGGTCGGATGAGAGCGCGCACGTTCTTGGCCTTCAACCTTGAAAGAAACGAACGTCTCGCTCTGCTTGGAAGAGCGATACCTCGGGGCGTGCTCCAACTCCCGCGCACCCTTCAGTGTGATGTAAAGCTTCCCGGATAAATTCTTCGAGCGAAGATCCTTGCGTTCGGCCTCGCCTCCAGGGCCGCCTACGCCGGGTGCGCCTTTGATAGCGCGTCAAAGGGATGTTTATCGCAACTACAAAACGACATACCGGCATCCTCGTCCTCTTCGGCATCATCCAAGATATGAAGGGTCTTATACCGCTTCAAAGCCGTCTGCAGGAGGTGGATCTTCCGCTCACTCTCTATTTTCTTCGCCTCGGCATCTTGTTTTGACCTTCGGTCGCCATCAGCCTGGAAGAGCTTCGCCATCTTATCAATGCCCTTCTTAAGCTGAATTTCTACTTGGAGCTTGAACTCCAGTTCATGGAGCATGCGCGAGATCTTCGCAGTAGTATGCGGCGTGTCCGCCTTGATCAGATCGAAGTTCGTGTACGTCTTGGACTTCGGTGCGCCGTAGGTATCGTCTCCGGGAAGAGCGGGGCCAGTTGCGCGCAACTCCGGGGACTGCGGGCTGTGCGCACCGCGCCTTGAGCCATCCGGCAGAGGTGACTGAGGAGCACTTCCCGATGAACGTCCCCCTCGCTGCCCGTACGCCGCCCCACCCTGCCCTGGACTGGGGCTACCTGATCTTGACTGATCGTCCTGTTGGGCCTGCGCCATCTTGCGAGACTGTAACTGGCGCAGTAAGTCCTCGAAATAGGAGAGCGACCTCTCCGCCTCCCTCATCTTCGCATCGGTGGATCTCAGGACATCAGGGTTGGTGGTAGCCTGGCGGACGCGCTGAGTGGCCTCGAGCATCTTGCGCTCGGTCTGAATGCGCTTGTAGACATCCTGGATCTTCTGGTCCAGCTCGTGCGCCTTGACGGAGGATGAGGACCGCGAAACAAGGTAGAGACGGATCTCCGCGCACCATGGCTTCCTACCCAAGTCTACACCGCGCTCGGGCGGATATGGTGAGTGTCGTGGTTCAGCGGAAGGAAAGCGAAGCCTCGGAGGAGATGAGGCCGCTGAGGGCAGTGATTGTGTGCATCTGCTTGTCCGGCCGCGAATTACTTTTATGGTTGGTAAGGGGGTTATTCTTAGCGAAATCCGCCATTTATCCCGGCTCTGCGCATGTTCTTTCCCGACGATGCCTACGTTCTGCTCCAGCTCGGCCGTCCGCACCAGCACCGGCCAATTTAGCCTCTCCCTGCGTGCCCGGCACATCCTCGTCGCGGGAGACCCGTCGGACACTGTGCGTACTGTCAAGGGGCGGCTCCCAGAAGGCGTGGACGTCATCCTCGACTCCGACTTGGTCATCACGCTCTCTGGACTAGTCGACGCCGTCAAAGTCCCAGGCCATGTCATACAACGGTCAGCTGTCGCCAGACACGTCCTAGACCACCTCAGGACGGTAAGAGCGCCGCCAAGCCTCACGCTCAGGGAAACGTATTGACATCCACTCCTTGTCTAGAACGCTGGTCAGCTGGGCTTGGGCGCAATCTCGAAACTCTATGTCGATGAAGATGACGGTCGTGCAAAGTGTATGCGCAGCAATCGTCGCCCATGGTCGTTGCTGAAATATGCCGCTCCACAGTTTCTCTCAGCTCGTCTCGGCCACTGCGTGCCACGACAGAAATGGCCTGCTTCAGATTGGTTTCCATCGACGTAGTCCTCTCCTGCAGGATGATCGTACGAGGCGGGGAAAGCTGTGAGGTCATCTTGGAGCTGGTCACTAGTATGAGAGCTGAGTTGCGCAGCACCGGAAGCGGCCTCCCTATTCTCTGGTCAGGCGTATCTCCCCCTCTCCTCGGCGCTCGACAGCGTTCTAGAGAAATTCATCGCAAACGATCTCGTCAGGTATGTCCCAGTCTCCGGCTCACCGTAGCAACCACGCACAGCTCCATTACAGACGGTATCCTCTCATTTTCGGGCCGTGGCGAGAGGTGAGTGTGCAATCAGAGCTTGCGCATACCTGCAACTTGCTGTATGCACAGAAACTTGACCTAGAAGCACGCGTATTTCCTTCGCTTTCGCGATCGCTCATGGACGTTGCGCGGTCCTCAAGTGATCCATCATTCAAGAAGCGCTTCCAGCGACTCGTGGCGGTAAGCTATATATTGTCCTTATGCGCTCTCGATATCAACGACGTCTGAAAGACGCTTGGGACACGACATGCAAGTCGTGTTCGATGTGTCAATCAAGCAGTTCGAGATTGTCTCGGCGACAATGCGGTCGATGAAGCACACCGGCCAGTCATACAAGAGGGTTTTGACATACTAAAACGTTCCTTGGACACGCTTTTCAGACGGGGAGTGAGACCGGCGACATTCAAGGTAAATATATGAGATACGGAGATTGGCCTGTTCATTCACTTGTATGCACTGCAGGCACTTAGCGCAACCACCCAAGGTGCATACGACGAAGACGAAGACGATTATATGTTCGACTTGTCAGAAGGCGCATCAAATCGCGACGTTATCATCCCGTGGCCTGGTTCAAGCGATGAGGATCTAATTGAGTTAGACTCAGGCGAAGATAACGACGAACCTTGGGTCACGGCGGACTGTAGCCTATTCCTGGACGAGACGGGGTGTCCCGAAGAAGACGACTCAGACTGCATCGTTCTATCGGATGAAGAGTCTGGACACCAGGGTTTACCAAGGAGCCATAACTCTACGAGTCTCGACTGTGGCGCTCTAGTTCTCGCTTCTCGTACAGCGCTCTTGGTCGCAGACGCCGGCGAAGAAGACGAGACGTGGCTTCCGCAAAGCAATGGACACGCGCTGTTGGCAAGTTCACGGGGGACACAGAGTTTGGGGTCTGATGACGATGCTATCGTACGTTGCCTAGAGTCTCATGCGCTGGTTCTTCATGGGACTCCTTATTGATACGTTGCCAGACTTTCTCAGTCTGCGACACCGGGCTGGATGTCTGGTCTACTCCAGATCACTCGCAGCACTGCAAAAATCAGGTTACCGACACTCTAGAGGCTGCCTGCGGCGACCCAGACTTGCTTCTTGACTGGTGCGACGACGACGTTATTCTCTCGGATGATGCCATGTCGCCGTCAAAAAAGGACAGACATGGCGCTTGGCTCTCGACAACTCGCTCTGGCTGCGGCGACTCAGATGCTGTAGAAACCGACGATGACTCGGACGACTGTCTGTTTGGTGACGACTCGGACGACATCTACCTCGCCGAACCGTCTGCAACGCTAACTACGAGACACCGTCTAGAATCACCCTATGGCTCGGAGCTCCCACACCTATCTTTCTGTGACATCAGACGCAGCGGCCTGGGAAGCGGCCATCGTTCCTCTGGAACCCCTCTCTGACGGGGAAAGGCAGCGAATTTGCTCGTACCGACTGTATCGTAGCCCTACTTACCCACAATCAATTCATATCTTCCGGATTTACTTGGTACCCGTTCTGCCTTTCGGATCGATGGAGTTACGCGTGGATGTAACGAGGCAGCCTCCACGTTCTGGATCTTCCTGCCCGGCTTTCCGCGGCGCCCACGGCGACCGGGAGGAGGTCCGGTTGGTACGGCTTGGACACGTACTAGGTGCAGGCTACACAGCATTGAACGACGGACGGTGTATGTAGGCCTTTTATTTTTCATGTCGTAGTGCAGCCTCGTGGGGCGCAGAAAGCCCGGAGGGCATCATCTGAGCGCGGAACATGATGCGGGTCGGGAGAGGCGCGCTGCTTACGTCAGGCGCCGCACGCTCCATGTTTGAGTTCCGCCAGACTCCGCAGTGTACTGTGGCGGAGACCCCGGTAGCGTTTCCTTTACACGACGTCCATCACTGCACGACTGCTATCGCTCTCCTATAAGGCTTTTGCTCCTCAGACTTTGCATCCGCTCGACAGAGCGCTGCGCTCTTCTTCTTCCCCCAACGTTTCTTGTGTGACTCAGGACCATCATCATGTTGCCGGCTCAGCGGAACAAGGTCGACATTAGCGTAAGTGCTATTCTTGCGATGCATCTTGCGGTTGCGCAGTCGGTGGCTTGTGATGCTTATTAGTCCTGTCTCCACAGAAACTGACGGAGGAGGAGCAGAAGCTCTTCCGTCTGTACGGCAAGCTCCCCACGCACAAGAATATCTTACAGAAGATGCAGAAGGTATGTATCCTGATCTGTTCAACAATCGATATACATCTCATCATGCGTGCTATCCTCAGGATCGCAAGTATTTCGACTCGGGTGACTACGCACTTTCCAAGGCCGGCGTTACTCCACAGAACGCCGTCGGGACTGCCATTCCCAACCCCGAGAAGTAAGCTAGCAGGTTCTCCCAGCCGGATCCATCTTGATTGAGTTCTTAGTCTCTCTTTAGCATTCCGCATGCGTCGTCCCCACCAGTCAACCACAACCCCCTTTCTGTCTCGCCCACAAACTCTGGTATAAGCCCAGCGAAGGAGAGCCCGCTCGTCGAGCCCGAGACGGCGGCTCCGGTTCCAGATGCAGCAGAATCTGAAGAATCTGAGAAACAACCAGAGCCCGACGAGGAGGAGGTTGAGAAACCGGCGGAGGAAGTAGAATGAAGGCTACAGCCTGGACCATAGTTCATACGCTCATCGTGGACGCCTGATGACCTCTGCCCGCCGGTGCTGGGATGCAGCTGATTGGTTTGAATACTTGCGAGACCTCACTGTATGCGCGTTCTATCGGTTCCTGGATCCCTGTTGTACTAGTATCATCCACGCATTTGGAGCTGTTCGTCCTTGGATGGATATTGTGTGCTGTGCATCGCCTACATTCAAGAAATCATGACTGAGTACAACGAGACCCGACCGATGCTCGCGACGACGTCAGCCGGTTGTTTCGTCGGAGTAGGTCACAGCCTCAACCACAGCCACAAATCGAGATTCCGTGTCGTGGGAAGTGTGACTGACGCGTGACGACACGCGTCAAGACGCGACTTAGACGCGTTTCGTTTGACCCTCGACTCCTACCTGCATATCTGATTGCACATTCAACCTCAAGCAAACCATGAGCTCTGAAACGAAAGAAAAACTACGTGCTGAGCTTGTCAAGTACTTCGAGAACATGCTAGACGAGAATCACCTCGAGGAGTGTCAGTAAAACCTACGTTCTCCGCGCAGCGATCGCTCACCGCACCGCTAGGTGTGCGAATCTGCGAAATGTTCAACCTTAGCGGCGAAGATCTCAGGTACAAGTGGGAGGCAATGAAGCTCGGGAAAAAGGCTTTCCTATTCACTATGGACGATATTCCGGACCTGAAGGCGGAATGTCAGAAAGACCTACTAGCAAAGGCCAACAGGGAGAAGCCCAAGACTAGAGGCACGTTGAGTGGGCCATTGTCGAAGACTTTCGGTTCGCCGTTTCCGAAGGGAGGCTTTCGGCCTGGAGCGATGTTAAACAGGGGAACTCCGGTCAAGAGACAAGACGGATTTGCCGTGGCTACGGCGGGCGAGAGCAGGAAGGGTCCTGTTGCTGGGCCAAGCGGAGTGAGATTTTCTGGCCCCGGCATTGACGATGAAGCCAGCAGAAGTCGGAATTGTGAGTGTAGACAAAACATATACACGTCGATAACTCAAGGAACTATAGATAGGTACATGTACGAGAAGGTGTCTGATCGTAGCGCAGGTAAGTCTTCGATTTCTATTGATCACAGGCGTAGGCGCACATCAATGCTTTCTCGCAGCACTGGACTCCAGGGTTGACGAGATGGGGGAACTGGTGAGGCTGCACTACAACATCGAGGATCTAGGCGACCCTTCCGCTTCGACAGAGGTAAGTGATGAGCCTTCGTCTGTCGTCGCGCTTCTGATACATTGAAAATCAGGAAGAAGTGGTCGTAGTTGGCCGCATTACTCTTGACTCTGAAAGCTCAGCAGGGTCAGTGAAGCTCAACGAAGCATCGCTGACATTGGAATCGTCCCGCCAAATCGGTGCTGGCGCGAGGGTGCCCCTGCGATTCGATCCGAATGTGAAAGTGCGCCAAGGAAAGCAGGGTGCCGGTGGCGCTGGGCTCTTTCCAGGCGCCATCGCTGCGTTCCGGGGGAAGAATGGAGGCGGAGGATCGTTCCTTGTCACCGAGATACTCTCAGTACGTCGTGAATTGGCACCTGACTTCGTCTGCGTTGACGCGCCTTAGCTCCCTCCTCTACACCCAACGTCAGCAGGCTCGATAAAGACGGAAAGCACCGAACCCTTCGGTGTATGTGTCGCCTGTGGGCCGTACACGCCTGACACAGATATGCAATTCAATCAATGGCAAAAATTGCTGGCTAAGCTGAAGACCGACAGACCTGCCGTTGTGATTCTAGTAAGCGTTGTCACTCTGTTTTCGTCAATTTCGCTCACGTCTGAGGGGCAGATCGGACCATTTATCGATGATGCTCACCCCGCAGTGAAGAATGGCGACGTCGATGAGACTCCAGCTGACATATTCCGGACGGTAGTCCTAGCGAGCTTGACGGAATTCCTGGGTAGCTCTCCGGATAGTCAAATCCTCATCGTACCCAGCGTACGCGACATGATAAGCGATCACGCTGTATTCCCCCAGGGTGAACTCAGCCATGAGTTCGCGATATACCCAGTAGGCTTCTGTGCCCTCTACATGAACCTTCTAGCACTGACATTGAATACCGGCAGCGGATACGAGTCTTGCCGAACCCATGTCGATTCTCCCTCAACGATGTGACGTTCGGTGTCACCAGCGTCGACGTTCTCTTTCATCTGCGGAAAGAAGAGTTCTTCAAGCGCGCTCAAGAGGTTGAGCCTGTAGCTCCTTCGGGCGGAGACGCGGCAGGCAGCGATACAATGGTAAATACATGTCGCCATTTATTGCAACAACGCAGGTATGTTTGAGGTCATCTGAGTTTGAGTTCAGTTCTCACCGCTCTGCGCTAGCTTCTACCCGATCTTCCCAGTCCCGCTGGACCTCTCACACGAAGTCAACCTAGATGTCACCCACATGGAGAGACTAAACCTCGATATCGACGGCGCGAATACCAACGAAGCTCCGGATGTTCTCATCCTCCCTAGCAGACTGAAACACTTCTCGAAGGTCCGTGAGCAATCCTTCTGTCCCTTCAACATTTGCTCAAGGTTTGGTCAGGTGGTGGACTCCACAATAGCTATCAACCCATCGTTCCTCACCAAGTTGACTTATGCGTCGCTGGTGTGTTCGAGCCATGAGAGTGGTTCGTCCGTGGGCGACAGAATTAAGGCGGAGATTGTACGACTAGATCCATGATTTAGGGAGCGCCATTCTTGTCTGTACTACGATTCCGTGCTTGTAGTGTTGGTGATCTACTAAGGGATGAGATTTCTGGATATGAGCCTGTTCTTACGGCCGCATGTCTCGCCGAAACGAAAAGCCAAAAGTAGGATCAACTACTGCACTTGCCTGTTTCAGCACTTCATGATAGCCACGTGCTCGATCACCGGTGACGAAATGACGGTGCACTGGTGGGTCTCGAATCGCAGCTCTGTAGTTCAACTGTATTCCGCCAATACTCGACATAAGTTGCTGTCCGACTCCCTACATTAACCTCGGACTTTGTGATGGCCGAAACAAAGCGATCAAAGAGCAAGTCTGAACACAAGCATAAACGAAAGCACAAATCAGACAAGGAGGGCAGCAGCAAGAAGGCGAGGAAAGAGGATGGCGAACACATCCACATTGTTGACGAGAATGCCGACGACGACGACATGTGGGAGGAGAAGAACATTGACATGGACGGCGAGAAGGTGCGCTGCCAGCTCGTGACCATCGTAATGGAACACTGAGTGTGCTGCTAGCCTCTCGCAACAACAATACCTACCGCGGAGAGTCTGAAGTTGACATCGCGCGCTGAGGCCAAGCCAGACGACCCGCCGCTTCCGCCTTCAGTTCGAGCAGAGACGACGCTTAAACGGGACGAATGGATGCTCATGCCTCCCTCAACCCCGACTGTGCCTGAGGTCGCCTCTCGCATGCCGGACGTCGATGAGGAGCCCTTGACCGAGGATTACGGAGAACCGTCACAGAACGCGCGCAATATGGCGGGCAACGTTGACTACTTCTCTGGTCTCGGGACTGAGCGTCAGAAGAAGCCCCGGCCCGATCGTCCTGACCCTGACAAGGTGCGCACCTACACGCTGTCTGCATCATGTCATGCTAATTTGTCTCTAGCCTCATATCAGCCATAGGGAACTGAATACGGCTCTTAAGGAAGGGAAGAGCATAGATGACATGCCCGCTGCTACTCCCAAACCCAATACTCCAGGTGGCCCTGGATCACAATGGCGCATGATGAAGCTGCGGCGTGTGTACGAGCAAGCCGAGGAGGAGGGCAAGGCTATCGAGGACGTTGCACTCGATCGCTTTGAATCCTTCGAAGCCTTCCGGGAGGCACAGGAAGAACGGCGCATCCTCGATGAGCGCGAAGGCCGGCGCGCTAGTCGAGGTGGCGGCACGGACCGGAGGGACAAGGGCAAGGGGAGGGTAGGCAAGGAGGAGTATGCGCCAGGCGAGACGCGTCTGATGTTTACCGACGTTGGCGGGAGCGCTATGAGTGGCCGGAGCACATCGTTCCGCCGACCAGACTTGGGCGCACGCAGTGCTGGACCTGCGACGCCGACACCAGAGACGAGGGCAAATCATGGGAAGTACGACACGCTACGACTCTCGTCTCAAGGGACACCTTCCGGCGCCTTGTCTCATACGCCCATCCCCTCTGTTATGACGCCGTCGGCGTCCCTCGCCGCTTCGCTTACTGGCTCAGGGCGAGCACTCTCCCCGTCGTCTCTGAACCGCCTCCAAGCCAAAGTCTTGCGTGCTAAGCTCATCGGGGCATCAGATACGGAGGCCCTGGAGAAGCAATACGAGGAAGAAATGCGGAAAGCGAACGGAGGCGGAGAAGGTGACAACGTCCGGACCAAAGTCGAGGTGCTCCCGACCCTCGACATCCGCGGCAACCTGTACGACGTGGGCCAGGGCAAGGAGGACGTTCCGTTGGCACCCGGGAACCGCAAGAAGAGAGAGCAGTTCGAGAGCCATGATCGCAAGACGGGCGAGCAGATTCGGTACAACGCGGATGACGACTCCATCACGCTGGGAGAAATGCTCAGGCAGGAGCGCATGCGCAATGGCCCTGCGGACCAAAAGAATATGGATATGGAATATGCGAAACAGATCATGACAGATAGCGGCTTCCAGGTGAGTTGCAGGCTGAATTTATCCGTTGATTCTACCTGCTGACAAGCTATACAGGCTGACAATGACTACATGGATGACAATGCGGAAAAGCTGGGTAGGAAAAAGATGCGGTCAGACGCGATGAAGCGTCAGTTTGCTATCAACGGTACGTTTATCCTCTTGCTGTTGCGGCTCTTCATGTCATGGATAATGGCATAGACTATAAACGGACGCAGAAGGTCCTCGCAACTTGTCCATTCTGCTTCGGCGAGAATGACGAGATCCCGAAGGCACCGATCATCGCTATGGGCACGCGAGTGTACCTGTCATGTACTCCCACTGATGAGCTGGTGGACGGGCATTGCCTCATTGTTCCTATACAACACCATTTAGCCATGCTCGAAGGTGACGATGACGTATGGGACGAAGTCCGGGTATGTGACACACTACTCTGCACGTATGACTTCGACGCTTATCCTATGTCTGTAGAACTTCATGAAGTGCCTGATGCGCATGTATGCAGAAGAGGACAAGGGTGTCATCTTCTACGAGACAGTCATCAGCCTCAAGTGGCAGAAGCATACCTATATTGAGTGCGTGCCTCTGCCATGGGAGCACTTCGAGCAAATCCCTGGCTACTTCAAGGTACGTGCGGTCCGTCACCCGAGACTCCATCACGCTGAACCGTCGTCTGTAGGAATCCATCCTCATGTCCGAAGCTGAATGGTCACAACACAAGAAGCTCATTGACTTCTCAGCGCGCCCGGGTGGTTTCCGACGCGCCATGGTACCCAACTTGCCCTACTTCATGGTCCAGTTCGACTACAAAGGCGAGAAGGGATACGGTCATGTCATTGAAGGGACTGGAGATACGGGAGCGACCGGTGACGCTGGCGATGAGGACTTGGACGAAGGAGAGAAGGGTGGTGGCGAATTTCCCAGGTACGTGACCGTGGATCTGAACACAGCGAAAGGCTTAGTTAAGCTGTGTCCCCTTGTCCTTCAGATATTTCGCTGGCGAGATCATTGGCAACGTTCTGGAGCTCGAACCCCGCAGATGGCGGCACCCGAGACGTGTCGACTTCTACCAGAACAAGCAACGAGTTGCTAAGTTCAAGCAGAAGTATGACAAGTTTGACTGGACTGGCATGATCGGTAGATCATAAGCTCAGCTGACACCTTTGTACGTGTAGTACCATTGTATTGTGACACACGCGTTTCGTTGCGTTGGATGTGTATCTATAGCTGATGCTGCACTGGCGCTCATCAACACTGCGGACGGTGCATTCAGAGACTTTGACTACCCTTACTTGTGGTGTTCATGAAAACAGTGAAACCGAGTTCCCGCAATGATCACGAGGGTGACCAACGAACGCCTCGCCGGCCGCGTCCTGGAGGAGGCTCTCGTAGAGGAGCCGTAGCTTCGAAGGTCCACCGGCCAATGACTATATCCCATTCATACGTCCCCCTGGCTCGGGGTGCTTTGCACCATATGTGTGGCAATGCTTCCTCGTGTCGTCCATGAATCCCTTTGTTTACTGATAGCTGAGAGTCTGTGTGGGCTCGCATATCTACACATGTCATTGAACTACTGTACAGACCGGGCCCGCTCAGACTGGGCGTAGGCCGAGCAGAGTAGAGAAACCGGATGGAATCAGGAGAAGAGAGGGAGAATTTACAGTATCACAGGTCTGCGCTGCATGAGCAATGCTATAGCATAGTATCGTACGTTCAGTGGGTATCTCCTCTTTTCCTCCCTTCCCGTGTTTCGTGTTGGTAACGCGTCTTCACAAGCCTTCCGCATCCACAACATCGGTACAATCGACCACACCACGCTGTTCACGGCCCAACTGGTGAACCTTGTCAAGCAAATATTCAGCTGCGCCCGTAGATAACGAGATTGTGAGACTCACTGTGAGCCCGAGATCCTACCTTATGTCAGAGTCTGGGTCCGGGTCAAGTAGAAGACCCAACACCTTTTTATCCAACCATGGCGCAAACAGCGCAACAATATGGGACCTGATTATAGACATGGTGGCAACCTGTGTCTGGAAAGGATGGTTTCTCTCCAGAAAATCGACCGCTATGGACGCGTGCTCGCCCGTGAACTCGTCGAATAATGCACTGCAAATAATCGTGTGGAAAGCGGGAATGGGGTCGGTTCCATCTGTTCTCAAGCGTGATATGTCGTATACATCTTGCAGTGACTCGGGATGTTGCAAGTGAATTCTGATCGAGAGCCCCGTGGCGCTTGTAAGATTGGATATCAAGTTGACTAGGGCGCTCTCGATAATACGAAGTGATGGAGGCACGTTGGTGAGCGTCACCTCCACTTGTCTCAGAGATCTGTTTGATGTCAGCCGCGGAACGAGCTGCGAGTCTACATGGTGGTATGAAATCAGCAACGCCAGGCTGACGACGATATGTACAGACAAACCTGAGTTGCAAGGCCATACCCATGTGAACTTCTTCAGTGCCGCGCCAGAGACGTGCAGTGTGTGCTGGACATCCGACAACAGCTCTGCGACCGGCCCAGACGTGTCTTCATGCCGTATGATCAATTCCTCGAGTTGGCTACAGGTTGGTGTCGTGGACACCAGACTCATGAGCTGCACCGCGCAGGCCGTAGACACAGTTGACAGCTCAAACAAGGAGAAGAAGTGAGGGCTTGTAGAGGCTGTTCGCACGCCCACGTCGTCCGACGAGAGTGACCAACGCGAGCGGGTATGGCTTCTCAGCCTGAGATGGGATAGATGTGGAAAAGAGTAGATGAAATGCTTCAGGTCTGTGAGCGAGCGGAAGTAGTTTGCGTCCACTGAAAGCCAGAGAACAGTCGAGTAAGCGGCACATACAGCCAGCAGCGTTTGAGCAGCCGCTCTGTCGGCACCATCCCACACAGGGTGCTGTAGTGTCCCTTGGCCAGGAGGATGGGATAGTGTAATTTTCTCGAGCTTTCGATTGAGCGTGATGGAGTGAGGTACGAGAGTCGTTACAAGACCGTCTCGCAATGTGATACCCGTAAGCTCCAAATCAGTGAGATTCGGCAAAGCGTTGATCATTCTGCGAAGCTGCGGCGTGCTTTCAAAGCGACACAACCGAAGGTCGAGGGCGGTGATGTGGGTGTAATAGGAGAGATATCTGAAGAATTGATTATGTGGTCTTCTGATCGCCAAGTCCAGTCGGCGAATTGTCAACGTCGTCGATTCCTTCGATAAATTGCACCCGGGCATAAGCATCGGGAAGGTATGCACGTAAGACTTGCGAGGGTTTTCGTCAATCTCGAGTGTACTTGGCCTCTTTGTCTTCATCAACTTCGATGCGCGGCTGTGAGCCGTCAAGGACTTTCGATTTCGTATCGTCAAAACGCTAGTGTTGTTGTACCGACGCAGGTGGTACACTGCAACCTGTATCCAAGCGCGGCAAGTGAGGCAGCACCGCGCAAGTGAAATGGGGTCGTCCCATAGGAAGTCAATCACGTATTCGAGGACTTCTTGAGGGAGATTTGAATTCGAATCACTGCGCCCCCATAGGGTAATTCAGCTGGCCGTCGGATACGATCAATATGTCACCATGCATACCTTGAGTATGTTATGGCTGCGGGTGGGAACCAGAGTCCCCGGTTCAGGACATACAGATGCATATGGTGGGCCAACATGTGGTAGCAGCGTTTCGTCTGAAGTTTGCCCTATTGGAGCCACTGGTTCACACTATGGATCCTGACAGGAATGATCAAGTAGTCAGAGCGAACAACGCAGAGATGAAGCGGCCGAATAGACGCACCTCAGAATGGTCTGATGGCTGTATGGATAATGGTGCAGAGTCGGACCAACGCTCGATGGCTTCACCTTTGACTCGACGAACCGCTGGCCAGTGGCCTGAACTGGGTAAGTTACTACTGGTGCACTTGAACCACGCGATTTTTCAGCACGATCGAAACAGCCGTATATGTCTGGGATCTGGACTCCAGTGGATACGTATATGAGAGAGGAGGGGCGCAAGAGCTACTTACTATGTAGCAGACGCCAGTTGTCGACTCAGGTTGATTCATCGAATGGGCCCGGGAGCTCGATTTGGACCGTGACACCGGTCCATAGTCAGCTGTTCGCGCGCCATGATTTGTCGGCAATATCTGTGCTTTGCTGCTGTGCTGCGTGAGTGAGCGGCGAGCAGACCTGTCTATGGTGTAAGACATCATGCATGGCCGTTTTTTGTCGACTCGACTCGGAGCCTCCGCTTCGTGGTCACTGGCAAGCTTTATTCCAGCCACCAGTACTGCCAGGACCATCCACCTACGGCGCACGCTTGCCGGTGCCAACTCATCTCGGACCGACCCCAGAACATTGACTACGGCCTCCCATATCAATGAGCGAACGCAGCTGAATAGATCATACCTATATGGTGAGTCGTTCTGCACCACTTCGTCGCAGATTACTTGACATGAGCTGTCACTGCAGTACCTGCGGCGTCCGAGCGCATGCTGCAGAAGTCTCTGGTCAACAGCTCGGACATCCTCATCTACGACCTGGAGGACAGTGTCCCGCCTACGAAGACGGACAAGGAGGGAGCGCGAGAGAGACTCGTTCAATTTCTTCGTGTACGTCCGACGTGTGTACCATCGTCTCGCGTGAATGACCGTGTTATCCCTCGAAGTCGAAGCCCCAGACGGAGCTACCGCGCACTGAGCGTATTGCGATCCGACTTAACTCGACGAACACGCCGTTTTTCGAGGATGACCTTGCCGCTGCTGTGAGCAACACTGCTTCCTGTCTGTATATACCCGCTAGACATAGCGCGCCTAGCTGCAAGTGCCGTCCATCCGGACCCTCGTTCTCCCAAAGGTCCACTCCGTCCAGGACCTCGACCATGTTTCCCGTATGATCTACTCACACTCACAACTCAAGACCGCGCGTAACCCGGCGGAGCAGCCGCTGCGGCTCGTCGCGAGCATCGAGAGTGCAAGGGCTCTCGTCAACCTCGGGACGATTGCGAGCTGGCGGTCTGAATTCGGACCGTCTCTCCAGGTCTCGCTATCAGCCCTACTGGTAGGTCCGCACGCGTAGATGGGCTCATACATGCTGAACCAACTCGCGACTGTAGTTCGCGGCTGAGGACTGTACGTAGTCCAGTTGACGAGTTGTGCACAGTGTAAGTGTGCTAACGGCTCTCGACAGACTGTGCGGACACGTCAATCATTCGCACGAAGTCCCGTCAGGAACTCCTATACACTCGGTCTCAAATCGCCATCACGTCCAAGGCCTTTGGGTTGGATGCGATTGACATGGTCAGTACCCACTGGCAGGGAGGTACGGTATTATGCCAGTCAGCTCATCCCGCCTTACAGGTCTGCGTGAACTACAAGGACCTCGACTACTTGAAAGAGGAATGCGAAGATGGGAGGCGTCTCGGCTTCAACGGCAAGGTTTGTCTGTGTCTTCAAAGATCCTGCAACCTCGCTCACTGTTACTATGATCCCGACAGCAAGCGATACACCCTACGCAAGTAGATATCATTCAGTCCACATTCGTGCCCACAGAACAGGGTGAGTCCTTCTCGTCAGATACACGGCTGCACCGATTGAGCGGGCATGCATTCCGCAGAGATACTGCGTGCGGCCAGGATCGTGAAGAAGATGGAACAAGCACATGGTGCACAGAGGGGAGCAATCGGGCTCGAGCTCGAGGGTGGTGGCAAAGAGATGATCGACGCGCCCATGCTCAAGCAGGTCAGTCAAGCCCTTGCTCTCCGGGCATGGCAGCTGAACAAGCTTGACGTTTGGCAGGCGGAGAACACTGTACGCATAGCAAGAGCAGCTGGGCTACCTATTCCGGACGTTCAGTGAATAGGTGTCCTATATCATAAAAGCTGACTAGTGTACATGCTGCAGAGTTTCCCGTCAATGATCCACTTGTTCGACACGCTAGATGCGTCGGAACATCGACCACTCAGTCATTCCAAGCGTCATCCCACCCGTGCGCGCTGAAGTCCCACTTGCCCGCGGGCTGCCCATGCGTGACCCAACCGAGGGTATCCATCACGACCCCTGCCGCTCTGACGAAGATCGTCCCATCGACCTTCGACATGCCCTCGTGCGTTTCGCGGCCCTCCGCGTCGAAGGCCCCAATCGCCCCTCCGGGCGGCGTCGTCCCGTAATGCTGCGCGGCATAGTACAGCGAGCGGATCGCCTTGAGCGTGTGCGGGTCCGGCGCGTGCAGGACGCTCGCGACGATGTCGGGCCAGGGATTCACCGTCTCCGCATCACGGCGATCCCCAATGGCAGTCGAGTGAGGAGAGGGTCCCTTGTCCTGCGAGGGCGGGCGCGGCGTCGCGGTGTACGACATGAGGAGCGGCGCGTCGATCTGCGGGCGCCCGCGGATGGTGAGGTACATCAGCAGCACGGGCACGATCGCATGGAGCAGCGCCGCCCTGTTCTCCGCCTTCGGGATCACCGTCAGCAGCGACGGCACGAATATGGACATGTTCAACATGTGCATGAGGAAGAAGTCGAGGCGCGGCGGCCGGCCGTGCTTGCCCGACCCCGCGAGGAGCAGCGTCGTCGCCCAGAGGAGCTCTTCGACCTTCTCGTCGAGCGCCTCCTGCCCCCGGCTCGTGTCGACCTGCCACTGTGCGGCGAACCGCTTGATCTCGCCGACGCGCCCCGGTGTCTTGAGGGCGTCCTGGATGCGCACGCGGAGCGGCGCGTCGGGGTCGTAGGGCATGACGGGCTCCATGGTCTTGGAGTCGTAGGCTTCGCGCAGGATGGCGAGGAGCGACCGGCCCCGGTATGGCTGGCGATGGCCTGAGCTCGCCGAGCTTGTTGCCTCGTTTGTGCCCTTCGGCGTGTTCAGATCGAAGATGTCGGGGACAAATGGTTGATGCACGGCCGTTTGAGCGAGACCTGCCAGTGTGATTCTTCGTCATCAGTCCGTGCAGCTGGGATATTGGCGAGCCGGCGGTTACCTTGTGCGACCATGGCGTCGCTACCAAATTCGACGCCGTACTATGGTGAAGGTCAGCGCTGTGTACGGGATAATAAAGCATGGATAGCATACCCCCGTTTGGATAATTGGGTGTACTCTGCACAGCGCAAGTGAGTAAGTAGACTCTGTATCTGGGGTTCCACACTCACGCTCCTCCGATGAAACGAAGCAACACTAGCGCGCCGTTTTCGTTTGCATCTCGAGAGAAGAGGTATCGTTCGAACACTCCTTCGATTCCATACTGGGCTATTTCATCGGCAAAGAAGGCGAGGTAGTTCGCATAGTACCTGGTGATCGCCAGTCAGCGAGTACGCCGCGTTACTCGGAAACTGCTCACTTCTCCTGTCCCAGGTACTTTGTCCAATTCTGCAAGGTGATGGCGGTTTCTTGCTTTTCCACGACGTCTTTGCTGCGATCTGCAAGATGGATAGGCGACAGCCCGCTTCTTTCCTGGTCATAGATCGCTTGCAGCAACTTCGCAGGCGCGCCGAGATCATATGCTGCCAGGAGACTAACAAACGTTGAGCGTAATTACTTCGTCAAGTCGTATAGAACGCACTGATGGCTCAGATGGTTGTGCAGGCCAACTTTTCCGAAAAAGCAATGGTGTGTCTCGCGGTCCTCTTGCAAGAGACGTTCAAGGGTCGTTTTGGACTCGTACGTTGCCCCTGGCACATCAAGGATGCCAGGGCTGATAGTCGGCGGTAATGTCGACGACATGCGGGGTTGCCGGAGACCAGGGGAGTTGACGAATGTCCGACGGTGAAGGGTAGTCGATCTCAGAGCAGATCCGAGACGAAACATACAAATCTGCGACAAAGGATTGTGTTCAGCCACCAACCGATGCTCTGACTGAGGATCATGGGACTCGGCGCACCGTTCAGGTTGTAGGCTACGATCCAGGCAAGTACTCGCAAGCCTTGGGATTCGGTATGGACTGCAGCGGATTGGGCGATGCGCTCCTTGTCATGGTTTGTTATATAGTCTGTGACAACTTGCAGTTGCTACATGATGACGTCAGGCGGGAGCCTGATTCAGACCAGTTGGTGTTGCTGCAGTCATTTGATTCCAACAGGGCGGGTGGCTGACCACGACGCGCCTCAGTCCCCGACGCCGGTCTATCCCATCTACTTAGTAGGCGGGGTACTTAGGATTCGTGACTATGCGTCGCGCGTGCACCCAACCTGGTCGATGTCCTGGATATCCTGATTGTCCTCAGGAACTCAAGTCTTCGGAAGCTCAAGAGCTTGAGATTCGAACCTATTGTTCCTTACGAGCAACGATGACATATACACATTGATGATGCAGAGAGACGTGCCAATGAATCCGGGATAAGGGCCTACGTATACTGTATGCAAGGCCCGTCAACGGAAGAAAATAAAACATAATACCTGACGTGCTTGACCCTAAATTGTACATGCATAATGCATACGAGAAAGCGACACGAGACATGCGAGTCTACACTATGGATGTGCGTGGTATCGAGTTTGGCCGGGGCCTGTGGAGAGATGGAGAGATGTATGAGCGACTGGGTCAACGGCAGCGAACACAGCATAGCAAAATGATCATAAAAAGCAAGAGTCGACGAGGTCTAACTTATAAGGTGGAGGGTGCGGAAGGTCGGCAGTGTCCGATGCAGAACATGACTTGCAGATCGACACTGGAGATGCGGAAGGGGCTGTCAAGGTGCACCCAGAGTGCGCCTGGCCTGGTCAGGCCGAGTGCACAGCGCAGGACACCCCACACCCTCCCCCTCCGCACGTGCGGCTGATCCCTACGAGAGATGTATGCAGCGCCATGGGATGAATGATACTACTCGGAGGCGGCTTGGACACCCCTGAGCTCATGAACCAAGCGCTGTGAAATGAAAGACAGATGATCAGCACACATTCATTGCACACCGCTCAAGACTGCCATACCTTGCACTCCTCCGCAAGCTGCTCCGCGGACATCACGGTACCCTCGCGGCCAAGGTTCAAGCCGTAGCGAAGCAGCTGTTGCATGAAATGCGGGTTGATCAACGCTTCGTCGTCAGCAAGCACAGGACGAGCAGGCGGCGGCGGCGTTGGAGCCCGATCCGGTTCTGCTGTAACAGTCAGAAGTACGTCAGCGTCCGCGCACATCATAACAACAAACCGACCGCGAGCACGTACGTTCGCGCATCGTCAGCCAGTTCTCCTCCAGCAACTCCGGGATCGTGATCCGCTCCTTCGGATTCCGCACAAGACACCGCTTTATCGTCGCGATCACGCCGGGCGGCACCTTCACCTTCATCTCCTCCATCTTCTTCTGCGACGAGGGCGAGCCGCCGCGCAGCGACACCGGGACCGAGTGCTCGGGGAACTCGATGACGTGGTCACGGTCCGGAATCGCACGCATCTTCTGGTACAGATCGAGATGGTGGAAGGGCGGGTAACCGTAGATCATCTGGTAGAGAATGCATCCAAGACTCCAGACGTCGCTGGGCCGACCGACCTTGAGCCGGCGCATGCCCTCGGGGAGCTCGATCGCCTCGGGCGACATGTAGTTGACGGTGCCGACCTGGTGGTCCCGCTGGATGTTCGTCGTGTCGTTCGCGATCGCGTTGGCGATCCCGAAGTCGATCAGCTTCAGCTGGCCCTTGACGAGTACGAAGTTCGCTGGCTTGAGGTCGGAGTGGACGATCTTCTCTTCGTGAATGACCTGCACAGCTTGAAGCATCTGGTGGAAGGACACAGTTCGATAACTTGCGTTATCACAACGAGCATTGACATGCATACCTGCTTGAAGTAGTAGGCTACCCAGACCAAGTCGAGGGCCTCCTTCTGCCTCTCTTGCAGCAGCTTAGCCAGATCTGGAGACAACGAAGCCATCAGAACCAATACTATGGCGCGAAACCCACTTCGATCACGTACCAATCTCCCCGAACTCGAGCACGAGGGTCAACGATCCCTTGCCATTGACTGGGGTCCTGACCTCACTGTCAATCAGGCGGATGATACGCTGGTTGCCATCGAGCCGCTTCAATAGTTGAATCTCGTTGATGTACCCATCCATAGTTTCCTCCTCCTTGTCATTAATCGACACGCGTTTGAGGGCGTATATCTCGTTTGAGGAATTCATGACGCGATACACACGAGAAGAGCCACCCTTGCCGATCATGTCCAGCCGCGCGTACGACTTGCGGTTCACCATGAGATTCTTGGCATTCGATCGCCCTTCGGCTTGCTGCGGTGCCGGCTGAGGCTGAAGTGGCGGCTGAGTAGCGGGAGGCGCGGTCTGGCGTGGATGTGCGGCAGGTGGCTGAGGCGGAGGAAGGGTCGGCACGCTCCTTGACTGCACACCAACGTCTGCAGCTTCCTCACGTTCGCGCCCGTCGCCAGCAGCCCAGGTCCTGCCTGAAGGAGCAGGGTTTGTCGAGGGCGCGATGTCGCCACTCGTCGTCGGTGCCTCCGGGGCAGTCGGACTGCGTCTGTGGCGGTAGTTTTGCGCCACAGCGGTAAGTCCGACTGTTGACGAGGGGATGGAATGTCTTGGCGGGGAGGCACGTCCTGGGAGCTCGACAGCTGTGGGTGAAGACGGGGATGGTACGGCGGCGACGGAACGGAGGGTGTCGGAATCCTTGCGTTGATGTCCATAGGGGCGGTAGTTTGCTTGAGCGACATGTGTAGGCGAAGGGGAATGGCGAGAGGAAGCCTGTGCTATCCCTATGTGAAAGTTAGTGGTGTGCAGCGTTAGGTTCCTTTGCACTTACTCTGTTCTTCAGCCGCTTCTTCCGCAGCTCTTCGCAGATAGCCTAGTCCACGAGTTGAGCTTCCTCGGAGCACGAGATGCACACCACACACATACCTTCTTCCAGTGCGATCTCGCGCTCCTGGCGGATCTTCTCCTCGAGCGTGACTCGTCGCGCACCGCGATCCGCGATGCCCATACTGGTACCTGGCCTATGAGATGCGTGTGCATAATGGTAACCGAATTGACCAGCAGGTTGTTCGGGCAAGAGAGACCCATGCGGCGAGGAGCCTGACGCGTCGCTCAGGCTGGCTGAACGCCGTGGTCGACCGGGCGCGACGGGTGGCTGAGGCAACTCCTGAGAGGCCTCCTCAGAGGGCTGCTCCTCAGCAATACGTTCGATACCCATGCCCGACTTCTTGTTCATGAGACGCGCCGGCCGCATAGAGATGATGGGCCGCGCGAGGGCGGCGTGACTATGCGGCATACCACGAACATTCTCTTTCTCGTCCACGACTTGCGGTTGCGAGCGCATGAGGGCATCCTTCTCCTGTGCATCTTCAATCTTGACACGGCGCGCACCGCCTTTGCGTGCGGCGCCGCCCGCAGCCAGGGGCCCAACGGCGGTACGGACAAGAGTTGACGAACCTGGCGTCTTCAGCGGGCCCGAGGCTACACGCTGAAACGACCTCCCGCCGTTCGCAGGTGTTATACCATAAGAGGTCGAGGGCAGACTTTCTGACCTCGCAAGCGTGGAAGGACGCGTCGTCGGTAACGGAGATGGTGCCTTTGTGGCTATCTGGGGGTTCAACTTGGGGGATTGCTCTGGCGTCGGTGGTGCTGACGTCGATGACTTGGGCGAGCCCTTAGCGACGCGCACATATGTGCCTTCTGCAGTGCGCTCGTATACAAAGGAGGGCTCGAGAAGAGATAAGTCGTCGGACGACGCAGGGGACGGCCGAACAGAGTCAGACGGTGCGAGCGTGGGCGGGGGAGTGATGGGCGGCGACAGGCGCGCAGCCGGGGGTGAGAGCGAGGCAAGCATAGGGCAACAGGGCGGCGAGAGAGGAGAGGGAAAAAGAACCAACCTTTGTTGATGTCGACAGGGTGATGGACGGTGGGGAGGACGAGTGGTCGGGCGGGCGACCTTCTTTCAACTTCAACCTCGACACGAGGCGGCGAAACGCGGTCACGTGCATTCGCGTGCGCGCCTCTAATGACATCGCCGCTCACAGCAGTACTGCCTGTACAATGCATCCGTTGGCAATAGAGTAGTCTGTTCAGTTGTGGTTACATGCTCAGTTGACGCAGCCACCAAACCCTTCCCGCAGGTAGTGGGGACGTCGATCACATTTGGTTTAATTTGGAACCGCAAACTGGTCTCACTGGCAATCTCACTGGCAACCCAACACTCGCAAGCCTGAAGTGAGAGCGGGAGGCACCGAGTAGTGGCAGTAGGATCCCTCGAAGGTGTGCCGCAATGAACCAGCGCACTTGACATGCCAGGATGAAATAGGCCAAGGAAAGGTTGTTGATATTCGGAGAAAGCGAGTAATTCACGAAGCCTTCGTGCGGCCCGGGGTGCAAGCTGCAAGCGCCAAACCCAAGCCAAACCACAGCACAGAAGGGGATCATGAGCTGGCCAGTCGTGTTCGATCAGTCAGACCTCCGGATACATTGCCTATGTGTTGAGGATTCGCGATGCAATTACTTGCAAAATCACCCATGTCGCACGAAGGCCCGTCGAGTCGTCGCAGATGCGCCAATCCAAAGCCACATAACGAGACGCTCGCAATTGCCCGTCAAACAGTGTCAGCAGCAAAGGAGATAGATGTCCGTGAGGCAGTGATATAGTACAGATGGCACAGACGTGTTACGTTCGCGACTTCTCTCCGGCGCTGCCGACCGTCTTCGGCATCTTCTTGTCGCCCGTCGCTAGCTGCTCGAGGTCAGCAGGCTTGAAGTAATGCGGCGCAACTAGGAATAAATGTACGTCAGTCAGCAATTGACGCAAATCACAACGACCGACTCACCCTCCAGCAACCATGAAGGCTTGATCTCCATCACTTGTCTGCAGAGTGAGATGGTTAGTATGAATGTACTCAGTGATGTATTGCATTCATCACGAACCTCAGATATGACTTCGACGTCATGACAAGCTCGTAGTACAGCACGGTCTTGACAGGCGGTGTCTGCTGGAACAGACTCGAAGATGGGTGGATGTACACGGTCTGATTGGTTTTGAGTGTCCGGTACGAATCACCGCTTTTCTGCAACTGAGCCTACAATGTCCTCAGCACTGACGTTCTGGACCTGGACACGGTTGAACATACCGTGTTGTAGAAGTATCCTGCCGTGAGAGCCTTCTGTACGGGGGTAATGTCGTTCGTATTGGGATTACTCTCCACGACGACCTCCACACGCTCGCACAACCCCGCCAACTGGTCGCGGATGTCTCGTGCGCGACCAAGACTCTTGAACTGCAAGAACTGCTCGTAGCAGAACTGCTGCGAATAGTTTGTCTCGGCCCACTGTTCCCACACGTTCAGCAGGGTGAAATGATCGCCGCCTGCGCGGACGAAGTTCTGCCGAGCCTGGTCCGCATGCAACTTCTTGTCCTTTGGCCGGTAGAAGAGCGACGATGACTCTTGCAGCATCGAGATGATAGTGAGGACCTGGCATGGCGTGAATATCAATGATCTATGCTCAAGTGAACTTCGTGGCAGACATACCTCGTCGGTACAGTGGTAGTGCTCGCTTGCGATAATTGCTTTGGACAACATTGGGTCCACCGGGAACTCGGCCATCCGCCGTCCAAGCTTCGTCAGTTCTCCCCGGTCGTTGAGCGCCCCAAGCGCATAGAGCAGCTCCAGCGCACGCATAAGGGTCTCTCCTGGCGGCGGATCCATAAACTCGAACCCGATTAAGTCGTTGATACCAAGCGACTTCAGGAGCAAAACCACCATTCCCAGGTTCGTCCGCTGAATCTCCGGCACGGTATTCTCTTCCAGCTCGTTCGCGTACGCCCACTTGGTGTACAGCCGGAACGCCTTTCCAGGCCCTACTCGCCCCGCACGACCCGCGCGCTGGTTGGCCGACGCGCGCGAACAGGGCACGACAACGAGTGAGGACATGCCCGTGCGCGGGTTATACGAGTTCTGCTTGACGAAGCCCGGATCGATGACGAACACGACGCCTTCGATCGTAATGGACGTCTCGGCGATGTTCGTCGCGAGCACGACCTTGCGTGCGCCCTCGGGCGTCGGCTCAAAGATCTTGGCCTGCATGTCGCTCGGCAGGTTCGCGTAGATAGGGCAGACGATCAGCTCTGCGATCTTGTTCCCTAGAGCGCGAGAGGTTTCCTGCAAGTTCTCCTGTGCAGCCTCGATTTCGTCCTGTCCGGTGAAGAATACGAGGATGTCGCCACGAGGTTGTGTAGTGTGGATCTGGAAGACAGTCGTGATGGCTGCGTGCAAGTAATTCGCCTCTGGTTGCGGGGTGTAGTGAATGTCGACTGGATATCGTCGGCCGGGTACTGAAGACAGACCTTAGTCACGACCTGACGGAAAGGATTTATGAAAAACATACCATAGAAAACAGGCGCGTTATCGAAGTACTCGCTGAACTTCGCAGCATCCATAGTCGCGCTTGATATCAACAAGCGTAGCTCTGGCCTGAACCTAGCAATATCCTTTGCGTTCTCCGTGAGCACCTGCGAAACATGAACACCGAGTCATATGACGCACCTTGACAAGAGCAAAGAGGATGTCCGTACTCAGCGTGCGTTCATGCGCCTCGTCGATGATCAGCGCAGAGTAACCCGCTAGATCCGGCTCTGTCAAGAACTCGCGCAGTAGCATGCCGTCCGTCATGTACTTGAGTACCGTCTTGTCGCTCGTGCAGTCTTCGAACCGGATGGAGTACCCGACCTCGTATCCTACCTTCGTCCCCATCTCCTCGGCAACGCGCGCCGCCACGGACATCGCCGCCACACGTCGGGGCTGTGTGCAACCGACTTTCAGGCCGTTCGCGGTGTACCCGGCTTCGTGGAGATACTGAGGGAGTTGTGTGGTCTTACCCGACCCAGTTTCGGCGACGACAATGAGGACCTGGTGCTCCTTGATTGCTTGCAATAGCTCTTCTCGGTACGAATAAATCGGGAGAGACTTTCGCGTCTCGTCGATCGACTTGGCTAGAGATTGAGATGAGCATGAACCTAGGATCACAGATGCTAAGTGACTGACCTCGCTGTTCCGCCTCCTCGATTTGCTGCTGCAAGAGTTTGTCTGTCGCGGACATGTTGCCTTCGCCGCCCAAGGTACTCTCCATGACGAACTTGATCGTCTGACTCTCGTCGAATACATAGTCATACTCTTCGACAATCTCTTTCCTGTCCATAGCACCCGTCTTGAACGTACTGTGCTTTGTCTGCGCAGTCTCCCACTGATCGATGTCGGTCGTGAACTGATCGTCCTTTGGTTTGGCCTCCTCGTACCGTTGGTAAAGTACACCTTCTTTCCGCTTCTTGTCAATCTTGCCTTGCTCCGTGATGTAATCCTCCGGTAGCATGTAGCCCTCGTACTTGTCATCGATCTTGAGCCTTTCCTCGACAATCCGCAGAAGCTGCTTTTTCCGCTCGAGATCCTTACGTTCACGTTTCGAGACCTTCATCCCGACAAAGAGAGCTTCATCGTCTGTGATTTCACGGCGCAGCAGCTCTATCCGTTGCATTTCTCGCTTTGTTAGGTATTCCTGCCGTGAGTGTTCTCGTAGCTTGGGCATGGCGAGTCCCCGTGCATCAGCATCCTCGGCGAGTCGTCGTCGTTCAGCGGCCTCCGCCGCCGCACCGACAGCTTTTGAAGACCTATCCTCCACAACGCGCTTTGTCTGCTCTCGATCGCGTTGCTTGACCCGTTCTGCGAACTCGTCTCGCTCTCTCAGGTCCTCCAGCCGTTGTCGCTCCTTCCGCGCCTCCTCATCCTCCGGTGTCTCCATATCCAGGTCCTCCTCCGCTGCCTGCTTATCGTGGTAGTCTCCGTCATCCGTCCTCGCCCTCTTTCTCGCCTTCTCTTCATCGTCACTCTCCCATTCCTTCGCGTCGCTCTCCCGTTTCCGCACATGTCTTTCGCGCTTGTCCTTCGCGCTACTTCGACCTGAGGCTTTCACCCTGTCACTCTTCAGATCCGACGTACCCTGATCTGCTTCGTCTTCGAGCAGGAAGCCGAACTTCTGGGAGTGCAGCAGCTTTGACTGTTCCTCCGCCTGCTTACGAGCCAGGTCAGAAGACTTCTTTGCCTTGGTTTTGCGGGGAGCGCGCGAGAACACCTCTTGCGCGAAGCGGTGTGCGTCGGGCGAGTCTGGTAAACCGGAAGCATTGAGCGCGGTGAAGAGGGCTTCAGGAGACTTCGAAGATGAGGCTATAGGTGTACACTCGTAAGTGACTGGACGTCAACAATTGCTAAGAGAAACTACATGCCTGACGCTACGACATAGTCGATGATGCTTCGGTCAGACACACCAAAGAACTGATGTGGCTGAGTCAGACCAAGGACAGATCTTTCAGTACAACTCACGTACCCGTAATGAATTATCACTGATGTACCGTTCCAGCTCGGAAGACATGGCGGTAGATAGGTGGACTTGGAAGCGGGTTAATTCGCTCAGATCCGGGACATGTGCAGTGCAAGGACCGTCAGGTCTGTTTCAGTTAGATTCGGAGAAGCTGTGAGAGCGAGTAGGAGGCCGACTGGAGAAATTCACGGAAGACAGAGCTGGTCGACTGCGAGTGAGTCTCGAGTTCGCTCCGAATCGCTCGCACTCTCTCGCACTGCGGCACTCGACGTGCCGGGACCGCCACTTGCGTTACATAATCCCTGTAACAGGCCAGATCCCTGTCCCGATACAGTGACGCTATGTAACGCACTGGCATATGAAGGCTTGAGCTACAGTAGTACTCCGTCTCTACAGTAAGTACTTGCACGAGACTGACTGACCCGACCGAGCTCGAATTACCTGAGGGCCAACGCGCAATATTATGGATATCGCTTCATAATTGAGGCCAGAGATCCCTCAACAGGTGCGGCCAATCGAGCGCTAGCGTCTGATAGTCAATCAAACATCGTGCACCTCAATGCTCATACTAATAGGAGTACAGTACGTACCGACAACTCGCCATCGGTTCATGGAAGAACTGAGTATGCGACGCATAGCTGGCCGACAACGGTCAGGCGAATGCAGCATCATCGATCGTGACTTGCGCGTCTATTTAACTAGGCTGGTCTCGCACTGTCTCGAAGCGACGAAGCCGGTCAAGGTGACTTCCTGGACCTACTACATATATATCCTAGTAGCGGTCGACGGGTTTTCTCTGACCGCGACTTGCCTAGCTCATTACTAGCTGCTCTCTCGACCGTCGGAGATACGTGTCAGTCATTGAAGAACCATCCAGTCGTACGTCATTCTCAGGACTATCCCTACACCTGAGACTCAGAGAACACGCACACTACTACATAATACGCCTTCCAGCAAACAGCCGCGATCCTCGCATTTTGGAAACCGAAGGGCCTTGTCACCGCCGTGTAACACGCTAGACTACGCGAAACCATAATGTCTCCGAGTCACCCCCTCATCGGCAAGCCTGCACCTACCCTCACGTTGCCCAATCACAATGGTGAGACCTACACTATAACACCTGGCGCAAACGGGGTGCCTATTGCTCTGTTCTTCTATCCCGAATCAGGTACGAACCTCGCACGTTGTTGGGAGTCCTCTGAGAGACCTGATATGACATCCGTTATCCAGGGTCGTTCGGCTGCACCAAGGAGGCCTGCGACTTCCGAGACGCTCTTGCCGGTAATTCAACGTCCAATCGCATCGCTTGAACACGAACTGACTGTAGCTTGGGAAACGGGAACATATAGCGAAGGAACTTTACAAGCGAACAAAAGTGGACATCGTTGGTGTGAGCAAGGATCCCGTTGAGAAACAGAAGGCTTTCGTGGAGAAGCAGAAGTTGACGGTGAGCAAATCATTAGCGTTCCCGTCTTATCTGATTAAATGGAAGAGTGCTGCTAGTACCCTGTTCTGAGCGATGCGAATGGGGAGGCAAGGAAGGCGTACCACGTAGGAAAGGGCCTCATGGGTCTCACGGACGCACGCGTCACCTTCTTCATCGACTCCAAGGGAGTCGTTCGGTGAGATACCATGCCTTGTGTGCGATTTCTGCGACTCACTGTTGTCCCTGTACAGTGATGCACTAGACACAACGATCAACTATGGCGCGCACGAGAAGTTCGTCACGAAGTGGCTCGATAAGATTGACGCAGAGGAGAAGCAGGATACCCAGGCTAGCGGAGCAGTTCCCACTCCAGAACCTGCGGCTGGAGGACAACCCACCGAAGCGCAGCCCACGGCACCGGCTAGTGACGCGGCCTAAGCTTAGCACGATTCACATCGACCCATACCGCTATCTGCGGGCTACGTACCGAGCTTGGGAAAGAATTCGAAGGATTGAGTTCTACGTAGGCTTGGCCTGGAGTGTCGACACGTCGGAGTTCCCGCGGATGAGCAGAGGTAGCGGCCGTAAATCCTGAGCATTACTAGTGATATTACGGTGGTGTACGATAGCGATACATGGGATGCGAGCAAGCGCGCCAATGACAACTCATTTGTTCATGGCATCTGACATCAAGGGAAGGCACCTCAGTTGCACAGTTGACACGGAGCATCCGGTGTTACGCACCAGCATTTTGTTCTGCAAAGCGAGCCCCAACACGTTCAGAGTGTTTGAGGAACTTGTCCGTACAGTTCATCACGCACTGCTCCTGGATGGCGGTACCTCTGCTGTCAACAGTCGAAACGAGACACTGGGTCCTGAAGGGCTCACCTCTTTTGACGACAGCGCCTTGCTCGTGAAATCGTTACAGCACGAATTAAAGCACCGCTCCACAAGGTTGGAATACATCCGCAGGAAGTCTTGCATCTGTGGTCGCGTACACCACCGATCAGGGCGGGACACACGTGTGCAGCAGATATACAAACTCACCTGCTTCTTTTCAATGACCTTCGACATATGGGCCTGCTCGGCCGCGTTCATTTGCGAGAAGTCCATGGTGGCAGAGCTGTGGTTTGGCTGTGGTGATGGATGGCCGTGACAGACGACGGCGTCAGAGCGACACCTCAAACAAAGAGGCGCCGCCACAGAACAGGGTCACGTGGTAATCATTATACGCGGGAAATGCAGATGTCAAGCGGAGTCACGACCCGCCACCGTGAAATTGTTCTGGGATCATCTCACCTTCGCTCCGCCACCCGAGCTTTGCACGTTTCCTGCCGAATCTTGTCTGGCCTGCTGTGTCCACAGACGAGTTCACACGTTGCACCCAGACTATCGGACATCAGCACATCAAAATCAGTGGGTATAAAGAGACCATGACTTCCACATTTCTGCATCCCGCAACCACCTTCCCCAGCTTCGCATATTTACGCTCACCTTCTAGTGTCGACTGGCATGGCCATTACTATTAGAGAGGCTCTCGACAAGCTGGACGACCGCCGCGTACGAAACATCCGCCCTTTGATCCCCCCGCAAATTCTGCAGGAGGATCTTCCTCTGTGAGTGCCGTTGCGCTGTGCCCACTGCTATTGTCTAACATAAGTTAGGACACTGAACGCTGTCCAGACCGTTCTGGAAGGGCGGAAGGCGACAGAGAACATCCTCCACTCAAAGGATGACCGACTTCTAGTCGTGGTGGGGTAAGTCAGGTCCGTCCTTCAACGGACGCTCCTGTTGACGGTGCTGCAGCCCATGCTCTGTCCACAACGTCGAGTCGGCGATGCAATATGCGCGACTGCTCCGCGTATACGCTGAGGAGGCGAAGGATGATCTCCACATCATCATGCGGGTCTACTTCGAGAAGCCCCGTACCACCGTCGGGTGGAAGGGACTCATCAACGATCCGGACATGGACGGCACCTTCCAGATCAACAGAGGGCTTCGCATCGCTCGTACCTTGCTCCTTGACATTGCGAAGCTCGGACTTCCGGCAGGCTGCGAGTTCTTGGATACCATCAGTCCGCAATACACAGCAGATCTCGTGTCCTGGGGCGCTATTGGGGCGCGGACGACGGAGTCCCAGGTGCACCGGGAGCTCACCTCGGTTCTGTCTATGCCAACGGGGTTCAAGAACTCGACCGACGGCAGCGTCGGCATTGCCATCGATGCTTGCAGAGCAGCCAGCCAACCGCACGTCTTCCTGAGTGTGGGAAAGGAAGGTCTGAGCAGCATTGTGGAGACGTTGGTAGGTTGTCAGAAATTCAATGTATCTCCATACGCTCAGTATTCCTCAGGGCAACCCGGACGTGCACGTAATTCTCCGTGGTGGGGCAAGCGGTCCCAACTATGCAGCCGAGTATGTCCGCGATTGTGGGGCTAAACTCGCCAAGGCAGGCTTCGCGCAAAAGATCATGGTTCGTCTCACAGTCGGCTCCATGTATCTCAGATTTCTCACTGCTCGGTATTCCATGCAAATTCCATGTCAGATTGACTGCAGCCATGGGAACAGTCAGAAGCAGCACAAACGCCAGATCGACGTTGCGGAAGATATTGTATGTATTCGCTTCGCGATATGCTTGCATCGTGCACTTACACCTCCCGCAGGCACAACAGCTGGAATCTGGGGAAACTTCTGAGATGATTATGGGCGTCATGATCGAGTCTAACCTTGTGGAGGGTCGCCAGGACATTCCCGTATCTGGACCCGCCGGTTTGATATACGGCCAGTCGGTGACTGGTAAGTTACGTCGCATGATTATGTCGACTAAATGTTCTGATGGTTTCCCAGATGCATGCCTCTCATGGGAGCAGACGGTCCCGGCTCTGGAACGCCTCCGCGAGGGTGTTCGCGGCCGTAGGGCTTTGGTTCGGAATAGGTCGAGGGGTGCAAGCTTCAGTGCTACGAAAGCGAACGGTGTCAATGGCGTCAAGGCCAATGGGATCGTCGTGCCTGAGCTCGCCAAAGTGAACGGCACGAACGGCGTGACGGCGTGAACTCGATGTACCAAAATAATCATCGCTGTATCAGTGTCTTGTTAGAGTAGATAGTCTTGTACGCTGGATCAGAGTAGCTTTACTGCATGGACCTCACCGCCAACGCGGATTCAGTCAAATTCGCAACCTTGCGACCACGTGCTCGACGCCACAACGCCTCGGCTAACTCAGCCCGAGGCGCGGTTTGGGTGCGGTATGCTGGCGGTATGTACGTCCCTCCTCTGCTACGCACCGGTACCGCAATGTCCGACTAGATTCCGCTCGCTGCACCTCTCCTGTCGTTTCTCGTTGGCTCGATTTCTCAGAGTTTAGAAGCTCTCTATTGGCGCGAGTTGCCGACTGCTTCGAAAAGCTGACCCCTCGTTCTTCTGGTGCCCCGATGTCTCGCGCTTCCTCAGTTGGCCATACTTTCATTTCATTCGATGGATCCGCGAGGTCGACGTGGAAAGCAGTGGTGAGAAATATCACAATTCTCTGTCAACTGAAATCTAGCTGATTTGTTGCTAGGCCTTCTACGTGGTTCTCAACACGTGGAATGAGTGGCTACACGGTCCAAATGACACCAGCCTCCATGACGTCCGTTCCTTGCCGTCAGAGGCTGCGGCACGTCTCTTGCTTGTGGAGGTAATCAAGCTGTGTCTGAGCCTGGTGCACTCCCTGTGGAACTCGAGATGGACTTCGCGGTACGCCTCCACCGGTCCGCACTACCCAGACGAGGAGGAGCTCGAAGCCTCAGATCTCACAGACTCTCTGAGGCTCTATTCTCATGGCCATGAGAGTCCGCGGGGATCTGTGGAAGGCATGGTTGCTATATGTCCGCCGATTAGGCCATTCGCGCTCGCGCACGTCTTCGTCGTCGCCACCGTGTTTGCGTTCTACCAGTACAATGTAGGATGCTCGAAGCGCTTGGAGAAGGCGTTCTGGATGTTCACACACTGATTGCAGGTCGCGCTCGCCCGGGATCTCACTGACCCCCTCACATTGTACTTGGCTCTGTCTGTCGGAACGCTATGCACGTTGTTTTTATCGTCTCTCGTGCTTCTTCATTTGTTTTCTGCCATCCAATGGCATGCCGCGATCCTTCAGGTACGTCGGAAGACAGTGTATGCTTCGGTGCTTTGTGGAACTCAAGCTATTGCGCAGTCCTGTGGATTTCTGGTCGTCCAGGTAAGTCTCACAGCACAAGCTCTGTCGCCGCCGGCAATATAACCTGCTACAGATGTGGCTCGCTTTGCACGTCTCTCCGCACATATCCTATCCGATTCTCATCAGTGCAGCGTTCTCTCAGTCAATATCATCTGTGCTATGCAAACATGTGTGTGGACACTTCCGATGTGGAATATTTGGAACGAATCGCTCACGCGCTGTAGCTTTATACCGTGTATGGAAACGTACCTTGGCCTTCTCTAAATAATGCCCTCTTTGCATTTGGCATCCTTATTCGCCTGGTGATATACTCGGTGTCAGCCGAAGACGAGTCATTCCGGGACGCATTGGGTCCTATCCCGCTGCGGACGCTCTTCTCATCTGGGGTGCGTGCCATAGCAGAGGTATCCTGGCTCGCAGTGATATATTGTACGTGATATTCTTGTTCGGGGTACATTGGAAGGCTGACGAGCGTAGACTGGGATCCTGCCGCCCAGGCTGTCCTATCGTCAACAAGCATCGCGGTATACGTGCTCATTGTCAGCTCCTGGTCTGGGAACGCTTGGCTGGGAGTCATCCTCGGTTGTTTCCTCGTCATCTCAGCCTGCGCCATATATGTCTTTCATCAATCGGATACAGACGAGGAACAACGACATGGGAAGGTGCGCACGCTGTCATCGCTTTCCTCTGGCAAATCCTAATGGAGATCGGTACCAGAAGCCTTGGTTCCCCTTCCGCAGGACAGCGAGCGGGGCAGTCCTTCTGTCCGCCGCCTGCTATCTCGCCTTCACCGCGTCTCACGAGTGGGGGAGCGCGCTCCACCACCCAGGCAGGCCGCTCTCTGTGGGCGACCTCGCCGTCAGCTCTCCATCAAGATGCATGCGGAAGCCCCTTGCGTCATGGGGTTACTGGCCCGGCGAACGCACGTACCATGCCTTTGACAACGTACTGCTGATTGTCTTCTTCAGCCATGCGCGATACGACGCCAACCTGGACTTTTATCGGGAGGTGTACTCGCAGTTCTTTCCCAACGTGGGTGTTTCCTGAGTGTAAATCCCTCGCGCGCTCAGCGCCCCAAATCCGCATCACAGATCGTCTTCGTCGGGCCTGGGACGCGCGAAGACAAGGGCTTCCAGCACTCGTATGACGTACTCGTGGACTCGTACCAGTCGGACGAAGATCTCTCTGACCCGGCGTTCTTCAAAATGGCGGGCAGGGTGCGTCCCACGCGCGTGCGCACCGACATGTTCTCACTTTGTCATAGATGGCGCATCACATGCTCTTTACGGCGATGAAGGAATACGATTGTTACGACGGGTACCTCTGGGCACCATTCGACACGCTTCTCAACGTCCCACGCCTGCAGCTGTTCGACCAGCGATACTTTTGGTACCACTCCCCCGCCGCGACGTACGTGCCTAACCCGGCCCTGGGCGATGCAGCAGCGAATAACAACGCGAGTCGGCATGCACCTCCCGCGAATATCTCGCCTGACCCGTACCTCGATCTCACGTCAACATGGAAGGGCTGGGGACAGGATTGGTGGTAAGGCATAATTTATCAGGTTCTGACATTCGCTGATTATACTGTGGGCCGTTAGGTGGGGGTGAGTAGGCAGTGTTGATTGAGAGAACCAACCTCACTTGTTTGTTTGTGATATAGTGATCCCCATGTTGGCCTGAGCGTGTGTATGCCGGCCTTCCACCGCGTCCCGCCGCCACTGCGAGAGCAGTTCAGAGAGCGGATGGCACCATACACGAACGGCACGACACGCCTCATAGGCGGCTCGGCCGACACGCTATACATCCCCGGCAGACATCGGCAAGTATTCATGGATACGCTCGCGCTGTTTCTCGAAACGGACTGCTTCCTCGAGATTGCGACGCCCACAGTCGTCCATCTCTCCGCAGCCCTCGAGGAGCCGATCCTCTTCGTAGACCATGTGAGTTTTCCTTTCACCGACTCTGACTGTCGCTCACGCATCCCTCTCCTACAGTGGTGGATCTGGCAGCCTCCCTTCAACGCGACGTACGTGCGACAAAAGTGGGCGCAGGGGTACGAGGTGGACACATTCCATACGTTCCACTGGGGCGACCGCGACTCGAACGGGGTGTGGCGCGGCAACCCCGCACACATCGCGGACGTCCGCGCGCTGTTGGCAGAGTCCGCGCGGCGCCAGGACGTCGAGTGGCCCTGGACTAGTAGCGCGCTCCCGGACACTGCTCCGACGCCGGAGCCGACGTCATAGGACGAGCGCACTTCCCGACCTGTACTCCCGATCGTACGCCTTTCCCGGATTGAACAATGAGTACATGGACCACTACCGTATACCACGCGCTACATATATATCATCTTTCGTTGCACGACACTTACCTCCATCTTTTGTTTTACTGACCGTCCATTCTTTATATACAGGATAGGAAAATAATCATAATAACCGCATGCACATCCTACTTCCTCCGTCGTACATGTGGTGATACGGATACTTGATACCGGACACAATTGCACGAGATGATGTTGTAACCTGGTACACGGCCAGTACTAGTATTTGATCGAATGCATGGATGGTGTACAGAACTAGTAACTGACCTTGCTCCTTGAATGTGAACTGGCGGCTAAATAGACCCCCGGTCCTCCTCCTCCTCCCCTCCTCCTCCACTCCACCGCAAGCTTGCTGTCGTCTAGAAAGCCCTTATAGCCCTTCAGCTTCAGATTGAAGCTTAGAGTCTGAGGAGCCGGTGATCGGGTCACATTTCGGCTTCATGATTAGCGCGCAAAGCTGGCCTCCAGGTTCATCTTGGGTTCATCCATCTTATCCGACGTTCTCCTGCACGACGGTCGGAGACCATACCACATGGCTACATGATATTATATTATATGTCCGGAGAATGGACGATAGCGGAGGACTCGAAGTGGTCGACTCCGCAGCGGTCCTTGCTGCCTAAGTTAACAATGTCCTGGCCGAGTAGGTAGTCACAGCTTGCCCAGAGCTGCGGGTTGTGGTTGCCGGTATAACCAGGTACATATCCACACATAGGGGCTCCGATTTCCTCGGTCAGCCAGCCTGAGCCAGGGGCGGCCAGGAGAGCTCCCCGCAACAGAGGCGGGAGGACCTTTCAAGCAGGCTAGAGCAGCCATCAAATTCGATCATCTCGCGGCTCAACGACGTGTGCTCACGATCGAATCGCGAGCTGCGGTCTGGGTGTCTTCTGGATGCCTTCGGAGATGGACTACCCGAATGGGTCAGGTATGCGTAAAGCGTTTGTAGACGTACAGGTACAGCCACCTACCTCCGAATTGTCCACGACGAAAACGTTTCAGCTGCGTCACAAGCTCCCAGCGTGCCCATGGTGGGTTCGGAAGACGAGGAGAGCAGCGACGTGCGGACAGACCTGAATTATTGCGTTGCGTTCCTGGGACTCCTGAGTCCTGTCTGAGTGGAGTTGAGGCTAGCTGGAGGCTAGTTGAGGTCCAGCAGCGGGAATACCATTCGCCGCCGATCCCCGTCGACTCCGTTCAAGTTGGTCGTCGGCGCCCCAGGCACCGCCGCAGGCTCTGTATCGAGCAAAGAAGTGGTCGCGCTGAGAATGTGGCCTGCTCGTTGGGTGAGGCGGAGCGGTGTGGATCAGACCACTGACAGATAGATCGCACAAGGTTTGGTGAGACTTGGGTGAGACTAAGAACTTTGTCCGCGCGGTGCGCGATACGGACATTCCCAATTGATATGGGCGCCCGCGCTCTGCGGTGCAGGGTAACTGGCCGCTGCCCATGGTCGGCCTGCACATCATCTCGTCGCTGCGTGCGGCGCTCGAACAGCGACACGGCGGTGTGCTCGGCCAGGAGATGCGGCGGGGACGTGCGCTGGACGAGACGAGACGGTGGCAACTGGGTGGCAAAGATCAGGCTGGCTGATGATCTGTGGCCGGCGGCTGTAGCACCGCCCAGCGCTAGCCGCCGAGATCCTGGCTTAGCCTTGTATATACCTGCCATCGCATGCCCCTCTTCCTCCCGGGTTTCCCTCCTTTCCCTCTTGACGACCACCTCCGTCCCCGGCCACCACCATGTCTGGCAACGACACCAACTCGTCCAGCAGTGGCAACGACACCGTCTCCCTCCCGGCGTCGCTCGACCTCCCGCCCCACCTCAGCGCCCAGAAGTACTTCTTCGTCTGCACCCTTACAGTCGCGGCCTGGGATGTCCTTGTCCTTACCCCCCGGACATGGCGGCTCATGAAGAGCCGCGGCTGGCCGCTCCTCAAGCTCATCTACTACTTCCTACGGCTTTACACTCCGATTGAGTTCACTATCGTCGGTGCGTCCCCCGGCCCGTCGGTCGCAATGACTCCGCTTATCATGAGTCTCCAGGTGTTGCTTTCTTCGATACCAACTGGTCGCTGGAGGTGAGCAGACAGTGTGAGGTTGCATCCGGGGACTCTATCTGACACTGCTGTAGCGTTGTTCCCACTTCTTCCTTTTCGAACCGATCTGTACCGCCATTCTCCTTGCGGTGACCTCATTTGTCCATGTCTACCGTGTCCACGCTATCTACGACAAAGATAGATCCATCCTCTATGGGATGGGTAGTCTCTACGCCATCCAGATCGTCGTCACGGCCATTTGCTGCGGCTTCTACCGAGGTACGCTACATTGATTTTCGCTTTTTCGCCATCGCTAACAAACATTTGCAGTGACACCGCTCAGGGAGGGCCAAGGCTGTATTGCAGAGCCAAAGCACAGCTGGGTTGGCATCTACTGGCTGTCTACGACGCTCCTCTACACCGCCTCGGTAAGCTCGGTGATCATGTCATCAGGGGGTGTGTCGCTCATAATAATACGCCGGTCAGCTGGTTTTGGCGGTCAGACGTTCACACAGGTCATACAAAGCGAAGCCCAACAACCTCTGGAAGCTCATGCTCCGTGATGGCCTGAACCTCTACTTGGTGAGTAGCACGGATATCCTCAGAGATGGGTGCTGACCAGTGCGGCGTACCGCAGGCTGTCTGGCTCGTTAACGTGATCAACATGCTGTTCTGGTTCATCGTCAAGCCTACGGGCCCCGAAGATCCCATCCGCACCATTGTCACCAGGTAGATTATCATGCGCAACTATTTCACAACTTTTTCATTGATCACTTTCTATTTTAGCATGGCTGCCGTCCTCACGGCATCCATGACCATGCGCATCGTCCTCGCTGTTCGCGGACCTCTCACGAACGGTGGCCGTTACGCGGGTTCGAAGCAGTCTGCTGCGCGCTCAAATGGCACCGTGCGCTCGCGCGGGCCCACCGGCCAGGGCACGAACCCCGTGCTGTCCGTCCAGCAGGTGCAGCCCGCGACGTACACCGTCCCGCTCGGTACGGAGGCCAAGGACCCCGACTGGACGGGCGAGGACGGCAAGAGCAGCATGAACGAGCGCGAGAAGGGCGGCATCTACGCCATCGAGCCCGCCGTCGTCGAGGACGTGCGCAAGGACGACGCGGTCCGGATCGCCATCAGCACCGAAATCCACGAACAATATCCGCGGGAGAAGTAGGTGCTGTGTATTGCGAAAAGGCGACGGCGAATTCGATTCTTGGGCTGTTGTTGTGTGTTTTGTTAGGATGGAGGTCCGTGGACGGTGGCTTCTTCATCTATCCTGCTTCATCGTCGTCCATGTGCATATGTGTACGATTTAGGTTGTATTTATCTAGTGCTTGATTTGCCGTGCGTTACTACTTGTCGCTCTCTATAACGCACCCCCTGCATAGCTAGCGTGGCTATATAGAACTGTTATTTCCCCCAAGATGTGCGCTCCCGTGCAAATTGGCGATCCTCCGCGGTCCTAAGGGTTACAGTCGTTCCCGCTGTATGTAACTTACTGTACCTCGGTGCATTCTGTCACATCGGCCCTGAGTTGCTCAGGCACTCAGACGTTTTGAGATTTCGGCTTGGTCGCCGATCTACATGGAGGAGACAGCAGATTTTGACTCTTCAGGGCCCCGTGAGTGTAGGGCAACAACTGGCAGCAATATCAGGCAGCCGTGCAGAATCAAATGCAGACCAAGGCTAAGCCGCGTGTTACTGGACGCCTCGACCTGTCGCTTATATTGAACCTCTGCCGGCGACTGTCAAGGCGATGTTTGAGTCACAAGGCCAATTCGTTCTGTCTGCATGCCTCCCAAAGCTGCATGCATATGGAATTCTGCGCTACTGTAGGCTACTGTACGTCCCCATGGGGTTTCAAATTTCATGCCTTAGCCCGGCATGCCCACGCTGCACCGGCAACCTTGCCCGGTCCAACGTCGCCTAAAAGCATAATCACTAGCATGTCCCCATGGCCAAGTCGACCCATATATCACCCGCGACGACCGTGACCATTGGGGATAGTTCGTTGCACCTCCGCCTCGGACTGTGCACATACCCAGTACCGGTTTGAACCCGCCCTCAGTGATCACTCCGAGCCAGGATGGTCTTCAAGTCGCCGTTCCCCGAGGTGCCGCCCCTGCCTGACCAGAACGTGCACGACTTCATATTCAACTCGGGGCGCACGCCGGAGACGGATTATGTCCTCCACATCGACGGCCTGACGGGGGAGAAGAGGACGTTCTCCGAGTTCGTCGAGAGAGTGCGGACCGCTGCGACAGCGCTATCCCAGCCCCGCCCCGAGGGTCCCGGGGTCGATGGAGAGCGAGAGATCGTAGGGATCTTGAGCCATAATTCCCTGGTGAGCCTGCCTGTCACAGCGTCCTCGCGAGTGAATATCGAGACGGGGTATTGATTGCGAACCGCAGGACTACATAACCCTCGTCCACTCGCTGTTGGTGCTCGCAGCTCCGATTGCACTGTTGTCTGCCTATGCCACCGCCTATGAACTGGCCTACGCTATACGCACCTCCAAGGCGACATGCCTTTTCGTTGGACCTGACCTATTGCCTGTCGCGCTGCAAGCAGCCCGGGAGGTCGGCCTGCCGGAAGACCGAATATACGTGCTGAGCGGGCATGTCAAGGGGAAGAAGAGCTTAGCGGACTTCATTCATGAAACTCGGGAACGGCGGATACCTATGGTTCCCGTGAAGCCAGCAACGAAGGACACACTCGCGTACCTCATATTTTCCAGCGGCACAACGGGGTTACCCAAAGGCATGTCTGTTCCCCTGCCCACCTCTTCGAGGCTCACAACTGTAGAACCTCACAGCTGTGATGGTCACACACGGGAACATCGCCTTTACATATCTGCAGAACGACATATGTCTCAAGGCTGCTGCTTTACCTACGTCAGTGAGTACATCAGGGAGTCTTATGCCTGCGGAAGTCTCAATCACCCTAGCCATCTCCTCCTGTCGGGTTGGCGTTCCTGCCCTTCTACCATACATATGGCCTCCACATGATCTGCCTGCGCGGGCTCTGGTGGCCCGTGACATACGTCGTGATCCCGAAATGGGACGCCGATTTCGTTCTGAGACTCATACCGAAGTGCGTGTCGAGTGTCGGGTGCTTCTCTCCGCTTCCTGACCAGCGCCTCAGATACCGCGTGAACATCCTCTACATGATCCCCTCAGCGCTGCACCAGCTCGCATACCATAAGAAGCTGCGGGCGGAGGACTTCGCCACCGTCATGTCCATAATCTCCGGCGCCGCACACCTGCCTCCTATGCTCGCGGAGTTCTTCAAGAAGGCGATCAGGGCAGGCCCCGAGTTTGCTTTTGCCGAAGGTGAATATTCGTTGCTTCACTCGGCTTATGCCAAGGCCTAGCTAATCCCCGGCACGGACAGGTTTCGGCATGTCTGAAGTGGTGAGCCAAGCATTCCGATAGCCTTCGAACATTGGGTGCTCAACATCAAGTATCATAGACGATCAGCGCAACGCGCCAACCAGGACCCAATATGTTCGGCGGTCGAATACCTGCCGTGCTCGGCTCAGCAGGCGTCCTGCAGCCTGGTATGGAGGGTAAGATCGTGAATGAAGATGGGAGCGAGGCAGGTGTGAACAAGCCCGGCGAGCTCTGGCTGAGAGGAGGGAATGTCGTGCCTGGTTATTGGCAGAATGAGGAAGCGACGAGGAAGACGTTCTCGGACGGCTGGCTCAAGACGGGTGACCAGTTCAGGGTGGATGAGCTTGGCAGGTTATAGTACGTGTTCTTGCGCCGGTCGGCTTCGCAGAAGAGCTGATAGTGTCACTCTTTAACACTCTGTATAGCTTCCTTGAACGAGCGAAGGTACGTCCTACTCTCCGTTTATATATGCTCAGCGTCTCAGCTAGTCTTCGCAGGATACCATGAAAGTCTCAGGTTCACAGGTCGCACCCACAGAGATCGAGGCACTCCTCATGGCTCACCCAGAGAGCCTCCTCGTAGACGCATGTGTCGCCGGTGTGTCTGGTGGGCGGACATCAGACGAGAAGATCCCGCGCGCATGGGTAGTCCTCAGCGATAATGGTCGTAGGATCGGAAGCCGTGAGGTCATCCAGAGGCTGGAAGAGTGGACGAAGAAGAACTTGAGCAAGTACAAGTGGCTGAGAGGAGGGATCGATACTGTCGATGAGGTGAGACGTTTCGTCAGCTGGAGTGTGGGGAGTAAACCTGACGATATGGTGGATGCCAGATACCAAAGTCACCCACAGGGAAGGTACTCCGACGTGCGCTGCAGGACCGCCACGAGAACGAGCTGCGCAACCCTCGTGCAAGGTTGTGACCACGCTATCTATCATCTAGCACACGCCGCCGTTGTTTGGATACTCACTTGACACCATATTGCACGGACCGTGGACGAATCGCTGTAAGAACTACGTACCATGGAACTGTACGCGGACTCTCTTGTATACTACGAAATGCCACGACGATCGATAACTTACTTGCTGTTCGGGATCTGGTCGTGATCAACTTACTCAACTTGGGATCGTTCGCAAGCTTCACACATCGTCGTGTCCTTGGTGGTGGTCGAACCTCGGGAGAGTATGTATACGGTCACCTGACTGACGCGCGCCGCGACCTTCGCGACGACCGCGACACGCCTGAAACATCTTGCCGAATTGATGCCGTATGATCTCATCCTCTCGCTTATGGTTAGGTTAGAGAGCATTACGACGACCGAACGACGACCACATCGGAGGCCTGAAATGCTTTCCCCCGCACCCGCATCTGACATTCACCTATGCTTCCATGTCTTCTGACTCTACGTTTCTTCTAGCGTAAGTTTCCACCTCTGTCAATCCCTGCCAGTCTAGCTATCTCGCTCACATCGTGACCAGAACTCTCTTGCTGATGTACACAGCGATGGAGGAAGACGATATGCTTGACTATACTTCTGACGAAGAACGCTTCAGTGAAGACGATTGGGTAGAAGAGCCGTCCACCTCGTCGGCTCGCAAACGATCGCATGACGATGTGGAGGCTGATCAAGACGCATACGACGATGACGAGGACGACGATGGTGGCGACGTCGACGTTGAAGAAGAGTTGGACCATCCAGCATCGAAACGCCAGAGGGTAGATGACGACGCACTGGTCCCCGGTGTGATCACCAAGACTGGGGAGGAGATACGGGCACGCGCCTTGCAGCCCATGGTAGAAAATCAGCGACGTGACAACGGCGCGCAGAGCGGTCCATCTTCGGAGACAGGTGGACGAAGAACCCGCCAGCCTTCGCCTTCACCAGGTCGCCCCGACCCCTATGATGCGACACTTCCACCTCCCTGCGACACCTGGATCCAGCTGCGCCTCCAGCTCTTTCGCTTTAAGGGTGTCTATCGCATCGTCCGATTTCCGCTGAACTACACCTTCGCGACGTTGTACAGGTTCCTGATGTACAGCTTCGGATGGTCCGGCGAGCACCTGCACGAATTCAACGTCTTCAGCCACGTCGAGATGTACAAGACACGCCCCGGTGAGATCAAGAAGGTTGTACGGCCGGTCCCAGAACGGCCGGAGGCCAACGACCCTGAAGCATTCTGGCAGTGGTCTCTTGCGCTCCGGGCGCAGAGTGATCCTATCATGCGGATTATCCCGTGGTCGGCCCGTACAGAGCGTGCTCGGGGCTTTGACGTAGAGGAGCTCACGCAGGTCCTGGAGAGCCACGCCGTCAGCATTGGTGACATCTGGAACCAGAGGATGAGGGATAACGCTAGCAAGGGCGAGTGTCGCAACGATGAGATTGCTATTAAATTCGTCTATGACTTTGGAGGTGAGGAACATACTCATGTTGCCAAAGCAGAGTGCCGGTGATGTGCTAACGAGCATGCAGATGAATGGGAGGTGCATATCTCGATTGATCGCACCAAGGACGGCCATTACAGGTTTCAAGGTGAGCCGCGAGATTACCCAGAGGTCATGGTCGCCAAAGGAGCCGTAAGTAAACTGTTCAAAACAAGAAGTCGCCGTCATTGATCCTCGCGTGGAACAGCCCCCCATTGAGCATGCGAGACATGACGTCCCTGGAGTGCGTGTAGGCATAACTTGTTCCTCCTTGTGTCAGTGACTGACTGTGTGCTCTAGGACATCGCTCACAAGAAGAAAGTATCCCCTCTTCTGTTCAAGCCGGATACCTTCGCGCGATACGTTGCCGGGGAGGTGGGATCAGTGTCACGCACAACCGAGTTGGCGATATACAACATCGAAGAGGAGCGGGCGCGCCACGCTGCAGCCAGGCAGGCGGAATCCTGAAAACCACCTATATCCCGCAGTGGGCAGCATGAGTCGATTCCAGATCCTGACCGGATGAAAGGAAGTCTAACTCAGCCTTCTTGCTTTCCACTTCGTCGCTTTCAGCCGTTCGGAATACTGTTCACATAATTCATTCTTAGTCGAGGATGGCTGCCTATTGAAACCCATCCTGATCATCTAGTAGCCTTTCTAGCATACTTACATGCATCATCCACTATTAAATCTCCCAGACTCATTTTTAAATGATGGTACGGTACCTTCGTATAAAGGAGTTCGTTTAGAGTTGGATTCTCAACCATTACATGTGTTCAGCCATTACATACATGATGTCCGGTCCTTGCCAGGAGTTGACTTTTGTTACAAACGTTGACAGGTTTGTAAGCAAAGATGGGTGGCTATTCCACTGGCATCGGCGAAGGCTGAGTACTGGGTAGTAAGTTGTCGAGAGCACAATAGCGCAGGCACAAGAGGAACGAGAAGACCCTTGAAGCTTGAAGCTTGAAGGCCTGCAGTGAGCGGCGCACACACGCTTCACAACTTTCCATTTCTGGATATCCTCTGTAACCGCCACTGCGACAGGCGGTACCGTCAAGCAGGCTCGCTCATTTACACTCACTTCCCTCGGTGTCCTCCATTCTCATCCATCATGTCGGTGTGTCCACCATACGCACCGTTCTTTGGCTTTGCCGGAGTGGCATCTTCGGTGAGTGTATACAGCTGTCTGCGTCGATGAAGGCTTGTAATGACGTCCCCCGCGCGGTCATTCGTACAGATGATATTCAGCAGTAAGTGCTCGATGACTGGACGAATATGGCATGAGTAGTTGACGTGAGCTCAGCTGTCGGAGCTGCGTATGGCACCTCAAAATCAGGCATCGGTATCGCGGGATTGGGGTCGTTCAAGCCTGAGCTCATCATGAAGGTACGTTGCAATGCTCATATCAGGCTGCCTATGTTCTAACAGTCAGACATAGTCCCTAATCCCCGTCGTCATGTCTGGTATCATTGCCGTCTATGGGCTCGTAGTGTCCGTGCTCATTGCAGGAGCGTGTAAGCACTGAAGCCCGTGCTACAGCCTTGCCGCTCTAACACATGCGCACAGTGACGCCGACCGACTACTCCCTATACGCTGGCTTCATCCACCTAGGTGCCGGGCTTTCATGCGGTCTCACGGGCCTTGCAGCTGGGTATGCGATCGGCTATGTTGGCGACTCGGTGCGTAACACCATATATTGCATTAACCTTGCTGCTGACACCTTCGCGCAGTGCGTGCGGGCGTACGTGTACGAGTCGAAGGTCTTCGTGTCCATGGTGCTCATCCTGATTTTCGGAGAGGTGTTGGGGTTGTATGGGTACGCACTGGGACTCGTTCGTTCTTCTAAGTCTCGTGCTTATTCAGTACCGCAGGTTGATTGTCGCTCTGATCATGAATTCGGCAGCGACAGAGGCAGGATCGTGTACATACTAACTATCTCGATGCTGTGCCATGATATCCGGAATACACTACACTCAACTATGAACCAGCCTTGTCTGGTAAGGAGTGAATATACAAATCGAGGGATACGAACAGTTGCTTGAAGGACATTCAGTCGTAGCGCCTCCTGACCCTGCTAGGGCTGCGGCTATCGCTTTTAGCTCGAGGCTTCCTGCCTTTCCTTCCCCTCGAGCGACTGCGCGAAGATGACAAGTCAGAGCCGGAACTGGAGTCCGAGTCTGAGCTTGAGTCTGAACCTGAGCTCGAGCTTGTGTCCGAGTCTGAATCACTGTCGCTGTCGGACGCGTCAGACCCTGAGCTGGATGCGGACCTTCAAGAGATCAGTCAATACGACATGCCAGTGGTCGCGGAGAATGAGATAGCACTACTCACCGACTTCGCTTCTTCTTCCTACCACCCTCGGTCCCCTTAGCCCTCTCCTTCTCTTTCGCCTCCAAGATGCGGTTCGCGGTGCCACTCCTACCGGATCGCATGAGCACCTATCGCGACAATAACCCTCGAGAGCATTTACGCACTTGTTCTTGAACTCTTCAGGAACCTCCACCGACGGCTGTCCGTCTGCCTTCAATTTCGCGAGTACGCGAGGGTTCTCGAGCTGCTGCGTACGAGACGGGCGGGAGATGTACGGACGAGAGCCCTTGCATTCATACGTGAAGTGTCCTAATCACATGGACGGCATAAACAACGCGTTGAGGCATCGGCGACCTTCAGAGACACGTACCTGTGCCGAGGCATCTTTGACAGATAGTTGAGGAGGTCGGACGAGGGCTGTTAGCCAAGCGGCGGTGCGGAGCGAACTTGGACATATTGAGCTAGAGACCACTTGGTAGTACAAGGTGTACGATGGTGTTCACTGTTTATAAGGCACGCCGGTGCAAAGCGAGATGTGACCGTAGAGTACAAAGCGCAGAGGTGGGTGAACGTCACGGTGTTGGTGGAAGGAGGCTAAAGAGATGCGCGAGCGCCCGCGATTGTATTTGGTCCCGTCGGTCCCTCTCACTCATCCATCATCATCGTCTTGAACGGTCATCCCACTTGTATGCTCAGAGCTTAGACATGGGTGGCAATGCGTTCAACCAACACGTCCCGGATGCCGTCTTTCCACGGATGTCACCAGCGACCTACAAGTCTCTCAAGGCGATCCTCCTTCCCCGCATGGAACAGCTCTACGAACAAGTGGCCGTACCACCCGAGGCCCCAGAGAAGACCGACCACGGGGACTTGGACTTCGTAGTAACGCAGCCGCGCACGGAAGGGACGCTGGATCGCGTCAAGGACGCGCTCAAGGCTGTTTACAGTTTGCCACAGGAAGGTAGAGGCACAAGTAACTACGCGATACCCGCCGATGCCTTCGATCTCGACATGGGCGAAGGCCAGGAGGGTACGTCCTCTAATGGACTGCAGAACACGCATTTCCAGGTGGATGTGAACGTCTGCGCCGACCGAGAAGACTGGGAGCGCACTGTCTTCTTGCACTCGTACGGTGATACGGGCATGATTCTGGGTGTCATTGGAAGAGGCGCGGGATTGTCGTTCGGTATAGGCGGTCTGAAGGTAAGTTTTGCCCTTATCTGAGGATTTCTGTGAACCTGAGGTCGCACTTCACCAACTAGCTTGCCAATGCGCTTCCTACTAGTCCCCCGATATCACTGCATCTATCCTCATCTCTTCTGCGCATCCTCGAGTTCTACGGGCTCTCGAGGGATCGGCTGGATGCAGGCTTCACTACACAACGTGAGGTGTTCGAGTGGACAGCCACCTCCCGTCTATTCAACGCGCGCAAAGTCGCGCCCTCCGAGCAGTCCCACCTGCGGGGCAAGAAACGGCGCGGGCCACGCACGATGTACCAGAACTTCGTGGAGTTCGCGCGGGAGCGCGCAGACGACCCGGCGTACGAGCCGCCGCACGAGACGATCACGCAGGACGATGTGCTCCGCTTCTTTGGGAAAGACGCGGAGCACGCCGCCCTCCTTCGCGCGTCTCGGATCAAGCAGAACGCCAGGGAGGCGTTCTCGGGCAGGGTGATCGAGCAGTGGATTGGGATGAGGGGCTTGCCGGTCAAGTGGGTCATGGACGCTGCGAGGGAGCGGCTGAACGAGAGATACGCGCGAGAGCACCCGGGCGGTGGCCAGCTCATTGCGCTGGATAGGCAGCCGGGGCATGAGGCAGAGGCTATATTGCTCTCTGTCACACCTTGGGAGGTGGCGCTCTTCGAGATGTCCACCGAGGAACTGCAGAAGTGTGTGGTTGACGTCAAGACCGAGATGGAGGAGTCGGGGACCTTCGAATTGAACTGGCAACGGGAGGATGCGAGGAAAGCAGAGAAATTGAACCTCAAGACAGAACAGTAAGGCTACTTGCCGGGCATGCTGCAGATTGAGTCGCATCGCTGCGCTTGGTGCGATGAAGGTTGGATTGAGGTAACGGAGTAGGCCACATTTATACACTTGTATCCCCATTGAAAGAATATATCAGTTGTATCACCATCTGATATCCCTCTGGCATGTCCGTCAGCAACTAGGTAGCATCTGTAATGCCGGGTGCACAACTCACACAAGGATGCCCTAGGACTTGGCTGATCGATGTCCTCTCTGACCCCAGTATGCCACAGGCCTGTCTTGAGCGTCTTGCGTTCTAGCATGTCTAGCCATTCAAGGACGGTAGCCACCACTTCGTCGGCGCGCTGAGGGTACGCAATGCAGCGTCAGGTCTCATTGGACAGTTCTAGAGTGCTAGGATCGTACCCCGGTGAAGTTGTGGTCCGCCTCTTCCACTATCGCCAGGTTGTGCGTACCGGGAGACCTTGCACCCAGGATCTGCCCGTATATGAAGGCGTCGTATCTGTAGTGGTGCTCGAGGCATGAGAATCATGATCAACTTGGCGCACAGCGGACCAGGAGACGCACGGAGGTACAACTGCGTCTTTCAGTCCGTGGATCGTCAATACGTCGACCGTAGCCGGGAAGCGGTCCCACACGATGGACGGGTCTACACTAGCGAATTTGTGGTGGTCTTCTGCAGTGACTCTACATTCGCGTCAATGCTGGACGCGCCGGACTTGTAATGTATAGCCTTACCTCATGCTGACTGGCTGGCGTGCTACAACGGCCTTGACTTCGTAGTATCCTTGCCTCTCCAGCTGGGCCTTGATCTCAGGCTTGTTCATCTGGTCTGCATCATCCCCGTATGTTAACAGCACGAATCGGAATGCCCAAGACATACTCACCGTACATTTTCTACACGCTGTGTATAAGACAGCACTGCAGATCATGCGACAAAGTACGTACATGCATCCTGTACCGACCGCTCGCGTTGACGTACCCGCGTACGCTGCTCGTCTCCTCCTTAGGATACCGGGAGAGCCAGTGAAGGCCTGCTACACTCCCGCGCGAGTGTCCGACGAGGAGGTCGATCACATAACCGTACTCGCGCGTTAGATACTGAACGACGACGCCCAGGTCCTGGATGTCGTCTTCGAATCCGGCGAGGTGCAGTGCGCCTGGCGTCTCGAAGTTGCCGCTGCGTTACACTCAATCAACCACGGTGGACGTGAGCATGACGATATTGCCATACCGGAAGTCGAATCGGAAGGAGTCCAGCGGTAGTCTGAGAGCAAGACGCTTCTGGAAGAGATAGTCTTTATGTCTGTGCGTAAGTCAACGTCTATGTCAGGTCTGTGCGCGAGGTATCTACCCCAACGACCCATGGAGGATCTGGCGTTGTTAGATACATATGACCCTCGTGAAGAAGACAAAAACTAACCAGAGCAATCCGACGTCCCTGCGTAGATTCGTGTGGGGCAAGCTGCTCAAGTACACCCACGATCGAACAGTTCTCAGCATGAGGATGCGGTATGAAGACCTTCGTAGTCTTCTGGGATGTGACCGGGTGCTCGACCATGGTGTCGTTGGGCACACGTTTCTCACCCGCCGTCAAGGTGAGTTGCACACGGGCAGAGTAAAGGCGGAGTAGCACGAAATGCTGCTAGTTCGGGCACGGAGGCCCATGCTCATGATTGTTCCCCGACGGGGAGGATGCAGCCCGAGCGTATTGCCGAGGCTGGGGAAGGGACCGCGCCGCCGCGCCGATCCTAGCGTGGGAACCCTGCCCTGATCCGTCACTTGACGCGTTGGGCGTCTCCTGCGCCAGAGCAGCATTCACCAGGTACGGTGAGATGGAGGCCCTCTTCTTCAATGTGCGTCTGCTTGCGTCTATGTTCTGCTTGCTGCTTAACTCACATAGTCTTATGTGCATAGGTAGACAACGGCTTCCTCGAGGGGATTGTCCGCGGCTATAAGGCCGGTCTCCTTACCCAGAACCAGTACAGCAACCTCACGCAATGCGAGACCATTGAGGGTGCGCGCGTACCGAAGCTTGTCCGGCCTTGTGGGCTAACATCACTGTCCCGCAGACTTCAGGACCCAACTCTCTGCTACGGACTATGGCAACTTCCTCGCGAACGAGTCGCTGCCCATCTCGACGTCGACCATCGCCGACAAGGCAACACAGGTGCTCGTCGATCAGTTCAACTTCCTCCGTAGCAATGCTGTCGCCCCACTCTCCAAGTTCTTCGACTATATCACGTAGGTGCCAATATGTCGGTCCATGCGCTCAGTTGCTGACGGCTGGTTACTCTAGGTATGCGTACATGATTGACAACGTCATCCTGCTCATCACCGGCACGCTGCATGAGCGCAATACCCAAGAGCTGCTGGAGCGTTGTCACCCATTGGGAGTATTCGAGACTCTACCTGCGCTCTGTGTCGCCACGAACGTGGAGGAACTCTACCGCACCGCCCTCGTCGAGACGCCTCTCGGTACGTCGCCTACCAAGCCTGGCTTGAGCGACTGCTGACAGCCCGCAGCACCCTACTTCCGCGAGTGCTTCAGCGCTTCAGACCTCGATGATCTCAACATCGAGATCATCCGCAACACGCTCTACAAGGCCTATCTCGAGGACTTCTATGAATTCTGCGGCACCCTCGGCGGGCCAACCGCAGAGGTGATGCAACGCATCCTCGCCTTCGAGGCGGACCGCCGCAGCATAAACATCGCCATCAACTCCTTCGGCACTGAGCTCTCGAAGGAGCGTCGCGCCGAGCTCTTCCCGTCCATCGGCCGCCTCTTCCCTGCGGGCAACAACGCACTCGCGCGCGCAGACGACGTCGAGCAGGTCCGGCAAGCGTGTGAGGGCGTCGCGGAGTACCGCGCGTTCTTCGAGAGCGGTCCCGGGTCAAGGGGGCGCGCACAGAACGGGAACGACAGCCAGGCGTACCTCCTGGACGACAATGCGGACGGGCTGGGCGACTCGAGCGGCGCGGCGGAGCTGGAGGACCGCTTCTTCGCGCACGAGGTGCACCTGAACAAGCTCGCGTTCCTGCAGCAGTTCCAGTACGGTGTGTTCTACGCGTACTTGAAGCTGAAGGAGCAGGAGATCCGGAGTTTGACGTGGATTGCGGAGTGCATCGCGCAGGATGCGAGGGACAGGATACAGGACTACATTCCTACGTTCTAGGGACCGGTTGTCACAGTCGTAGACCGATGAACTATCATTGGCTTTTGGCTACTGTTGGAGACATCCCAGCTCGCGCAGTGAGCGTATGCCAACCGAAGTACTGACGAAAGCAACGAAAGAGAAACGCGGTCTCGACGATACACCGGACCGGGAATCGAACCCCGAGCGTATCCGCCGTCCTGCGTCAGCGGAGAAGGTTAGGGTTTGCTGATGTCAGGACCGGGGAGGAGGACGGTTGACGTGCAGGATATGACATGCGCGCCGACGAAGATGGTCATCCACGCACTCCTCTCTGCCTCTCCGTCCCCAACACTGTCCACAGCAGGCACGACCAGCCATGGCCCCCAGCAAGGACAAGCAGGCCGAGATCGTCGAGCAGTTCCGTGAGCAGCTCGACGAACAGGACCTACTACCTGAAGACGACATCGGCACTGACGACGCTTCGTTGCTGTATGTACCTTATCTGGTGTGTTGAGGTAGCCCGCACTCATGCGATCTTCCTCCAGCCGTTTCCTGAGAGCACGACAGTTCGACTTGAAGGCAGCGACCACGATGTGGGAGAACTGCCAGAACTGGCGAAAGACGGTGGAGGGCATCGGGATAGACGAGCTGTACCGGCGACTGGATCCATACGACGTACGTACCCCCTTCTCCACGCGCAAACACGCCCTCCCTGACGAGCCGTCCCGCGCAGTACCCCGAACGCGCCGCGGTCTTCGAGTGTTGGCCACTCTGGTTCCACAAGACGGACAAGAAGGGCCGGCCACTCAACATCCACCACTTCGGCGGCATCAACATGCCCGAGCTATACAAGCACATCACACCCGAGAAGTTCTGGCAGACCATCGTCGTCAACGCTGAGTCGCTCACGCGCGAGGTCCTCCCCGCGTCCGCGCGCGCGGCGGGCCGCCAGATCGACGGGACGTTCGTCATCGTCGACCTCAAGGGCTTCGGCCTGAGCCAGTTCTGGCAGATGAAGAACCTCGCCCGAGACTCGTTCCAAATCTCCCAGGACTACTTCCCCGAGACGTGCGTTAGCTCCTTTGAGCTGTATCTCTGAGTGAATCGCTCATGGTCCACAAGTATGGCTCAACTAGCGATCATCAACGCACCCGCATCCTTCACCACCATCTGGGGCTTCATCAAGCCCTGGCTCGCGAAGGAGACACTTGCCAAGATTGACATCCTTGGCTCCGACTACAAGGATGTCCTCCTGGAGCAAATTCCCGCTGAGAACCTGCCCGAGAGCCTCGGTGGGACATGTACGTGCGCCGAGGCGGGCGGGTGTAAGCTGAGCAACGCCGGCCCGTGGATGCAACATCGCGCGGAGCGGAGAGACAAGTGGTTGCGCGGCGAGCGGAAGCGCATTGGGCTGGGCTTGGAGGGCGAGGATGAGGACGATGGGGTGAGGGGAATCGGGAGCGGCGAGCAGACAAAGGCAGCCACGAACCAGCTGGAGAAGCAGGCGGAAGGTGTGGCTGCGATTGGGCAGGCTGCGGAGAAGCAGCCCGCAGAAGTCCCGCCTGAAGTCGTGCAGAACCCCGAGGAACGCCTCCAGAGCTTCGTCTCTCCAGAACCTTCCGTCCCAGCCCAACAGCCAGGCGTCGTGGAGCAGGACCCTGCACTCAAGCCTGCCTCACCGTCGGCCCTCGCATCCTCGGTGTCTGCGTCGTCCTCGTCGTCAACCGCATCGTCCTCATCCTTCCAGTCCGCACGCTCCTCCTTCGGCAGCGCCGACACACTCGAGAGCGCCGGCGGGCACAGCAGCAAGACGGGCACGAGTGCAGCAACTGGTACGAGCACATCGACGACAGAAACGGGCGTGAGCCGGGACAGCCACGGGAAAACCAAGCACTCGAGCATCCGGGAAAAGCTCAAGAAGCCCCTGCAGAAGCTCGAGAAGCTCGGACTCGGCGGCCTGACAGGAGGTGCCAACGGCGAGCAGCTGGCGGGCTCGTCACTGAGCCGCGGAACGTCCGCAGACGGGTCGCGGTCATTCTTCAGGCGGAGTCGGCAGCCGAGTGCGGTGCCCATGGAGGAAGGCGCGAGTCGTGTGTCGTCGCTGGACGCGGGGCGGTCGCCCACGTCGCCCCAGGTGAATGGGAGTGCGTTGGTGAGCCCGGAGGACACGCAGACGAGCTCGCCGGAATCGGTGGTTGTGCAGTCGCCCTCACAGGCGTTACCGGAGAAGATCGTAAAGTCTGTGCGGGAAGTGTATGAGCACCATCCGGAGACGAGGGAGCCGCAAATGGGCGATTTCGTCCAGGCCTAGCAGGCGGAAGTTTACCCAAGGAGATACGTCTTGTTCATAATCTTGTATTTGTGTCTCGTCGTGTTTGACATTGTCTAGTTAGCTATCGCACTGCAGTCTCTAGACATACATGAACTAAAGCTTGTAGCGTTAGACCGTGTCGTAGCATACCTCACTGTAATCGGATATGGATTGGCAACCCGACCTTGTACGTTGAACCTACCGGTGCCTTCAAGCGTAAAGACTAGTCTCCGTTGCCGACCATAAAAGAACGACAAGCGCTTTTATGCGTAAAGGCATACCTTCGTTGGATGGATCGCCTCACTCTGCTCATTGCGGCAACACTGCTGCCCAACAAACGACCCAGCAGACGACGAGCATCTGCATTACTTGCCGACAGAGTGTAACTCCGATGACGAGGCGGATAATATAACAGACAGATGCCCAGAAGGAAGTAATGCAACAATCTACTTCTTCTTAATTGCCTTTATGCGGACACGCTCGGTCCCAACGAAGACTCCCTAGCAATGTCGAGAGCACGTTCAGCACAGTCCCGTACCAGTATTCGTGCGAGTAGCGTACCTTGCCCTTGTACGGCTCTGGTGGCCTCCATTTCCTTATTTTTGCGGCGAACAGTCCCAACAGCTGCTTGTCTGTACAGCTCAGCAGGATCCTCGTCGCTGCCGGCACCTCCACCTTGATGTGTTCCGGGATGGGCACAAACACGGGGTGCGAGAAGCCGAGTTTCATGTTCAGCCTCTCGCCAGACATGCCCTCCGTCTTGCCCCTCGGGTCCGCCTCGAGCGCCGCACGGTACCCGACGCCGACGAGGTATACGGGTGTCGCGAAGCCTTCGGTCATGCCTGTAATCGCGTTGTTGATGAGCGTGCGCGTGAGCCCCCACATCGAGCGCTGCTTCTTCTGCGAGGCGTCCTGTACGGACACGGCGAGCTTGTTCTCGTCTGCGAACGCGAGGTTCATGAAGGGCTCGAGAGGGACGCTGGTCGTCCCGAGCGGGCCCGTGACGGAGAGGGCGGTCGGTGTTTGCGCGAAGGAGATGGTGGGGGGATAGTGGATGTGCTGCTTGCCTACGTTGGAGATATACATGGCGCCCCTTGCGGCGGATGTGCTGAAGGAGCGACCTGCATGGAGGGCATGTCGGACAACTTGCCGCAGGACCATGGCCGTGGCGGAAGGAATTTGGCGAGCTGCGAGCGTCACCATCTTGGTGACACACTCTGTGACAGGCGCGTCTGCGTGACAATGACATGCAGCGGTTCCGCGCGACGCTTGCCGGCTATTATTGTCTGCAACGGAGACTAGTTCCGCGCAGTCACTGAGACTCACTCAGCCTGAGACTGCCACACTGGCAGCATCTACTAACATAGGTACATATCTAGGGGATCCATGCTCTGATAGCATTTCTCATCACTTCGGTGATGTGGGAGTACGTTGCTTGGCCTTGTCTACAGTACAATGGATTTAGATTCCTACTCTATCGCCCACCACACTACATCTCTGTCTATGACAAGGATGCTCCAACTAGCGTAGGTGCGACACAGATACCATCCTTCGTCCGGATACGATGGACGCTCTTCGTAACCGGGTCCACCCAAGAAGCCTCCTTCGACTCAAGCGTGGTGAAGCCTGAAGGCCAAGGTCAGTACATAATCTAAATCTGAGCAACGTTGCAGCATACCAGGTTGGACGGTCTCGAAGATCTTTTTCTTGGGGTTCAGCTGCGGTAGAGGTGTCGCATCTATGAAGACTGGGTAAGAGATGTCCACCAAGAAGTCGTCGGACTTCACGTACTCTCGAACTCGGGTCCCTCAAAGTAGACGCGATCACCAGGCTTCGAATTAGGTGGGGGTTGAATGAGTTCAATGCCGCCTTCCTTGCCGTCTTTTGATGTAGCCTGACAGGGATATGAGGCATGAATATTCCAAGGACCCCATATATACTGGATGCGACGTACACAGAGCACCATCGCAAAACTCTTGACGCCACGCATGTTCGCTGGCTTCAGATTGCACTGGAAGACAGCTGGTGAGTATGAGATGCTACGGGAAGTTTGTCGCTTAGCTCACCACGCCAACAAGGTACTTGTCTCGCATCTCTTCGATAGGAATGTAATGCACAAGACCCGAGACCACAGTGCGGGGACCATCAGGCTCGCCGAAGTCGATTTGCTGGTAGAGAACGGTCAGATGAGCGGCGCGGGTTCAGACCACGCGTTGCATACCTCGACATAGAGGCCATCTGCATCAGGGTGCTTCTTGACTGTAACATAAGAGTTATGACCGGAATCAAGCTACAAGTCGAAGAACTCACTGTCGACGATATGACCGACACGAAGATCAATCATAGACGGAACTGGTTCCCCTGCCTCTTCAGCAGCAGCCTTTCCGCCACCGCCTGCGGCCTTCTCCTTCTTCTTGCCACCTTCAGCAGCCTCAGCCGGCTTCTTCTCTTTCTCCTTCTTCTCTTTCTTCGGCGCCTTAGCCTCCCCGGCAGGAGCGTCGGCAGGCTTTGTATCCGCCGACGCCACCTCTTTGCCCTTTTTGCTCTTGGCCGCAGGTGCAGACGAGGCGTCAGCGGGAGCGGCGACCTTCTCCTTCTTCTGCTTCGGTGGATCGGCCTTGCGTTCCGGTTTTGGCGCGTTTTCGAGGTCGAAGGACACGAGAGAGAATGCAGGCGCGAGCGATGATGCTGCTTTCCGCACTTGCGGGCGGTTTTGGATGTGGTCGAAGTAGCGTGTGAGGGCTGGGTACGAGTAGTATTGCGGGGCTTGCAGCTGAGACTAGGTGCTCTTTGTTCAGTACTAAGTATCTAGATCATACGTCTATCACTCACGAAAACAGGGTGGAGAACGCCATACAGTGTAGCATCGGCGGCGGTGTAGTAGTTGCTGACTAGGTACGTCCGGGGCGTCAGCTGGCCGTCCAAATCCTGCAGACATGCTCAGACCTATATCGTACGCGTACAGTTGACAATCTCACCTTCAGATTCTGCGGCTTCGCAACCTCGCCCTGCGCGATCTTCTCGATCCACTCCGTTACCTCCGCCTTGTCCTTCTCGGACTTGCCAAAGTCACTGCTACCGTCGACAGCGGCGTTCGCGACGAGATCACGCACAGGCTCGGGGAGCTTGGACAGAACAGTTGCGGATGCCATGGTTCTTTGGAAGAAAGAAAGCGGATCCCGATGGATATAGCAGCGAAGTCCCCGCACTGCAGCCAGAATATGAGTCGCAAGACTCATGCTTGCCAGGCGCTCTCACGTGCGGGAATGAAGCGCGACTGTCGACAGAACGCGTCCGCGAAGCGCCTGGCGCCCCGACGCGTCCAGCGCGAAAATCGGCTAGCACACTGTCTCACGATGCTCGAGCACTTGTGGGGTGGGCACACGACGGCATAGGCATTACACACAGAATACAGTAGATATGGTGCCTGATACATAAACGAGTGGCGTTGAGCTGCGACCTGCGAGGGGGTAATGGGATAAGTATGCAGTGACGGGTATACAGACTATCTGTTGGACTGAGTTGCCCTCGCGGAATATATCGTCCGTCCTGGTGCATCTGCGATGCCACTCCCTCTGCTGCTCCCGTTCAACAGCCGGTGGTCGTCCGTGAATCCGTTGGGAGGCTTTGAGTGATTCGAACGACCGTCCTCCGCTCGCATACGGTTGCTCAATGAAGAAGACGGCCGTGGCGGAGCAGGCGGGCCCATGCCTCCCCTGGATATAGATGGGGTGCCATTTGCCGAAGAGGGACTATCGATAGAGGCATACTGCCCACCATCCGAGGCTCGCGATGCCCGATCCCGGATGCGCGAACTACCCGGACGTGTCCCCACGGACGACCGCGCACTCGCGCTTCCGCTCCTGCGCTCGCTCGGTTTCCCATTGGCGCTGGCGCTATATCTGCCGCTCGGATCCCGTTGACGTGGCCTGCTGACATAAGTTGTAGAGACAGAACCATCGGTCTCCTCGTTGCCGTTGGCATGCGACTGCCTGGACCTGCTTTTGGTCCTCGCATTCATAGCGGCGGAGGGGTCTTGCGGTGTCGACGGATCGGATGATGGGGGGATGGCCCAGGGGTCTACTGACGGGGCTAGTGCTGGGTCAGCATCGGCAAGTTCCTTTTCTCTTGCTGCTCGTAGGTCGAGCGCTTCTGCGATCGACATTGGAGGAGGTATCACGTCTACAAGGACATATGAGTTGTAAAGCTATAGGGGCAAGTGGATGTTCGTACCATCAGCAAACTTGAATTCATGGTGTCTCTGTGCAGCAGCAGCTGAAGGGCTTGAGTCAATACAGACAGCAGTAGTAGAGGTTGCCAGACCGACCAACATCGCGGTAGTACACGAGCTGCCGTGCTTCTTTTCCAGCCATACGCTGTCCCGCGTGCGCAAGCCTTTTGATGAACTCTTCCTACAGGACATGAGTTCGAACGCCACGCTCCAATGACTTGAGTTGGGACGTACTGTGGCGACAGACAGCATGTACAAAGCTTCCTTCGACAAGTGAGCTCCGGCTTCTACAGACATATGCCCGATTCACAGCTGCCAGTGAGTACGCAGTCCTCCATATTTCGATGAGCACGTACCGCTGCCTTGCAATATGTTCTCTACGCGTGAGGGGGGTATGAGTGTGTGACCCGGGACACGCTCCCCCGTCTTCTTCGGACGTGCCTTGCTAACTACAGGGACAGTGTCCTCTAGTTCGTCCACCTCTTCTTCCGAGTCCAACCCAGAGTCTAGCTGGTCAATCTCTTCGTCGTCCACGGAGAGTTCATCGTGAGTCGATTGGCGAAGGGCAGAGATGGAGACGGAGTTCGAGCCCAATGCCATGGTGGTGTGTCTGAGACTTCCAAGGCGTCCTAGTTCGTAAAGGATGAGAAGCGCAAGGGGAGGACTGCGGTGGGTGCCAGGTGGAGTGAACAAAGAGAAGCCTTCTGCTTGCCCTTGCCTTCTGCGAACCAGCTGCGAACCGGTCACGGTACTCCGGCGTCAGCGTGGCGGGGTGGCCACACTCAACGAGCTGCGCTCTACCACAGTGGCTGTCTCTCGCGAAAACTTGATTGCAGTCGACGACACCTGGGGCTTAGGTTGGACGTCTCATACGTCTACGGGGGCATCCTCATGCGACAACCCTGTGTGCACGAACGAGGACAACATGGTACGTCGCGAGCACTATGATGCCGCATTGATGCGAGGACCAATACATAACATTCCGAATAGATGTGGCTAATTTACAGTGAAGTGCATGCAGTCCGTGTAGTTCTCGTAACCATCAAACCCAATCGAGATGTTTTACTCGACGTTCACCTGCACGGAAGCAGGGTCCTCCGCCTTTGCCACAGTAACTGTGAGCACTCCGTCCTCAAGCTTCGCGGATACGTTACTCGTGTCCACCGCGCGTGGCAGATAGACAGTGCGAGTGAAGGACGAGTTGCTGGTGAACGAACGCTCCGTCGCAAGCTGAGTCGACTCCGGTACTTGTGTTACAGCAGTGGAGGAGGTCGCACCTGAGGTAAGGTCAGTCGGTATCGCCTTCCTGTGGCTAATCGAAGTCACGTACCTTCAGAAGACTGCGCTGCAGCGTTGTCTGTAGACATGGTCGCCGATGGCACCTCCGTACGCTGGGGTTCGCTCCGTCGGTTGACGATCTTGCCCTCGATCGTGACGCTCCTGCCACCGTCCCCGATGCGGACGTTGACATTCTCCTTCTTGACGCCCGGGAGTTCCGCCTCAATCACGTACTTGTTGCCTTCCTCCGAGACATCGACGGCAGGTGGCAACGAGGCTGGGGAACGGAAGAACGGGTCGTCAAGCATTGACCGAGGGTATGCGCCGAATGCGGATGGTGTGCGACCGAAGGGCTCCTCCAGCATGCGGAAGAGTGGACGCATCTCGCGGAAGAACTGGCGAGCGAGAGACATGGCGAGCGAGAGTATGAGATGAGGTAGGCGACGTTGTAGGTTTGTCAAACTATTCTTTGGATCATCCCCGCTGCTGCTGAGCGCCTTATATACTGATGTGACCGAGGATGTCCAGGACTGGTCGGATAAGTCTGGAAGATGCTGGACCGACTCACACAGTCTAGCATTGAGCCGCAAGGTCCGCCCGCACGGAACAATGTCCGCTCTTTGTCAACATCGGGCCCGCCAGCTATCCCTGGCAGTGATGCGCGCTGATACTACGAAAGGATGTTGCGGGAAGCGACGAGAAAGTACGGGAAAGCGCTCGAAGGCAGGAGCACATTCGACGCGTTCCCGGTTCCGTAGCCACGCCTCACGTGACACGCGTATGCGCCACAGACGCGTCCGGTCTTCGAGCGTCAAATGTGAACCCGGTTGTCACCTTCGCATTTGCCGGTACTGTTCTTCTTGCCCGTGCCAGGCTGGTTTCGCATGACAGAAGAACACACTGTGCTGTAGAAGGAAAGACTTTACCTGTACTTTCATTTATTCTCATACTGTTGATGGACGATGACGGTCAAACATCGCTACACCATATGCTCGCGCAGCTACGCCGTTTGAAGTAACGTGTTTAGATGGTACGTACTGCTTGTGTATATTTCTTGACGTTCACGATTGACATAAAGAATTCTTGTCAAGCTATTGCAATCCGTTATAGTTTTCTCGGAGCCATGCAGTATCGCACATACCAACCTGCCGCGACTTACACTCAGTGAATGGCATCCTGCTTCCCTGATATTGGCTCATGCGCGTTCGCTGAGTCTAGGTGCACTGATCACTGATCTTCACGGAACCGGTATGTCTTGTTCTTACCTCAACGTCTCCTTTTGATCCGGATAATTTCCTCCGGAAGATTGACAAAGCCCATTGTTCTTCAAGTTGTCCCTACGCTCCTCTAAGTGACTAAGTCTCAGGCAGTATCTCGGGTCAATTGAACTGTCCAGGCACGTGTAGTGTTAGGTGTTGCTCGGATGACGGGCCGACTCGGACGACGGACGACTTCTGTGGACGTGCATTGTCAGCTCTCCGGCCCATATGGACGATCTAAACCGATTCGTTATTAGCTACTGGCTACACAGGTGTGCCCTCCGTCATACCTTAATCTCAACCACTGACTACGGCATATGGACCATTAGGCACTTCAACCTCTACGATATGTTGAAGATAGTGATGAATATCCCGGGGCGGACTATCGTTCTGTCAATGATGCAAGGGTGAGGGCGTGAGGGCGTTATGTTCTGCCCGCAACATCAGCCTGCCGGCCGAAGGTCGACGTACGGGATGTCTGATAGATATGCCGTTATGGTACGTTCTTCTGAACCTCTTTGCGATTGTGTAGCTCGTTCCGCTTCTGCCTTTCTGACGATGCTAATAGCACCCACGCTCAGCATCATTTCGACCGAGGGGTTAGATAATTGATCCACACGTACTGCAACAAGTGTCTTGGAGCAAGAAAATTCCGCGTCTCAGATGGACTCACTGCAAGAGCAGCTTCGTAAAGTTCGCGTTCTACTGCACCAAGGATCCATTGCGTGCGACATGAGCGCTCGGTGTGGTACATAGATATGCAGCATGTTCTGTGGACTGACGTTGCGGATAACGACTTTCAGAAGAGCTCGACCGAGATCTGGACGAACATGAACGGACAAGTGTACCTTTCCCGCGTCGCCATCGTCACTGGTGCATCCAAGGACATTGGGCGTGACATTGCGCTGCGACTCGCCGACGACGGTCTCGACGTGACTATCAACTCGCGGGGTGGAAGAGACCTCGAGGAAGTGGCCAAGGAGATTCGAGCGAAGGGGCGAAAGGCACTCTGCTATGTCGGCGACGTCGCGGATGAAACCGCTGTTAGGGGTATGGTCGAGAGGACAGTCGAGACTTTTGGACGATTGGATGTCGTAGGTGTCTGCCATCACGGTCTGCGGTCGTTAGACGATTGGCTGACAATTGAGACCCGCAGATGGTGGCAAATGCAGGCGCGCCCGTTCTAGACAAGCTCGTCGAGTGTACGTGCGAATCTCATGCTGCGAGTTAACTCCTTACTGACTATGAAGAACCAGTGGCCGTCGAGGATTGGGATCGCTGTATAGCAATCAATCTGCGAAGTGTCATGCTCTGCTATAAGTATGCGGCTGTACAAATGGTGAATCAAGGCGAAGGTGGGAGGATCATTGGTACGTCGCCGCAATTATCAATCATGGTGTCGATCCTGGACACACGCCGGCGGTGCCCTCATCTTATCAGGTGCTTCTTCTATACTCGGGAAGAAAGATAACGAGGGTTGTCCTGTTATATACGCTTCCGACACATCTGACATACTTATGTTAGGTGGTCCGCAAGTGTGCGGATATTCGGCATCGAAGTTCGCTATTCGAGGTCTCACACAGTGCCTTGGTCAGTACAACACTCTTCTGTGAGCGCATTCACCGATAAACAATGCAGCTATCGAGCTGGCTGCGCACAAACTCACCGTCAACACCTATGCACCGGGCGTGATCTTGACACCGATGAGTACGTCCCTGTTGACCGTGGTCAATTATACGGCATGCATACTGACTGCTTATCATCAGCCGATGTTGGTCCGTTGGATAAATTGTACGGTGGGACACACGGTGCATACACTAAACATGTGCGAGATTCGTCCTTTCCCTATCCCCACGACTGACATTCCGACGTTCTGTGCGATTGAACAGGTGTGCGGAATCCCCCCAGATGGTCCTCACGGCTCCGGTGACACCGTCGCGAGCTTTGTATCATATCTCGCGAAACCAGAGTCATACTTCATAACGGGTATGGACAGACTCTACATCCGCACTGATCAGGACTCATGTTCTTTCAGGACAATCAATCACAATGGACGGAGGTGTTGTTTTCAGTTATATGGAGTGAGCATCAGACGTGTCTTCTGTAGTCGTAGATCTTGCGACCGCTATATCCTGTAGAGTATCTACCCTTGGCCATGTATCATGAGTATCGACATTGCGCTGTGTCGCGTTGCTCCCCCGGCGTACGGAGCGGCTGAGTCACCGCAACTGCCTGGTTTGACAGCATCCTTACGTACCACAGTCTTCAGACTGTGGCATGACTTTCGTATTCGCATGTTATCCACCCGATTCAAGATCATGACATTGGCGAGCGAAACGGTACGTGCGGTGTCAATCAGACGGTACAAATTCAATAGGTATACAACAGGTAGATGCAATGGTCAAAGCGTGTAGGTATAGTCAAGAGACAAGCAGGCTGCTATCAGAAATGCAATGCACTACGGTGGCAGATGTGCGGAACACGCCCAGCAACCAAGAGCCATGTTGCAGGAATGCTCATTGGTCAACGTCAAAGAGTCACGTTCCACCAGGCCATTCAACGACCCACTGAGCGGACACCAGATGTTCTTGGTCGTCATCGTCTTCGAACTTCAATTTGTACGTCGGCGTTGAAGATGCACCGCCCTGCTGACAAATGTTCAATGTTGAAGTCGAGATAGAGGTAGCTCGTTGCTTACCCTTCCCGCTGGCTGTATGTCACGAGGACTGGCCACTACCTCCGCCCGGTAGAAACAACTCGTATCGGGGTATAAAGCCATCACGGTCGAGCCGGCCGAAAACTCGGGATATGCATTGAGATGAGCGGCATTATCTGGTGGTGCATTCGGATCGGGGAGTGGGATGATGGCGCGCAGTGTAGTATTGTAACGTCTGGCAACAAATGGGTTAGCGCTTACTCGCTTAATCTTCGCCCTTGAAGACTCACTGTCCCGGTTGTCCGTCTTCTTGAGGTTCAGGATCTTGGACCTCGTATCTGAGTCATGTGATAGTCAAAAAAGGCGGCTCGACCGAGGCCACAGTCAGGCCACAAACCTATTCTTGTCCTGGTTGATGCAACCAATGACGACCGCCAATATCCACTCTTCGTCTTTGCCTCCGGTAGTACTGTCGGCACCTTTGGAGTTTTGTGGTGGGTGAAAAGCAACTTTCCTGCCTTCCTGCAGAGGAAGCTGTTTGGCTAAAGCTTCCCTTCGTGCCTTAGGCTCCCGGGAAAATGGTACTGAGGACTGTGGTCCAACAGAATTGCGAGCTGGAAGGTTCAGGGTGACACTGCGGACCGCAGGAGTAGGTGCAGGAACAGCGGGCGCGGATGCTATTGCTGGGGAGTGTGCTCGAGGCCGCTTATTTCGCTTCTCTGCATATAGACGTTAGTTCGATTTGGCTAGAATTTGGCCACATATTGCCCACCTTGTGGTGGGGCAATTTCGGGGGCTTTGCGGAGCGCGATGAGTACATCGAGTTGTTCAATCGCTTTATCTATGGCACTACGGTCGCATATTCATATGTGTGCCCTTGAGGGATTTAGCGGAACATACTCTACGTCTCGCTCAGCTGCTGTTTTGATTTCGGTCAGTCCAGCTGTGAGCTTCTTGTACGTCGATCGCACGCTTTCATAACCTTCTGCTGGCAGATTATCGTCTGTGGGCCACGCCAAAAGTAGTCGGTTGACTCTTCCAATAGGGTCCCCTGTGGCTGGTTCATTGTACATTGTCGATGACAACGTGGATAACGAGGCCCCAGCATGGGACCAGAAATCAATCTCTGTGGCCGCCTAGGTCAGCCTGATCTCTGCATAAAAACATATCACTCGACCTTCAGATGAAGCGGGACGTTTCGAAGATCCTCGTCGACTCGTCATCGGAACGTTTGTGGGCCTGTGGGGTTGGTAGGATTTGAGTACGAGGTGAAAGTCGGTTGTAAACCGGCGTTCTTTGTTAGACATGCTGATTCAGATCTAGCTCCGCGATCATTGTAGATCTCACAACGCGATCTGAGCCACTGGCAATGCGAGTGGCTTGCCGCCAGTGGACTCGGATATACAGTCTAGTACTCGATTTCTACATGATGCTTCACAATTTTCGGTCTAGTCCCTAATTGTACAATAGAAATTCGATGTCAAAGAAGACAAATTTCACGTGTTGTCCGTCTGGACAGGCGCAAGCTTCCTCAACGAGACATCGTAAACAACTGCAGCGTTGATGAGTCTTCGCGTGACGGCCCCGAGAGGGACGACGACATATTTACCTTCCTCAATCTTTTTGATATCATATTTCAGGCTGTCATAACGCCGACGCAACGCATCATTTTTCAGGTTCAGCTATGGGCTGAATTAGACAAGAGTTGGGTCATTCGTGTAGCACAGGCATTTTACCATGGCGAACCCCGCAAAGAGGTCTTTGACAAAGGTGGAGATTTTGAGAGGTTGCTCGAAGTCACCCATTGTGACCGAGTTTACAGCAAGACGAGACTATAAACGGCCAGTATTGTCTCGATGTCAATTCGCGGGGCGAGCAACGATGTGCTTACCAGCTCGTTGACCATAGTAATGAGGGCATGAAGATAGTCCTCGGCGCTCAGTGTAAACCTGTCCTGCCATTCATCCTTGACTAGGTAAAATGTGAATGAGGGACATCTCCGATGTGACCACGATCACGTACTGCCTAGCGTTTCCGCTGCCCGAGGCAACGATAGCAGCCCCCCGCTTCGCAAGTACTCCACGAAGGCTGCTGAGAACACTGCATTTCGCAGGGATACTGACCACATATCTTTCCACCTCCAGAACTGATTCGGTGGTGTTAACTCAGCTAAAGCCGCTGTAGTTTCCTTGCAGCTTTGCAGTACGGGGGTCACGGTAGCGACCAGTTCCGGCACTGTGTCCAATGAGCGACCCTTAGCATAAATGGGTTACGAGTGTTCTGACCTTGACTTGGGGGTGTCGAATGAATCTTGTTGAGAAGGCCGGTCAGTGTCCGTGTCTTCTTGTCAAATTCTGTCACTTGGTCCTTGATTTTCTGAAGAACCGAGCTCTGAGGCAATTGGCCTCCAATGAGCGGACAGTGCTATACTTCTCTGAGCTCGACATCCTTGTCGAGTAGCTGGTTGATGTACTCCAGATTCTGTGGGTCCATGGAGGCGGTCTTCAAGAGCAGGGCGTGATGATTTGTCACACGTGACACACGCGAAAGTAGGACGGGCGCCCGAACGCGTCGGACGCGACTCGACGCTCGTTTGTCCTTTGTCCGCGCCCTGGTCACTACTTATACCAACGGCACATCACACACATTGATTTCTTTGTGACCGATATCTCAGCTCTATAGCGCCACTGCACTCCTTAGCCTGGACGCTAGCCAGGACTTAGGGACGCAGGTAAGTGCTTCGCCGCAATACCACCTGCTGCGGCTCTGAAGGCAAACCAGGTTACTTCCAGAGGAGAGGAGTCTACTGTCGGTTGTAATTGAGCCGAGGACGACCTCGGATGGCATCCACGTTGAAAGGCTTTCAAGAAGCATCCCTGGAAGTACTCCTGAAGCAACTTCACGATGTACCCGTTTCGACACCCTCCGACAAAATCTTGACTCGTCTTACAGACCATCTTATTGGTTCCACTGCGCAAACAGCTTCGAACTTCGCACATCAACGTCATGAGCATTGGTTCTGCTCTCGTGCCGAGGAGACAGTCAGAGAGGCTGCGACGTTTCTTATTCGCCTCCACGCTTACAACAGTGATCGGGTGAAGGCGTGGAGAAGACAGCTTCAGAGATGCCTCGCAGGATGTTGCGGCTGTGTGAGAAGTTTCCAGGAGGTCAAGATATCGTCGAGAGCGACGTAAGTATCATTACGCTCCATCGTCGTATTGCTGCCCCAGTGGTCTCACAGCTTCGTACAGCTACTTTGGGGCTTTTGTCGACACGATCCTGAAGTCTTTCTATGAGGCCTTGGACAACTGGGAACTCGAGGCAGTCCTTTCCGCCCTTGCTGACAAGGGTCTTACAGTCGAGTCCGTTGGCAGTAATTCACGTTCTCTCGCTGAGGCCCCTCCCGCGATCACATACCATATATTATGCAACCCACGTATCCTACAAGATCCGCGAATATCCAAGATAGTGCGCGTGTGCGTCCCGAAGGGCCCTATAACACAGTGGCCGTCGGACTTCCCTCCACCGGGTCTGTTTTATCTCGTGGTGGACGAGCAAGAGGATGTCCGCAGATGGGCTTTAGGGCAACTCGGTTTGTGTAAGGCTTCCGCCATGTCAGCGGACAGGTTCCTGCCAAGCTACTGCTCCGTGCTCAAGACAGTAACGTCGGTCGTTTCCGATCAAGCCACGGACCACAGTACTGTCCACGCCGATTCTACCTTCAGTCGGAGTGCTGCCATCCTCTGGTCCGGTTATGCCATCACACTTCGCTACGTGCCGGTCGAGTTCCTGGTGCCTCGGAAAGCGCTCGAAGTCGATGTTCGGCATGTTGTCACGAGCCATCTGCACGATACTGGATCTCGTTAGTATTCAGCCTCTTCTCAACTTGTGCTGTACTGACGATGTCCCATTGATTATATTATCGCCTGGAACGCTAAACGGGATAAGACTTCGGGGACGTTCTCAAAGGGTTCCTGTTGATTCTTTCCAGGATTGGACCGGGCGTCTGGGACGGCGAGGGAACGGAGTATCCCCAGGTCGTTTTCAGCTCCATCAAGGATAACGTCCGTTACCTTGACACTCTGCAGAACCTTGCAGATGTACGCAAAGAAAATTGGCTTCTCAGCTGGGTTGAGACCTACCTGAAGACGATAGGGAACCTGCCGATCTGCAAAGACGTCCTTCCGCTTATCATCCATTTTCTGTGCGAGGAACTACAGCATCAACGCTTCCAGGGTATTCGGCCTGCGGCCATGAGTATCGCTGCCAGGGTGGGTACAACTGTCATGGCACTTTACGTCTTGTTGACATTACGTTGTTACAGATCTTGACCTCTGCCATCTCGCAAACTGAGAAGGTACATCCTGTGCTCAGGCAAAGCCTAGTTTGGGAGATCATGGATGTGCACAGCAGCATACTCGTATCGGTCGCTTTCGCCAAAGCCTTCGCCGGGGACGTCTGGGCAGAGGCTCGTACGCACACACGAAGGCTCCTGAAGCTCTCGCTCCTGCAGGATATCAAGACCGTCAGCTCCGCCATTTCTTGTCTATGCGGAACGTCGACCTCATCTGCTACCACACCTCTGGTTCTGCGGGAACAACTGTGGAAGGGAATGTACAATAACATTCAGCCCGGCGACTCAGACGCCATGGCCATGATGCTGACAATACTCTCTAACATATCCCATATGGACGATCTCAAGGATATCGCGTTCGCCGACCGCATCACCCGATCCAAAGATGCCGAGTCTTTAAGGACTCTGCTCGGCAGCGTGAACGGTGCCTTGGGCACCATGCGTAGTGGATTCGGCGACGCTGCGACAAGATACCTCGACCTCAGTCTTCCTTCCGTCGTTGCCGACCTTTTACAGCGACCAGAGGTCGCCAAGAACGTCACTGTCCTCATGCTCTCTCCCGTCGAGACGATCCAGGAGAGTGCGCAGGCACTAGCCGGACTTGCATTCGATGTCGAAGTCCGCTCGGACTGTTTACGCGCGCTGCTGGAGAAGGTGCCGGATGGTACCTTCGGCGGCATCCTGCAGTTCCTCGGAACCTTCATCCAGTACGCACAAGTGGTCCCCGAAGCATGTAGCTTGTCCAAGGCTCTAGCTCGCTGTCTGACTGATGTCATCGACGTCCTATGCTCTAGTTCGGACGGACTCTTGCTGAACCAACAATTCCTCATGGCGGGCGTCGGCGCGGACGTCCCTGCACGGTTGCCCAAGTGGTGGAATATGATGACGCAGGCGTTGTCCGTGATCTTCGCGAAGACACCCAAGTGGGCAATCTACTTCGAGAACGCCGAGATGGTGCTCTGGATGCGTGACGCCCTCATTTTTGGGCGAGACATGTTGGCGCAGCGCCGAGTCATCGAGTCCGCAACCCTGGTTCAATCACAACAAGCCGCTACCGGTAGAAGGGTGTCACGCGTGTTGAAGAGGATGGTCGATGACCTCCAAGCGGTCTTGTTCGAACTGACGCGCTGGCTTCGGCTCACGGACGAGGAATTGCTACATCAATCCTTCGCCTTATTGGAGACGCTCCTCTCATGCTTCCGCGATACCGAGATTCGCCCCAAGCCGGAGGCACTGCAGAAGTTGCAGAAGCACGTCGACGATGCGCGGAAGACCGATCCTAAGCGCCCACAGACACGATTGGACGCGGCTCGACTAGCGCGACTGCAGGATGCCATCAGCAGCTTCGACGAGGATGACGAAGTAGAGATCATCGAGCACAAGCTCCCCGAGAAACGCAAAGCACCTTCGGGATCCAAGGCGTCTCCTGCGGAGGAGGCGAGGAAAGAAGCGAGGAGAGGGCCTGCTCAAGATCGGGGTAAGCTCGACCTGCGAGTAGGCGATCGGCAAGCCAGGAAGACCTCCATTTCCAGCTATTTCTCGGCAGAGGACCAAAAGAGATTGAATGCGGCTCCTACAGCCGTACCTCAGCTTACCCGTAAACCGAATGCTCAGGTCGCACCGACCACGCAGAAGGCTCTAGAAGTCCCTGGTCCTACCGGAGGCCCTTCGACGAAATCGGTCACTTCGGAGCCTACAACGGAAGCTTCGAGCGAGGAGAGCGAGGACGATGGGGAGGGTCTGGCATCTCTTTCTAAGCTGCAGCGAACCCCGGTCATCAAGAAGCCGGTGGAACGCAGACAAGTCATGATGTTGGATTTGCCTACCAGGGCCCGCAATCCAGCGTTGGAGCGTATGAACAAGCGAGAAGATGCGAGGAGGACCCAGTTGCGGCTGAAACCGGATGTGTCTGGCCTTCATCGAACGCTACTTGCTTGGGACTACGACCATGATGGCCCTTCGCCTCCCGGCCAGCCCCTGAAGCTCGAGCGCGTTCCATCCACCTTCTCTGATACAGAGCATTTCCGTCGCATTTTCGAGCCGATGCTGCTGTTAGAATGTTGGACTCAGCTCACCGAGGCGAAGGAAGGTGCACGGGAGACGTACGATTGTCGCATTGCTGGCCGACAATTCGTCGATGACTGGCTGGATCTTGACGTGTCTTTCACGGGAAGCGTCGACAGAGACTGGAGTCTTGGCGATGCAGACGTGGTCTTGTTGCGTCATCCTCAGAGCAAGAAGGGTGTACTGGCGAAGGTTCAAAGCTATAAAGGTACACCATTCGGTGTTCAGGCAACCGTTCGATGCTGCGCACGTGGTAGCGACCCTAGCCTGCTGCCCAACTCGATTTGGTCGCTGAGTAAAGTGCTGAGGTCAGTGCTCGCCGACGTACAAACCCTCATGCACTGATATTATCCAGTCTCACCACATTGTATCGGGAGTATGCTGCTTTGATGTCGCTGCCATATTATGATCTCTCCCAGGCGATACTTCGAGCGAGATTGAACAAGCCCACGACAGCGGACTCGAAGGAAGTTCAGAGAATGATGGCTACGTACCATGTCAACGAACCGCAGGCCAGAGCTATACTCTATTCGCTTACGGCAGACGGCTTCGCTTTGATCCAGGGGTAAGCACCACGCATAACACAACCACTGTCTCAGCTGAGTTGTTACGCAGACCTCCAGGTACCGGAAAGACCTCCACTATATGCGGCCTTGTGCACGCGTTCCTGTCCAGACGGCCCAAGCCTGGCACATATATCCAGGCAAGTCGCAACGGGGGGCCAGCCGACAAAGAACAAGTCAAAAAGATCTTGTTGTGCGCACCTAGTAACGCCGCCATTGACGAAATCGCCTTTCGTCTCAAGGAGGGCGTGTCCGGTGCGGGGCGGCAAGTCAGCTCCCCCAAGGTCGTTCGGCTCGGTAACGTCAAGAACATCAACGCGAGTGTTAAGGACGTCTCGTTGGAGTACCTGATTGAGCAGAAGCTGAACTCCAACCCTCAAGTTGCCAATCCGAAGGATGCGCGCGGCGATATGGCTAGGCTTCGTGCAGATCTCGAGAATGTGAAGAAGATGCGCCAGAGCAAGTTCGACGAGATTTCACAGATCCATGATAACACGGCAAAGACATTCGCCCTGGAGGAGGATATAAAGAAGCTGAACAAGGAGAAGAACTCGCTCATCCACCAGATTGACAAGCTCAGAGACCAGCAGAAATCCGACTCGCGCACGATGGACGCGACTCGAAGGCGCTTTCGAACGGAAGTGCTCCAAGAAGCCGACGTTATCTGCAGTACCTTATCCGGCTCATCGTACGAATATCTAGAGCAATTTGACTTCGAGTTGATTGTCATAGATGAGGCAGCTCAGGCCATAGAGCTCAGTTCGCTCATTCCTCTGAAGTATGACTGCAAGCACTGTGTCATGGTAGGAGGTACGATGGAACCTATCTGTACTGGGTTGCGATGTTGCTCACGGTGACTCTAGATCCACAGCAACTACCACCTACTGTGAAGTCGCAAGAGGTGAGTGGCTTGTTCTCCTCCTTGTCGCGTCTCTCATAAGTTCCATTCAGGCATGTACGTTAGGTTACAACCAATCTCTATTTGTACGTCTGCAGCGGCAGCGTCCGGACGCTGTGCACCTGCTTAGGTACCTTCCCTGCTTGGGTCTGGTATGGCAATTCGCTGATATCAGTCATAGCATACAGTACCGGATGCATCCCGACATCAGTCAAGTTCCTAGTCGTCTGTTCTATGAAGGTCGGCTTCAGGATGGACCGGACATGGCGTCGAAGACACTCAGACCGTGGCATTCGCACGAGAAATTTGGGACATATCGGTTTTTCAATGTCCTTGAAGGACAAGAAGAAACTGGCATGGGTCACTCCTTCATCAACCGCGGGGAGATCCAAGTTGCCACGGCGCTCTTCAATCGTCTTCGGCGGGAATTCACCTCTTTCGACTTCGACTCCAAGATCGGCGTGATATCAATGTACAGGGGTCAGATTGTAGCCATCCGGCGTGCGTTCGAGGAGCGCTTTGGCCCAGAGATCACGAGCATCGTAGATTTCAATACCGTCGATGGCTTTCAGGGTCAGGAGAAAGACATCATAATCTTGTCTTGTGTCCGCGCTGGTCCGAACGTACAGACCGTAGGGTTTTTGCGAGGTCAGTCACAACGTCTTTCTGGATAAAGTTGACTCCAACTTTCGCGCTGTACAGATGTGAGGCGTATGAACGTAGCATTGACGCGTGCAAAGTCCTCGATCTTTGTGCTTGGTCACGCGCCGACCCTCGAGAGAAGCGATGATATCTGGCGTAGTATTGTCGTGGATGCACGGGAAAGAAATCGTTTGGCCAACGTGAGCCACATAATTTGTCACATGGGTCAATCGTTCATGACTGCTTTCAGGTGAACGTCGCTTACTTCACTGCTCCAACAAAAGCGACGACTAAGCCATTATCGTCTACGAAGGCCCCCAAGACACAGTCCAAGATCCAATCACCTGAGACAGCAATGCGTTCGACTGTTCCTGGCGCTCTCTTGACGCCTCGAGAACTCAAGTCTGCTGGGAAGAGCGGAGGCCATGCTATTCCAACCATGGCTGGTCCTTCGGCATCTGGTAGCCTCGCAAAACCGGACGGAGAGAAGCCGAATTTGAAGCGACCCGCACCGACGGAGGTTCCTGGCGACGAAGCAAAAACAGCCTCAACGGGAACAACAAGCAGCGCACAGGCACCGTCCAAGCCACCTCCCAAGAAGCGACCAAAAGCGGCACCGAGTCTGTTCATACCCAGAAACAAAGTGAGCGACCTTGCGAACCTTGACTCGGCGAGGACTGACGTAGTCACAGCGCGGTCCATAGACCTGACGTCTCGTGATATACTATTCACATCATCTTCATCTTGCATAGACTCACCCATCTACCACTGCATTAATCACTCGGGTTCTCCGGCGCATTAACTTATTATCGCTATCGTCGCATGATGTCTCCGTTCAATCCGTATAGCACCGTATCACAATTAGACATAATATTAATGAGACTCAATCGGAGGTAACTCCCATCCTGCGGGTCCGAAGTGTGGGATGACCACAGTGCGCCCATCTTTTGTCTTGATAGGTTTAGAAAATGTGCAGAGTGACTTGCCCAAACTGGATAGCCAAGCACCGTTGACCACCGTTAGACCTGCTCGACTTATCAGAGAGATCAATGTCATAATAGAAGGAAGCAACGAACCCTTCATCCAGATGCGACTCGTCTGAACTACTTCAAGGAAGACGACGTAGTCTGGTGGGGAGTTGCTGTACAACACCGAAGATGGATGAATATAGACATCGTCAGCGATGCCCATGGCTCGGTATGGAACACCCTTCGACGTTGTGAACTTGTCTCCAGAGGCAGAGCCTTTGTCCATTAGATCTTTGCGGACAGCGACCTGGTCGATGAACCCGGCAGTGAGTAGCTGCCGGAGCACCTTGAGCTATGGATAAAAGGTCAGTATGATGCGAAGAGAACAGGTGGGTTGACCAACCTGAAGCGCACTTGGCGGCTTGAGGTTCGCTACGAATCCGGTCTCCAGCTCAGGGAAGTTTGTCTGGACAATGCTGCTAATTTGAGCACGAAGCTTGTGTATCTCCTCCATTGCCTTTGAGAAAATGATGAGATGGCGTCCAAGAAGCATGGCACAGATGAACTACCTTGGGTCTTACGAAATGCTCGGAGCAGAACGAATGGCCACCACCAGCGTACTCATAAGCACCTACGACGGACAACATCTTGAAGACATCGCTACTCGAGTTCCCAAGGGATGTATGAGTCTGACCAATACGTGAGTCGACACCAATGTCGCGAGCGACAACACCCATACCTGCTGTGACCGGAAGTACGCCCGTCGGCGCAAGCGGCGCGCCTCCTTCGCTTTGGCCGCCTCGCTGGTGAGATGCGACAACTCCTCATCAGCTTCATCCTCAGATTCGTCCCCGGCGTTCCCCACAACTTCTTCGCGCAGGAAGGGATCGCCAACCGACAAGATAGAGACGACCGTAATGACATACGGGAGGCATCCGTGCTGCCGTCCACTGACTAACATTCTCGAGTACCGCGGCGACAGAGGGAACAGCGACATCGCCTTCCCAATCTCAGTAACGCCCCCTCCTAAGATCAGTGAACCTCCCGGCGGCGGTGCGAGCGCGCCAAGGTAGGTCAGCACGGTTTCTGCCTTGCGCAGGCTAGTCCGATCCGGAGGCGTCGGGAAGGGGAAGTTGACCACAGCGTCGATGTTCATGCTCTTCATCTGCAGCACTACACCTTCGATGGGCACACGCAGGATCTCGGGTTGCGCGAATTGCTCGAAGTAGTGTTCGAACAGTGCCGAGGAGTAGAGACGGTAGCAGTGGCCAGGCCCCGTTCGGCCCGCACGACCTGCTCGCTGGGCAGCGGATGCCTTCGAGATCCAGCTTACTTGGAACGCTTGTACTCCGTTCGCCACGTCGTATCGTCTCTGGGTAACGACGTGAGCGAGCGATATCGGAGAAAAAATGCATGTGTACGTACCTCCTTGGCCCTTCCACTGTCTACAACGTATCGTATGTCAGGGATAGTCAGGGATGTCTCCGCGACGTTCGTGGAGACCACGACGAGGCGATGTCCTGGAGGTGGTGGTTTGAAGACCTGCATCTGCTTTTCGCTGGGGAGCAACGCATACAACGGGACAATGTGCATGGGTACTACAACAAAAATGACGAATGAGTCAACGCATCATGCAGAAGGGAACCCCACATACCGTCAGACTCTTCCGTGTCTATGCCCAACTTCTCATCTTCGTCGTCGTCGCTATCGAGCGCCTCTGGATCGTCGTCGATAGGACCGCCTTCACCATCTACGTCGAGAGCCAGAGCTTCTTGTTCTCCGAGGTCAAGATCTTCCGCCTCGACGTCGGCTGAAGGACCATCAGTACGGAATCAGACGGTTAAATCCAAGCGATCCAACCTTGTGCAGGTGCCACCACGGTGCTCTTAAAGCCCTCCTCCCGCGGCTCTCGCTCCTGCGTCCTCGCCTTCGCTGCCCTCATCTTCCTCCGCGCTTCCAAGGCATTCGCGCCGTACCGCGCCTCCAGCTTCCTGCAGACACCTGATATCTCGTTCTGGCCCGTCAAGAAGATGAGGATCCCGCCGGGCGGGAGACGCGCGTGGATCTTGCTGGCCTTCTTGACGGCCTCCGAGACATAGTCGGACGCGGTGCGTCGGCTGAAGTGCACTGTGACGGGGTGCTGGCGTGCGGGGATGTGGATGATAGGAGGGGGCGTGGAGAAGAGGGTCTTGTTCTCGGCGAAGTCGGAAACACGGAGGGTAGCGGACATGATGATCAACCGCAGGGGCTAGATGGAAGCGGCTTTTTAGATACAAGGATCATGAGCGTACAGCTGGACTGGACGAACCTTGGCGCCGTCCTTACCTTCCCTCCACATTTCCTCCCTGAGCTTGACCACGCGACTCAGCACGCCTATGAGGATGTCCGTGTTCATGCTCCGCTCGTGCGCCTCATCAATGATGATGACCGAGTACTTCCTGAGCAGGAAGTCCGCCGCGAGCTCACGCAGGAGGACACCGTCCGTCATGAACTTGACGGACGTGGTCGGCGCGACCGTGGCGTCGTACCGGATCTGGTACGACACGCGCGAGGGCGGCAGCGCGAGTTCGTGTGCGACGCGTGACGCCATGGACATCGCGGCGACTCGACGGGGCTGAGTGACACCGATCATGCCTGGGTTATCTGCAAGAGCGCGCGGTGTTCAGTAAACAGACGCATGTGGATGATCGCAGTGGTAAGGTAAACTCACCACTCCCGGGCGACCCAAACCCAGCTTCATACAAGAACTGCGGCACCTGCGTCGTCTTCCCGCTACCCGTCTCTCCACAGATCACGACCACGCTATTCAACAAGATCGCCTCCATGATCGGCTGCTCCTCCGCCACGATCGGGAGCATGAGCCTGCTCTCCTGCACCTCCGGCGCCCGCGTCACCTCCACGACCTTCCGCGGCAACGCACTCCCGCGCTCCTTCGACACCTCAGCAGATTGCTGCACGGCCTTGGAGAAGGTAGTCGCGGGGAGTTGTAGGTTCTCGCCGAGTGGGCCGCGGAGGAGACCGTCCGTCGGTGGAGGCCCGGTTTTGCGTTTCTTGGCGGGCGGTGGTAACGAATCGGTGTCGGGTGTGGTTGGCAGGGTTGCGGACTCGGAAGGTGCAGCTACGGGCGCGACGTAGTCCTTTACACTGCTGAGTTGTTGTAAGGCCCATTCCTTGAAGCCGAGTTTGCGTTTCGCAGGCGGGGCAGGTTCCTCTTGCGATGCATCGGCGGTACTGCCATCGCCAGAGTCCTCGCCATCGGACTGAGACGCGTCGCCTTCTGGGTCGTTCTCCTCTGCGCCTGATGACTCGGCGGAGTCGTGGATGCCTGACCATTCCGAGGCACCGTCTTGATCTCCGTCAGCCTGACTTTGCACATCTTCGCCATCGTCGCTTTCGTTTGGGTCGTACGCGGAGTCGGAACTGTCGAAGGAGGTGTCCGAATCGTCGTTGGTAGCTTCAGGCACGGATCCCTTGGTCTTCCATGACGCGAAAGCGGTCTGCAGAAAGAGCCCGTCAGACGACCGGACAACCGTGATGTGAGGTAGTTATACGGTACCTTAGAGCCTTTCGGCTTTCTCTTCGAGATCTTCGGTGCAACGGCGGAGCCATCCGCGGTTCGCTTGAGTGCGGAGCCCACCTGCACCGCATGGGCGACAGCTGCAGGGGTCTCGCCCGGGGACAACTTGGCTGTCGAGAACCCAGAGTCTACAATCACGACTGGGTTCGCCCTCGAGGTCCCGACATCGCCCTCTGTGTCCTGATTAGCCGGCTCGCCATCCACCCGCATGCTGTCCTCTCCTTCAGACTCGGCGTCGTATGAGGTAAGGATGTTCTGTTTTCCCTGCCCGCGTTTGCCTTTGCGCGTCATGCCGTCCAAAGCCCGTCGAACCTCTTTGTCTTCCTGTTTGTCGAGCATGTCCTTGTGCGTGGATGCCTTGCCCGTGCCTAGAGTAGCAGAGGACTGCAATTGGAGCGTGGTTGACAGTTGCGCTTGACTCTTACTTGGAGTGGATGTCAACACCTGGCCATGGCATGCAGAACGAGCTACTTACGATAGCTTTTCAAATATCTCTACACGCTCATCTTGCTTGAGTTTTTTGTCCTGTTATCCGGGGGAGACTTCAGAAGCGTTCGCGGTATAAGGATGGCACCGGACACTCACGATGTACTTCTCGAGTCTCTTCTTCTTCTTACTGCTCGCTTTCGAATTCTGCTGATCAAACAGCTAAATCAAACAATTAGCATGTGTCCGCAACGGCATTCGGCTGGATCTGTAGCGGACCTCTTGCCTCAGCTTTTCCTTGCGGTCAAGCTCCTTCTGCTCAGAGCTCTTGGGCACGACGATCTCTGCATTGGGGTTCTCCTCCTGCACGTCATGATCCTGCGTGTCCTTTGCCTTGCGCTTTCCTTTCTTCTTATGTGATGAGCCACCAACTGTGGACTGACGGGCTTTGGCGTTGTACCTCTGTCTGGTTCTGTCCACAGGCATGTCGAGGACAGTGCTCGTAACTAGTTATGAATTGGGAGTAGTCGTGTGAGAACCAGAGGAAGATATGGGGCCGGCGTGCACGACTAGAGAACGCGAAGTTATTGAATGCTTGCCGCCGGAGGAGTGGAGGACGACCTTCCATGGGCGCTTGTGCGCGAATGCAAAATCTGAGGATAGGCTCGATCAGATCTGAATCTCGATATACACCGAGTGTGTTCTTTATAAGAGCCTCTGATTCGAATTGGCAATGGCCTCCTCGCTCAAGCTGAAAGGGCAGAGCAGACACGCGCGCCGTGCAGTACAAGTACTCTGAACCAGCATCGCGCTGCCAGCACACGTAGTCGACAGCTGTCTCTCTTCGTGACATCGTTTGCCCGTACAGTATCTCAACACGTGGTGGACACTGCACTGTGATAACTTAGTACGGTACAAGATTCAAGCTCTCCGGCCAGGGAGTTCCGAGTCTGCGAAGCATCTACCAAAGGTGTTCCACTACAGCACGGCGATGAACTGCACACTGCAGTGCAGTGTGCACAGTGCACTCGCGGCTCGCGGAATCCACGTGATCGCGGAGGTTGCGCGGACTTGCGTGGGCTGCTGGCCTTCGAATTCAGTGTCTCGCCCCGTTCAGACCTAGCTATTTCCTCCCCTGGGCGTCGGCAGCACCGGGACTACAGCAGACCGGAACTGGCATGCGTGGCTCAGTGGTGACACAACAGGCCCGTTGGATCGCTGGACGTCGAAGAAGCCTTCCATTTCCCCGCCTGGGCAGCACCGCCAGTCTCAGTCTGTCCGCGAGGCAGACACCTCCAGGTGCTCCGCCCATCACGAGAGCCCCCTCGCTGCGGGATCTCTATCCTCATCGATCCCAGTCCACGCTGTCCCCTCTGAGCGCGCGGCCCTTCTCCACTGCGTTCTCTCTTGCTCCCACCAGCTCTACCATGGCCTCGTTCACTCCCCCTCAGGCTGCCCCGACGTGGACCCACTCTGCAGACGATGTCCTGAGACTCACCAAGGAAGCCATTGCGAACGATACGACGGCACTTGACAAGGTCGCTGCTCTGAAGCCCGAAGACTGCAACTTCGAGACTGCAAGTAGTACTGAGACCTCTCGAGATCCTTGACTCTGACGCGGACTCCCTTCGTAATAGGTCTTCGTAAGTCACGTTGACCCTCATGCGAGCTCCTCATCACTGAATCACCGTAGCTTGCGCTGGCTGAGGCAGAGACCGCGATAGATGCGGCCGTCGAACCTCTGTCCTTCTACCAGAACGTTTCTCCGTCCAAGGAACTCCGTGATGCCTCGAACGAAGCAGAGGTGCTCGTCCGCGACTACGGGGTTGACGCCTCCATGCGACTGGACGTGTTCCAAGCCAAGCTTGCTGCTGAGAAGAACATCAAAGCAAGTGGGCAGAAACTCGATGCAGAGGAACAGCGTTTGGTGGACAAGATGCTCCTGGACGGGAAGCGCGCCGGACTTGCGTTGCCCGAGGCGCAACGCGATGAGCTGATGAAGCTCAAAAAGGAACTCAGCCAGGCGTCTCTGGAGTTCAGCGTGAGCATCGAGTTGTTGTACAATACGTATACAGTATTGAAATAACTGAACTGCAGAAAAACTTCAACGAGGAGAATGTCAGCCGAGCTCGATCTGATGAAAATTGTACGAAAGCTGACGACGGTGGCAGAGTACGGTGACATTCACCATAGAGCAGTTGAAAGGCGTGCCTGCGGACGTCACATCTGGCTATACGAAGCGCACCGATGGAGGAAAGGAAGTATACGACGTAACAATGAAAACGCCAGATATCTTCCCTATCGTAAGCACACACCCAAGACAAACCAGATATACATAGCTAACAACCTCCTGCAGTTCAGGATGGCCGAGAACCCAGAGACCCGCCGGCTAGCCTCAGAAGCCTACGACCGCAGGCTGGAGATCAACGCGCCCCTACTTGACAAGATGCTCGGTCTGCGCCGCAAGATCGCTAGCATACTGGGCTACCCGACCTGGGCAGACTACATCACCGAGGTCAAGATGGCGAAGGACTCAAAGACGGTCATCGAGGCGAGTCTCGCCCTCCCCCACATCACCCACACCCAACCCCTCTCCTAACCTCCTCCTCCCACGCAGTTCCTAGACGACCTCGAGCAGAAGCTCCGCCCGATCGGCGCGCGCGAGCGCGTGACGCTGCTTGCGCTCAAGCAGGAGGAGCACGCCGCGAAGGGCTACCCGTTCGACGGCGAGCTCTACATGAGCGACTTCTGGTACTACTCGCGCCGCCTGCTCGAGCGCGAGCTCGAGCTCGACGACCAGAAGGTCAAGGAGCACTTCCCCGTCAACAAGGTCGTCCCCGCGATCCTCGAGATCTACCAGCAGCTGCTGGGCGTGCAGTTCGTCGAGGTCAAGAGCGAGACGCTGTGGCACCCTGGTGCGTGGTATGCTGGGCGAGTGCGCCCGGACTGTGACTGATGGAGCGACACGATTATAGACGTGCAGCAATTCGCGGTATGGGAGAATGGTGCGAAGGACGAGTCTGGTTTTGTCGGCTACTGCTACCTCGACCTCTTCCCGCGCGGTAAGTGTCTGATCTCGTTCCATGGATCCTCCACAAAGTTGACCCTACCTCTCATCTGACTGTCAGAGGCGAAGTACTCGCATGCCGCGGTCTGGCCGCTGCTCCCCGGGTACACCCGCCGCGACGGCAAGCGCTCCTACCCGCTCGCCGCGATGGTCGCGAACCTCGCGAAGCCGACGCCGACGACGCCCGCACTAATGCAGCACAGCGACGTCGTGACGTTCTTCCATGAGATGGGCCACGTCTTCCACGGGTTGCTCAGCAAGACACGGTTCGCGCGGTTCCATGGCACTGCGTACGTTCCTGGCCTCAGAGACAATGTGGCGACGGCTGACGGTCGTGCGGTTTAGGGTCGCGAGGGACTTCGTCGAGGCGCCTTCGCAGATGTTGGAGAATTGGTGAGTGGCGGGGCGGTGGGGGGTTCTACTTGGATGTTGGATGCTGATAGGGCTGTAGGTGCTTCGAGCCCCCGGTCCTGGAGAAGATGTCGAGCCACTACGAGACGAAGAAGCCGCTCCCTCGCGACCTCATCGACAAGATCATCAAAAGGCATGCAGCCACTCCTCCATGTCCGAGCTGTGACTGACCCTCCCGACAGTCGATACGTCAACGTCGGTCTGTACTACCTCCGCCAAGTCTTCTTCGCAAAGTTCGACATCAAGGTGCACACGGATAAAGGTGCGTGGTCGTCAGCGACGCCTCTGCCTCCATGCTCATTGAGTAATGCTGGATCACAGAGGCCACCGACTACACCGCGCTGTGGAATGACCTCCGCGAGGCGATCACGACCGTCAAATTCAAGCAGCGCGCGGCCGGGCAGGGCTCGTTCAACCACATCGCCGGCGGATACGACGCGGGCTACTACGGGTGCGTCGCGCCCGCCAGTCGTCCCCGCCACGTAACTGACGACGGCGCGACTTGACATAGCTACACGTACTCGCTCGTCTTCGCAGCCGACATGTACGCCACCGTCTTCAAGCCGGACCCCCTCGACCCCGCCCGCGGCGCCAAGTACCGGGACGCGATCCTCCGCCCTGGAGGCAGCAGAGAAGAGGACGACTCGCTCAAGGTTACTCTTCTTTCTCCGTCCATGCCCGTGGTGTGCAGCGCTGACCTGCTGCTGCTCCCCACAGGAGTTCCTCGGGCGGCCACCCAACTCAGAGGCGTTCGTCCGCGAGCTCTTCGGGCACACGGGGTCTGCCGGGTCCAACCTCTAGTCCCCTCTCGTCTCACCCTCGTCAAGTCGATACGCACTGTTTCTCGCCCCCACGCATGTTCCGCACCTGCCCGCTCTGCATTGTCTTACCGCATGTATCCGCTTCCTGCTCCCATATCCACACACCATTCACATCAAATATGCGCACGAAGTTTGCGGATCTTTTCTATGATATCTCCTCAGGGTCTCGCACTCTGAGGCTGACAGGTCTGTGAAGTTCAGAACCTGTGGACAAACGAAGTCCCGGATCGTTCCGATGAATCGCACGACGTCGCTGCGGTTCTCGCTGACTATCATTGCAGTCACAGAAGCTCTCGGTATCTGAGTATAACTTACAAGTGCCAGTCCTGAGTCACCTGGGGTCTGTATGTACGTCTGATTTATCCTGATGCACCACGCACACAAAGGGTGAACCGAACTTCCGACATCGGTGTGCACTGTAAGTGTAACGCGTCTGTGGCTGTCGCGTGTTCCTCCGCCACCAGCGCGTCGCCCGAATGATGCCCTCAGTACTCACTCGTTTGCAAATTAAAAGCACATGTACGCCAGAGGACCTCTGTATATAAAATCAACTCGCATTCACCGCGAAAACACGCGTACACGACGACTACTATGACAACACACTACCTGGTACAGTACCAACTAAAGACGAGTACTACCAGTAGCGACATCATGATACCAGTTCTACGCCTCCACGGCAACGACGAAACCGACGAAAAACAGCTGCGCATGCAATGGGAAACTGGCACAAATACAGTATGGAGGACAACAATAAGGGTGGCAAGGCACGGCGAACGAGGAGGCGGGGGACATAAGGCGGGGCACTTCAAAGGCCGCGTGGACGGCTAACTTAATAATCTACAACAAACCAGTTCGGGGAGCGCAGGGCCGGAGGTATTGCGGGAATGGTGCAGAAAGCGATAACAGCTGCGAGGCGCAGGGAAGTGGAAGCTGAACAATGCATGCAGGAAGCGGCGTGGAATGGAAGGGGGCACTGAAGGAGTGTGCATCATCACAGGCGTTGCGAGTGCGGAGGGAGAGGAGAGCGAGGGGGAGAACACGGTCGGACCAAGGAAAGCAAGGCGAACAGTCTTCACAGTATTACGGTAGAGCCAACGAGAGCGTCCGCGCAGCGACTGGACTCGGACAAGAAACAGCGACATCAACCATCCACCACCAACCAGGCAGAGAGAGCGAGAGCGAGGATGCGGGAGGCTCACAGCGGCACCGGCGCACCTGTCAGCCCGCCGATGACCACACACACCACCAAGGCCGCGATCAACGCACTCCTCACCACGATCTCCCACTGCGCCCTCGTCACGACGGGGTTCAACACCGGTGTCAGGGGCACCGCAAACGCAGGCACGGCGCGCACCTTCCTGAACCTCACCGTCCATCCCACCTTCACGCCCGCCTCCTTTTCCTCCTGCTTCTCAGCATAGCACTCGGACGTGACACTCGGCGACGTCGGCGAGGCTGCGGCGGTGACACTCGCGCTGGGAACGAGGTGCGGGAACGTGAACGCGCTGGCCGCGAGAGTCCCCGTCGGCGACATCTCGGACGGGTCCGCCGCGACTCCCCACCCAATCCCCCACCCCTTCTCCTTCTCGAGCTCGGTCACACACACGGGCACGCCATTGATCTCGCGCTCGATGTGCACACGCACGACGTTCCCGGGGCTGCACCGTGTCTGCCAGCGGCTCAGCACTCCCTTCGGCCCGAGGCTCATCCACTTGTCGACGGAGTTAATCGCCCCGCTGATCTTGCCAGAGCTCTTCGCGACTTTCCCGTCGGTCTTTTCCCCGGGTGCTCGGCGAGCTTGTCCGCGGTATCGTCCAGTGGCGAATCTCGGGCGCTTGGGTGGCAGGGCATCGAAGTCGAAGGGATCGACAGGTTGCCGTGACGCGATGCTGCGACCCGCCTCGACGTCGTCGCCGACCTCGCCTTTGATGTCGTACGTGAACGGGTGAATGAATGCAGCTGTTGTGGTCACTTCTGCTTCCTCACTGGTGTCGTAGTCGGGCCAGAGCGGCGGCCTGCCGATGGGGAACGAAGCCGTCGCAGGACCCTCGGGGGCGGGATGTTCGTCGTAGAATGCCTCTGAGATCTCGATACAAGGGGTACTAACAGCCGCACGATGCTCGCTGCGTTCGTCGCCGTCCTCGTACCCGCTGTCTGGCCCATCGTCCTCGTCCGTGTACTGCACAGAGGCAACTTCGATGTCGTAGTCTTGCGATGAGCGCTCAGGACGTGTCACGACGCGTTGCGGGAACTGAACATCGCTGTCCTCGGAAAATCTCGATGGCGGCGTGATGATCGTGAGTTTTGGCTTTTCGCACCGGATGGTACTGTGTTCACGAAGATCGATCGGGATGGGACTGCTTATTTCGGGAGCGGAAGACTGACGGCGCGGACGACGGAAAGGAACATTGAACTGAACAGCAGTAGGTGTATCGGGCGCTGGACGGGGCTGGAAAAGCGATGTGACCGAGCCAGATGGTGAGGGATGGGGCTGCGGGTCGGAGATAGGAGGGCGAACAAGCTCGAATGACCGAAGTTGACGGAGGTCACCGAACACGTAGATCATCATGCAGACCTATCAGACAGTTGATGTCAACATTGTCTACTCAGACATACGAGTGCGCACATACCCCATACATCGCGGAGATAAAGATCGTCATACCCGCCCACATACCGGGGATAGCAGCCAGCCTCCACCAGCGATTGCCATGGACAGCGAAGTTGACAATAAGCGGGATACTGAGCGAAAGCATGAGCATAAATCGCGGACCGCCAAGATGGATCATGCTTACCTGCCTGCAAGGCTAATCACGATCCCTCCTGCACTTCCACAGACCGCCCGCGGTGTTCCTACGTTGTTGTACGTCGCAAGCACAAACCGCTGCAAGCTTTCCGTGAGCATCTCTCGCACGGCATCCGCGAGCTGATCAAAGACGGCGGGGTCTGGCGGAGGGACGTTATGACCTGCGCATATAGTCAGGATTGAAGACGAATCAATCGAAACTATGTCCGAACGCACCTTCAAGGCCCCAAACACACGTCGACTGACTCTGACTCCATGATCCGTGTGCAGAGTCAGTCTTCCCTTCATGACTCCCTACCAGGCTGCTCGGTGAAGACCTGTGAAACGGCGCGAGGATGTCGCTGGGCACATCCAGTTCGTAGTCACCATTAGGTGTGAGGAAGGTGCGCTTCGCCCGCGAGTAGGAGTATGAGAGCTCCGGGTTGGCGGAGAGCGAGGCATGCGGTGTGCGGTACTCGCGGCGAGGGGTGCCGTTGTACGAAGACATGCGCGCAAGCCTACTCTTGCGCACCCATTCTGCGTAGTTCTGAGTATACTCGCGCAGCCAGAGGATGAAGTACCTGGCCCGACTCGCATGAGGGGAGGAAGAGTGGTCAGATGGCGGGCGGCTCACAGGTTCTCGGCATTCTGCTCGACAAATAGCAACCACTCCTCAAAGTCCTTCAGACCCAGCGGCGGAAGATGCTTGCGATCAAGAATGTCGTCGAGGCTGATCTCAAAACGCGGGATCACACTGAAGGTGGGAACTTGCCCCCGTGCCGCCGGTGGGTTCAGCAGGCGCGCCTAAGCGCATATAGTCAGGTTTTCGACTCGGAAAGACGTGCGGAGGACGCACCGGCAGGGAGACGAGAGCCTGGCATCTCAGCTTGATTGTCTTGGGCTGGGACTGGACGGGGGCCGGGAGGGGGGTCGGGACGCCCGGTGCGCGCTGGCTGGAGACGAGGACGGGTTTGGGGAACGTCGGGGGACCACTCGAGCTCATCGCGAGGGGCGACGAGGGGGAGGCTACTCACAGCGCGGGGACGGCGGGTGGGGGAGCGGCGGCGAGTGGGGGGCGGACGGAGCGCATGGGCTGGAGAATATGAGCCGAGGGGGAAGTAAAAAGGTCGAGCGTGACGGGTGATAATCCTCTGGGGAAGCCTCGCGGGGACCCGGCCTGTACTGGCAGGTTCTGGCAGGGAACGTGCTCCCGAGGACAGGGAACCATCCGCCTGCCTCATCCGTCCCCCGCGGGCGCCTCTTCTCGTCCCGCCCAGCACAGACTGCCCGCCCGCCACCGCCGGGGCCTCTGGTGTCGGCGAGCGTCGCGGCGATGGGCTGGCCATGCTATCCTCCGCCGTTCGCGCTGTTCGCGACGGTCGCCAGCTCTGTTATCGCCGCGCGTCAACGTGTGTCCAACGGTGACGGCCCGTCGCTCGACGCAACTCACACACTGGCGCGCCGGAGCTTCTGGGTGAGTAATGCGGCGAAGGCCTGCATTCAAAGTTAGGGTTAGCTGTCGATGCTGAGTTCTGAGGCTTCCAGTCGCCCGGCAAGTGCAAGAAGGCGTCGGCCATGGCCCATGACAGCACTTACCCCGAGATTATGGCAGGCCTGCTGGATCAGACCGAGCGCGTCCTGCAGTGCTGCATGCACACTGCACATCCACGCGATCGTCGAGCCCAGACAGGAAAAGCGCCTTTCTTGCCGTAAATTGGCATGATCACTGCAGAGTGCAGCTGGCATGCCGGTGACATCTGGGTGACATGCATCGACTTTGCCGGAGGAGGCTACGCACGATCTGATCTCGCCCGGCCCGCCCGCCACTCTTGGCGCGCCTCCCGCCCTCCGCGTGCGATGTTCGACTTTCAACATGGCCACGGCCGCATCGACGAGTCGGTGGATCCGAGTCCCCTCATATTCGGAGTGCTTATGACGCACATACCCACTTCACAGATGTCTTTGGAATCGCAACTAGTATCTTGAAGCAACTGCCATCGCTGTACGGGCCGTGTACGACACTCAGTACTGTCCAATGAAGCCATGTACGGTATGTATTCCGCCACAGAAATCCACAACTCGCCTCGAGACTCGCTGTCACACTGCTCCAGCACGCTCAGGCGAAGTGCCCCACGCAGGCCATCTCGGGCAGTCCGCCGCCGCCACGGAAACCGTCTTTCCCCTTCGGGGCGCAACGCACGTCAAGACCTTCGTGGCGCAGCGTGACGCCGCCCTCCGATCTCGCCCCGCCGCACCTCGTTTCCCGACCTCCCCGCGCAGGGGGTGACATCAAAAAATGTATCTTAGCTCAAAGGTACGTTCGGCCTACGTCGAATCCACCGGTCAACAAACAAGGGCACCGGCGTACTCGCATCATCGCTGTCCACGCCTGTACTGACGGCGCATGAGCATGAGCATGTGCATGCCCCCGATGCCATCCGGATCCGAGACCATCACAGTGCTGACGGTCGCCACCGACACATCCGTCATTGCTGGACAGTGCGCGCGACGAGCCGTGGCTGGGCTGGGCGGGACCTGCTCGCTTTTCACGACGTTGATCGGAGCTGGACGTGAGGCGAAGGAGCACTGACGCGCGTCGCGCTACCGTTCGTGTCCTCCTCTCGCCTGTTTCTGTCGAGTGTGCAGAACGTTCCGAGGACGTCACGGGCGCAGGCCAGCGCCGCCACCCAAGACTAACGACGATCCCCCCGCAGAAGCCTCTTTCACGGTACCGGAGCCCTCCAGTGCATTGTTCCGGGCCACTCTGCGCTCTTCAGGAAGTCCCACTGACTCCTGTGCGGGCTTCTCCAATCTATGATAAAGTAGACACGGGTGCAATCTAAGATTTGCCATCATCACCGCCTGCGTCTTCGTGGGTCTACTGGCCAATGGGTCAACCGGATTTGGCTGGCCTTGCCATAGCCTCAGTTGTGGCGGACACTCATTACGCCGCTGACCAGTTCAGTACATTGCTCGGTCGTGCTGAAAAGTGACCGGGCCTTCGTACGCTTGATCACCGGTGGCAAGGTGTGGAGCATCCAGTGAAGTTCTGTACGCTGCAACCCCTGAAACTCTGAAACTCTGCACAGACAGGGCCAAGGAGCCATATATACAAGGACGATGTATATTTTTCCACCCGGTACCGGCTGGGATCTGTAGTGGGAGAGACGGTGGCCATTCTTCTGACAGGCGACACTTATAATCATTTGGAGATGCTATCAGAGTCGTAACTGTCTCGTGCATTGAACGGTGGCATTTGCATCATTGACTGATCACTGCGAGCTCAGAGTATGCTGTAGTATACTTCAGCTTACTATTCTCTGAAAAAGGGCTCTCCGGACCTTGCGGCGGCCCGCGTTGGAAGTCGAGAGCACACGCACACGTCGCACAACCTCGGAGTCTTATTATCTACGATACCGTGCTCTCCTGATCGAGTTCGACATCTGTACGAGCTCTCCGTCTGTGGCAGGAGTTAACGACTAAGGCGAGTTATCTCAATAAGTTGTATCCCATGAGTTTCTGCTGAGGCTACTAGGCATAAGGCAACTTTGTTGCGCAGTGCTGATCTCCGTTGGTTACAGTAACCCCGTGGTCCGCATCTGTGAGAACAAGCGAAATACGATACGGCGAGCGCGAGTGTCCCAGGCGAGGGCGATGCCTGAAGGGCAATCGCGTGAGGTAGGTACATGTAAATCGACACGTTATATACCCCCTCCCCCTATCCATTTAAGTCAGGTACTATCGCGGCCAAGCTTGCGAGCTCACCACAATCGCGTGTTCCAACAGCGTCTGCAGTATCTCAACTGAGAAACAAAATGTGTCATATTGTGTCCTGCAACGCGACTTCGAAAGGTGCCACCGACGCGTCTTACACTGCACGTGACCGTTCTGCATGACATCGCGATAGGCGCCCATATAACGCGCCCAGGAATGTCGATCGTTGTGCTATGTACTGACCGACCCGCACGCGTCCCTTGTCTTTGTCCTCATATCAGTGGCATCATTCCGCCGGGATCATATGCTCGCAGAATACCTATGCTTCTTAGACATGAGGCCTAGGGAGGCCTCGGAGGATCGGCACCCCCTCGTGCACGTTGTGATGAGTGGCGCGGGGAGTATAATAGAGCACTGCAAGTGTTGTCCTTCTCTGCTCTTTGTCCTTCGTCAGTCCTTCCACATCCACGTCTCTTGTATAGGCCTCGTATAAGAGCAAGGTGCGAGTGCTGTGCCTACAACAAGCCTTTAACTCATTCTCTATCCCTGCTCTATCATACTGGTGAGCTTCCCGCGATCCTTTGTCCCGCCTTGCGGTACGTTGCTGACCTTTGTCCAGCTTCCTGCTGTGCAGGACTTCTCAACACACAAACGCGGGCGAAAACGTGTATATAGTTTCTCCAACCACACCACTTCTCACGAGTAAGTATCGACTACAGCCCTATCCCTTGCCGGTGGATGCTCACGCTCTAACCCGCGTCAAGACGGAACCGCTTGTTGCACAGATGTCGGCGGAAGTGTTCGGCATAGTCATGTACGAGTCTCCTCGCACGAACAGGATACGGCCGATGCCGTGCAAGTCCTGCAATCAGATGGTAGACATCGAGTCCGAAGGATGCGACCACGCAAGCTTGCGAGACCAAGACTACGACGATGACGACGACGACGACGACGACGACGACGACGATGCGATGGAGGATGACGATGAGGACGACGGGGAAGGTGAAGACGATGAAGATGAAATGGAGGTCGTCGGCGAGGCGGTGGAGTCCAGCCGCTCTGCCCTTCCGCAAGACGAGTCTCGGAACTCGGAGGGAGTAGCGCGTGCCGAAGGGCGAGCACTAGTCCACACGGGCTCGGTAGATATCTGCGAACAACAGAACGCCTTCATGCGCGAATTCCGGAAACAGCTTGCGGGCGACGGAGACTGCACCGTACTTTCCGTTTCGCAAACGTGGGGGGACCTCCCCGCGTTGTGCACCCAGTACCACGAGGAGCTCGACGCGGAGCCATACGACCGGACGCCCACTTGGAGGACCTCCCTGCCTGCCGTGCATAGACTGTACCTCCAGAACGTGCACCCTAAACTCGTCCACAAGCTCTTCATACACTGCGAGTTCCCCAAACTCAACTCGCTCAACCTCGACTACGACATCGCCGGCCAGCCGGAGCGCACAGAGCTGCTGTCCGTGCTCCTCGACGCCGGCCGCCACCTGCTCCCGCTGCTCAGCACGTTCCACACGGAGAACGAGCTGCATTGCCCGGACTGGGACGTCCTGAAGCGGTTCTACGTGGCGATCGCGAACGTCACCGAGTTTACGCTCCAGTACTGGGCCGACTCGTACAACTGCCCGGAGTGGTTCGACGTACTGAAGGAGCAGTGGGAGTACGTGCGGGACCACCCCTGGGCGCACCTGCAGCCGTACCTCCCGCGCCTCCGCCTTCTCGTCTCGCACGGCCCCACGGGGGAGAAGCTGCGGGCCCTGCTGAAACTTCGTAAGATCATCAACTTTCCTATCCGGGAGGTCTATTACGTGCGAGGATACATCCTGCAGTACGAGATTGACCATCTGGGGGATCAGCTGGATTACTTCGAATGCGACGAGGAGCCCACTGATGAGTTGGAACACTTCAATATGCTGATGCGTGCCGTGAGGTCGCAGCCCTTGGTACCGCCGTAACAATGAATGACAATAATGCCTAACGACTCGGACTTTACTCTCAAGTTATGTAGAATGTAAAGTGCGACTGTATTATGATGGAATTGACCAATGGCGTGGTGTGTCCTTGACTCGGAGCGCTGTTGCGCCTTGGTCCTACAAGCATTGCGAACCAAGACCCATAACTAGTATTCGCCACAATGTGCCACACCGAGCCTGAGTGCCAGCACCAGGCTGGCTCTTCATCTTCTGGTCATTCACTTCATTCATGGCCGATGTCATGCGCATACTGGCATGGATGGTTTCTTACCGGCCCTCTTGTCTTCATGCATATCTGCCGTTTGCCAGTGCCACGAATATAAAGCATGGTGGCGCGTACTCTGCATAGGGAATACGACTCGGAACTAAGATCTGATCAGAGCGGCCCGGGCCCTGGGTTGATGCATCTGCTTCTTGTTAACGTTTTTGTCAATGTTTCCGCTTCCCACCCGCCACCACCCTCCGAACCGCCAAGTATTGCCCAAAACTGTAGCAACTCTGCCAGTGCACTAGATACTCACTGCGCGAAGTGAGGTGTTGAGGCGCGTCCTTATCGTCGCGACGTGAGAGATCAATTCATATTTCATAACGAAGGTGCATAATACCGTCCGACTCGTGGTGTCCTCTGTCCGAGTTGTGCTCACGTCGTACGCACGACTCGCAGCGATCGTAGGACTCCCTGGACCAGAATCAGTAACCATGTCCGAACCGAAAGGCGAACAGACAGCGACGTCGTCGACACACTTTCAATCGAGTCCAAGCGCTCCATTCGCCCATGATCCCTACGTCCCACCTCGAAATGGCCGCCGTCTGATTGACGATATCCCCACGGAACTACTTGTCCAGATTTTTATGTGTGGGGAAGAGCGCCACATGATCCGTCACCACGGCTGTGTTATCCCGGAACATAACAACGGCGAGGCCAAGCTACCGTTTGAAGTGACCACCTCCCATGTCTGCAAGCTCTGGCGCGACGTCGCGATCAACACACCCGCTCTCTGGAGCGAGATTTGCTTCTTCGAAGGTCTGCCGTTCACCCAGACCACAATCTACCTCGAGCGGTCGAAGTGTGCGCCTTTAGATATCCACATCCACCTGCGCCGAAGGACATCCCCACTCGCCGCGATACTCGACTTGATCATCCCTCACGTCTTTCACTGGCGTTCACTCTGGTTCCAAGCATCGCAGTATGATCAGATGGACTATGCGTTCAACCGTATGGGCCTCTGCTCTGGCGCGCCCATGCTCGAGGTCTTACGGCTACATTATGTCTGCGGTGGCGGGGAGGACGAGGACGAGGACGACGAGGACATGCCGGTATTCTACACCTTTGCTGGAGACCTGTTCAGTGGCAACGCACCGAAGCTCGCGCGGATCACGTTATAGAGCGTCCACCTTCATTGGGCCGCATCCCTCCTCCTGAGCGGCCTCGTCGAGGTGGACTTTGCACAGCAGAGCAGCATCTCTAGTCAATCGTTCGAGGACTTTTCGCGCATGCTGCGCGAATCGCCGGGGCTCGAGTCATTGTCACTGAATCAAATAGGGCCGGTCAGCATCGAGTCCCAGACATCCTGGCGGGGGGGAAACGACACTATCCTCTGTCTGCCATCTCTCCGACGGCTCACCATCGAGACCAACGACCCTCCAGTGAACTTTTTCGAGTGCTTCGCATTCCCTAATCTCACTCGCCTTACACTCTGCATAGTGTATCAAGAGAGTCCCACTCACGGCGAAGAGGTCGTGCAAGACCTGTTGCGGCCGTCGCCCGCAACGGGCAGGTCCGTCCTGAGTGGCCTGCAGTCTCTCAGGATTGCAGGCGTGTGTTGCAATGACCGTGCAACGGTGGCAGGCGTGTACGCTACACTTACAAATCTGCAGACGTTGAGCCTAGATTTCGAGACCAGGGGAATGGTGTTGTCGAGGGGGTGGTACGACGTCCTGACGACGCAATGGGAGAGCATTGCAAACGCGAACGAAGAACCGCTCCTGCCTCAGCTACAAGCATTGAAATTGATCGGCTTATCTGGGAAGGATATGCGCCACCTCATCGAGGTACGGGCCGCTACTCGGAGACCGGTCAGACAGGTGTATGTGTATGAGGAGAATGACCTTGCACAGGAGGACAAATCATGGATCAAGCACAATGTAGACACATTCGAGTACTTCGATAGCATCATGATGTGGGCGGAGGATCATTTCACTTTTGTAAATTAGTGACAGACTCAGATAGGAATGTCGATGGGAGTGCATGATGATGCATGATGAACGGTCAACAAAGCCCTGGACAATGATCTGTTGTAATAGACTCGTTGGCGTGATCATCTTGCGACAGGCCACAGGAGGGATACTGGGGAGGCCGCCGATCCCCTACCGACTCCTAAGTACTTACTAAAGCTATCATGAGTACTCGAGTACTCGCCGAGTCTGGCACAGAATGCAGCACTTGCCAAATGCATCCTATAAGTCGAGTCGGATGATCTTGATCTAAGTTTCAATCTTTCGTTGCTTCCGCCGTCAGCCAACCGCCGGCAGCTTCACAGTCCCGGGTCTCACCACACTGCTCACTGCAGTCTGTTCCAGATCAGTACTAGTGGACTACCTGGTGCGTAGCATAATAAGCATATCGTCAATGCCACCGCGATGGATCCTCACGCACGAGTGGTATGTCACTAGTACACTGTTGTGTACGGCCCCTCGAACTAAGGTCGGACACGATCCACGATCGGAGGATCGCGTAGAGTCGAGGAGGACGAGCTGTGGATCGACAACAACGTAGGCGAGTTCCGGTACTATGGAGAGCTGGAGATGGAACGGAGCATCTCCGATACTGAGGAGGACACCGACGAACATGGGAGTCGATTGGGATACCATTTTGGATCACAGTTCCACCGTTGGCGGTATTAGGGAGGAGGGGACGATGACTATGACTAGTCAACAGCGGGACACTCCATCCGCAGAAAGCATATGATACACGATTGAAGCTACTCGCCCCTCGATGTAGCGGTTCATTGCGTGGGCCATGATTGAATGGTATCGTGGTACTCGTGCTCGGAGACAGCATCATGATGTAGAATGCCGATACATTTGGAATATGATACAGCTGAATTCCGAATAGACAACTACCACACCGACTTATGAGGCATACAGCGCATTGAGTCGAGTCATCACGTACTGATACGCCTACCCAACCTTCATGTCGGTATGCGTATTGCGATCGTATCAACAGGACACTCACTGAGATAGGCTCGTACTTCTTGGGCTTATCGTCAGAATAGGTCCCAGGCAGACAATCCACGACACGCGTGAAATCCTTAGAAAATAGCCGTTAGTGGGTCATTGAACACGACTTGTGTTTTGCATACCGCAGAGCAGAACTGGCGTCACGACACCTGTCAGAACGAGATCTGAAGAGAAGAGTTGCGACGTACATATGGTATGGAGTACCGCTCCGGGGCCATGCCGTCGGCTGCCCTTTTGTTTGGAGGAGCCCTTACGCGATGTATCGTGCTTTTGATCATGTCGTTTGACCCTATAGAAACACATGAGGACCAGCAACAATCTAGCAGCCAGGTTCAGAAGTTACATCGCATCAGGAAGTCTCCCGCATTGACGATGATCGCACCCTCGACGGGCGTTGCAGCCTGCACGTATCATCAGCATCACAGCCAAGCGATGCGCCACGCAAAGAGATAGACCGACAATGAACGTGCCAGGGTTGTAATGATCCTCGATCTCGAGCCCGCCAGCGTCGTCTTGAAGCAAGAGCGTTATGCTACCGAAGTCAGAGTGCGCACCGATTCTCTCTACTTCGTGTCTCTCGATTTGTTCGATCGGAACACTGCTCGCCGATGTGAGGAAACGCATCTCGCTAGCTTTCTCAACGGTGATGTACCTTGGATAATGGAGGAGTCGTAGCTGATTCTCAGCCACCGTGTGACACTTCTCCAGGTAATCCTCGTCAAGGTGAAGTCCCAAAGAGAGGGCACGTAGGATGGTCAATTGCACTTCTCGACAAGCCTCCGGATGATCCTGAGTCAGTACATAGCTCTGCAATGACATCGTCAAGTGAGACAGCATACCCAAAAGAAATCGAGTGATGCCTCCTTGAAGCCAGGCAGCACGCCGTCTGGCAACCAGATGTTCGCCATTGGGTCGTCCTCGCGACCCACCTCGAAGCTCTCCTTGACATCTGGGGCCTGTACGCGAAGCTTCTCCAGCTCGTTCGCGTCGTAAACATGCTGCGATGCTTTCTCTTTTCCGGGTGGCGAATAGCCTGGTCTTTATTTAGCTCTCCACGCACAGTGATCGAAATCCTTTTTGTACATACCGCGTGGGTACATTCCCGACGAAGGATGCGGGGCGAGCATCTTTGTCTGTATCGGTAAGGCGAAGAACTTCTTAGACTGTGACACGCCGCTCAAACTCCATCAGGCGTGCATACACCATTGACACGCAACGCACCCAGGCAAACATCTCATTGACCTTATCCTTGGGTAGACTGTGGTTGACCAAGTAGACGAAGCCAGTATTCTTGAAGGATTGTATCATTGCATCAGCTACGGCTTGCTTGTTTGAACCGTCCAGGAACGGTGCGAAGTTGACAATGGGGATGTCGCTGACATCCCCGAGCTTGATGGCCTGCGACATGTCGAACATTGAGAAAAGGAGTGAGACTGAGCGCTGCACCGTAGGTGGAGTTTATATGTCATGATCATCCATTGAGGCACTGTTTCACATTGCCCGCGGGCCCTCGGGTGCTAGACAGCGTCAAGAGAAGTGGTTTCGGGGTGACGAATTGATGACCCACTGATTCGCCGGCTTTGGGCCCGGGCGTCACAGGACACTAGAGTAGACAGCGGGCGTTGCGCGCCAACTTAGGAAACGATGGGTCCTCAACCATGGCTTCGCGTTGTACAGTGCGATATCCGGACAATACTCCACGTCGGAGGAAGCCGAATGAGATGGAATGGTTGTGTGAGCCAATGAGAGGGTGACAATACAGACACCGACGGTATGTGTTTGCTAGTTCAACCTGGAAGGGGGGGTCCAACCCCCTTCCAAATCAAGGTTTAGAAGGGGGTCAACGGAGTTCAAGAGGGTGGTCACCGAGATGGGACGAAGATACGCTGACTGACCGTAACCTGTCTACGTCCTGCAGTCGCTAACCCCGAGTCCGTTAGTTGCATTTTGGGTCAAGAATTATGCTCCGAAGATGGGAGTGCACACCTATCTTCTCCGTTTCCTTGGGCCCGATGTACTCGACAGAACCGCTCGCTCATCAAAAAACATGCATTCAGTATTCGTTGCGATTACGCACCGCCGCACGTACTTCGGACAGCACACGAGCGCGGGCCACTGCGGCGTCCATGTTCTCCTAGTCGTCCTGGGGCTCTAACACGAAGTACCAGGGTCACAGAGCGCAAGACGGTGAGGTCGAATTCTCAGCTAGCCTGTAGTAGCCCAGAATCAACTCATGGCCAGGTGCCAACGGAGCTAAGCCGTGACGTACCCTATAGAACTCCAGACAGGCTTCCTTGAACTTACTTACAAATACAAATATAAGGTATCGGACCTTCTGCGCAACCGGCCGGACATTTTCCTTTACATCCAGAACTTGCGCACGGAGCTTTGTTGGAGCCTTCTCGTCATATATCTTCTAAGTCGTCTTCTCTTGACCTGACGGATGGTAGCCTGACTGCAGCGAGTAAGTCAGGACGTAACGCCACCCATGACCGTTCTGTACGCCGCGAATTCCTACGAGATGCTGAGTGCTGCGCGAGCATCTTCATACCTTCGGTAGAAGAACAAATGATCGGAAAGGTTAGCCTTGTCACCATGAAAGGGAAAGAACACACCCAGACGACCGAGCTATCTATGTATCATCTCGGGAGTCCATGGTGGACTGCGTAGGTAGCGTCCGTAAGTGGACTGCTCCGTCGTCTATGCAGGTCAACAGACATACAACAGAATCAAACGCCAACTTGCCTGATACCGTGCACCCATAGCGCATAACGGTCCATTGTAACGAGTACGCACGTACTAGGGCACGGTAAAAGATCGATAAAACCAAACATGCTTGCTTTCAGAGTGGCTCGCCGACCTGAGCTTGCTGCAGTGACGTGGGCGGTGATCATCACAGGAGAGGGTATGCCGACGTGTCCTAGCCTCTCGACGACGTTAGCACGAAGATCTCAGAAGAACGGGACCCACTCACAACTTCTTCATCTACGTAGTAAGTTAGGTGGTGACGTGTTGGAAGACGACCAGGCCAATCCTCGGAGCCACACATCGCCCACGCAGAGGCACCACACTCAGATACCTTATGGGAGAGCTGCTCAATCCTGCAGCTGTCTCAAGGTTGTGTAGTGACAGTGATCAGTCATCTTGCATATGTTTTGCTGTGAGTACTATCGACATACCTCATTTGAAGTAAGGACACACGCGTGTATATCAGTGAAAGCAGCCTCTAGGTGAGTACATGAGTGACACGGCAGAGGCAGCTCTTGGCTGGCGATGAACGACGCGCCGCCAGCGACACGGAATGTCACGATCACATGATCGTGACGCTGTCGCACTGCGAATCGTGCGAGGTCCGACCAGCATAAAACCCAACATACATTCGCATGAAACCTAGCAGAGCACAGTTTACCTCCCTGTCTACTCTTGAATGGCATGCGGCATGACTGAGAATATTTGCCAGTGCAGCGGTTGCCAATGCCAGATGTGCTCGAGATTGCAGATCGCAATCTTGATCGACGCGAGTATTTCTCTCTTTGCCTCCGCCACCGCCACGATCCTCTCGCGGGCGCGAAGAGCGACACTCACGCCCTTCCGTGAAACGGCCAGTCTACGGGTCAGGCACTTTTTTTCGCCTCTTGTTCATCTCTGCTTACTAACGTCACTACTAGGGCTTATCGCAAACACCATAACTAAAGGTCCGGATACGCCGCTCGCACACGTTCCCCAGTCATGTCACAAAATCAGGAGGTCAAGGGAGGGGCGTCGCTGTCGTTCGTTCCAACGCCCAGTACTCTCCGCGACAACCCGTACTTACCACCCCAGGATGGCCGCTGCCTGATCAACGACCTTCCAACCGAGCTGCTCTCCCAGATATTCCTCATGGGCGCAGAAATGGATGATCCGACCAGCGAGGACGAGGACGAGGACGAGGATTATGACAGTGATGACGAGGACAAGAGTGATGATGAAGACGAGGAGGACAAGGATGGCGAGGACGAGGACGAGAAGCCGTCTTTCGAGGTGACCGGCTCACACGTCTGCAAGCTCTGGCGCGACGTCGCAATCAACACGCCGGCTCTCTGGAGCTCACTCAACTTCTCAGAGGGCCCGCCGTACACAAAGTCCGCGGTCTACCTCGAGCGATCCAAGGGTTCGCCATTGGACCTCACTATCGACGTCACGAAAGACGAAGACTCGGATGACGAGACCGACCCCAACAACCCCGTCCCAGCACTGGCAGAGCTGATGGTCTGCTCAGACGAGCTCGAGGCGATACTGAAGCTCATCATCCCGCACGTCTGGCACTGGCGTTTGCTCGAGCTCATGGTCTCGGATTACGTCCTCATGCACTCCGCGCTCACCCAGATGGCGGCGTGCCCCAGCGCACCAATGCTCGAGGTGCTGGAGCTCTACCATTATGAGGAAGACGAGGAAGGTGAGGAGATGTTCGCGCCCGCCAAGTTCAAAGAGCAGAACTTCGTCCTGTTCAACGGCAACGCGCCCAGGCTCACGCACGTCGCGCTCTGGGGCGTCCACCTCGACTGGGCCGCATCTACGTTCCTCAGCGGGCTGACTGAGCTCGAGCTCGCGTACCACGCGAAGGACGTCCGACCACCGTTCAAGGATGTCGCGCGGATCCTGCGCGACTCGCCCGAGATGGGGACCCTCACAATATGCCAGTCCGGGCCTACTGGTGGTCCGGCTGAGTGGCTCGAAAGCATGATGGACCCTAACGCGATGCAGACCGACTCCTCCGAGCCCCAGCCAGATACGACAATATCCCTGCCCTCGCTCAAGAACCTTGTCATCGCCTTCCTCGAGCCGGAATACGCAAAAAACCTCGTCGAGCGCCTCGTGCTCCCCAATCTCAAGTCGCTCGCCATCGACCTCGAAGAAGACGACGGGACGCCTCTCCTGCAGACACTCACGCGGCCATCGTCCACCACTGGGAAGTCCGTACTCAGCGGGCTGCAAGCGCTCAAGGTCGCGGGCGTGCAGTGCCAGGAAGGCACGGTGATCGTGGACATGTACGCTGCGCTGACAAACCTGGTCCAGCTCAATCTAAACTTCGGCTTCGTCTCGGATAAGTGGTTCGACGTGCTCGTTGCGCAGTGGGAGAGCGTCGCGGGTTCGGGCAAGGACCCGCTCCTGCCGAGGCTCGAGACGCTCACGACGTCGGGGCTTTCGGGCAAGGACGTGCGCAAGCTGATCGAGGCGCGCAAGGCGATGAACAGGCCGGTCAAGACGGTGTTCATGAACCAGATGGACGAGCTCGAGGAGGAGGACGAGCAGTGGATCAAGGACAATGTGGACGAGTTTGACTACTTTGAGGGGTCGGACGAGGAGGACATCCTCGAGATCGTTGCGGAGGGCGAGGAAGTCGAGAACGACCAGGATGAGGACGAATGGGAAGACATGCAATAAACGGTGGGCAGCTGGTGGGGGCCGCCCAATGGCCAGCTCTCAGACAGTCTTCATGCTTAGCCTCTAGCTGCAGGAGGCAAGACCGAATCATGAAGACAAACACATCGCGTAGAGGTGGAGTTGCCTAATGCTGGTCGACCATTTGCCGCGCTGAACTTACAATTTGCTGCGCCATAGCTGTGCATGCGTTCCGGCCCTACACTTCTAATAATGTCCTGTTAACTATGTGATATAGTACATAATGTAGGGTGCGTACTCCAGTATACAACAATGTCCACGTATCACAGACTACAGGAAACGCAAAGGATAGACTCGAATGGAAGTCGAGATGCACATCATAACTCGGGGGAACCAGTAATCATGGCTTTGTGCGGCACCTGCATTAGACCGAGCACAACGTCGGGGATGCCCTCTTCCTCTTCCTCCTCATCCCAATCCCCTGACAGACTCTTATCCTTGCCCTTCAGCGAGATAGACAGAGAGTTCCGACGGAGCACCGGTCGATGTGGATTGGGCATCATGACCATGACAGCGACCTGCACCACTTCTGCACGCGGAAGCACGTCTCCCGCGGATGTGTCCGTCGGCTGGGGATTGGACAAGTTTGGTGAGGCAGTAGGCGACGTCGAGGTCGCGCGCCGGCGTGCGAACGGACGCCGAAGAAGGGCGAAACGGGACGTTGAGGCATCTGGGCTTCCCTCATGCGGAGAGAGCGCACTGCCGCCAGAATGGCTAGGCTTGGACGCAACGACTGTCGCTGCTATTGGCTGCAAGACAGTACACGGTCAGCGAACTCGGCGCAATACCCAAATCGGCATGAGGGCAGTGCATTGCTTACCAGTGTGTCCTTCCATCCGTCCTTGGACGCAGGCCTGAGGAAGAGATCCCACAACTTCGGTCTCTGGAGGATCCTGAATAACTCAGGCGGCCCGCCCCAGGGCGGTGTCAAGGGCACGCCTGCGGCGAGGGCCTCCTCTATTCGCCTCCGGAAGCGCCGACGGAGGATGAATGAGCGGAGGACGATCGCGGCCGAGACGAAGAGCAGCAGGAAGAGGGTCGCGAGGAAAGTGAATCTGGTAGACGAAAGGTTGGAGTCGCCCGACGAGGTCATGGCGTGCGCGGCCGCAGCGGGATACCAAGGTCGCAGATACGGCGGACATGCACGATGAGAAGGTCAGCAGCGGGAGTGGGTGTGTGAGTAGGTGTTAGTGACAGATGGAGTGATGTGACACCCACAAATAGAGCGAGGACGGCTCAGACGACCCCCCGCCGCTGCTGGTGCCGGAGGAGGTTGCGCTCGCGCTGGCCGAGGACGCGGTCGACGCGGTCGTGGGCGAGGAGGAGCTGGACATGGTGGACGATCACAGGCATGCGGAACAGCAGATGGCGACCGTCACGCCCGCCGCTTCCACCCGTCATCGCCCTCCCCGATAAGGCAACTTCCGGCTCGCCTGTGACAAGCAGCAGAACAGATCCAGCTTACCTGTGCGAGGTGGGCGACTGCCCAACGGCGTGTTCATGGGCTGAGCGGAAGGACATGGCGCACACGGTCGCAACGGCCATGTCAGGTACATTACTCTGCCCTTTGCCTCTGCTCGGCGATCCGCCCACCCGCGCCTTTCATATTGCCTAAACGCGGGCAGAAGCTTGGCGTACTCAATGTACACCTCCACGCCCGCACGCTTACGTTCGTACGTCGTTCATATAGATAGCCAAGAAGCCCTCAATGAATGCGCATGCACGAGCCAGACCGCGCGCGCGAGCAATTTGTAAAAGACGTTGTGAACTTCTTCGGCATTATTTCCTGCTTGTAAGAGTAATTACATGTCGTCGTCAACAGGATCATTAACACTAGTGCGAGAGCAGAGCGAGGAGAGGGAGTAGGAGAGGAGTAAGAGGGAGGACAAGCCAGAAACAGATGGGATAATGCACGGGTAATGGGTAACGGGTAAAGAAGGAGGGTGCGGAGGGTGCCACGGTCTGTGGTGGCGGCCAACACGCCCGCACGAGGCGATCGAGGCGGACTGCAGGGCGGCAGGGGCGAGAGGCAGGCAAGAGCCGGGGCCACACGCCCGCCGCAACGCAGACGCAGCGAAAAATGGAAGGGTACTCGACAAGGAAGCTAGGAGCCTAGTCCGCGGTAACCGTCGTGGTGGTTCAGGTCGTGGCAGGGGCCACGGTGGAGATAGCTGCAGGAAAACTCGTGGTGGAAGTAGTGGTAGTGGTATTTGTGCTGGCGGCGATTGCGCCCGCGGACTCTGCGAGGAAGCCCGGTTGTGCGTACAGCGCACCGTACACATTGAGGTGGATGCCCGCCAATTTTGCGATGCGCTCGCCGAGGTGTTGGACCTCGGGCATGAGCGGCTCGAGCCCGCTCGACGTCTCGGACTCGGCGTGCGGTTCGCTCCGCTTCAGCGATGGCACGACGATCGGGAGTGCTATGCGGAACACGGCGTCACGCACGCGCCGGCGCATCAGCGTGCTCAACGAGGAGTCAGCGCGCAGATTCGACTCGGCCCAGCTCGTCGCGAGCTTCGTCAACTGTGCATCGGGGGTGGAGGACTTCGCTACGCTCGGAGACGCCGCCGGCTGCGATGATGTCGACGCAGAGGCAGCCGAATTAGGTGGACTACAGCGAACCTCACCGGCGCGTCTCGTCACCTGCAGGACGACATCTTCCATCTCCGTCTTCCAACGCTTCGTCTCTGCTTCCCCCCGCGCGCCCGTATCCTTGGGCGGGCGGAAGCAGAGCCCGAGGTGCGTGGGCCCAACCTCCCAGATCTCCTTCTTGAGCCTGAGCAGATCGTCGAGGGCGAGGCGCACGTGGCCCTGCTGCTGGCCGGACAACACGAGCTGGCGATAGAGCAGCAGGAGCATGTACAAAGCCGCGAAATCCGCCGCGTCCTTCGCGTAGCTCGAGACGCGCGCCTGGTCGAGATACAGCGTCTCGGGGTATCGTGCGGGCGAGCCGGGCGCGGTCGGGCGTGGCGAGAGGTACGGCGGCTGGGAGCTGGAGCCGCGCGGCGGCGGGTTGAAGACGAGGTCGACGAGCCCTGCGGTCACGGCGATGTCGATCTGCGTCCGGCGCGGCAGTTTTGTGAAATGCGAGGAGGGGAGGGTATTGAGAGTGAAGGAGTCCTGGCGGGCGGAGAGGTCGCGATGTGCGACACGAAGCCACTCGCGCGTGACGTCCATGCAGAGCCGGCCGCTTTCCTTGCTCTCGTGGAACGTCTTGAGCTCATACTGCGCAGCACTCTGCACGAGATAGGGCCGCAGCGTCTGCAACTGGTGGTTCGCAACGTCCTAGCACAGCACGGGTACGAAAATGAATACCACATGGCATATCGGAATGATACAGGACACACTGACCAGCTTCATGAGCTCCATGATCTCGAAGCACAGCCGGATCGCGCGTACGGCCTCAACCTTGCTCCCCCCTCCGCCCGGGGCACACGATTTCGCGAGGGCAACCATCTGGTCGACGGCACCGTCGCGCATGGGCGCGCAGTGGCACCGTATGATATCGCCGATCGTCTGGAAGACACCCGAGGGGTCAAACAAGCCGTGGTCTATCTCCTGCTGGATCAGGTCTGCGTCCAGCACGCTCCGGAGGAGAGCCACATGTGCTACGTTCTGCTGGTACTGTGGATGCAGCGCGGTCGGCTGCACACACAGGCCGGTCGTCTTGGACATGACCGGCTGGATGATCGACACGAGCACCTCGAGGAGCTCGAGCAGCAGCGGGCGGATGCGCGAAGGCGTGCGGACGGTGCAGCGGTTGTCATTCGCGAACGCACAGATAGGGCGGCCGGTCGGGAGGGGCAGCGAGCTGCAGATGCACATACGCTCGCATGGTCGTCCGTGGGCGTCGACGGTGAAGCAGGTACAGCCACACTCGAGCTCGCGCACGATCGCAATCCAGTAGTTCTCCGCCATGTCGCGTTTTCGCCGGCTGGACGTCGGGCGGAACTGCAGGCCCGAGTCGAAGAGCAGGTCGTGACCTAGCAAGCGTGTGAGATGGGGGGAAGCGGATGTGTACAGTAGCAAGCAACGTACGTAGCTGAGGATTGCGGAGAATGGCTTCCAGATCTAGTTCTTTGAGTGTCTCTCGGTTGATAGGTGGCTGGTGGGAGGGTATATGCGGAGAAAATGTCTCTATAGGCGAGACTGGTACAGAGGAGGACGGACGGGGCGTGGTGGGCAGCGTGCATATTCGAAGGAGAGAGCCCCTGCTGGGGCCGGGCTCGGTGGCAGATACTATGCCCGTGTCGCGGGTGTCGTGCGTACGTGAACGGCGGATCAACTTACGTGCTGGTGAAGAGAGGGCGGGACTGTAGAACCTCCTGCGCGCACGCCGCGGGGAGGAGGGGGCCTGGGGTATCTCGATGCGTGGCCGCTTAGGTTTGGAGGGGCCCTCCTTCTGACTCTCGGCGACAAAGGGGTGGGCGGGCGGTGGTGAGGGCAGTGGCTGTTGCCAGGCAGGGACGATGCCGACGTCGGTGTCGGCTGCTAGGAGCCAGGATGCAGTCGACGAGCGATCCGGGCTGTTGGCTGGACAGCGCGGGGTGGCGGCAGGGTCGACGAGCATGGAGTCGCAGGGGGCGGCGGCCTCGACGGAGGGCGGGCCATCCTGGGGCTGGCAGTGGGAGGACGGGCAGTCGTCTTGGTCGGCCTTGCGCTTGCGGTTCAGGGGGTGGAAGTCATGGGCAAGGTCGTCCATGGGATGGTTGGGGGCGGGAGGAGGATCAGAGGCCGGGGAAGATGGAGGGCATATTTAGGGGAGAAGGAACACATGCATGCAGGCCGCTCGCCCTCCACGCTGCCATAGGCTGAACAGGCTCCTCCTGCCACAAGGCTCTCGTCCAGACGCCTCTCGACAGACGCCTGTTATTCTTTCCGCCCGCCTATCCATTATTATGCTGCCTCCTGACGCCCTGCCTGCCCCCACGCTGCCCCCGCACGCTGCAGCCCACAGCGAGCAAGCACCGGCCAGCGATGCCGCACTCTGCGGATCACCCTCGCCCATCTCCGTCTCCCATCTCAGCATTCGCACGCTTCGCCTGCACCATCGCCACGTTCTCCCGGGCGTTTTGCGCCGTCCGACAGTGTTCTCCAGCGATGCACCCGCCGTACGTAACGCCTATCTGATGAACGAGTCCACTCAACAGCCCGGTCTGTCCTCGTTTGTCTGCTCGCCACACCGCGGCCTGCCGCCGGCCTCCGCTGCAGCAGCGCGACGAGTCGGTGCTGGGCCGCTTCGTTCTGCCACAGCCGACGCGCAAATTGCTGAAACGCGTCGCCCAAAGCGGCCGCGGGCGAGGCACTTTGTTGCGGCACTGGCCACGTGCCGCGTACAATCCCAGACACGAGGCTCTGCAGCGCTCTCAGTTTATCTCAGACCCACCTTCTGCCAGACCAGCGGGTGGGCCGACCTCTTCCACCGCTGCGTGGCCAGGCCTCCTGTCCGTGGACCCACAGCGCGGACAACGAGCTGGGACACACCCGCATGCAGCCGTTGCCAGGATCCTGCCTGCAGTTTGTTCCCAATCCGGTAAGCTCCAAGACAGTGCGCGCGTCGAATCTGCGAGAAACGCATGTCCGTCGCGGTGGAAACTTGCCAATGCAAGCCCATCAATAGTGGCCCATCCCGCCCGTTTCCCGCCCCCCTTCTCAACCTGCTGCTTGTTTGAAAGATCATCTCTGCAGCCCATCACTGACCTGTCTGCTCGCGACTTGGCTCCCGCTGCAACTGCCAGCTTGCCCCATCAAGACAGATCAACTCAATACCATCCCAGACATGATCGCGCCTTCACTGACACAGGTTGAAGGCAATCCCCCGTCTTGGCCGCACTCATGTATCGCAAGCATGAAGCATGCTTCAGAACGCCCAATCTTTGCAATGCTAGCATCCACCGAGGATCGCGCAATCGCCTCCTGTGTCATATCTACATTCCGTTCTCTTTCGGAAGTGACGGCTAGACGCCTCTCCTAATCTCAGTCCCGCCTCCAGCTCGAAGCCGCAAGTCCATGTCCAGATAGCTTCCCAGGCCTCTGTGTCGTTCAGCTCCTACCACATCCGCGCCCCTTCTTTGCTCTTCATACAGCAAGCTCTCCTAGCTAAGGGTCCTCACATCGCCGCGGCCGCGCCAGACCATATGATCCCCCGGAGCCAGTCAAATACCCCCGCTCGTGGTCCGGACAAGCCCTCCCTAGTACCGCAACCCAGCGATGCCGCCAATTTGTGGAGCAACTTCAACCACCGAGCCTGCCGTCCGCCCCGTCTCCTCGGTTTCCTGCCCCCCTCGTGCACGGAGCCTCTACCACCGTCGCTCTTAGCCTTCCACCCACCCCGCACCCGCACGCCAGCTTACCTCATCGTCCGCCGCCGCAGGCTGCGCTCTAGCTCTCCCGCGCTTCTCCCCCCTTCATAACGCAAGCCCCCTCCCGCCCGGCGCGGTCCTGCCCTACCGGGCACTGGCCCCGCGCACGGCACTCACACCCAGCGGCCAGTATTACAGTACACCATCTCGCCCTGACACCGGCCGACCCACGCGTCCGAGCCCTGGTGTTCTATCACGTCATGCTCACGTCCACAGCCGCCCCGCGCTCGCAGGTCCTCGCAGGCGGCGGAATGCGTGGACCCAGGCTCCCCGCGCTCGCTGGCTCTCACGCGGACGGGTGCGGGGCTGCACGCCTGGGACTTTGACGGTGCCGTCCTGGAACGGGCCGCCCTCGAAGGCTTGTCCGAAGATCCCGCGCTTGGTGCGAGTGCAAATGCGACTGGCTTCAAGTTGGTGTGTGGACACAATGCAAACGTCGTGGTTTGTGGATGGTGGGTTGCCCCGGGAGCTTCGGAGGGAGATAGCATGGCCTGGGGCATTGTAATAACCCACCATAGTGTACGCGCCTGCATGCCAATGTAAATTGACGTCACCTCACGTCCAATCTCATCTCGTATAACTGTCGACGCATGGGGGCTGCAGTTCGTGCTGACGAGGCTTTCTGTCCTCTCCGTTCCGCCACTTACACCATCCTGTCGTGTTGTCCCAAGCACGTTGGAATGTCATGGTCATGCACGGTCATGCGATTACTATGTACTACTGCTCCGGCTGCGGGATATGCGTACTTATGCGTCGTCGAGCGTCCCGTCGCGGCTGCGCTCGCGCTTCCTCGCTCACGCAACGTCAATGAGCTTCTCTTCTGCCTGCGCACCATCCTCCGTCGGCTTCTTCGTTGCCTTGCGCCCGTAGAACTCTGCGATGATCTTCGGGCTGATGCGGTTCAGTTGCTCCTTGGGGAAGATACGAAGCAGGCTCCACGCAAGGTCGAGCGACTCGAAGACAGTGCGCGACTCGTACGCGCCTGTGTGAGGAGCGTGTCAGCCAGACATACTGATCGTGTCACGAAGGGTGCGTGGCCATACCTTGTCCGACGAACCCTCGCTCAAATTTGTCGAGGAACTCGAGTGCTAGCTTGTCTTCGGGCGACAGAGCCTCCTCACCAACGACAGCCTTCATGGCAGCGGCATCACGGCCGATGGCGTACTTGGCGTACTACAACCGCGCAAATGTGAGAACGAGATTGTACTGCCCCGACCGAGATTACTACGGTCAAACGGATTGGTCTTACCAGCTGGTTCGAGACATCACCGTGGTCCTTCCTCGTCAGTTTCTCACCGATAGCGCTCTTCATCAACCGCGAGAGTGATGGGAGTACGTTGATGGGAGGATAGATCTGACGGTTGTGCAGATTACGGTCAACGAAGATTTGGCCCTCGGTAATGTATCCTGTCAAGTCTGGAATCGGGTGCGTGATATCTAAGGAGGTTAATGAAAGTCAATTCACAGCCTGCAATATGTTCAGTGGTCGAAGAGAAGACGCACCGTCGTTCGGCATAGTCAGAATGGGAATCTGCGTGATAGACCCATTGCGGCCTTGGACACGACCAGCTCGTTCGTAGATGGTTGACAAATCCGTGTACATGTATCCAGGATAGCCACGACGACCGGGCACCTCTTCTCGGGCGGCCGAGACCTACATGACACGCCATGAGTTCATAAATCAAGCTCAACACGCCTCCGTACTTGCCTCGCGCAGCGCGTCCGCGTATGACGACATGTCCGTCAGGATGACCAGTACGTGCTTCTCGAGCTGGTATGCGTAGTACTCGGCGGTAGTGAGCGCGAGACGCGGCGTGATAATTCGCTCGATCGTAGGGTCGTTCGCGTGGTTGAGGAACAGCGTCACACGGTCCAAACTGCCGTTCTCCTCGAAGTCCTGCTTGAAAAACCGCGCCGTCTCCATGTTGACACCCATGGCGGCGAAGACAACCGAGAAGTTGTCCTCATGGCCGTCGTGGACGTCCTTCGTTGGCCTCTTCACCAAGCCGGCTTGTCGCACAATCTGGGCAGCAATCTGCGAAGCAATGCAAAGAAGACGAGGCATGAGAACACATGCGACTCGCTCGTGTTTCGGACGACGTACTTCATTGTGCGGCAGACCAGCCGCAGAGAATATGGGAATCTTCTGGCCACGAGCAATAGAGTTCATCGTGTCAATGGTCGAGATACCTGTCTGGATCATCTCTTCGGGGTATATACGCGAGTACGGGTTAATGGGGGAGCCTACGGATGCCCGTTAGATACATCATCAGCGACTGAATTGACCCAGTATCTCACCGTTAATGTCTAGGTAGTCCTCCGCAAACACTTTGGGACCCTGGTCGATGGGCACACCTGAGCCGTTGAATATCCGCCCCAGCATGTCTTCCGAGACAGGCAACTTCATGCTGCTGCCCGTGAACTCGACGTGCGTGGCCTTGACATCGACACCTGACGTCCCCTCGAACACCTGCACGATAGCCTTCTTCCCTTGCACTTCCAGCACTTGTCCTCCGCGTTTTGTGCCATCCGGGAGCGTAAGCTGAACGATCTCATTGTATGACGGGAACTGCGCGAGGTAGGGGTTCTAGCGGCCGTTCATTCATCTCGTCAATGTACACACCTTGACGTTATCCAGTACGACCAGCGGACTGCAGATAGATCAGCCTAGACTCCGAATGCACTCCAGCGTAGCACTGACCCGTTAATGGCAGAGACGGTACGATAGTCTACAGGAACACTCCCAGGCTCAGCGCGGCTTCCTGCAAGTCATCTGGACGCTCCTCACCGAGGTGTGGCTTGACGTTGTATTCCCGCGTCACGGCGGCAGCATTGATGGCTGCCAGCTCCTTGTCGCTTAGTCTTGGGTCTGCTGCCATCCTCGCGAGTAGTGGTGATGGAAAGGGCGAGGACGACGAATAGTGCACTGCTCAGTTGCTCAGATTGGCAGCAACGCGCTCCGTGCCTGCCTGACGCAAGGGCACAGATCTATAAACCGATGTTCACACGCTCACTGAAATGTATTACAGAGTAAGAAGCTACGATTACAAACATCACTGATCGTTAGTGTCGCTCTCATATAGCGCGGTCAATTGACCTCATGTGTCCCCGACAGCAAGCAGTTCCACACAGTGGCGAGCGGCATCTTCGACGGTTAGCATGTCGGTTGATGACCTAGATAAATCTTAGGCAAGCTGCAAGTTCAAGCGAATGAGGAACACAAACCACTCGGTGTTAAGCAGGATCTCCTCCGCCTCGTCAGTCTCACAACCTACGTCCTTCGTTTGTAGAACGAGATACAGGTGTTCTGCGGTATCCGAGCGGACCTATACACGGTCGGTGGTAAGCGTGAAGAGCGCTCTGCGTGACAATCCGCTTACCTTGGGGTACTGATGCGCCAAGAAGCTCGATAGGTGCGCCACGCACTCCGCCCGCAACGGCTGCATCGACAGAAGGTTGACGACTCTGATCCTCGATGAGAACGCAAGGGGGTACCACACGGAGTAGAAGTATCCTTACATCCGCATGGACATCACGACGCGCTGATAATTCTTCAGGCGAGCCACGTTTCTCGTGGCCATCGACAGCAGTGCCCGGAGGCTGCAAGGACATGTTGAGTACCTGACGATCAAGGGTCCCCCATTCTCGTCTTACGTACCTTCGGAGTCCTGTGGGATCGTCGGACAATTCCTCGAGGACATCTGACTCCAGGAGCACGTTAAAGGTCTGCAGCACCGGTATGATAACGTTGTTCGAATTAAGATTGATACTAGCTTGTGCCACGAGATCTTGCGCGAGGCTACACTGGTCGTATCCGCTAGGTGGCGTGGCTCTGACGGGTAGAGTGTGGACATAGCCAATGAGGCTCGCGGTGACTGGGCGTTGCTATCATAAACTCATCAGTTGGCTAGTGGACGGCATGATTGCCTTGAACATACAGTGCTGTCCGTTTTTGTACTGACACTCAATACGAGGCCTGCAAGGACTTCGCGCCGGTATGAGTCGACTTCCAGAAGACGCACGGCCTTGGGGAATAACTTGTCACCCTCGTTCCAGTTGACAGTCTCGGCTCCACTTGAACTGCAGTTAGCGCGTCTCGTAGTTATCAGGATTGCACTTCAATGACCAACCTGAGGAACAATGTCTTCATCAGCACATGGCCGTGTATCTGCCACCGTGCTCCTTCCGAGATCGCCGGCAGTGGCAACATGAGGAGACGCATGAAGCACTCCCCAGACAACTGACGGACGTTGTCAAGTCGCTCAACACCTTGCTTGAGTATACCCCCCACAGCGTTGTGGTATTTGGTTGAGGGTAAGTATTCAGCGAAGTTGTCCAGATTCGGGGCCGCCGGAAAGAGCGTTTCCGCAAAGGATGTCAGGCCCTTCACGCACGCCATGCGAACCCAAGAACCAACGTCTCCTCGCTCGTCAGAGGTGTAATCTGTCAGTCCGTCTAGCATCGCGTCGATAATCAGGCAAACTACTGCGGGTGACAAGTCTGCAAAACGGATCAGTTATGGTGCCTTGGTGTTGCATGTGCATACGTACGGTTGGTCAGCTTGAAGACGACGCTAGAGAGGATCTGTGGCATCGAGTTGAATGCGTTCCGTCTGGCTTCAACATTGACAATCTTGGACGGATTCTGCGAACCTCATCAATATACAACCTCTATGAACAGAGTCAGCGACATACTGAACGATCTACGCAAGTCAGCAGGCAGTCGATAGCTTTCAGTATACCATGCGGGTATGCTGCATAGTCCAAGGCGCCGAGCACTCGACATAGACTCTGTTGCATCGGAGGCGACCCAGAGCTGAAGTCTCGGATGAGCCTGCGCATGAAGTCAGCGTAATGAACGGACGATTAACAATATCAAGCTCATGCAAGCCCACCTATCGACGATCGCGGAGCAGTCAACGAGCTTGCTAACCGCTGTCATCGCACCGGCTGCAGCTTCCTGCACGGCCATACTCTTGCTCTTGAGTCCAATGTCCACCACCTTGCGCCAGTGCGGCACCGACGTTTCGTCCGAGCTGATCTCCGCGGGGGAAATGCCGTTCGCGATGAGGTTGCATGCAGTGGCTGTAATCAGCTCATGACGCGGAGACTCTACAGCACTGAGAGGAACCTGGACGAGGTATGCGAATACCTAGAATGTGGTGTTCAACGCTATGGGAACTGAGGTATAGTCGGACTTCTAACCTTTCGTCTTTCCCTTCCGAGATCATGGCCGGAGTCCCGATATGAAGCAGCGAGTTCCGTCAAGACGGCCAGTGCGCCATGGATGTCAATTGTATCTGGGCCCTGCAGGAAGCGCGCCTGATGCCATGAAAGTCAGCGACACAAGCGTGCCTCAATTACAGCTGCTCTACTTACCGCTCTTGCAGCACTGTCGGGACCGAGGCTGGGTAGGTCAAGCTCACAGATCGCACGGAGCGACTGTGCTCCAAGTTGTCGCATCTGCGGATCCCAGTGCCTCAACGTCACTGATAGTAGATGATCTATCAAGGAAAGCCGGTACTCGAGATGCCTAACCCGTTGTAAGAAGACATCCATCCGCCGAGGGAATATGAGCGAGCTTACTCTGCGACTTCGGGTGCAGCTAGCAAGAACGCATTTCGCCTGATCCCCACAGAGTAGAAGTCCGTCTTGCGGAGGACATCGATACCGTGGGCGAAGAGGCTCTGACTCATTCTGGTGTTAGCACGATCTTCGGATGATTGCACCACACATTACCGTCCGACCAACGAATTCCTGGAATGTGGCACTAGCGGCGCGGCGGATGTGGATCTCTCGATCGAACAGCGCTACGGTGACAAGCCTTCTCGAGAGATTGTCCGCGAACGGCGCGAGCACAGCAGGCTTCTGAGCGCGAGCCAGGGACCAGAGAACATAACACGCGGCATCTCGCACGTTCGAGCCGACAGAATGGGCACCTTTGCGTATGTCGAAGCAGATTGCCTGGATGTCGCTCATGAAGTCCATCAACCTTCGCCAAAGCCTTCTACACGCTCACCTTACACTGCCAGTCGATCAGGTCCGCAAGTGCATCGTCTCCGACCAGACCTCTGCGGGCCATCTCAGCACATGCGAGGCATGCGCCATGCCAGGTGCCTTCGGCGATGCTGGGTATGTCGTAAATGGTAGCCGCGGCTAATGAGTGAATCGAGAACAGGTTGACGACGTTGTCGAGCACTTGTCGTGCAAAGTCTGGGGGCAGGCGCTCAGATATTCGCGCTACACCCTTCGCCGCGGACCACCGCACAACGGTATCCTATCGAGCGTCTCAATAAAAGTGAGTTCAAAAGAGTAGATGACTTCAGAACCTTGTCCTGCAGTGCTGCGAGAAGGTCTTCGAGGACGCCTTCGAGTTCGTCTGGTACGTCGAAGTCCATATCGACTGTAGGTTGCCCCTCTTCATCGCTTGACGCCGCCAAGGCTCTTCCTGTTATTCGCGCTCAGGACGCCGAAACACCAACTCGAATCCGCACCGACCTTTACTACGAGTGACAAGTGGCGAAGCCGGTAGCAGGCGAAGCGCAACGCGAGAGATCAGCTTGGTGCGGAGCTTCCTGATCAGCGTATTCTGGAGCAGAGTCGAATTTTGCTGTACAGAATTGGCGACGTCGAGCATTGCTTGCGCATGCGCTTTGACTTGCTCAACCGAGCCGGACTTTGTGACTTCGCACAGGACTTGTAGGAGTCCCATCGTCTACGATGATAGTCAGCCAAGCAATCACAAATGAATGGCTATTTAGCCTACACGGAATGGTTCCACAGGGCCTCTCGCAATCTCCGCCGACCACGCGATGAAAGCTGGCATTTTGGCACTCGTGTCTTTCCTGCACAACTCAGAGCCCTTCGAGGAAAACTATCACTTCGGAACGCACCTCATGTAGAGTCTGGCGAGGAGGATTGCAGCACCTTCTCGTTCCAAGCCTGCCCTGTCTAGGTACTCTTTACCAAGGGACTCTATCTTCTCAGCCGTTTCTCCCGCGCGATCACTCTCATCGAATTGGTCCAAATCGAAGGGTATCATGCAGACAAGGGACAGCCATAACAACGTCACGTATCTGAGGGGCCAGTTCCATCTCACCAAGGCTGGGCTATTCGGTAGAAGCATGTAATCGAGTGCAATGGTGAGGTCCGCGATCTCATGCGGGAAGAACCTTGCTGGAGTACGCTGAGCAAGTACAGGGCGCAGATAACACACACTCACTGATCGTCTTGTAGCCCCGGAACTTGATATAATGGTACATGTGGTCCGCGACCCAATTAAGACGCTCGGAGGACTCTGGGGGTTGCTTTGTCTCAACGAAGGTCTTCACATGGCTCTTCAGACAATCCACCACAGGAGTGATCAAGGAGTCCAGGAATGGATCGAGAAGGTATGCTTGCTCCTGGTACTCATCCAGCTACAGTAAAGCGGGTGCTGACATCAGCTATCAGAGACCGGGTATAAGATGCCCTACATACTGTTTCCCGTAATTTCTTGGTGATCTGCCATTCGCTAGACCGTTCCTCCTCGCTCGGCTTCGCCAGAAGGTCGAGAGACAGCAGAGACTGTTGCCTACCCAAGAAATCTTGATACTTGTCGAACCTCGCCAAAAGCTTGCCGTCGTTCATATCATCCTCCATCCTTCAGGAATCCGTGTTTCAAGCTTTCCAGATGGTGTACTTAGCTAGGTTGAGACCGGCGCCGAGCTTCCGATGACAGCTGCTGCGTTTCGGGGCCTGCTCCCAACGAAGGAGTGACTGCCTATGTTCGTCACAAATCACAGGTCCACAGCGGCGCCCTGTAAGCAATCTGGGTATGAAGTCGGTAGCAAGGCTGCCCCTCCAATGAGGAATTCGAAGAAAGCGATGAGCTAGGCGCCCACCTTGCAACTCACACGCTACTTATTATGTCACGCATCTTGAGTAGGTTCGACAATCCTCTGCTATGAGTCACTCTGGATCTGAGGCATGATAGGTTTTGTATCCCTCATGACTGAGGCTGAAGCTGAAGCTTGAAGAACACGGTATGACCCTTATCTGTTCAGAGTGTTTCAATGATAGTTAACGGAAGGCGAGGCACGATACATCATCATGTTGCCGCACAGAACCGCTGTACCCTATGTAGCTCAGGCTCCGATAACAGTTCGTTTCTCCCATTTCGTTTCTCCGTGGCCACCGGAGCGAACATCGGATATGACCCCCCTGGGCAGATTGAGGTATCACGGTCTTGTACTCACGAAGTCCTCACCCCTAATAGCTTGCCAATAGCACCCGTTTAACGGAGACGGCCTGCGGGATCGAGTCGTAACTGAATCGCGATCATGTGACTGTGACATAACGCGCTGCCTCACGCTCCCCTCTCGGTCTAAGTTTCAGTCCTCCGGACGCACACATCCGCGGACTAGATGTCGGAGACTCGCACCATGACGATCTTTCAATTCTACTACTCCCACTTCACGCCAATTCGAGGCACTGCTATCTACTTAGGAGTCTGTCGCCAAATTGTGTCCCAGCGAATATTTGCTTTACGCTATCTGATAAGCTGTGAAGTGGGCTATCTTGTGCTTGGATGCCGGGACGGACTGGGTTCAGGAGGTGCGAGGCCCGTCTATCAGTGGCATGTGCCTGCCTGACCACTGTATATAGGAAGCTGAGACGACGAACTGCGAGCCGCGTGCCTCTGCGAATCTTCTACAGTGATCGGTTTCTCTGTGCTCGGCAACCCACCGTCCGTCGCAATACCTATCAGACATGGCACAACAGGTCAAAGTCGGAGACGTTAACGGCATTCCCATCATCAGTCTCGCGGCGTTCCTCAATGCGTCCAACAAGCAAGCCGTCGCAGAGGCTATGCTTGACTCTTTCAAGACGATTGGGTTCGTATATCTAGTTGATCATGGCGTGCCCAAGGAGAAGATAGACGGGATGTTCGACTGGGTACGTTCTCCATGTCGCCGACAACGGTGACTCACATAGCTCATTGCCCGAGATCACTAGTCCAAGAAGTTCTTCGCCTTGCCAGCGGAGACCAAGATGCTCGCGCCCCATCCCCCGTCTGGGACGCATCACCGTGGTACGTCTGTCAATCGTATACAAGACAGCTTGTCAATGACGTGCTCTTATAGGCTATTCTCCCCCCGGCAAGGAGAAGGTCGTCCAGCACATCTACGATGAAAAGGAGCTCGCGAAGATCCGTGCCAAAGCTCCGGATGCCAAGGAGAGCTTCGAAGTTGGCCGAGAGGAGGACGCAGCAATGACCAACATCTGGCTCCCTGACGGGGTATTCCCTGGTTTCAAGGAGGCTTGTCTGGACTTCTTCTGGGTACGCGTGGAGCGCTCACCTTCGGGACATGTCGATTTATCCGCTGTATGACGCTAGGTTTGCCGAGAAGTCGAACTGACAATACTCCGTGCCCTGTCTCTTGGGTTGCACCTCGAAGAGGGATTCCTAGAGAAGTTCCATACCGCGCCCGACAACCAGTTGCGACTCCTGCACTACCCCAGGCACGTATACTGGATTGATTCATTGCGTCCTCACATTGCTCATATCAGCTACAGCGTCCGTGTTGACGATCTCGAGAGAGATGAAATTGCTCGTATCGGTGCCCATTCCGACTTCGGGAGCATTACACTGCTGATGCAAGACAACGTTGGTGGTCTCGAGGTCGAGAATCCCCACAAACCTGGAGAGTTCACGGTACGTTTAACCGCGAGCACTACGTAGGCATTGCCTTACTGATAATTGACCAGCCTGCGACCCCTGTTGAGGGTGCAATTGTCGTAAACGCGGGCGACTTCCTCATGAGATGTTTGTCTTCATACTTGGTGGCAGAGCGCTTAATGTAAAATTGATGTTTCTGTACCAGGGTCGAACGACATGATCAAGAGCACCATCCACCGCGTCCGGGCCCCTCCGAACGCAAGCAAGGAAGGTATGACGCCGGAGCGTTACTCTATTCCCTACGTATGTTGATCCGCTCTGTTTGTTTTACTCACATGCTGACGAGTTGCGATTAACAGTTCTGTTCAGCGGTACGAGACTCATGGCGTTCACGTTGTGACAACAGGCTGACAAGTACACAGGATTACTCTCGCACCGTCGATTGCTTGCCGGGAACCTTTACTGAGAAGAACCCGAAGAAATACGACCCGATCTCAGTCAGTCTTACACCTCTTAGCCTATTCACGAAATCTGACATTCTTTCAGTCTGGTCAATACATTATGTCTCGCCTAGCGGCAACGTACTAAGCCCAGGTATTGAACCTCGGTGAGAAAATTTCTGTAGATTTGGATGCTTGTGAAGTATCATGTAACACCAAAGCCGACGAGTTTTGGTTCGATGTATGACTATGGCGAAAAGGAATATTGGCATACATTATCTTGCTTTCGGCGCGTGCACGAGGGTTCGTAGGTCGTCATTAGGCTCGAATGATATCATATAACTTTGACTAAACTTTGACTCGAGTTGTGTTCTTTGCCGTAATACGCGCGCGGCGACTTTTGAAACCGTCGCACCGTGTCAGAATATCTTGAGATGCTCCGAATTTGCTTGCTGGCCCTTGTATTATAAGCAACAGGAGCATATATAACACTGCTTGTACGGCTCGAGGCAGCAGGCTTCTGGCTCACTACCGTGTACAGCTGCAAGATTTATGCTGAACGCTCGGTCACGTGCATGTGCGACCAGAGTCTGCGCCTCCATCGACGTCCACCATCCTCGACACCCCGTCCCGATTACCTCATCATCCTGCTAAGCACATACGAGTACTTCAATACGCCGGATACTATGAACGCCACTCGTGCACCTCTTCCCGGGCCTCGCGGCGTAAAGAGGAAAAGAGGCAAGGTACCAGAGCCATACACTGGCACCGTAGACTTTCACTGACTCTTAAGCTAGGAGGCGACTGTCGATCCAGGCAAAAAGATTCAAGGCAAACTTGTGGGTATTTCCGTCATCTGGTCTATGCCCTGGGTGCCCATGAACTCAGCTTTATTAGCATCACGGTCTGAAAGCCATTCGCAAAGTCGCGAAGAAAGAGAAGATTTTCGAGATCCAGAAACTCATCAAGAAGAGTAAGGATGTAGCTGGGAAGAAGCAGGAAAACGTGGACTACGATGAACAGAGGGTCATCTTGAAGGTACGTGGATCAATCGGTGTGTATGTACGTCTAACAACAGTCCCTGTGCGCGTAGGCACTAGACCCTGAGCATGCCGCACACCTAGCAACCAAGACGAAGATAGGGAAAGACAAGTTTCTCTCCCAGAACGACTTCGTCAAAGCCGCGGTAGAGGCCGAACTGTCGTCTGGAGTGCTGGTGCTGTCAGAGCCCGGCACGACGGCAAGCGTTGTCGAGAGTCGCTTTCTCAGCTCGAAACGTATGGCCGCAGAGATACAGAAAGTGCTACAAGTAATGAAGGACGAACTCAATGGAACACCCAGAAGTAAACCCGTGGACGCTGCTGCGCCATCGAAGAACACGAGCAAGAGTGAAACCACCGTCCAGGTACGCAACGGCTCGTCTGGTGCAGACGACGATGAGGAGGAGGAGGCGTCTGAAGGGGGCAGTGAAGTGGGATCTAGAGAAGAGGATGGGGCCGGATGGGAGTCAGGCGATGTGGTCGGCAGCGACGCTGGTGACGGATGGGAGTCGGGTTCCGTGGACGACACAGCGGACAACAGGGGACGTGTCGCAGCACAGGGTGCGGCACTGTCTGACGGGGATGACAGCGATACGGACTCGAACGAGGTGTCCGATGCGGCATCGTCCCGTACAACCAAGCGCAGAAAGCAGCTTGATCTCAAGGCCGCTGCAGCGCAAGCAACTGCCAAGGACCTCAAAGGCAAGTCTAAAGCATCCACTGCCGAATCAACGTTCCTGCCCTCGCTCTCTGTCGGCTTTACTCGAGGAGACTCCGACGCTTCTGATTGGAGTGACGCGGACACAAACGTTGCGGATGGTGTACGGAAAAACAGACGCGGCCAGCGCGCCCGGAGAGCGTACGTGCGGAGTCGATATCTACACTGGATTGTCACTCATTCACTCACTCACATTCAGTATCTGGGAGAAGAAGTACGGGAAAAACGCGAATCACGTCAAGAAGGCGCATGAGGGCGATGCGCGAGACGGACAGCGACGGCCCTCAAATCGCGCAGATTCGTATGGAAAGGGGGGACCAAGGCAAGGTGGAGCCGGACCGGATGCGAGACAACGTCGTCCGGGACCAGGTGCCTATCCAACTTTGCGTCCGTTCAGCAATGGTACGGGCTCGCACGATAGAGGGTTTATCACAGCTGGCCCTCCTCTTGCGCGAGCGCAGCCCATGGAAGACAAACCTCTCCATCCGTCATGGGAAGCGAAGAAACGCCTCAAGGAGAAGCAGAATCCAGTCGTTATGCCCGCACAGGGTAAAAAGATCACCTTTGCTTGACGGATCATTGTGTGTAGGATCATTCCACTGCGTCGTGCACTATGATTCATACTATTTATGATACATGAACGCGTCAGATTGGCGTCGTCTTCGTTATTTTCGTGCGTCTAAATTCACTGAGCGATGTTCCGAATATCGAGCGGATATTCACGACAAAAGCTCTCCTGGGTCGTTCAGATTTATCCGAGCGTAACTGGTACACACATATGCATATCGACGCGGGTGGTATGTACTTGAGTCGCCAAGGCACAAGGTAACAATAAGTGATGCAACCGTCAACGGTATGAGGTATGCGTCTAGAGCGGACAACACAGACTCATCTACATGAAGCAAATGTAGCAAGGAAAACCCAGCGATAGCGCGACAGAACAAACCGGATCAATATTTCCTGCAAATGTGCCTCTTTCCGCCGTTGCTCTGCAGCCTACAATCTCTTGAACACCACATCTCGCCACACCTCGGACAACATGGGAAGTTGTTGCCCACTGTGTGACAGTTCGCGCACGCTGTCTTGACGCAGAATCTGGACTGATCCTCGAGCGATTCAAGCACTGGATGCAGGGGCAACGGCTTCTGCCTAAAGGTAGGCGAGGGCGAGAACTCGCGCGCAGGAGTCACCGGTCCGGCGGATGAGGGGGCAGTGGGAAAATAGTCGGAGTCTGTGTACGAAGAAGGGGTGCGACATATAGATGGAATGGGTGGGGAAATCGAAGGTGGCGGCGAATGGCGCAAGGAGGAGCCGCGGACTTCGCGAACCTGTACCTCGTCATATGTGTAGTCTGGGTACGCATGACGAGGTGCGCGCGTAATAGAGAGGGGCAGAGTGTCTGGGCGCAGCAGAGACCGCAGCGAGATGCCAGACGAGTTGGTCGGCACGAAGGAACCCAATGTCTCGGTCTCATCCTCCGCGATATGCAATACTGCGGGAGCGAGCGAAGGTGTGGACACCAGGGACGTGAGCCGCGGGCGGACAGGACGTCGTCGCGAATCTGGAAGTTCAGCGGTGGACGCTGCCCGGACCCGCGAGTTCCTGTGCGGCGAATGACTCGTCTGGTTGGCATTGGGAAAGGTTTCGGAGCGCGAGCGAACATGGGGAGGAAGCACGGAGCGTTGCGTGACCTCTACCTCCGGCGGGCGAGGACCATCGCGAGTGGCGGAGGTCGGAGGAACATCCATTGACGAGCTATCTCGACGCGAAGGGAAGGGTTGATGCGCTGCTGGGAGTAGACCACCACTGCCAGACGGGTCCGTCCGACGGAGACTAGAGCCTGAGCCAGCAGAGGCACTCACTGTGTGTTGGTCTAACCCTGCTGGACCTGCCTATGTGTTTGTCAGTACACCGAGTAGATTACCGGAGTACCAGTGACTAGGCGTGACAACGTACTTGGAACAGAGAGCTCGGGTCTCTCGCGACGAAGACGGCGGCCATGACAGGGCGGTGGCTAGTCGCCTGTAGGAGCGAGTCAGCCATTGTATTTATATGCGTCTCGAGCAGTACAGTAGATGATCAAGTCAAAAAAGATAGAAGAATGGGTGTCACACGACCGTACTTACAGGCGTCTCGCTGACAGCTTCTACGAAGCGTATGCCGGTCAGTCGTTTACGAGATGATACAAACGAACTAGACCGCGTTATCGTCTTATGGACTTCGGGCGTGTCTCCTTCAGGGAATAGTTGTTTGTATCCTTGGAACTTGAGGGTGGAGGGGAGGTACTGGCGCGCGGAGATATGTATGGCGGGCCTTCTCGCACTACGATCACGTACACCGGCGCTGGGTCTCCACTTCGTACGCTTCACTGCGCGGCGAGGATCAGTGCTCTCTTCGCTTTTCAGATCTGGGGGGATGTAGGGAGACTGCGAGAGGGCAGAGGTGTCGTCAGACAACTGGTCACAGTCGAGATGGTAAGTTATAGAAAAGTGACAAACAATCACGCGCTCGAGCGCTGTATGAAAAATCTGTGGCTGGAGCCTGTCGGACAGTGTCGGTGGTCCAGGACCTGGACAGTCCACTGTCAGGGACAACCACTCCCGCGGCTGCGATCCTAGTGTCCTAATCTTATCAGATACTTCCCCACCCTATCTCTGATTCTGACTGTGGGGCACGGCCTCCGAAGGGCTCATCTGAAGACCGCCGACGACCAACCAGTCAGTGCTATCAGTTTGGTTGGGCATCTACGTGTAAGTACGTGTGAGTGTTGCAGTGACTGCGGATGTTCTATAGATACAAATGCGAGTAGATAAGGCATGCATCCGAAAGGCCGTAGCGGTCTACGCTAGGAACACAATGCGTAAGAGATTCGATGAGAATGCTTGCGTGTGATGATGCGTGGAAGCTAGGAAACTATCGTCGGATACGGGGACCGGACGGTGATGGACCTTACATGGCAATGGTGCCTAGTCCCACCGCTCTCCTTCAACCTACAACCCCTCGAACACCACGTTTCTCCGCATCTCGAACAGCTCGGAAAGTTAGCGCCGTGTCTTTTGCAGGTCACGCAAACAGCTGACGACCTGAACCTTGATTGCTGTTCTAGGTCTACCAGGGTCGGTCGGTCGTGCCCCAATAACGGCGAGTGGTTTCTCGGGGTCGCGGGTGCTTCGGAAGACGAGATCGTCGAAAGAGAGTCCGTGGAGGGTGAACGACGAAGGTTTTCGACCGGTACAGCGGAATGATCGGCTTCCGCTGTCATGGAGGTTATATCGGACGATATTGTGGGCGCGGCGTCACGATCAATGGGGTTGCGGGATAGCTGAGGGTTTGCCGCATTTCCAAGAAGCTTGCGAAGCGTCCTTTTAGCGTCGTACGATGAAGGGCGAGGAAGGTCAGGAGGCTGAAGGGCTTCGTGGACGTGTAAGTCAATTGCCAATGCCGCTTCGACCTTCAACGAGACCGGTGTTTTGAGAGCGGGCGCGAAGAGAGTCGAACTTTTGGTGCTCGTGGATGTGGTGGTGCTCTGCGGTGACACTGTTTGCATCCGGGCGGTGCGAGCAGCACTGGCCTCTTTTGCGGTCAGACGACCTCGGGTTACCTGCTGCTCACGGGTCAGGGCAACACCGGTTGTGTACGTCTTCCTTACTCACCGAGCTAGCAAGCGCCTCAGAAGCGCTGCGAGCATGACGTGGACGTTCGGGGGTATGTCTAGACAGACATCCTAAAATTTGACGAGAAGCCCATCAGCTGGTGGAAGAAAGCCGCTGTGATCGACCAGTACCTTGCCGTGGATTGCAGCATAAATGGTGCATCTCTGAACTCTCCCCGATTTCGCGCAGAAAGTCCTCAAAATGACTGCGAGGTTTCGGCAACGTAGGCTCTGTATGATGCGTCCTCTGCGACATATTTAGTTGCATGTTAGACGAAATTTGGAGGGGAAGTACGAACCTTGACTGCGGGACGTTTGCTAAATGAGCTCGCCGCCATAGATATTAGTACGCTGACGAGCGTTGAGGTGGGAAGGCAAGGTAGCAGTAGAGCTCTGCGGGACGAGGACAACCTGATGCCCTCGGTACATGTTTCGTTTTATCTTGGACGCATGAACTGGGTGCGTCGCTCACTGAGTGGTCACACGAGCTACCTGAGCACAAACCCGTGTCATCATAGAAGCTGACGGAATGACGGGCCCACTCGGACGAACTGCGGACGTACCAGTATGGCCAATAGATAAGAGAAGATCTGCCCGCATTCAGAATTCTACCCCGCATCGGCGCGACGTACGTAGCAGTCGAGATGCACGAGAATGCATCACCGCTTGTGTACGTAAAACATGCTCGCGGCCGGTCATCCGCGTTTATGCAAGCACCACATCTATCTCCCCACGAAGTGGCACACGACCACAACCACAGCCAAGCCTCGAGATGTTGGAGAGCCTCTTGACCAAGCAAAGTAGTTGTGATTAACGACGTACCACACCTAGGCGCTCAGTCGGCATCAGCGGTACGGCCGATGCCGTTCCGGCCCAGTCGTTCTGTAAAAGGCAATTTGCTACGTTCACTTGCTTCTTCCAGCGTCGACACTCCCGCCTCAACCGGATGCGCCTTAGGCTACACTATGAGCTCCGAGTTGATCCCGAGCAGTGCTTGTAGCAGCGCCGGATGCTTATGCGGAGCTGCTGTTCTAGCATTTCGTTCGCTTGTGTTTCGTTCATCTCGAGGGCCTAGTTCCACAGCCTAATCCCTAATTTCCTGGTCATCGTCCTGGCCCTAGGATATAGAGTATAGAGGATCGTGGCACAGACGGTACGGTACTTCACATGGACTAGCATCGATAGGTCTAGGTATCCGAAGACGGGATGTATCTTCCCCGGCGGTGGTTGTCTATACCCGCGCAATTGAGCAGTCATGTCGCCTTTTTGGTGACAAGCTCGCCTTCGATTGCCGTTAGAGAACGATGGCGGGATTTGTACGTGCCATTTGGCCACATGGGATGGTAGCGCGGCCAAAGCCTAGAAGATTCGAGACAGTAAGTTATACATATCGAGGTGAGCTTCCTAGAAGGATCGTCGCGCTACTTGAAACGTACTGTACTCCGGAGGATTGACGTGAACGAAAAGGACCCTCCCTGGTGACTGCTCTTGCTCTACGTCTCTCTGCATGACCTAGATTTACACCTCAGTTTGCCTGCATCGATGGCGCAGCTCATTGATCGCTCCACGCTTCGCCGTAACCTGCAGCTGGACGCTACCCGCCCGTGATAGGGGAAATGTTTTTGGGTCTTTGAAGGTAAGTTACTCCCGGCGATTTACGACCACAACGGCACACAGAGCAGGCCGCCTGCATGCGAGGGCAGCACTGGCCGTAAGCGATCGTCGTCGCGCCGCATCCACCTGCAATGAAGCTGTAGGGCGAATGTGCGTATTCTTTGCCATGACTGTCGCGAACGTGCGCTCATTACTCACCGCCAGCCCCGCCGCGTTCACTTGTGACCTGCTCTTCATCCCACGACATCGTTCACCCTGCGTCCTCAGCGTATCATATGTATGGTGCAGGATTATGGTTAACTCCATGTTACAGGTGCACTGTGGACACCGTCTCGAAGAGCGCTGTCCACCGCTGGCCGCCTTACGACCACATCGGTAATGCACATATTCTCCCGTTGTCGACGTCTTCATATAGGATGCTTTCGACGCCTGTGACGCAGCCGAACGTCATACGCGACTTCCCGATCTCATTAGAGCGGGCTCTGCTCGCTATCGCTGCCGCCCCGCAATCGATGATGTGTCTCGATGAGTAAAGCACTCGGGAGCTGGAACGTGTTTGCCAGAAGGGGAAGTGAACGGTGGGAGGCCGCAGTGCGTGCAGCCGACCTCTGGGCTCAGGCCCTCCGGCAAGTCAGGGTTTAGTACGACCACGATTCGGCGGGCGATACCCACTGCCCTGGGGCTTCTAGAGGAGGGCCTACTTTATACTAGTGCGTCGTTGATACGTTCATATGGGGGCCTGTGTGCAAGCTCATGATGACAGGAATGCCTAGATCTGTGGCCTTGCTATGGCGGTGGTCTTGCGTGTGAAGCGGACGTCCGTCGCACCACTGCGCAGAGCAGCTTGCGGAGCGCACAAGATATTCCTGAGCACTGACGAAGCATGAAACACAAGAAAACGAGGAATGTGGCAGTATATCCCTGCGAGGGCACTGACCCACGCCGCCCATCCACGGCTAGACCTTCAATTTGCGGGTCGGAGTCGGTCGTGAATGTACCTGAGGGGATGCCTGGCAGCTGTTAGTAGTATTCATGCTGTTATTACTGGCCAGAACCTGTTCCGGTCTGCTTCGTGCTCCTTCGCGCGCGCGAGAGCGCAAGGGTTACTTGTAAGTTAGTTGCACAATGCGCGCGCGTCCGTGTCGCGGTGTGGCGGGAATATTACTGTCACGTGCGCGCGTCACCGGGGTGCGCGCTTGCCCGATGCAGCCTTCGTCTTGAACGTCAAGGAGGTCGTTCTGCCACCGACATGAACGGCGGAGAGAATGCCTCTCGACGCAAGGTGGCACCCCCGCGGCCTGCTCTCATAACCCCGTCCGCCTCGCCTCCCCCTAGCTCGCGTCCACTCTCGCTGGGCTGGTCCAACATCTCCGCAGATCGGCCACCACCCACAAAGCGACGACGACTCGGCTCGACGCCCTCTAGTCCCTTTTCTGTCTCTACCCCTACCTCGTCTAGTGTGGGCCCTAGCGATGACATACACGAAAGCAGAAAAGCGGCTTCGCAGCGTCTGCTGAATACTTGGGCTGGTCTGGCGGAGCGGTACAACCGTCCGCTCGACGAAGACGATATCATCGACTTGCGCGATGGGAGCATCATCAAGGACCGCGGTGTGCTTCGCAAAGTGGCGAAGAAGTTTGAGATGGGCTGCTTCGCAGGCGACGACGTTCCCTCCGACACGAACGACGCGAGCAGCGACTATGGCGGGGTACACACGGACGACGACGTGGACGAGTTGGACGCGTTCGCACCGGGTGCTGATATCTCAGGTGAGCTGGAGCTCGAGAGGGAGAAGCGTCAGGTACCTCCGGTGCAGGCGAGGAACCCTGCAGACGCGGAAGATCTGCGCGAGTTCTTGGAAGCGGAACGACTCCGGAGGGAGCAGTACGGCGAAGAGGAGGACGAGGACGAGGTCATTCAGCTGATGTCTCTTGAACGCACTCCTAGTTCACGTAGCAGCTCGGAATGGCGGGATTCGTCCGTTCGTGATGAGCCAGAACTCGAGGATAATGACAGTAGGGTCTCCGAAGACGAGAAGGACGACCTTCACGACGTACCCAAACGACCTCCGTCGCCGCCGTCTACTAGGACACTCGCAGAGGACGACGAGTCCGAGGATGAGTTCGCCACCTGGGACTTTGACACCACTACCCCCGTTCAACCTGCGAAGCCACCACCGCGACCACCGCGACCTCGTACACCTGACGATGTGATCGACCTCACCGATTCGCCTGAATCTTCTCCGTCGCGTGCTCCAGCCTCCCGTGGACGTTCCAGAGTGCCCGCTCCTTTGGCGAGCAAGCAGACCGAGCCTGCGCGAGCGAAGAGTGTACCAAGAGGGAGGTCAAGAACTCGTGCCACGCCGAACACCTCCGTTGGTTCAACGAAGGCTCACACCCCCGCAAAGGCTCCTGCTCAGTCGAAGACCGCTGCTCGTAGGAATGGCAGTATGCCCCCGCCTCCTGTGCCCCAGCGCGCCATTGAGCAACTTGTTACTCCCCCGCCATCCTCCTCCTCAGCCATCGACAGCACGCCAGAAAGTACTGTCGCCTACACTACAAAGAGCCCTACCCCTTCTCCCTCTCCCTCGCCGCCTCCACCGCCTAAAACAAGGCCTCAACCTCGACCCCGATATAAAGGCGCTTTGTTAGCGTCTGGAGGCACAGTCCCCAAGAGTTCTCAGGCCTCACCCAGTGTGCAAAATGTGGAGGCTGTCACCCCGAAGGCCCCCAGGTTCAAGCTCGTACCAGAAGTAGTGATCACCTCGCGACCGCGTTCCGTAAAGTTTCCCTCACGAGCTCCCTCTCCACCACCCGATACACAAGAACACACGGCTGACGCAGGTGGATCGCACGTTCGGGCTGAAGTGTCCCGGAAGGGTAAGGCCAAAGAGACGAGCGATCCTCGTCAGAACATCGCGAACGAGACCGATCGTAGGCACACGCAATCATCGACGAAATCTGCGAGTCTACCCAATGTACCGATCACGAAAAGGGCCGTTACCCTCGATGCTAATCAAGAGGAATCTGACTCCGAGGTCCCATCACCGCCTCCGCTACCGAAGGTGCGCAAGCGAAAGCGTGTTTTGTCGTCATTGTCTCTATCAGAGACGTCCGACAAAGACGATCCCTTTCCGATGGTCACACCGATCGTACCCTCTCGACCACGACTCCAGGATGGACCCGGGCCGTCGTCACGCCGTCGTACACCAAAGCCGGTGCGTAAGCCATCGCCACGGATTGACGACGACGATAGCGGTACGCTGCACTATTTCCGAATGCTCGCGGATGGTATCCTCATCATGATTTGCGCTACGCAGACGATGCTGCACTGGAACCCCCGCCGCCTCCGCCGCCACCACGCGCCCGTACACCGCATAGGCCTCTGCCACAGACGACCGGGTACTATGGAGCCCCTCCACCATTATCCCACACACCCCGACATCACGACTCTTACGCTCCGTATTCGCCTGCTGGTGGTCATGACCCTGAAGCACAGATGAGGTTCGCGCAGGCAGCGCATTATTTATCATATATTATGAGCGCGGCGGCAAGTCTGCCGCCTCCAACCGGATACCCGCCCTTACCCTTCCCGAGCCAGGCGCCGCCATGGCCACCATGGACCCCGGCCCACCGATCACATCGAACGCCGCGGGATCGACGGTCAGACACATCGTCGCCAGGCGCGGGCCCGTCAGGGTCGGCGTCATACCACACTCCGTCACATCCACACCCGTACCCGTTCACCTTTGACCCGTCCTACTCGAGCGCCTCACTGCCGCCTTCGTCGCCTCCTGCGTCGTCGGAACCGTCGTCTCCGATGGAGCGCTCGTCATCGCTTGCGAGAGGCCGCAGCAAGTCGCGAGGCAGGCGAGTGTCCTTCAAGCTCAACGGCGACGAGAGACCTGTCCTTCCGTCTCCTCCCCGCGCCAGTAACGACGACGAGGAGTCGGACGGCGAGAGGACGGTCGCGTCTCGCAGGAGCCAGGGCCGTGACACTGCGACGAATGATCGGCCCACGGTCGCTCGGAAAGCGAAGAGCGGGGTGTCCGGCCGTGCAAACACACCAGCTGTGAGGGCCGATAAAGGGAAGACGAGAGCTGACCCTGTGGAGGACTCCGAGGATCCCGATAGCGACCGCGGCCGGAGAGAGCGCGGTCGCACGCCCGGCCCTCCCCCGCACCGAGGGCGAAGCGCAGCGGGACGTGCCGCTGGGAGAAAGACGTGAGGGTGTGTATGTCGCTCGTGGATGCGCGCAGTGGTCGCGGCCTGGTATGGCGAGTATGTGTTTGATGGGTAGTTTAGTGTAGACTGCAGTGTACTACGATCACACAGCGGGGGATCGAGGGAGAATGAATGACATTGATCGGCTGTGCGCGGATGGTCGAGATAGGCCCATGGGCGGCGCCACACCTGCCTTTTGCGGAACTCACCACCAAACCCCACCTTGCGATTTTCGCCGCAAATACTCGTCAACAGCCCCTTGACTCGCCCACACGACCATCCGTCCGTCCTTCCGCCGGCTCGCGTCTCCTGCTCGTCCTCCTTCTGTCCCCGGCCACACTCCTCCACGAGCTCTGCCGCGCCGAACCTGTGGACGAGTCTCACTGATCTTGCCGCGTACGCATCTGACATCAAGAGCTAAAGATGGTGAGTCCTCGCCCAGTCCGCACACTCCGGCACTCATGTCTGCGCCACGGATCTGCAGGGTCAAGTATTGTCTATGCCCGGTTCGTATACCGCAATGCGTGCAGTGTCCGAACGCATCGCTCATATGTTTTGCAGCGACCGACAAGACGACGGAGAATGGTGGAAATGATTACTACTACTACGGGCTGTCTGAGATGCAGGGGTGGAGATTCAGTGAGTGTCGCCCCTCCCTCGTGCTGTCGTGCTCTGCAGCGCGAGAACACTGCCTGATGCTGTCTGCGGGGGGCAGAGCGACCTGTTATCAGGCGAGCCTGACATACTTTCATCTAAGCCATGGAGGACGCGCACACGATCGCTCTGAATCTCGATGAAAGCGGGGATGACTCGAACACGTTCTTCGCCGTGTACGACGGTCATGGTGGTGCGTTGACTCTTCTGCCCTTGCCACGCCCCTTGACCCAGACCCTCTCCTCCTGAAGGCGGTGCGGCGGCGAAGTACGCCGGCGAGAATGTACACAAGAAGCTCGCGTCCGACGATGCCTACCAACGCAAAGACTATCGTGCGGCGCTCAAGAATGCGTTCCTGGGCACTGACGATGACATGCGAAATGGTAAGCTCCACTTTCTCGACACGGGTCCCCCATGTACCTAAGACGCCACGCAGCGCCCGAAATGCGGAGGGATGGATCGGGATGCACAGCAGTCGCAGCACTCGTAACAAAGGATAGCAAAATCTACGTTGTGTGTGCACTCCGTCAATTGGGTAGTGTCATTGTGACTTATCGTTCCGTAGGCAAACGCGGGTGACTCGCGATCGGTCATTAGCGTAAAGGGGGAGGCGAAACCGCTCAGCTTTGACCACAAACCTCAGAACGAAGGTGCGATATACTCAGACGTGCTGATTACCGTGATAGCTGACGACGACTTGGTGCAGTTGAGAAGAGCCGAATTGCGGCTGCTGGTGGCTACATTTCCTTTGGTCGTGTAAATGGCGAGTATCCTCACCACGAATGATCATCGGCGTAGCGTCTAATTCCCACAGTGATCTAGGAAACCTCGCTCTCGCTCGCGCATTGGGAGACTTCGACTACAAACGGAACGAAACGCTCTCACCGGAAGCTCAGATTATTACATGTGACCCGGACATCACTGAGCATGATCTGACGGGCGAAGACGAATTCCTCATCATCGCATGTGATGGTAAGTCATCCTCATTCCTCGACATGTGGACATCGTAGCCTGATGCGCGCATGTTCTGTTTAGGCATCTGGGATTGTCTGAGCTCGCAGCAATGCGTGGACGTCATTCGTCTCATGATCTCCCAGGGGAAGGATCTGTCTCAGGTCTGCGAGGACGTCTGCGAGCTCTGCCTCGCGCCCGATACGAACTCCGGCGCGGGCATCGGCTGCGACAACATGACCATCCTCATTGTCGCGATCTTGCACGGCCGCACGATCGAAGAGTGGTACAAGTGGGTCACCGAACGGACACAGCAGAAATACGGCCATCCGACTCCGGACGAACTCCCGCAGATCTACTCCCCGACCCGGCTTGCTTCCTTCAAGGCAAGACGCGAGGCTTGGGAGGCACGCCGGGCCCAGCGCGACGCGCAGAACGCGTCCGCGAACTCGTCCCCTGACCGCGATCAGCACTTCAGCAGCGAAGGCACTGATGAGAACCTGAGCGGACCCGGGATGTTCGGCGGGTTCGCCCGGGTACTGGGGAGCACAGGCGGCATCTCGTTCCACCCATCCTCGGGGATCACCATGGGGGCACCATTGATGTTCGACAACGACGATGACGACGATAACGACAGCGATGAGGCGGACATGGAGGACGCGATGGGGATCTACCCATCGGGCGAGGGCGCGGGCGGCCATGACTTCTCCGTGTACGGGCGGGATGCGACGAAGAGTCTCAAGGAGCAGCTGGACGAGCTCGAGCGGGAAGGCACGCTTGACGTGGAAGGGGACGTCGAAATGCAGAAGGGCGAGTCGTGGCAGAACGACCCGTCGCTGCAGGGCGAGGCACCACCACCGCCGAAACCGAAGGTCAACGGGGACGCGGCACCGCCGCCGCAGCACTCGACGCCACCAGGCGGGGACGAGCCGAGTCCTGTGGTGAAGGCGGAGGGGCTGCTGGACAAGAGCGAGGACCCCCTCAAGGTGTAGCATAGTGTGACCATACCCGTCCTGTGTCGTGTTTCCTGTTGTCCCGTGTACTGTGTAGCTCAGCTATATCTATTTGTGGCGTCTGACTGTGTCTCATACCTCTCCCTCTCACCTCCATGCCCATTGTTGTCTCGGTGTATCAACCAGGCTAGCATTCCATGATGATTACGCGTACGACTGGAGTTAATACATACATGCCCTCGGTCTCTGTGTATAGTTCGGCAATCACTTCTTTCCTGCATCCTCTCATCGTGACTGGCATATCTGCGGTGTCATAGGACGTTCCGCAGGAGCACCAGCTCGCCTTCGCAGAGGCAAATGATGACAGGTTCAGCATTTGGGCCAACCTTCACGAGGCCGATACCTAGCAGCGGCCCAGCAGACCCGCCCCCCACCTTGAGCACGGCCTGCTTCGCCCACTTCTCCTTCGCTGGTGCGCCACGGTAGACGTATACGTTCCCGCCAAGGTCTCTCGATCCGCTCTCAAAGGCGAAGACCGCCTGCGAAGAGACGTGGTACGTGGAGCGCGTGTCGCGCTTGCTCGCGAGGACGAACGCGAGCGCAGAGTAGGTCGCCGTGTGCTTCCACCCTGGCTTCTCCTCTGGCGCCCCGAGCTCGTACACCAACCCGTCCAGTCCGGTCTTCACCACCAGGCTCGGCCTGTCCGCGTCCGTTCCCGGGAAAGGTGTCGAGAGCACCTGTAGCGGCGCCTCATCGCCATGGCTCGTGCTGTCTGCACCCCCGTCCAAGCCGACGCACGTCACGCACGCGGTGCGGCCCACGTTCACGTCTAGCTCCTCGTCCATCTCCTCCTTCGCGAGGCTCGGCACGCCGCGCCCGAGCCCGAGCCCGCTCGCGTCCTCGCCGCTCTGGAGCGCGGCCGTGTACTTCTCGAGCGCCTCCCGGATCGCGTACAGCTCGGACGGGTCGAGCGTCTCGGGGACCTCCTCGTCGTCGTCCGCCATTGACGATGCCCCGAGCGCGGGCGCGGTCGCGCCGGCCACGGCGAAGACCTGCGGCCAGCGCGTGCCCTCGTGCGCCTTGTCGAGGTGCAGCGTGAGCACGCCGTACTTGCGCTCCGCCGCGCGGTCGAACGTCCACATGCTCGTCGCGGACTGGATGTGGTCCCACAGCGGCTTCATGTCGTACCGCGGCGGTGGGGTCTCCCCCTCGCCGCCCGGCTTGGTGTCGCGCACGAAGACGGTGAGCGTGCGCAGGGAGAAGGCGACTTTGATCGCGTCTGTGGGTGTGCTGGAGGGGAGTGGGATCGCGACTGTGACGCTGTCGGAGGTTTGCGTCCAGGAGTAGGGGGGAGGCTTTTGCGGGGCGTTGGTGGGAGTCGCGTCGTCGAGGTTCTCGTTTGCGCGTGGGATCGGGGCGACTTCGTCGGCTGTGGGCGTGTATGAAGGGACGGGAGCGATGTCGATGGTGCGATAGGACGCGCCAACAAGCATGAATGATTGGCGGGCAGAGTCGTAGAATGTGTAAATGGGGACATCGTCACCACGCCGATGCCAGAGGATGTCAATGGACCGTGTTTGGTCTGCGACTGGGGTGATAGGTAGAGTGAACCGAGCCGCCCATATGTCAAATTCTGGGCTCTTGTGTTGTGCACGACGGTTGCTAGACGTCCCATTGCTTACCGGCTGGACATCCTTAGGATAGTGCTTGGAAGAGAGGATGATGACTGCTGCGTCCGGCGATGTCTGGGCGACATGGTGGATCCTGAAAGGGACGACACCTCTGGAAGAGCCAAAGACAGCGGGAATAGCAAGCTCGAATGTTCCAACAATTTCGGCAAGACCGGTGCTAGGGATACTCAGAGCGTAAAGGGAACCATAGCCGTCCGAGACGAAGAGCGATGTAGAGTCCAGGAACCCCGCAGACGGATACTCGGGCTGGGGCGAGTCGACGTCTGGGGAAGAGATAGGTTTCGGGAGCTCATACAACAGACGTATTCCGGGCTCTAGAGTAGCCTACTTTTGTGTGCGCATAATCAATTGAGGAACTCTGTACAATGGCGACAAGGTAGGGTGGCTTACCTCGCTCAATTTGATCGATACAACTCGGAGCTCACCATCAATGTACGCTGCGCTCTCATCTTGCTTGCAGAGTGCTAGATGATTGTGAGAGATCCTACTCTGCACCTCTTGGAAGGTTACGTGCGAGCGACCGGAGACATTGGTCTGCGACGGCTTGTACTGCAGGCCGTAGTGGGCGACGGCCTGCTCCTGCGCAATTGGAGAGAGCTTGTAGCCTTCGAACCGCGGATTTAGCAGAGAGCGGTTTGGCTGGAAGCCTGACATGGCGGCGCGACACAGAGCAGAAAGAGACTTGGAAACCCTTCGACTCGGAACACTTCGAGGGCTGCAGTGCAGCCACTCTTGCATGACGCAATCGCGCCCGAAATGGAAGGTGGTTTGTCCAAACTACATGTATCAACTTTGGCGCCGAATCAATATGGTGAGATGGCCGAGTGGTCTAAGGCGCCAGACTAAGGAGCTGCTTCAATTCTGCAAACATCTCACGCAATCTGGTCCGAAAGGGCGGGGGTTCGAATCCCCCTCTCATCAGTCTCTTTTTACTTCGTGAAAGCTTCAAGTACATTCCAAAGCATCAGGGACTAGAGCGTGCGGGCGGCGAAGAGGCACCTGGCAAATGTCGATTCGCTCCCCGGAAGGTTGGCAGTCACTTGGTCCCCGAGGCATGCCCGAAGCACGCCCGCTGCTTTCGTTTGCTCCCTTGTTGGATTTCCCACCGCCAGACATACGGCATTGCATCACTGCTGTTCAGCCATAGTAGCGATTCAGATATAGCACTCCTAATCTCATGCCAGTGGTTGCTGTGTATGCGCGATATAACGCGCGTAGAACCATAGCGTTGATCAGCAATAATTGACCATCGCCGATCTTCAGCGAGTGATCGTTCATTGCACTTCTCGAGGGACAAAGAGATGAAATACGAATCCTGGATGATTTGATATTCACCGAGCCACCTCTGAGTGGCGGGATACTGCGTGCTGAGTATCACAGTACGTACTCAAGGAACATTTATGGCTTGTCCGTCGATCGTAGGCCGTCGCGTCACACACTTGGGGAGGTCCCCAAGTGCGTCACACCACAAGAGATCCTGAGAGGAAATTTATTCGCCGTCTAACAAGCGATGAACGGCCTAGTAGTAGTAGCCATTCCGCCTTCCAGCTACGTCCCTTACTGCTTCTTCTTGCCGAACAGCTTGCTCAGCACGCCCTGCGATCCACCCTGCTGTTTGTTGTAGGCCGCCGCGTTCTTTTTGAGCGCCTTCTGCGTCGAGTGGTTCATCTTCCGCATCCTGCGGCTCCAGTCGAGCCACGCCTTCTCGTACTCCTCGTACGTCTTGTAGTGTTCGCGCTGGGGCTGGTCGAGTGGACCACGGGCGACCAGTTCGGGCTCGAAGTACTCCCGTTCGACGACGGAATTGAGGTCCCCGCGTGCCTCTAGGTCTGCGTCGCTGCGGGCCGCTAGGTACTCCCGCGCGTAGCGGTCGAGGATCTGGAGATGACGCTCCGACAGAGAAAGCTCGTTTTCGCTGCGAGCACTACGGTTTGAGGGGACTAAGCGTTAGGAGAAGCTCGAGTCAGGGGGCCTAAGAGCCACTTACGCGAACATGTAGTCATCAATGGGACGGGCCACCGCAACGGAAGCTGCCGCGACGAGGGCAAGAGGGAGGAAGCTGGAGAAACGCATCTTGAGCGAGTACGGTGTTCGGTGTTGGATCTGGGAGGGGAGAACCGGAAGTCGGGTGAAGAAGGACTCGGTGGTCGTCGAATAATTATAGCCGTCAGACTGGACGTAAGAAATCAAGCAAGGCTACCGGCGAAGGACGTCGGTCAGCGTCAACGTCGGCCAGAACACACACTATGATACGCACCAACCGGTGCACTCGCTGTCAATGAGCTCTGAAGCAGAAGACAGAGCTGGGGAGCCAATGCAGGTCGCCTTCCATTATATACACGCTGGTGCGGTCTACCCAACCGGATCATGAGGTACCGCCTGGGTGCCACGCTGAAACGTTCATGTTCACGGACTGTCCGAGCTTCTCTGGGAGCGCTGTTCGATGGGGCGCTGGCGAGAAGCCTTGGACCCGGGCCCCGGTCAGCATACTATACGCATCAGTCAGGCCGCTGTGAGCGGATAGTACATACTTACCGGGTCTCTCAACGTCGTAATGCTTCGCTCCCCGTCAGATTTGCTCCGCCCAGATCCCATCCTCCTCGCACTCCTTTGCAAGATTCCTACGTCCATTGTTGAGGGAGCTGTACCTTTTACGTTCAACGTGGCACAGCCGCGCTGCTTAATCAAGAGATGCACGATTGCGAGGCCGGGAGCGTGAGTGTCAGAGTGATCGGCGCCCGCGCTTTGTGGTAAGTACCCAGTCAGCAGTCAGCAGTCGCTGACATGTTTGAGTGCTCCACCTCAGAAGAAACACTAAGAGCACATACGGGTTCAAGTTGTCCGGAGCGGATCTGATTCTCTCTCACTGCACCAGCCGAGCACATGTGCACCGCTCCGTGGCGCATAGTGATGGATAGTTTCCGACTTGTGCGTCGCCGCCACGGCGACTGCGACCGCTTTTTATGCCTGCTGTCTGCGCAGTCCCTGCACGGCGGAGGCCCAAATTCGCGACGGACATAAGCACTTACCTTGTAATCAGTGCATACCTCTTCATTTCACAGGTCTTACCCTACGATCGCCCAGCGGTACCACCTGAGGCCTGAGGCCTGAGTCAGTGAGGATGAGACGTAGCTGTGAATATCCAAGCATCCCGAGGTACCTAATACGAATTTCATCTGCTCAACATCAATGATGGTACTGATACATACTTGATTGGTGCGAGGGGCCGTTCTTGATGACCGTCATCACTGTGCGATTGGCCTCCGAGTCTGAGTGAAGACCGTCCAATTAAAGTCTTCAGCGAATGAGCCGAAGGTCCTTCAGGTTGTCTAGATATCTGACTCGGAGGTAGCAGTACAATCAACAACTTCACGCGAGCCCTGTCTCCGCATAATGTACACATAATATACAACTCAAGCTGCTCGCGGCCTGTTCTTCCGTCTAAGAGTACATGCTGGAGAATTCCTCGCGGTCATTGGCATCGCGGTTGCGCTCTTCGTCTCGCCGTAGCGTTTCTTGAGCTTCCACCCGAGCGTGCAGAGCCTCCATTTCGGCCTGGGGGATGGTGTCCACTATCCCCATGATGAGGCTTGCAATATTCGCGAAGTTCTGGTTGCGGGAGACCGATGGCAGCCCGTCGGGGCCGACGCCGGGCTGCAACACAGCTTCCGTAGGCCCTCCGCTGGGAACCTCCTCCGGCGGGTCAATGAACGGGCGGCGGCATGTGGGACAGGTTGTTCGCTGGACAAGGGCATCAATGTCAGTATCACCGGACGAGTAGGATGTGAATGGACGCTGCCCGCAGAAACCACAACGGCGGCAGGACAACTCACGCCTTGGTTTACCCAACCGAGCGTACTGCAAGTCGATCCCATGTTGAGCAATGGAACTACACATTACAAGGCCGACCACTCACTCCTTCCGGCAGAAAATGTGTCCGCAGGTATCTACAAAGCGCGTCACACCGAGTTGTTCGACAGGATGGGCCGGGGAATCGAGCGCGAGGGCCATCTCCTCCTCCTCCAGGATGGCCGAGAACGACGTAAGACAGATAGGGCATTGCGAGTCTGCCTCGTCCAGTGAAGCGAGATTCTGTTTCGTCAGCTTTGGGAGTCCCTTCGTAAACTTCTTAAGCTTCCTAATATGCGTGAGTATACGGTCGTGACGCGCTCAGGCAGACTGCAGGACGTACTTGCGGTATGCAGCGTTGCTCTCCAAGTGGGTGAGGATGCCTTCCATGACAAAGCTGGGTAAACCAGCGCGGTCTGCATCGCGCAGTATCTGCAGTCTGAGAAAGTCAGTCATGCTCCGGCGCCGTCGAAGGGTTGGTTGGGCCATGATCTGCTGGTGATTGGTGTAAGGTTCGGCAGCGTACGTAGTATACAGACGATGAACGGTGAGGCAGCGACGAGGGAGGGAAGACAAGGGCAAACGATCGATAGGGATCGAGATATCGACAAGAAGGCGCAGTCTGGCCAGACGCGGCGACGCGCAATTGGGACGCGCGTTTCTAATCACGTGGAACGCGACGCGCGCGGCCACTTCGAACGACCAACTCGCACTTCGGCCGCCTCTGTGTTACAGTGTGTACACCCTGCGGAGGGTCACAATTACGTTTCACTACTCTGTTCATTGCAACCACTGGCATCGGCAAACCCCCTCATGCTTCAGGACCTACTCACTTCTCGCAGCGCACAACCACATCGTCCGCAGATGCTGACTTCATGCGCAACTGTCTGACTCTTGCGAACACAACCAGCGCACCTCTTCTGAGGGGATGGAAAACCTCTCCGCCAGCCCACATAGTCGCCGCGGCGGGGTCCATCCTCCCCCATCACGCTCCGCCCCGGCTCAGCGTACCCGCCCTCTCTGGGCTTATAACGAGGACGGCTCGGTAGGCATCCGCTCATCATTCCGTGCCCATTCCACAAGAATGTCTTCGTGTCTTTGCACAGCTCACCACACCAAAGAGCCGAACGACCAGCCCTTCTCGTCCAGTAAGGACACCGTCGCCATTGACGAGACGAACGCGTACTGGTGACCGGTCGCTGCCGTGGTAGGCAGGTCCTTTTCCACGTCGAGAAGCTCGACATCCCCGCCCTCGCACACGTCTCTCTGCCCATGCCTACTGCTTCGCCCGCGTACTGGTTCACGTGCACCCCGCTGCCGCCTGAACTGGTACGCAAGCTGCGCCTTTCTCCCTCGTCTCGTAAGTGACATGTAGTCCAACAGACCGAGGACAGATTGTGGGCCCAGGCCCCGGCTGTCGTGGAGATTACGACGGCACCCCGGAGCTGGCAGACGATTGTCGTCGCTCTAGGTGTGACCCGACCATCCATGAGTCTTGTGCCAGGGTTCGGTATGTCTGCTGCGATGACGATGCTTGGGAAGACTGCTATAGCTCAGTCTTGACCCCGATTCGAACTTCGTTTTCAGCTCTCTTCCCGATACTTACAACTATGTACAATGCAGCTGTCTGTTACGCGGGGTCCGGACAAGTCGTTCATGATGACTGAGCTAAGGTGTGTGCTGTATCTATAGACTATTAGGCAGTGCGATAACTACACCATCATCTTGACAGGTTGATGTCGGTAGACCATGCTGAGATGCACGAGGTCACCGGGATGTGGGAAGGAAACCGATTGTATCTACGTATACAACAAAGATCTACGCTCTGCGATGCTACTCGGAGCCTTGAACCCATCATAGATGCGAGGGGTGCTCTCCATGTGAGTACATCCACATCGTGATTGCGACTAGCGAAGCTGCCAGATCATTCCGTAGGCGGTATCATTAGCACAGATGGCATTCTGCTGCGCACCATATCTAGTGCTCTTCCAACTGAGCTGGATCTGTGCGTTTACTGACAGTCGCGAGGTTCTAATCTACAAGTATCGTCTATGACGTATCCTCAAGCAGGCGTTTTACGCGGACGCCGGACCTGTGCCGGACAGCAATGTTTTTTGAGCAATGTCGACAGGTGCCACTTGCCGCTTTCTGTGTGAAGGAGCAAGGTGCTACTGCATCGATAATTCGAGCACTAGTTGCCTGTTTAGCGAGTGGTACGTGGCTTGATCCGACGCCAGGACGACAAGGCGCACTGGCAGGACATGTGCATGAATCCTGGGTCGATGCACCGTGGCGTCTGCGTGTAAACGCGATCATCGCCCGCATGGTGAATAGACACGTGGCTTGGTTACTCAAAAGCCTACATTCCTTCGAAGGTACATAAGTAACGCGGCAGCTCATAGTCGCGCATTCGGCTGCCATTCAGCTGGCCTCAATGTACAGATCGGGATGTATCATAATACACTGTATAACCAGGTGCGGCCGTCGTTCCCAATCGATGTTGACAATTGCAATAACCGGTATAGTGACAGACCGGCGGCGGTTGGACATCCAGGCATGGTTGCTGTTCCACATGGCTCGCACACGGTTCTTCCAATCAGTACACATGCATTCTGTCACCCCGGGGAGCCAAATCAAGCCCGGCAAGGCATGGCTGCAATAGACAGTCACAGGTATGCTCCAGAACCATTCTCAATGCGGCATGCGCAACACGTAGGATTGACCATGAATAAGTACAGGCATTTAGATCCATTGGCAAAGAACTCAGAAGGTTCAATTGCTCACTTGGTCCAATCTGTCTGCTAGTTTATAGGCGATGTTCAATAGGATCCTCCCGAAAGATAAATCGAGTGGACCCTGTCCCCCTGCCATGACGGCAAACCATCTTCGTCACGCGATTGCCTTGAACGGCTGCGTCATCTAAACCATTCGTACTTCAGGAACCGCAACAACGCCGAATAGAACTCTGCAGCGGGATCAAGCGTCAGCGCCGGCATGCGCGCGTAAGCATCAGAGTTTGTCACTGCCAGACGATCACTTGGTCGTGATTCTCACTGTTGACAGCTGTATTGTTCGCAACAGACTCGTTCTGGTAGTCGTCATGTAAAGCATGCGACCCCCATACCCCAGACCACCCCGAGAATGGAACCCTCGGATGCCCGAGTTCCTTCGTCGTACATGTGGTCAACAATGCGAAGTCACTTCAATGCTGCCACCGGTGAATGCTCCTGCCGAATGGACATCTTGCGACCATGAGAGGCCAGTGTCTACGCGTGCCCGGACAGCTTTGTCTCGTAGCCCGCGCCATTGCCTAGTTTGTGAATCTTCCTACGGTATTGGAAGTGCGTTGGATGTCAAACGCCCATCCTTCGTGCGTTGCCCGGGTAGTGCCTCATCGCATGAGCTCAAATGCACATGGTGCGTCTCCGTTCTGGTTCCATTGGCCTTGAATATTGACAAGTAAGCCAATCGTTCTACCACAGACACCGCATGGAACGCGGTGCACATGTACTAGAGCGCACGCGATGAGCATATCTTCCCCAGCCCGAGCCGCTAGGGTATCTGAGTGCATATAAACATGGCTTACGACGAAAGGCAGGCATCCGAACCCACCCCTCTCGGCCCACCCCAAAGAGGAGCGTGCAGTCTGTCTTCCACCAATGATGCGCTCAGGGATCTTCTGCCTCTGGCCGCTCTTGGCTGCAGTAATTACTGTGACCAACGCACGCCCTCCTATGGGCAACGTTGAGCGGGCCACCCCCGGCAAGCTCGTGGTCGCGCATCACATTATTGGGTTCACCGATCCTTACGCCGTATCTGACTGGCAGTCCGACATCCAGCTCGCGTACGATTCGGGTCTCGATGGGTTCGCACTCAACGTCGGGAGCGAGTCCTGGGAGCCCACTCAGGTCGCCAACGCGTATGTTCCCTTGACTAAATGCAAAGTAGTACGCATGATATTGATGCAACAACTTCCAGGTATCAGGCGGCCAAGAACCTCGGCCTTGACTTCAAGCTATTCGTCTCGCTTGACATGTCGTCCTTTCCTTGCACAACAGCAGACGACGCATCGATCCTGCGTGACTATGTCACCAACTACGCCTCTCATCCTAACCAACTCCTCTGGAACGGCAAGGTCTTCATATCAACCTTCTCGGGCTCGGACTGTACCTTTGGGCAAAGCTCCGCCGCGGCAGGATGGCAGAGTGAATTTATCAACCAGCTAACCGGGTCGAACGCGGTCCACTTCGTTCCTTCATTCTTTGTTGATCCGAGCACTTTCACTACCTTCAATGGCGTCATGAACGGTGACTTCAACGTGAGTCACTCCTGGAATATCTGCTGGAGCGCGGAACCTTGGCACTCACACACGCTTATAGTGGAACGGCGGCTGGCCCATAGACCTGACCTACGCATCCGCGCAATCCGAACTCGGAAGCAACGCCGGAGACTTGGACGACGCTACATTCCCTTCCTCAGTGGAGGGTACCCTAACCGGGAACATTGGTGTCTTCGCAACCGATAGTCAATACATCAACGGACTCAACTCAGTTTCAGGCAGCGACAAGACCTATATCGCTGCCGTTACCCCATGGTTCTTTACGCACTACTCTCCGCAGACGTATAATAAGAACGTGAGCCGCCCTCTCACCATATAGATTCGGACGTCGGTTAATCGCTCCCCTGTGGCAGTGGATCTATCTTGCCGACTACTGGTCCTACAACACGCGATGGGAGACGCTGATCGAGAAGCGCGATCAGGTCGACGTTGTGGAAATCGTGACTTGGAACGACTACAGTGAATCGCACTACATCGGGCCGATTGAGGGCTCTCAGCCGAACTCGCAGGCATGGACGAACGGTATGCCGCACCTCGGTGAGTAGGAGTCATTTGCTTTAATGTATATGCTGCACATCGTTTCCACGTAGGCTGGCTGGCGATGACCAACTACTATGCGACGGCTTTCCGAGAGGGTTCATACCCAGCCATCACTAAGGATCAAATCTACATGTGGGCTCGTCCGCATCCCAAGAACGCAGACTCATCGGACTCCGTGGGCAAGCCCACCTCCTACCAATTGGTACGTATAGTTACAATTTATAGCTCTCACTGCCTGCGTGACGAAGCAAATTCTTCCCCTCAGACCGAAGACAAACTCTGGGCTGTCGTCTTTGCCCAGTCCAACGCTATCGTCGTGATTTCCACAGCCTCGGGGACCACGCAGACGGTCGATGTCTCCGCCGGTGTGACGAAGCTCTCGATGGACCTCGTCCCAGGCTCTGGCATGTCGGCAACGATGACGCGGAACGGTCAGACCGTCGTGAGCCTCGAGCCCGGGTCGGCCTTTACGTTCAACGCAAGCCCGGAGATTTACAATTATAATGCATTTGTCGCCTATGCGACCTCCGGCTGATTGGGGCATCTGCATCTTGAACAGTGTATCGTATAGTGCCGTTCACATGTAACAGTACAAACATCATGAATACAGGCGATTCAACCATTCAATTGTATGTATCCACTACAGCCGAGATTCTGAAGATCTCTAAGACCGCCATATCCTGGCGGAGCTGAAGACGAACGGCAAACAGCATGCACCAGTTCTCTACACTACACTAGGGCATGACGGTGCCTCCCTCTGTCATGTACGTACGTCAGATCAACGAAGACGAAGGTAACACAACGCGTGAAGCGAAGTAAAACAATTCGGCGCGTGTTGCTTTCCCCTCGCGCTCGCGTTGAGCGACACGAGGGTACTTATCCCGAGGACCACGTAAAGGTCCGCGCCCGGACGGACACTGCATTGCGCAAGCATCCGCCCGCCCCCGGGGGCCTCTTGAAGGCTCTTTTGATGCAGCTTCGCTTCCGGCGCTCGACAGTGTCCCCCTTGAGACAGTCTAACCTTGCGGCGCTTGACTGTCGAGAGCTTGAGTGCGTCATCTTGACGCAGCCCATGCTTTCGGTGCTTGATTTGCAGCGCTTGAAGAAAGCCCGTTTGGGGCGCTTGACCCTTGCAGAGCTCGGCATAAGTGCAGCTCAACTTGCGATGTTTGACGACGGACGGCCGCCCTCAACAACCAGCAAATCTCCGCTTGTGGCACTTGGTTGTTGTGTCCTCGTCCACCGCGATTTGTGGTACTTGAGAACATCCACGTTGAAACAGCCCTAGCTTGTGGCGGTTGACCCTCGAGATTGAAGTGATGCAGCTGGACTTGGAGCGCTTGACGACAGCCACGCTTGAAGCAGCTATACTTGATGGCGGCCTCCTTGGGGCACGGGCCCGTTGGGGCACTTGACTCCGGAGCCGAGACAATGATTGCTTGCGACACCTGGCCCTGGAGGTGCTTGACGTTGACGCAGCTACGCTTGCAGCGCTTGACCCTTGCGTTTGAGCCCGCGCCGCTTGAGACAACCCGACTTGCGATGATTGGCAACGACCAACAACGTTGAGGCAGCAAAATTTGCGGTGCTTGACCTGTGAGACAACCAGCGACGAGCAAGACCAGCGTGTGACAGGGTCGAGTCGTTTACCACCGAGCGCGCCTTGCGACATGAGGTAGCTTCGTTGCAGCGCTTGACAACCTGTACTTTCTTCGTTCAAAAAACCGACGATGTTGACGTTTCCTGCAGTTGGGTAAGGAGACGCGTAACGAAGAGGGAACATACTTGCGCACCACTCGTAGAACAGCGTAGGCTTTCCGCGGTCATACACCACGAAGTAGAAGCCATGTGGCGCTGGCGAACATGATAGACAGAGACAGGAACAAGAAGACAAGCAGTAACCAGCGAAGATAGCATCGGCGACGCGTCTTGAATTATTCGACCTGGCGGCTGACGAGTTGCCAGTGGATGGTGGCTGACAAACAGTAACGTCATTAGCGGGCACGGTGGTACAGCAGATGTGGCAGACAGGACTCTCGGCTGACAAAGAAAGTAGACTGTGGGACCGGTAAGTCCAACGCCGAGGGTCAGCACTTGCGTATGGAACGGAGACATGACATACATTCGAAGAGTGCCGTTGTGGCGCACACATCCTGGGCAGTGGCTCACGACGACGAGGCAGGTCGACAAGAGGCATCCTGTTGGCAGAGCTATGAAAACAGGGAATGGGGAAGAATCAGCGACATGACGGGCGAGGCATAACCAGGAGGGGGAAGATGATGGGAGGAGACAAGAGGCGACCGAGTCGGTGTTCCACGCAGATGGCCGCTTCCTTTATATGTCCCACCAGGCCAACACCAGGCCATACCTGTGCGGTTTGGCCACGGGAGCACTAATCTTCCGTATCATCGATCTGTTCGGACCAATCAGTTGCTTCTGGGCTGCCGCATGGGCCTTTGTGGGTCCACAGCGTGACCAAATGCAGAACAATGGATGTCTGTAAAAGGTAACTGCTTCGCATGGGCCAACTCGTACGTTGATGTAAGACACACCACTAGAGCTCTGAGATCTACCGCAACAAGCATGACATGAATCTGCCTGCCATTGCCAATGACGAGGTTGGAAAGATGACAAGCGGTCGAATGTGAGGATGCGGAGAGGAGGAGGAGACGCTCAGGCTGCCACCGGGAGTGCGTCGATCTGGATCTGAGCAAATGTCACGACGAGGTGACGCCGGAGGTAACGCGTCACGCACTCTCCTCTGTTTCGCTCGACTTCAAGCGCACCTGGTCCGCCGCGGTCGCAGTCGTCCTCGCTAGTCTAGCCAGCTCCGTAGTCGGCAGCATGCGCCCGTCAATGCAGCCTGCGCGGCCATTCGTCAACTGGCTCAAGAATCCGCACTCTAAAAAGGTGCCAGCGGGCAAGGGCCAGCCCAGCAAGTCCGCTACCGTGCTTGCTACGGTCCAGAAGGAGGGCGCGCTCCGCCCACACCTCAATATCCCTGTGAACCCGAACCATGGCTTGTATGCGTTCTTCAGAAGGAAGGTGGTGGATGGCGAGGTGAAATACGACACTATTGAGGCGTTCGACTCGACGCAGGTCGTGAGCGGTACGCCCATCCTATGCTGGCCGATTTCTCTTTATACTCAGCTATTTCTCGCTGTGCATGTCTCCGTTGCGCGGCCATTGCAGGTCGTTCTTGGGCCGCCTCTGAGCTACGTCGGAAGAGCTTCATGGAGCTCCATACCCTGTGGTATGTCCTATTGCGAGAGCGAAATCTGCTCGCAACGCAAGAAGCAGATGCCCGACGGCTCGGCATCATTGTTGAGTCGCTGCAAACTCAGGACAAGAGGACTCGCAGGGTTCGTGCATTTGTTGACCATCCAATCTTCTCACTCACATCGTCGCCATGTCTTAGTGTCGGAAGAGTATGGCTCGCATCAAGTACGTCACAAACGAGCGACGTCTGACATACGAGCGGGCCGTGCAAGCCTACGAACAACAGAGGGAAGCGGCTGTTGCTACAGAAGCCGAGGCTGAACAGCGGGCCCGGGAGAAGGAGGAGGCTAGGGTCAAGGCGGAACATGCGGCGCAAGTCGCTGCCGCGAAGCGGGAGGCGGCTGAAAAACAGTCGGCGGCGAGACTGGTCGGTGCAGGGTTGTTCGAGAATGCGCCGCAAGGCACAGATTCGCAAAGCGGCAGCGAAAACAGGAGCTCGTAGACAATGCTTATAGTACAGTCCTGATTTATATTACTTCACTCGGGTATGACACCTTGCAAACACTACCCACCATGCGCATGCGCCCTGGGGAATAGTTAAGCAGGATGCGTGATTCTCGAAGTCCGTCCTCCATGTTGCTGTCCCCATTCCATCATCTCCCTGCTCACGAAACAGTTTCGAACCTTGCTGTCTTCATATATTTCCACCTGTCGCCGCCCATGTCGGAGCAGGTGCTCGATGGCTGCGACGTCTCGGGGTGATACGGAGGAAGCCCGCGTCCTGAACGTGTAGCGCACGAACAGGTCGAAGTTTTCTCGGACAGCAGACGGTTTTGAGTGGACCATCCTCAACGCCCTGTTTCAGCGCAACGTCAGGGTTTGTCATGCGACTGTTGCAGTGGTACGCACCGTCTGTAGAGCGCCAGGACGTCCTTCTGCAGGCCCGAATGTCGCGGGGCCATGTTACTCGGTGCGCAATGTCAGGAGCTTCTGTGGGCGGTGTATGTGCCACTTGACGGCGATGGACATCCTCTCGGTGAAGATCGGTCCACGAGTTCCGACCCTTCGACGCGTCAAACGGTCAATCTCCCGCGGCGCGCCCGACACGTGACTCACGCGTCACCGTCGACGACCTCGGACGGACGCGTCGCGGAAGGTCAAGCTCATACTACATCCTCGGTCGCGCTGGTCCACACAAAAGCATGCTCAGGCCCACCTTTCGACGTCTATTGAATTCGCCGTCCACCAAGGCGCTGTTCCGGGGTGACGCTCTCGCAGTACACCGGCGATACATGGCGACCAACGCCGAAGAGGGTGGGATTCAGGACCCCGCAACCTACTGCAGCGACTTGGTCCGAAAACGCGACTACGAATCATTCCTCATCTCACAATTTTGGCCACGCGATCTCCGGGAACATTTTATCGCGTTGCGCGCGTTCTATGCACGTGTGGCTTAACTGACACTAGTCGATCCACTGAACCGTTGAGACAGGTGGAACTAGCCTCGGTGCAAGAATCTGTCTCGAATATCACTCTGGGCAAGATGCGGATGCAATTCTGGAGAGACGCACTGAAGGGCATTGCGGATGTGCGTACCTACATGATGCTTATATGCTGCCATGTCTGAGCACAGGAGACGGTAGGGTAGGCCGCCGAGGCACCCAATAGCGCTAGCTTTGGGACGGGCATGTCAAGCCGCAAACCTACAGACATACCATCTGAAGCGGATCGTTGACGCAAGGGTCAGTTCACGACCACGATACATGCTTGTGTGGTCTGATACTCGTGTCTGTCCTAGGATGCAGAGCTTGACACTCCTGCGCACATGACACTAGATTCTCTCACATCTCATGCAGAATCCACATCCTCCACGTTCCTGTACCTGCAGCTATCTCTGCTGTCCCTCTCCGCCTCGTCTACACTTTCACATGCCGCCTCGCATCTCGGAGTTGCGCAAGGCATCACGACACTGTTGCGTGCACTGCCGTACCACGCATCGCAAGGCAGGATGGTGATCCCGGCGGAAATCACGGCGCGGCACGGCGTCAGTCAGGAAGAGGTTTTCCGCAAGGGTGGGCAAGCGAAGGGCATCGAAGACGCTGTGTTTGAGTTTGCCACTGTGGCAAACGACAATCTTCAGACAAGCTTGGAAATGCTCAAGACGGAGGTGCCTGGCAGGGCGAGACCGGTATTTTTGAATGCGGTTCGTTGAATGTTCCTGTTCTCGCGTTGATACCCGCCTGACGGCCCGGGTAGGTGCCGACCCGACTGTATCTGGAGCGCTTGGAAGCGGCAAACTTCGACGCATTCAATCCGTCTTTGCATGGGCGTGGGTGGCAGCTGCCGTGGAGGATCTGGAGCAGTTACTATAGGGGGCGGTTCTAACAACCGGGGGGTTGTACAGAGCGTTGTCTGCGCGACGAAATGACTAGTGTTGTTGCTACGTGGATGAGTTGCGCGCCGATCTGAGTTGCAAAGAAACCATCCGACGTGAGACGGCATCCGCCACACTTCCGCATTCGGCAATGGTTGAGCGCGTCCGCGGACCGCTTGGCCAAGTGACGGGCGGCGCTAGGCTCGCGGCTCAGCTGTGGCAGCTCGGCCAAACAAATCTCTCTCTCCCACTCCCAACTGCCAGGCCACTCCGGGCGTCACCGCACCCCTCGTCCACGTCCTCCCCCGGCTCGGAGAACTTCAGTGGTCTGATCTTCTGGCGCCAGCTTGCGGATCGCAAGCCACCACGATGGACCGTTTGTGTGGTACGTGCCAGATATATAACAGTTCCCGATCCTGGGGTAGCCCCTCTAATCCCGCCTATGCGATCATGCCCCGGTTCATTCCAGACGAGATAATTCAAATCATCCTCAACTGCCTTGACGATCCAACCCACTTCAGCCTTGTCTCCAGACGGTTCTACGCGATTACCAAGGACCCCTACGTGCGATCATCGTACTTCCTTGCGCGCCATGGCAGGACGTATGCGCTGTACTATGCGCTGGCGAGGGGGAAGCTTCTGACGGAGAAGGTTGTCGACGTACGTCTGCTACCGTGTTTGCCGCGGTACGAGGCATTGCTGACTACTAGCTCCCATAGATTATGATTTCCAGCGGGGCGCACTTATCGCGCTACCTCGCCCAGTGTGCGATTCATCATTACTTTCGCGCCCAAGTCCACTTCATTAAGACCCGATGGGTTCGAAGTGTACCCCTCCCCGTCTTCACCCACTTCATGATGGTGGCAGCCAAGATGTACGGTGACATTCCAACCGGGAAGGGAGAGGACGACGGAACTATCTTCGGTGCGTTGCTAAAGACTAGTCGGTTGCCAACGGAGTCCAGGGGCAAGTGGGAAACAATTAAGGAAGTGGTGGAAAAGTATAAGGTGAGTTACGTCCAAGCTCACCCTCGTTCACCTCCTCATCGCCTTGCGCAGTTTATTCCGTTCTGTGCGAAGGTATGTTCTGCGTGTTCGTGGCGTTCCGGTGACCATATGCGCTTCTTCTATCCAGGATCCCATGATGGCTCAATTCCCTTTGGTCCTGGCTGTTGAACCTCGCCTTTTGCCATATGCACGCGCCAATGGCTTCATCATGGATCACAAGGTAGGTACGGTAGGTGCGCCACCCATTTCACATGCTGACTGCGCACCACTTGTCCGTAGTTCCGCAACTTCATGTTCCGTAAGATGTTTGAGAAGCCCGCCGTGCAATTCGATGGCCGCGTGGGCGAGGTTGTGAATAACGTTCACAAACTGACAAGTTTGGATCCTAAGTACGGTTCTCGTTCTCATAGTAATATCGACGTTACACGAGCAAGGGCTCATTGTCTGGCTTAGTATGTTCGTGACTCGGACTGTAGCGGCGGAAGTGTGCATGGAAGCCCATCTGAACGATCCGGGGTACACAGCACTCAAGATCCTGGACAAGGAAGGGGCTCTGAAATTCAGCTTAGCGTGAGTGACCTGACATTTGGCCACACAAACTATACTAACGGTTGTTGTATTAGGGCCGTGGTGGAAGAGCTGCTCAAGGTGAGGAGGAATATCTAACCGAAGAACCCGTCTCATAGGCAATGCAGACCTTCATCAACACCCGCTCTATCGCCATGTCTAACATGCAACCTGTGTTACGGAAGCTTCACTCAGACTTCCCCTCAGAGGACCCGACAGTCAGGGTGGTTATGCTATCCAGCGTGTTCTTCATCGACACCAGCCCCCTCCCTGCCGGTCTGACCGCCAGGTCGACATTCTCTGCATCCTTGGACGAGTACGTGCAGAACTGTAAAGAGAAGGTTCAAGACCTCGGACTCGCGCCTGTCACGCGGAAGGACCTATTCGACATGCTCGTGAACAAGTTCACGCCGGACAAGTTCGTCGGGATCATCGAATATGGCCACGATGTGCTGCGCATGAGCGCGTCGGAGATTAAGGAGCTCAAGCAGGATGTTGCTCTCGCGTGTCTGGAGGTTGGGTGCAAGGGCAAGATGCTGAAGAAGCTCGTAGAGGCGGACCCGCCAATGCGAGATGTCATCGCTACGCATGTGGTGCAGAATCTGCGACTGAACCTCGACGACCTCCCGTGGTCTGATGACGAGGAAGCGTGTCAGCAGTTCGAGGCGAAGCTTTGCAGAGACTTCGTCATCTGCAGACGGTATAGATATCCTGCTGCAACGGATGACCGCAGAAGGGCTGGTGCGGCCGAGCCGGATCACCCTCAACAGCCCGGAGGCAACGCTCCCGCCCCAGGACATGCGGATCAGATGGACGTGGACGCAGCGAATAATGCCGGTCCAGCGCCCGCTGTGGAAGATCACGCCTTGGAGAGCGACGACGACGAGATTGCTGATGATGAGCTTGATCCAGAAGGCGGCCCCGAGGAACTCGTACGTGGCGTCTACGTTCATGCTCTTGCGAGGAACCAGTCGCTCATTCCGACCGCGCATATACAGGGCCAGATCGGTCAGGACACTCTCACCGCCATGATCAGGAAGGACGAGATCTCCCCTGTCCGAAGGAGAAGGTTCTACGACATGTTCGCGACGTACGCTGACCACATGGGCAAGTTGACGTATCCATCAGGTAGGAACATTGAGTGTTGCGCGATGAGTCTGTATTAACTCGACTTGCGCAGACTACCTGCAGGTCGGTCGGTGGATCCACAACGAGTTCGGGCCACGGCATCCGGTGACCGCAATATTCATGCTTCACGCCGTTGTCAACGAAAACGCGCACGTAAGTCTGATGATCGAGATGAGGCGCGCAATCACTAATTACGAGAAAGCAGATACTGCAAAACAGCTTGTACAGTGATAGCAATATCACCTCTGGACGCATCCCAGTTACCCTGAAGCACTTCAAGATGTTGGCACGACTTGGTCGGCCTCCTGTAAGCATCTCCTTGAAGGTCTTGGTTCTTCTGCTCATCAATCCGTGTAGAACCTCGCGTTGATCGACGACATCGAGGCTGGTATCGAGTTCTACTTCGACGAGGACGATTACCTGTCTGTCGAAGATAGCAACAGCGCAGCGAGTAGCAACAATAACTCTCGAGCGCGTAGCCGCAGAGTCAAAGTCGAGACGGATGGCACCCCTAGACCACCTAGCTCGCTTCCCGCTTCACCCGAATCCTCGGGTAGCAGGGGGAAGGGGTCTCGAGGCCGGAAACGGCCTCGGCGTACCACGACTTTGGTGAAGTCGTATGCTATCCCCGATAGTGATGATGAGAACATCGCCGGCGAGGAGCGCGATGTGATCGAGAGCGACTTTGCGAGGAAGCGGCGTTGCGAGACCAACCTGCAGCAATGGATCAAGCATCTCAGCGTCTTACTGAAGGAAGAGCAGAGGAAGGTGCGTGCGCCTATGATTGGTTTATCACACGAGTCTTGCTCACGAGCACTGCAGTACAAGGAAAAGAGGAAGCGTGAGCAGGCTGCCGCGGAGCCTGGCGCTAAGCTTCGTGTACCCAAGGTGAGCGGGCAGTCCTCCCTCCAACTGAAGGCACGGTTGTTCTGACGGTAGCTTTTTCACGTCTCTTAGAGCGAATTCTTCAAGTCCTTGGCAACAAATCTCAACCGTCTTCGCAAAGCCGACAGGGAGAAGCGGCAGCAGCTGTACGGGACGGATGTGCCCAGCGAAGACTACAGCGAAGGAGAGGAAGACGAGTATCAGTACCGGACTACGAGATCGAAACGATACAAGGTCGAGCATGTTTGAGTGCTCCCTTCTTCTCCTCGTTCGAAGGGTACAAGGCGCAGCGCTTGCCTTGGCATCTTAATATGCATCTCTTTCGTCGCCTCATATGAACAACATGGACATGCATAGCAATGACCTTTCCCTCACATTCATTCGGTGTATATCCATATGTATGGTGTATAATTTCGCAGACATCACAACATGACCCCTCGTACTATGTGGATACCCTGTCACGTCTTTTGTCACGATCTACGAGTGCCCGGTACGCTTTACATACGCCGCACGTCTTGACCTCTGCCGTCACCCACTCACTATCATCATGTCCACATCTTCACAACATGGACTTCATCCCAAACCGTTGACTCGGAAGACATTCCTCATCAAGAACGTCCGACTGCCAGTTACTCCCGATGACGGTTCGGATTCGACAATCAACCAGTTGTATAACGTGACGTGCGGGGATGGGAGAGTCGACGCCGTTGAACCAACCGATAAAGCCGGCGCTGTCTGCGGTAATGACGAGGAACTCAGTGAACGCTTCGACGTGATTATGGACGCAAGAGGTGTGGGCATACTCCTGCCAGGGTTTGTATCACATTTCACCGGCACTAAGCTACAGAGTACCGAGATTGAGCCATCTACTATGCATTCAACAGGTTGTGTCATGCGCCTATCCATCTAGACAAGTGTTTTCTCCTGGATCGGTGTGACGAACTTCGTACTGGGTATGTTGTAGCTGTGAACGTGCTCAAATACCAGTAATTGACGGATACGACATGATCGCTGTAGGGATTTTGCAGAAGCTCTGAAGGTCACCGCAAAGGCTAAAGCCGCTTTTCCGTCGGACCTGACGGACCTCTACAATCGGGGCAAGCGGCTTGTCATAGACAGCGTACAATGCGGGGTCACGGCGATGCGTGCGCACGTCGAGGTGGACAAGACCGTTCGCATGAATTGCCTGGACATCGGTCTGAAGCTCAAAGACGAGTTCCAGACGGTATGCGACATGCAGATATGTGGTAAGGATGCTCTTGTTGATCACCTTGACTTCATATGCTGATGGACAGTAATAAAGCTTTTGCGCAGGACCCACTGTTTGATGCCGCTAGCAACGGACGACCAGGGGGAAATTACACTCTTCTGCAGGAGGCGGCTAAACGCAAGGGCGTGCAAGCCGTGGGTTCCGCGCCCTATGTTGAACCCAGCCTTGAGCAAGCGAAGCGCAACATGACTCTTATCCTTGACACCGCCTATGAGAGCAGCCTGCATGCCGACTTCCACCTCGACTACAATCTCGACCCAACTGCCGAGCCGCTCATCTGGTACCTGCTCGAGCAGCTGCAGGAACGCATCAAGTCCGGGCGATGGGCCGACGGAGCGCGTGTATGCGTCGGACACGCTACTCGCCTTTCACTGTTCTCCAAGGAGGAGTGGACTCGCTTCCGAACCACCGTTGAAGAGAACAAGCTCCCGGTCACCCTCGTCGGCCTCCCCCCCAGCGACATGTATATGATGGGGCGAGGGCAGCCGGGCTCACCTCGCGCAACGCTGAATGTGTCGAGGCTTGAACGGGAGCATGGCGTGAAGGTCGCGATGGCAGTGAATAATGTCGAGAATGCGTTCACGCCCCAGGGGACGACTGATCCGCTCGCTCTCTGCCCTATGGGTGTAGCGGTCTTCCAAGACGGCACCAAGAAGGGATGTCGGACGCTCATTGTACGTACGTGCAACCCGGACGACAAGTCACTAGCTGATCTGTCTGCGATATTCAAGGAAGCCGTGACGATCACTGCGCGCAAGGCCATCGCGGCCCCAAGCCGTCAAAGCCTGACACCCGTCAAGGGGGACGCAGCTGACTTTGTCTTACTCCACGAGAACGACTCGCTCTATTCGGCCGCTCTCAGTCCGTGTTACACGCGCACGGTCATCAAGAACGGGGAGGTCGTGGCAACGAGGCGTGCAGACAAGTGGATCCGGCTCGTGGCCCAGCAGTGAGGCCTAGTGAGGAGGCTAGGCTATCGCCAATGTCCCCGATTGTTGGCTATAGACACAGGAATGCCGGGAATCTGTGTCTCCGACAGATCCCCTGCATGTGGAAGTTCAAGTTCATGTCCCGGTAGGATACGATAGAAATAGAAGCGAGTGAGACACCTACCGTCAGGATATCATACCCTGTGCGATCATACGACCGAGCCACGCGCACGCAGGCCTAGGCCTGATATGTACTACACTTCGTTGCACCAGACAACCACTATGGATACAGACAGGACCAAGATACATGACGCAAACATGACATGGATTGCAACAGAGACATGCGACGACAGCAGTGACGAAGAAAGAAACCATCTCTAACAGTATGTCACACAACTTGAAAGTACTACGCAGTAGCACTATCTAACACCAGACGACATCGCAGAGTCGTGATTCATTCGGCCGCGCGCACTGCGAGCGGCCGATACATAAGTATGCAGGAACAGATGCCAGTGATGGGAGCAAGAGGCCGCCCGGCAAGGAGATGCGACGGACGGCACCGGATATGTCGGTATATCACCAAAGGGGATGGACGGGCGGAGCGCACGCAGCGGTGTTCAGACACAGTCAGACATCGAGGTGCGGTGCAACGAGCAGTTGGACGTTGCAAGGGTGTCGCGCAAGGGTCTCAGACAAGGCAGGACAACAACAGTAAGACAGGTATCGCAGATATCGGTCGGGCTTGACGGGTCGGAGGGAGGAGGCGCAGGCAGTAGGATGTGTTCACGAGGAAGTCGAGTTCGCTGTCGCGTACGCCACGAACGCGTTGAAGTTGTACGTCTCGGGGTTCGGGTTGAACGTGTACGCGTCGGTGCCCGGGTTCACGCTCAGCACGGTCGCGCCGTTGCGCGTCATCGTCGCGGACATGCCCGCGCCGGGGTTGAGCGGCATCGAGAGGCGCGTCACGCCCGCGGGCACGTCCGTCGTCTGCGTGGTCCCGGAGGCGGTGGTGATCGAGACCGTCGCGGGCTGCGTCGTGAAGGCGACGGCCCAGAGCGAGTCTTCCGTCTGCGAGGGAGGGGTTAGTTTCAGTCGGGGACAGATAGTGGGAGGGCACGTACGAGCTGGTAGCTGGTCGGCTGGCCGGTGCCGTCGTTCGACGCTTGCGCGTTCTTCGGGTGCGGGCGCGCCCACATGAAGAGCTGGTCCTGCGTGATGGCAGGGTATGAACCTGTCTTGAAAGCGGTAGCGTAGTACTTGGTCATCGCGAGCCAGCCTGTCCATCAGCCGAGAACCGTCAGTACCTGAGCACATGTATATCTTGACAACGGACTGACCAGAGTGGTCGAAGCCAGTAGCCCAGGTCGTGCCGGCAGGCTGCGCACCCTCAATAGGACCGATGTAGGACGACTCGCCGTAATCGTTCCAGGTGACGATTTCAACAATGTCAACGCTGTCGCGGTTGGCGATGACTGTGTCCCAGCGCGAGTTGTATCCCTGGTAGTCCATCAAGTAGAGCCACTGCGCGAGAAGAAACCACCAATAAGCCTGCGATCCGGTCGTCGCTGCCAATAGGAATGCTTACGTTCTTGTTGAAGGAGCTCTGCGGGTAGTGAGTGAAGAACCACGGGCTGATGGCGGCCATGTACGTCTTGCTGCTGCTCGAGAGCGAGTTCATCCCGCTGATGTAGGTCTGGTCGGTCGAGAACGTGCCGATGGTCGAGTTGAGCGCGGACTGGATCGCGTTTGCGAAGGTTCCGTCGCCGAGGGCAGACGCCAAACCGGAGATCGCGCTCTGCGCACTCTGGACAGTCAGCGAGACAGGCCAGCCACTGTTCCACTACACGCGCAAGCATTCAGTATGACACGAGCACAGAAGCGTGATGCCAGAAATGCTCACGTTGAACGTGCCGTCCATGACGCCGTCGAACTCGCTGTAGGTGCTCGGATCGGAGAAGAACGACGGCACGAAGTGCACCGCGTTCTGGCCGGTGAGCTGGCTGATAAACTGAGAGTTCCAGCCCTCGGCAGCCGAGCCTTGGCCGAAGGTGCAGTCGGAGCCGGAGAAGGTGGACGCGAAGACCTGGCCGTTGACGAGGAGCTGGTTCGGGTGGCTGGCGTACGTAGTGATGTAGTTTGTGAGCGTGGAGGCGTCGGAGGCTTGTGTGCAGGGAAGGACCGTCATGTCGAAGGACATGAAGAGCTTGAAGTCGAGCCCGAGGTTCGACGCAGCTTGGTACCTAGATGGTAGTGAATAAAGTGGTGCGTTTAACGGCGGCGTATGAAAGACTCACGCGTCGGCGACGCGGTCGGGTTGCCAAGAGTCAGAGCCAACATTCAGCGCAAAGCCGTCGATACCATTGTCGTACGCCAGCTGGATGTCAGAGGTCCAGTTGTCGATGGTGTACGGGTATACGTTTCCGACGAGAACATGAGCGACGACGAGCTTGCCAGAGTCGTCGCGCTTAGCAGCCTTCAAGGCAGACGCTTTCGACGCGTGACGGAAGGGCGAGGGGACGGGAGCAGCGTGTACGGTGCTGAGTAGTGCGGCGACAGTGAAGACGAACTGAAAGAGTGCGAGTGAGTGCATGGTGCGTGAGTGGACCGTAGCAAGCGAACGTCAGCGATGCAAAGAGTGGATGAAGGAAGGACAGGATGAAGGAAGGACAGGGAAAGAGAGTGGATGCGCTGAGCGCGACGGACGGGCAGATGCAGGCAGAAGAGTACAAGTTCAACTTGGGGCGCACAATGGGTGGGCGCCATATATCACGCACCACTTATATAGGGGCGATGATAATGACAGTCGCGCGCGGGACAAGGCGGCATAATGACAGCTGGGTTGATTGAGCTGATTCGGATAAGAAGGTACCTTGTGCGCACCCAAACATCACGCAACTCGGTCCCATTTCAGCAACGACTATGGCGGCTCCTCTTCCCCGGCGAGGACAAAAGCCGCATGGGCCACTGTCCTAAGCGCCCCATTCAGGCATTCAATTGTCCTTCATTAACAGCCTACTCAACGTGTCAGTAGCGATGAGAGACGGAGATGAGATGCAGCCAGCCTGGATTGCTCTGGTATGCCATGTACGTAGCCCCGGCGACGAGGGTAGCACCAGCTAGACGGCGGGAAATACCACATTGCAGTAAGTAGTGGGCGCTTGTACGTTGAATGCAGCGCTCGAGTACAATTCCCACGGATACAAAAGGCTGTTGAGACGATCGGCCTCGGAGCGGGCTCGCGACGGCCGTTGCCTCGCGACCGGACCCGAGCGATGTAACTGCCAGTGTCCCTGCCAGGGGACAGAGCTTCTTGAAGTTCTTCGCAAGAGAACAAAGAACCAACGCACCTCTCCTCAGTTCGTGGCTATAGCAGCGGTTCATATCCTGCTGTCGTGTCTGAAGGGGTTCGTGCACTGCGTCGACCACTGCAGCATCGGCTTCATCATCAGATGTCCAGCCTCGTACCTCGGGGGAAAACTCAATACACCGAGCAAAAGCAAGTAAGGTACATTATCTCAGACAGATTACCATACACTGACGGCGATATGAGCGCCGTCGCGGGAAACGATGGCTCCTGCTCACCGTAAAACACCTCGCGATGAAGCGAGAAGCGCAGATGCACAGATCACTCGATAACTTCGCCCTCGTCGCTGTCTTCTTCGCGCATGCGCTCGCGCCGCGCCGCGTCCTTCGCCTTCTTCGCGAGTTCCTTGTTCGGCTCGAGGTCGCCTAGAGAGATACTCTTGTGGCACCCTGCAGCGGGGCATTGCTGGCGGCCGCCTCGGACGCCTATGTATTCCCTGATGGACGCTGCGGAGTATGAGTGTCCGCATGTTTTCCTGCAGGTTTCCCGTGATTTAGCTTCGAGCAACACGGCGCATACAGCCCGACGTACGAGGTGAGCGGCTCGACCAGGATCGTCAGCGTCAATGGACACTTGTAATCTTGCGTAACACCCCCGACTTGAACATCGTCATCATCATCATCGCTCTCGTCTCCATCCTCTGCATACGAGATCAGATAGGTCCAGTTGCCTGGGGACAAGACACAGACCTCGAGGAATCAAATCTGCCATAGGCGGCATGCCCACTCCAGGATTCTCCACTTCCTGTATTCATCTGTCAGCACACGAGGCAGCATAACAAGGGCAACTGCCAACTCACAAAAACAGCCTGTTTATATGATGCATATTGATCCGACTTTCCGTACTTTTGGCGACTTGTGCCCTTCTTGTACTCAGCTACCTTCGTCCGGATCTCGTCGTCATATCTATCTGCGATGTTCGACTGCGTACATCAGTTGCCGCACAGCGAGGAAACTGACAAAGGGACCATACGTACGATTTCTTCCCCGCGCACTATCTGTTGGTGCAGGTCGTGCAATATTTTGTTGTGATACAGCATTTCTGTCTCCGTATCCATGAGGTCGCGCATGAGAGTGTCCATCTCTATCAAGAGCTATATGCAATATCAGCACCCGGCCACAGGTGCAGTGGCCCATAGAGTAACGCTCACCTTCGACGCCGGGTCTGGTTCCGCAAACTCTGCGAACGCAGTCGCAGCATCCTTGACCAGCCCATACATCTGGACGTGCTTCGTTTTGCGCATCATGTCCCAGTCCTGCGAGAATCCATGGATCTTCTGCGCCTGTGCCCTGTCGATTGGCTGGTCGCCGAAGTCCGCAAGTGGGTCTGCATCTGCGTCGTCGTCGTCGTTGTCCTCTGCCTCTACCGCCTGAGCGGTCTTGCGACTCCCCTTGCTCTTCTCCTTTTTGACTTTCGCGCCGCGCCGTGACTGCTCTTCTTCGTCATCGTTCACTACATCGTCTGTACCCTGTGTAGGCATGGCCTCCTCGATACCGTCCTCAGACGCATCGCGTCTGTTACGTCTTGAAGGGCCTGCGACAGGCATTGTGGATCGCTCTGGGTAAGTAACCTCGGCGAGACAGGCACACGATGCAAGACGCGACGCGTCCGGTAACGCGCTTTGTGACGTTGTTCAGGGCAGGGCGAGTCGCGGCGCCGCTCCCAAAACGGCAAGCGGGGACTTGCGATCTTCACCGCTCATTCCAGCGCGGAGGCAGCACCGAGAGCCAGCAGCATGCTCTCCCTCCTGCGCACCGCCGCCTCGCTCGCCCGACCACAATGGGCCGCGCCCTCCTCCTCTCTCCTCCGCGCCGGCCTGCGCCCTGACGCCTCCCTCCTCCGCACCTTCCACGCCTCCGCGCCCTCGCAGAGGACGCTCAACCAGTCGATGCGCTCGAAGCCGCCGCAGCGCAAGCCCCGTCCAACGGCGCCGCTCCTCGAGAACAACCCGCAGCGGAAGGGCGTCGTCAGCGGGATGATGATCATGAAGCCGAAGAAGCCAAACTCCGCGAAGCGCAAGGTCGCCCGCGTGAAGCTCTCGAACGGAAACGTCGTCCATGCATACCTCATGGGAGAGGGCGCGTTGCTCCAGGATCACTCCGTCGTCCTTGTTAGGGGTGGTCGAGCACAGGATTTGCCCGGTGTGCGGTGAGTGCTCTGTGCTCTGTGTCGAAGGGGCGAGTGCTGATAAAGTGGGCGACGGATAGGTATAAGGTTGTCCGAGGAGCGCATGACTTCGGACCTGTAGTCAATAGGAGGACCGCGAGGAGCAAATACGGAGGTCAGTCCCTATCCACAGCATATCGTCGCAAGATTTTCATGCCTCATCTACCTCTCAGTCAAGAAACCAAAGAAATAGACTTAGACATAGTTCTTCGTGTCATCCGCGGCCGGACTCATCGCATGTACCGTACCCGTTCTTGCTGTCGCTCTCCTATCATACACTCAGCTACATCCATCCACGTCCATTTTGGGTATCATTGCTCGGCGTCGTGCGCGACCCGAATGTGGCATGATTTACAGTACTACGGCCACATTGACCATGCTTTGCTATGCTGTCAAGTCCCAGGTACGTTCCCAGCCTCCCTAATCATCTCCTCCCTCTTGTCCGTCGCCCTCACGACCTTCTCAATCTCCGCATTGATCGCCCACACCCACACATCCCGCTCCAGCTTGCTCCTCGTCCGGAACACCGCCAGCTTCCGCTTCATCTTCAGCGGCGGCACGCCCTCGCCCGTGGCCTGGTGAATCCGCTCGATCTCGTCGCCCCCAGACTTCGTCGTGCGGTACCAGAGCATGAAGAGCGTGTCCTCGTCGCCATCATCAGTCTCGAGGCCGTCCTGGTACCGACGGGCGACGCGCGGAGCATCCGGATCGTACTCGCCCTCCGGAAGGTACTGCGCGGCGAGGTAGCCGGAGATGACGGAGGCGTCGAGCAGGCTGATGAGCCTGTCACGTCTGTGGTGCAAGGACTTGCGGCCCGTTATCCGGTACTGAATGAGGTTGCCCTGCACCAGTGCGAGCTGGACAAGCCTGGTTGAGGTGTCAATAACAGGGGAGTGAATGAGCGATGGGATGACACTGGCCTGTACTGGCCCTTCAGCCCCTTCCTAGCAAAAAGCTTCCCGCATTTGACGATCGGCCGGCAGCCTTCCAGCACACACCAATTGAACAATGTGCTCAGCTCTGGTATGGGTGCGTCTGGATCAGGGATGGGCTCCGGGCCCTGGTCGAGGTCCTCAAAGACATGTGTAAGAGGCGTTATCCGTGCGCGCCCGGTGCTCTGGTGCGTGAGCTCCATCTCCTGGCGGGCACTCGCGTCATGCCATTTTCTCCAGTAGGAGATGAGGGGTCGTAGGCGGACGATCCACTCCAGCGCTGCTTGACATGAATATGCCTTGTGAAGGACGTCAGTCACATATAGGGGCGCACTGACACCAACACTTACCTCGAAGCGGATCACGCTGCCCGTCGTCAGCAACAACTCAAACGACCGGCGCATCCTCAGCCGTGGCTTCTCCTGCACAGAACACCTCGCAACACCCGCCTCGCCGCCCACATCCTCATCATCGCCCTCCGACCTCTCCCCCGCGCGCCAGAACTCCTCCGTCTCGTCCCACTCCCCCGCGCTCCCTCTGTCCGGCACCGCCTCCGCACGACTTGGCACGAGCTGGAACGCCCGCCTCACCGCGACGATGCTCCTCAAGTCCATCATCCCCGTCGCCCTGAGCACCTGCTCCGCGCCCCTGCGCACCTCGTCCGCCCACAGCGCGTGCGCGCCCGTCTCGGGCGCGACGAACCCCGGCGGCGGCGGGGGGTGCGCGTGCGCGGGGAGGAGCGTGAAGAGGTACCCGTCGAGCGTCGTGAGGTAGAGCGGCTGGCGGAGCTGCGAGTTCGGCCGGATGCGCTCGACGTAGCCCTCCACGGCGGGGGGCTCGTCGAGGCGCGTGCCGTCCCGCAAGTGTAGCCGCGTAGGGAGGTGCTCCTTCACTCGAACTTCGAGGTGCGCTGATTTACCACCCTAGTGTGGTCGTGAGAGAGAGCCCGAGTGTTGGAGCGATGTACTGACCTGGTTGAGCGCAAGGCCTGTGAGTACGGCCCATTTGCGCGGGTGCCCCCGCACGTCCTCGGACTGCCAGACCCAGTCGAGGTTAGTCCCCGACCGCCATGCCAGCGCTAGCTGAGCGCCCGCTGCAAGACGGGCGCCCAGCAGTCCTTGGTACTCGGGCATCTTCATCAGGTGCTCCCGGCAGAGCTGCAGGACATTCTGCGAGCTGAAGACGGCGTACGCGCTGGCGACGTCCTTGCCCTCTAAGCCGGGCATGTCGATCTTGATCCGGGTCTCCAGGGCTGGAGAGAGCACCTCCAGGAAGTCTGGGAGCGCGTTGCCCATATGTCGCCTGAAAGCAGGATGAGGATGACAGGGTAGTAGCAAGCGGAAATCCATACCAGAGATGCCAAAGCCAATCAGTGGCTCTGCTACGACTCCTCAGCTTGAAGATGAAGATGTTGAGCCCATGCCGAGAGCCGTACAGCCATCGCCGTTTCGAGCGATGTTTCAGCGGTGCAGGCGCACAAACGATGCAGAATGTTAGGTCGACGAAGGAGTACAGGGATAGCCGTGTGGTCGACGCATCGAGCGGGACGACAAAGACGAGCTTGAGACGGCCCAGAACCCAGTCCTTCCCTGGCATGGCCTAAGCTTATGACTCGTTGGCATGGAAGGTAATATCATTGGCGATGGACGTACATGGCCTTTATATAGCTCTAGCCTATCCTTCCGCCATATGACAATATAGTCCTTCCAATCCTCATTATAAAGGTGGCCTGTTGTGCGGTTGTGCCATTCGTCGAAGTTGGACGGCAGCGACTGGGCCTCGGAGTGAGAGAACTTCACGAGCATCCTGTCTGGCTTTGAGGCTCAAATACGATGTCATCAATCCAGAAGCTACAAAATTACCTCGCATAACAATTTCTCCCCAGGCAACCTGTGTTGCGGGGTCGGCTTGTTGAGTTGCACCTGCGCTCGTATTCTCCACGGCCTCTCCCGTCCGGGTGAGTACCTCGGATGGTGGTGCGGGTTCAGGCTCTGAGTAATGGACGTGCATCTTGCCCTTGCCCTTGTGAGCTGTACCATTACCGATTGTACCCTTCGGTAAGCGGCTGTCGCTGGTGGGAGTCGCTGGAGCGTCATTGTGGGCATCCGGATGCGTTGCAGGCTCCGAGCGCGCGCTGACCAGCCTGCTCGGTCCAGCAGGAGTGGAACTGAGAAGGGCAGTGGACGAATCCGCTGCGCTCCCCGTGTCATCTTCGTGCGAGGCGGTCGGTCGAGGGGAGGTTTGTTCTGACTTGGGTCGTTCAGTAGAGGGTGAAACGGGTGTAACTTTGTCCTGGCCATCACGCGTCGCGGCGAACTGAGAGGGCGCGGTTGCGAAGGTCTCCACGCCTGTCGAAGCAGGGATGGGCTTGAGCGAGGTCCCTGTTGCTATAGAGGTGCTACTGGCAGCGCCAATTCGGGACGCCTCATCCAAAGTATCGACTCCGAGAAACACGCCCACATCGAAGGACGTACCGACCCAGTACCTGTCCGCAGTAGCATCTTTGCGCTGCCTCAGGGCACGCCCCCACTCGCTTCGGCACCAGCGTCGATACATCTCCTCCCGGACAGACTGCGCTTGTTCCTCTCCCCATTGCTCGGGGGCGCCTCCGTGTCTGAGGAAGAAGTCGAGCGCGAGAGTGCGGATGGCGTCCTGCAGGCCGTCGCCATCCTCGAGGTCTGTGGAGCCAGCATCTGTGCGCGTCTTCCTCTTATTCTTTGCCTTGGGACTGGCCACTGTCTGCTTCGGTAGAGGACCAATGAATCTCCTCCGAAGACGGTGTGGGTCGCTGTGAGCGGCCAGTTCGCCTTGAGAGCTGGTTGCCGGCACAAAGTGCGAGTTGACCATGCTCGAATGCTAGGGAGCCGCCCAGATGGTAGGAACTTTGGAACGCTGGTCCAAGGGACGTTCAATGTAGTGAAGCGGTTTGTGTGTAAGTATGGACGGTCATGATGGTTCCGCTGCAGGTCCTCATCCGACGTCATAACAGGTCACACAAATGTCACGCCACCGCGTCGGTAGTTAGCACTTAATAGTCACTAAGCGCTCTGGTTTGCAGAGCTTTGCACTGGCAGTCGCCCTTCGTGCCAATATTCTCCCAAAAGTAATACAACTGACTAGATCTGCCAGGCTATTGCCCGTGCTCATATGTACCGCGTAACCCATAAACATTCAACAAGATACGACTGAGGACCTACGGTTCGGATGCCCTGGGATGCGGCCTAGAACCTTCCAGCCCTTTGAGGTGCGCAAATCCCGTTCGGTTGGTGACTGGCGAGCGAGCATTTCCGTGTACTACTATAGCGGTATCGTTACAAAACTGACCGCTAAGTCCGTAGCCGCCTGCGTCTCGACCCAGCGGACCCAGCGGGTACTACTACGGATGTGGATGCAGTCGTGTGTTATCCGTAGTACGGGATGCATCTTCCGCAGGTGGTGCAAACGCATAAAAGGCGGCCAAAGTCCGCGGTGAAAGCAACAAATCTCTGCTTGCCGTCCATCCGCTCACTGCGTACTCAAATCATACATTATGGAGACTACCTGTGTTGCGGACTACTTGCCTGACTTCACTGGCAAGCTCCTCGGGAACGGTCAATATGAGCTGACGAGGCTCCTGGGCGCTGGCGCCGCGGGAGTTGTCTATCTTGCTCATGACCACCACGCCCCGACGACATCGAAAGGGTGAGTGCATGAGCCAATACCAATCTTCATTGATTCGGACTCTGACATGGCTGACAGGGCACCTATCGAATGTGCTGTTAAGATTATTCCGAAGGCTGGTCCTCTGAATAGTCAGACGTGGCAACAGCAGCAGGAGATCACCCTCCACAAGCTTGTGTCCGACGTTCCCCACGTCCTCACGCTGTATGCCACCTTCGAAGACACGCAGTTCTTCTACCTCGTCATGGACTGTCACGAGCACGACTTGTTTCAACTGCTCTGCCGTGACGAGTTTCCATACGCGGACAACGACGAGCTGGTCCGTTCGGTGTACGTGCAAATCCTGGACGCGATACACGCGTGTCACGACCGCAACGTGTTTCACCGGGATCTCAAGCCGGAGAATATCCTTTGCAACGCCGACGGAACTGAGGTGTATATTGCTGACTTCGGGCTGGCAACCCGACAGGAGTTCAGCTACACCTTCTGTTGTGGCACGTCATCTTACATGAGTCCGGGTAAGCGAGCTTCTGTGCGAACAAACGAGAAGTACTTACCTTGACCTCACAGAATGTCTCGCACAGGAGTGCGAGCGTAATGCCTATTCCGCCCGCCACGGGGATATCTGGGCTCTGGGCATCCTCCTCATCAACATTATCACCGGGCTCAACCCATGGGAGATGGCCGTGACCACGGACGAGGCATTCAACGAGTTCCTCGTCGACGATAATCACTTCGAGCGTGTGCTCCCCATCTCCAAGGGGGCTATCCGCATCCTGAAGCAGATCTTCAGTATCAACCCGTCCGCACGTCCCACCATCCCCGAGCTGCGCGAGCGTATCCTCGCACTGCCCACCTTCTTCCCGCCAAAGAAGGACGGCTCGCACGCGCCCGTCGATTCCGATCTCGCCGCACCCAAGAGCGGACCGGTCGACAGTGCAGCACAGGAGATCGTCGAATTGGAGGAGGACATCGGCACTGTGGACCTGTTCTCGTACGGCCTGGACGATGGCTATCCCCACAGTCTCACCGATTCCCCGTCGACCTCCTCCTCGGGCAGCGAGAGCCAGGGCCTCATCACGCCCGACGATATCCCGCGGCCCCGCGTCGACATCTCTGGGTTCGCAGAGGACCTGGGAGAGGCACTCCGGCCTTTTGCGGCGAAGGACAGGAAGTTGTCCATCGAAGACGCCTCGCCCGCGCTCAACGTTCTTGAGCGCCTCGACATGCTCGTTCTCGAGTGAAAGGCCGGGTCTTCGTTTGTACACCGGGGTCATGGGTACATTGTCTGTTTTCCTCGTTCTCCGCTGGTTTTCGGAGAGTTCGGGGTGGATGGTGGAAGGAAGGATTGAATTGTCAGACGAAGAATGCCGTCAGAGAAGAAGAGAACAAAGGCCTCTTACGGTATGGCCGTCAAAATGCGCCGCATACCCAAGGACATTATTATGGACATCATGCCTTGGGATGTACATGGACGCTGTGCTCACGGACACTGTCGAGTCGATCGTCGTGCCATCGGACATTACTTATGGACTAGATGCCGTTGGACACTAGTAGAATAGACACACAACCACAACAATAGAAAAGGCACAAAAAGACATATAAACACCGTTGCCCGGCGTATCTGCATGCAAAGTGAAACTCCGGCAACCTACAGCAATTGGAAGGTGTTTGTTTCGGGGGCGCAGGTCACTTCAGCACTGGAACTTGTCTCTATCCGGCAACTATCCGGGCTGCAGAATTGCATGAAACGTCTCTATGAATCAATACATAAGCATGCGAGCCGCGAAGGGTATAGAACCGTTGCCAAATCTTGTGTAACTAGTTGCAGAAGATTTGTTACACTATGCGATCAGTCTGTATTGTGCAAAGCTACAATTGAGTGGGGGCTGTGAGGGTAGATAAATATCATGAACAAAGAATACTATCAATCGTAGAGAGCTTCAAGGTTTCTCGCGCTCGTCAAGTATACGGTGCGACTCTTCGGCGTATTTTCTCGCCTCTTCGCGTTCGAAGCTGAGGTGGACCGTCAGTCCATGACTACGCCTGCACAACGATGGCACACTTACCCAATCTTTTTGCCCTTGACGGTCATGTCGGGCTCACGGAGCGCGAACGGGTTGATGTCGTTGGACTTGAGGTTCGCCAGACTGTGATTGACGAACCGATGCGTGCTCTCGTCACTCCGCACCGCGTAGATAACATCGAGCAGCTTGGCTGAGGGCTCGAGGCGCCAGTAGTCCTTCGCGATTTCCGGAGCAGGGAAATCCGACCTTCAGAATCTGCGTCAGAATACCGCACCTGTGGGAACGAGGGAACATCCGTACCATTCCGGCAGATGGCCCGCCTCGATCTCTTGGATGCACCGCGTGCTAGAAGTAGTGGCAATGTGAGCATGCTGGAGCCGCAAGGTAGCCGAAGACTACCCACTAGGTGATCACCGCCTCTTCCTCGAGATGCCCGACGAAGCGGTGGCATGTGCGCGGCGAGAGCATGTAGCAAAGGACTGAGTTCCCGTCAGTCCGCGGGACTAGGGACACGCGGAGTCGGATACGCACAGAATGTATTGTAGAAGACGCCTTGAGCGCCGATGAGCATGGCACGAAAGATGAGGCCAGGTTTCCGCAGGGAGAGGAAGGTCCTGGAACAGCGGTAATTAACACCACACCCGCCGGTGTCACCCGGGGCAGACATACATGAGGTGCATTCGTTCATTCTCGGCCTCCTCGAGCAGAGTGTGAATCCAACCGGAGTCGCGGCGCTGGAAACCCGATGTCAGAGGTGGACACCACTGAGTAGTAACGGATGACTCACAAGCAGGCGCAAACTCCTCAAGTGGCGGAGCGTAGCAGCCACCATTCCCGGCACACCTGCGATACTTTCCAAGAATAGGAAGCGCTGGAAGTCATTTGTGATGTCAGATTATGGCGAGTCGAGGTGAAGCGCAGGCACGAACCCTGAGCCACTGGCGTTCATCCATAACATAGCCACCCTTCTTCAGCTCTTCAAGCGACATGTTCTCGTGGTTGGGCGGCAGTGGCTTGTGCTTATAGCCAGAAGCTACATCGAATCCCCACCTGCGCTCAGCATTAGTATTTGGTACCGTGACATAAGAAACGAGATCAGCCTCACCTCAACAGCCTTACGAAATTGTAGGCAATCTTGTCCGAGAACGTTTTTGATTCGCGGTGCAGAATCTAGTACGGGCACGGTGAAAGTCTGCCTTGCGGTCGGGTAATTCTTCACATACGTCAACAGACCGCAACTCCTCAGAAGTGTACACAGGGTGGAACAAGACCCAGTCGCCTTTGATAGTGGAAGGCACTCCAGACGATTCCTCTTCTTTCATGGGAGGTGATGGGGTCTTGTCACCTGCCGACAATCATCATGCCTCAGTACGCCACTCTGTAATGAATAATGATTGGCCAAACTCACGCTTATGGGGTCCTTCAACGCCTACGGCTCCCGGCTCCGTAGCCTTCGTGCCTGACAAGGCATTGAGACGTGGAATATTCGAGACAAAGGTTCGGCGAGCCACAGAAGGGAGGGTCGTGCGCGCGCAGACCCCAGCATGGTATGAGAAGCAGTGCACAGTCGCAGTCCTAAGCATGGTTGGGTCGGTGAGTCAAGCGCTGCACGCAGCAGACAATTTGCACAGCGCCCTGCACCCCTAGGGGTTCTTAAATACCAAGTCGCTAAGTCGAGGACCCGTCTCGTTCCGAGGACGGTCCCGAAACGCACCGCGTCGCATGAGGCTGTGACAGCGGTCCCAATGCTCAGTCAATTTTCGGAATTCTGTGGTGACCAGAACCGTCCTGGAGCCATCCAGGGCTCAGCGTTCTGGAGGTACAAGTCGTTACTGCTGAAGGTGCAGCAGGCCAATCACGATCCGCGGCGAAGGAAGGCGTTGAGTCGGATTTCCCGAAGAAGCCGGATCGCAGGCGTCTGTGACACGTGATGAGGTAACAACCAATGGCATCGCTTGGATTCGCGATGCCTCATTGGCTGAACGGCCAGTGGCGGGTAGCGCGTAGGGATGGAAGGCGCTCCGGCGAACACGGTGACGAACACCCTGCTGGACCCGTCATTCATTGTGAGAGATGGGGATATATTTGCGGTCGGAGATGGTCAAAGTGGGAAATATAAAGGCATGGCGTGACAACCAGTGTGTAGTAGCAGTGATGAAGGCCTCGGCGACTCACCGTGACTAGGATTAGCGTTGCAGTACTGTTCTCATCGTCGCTGAGCTTGCACAGTGCAGTTTTGGTGCTTAGTTAGATGCAGCTTGTATGCAGCATGGCTCGCGCCAGGTCCATTGGCGTAGCAAATGAACTGACCAAGAGAGTATACCCTGTCGCGTTAAGCCTGCTGCTGATTCTTGGCATCTGAACTGAAGGTGGAAGATCAGGAACCCACCAGCATAAGACGCGGCATGAACATTCGCTGTCGCATCTGCATGGACGTTGGTCCGTGCGACGCATGTCAACACTGTGCCTTGTGAATGCGAGTACAGCATCGCCGACGCGTTCAATACTCGGACCGTTGCTGTCAGATGGGGGCGACGTTGATGAACTCAACGCTCTGACAAGTGTCTTGCATAGCTTGGACCGGTCGATGTATCACAGCACGCATGAGAAGACTCACATCCAATGGTTTCTCCGTACGACATCCGTGTCTACCGATCTCGGCGGGCTTCCGCTCCCTCCATAGAACTGTTGTTCACGTCCTCCGTCACTCCTGCGATCTCACGCTCCGCTTCGGATAAGTCGAAGAAAGCGGCCTTTTGCGCGTCGAGCCACCTCCGAGCCTATGTTATTAAAGCAGACGGTGAGCATGATGTCACCCGAAAGCTGAACATCGCGGGAGAAGCACTCACGGGCATGAAGACGTGCTCTTTCTCACCGAAGTCAGCGAAGAACACGGCGTATAGCAGCGTCGCTGAGCAAGAGATGATGAGTGAACGATCAGATGTGCGGCATAACTCGGGAACAACTATACCTGGTATCACGACGTAGTTCGAGATACGATTTATCGGGAAAAACCAGGCAGGGCGGGGATCCACTGGAGGAACGTTTTCGACGGCCCATGGCCGGGGCTCCCGAATCTTGCTCGGGGCATCGCGGTGTGCGCCTCTGGCAAGTGGTGCCCTGTTGCGGGAGGGAGCGCGAGAGAGCAGAGACCTCTGCGACCTGAGGTGGCCGAGAGCGGAGGACATGAGCAGGATGGCGAGCGCCGCGGCGCCAGCTGTCTGCGAGAAATCCGGGAATCTCGCAGTCGGTGTTGACAAGTCCAGGAATGGCATGCCCGAATAGTTATCGGGCGGCAGTTGCCGGTCCGATCGTCGGGGTTTTTCCGTCAGTGTCAAGTCGCCCGGATGTGCATCAGCAGCCTCCGGAGCCGCTGACGTCTGCATGGGCCGAGGAAGCAGCGGCCGCCGCAGAGGCTGAGGATATGCAGCGGGCGTGGTTGGTGGGCGCAGGACCCAGGGGAGGGTGAAATGCGAGGGTGCCGTGCGCTTCACGCTGGGAGGTGCATTTGTCGAGAGTGTCGAGGCGGGGACGAGGATCTGACGGGACTCCGTCCAAGTCGGACCCGGTTAATTTATAATTACGTACCGCTCGCAGTGGCTCGCCTTCCGGTTGGCCGGTGCGGGAGAATTATCCAGCGCTTCTGTGTCGGGGTTCACCGTGCAGCGGAAACATATCCAGTCCGTTCTTGTCGCCCGACCTCTCGCATCCCGAATGCTGTCTGTCACGTCCACCCATCCCATGCAAGGGCCCTCAGACTACCGCGACGGCGGGCCTCCAGCCAAGCGGCCCCGCCAGGACGACACGCTCGACGACACCGGCAGACCGTACAGCCTTGCTGGCCCCTCCGTCCATGCCGAGGCGGACGCTTCGACGGACGCATCCTCAAAGAGGAACAGGAAACGGCCATTATCCTGCGGAGAGTGTAGAAGGTGCGCATATATGCATCTTATGGCTCAAGGAAGGCAGGACTCAGCCCAACACTTCCTCACAGGCTAAAGTTGAAGGTGAGTTACGCGGCAGCCCGTCGTCTGGGCGCAGCCAACCTGACATATGCCAGTGCGACCGTGTCTTTCCATGTCAGTCATGTTGCAAGAGAGGCTGTGCGGAGATCTGCCCGGAAGGTGCTCTGACGGGAGGCAAGGGCAGCAGGTATGTGTACGCGTCCCTTTCGTAGCACACGCGCATCATCTTCGCACTGCCAGGTTTATTCTTGCCAACACTGAGCAACTCCATGACAAGATCAAGTCCATGGCTGAGCGCATCCGCTCGCTTGAAGAAGCCCTTGGTCAACTGCAGTCGCAGCACTCGACCGAGGGTCATCCTCTCCTGCGGCAAGAGCTCCTGGCGATCAAGAAGTCGCCCGAATTGTTCGGAGTTGAGCGCAATGACGCCCAGCAGTCAAACAATCACGACCACATCCGTCGCGACGACGAGGACCATCCCAGCGTTGGCTCATCGACCTCCCCGGGTGTTATTCATGACGAGGTAATGTGGCATACCCTGAACCCACCCTGCGTCGCTGACAGTCCGCGGACAACTCAGTACGCTCCATCGTCATCAAATGGGGCAATATCGAGTCTGTCCCATCTTGGCATCCCCGATGACATCGCACGACTTAGCCATAATTGCCCTTTCCCTGAGGCTATGCATCCCGAGCTGAACCCCAATCTGCGGCAGAGAATCCGGGACATGCTCCCTGATCGCGCGGAGGGCCAACGAATTTCTGAGCAAGCACGGCGCAATGCATTTTGGCAGTAAGCTCCGCACGCTGGCCACAATGCGCCTCCCTTCACTGAAATCGGATATCTAGTTACAGCCCAGATACCAGCGAAAGCTTCATTCCCAACCTTGTCCACAGCGTCTATACTACCCCGACTACGCAACTGCTTCCTCATCGGCTCAGTCTATTTCTGATGATTCTCGCCATGGGCACTGCGGTCGATTTGGGGCAGCGCCACGAACCTTATGCTGCCGAACGGTACTACCAGTTGTCACGGGCAGCACTTTGCGAGACAAGCGTGCTGGACGAACCCAGCATCGATACCATCAACGCATTGGTAGGTCTCAGGCACTGATCCTACGCGGGCTGTCCGCTAACATCGGACCTTGATCAGTTCTACATGGTTTGGTACATACTCATGTTCACCAACTTGAAGAACGCCTCCGAGCATGCATGGGGCATCATGGTGAGTCCGGCTGCCAATCGCGACCGCGAAGTGTTATCCGAAAGTAACTTCCCGGCAGGGCCTCCTGGCAAAACTAGCGCAAAGTGTGAGTTCCTCGTCATCCCCCTGAGTCAGGTGCCTTCTGACAGCTTCTTTTCTCTGCAGCTCGGTCTCCGTATGTATTGGGGAATTGTATCGGAATCCGCGGGCACCTGAACTTTGTCTGACAGACCGCGACGGCGTGGGCAAGATGATCCCCGAAGAGCTGGATAAGCGGAAAGCACTCCTCTGGAACGTGATGAGTGTGGACGTGCGTCTGGTGAGTGTCTGACCACATTACCCCCGCCCTCGACGTGGTCGGCATCGCGCCCTTCATAGGCTTTGTCGCCGGACGCTCAGTGCTCACTGACAATCGTTCGACGTAGGCGTTAATGTTACGGCGGCCGCCGTCGCTCCACATCCGTCATGTGGACATGAAGCAGCTGGCGTACAACTTCTTCGGCTCGCCGTGCGCAAATGTGATCTCTTCCTGTAAGTCTCGGGCGCTACTGTGTATGCGCCCCGCCATCCGCTTACCCGCCTGCGTATCCAGATCATGAATGGAGAGACCAGTTTTCCGCCCACTGTCAATATCCCGTGGCCGAACTCATCAACGCGACGCAACCTCCACGGTACTCAGATGTTCTCGAGCTCGATTCCAAAATCCGTGACTTTGAAATACCGCAACTGCTGCGCATGGTCGACAATGACGGGGTTGCACCACCACATCCTGTGGGTATGCAGCAGGCACTGACCCAGTGTAACCGCGAACAAAGTCAGTGCTCGTACGCGCTGTCATCCAGTAAAGCTGACGCCCCGACTCCTTCAGCCCTGCTGAACCTGCACAGAGCTTACTTCACGTCTGCTCTAAAGGTCACAGAAGGCTACTCGATGAAGCACAAGTACGCCCCATCTGTGTTAGCGACATACCACAGCGCAGTCAACGTCATTTGGACCACAAATACCGTCTACCAGTGGGAACCGGAGTTGTGCATGCGGTTATCCAATCTGTGGTCGAATGCCCTGTCATGCTCGGTGAGTGACAAGGATTGGCCGCACCGATGTAGTCTCATCATATCATTCAGCTTGCATTGTGCTTACTGCTCGGACGCGTGCCCTCAAGTCCCATGTGTTCCCAGATCCTCTCAGTACTGGAAAATGTGTTGAGGCTCTTCCGAGATGTAGCGCCCCGGTGTGAGACCGCGGCGAAGTCAATCGTGAGTTTTCGAACTGCTGGCTGAATGTGCACGCCTGTGACCCTGCTTCTACAGCATACTCTGGAAGCATGCATCGACCGTTCCCGGGCGATCTATCGCAGCTGGCGTAGCGGCTCAACAGACCCTTGGGGCGAGCACGAAGGGGACACCGTCTGCGCGATGGTCATGCGCTCCGGGATTATGTCTACCTCATCTCCGTCATCACATTCGTTGGAAGAGAGCCCGTTCGAGCACGCGCACTACTCACTAAAACGCTGCCACGAGCGATACCTCGCTGCGGTGCCTCCCGGCTTTGTCGACCCGTATCCCGGCCCGCTCGAGGCCTCCGTCGGGCTCGGGATGACGCAGACGTACAACACGTCGGCGGAGCGCACGGCGAGCCCACCCGACCACGTCCACACCGCTATTGGGGACGGCGCGGCGTCGCAGAATGGGTACATGATCTTGGGCTCGGATTCGCTTGACAGCAGTTTCATGACTTGGCTCTAGAGGGCGCGTGTGGTATTTATCCTTGCGGACTTGTCTTGATTAGTTTTCGTGTAGCTAGCTCATCTGTATTCTATTCTTGCATTGTTTCCTGGCAGCACCGCTCACGACCATACCTCCTTGCTCTACAATTGATACAGTATGATTTACTGCACGAAACGTGCGTTAGGATCGATGACCTACAAGAATGTTGTATGAAAATTGTACCTTCTTGCAAGCATGCATGCCCGCTATCGATACATCGCTGTTCATCTGGCCTTCTTGCTGGAGACACGCTAGCCTTACGGTGCAAGTCTCTCGACCGTCCACTCTGGTGCGTCTTCTGACGATCCAGCGACACGGAGATATCGCACACGATCATGCAGTCGCGAAGGTTTCCCAAGCCAGAATTCGACCTCACTGCGCTGCCTGTCAGTCCATCACCTACGCTTGATACAGACCGACGCACTTTGGAACCACTCGCCACCCTCCCCAGAATTCCGGCAGAGGAACTTCGGCGCTCGGGTCGTTCTCCTGCACCCCAAATCGTTCCTTCAGCTTGTCATACCTCGCCTGCACCTCGCCGTCCGCAACGACCGTGCTCTGCCTGCTCGCCCACGCGCCGACCCTGCTCCCGACGGGGCGGCTACGGTAGTACTCTTCGCTCTCCTGCTTGTTGACCTTCTCCACACGGCCGACGACGCGCACCTGCTTGTGGACCTCCCTCCAGTAGAACGCGAGCGCGATGTTCGGGTTCGCGAGCATCTCCTGCGACTTGCGCGAGGTGTAGTTCGTGTAGAAGACGAAGCCCCGCGGGTCGAGCTGCTTGAGGAGCACGACGCGCGCGGAGGGCACGCCCGACCCGGAGACGGTGCAGACGGTCATCGCCTCGGGCTCGCGCACGACGCCCTGGATGGAGGTGAACCATGTCCGGAACTGGTCGAGGGGAGACGGGGCGACGGTGGAGGGAGAGATCGACTCCGGTGCGTCATACTGGTCGTGAGTCGTGATAACCACCTTGTCTGGCGTCGCTTCTACGGGTGCGGTGGTCGACATGAGACAGCGCAATCTTGGGTGCGAGGAGTGGTATGTAGAGACGCGGTGAATGTGGTGGATGGCGAGTATGCAGCGAGGTATGCGAGTCATTCTCGCCTGAGGCCCGGAGGCGCATTGCCTCCAGAGCGATCCTCACGATCTGATCTCGGCTCGGTCAGTACTCGGTGCGAAGCCGAGGCTCGTTGGAGTGCTTCACTCATTCGTTCCGTCGTGTTACAAGTTCAACTTACATAGTGTCCATCTGCTTGAGCAAAACAGTGAGCATGCAACTTACATAGTGTCAAGTCCATCGTCTGACTGAATGGCCTGTCAAGATACGTGTGGTTCAATCCGTCAGCCGCTCTCATGATGAGTTACTGACGCAGTTCGCACTCCCATCGAAATGACGATGGGCCCTGGGGAACCTCCGAATGATACTTTTGTGGTTACTGTCAATGCGATGCAAAACATCACTCAGCTGTGGTATCATCTTATGTCACAGGATGCTCAGTTGCGCTGAATACCATTAATATTGTCACGCAGCGAGCTAACACCCCAGAGTAACCCCAGAGGCGAACAGATACGGATCCATTCCTTCCATTATGTTGCGTGGTCAGGCGCACCACAGACTACATACCGAAGAATCATCGATCAAGATCGCGCGTTCAGGTCCTTGGTGAACCTGACATCTGCATGGACGTTACGCAGCACGACCAAAAGGAGTTTTCGAGCGTGACCACCCCGGACCACACAGACATTCGAAGACAAATACTCACTTGTGCTGGGAAGAGAGGCGATATATCGGACAAACGTAATACATATTGGAAGCTGGTCCGAACGGAACACAATTACAGTTCATACAGTGAAAGCGTAACAACATAAGTCAACGGACGACATGCGAATGTTCCGGCCGAGGGATACTCAATCCCCCTGCAAGCCGACAGGCGAGGAACCACTCTGCACTGGGCATGCAGCACTCTCGAGGCTGGCGGAACAAAATCAAGGAATATTCCTAGCGTTCCGATCCGAGGCTGAGCAGCGTGATGTGGCCCGCACAAGACAGCTCGTCGCGAGCCCGTGTCGCGTAGATCCCGAAGGCCGGACGCGAGGCAGGCCTCAAGGCGCGTCTTCGAGCCCATCGTCGCCTTCTCTCCGGTTGTAGACGACTAATGTCCGTTCATTGCCCCCGCAGGTCCGTCGCCTGCCGTTTCGGGCAGAAACCTAGAGTGACACTAGACGTCCGGAGGAGCCACAGCCCGAGCTCAGGGAACCGTGGTTCTAGATTTGCGACGGTATTGCCTCAGGGTCGGGAAGCTGAATTGGCAGTGACAGCGACATGATGCATGTTCACGCGTTCAGGTCGTGCAGTATGCCCTGACCGGCGGGGCTGTCTACACAGTGATACATACCGGTGAGCAACGCTCAGCAGGGGTGGACGTCTACTTACTCGGAGGAGCAAGAGCGCATACCGTACCTGGCCGGCGGGGTGGCCAGGGCCTCATGTCAATAGACTTCACTACTGTCAGCCGCGACCGACGCTTGTGGCTGCTCGTCCACTTGGTGATAGTTGGGCGTGAGCAATCTCGGAGCTAGGTTGGAGGATCATACAGGATCATACTCAGGCGGATGAGTCACCCCGCTCATGCTATGCTCCAGTGCGCCTGCTGCGAGCGCACCAGGGCGGGTTCTCACTGTGTAATCAACCTGCGAGTGCCCAAACGGTAACAAGCAAGTCAAATGTTCCAGTAAAGCGTGCCTATGAAACTTTCTGTAGATCCCCACCTCCAAGTTCGTCTATCCCTATGCTGTGGCGCGGTCTCGCACATGAGATGGGCCCGGATGGTCCGAACGGCCACGAGCGGGCCAAGAGGCTGATGAGATGAGACCTCGGGACGGAGGCCCATCAGTGTTGAATGAGGAGGCTATGTCGCGCACCAATATCGTTCCGCGTGGAAATGCGTGTATACACGCAATGTACACGCTCAGATTGGGTAAAGCGCCTCGCTGGTGGGACACGCTCCTGATTTCCGCCCATAGTTCATCGCTCATCACCCTAGTCACCGAGGGGAGGCGTATGAAAGAAGATTGGGAATGCGGAGACAAGGAAAAGAAGAATAAACGGTATTCCGCAATCCGAATGCTGTGCGTGTGCGGCGAAGGCGAGAAGCAGCGAAGGGCGAGCGAGCTCACAGGCAGAGGCGGCCGACACACGCTTTGCGCACCATGATGCGGAGAGAGGGAGCTAACGTCGTGGCTGGCTGGTGGCATTTCCGAGGGAAGGATCCGTGAAGATGAGAACACACGCCCAAAAAGTTCAAGCGCGTCGTGTCAGCCGTAAGCGGGGGGTGGGTTCGGGCGCGGCAAGGGAGCATCCCAGCAAACGATTGAGTTAGTGCGGAAATATGTTGAGTATGCTGTACGGCTCTGCTGGGGTGGCGAGCAACTGTCGAGCAACGGGCTGTTGGACGGGGATGTGTGGACTGAAGCTGAAGTCTAGAGGGACATTGAACGCGACCGCGGCATCGAGGCTTGAGCGGTGTTACGTCTGTGACACGCGTGACAGACGAACACGTGTGACACGGGCGATGCTGCGGGGTTTGCCGGACGCAGGAAGCGCAGTGGGGGTCCGGATTAGGCAGGTGTTCGGAGCTGCTCTTATGTCTCTTGCCCGACTTGACTTGCATCTCTAACCCCGTCTCACATCCCCCGCCTCCGCATCCCGTCCCTCCGCCGTCCCTCGCGCTCCGTGCGCGCCGCCATGTACCCCATATCCGACCTCACCGCCTTCTGCCGCAGGACAACCGGAGATGTGCCCCCAAAGCTGGTGGTGCGTATACGCTGCTGTCGTGCGACTCACCTTCACGCTCAGCCTCGTGTCTAGGGCGCGTCGACCACTGTCATAGGCTCCAAGATGTATCTCTACGTAAGTGCTGTACTATTTCACGCGCATATAGTCATACTCAAGCGTGGTTTTTGTAGGGAGGTCGCTTGGTGTCCGAGCGCAGGATGGTCTCGGATATTTACATGTTCGACCTCGAGACTGTCCACTGGGAAAGGCTACACCAAGCACCGGAGGACGACATTCCTCAGGCCCGCTACTTCCACAGCGCGGACACATGTACGTCTTCCGTTTTGGGTTCCTCAGCTGCCTCTGACTCGTCCGATCAGGGCGCAACCATCTCATCATCTTCGGTGGTATGGCCATCAAACCTCAGTCCGACAACCCTGAGGACCTCTGTGTTCTGAACGACGTCCGACTCTTCGATCTTACGACTGGACACTGGCTTCCTTCGTCCGCCACCTCCGGCGAGTCATCGCCGCCCTCGTTCGTTCCCAATGCGCGCTACGCCCACCTTAGCTCCGTCAGCGCGGACCGCCTCTTCATTATCGGCGGTCAAGACCTCGCAAACGTCTGGTTGGATGACGTGTACATTTTTGACCTCGTCAAGAAGGTTTGGGTGCAGAGGCGCGAGTACTCGCGACATTGTGGGACATACCGAAGTGTGGCTGTCACCGCAGACATGCGAGTCCGGTTGCCGCAAGAGGAGATGCGTACCGGCCAGGCGGCACCGTCGAACCTCGGCCCCGCTGGGACACGCTTCAAGAACAACAGGAATGCACCACCCGCCTCACCTGTCACTTCCACGGAATCGCTGATACATTTGCCGTACTCTGCTCCTCCAACTGACGACTATCCCTGTGACATATTTCTATTCAGTAACTACAACGTGCGTATTCTCATCGTCTTCACTGAATGGGCAACCAAAATTGACCGGCAAATCAGTTCACCGACGTCCAGCGAGAGCTGGAAGTATTCTCACCTCTCTCAGATGGTGACTTCACCGTGTCAGACCGATCTGCCGCCATGACTGGCACTTCATTTCCCCCAGGTCTTCGGTTCCCAACGGGGGCTATACTGGGAACCTTCTTCATCGTTGCCGGCACTTACCTCTCTCAGACGTACCAATCTTTCTCGATTTGGGCACTGGATCTCATCAACATGACTTGGTCACGTATTGACCCCGGCAGCGCTCTCGCGACTGGTTCTTGGTTCCGAAGCTGTCTGTGGCCCGCCGCGAATCGCTTCGTCGTATTCGGCAACCGACATGGGAACCTCGTCGAGGACTATAACCGACGTCTTCTTAGCTGGGACCACGTCACATGCATCGATCTGGAGGCGTTCGGCATCTATCAACCACCACCGCTCGTCTTGGACATCTCATCGCAGGAGCTTGGACTGGCGGCGTTCGAGGAGGGTGCGCTCGCAGATTTCGAGATTATCTGCGATGACGGGCGCAAGATCCGGTGTTCGCGGAGGCTGCTTGAGGAGCGATGGCCCTGGTTCAAGGAGCAGCGCAAGTTGTTCGTCCAGGCCGCACAGCGGGAGACGGAGGCAATGGAGCCAATCCCGCAGCATGTGCCTCTGCCCGAGCTCCCTGGGGCTTACGACGGGCAGGAACCACGACCAGACCCGAGGCTTACACCCCGCTCGTTCAACCTCTCTGAGCCGTATCCGATCAGTCTAGCCCTGGTGCAGTACTTCTACTCCATGGCGCTGACCACCCCTCTTCAACACGCGCCGGCTGTTTTGAGCCAGCTTCTTCTGCTGTCAAGCACGTACGAACTGATGCACCTGCAGTCGCTCGTGAAGCATGCGATGCACCGCGCGCTCAGCTATGCCACGTCTGTGGGAATCTACGGGGTCTCTACGCTCTGTAGCTGCAGGAGCCTTCAAATCAGGTGGGTGTCATTCCTTGATGAGATAGAGTAGCGTGGGCTCACTCCGCGGTGCGAATAGGGCTCTTCGTGTCGTCATGGTAAGTGCGCGAGGGTCGTGAGAGGATGACGCAAGGCTAACTTAAGGTGTAGGCGTACAGCCAAAAGCGTCCTGGAGGAGGGCGTTCACGCTCAGACAGGGATGGCCCTTCTGGGCCAAGGAACGGCGATGCGAATGGGAATGGCCATGGTGGACCAGGTGGTCATGGGCCATCTGACACGACTACTGCTGCTCGGCCCCGCGGCCTGTCAGATGCTTCGTATCTGCGAGGGCCTTCCGATAGCAATGGCGCATCCCACATTGGCTACAGGAATGCGAGTAGCAGTAAGCATGCAGGTTTCTCGAGTGGGATGCTCCCGCTGACGTGCATTCTGTTCAGCTCCGAAGCCGGTGGATAAGTCAGACGCAAGCTCTATGGTCACCGTACGCCCTCGGGCGATGTCCGAGATCCTGCTGTCGAGACCCTTCCCGACATCGTCACCAAACCCTGAGAGCGCTGGTCAGTCAGGTATGCATCTTCTCCCTCTCATGCGCGGAGATGTGGCTGACTCGGAATGCAACATCAGGTGTATCCTCGGAGTTCCAACCGTCATTAGCGACGCCTTCTCAGCGGCCGGCGCTGGTCACTCCATCACCGCGGCCGTCTTCTTCGAAGAGCCCGGAAATGTCGAGACCGAGCAGCATCATCTCGCTGGCAACTGAGCGCGACTTGCATGACATCGCTGAGTTGATGACAACTACCGCGGAGAAGCGCAGTTCTTCGCAGGAGATCACCAAGCTCATCGGGAGCCGGCCGCGCACGAACTCTCTGTTGGACATGTACCGCAGTATGGAGTCGTCGGTCAGCCGACCACCGGCTCCGGCCTCGTCCGCGAGCTCTGTGATTAGCTCGACGTACGCGACGGAGTCCGACACAGAATACCTCTCGGACGACTTGTGCGAGTCGGTCGTGTACTCGCCGACGCAAGCTGCGTTCCCTGCCTTCCACCTGCCCTTGTCCCCCCGTAGGACGACGACCTACGACAGCGATTCGACGCCTTCGCTCAAGACCTCAACGTCTTTCAGTTCTTTGTCGACAACACCGAGTCTCAGTCGTGCATCCTCGTTCCGTCGCTCTCCGCCTCTCAGCCCCACTGTCGCTTCTCTGGCTACTCCTGTCGACATCGCGCCGCTTTCGCCGCAATCGTCGCAGTTCCTGGATGTCATCCAGGAGGCTCAAAGCCCGGACGAGAGCGAACCTTCGCCGCAACCATTCTATTCTGATGAGCGGAGCGCCGCGTCTCTACCTGTGCTCGACCTACCAGGTTCCTTCCTGACACGCGATGGTACCCAGGTAAGAGCGAGGGTTGACAGCAAGCTAACGATCACACGCCGGGACACGCCATCGTCACCGGAGACTGTCATGCTTGCATCCCCTCTGGCCTCTCCCAGCCGCACGCCAAGTGCGCTGTCGCCCAAAAGCCATCGCATCGGCGGGAAGACGCTCTCGCGTCTTTTTGGCAAGGATGCGAAGAAGAAGCAGGCGAAGGACGTGCCCACAGCAGGCCAGTTCTCGCATTGGAACGGCTCGGCCATCAACCTCAACCTCGCCAAGGCCGAGGATAAGAAGAAGAGGAGGCAGGCGGAGAAAGAGCGGACGAGCGAGATGGCTCTGGAAACGCTGCGCGGCATGCTGGACATGCACATTCATACGGATCGGACTGATAGTGACTGGGACCAGGTTGGGGGATACCCTCCGGTGTGATTCGTGCAGCGCTGGACTACTGCTTGAACTCTTTTCTCCTGCAGCTCGCTTCCGCCCTTCGACCTTCGATCTATCTAGTACGCTGCTCGGCGATTGGTTATCTTTAAACGTTGTACTTGCTGCTGTACGCTGTCGTTGCTCCTTGTTATTCTGCTGTAGATGCTACGCTATTAGTGTTGTATAGACCGTGCTGGGTGTAATAGTCAATAGCAGGTATGGGCCCCTCAGTGCTTGACATGAAGATATACGAAGTGACATAATCCGAGACCGATGCATGGTGTGGTACAGATGAGTTGTAATGTACATACTGTATTCCAGCCACAGTGGGAACTTGAAACGATGAAGATGCTGAGTACCAACACACCCACCTAACTAATAAGAACGATTCATGTATGATAACAACTCCTACGCATGATGCGAACTGCCCCCAAGGCCGAAGGAAAGAAAGGCGAACAAGCTCCTTTCAGAGCATTGCGTCAACCTCATCCCGGAAGTCCTGGGACGAAGCCGGTACCGACGCGCCCGCCGAGAACTGCGATAGCAAGGCGAGGTCTGCCTCCGCTTCGTAAGGAGGTACTGGGGGCAGGAAAGGCGGTAGTGCGGAGTGACTGCCAGACGAAGTCGCCAAGGGCAAATACAGCGGCGCTGCCCTTGCGGACGTAGTGGCCGCCGTAGCTGGCCCAGCTCCCGCACCTGAGGATGATGCCGCGGGAGCATCTTGCGGAACGATGATGTGATTATCTGGGGAAGAAGCGCGATTAGAAGCACCGTTCAAGTACTACGCCAGAGATGATGATGGGAGAAGGGCTACTAACATTCCTTGGCGTGTCCTGGTCACAAGAGCCGCAAGTCAGAGTCCGGCCACCAGCTAGTATTGACTAGGGAACTGTGCGCACCATGGTCCTTCTGTCTGGGGCACCCGCTCCCGTCAAGACAGTCCGGTCTCCTGGTAACGTATTCTTCCAGGAAGCCCTTCCTCCGCTCTCGGACCCACCAATCGCGCAGGCCCCAAAGGAACACCTCGGTCGCACAGAGTCGGCAAATTCGGCTCCGCGGCGCACTTAGGCCTGGGTCAATGCCGCCTGCGACATTGTGGATATCCTGGAAGAGGTCGAGTTCGATAAGCGGCGCAAACTGACGCGGTTGAGTTTGTATATACGCGACGATCTGCTCAGATCAACAAGTGTGCGATCAATGATCGTGGATCAGCTTGAACAATGCATCGTACGCACCTCTCGGTAGATGTGCTTGGGAGTCAGACGTTGCGCAGTTAGATAGTCAAGCATGATATCGACTTCCACGGTGTTCGAGTCGAAGCAATCGTAGATCTCGCCGCATTGGATGAGGTCCCCAATATCGGACAGACCGTGCGGGTGCTGCATGAGCAGTGGCGCAGCCACACAGCGTGTCGGAATACCGATGCCGCAGAAAGACACCTGGCAAAAATCACATCTGGTGGATGTGGGTGCGGTCAAGGCGAGGATGTTCTCGCTACACATTGACCATGAGCGTGCTGAAGTGAACGTGCATGTGTTCAAGTGACGTACCAATTGCCACAGTATGCGTGCCCTGGCGGTGTGCCGTCTTCTGTGTGCCACGCATGATCTGGGTTGACTTCCGGGTCCGCGATAGGCTGCGGACACACCCATCCATACTGGTTGCCGGCAGTACAATGTGGGCAAGGCTGCACGTAATTCACATTGCGAGGCTGCAGACTGGGCTCCGGCGACGCTTGCCTGGGGCTAGGAATCTGAGGTGCTACGGGGTAAGCCCTTTACGCAGAGCAGAATAGATATAACATTACCCTGAGTGATACTCCAGTCCGGTAGATTTCATCCGCTTGTATGCGTTCGTTGGCTGGTCGCACCCGGTCCGGCGCATGGCGCAGAAGGACGTCAACCATTGTCTGCAGGGCGCGCGAAGGCGTGACAATCGATGACAGACCCCGGCATGCAGGACAGTTCGTTCCCCCGTTCTACGGATGGAAGTGATACATGTTAGCGAACGGGCTCTCGGTGGGACGACACGAGCAGTGTAGTTGCGAACGGGTAATGCCTGGAACCATTGGTACACACGCATATGCACCGCGTCTAGAGATCGAGAAATGAGACTCACTCGGATCCACATAACCACGCAGCTGGGCGGCAGCATGTAAGCACAAGTTGCAACGGCATGCATACGTATATGCGTACCTTCCGCAGAAGAAATGTTGACATGGTACAACCACTACTGGTCGATACACGAGTGCAGAGCAACAAGCACATTGCAACTCTTGCTCCAGTTCGTTCGCAAGAGCCCCACTGTTTATGGTCGCCGTAGCCGCTTGTACAGCAGCCTCGTTACCGCTCACAGGCGTGTCTTGCAAGTTGTCCTTCACCCTCTTCCTGCTAGTCTCCGCTTGCACGTCCTCAAATGAAGGCGACGCTCTTCGCTTCAGAGTGGCACCAGTAGACCCAGATGTGTACGACCGAGAGCCTGACATATCCGAGAGCAATGCGCTAAAGAGCGACCCAGGCGTCGGCGAAGACTGTTCAGGTGGTAAGCGCAGACCGTCAGGAGGCATCGGGCTGTATCTCCGCGATAGCTATCAGTGGGCACGCAGGGATGGTCGACGTTCAGATTCAAGAAGAGATATCGCGAATTTGGACGAATCGGTTATTGTACCGGATTGGGTGGCTGCGATGATGCTGCCGGAAACTGGGTCCTAATCACATTCCGGCACGAGTCCACTCTTCGCCTGTCCGGGGCATCGCTGAAATGCGTTACATTTCGCATAGCCAACGCGTCAATCAGGCTTTGGATGTCACATCCAGAAGTAAGTACAGCGCTCCGAGAAAAAAGAGTGCGGTTACAGTGTCCATCTCACAAGACTAACTACATCCGTGCTTCAGACGCACACATACGCCGAACCTACTGACAGAACCATATTGACCTATGCACAGGAAGGAACCAGACACCCAAGCGAGACTACGGTGCGCGAACACAACCGGTTGCTACAACACGTCTTTCTGTCTCCGTCAATGCCCGGGCTTGAGACGCCGCGGCGCGTGTATCCGTTGGATCAGCAAGTCAACGGAGAGGAGTATGAGGCAATTCTATGTAATGCCTCATCAAAAGCAAAGGGGAGGCGGGTGCAACCTACGACAGTGTGAATAGCGCCTGGAGCACAATGGACGCTAACCGAAGGCAATTCATTGGGTTCTGCCAGCAAAGGTATTCAGCTCATTTGCTTCGGCTGGACTCACGGATGTCGGCATTGTTCTACATGCCCTAGTGGGGCTGAAACATAGAGGAGGCCTCGCTGGGGTAGAGTGCTGTTGCTCGTTAGATCGCTCGAACATAGCATGCGAATCAAACGCTATCACTTATCGAGACGCTGCCGTTTCCCTGCTATGGGTTTGCAGAGTAATCTTGCCATGCAAGTCATGAAGGAATGACAAAGGCTCCGAATGAATGGCTACTGGTGACTGGGTTCAATTGAGCATCCCGACATGAGACGGATGGTTGAGCAAACCAGTAACATCCCTCTCCCGCGTCGCACACTGAGTCACGACCTGAAGGTACAATGAAGCCGCATGAACATCCAAAGCATTCATCGAAGTAGGGCAGTCTCGTCGGACGGCGCAAGTTCGACCGAAGTGCGATGAAAGGGTTCAAAAGAAGGGAAACGCACTCAAGACGCGTTGCATGGCAGAAGCGCGGGGCTGATAGAGGTTTAGGGCAGGGCGATTCGCGTGACACCACAGATCACGGGTAAGGGCGAGGAGCATCCGAGAACTCCCGCAATGGTATTCAGAGCCTATGTTACTGTGGGGCTTGTACAGCCATACATAGTGTGTGCGACATGCAGTGATACATAAATGAGAGGGCGTGAGCTAGTACAGTAGGATGTCTCAGGCGCTCCAGGTGCCCAGAGTTGATTCCAATGTACCATGCAAGACATACATACGAACTTCTTGCGTAAATTTTGGGATAGTAATGGGAATATGTGGGGAGGGATATAGGGAACGAGTGCGGTAGTAGCAGCGGCCGGACTCAGATTGTGCCACTGAGGAACCGTGCCGTAAGGGGCGCTGGTTCAGGGGGAGAGATGGAAACTAGTTGACAAGCCGCTACCAGCCGTTCCCGGAGTTGGTCACACCGCCTGTGGGTTTCTGTTGACAGCGATCAGCTGAGCATAATGGCCGACTATGCGTCGAGTGACATACCTTGACAAGGCCACAGCGCTATAAGGTACTCCAGGGGTGCAAATAGCGACTTGCACGCTTGCAGTGCAATGAGTAACGTATGGTCGGAGGACCACAGTGCGATCATCCTAGCCATCCTGCATGTGTTCAGATGTCGAACAGCACGGCCGACTGTCACACCCACCTTGATATCTGCCCCATGAACCAGAAGACGTAGAAGGGCCGGCCGGAAAGGGAGCTCGTCGGCTGCCCAGTGATAGTGTGTAAGCCGTACATGGTGCGCCTCGCCATAGAGTCATGGTGTGTTACTATCGGGAGGTCAGTCATTGGACACGGCCATCACGCGCAGGACAACAAGCAAACTTACACCACTCGTCCGCCTTCTGGCGCAGATGCTGTGCGTTCCTATTGAGACGAGAGTCCCGTCAGCCCTGCATGGATCAGTTGACATATACGTCGGAGGGCAGCTCACAGTTGGATGTGCGGTACTAGCCGCTGCAGCTCATAATAAAGATACAGACGAGATCTACACCCTCGATCAGCGCCAAGCTCTCTAACGCCGCATACACCCAACATGACACTCACATAAATAAATAGTCGCGGCTGACGAACATGAAGGTCCGCTCGATGTTGCACGTATGCCGGCTGAGCGCGACCTCGATCGTGTCGATCTCGAGCCAAGAGTCCATGGCGTACTGAGCCTTATCGGCGTCGCTCATGCTCGCGTCGTTGCGCATATATACGCAGCTGTTCCACGTCAGGAGCGAGCGCATGTACAGCGCCCATACGGTGTCCTTCGAGTGGTGCGTGCCCGGCGGAAAGAGGGACTCGCCGGGGAAGAGCACTGCGATCTGCGGTGGCGTCAGCCCGGGCTCGTGCACGGCCAGTGGCGGGACTTACGCTTGCAGGGTCCATGAGCGACAGCTCCGGCAAGGATTTCCCTATCGCCGTGTTGTACGACGCGTAGCCCGCGATGAGTATCACGCTGCTCCAGATGAGCCTCCGACATTCTTCCTTGCGGATGTCGCCCTCCGTCCAGTCGGCGAGCCAGCCAGCGGTGTGGCTCCACAGCGGCGCGAGCTCTATGGTGTCCGGCGACATGTGTCCGAGCGTGTAGCTCGCGCACCAGCACGTCGTCTGTACGTTGGACGACAAAGGTATCGGCGGCGCCTGCTGGGCTGTGAAGAACTCCGCAGGGTCGCGGTGTCGCTGTTGCGGTGGGCACGAGGAGACGACGGGCGCAGAGTGAGGAGTGAATATCGTCACGCGCGGGTCGTCCGCGTCGACGAGAGCCAGGTTGAGGCAGCGAATAAGGGAGTCGAGCATGGAGACAGCGCTCCGCACCCGCTCCGTGGTGTGCAACGGGTGCGCACAGATCTCAAAGAACGCGAGAATCTAGCGGATGGTGCGCGGGGTCCCCTTAGCTGGGTATGCCTAGATGGATCGAGGGAAAGTTTACGTACCCAAGCCGCCTGAACCAAGTTATCATCGATCCACCGCGATGCCAGGCTCGCCTGCAGCGCGCCCTGCGCCTCGTCCTTCAGCCTGAGCGCGCGTTCGCGACCCGCCGCGCCCTTGCCCTGCTCGCTGTCCGAACTCTGCAAGAACGTCGCGAGCGCGAGCGCACCCAGCACGAAGCTCGGCTGCAGGCTCGCGCGCCCCTCGGGGTCGCGCAGCCGCCGGAGCAGGCGCGGGATGTTGAGGAAGGACAGCCAGTACGAGCTGTAGCGGAAGAGCACGTGGAGGTCGGCGTGGACGAGCTGTGTGGCGGTGGCGCGCATGCCGGGAGGGAGTGGCGCGGGGTATCCGTTCGGGTACTCGTACGAGGCGGAGTAGAGGCTGAGGACGACGTCCCACCACGTCTCGCGGGCGTACCGTGAAGACGGCTCGGCAGGGATCTCGAGCTTGACCGGTTGTCGATGGCCATAGGGGTGCCCTTGCTGCATCAGCGATGCGTCTGACATCTGAAAGGCATATGGGGGTTGCAGTGATTGCGACATGTACCCTGTCTGGTCAGCATAACGATAATTTACCTAAAGATAATTGAGCTGCCGTACAGGGTGACGGAAGCGGCGTACGTACCTGCGGATAAGCCACGCTCTCGATGACGTGTGGTTGTGACACAGGCATAGGTTGCATGGACGTCGACGCCGTGCCCATATTCGAACCCGGCGCCAGGCTGTGCGCACCGCCGCTGCCCGGCGCATATCCTTCATGCGACCCTGAGGTACTACCCTGCGACGCCGCTGCGATGGGACGCACGCCCGTCGGGGATGACAGCGCCCTCAGACTAACCGGCGACGGCAACGAGCGCGCTGTCAGCGGCAAAGGGTCCTGCGCAGGCGCCTTGCCCTTGGGATCTGCAGAGCTCGCGGGAGATGGGCCATCGACCGTCCGCCTCCGGCTCCTTTTTTTCGGCTCGCCCTCCTCCTTGCCGGCGGTCATGGATCTCTGCCTGGCCCCAGGCGTCTTGTCGGGTCCTCGACGCTTGGGCTCGGTGTCGTAGGTGCAGGGACTGCCCTGGTCGGTGCGGCGGCCGCAGTTGTGGCATGCCGGCTTTGCGCCGTCGCAGCGGATTTTGCGGCTACGACTGGGGTGCCGGATGTCAGTTGATGGGTCCAGATCGCCACGTAGAGATTAAACACCGCACCATTGTACGCACGCTACATATACACGGCAGCGTGGCTTGCCTTGCGTGGTTAGAGGCTGATCAGGCGCAAGTCCAAGACGGGGCTTGTCTCGCCGGGATTTGCCATAGCTAGGCCGCCGTTCGTTGGCAGTAGGTCTCGCAGAGGTCCCAGCGGCAGGTGCACGAGAAGAAGACGAGGCTAAGGCGGCCGAGGACTCCGCGTCCTGGCCATCGCGGGTCGATAAAGGGCTCAGCCTCGAAACTCCGCCTGAGAATTGAGAGACGTCGTCGAACTGCGAGGCCTGGTAGTCGCTGGGCGGCGTATCGACGTGGAAGACGGAATTGCTCGTGGAGGAGACGCTCTCGCTCCTGTGCATGCGGGTGGCGAGATGGGATGGTGCGTGATAGATGCCAGGCGCTGAGGGCTCGGACGCAGCCCCCGTGCCAGTGGCGGCGAAGGCGTCTTCATGTGCAAATTGCAGATAGTCAGAACTGCCGTGAGTATAGTGGCCACCGTGCTGTCCCGTGTGCACGGGGACGTCACTGGTTGCGCCCAGGTATGCTCTGTCGCCCGAGACGGGGAAGGCAAAGTTAGCCGACATGATAGTGAGCATGCAGGCTTGTTATATGGTGATCGAGGCGTCGAACAGCACCCGGTATGTGCGTGGCAAGTCAGAGGTGGTAGCTATGGAAGAGCATGCACGGGTGCGGAGGGAGGCAGGTTTGACTTAGGGGCGTGTTTCAGGCGGCACGTCATTAAAACCCGTCAGACAGGGGTTCGAGGACGAAACGGACAGAGTGGGTTGCGCTCACCTGGGGCTGGGGCCAGGCAAGGGAGAGGGCGAGACGAGACTCGCGAGGCGCGGTGGGCTGGTAGAGACAATGGAAAGGGGCCATAGGGAAGAGGGAGTACCGTATATGAGAGCGGAGCACACTGCAAGGAGAATAGCCACCGACCAATCGGGCCCGGCTTTGGTCGATCACTTTGCGTCTTCCGCCCGCCTGGCGCGCCCGCCCGCGCCTTCTCGTGGCCAGTGCCTCGGCGGTCTGATCAGACGGCTACTGTCCCTCCGAGGCTGCAGGGCGGCGCGGGACTCGACGGACCGTGTCGCGGTGCCCCTGTGGTGAAGCGGCTAATAGGTGCTGGTCTGTAGGCAGACACACCTGTGCGCGCCCCTCCGGTGTTCCAGGATAGGGAGGAGGCGACGGAAGATCTGGGACACAAATGTGCCCTCGGCCGAGTGAGGGTCATTTGGGGTGAATTCAATTATCGGTCGGAGGATGGCCCTGATTACGCTATGGGAGGATAATTGTTTGAGTCCGCGAGCGTACCGAATGGGTGGGCCAGGCGGGCGCCTCGCGACGGGCGTTCCTCGAGAGACAGCCTGCGCCACCGCGACCGCCAATTCCCTGACGACATCGTCTTCCCCACAAATTCAATTTCGCCGGCCCGCCCCCCGCGCACCTCCGCAGCTCCGGCAGTCCCCGAGCCTCACGCGGCCTCGCCCGCGAAAGGGGCTCTGCACGCGCGGTGGCACCGTTGGGCCGGTGGAGGGTCTGGCCGTCCCTGCGTCCAGCACTCTTCCAGTGGCCAGCGACGCTCTGCCCGCTGCATAACGCTCCCGGGAGCGCACCAAGGAACCGCCACAGAGCGCGCCGGCTGCCCGCATGCTTGAATCTTCACCAGTGGCCAGTGCGCTCTGGTCGGATCACTACTTGCCCTCTGCGTGGGTGCCAGTCAGACACACCGTCAGACCAATTGACTCGCGGCAAGCGCAGATGCGGCCGTGGAGCAGATCTGCCTCTCCTCGGGAATCCTCTTCGTTCCTTCCTGGGAACCACCCGGTGAAACCTCGCTCACCACATCTCAACTTTATGGGCATCCATCTCGGTACACGCTCTGCCTGCCAAGGGAGCCGTGTCTGCAATTGCGCCCGACTGCGGAATCGACTGGGTCTCCTGGAGATCCTCATCAATCAGGTAGAACCTGTGATAGATTAATTGCCGAGCTGAATACTTACTACACGTCGTCGCACTGTTAAGTCGATTTAGTATTCCCTCCTCCTCTCGTAGGCATCGGTACCGCATCTGCCTCTACGAAGCGCTGTCGGACGAAGCGGTTTGTCCATCGCGGTTCCATTCACAATTCCAATTTCCACTGTCGACGCCACCAGCCGTGCCTCTCTGATCACTGAGTGCGCGCGAGCAACTTCTCGTCCCGGCTTCCTTCGTAGACGGCCGGCCTATCCCACTGTAGTGATCGCGCGCCTGACAGCGAGCTTACAGCAGATGCCCTTCGCCGCTGCGCACCGTTCATGCGTGAGCTCCGAGTCGTCCCAAGAGCGTATCGAAGCCCCCTAGGGAGGATGATCACCTCAGGGTCGGTCTCGTGCATCCGTCGCTCCCACCGAACGCACATGGCCCCGCCGTTCGTTGGACAGGCGTAGGTAAGATCGCTAACGCTCAGGGCCCCGCGCGTACGCTTACTGAGATGCTGACTTGCTCGAAGCATCCTCCTGGCACGGCGCCGCCCCCACCACTTCTCGGCGGTGCGTCTTTTATGGCTTATATAGGCGACATGGGCCCCGTGCGCTCCGCTGGTTATGCAGCATCTCCCCATTGCCGGCGCTCACAAGGTCGGCGCACCCGCTTCTAGCGTGCAGAGGCGGCTTCGCTGCCTCGGTCCCGCAGAGAGATTCGAGATGCTTATGTGCACTGCCAAGGCACACCAATGAGCTTGTCCAGGCTAGGTCGCTACATTGGGCCGTGAGGACGATGTCTCGATAAAGCTTCATTGACGACGGATGAGAGGCCCCGGTCTCCATGTGACAGTCCCCGGAAGTGGCCTACACGCTACTATACGGTGCGGCGACTACCCTCTACGTATCCTGTAGTGATGCTCTCATATCGCCCGTGCGGGATTGCGCGCCGTCTTGGGTATGCACATTGCCCAGATCGCGCGTAGTGCGGATCTCAGACGTCACGATCGCGCTGCTGCTGTGAGATGCGGCGTGAGGCGCCTTCTGAAGCTTGTTCCCTAGGGCGTAGAAGTGCCATTATACGCAACATCCCCATTCACTCCAAGTTCCGGCCTCGACAACCTTTCAAACGTTCCCTCACGTGTAAGCCTGGCTGTTGAGTTTGCTGGTCAATCAACACAACCAAGGCATCGATCCCAAGGATGGTACGTGCCCCCCAACCTTGAAGAGAGTTTGACATGGCGTTCGCAGCAGATTGTATTCGCGACCTCCAGGCGATAGCACGTTAACACACACAGTGCCCAGTTCGCCATACAATACGGTAGTGGTGACCTGCGCTTCTGACGGAAATGCTCAGGTAAGCTGGCCGCCGCGCACACTATATTTGCGCCTCGCTGACAGCTGCTGCGTTATTTTGGGTCGCACAACCCCGTCAGGCGTCCGTGTTCGAGGACGTTCCGCTCCACCGAGCCTGCCTCACGAGCGAGTGCGAATCAGGCGACCGAGCTAGCGGGTCCCGTACGCTTCGTATGGCCTTAGTGAAGTCCCAGGACGTCATGTCTGCGAGGCACATGGGCTCCGCCAAATGGGTTTGCTGAGAATAGCCTTTTGTCTCGTCGTTCCCTCGCAACTGAACAACGTCAGGATGTAGGCGTTGTCACTCCATATTGCGGCATCTAGACCACCGGCTTGAAATGCGTTTGCTACGGTTGGCCCGACGCCTTAATATACTCCCGGTACCTGTCACTCCCGGATGCTTCCGCCTTCCACGAGGCTACGAGTCGATATACCTGTTCGCAAGGTCCGTTCCAGCCTGAAGGCAAAGATTACAGCTACACGTCTTCCGTGTAATGAGTCTCTCAGCCGCTCAATGACTGAATTGGCCGAGCCTTCGAAAGCAGGCCGTGGGACTGCTATCACCCGCCATGTCGGACACATTCCATGTGAGTAACTCTCGTCATAGAAGACCCGCCCGCACGTCCATAACAAGACCTTTTATGTCCAGATCTGCCCGGCGGATATGTCCGCAAAGTGGCCAGCGACGCACCCTCAGGCTCGAGATTGACGCCGTGGGGCAGCTATTACGAAGCGCATCGTTGCCCCCGTGTGTCTACCTCAAGTTCGAATTCCCCGCCATCCCGACACAGTTATTCTTACTCCAATAGTCAGCCCGAGGGATCTATCCTCACAGGCGCATCCGGTGGAAGACGCCCCGGACCGCCATGATCCGCCGACGTCTGTGGTGAGTAATTTCTATGTTTCGTGCCCCACCGGGGCCACCGGGATAAGGCCCGCCGGGCCACTGCGTGTCGTGATGCCTTGGTTATGAGCGGTTCCGCGAGGAGCAGAAGCGGTCGGCTGTAGGCAGCCCAGTTGAAATTGCGTGGCCAGTGCGGGAGAGCCTGGATCGCAGAATGCTTCCTACCGGGCAGACAATGTGCTACGGTGCGTCTATCTGTCGTCTATCGCGGGCGAAGAGGCCGCGTTATCGGTTGGCACGGTGGCGACCCTGCTCATTCGTCGCGTAAAGCCTAGTCGCAATAGCGAGACCCACGATCAGGCCGGAGAGACGAGGTGGGAATCCTGTCTGGCTCAGTGTCTGTGCCTCCCTCGTGGTGATCAGTGCGAGACTTGGCACAGCAGGCCAGCCAGCGCCGCCCGCTTCTTCCACTTACTAATTTCACGTCGTAGAGGGGCTGCAGCGTGTATATGACCAATTTTTATTTGTATGTGGTGCTGCCAGACATCCGCACATTCTTACAGCACCGGGGAAATATTGCAGTGTACCGACGGATTATCAGCGTTGCAGTACCATGTGAAATACATTCAGTGGAAGCTAACATTTACTGTCCTCTACTTTGTTGCTGGATGCCAGCGTGTCTATTTGTCCGTTAGATTTTTGCTCCCCTGCGTTATGCCGCCGCTGTGGAGCAATCTAACTGAACGATAGTTGAAACTTCAATAGGCTCGGCGGTGCCAAGATTTCATTATGACATCCCGTTCATGTTTGGGCAATTGATGGCACACAATCTCGGGCGATCGCCAGCTTGCCGTGAACTCAAGCGTCGCGTCATCTACCGACAGTTGCGCCCCTAGATCGTGATCTGCCGGGGAACATTTAATTAAGTATCCGGGACCTGGTTTCGTCGTCAAGTCGTCGTCGCCTCTCCGTGACGACCATATGATGCGACAGCGAGTAGGAAGCTCATCATAGGTTCATCAGAACGGAGGCGAACTTAATTTAATTATTGGCGTGTACCTCGGACTCGGACCCTCGGGTCTCGAGTACCAGCGGCGTCGCCGAGCGTTCGCGCGTACGGACCTCCGCGGTTGGGTCCACCTTTCGGGACTACTGAGGCTGGCCGCTGAGCATGAAGTTTTTTCGACCGGCACACGTGCATAGGTCTATGACATTTTTTGACGTCACCATGTGCGTGTGGCCCCAGTGTCTCCTCCTCATATGCATCACGCCTCATTTTAGCGATATACATGAGACATTGCATGAGTACGCATCCCGCCGGCGAGCAATCTGGGGGACACAGTGGACGCGCTGGCACCGGAGATGAAGTGTCCACGTAATACTAGTAGCGGTGCAGTCAGAATTTTCCTCGCCTTGTTGCAACTTGAAGTGGTATCGAAACAACGCATGTGGACTCGTGTCTAACCTGCATGTACTGCACGGCTGGCAAGGAGATACTGAAGCGCATCTGTCATTTCTCTGCGGCTCTGCCTCTATGCAAGGATATCCGCAGCATGCGCCGCACTCAGCACTTCACATAGACGGCCCCTGGGTGACCACTGTCGCTGTAAAGTATGCATAGCTGACCTGAAGGGTGGTCTAATTGACAACGGCGCCTTCCCATAGCTTGGGAAGCTGCAGCAGAAGAGAAGTCGAATCGCCTTACCGGCGTGCCCTTTTACGATGTACACCGTGCACGATTAGCGCGATCCGCCGAGTCCCTCCGCGCATGATGTCGAAGATGTACAGAACAGCGCCTGAATGCCTGAACAAGCGCGAAGAGTCGATAGCGATAGCGTTACAGACGCGCTAGCCTTGCAGGGTCGAACTTCCGCTAGCCTATGCTTAGCTCAAGCTTTCATTTGGGAGGCCTCGGTCAGGGCAAACAGGGCTAAATAGAGCCAGCTCAATAGCCTCTGCGAATAGAACATGCGTGAATCATAAGTTGGTCAAAGCATGTCAAAGAACAATCATTGGTCCAACTCAACACGGTGGAGTTTGTGATCTAAGCACGAGGTGAACGCAACGCGTTGATTAGTATGCCTTATACCATCGATCAACCGCTTGAAATTGTGCTCACTGTCACTCGAAGACACCGGAAGAGATCGCACCAGCAGGTTGTCAGATAAAATTGTGTCCACAATACGTCGACTGGTGAGAAGCACAGTATTCGCAAGATACGCTGGCATTGCGGCGACGTGGGGCTGCTGTCACATATTCCAGACCTTCAAGTCTGGCGCATCTCTGTCGAGTTTAGCAAGCCTGCGCTCGGTGCGAATTACTGCTTGACTTCTTACAACGCAACAAGCTCAGGCCCGAGGCATCTCGCAGCGCCTCTGGCTAAACGCCCTTCGAGCAGCAAGATGCCGTGTCGTAGACTTCGAGGCGACTCAGCCAAAATGCAGGGACCAGGAGTCGTTGCCGATTGGGTCTTGCTGGACATCGAAGACCCGCAAAGCACCAGAGGGGTCGCGATGCCTAATCTGAACATTTCGCTTGAACCCGGTATGTAATCAGAGACCGCTGGCAAGCTGTAGAGGGAAATTTTCTTCAACCGCGACATGGAATACGTCATGGCGTTTAAGTCGAATTGACACACCTATGAGTCGAGTACGAGAGTACTATTCGCCGGGGTTGGATGCGAGAGCTAACTCAACGGCGCTTGACGCGATGTTGACTCTCGACTTGGAATGCATGGACGCACCCTACAGGATCACCGGATCACCCATTGGTAAAAGGATTCTATAATAGCAGAGGTCAGCGGAATGGAAGCGGAATAGCAAATAAGCGGTCAGCCGAACAGAATGTTGCTCAGATATGATTGCCAGTGAATGGACGACGTATAAGGTAGCGTGGACAGTGTAGGGATGACACCCGAACGTGACGTCTTTCCCAGAAACTGCCCAGTTTCTGTCCAATGGAGTATGTCATAGAGCGGCTCATGACAAATGAAGCCTCGTGTGCGCTACGGGCATTGGAAGGAGTGATAGGCACTGACTGTGCTAATACCTTTGACACTATGATAGGAATAGGCCGCTCAGTCTTGATACCGAAGACAATATACGAGAAAGGCAAACAGTGATGTTTGGAAGACAGTCTCATAGTCGGAGACTAACAAAGCCACGACTCGGAGCCTTCGGGGTCAATTCAACATGGGCATGTAATTAGAAGACTGCATGCGTACGAGACACGGAATTGTTGACTACCTGCATTACATTCCGCAAATGCAACTTCTGAGAGAGATCATACACGAGCACGAGATACGTGCGCATCTCACACCCTTCTGTTCCGCTACAATCTACAATCTTCTGCTGATTCGTCAGTGTTCGTCAATGGGCGATTGCGGACATAGGGGCTACACACCAGGAGGGGTTGGGTCTCGCATTGCAGTCAAAACATTCCTTACTTACCTGCTGACAATATTGCCCTCTGTCTGCGCCACAGCGCTTCGCCCGACGGCGTTTGCAGCTTAACTGGCAACCCTCTCCGTCCTCGGGATTGCCACGTCGTCGGTGTTAAAATGGCACACGCACCTCAACAAACGGGATGAATGCCGGGGGCAGGTGTCTGGAACAATAGCTGTGACTGCTAGCAAGCTAAACAGCGATCGTACCGACACCAGCAGCTCCCGCTAGTTCAAGACTGCTTCCGGGCGGATGGTCAACGACGTCTATCGGCGATCCGGTAGCAGCGCCAGCTTAGTCACAGCGCTATCCCCTGCGCCCGCCGACACTCAAAGGAGTGAGGCCTATGAGGCCCCACCGGACTCAGGACATTGTTGCCGAGGTCTCCGGTCAGTGATCATGACGAACTTGCGCGAGGCGAAGTCCGGACAAATCTGGGAGACTCGGAGGTCATCCTTGAGCAACTCTACAATGTAACAGTATGGCCGCGTGGCCATGTCTCAGTGCAGGCTAGACAAGGGTATGCCGCAAGACTTACTCGGAATTAAGCTTGCCCGAAGATCGATTGTATATGACGGTGGCACCACGGAGGGTGAGCTTGTAGGTCCAGGTGGTCTCAGGCTCGTCGTTCGTTCGCCGATCAACTTGCAAACTGCATCGTTCTTGATCGTTCAGATCAGAACCATGTTATTGTGTGGCACAGTTGTGGTGGCCGATGGCTACGAACTTGCTTGGGCATAGCCTGGGCGTAGCAGGATGCAAATGAAGGCAGGTCGAAAGGCTCTCGCTGGAGTGTGAGCGTGAGAGTCCTTACCGAGTCCTTACACTGCCGGCGCTCAGCCTATGGGCGGCTATTCGATCCACGCTTCCCGCCACCAACCGCATCACCAGCTGACACACCACCACCTGCACTGTGTCTATGCGACCACTCGAGCATGCGGCCACTCTGCATCGATGTTTTAGTCCCTTCCTCGCCCGCTGCTTCAGCACCGAGTTATCGTGTCTAGCGTGTGTCTGACTCACGGCACTGATCTCACAAGCTTGACAGTCGATGTAGTGATCAATCCATGGATCACCACAAGATCACCATGCGTCTTCTCAACGGCGTGAGCACCATATGTCTCTCAGTCTAGTCTTGCCGAGAACTGATCATATCAAGACCTGTAATCGCAGTCCACAATGCACGTTAAGTTTCTGCGTCTCTGTCCGCGATGTGCTCAGGCGTATGACCGGGGCCCTCGAAGATTTTCGTTGCGTCTCGCAGGGCGGAAGCAACGCTACAGACTCCGAGTCCGACTGCGGATAACAGGAAGGGGAAATCCGCTTCCTTATTCCATTCCCAGCGTTCGTTGACCATGCAGTCCCTGTTAGGAGGTTCTTGCAGCATATGGAGACAAGACACCGATCGCAGCTTCCGCGACGGGGAGAACCATCATATCATGCGGCGCAGCCTACCCGGCGGCACCTTGACCTCTGCATGGTTGGCTTGCTACGTGAACGGCAAAACCAGGGGGGCTTCTTCCGAGACGCCGACCATCTGGTACTCACGATGTAAGGCAACCAAGTTTCGCCAGCTTCGTGATCGTGCCAGCAATGCCAGTTATCGCCAGCAAGCCCCTGCCAGCTGCCGGCTATTCTTGCCAATTGCCTTATGGCCACTCAGAGTCCGTAGCTCACACTGACAGTGTTCGCTATCAATTCCAGAGCATCCACGCGGTTTGCTGTACCGGTGACACCTCATGTCAGCCCCTCGAGCGAGGCCCGACGCTTCGTTCGCCCACACAATAAGAGCCCCGTGGCATCACCGCGAATCCTCACTTGCCTTGCCCTCGCAACGGTCTAGCACTGCTCAGCCATGGCTCTCGGTACAACTGCGACGCGCGTCCTCTTCGCCATCCTCCCACTGGTCTTGGGGAGCGTTCGCGTCGCGGCTGTTCCACGCGCAACGCGTTCAATGAGGCGGGCCGACACGTCGTTCCTCAATCCCGCTAGCGTGACGACTTTGTCGTCTAGCGAGGTGTCTGCCTTCGAACCTTATGAGCAGCTTGCGCGAGCAGCATACTGTTCATCGAGCAGTGTCACCGACTGGTCATGTGGCGGTGAGTCGAGGCGTTAGCGCAACACCGTTCGACTGATTGATCCGCATTACCAGAGGCGTGTTCTGCTGTATCGGGGTTCGAGACGACTACGGCTGGAGGCGACGGCGACAGTATCCAGCTTTGTACGTACGCTTCTCCTCTTCACAACAATGACTAACGGCATCACGTAGACTACGTCGGTTACTGGCCATCTGAGAACGCCGTCGTAGTCGCTCACCAGGGGACGGATCCGACTCAGTTGTAAGTAGAACCTACCGGAGGTACTTAATGTCCTTTCACTCACGTGTTATACAGCCTCTCCGATCTGACGGACGTCGATATCGCCACCGAGAACCTCAACAGCACGCTCTTCCCCGGCGTCTCCTCCAGTGTTTGGGTCCACAGCGGCTTCGCTAACGAGCAGGCGCAAACGGCGAGCATTGTGCTTGAGGCAACACAGAGCATCATTGCTTCGAAGGGAGCAACGACAGTCATTTGCGTGAGTAGTGCCCCGAGAGAGCGTCGTATCGAAAGCTTGACTGGAGAGAACAGGTTGGCCACTCGCTCGGAGGTGCTTTGGCGGAGCTGGACGCGGTATTCTTCACATTGAACCTTCCGTCCGACATTCAGGTCGTCGGCCGTACGTTCGGGACTCCTCGCGTCGGCAACCCGGCCTGGGCGAGCTTGGTCGACTCATCTGTACGTCAGCTGTGTAGTTGCACATCGACCAGTTACTCACGTGTGTGAATCGGCCAGGTTCCCGACTTTACTCGCATGAACAACGTGGATGACCCCATACCCATCGTCCCCGGCCGTGCCCTGGGCTTCCAGCACCCCGAGACGGAGTTGCACGTCGTCTCTGATGATACCTACGAGGTTGTGGCGTGCCCGGGAAATGACGATGCAACAGACTCCGACTGCACAATATCTTCAGTGCCGAATATCTTTGATGCTGACCTCCTCAACCACCTCGGGCCTTATCCTGGCGGCATACACATGGGTACCATCTATTGTACCTGATGGTGATGATTTATCTATATCTATTCTTTGTACTCCCTGCGTCTGTTTGTGATGACCGAGGAAATGTACATCATTCAGTCATGATCTCTTGACTTTTGTCACTGCTGTGACTGCGATGAACGTCGCCTGAGACTTTCGGGGCAGGGCAGCGCTGAACAACGCTTGCATGTACTTAGTGGCTGACGCCACTGGCAGCAAGTAAGTATCATTACGACAGCTCTGTAGACGGCGATCAGCTACCTTCACGAGCAGTGGACGCTTCAAGATCGCATGAAGACCATCTCTATGGAATCTTGTGCAGATGCAACGGAAGTTCATTAACTTATATATGTAGACCTGATCGGAAATAACAACACAGCGGTGTTACCCGGTAGTCAGCCACGTGAGTCACGTGAGTAACTGTGATATGTCAGATCCAGATCGATGCCGTCGTCGTTGAGGAGGAGGTTGAGCGCTCCCAATCCTCGAGGATTATCCTCACCTACCCCATTTCCTCATTTTTGCGAACGGTAGCTCTCGTAGTAAATTAGCCCAAACAGGCTATCGTGTGTTCCCCTTGGCGAACGTTCGTGCCTCAGGCTCGTGTGCGCGGAATGTACCGCGCCGGGCGGTTGCCATATCCAGTTGACTCCACGGTTGTCCTGCCAATCTGGAACACGGGTGGACCCACAAAGGCCCATGAGGCGATTGATTGGCCAGAGCCTGCCAGAGCGCGTCGATATACGGCAGACTGCTGCCTCCGTGGACTGCTGCCCAGGCATGGGCGTGTGGCACTAACGAAAGACATAAAACAGCCCTCTGCGTGCGCCCAGTTCAAGCTCGCCTTGTCTCCTCCCATCATCCCCCCCCTACTAGACACCGCTCGTTGAGGTAAGCGGCATTCTCCACACTCGAAACATATTCTGACAACATCATCGACGGGTCATCCGGTTCTGCAGTTTCTACTTTGCTCGTCAGCCGAGATGTCTATCCGTTATTTGCCGCCACATCCGTTGTCCGCCTCCGGTAGTGGCGTCACCCAGGCCTGACCAGCCACCAACCACCTCCGGGCAGCCGCAAGGTCGTCCATATAAGAACGCGCGCTCGTAACTTTTCTTTGCTGTCTGTCTTTCTTTCCCTCTTTCCTGTCTGCCTGCGCCACATGTCTTGTGCGCGCACTGTATATCGAGTCAAGATCGCGTCAGGCCTACCGAGTCAGGCAGAGTACTGGCCCGTATTGCTCAGCTAGTATATGTGATGGTACGTGACTCTGTCATTCGCACACGCCGTATAACAACCATGTTCGCTGCCAGTCGACCTCAGAAGTCAAACGCCGCAAGTATGGCTGCCTCGAAGTGGTTGACCGTCGCCGAATGCCGCAAGTAAGGGTTGCCTCAAAATGTCGCGGGCGAAGGTGCAAGAGTCAAGCGCTGCAAGCTGAGCCACCTCCAACTTTCGCTGTATAGGTCAAGCGCCCCAAATGGGCTAGCCTCAAGCTGGACCGCTGTCAAGTGTCGAAGTGGGCGCCGCTTTCAATGGGATTCTGTCGTCAAGCTCTGCAAGCTCGGTTGTGTCACTACTTCAACGGAGTTGCCGTCAAGAGCCGCAATACGGGCTGTTTCAAATCGTGAACGAGGCGAAGCCGTCAGTGCATGTGAACAGCCGCAAGCGGGGGTCACTTCAAGTTCAGGCGGGTCGTCCATCGTCAAGCGCCGGAAGCGGGGCTGCTTCAAGTCGCTGCAACTCGAGTCTCATCAACGTCAGTCCATCCGTGGTCAAGCACCACAAATTCGGCTGCATCCACTTGAAGGGTCAAGCGCCAGAAGCTGGGACCACGTCATTGTAGGCCAATGTCAAGCGCCGCAAGGAAAGGCTGCCTCAAAGAAGATCGCAAAGCGCTGCAAGTGTACCTACCTGGGTCAACTCACGCGAAGTCGTCGAGCTTTAAGCTTCAAGGGTCAAGCGCCGCAAGTGGGGCTGCATCAAGCGCCTTCAAGAGGCCCCGAGGGCGGGTGGATGCTTGCGCTCTTGCAGTGTCCGTCCGGGCGCGGACCTTTACGTGGTCTTCGGGATAAGTACCCTCGCATTGCTTCACGGCGAGTGCGAGGGGAAACCAACACGCGCTTCGCTCCGTATAATCGTGCACGCGCTTGAACGACAACGGCAATTGAGAATGTGTTGCCTTGTCTGCGGGTAAGTGCCTGTAAGTGCAACGTTAGAGGACTGCTTCGTACGGTTCAACTTGGCAGAGCCAGCGCGATGAAGTATACTCTCGCCTCGAGCAAGAGGGGCGAGAAGAAGTTGTGGGGAGCGTGCCCATGAGCCTTGATAGTGACCACAGAAGTTTCGCGACTCCGCATAGCGTGTAACCATTGTTCTGTCATTCCCTGCCCATGCAGTCCCTTCTCTGTGATTGTCTACGGACGCCGATGAGCGCCTGTTCGATTGATCAATGGCGACTCATACTTACCTGATCGGAAGCCTCAACTGCAGCATCACCACCTGATCACTCCGGCAATTCAGCTAGAAATGAGCACGGGTGTAAGACGAGCATGTGTAGAGCAGTATGGTACGTACGCGGCTGTGCTATATGAGCTATATGTTATCGTGTACATAACATCCACGTGCGAGGGGATGACCGCTTCTCTTCTCAGGAATCGGCCTTAGAACGCAACATGTCAGCTTGGCCGTTCCGGGTCCACTGCCCCCGGCGAAGCCTGCGCAGTAGTAGTACGTATGTAGCGTGAGCTGCCGAGACCTCAAAGCTTCACCATGCATGCTCGCATTCGTTAGCCAACTCGCCTTGTCATTGTGATGGAAGGAACGGACTTTCTCCCGCTCATATCCATGCGGTGAGCTGTACTGGTGATATAATATGCACAATAGCTTGTGCTCTGGACCCACGGTAGCAGCATGGTCAGCCTCCTCCATAAGCGATGCTGATCTCGACAAAAAACCTTAAGGGATTCCCCTTCGCCCTTCGCCCGCACCGCTCAGAGCGCAGCACGGCTTCCTCTCCGCACGGCTCCCAGACCAACGGCTATGCGTTCTCTCGGGCTGTTCAGCGTCCTCGTAGCATGCGTCGCATGCGGTGTGGGGGCAGTTCCTCCACCCATCCATAAGACGGGTTCTACCGACTTCCTCGATCCGTCTGCCGTGACTACCTTGACGTCAGCGGACATAACAACCTTCGAACCCTATGAGCAGTTTGCGCGAGCAGCGTACTGCTCCTCGAGCAGTGTGGCGGACTGGGTATGCGGCGGTAAGGGCGGTGCATACCTGGATGTATTCTCCTCAGCTCACATGCTCTTTAGAGGCCTGCTCTGCGATCTCGGGCTTCCAGCCCACCGTCACGGGTGGTGACGGGAATTCCATACAATTATGTGTGTGCTCTAGTCATGAAGTGATGTTGCCCTGGAAGTCTGACCAGAACACAGATTATGTCGGCTACTGGCCTGCACAAAATGCGGTAGTCGTCGCACACGAAGGAACTGACCCGACTCAACTGTAAGCCAGCCTCGTTAAACGGACTGGATTCCGTTGACCATTCCATTCGCAGGCTCTCCGATCTAACCGACGTTGACATACTCCAAGAGAACCTCGACAGCACGCTCTTCCCAGGCGTATCCTCAGACGTCTGGGTCCATAGTGGCTTCGCGGATGAACATGCGAAGACAGCCAGTGCCGTTCTCAGCGCCGCCACAAGCATTATTTCTTCTAAGGGCGCAGAAACTGTGATATGCGTGAGTGATAGCATCTACGCACGATGTATCACTCTGTTCACCTCGCCCATAGATTGGCCATTCTCTTGGTGGCGCTCTTGCGGAATTGGACGTTGTATTCTTCAAGCTCCATCTGCCCTCGACCGTCGCAGTATTGGGACGCACCTTCGGAACGCCGCGTGTAGGGAACGGTGCTTGGGCAGACCTCGTAAATTCACTGGTATGCCATTAAGGACGCGTGAGTCGAAGCCGATACTGACTCGTGGGATGTGTAGGTGCCGGACTTCACGCGCATGAACAACGTCCAGGATCCGATCCCCATAGTCCCCGGTCGTTTTCTAGGCTACCAGCACCCGGAGACTGAGCTCCACGTGGTGTCGGATTCTGCGGACAAGGTTGTCGCATGTCCAGGCAACGACGATGCTACCGACGCAGACTGTACTATCTCTTCGGTGCCGAACATCTTTGAGGCTGACATTTTGGATCATCTTGGACCGTATCCTGGTGGTGTTTACATGGGAACTATATACTGTACTTGACAGGGTTAATAAGACGCACGGAAGGTTATGTATCACGAATGTACTCACGTTCGTGTATGTGACGTTGGGCTAAGGAACTTGCGTTGTGCAGAGGACTCAGGGCATCGAGTCACCATGACGTCTGGATACCGCAAAGCCGACACTGTATCTCAAGCGAAAGAGTAGGCATGAACTCCTCGGTGTAAATGAATCTTACCAATGCAATATGTATGTCCATCCTCGAGTCCGAAGCTCGGGGGCCAGTGTCGAGTGGAGACGATATCGAACGCGCGTGCTAGGACCAAGCCTGTCCAAGCGCCCAACGTTGCAGCCCGGTCTTGTGGGCGTCTCCTGCGCCTCTAGAGTCTAACCTGAAGCTTCCACTCGCCGTGACCAAACAGCGTGCATTGTATCGACCAGCAGGCATCTCTCTATTCTGGCTTGAGCTTGTTCTACATATCGCGAGAACCCACCAGAAACCTCTGTCTGAAGCGTCATCTCGCTGTGGTGCATCTCAAACATGGCGAGAACCTCTGTATCACCCGATCGACCACACGGCTCAGGCTCTCGTTACAGAGATCGCTACGATGGCCGGGGCGGTTACGACAGTCGGAGACGCAGAGATGAGCGAGGAAGCACGCGTGACGAAGACCGCCGTCGGACGAATTACGACAGGGACAGCTACAGCCGGCGTGACGGGGACGACCAGCGTGGCGGTCGCCACAGGTCACAACGAGACCGCTCGTCGGACAGGGATCGAGACCGACATCGTGAACGGGATAGCAACCCCGACGCACGTCCTGGTCCTTCGCGCCGTTCTGCTTCGCCTCATGCGCGGAACTCGAAAGACCGCTCGCGCTCTGCCTCAAAACCGGAGGATTCGCCTGAGGACAAGGCCAAGCCGAACTTCAATCCCTCAGGACTACTTGCTGCAGCCACAAAATCGGTCAAACATGCAGACGGTACCAGCACAGTGTTGAAATACCATGAGCCACCGGAGGCGCGCAAGCCTACCGTGGGCTGGAGGCTGTACGTGTTCAAGGGGAAGGAGCAAGTGGGTAAGTGCAATCGGCAACAATCGAGAATGCAGGGAACTCACAATACCCGCTCCTCTTAGATGTGCTGCATATCCACAGGCAGAGTGCGTACTTGATTGGCCGAGACCGTGCAGTGGCAGACTTGGCGATCGAACATCCCTCCTGCTCGAAACAGCATGCTGTCATCCAATGTGCGCCGAGCAGGTCCTTTGATCAACCTGATTCACCACTAAGTAGCATATAGTCCGACAGGTGCATGAGAAGAACGAATTCGGGGACGTCAAGAACGTTGTGAAGTATGTTATTCGTACCTCACGATTGGTTTTGGGCGTAACCCTTCCACGCAGGCCCTTCATCATCGACCTAGAGTCGACTAACGGCACCCATGTCAACGATGAGCAGATCCCAGAATCGCGGTACTATGAGATGAAGCTCGGTGACGGTGCGCCCCCAATGGTTGGTTGGCTAGCTCGGTCTAATGAGAACTCTTTCCTGCAGTAATCAAATTTGGTGAATCGCAGCGAGAATATGTACTGCTGCACGATGAGGCTACTTGATGGGCCGCGTATACGCGGCTTATGGCTTGCGTCGTGCAACGTCGGTTTATTTTATTTGGACGTGCTTGCCCATCCCACGTCTACCGCGCCTCGCTATTGCAGACGCCATCTTGGTGAGAAAATGTATATTGGGGCCCAACAAAATAAACGTCGCTCCGTGCGATTCCCTGATGATCGCACCTACTGCTTGCGACGACGGGAAGGAAGGAGAAATAAAGAGGCGGAAGGTGCTACAAGTCTACAACAGCGATGACCCTCGTGAGCGATTCACATTGTCCGGACAAAGCAAATCTCAACTGACATTAGATAGTGAATAAGTATGTCTCGGGTACACGCGGCTAGTCACCGCTTCCACTCCTCCTGGCAAAAGTGACGCATGCCGTCGCCCGAGTACTTCTCTCGTGGTAGTGTCTTATTGTTGGGCTCAAACGCGTCTGGGAGATGCACAAGGCGTGCAGCCCTGGTGGGGCGTTGTGGGCGAGGTGCCGGGAGTTCCAGGTCGCTGTCGACGTTGCCCCCTGGGCTTGGGGGCTGCGATGGAAGCTTGCGGTATGATACTTTTGGAGCGTTCGGGAAGCTCGTCAGAACGCTCTGGCTCGAGGTCTTTCGTGCATGAATGAATGCCTGCAACGACTACGGCGTTGAAACTACTCACGATGCATCGTCCTACAGGAGTAGGACACGCCTCATCATGTGGCAGAGGCGGTAGAGCCTTCAGCAGACCGTCCGACTCTAGGGGCGGCAATATGTCCGTGTTCAGGTGTACTGCGACTCCTGTGTCATCGAACAGGGCAGAGCGCGCGCTGGATCTCGGGGTAGTCTTCTGGCTGTCGTATGCGGTGAGTGAAGACCTATACGTCGGAAGCATGGTCAGCGTTGCTCTTACAGATGGAATCATGCATCTGCACGGACCTGTCTCCATCTTCAATCTCCAACCTAGCGCGGCAGGGGGTAGCCTCTATGGAAGAGCTACGTTTGCAGGTGTCCGAAGAGACGAGGTTTTCGTTCTGCATCGCTGGTCTTCTGAGGCGGGACTAAGGCGGGACTGAGGATGCGTATTCTCCTCGCTATATGGTGTGAATGGGAAGCCCTTTATATACCAGCGGGGCCGTTCTATCCATGTTCGCCACTCAGACTCACGATGTGCTCGGTTACTTCGGCGTGCCTCGACGCAACCTCGACGCAGCAGTAAATCTACGTTGGATCTCGGGGGGTGCGCCTTCGATAATGAATGGCGACGGTTTCGAGATCTCGCCTCGAGGTTACCGTGAGGTATAGTAAAGCAGTGCTCCTTTGTGCATCTATCTTGCCTAACACGGCAAAGATCCGGATAGAAGCCAAGATCTACGCGCAAGTAACACAGGACTCGAAAGACATCTTCAAATTCGAAGGTCATCGCGTGGAATGCCACCTCGATGGGAAACTGGGGCTATGTTACACTGCATTCTGCGACGGCTAGCAGCTATGTTGACGATGAATTCGATGGTGCACAGTACACTGAATCGAACTACTGTGCTGTGATTCGTCTGCAGGGGTCATCCATAATTAGTGCGATCATTTTACAGGGTGATAATGCAATGCAGGCTCTTAGAAGGACATCCGATATGGTGTAACGGCTAACATTACCGCCTTTCACGCGGTAGCTCGGGGTTCGATTCCCCGTCTCGGAGTTCTTTTGCCCCAGACTACCATACGAGTCAACATCCTTCATACCCTAATGGAAACCCACGAGGGGGGATGGAAGGATATGCACAATGGTGAACAAACGACAGCACAAATTTGCCTGATTCGTGGACGCAGGAAGCCCGATAGATTGCCTATGATAACCATACTGCAAGCACCCAAGGTCACCGACCGCTCCGGCGCCGCTTCGACCTGATCCTTTTCCCATTTTGCACCGCCGGTCCGTGCCTATCAAATAGGTTTCGTGAGTTTGTACCGCTCTCGTCAAGGTGCACGACGCAACATACCCCCGAATTTTCTTCTGTGGCCGCGGTGGGTGCGCGAACTCGGCGGGGTCCTCTCCCAGGCGGTACTTGCCCATGCACCACATGATGTACCTAAGGAGTTGAGTGGGAGCAGTGAGGTTGCGGCCGGTAGAGGCAAGAAGAATGTACGCACCTTCGGTCCTTGATTTCCACTCCCGCTTCCTTCATCCGTAGACGGTTAAGACTCCAGAGGTCTTCCCATGACTCCACCGTAACTTTCGTGTCTGCAGACCTTCCTATCGCCTTCAGGAAGTCTTGCGGTGACACGATGCGCCCTACAGCGATGAACGACAGTCAGCGGCGAGCGAAGTTTACAGAACGGTCATCTGGGTACCTCTGGTCTGAGGTACAGGTCGGAGGGCGGCCTTGTTCACCACCGTGCGGCAGCAGCGAGGGACAAGAGAGATGGGCTTAAGCCCGAGCCAGCTCGACATGCTGGTGAGTGACACAGGACCCAGGAAAGGAGAAGTCGAGTTTGGTACGAATGTGGAACGCGAGCAAGCTGGCACAAATTCCGTTGCCTCGGGTTGTCACGTGTAGGCCATGAGCAGATCGCTATCTTGTCACAACAGGGACAAATGTTCGCATTTAGCAAGTATGACCAAATAGGTGAAACAATACACCAGCTACTGCATTGTCGTCTCCAAGGGGCTCGATGGATAGCTCGTGGTGACAGCGAGGCTCACAATGCAGCACTGCTGATCGACCTCGTAAATGCATGCATTTACGAGGCAAGGCAAGCTCAAGGTTACGATGTGACGGTGTCTTCAATCTGCTCTTGTTTGTCCAGCGGCGTCATCACCAGCCCGAGGACCGGTAGCCTGCATGTGAAGCAGCCTGCGGTAGCATCGGTCGAAATCCCACGCCGCTGGTACGGTTCAGGCGTGCATGGGTCATACTGACTCAATGTTTCAGGCTACTCGCAGGACCGTGGTAAATGAGCGTTGCGTGGCGCAACGCTTACATATCGAGCTCGGATACAAAGCTAGAAAACAGGTGCATCTCTGAGGAACAACCGCCTCTCTTCCTTCTGTACCCATCGTGCCACTGAGTTCGCCGCATTGACGATCGCGCTCTTGGGCAGGCGCGGAGAGAGCGTGAGGTAGAGCTCGAATGCTTGAGTGATCTGCGTAGCGCCCATTAGCTCAGCCCCAAAAGCTACAAGGCTGCACTTACCCAACCCATAACGCTTTCCTTCTCCGTGCGGATGTACTGGAGCTTAAGGGTACTTCCTTGGCCCGACTTCGCGTGTATGTGGTCATACAATGTCTGATACAGCGTGATGAGTCTGAGGAATGGCGGCGCTTAGTTTGCACGAACATGATACATGGAGCGTTAGCAGTGCGCACCTTCGCTTCTCGTTCAGATCGTCGTAGGGATCCTCAAACATCGGCAGTGTGACCTGCACATGCGACCTCGACTTGTACACGAAATGCCGAAGACCGGGTATGCCTAAATCGGCTACGGAGTACTCGGTGTCGCCGCGATCGACGGCGTCGGACAAGGCTTGCAGCAGACCATCTTGCGTCAGACGCTACATACACAGGTTGAAGTTGGGAGCGAGCGCATGACAACACGATGCTTACCCGAGAGACGGTATCGCACCAGCTTCTGACGGCCTCGAAGTCGGCACTGCCGCTGACGCAGACTAAACCGATTTCGGGAGCAGCCTTTTCGAGGACGCTTGCCTTGTCGCTCTTGCTGACAGTCTCCGAGGTCTGGCCGCCTTCGTTGACCAAGTCACTGCTCTGACTGCTTGGCGATGCCTTCGGAAATGAGGGGGTTACCGGCGTCTTGTCCGCATCTCGCCTTAGGAACATGACATAGGCGTTCACGAAGCCGGATGCATTGAACTTAGGCAGGCAAATCGGTAGCCATGACGCAGATGCAGAGGAGTTGATGATGGACGGTGCGTAGATCGTGTTCACGAGGACGTGCAAGTCTGTGACGGAAGGTCAGAGATATGTGAGTTCAGTTGATCGGCGAGACATACCTGACGGATGGATGGAGTGTTTCTTGGGTCTGACCAGTGTTATAACGCGCTCCTGGGCAATCAGGATCATGTACAATATGTCCTGTATGCGCTATGAGTACGCTAGCTACCCGGGTTATAACATGGATGTCGTACCTTGATTTTGGACGTTGGTACAAGTACATCAGCCACGCTCTTGCGAAGCATGGGTTCAACCTTCAAGCATTGTAGTGAAGACGTCGCCATGGCCAAGTCCCACTCAAGCCTCGACAACAACGAGTAGAGGAATGGCTCAGCACCACTCAACAGTCGGCGCAGATCGAAGTTCGTGCGTCGCTCGAACATGCGTCGAAGCTGTTCGGCGGACACAACGCTGAGGATCTGTAGGTGCAGGTATTCAAGATGGAAGCGCGTCTTGCTTCTCCAACATTAGCGTAGCACTGGGGGCATTGAGGAGACACTTACCACTGACTCGGGCTCGCCCCAGGAGGATACGCAGACGTAGTACAACGGAGGCCGGAGCAGGAAGGTTATGCGCGTCTTTCCAGCATTTATGCAGCGGATCTTGTCCCCATCATCCAGAAAGACGGACACTAGGGCTTGCATGATTCCCATTGTGGACGTCAGGCCGTCAGACTCATCCTCCCCTCGGCGACTGCAGGGGTATAGCTATGTCAGTACAATGCCTGCATTGGCTCGGGACTAAGTCACCTAATGAAGACTGGCTTCCCCGCCTCAGTGAGGACGAAGTACTGTCTCGGGGGATATGCGTCCGCTATGTTTCAGTTGTCAGGTCTTGTACACAAGCTCCGCGACGTACGTACCTGTGGAATGCGAGATCTGGTGGAGATCAACCTCCTTGCCTTTCCTGCGACGACTGCGGCTACGCAGCGCAAGATCTTCGAACGTTGAATATATTGGATCTCGAGTGTGGAGAGATCGCTCACCACTCAATGATTCCTTCCTGCTCAGTGTACGCCTCAAATGGTCCCGTAGTTGCTGCTTCGAGTCCCCCTCTCCGGGGCGAGTCGCAGTGTGTCCGCTGACACTACTCTGATCACTAGCGATCGTCCCTACCTCGGCCTCTGGTGTGGTAACAAGCATTTCGGGAGTAGGTGTCTCGAGATTCAGGACGGAGGACGCTGAACTCGATGCACCCTCGTGCGGGCCATGTGCCAGTAGATCCATGGGTGCCAGATCTTGGACCGCGGTTGGCACAGTCGAAGTGCTGCCATGGCTGTAGACCCTCGATGAAATGAGCGGTGCTGGTCGGACAGACGGCGGGGACAGACGCGAGAGCGCAGGTATCGGGGTTCCCACCCGCGAGGGCGTCCTCGAGCGCGGCGTGCTCGGCGCGGACATGGTCGTGTGCGGGCCGTATTGAAGGGCGAACAGTACCAGGCGCGGCTTGCTAGGCCAGGTGGGAGCTGAGGACGGCAGAGGTCATGGATGGTAGCGAGCAAGTAGCGAGGTACGGCGAGACGCCCACCGCGCGGACTCGTTCTTCACCGCCACCACCGCACGACCATGCGACCATCTAGTCATACGCCTCAAGCTGCCGTCGCTGGACATGCCAATCCCGCCATCGCCGTCCTTTGAACGCGGGGAGCCATGGTTCGACGATGGCAACATCGTCCTCCTGGCCGACGCGTCCAACGTCGCGTTCAAGGTCCACCGCGGCATGCTTGCGCGACATTCGGAGATCTTCCAGTCGATGTTCGAGCTGCCACCCCCGCAAGCAGACGTCGAACGCGTTGATGGCTGCCAGCTGGTCAGGATGTATGATTTGCCAGAGGATCTCAGCAGCTTGATCAAGGCCTTGTACGACGGCGCGTAAGTCGTGCGCATGCCTCGCTGCGTCGACCAGTGCTGAACGTTCACGACGTCCCTCAGGTCATTCCAGGACCGCAGCGTCGAGGACTTCTTTTACGTCGCCGGCATCCTGCGTCTCTCGACGAAATACTTCATCGCGCATCTCCGCATGCAAGCAATACGGTTCCTATCCCAGACGTGGAGCTATACATTGCGTGGACACGATCATATGGTAGAAGAGGCCATTCGAGCGCCCCTCGTCAATGGCACGACCTACCCCTACGTCCACCCCCTGCATGTCCTCAACCTAGCCAGGGACACTCACATCAAACTTCTCATCCCTTCGGCCTTGTATTTCCTGTCCCTTTATCCTCTCCCCGATATCCTGCGCGGCGATCATCCGAAACTGCTAGCCGAGCACCCATCCCGTCCATCATCCGAACTGTCGGCTGAGGATATGAAGGACTATACCCTCATGTTCCAGCATAGGATCGACACGATCCTTAATTTCGTGCGTGGCATGTGCGGCCAGCAGGAGCAATGCAGCACATGCGAGAAGGAACGCGGCATATGTACGAAGGCTTTCCGGCGACTCGCGCTGAACCTGTCCTACGCGTGGATGCCGAGGACGGGACCGCTCCATTTCATGGTTCAAGCCGTGGACCAGCTGGACCATGACTACGTGGTTTGTGCACCGTGTCGAAGATCCTTTCGCGACAAAGTCTTTGAGGCGCGAGAGAAGACGTGGAACGAGCTGCCAGGGGTCATAGGTTTGCCCAGTTGGCAAGAGTTGCAGGCGGCCGACCTGGGAGCGACAGAGGGCGGTCCCAACGGAGGGACGACGTCGCCTGCTCAGAAGCCGGATGCGCGTAACGGGGTGAAGAGGTAGCGCATGGCGTCCTGAGGACTCGAGTGGTCGATCCGGTTCAATTTGCGCTCTCGTATGTAACACAGGTAGCTGCTCACGATGGAGGTTTGTCTATGTCGGATTGTACATTTATACTGATGACGCGATTGGCTGTATTCCATTGCGGCTGCCCAACTCCTTTCCCCACAGTTGTTTACCCTGTACCCAAACCGCGAGTCGGTTACGCATGTCTCCTATACACCACCATTTCTCTACCATGTCTAAGGTGAGCCACATTCGATCCGTGCCATCGAAGAAATCCAAGGGTCCAACGCTAGAGCCCGTGCTGGAGTCGAAGAGCTGGACTGAAGGGCCCCGGTGTCAGCGCCAATGCGCTTGGACAGGACTGACACGACTCACTGCACTGTGCATCAAAGGGTGCTCCTACCGCAAAGGTGCCAGCACCAGCTGGAAGGTCTAGTGCTGTTGCACCGCCGCGCGTAGCGAGGTACAGCGCCTCCTTCCAGTCGACGGCGAGGGATCCATTATCCTGTCCGCGTCGTCCCTCCGCGACAGCCATGATCCTATCTCCTTCGCGCATTCGGGAGACAGCCACCGCCTGCCGCATACATCCCATCATATCAATGTCGTATCCGCCGGCGATGTCAGTCCCCAGTCCAACCTTTACGCCGAGGTTGAGTGCTTCCCGCAGACGGAACGGCTTCGCGGAAAAGTATGCGTTCGAGAGCGGGCAGTGCGCGATTGCGGCACCTGATTTCGCGACGTCGGTCAGGGAAGGCGGGTCGAGGAATGTGCAATGCGCTTGGACCGTGCGCGGCGTGAGCAGACGGGACTGTGATCGCATGGATGATAAGCACCCAACGGACTGTCATTGCAAAGCATTCACCTCCGCGAATATCTCCATGTCCGACTTGCCGCGTTCTCGACGCACGAAATCCAATTCGTCGTGAGCCTCGGCCATATGGCTTTGCACGCGCAGATTTTCCGCAGATGCGAGCTCGCCCAGGCCCCTCAATAGATCATCCGAGCACGTAGGCACAAAGCGAGGTGTGAGAACGGGCTCTACCAATCGCTCATGAGCAGGAAGCTGTGCGACCATGCTATGACAAGAGCCCACAAACGAGATTGCTGACGAGATTGCCGTCGAAGCTGACGGCTCGACGTAGGTTGGGCGCGAGGAAATGTCCATAGAGAGCTTGCCGACGAACGCTCTGATCCCTGCTCGCTGCATCACTTTCGCAAGGATCAAGCTAGTAGAGTGTTGTTCAGGATACTTCCGTGGCCAACCAAGGCGGATGACTGCACTTACTTCGTGTCGACCTTGATAGTACCGAAGAGCAGAACAGCTCCGGTACCGTTCTCAATGAGTCGTTCCGTGAGTCGTGTATACACGCGTTCCGCGAGTGCTGGATCAGCATCCAAGCTTTCCTCGGCCTTGAAGGCGTATTCGTTGAGCCATTGCATCAGTGGCAGATGAAGGCCTGTTCCCTGGTAGAGAAATTGCGGAGCATGAAGATGCAGGTCGCAGAATGTTGGCACCAAGAAGGTGCCTCGCTCCAGTACGATTGGTGGCTCCGATGCATTAAGAATTTCGTTGGATTCCGGGGAGTGCGCTGCCCCTAGGTAGCCTATGAAGCCCGAAAGGCTGACAACTACAGTCATAGACAGTCAATATGCCGAACTAATTGTTGAGCTCTAGCGCGCCGGCATAGCAATGGTAACATCGCGGTACATGACGCACCGAGTACATGATCGCGAAGGATCTCCAATTCTCCAAGTCCAAGGCAATGTACCAGGTCACCCCTGATGATCATCGTACTGGCGAAGAGTGAGACACTAAACGTGCACTGAACAGACTCGGACAGCGCTCACGAAGACTCACAGGCTTCAAGTTGGGAGAGTAGTCTATCCTTATACCTTGTTGGCGGATTCAGCGTCGAAGACCCAGCTGGCACAGCCCAAGTACCGGTTCTCCACGGGTTACGTGACATGGATATTGACAGTGACAAACCACGACTGTGCTCAGGAGGCTTGACATATGTAGTACTGAGTACAACCCTTGGGGTCGTACTCGGAATCCTTGCAGATTGCCAGTGACTCGCGGTGACGAACTTGGTGGAGAGGTAATGGTATGTACACGGCAACATGCACAAGCCCGCTTAGCTCAGTGGTAGAGCGCGCCACTCGTAGTTCTTAGGGTCACGTGCAAAATTCCCACGATCACATGGTGAGGTCGGTTGTTCAATCCAGCCAGCGGGCATTCTTTTTGCTTTTTGTTTTTCTCATTTTGCCCCCGCAGCAGGCCAGACTCTCCTTCCAGCATGTACGGAGGCTCGCGAAGATAGTGCTACATACTCGGGGTATACATGTCACGCCCTACTCAACTTCCACATCCCACCGCTGACGGTGACCATCCCCTCCCGCCTTGCTGCTTCCATGAATGCCCCGAGCTGCTCAATTGTCCGATCATAGTTGGGTGCAAACTTCAACATAGTCTGTATCCGATCAAGAGGCAGTGTGCCCAAGTTTCTGAGCATGCCTTCGATGAACTGGATACCATGTCATTTTGATGCTCACAAACAAGGCGGAGACAAAGGGCGCATACCTTCCAGAAGACCTTCATTTGATCTGCTTGCTGTTGTTCCACTGTCAGGACGGCAGGTGCTTCCTCGACCATCCGAGCTGTAACGGCGTCAGCGCTCGAGCAAGGCAGTGCGACGAAGATGTGGCTTACTAGGCCTGGGGTGCGTTGCCGCATCTTCGGCCACCTCCAGTAGTATGTACTGGTTCGGTGCTCCCTCCTTGACGACCCCCATGTCAACCCATGTGGCAAGTGCCTTGAGCGCAGCCGGTCGGTCTACTGAACCGACACGAGCGATGAGCTCGTCTACCGTCCATGTGTCTGCAGCGGAACGTGAGAGCTGACATCACAACAGTCGGAGATGGACGCACCCTTCTCGGAAAACAGCTCGATGAAGGCCGCTTCCAACGGCGGGACGTCCGCCGGGACGGTGCGATCTTGAAGCTCGATCTCGAGGTGTATCGTACCGAGGTGCGGGAGCCAGCGCAACTTCTTGTCTTGTTTGAAGGCGTGGAACTCTTGAGCGTAGTCGTCCTGGATTCTACATCCTTGCGTGAGCATATGTACCACACAGCGTCCGTTTTGCTACGCACTGCTTGAATTGTCCCGGCATGACGAACTTGCCAGCTTGTAGTGGTGGCCAGAAATGTCTCGAAATGATAGTAGGGTGGAGGATCATCTAAACGTGATCATGCATCTCAGCTTCCGGGGTACTTGCAAGGAACATTTCACTCACGTTCTTCTGGGACTGCACATGCTGGTCAATCCGCTTGGACTCGGTCATGTCTCTCAGCATGACCTCGCACACTTGTAGGGCGGCCTCGCCAAAGCGGATCTTCAGGATCTCGATATTGCGACGCTGTTGTCCCAACCCCTCGTCAGAGTCTACATGGTGGGACAGACTGATCCGCGTACCTCGCGGTCAAAGTTTCCATCTGTGATCGCAAGCAGCCGCTGGGCGAGCAGCACCTGCAGCTCGCGCACAAACAAGTCTTTCGAGTCGTAGATACTGACCAAAGTACTGATCACGTCGCTTGGCTTGTTTGTACGAAAGTCTGTCGGTGTATGTCAGCCGATGCAATGCAATCGTAGCTTCGTGGACTCCTACCAGGTCCTGCATCAATCGGCTCAGGCTCCCAGCTGGGATCTGTGTAGTCCTCCACCTGTATCTGCTGAAGCGGCTGGATAGGCTCGTTCTCGTCTACAAGAGAGTCACCGCTCTCTCCATCGCCGACGAGGCTAGCGACAATGCAGCGAATCGTATCAGGCCGTTCTCTGTGCGACAGCACTTGATATGAGCGGGCGATTTGACAGCCTGAATCCGTCTCACCTCAGGTAACGCCGAATGGGATCAGCGACCTTGAAGAGCAGTACGCCAGGTGGGTCGACCAACCGAAGACAACGGATGATCGAAACATATTGCGTTAGGATGTCCTTGGTGTCTGCGCCGGGATGGAGTAGACGTTTCCGGTTACTGTGAACGTCTCATGTCAGCATGCAAAGCTTGTACACGTCAGGAACACGCACGCTTTCCGCAGCGTCTGTACGAGCTGGGATCGCTGGTCCACACGCTGGAGACACTCCTGAGAGAAGTCTGAGAACGGCTGTCGAATTTGTCTGCGTTCGGTAACTTACTTTGAGGTCTTCCAATGCCGGTTGGGAATCTGGGAAATCTATGATGATGTCGAAGATTTCCCTCGTGCTTTCAGATATTGGGTCAATGATCGCAAAATGCAGACAATTGGACGCTAGCTCACCGAAGGTCACTTAATGTCTTGCATACATGGAAGTCGAACCTCGAACCAACTCCCTGCAACATGGACCGAGCTTCTTCGGCTGAACAGGTCCTCCGTTATCACCCACTCGAATCACTAGCAAAGGTAGTGACTGACCTGATCTCGCGCCCCTGGCGTACGGCATGACCATCCACGGGACGATCTTGTTCGTCATCCATTCTCTCATAGGCTGTAGCATGCGCTCGCTCCATCGCCTCGCACATGTCCCCAGTATGTGTGCTTCGATGTGCTCATAGCATACACTCGAGATGAGAGACTCGTTACGATCGAGCAAACCTAGCTGCTCGAATGCGCCCCAAAGCGGGAGGTCGGGGCGCGGAGCAGGGACAAGAGACTGGAGTGCGGGTGGTGTCGGAGGCAGCCATGGTGGTGCGATAGGAGACATCCCGATTTCAAAGGTGGCGTTGACGAGTTGTTTGAACCCACGGGAGAAGGACGGTGGGAGGATGGAATAGACGTGAGTCTGAAATGTGAGGGTGTATGCGGACAAGATTGTGTGGCCCAATCTGTGAGAACATGAATCACCACTTTGTTACAGATGTAGTTGCTTCGAGTTTACTCAGAGATTGGCACCCATGCTCTGTACCACTCGAGAAGGCGATAGATAAGGCGCGCGATATGGTGGATATCTTCTGCTTCCTAGTTGCCATTAGCACAGTTCGCGTGTTCATGCATCCAGCATGGTGTACCTCGTACTGTGAGATATACTGCTGTACATCACGGGTTATGAGGTGCTGTTGTTTGCGCATATCCTCTAACACCAGAGGTGAGAGATAGTCTCGCCAATGAGAAGGTCGCGCACCTAGGAAATTCTCGAGCAACAGGGGAAGCATCTTGGATCTGCTCAAAGTCTCAACCGCAACCCGGACTTGCGACATGTCTATGCGCCCAAGTATCAGCAGGAAAGCGTCCAACGGAGGGCTCTGGACCCACCCCAATCCTTGTTTGCCGCAGGATCATTGAGATCACGCGGGTGTAGGAATTCTGTTGCGAGGGTCCACGCCTCGTCAAAAATCAGTTCACGCGCGTAAAGATACTTTCATTTATGCACACCTCACTGAATACGAGTAAGCCCACGATGCCCTCCTGGTCCCGGTTGAGACGAGCGAATGAGTTCTGCCATTTGCCCGCAATCTGGCGCTTGAGGGCGTCCGTCGCCATTCTCACGTTATGCGTTGTGCTTAATGCTGTATCATTCGGGAGTTGTCCGAGATGGAGTGCGTCCGGAGCCTTCTGCGCGATGGAGTGGCAAGACGCGTCGTGGTGGCGGTAAGCAAACAGGTCGCGTCTTATCACGTGAGACGCGTCGTCCCCGCATATCGTTGAGATCTAAGATTGAGATCGTCCGAGTCGCCAGTCGCGTGTTTGCACCGTACTACGCCAATACTACGCTTGCCAGTTCTGAACGTTCGACGTTCGACGTTCAACTCGTATTTTTCGTTGCGTATCCTGGAAAGTATGTCTACGCGTCTCATCTCACCTACGGCAGGCGCGGATCTTGGACGCCCTGGAACAATGGCACGATACACATATACCTACAAGACTGTGGACGAGATTCACTTGTTGATGGACGTATATCTCCCTCGCGTATCATCTAGCAAAAGTCAACAACACGCCACTCAAGCTTCGCCGCATGGCGAGCCACCAATTGTGATCTATTTCCATGGCGGTGGGCTGACTGTAGGGAACAAGGATAGCTGGTTTCCCCACTGGCTTCACGGTGCGTATTTGCGTTGGCAGTTGTGGATGCGCGTCTGCGTCTAGTCCCCTTACGGACTCGTGTGGATCCCCTCTGACGTTCTGCGAAGGGCGATTGACAGCTGCAGGATGCGCCTTTGCATCTGTCGAATATCGCCTTTTACCCCCTTCTACGGGCCACGACATCCTAGTAGACGTCAAGGATGCCTTCCACTTCGTATCCCACGAACTAAACGTCAAGCTCCTGCAAAGCCAAGGCGATGATAGTAGCGAGCCTGCTCAAGCAAGGCCTCGGGTTGACATAGGGCGTATCGCCGTTTGTGGAACAAGTTCGGGGGGATTGTGCGCGTACCTCGCTGCGATGCACGCTTCACCAAGACCGACGGCTTTGCTCTCTATGTATGGTATGGGTGGTCATATGCTGGTGAGCTCTTGCCACTCTCAGTGGTCCCGTCTTTGACGAGCCACATTAGACGCCTCACTACCTCATGCCGAAGTCAGAGGTTTTCTTCCGCGGGCGAGAGCTGCTCGATCCAGCACGCTTCAATGAATACCTTTATCCCCACTGTCGGAATCTCCTTGTGACCATCAATTCTCCTCTGGCATACCATCCGGCTACCTCACCAACTCCGGGGTATCCTGCTAATCCGCGTATGCAGCTCGCGCGATTATACTTCCAGCTTGGTACCTACCTCGACTACTATACGGGTCACCATGAACCGAGCCTCAGCGCCATCGTACGGGAAGCCTTCAGCGCTGCCTCAGATCCCGGGCGAGCCGTTGAAGTTGATGTGCTAAGCACCCTTATTCCAACTGATTCCCTCCCCTTGTTCCCGCAAGCATTCTTGTCGGGATCGAAGGCGGGATCTTGGCCTGCGACGTTCCTGGTACATGGCACGGCAGATACGGCCGTCCACGCGGACGAGTCTCGCAGCCTTGACCTGCTGCTGCAGCGCGCGGGCGTGGAAGTCACTCTCCGATTGGTGGAGGGGAAAGAGCACTCCTTCGACTACGCGGACGACGCCGAAGACACATTCGGCGGAAAGGGGGGCCTGTACGATGAAGCCGCCGATTTCCTCTGTCGCCATCTGGGGATATCGCTCTGAGGAAGGGCACTGTGCTCGTCAGAATGCGAAGCTCGGCATCAGCTGTGTTAGGTACTAATGACTGCTCTTATTTGTACTTCAGCGGAAGCTACTATTGCCCAAATAACCGTCTTGACGCGCAATCTACGCGCGAAACTGGTGAGCCAGGGTGAGCTTCCCGCATGAGACGTCTAGTTGTCTCCTGCAGCTGGCCCTGGCTGCCAGTCTAAGGGATGTCCTTCCATCCACGTGGACTCGGACGTCTCGATGCGGCGTAGGTAGCAGCCAAATGCTCTCCTAAGTAAGTAAGAATGATCGCCGGCGTCACCTGCGAGGGCAACACCCGTTGCTATCGTATGGATACCGTCGAACGCCCTTGACTGCAAGGTTTGGAGCTTGAAGCGGTAGTGGTGTATCCCTGGTGCTGTTCCAATGATGCTGCACCTGTCTCAGGTGAGTCCACGATCCATAATTGCTCCGATTCAAAGATTGATTCGCCAGCGGAGTCTCTGTGCACAGGCCTGCGTCTCAAGCCGCGTGGCAAGGGTCGAACTACACTACTTTGAAATGAGCCGCGTTTGGTTTTATTTCGTCCGCCATCCTGGATCTCAGGTATGCTACTCTCTACTTCCGGAAATAATCATTGTTCCCATCTGCACCGTCTGTCAGCGTTCCGACCGGAACCGCTAGGGTCTTCGCAATGTGTACACGGCCCATGCCAGGGATGACTAGCCCACGTCCACAATTTCATCGCTGAGTGACGTTTCGTGTCGCTGGGTCCTCTTGCGGCGCCAACGGACCGGATTGATCAGACGGAGGACGCAAACCTACTCTCCAAGTGGAGGACAACCATGTGGTTCGCACATCCCGGGGTATCAGGCTGACGTATGCCGAGGTTGTTGGGCATCCAAAGATGTTGTACTGACGTGCCATGCTCAACGATATTGTCTCCAAGGAGAGTCTGTTTGACGCGCTCTGCAGGCGACGGCTGACGAGCATCTCTGACTGTAGTATGCCCGTCGCGGAGTGTCTCGAGCGCGGTGCGCGCGGCTCATGACTGTTATATGTGTGTCTTAACTCTCCTAAACAGTAGAGCGGAACGGTGTAACGGCACAGCTAACCCTCCACCCTCGGCCTCAGGCTCTTAGTCGCTCAACTCAGCGGCGTCAGCGTCTACGGATAGTAGGGTATAAAATCCTCCGTGAGTCGTGCACGTAGGGGCTCAGAGCGGTCGCCATTAACCAGTGGAGGCTGTAGAGCAACCTTTGCGACATGGTTCTTGCCGCTATCCATGGTTATACGGGCGGCCACTGTGGTGTGGACCACCATGCCGTGTCCCGCCACGACATTTGCAGCTCTCGTATGAACAAATACCAATTGTCCCTGTTCATTCAGGCACTACGTAAGCTTCGAGATGCCTGCAACTGCGTCGGGCTTACTGATGTTTCCTGCTAGAGCGAATGACGGACTTCAACATACCGCGCCAACTATTCTGCGCAAACGTCGCTAATACACGGGGTTTGCCCTGTGGCACTGCCGGAGGGTGCGCCTTGCCGAAGATGAAGAAAAATGGTAATTACGTTCATGACGTTGAGCCGTGTCCCTCAGAGCGGCGTCCAAGCTCATGCGCTTTCATTGAGGTAAGTCTGTTCAATTTGCCTCAAAGTCGGCAAACGGGCCTGATGTGGGATTCAGCATGAGATCTGTCGTCACGCCCATGACATCGCCCTGCAGTACTCTACGGACAAGGCGTGCTGGAAGCAAGCCGCTCGGGATTTGTGCCTCCCATGCTTGGCGTCCACACGCTGCGATCCTTGCGAACTTCCGGTCGAGCTCAGTTCTTACGCGGTCACGATTCTGGTCCCCTGCTACAACAAGACCGTCGAACGATTGGTTGTCAACCCGTTGTTCTGCGGTATCGCGCATGACCAGGGCCCTCGCAACATCTCAGCAATCCTCAAAGACTGGTTCCCTTGTATCGACCCGGCCTCGATTACGTACAACATCTCAAACGATCGCTGCGAGTAGGCGTGACTCAACATACAGTTCTGATCTGGACTGACGGGGACGTTTAGAGTTCGGGGCCGGAAACGACACTGCCCGACGGCCCCTGATGATCGGCAATCCTGCCAGTGCAACAAGGGCGGCTGGAAGACGACGCACTGCGAAGGACATCTAGACCCCAATCCATCGCCAGGTACGTGCCAATATACAGGCACCGAAGACTGCCTGACGCCACGAGCGACAAACACGATACTGATATTGTCGACAGCTTGCGGTCATCCCCGCCCACTTGACGAATGTGGCGGCAATGTATACACAACTACGTCTCAGACAGGTGAATACTCCGCGATATTGGCGACGTCCAAACAACGCACTGTCATCGTCGAAAGTACTAACACATTTCTCCGAAGCTCAAGGGATATTTTGGTATCCAGAAGGGATGCACAAGAACGCCGCTAATGCCAACTACTCGTGCCCCGAGCCCAAGACACCCAAGAACCCTACCTGCGAGCGAACTCGAGGTGTTTGTGAACAGGACGTATATTTTTGTGCTCAGGCCGAAGGAATCCGAGTCACGCCAATGCTCCAGACATGTCAGGATATGTCCGTCCTCTGGACGTTGCATATCTGTCTGGAGCCATGCCTTGACGGTGGTACGTGTGGCACGGGATACCTGGTAGAAGCCTATATCGGCGAGCTGCGCGTCGGAGTCATGGGCCCGTTACTCGACATGATGGACGGCCGTCGTCTCTGCCAGAACAACCGGGCTGCCCAGTGCGAGGGGTATCTGCATCTCAATAATGCTTTGCTACGAGTTCTGCCCCCCGGGTTTCCCAGTTGCGGGGAACTACACGAGAGGATGGTGTTGGATACGCTCGGTAACAACCTGGACTTACGCATCGCCTGCGGGAAAGTGAGTATTTCGCTTTCTGTTCGAGGGTGCGGTATTGACCACATGCATCAGCCTGACTGCCGCTGGGCATGCATCTCCCGCCATCTGCCAAAGATGAAGGTTACTTTCAGCTCACGACCTATCACGGATGACAGTTGCTTGGAGCATCCTCGCAGATCCGGTGACATAACCTATCACCATGTAGCACAGCGGCGCAACCCTCGGAGCCCTCCAGCAAGCTGGCACCGGCCCTACGCTCACTGAACGGTCAGGTTGCAATGTATCATAACTTGACAGGACTAGTTCAAATAAATGACTTACACTGAACGGTGAAGTGTACGGTAGATGTAGCGGCAAGGGTAGCGCGCCCCCCTCATGTACAATGCAATGAATTTAGACATGCCGCCAGATGCGCTATATGTACCGTACTACTAAGCCAGAGTATCATACATTTCGCATTGCTGAACACTTAGAGCTTCTCCTTTGTCTCCTTGATGTTATCGCCCTCGTTCTGAATCGCGGTGTCCTCTACAGTTTGCGGCCCATCCTCAATCACTGGGATCTCGGCGCCAGTCACAACTGGTGACTGTTCAATGCCCTTCGTTTCCTCCGATGAAGTCTGACTCGGTGCCTTGCCGAGCACTTCACGCATTTTGTCCGTGATCTCCTCCACATCCTGCTCTAATTGCTTTTTCTCTTCTTCGGCAGTCGGACCTGGACTCTTCTCCGGTGGTGCTTCAGTGAAATCAACTAGGCTACGTTCCGTCTCCTTCCATGCCGCCTCCAACTCGTCTGCCCATCCGAGCGCCTTGCACAGATCCCGCACAATATCATCACATCTACCCAGACAGATGACATCATCTGGTTTGCTCCCAAAATCTCCCACCGCGTCAAGATTGATCAAGACGCGCGGGCAGTGCGCCGGCACGAGAGAGGCGAGAGATGCGAAAGGCTGGACTGTGAGGGAGGTGCCAATCACGAAGAGTAGATCAGCGTTGCGCAGGTTCGGGACGGAACGATGGAAGAGCTGTGGGAGCTGTAGAGAAATGTATGAGTACCGACAACGTGGACACGATGACGGATCGTTGCCCTACAGATTCTCCAAAGAAAACGATGTCCGGCTTTACTAAGCCATCGCATTCAGGACATCTCGCAATTTCGCCTGTATTCAGGGCCTGTCTCATCTTCTCGCCGTCGCATTCGGTGTCACATTCTATACAGTGCTGGCCCACGAAGCTCCCGTGAGCCTCGACGATCTTGTTTCCGGGGACCCCTGCACGCCTCTCGAGAGTATCTATGTTCTGAGTGAAGCACGTGTGAAGTAGCTTGTGGTCGTTGAGAAGGCGGACGAAGGAGTGTGTAGGGGTCGGCCGGAAGCGCCCGGGCAGCAGCTCATGGGCCAACGTATAGACTGATAGGACATGATGTGTCAGAACGTTTTGTATACTTTGGACAACGCTGGGTTTCTCACAAGCCCTGGGGTTCTCGCGGAAGTAGTTGATTTCAAAGACAGCCTCCGGATAAGGCAGATTGAGTCGAGCGAGGTTCGCCTGTCCAACATCAGGTCGTAGGTATTTGATTCAACGATGACTAATAGACGTACATAAAGACCTATGACGGCACTCAGTATCACACTAGTACCGTAAAGTAAGATACAGCGACATACCTGTCTCTGGCGATCTGAAGTCGGGAATACCAGCCGACGTGCTGATCCCTGACACGCAGCGGCAGACAATCAGTTCTAGGCAACAAAGCATGCCGCATTCCGGGCGAGATTGCTCACCTGCTCCTAGCTAGCACAGCCGTTAGCGGGTAGGATCCAGGAACGTCTTTAGTTGAAAGATCGCTTCGCGAGCGCTACAAGCACGAATCGACCGCTCACCATCGTAAACACGTTCTTGCACTCGGCCGAGTTCATATACTTCGCGACCGAGGCCAAGTCCCTGGCCTCCAGAATCTCCGGCGAACCTTCATACTTGGACTGCTCAGCACCCATAGTGGACGGATGTGAAGTTAGATGCAAGAAAGCGGGTGTCACGGAAGAAGCTGCGATTACACAGAGGCTGTGGAGTAGTCGGAGCAGGCGCCGAAGTGGACTACAAGTAGTATACTGCCGCGCATGTTGTAGTGGGAAAGAATGAAATGGATATGCGTACCCGTGCCCTCGATCGTCTGTTCCTACGCCCTCGCTGTGCGCGGGTCATGTTCAATCAGTGCTGGCAAATGACAAAAGTAAGCAGAAGGAAATTGGTCTTGTGTTATACACCTAGACTAGGAACCAGTCGCATGATATCATGATCCCACGGGGCCTCTACATTCACCACGCGGAACCTTGTCGCACACATTCGGATGCCCGCTGCAATTCGCTCGGGCTACACATCGTCTGTGGTTCCTCAAAAGTAGTGAAAATATAAGGAATACACAGACAACATCAATCCTTCCATTTCGGAGACTGCCAGTCCAACAGCCACTCCTCCACAAACTCGATCATCTCCAGATGGATATTCTCGATCTCTGGTGGCTCCTCCCAGAGGTCGCGCAAGCCGTACTCATCGTAGTGGTGAACGCCTCCTGCAGAGTGCGATACACATCAATGACTCCTCATACACGATGAACCGAAGGGCGACGTACCAGGGATGACCTTGAAAGGGCGCAAGATAGTATCAGCGCGCAGAGGAGCTTCGTCGGCATGGGGAGTGTCAGGCCTCCATGGGTCAACTGCACATCGCAGGGATGAGATTTCATCGTAAGCTCGGACATCAGTATCTTAAACGCTCACCTTCGCCGTCAATGATCGCCAGTCTATCCGCGGCAATGTAGTAATCGCCGAGGATATTCACAGCCGTGACATTCGGCATAGGGGGGACGATGAAGTGCTTCCCTGGCGGGAATGCCTAAAGCCGCCGATCAAGGCATCAATGCTACCTTTCATATCGGCGGAGGCGAATCCACAAACCTGCTTGCAGGTCTTCGCATCGTAGTCTACAGTGAGGCGACGCGAGACGATGCTCGGGATTTCAGGCGGAGGAGCGTTCTGCTCGTGACAAATGGTAAACACAGTGCAGTGCAGAAGGACGTAGAGCGAACTGACGAAGAAGTAGCCCCACTGGGTGCAGATCTGGAATTGCCAGAGTCTCCATGTCGCGCTGAGCGACGTGTCTTGGTAGGCGGAGTCGTCGTAGGTACCGAAGCACTGACCCATGCATGAGTAACGCCTTTGACACTCTTGAGCTACAAACCAACCTCCTCGACCGATGTGCCCTCAGGACACTGAGATACGAAATTCTGTGAGCACGAACGTTAGGATGAGCATCACAGCATATCTGACTGTTCACGCACCTCCTTGATGTATTGCGCATAGTTATAGACCACCTTCGGCACGTTCAGCCCACCCGGTAGAACAATCATTTGGGACTGGATATTGTATCCAATGACCTCGCCTTCCACGAAATCGGCGCCTCCGAATGGCTTTTCGAGAGCCGCGCAGAATTCCTCGAAACCAGTGCTTCCAACTGCGGGGTCCCACACCTTAGCCTGCCAGTAGCCCATTGGACTCTGTTACAGAGTTAACCCGGTTGAGTGACCGGTCAACATATCCGACACAATAGCCCGCGAACTGACCGATAACAGTGAGACGAAATCCTCGTCATACTCCAGGTCCTTTAGACCAAACAGCTGCTTCAACGCAATGCGGAGATGCGGGACGGAAAGGACGGTGTCGATGAACTCGACGGAGTGTACGAGGTTGGCGGAGCACTCTGGGTCGGCGGCGCGCCGGATGATGTCCATGTACCGCCAATTCTCAATGTCCGCATGCGTAACGCCTGTGGGCCGTACAATGAGGGGACGTATCGAAAGATGATAGAGGGGAATTGAGGACGCACCACTGGAGGCAATTGCGCCGTATACTAGGTCCGGGTAGAGAATCTTCATGTGCGCCGCGCGCGCACCAGCATAAGAACCCTAACAGGTCGTATTGTCAGTCCACTTCGGACTGAGATTCCGAGAGCGGGCCTACCCCGTAGTAAATCCAGGGATGATTAGGGGCAGTCAGGTCTTCATCAATCCCGGGGAACTTCACATTGGCCATGAAGTGAGCAGAATCGGCCGCGGATTGTTCGTTGTTAAGCCATCTAGAACGCTATTGACTGACGGAGGAAGGTAAGAGCAACCAAACGCCGTACCTCAGAGAGTCAGTCGTAAAGTTCTCCACAGGCACAGATCTGCCTGTCTTCGTGTGAATATATGCATTGTCTACATCCGGTGTATGCGCATACCATAGTAGCTATGGCAAGCATCAATATCATGCTCGCAAAAACTGGGTCTGAGATACATACCGGTGTTCCAATACGACGCCTACGCCCCCGGTGGCTTTCGCAAGGATCTCAACGATACCAGTATCCAAGAATGGTATCCTGTTCTCTCCAGACGTCTCTCCACCATCAAGCACAATCACAGGGGCGTCCTCGCTTGGTTGGTAGTGTCGGGTGTTGATCCAGTAACGCTGACCAAAGGTATGAGAGCCGTTCGAGAAGTGATCGAGAGGCTGAGTGAAGTAGTGCTCAGGGAACTCGGCCCCTGGGTTCGGTGCAGATAGAGGGTGTTGTCCAGACGACTGAGAATCCGCATATTGCGCCGTAAGTATGTCTTGAGTGCGCTGTTCCCTTGCTGCCTTCAATTTCCATAGATTGATTCCCTGGGGACCAAATGCACGGAAGGAGTTCGAACCAGGAAAGGCCACGGAGACCGAGGCCAGGGAGGCGATGGTGAGTAAAGCAGGCCGCCACATCGCAAGCCGCACTACTTCTGTCGGCTTCACGAGCAGTAAAGGAGCTCAGCGGTGAGCACCGAGCTGGCGAGCAAGGCTTCGACACCTACTCTCGGGCGGCCTGGTAGTGGGAGTGCAACCCTGATCCTGAGACTCAGTGAGAGACCGCGGAACGCGTCGGTGGCTGACGAATCACGTGTGAGTCGGCGTTGCCATTCCGGGCGACTGAGTAGAACTGCGCGTACTTGGCCGCTGACCAACTCCTTCTCGTCCGCGAGAACACATAGGTCAGTCCTTGGTCCGCATACCCTCCCGAGGTTTGTTCGACTACTTGACATCATCCTTTAGAGATGGACTGTCACGTATAAGTGCGTGCCGATCAGCGACGCAACCCGCGCCGAAATCCGACTACTGTACGGCACCACGGTTGTTTGGCCTCGTCCGGAGTCCCCGCGGGGCGAACTCATACATACCGCACACACTGCGTCTCCGAGGAAGTACGCTCCAGCGAAGGTCTCGTCTCTGACTGCATTGCTATTGCTTATACGTCTTCGATCGACTTGGACCAGCTGCAGTGAGAGGGTTGAACGCTGAACGTGTGGGTATGGGATCGGAAATTTCGCCCTGAGCACGACTGACTGTTCGAGTTTTTGTCGCAGGTCGAACCTCTGTCAGTGTATGCAACATCACGCTGGCTCTGTGCTTCAAGCCTTTGCTGTCTCGTCTATCGCCTTTGCGACTGCTTCTAGTGCCACGACGGGCCAGCAGTCCGTCAAGGCTATCCTCGGTCGACGCGCGGAGCGCTCCCTGCCAATCGAAGTACCTAAGTTTTTTGTTCGATTGGCACGGACATCTGTCTAATTTTGACCATATCAGTTTGACCGCTCGGCGGAACCAGCCCGCCCGACTGGGAGACCGACCCGTGCCCGATTGCCTGAATGAACTTACCTGCAAACTGCGACCCATGTCGTTTGCACTATAAAATTCTGTGCTCTCGCGATGCGTAGTATATATCGCGTCCATTAGACACAGCAAAGCGCCCCGTAATTCTGGCCTTTCTGTTCGAAAGCGAGCTATATCCACGCCGAGTATCTTTCTTCTTGGCCCAAACATTATAGCTTATCTCCGGTATGTATTGCCGTGTAACTTGTTCAGATTCAGATTCGAACTGACGAAGTGCCATCACTAGCGCGTTCCCAATACTCATGAATTGCTCACTCGCGCGGTACCACACGGTGTCCCACCCAACCACCATTTCCATGACGTCGGACCCGACTACAATCCCCATCGCAAGGATCCCTCCAGAACTCTTTCTTCTCATTCTAGGGTTCACCCTCAACCCCTGCCAGTATCATACAGATGACATCTTCCGGCCAATTGCGTACAGCCACGTCTGTAGGAGCTGGCGAGCCCACCTATTCGGCGCCTCTGACTTCTGGAGTCTTTTGGATCTACGGTACCCCACCATCGCCCGCGAGTTCTGTGCACGCTCGCAGTCCTGTCCGATTCGCGTTTGTTTTTCCCAGTCGGAGTCTACGATCATCCCGCAAAACATACCCACCGCGTTTGCATGGCTGTCTCCCCATGCTCACAGGATGGAGGGATTGTACCTTGCAGCAAGCCAGACGATAATTCGAGATGTCCTATCCGTGGTCCAACCCGCCGCGCCGGCTCTCGAGCAACTTGGCAAATGTTTGTCACCCGACTCTACCGGCGGGCCAGTCCTCGCGCTGAAAATTCGTGCAAACAAGGTACAACGACTCAGTCTAGACGGGTTTCATGCGATCGACTGGTCAGGGGTCGTTCAACGTCTGACGAGCTTGACGAGCCTGATGCTCACGCGCCTGGGCGGCGAGCGATCAAACATTCCAATACCCCAACTCTTTTCAATCCTGTCGAACTGTCCGAGGTTGCGATGCCTGACGTTGCTATCTGCGCTGTCGCCATGGCCGACAGAGATCACTACCATTCCCATCGTCGAGCTGCCGGAACTGGAGTATCTAGAGGTTTCCCATCGTTGCCCCGACGATGTCGCCCGGCTCCTCGAGCACCTCTCCTTCCCGTCGACGACCTCACTGACATTCCACGCGCATGGTATCAGAAACCTCTCGTCTCTACTTCCCAGGAACCTCACCTGCCTCGGGCTAGCCGCCTCCTTCGGCACCGACGACACGCCGGTGACCCAACTCTGCCGCATCTCGCCGATCAACCTCATGCTCATGATGCACCGCCCTCGGACGTCCTCGACCATCCGCTTTTTCATCGCGCCGGACGACCTGTCCCATGTCCTCCGAAGCTTTCCCTCCATCGAGGCACTCGTCGGTAGCTGCTCGCACCTGTCCGCAGTCACGCCGCAGCCCATGGGGGCGCCTTCCGCTGTGACGATGGGCACATGGAAGAGCGCGGTTTCGTCCATGCCCGCACTGCGCCACATCGAGACGGGCGGCGCCTGGGCCGAGTCACTCCTCTTCTCGCTCACCGCCGCGACGGGCCCGGCCGTGCTCCCGTTCCCGCCGCTCTTCCCCCAATTCGAGATGGCGTGCCCCGCGCTCGAGTCGGTCCATGTGCTGGACAGGTCCCGCAACGACCCGCAGATGCAGCGGTTCATGGAGAACGTCGCGTGTGTGCTTGAGTCGAGGTACGAGTACTCCGGCAGGAAGCTCCCTCTGCTCATACTGGAGAGCCCGAGAGAGAGCGCGAGGGCGATTATGTCGACATTCGTGCAGCGCCTCTCTGTCGGCGCTGAGACGGTCGACATACGCAGTCGCGCGACGGCGCCGATTGCGCTCGACAACGCACCTATACTGCCCAGTAGACCAATGCCAGAGCCTCCTTCGTCCTCGTCCTCGTCCTCGTCCTCGTCCATGTCCATACCGGAGAGCAAACGATCATCCTGACATTACCTGTCTACATGGTCGTCTCGCTGTTGCGAGTATCTAATCATAATTCTTCGCTGCATGTCCTCGAATCTTCTGTGCAGCTATTGCAGGGACAAAGTATGTGTAGCGATTATTCATCCTCAAGTGTTCTCTTAGAATTGTTATTCACTCGACGCTAAGTATGGATATACAAAAACTATGACCGGATCATCAATCGCTACAGTGCTATCGATACAGATACTAGGGTGTTACAAAATCCTCAAAACATTATCAAGCGTGAGTTTCATAGGAATGGTGTAGTCCTTCTCGGCGAAGACGGCGCTCGGGCGGTGTTCTCTTGAAGTATATCAGGACCGCATTGTGTGACTAGAACATGAGGGTGCTGACCTATAGATTCTCCGTATTCGGACGGACCGCGGGCGGCCTCATTAGAAGGGCTGGTGTAGGGATGACGAAAGAACAGTCGACGAGGTCGGCATGGTCCTGGGTCGCGAGTTTATGCATGACCTCTCTGAATGCCGCTCGCATGACGTCGTGGTTGCCTGCATGTCCGTTCGGTAAGCACGGCGATGTGTTTATTCATGGTGCTAACCTGCAAATGACCGCCAAGTGCTCGCAATGCTCGCGTGTTGGGCGATGGCAGCATCGGAAGTTAGCCGCATCACGTTCTTGGAGGGCGATTTGACCTCTGCAGGGCTGCTGCCCTTGCCTGGGTAGCACGTACCATTGAGCAGCATCTGCGCATGTTCAGTGTTCCGTCCAGCAATTCTCAGTGGAAGAACAATCACCTCTGAGTAGAACTTGGTGTCGAAGACCTCGGGCGTGCTGTCCAGCGGCACGTTCGGTACGCTCGGGTCGACCGCCTTCTGCTTAGCTACCGAATGTGCCGCAAGAAGCACCACCGTCTCCTCCGGGGTAAAGCCCGCGTCGGACATGCGGGCTAAGAGGACGTCTGCGGGATCGGTCGGCGCCGGGACGAGACCGGGCGGCGAAGGGGCGATAGCATCGGGTCGCCCAGCGTAGAAGGTCAGGCGAGGACTGCCGGGACAGTTGGCTAGTCCGACCGCACCAGAAAATTGAATGCTATCAGAAGTCAGTCTGCTAGTATGTCACGGAGAAGACAGAGAACATACATGTCGCCATAGGATACGTTGTGATTATCGGCGAAATCCTTGAGAGCCAGGACGATGTCCTCCAAACCGGTGTTCCCAACTGTAGGGGTTAGATTCTCATTCGAATTACATGGAACGACAAACCGGGACATACTGTCAGCGAGCTCGGTATCCGCGAACTTGATAATGCTACCATCCGCGCCGCCGCCACTACGGACAGCGTGTTATAGCATTGTGTCGTCCGTTGCAGTCGACAGAATAAGGGCTCACCCAAACGAGCCGGAGTCATTGAGAGTGTGTGATCGGCCTACAGCATCATGGAAGGTGAGCCTGATAGCCTCCCGCGCCTGATCGTTGCATCTGCCGTCGCTGAACCTACGCGCAGACAGAATATTGGTCCCGTGCGTCAGAGAAACTGATTGGACACGCACATATTGGCTTGAAGCTCGTGCAAGATCTAGGCCCATAGAGCTCAAAGGTCAGCGAAAGTTGCCTGTCGGGAGTGAATGAACTGCGGACGTTGAACCATGGCTTGCACTGACTACGTCAAGGTCGGGTTGCATTGTACGCTAAGAGTATCATACCTGTTCCTTTGCCCTCATGTGGTAGGATTCACTTTCTATTGTCGGGGCGCCGATAAGACGGTTCAGGTGCTCAGAAGCCACCACGAGGCGCAGAATGTTTGCGAGGAAAAAGAGCGATGCGAAGTTGGACTTCATAATGTTCGTTATATCACATATAATGAGTGGTCGGGGTAACGGTGAGCAGTAAAGACCAGCAACAAGGGAAAGCTCCGAACGTTAGAGGCGTATGCTCCCCGTTCAGAGCCTCCACCAGCGGATGGGTGGTGGCGCGGACAAGGCGCGTCCACGCACGTGATCGGGTACCCGCATTCAGTTTAGGGCCGGCTTTTTCGCGTGAAGGCGCGGGGTCCCGTGGTCAGATCTTCAGACCCAAAGGCTGGACACTGCTTTCGCCGCTGCCTCGAGCGATCGTTTGTATTCCGCCTGCCTTTCTTCCGCTCCAAGGGACACACCCCTTGTCCCCCGCCCCCACTATGCCTACCCGTCGCTACTCAAAGTTTATACCGCCCAGTCTCTCGATGAGCGAGCTCGTCTGCCAGAAACTGGATAACGATGCGACCGACCTCTTGATCGACAAATGGCTCGAGCGCCCCCATTGTCCCGATGCTTATTACGACTGGTTCCAACGCGTCCGGGAGCGCCGACACGCCGCGAACGCGAACATCTGCAAGGAGCAGATCCTCCTCTGGAGCAAGGGCGTATTCGTCCCCGAGAACATCTTCACGCGCACCGTCGACACCGGGCGCCTCATCCCTCTCGACCGCACATGGGTCACGCATGTTTATCACCACCAGTCTATGTCGCGGCTTAACATGATGCCTGTAATATTCAGTATGGTGAGTACGCCTAGCCGCTCTGTGTAGCCATCCGCCGACGACTGCTTTGAGTTAGCTTCCTGAGCTGATGCTCCTCCGCGGCATGCACGATCGGGGTTGCGACGAAATCTATGTTATCGTCACCGATCTCAAACGACAGGAGATGGACCAAGTCACAGATTACTTCAAGTACGTGTGCAGAAACTCGGCAAATGGACCGTGTAAACCAAGCGTCGAGGAGAAGATAAACCACGACCGTCAGTCTTCTTTTCTGCGTTCTCAGGGTAGTCGCCGACCCCATGTACCCCCTTTCAGACATGACCCTGACCCACATGCTTGATCGAAACCGCCGTACACCATGCTTTCCCCAAATCGACCTCACGCTCCGAGCCATCCTTTTCGAAAAGCGACCACCATTCGTCGTCCTTTTCTCCCACCAAACGATGTCGTACTCCCAGATCCTCTTCGCCAATTCTCTCTTTGTCCCCTCGAAAGAAGTCTATTTCGACTTCCCTAGCGGCTGCCCAAACCCTGGGTGCACAGACAACTGCTGCGAACTCATCCGCTTCCCGAAGAAAGGCCTCGAGACCGCAGCCGTGCTCTGCGACAAGCGGAAGGTACGCTATCGGTATGGCCGGCGGGCGAAACCAAAGGAGCTGTGCAACTGGATCGATTGCCATGTCTGTTTTTCCGACGAGGTTGCACCCTGTGCGCACCACGAGGGAGGCAGTGAAGGGAGTGTCGCGGGGAGCAGCGAGGGGAGCGAAGGGAGCCTATATGAGGCGAGATTTGCGGGGTTGATTTGTAGTCGGTGTAAGCTGGTGAAGTACTGCTCTCCGGAACACCAGAAGCTCGATTGGGAGGAACACCGAAGAGTGTGTGTGAAGCCAGGGACCGTGCCGGAGTCGGAGACACAGGCGCAGTAGGCGGTGGGTGCCGATGAACCAGGCGGGAGGTTTTCAGCTACGGTTCAGACATTGCGGGCGGAGAGGAGGGAAGTGCGCTGCACGATGGACGGTCTTGTTCGATGGCTTGCACCCTAACATTATCGTTATTTGTGATGTGTCTCCTGCTCGCCTCAATGCTGTATCTTGTATCCTCGACTATACGTCGATCTTGTCTCCTTCACTTTCCTGCGCGCACGGACCAGCGCCCGTTCGTGCGATGATGTCACGACTGGTGGAAGCGCTGCACTTGGCTGCACTCGCATCGACTTGCACTCGTCTGTCTACCACGATGGCTCTGCGATACTTGACAGCCAAGCTTGCGCAGCAAGTACATACCTCCCGTTGCGACCTCGTCCAAGCGGCTCATCATGGTACTTCGGCACTGCGCAGATCGATGAGGAGCTCATGAACGCTGCCGGCGCGTTCAGCATCGACCAGGTCCGTACTAGGACAGCTTGTGTGAATGTGGCAGAGTCTTGACGGCTGGGTACGCTATGCTCGCTACGGCAGCTGATGGAACTTGCGGGTCTGGCGTGCGCACAGACGCTTGCAACCGTGTATAACCAGGAGAAGTACCCGCGCGTACTCGTATGTTGCGGGCCAGGAAACCAGGGTGGTGATGGGCTGGTTGCAGCTCGGCATCTTGGTGAGCATCTGTGAGTCCATGTTTAATATCTAAAGCTCACGAAAATGCACAGGAATGTTTGGATACAAGCCAACTATCTGGATGCCGAAGGTAAGTCATACATAGAGATTCCATGGCTCGATGACCCGACCGCGTCATGCTAGCCCGGGTCCAAAGATATCTACCAGGTATGTGTATACCTCTGCTCCTCTGCTCCTCATACCCGAAGTCCTACTCACAGACGACCCTCAGCGCCTCAAGAAGCAATGCGACAACATGCACATCCAGACCATCGTCCCGAGCACCGACGTCCAGCCCCTCCGCGACGCGCTGGCCCGATCCGACGTTATCCTCGACGCTATCTTCGGCTTCTCCTTCCAGCCACCTGTCCGCGCGCCCTTCGACGCGGCCCTCCCGCTGCTCACCGAGTCGGGGTTGCCCATCGTGTCGGTCGACATTCCTTCAGGGTGGGACGTCGAGAAGGGTAACGCTGCAGGGGTCGGGCTAAACCCGGACGTCTTGCTCAGCTTGACTGCGCCGAAGGAGGGCTCGAGGGCATTCAAGGGCCGGCATTTCCTTGGCGGCAGATTCGTACCAAAGTGAGTAGTCTGCCCAAATGTGTGGCGCGAGAACATGACGCTGATCGTCCCATTTGCAGAGTCATGGAGGAGAAGTTCCAGCTCAACCTACCGGAGTATCCTGGCTCTTCCCAGATTGTTGAGCTGCCTCCTGCAGAGGGCTCGCAGAAGCTGTAGACTCAATCTACTGGGAAGAAATGTCAGATACACGGAGGAGAAATACATATGTACCAACACAGACAGATCCGAGTCGTCAATCCAATATTCTTGTAATTTAGTACGCCGGGCCTTGTTGATAGACTACCGGCTCGAACGTTGGGTTGCCTGAGGTCGAGCACAATGATCGAGCTACCCATCTGACCAGCCGACATTCACGACTCGCATTGGCTGCACAGCATCTCATGCAAGGGAACACACCTGTTGCGCAGTTGTCAGGCTGCCACGGCCCACTGAGGCCTGAGGATGAGACTCAGAACGCGTTACGTCACGCGTCAGATGTCACGCGAGACGCGCCGTCGCGCGTGGCCGCTTGTTGGATCGAGTTTACGCTCTTACGCTCACCTCCAGAAACAATGTCACGCATACAACAAGACGCCATATTTCGGCTCAGTGATGACAAAGAGACAAGAGCACTCGCTTTGAACCTACTCAACACAGCTGCACTCGCTACCGGACCGGGGACGGGATACGACCTGCGCGAGGGCCTGTCAGGCCTTCCGGCCATCTGCGCGTACATCGCGTCGGAGCAGTGCGTGCTTCTCTAAGCTGCTAGATAGCTGCTGCTAATGAAACTGAAGGCTGGGCGGCGGGGACGTCGCGGAGAGGGTCGCCCAAGGAGCGTCCTGCCTCAAGCCCAAAGTCTGGCGATCGACACTAAAGACTGTCCAGGCCGCGCTGGAAGCGGTGGCCGCGCAGAAGCAAGAGGAAGAGGAGGCGCCGCTGGACTATGAAGACTTGATCGCGCGGAGGAGGCTCAAAGAATCCGCATTCGTCGCCGTGTGCATGCACGATGTGGAGAGGGCGCTGCTGAAGACGGGGCGGCTCCTGGAGGAGTTTCATCCTCCGAACGATGCACTGAAGGTCTCCGTTTTTGTGTGGGTGTGTGTCAGCTTGCTGAAGGTGCGTTTGTCTCCTCGTGATGGCGACACTCGGAGATTGAGGTAGCTCTGACAGATCAGGAGCGTCACACCGGAGAGTATGCTGAAGAATTACGAGATTTCGAAGCGAGACTTCAACGACATCGTCGAGGTCCTCGAGGAGTCGTGCGCTGAGACGGCCAAGAAGATCCGACGGAGAGTGTTGGAGTTCAGAGCGAAAGTCGTCGCTGCAAAGTCGTCGGCGGTGTCTGCCACTCAGCCTTCAGAAGCATCCGACCCCAGAGCCCGCACTGTATCCCCTTCCAGGTCTGCGTTGGTAACGGATACTGGAGGTGAACCCTCTGTGCTTCCTGACGAGGTGCCCATCGCATCGTCCTCTAAATCAGTCGTCATACCAGACAGCGCGCGCGACGCCTCCGTCCCCCCACACAAGACACCTACGCACAAACGAAAGGTAGCATTCGCAGAGCTAGACGATGCCGATGCCGAACTCCTCGACACGCCCTCCAAGCGTCCGCGCGTCGCCTCCCCCACAAAGGCCTCACGAAACCTCCCCGCATCGCCCGCGAAGCCAACACCGCGACCCGCCGCCTCTGCTGTTCCTGCCGCTCCTGTTGTTCCTGCCGCTCCTGCTGCCCCTGCACCACCTGCACCGCCCGTCCAACCCATACCCAACCCCGACGCCATCTCCCCCTCCAAACCGAGCCGCCCATCAGGCTCACTGCCGCCACCTCTCCCCGCGCTCACGATGCCAAAACCGTCCATCTTCCCGAGCACGAAGTCCGCCCCAGTCCAGTCCCCGCTCGACCTCCTCGCCCAGCGGGGCAGCTCGCGGAGCCCTTGGAACAGCCCGCGGCCGCAGACGCGGTCCCAGACGCAGCCCACGCCCAAGCCTGCACCCGTGGCGGGGCCGTCGACGCCCAGCCGCCGCGGCCGCCCGCCGAGGGTGGAGGCGACGACGAGGACCCCGACGACGGCTGCGCGGATGACACCCGGGCGCACGCCTACGCAGAGCATGACGAGCCCCACGCGCCGACGCGTCCCTGCGCTGGACGAGGCTGACGAGGACGCGCACCGGCTGCGTCGCTCCCGCCTGGTGTTTTTGGACCAGCGGCAGTGGTTCCAGCGCGATCTGAGGGCGGAACGCGAGTGGAGGGCAACGGAGGCGAGGATGCGCGACATTGGTATGGTACCTTCTGCACGGGTGAGAGGCGGGAGGGCGAGGCCGGTGTCTGCTTGAGCTTGCTTGTTCGTGCTGTTCACGTCACGTTGTATACCGTTGTATGAGTACTGCCTCTTACTGGGGTTTGGATTGATTGGAATGTCTTGTGTAAGAAGTGTAGGAAAGGTAGTTGCTAATCAATTGTGCATTCTTCGAGCATGCTAGCTAAGACCGGATAGATACAGTGTAGATGGAGAGCACACGAACATTGAGTGGATCCGTAAACAAGCATCAAGGGTACACGAGCAGACCAAGACTGCATTATGGAGGCGAGAGCCGGAGTCGCGCCTCACAAAAGCGCGTTGCATAGTTTTGTGGAGCATATTCAAGTCAGCTCAGTTGGAGTTTCTCATTGCGCCTTGGTTTTAGCCTGCGCTGCACGTAGTGACCCGGCAATGTGCCCATACGAATCAATCATGAGCCAGATGGGGACAACAACCCAGCTGCACGTCAAATCGTCAACAAACAGCATTACAAGGCTCGCTGCAGGTCACTCACATGACATTCATGAACTGTGTACAAGAAAGCAACTCGTCAGCGCGCATGCCTCACGAAGGAACAAATGTTACGCACAACGAGGTAAATCCAGAAATGGAGGATGTTGTCCGTGTTCAGGTACTGGTTGCCCGTGAGCCATTCAGGGCAGAACGTCATCCAGCTGCAGATAGGACGGTCAACTCGGAACAAACGTTACTTGACGATAAGCTAGGACTTGCCCTCCGTATAGTTCCGCGGTGCTAAGAACGATGATCCAGTAGTGCCTGGCAGGGTCGTTCTGGGCGAGCCGGTTGAGGATGTAGCAGCAAAGAGGACCAGCGCCGAGCACGGTCAGGATCTCGAGGGAGACGACGGTTGGGTCGGAGAAGCCCCAGCGAGCATCAGCTCGTGTGTATTCTTTCCCTGTTACGCTCAGTCGTCAGAGATTGGATGCTCCGTCGTTGCATATGCGCTCACAAAGCTCGGCGAAGGGCCCCTCACTGGTGTTGACCTGTCGTCCGAAGGTCGACAACCAGAGGAACGAACCCTCGAATGTGAAATGGATCATGGCGTCGAACGCCTAAGATACGCTTAGCGTGGAGGTAGCTTTCGTTCTCGCCATGACATACCAGCCATATCCAGGTAAACTTGTCCTGCCAGCTCGCAGTCTTGGGAAGGTACTTCTTGGACGAGACGTACGCCGCAACGCCAACGACGGCGACGAAGGCGAGCGAGTACGCGGAGGTCTCGGTGAAGACGGGGAGGGTCTCAGCGCCGCCAGACATGGTTGCTGTGTGTCAGGGCTGGATGATCCTGGGGATGAGGGCGGTGGACGTCGCGTGCGACAGGGCGGTGGGAGTGCGGTCGTGGCCGGTCGTGTTCGAAGCCATGTCTCGGGGTGCGCGTCTGCGGGTATGAAGCTCGATCACCCGATCACCTCCCCGCATTCTCCGCACGGCAACGCCCTTGCCTTGGTTCGACTCTCTCCACCAACAACCGCGACTCCAGTCTGGCCTACCGCGCGTATTCCACCACCCAGTCGCACAACGAGGCGGCCAACTGACAACTGACGACCCCCGGGACTTCGCGAAGGACATGCGCTCCCTGTCGCGGGCCAGTAGTCGCAGCTCCGACCATTCGGCCAAGGACCATGTAGATGCTATCTCTGTGGGTAGGCGGCCTTTTCCATTCAGCACTTAACTAACTCGTATCCCTCTCCAGAATTACGTGGTCCACGAGGAGGTTGCCCGAGGCACCATGTCTGTGATTTACCGCGCGACCTGCAAACGAGGTCGTCTGCGGGGCCGCCAGGTGGCCCTGAAGATGGTATGTTGCTGTATGCATGACATCCCCGCCCATGCCACGACGTTAACTTCAATGCAGACGCCTATTTCCAAACTCGACAGCATTTCGGGGGTTAGCTATAAGAACTCGAGCACCCTCCACCAATCGCTCCATCATCCGTGCATCGTCACCCTCTTCTCGGAGTTCTCTACGATGTCAGACAGTTACCAAGTCCTGGAGCTCTGTCCTAGGGGCTCGTTGCAAGACTTTCTCCGGGCTCGTCGTCCGCCCGTCCTATCTGAAGATGAACTCAGAGGCATCTTGAAGAACCTCGTGGACGCCCTCGCGTATCTGCGCAGGCAGCGTATTCTACATGGTGACATCAAGCCAGGGAACATCCTCCTCACAGATGACCTTCGTGCTGTATGTGTCCAACACAGTGCACTGTGCTATCCGTGTTGACCGCGCTGCAGAAGCTGTCGGGATTTGATCATGCTATCCAGCTGCCGACAATGACCTCGACGGTATCGACGTTTCGCAAACCGAATGCCTATAGTGCTCCGTGAGTAACACTGGCCCACAATATAGACTCGTATTCACCTGACTCTGCAGAGAGGTCGTCTCAGGGACGGCTTACGGCTTCAGCATCGACGTATGGGCACTCGGCTGCTTGGTGCTGACATGTTCTACGAGTAACTCTTCTCCTGAGGTAGGCGTGCTGCTTTGGAGCTTCCCACAGACTCACTGATCTTACTCCAGTCGTTCTTCACCGATAACATACCACATACGTTGTCATTGGAGGTCAGAGATCTTGCTTCTCAGATGCTACACAAGGTACGCAATTTGTGTTCTTTCGCGAGCTCTGGTCGCAAATGAAAAGAGTGCAGAACCCAGATCGCCGTATCGACTTGCATTGCATACTCTCGCACACATTTTTCAAGCCTTCCCAGACTTTCCAACCGCCGACTACAGTCTCCATGCGCCCACGATCATCGAATGACTCCGACAAAGAAAACGAGTCGACGCCGCGCCCTACCAAGCAAGCCAAGTATCCAACCCTATTGTCCAAAGGCGCCCCTCCTCCCAGAGGCGCTCTTTTCGCTCGCCCGCCTGATCTAGCCGTAGGCAGGAGGCTCCTCGCTGAAACCCGGAACAGCGATCTTCGTAGGGTCCTCAGCGATGAGATTAGTAGGACAACTGTCCCTTCTGCGCTTGCAAGACGATTCGTATCTGCGCCTCAATCCAGTAGTGCGGGCAACAGGGCGTTGCGCTTCGCTTCAAGTCACTTAGGAAAGCTTGGAGCGAGCTCGATGCCTGCGACGCCTGCCTTGACTGATGACATTGCGTCGGTGTCTTCGGGAGAGAACGGTTCCTATAACGAAGACGTACACGAGACGATGGCGGGTACCGGAATAGTGCATCCTCTGCTTGCTCGCTCAAAGGGTCGGATCGACTCACAATCAACGCAGGAGCGCACCGCCGTAGGTTCTGGCGCTCCATCGCTGCGACAGCAGACCAGAGCCTCCTCGGCTGCCAAAGAAACAGACAAGGTGCCGTCGCATGCAGTACCGAATCCGCTGCATCAGAGAAGAACCACGTCCGCACCCAGCGTCGCGTTGCCAACCCTGGTCTCTGCGCCGGAGGCGATATCCACCGCGTACCTCAGCCCACAAACGCACAAGGTCGCGCACGGCCAGCTCGTAGTCCTCCCGTCGAGGTCGTTACTCGTCGACTTCCGCGAAGGCGAGCGGCGGAGGGGAAAGAAGGGGAACGAGGTCTTGTTGATCAGTCCTGATGGCAGCACGGTAGGTGCTCTGTCGAATATGCATAGGTATCTAGGTGTTTACTGACTCGCTTACGCTCGGTAGATCCAGGTGTATAGCGCGCCTCACTTGAGCACGCCGTGTTGCTTAGCAGAACCTCTGGCTACATACGTACTCAGTGGATTGCCCGAGGCCTACAGGAAGGCTTACGATGATGCGAACCGGTTGGTGAACCAACTCAAGCAGCGTGTACCCAAGGTACGCTCTTCCGTCTGCCTTTGCCAATTGCTGACACCCTGTGTTTAGTTGGTGTTGTACCAGCCCGACTACAAGTGCACTCTGATGGCCAACGAGCCTCTCGGCGACATCGAGCTAATCGGCAAAGGCCACTCTCCAGAGAACCTCAAAGCACACGGACTCTTGACCTCCAACGAACCACACATGCGCATCACGCTCCGACGCCGAAGACAGTCAGTCGAAATAGCGCGCTTCATACCGTCCGCACAGACTCAAACGAAAGCGGGCACGGGCGAGTGGATACGGAAGGTGCTGCCGGTGACGACGGACTATCTGTGCGTTTCGCAGGAGACCCTGGCTGCGCTCGAGGTGGGTGAGCGCGATGGGCTGGAACGACTGGCTGTGTTTCTGCAGCTCTGCGAGGCTTTGGAGATGCAGGAGCGGGACTTTCTGGGATATGCTGCTTCTGGGTGCGCCCCAGGACAACTCGGGCAACACAAGAACGATGCACTTCAGCAGGGATTCGAGACGCAAAAGAAGGACGGGCTTGCTGGACTAGACCGGCTCCGCGCGCATTCACGAGCACCTTCCCCGGACGGATATGTCTCTGACGACGGCGAAGGCGGTACTTTGGCAACTATGGCAACCTCAGCTAGCACGAAGGCATTGCCGTCTTTCGAGCTGGCACCTCGTCCCTACAAGTTCTCTGCCAGTCTTCACTCGCGGTCTAGGGCTACGTCTATCACCCCTGGTTCATATATTGGTGACCGCTCTGGATCTGCTCCGCTCGTGGATCAACCTGAATCGCTGCCTGCATCCTGTGCTAAGCCTGGCTCTGACTCGCAACACCGATTCAGTTCTCTCAGTTCTTCATCTGGTGCCGACGCTCTGGAAACAAGGTTTCTACCCTCCGTAGGGTGGTGCATGCGAAGCGTCTCTTCTGGCTCCAAGTGCTACAAGATAATGTTTCAAGATGGCGCCACGCTGGAGGTCGACGCGTCCAAGAAAGACGATGAATTCTGGTACGCGAAGACTTCCGAGGAGCACCCTATGTAAGTCCGAGAGTTTGGTCCATGCACTGAGAGGGCTGCTGATTGTGATTACGTTGGTAAGGCACTTGCTCCGCGCTCAAGCTATGAAGCTCATTCCGCAGCGCGTGGAGGCGTACAAGACGTTTGTCGATATGTTCTGCGATCACTAGTGTTCTCGGCCTCGCTCTCTGGCATCTGTGTGTATCAATACGACTCAACTAATTGTTGTGTACTATACGACCCGTCTAATTGTATCGTATCTCAATTATTGTTTACTCTCCTTACGACAGGGTGTCTTTCAGCACTGTACCTTCGCACCTTGTGCCAACAGGCTGTGTGACGTTGAACAACACGACTTGCCCGATCCGTCGCCGCGGGGATCCCGACATCTCAGATCTACGCGTGACAGGCGCGTGACCGAGCGCGGTGGTGACGCGTCCTGCTCGCGGGCGTCTCGCTGCAAGTTCGCGCTCGCCCTCCCTTGCTGCTCGAAACCCACTGCACCCAAACATGGCTGACCCACGCATAGCTTTCAAGGCCGGCCGACTGTTCAGGCGCGGGAACACCAACTTTATTGACGCAGAACCGACGAAGGGCGCGATCATATTGCAGAATGGCGAGGACGGCTTGCTGCACTTTATGTGGAAGGGTAGGTCGACGAATAATGTTGAGGAGGTGCGTGGCTGGCTGGACAGAGAACAGCGGTTGTGCTGAATTGAATGTTGTCTCTGTTACAGGACTTGATACTGTTCCCCGGTGAAGCGACTATGGTGAAGGTAGACCAGTCTGCATGGGGAAGGACGTATGTCCTCAAGTTCTCGTCCTCAAACCAGAGACACTTCGTGGGTTTTTATCTCCCCTTCAATGCTGTCGTTATTCTGATGATGTCTAGTTCTGGATGCAGGTAGCGACCACCCGTACCTCTCATTGTGCCGAGACCTGACGTTATAACAGGACGCAGACTCGAGCAGAGATGCCGAGTTCGTGAGCAACGTCAACCGACTCCTGACCGACCCGCAGATGGTCCCCATCTGGTCCGCTCCAGGCGCAGGCTCTGAACCATCGACTTCTTCCGCGCCTGTGGCTGGTCCGTCACAGGCCGCCTCGACGTACGTGTTCAGTACAGGCGGTCATGACGCATCTACTCTAACAACAGCGCGTAGGTCCCAACCCGGCGTGCAGGCGACGCCAGAGCAGCTTGCACAAATGCAGCAAATCCTCGCGTCATTCGCACAGGGCTCGCAGCAACAACAGCAACCAGGTGCGGCGCACTGTCTTTCCTGCCATGCTCCACGCTGACGCCGATCCTCTGCAGAGGTCTCCCTCGTCGACATCCTCACTCCCGCTAACCTCACTCCGCTCTTCAGCTCGCACCCCGAGCTCATCCAGGCGCTCTTCCCGTACCTCCCGCCGGACCTGCCGACGCCGCCCAACGAGGAGACACTCCGGCAGATCATCGCGTCACCGCAGTTCCGGGGCGCCGTGCGCAGTTTCGACCAGGCATTAAGGACGGGGCTGCTCGGCGGGCTGGTGCGGGGACTCGGTCTTCCGGAAGAAGCGGGCACGGGGGTCGAGGCATTCTTGAGGGCTATTCAGGAGCAGGCGAGAGGGGAGGAGGGCGATCGGATGGATACGGATTAGCAGAAGGGGGTGATGGGTGTTAGTATGTATTGCTTCTATGAGACGTCGTTTATCGTATGAGACGAGTGATCGTGAGTGGTCGTGAGCGAGAGCAAGTCGTGATGTAGCGTGGTGTATGATGTTGTACATCCATATATCAGATACAATGTCCCCGGGGCGTACTGTACAAGAGGTGATCAGTGGCTGCGGCCTGCTAGCCACTGAAGAACGATGTCTCTGAGGATGCTAGTTAGTATACGCCAGGATATATGTCAATGGTGAGCCTCACAGGTTGTGCTGGCTCTTCATCGAACACTGGATCGCACGTGAGAAACGTGCGAAGATCATGAGAAGAGAAGCTACGCATACCGAGTAGCACTGATGTCATGGAGGTAGTGAGCACTTCATCAAGCGCTCAATGCAGAGCAAGACGTACCGAGACAGGTCTGTTTTGAATCTTGTCCAGTTGCCTGTGCACGCAGTTAGCTGAGATGCTTGAGTACTTGACCGTGAATACATACAGTGCCTTGATCAACTCGTCCACGGGGGCATGTCCTTCCAGATCGTTCTTGTTCCCAAGCTGCGGTGACGTATATGAGAAACTAGCCCCGAGCATTACGAAGATCATACTCACGACTAACAGAGGAACACCGCTGAGGCTAGGATGGGACAGAAGCTGGTGCAGCTCGAACCGAGCTGTGTCGAATTTCTCCTTCTGTGGGCGGTAGTGAGATATCATATCACATTGCGAGGATACTGGATAGTTACACACATCGCCAGAGTCAACCACGAAACTGCGTGCTGCGGTCAATGTACTGGAGCACAATCGTGGTACATTACACGTACATTATGGCGTCGACGCCATTGCAGTATCGCTCCCATATTGACCTATATCTTGGCTGGCCTGACGAGCGACATCCAAGTCAAGCTTCACCCAATCGCTGGATGGGTGCGCACGTACCAGCGACATCCCATATCTTCAGAGTGATGTTGCCTCGGTGGACCTTGCGGAAGTTGAACGCAACGGTAGGGACGACTTCCTCACTCCACTTCATGATGTGCAAGACACGCCTCTTCAGCACGCATCGTCTGGGGAGAGGCAAGCGCTGGGAGAACGCACCTGGCCGGAACCTATGACGTTCACGAAGGACGTCTTCCCAGATGCCTTGTGCACAGAGATCAACGAGACGACTTGGCGCAGACCTTCTAGCATACCTGCAGCCCGACCACGGAGATCTCAGCCTGCTTAGAGAAAAATAGCCTGAGGTCGTGCGACCGCAGCACCGCGAGAGTCAGCCGTCGGTATCGTACGGATGGACTCGAGCGACTTGCCCGCTGAACCACTGGAAGAGAGAGCTGAAGAAAGAGGCCATGTTGACCGGCGACTACGGTGTGGAGGACGGATGTTTGACACTGGCCGTGTGCACTGGCAGCTACTGGCAGTCACTCTGAGCCTTCCGCGTCCAAGCGGCTGTCGTCTCGAGCGCCGACTGCGAGCGCGTCAGTCACGTGCACAGCGTGCACCCGCGCGAGCTTTCGCGTTCGACATTCGTCTGGATTCTGCCACCGCTGGCCTACCTGTCCCTCCGTTCCTCCTCGACTTGCTGTTCTCCCATCTGTTCTCTTCTGGGTGTACTGAGTTGGATAGCTACGCACCGCCTCTATGCTTCGTGTGCGTCATGCACCGTTTAAGTCTCTCCGACGTCTCCACTGCAACAATACTCGCCGTGCTTTCTCTGACGCATCGCAAAGTCAACCAAGTGACACCACTCCGGAGAGCGATGTCCATCTCAGGGACGTGGGAGCGCCGGTAGCTTCAGAGCCATCGACTGGATCAGTGTGCGCTTGCCCTACCTCCTCTGCAAAGAACACTGACATATATGCGTTACCTTGCTCAAAAGGCACCAAGAGTCACATACTCAGGCCGATAATGCGCCGGAACTTGTGTTCGGGGAGACAAGTCCTGACCATGCATCGTCATCATTCCTAGGTGGCGGCCCCCTTCTATTAGATTTGGCCTTGGGGAAACTCCCGAAGAATTCGCTATCCCACAAATTGCTCAGTAAACTAGAAGCGACGAAACATCACATTCCTGTGCCGCCATTGACGCGAAGTCACACCAGAAAGGGAAACGTGAAGGGAAGGAAAATGGAGACGCCTCGAGTGCGAGGTTTGCTTTCCCCCTTTGATCGAATGAGGCTTCAAGGTATGATCTCGATTCAGTCCCTCTGCACGATTTCTCACTATGATTGCCAACGAAGATGCTTCCCGTTCACCGTCAGAGCTGTCTTTGAAGCCCCCAGTGTTGCAACACGAGCTTGACCGAGTCCTGACCAAGTGATTTCATTCCTGGTGTCATCGCCTATATACTGACTGAAGTGCGGTCGAACACGGCAGCCCTGGCGTACATTGGCTCACCGAACCTCGCACATCACACGACAACTTTCCGAGCTACCTCAAAGAAGTGCCGAGTGCCTCAGAATTTGCCTTCCAGCGACTGCGAGGCTTCGTACCCAGCTCTCAGGATGACGTATGGACTATTTTGACGACATAACCATATTCCATTGCGACTGACAGCATGGCGCATAGGACATGCACAGATTGGCGAAGCAAAATCGCTGCAGCTTCGTGGGGTCGACTTCCTCGTTAACCGGAATGCTCAGCCAGATATACCTCCTACTCTGCGAACACAAGCCTGTCGACCTGAGCACCCTTAGTGCGCACTATCAGAGCAAGGTGGGTGTATGGCAACTTGCTTCAGATCTATGTACCGACCGTCCAGTTTTGCAGGCTCGCAATTTCACCCAAGGGCAGCGAATGCCGATATCCGTTTCGCTTAAATACAAAGACGGTCTTTATTCCACCGACTCCGACGTGGATCACCTTAGTCAAATGGGATCCTCAGTGACCCTACTTAGCCAACTGGTGAGTCGGTACTTTAGTGTGCTGCATGGGGCTCAATGAGACGAGCGTTAGGGAATGGTGATGGAAAAATTCTTCACAATGGATTTGAGTGAATTCAAAAGTGCCTTCATGAAGGGGGAAAGCGAGACATTTACCCATCAAGGAGAGGCTTATCGTTATGCAATCGTAAGTGCAGCCGGCTTTGCTGTATTTGATTTCTGGATACTCGTCTTACAATTTACACCCTACTGCGTAGCATAATAAGTTCATGATGCGCGCACAGCTGGATTGTCACTCGCCCGTTCTTCCTGGTACTGGTGTTTTTGACATCAAGACCCGTGCAGCGGTGGCTGTTCGCTTGAACCTCCCGAAGTACAGAGTAAGCCCAAATGAGCGTGTGATTACCCAGAACCTATTCTCATCAAAGATGCACAGGACAACTCCAATTACCGGATTTATTCTATACAGGGCCCTTGGATGAGCTTCGAGAAAGAATACTACGACCTGATTCGCTCGGCATTTCTGAAGTACAGGTGCGTCTTCGATACAGTCTCGCTCGTCGCAAGGTAGCTCATGTCACTGTAGCTTCCAGGCGCGGATAGGCAACATGGACGGCGTCTTTGTCGCGTACCACAACACGCACGAGATCTTCGGCTTCCAGTACATCCCGCTCGAAGAGATGGACCGGCGGCTCTTCGGCCATGACCAGGGGCACCGCATCTTCACAAAATGCATCAGCCTCCTCGAGGTATTGTTCGAAGAGATCACCACTCATTTCCCGAAGCAGGTCCGTGTCGCACACGTCGTACCAGCTACAGAGAGACTGATGCGAGGTGGTCCAGAGCGTTAAATGCACCTGGGAGACGGCCTCAACCGGGAAGGTGATGCGCATCTGGATCGAGCCCGCCGAGTGGAGAGAAGGCGAACAGAAGCCCATCGTGCAGCTCAACGTCACTCTATCCCACTACCTCGGCAGTCTACGGGTCTCGGGAAAAGAGGCCGTGACCTCGAGGAACGGTGGCTGTACGTGGCCTGTTACCTCGGAGTCAGGTTGTTGCTCACGGTGAGATGCCTCTGGACCAGGGACGGTCTCGTACCAGATCGCCAAGAGCAGCCTTTCGCAGCGGGAGATTTACAAGCGGCGCCGCGGGGCGTTCAACACGCAGCTCCGCGTCTTCCAGTATCGCCTCGATGTCAATGAGCGCATAGAGCGCCGCGAGGACATTGACCTGACCGATCTCAAACCGCTGTCGTTCGCGTCCAAGCGGGGTGGTCACTGGTGGTCACCGTCAGCTGAGCCCTCGGAGCCTTCTTCGGCCGCCTCGGAGCTTGTGAAGAAGCTAACGCGTACTCTGCCTGAGAGCACATAGTCAATTTGAGCTCGCGGCTGCACTTCGTACGTTATTGACAAGTACAAACCTGATTTGCAGTTGAACCCATTCCTTCGTAGCTCGCCAGCCGGCCCGAATGTTCTAGGTAGGAACGCTCGAGTTCATGAACCCACATCCGGGCGTGAGCCTCGGGCGTCCAGGACTTATCGTAGCAGCACGACGCACCAGCCGTAGAATATACTAAGTTGCTGTAGGCGCTTCAATGCAGGACGTCCCAACCTGCCGGCCGTGGCCCATCACCATAGATTATCATAGAATACAGGTAATGTATTTCCGCATGCAATGTACACGAGCAGCCACCACAACACTCAATAATCTATGCCGGAATAACTGTCTAACGACGCTTTCTGAGTCCGCTCACTGTCCATACTCCCATCCTGCTGCGAACCATCTTCCTCACGCAAGCCCACACGTATCTAATTGCCAGCAACCTTCCGGCCCAGCGCATCCTCGACACCCTCCGCCTCAGTGTCAGGATCATCGTCCGCCTCCGGGTGCGGGGGCGTATCCTTCCCGTCTTTCTCCTCGCGTTGCATCTGGTCACGCATGTCTGCGACGTCCTGGTCGACTTTGGGCGCCATCCGATCGACACCGGCGGCTTGCGCGAGCGAGACACGGGCACGGTGCGGAGCGAGATGAGCGGAACGGCGTGGAGGACGCTTGAGCCGTCTGCGTGCGACCATGACTGGTACTGAGCATTTCTGTGAAGGGGTAATACGTCAGAAGCTTTGGACGAGTGCGGGATATGATATCCTACCTGTACCAGGTAGTGGGACGTGGAACCGAGAAGAATGCTACAAGCCATGATGAGATCCAGTTCGTAAGGAACCACGGAGGCATCTCACCCTTTCAAGTGGCCCAGACCCCGCGAACCGACAATCAGCATCGTGGGCTCAACGTAGTCGACAATGTCTGTGATGTCACGTTCGCGAACAAGCGTCTTCGGTGGGCAAGAATAGCACTCACCCAGTATCATGTGTTTCCGGTTCTTCGCATGCCATGCCTGACATGACACGGTAACGTGCAGTCGTGTGCGCTGGAGGAGGCTGACGGTTTGACGGACGAGAATGTATGCCAATGCTTGCCGCTGCAGGCATCTCAGGAACTGCTAGGACATCACAGGGTTGCTCACACGCACCTCTTGCTGAGCGCGCAACTTGGCTGCACGGTCAGCTTGGTTCGGGACGGGAGGATCGACTAGACGCGTAGAATGTTACGGGAGATCGAGGGTTTCACGGACGGAAGAGCTTACTTTTGCTCTCATTCTCGATGACCGTGATGATGAGCCTACGACAAGATTAGCGAACCGACTTGGCATCAAGGTGTCAGAGTAACGCACATCTCATCACCATCCCGCAGAACCGTGCCAATGCCCCACTCAAGCGCGTAGCGACTCTCGTCACTCAGATCACTCGCGAGGACATACCGCTTGTTCCTCCTGCCCGTCTCCCCGAGCACACGAGCTGGGCTTCCATGCGTGATCGTGATCGTGCACCTGTCGCGCTGGAAGACAGGCCGGGAAGTATCGAGCGGCAGAGGGTCCGGGCGCATGGACTTCCTACGGCGAGGGTTGTGCGTGCTGTGGTTCAGGGTCGAGGGGAAGTAGGGCTCCGGCGGTACGACGACGTTCACACCCTCGCCCAGCGGGTCGGGCACGTCGACGACATCCTGGTCAGCCAGCTCCGCGGGGATGAGCGCGTTGCGCTCTGTGTTGCGCTCCGTGACAGGGTCGAACTGGTCCTTCTCCTCACCACTCCATTCCTCCTCCGACTCTTCTTCCTCCTCTGAGTCATCCGCATCCTCGTCGTCTGATGTCACGCCGAGCGAGAACGCGTTGCGGGGGCGGATCTGGGGCGCCTCCGAATCTGACTCGGCGTCCGAATAAGACAGTGCCTCGACGTTCGGCGAGACGTCGCGCGTGCGGAGGCGCCGCAGCCGGAAGGGTGACTGGCTGCGTGCGCGGCCTCGCGCGCCGTCCTGCGCGTCGCCGGTCGTGCCTGAGAACGAGTTCGAGCGGAAGCCAAGCCCGCTGCTCTTGTCCTTGTCCTTCTTCTCGCTCCGGCCACGCTCCTTGTCGTCGCCGCGCGAGAGCGAGAGCGAAGAGAGGCCGCCCATCACCGAGCTGAGCGACATGCGCGAGAAGGAACCGCCCTGCGCGCGGGGCGACGTGATGGTCTCCGTGGGCGACTTGACATTGGTGCCCGAGTCAGACTGTCTTGACGTGCTTCGGCTGAGTGCATTCTGTGAATCCGCGTCGTCCCTGGTCAGCGCGCTCTGGTTCTGAGGGGGACGTTTTGAGACGGGGGTGGAGGGGCGGGAGGGCAAGAGCGAGGCGATGGACGAGAGGGAGTTGGAACGTTGGAAGGGCAGCGCGCTAGTGAGAGTGGTCGTCGAGTTCGCGGCGGATGACGCGCCAAGCTGATACTCGAACGACTGCGCTTGTCCTTCCTTGGGCGTGGGCAGCGAGTCGCGCTCGCGCACTGCGGGGGTGTACTTGCCCATCCAACTCCGTCTTCGTGGTGGCGGCGCGTCGGACATGATGGAGGAGGAGGAGAAGATGGAGGACTGGCGAAGCGCTCACCTCGGCGTTGGCTGCTTCTCCAGACAAAGCCTGCGTATGCAGTTAGTCGTGTAAGGTTGATGAAGTAGGCCCGCACGGCAAATGACGGAAACGTGGGATGGCGTGGTCGTCGCCAAGACGCGGGCACAATGAACGATGAAACAGATCATGCACGCGACCGAGGCCCACACCGTTATACACGACGTACACGTACATAGTCTGCAGCCCCCAAGAAGTTCCCGCCTTTACTCTGCGTTTGATTGGTGAGAACGACGTGCACGTCCGGGACGGCCGGGAGCGAGTTTACCTCAAGTGCGAACTTGGCTGTCTTTTCCGGTATGCCAAGTTCCCGCAAGCGCTCTATTTGTATTTGCTGGGACAGATTCATCGACAGCGAGTGCGGGGGAGGGGCAAGTCAAGGTGAGTGGATGGGGAGTGGATGGAGGGGAGAGATGAGGACGTCAAGGCTGTCCGTTGCCCATATCGGCCGGTCGGAGCAGCGCGATGGGCGTTGCCCATTTGGACTTTGCTTCCGTCTTGCGCCGCTCCCTTCATCCTCGTCCTTATAGGTGAGCCTCCCTTCAGATATCACAGCTTCATGGGCCCATTCCATAGGCTGCTAGATGACCTCATGCGGGCTTTCTGCAGACTCATTTGCGCGAACTGACTTCAATGTATCGCCGCTCGTGTGACGGTTGAACCCGAACCACATGCGCGTGCAATTCCTTGATCGCGTCCATGTCTAGTACGTACTACCCACTGATGCCACAAGGCCTCAGGCCTCAGCGCAAGGGGGATGCTTTCCTTGACATGAGTAAAGGCCGGGTTCGGTCCTGTCTTCTGACAGCCTTGGAGAGGTCGATCTAACTTCTGAGTCAAGTGCGCTCGCTGAGGAGATCTTCAGCATGTAGTATGCGTAGAAGATATCCAGTGCAAGTTAACTCGGTAGGTGATTGATGGTGCGCCCACTGGTCACTGGCACGGCACATGCATGCGCATGCTGACTGGTTTCGGTGTTCCTCCGCTCGAAATATTCGAATATTCCCAGAGGCATGCGCCTTCAATTTCCAGTCATCGTGTACTGTACCTCCACCCGGAGGTTCATCATCATCATCCCGTTCATGAGCGTCGTAAGTTATGCATGTTATAGATCGACTTATGATACTGTAATGCACCGATCGTCTTGCGCAGCTCACTGCCTCGAGCTCGAATGTTGCCCCGGATAGACCCGCTCCAATCGCGACCATCAGCGCGCTCGAAAGCGACTCAATTTCTACTCTCACAGTAAACAACGGCCAGTGGTAAGCTGCTCATCTGCCTATGAACTACGACTGATGCCATGTCAATGGCCCATCTCTCAGTTCCAGTCACGGTGCCGCGAGCGTGCGTGTCGGGCCACGATGCCACTCGCCAACATACCAGCGGAGCTCATCTACCACATCCTCGAACAGGGCTACTACACCCCCGTCGGCAGTGTCGACCAGCAAACGCTGCGCGCGTGCGCCCTCGTCTCGCGCAACTGGGCTAAGCCCGCCCAACAGCTCCTCTTCCACTCCGTCGGCGTCAAGCAGTGCATCGAGTTCACCGTGCTCTTCTCTCGGGGCGGGCTCCCCCCAGGCTCGGCTGCGCGGCTCGGCGGGTACGTGCGCAGCCTCGACTTCGTGTTCGACATCCACAAGTATATATACGTCACGGGGGCCAGCATCCGGTGTCCGTCCACGTTCGTGGCGCTGCTGTCCTTCTTCCCGCGGTTGTACCAGCTATCCCTGTTCGTCAGTGGGAAGGGCGCGATCCCCTCCAAGTGTATCCGTCAGCTAGAGATACTCGTGGCCACGCCACACCGCCAGCCACTGCGAGCACTCTCGCTGATGGGCGCGAGCGATGCCCCAATGGTTCTGTTCCAGCTCTTGAGCGTCTTCTCCGGCGTCCAGTTCCTCCGCCTGGAGAGGTACTCCAGCCCCCGATGCCCTCCCGGCGTCGCCCCCGTCAAGCTCTGCGAACTCAATCTGCGGTTCCTGCCCGAGTTGAAGGTCCTCCGCTGGATTCTCTCGTCGTCCCGGTCCACACTCCAGATCCTGGACCTCCACATACCCATGCTGAACGACGACTACCTCGCCCTTCTCATCGAACACGCGCCGCAGGTGCGTTCGCTGAGGCTGCACATCGGGTGCCCGGATATGAACTTGGACTCCCTCATCAGAGCGTGCGTCAAACTCGAGGAGCTTGTCCTGCACCAGTCGCTCGACTGGCCCTCTGAGATCCCCGCGTCCCTACAACATTTGTGCATAGACAAGATTGCCGACGAGACACTGACAGTCCTCGAATCGCTACCCCGCCTTCGATTCTTGACGATCACAACGCAGCATGCTTCATTGCACCATGACTTCCACCGGCTGGTAAGGAAGTGCGACGCCAGAAGGATTGAGCTGTCGTTCAAGAGATTCGAGGTAGGCCCTTGTCATGCAGCATATGTGTATGCTGGCCAGCTGCTTACGAGTTCGGGAACAGGCCGAGGACCCTGTACACGTCAAACATTTCCCGAGAGGCAGGTCTGTAGAAAACTTCTCGCTCATGCGCTGAGACCTATTGTATCGCTGGAACGATGCTCCGCCAAACCGCAGACAACGACGTTAGGCCTTCCTGGCCAGAATTCCGCATCCATAACTTACGCTATAGTATACAACCCGCAAGCACCACCAACACTCCTCCAGGCCCATCTTACACTGTATGTAGTGATTTCATGAGTATTCGATATTCCGATATTGCCCAGATTGATCTATATTACATCGCCTGCGCGGGCGGGAGATTAGACGTCGCAAGGTATGCATGCACAGCAGCAGCAGTGGACGAACGGCGAGACATTGCGGGTATAAGCAGACGCCGGGAGCGGACTTTCGGTGGGGGGCGCCAGCAACGGCTTGTGGTACAAACAACGCAGAGATCCAAACGCGCGTGCTGAGAGAGTTGGGGGCGGGGACATTTTAGAATGTCGATGCCCACGCCTCGAGGTCGAAATTTGTCGTCCGGGCGTGTTCTATCCAGGGATGTTTCTGGAAAGAGACCGTTTGGGGAATGAGCGTGCGTGGTGAAGGGGAATTCACATACGAGAAGATCTTTTGGCGTCTTCCTTGCATCAGGTTCCTTCAGCAGACAACTGTCCACGAAGTCATCGGCCTCCTTCGGGAACCGACCCTCCGGCGTGAGCCGCGGTGCAGGTTCGTTCACGATGTGTTGCAGCAGCTCCAGAATGCTCATCGTCATTCCACCGCCCTGCAAACTGACACCCTTGCTCTTGCGTTTCTTCTTCTTGTCCTTCTCCTCCTGCGTCCGCTTGGGCGGCAGCGGCCGACTAGGAGAAAGCGTACCCTCGAAGTCCGAGAGATCCGAGTCGCCGTCGGAGTCAGAGAAGGGGAAGCGGCCCAGAGCTAGTTCGATGAGCGAGATGCCCAGTGACCACACGTCAGACTTGACAGTGTACTGTGCACCCTGGATTCGTTCGGGCTAGATTTAAGATCAGGACTCAGTCACTAAGGCCGGACCATCCAAGGGACTGATAGTAACGCACGCTCATATACGTCGATGTCCCTACGAACGTGTCCGCGATCGAGTTGATGAGCTCTCCGGACACACCGAAGTCACAAATCTTGATCTGACCCTGTGAGTTGAAGAGGATGTTTGATGGCTTGATATCTGGGCGCAGTCAGTCCCGCACACGATCATGCGAAGTGTATCACTGACCTCGGTGTATGATGCGATGCACATCATAGAGGTACGTGAGGCCCTCCAGCACGGCCAGTGCAACCTTTGCCACCACATCAATGTCGATGGCCCCAATTTTCTTGTAAATCCCATCCAGCGAGCCTTTGTCCATGAACTCCATGCAAATGCAGATGTTCGGGTCGGAGATGAACGCGCCGTAGAAGGAGATGATATATTCGGAATTGCAGTCGTGCATGATCTGCAGCTCACGTAGGATCTGCTTCCGCACGGACGGCTTCGCGTCGATGAGGACAATCTGGATGCCAAGATGACGCGTAAACAGGGTGGATGATGGCGCGTCCGTGACACTCTCACCTTCTTGGCCATGATGGTCCCAGTAGGAACGTGCTCCACCTTCTTCACACTGCCCCCGTTGCCCTGCCCGAGCTCCTGCATGTCCCGGAAATCCTCGTTCCGCAGGTCGTATTTCCGCTCCGAGTTCAGATCCAGGTTCGCGAGGGTCGACGAAAGGGTGTTGTGGTAGTTCGTCCGGTTCTCCGATGCGGAGATCGAGCTGGTCGGTGGTGCGGACGACGCGGGGATGTTCACCGTCAACATCCCGTTCCCGTCCTCAGCAGCAGGAGTAGTCGTGTTCGGGATCTTCGGTGCCTTCAGTTTCATCGGCGGCGGTCGTTTCTTGCCTGCCGGCGCCGGCGCGGCACGTAGAGGCGCGGGGGAAGGCTCGGTAGGAGACGATGTCGAGACATCGAGTTGGAGAGCCTTGAAGTTGCGCTTCTTGCGGACGGGTCCAGCGGCAGCGGACATCGTGACGATTGGCCGTAAGTGTAGCAGATGCACTTACGGGGCTCTGAGTGCGCGCCGAACGGCAGGGACAGCACACCGCACCGCTCAGCGGGGAGGACGAGGGAGAAGGGAGAGTACGCGCTCGACGGTGCACGCCCATTTCGAGACCTGGGCGATTGTCTTACGTAACCATCACCGAGTTCCCCAAAACGGTGTTAGGCGCTCGCAGGCCGCGTCTGGCCACAAACACCCTTCCCTCCACCGCCGTGACCATGCATGCGAATGTTTCGTGTGCGCACAGCTCTGATGCTAGGCGACCAGGCGCTCTTTTATCGTCGTATCTGCTGGTCACCGCGTTTGAGGCCGAGCGACGCCGCGTAAGACGGACTTACGTCCGCTATGGCAGATGATCTAGGGCGCCATTGACGCAACACAAGACGGTTAACGGACATGGCAGGGAACCCGAACGCGCACCAGATGGCAGGTCAATTTGTCGATGCAATCGCGGGACACATCAGACGTCGAAATCGTATCATTCATAGAAGCGTATACAGGTGGACGTAAAGGATATCGCTAATCTACAATAAATGCCATGGAAAGGGTCGTACAGTTCTTCGAGACAATGGGGAATACAAGTCGAGAAGAGGGAACCAATCGTACTAGGTCATAATGATATGTTATAAGTCAGGCGAAGGGGATGTGCAAATTGAGGGGTATCACGAAGGTCGGACGGCGGTGGATGAAGTACCGACGATGTGCAGGTTTGTTTACTCGACGTAAGTCTCAGTGCCGCGCTTCCACTTGGCCCGCGGTGCGTATCGCAATGCCTTGTCGTTCATGCGCTCCTTGACTGTGATGTGTAGATTCGGCTTTCCCGGGAGATGACGACCCCTGCCGAGATGAATGCTGCAAAGCCAGGCGTGTCAGTAGGCCAATTGTCCCAAAGCACGCACATCTGCAGACTCACCTCCAGGATGTGTGCCAGCGACCATTTGGCTCCTGCCAATTGTAGCTCGTCGGCAGGATCTCGAGGAGCCACCAAAACGGCTTCCCATTCAGCTCGTCGTGCAACGGCTGCACCGCATGCTGCTTGTCCAGCCCGACAGGCCGTTCAAGCCGCTCGCAGTCGCCGTCCGAGCTCGGCCTCGCCTCCGCACTCGTTCTGCTCCCATGGCCCGTGCTGCTCCCCGCCTGCATGCTCGACCACCGCTTCTCCTTGGGCGGCGTGGCGAGGAATCCGGGGCCCGTGAAGAGCGAGTCGGGGATGTTCGCATTGTGCAGCGCGTCACGGTCGAAGACGATCCCGCACTGCGTGCGCACGATCTGCTTGACCATCCAGCGGAGCGTGATGTCTGCGAGGGTGAGCTTCTCCGTATCGGGCACGGCGCTGCCTCCGATATCTACGTGACAGGAAGTTCTGATCAGCTGGGGAACGAGTGCAGAAGGGCGTCCGCGTGGTGCTCACCACAATGGCAGCCTGCGAACCAGACCTCGAGCACGTCCGTGCCAGGCGCGAGCTTCTCTTCCCAGCCGAACTCAGCTGCAGCCGCCGACGGCAGGTTCGCCCATTCCAGGCCTTGGGAGTGGTGCTTCGAGGACCGCTTCCCGAGGCTTTGACGCATCTTCTCTGACAGAGCTGCGAGCTTGCTGGGGCTCTCAGGAGGAAATGCACCCTTCCTCCCCGGCGACACAACATTCTGTTTCAGCGCGCTCTTGTGCTTGCGCTGGCCCGGGGGGCTGGGCCGGTGGTACAGGTTTGGGCGGAACTTGGCGCGGTGCTGCGGCAGAGTATGTAAGACAGCTGTGTCTTATTTAGAGTTGGAGGTGACAGCATACCTCGTCCAGTGCCAGGGCATGTCTGAACGTCTTGATTGTGGTGTTATTCGCGACAAATGGCAGGGTTTTGCTGACGAGGCTGCCCACGCTGGCGACAGAGTCCCTGACGCGGGCGCAAATCAGGTCCGTGCCGCATCATGATGAAGACGGAGACCTACCAGACCCCGACGAACTCAATCTGGACGTCTCTGCAGAACGTTTTCTTGTAGCCAGCTGCGATCGCAATGCTGGAGGCGTCTGTGCGCTTGTAGAGCTTGTAAGCGAATGGAATCTGCTCGGGGTTGTCGCGGGGGAGGAGACCGATCTATCAGTTCGTCAGTACGTGCATCTCACATTGCCATAACTGTCTGTTTAAATCTCACCTTGTGCAACATGCCAGCTAAAGCTCTGGCAGTGTACGCCCCTCTCGAGAAACCTAGAATCGCACGTCAATCACGTACAGCAGAACGATACCTGGAACGTGCGCACCGAACATACAGATCTTGTCGCCTGGGCGGTAGTTTTGCATGAGAAAGCGGTATCCGTCTCGGACGTGAGCATCAAGGTACCTATGAGAATGAGCCTGCGTCGTACAAGCTAGCGTAGCGAGCAGCTCACCAAGCAACTCCCTGGTCAAGGATCCTCGCTCCCCACGAGAATACTGGGGAGACCACGCCGGGGTTCAGATACGTGCCGATCCCGGGCTACTCTCAGACGATCAGAACAGGTTAACGCCAATATGAATGCACAGCGCCCACTTGGTAGTAGCAGAGCTGCTCGGGGTGCTCTTTCTTGAGAAGCGAGTAGAGCTTCACGACATTTGTGTTCTGTGTCGACCGTCAGACCAGTTCGACACGTCCCTCTGTGGCGCATCTCACCTTGCCGTTGTACTGGTCTGCAGTGCCGTCAAAACACATAACAAGCGTGCGGGTCATGTCGGGTTCGTGGAGGTCGTAAAAGGAGTTGGCGGTGACCCTGCCGAAGTCGGGCGTCGCTGGGAGGGGGACGCTGAGCGGGTCCTCCATCTTATAACTGTGGTTTCCAGAGGACGCGGATCTGGCGGTCGGTGCCGAGCGTCAAGATGGGGCGCGAATTTGGCGGATTGAAAGGGGGCGGTGTCCCTAGAGTACAATAAAGACGAAACGAGCGGGATGGGCGGTGTCGGCGTGCGACGGCGCTGACAAGGTTGGGATTGGCGGCCAGTGCCGCGACGACCCATTCCCCACCATCAGCACCTGCCAATTTAGGCCCTGCACTGTGACGGACGTGGCGGGACTCTTCACCGTCTCCGTTCTCGGAGTCACATGTCGCCGGAAGACATATGAGCAAGGAGAAGGAATGCATGCGAGGCGTACACATCTCTGTGTGTAGCTTCCGTGTTCTGGGCACCGATGCAAATGCATGACAAGAAAATGATCATGATGTTGATCAGCGCTGGCCGAGGAGACGGCGCCTCGTCGACGTTTGGTAGCATCATGCAGTGCGCGCACGTGGGAGGCCTGCACGCCGCTGTCGGTGCTTGGCCGTTGCCCAACGAATTCGTGAAGCTCTCCCAACCATGCGCGTTAGGTGGAACACGTTGCACAGCTCGGAGCCGGCACTGCTTGGTCAGTCTAATCCTAATACTGACTTGTTGTGCTGCCGTTGAAACAGTGACCCTCGAACCAGTGAGGACCGTTTGGTGCCAACTACATAGCTGGCGCCGCCCGGGGTGAGTACACTCGTTCACTGGGCTCCTGAGGATATAATTGACATTACCATCTGGTCATACCATGAATGCGATCCATTATCCACTCACCACGAAGCGCACCTGCATTCTTCTCACAACACTGTACCGTAGATTGTTCTGTACATTCCTCCCCTTTGTCCGAGACGGCGAGACCGGCCGCTTGGCACACTCGCTTCTAGAGGCATCCGCCGCCGAAGCAGGAAGCTTCAAAACGAATATATAAACAGTGGCCTGTAACTCGACTTCGCGAGTCCAGTTCCATGCGAATCCTCCTGCTGAGTGGCGCTCCCCCTACCGTCGTTCGACCGACTGTGCACCTCCAGCAACCAGACACTTACGTGAACGAACCACTCTCCAAGACGAGACACGACTTTCAAACAATCAAAGCGATGATACAGACTGCTGGCGTGCAGGTCATAATATCGGACAAGTACGTTTCTCCGCATCCACCTCCGTTCACTGGCGTCGAAGTTGACTCAAATTGGCAACGATAATACTAGGCACACCTGTGAAGTGGTGTTGCCTCCAAGACTACCAGCTCTAAAACTCAGCTCTGGCACTCACCCAGTGAAGACCTGCCTCGCCATCTGGGGGTGAGAAGCACACATAGTAGGCTCGAGGCGTGCGGGCGGATGAGAGTCTTCGTTACATGGCCTGTAATGTCTGGAGCTACTGCTCAGAGAGGCACGTCTTCAGGTCGTGCAGAGCCCGTTGCTCGCGCCGTCGGAGCCTCAGTCATCGAGCAGCATGGCTTCGTCGTCGCCGACATCCCCCGGGATTTCATGGACATGCTGCATAGGAACTCAAGGCTGTGAGTTGGCGTCTTGAACGTGGATACAAGACTGCCGTGGCGGTCGAAGGAATTGGAGACACTTTTCAAACACTTTGATAGCTGGCAGTGGCGTAGCCGGCTTCCTAGCCCTAGGACTGACCGTGAGTTCATGTCGTCCACTGGCTACCGTACCGTCGAGCTGATTCTGCTCCAGCGCCACTGTTTCTCTGACGTCCCGAGGGCTATCAACACGTCAATTCTTCCGGATGACGTACTCCAACTCGTCTTTGACTTCCTGGCGGAGGAGCGGGTGTACTACGGCCGCAACCTCAACTTCCAAGTAGCGAACGACGTGATACCGCAAGTATGTGGGAGCTGGAATCCTTCAAGAGGCTCCCGGTCCCCCGGACATCGCTTTGGAGGACGTTCCTCATACATGAACACTGCAGTGCGCGTGAAGTCTGCGACAGGTTGGATCTATCGGACAGTCATTGAAGGCGTGCAGGTCGAGTTCACGCGGATGCACGGCGCCGTCGAGTGGGGACTCCACTTATCTGAGCTCCGACTTTTCATTCACCTCGCGGAGATTCTATGCAAGCATGCGGGACGATTTGAGGAGTTCACGATTCTCCACTTCGACGCTGAAGCGCTGATGGCGTAGGAGACAATCGAAGCCCATTGAGGTGTTGCTCCCTACATATTATAAGTATCAAGTCACTTACACAATGCGATGCAAAATTTCGAAAGAACGCAGATGGATGATCATGAGCCTACGAAGTTTGGCAGGCTCATAGCATGCGTGAGCGGGAGACCTACATGCCACCGTCGGTGCCCGACATGGATGTAGAACCGTAGCAACCCTCTGCAACCTCTCAACTGACGCAGCTGGCGATTACACGAAAGGCGTTGAACAGTTTGGAGTCGCCACCCCGTCAGACCCTGGTGCTTGTTGGCTTACCTTTGTCACCGCTCCGTGCGAACGGTTTTGTGTTGATCTAGAGCCGACCGCTCAGCTGGACGCAATTGAGGCTTCGTTTGTGGTCACAGTTTGTTCATGACCTGTATGTGATTCATTGTACACACCTTCTTGAGGCGCATGTGCATTCTCCTCTCATCATACATTATGTTCTCATTGCATCTAAGAATCGACAATTCAGAACTCAGCTCACTGTGAACACTTGGTTGCACTCACCCCACGACCATTCCGCCATTTTGCATCTTGCACAAGAAGAGCTATTCGTCGAGAGGTCACTGCCCGCAGACGTACGGATTTTGTCAAGCACCCGTGGTGATGCAAATGACGACCAGTGCGACGAGAAGCCAGGGTGCGTTTCCTGGCGTCTGCCCCTGTTGATTAGCTTCAACATATTCATTCCGCAGACATACGCGCATCCGTGATGTCACAGCCAGCTGAGACTACCAGCTCTAATGCTCAAGACCTTGATTGGATGGGATGCCGGATGATGAAGCTGAGGTTGCAGGTTGGGATACCGCACCAACGCGGTTGCTGATGAGAGATCCTGCGCGGAGACCAGCACTGTCTTTCCTGGCCTCTAAAGCACCTGAAATTCGGTAGCCAGTCTGCACGCCCTTGTCAACATGCTCAGCTAGCGGCAAGGATCAAGCAGACGATAGCCAACTCGTTGCTCACTGCCACTGGGGCCGAGGTCGGAAGCAGGGTCTTTCATTGCTCACCCGCCATGAGGCCCACGAACCGCAGAGCTGGAACGTAGCATGAAGCGGACGATAAGTTGAAGCCGAACTGGCTGGTACTACATAACTTATCTCGTCTCTGGGTTCCCTTCCCGGCGTGCGCCGAGGGAGTGGCGATCCGAGTTGTGGCTAAGGGGCCACGCGGTCCCGTGACGTTACGCGAGCACAAAGCAAGTGTGGCTTCAACCCTCCAGCCACATCCAACCGCGACTCTCCCTCGCTTTACATCACCCCCTGCATTTGCTGCCAAATCATCAACCCCTATTCTCCATCTACTACCAAGATGCCAGCGCAGATCGTTGCAGGACCCAGCTATATCACCTCGACGGCCGCCCTCCTCCTCAAGGCCCAGCCTGTGGCTGTCGCCGCTCGCGCCGCTCACCCCATAGGTTCGACGGTCCTCAAATCGCAACCTCAGGCCATTACAACCTCCTCCGACAGGCCCAGGTATAGACCAGAGTTCTGCAATGTTCCTATCAAATTCAGGCGATACATACGCGACGAGACGAAAGAGCATGGTACGCGCAACGGACCGGAGGCACAGATGGCCTCTGCTGGCGCAGGGCCATCCTCTGGTAACGGAAACATCGTAGAGCCCCAACATCATGAGAACGTGGGCAGTGAGGGCGCGCTCAACGAGAGGGGCCGCCACAGCGACGCATCGGGAGACAAGATGCTTCAGGTCGGCTTGGACAAGCAACCCGACGGAGGCGTCTCTACAGCCACTCAACACCATGAAGGCCAGTCAGATCAAGGACGTGCCACTCCCAATGGGTCTCAGAGTAAGACCATCGGGGAATCTGGTCGGACCAAGCCAAGCCACCGCGCACACTCGCGCAAGTCTTCTGCGCAAAGTCCCCGAGAAGCCACGGCGACGGATATTGCGCAGCCAACACGACGGAGCGCGAGGCTCCGGGGGAAGGCAAAGTCACCCACTGAGTCGTCAGAGACCCAGAACGGCACCGAGGCCACAGGTAAGCGGGTAGTCATCATGGATCGCTGGGTCTTAGAGTGACACTGTCGTCCGTCTTGCAGAGGAGCAAATGCCCGAGGCGGGGCCAAGCAAGACCCGGAACGTGAGACAGAGGGTACCTGCGAAGTAAGTCCATTACCAAACGTGTCTTGTGTATCTGCGGTGCCCTTCTGCTGGCCGTATCTCGCGAGGCTGGGCATAATCGGCCCCTTGCCCCGACCCCTCCTCGACGGGCACCGATAGTATGACGAAGTGTAGGGCAGTCCTGCTGATGCGTAATGTTCAGGAAAGACGCCGATGGAGTAGACGCGACTTCAGTGGGTCAGAAGAGAAAAAGAGACGCGTGCGCGGATGCGAGCGACCCGTCGCAGCCAGAGCAGGGGCCAAAGAAGAGGTCGCACGCGGCGAAGAAGACAACTGGAGCCGATACGAATGGAGGAGCACTCACCGTCATCGTACCGCCGGCGAGAGCAACGAGACAGACCTCGCGCAAACAAAGAGTCAAGTCGGCCGCCGTAAAAGCAAAGTAACGGCCCTTGGACCCGAGTAACCGTCGGTCCAAATCCCTGGTCAATTGTTGGACGCCACCATGAGCAACACGGCCTAGGTGATTGGTGGCGTCTGCCGACTATAACACGTTTTGCACCAGAACTGGCTTGCGCTCCAGCGTACTTGGCAGAGCGTTCACGGGGGAGGAGGTTCCCTGATTGACGGTGCATAAGAAGTGGAGAGTAAGACCGATGATCGCGCAGCAAGGAACAATCGAAACCTATATAGGCGACAGCCCCGTACCTATTCAGCACACCCCAACTGCCGAACGCAACTCGAGGCGTATAGCACCTCCTACAACTGTAGGCGCAATGGCTGTGAGTGTTGCACTACCGGTCTTATGGACGAAATCTCACGCGTGTTTAGGGACCCACCACTGTCGGTTGCTCAGATTCGAGCGTCGTTCCCAATCAAAATCCTTGCATGTATCCAGCATGCGCATGCGCGGAACCACCGAGGAACGATTTACCTGGGTATCCCTTGTCGGCAGCATGGGTAACTGAGGTATAGGTGAGCGGAACGATCGAGAGACTTACATTTCAAGACTGACGCATTGCTGCTAGTGAAGTTGCACAATCATACTTACATACGGCTCCATATATCGGACCTTGCATCGTCTTTGGTTTCTGTACGTTGCTGCGGATATTCACAAAGGCTTGGATGAGGATGTCTTGTGTGAGGACGGCCATTCACAGTTCGGTATACGATTCGAAGCGATAATTCAGCGGCGCTTTGCCATCTGCATTGTGAGGTTGTCGATGTACATCTGCAACGTCTCATTCTCGGACAGGAACCTGTCAACGTCTCCTTGAACGCTCCGGACTCTGTCGAGCAGCGCTATCGCAACCAGACCGTAAGCAACAATACAGTACCTCATGCAACACGTTGACTAGAAACGCACCTCGCAAGTTCTCCTGAGCTGCAGTAACCTCTCTGTTCGACTTTAAGAACACCAATTGCGAGGGATAGTATTCACAGACTCACTTCACGAGCTTTTCCTTCTTCATGGCATCCTGGATGATGTCTCCGGTGCTCGAGGGGTCTGACGAGCCCCATCCTGGGCTAGGCTCGTCGTACATTGGCATCCCGAGATCCATTGGCGGTATTTATACGTGCTCAGAGCCGTTGAAGGAGGTCGTCGAGACTCAACGAAATGGTCCGTGTGCGCGATGACGGTGGCGACAGTCGCCGCGAATGACAGGCGACAGCAGCCCCCTGATCACATGCTCGAAGACGCGTCGCGTCGCGTGTCGCGTCTACTACGCGCTCTCCCTTGCTCTCGACTGTCATCTCGCGTGGCCTACATTGAGTCCTCGGCTTGCTTGCCAGTCGAAGTCTCTACCACCTGGTAGCATAGGTCAATCACACACTAGCTCGCTAGCATGGCGAGTCTCGACAAGCTGGCCATTCGTGGTATCCGGTCCTTTGACGACAAGCAAATCTCGGTCATAGAGTTCTTCACGCCTGTGACTGTTATCGTAGGCCACAATGGCAGCGGAAAGACCACCATCATTGAGTGTCTCAAGTATGCGACGACCGGCGACCAACCTCCCAACACACGTGGGGGTGCGTTCGTGCATGATCCGAAAATGGCGAATGAAAAGGAGGTCAAGGCGCAAGTCAAGCTAAGATTTTGGTCCGCGAACAAGACGAGAATGCTCGCTGTGCGGAACCTGTCTGTTACCATGAAGAAGACTGGTGCCCTCACCATGAAGACGTTGGAGAGTATTCTGGCTGTAGCCGATGAGAAGAAGGGGAATGTGAGTAGTCTGACGTTCTCATATGTATCCCCGAATCTCACCTTCGGCGTAGAGAGGAGCCATCTCCACAAAATGCGCAGAGATGGACGCAGAAATACCTAATTTGCTTGGCGTGTCGAAAGCAGTACTTGAGAACGTCATTTTCTGCCATCAGGAAGACTCCTACTGGCCTCTATCTGAGCCCTCCATTCTCAAGAAGAAGTTCGATGACATCTTCGAGGCAACTAAGTATGTTCAACGTCTTGTGATGATGCCTGGCCCTCACCGTCGTCTAGGTACACCAAGGCACTCGACAACATCAAAGCTCTACGGAAGGAGCGTGTGGCCGATCTCAAGGCGGAGAAGGAGCGTCTGGAATCCCTGCAGAAAGAGAAGACCCATGCTGATAAGCTGAAGACGCGTATCTCCGACCTCACGAGCACTATCTCGTCTAAGCAGTTAGAATATGAAGAGACGAAGAACCGGTATAACGACCTCGTCAAGGCGAACGCACGCTTCTACGAGTCTGCGACGAAGTTCCGCGAGACGTACATGAAGGTAGATACACTGAACGAGAAGAAGTCGCGGTACGAGGAGGAGTTGGCTGGCGCCCGGGAGAATGTGCGCGAGTTGGACGGTGAGCACGTAAGATGTACGTCTTCATTCTCGTGGTTTAACATGGTTGCACTGTAGGGACCGACCAGGAGCTAGCGGATCGTCTGAAGAACTTCGACGACCATGTTATGAAGCAGAAGCAGAAGCAGCGGTCGGAGACGGAGAAGGCTCAGGACATCGAAGAGGAGCTCAGCGCGATTAGGAAAGAACACGTCAAGCTCGTTGGTCAGCAGGGACAATTGGTTGCAGAGGAAAAGGTTTGTACTCTTGCCTCTTGTTCATACATATGAGTATCGACCATGGACAGGCACAAGAGCAGCGCATCGCTGACCGAGAGGAGCTTATACGGGAGATTAGTGCGACGCATAATATCAAGGGCTACGATCATGCCCCGCTCGACAGGCACGGAGTGACCGACTTCATCGAAAAGCTGAAAGACTTGAAAAGGCGGCAGAACTTGGAGACGGACAAGCTGCAGGTACGATTGCTACTCCGTGCACTTTGCCTGCCTAGAAGCTGAAGCCGGACGACCTTGTAGGAAGACAGCCGAACTCGTAGCGACGAGTACAACTCGCAGTCAATGCAGTTACATGCTGTCGTACAGGGGCACAAGCAACAGAAGGCAGACCTGAAGATACGGATTGTAAGCCAACTAGTGCTTGCGTTGGAACGAACATCTCATAGCTGCTGTTCTCTGTGTAGGCGAGCACGCAGTCCAGGTTGACCCAAGCGGAGGTAGAAGTCGATCGCGCGAGTGCGCTAGCCTCGCAACTTCGTTCGCTCCAGATCGACATCGAGGAAAAGGATCGCCGGATTGAGGGCATCAAGGAAGAGATCAAAAGGGGCAACTTCGACCATCGGCTGTCCGAGATGAACTCGAAATCGCGGAGCATGGAGCTTCGTCGCGACGAGCTCACGGCTGAGATCAGAGCCTTGAGCCTCCAGGCAGACGCACGTGCCAGACTCGATCTGAAGCGCACAGAGCTGAAGAACAAGACGACGGAGATGCACAACACGTAGGTCACGCATTCGTGTCTCAAGGGTTCATGGTCTGATGGGAAAACAGGATCCAGATGAGCAACCCGAAGTTCCGCAAATTGGTTGATCGAGACGCACAGCCTGACACGATGGAGCGAGACCTTGAGCGTGTTGCCATGTACGTGACAGTTCGACGGTGGACATCACTGGAACTCACTACTTTGTCATAGTGAGAAGGAGCGGGAACATGCCGACTTGGGAATGACCTCAAACATCGCCAGCAAAAGCTTGCAAGTCGCAGAGGCCACCCTTTCTAGTCTGAAGTCTCAATCCAAGGTCAAGCAAGACGAGGTTAAAAGTTGGTAGCATAAGCATTCCCTCGCACGAATCTGGGCCTCACTCTTGTCAGTGCTGGACAGGAAGATCTCGGCAGGCCTGACTTTCAAGATTGAAGAAGAAGAGTTAATTTACGAGTCAGTCGACAAAGGCTTGCAGGACTGCAACACAGAGCTTTCACTAGCTCAAGAGTGAGCTGACATAGGCTCTCACATGACTGTATGGTCGCGCTCACCACGTCTATCAGGGAACTCGGCAAAGCAAGCGGTGCCGACCGGATGTACCGATCACTGCTCAACGATGGCAAGACGAGGAAGTGTTGCCCTCTGTGCGCCAGGAGCATGGACAGCAAGGTTATCGCAACATTCGAGAAAGCTGTGAGTCTCAATGCTAGGTGGACGACCTTGCCCTAACGACACCCTAGCTTCAAGATCTCATCAAGAAGACGACACCAGAGTCAGTAAAGGAGTTGACTGAGTTTTTGCAAGGGTGGCAGGGTGCTGTCCGGCACATGCAGGATCTTGCTGCTCTGAATAACGCGCGAAAGAAGCTTGCAGAGGATGAGATTCCCTCTCTTCAAGCTCAGATCAAGAAGCATGAAGAGGAGTACCCAGGCCTTACGAAGAAAGCTGAGGACGTGAGATACGTTCACGTTATCACACTGATGGTGTTTGCTCACCTTCACACAGGCACAGAATGAGCTGGACAAGGTCACCAGAGAGCTCAAGGACATAGCTGCGCTGCGGCAGCAGGCCAGTCTCGTGTCACAGCTGCAGAAGGACATAGAGCGCCTGAAGCGCGAAATCTCCACCATTGAGTCTGAGCTGATGACTACTGGGTCGACAAAGACGGCGGATGATCTACAGGAAGAGCTTGATACCCTATCCACTAACATGTAGGCCTCTAGTCTTGCACATTGCTTTCGTGTTGTGCTAAATATCATTCAGGCGGGCCAACGACCGGGACAAGCAGGCGTTGATGACAGACCGCGAGCGCTTGAATAATGCACTCCGTCTGCATGATTCGGAATTCAGTGGACTCAAAGTTCGTGAAAGCGAGGTGAAGAGTCAGGTGCGCGAGAAGGCCAATCTCGAGGCCCGTATCAAAGAGTGGAAAGAGGATATTGCCAACTTCACCGCTCAGCTCAAAGTAAGGCCGCTTCCTTCAACATCATGACTGCCCTTCATAATTCTCTCTGCAGGACCTGGACGCCAAGATCTCTGACGCACAAGTCCCCATTGAGCAACTGGAGCGAGAGTGGCAGGCAGCGCATCGCGAGCTAAATGCCAAGATCGCTGAAGCACAGCGAACATCTCAAGAGGTCAACATGTCGACTGACAAGCTTGACAACATCACGAAGTCAATTGATCGGTACGTCTCCCCAAGTCCCCCTACGGTCTCGACTGACTGGCTGCGCGTAGATATGCGAAGGAAAGGCGTGGCCGTCGGCTAAAGGAATGCAATGAAAGGGTTGCAGAACTAGAGGAACAGATCAAGGAGCACAACATAGAACTCGAGCAAGTCCGTAACAGTATCCGACTTATCGACAAAGAGATCAGTGAGAGCGCTGCCTCTATGTCGAACTTGCGCGAGAACCTCCGGATCCGCCGCTTACGCCTCGACATCGCTGCGACTCAGGCGGAGATCGATTCCATTGACCTCGAGGAAGCTGCAAAGGCCAAGCGTATATTCGAAGAGAAGTACAATATTGAGAAGCAGAAAGAAACTCAGCTTCAGAGCACAGTATGTCCATTGCATTGCTCGTCTCTTCGGTTGCTGATCGTCCATGCAGTACGCGCACATCGGCGGTGAGATCAGCTCATTGCAAGCACAGTTGGAGACCCTGCAGGTCGACATGAGAGATTTCGAGAATATTAGCAAGAAGTATCGGGATCAACTCATCAGGGTCAAGGTAAGGCGCCAGGCTCAACGTACGTGGCATGGCTCATTCACGCCCTTGCAGATGTCGGACATGGCGAACAATGATCTGGAGAAGTATGCCAAGGCCCTGGAAAGGTATATCCCTCAGCATCCTGCGTAGGTCTGTTGCTGACAACCTATCCCACTAGCGCCATCATGAAGTACCATACGCTGAAAATGGAAGAACTCAATGACACCATGCGCCACTTGTGGAACAAGACCTACCAGGGAACAGGTTCGTCGAAGTAGTGGTCAATCGGGCGTATGCCGTTGCTCAGTATTTCGCATGTAGACATCGACGGTATCAAGATTCGTTCGGATATGGAAGGCGGCGTGTCGAAGCGGTCCTACAACTATCGCGTACGTTTGTAGTTGACATAAATGCACCTCCTTGTTAACCGGACTTACTCTTAGGTGGTCATGATGAAGGACAGTGTCGAGATGGACATGCGAGGACGGTGCTCGGCCGGCCAGAAGATGCTTGCTTCCATCATCATCCGTCTTGCTCTCGCAGATTCCTTTGGCCAGAACTGCGGCATCCTCGCTCTCGACGAGCCGACGAACGCACTTGATACGGAGAACATCGATGCACTTGCGGCTAGCCTTGTAGAGTGAGTGTCTAGCCTTTACTAAGGCTGTCTCTTGCTGATCGCTGTACTGCAGCATCATCAACGAGCGTAAGAGCAACTCGAACTTCCAGCTCATCATCATCACGCACGACGAGAACTTCTTGCGGAAGCTCGGTCAGGCTGATGTCATGGAGAACTACTGGTATGTATCAGTGACTGGTCCCATCTACCACCGACTTACAAGGTCCATAGGCGTGTTGTCCGGGACTCGCGACAGAAGTCTGTCATTGAACGCCATAGGTTTGGCTGAGTCGTCGTTTTGAACGTTCCTGCTACGGCATCTCCGACTGCTATCTCATTGCTATCTCATTGCACGGTGCATTGCTTCCTATCTGTGGACTCATCCTTCTTTTCTGTCATCTTTTGTATTACATCGTTGATTACTGCAAGCAACGGCCTCCACGCAGAAGGCATACACCTGGCCTATTCGGCCACAGATGTGTGTGTGAAATACAACAACCACAACAATGATAACGAATTAGATCCTCAGAATAGCAAAGTCCAACATACACATCACGCAAGCGACAAGAAAGCACAAATACAATGGCAAATCACACAACCCGACGCACCACATCCCAACCTCCTCACACCGCCTCCGCCCCCGCCTCCGCATCCTTCTCCCTCCTCAAGCTCCCCTTCGACTCCCCCGACGCCCGACGCAGCTCCGAGCCGGGTATGAACGCGTCCTGGGGGCGGTCGATGATCTCGACCTTGACGCCCTCGCCGCGCACGCGCTCGGCGTAGTACGTATGCAGCGCCTCCAAGCGCGCCTGCTCGCTCACGTCGCTGTCCGTGCGCTTCGTGAGGAGGTCGAGGTCGAAGGACGGGTAGGGCGTGCGCGCGGGGGGCGCACTGTCGGCGCGTGGCTGATGGCGCGGGCGCACGAGGGGGGACTGGAAGGGGCGGAAGGACCACCAGGCGTGGAGGACGTCCTGCGGGTGTGTCAGCGGGTAAGGAAGCTTTCGAGTGAGATTTGGAAGACGTACGGTTTGGCTGGCGAATATGAGGAAGACTGCCATCCCGACTGTGGTGGATGAGACTGAGGGCATCATACGCTGGAGAAGACATTAGTACGTACCGGACGCGGTCAATATGTCCGGGAACGCGGTGCCTGTGTCTCCCAGAGAGCCCAGGTTCGCCCTACGTGGTAATAGGAGCGTCAGCATGTCTCGGGAAGCGAAATTGGGGTACGCACAAAGCGGCGGTGAGCGTGTACAGCGTCAGGACGCCGACGCGTATCCGGAAGGAAGTGTCAACTTTCGCTGAGTGCTGTCGGAGCGGCCGAGTCTCGCGCGTCCGTAGTTGCTGCATGGCGAGGTGCACTGCAATGGATATTTCGTCAACAGAGCTAGGCGAATGAGGATGCAGGGCGCTCACCGAAGAAACCTGCTGCGATGATGCACACAGCTGCAGAAAACACGGCGACTGCGATTGTACTGCGAGCGCGCGCACATGATTACGAGCAACATCTGAGTGGGGTGTATATGGAAGCTCACAGTGCTTGAACGTTGACAGCGCAGTAGAAATACCTCGTCGCCCGATCCACTTGTCCAGGATACTCCACTCCCAACTACCAAGCACCATCAGCCTCCCGACGAATCGCCTACAGCTTCAAACCTACCTTCGCTGCGATCGCGCAGAACACGCCCAACGTAAGGTACGGTGACACAATAAGCTACAAAGTCAAATGAGCGAATGCTCAAGCGGCACCCGCAATCACCGCACATACCATTACTCGGATTGGCCAGGAGGCCTTCTCCCGGAGCTGAGACTTGCCAGGCGTGCATGAGCGCCAGGTGCGGTAGGCAAGGGCGAGAGTCGCGACGGACGTCCTGTCGAAAGGCTCAAGAGGCAATTGTGTAGTATGGAGATGTCGCTTACATAGGGAAAGCGCCGCTCATGAGGGCCGCTTGAGCAGTGCATAGTCCCCTGGGCGGCTCAGGACCCGTCGTTTCGCTCGTATACAGACTGTATGGTGTTGTTGTGAGCATACTCTCGGTCCGAGCACTCACTTTGTCGGCGTTGCTCGCGTACAAAACGGACTTACAGGAGCGACGAGAGGATGCCAGACAGGATCCACGTGCAACAGAGGTTGATCACCGTCGAGTGCCTGACCACCGAGCGCGAGAGCGCAAAAGTCATGACGAGAATGGGGAGGAAGACATGGTCCGCGATGAGCTGGAAGAAGAGCCAGGCGGCCAAGTCCGCAGAGGCGCTCCCCCCAAGCTCTCCCTGCGTAACACCTGCACAACCAGACGTCAGCAGACGGCGAACCACCAGACCTACTATACGGCAACGCACGTCTGTAATGGGCGAATTCGTCTAGAGCGGGCATATCGGCGGCGGGCTGACAAGCTTGGGAAGGACGGTATGGTTCTCCCCGCTGTTTGTAAGCCGGAGAGCTGAAGAGAGCAAGGCGCTGCAGAGTGCGTGCCGCATGGCCCGCCTTCAGGGTAGTGCTGCGCGAGCGGAGAAGCTTCCGGCAGGCGAGGAGACCCGGGCACGCGGATGTAATAAGAGTGGATGCTGCCATGAGAGTTGCGGCATGGCGAAAGGCCGAGAAAAGGCGGTACTGTCCGTTGAAGTGTCAGTCACGGTGAACGGTGAAGGTGACGAGGGGCAGGCAATGTGCATTGAAGAGTTGACTCTCACTGAGATGCTCTATGAACGGGGATCATGACTGTCAGTAGCTTTAGTAGGTGGACCCGCCGGCCGCATATGTCGTGGTTCTTACAGCAATGATCCACTGACGCTTCTAGCCACGAGGACCCAGCCTTCACCACGTTGCAAGCAACAATCCACCTGTACCGAGTACACGCAAAATCTTGCGTACACTGGCACCGTCACGAAGAGCATGGCACACACATGGCCAGTCCTTCGTATCACTCAGTCATTTCTGTATAAGACTAGAAATAGTAGGAGGCGTTCTGGAGCTAGTAGTCAATTCAGAACTGGCATGATGACGCACCGGATTCCAGTGCACAACAATACGAGTCCAAGAATTACGAGTGGAATGGGTCTCTCGCGTACGCCGCCGCATTGTCGGCGTCGATCGTGCGCAAATAGACCGTATCACTGAAAGACGTGCCAGTGGATCAGTGTTTGAATATGTTCGGAACACCTGAGCTATTTTGTGTGCATCGCATACAGCAAGACGACCATTCAGACATGATTGAACCGGTCCAGGTGAGAGTGGCGCCGGAGGGAGAGGGCGTCATGTGCGACGTCCTCACCTCGGGAGTCCCAGTGGCTCCCACTGTGGCCACCGCAATTCGCTCTGGCGGATTGGCCAGGGTCAGACCCTCTACCGTCCAGCACTACTCACTGAGTAACTCACGCCTCTCCAGCCAGAAACTTCGCTCTTCGACGTCCGAAAGCGAGCGACGAGCGGCCGAAACAGACGCGACATCGCGACATCGACGGAGGCGCGGCTTCGGGGACGCGAGGCATGTACATTCTGGCCATTGTCTCGTCCGCAATCGCCCGCTGATCTAGTTCCAGTTCACGACTCTAACGGAATATATGATAGACGTCGCCACCCTGGGAGCGCGGCCGAGAGCTATAAGACCGTGTAGACCATCGATAGACCATCCGCTTTCCCCGAGCTTGAGCCATGGCGACCTACTACACCCGCCCCCGCCAGCCCCTCGCCGCTACACCCATTGCCGGCAGCACCGCTCAACGAACTACACATCATGACAGCAACGAGACCGAACTCCCCTCGCTGGACATCGACTTTGGCGAGCAGTCCATCTACATCTTCCCCAACCCCTCTTCCGCACCACCGAGCCCTGGCTCCTCGCTCTTCTCCGCCCCGACCGACCTACCCTCCTCCCTGAACTCCTCCACCTCCCCCATCGACCTCCGCCGCCGCCCACGCGGGCGACACCACGCTTCCAGCTTCTCCGCCCAGACGAGCAGCAGCCGCAGCGGGAGCGCAAGCACCTACCTGCACGTGCACCACCCACTCTCGCCCTCGGCGCCGACCGACAGCGACGCGTTCATCGACGGCGACGTCGAGGTCGAGCTATGGGACTGGACGGGCGAGTCCGCGCGCTCCGGCTCCGCGGCGGGCGAGTCCGAGCCGGACTCGTGGGTGCTCGAGGAGGAGGTGCAGCGTGCGGGCCTGAGCCGGTGGGGCCTCGTCGACGAGGACACGCACGTCCGCGGACGGCCGTATCCGCTGAGAGCGTCGTCGTCCGTGGAGCATGCGAGGATCACGCTGGACAACGCTCGCCACCGATTGAGCCTCGCGCCCCTCCGTTCGCGGACGGTCTCCCGCTCGAGCAGCAACTTCACCTCCGCGAACGCACCCGCGCCGCAACCACGCATACGCATACCACTACTATCCTTCTTCGCTGCGCTGCTCTCTCTGGATTTGGACGACCCCGCTCTACGCCTCCTCACCCAGCCTGCTCCGGCCGACGGCCAGTCCATCCTCTTTCCAGGGCACTCCGCCAGCAGCCTCTCACCGCCCTCCTCGGAACCCTCTCCACCATTCTCCTCTGACACCGCGGACTGCGACCCAGAGAAGCGCTCAGCTTCAACGATCACGATCACGCCAGATCTGTCCGCGAGTGTGCATGGCCTGCAGAAGCTACTCGCGTCCACGACGGAGCCCGCGGGTGCCGCGCTGCGCTCGCTCCGCGCGGGCCTCGCGATCCCGGTCGAGATCAACGTGCCCGGGGTGTCAGTGGCGGGCCTGGCCGGTCTCGTTCGGGCGGTCGGGGAGGTGTACACGCGGGGCGGGCAGGCGTGGAGGGAGGTGTGGGCTGGTGCGTGAGTGAGTGCTATGTTTTGGCATTGAACAGATTGTGGAGTTTCATAGCGAGTAGGTCCTTCTGATGTGATTATACGAATGATGGGCAATGTTGTCCATGTTAAAGGCGTTTGGCTTTGTTCGTTTCGTTTGTTTTCTTGACGCTTTCTCTACTCTCGTCACAAGGACCCTGACCATGAGTGTCTGGATTGTTGTCTCGCTGTATCGTAGTAGACCTGGGCTTGTACGCATACGCACCGCTCATATATGTACGCAACTAAGATAGATCATACAGTAGTACTTCAAGTCTTCTTGTTCAAATCACTCGACGCCCATGGGCCAAGGTGTAGGTTCAGCTTCAGCTTTGCAGTACTCAAACACTTCAAACGGACTTCTTTGAAAGGTCAGTCGTCGGTCAGACAAAAACAAGCTGCCCCTTGTAGACATGGCATGCGTATACTGTTTACAGGACGTGTGTTTGAGTAACAGGCTACATAACAGTACAACCTCTCCCTACAGTACAACATGTTTTTAGACTTGCCCATCAGCTCACATGCCCACATGACATTTTCAGCCGACGATCTTGCCGTCGACGATCTGGGAAGACTCGAAGATGCGGATGGCCTCCTTCGCCGCCTTAATGCCGCTCGCCATCATCGCACCGAACGTCGGGCCCATCCGGTTCGAGCCGTCGTGCTCAGAGAGCTCCATACCTGAGAGCCAGCGTCAGCGGTCTATGGCATAACAGAGAAGACATCTGAACCGACCTGTCATAACGAGACCCGGCGCGACCTCGCGCGTCCCGTTCACGATCGCCGGCTCCGCGCGGTTCATATCCAAACCCCTCATGTTCCCGAGCTCCTTCAGCAAGCCCATGCTGACGAGCCGCTTCGCGGAGAACGCGCCCATCGGGCCGTCGTGGCCCGTCGCGGTGACGACGACGGGCGCGGTGATGACGTTGGGGTCCATGCAGCTCTGCGTGTCGTGGTTGAGCGCGACGAGCGTCCAGTTCGTGACGACGCCCGCGACGCGCTGCGCGCCGGCGTAGTCCGTGCGCACGATGAGGTCCTCGACCGCGGTCGCGTTCATGAGCACAACGTTCGGGAGGGCGAGGACACGCGAGAGCACGGTGGAGGTGAAGAGCGCGGCGTGCTTCACGACGACGAAGGGCCCTTCGTCTTCGAAGGGGACGCCGATCTCGGTGAGGAAACGGTCGGCGGGCTTGCGGACAACCTGTGGGGTGGTGAGGTAAGGTTTGCTTCTTGGTTCGGACGTGATTGCTACTTACCATAGGTGTCATCAGCTGTCCACCGAGCCATGCACCACCACCTACGCGGGAGTAAGTCAGACACTGAGATAGCAACTCAATGGAAAGGCGTACCAGGAGCTACACCAGCCTCGATGATAGTGACCTTCAGGTCAGGCCGCGACGTCGCAAGGTGATACGCGCAAGACAAACCCGCGCTGCCTGCACCGACGATGACGACGTCCGAGACGGCACGCTCATACATCTGGTTGAAGTACCTGTTGACATCATGAGCAAAGGCGCATACATCGAACCCGACACAGTATCTGCTTACCGCTTGATCATGGCGCGGGAGACCTGCGCCTCCTCAATCGGGGCGAAACGGTAGTTCCCGTTGTAGTCCTCCAACACATCGTACGTGCCATTCGCGACAGACCCGTTCGTCTTCGCAGCGACCTTCTGGAAGAAGACGGCCTCGTCGGTGGGCTGGGGCAGGGTCGCAGCAGGGGGAGCCATCTTCGCGGGTGCGGAACAACCGAAGCCCGTGCATCCCGAAGACTTTATACCATACCAGAGGGACCCCGTCGGAGTGGGCACTCCAAATCCCTCGCATGCTCGATTCCGTATTGCGTAGAGTGTGAACGCATTCCGAGGCGCCAGGCCCTATCTTGTGCAGTCAGTGGGCTCCCCAGCCGGGATCGTGACCCGGCGGTCGTGAGTAACCACTGGCACGTTCCAGTCACCGTCGGCCGTTTGGCCATCAGGTAGATGGTATCAGATAAAGCGCATCTTCTGCAGATTGTCTGAGAGAAAGAAGCTGGCCCAGCTGGGGAGTTCAATATTGGAGGTCCTCGAGAAGCAGAGTGGCTCCGCCGTGATCAATACAGTCGGTTTGAAGGGCTCGTTTAGTTGAGTGTCGGCCGCTCTAGGCCTACGGTACCCGGCTGTACTGAAGTTCATCCCGGATCCAAGTCTTCCTGAGTGCTGGTCTCCACTGTAGTAAGTTGTCAGAGAAATGCTTACACTCGCACTGGCAGCACTCGTGGACCAACGCCTGCTATAACGTCCGAACCACAGCATGGCAGAGAAGCGGCATTTACTTTGAGCCGTTGAGAAAGAGTGAATACTAGACCAGATAGAGCCTGTGACGCAAGATCCACGAAGCTCGCGACTGACGCTGAAGACACAGTTGGTCCAGCAGAGCATCTAGTATCTGTAATGCTATGAGTGAAGACGCGGACAACGCTCGAACTCACAACTCACTTGGCATGCTTATCTTACGGGCTCTATTGGTTCAGAGGTCCGTTATGACGCTGTAGAGGCGCGTGAGATTAGCAGCGAGCGTATTACGCCCCCGATACGCCCCCCTTCAACATGTACTTACATTGTACTAACTTATGTGGCCTCCGCGTCATCGAAGCAACCAAGCAAATGGGATGCGCATTCGGTCCTCCATAGTAGGCATGATGTAAAGGAGTGTGCTTTTGGATGGCGAGCCAGAGTCATGACTTCAACGGATGTGGTTGCAGAGGAAGTCAACGTCGGGCGCGCTCCTACTACGCGCGCTGGAACCGCGTCGGGCAAGCGCGAGACGACGATAGGACGACCACCAGCGTCCATTCCGGAGTTGCCGCTGAGAGTGGACGTTCATATCTGACTCGGACCCTCACCAAGAAGCGAGAAGATGGGGCAAAGCAGCCAGGAATGTGCGACCGGCCGGGACGCTGTGGGGATGAGCGACACACCACCTGAGAACCGCCCTTGACCGAGGTAGAAAACGACTCGCCTGTGCATCCCAGGACGCCTGGCCTCTGCTATCTCCCCCTCACCTCCGAGTCATCTTGAAGCCTAGCTTCCTAATCGCCGACCGCGACCTGCACCATGGCCACTACCCAGCAGAACTACATCCTCACCGCAGATCCGCTCTCGCTAGATCGCATCAGGTCGATCCTGAACCGGCTCGAGGACACCATCATCTTTGAGCTCATCGAGCGCGCACAGTTCGCACACAACCCCAAGATCTACCGCCGTGGCGAGTTCGAGGAGCTACAGAGCATCGGGTTCAAGGGCACCTGGCTAGAGTGGTTCTTGAAAGAGACTGAGTCCTTCCACGGTGTGTTTGGTCGAGTTCCAAGTTGCACGCAGCCACAGTCGCTCACTTAGCCCGACCAGCCAAGGCACGGAGATACACGAGGTGAGCCCAGTCCAGAATGTCGAGAATTTCGTTTCCTGAACGATTGTCGGCAGTCCTGATGAATACCCGTTCACCGATCCCGCCGAGCTCCCTCAGCCCGTCCTCAAGGGCGTCGAGCTCCCCAAGATCCTCTACCCGAACAAGGTCAACGCGAACAAGTCCATCCTCAGCTTCTACACGCGCTCCATCGTCCCCCGCATAACAGCTCACGCAACACTCGCCCTCGCCGCGGCCAAGCGCGCCAAGGGCATAACGGGCGACGACGAGTACGAGGATGACGGCAACTACGGTAGCACCGCTGTCCTCGACGTCGAGGTTCTGGGAGCGATCAGCAAGCGGGTACACTACGGTCAGTTCCGCGGCACTCGTCCCCTCTACCGCTGCCAGTGACGCTCACGCGCTCCAGGCAAGTTCGTGTCCGAGTCGAAGTTCCGCGCAGACCCGGCTGCGTTCATCCCACATATTCTGAACCCCAACCGAGCGGCCCTAGACGCGCTCATCACGAAGCCTGAGGTCGAGCGCAAGCTCCTCCAGCGCCTCCGGAAGAAGGCCGAGGTCTACGCACTCAACTTCTCCCCAGAGGGCGAGCCCAGCGGGGATGCCGGGCGGAAAATCGACGTCGATGCGATCGTCGAGTTGTACGAGCACTACATCATCCCCCTGACGAAGGAAGTCGAGGTGCGTTTCTATCTCAACGCCTCGATTGTATATCGTCTGATGCCTGTTAGGTCGACTATTTGTTGGTGAGGCTAGAGGGCATGTCGCAGGAGGAGATTGAGGAATTAGCAACGAGTAAAAAAGCATAGTATTTGTACAGCAACGCACTAGTCTATCTGTTTGCCGGATGCCCACCTTGCCATGTAATTCTATGGGGACGTTGAGCCTACCCCGTGGCAGGATGTGAGACCCAGAATTGCAGTGGGAAGGCACTGGAAATAACTGCACATCGCATTGATTCCACACTTCCACACAATCCAGCAATAGAGAAACAGTAAGAATGAGTGACGACTAGTGGGACATTGGGAGCACCATGGGTATCGCTCGACAAATGCACAGTTAACGTGAAGGCATAATGTTAGGAATATGGCAGGGTCGACAGAAGACTTAGGTATCTCCAGACAGTGATGAAGCATTACGATATATGAAGCAGAGCAAACCCAGAGATAATGAAGAGGACAACATCGACGGAAGCGACCAGGATCAAAGACCCAAGTCTGCAGGAATCATCGTCAGTCGAATAGACACTAAGAAGACATCGACGCACGACGCACCTTTCAGCAGCTTGCGCGTCTCGTGCTCGCTGATATTCGCCGTCGCACGCCTCGCCAGCAGCTTTTCCGTCCTGAACTTCTCATACAGGACTTCATTCGTGCGGATCTTCAGCATCTACCAAACCGTGTCTCAGAACCCAAGCTCCTTCCCATGTAAGTCGCACCACAACGCACCTTCATATACGTAGACAGCACCGCCGTGCGCATCGCGGCGAAATCACAATGTTGCGGATTCAACACGTCCACCGTCCCCCACCTGAACTTCCTGATGAACACGCCCCTCAAGTCGGCCGGCGGGCCCGCCAGGTACGGGAAGTGCTTGGTGACCGAGCTCGGCGTGGACGGGGTCGTCGGCGACGTATACGCCGAGTCCGCCACGGACTGTGCGTGCCCATCCTCAGAGGGCGCCACGCCCGAGCCCGTGTCCGTGTCCGTCTGCATCGACTGCTGGTCGAGCGGCGTGAGGGACGGCTTCACTGTGCGGCGGCGCTTGACGCGCTCGGGGCTGATCAGCGCGAACGGGAGGATGCCCGCGAAGTCGCTCTTCACTACGACGCTCGCGGAAAAGCGCACGCTCGCGACGCTGTCCACGTCCGTCGCGTCGGGCTCCGCGCGCTCCCGCGCTGCGAGCTCGGAGAGCGTCACCCGCGACCGCGACTGCGACCGCGCCCTGCTGCTTGTGCCCCCGCGTGTGCCGCGAAGCTTGATCACGGGGCGCGAGCGCCGCTCCTCTGGGTCCTCCTCCGGCTCGCTCTCTTCAGTGTCATTCGACCCCTGGCGCTTGCCATTCCCATTTCCGTTTCCGTGTCCGTTCCCGTTTCCAGTCGCGGTGCTGTCCCCGTTCGTCCCAGGCTTCGCGGTCGTGGGTGTCTCGGGGTTGATAGGACCGAACACGCCAAAGTCGAGGCCCGCTTCGAGGAGGTCGCGGCGCACGACGCGCTTCATCTCCGCGAGCGTGTCGTCCGTGAGCGAGTCTGCGCGTGCGAGGACGGGAAGCACGTTGGCACGCGTGCTGAGGCGGCGGATGACACGGATGTCTGCGGGCGACATCTTGAGGTCCGCGTCTGCCTCCTCGTCTTCATCTTCAGAAGTCGAGTCAGAGAAGGAGAGGTCCGGCGGGTTGGTCTGCTTGGATATGGTCGCTTCGGAGCGCGACTTTACCGGAAGTGAGGAAAGGGCGCGCCGCAGGGATGTGGTTATGATTGACTTCGGATCGATCATGTAGATGCATCTGTGGCGTGGTGTGGGGTGTGAGACGAGGTGTTTCTGCGGACTTCGATAAGGACTCACAGATGGATGTGCTGATCTCCTTTGCTCTGCCGGATGACTTTTGATTCCTACGAGATGATGTCAGTGAGTGCCGGGCCGAGGCATTGCATGCCGCTGGGAGGCGGTGAGGTGGATTGGGGAATGGTGCAGGCCAAACGGTCGGTGCGACGCTAATTGGGATCAACGTGCCACTCCGCGACAAACACGCACCTCGCTAAGTGTGTCCGAGAACTGCGTGTCCATGTATTTCACCACCGTGGAGACTTGCCGCTCCAGCTTGAGCTCGTGGCCCTCCTGGAAGTCGAGGCCGGGCGTGTCGATCACCGAGAGCAGTACACGATCGTATCGAGATTCGCATATTTCGATGCACGTCGATTGTATCGAGTCTGTTCGCTTCGGGGTGCCGCGGAGGAAGTGCTCCATGGCAGTCCTCTGCTCGGGCGTGGCCGTGGGTGAGATGTCGGCGGTGTCGAGTAGCAGCCGGAGCAAAGACGTCTTGCCTGTTCCTTGACTTCCAGCCACCTGCGATCACGCTATGAATGGAACTGCGGGACTGCCACTGCACTGACAACGCACCATGATGTTGAACGTCGTTGGGGCGCGCGCCTTACGCAAGCTGAGCTTTGGGCGCGAATGAGATAACTTGCGAGTCTCGTATGCAGAGGGCGGTGGTGGTGTTGTCGACATATACAATGAGGAAATGGGCCCGCCTGCAGGTTTGCCTGGAGACGACCATGGCACATGGAATGGAATGGGACCCTGTACTTCGGTGTCAAAGACTGTCTTGGCCGCACCTTTTGGGGGAGTTTGTTGCTGTGCAGCATCCGGCACGGCGGAGAGGTCGACGAGGTGCTCGGGCCATGGTATGCCTTGCGCGGTGAGCTCTGGGAGCGAAGGCGAGTGGCGGACGAACGGGGGACCGTCGTGGTCGGCCTCTGACTTGCGCGACTTGCGGCGGAAGCTGAACATGGCTCAACCTCGAGGCTTCGGGGAACGTGTAGAGAGAATGAACGTGCGAGAGAAGCCCGTTGGACGGCCAGCGCAGAGGAACACGGGCAGGTTGTGGGAGACACGGAGAGGAGGCTGAGAGACAGCCTGAGCACGGTCCTGGCCCTGTCGCAGTGCTCGGCCACAGGCGCCCACTTTCCCATTCTAGACGCCCGAGGCCCGCCCATTCCCTCTTTGGTGATTGGCGCCGCCCTCTTCAGCAGCGCGCCCATGGTCGGTGCGTCGACGGCGTTGTACTTCCCAAGTCCTTTCCATCTCTTTTTCTTGTTCGTTGGCCCTGCGGGGAATGGGTGCGCAGTGCATGCACAGGCTGTGCACAGGCCCATACTTCTTGTTGCTAGGGCCAAATTGGATCCGGCCACTTCCTGTCGTACGTACACATCCTTCGCTCGCTAGAGGAAGGCTCTACGTGGTCGAAATGTTGCTTCCGCTCTTCATCCGTGTTTACATTGTTGATCATTTGCTTTCTGTTAGATGTAGACGGCCATGGGCCATGTTCCTCGAGCTGGACCAGGTAACGTCGCGCGGAGCACATATCACCTGCTTGCTGCATTCTTCCTTAGCAGCGATTATTTTGTGTCTAGACAGCGGCCGGGTGGCCAATTTTCCAATGGTCGGCCACTGGCAACGAGGGCGCTGCTGCCAAAGTGCGAGTATACTGTCCTTCATCGCCATGTCCGGCATTGACCGTTTCGCGAAGCTGGGCAAGAAAAACTGGTATCTTGATATACGCTGAATCGACGTTGTCAAAGAGCCACCTCCAGTTCCCCTTGGAGCGTGCTACAGACGAGAGCATCTTTCATGCCGTACAATATATGTAGTAAGCACCGTACTCATTGTATGATACCAGTAACCAGAGTATACACTATCTTGCCATCGCCATTGAAAACACTGAATGCAACCACACTAGCTGCTGCCTGCATCAACGTGTCTCGGTAGTCCTTGCACCTGAGCAGGACTCATATGCGTTGTACCTCGAACAACCGTAAGGAAGCTGCCGTGCGGAGGAGTAGGAGGGGCGTATATCATAGTAATGCATAATTGCGAGAGAACATTGGAGAGTTTCTCCATTTTCCTCAACCGCCTATGTCGTCCTCCATTGTCACCGACGTGCACTTTCGGAGGGCGCGCGTCGGCCCCGTTGTATTTGGCGGCGATCCGCACGCTCTGCCGGTTATCGTTACCCGCTAGTCCGTGGATAAAGGTCTCGCGCCACACGCTCAGCCACCTCGGCGCGTCTCGCGACTGTCGCCTTCACACAACGCTCCATGCCTCGCTCAGTACTCGTTCTATGGCTATGAAGACCTTGTTTTCAGAATCTACGCGTCAAAATCACCTCAGGGAAGGTCTCGGGTAGGCCATATTGACAGTAAGCGACTCGCAAGACCTCCAGACGAGTCGGCGAACACCCGCAGACAGTAGGACTGGCGCACGAGTCTTACACATCGCGTGTTGGGATACTGGAGTAGACTGTACGGCGACTAGATTGCAGTATGTGTTTTATATGGAAAGCTCGAGACAGTATACACAACCCAGTTTGGCTCCAGGCTATGGTACTCAGGCTGGTGGTGAGGATGCCGGCTTCTTGTCGCACTCACGAATTACAGCATGTACGCTGTGGGATGTATTCTGGTACATAAGTGTGGAATATGAGCACATATATGCAGCTGTATACGGTAGTTATGTGTACACGATTGTATCGGCGTAGCAGCTGGACCTCCTGCGGAGCGCGGCAGGTCTGGGAGGTGGCGCTGGCGTTGGACATAAGGTCGTGTCATTAATGTGTCACATATCAAGGTTGAAAATTGAACGTTTCAACACTGATGGTGTATTGCTACATTCAAAATTGCGAACAAGTATGCTATGAGCCCGACGGGACTGAGCGGGGCTGCTTGGCACCGCGAAAGTGCAGAAGGCGAGCAGAAGGACAGAAGGACAACTCACTAACATCGAACAATCTCTGCCCTTCCACCCCAGCAAACGACATCCTCGGCTCGACCAATTCTCTCCTAGCATCCCAACACGCGATGTATAAGACCCGTGCGCCAGTCCTGCTGTCTGCGGGTGTTCGCCGACTCGTCTGGAGGTCTTGCGAGTCGCTTACTGTCAATATGGCCTTCCCGAGACCTTCCCTGAGGTGATTTTGACGCGTAGATTCTGAAAACAAGGTCTTCATAGCCATAGAACGAGTACTGAGCGAGGCATGGAGCGTTGTGTGAAGGCGACAGTCGCGAGACGCGCCGAGGTGGCTGAGCGTGTGGCGCGAGACCTTTATCCACGGACTAGCGGGTAACGGTAGCCGGTCGACCTCAGCTGGCACAAACGGCCCCTCGCTCTCGATGCTACCAATTCACGTTCGTGTTACCGAGCCCGACGCACTCTGCCTGTCCACATTTTTCGCGGATCCAGGTGCCTATCCCTGCAATACATATGGAATTGGCTGTAACAGGCAACTCTTCAAGCCACTAGTACTGATCGACCCGTAGCGCTTTAGAGCAGTACTTACACAGCTTGTCAGACACGCCGTCGTAACGCTGTCGGTCAGTGTACAGGCCAGATGATAGTATCTGTACATAGCTCCAATTTGACGGATTGCCCTGTGTGGCAATGAGCAATCATTCACAACACGGAGAACCATGATCAAGCTTGATTGACTACGCGCACGTAGAGATCCTTCAAATTGATCCCTCAAACCACCCTGACTTCGCCGTCATAGTAATACTAAAGATCACATACTCGTCTCCTCTCCCCCGGCACTTGAGCTTGATGAACTACGACTCTGCACAATGGAAGATTCTGAGGTAACAGCACACACCCTCCCTTCAAGTTACACCGCGCCATAGTCCTGGACGAAGGCTGCACAATCACGTCGGCCCATCGGCAATGGCACCGGATCCACAAAACCAAGCAAGCGACAGCGAGTCTGTCAGTGTGTGCGTCGCACCGTGGCGGCGGCGACGAATATATACTACTAGTACATGCGGCGGCTCCATGCAGCAAGCAACAATCGAAACATCCCAGCGACGAGTAAATACCCCAACAAAGCAGAATGAGAGCAATACACAATACACACGAGGCAAGCGTCCTTCAAACAAGTCTAAAGAAGTGCGTTCGCGCGCGGGCTCGCCGCGGAGTCTCAAGGCGCCTGCACACCCGCCATCACAGCGGCGGGCGCAGACTCGGCTGCCATCCGCATTTTCTTCGCCGGGTGACCGCCATCTGACGGGCCACCATCTACCATACCGATGCCGCGCGTCGTCCCGTTCGACGTGCTGAACTGCACGGGCACGGACGGCGACGAGCGCGACGACGTCGAGCCGGACGGGCCTGGCGTCGCCGCCGCCGCCCGACCGCGCGCCCTGCTCGTGCCCGGGTCGTTGACGTAGTTGCACGGCAGCGAGCGCCGCGAACAGCTGCCACACGCTGGATGCGCCCCGTCGCACCTGGTCTTGCGCGCTGTCAAGATAGCGGGAAACGCTGGGGATCAACGCGTGCCTCGGGCCCGATAGATCCACCATCACCACGTACCTCTGCAGACGTTGCAAGCCACGATCTTCGAGCCATGATTGGTCGCGCGCGTTTTCCCAGTCGCCGCGGCGGACGTGCGTCTCCGCGCCGTCATCTGACCGTCCTCTGACTTGAGCGACCCTATCGACGGCGGATCTTCCTGGGGCAGGCTCTTGGACGCCGAAGACGGGGGTGCTGATAGCGTGGCAATGGGCGGAAGCTCCGGGCGTGCATCCGTCAGTGTCACATTCCGCAGGCTTGTCGTCGCCTGCTGGATGGGCGCAAGTGTCGTCGAGCTTGTGGACTCGTCCCGCCGCTCGATCGCGCTGCTGAGGGGTGGAAGCGTCTCCCCGAGGAGCATGCCGACGTTCGAGTTCCGACGCGAGGTCGGCTGCGAGTGCGAGTGCGGATGCGACGTGACGGAGACCTCAGGGGACTGAGAAACGTTGTCCATATCCATGGACTGGTCTTCCATGCTCTCGCCCTCGCTTTCACTGCCGCCGAACTGTTTCCGCGCCTTCCTTCCACCACGCCCCTTCTGGCTCGCGGTGTAGTCGCATGGATTCGACCGTTTGAAGCACTGACTGCAGGCAGGCCTGCCGCCATCGCACTTCAGTTTGCGCGCTGAAGACACACAGAGCGTCAGTCAGAGCTGAGCAAGGGTCGCGGGAGAGAGAGACGCACATCGGCAGAAATTGCACGCGACCGTGATCTTCTTAGTGCGCAACCGTTGAGACCCTGTGTGTGGAGATACGAGTTGTCAGCATAGCAGCCGAGTGAACTCTTCGATGATGATAGAGCCATATATGACGATGACTGGTCTCACGACCCCTCGTGAAAAGAAAGGTGACTGACTCGAAGAAGTTGCAGTTCCCGGAGAGGCTTCCGAAGGGATCCCCGAGGGGACACGCGGTTGGGGGGACCCGGCAGGCCGCGAAACTGCGTCTCCATTGAGCGAGATAGTTGCCGGGCGAGCCGGGTGTGGTTGTCCCTTCACGGTAGCGTGAGACGGCGTAGTGTCTATAGCAAGGATGGGGCGAGACGCCTGAGAAAGAGCGGGAAGTCGGGGCGGCAATACGACCTGTGCGTGGGGCGCCCGAGTTGGAATAGGATGCGGCAGCGGCGGCTGGGTCTCCGCCCTGAACTTTTGGAAGAGATATTCTCTTGTGTATTTTTGCAGAGTCTGCCGCGAACACCCGGAACACGCAACTAGTCGTCAGTAAACACTTCAAGAAGTATTCCTGCGCAGCAAGATGACTGTACCTGCATGTGATGAAAGATGGCCCGGCGTAGTTGTACAAAGTCACAGTGTGTTGTATCCATGACATCGAGGAAGCCCCATCTAAAGCTTCGAATGAACTTGCCCGGCACGATTTTAGCGAATGTCTGTTGCTTGTGGTTAGGAAACTGTTGTAAAGGAGTGTACTGCAGCGTCAGTTCGTGACGGGACGGTGCGGGTCTAGCAACGCCGTCACTATGTGAATAAATATCCGGCGATATCACCGCGTAGGGCAGGCGCAGGAAGGAAGGTGGCGACATCGGTGGCGATGGCGGAGAGGTCGCTGACGACGAGGCACCGTTTATATGGCTTCCATACCCATTCTCGAGCTTTGGCGGAATGTTCTCAGACGAATCCCGGCGAGTGTACTGAGGGTACCCTGGGAAGGTGTCCATGTCGAAAATGCCGAACCCGATACCCGCATCTGCCAAGTCGCGCCGCACGGCCGTCTTCACAGCGGCGAGACGTTCATTGGTCAGGATGTCGGCGCGTCCAACAACGGGGAGGACGTTGACGCGCGACGATAGCCGCCGGATGGTGGCAATGTCGGCGGCGGGAAGGGCAGGCCGACAGAGCAGAGGGTTGTTGGTCACCGGGGGCTCGAGTATGACGGGCTCAACCTCGGACATGCTCCCAGCACGGCTCCGGGTGACGAGGGGGACGGGGGGCGCTGGTACCGATGGAGGCACTATGGTGTCCGGATCCAGGAAGTAGATACACCTGGGCGCATGCACACAATGTATCAGATAGAACCTTGCCTATTCGGGACGGGTCCGGCGACACTCACAGATGGACATGGTGGTCCCCCCTCTGCGCCATTCGCTCCTGCAAAGGGGTTTGGTTTGGACAACGCGCTTTGGGAGTGATTGGGAGAAGCAACTTACGTCGTCGATGCTTTCCGCGAAGCGCGCGTCTACGTACCGCAGGATATCGGTGACCACGCGCTGGGACGCGGCATCGTCGACAAAGTCGAGGGACGGCGTGTCGACGAGCGTGAGGGTGAACTCCTGGCTGTCCTCGCCCTCTGCGGGTGCCAGGTCGACGTTGACGGAAGCGGACCGGACGTGCGAGGTGTGACCGCTGCAGCCCTGGACGAACTTGGCGACGGACACAAGCTGGTCGTGCGAGACGGAGCGGGCGACGACGCTGGTGTCGAGGACGAGCCGGAGGAAGGAGGTCTTGCCGCTGCGACGCCCAGCGACCATGAGGGTGTAGCCGGGGAGGTCGGTGTCCGCGTCGCCTGCGGTGGTCGGGCGGGAGGGACGGAGACCGGCTTGCTCGTCCATGACCTGGCCGTAGGGGCCGTCGTCGTGGACGAGCTGGTCGGGGCGTGCCCTGTGGTCGACGGCGTCCATGGTGGGGACGTCGAGAGCCGGAGGGAGTAGCGAGGATGTGCGGGGGTGGGGTTCCAGATCACCACTCGCCCATCACCGCGCCGGCAAGCGCCCGCCAGGCTCGCGTTCCGGGCTCGGGCGCCTCTCGCTCGCAGTCCGCCACAGGCTCCCCTCCGCCAATGGCCGCCTCCCAATCGCCATGCCCCTCCCGCCCGCCGGTTTACGTACAGGCGAGAACAGTCTATTACTTTTGCATGCTATCTACGACATTAGCCATTATTAACGTGGGATTATCTGGACTGGGACCGCGAGTAGACCATAACACGAGTATAGCGATGTAGAGTGTAGTAGCCAGACATAACTTAGCACGAAATAAACATAAAGTACCGGCGGGAACGGAGCGGACGCGTCTGTCGCCCCCTGCTCCGTCTCGCGCGAGGATCATCCCAGACGAGCGCCGGGCCCCGGCTCTGCGCCGTGCTCCATCTCCGTCTCGGCGGCGTGCTTCGACCTCGTTGCGCGAGGTCGAGGCAGACCGGGGGCGCGGTGGACGTTCGCGATGAGTGTGTGAGCAAGTGCGGTAGCAGCCTGAGTAAGACCTGGATAAGGATTGGCGAGAAGTGATTGAGCTGCCAGCGACTTGGGCGGTGGACGGTGTGACATGCTCCCAGTGACTGCCGCGCGTGCATTATTCGGACGCTCAGCGCGGCCTGCCAGCCCACCGACGGGCACATGCCTACCGCTCCGGTGGCGTCGACCCGTCGTCTTCCTCCTCGTCCGTCCCCTGCCCGCCAGAACCCTCCTCCACCACATCCTCTGCCGAGTACTCCGACCCAAGCGACTCGCCCAATGGGCCTAGCGAAAAGTACCGGTCCTCGCTCGGACGATCTGCGGACCCTGAACCCGGCAGTCGCCCCGGACTACGAGGCGCAAGCACAGGAGGATCGGGTGGGAACATCGCATGGGGCTGCATCGCAGCTTCCTCGCCAGCCTGAGGGTAGTACCGGTCTGGAGGCTGGAATGTGAATGGCCCCGACAGCGGGCCAAGGGTGCCCTGCACCGTCGACACCGCCTGCTTCGCCAGGTTCTTCTTGCCAGGCCCGCGCCGCTTGGGCCTCCCTGGCGGGTACTTGCACGCGACCTGTCGCTTCGCGCAGTTGCCGCACAAAGGCTGGCCGTCGCATCTGAGCTTCCGTTCTGCGAGAAGGGACAGCGGTGGTCAGCCATACGCGCACAGTGACACAGAGGTACGACGTCTGTCGATCGAGACACTCACTCCGACAGAAGAAACACGCCTTCTCTGTCTTCTTGCTCTGCTTCCGCGGAGGCGGCTCTGGAGACTCGCCCGCCCTTGACGGCGATCCTGCCCACGACGCACTAGCTTCCACGTCCTCTGCACGCCGACGTTTGCGCGACGTCCGGCGCGAAGGCCCAGGTTCCGGCGGTGCGTCCTCCTCAGGCCCCCGCCTACTCACGCTGTCTTCTGTGTCGTTCCCGTCGTCTCCAGAATGCGTCGAATGCGACGTCAGCGAATGCTGATAGCTCCTGGGCTCCGAGAACAGCGGCCCAGAGTATCGGGGCGATGCGATTGTCTCCACCTCCCCGATCGGCGGCGCGTTTGGATCGAAACTGTACGGCGTGTTCACTGGCAGACGCGCTGCCGCCGTATATCGCGGTGCCATCGTGGCTGGATCGTACTGCGTCGAAGCCTGGTACGACACGGGGAAGGGCGATTGAGCACCGTGCCCATAGCCAGGAGGAGGTGCACGAAAATCCGGCACGCTTTCGAATCCTACCATCGAGCGCAGATCAAAGCGATGCACACTCTATCCAAGCAGCCCGACTTACTGTGCAGCAGTGGCCTCTCCACCTCGGCGACAGGCAGAGTCGTCCGACGATCCGCGGGGCTGACCGATCGCCTGCTCCCCGGGCGTGTTCGAAAGTCGACGGGCGAGAGCCGCCTCTCGATGTCGCCCGCCCGCTCCGCGACGGGCGAGCCACGCGAGTACGGCAGAACCTGAGCATACGGCGGCGGGTAGAGTCCGCGCTCCTCAGGCTCGGGCAAGCGGCTCGGCAGGGGCCTCGAGCCGCTTGCTCCAGCTGAGCGACGCGGCGGCAGCGAGCGTCCTCTGCGGGGGTCGTCGGGGTACGCCACGCCCTCCGGTTCGAGGTGGCGGCGCAGGTACCCAAGGGTGGGCGAGCCGTACTCGGAGCGCGCCTCAGGGATACGGCCACGCCCCGCCTCATAACCACGGCTGGGTCCTGGCAGAGGGAGGGAGTAGCTTTCAGGGAATGACTGGCCCAGGGGCGGTTGACGCGAGGACGAGGCGACCGGCTGCTCGCCGCCTGATTCGTGATGTCCGCCGTAGCGCGCCCCGGGCGGCGGGAAACTCGAGCTGACGTGGGGGAGCTGGGGTGGCGGTGGCGGACGGGAATACGGGTTGGCAGGCTCGCGTGCCTGCGGCATTGGGTAGGAATAGCCATGGCGTGCGGGAGCGAGCCTCTGTGGCTGGCTGGAAGGCCCCGCCTGGCCCTCCCAGTAGGATCGCAGAGCGGGCAGCCGCGGTGGCTCCGGTGGCGGCAGAGACAGATGTTGCTGGTAGCCGTGCACGCCTCGGGGAGGGGGCAGCGCTGGCTCGGTGGGAGACGTACCTCCGGATAGGATGGACTGCAAGGGGGGTAGTTGGGTTGCAGCTGGTCGCCGATTGTCTTGGAAGGCCTCGAACGGCTCTGCGGGCCCTCTTCTGGGAAGATCGCCTACATGCCTGTCCCCCTCGTGGAAAGCAGCTGGTGCGAGGCTTCCAACGGTGTAATCGGGGTCAGGAAACGAAGGAACAGGGCGAAACGCACGCGAGCTTTGATCCCAGTCTGCCCTTGGTTCTCCGCTCGACGAGGCCTCTGGCGGATCGTTCTGTCCCGGCTGATCAGGTTCGGGACCACGGAGGAGCCGTTGCAGACTACTCGGTAGAGTGCTTTGACGTCCTGGATCGCCCTCTCTTCGTCGCTCTGGGTGCATGTGTGGCCAGCCTGGGGACAAAGGTTACCAGAGGACGTCGCAGTCGCAGGATGTCGCTTTGTGCGGCGGCGGGGGCGGAAGCAAGACCAGTAAACCCATTCGACGGCAGGATCGCGGAAGAAAAGAGGGGGCAAAAACTGCGTGTCCGCAGAGAGGGGCGGATGCGGCCTAGGAGCCTCCCCCGTAAAGGTGCAAGGAGCGCACGGACAATCCCCTAAGGTTTGCTCCCGCTGCAGCACCGGTTCAAGAGGCCCAGTTCAACCATAAACCAGGCCGGGCGTCGGTCTGTCCGTTGCGGCGCATTACTGGATCGAGGAACGCCTCGGCATGGCTGGTGAGTGCATCCGCTCAACCGTTGCACGGCGAAGTGCGGTGGTCAAACTCAACGTGATTACCTGATGCGCATTACCAGCGTCGCCACCGCTGCACCATCATTGTCCACCCCACAAAGCTTCACTCAGATCGCACTCATTCTCTCGCTGTTCACTCGAACATCTCTCTCAAGGCCTCATCGGAGGGGCACCGAAGAAGTCGCGCTGATTGGGTGCTGGCCATATCGTGGGCAGCGTTCCAATCCGCTGGTTCGGCCGGTCACAAGTCACATAATCGAGCCGAAACACGATCGACTATCTGGCGGCGCAGAGGACTCCTAAGAACAGCTGCCGTGTTTGTCCATCTCTGCCCGCTGTGCCGGTAACACCGCCGATTGCGCCACTACTAATCTTGCGTCTGACTCGCCGCGAACCCAGCGAATCTCGCTCTCAACTTGGGTGGCGGCGCTGCCCTGCGGGTGGCGGGGCATGCCCGTGCCAGCCTCCGCACTGGCGCTTCCGGCTGGTCGGGGTAGTGTTGCGGACAAGCCGAGTTCAACTCGCGAACTCACTCGACTTGATGATCAAGTTCGCAAAACTCGGCTTACTTGTTGCGCAAGTCAAGTCGGCGAGTTGACTCTGGAGTTGGGGCTCCATATCTTACTAATTTTCTCACGCACCATAACGGGACACCATCGCCCCCGCCCTTGCGCGGCCCGACGCGATCGATCCAAACGCGACTTCAAATCGTCGAGACTGCGTCTCCCGCTGCGTCTCCCGTCGAGTTCTCCGCCACCCTGCTGTACGCGAATGTTTCATGCACTTCTGCGGCTCTCGCTCTGCACTGCAAGGACCCTGGGCCCATGTACGCGATTCGTCAAGCCGTTGGATTGTGGGTTCTTGCGCGACGGTGTGGTGTGTGTTGCCGGTGGATGTGTTTGAGGGAGGACGCGATGCGCGAAGTGTACAGTACCCTAGGTATCAGCTGAGTACCCGCCGTATGTTCTTCTGAGTATATATACTCGTTGCAAACACGCTATTATCCTGTTCGACTGGACTTGATGCCTGCCGACTGCACTTGCGGCGACCCTCTGGACTGCCGCTGCCGCGTCTCGAGTGCGAGTTCATCATTCCTCTCTCAGCCATCCTATACCACGCAGAGCCAAGGTACTCTCCCACCACAGCACTTCCAGCAGTTTCACTCGCCACCAGGCTATCCTCCATCATCTGGCTACCCGCAAAACTACGTCCATCCTTATGCAGCTCATCAAGGGACTGGGCCAACTGCGGCGGTCACAGACGGTGGTGCACCCTTCTATGCATATCCCGGGTACGGTTATCACGCTTTCCCACCTCCTCCACCCTTTCCGCCGCAAGCTACTTCGTATGTCCCGTTCCCGCAGGTGCCGCCTGATAGTTCCGGGCCGCCACCGGCAGCTGCAACAAACACCAAGTCAAAAGGTACTCGCGGCGGTACGTCAACACGGAAGCGCAAGAGCACGACCACTGCTACGAACGATGTGAACAAACGGACGTGTACGATGAATGTCGCGCCCGAGTCGTCAGCGACTTTGGGCCCGGGTACTGCTGCAAGCAGCTCTAACGTGGACGGCAGTCAGGTCCGAACCGCTACGCATTGCGGCGTCGGCCCGGTTGATGGAGGGTTGGAGTCGAGCGAGCCCTCTGCTGAGGGTTCGGCATCCTCGTGGAGCTTGGGCAACATTGGTCCAACCGCAGTCAACTCACCGTTGACGACCTTTGGCCTCAACTCACGGAAAAGGGATGACACTAACAGTGCAACAGCCACTGATGTATGGTTTTTCTGCCGTGAGCTCAAGGTCAATGCAAGGCCTGAGACAAAGCCTGAGAACGAGCAGCCGTTGCATCAGAAGCCGAAGACTGAATTCATTGGTTGTCGGCTCTGCGAGTAGTAAGTCCATTGCTTTGCGTTGAGCATTGAACAAGGCTAAAATCTCTGTTAGTCCGAAGTGGCAAACCTGGCGCAATACCAACGGAATTACGACCACCGTGCGGCGGCATCTTGAGCGTATGCACGGTGATCTCTACGGCCCGACCGTTAAGACCTTGGGTCTCAAGCATGCAAACGATCACCAACATTCCAAATCGGGCAAAGTAGATGAAGCGGAGGTGTTCTCCGTTGGTGAATGGGTCAAGAAGCTTGTACGTTTCATTGTCGTCGATGATCAGGTAAAACTTGGCTTGCTCCATGTCTCTGTGTGGTACTGAAATGGTGCCAGGCCATCAGTCTCGTTGATTGCCCAGAATTCCGCGAACTCCTTCTCTTCGGACCAGGGCCAGACAAATTGACAGACACTGATATTCCTCACCGTGACAAGCTTAAGGACGAGATTGTCAAGATGTACAGAGAAATATACAGTAGAATTGTTCTTGATGCACAGGTAAGCTCTGATCTACATTCCGTGCTATAGTCGTGTTGCATCATTGAATATAGAACGCTCTCGGTCGCGTGTCATTCACTGCTGACGTCTGGGATGATCCGACATTCCGGGCATTCATGGCTGTCACAGTGCACTACTGTACTAGGGACGAGAACCTTAGGCTTCGCATCCAGTCAAAGCTCCTCGCGTTTCGATTGGTTGAGGGATCCCATGATGGTCGAAATCTTTCCAAGGTTTTCCTAGGTATTGTCAAGGAAGCAAAGCTCGAAAAGAAGGTGGGTTTGTGCTTCTCCCAAATCCTTGTCTTCGTATTAAATTGTAGTCGTCATGGTTAGATCGGCTCAATCACGATGGACAACGCGTCATCCAATAAAAAGAAGATGACATTTCTCCAGGACGAACTCAACAAGGCGGGTATTGCATTTGATGCCGACGGTAATCGTGTATGGTATGTTTGATCACTTTGCATGCCAATCACAGAGCTACATAATTGGAGTTTTGACAGTTGCTTCCCTCATGGCATTAACCGTGCATGCCAGGCCGTGACAGACGAGCTTGAGAAAAATCCATATGAGCCTGTGTACGCGCTTGCCTCGGCACCCGGAGTCACTGAGGAATTCAAAGAATCCTGCATGCGGTATGCTGATGCACTCGGTAGCAAGCCAATCAGTAGTGTTCGGACAGTGGTCGTTGCAGCGCGACGATCTGGCCCGAGGCGCGAGGAGCTTCAGCGCGTCATCAAGATGGGCAACCAGTCGAACTTGTGGGGTACTCTTGAAAACCCGGTAGTGCTTCCTGAGGTCCAACTGCTCCGTGATGTGGACACGCGGTGGTCGTCAATGTATAATATGATAAGCCGCATGCTTAACTTGTACCCTGTGAGTGACGCTCTGTCCGGTGCTTCTCGGCTCATATACCCTCTATAGGCCGTCCGACATTTGATACTGAAAGACACCCTTGGAGACATCGCCGATTTGACAGATGACGAGCTCAACGTTCTCGTTGACATCCATCAGGTATTCTCGGCCCCGAACGCAGCGCAGGAGTTGCTATCTGCGGAAAAGACGCCTACCCTTTGTATGGCGTTACCCGTTTACACCGACCTGATGGACGTCTGGGAAGAACAGGCCCGGACGATCCCGGAACTACAGCATTACATCAAAATGGGCATCGACCGGGTGCAGAAGTATGTCAACATTGCCCGAACCAGTCGGATTTATGCATTAGCAATGAGTACGTCCGTCTGCACGTTACAGTAGTTGTCGCGGCTCTCTGACAACACATCATGCACCAGTAATCAACCCCACTGACAAAATGACGTGGATCAACGCGCACTGGACAGTACAACAAGCCGCCGATGCGAAGAAGTGGATGGTTGATGCCGTATGTAGAGTACCCAGCTCATGACACGTTGTACTAATATCAACAACTTTACATCAGATGGCCGCATTCGCAACATCCAAACGTCATGCAAGCAAGCAGACGAACCCTCCCCCGAGTCCTTCCGGGCGCGCAGGTACTACATCGAAAGCTGCGCAGGCACAGGTGTCTGGCGTGCATCGCCTGCGCGCCATCAAAAGCTTGCCGCGGCGGTCCAAGACACTCCCACTAGCAGCAAGCATTACCTCCCCGAGTCCCTCTGCCATCTCTCGTAGCTGCAGCGAGTCATCGGCTACCAGTACCGCCCCAGGACCACAATCGAGAGAAGCTAGTGTACCATTGCTAGCGCAAACGAACAGCGAGTCACCTGCTCCGAGTCTGCAGCCACCTTCAAGTTCACCTGCGGAAATTGCTGCGCTTGAAGCTGACGCAGTGATCCGCGACCGTACCATTGCGGAAAATGAGCTTGATCGGTATCTCACCGTGCCCCTGGTTCGTTCCGAAGATCGCGCAGTTGACCTTGTTGCATGGTGGGAGGTACGCCCTTGCTAATACTCTATGTCTATCACAGTAATTGCTCATAAAGTCGTCGTAGGGTCACGAGAACGAATTCCCGCTGATGTTCCGGGTCGCGCTTGACGTGTTACCTGTACAGGCATCCGCTGTGCCTTGCGAACGAATGTTCTCAGGAAGCAAGCAGACGATTACTGTGCAAAGGATCAATCTCTCACCCGAGATGCTCGAAATCCTGCAGGTGGAGAAATTCGAATTCAAGGGCGACCGTTTAGACTTCACGGAGGACACCCTTGCGAAGCCCGAGGACTACAGTTTGGAGGCACCGACGGCGTCTGCGGTTCAGGAGCTCATTGCGCTGGGGCGATTTGATGAACTGCGCGATCTGTATCGTAACCAGGAACTTAGGCAGAAATAGCTTCTAATTGCATCGTCATTCAAGTTGCTCAGTATTACATTCAAGTCTTTGTATACTTTACGAGCCCTTACCACCGCGACGAACTTCGATACGGCCGCGCACACAATCGTGCAGACCGTTGCTTGAATCTGATTGGCCAGTGAACGTGAGAATCACTGTACAGTTGTGGCACCTGGCTTGTAAGCCAACTCCTTAGCTTACTCGGCGGCAACTCGAAATTCGAGTTGTGATCGAGTTTGCTGACTCGGCTTAGCTTGACTCAACTTGCCGCAACACTAGGTCGGGGGCGCGCCTCGTGGTTGACGCACCGTGCGACTCTCGTCACCAGGAGGCAGATTTGATCAGACGGGAGCGTCCAGAAGCAGCTACTGAGCCCGGCATGGCAAGGGGCGTGCGCAGAATGTTATCTCGATTGTCATCAAATGAAATGTTCGCTGCGTTTCCCGCTTATTCGTTTAGCAGTAGCTTCAGTTTGTCACGTCCGCCTCCATGCTACTGCACTAGCTACGTCTGAGAATAATAAGGAAAATTGCATGCGTGCAGTGCACGGCGCTGAGAAGCCCCCGAGCAGACAGCAGCGATTTGAACGGAAATGAGGTGAGTGCGGGCCGGCGCCGATGGGCGGGCTCGAGTCAGGACTTGCGCGTGAGCGGGGTTTGTGTGATGTGTCACACGGTGACACTCGTCCTGCGCGCTACGTGACGTGTGTCTGTATCACGACCAGCCAAGATCGTCGACCAGGAAGATGCACCACGCACGGCCCTCCTCCCTCCAGCCGTCCAGGCGTGCGTGTCTGTCCGCCTCTCGACGATGCCTCTCGTCGTCGAGAGCGCAGGGCGCGGAGCAGCCCGTGATGAACCGATACAGCCGGACGGTCACGCAGCCAAAAACTCAGGGCGCGAGTCAGGCTATGCTCTACGCGACTGATGGCATTCAGGCCGACGAAGACTTCAACAAGGCTATGGTTGGCGTTGCTAGCGTCTGGTAGGCTCGCGCCACGCACACGTATCACTTTTTCTAACTCTCAGCTTCGCAGGTATGAAGGCAATCCGTGAGTAGACATACCACTAACCCTGTAGCCCTTCCAACATGCGAATCTGACTCGTATCATTCTAGCTGTAATAAGCATCTATTAGGCCTAGGCCAGGTGGCTAAGAAATCGCTAACTGACGCTGGTATCATCGGCTACCAATTCGGTACCGTCGGGGTCAGGTTTGTCACACTGCGACACCCGCGGCAGCACCGTTCCTCATCACTGACCACACCGTTGCAGCGATGGCATTAGCATGGGCACCACTGGGATGTCTTACTCGCTCCAGTCGCGAGACCTCATCGCCGACCAGGTCGAGACTGCCGCCGGCGGCCACTGGCTGGACGGTATGGTGGCCATCCCTGGATGCGACAAAAACATGCCCGGGGTACTGATGGCTTGTAAGTGTGGCATCCAATCTTCCCGCGACGTCTCTGAGATCTCGTCATTTTCTTTGCGTTAGTGGGCCGACTGAACCGCCCGGGTCTCATGTTGTACGGCGGAACCATCCGACCAGGCTCGTGCGCGGGCGCGCCGCAGCTCGATATTGTCTCCGCCTTCCAGGCATACGGGAAGTATTTGCAAGGCGGCCGGACGGAAGCAGCTGAGCAAGAGCGGTATCAGACCATTCGCAACGCATGTCCCGGCCCCGGTGCCTGCGGAGGAGTAAGTCCAGCGCCGCCCCCTATCCCGCCAGCCTGACAGGGGCTCCCGCACAGATGTACACGGCGAACACGATGGCGAGCGCCGCGGAGGCTCTGGGCATGGCCCTTCCGGGATCATCCTCCTTCCCCGCCGAGTCCCCAGAAAAAATGAACGAGTGTGCGAGCATCGGGCCCGTCATGCGCAACCTGCTGGAGAAGAATATTCTCCCCCGGGAAATCATGACGCGCTCTGCGTTCGAAACCGCGATGGTGACCGTCTCCCCGCTCGGGCGCCTCCCACGTGCTCATGTCACAATTAGGTTCTGACAATGATCCTCGGCGGTTCGACCAATGCCGTCCTCCATCTTATCGCCATTGCGCACTCCGTCGGTATCGAGCTCACCATCGACGACTTCCAAAATGTCTCGGACCGCACCCCTTTCCTCGCCGACCTCAAGCCGAGCGGTCGGTATGTCATGGAACATGTTTACAAAATTGGCGGCATCCCCAGTGAGTTGGCTGCGAATATGATGGTCTTGTCATACGCGCTGACAGTTTATCCGCAGAGATCTTGGAATACTTGCTGAGCAAAAATCTTATTGACGGCAACAACATGACCGTGACTGGGCGGACTCTGGGCGAGAATCTGGACCGCTGGGTACACGAACACGGCAAATTGGACTTCACCAGCCAGGATGTGATCCGGCCGCTCGAGAAGCCGATAAAGGAGACTGGTCACCTGCGGTCAGTGGGCCTGCATGGCACGAAAATAATCGAAATCCTCTGACCTAGCTCATGTAGTATCCTTCGCGGTAACCTCGCGCCCGGCGGAGCGGTCGCAAAGATCACGGGCAAGGAAGGCCTCGGTTTCACTGGCAAGGCGCGCGCATTTGACACGGAAGATGACTTTGTACGCGCCGTCGAGAGTGGATCGATCAAGAAGGGCGAGAAGACAGTCGTCGTGCTGAGGTACCTCGGGCCGAAGGGTGGACCGGGTGATTATCCTCTCTAGTCCTGCACGGACTGCTTGCTGATAAGCCGCTACAGGCATGCCCGAGATGCTCAAACCGACGAGTCTTATTATGGGTGCAGGCCTTGGCCATGATGTCGCCTGCCTCACGGATGGGCGCTTCAGCGGCGGGTGAGTCTCTCCATGCGCTGATGGTCCTTGGACGCGCCTGCTTATTGTTCGCCTCTTCCAGCTCGCACGGTTTCTGCATTGGGCATGTCGTCCCTGAGGCACAGGTAGGAGGCCCCATCGCTCTGGTCCAGGACGGCGATGTTATCGCTGTCGACGCGGTCAAAAATTCCCTTGAGCTGCAAGTCTCTGAAGAGGAGCTCGCGCGCCGCCGGAAGTCCTGGAAGCCCAAGCCGCTTAAATTCACGCAGGGAACGCTCTTCAAATACGTCAAGACGGTAGAGGACGCTAGCCATGGATGTATCACAGATGCATGAGGACGCCACAGGTGTCTCACTGCGACAAAAGGCTGCCTTGCTTGGCGGGAGTTCATTCACTAGCATGTTTAGACACAGTAGAGCGACAAAGAATGATAGGCTTTTCTCGGGAAATTATTGGCCAACGGCTATCGCGTCGTGACACCCGAGTGACACTCAGTCTGCTGCGATGACTCGCGTTACGAGAGTATCCCTTTTGTTCTCCGTGACAGCCAGCTACAGTCACAATCGTACCAGTAACTTCCCGAAACACCCTTCCACGTGCGAGAACAACCGATTTTGAATTCACAATATTCGCGCTTGGTTCGCGCAGATCGCGCGAGTCTCGAGAATGTCCTCCCCCCGATTGATGCTTCGTACGGCGATCATGCTAGCTGTCAGTTAGGCTCACACATCGGCTGGCTTGCCTGGGACATCGTATAGGCTCGAGTTTCGGACGAGTGCATTGATGATGACGGATGTGCAAGGCCGCTACTCGGACACTATACTACTTAGTACTTTGCATTCAACTTGCATTGTACAGAAATCATTCAAACTGTGGCTACAAAATCCAACGCTACATTTCATGCACCCTGGAACTCTTCGGCGCGTGTGGTACCTGGCAACGACATCTACTGACAGTTTCCGTGCTCCAAAATATGCACGGCGCAGCGGGCGCGTCGTCGCCGCGCGAAGACCACCTGCCAGTGCAACAAGTGTGCAGCCGTGCCACAGACGTCATGCTCACCAGGGGGGAATTGGCAACAGCAGCCCGGCGCGTCGGACACCCGCCCCACCGCACGTTGCACACGCAGCGTGGCGACTCTGCGACGATCACCGTCAAATCACCGTCGACTCAGCTGCCCCGCGCCGTCGCCTTGACGCGCCGTTTCTTCTCCGCTTTGGGCATCTTGTGCTGGCGCTTCTCGCGCGCCTCCTCCTTAGTCGCCTTCTTCCGCTCCTGGTTAGACGGGAGGAGTCGTCAGCTCGGCAATCACAAATAGGCTATAGACGGGATGAACCTTCTTGGCTTCCTTATCTTCGTGTCGGTGTCCCCGAGGACGCCGATCCTCGAACTTGCCCTTTCCGTCGGACTCCCCGTCAGACTGTTCGTTTTTGTCCTCGTCCCCGGAGGCCTCCGAGTCGCTGTTCTCCTCTGCCTCGCCGTCGACTTCATCAGCAGCATCGTCTTCGAACCGGACCTTGTTCCCGTGGGCCTTGGCTTGTCCGTTGACCTTCTCGCTCCCCGCGTCCACCAGCCCGATCACGTCCTTGTATATGAGCTTCTCGCCTTCGCCGCGATTGAGCGCGCCCACGTCCCGTTCAGGATCGTAGACCTCATTCAGTGTGCGCGGTATATACGACTTCATGAAGATCGCGTCCTCCTGCGCCGCATCCGCCTTCGACTGACCGTCCTGGCTTTCCTCCCCCTCAACAGGTACCTGCTCGGGCTCCTCCATCCACCGCCGCAGGACGGCAGCGGCGTCCTCGGAGCTGCCCTCGGGCACGAGCGACTCTCGCGTGACGAACTCAAACGCGCGGCGCAGACCGACGCAGCGGACGCTCCGCCTCGAGAAGAAGTCCTCGACGTTGCGCAGATCGGAGCGGAGGAAGTCGAAGGCATGCGGGTGGTCGTGCTCGACGGACTGGGAAACGTCGATGATGTAGAGGTGCCCTTGAAGTATCGGTGGGCCTGCGGTTTCGCCTTGTGCTGACGACTCTGTCGGCGCCCCCGCGCCGGACGGTGGCCGGTCTGTTGAATCGCCCGCGGCAGAGGGCTGGTCTTGAGGAGGCGAGGGTGGTATGTCGTCGACATGGTAGAGGATGTTGTACTCCGACAGATCAGCGTGAACGAGCTTGCACTCCAGGAACATCTTGCGCGTCATGACCAAAAGCTCTACGTATAGGTCGGGTATCACGGACTCCGGGATTTCAGCGTCCTTCAAACGCGGCGATGCCCTGCAAACGATTTGAGACCAGGGAGTTTCTGAGCTGATCAAACGTCGAGTGCTCACCATCCCTCCCTGTCGCCCACGAAGCCCATGACGAGAACATTCTCGCGGACCTCAACTGGTTCGGGACATCGGATCCCAGCTGCTACTAGGCGCTTCAGATTCCGCATCTCCTTCTCTGCCCACACCCGGACCATCTTTCGGGGATTGTGACGGCTGGAGGCGTGATGAGATTCTACAGCATATGGCCGTCTTACGGATTGTATGCGTACCTATATCCTCGTCTGAAACGATACTCTCCCGAGACGTACTTGTCGCGATCCTTGAATACCAGAATAGACGTCTTGTATATCTTCAAAGCGAGGTGCTTGAAGTCAGGGGAAAGGGCGTGGTATACATTGGCCTACGGTACGAAGCAGACGGAAGAAAATATATTGAGCAATGGGTAGATACGTCCTCAGAGGAAGCGCACATACTTCCTTGCCGGTACTGACGCATCCGTTCACCTCGTACAAGAGCCCCCGCCCGATCATCTTGAACAGAATGATTCTAGTCCGAGGATCAAGCACCTGCTCGCTCGTCGCGCGATCGCTCTTGTCTTTCATATTCGCAGTGGCCGATGGGCCTTTCCTGTTCACGCCGACGCCCAGATCGTACGGCATGTCGATGTTCCGGATGCGCGAGGAGTACTTCGACAGAGCTTGGAGTTGGTCGGATGTTTGATCTTTTATCTGTGTTGAGGCAGCGGGACTACTGGTTTTTGCTGCCTGTTTCGGCCGATTGACCGCAGGTAGGGATGCTACCGCAGCGCGCAAGTTCACAGCAGATGCAACGCCTTGTGCAGCGCCTGTCCGTACAGCAACGTGCTGTCTCACACGATTGTACTGTTTCGTGAAATCTGCGAGCGGATTCAATCGAAACTCTCGAATTCAGTAGTCGGCCTGTTGAACGACTCACCTCGTTCAGCGATTTCCCAATCCTCGTCCTCTGCCCGCAGGGTCTGAAATGCAGCAGCCTCCATAGCATCCTCCTCGTCGCCAAATTCATCTTGATCCTCATCATCCTCGCTCTCACTCTCGGACCACTCTAGGAGCATGTCCTGCCCGGGAGGGACTTCGTCGATGAATGCGTGCCCCGCGCGAGGATCGACCGCGCTCGAGGTGTCTTGCGGTGCGTCGTCGAACTGTCCTGCCTCGATGGGCATCTCAGGAGCCGTAGACATGGGTGCGCTGGGTCAGGGTGTCCGAGCCGAGTCGATGGTGGTTAGAATCTGAAAAGCCAATCTCAGCACCGAGCAGATCCACCCGCAGATCTGCCACCCTCGATCTGATGGCGGGGATGCACGTGTTTCCCATCGACCAGTCACCACACTACACCGCCGTGTCGCGCACGTCAGGCGCACGTCCAACCTGTCTTCCCTCAGAGTCGGACTCTGGATAGCTCTGGATATTAGTATTGTGCTCGCTGCGTTCTGACAGAATTCGTCTCTTGGATCAAACTGCGCGTGGTCTGGGCTGAGCCGATGTCAATCAGGCAGAGGATACCCTTCCGCTTCACGGAGACTCCGGAAGATGAACACATTCTGGACGAACAAGGTGCGCCATTGGCTGACTTGCCAGTCTGCGACAATATCTGTGACTGAACTCATTTGCGCAGAACAAGAGGAGCTGATTGACAGCCTGAAGAGTCAGAGTGATGCAGCGGCCTCGCAGTACATGCTCCTCGGTCAGGTCGTCCTCGCCCTCTCCGCCTTGCTGTAAGTTCGCACGTCCACCTCTCCGCAAGGTTTCTTACCTCCTCGCCACAAGCCACTTCATCTACATCCTGAAGTGGGACAAGCTCTCCCCACTGTACGCCATCCTCCCCTCCCACCCAGCACCCTCCACGATCATCCCCTTCCCCGACTTCTTCGCGACGCTGAACATCATCCTACATGCAAATCTCAGCCTCCTACTGCTCCCGCACTACAGCCCCATTCGGCGGTCTCTATCCTCCCTCCCACCACCGATGGAAGACTACTCGCTTCCCCTTCCAATCTTCCACCCTGTCACGGCCGCGTTGACCGTGCTCACGCCGACGCTCGCGCTGATCCGGCAGTGCAGCTGGCCAGACGTAGCCTGGTGGTGTGCCACGTTGACGATGTCGTGGTTCGTGTACTCGCTGCGCAGATGGACTGACCAGAGTGTGGAGGAGATCCGCGAGCTAGAACGACTGCGTTACGATGCCAGAGGCGCGTAGTAGCATCGCCTGCACTGGTAGGTGAGTGGCCTAGTTCATCCTATCGCTCTGTTTTATCGGCGGGTTTAGTGATGTCTCCCTTTGAGCTCTTCAGTCTCGCTTTGCGCATCCCATACTTCTTATTCCTACGAAGACATGGAACACATGATAAGTATAAGACATTGTAGGTACGGGTACTTCCGGAGCTGTCCGAATCAATAATATTGGCCCGTAGAAGACCGTGAGTAGACTGCTGAGCAACACTGGGAGCCCCTGTTCACAAAGCCGACGAGTATCTGACGTTACTATGTACATATATCATATATGGATCCAGGATCGACTGTAAGTTAACAGCGTGCCGGAGACGACCAGAGTGACGACGGTGATCTACCGCGGTAGGCTGAGCGCGGACGTCGTGGGCTGAGTTGCACCGACAGTTCCATATATCTATACGCGCCGAAATCGCGGTCGCCGGCCCTAATTTTGCGGGAATAGAAGGAGGTTATCGCCCATTCGTGGAGTTCCCCTCTGCACTGTCACGTTCGTACTTTCCTGTTACGGTAGCGTGCTTGCCTTTCCGGATCCCGTCGCAAGTTGGTTTCTTTCGTACGCGTCGTCGACCTTCACCTCATTCGTCATCGACTCTAACTGCACGGCTTCGGACGAGCTCCACTCCTGACCACACGCCCTCTATATATAATGTGGGCTTGCGCCCCTAAACACCAGTATCGATTCTCCCCTCGAAGCCTGCCTTCCGGTAAACATCACTCGAGAGCGCGCAACCACGAAGGCTGTGCACAGCTGTGCGGGACATTGCGGCGTTTGGAGAGACAGGGATCTAGACCGACGAGCTTCGAGGGTGCTGACGCCCAGGCGAACTGGATCGGTTGGTGAGATGAATCGTCACGAGGGTGGAGTGGGACATGCCTTGGGAGCGCCGAGGTGCAGCATAACGTCCTCCACATCCATCGCCTGCCCGCACGACAAACACCCACCACATGCACTCGTACTAGCCCGCTCTTCTTTCTTCACACATAATGCTTTCCTCCGCCGCGCGCACCCACCGCAGCCTCGCAGTGTCCGCCACACGCTCCCTAGCCACCGAGTCCGTCTCCCATGCACACCCGCTCCCGCCGCCCCCGCCGCCGTCGCATGCGAAGCACCCGTCCGCCGCGAAGCCTGCCTCGCGAGCCCGCCTGAACCCACAGCCCCGCCCCGCGCGCCCGCTCCGCCACCCGACGCTCGCGCACCTCCCGCCGACGTTCGGCCGCAACCAGATCCTCCCCGTCGCCGACTCGACACGCGCGCTCCTCGAGAACATCGTCGCCCAGTTCAATGCGCCCATCCGGTATGCGTTTGCCTACGGCTCGGGTGTGTTTGAGCAGGACGGGTACAAGAAGGAGGAGAAGCCGATGCTGGACTTCATGTTCGCGGTGACGCATGCGGCCCATTGGCACTCGATCAACATGAACCAGTTCCCCGGGCATTATCCGTTACATGCACGGGTACTGGGCTCGGGCTTTGTCTCGCGGGTGGAGGAGATCAGTCCGGGCGTGTGGTTCAACACGCTTGTGCCGATGGAAGGGGTTGTAAGTCTGCACATGCTGGGCGCACGTCACAAGACTCATGGACCATGTTCTGCGCAGACGATCAAGTACGGTGTGACGACGGTCGACAACCTCTGCTCCGACCTGCTCAACTGGCGGACGCTCTACCTTGCCGGGCGGATGCACAAGCCCATCCGGATCATCAAGGACGACGCACGCGTGCGGCTGACACAGCAGGTCAACCTGACGTCCGCGGTGCGCACCGCACTGCTGACGCTCCCCGAGACGTTCACGCAGCGCGAGCTGTTTGCGCGCATCGCGGGGTTCAGCTACGCGGGCGACGTGCGCATGGCGCTCCCCGGCGAGAACCGCGACAAGGTGCAGAACATCGTTAACCACCAGGGCGACCAGTTCCGCGAGCTCTACCACCGCCTGGTGGTTGCGCTCCCCGGCGTGCACTGGCCCTCGCACATGGAGAGCATCCACCAGGATACGAGCCCCCATGCGCGCGCGGCGCATCTGCGCAAGCTCCCTGCGGACCTCCTGAAGGGCGTCACGGAGCACTATGCGTCGGAGCTGCACCCGAAGGAGGCCGACGAGGCCGTATACTGGACTAGACTCGCGGGCAACGAGAAGCTGCCTGAGGTGATCGACCACGGTGCGTGTCGTCTGCTACTCTGAATCCGGCGGGCTACTGACAGGGCGTGTTTCCGCAGAGATCCGGAAGCTGGTGCGCTACTCGTCGGCAGTGCAGACGGCGAAGGGCCTCGTGAGTGCGGGGCTGACGAAGGGCCTGCGGTACTCGAAGGAGAAGGTCGGGAAGTGGTGGCAGTCGCGGAGCGCGGGCTCGGGAAGCTCATGAGCAGCTCGGAGGGGGTTCGGCCGCGCACGCCGTGCGTACGGTAGAGTAGGTACGGCTCTGGACGGGTTGCGGACTCATAGAGTATGGATGGGGCATTGCTAATACTTATCACCGGCACACAGTCAACATTGTATCCATTAATGCTCAACTTGCAGTATAATAGGTAGCATCACTCCTCCGCGTGTAACGGCGCCCGACGCGCGAGTGGCGTGCCCGAGGGACCCCGGCCGTTGATCGTGCCCTTCTCTGCTTCTCTTCCGGCATCCCGACAATGATTGCAGCCACAGAACAGACCCTGGCGCTGCACACTGTTCGCCGCACACTGCGCCGCGAGCGTGGCCTGAGATGCGGTGGGAGCACCGACGGAGAGTTGAGCCTGAACGGGGTGCCACGGGTCCGGGCCGCGGTGGGGTTGGGACGGGCGGGCAGCTCTGCCATCCCATCAACCACCACCTTCTCCTCCTCGTCCCCTCTCCTCGTCTCCGTGCGCTGGCCAGAGGCTCTCCGCTGTATACCTGCCGTTCTGCGTGCACCCGTGCCCGGCGCCTTTCTCGGTTGTCTTGGTTTCCGCCTGTCGCCTGTGAAGTAGTTCAAGTTCTGCCCTCCACGTCCCGCCTTGTCTGCGCAGCCCAGACCGTTCATTCGTTTATCCCCACCGCTCCGTTCGCTTCTACCCCTGCCCTTCGCCGCCATGTCTGACCTCGCGCACGACGACCTGCCCGTGGAGCACACCCCGATGGGCTCCCCCGCGCCCCCTCACAACCACGAGCTCCCGCTTGAGACCGAGACCGAGAGCGACAACGCAGGGTACTATGCTGAGCAGGAGGCCGCGCCTGCAGCCGAGCAAGAGCTGCTGTACGAGCCCGAGGCTCCCTCGACCCCGATACCCCCGGTCGCCCCGCTGACCTTGTCGCCCGCCGCGGCGACGCGCACCGTCGCCATCATCAAGCCGCACGCGCTCCCGCACCGCTTCGACATCGAGCACAGGATATCTGAGGCTGGCTTCGAGGTGCGTTCTGGCTCTGCTTCCGCCGCGCCGCGCCGCTGCTCGGGTGCGCGGTGCGCTTGCCGCGGGTGACGCTGACGCGCTGCGATCGCGATCGTACAGATCGTGAAGGAACGGCAGATGGAGTTCGATGTGGAGACGGACCCGGAGACAATGTACGACCTCTTCGGAGACGACTACGAGTGTTTCGCCGAGTAAGCCACGCCCCTCTGTATCACAGCGATACAACGTGCCTGTGAGGACTGTCGCTGACGCTTGCTTAGGGGCCCCGTCTGGGTGTACGTCCTCGAGCGTCGTCGCGCCGTCGAGGTCTGGGCGACGCTCATGGGGCACCCCGACCCCGCCGTCGCGCGCGAGGAGACGCCCAACGCCCTCCGCGCGCTCTACGGCACGTCCGTCCTGCAGAACGCCGTCATGGGCTCGCCCGACTCGCCCACCGCGGAGTTCCAGATCTCCGCCATCTTCGCGTCCTCGCCGCCCTTCCCGACGACGGACCTCCCCGACGTCGGCAGCGCGGGCCTCACAAGCGGCTCGGTGCGCTCCATGTCGTCCTCGGTCCTCTCCGCCCTGCGCAGGACGGGCTCCAGCGGCGACAGCGGGAAGTCCCCGTTCAAGGCGCGCAAGCTGCCCGCGACGCATGCAGCGCCGGATATCGTCCCTCGTATGTCGCGCGCCGCTTCGTTGCGCGCTGGAATCCCCGTGGAGAAGACCAGTGGCCCCCGCGGCCCCATCAGCAAGGAGAGGCTCGCGCAGACGTTCGAGAACGTGCCCGGCCACAAGCGGTCCTCGACGATCACAGTTGCGAGCACCGCGCCTCCCACTGTCGCGCCCCGCATGACGCGGGCCGCCGCGCTCCGCCTCGGCCTTCCCCCGCCTGAGAAGGAGACCCGGAGGCAGTCCCTGCAGCTCACGTCGAGTGGCAAGGTGAAGGGCCCGGAGGAGCCGAAGGCGACGTTCGACGGCGTGCCGGGCCACAAGCGCAGGGAAACGATCACCGTCGCGAGCGTCAAGGCCCCGACCGTCATGCCGCGCACGAACAAGAGCGCGAGTCTGCGCCAGCAGAAGGACGCCGCGCCGCCGACGTCGTACATGTGTGAGTGTCTCCCGTGCGCGAGCCTGCGTGAGCTGACGGCGCACAGTCCGCGCCCCCTCGGGCCAGACGCCCTCCAGATCCTCGTCGCGCACGTCCTTCAACGGGACGGGCTCCGCGCGCCCGACCATCTCGCGCCCGCCCTCGGCCGCGTCCGTCCAGCTGACGCCCTCCCGCCCGATGACGTCCCGCGTCACATCCGCGTCCTCCGTCAAGACTACCACCACCACGACCTCCCAGCGCCCCTCCTCGCGGCCGGCCACTTCCGCCGGCATCAAGCGCGCGCCGTCCGTGTCCGCCACGAGCACGAGCAACGGCGGTGGCGCCGCGAAGGACAAGGAAGCCGCGAAGCCCCGCCCGCGCCCGAGCAGCGTACAGGCCCCGACGATCGCCCCGCGGACGAACAAGAGCGCGCTGCTCCGCGCGCAGAAGATGGCGGCGGCGGCGGTGACGGCGGTGACGCCCGGAGGCAAGAAGGGCGTCGCTGCCACTCCGAGGGCAGTCCGGGTGTAGCGACCGCGATGCCCAGCGACCCCGTCTTGCCCTGTCCTCCGTACCGGCTTTCCAGGCCCCAAGCACAAGCCTTGGGCTCATCAATATGCGGAATCATCTCTCATTGTGGAAGAAAGCGGGTCGCCCACCCTCGTCCCCGTGCGAAAGGCGGACGACGTATATAGCGTAGAATGGCGCGCCCGCACGTGGATTCGGAGCAGGTACTTACATGGCGCAGCGGGTGGCTGCGTGCACGCCCACGTTCCGTTCTCCGGCGCAGGACGCTCGATTTGTCTCCCTCTTCTCGTTGTTGGTCTCCCGGCTCATATACTCAGATCTCCCCCGCTCGTCGCAGCGGGGATACGCTGCTTGGATCTACGTGCGTATCTATATGCGTTCCTGTTTATGCTCAGTTGTCTTTGTCAGGTTTGCTATGTGCGGATGGTTCTTTGCGTACGCTCGTGGTACGGTACGGTACGGTAACCACTGTCTGTTGCTGGTGCTCTTCTGCTGCTGTTGTACGCGTTGTGTTACTCGGTAGACAGTGGTATAAATGGAGACGTCTTGAGGAATAGCTGAGGTTGAACCTGTGTGATGTTCCATGCGTCAAATAGACCATGAGTTGCGGCAAAGTGATACGCAAAGGTTAGCGTTCTACACAGTACTATAGTATACCACACTTGAGGAGGGAAGAACATTGACCACGCCACTTCGCCTCCTACATTAACTCCGTTCCGGACTTTATGGTATGCAACGGAGACTAGTTCCAGACTACAGCAAACACAACAAGCATGAGACACTAAATGAGCATACAGAAGATCATAGGTAGTCCATCATCCCTAAAACCCCTCACTTCTGCTCAAACTCGTGGTGACTCCCGGCGCTCAGCACCGAACTGATGCTCCCCGTCCGGCGAGAGTGCGCCAGCCTCCGCCTTCCCTGCGCATACCCCAAGCTCACAGCGCGTGCACCCGTCTCTCGGCCAATACCCAGCGGAGCGGCACCACTCGCCTCGCCAACATCGCCGTTCTCGCTGCGTGAAACAGTGGCCTTGTGATGCGTTGGCGTGTTAGGTACAGTTCCTGAGCCACTGGAGGGGCCGAGCCCGCCGAGTGCCCACGAGACCTCGACACCGCGGCGGATGCTCCACAGCCAGGCGAGCCCGAAGACAGGTGTTGAGAGGAGGACGTTCAGCACGGGGAAGAGGTCGGGGTACCGAGCGGGCGGAGAGAAGAGCAACTCGAGAACGTGAAGGACTAGACATCCCGCGTGAGTGACCTAGATAGTATTCAATACGGAACGGGATTGCAGATCATTCAATTTGACGTACCAGAGAGAGATACTGAATCAACGAGTTTGGTCGAGCACGAAACGGATTGTAGCCGACAATACGGTTCCATAGTACAGTCATGGCGATGTACGATACTCCCAAGCCATCGCGTTTTAACAGCGGCCACATACTGCAACCCGATCAACATCAACGAGCAGGCCATCTCCCAAGAGTCCACGCACCTGAACAACGCGACATTGCTCACGAGCATCCCGATCTCCCAGGTCTCCGACGTTTCATTCGACGTCACCCCAGACAGTAGCAGGGTCAATGGAAGCAACGGTAGCAAGATCGTCTTCTCGTGCACCTGGAATGAGAACAGGAAGAACGACAGCGACGACGTCAGGAGCGCATACGGCAAGAGCGGCATCGTCGGTGCGGGCTCCCGCGCCGCCACCGCACCCGCCCTCGCATCGTCGTCCTTGCGCGTCTGCAAGCGCACTCTCCACCCGCTATAGACCAGCCCCGCCGCACCCGGCAGGAATCCGAGCGCGGTCAGGCCCGTCGCGATGCGCACGAGCGTTTTGGGGGAGAGGCGACGGCGCCATTTGAGGATGACATCGCTCGCGCACCAGAAGTTGGCGACTTTGTCTTCGAAGAGCCCACGGTTAAAGGGGAAAATGCGTGTGATGGGGTCAAGGATGGCGGATAGAGGGGCGAAGGGCGGGAGGAAGGGGAGGAATAGGATGAGCATCGATGCGGCCGTGACGACAGCTAAACGGACGAAGTGGCGAGGTCTGCAAGATGCAATCGTTACACCTGAGTACGAGAGATTTACGGGGGCACGAATGAAGTACGTACCCTTGTACCATGCCTAGATACAAGCACTTACCAAGCAGATACGATCCAATTGCGGGGGCATAGTATAGTGCCATCTGCTTGAATCCTAGGCTGAGGACGAACGACACTGCGCCCAGCAGGTCATGACCTCGGGCGAAACAAACCATAGCGAACAATGTGAGACCTGAGAGATGTCAATTCGCTGTTTGGCGATGAACATATCACATGCACGTACCGAGCATGACAGAGTTGTACTGGAAGTGACCAAAGTCAACGAGCAGTAGTGTAGGCTGCAAAAGGAGGGTGAGGAGGGCTACTTCCTGTGACTAACTGAGTTTCGTTCAAATGCAGCATGTCACGAAATAATCACCTGAGTGCGCGCGGAACGATTTGCGTGCCATGTTCGCACGAACAGGAAGAGTGCAGGCAGATATACCAGACTATCGAAGACCAGTACAGTCGTACGCATGTATGCTTTGCTTTCTGGACTTTCAATCCCACGTGAGGCGTCGAGGGCGAACCACGAGGCATTGATCCATGACCCGCTGTCAAATGCAAGCGTCACGACGGGCATCCTCACATATAGAGAGTGAACGCACACTAAACCACATGCCCACGATACATACGCGGTTAATGGTGGGTAATCAAGACCCCAGTACTGCAAGTCGTACTTGTACCATTCGCGCATGGGCAGGTGTATGGTAAGCTCCATCCAATGGCGCTGGGCTTCATAGTCACCGTACATCGGCGGCGTACCCTGTCCTGAGTAGTACTGCGATGAACGTCTGCACAAGCGTTACTCGCCATGTCCACTCTGACTGACCGGAGTACGAGCCGAGCCCGATCGACCACTTCACCCATACGGACGTCAGTACCGCACAGGGCACGACCCACCGCTTCAGCCCCTGCTTGTGCATCCAGCGCACCCACCGTCTGCCCATGCCCCCGCCATGTTCGCTGTCGGCCTTCCGTCGCTCGTGTGCGTGCGCTGATAGTGGCGAAGCGAGGGACTGCTCTTGTTCCTTGAGCGAGCTGAAGCTGAGCTGCCTGCTCAGTCTGCGACGCGACGTTGGTGGCGACAATGTATGTGAGCCACCCAGTGAGAAGGGGGACACGGGACGGGAAGATGAGGCGGAGAGCGTCGGTGAACCTAGCCAATGTGGACTCTCGGACGCCTGCAGAATGTGGTGTTTACGCGGGACAGGCGCAAGGATATCCGGTCCCAATCTGAAAGGTTTGAGGTAAAGGCTCATTATTCTGACCATCGCCTGAAATACACTCACCCGTAGCTGATGCCGCTTGCATGCGGGAAATGCACCTGTGACAGAGGCGTCTTGATACGTAGGGGACGGCTCGACTGGATTGCTACCGACGTTTGCGACGAGAACGACGTTGTTGAAAGCCTCTTGGATGGTCGTGAAGTCGAAGATGAGCCCTGTGAAGGAACGTATGAGGACGACTCGTCCATGCGTTCGAAGCGAGTGAGAGTACAAGTGCAAGAAACCGCGTCTAATGGTTGTCTAATGAGCGGGTCTATTGTCGACGCGTCAGTCACTGTAGTAGGGTCAGTATGACTTTGTAGTCCTAGTAATAAAGGCTAACTATCGCCTGACTATTATTATTAAACTCACTTATCTCATTCTAAGCGGGAGCTTATGTCATCAGTAGCATTGCGTAGCCCGTGCGATCGTGTTTCTTGCTTTCTGCTCCCACTGTCGCGTATAACTGGGCTCCAATCTTTGACATGGGCATGATGATTCCTTCGAGAGACAGAGATACGCCAGCGGACAGAGTGCGATCGTTGATGACCCAGAAAGAAAACATCGAGGCCGAACTGGACGCACAAGTGTCCATTCTGAAGGCGAACTCCTCTACCCTGAACTCCCCTCTGGTTGATGCGGATGGCTTCCCGCGAGCAGACATCGATATCTGGGCTGTTCGACACGCTCGCGTGCGCATAATCGAACTGCGAAATGACCTGGACGCGCTCAGGGACACCATCGCGACTGCGTTGCAAGTCGTGTTTGACCCCGCCACGTCGGCGAAGTCAGAACCGCTTGCACCACAGGAGAATGCTGGATCTTCCGATGGCCCATTGGTACCGTTTGCGACGGTGAACGGTGTAGCGCCGGGCAGTCCAGCAGCGGCAGCGGTGCGTGATCTCTACTGTATTGTACGCGTTGTGAGATTGCTGCTGAGACTCGATTTGTAGGGCCTCCTCCGAGAGGATCTAGTGCTTTCATTCGGGCCATTGACACGAGCATCATTTCCTTCATCATTATCCCTGCAGCCACTGGCTGAATTCGTCAGCACGCGCGAGAACGTATGCCCGTTGTCGATGGTTTGAATTCATTCGTCTCACATTGTCTCCAGCGACAGATCGCAATCAAGGTCTTACGAGGGTCTGGAGAGACTATTGACTTGAGCTTCACTCCGAGAAGCGGGTGGGGAGGACGTGGTCTACTCGGGTATGCTTTATTCCTAGTTCGTTTCCGAAATGTGAGGGCTCACTCGGTGGTTAGATGCCATATTGTCCCGTACAACGGATCATGAGAGATCTCATACCTCTCATTGTAGCTTGCGCCGGCTCTGTATTGATAGTGATGTCCCGATCCATTCCATGTATCACTAGCAAGTTGTGCTAATTGGGACCAGTGAAAGAACTGGACGCGGGCTAGTATGCTGTTATGCACCGGTATTTGAAGAGCATCATGCCAGTCCTCTCGAGTACGTCGGTATTCCTATATAGTACAGGTAACAGTGATGAGAGTTACAGTCGAGAGGGCAACTTAGCCCCATCTGCATTGCCATATACAAGATCCCGGTCCTCCTGCAGGCGCCCATGCGAGGCTTGTCTGGCCCTTCGTACATCCTGGATCACCTGTGTCAAGCCGCCCTCTTCGACCCACCTCTTGAACACATCCGCATCGACCGCTCGAGACGCGTCATGCGTCTTGCAAGCCCACACTGCGTGCTCCAGCAAGAACGCGCCACATGCGATATGTGACAAGAGGAACAACGCCGGGCGAGGCACGAGAGGTGGGATGGGTGCGGCGTACGCGGCGACCAAGTCGTCCAGAGCGGATCGCAGCATGTCAAGCGACGTCTGCAAAGCTTTGTCGACCTTGGGATCCAGAGTGCACGACGCCAGTACGCTATTCACCCACTGACAAGCTCCTTAGTACCCAAGAATACGCGAATGGACAAGCAGAAACCCACCGCAACGAACGCATCCAGTATCACTGGTGTTGACGCGGCTCGGACGACATCTAGTGAAAGCACTGTGATGGTACCCTCCCATATCTTCTCGACCAGCGAGTCTTGGATCATCCTATTGGGATCACGGCGGTCGGTCAGCCCAGCGAACGACTGCAGGTAATAGGATTACGGACCGCCCAATCTCAGTCTCCGTCATGTACCCCGCGCCTCCAAGCGCCGTCATGCACTCCTCCATCGCTGTACACGCCTTCTCTGCAGCGAAAGCTTTCAGAGCAGGCGTGAGCATTCGGAGTCGATTCGCCTCGTCTTCCGTCGCAACGCCGCATTCGACCTTGCCCAGCAGCGCGACCGTCCCGAACAGCATATGTGCGAGAGCGCGATACACGAGAGATACCTTCGCAAGTTCCGCGACATGCAGCGGTGTGTCCTGCAGCAACTGTCTGCCGCCTCTGATGGCTCTCACTTTGGAGTATGCCGTCGCGATCGCGAGGCATCTGCGCAGGTTACCCACAGACGACGTAGCGGAGTGCACACGGGTGATGTTCAAGACTGGCGCAATAAGCTTCACGCCCTGGCCAGGCTGGCCCAAGAGATACGCCTCAGTGCCCTCGAGCGACAGTTCGGCAGTCGGGAGGGCCACTGTTCCAAACTTGTCCTTGAGTCGGTGGATAAAGATGCGGTTGGTGAGCGCTGAAGGCCTTGGTGCGCCAGGCTCGCAGAGAATGGGGAAGTGGAGCGGAACGAGGAACAACGACAGCGAGCGAGATCCCTCGGATAACGGCCCAGTACGTCCCAGAGCCAGCGCGATGTCACTGTCAGTCGCGCTCGAGAACCACTTGAAGCCGTTGAGCGTATACTTTGGGCCATACGGATTGCGATTTGACACTCCTTCTCCTAGAGCGGGAGTAGCCGTCGTCTCTGTGAGCGAGACGTCCGAACCTCCGGGTCGCTGGCGTGGTGGTTGTATCAGACGTCCACGGACTATCACGTCATGCGGCTCGTAGCTCACCTCTGTCATCCACTGCCCTGCTGTGAAGGCAATGTCGGGGTCACGGCTGTAGACACCGTCAGTCCGGTGCATTCACGTTAGCAAGGTTATGCGAAACCGACCTGATAAGCCGAGGGTATACATCTCGCTTCAATTCTGGTGTCCCAAGGAGCTCGCAGACTGAGAATAATTTGTTAGGCCCCAGATTTCCCGGTAAAGAGCACGTACGTACCCCTTGCCGACCCGTCTGTCATGCTCAGTGGACAATCTATCTGATATGAAGCGCTCAGCTCGCGAAGCAACCGCAGGAAAGATACTGAGTATGCGTACTGCCTGTGCATCCGCCATGGCCAATAAAATCTTGGCGAAGCCATGAATCCGACTGTGTTCCAGGTGCTTGCGCTCGTAGAATATCCCTACGATGCCTTCCTTCTGCCACAGCGCCTTCATACGGCGCCAGCCTTCCGTTGTCTGCAGTTGGTCCACTCGACGGCCCCAGTTGTCGTATTGTACAAGCTTGGGCGGACCCATGAGCTTGTTCACGGGTCGCAAAGCTGGAAACCAAAACGTACGCCTTCCATGACCGATTCACTGCGCAGAAACGTCGTTACGCACTGTTGATTACTTCATCGCCGAAGCGACCCAAATCTGCTTCAATCTCAGCGAAGACATCTGATGGCAGGACACGCTTCAGAAGACCGGGAAGGACAGGATCGGTGTGGTACGGATGTCCCTCCGTATATGGAGTCTGTCATTTGAGATTGTGCAGTCAAACAACAAGATGCGAAGCTGGATCATGGTGAACATACCGGCTGGAACCCTTCTTCAATACGCATGTCAAGCTGAGGACGTCAGGTCAAGGACGCGGGCCAAAGTGCCAACCATGCTGTCGAATATATATCTTGAACGGCATCACTCCGTGATACTCAGGAGACCGAGCAGATGGGTCACGCTGCCCGAACCATGCAGCTTGGCCGGCTGTGCTAAGGGGTAGTACTAGTAGCTCCCGGGTGGCCGCCTGGTCCAGCTCGAGGCTGTATAATTGCGCAAACCTCGCTGCGCAAGAATCCCCACCTACAGGTTTTGATAGTCCTGGGACATGTTTCTCGGTTGTGGGGGAGGGGGGCGTGTCATAGTTCAGATTGGCTCGAGGAACCTTGGCGGGCTCCTGACAGTACCTGTGACTCGGATGCTCACCGCTAAGTGTGACCGAAATATATAGTAATTTTCTGGACTGTAGCTTCAATTGGTCTGTTGCAGAGACATGCGTTATTGCTGCAAGCCAGGACGGTAGGAGGACGATAGAATCATATGCAAAATTGAGAGGAAGGTCGTGCGGCGTTTGCCGCCCCTCCGTCGGCCGATGCCTTAAGTATTGTGTCAAGTAACTTAGCGGAAGTTGAGATCTAGTAGACCGTATGTGCTGCATGCTTGCACGAAAAATAACAGACATGTCTATCCAGGACGGTTGCTAGTCTACATCATGCACCGCAGAACTCAGAACAAATGCAGAACGTACACAATACAAATCTATAACAAATCTAGATGTCGCAAATAGCCAACACAGTTGCTATTATGGCATGACAAGTGTTGGAAGATTAGCTACATAGCCGTAGTAGAGGGCAATGCATGCGCCGCAGCGTCGCCCTTGAGAATAGTATCCGCATTCATGAGTCCCAGATGGCACCGAAAGCAGGGATCCCGCGGCTCATCATGCCGTACACTACTTTCTCCGTCAAGGGCTGGTTGGAAATGATCACAACGGCCTCCGCATTGAAGGCCTGGACCATCCGATACGTGAGCTTCACCAAGTCGGGCCTGCCGTGTTGACGAGTATCTTGTGCGCAACACATTAGCATCAGCGGAAGTATGGTGACGGACGTGGGTACTCTCACCATAGATCACGGATCCGGGCGCCGCTTCGAGCAACGAGTCCACAAGCTTGTCTCCGAACGTCTGACGCACCGTGGGCGCCGTCCAGAGCAACTGGATCTCGGTCTTCTTCGCGAAGACAACCGGGGCAATCGGACCAATGCCGCTGCCTGTCGCCACCATCACTACTCGGCGGAACAGTGGTGTAACGCGCACGACACCATAGCAGGGGATGCCGCGGATCCAAATCTTGTCCGGTGGGTTACCGATCTGCTGCTTCGTCCAATCACCGGCACGCGAGACGACAGCAGAGTATCCCTTCTTGCCAGGCTCGGCGATGGTAGCGAAGGAATGCCACTCGCAGAGCGGATCGATCGACATCCGGGTGAAGTGACCGGGTTGCGTATTCACTGAGGAAGATATGAGTGATAATCAGGTTGACCGCTCGCGCGACACTCACCGTAGTCGAAGTAGAGGCGTACACAGTGTTCCGAGAGTACTTCAGAGCGAACTGGGACCTTGCGCAGACGGGCCCATGGCAAGATGATAGAAATCGTCAAAATTAGGGTGAGCCAGAATGGAGGCGACTGCGCAACGGCGTGACCCAGTGTCTCATCCGGACTCTTGTAATCGTTGACGAGGAGAATAACCTGGTTGCGTGATTAACTCAATATCCACTGATTGCAAGGACAATGTGTATACGAACCTGAGCCCAAACGAGAGCGACAGCAGTCCATCCGGCGAAACGATGAATCATTTCGAATGCATCGTGGTGTCGTACGCGGAACTTCGGGTAAGCGAAGATCACCATCGCCACAAGGAGCACCAGGATGGCATAGGACACGGTGAGAGTGGCAACGCTCGTCTGTGCACAGGTCTTGTCAAGTTTCTGATAGTAGCAACGATAGATAGGGTAGCATACCTTCTCTTTCTTGATCACCTCGCGCGTTCCTCTCCCCACAAAGAGGATAAGCCAGATGGTTCCACCAACTCCTGTACCGGAATGGACTGTGGTATGACAGTTAGCATGCAGTCACAGCGAAGTTGTTCCGGATACCCACTTCCGCCGATTGAGTACACTCTTGCCAGGATCCGCCGAATCCACAGCGGCCACCTGAGAAGCTCAAATTAGAATTGTATACCCAGATGCGGTGCGTCAGACACGACTTACGACCGTGGAGCTAGACAAGCTACAGTGAAAAACGCATTGATCACGTACTCCTGTCGCATGAGGATGGCCGTGAAGAGGTTTCCGATGACAACGCGGCCGAGCTGCTCTGCATTCGCCCCTTTGACCGCGTACCAGATGAACACGCCCAAGTTGACGCAGAACACGATACCGAACAGCCGTCGATACAGCGTCATCATCTGGAAGCGGAGGTTGCGCAGATAGTGACCCTGCGTCTTTGCGGGGAGCTCGTCGTCCTCAAACCCCTGCCACATCTCGCCCTTCTCCGACGACGAAACATCGCTCTGCGACGTCGACGCGGAAATGGAGGATACCTTCACTACTGCCTGCTTGCCAGTGAGGTCCACCACGATCTCTTCAGACTTGTGAACAGGGTGAGGGACGGCCACCTGAGGTCCCTTAGCTTCCTCCGAAATTGATGACGTAGTACTCATGGAGGTAGGCTGATGCGAAGGTGGAAGGGGCGTTTGAGGGAGGGTAGCTTGATCGAGGTGATCAATGCGGTCTGCGGCTCCTTACCGTCCCTATTATACCTGTGGATACGGGGGGGAGGTCCTATCCAGTTCGCGAAGTCTGTCAAGCACCGATGCCGGCCTGTCATGTCCTCACACGGGCGGAGTTTTGAGATACAGACATACAGACATCAGAGGAGCACATACTTCTTTCTGAACATATTCGGAATAGGACGTGAGTAGGACGCCCGGAAGGACGTGACGGCCAACGCTTGGTGCACGCACGTAAGCTGCTTGAAGGGCGATGACCTACTCCAGAGCGCACGCGCCGCTAGTCTCGAAGCCCGGGTGTATGGGTCAAATGATGGGAGCCACGGAAGAGCAAGTCAGCCAGAAGCACTTCATGGGGATGATCGCTGTGCGGGGGGGGGGGAGGTACCAGAGTTTTAATTGGTCAAAGCTGTCTATGCAGTCACCATCTTGCTTGTCGAAGGTATCGGACACACAGTGCCTTAGCCTAGACACCAGCAGTGGATAAGGGTGCGTTTTCCGACCTTACCCGGACGTTTACTAGCTACAGCCGCACAATCGCCTAGCCATCAGAACTTGTAGAGGATCCGTTGGAAGCAATTCGCGGCGGTCAGTCCTGGGGTGGGATTCGGAATTTGGGAGCGCACAATCGGCGGGAGGAGCACAGGAGCCCCGATGTGCCACTTTTGGCATCGTTTCTTCTGTAGTGTAAGAGCATTTTCCCGCAAGGGCCACTGACCTCTATGATGGATAGATGAACGCAACCTCTAGGCGCACAACCTGACGTGAGACATCTGTATCGGCGTTGTAGCGTGCCCATGTCTAGGTGGACCTATAGTTTGAATGGTAGTAAGCTACGAGAGCGACATCGGCAAACAGAACGCCGAACAGGTTTTCCGCCTCTGTGCGAGACAGTTCTCCGAGGCCTCTGCTAGCTAGGCCCAACGGTCGGAAACAGAGAAGCAGGCAGCGAGCAGGATGGTGACGGCAGTTGCCCAGTTGCTGTGAACTCCGGCGGTCGCGTCTGACGCGGACGTGCCACCCGTCCGCGCTCCGCTTCAATGAGCCACCGAGATCTGTGATCTCAAGAGTTTGCGACTTGCACGGCGCTGGACACTGGCACCACAGTTGTACTACAGTAATAATAGACCATGTATAGCAAGTTGTGCAGTTCCTCAGGCTAACCCGGTCGAGGAGGGGCCATGACCAGGGCGTCCGCGGCCCGGCGCGCATACATCTCACACGTGACCGTGTCGGCGCGAGTATCGTTGTCAGCGTGTACGCGGTGTATCGTGTCGCTCGTATATCGTCTGCCGTTAGCAACTTCGACCATGGCGGCCTGCCTCAGATTTACCCGGAGGGTCAGTCCGCACGGATGTTAACATGGCTCTCACATGCCCATCACGCATACGCAGGTCTGGAAATCTTTCGTCGAGAACAAAGGTGCGCGTTGCACTATCATCAAGTTCGGCCATGTCGCGCTCACTGTCACTGATTATGCCTTCTCTGATCCGCGTACTCTGTACGGTATGCAGGGCACGACCAACATTGTTTTCCGAACGTCCGTCTCTCAGCCTTTCTATGACCCTCACATACCGGTATAATGCCTCTACTAACAGCTCAAGATTCTCGATGCAAAACCTGGTTTCCTGCAAGCGTCACTCAAGATCGAGCCGTATAACCGTGCGTCCCTTCCAGACATTCACACTCTTGTCGTGTTTCGGCGGCAGATGTACACACCGTACTCACGTCTTGTCTATTGACCGCCAGTGAACAGAGTCGGAGTGAGGCCGCGGTCCGTTTGCTGTGATCCGAGCGTCACTCAGCTATGACATCTTTCAGACCGTCCACGGCGGCCTCATCCTGTCTCTCACGGACACAATGGGGTCCCTTGCTGTAGCGACCAAGGGACAGTTCCTCACAGGGGTGTCCGTCGACATCGGAACGTCGTTCGTAAAGCCGGGCGGTCGTGTAGGCGATGAAATGCGAATGAGTGCAGTCGTAGTTGGCATAGGTCTGTCGTGCTACACAATCTTAGAACCCCATATCGGGGGCCGAGTTGTTCATATGTTGACTTGCTGCTCTGTCTGTCCCCAGGGAAGTCCCTCGCGTACACTCGTGTCGAGTTCTTCAACGCTGCCGGGCAGCTGGCAGCTTACGGCCGTGAGTCCGCACATGCCGACACTATCTGTATCTCCGTGACCCAGAACTGAGCCACGCACTCTACAGACCATACCAAGTACGTCGGCAAGTCCGCCGGACACGAGGTGAGTCTTTCCAGGGCTAGTCAAGCCTTGCTGGCCTGTTTGTGTACTCAGCGCGACATATGTTGACAGAACGACGTTAAATTCTCGGAGGATGGCGAGACCGTGCTCGAAGGGAAGGACCTGGACGTAGACTAACGGACATGCACATGCTTGCCATGGCCCACCGCTCCTGCGCACGCCAGAGGCAATCTCTGCGCAATACATGCCTATCTCGCGCGAAGAGCACCTATACGCTTCAAATCCTCGGTGGATCCACGACATGCCGCGCGAGAAACACTATGACTCGGCTCTTGCCGTGGTAAAGATGCTGGTCTGCGCCCTTCCTGTGCTTCTCCGGAGCCGCATGGCAGAAATGCACTAGAACGAGGCTAAAACTGTACGGGGTGGAGTGCTGGTGCTGCTTCTGCTTCTGGCGGGATCTTGGGCGGGATTGACAGTCAGTGCAAGCGCACGCCACGTTGTGCGGCCACAACCGTGACGATTGGCGTTCCTGTGGCTGGTCCCGTACATGCTTCTTGCATCCGCTGCTCAGGCACAAGCAATGAGCGGCACCGGTCTTCGGACGGATTCTTCCCGTCGCGGAAACACAGGCGCACTGTACTCTTCTGAGAAGCCTTGTGTGTGTGTTTGCTGCCATAGTCGAGCATCCAGGTTCTCTATCAGTGCCGGCTCAGGAAGATAGCGCCCCAACACCCAATCGCAAGTCATCGCGGTCTCAGGCTGCATTGCAACAATAAAATACATATTAGCGAGACACTAATCACAGTCCGAAGGTTGATCGTGTACAACAGCTCCATCCAGAAACCAGCTTTTATAAATTAGCGATGTACCTTTCATACGGCATCAGATGTCTCCGAGTAGGCGTTTCCTGCATGGCAGCATCAGTGCCTTGTCCCCTCAGCCTGACAAGGGAGATACTCACAAAGCCAACGGCGCATCGCTCAGGAACGTCGGTCTCCCGACCATTTCGCGCGTCCAAACGTCCCGCACGAACCATCCGATATGACCCACCGCACAACCCATAAGATCCCCTGCGGCAGCGCGCCAGGTGCCATTGAGCATCCACGCGAGGCAGACGAGGGCAAACGGCAGGTATGGCGCGGTAATGGTGATCAGACCGAACAGTGATATCGGTGTGGATGGGTGTCGTCGCGACCACAGATAGATGGGGACGAAGGCGAGTGGCGAGGAGAGGAAGGGCAGGTTGACAAGTGGGGATATTGCCTTTGAACCACGAATGAATGTCCGAGCATGTAAGAGATTTGAAAAGGACGCACAAGAAGCATGATGGCGGATAGCAGTAGCAGCCAGAAGTAGTCTGCTTTGCGGTTCGCGAACGACGACTCTTCAAGCATGCGACTATATCGCATGCTTCATAGTAATCCAAGGATGAGTTTCGCGGCAGCCAAGAATCGGGAGGGAGCACTCACAAGAAGAACATGTGGAACACAAAGTCGAGCGAGATCGGACCGAAGTACCAGAACGTCGTCAACACTCGCCAGGGCTAGGACGAGGAGTTAGTACATATACATCCCTTCTCAGCTACAGAACGTACTTGTGCATTCGTGAACGTAGCTTTGTAGCTGAAGTACAGCTGCAGAGGAGTGATAACTTGGCATTGCTGCATGGCGTGCACACCTTCAGCCACAAGCGTCATACTACCCGAGGAACAACTTACTACAGCCAAGCTGGTAAGCACCGCCAGTGCAAGCCATGCTCGCGTAACCGGTGGGATTTGAGTGACCCATGCTTCGATCCCGACGGGCATTCTGGTCTGGGCGCGAGCTCAACTTGAGTAATAGACGTCCGGAGTCGAGACGAAGGTGGTCAACCGGGCGCCTACACAGGGTCAGTATAACGTGGCCGAAACAAGAGGCCACGTGGTCAGATCTCATCGCCACTACTCCGCCAGCATGGCCCATAATTTTGGACATGACTCGAGCGGAAGTATGGTCAAGGAATGTAAGTCTGATTTCCTGCTACATCGTCCTGCTACATTGATTGTACAAGCGCTAGCTACAGCTACGAATTGTAATGTCCACAACAAGCGGGACTATCATGATCCCGCAATACAATTAAACGCCAAGCTCCAATCAATGCTCCCCGCCTACAAATGAACGTTAATGAACGGCCGACTCCTGGACATTTGGGGGGGAGATGGCGAGGTCAAAACCCATCAACTTCATCTTGTACATGTACACCAGGGAAGGCAGCTCTACTCCATCTGCGCGCGCCCCTGAAGTCGATCGAGGAGCCCTGGCGGCGGAGTCTCTCCAGGCCCTTGGGCTGCGGGAGAGCCTCTGTCCTGGCCTTCTCTTCTGCTTCCTCCTCCTGCACATGGACCTCCTTCAGTATCCTGTGCGCGATCGAGATGAAAAGAAGGAGTCCCGCGAGAGCGGCGCAGATCATCTGCGGGAAGAATCCGATGCTGTCTGCAGGAGGCTCAGCGTTTGTGGTCGACGTACACATGCGAGCATAGACTTACCCAGGAGGACTCCTGAATGACCCAATCAGTACGACATTGCTTATTACTACGAATTTTGTTTCTACTCACCGTCAAATCCAGGCGCATCTGGCATGGTGTTCCGCAGTTGCGGAATAGCCAAGAGCACGACCAAGATGAACAACATGTATTGTAGTGTCCTCTCGCTGTCTCCCTGCAGTCGCGCGAGCACGACGACGATCATCGCGGCATGCGCAAGCATCCAAGTGACGCAAAATAGCAGCATTGCGAACAATCTCGCTTCAGGCGGACGTCGAATGTATAGAATGATGTCGCTGCTTGGACCTGTCACGCCGTTCGAAGTGTTCATATGGCTGTCTACCTCCGTGGGTGTGATCGCAAAGCTGGAGGTAAGCTTGAGTGTTGTCATGGCGCTTATCGAGACAGGGTTATTGTCGCTGTCTGTGACGCGAAGGGTGCTGGCAAGCTGGTAGGTGTCGAACGGATACATGCGAGCTAAATGCACGTCGAGAACGTGATCGCTGTCAAACTGACACAGGTTCTGTATGCTGTGGAATAGGCCGTTACTCTCGCCGGTTCGTGATTATGATACCTAGGCAGACTGACCTGATCCTCTGACCCGTCTTGATGGCCGTTGGGAACTGGGTCGGGTCATACGTTGCTTCAGGGTCAGTCCCGCTGCAGGATCTCAGCCATGCGGTTTCCGGTTAGGGCAACGGCGCGTACTGACCTGTCAACATACACGTTCAAGGCCATCGAGGGAAGACCGCATGCGTTGCTGCCGTGTGTTCCCTCCGAGCCAGGGAGCACGAACGCTGAACCGCAGCCAATTATGGACCATCGGATGGTCATGGCGGGTTCGTCGACATCGACATCGACATTGTCGCCGATGAGGACAATCTGCTGGTTGATCAGGTCTACCACTCACCGCTCGAGTACAGGCTGATTCCGTACCCCAGGGTTGTTTGCCACCACACTGTCAAGCAACTCCTTGAAAGGCGGCTCATCTTCCTCACTGCCGATGAAAGCGCACGAGAGCGAGAAGATGAAGACCAAGGAGAACGCGATCGCCATTCCTACGATGAACGGAGTCCCCAGCGGAAGGATGCCTCCTTTCGTGCGGCCGAGCACATTCTTTGCGCGAAATGGTTTTCTGGGCTTGGTGCCGCCAGATCTGGCATGTCTAGGTAAGGGTGTGTCGGACACGGTTGCATTGGAGGGCGCCCTGATCAGCCCTGTAGTCGAAAGGAATGAATGGCGAGTGGACATCGCCGCACAGGCGAAGGGGACCACGGAGCGATGGGGAACGGTCTGCCTCCTTGGGGGGAAATGCTCAAGCGAGTGCGGCGGGCGCGAGCAACCTTCTCCCGCTTTGCATGGCGCGCAGTACATATAGGCCGCGTGAACGGCGGGGCTATGCTTAATTGCCCGCCTTACGTGCATATCGATTTGGTTCTTCGAAGTCTATCAAGAATGCATCTTACCTTTGTGAGTGCGCTCTCCCATTGCGCCGTGGGCGGTGGTCGCGCCTGTGCACATAAGTGTGAGACGTGATGCATTGATGAGTCAAAGAAGGGAAGAAGCGTCAGTAATCAAATAGACAAGTCAAGAAGTTCCACCTTTCCTCGGTCGCCACCAAGTCGCCACCACGGGCAACATGCTCGGTGATGTCTTTGCGATACACTATTTAACCAGTCAGTAGCGTTAGTTACGAGCACGTATACAGTCAGGGAGATACAGACATACACTCCAACTCAAGTCAGACTATAGTGGCTTCATTGGGGCTTCACGAGATGTCCGAGTGGGCGTCTGCATGACGTTCTCGAGGTCAGAACGTAAGCTTCGCTTCAGTTTGTCTGATGGCGACCTTCATGTATGAAGTGAAGCTTGCATACTCGCGCGACGAACATGCTTGGTGTAAGCTTATAAGCTACACAGATGAGTCGACGCACCCTGTCACGAGCAGACTTACGGTGTTCTCGGGGCAGACTGGTCAAGACGCGACAAATATACATGCTCAACGATGCACAGTGAGGATAGTGGATACGATTCGGAGACGCAGGTCCGCACGAGAAGATCGACAAGGAAGTTGGAAGGAGTCGATGTCCGCATTATCACCGCATATAGCGCCCATGCCTGAGACGCGGGCTGCGATTACTCACACAGCAGTTACTTAGCGGGACAACGTCATTGAAACGGTCAAGTTGAAAGTACTATCACTGCGATGGAAGGAAGGGGCGTACGTGGAAGACAGTGTACTCGCTATGGAAGCCCCAGTATCTCTCCCAAGACACGGATCTCTGCCAACGGGCCGCCTTCGTCCCCTTCTTCCCCGTAAATATTCAGGACATGAGTCGCAATAAGAAGAAATGATCTCGCATCGCTCTTCAGAGCACTCGCGGCCTCAGGTTCTGTATGCGTCACGGCAGCATTCCACGCTGTCTTTGCGAGCTCCAGCGCATGCATGCCTGATACGATACAGTCTTTAGTACACCCCCGCATAGTATAATTGGAATGCCTAAATATAACACACCGATTTGTGGGTAGTTGACGGGATAGACGAGTGAATAGAGCGCCAGTAGGGTGAGCCCAGTTGACAATGCTTCTCCGTACGGACCTTCATGCGAAGTCCTGCTGAAAGTTTCCGACAGCTGGGGCAAATACGACTCGTGAAGGACCGCGGCGAATTCGACCGGCATCTTTTGGAGAAGGTCAGTGTCCTCCCGTAGCCTAACGACCCTCCCCGCATCGCCCAGAACGTATCTCCGCAGCGCTCTCTCAAAGTCATCAAGTTCTGCCGATCCCCGACTTGGGGGTGGCACCGGGTGTATGCGCTCATTGACGCAACAAGACGCGCAGGAACACGAGAAGCCGTAGTTCATTTGCAAGGCTTGTTGACGGGTCTCCACGGGTAGAGCCGGATCCAAGTAGGGAATTGTCACCTGTGTGGATATTCCGATATCACTCGTCTAGACAGAGCTAAGCGAACGGCCCCGTACCTCCTCGCCCTCTGCGATGTCCCGCAGAGCAGCGCATTGCATGCGGACAGGTTCCGATGGAGTAATGATATATTTCGTGACGGCATTGGGAGCGCAGGAATGATTGAATAGACGGCTAGCGAGAGGAAATATGCCGTGCGCGTATGAATTCAGATGCGAATGGACGACGAAGTTGTTGTTGCCAAAGCGGCTATACAAATCGTCTGCTATCCCGACTTGCGGAGTATCTGTGCCTGGAGGTCCTGCGCATACCGGAATAGAGGTAGCATGTGCGAGAGGGCCTTTCATCAGATCCATGAAGATACCAAGGGGCCCGTCCTCGCTGCTGGTGAGCGCATATCGACCGCTGGAGAAAACATCCCCCAACAGATGTGAGAGGAGGAATGCGTCAACTTGGTCGTGGCTTAACAGGGCTTGGTAATCCTCTGATACAGTGAACCGAGGATATTGCTTGCATATTCTCTTGTGATGCGCCTTCCACTGCACCGATTGACCTGTTCTAACTTTAGCTGAGAATGCCGATGGTGACGGATCCGTGGAGAGCATGGACCGCACATTTTGTACCGCAGTACCAGTAAGCGGCGCAACCAGTGCATTTTCGCAGCCGGATGTCATCAGAAGCAAGCCTGTGGCAGTGGTCGCATCGGCGGCCTTTCTCGCTTTGTAACAGAGCAGTCGACAGTGCCGGAACAGTCAACATGACCTCCCCCGCGGAGATAGGAGCTGATGCAACCGCCTTGTTCCTAGCTGACGAATGCCGCTCCAAGCGAAGACTTGTTTGGCTCAAGTCTAGGTTGACCATGTCTGACTGGACGTGGAAATTCCGCCCCAGTCAAATTTTGAAGGCAGACTCTTCATACATCTCTTGATGCACGTACTGATTGGCAAGCAAACGATTTGGCGATGCGTTCAAAATTTGAAGAAGGTGCCGAGGACGAATGCACAGGAAGGGTCAAGGTGACTTGGGTGACAGTCTTGGGTCCGAGTCTCGCGCTGAGTCGCTCGCAAGTCGCTCGCAGGACGGACAGTCACGGTGGCATTGTGGGTGGTATTACATAATTCGCTCGATATGGCAGGTCTAGTAGTTCACTCGTCGGATTGTGCAACATCGGCAGATATCTATATTCCCGCAGCGGCTCTAGATCTAACATTTAGGGTCTATTGATACAACATACGTGTCAAAACGTGACGTTCATGAGAAATAGTAGAGCAAGTCCAAACAGCGACAATGGCGTTCTCAGGAATCCCAGATGGCACCGAAAGCAGGGATGCCTCGGCTCATCATCCCATAGACGACTTTCTCAGTAATGGGTTGATTGGCGATAATCACGACGGCCTCCGCGTTGAACTCCTGGACCATGCGGTAGGTGAGTTTGACCATGTCGGGGCGGCCGTGCACCCGAGTGTCTAGAGACGCGTCAGCTTTGTGTTGCCCGGAAGCGAGTTCATACCGCACCATAGATAACAGTGTCCGGCGAGGCCTCAAGGAGGGAGTCGACGAGCTTGTCGCCGAACGTCTTCCTGTGCGCCGACGCCGTCCAGAGAAGCTGGATCTCGGTGCGCTTGGCGAACACCACGGGCGCAATCGGGCCGATGCCACTGCCAGTCGCCACCATTACCACCCGGCGGAACAAAGGAGTGACGCGCACAACGCCATAGCAGGGGATGCCCCGAATCCAGATCCTCTCAGGCGGATTTCTGATTTGTTGGATTGTCCAGTCGCCCGCCCGGGAGATGACGGCGGAGTAGCCCTTCTTGCCGGGCTCAGCGATAGTGGCGAACGAGTGCCACTCGAAGAGCGGGTTCACCGACATCCGGGTGAAGTGACCAGGGTGCGTGTTCACTGAAGCACGTCTGTCAGATTAGATACTGTAGAGGTGACCACGCTGACGCACCATAATCGAAGTAAAATCGGACGCAATGGTCGGAGAGGACTTCGGCCCGAACAGGGACCTTGCGGAGACGCAGCCAGGGAAGGATGATCGAGCACGTTAAGACGACAACTAGCCAAAACGGAGCCGAGTGCACGACAGCGTGTCCGAGCGTCTCGTCTTCTGCGCGGTAATCGTCGATCAAAAGTAACACCTGGCGGAGTACCGGCGTACTATGAGCGTGGGAACTATATCAGCCAACATCGATTGTACTCACCTGCGCCCAGACGAGCGCAACAGCCGTCCAGCCCGCGAGGCGGTGTATGGCTTCAAAATGGTCATGATACTTCACACGGAAGGCAGGGTAGGCGAACGTAACCATCCCCACGAGCAGAGCAAGGATCACATAGGACAGCGCCAAGGTGGGAACGCTCGTCTGAATAGAAATTCAGCGTTTGAGTTGAGAATGGAAGAGGGTAGCACACATGGCTTACCTTGCCCTTGTCAATGACTTCCCGGGTGGCTTTTCCGACAAAAAGGATGAACCACACGGTCCCGCTAACACCGGCCCCTGAATGAACTGATCGAGACGTCGGTCAAAGGGAGATCTCGGGAGTAATCACAAGGTTACTTACTTCCTCCAATAGAGTATACACGTGCGAGGATGCGACGGATCCATAGCGGCCAGCTGCAACCACATGAGCGAAGCACGATCGAAGGCCGACTCCGTTCAATACGTACCTCTTCGGTGCAAGACATGCCACGGCGAAGAAAGTATTGATAACGTACTCCTGGCGCATGAGGATGGACACGAAGAGGTTCGCGATGACTACCGTGGCAATCTGGCTGGCGTTCGCCCCTTTCACACAGTACCAGATGAAGATGCCCAGGTTGGTGAAGAAGACGATGCCAAATAACCTGCGATAAAGGGACAGCATTTGGAAACGCACATTCCTGACAAGCCGGCCTTGGGTCTTGTCAGGGAGCTCGTCGTCCTGGAAGCCCTCCCAGACCTCGGCCTTCTTGATGTCGGCTTTCTCGTCCAGGGTCGATGCTGACGAGCTGTACGAAGGAAGACGTTTGGCCTCCGGCACCAGGTCTATTGCTTTCTCCGGGTCGCTCGCACCACTACTGTACGCAGGAGGGGGCACAGCCGGCATAGAGGGTGCAGCCGGAGGCACGATTAGCTGAGACGTTGCGGTGCTGCTGGTCTCTGTCATCTGAGTGAAAGAGTGTCAATCAGGACGAGGGCAAATATGATGGTAGTGGCACGTACTTCGTACTGGGACGTGAAAAAGGGGACGAGAGCGACAGTCGTCCGGAAAAATTCCAGACCCCCTCGCCTCCACTTAAATAGTGGAGAAACAAGCTTGGTCGGTGCACCTCTCCACATATGACCGTTACATGTCACGGTGAATCGAGACGATAATCATATTCTGTTGGTCCATTTCCCCATGAGGTGCACCGAGTCCCAGCGGGTCGGGAACTCCACGCAGAACAACTGAGTTTGAGGGCACGTATCATTCGCACGTATGATACCAGAAGAGCTGCCTCCGTCCCATAGCGCCCGCCCGCCCGCCTCGGTTCCGGAAGGACAATAATAGATAACACTGCTGGGTGTGCCAGAGTGGGCGGTGGAAGGAAGCCTAGGGAAGCACAAGTAAGCGGTAAGACGACGTTGATCTGTAAATAGACATGAAGAAGGTTAGTCAATACAACTGCCAGAAGCAAATATTGACTTCCTCAGCTTAGAGAGGCCACGACCGAGAGGCAAGTTGCCGTATTGCACATCAAGCCAGAAGGCCGCGAGGGTGGAAATCGTCGGCGCGATGTGGCTTCTTTCGTATGCAAAATTACTAGTAGGATTTGCCAGAGCATGCGAAGGATAGACATTGCAGTACAAGAATGCACATGGAGACTTGACATAGGCACCGTCATGGCGAAGACGTGCGATAATGCGGACCTTCCCTGTCACAATGCCAAGGGTACAGCGCACAACGCTCCTAATCAAGTGCGAGCACGATAGACGAAATGGCGAGTACGTTTCCGTTATCGCCCTCAGACAACGTACTCCGCAGGGGGCTGCCCGAGCGCCACCGAGGACCTGGATTCAAGAAGCAGTCAGATCCGCATGCATGCGAAGAAGCGTGCAGTGAATCCACACAACGGGTACTAGCACATACCGATCTCATCATACATCCGGCCGATACACGAGATTCCGGCTCGTGAGCCCGAACGAGTCTCTGCGCACGAAGATGAGATATGTCGCTTCGTTGCAAGGATGTGCCTCCGATGCGAAACACAGGCTGACATTCCACCGATGAGGGTAGATGTCAATCAGTGATGGTTATGCCATTTCCCAGCGAATGAGCTATGTCACGGCCTTTGGTGTAGGTTTCTGGCAAGGCCAGCGCAGACCGCGGCCCTGCAGACATGCATGTGGTGGCGGGAGAGGGAGAACAGGTGAGGAGAGGCGAGGGCGCGGCGGCTCGCGGTCCGCCGATCTCATCGGCCCTCGGGACGCCCCGACCCAATCTCAGATAGTTCCGAGATCTGATTCTCCTCCGCCTACCTTGCCTCCGACGGCCATCTTGCCTACTACATACTCCTCGCCAGCCAGACAACCGCGTGCTGCTATATGCGTATAGTGGAATGGTCCTTCATTCACCATCTCGGCCATAATACCCAAGGCTGCAGTATCACTGCGCAGACCAGCGTCGTCTCGGATGAGTAGTAAGTGACTATTCATGTCGAATCTCAACTTATCGCGCGCACAACACTGGTGCACCAATATGTTGTCAACAGCAAAGGATTACCAGGAAATACTGGGCCTTGATTGATTCGATGAGCACTTGTTCTGTACTCCTAGTGCCCACGGAGGCTCCGCATGCCCGATCTGACCTGATCCTCCAAGACGATCCGAGGTCCTGGACTCCGAGGGAGCATCTGCCTTCCGGTTCGAGTACCACTGGCACGACATGCGTCTGCATCTGTGACTGATGCGGCTCATAGACAGAAGCCCTGACGGTCTGTGTTAAATGGACGATGGCAGTATGCTTGGGCGAGCCCCCTCATTCCTCATAGTGTTCACTACGATTTGTTCCCAATCGCAACAAATCTTCAACAAGGTGGCCGCGAGGAAGATAAGGCACTTTGCTCTGGATCTAAGCTTTGTCTCGCTCGGCATAAGGTAAGTAACGGCGGCATGTTGTTTGTCGGGGATATATCACTGACACATAGCTCCGCTACTGCCATATCCTCCGCGGTCGGTGAACTACATGTGTGCAGGACAGGCTATCTTTTTGATGCCTTTGCCGTCTCGGGCCGCCGCCCTGCCGTTTTCACTGATCTTCTCGTCTCCCTACGTCAGGTATGAACCCTCGTCTTGATCACTTGCATGTGCGCGGCGGCACGCAGCATCACGGAACGCACCTTCTGTCTGCGCAATGCTATGGTGCAATAGCAAGCAGGCTCCGAATGGCATCTGCGTGCCCTCACCTTCACTGCGCAGGAATTCTCGTAGAACTTCCGCCCAAGACTATTCTCACATTGGAAGGAGCACTGACGCGAGTGTCGGCGCAGGCTGTCCCAGCGTTCGAAGACGTTATCATTCTCCATGAGCCTATCTCCGACCAACTCTTCTTCGTGAACTTTGCGCTGCTGGAAGAACGATGTGTACAGCAACCGGGATACGGAATCGGACACGACTTGGAACGCCAGGGCAATGCGGAGCAATGGCCTAACTTTGTGCAGTTATTTCAAGTGCCCACGCTGGTCGGTACCGAGCGCACTCCCACGTTCCCTCCTTCATTCCATTGTTCTCACATGCGTCTTCTATTCCTGTCATTCTGCAGGTGAGGATCCCTACTCAAGTTGATAGTCTCCTACGCGAACTCCGTGCGAGGGGCGAGAAGCGCGCCGGTCTCCAACGTCCAGTCGTCCTCGCCATCACTCAACCACTTGTTATCACGGATTCGGTCCCCCTCGCGGCTGTCTTGTTGGAGTATCCGGTCGCATATGTGCCTGCGGATGCAGATCAGACAGAGTTCTTGCCTGGTGTCCTCCTGGACGTCTACCACTGTGTCATTTCCCTCGCTGACACTACCCTCGACGACACTCGAGGAGCTCCCGGAGACGCACGCGAGCATACGCTCCTCAAATTCTCATGTCCTGCCTGTCTAGCTGAGCAAGACACGAGCCTGTCGCCGGCTAGAATGATGGATAGACTACGGGTCAGTTTCGGTGCAAGACTGAATGCGGCGGAGGGCCAATGGAGCCTGGCTGTGCGGCACACGACGGAGGCACACGATAGAGTATCGCTCTAGCCTTGACCCACGTCACGACTCTCCCACAGTATGGTGGTATGTATGTTCCATTCGGAATGATATGTACATGCTCTGACTGCGAGCTGGACAAGCCCAGAAGGAATAGATACCAGGCACGGAGCGCGAAGCCCGCTATTCTACATCGACGTTGATAATTTTAATGTCCTCATACGGCTTATCCAGTTTGTTCGTCTTCACGTTCTCAATCGCATGGACCACCTCCAGTCCGGAGAGCACCCTTCCGAAGATGGTGTGCTTCTTATCGAGCCAGGGCGTAGCCGTCGTGGTGATGAAGAACTGCGAGCCGTTCGTATTGGGTCCTGCATTCGCCATGCTAACGGTGTACGGCCTGCATCGATTGACGGGGTCAGTATAACCGTGTGAAACATGCGCTCGCTGCGTATGGCGCACCTATCGTGCTTCAAGTCGTCAGAAAACTCATCCTCGAACTCATCCCCCCAGATGGATGTCCCTCCGGTACCGTCGCCCAGCGGGTCTCCCGTCTGGATCATGAACTTCGGAATAACACGGTGGAAGATGATGCCTTCGAAGTACCCGCTCCGGGCGTGCCCGACGAAGTTCTCCACGGCCTTCGGCACTTGCTGAGGGAAGAGCCTCATATGGATGTCACCGTGTGTCGTGTGAATGGTGGCGGCGTTCGCAATAGGAGAGGGCCCGCCCTTCCCGACAGCAGTTGTGGATGACGCAACTGTCTGCTCCTCACGAGTAGGTCGCTCGTTGAAGATATCACGGTCTCCGGACTTGTCATCCCTAGGCATGTCAGCGTGAGTAATGTGCGCGGGATGTCATGGAAGCTACTGAACACGCACTCTGGCTCGGAGCGAGTGAACATGTAGAATCGCTGTCGCTTATACCCGGTGCTGACGAGCGTAGGATCCCTCATAGCCTTCTCCGCCAAAAGCGGGTTAGCGGACGCGGCCGCCGCCTGCAAACAAGAATGATGGTTCAGAAGACGCGCACCGAGGGTAAGGAGGAGCACCTACCGCAGTCGTCAACCCTTTCTTCGCGGGAGCCCCTTGATACAGCGTCAGATTCATCCACCGGACGGTCTCGTCCTTCCCCAAAAGGCGCACGACGCGGTTCGTAACAGTGTTAACCACTATCGCATCAGGGCCGTCAGAAGATGGTGCAATACGTGCGGAAAGTCTGTCACGTACCCTTGATCCCAAGCAGGGTTGGATAGAGCACAAAGGCCCCGCTCTCATCCCAAACAGCGTTGATCCACCGCCCGGGTACGTGCCCATCCGGGCCCGGAAGCTCCAACTCCCGCTCGGCAGCAAGGCGCCGCCCGAACTCCATGTCTTCCACCTTGTAGATAGCCGTTTCAGCTTGCTGCATCTCTTGGATTGCCTCCAAAGATTCGTCGTACTTCCGGGTGAGCTTTCCCGAGAGGAACGAGAAGATGCGGATCTGACGGTCGGGAAGTGAGAAGGTCACAAACGATGATGAGTCCGGTGAGAGTGTGATGCATGTCGGCGTTGATTTTGACTAAGCCGCTGACAATCAGTCCGCGGACAAGAGTGAGTTTCTTGATGACGAAGCGTACCTTCTTGAAGTCGTAAAGGCCAGTCGTGCTCTTGAACGACCAAAGCCCGGGTACGTTCTTCGGCAGCTCGAACGGCTCTCTGGGTTGCCAATACTCGACGAAGCCGCCTTCATCAGCAGAAATCACGCAGTCAAATCTGTCATTGTACTATGAGGCAGTCGGTCAGTTCGACATTCCACCTTGATCGCTTACAACGCTCACAGTCATGACGTGCACGGGGAATCGGTGCAGCTTGTCGACTGTCTCCAGCGGCTGGTCATTGCCACGCCCGTCGTAGAGTCGTATGGTGCCGGAGTTCCGATCTGAGCTATAATATGATTAACTAGTCAAGCTCTCATCCGGATACCCCAACTTACACCGCAAGCAAACCCTGGGCTTGACCACGTTTGTGAACCCAGCAACATGCATGGGGCGTGTAGCCCAGTTTGATCATGTTGATCATGTCTATGCAGGAATTATGAGAGGGAACGACACGGTAAGCTATAATGCTAGCGCACCGAAATTGACCACATCGAAGACCTTCGCCGTGCCGTCTTCAGCCACACTCGCGAATAGCTGCCCATCCACGCTGGCAGACACTCCAACAATCGGAGCGAGGTGTGCCCGGTAATGTTTTACAAACTCGATACCCTGTTCCTGCTTTTTCCACAGTTTGAGATGACCGTCCACGGAAGTGGTCAGCAGGAAGTCCGTTCTGAGAACGGTCAGCTCAACCATAGCTGCCACAGCGGTGAGAACTGCGGGGCGCACTTCGTCATAATATTGAAGTTGACTACATCCCGGTGCATGAAGCTTTTGTGGTAGCGATCCGCACTCGGGAGATGGTCCAAGTAGAGCTTCTCGTGAGGCAAGACTACATCCGCACATCTCTACTTTAGTTCGCGCTGAGGAATGACGGCTTTTGCTACGCACCTTTTCGTCTCTTCTTAGCAATACCATTCCCGCTAGCTTCCGCAGGCATGGGCATCGGTCCAACGTCATCATCATCGTCCTCCTCTTCCTCCTTCGCCGGGACCTGCGAGCTGTCCATAGTCTCGTCTTTTACGTCTTCCTGGCCGCCTCGCGACCGCTTTCCAAGCACAGATACATCTTGTTCACTTTCTGACATGTCGCCTGTGTTGTCAACTAGGCAAGGAAGGGGTCGCCGATGTTGTGTGTCGTTCGTGAATGTGAACTGGTCAGACTCCTTTAGGCGCCGAGTACAAGATGGGCGTCTGAATCTCACGCTCACAAATTCACCAACAGCCACCAACGCGTCGACGACGTAGACAGTCCAATGTATGTTATCCGGAACAATATTAATATAGATAGATCTTGTACCGAGAGCAGACGCTACATGATAACACAGTCTTCCTTCACCGAACCCTCCGCCAGAATAGCCTTCTCCTCCTCAGTCAACGGCAAACCCTTCTTCGCACGAGTCGCGATTGCCTGTCGCCGACTCTCGCGCTCCGCCCTTGCCCGACTTCATACATGAACCCGAAAAGTAAAAATATAAACGGTGGTGGATACAGGAAGTGCCATAGCGATACAGTTGTGGACATTACGCCGACCCGAAGAGTGGCGGGGGCACATAGGATAGTGGTTTGAAGAGATTAGCGGTGACGGGAGTAGCGGTCGTTGCGGATTGCGAGCACGGTCGTAGCGGGTCGTTGGCGGTCGTGGATGGTGGTTGCATGGAAGGAGAGCTAAGGCTCTGTCAGTGATCACTGAGGGCGATACCACGGAAGTACACTCACCGATCAGTCTGTGAGAACGGGTTGGATCGCGTAGAGGATCGCGTAGAAGCAGATGAGGCAGACTGCCCCATCACTGGTGGCTGGGGAGCCCTCCTCGTTTGCGTTGTGGTGCTCCGGAGCGTCGTGGTAGAGGAGTTGGAGATGTTCGTTGAAGCCATCGCATGCTGTATAGCAGCGATAGCCGCGGCGCCGGCCGCTGAAGCTTGCGATGATGCCGACTGGAATGGGCTAGCGGACGAAGACGCAGACTTCGCGGATGCGCTCGCCGAACATGTATGCGATGTTGGGAAGCGGTGCTGTGGGCAGAACTGCTGCTTGCATTTCTGCATTACCGGTGAGCGAAGTGGGCGCAACACCAAAGCAGAACTGACTCACATCACACCGAATCGGAGCGTACAGCACCTTCCCGCACTTCGCGCGAGCGCACGTCGGGTGCGAGCTCTTACGAGTCTTCCCCGTCATGACCGAGCACTCCGAGGTGATGTGTTCCTCCATGCGTATATTCGGATCCTGACCCGGAGGAATAGCGACCGGGGTATTGCAGAACGGACACGGAGGCGCGACTCGGTTGTGCTTGCTTGCATCGAACTTGTCGCACTTGTGCGCCTCTGGGTGGAAGTGCTCACCGCAGAAGGGGTGGCTGCAGTGCTGGCACTTGTAAGGCAGGAAGTCTACGAGCATGCACGAAGGTGCCGAGCATTGCTGGCCTATGCCCAGGAGCCCTGTCTCGCGTTCTGGAGTAGAGGTGCCCGACATTGGAATGCAGTGAATGCGAAAGTAGCGATGGTGGTAGATGTTGAGAATGAAGTGCGGACAGAGTAGATCGTGCCGTGCGTAATAAGTAGCTGTGAAAGGGACGCGCGTCCAGCGCGTGGATGACCTGAGCGACGAGGACACGCAAGCCAGGTGCACCGCCTGAGCAATGCATGGCGAGGCGTTGTGGCGGGCGCGAGCAGCCACCGGAATGTTCCAGACCTGCTCGTCCAAATCGGGTATAAGCAGTCACGCGCGTACCTTGTCAGTGAGCACGCCGAGCGCCCACAGCGTCTACGGTCCAGGTCGACGGAAGAGACCAAATCAGACCAGTTCCTGTCCATGCGGTTTGCATGCAGGCGGGCTCGTAACTGGCTCTGCACCGAACCATCATGTCCTCGACGCCCACCGTTACCTTCACTTTCGTAGGCAGTTCGCATATATGGAGCCATTTCACTCGCTGATAGAACGCAACCTCATAGATCAGACATGGTGAATCGACGGACAACCTGGTATGTGCACTTCCATGCATGATACGGACGTATGTTCATGCGCATACAAATGCAGAAAAGCGTGTGGGCAGGCTGGAAGGACGCATCGCTCTCTACTCATGGTAAGTTCCGGCAGTTCAGCGCCCGATGGTTATGTAATTGTGCTCACCATCACGAATAGGCATGAACGTGAGCTTCGTGACAAAATTGATGTCAGACGCAATGACGAACAGACATGTAACAGCAAGCCAAGGCATTGGGACTGTCATTCACCAAGACACACTTCCTGGCAATTCACGCATCTCCGCTTAAGCGTGCACTGTGGACTGCCCAGGCAGTCCGCGACGCGCAGACAGACACGCAACCACCTCTCACGACGTCCCCTCTCCTGCGTGAGCAACACTTTGGAATTGCCGAAGGGAAGCCATGGATCATGGAAACGCAGTCGGGCCTCTCCTTCGAGGAGCACTTAAGGCGAGGGCTGTACCCAGTGCTACATGACCGTTCGCAGAAGTTCCCCGAGGGCGAGAGCCTGGACGACCTAGCCGCACGAGCGAAGAAGGCAGTCGACGAGCTGCTGATGCCCTATGTCTGGCAGGCGGCCATGGCGGGGGACAATGGCCTCCACATCGCCATTGTGAGCCATGGCCTGTGCATCAGCGAGCTCATCCCGGCACTGCTCGTAAAAGACCAGAGCGGGTTACATCCAGGCCATCGGTACAAGGGTCTGTTGAACACGGCTTGGACTAGGGTCACGGTAAATGTCAAGGTCAGTCTTACTCAATTATGCGAGTCGGACATACTGGAATAACTCTGTTGTGCAGGGCGCAAAAGAGGGTGAGCTGATGGACGTCCAGGACAACCGGCCTCTTCCCCTCGAGGTCAAGGTCACAGACTTCAACCGGCATGAACATTTAGATAGCGTGGTGAGCGAGCTTCCCGCCGTCGCAAAGCTGACACATTGGCTCATGGTATTCCCCAGGCTCGCCAGAAGGGCGGCATCGGCAGCTCAGAATTCGACCCCAACCAGCAAAGTATCCGTGCATTCTTCGGCGGCGCAGGCGTACCTGCCGAGGAGGGACGGGCCGCGAGCAATGCCTACGACGAATCCAATGTCAACACCGGGAGACGGTGAACGCTTGATACGGTGACGCAAATAGGGCTTTTGGGGTATGCGTACAATTACACAAGTATAGCGCTAGCTTTGTAGAATTAGCAGGGAGGATATCAGAGACGAGAACAACGCACTGTATGAACCTAGGTCTAAATATGTACCCAATGTCACTCCTGTGTTTCAAGGGGAGCCGTAGGGCAGCAGCTTCTTCAGCCTGACTGTTTGCGACTTGTTCGAGTACGTTGTCTGTGACAGGCGGTTCTTCTGAGCCATGCTCTTATTCACGTTCAAATGTTTGTGCCCAGCGTGTCCCTAAGAACGCGACACAAGTGGAAGAAATAAAAAAGAATCAGCACCACCCTTCCCTCCGTGCGATGCCAACGCATAACGTACACGTTTGAAGATGCCCGACGCAATTGACCGCCACCGTTTCTTCGTCCCGGAATGGCTCTTGAGCTTAGGGTACGCCGCCATAGCGGATGTCGAGAACAGGCGTGCTGTCGACAGCACCCGCGAAAAGAAGAACATCCTCGAACCTCCGCAAATAAGAGCAGATGCACAGGAAGTTACAAGGCCGTTAATAGGTGGCGGGTGGTCGAGAGTCGGGACGAAGGTGCGCAGGCAGGAGATCCGCCACGTGCTCGGCGTACGCGTCTTGGGCGCTACCAAGGCGCTCCCCAGCTTACATCGTACCTCGAAGTCCTGCACATTGTCAACCACGAGCCATGACCAACCCACAAGACGATGCAGACCGCGTATGCGACATAGTTACGCATCTACGAAATAATCAACTGAGATGTTCGTGTAGATCCGTCTGAAGCGTCTGGCGAAGCTTCAGTCGGCGAGCCCTTCGCCCGCGGCATCCACATCGACTACACCGCCGCCCACAACCCCCTCGTCTACGCCTGCAGCGGCGCCACCCAAGCCCAAGCCTGCGCCGAAGCGGCCCGCAGAGACTTTGCCTGCTCCGGTGCCAGTGGCACCCAAGAAGCGACCGCAAGCCGCGCCGGCGCAGCTCGATCTGCCTAAGTGGGAGGAGGAGACTGTGGGCAGGGTGTTCAACGTGACGCTGAGTGTATGTGCGACGTTGCTCTTGTAGAGTGCTGTCTGACGGGTTTTGTAGAAAGATGTCGCGGAGAAGAGTGGATGGGAGGTCGTGTGGCTGAAGCATCTGGCAGCAGAGCTCGAGTCTGAAGGTGTGTCCGTATGGGACGTGATTCGTTTCGCCTTACTGATGACTGTCGTGCAACAGGCATGCAACAACCTATTCGGCTGAGCGCAGACATCGCAGACCGTCTGCTAATATCGCGTCTGGAATTGAACCCGCAATCCATGTCGTGAGTATCCCGCGTCTCTGTGTTATCTCCGTGCTGAGGAAGCGTAGGGACGACTTGGAGTATTTGGCGGTTATTGCTTCTCTTCCACCGCAGCAGACCGTCTTCGAGTACCTCGTAGGCTGCTGGAAGCGCTTGAACGTCAACCGCTCCATTATAACAAAGAAGGTCAGCAGCATTCTCCATGCTACACGTACCGTGTCACTCAATCTGTGCTAGAACTACCCTCCTGTGCAAGCGCAACAGGCCACCGATATCCTCGAGAAGCTGCGTGACCTGATCATCAGCTATGCTGGCTTGACTTTGCAAGAGCCGGAAATGTTCCCTCAACCAATTGGGTATGTCACTCATCACAGCTGTTTCTATATTGATATGCCCCTCGACGGAGAGACATGTAGGCATAGGGCGTCGGGGTTTGGCCCCAATGGACCATCGGCCCCCGTCCGGCTGAGGTTGGCTGGCGCCCGATACTGCTTCCAGCCATGTTGACGCTGCTAGCACCATACTCGAGAGTGCACAGGCGGATGGGATCTAGCCTTTGTCTTGTCCCTGTCTAGTAGTGTGGGGTTAGCTACAATCCGGCAGCATTGATAGGAAACGCATACTGCCTTGCGCAATCCCAGACGCGGGGGCCTGGACATTCTGAGAACAGGTGTAACTTGTCTTATGATCAAATACTCACCTCAGTGTTTCCAGCAAACCACTCGGCCCAACAGAGCTCCTCACCCCACTCCTCTCCCTTTCCGCGCTCACCGGCCCTCTCCTCTCCTCCTCCGCAACCTCTGCCAACACCCTTGGCCCTGCGGAGGTCGAGCCCTTCTTGCAAGACCTCGTCAAGCGCTTCGAGCCCGACAACGAGATCGATGGCGTGCTCGGTCCGGTCGTGAACCAGCTCTGCTTCCACGAGTCACTCTTCCGGCCAGAGGGCCTCGCTGGCGGCGACGGCAGCTGGCGCGCGGTGATTAGTGGGCTGGAGGCTCTGGTGAACATCAAGAGCATCGCTGTCATGATCACGCGGTTGCAGTTTTGGAACCCGGAGGCGACCCCAGTAACGTTTGAGCGGGTTAGTTTGTTGGGTCCGCTCCTGCGGCTGGGTGTGTTCGACCGAGAATGGGTGAGTTGCGTTTGAAGAGGCAGTACAGGGCAGAGCTTATGATTTATTATAGCCGGCCATCGCAAACACGTACTACTCGAAGCCCAAGGATCGGTCACAGGCTGACATCGGGTCATCCACGGCTAGTTTGAGGGGAACCTTGAAAAGCCTGCAGTCGTCTCTGTTCAACATACTTAACGCGCTCGTCCGCGCATCTCCCGATTCACGAGAAGCCGTGCTGCAATACTTTGCACGGGTTGTGTCCCTGAACGTACGGCGAGCCGGAATGCAGGTCGACCCAGACACTGTTGCGTCCGACTGCTTCATGGTAAACCTACAGGCCATCCTACTCCGCTTCTGCGAGCCATTCATGGATGCCAATTATACCAAGGTGAGCTCGTCCAATGCATCTCTCGGTCGAGAAACTGATGATAAGAAGATCGACCGTATCGATCCAGCATACTACGCACACTCGTCCCGCATCGATCTGAAGGAAGAGACCCGTATTAATGCTACTAGTGAGGTAGCGGAGCAATGGCGGCAGAAGAATGAGTCCGCGGCGGCGGCCCCGCCAAACTTCATCTCGGATATCTTCTACCTCACTCTCGCCACCAATCACTACGGCTACCAGAAGACAATCTCCACATTTGAGGATCTAGCGAGGCAGTATGATGAGATGAACCGGCATCTGGAGGTGTTGGAAGGCGACGGTAGCTGGCGGGGAGTGAGTCTTCAAAGCGCAAAAGCTTACCGAAACACTGACAAAAGCCTTACAGAGTCCCCTGCAAGCACGCGTCGAGCATAGCATCAACGCTGTCAAGACTGAGATGGACAAAGCCATGGCTACGCAACTCGCGTATACAGTACAACTTGCGGATCCGGAGCTAGTCTTCCGTTCGGTCGGCTTCACTAACTTTGTCTCGACGTGGCTCATCCGCCATGTTGACCCAAAACACACCCATCCGAATCCTTCTCTCGAGTGCGTCATTACATCGCTTTCTGTGAACTCGTATTGATTTCTTCGCGTTAGGCTGCCTCTGCCACGGGAGGTGCCAGAGTCTTTCAACGTACTCCCTGAGTACATCATTGAGGACATCGTGGACTACCACCTCTTCGTCGTCCGACAGTCTCCTGATAGTTTGGAGCTATCCGGCAAGAATGAGCTCCTGGTGTGGGCGTTGACGTTCCTGACGTCGACGTGGTACATAAAGAACCCCTTCTTGAAGTCCAAGCTAGTAGAGGTACGTACTATCTGTTGTGTAAGCTAACTCCTGGAGACTCAGAGGCTGTAGGCTCTCTTCTACGCCACGCTAAATTGGGGCAACCACCGAAGTGTCCTTGCCATGACGCTGAACACCCATCCCATGGCGCTCAAGTATCTTGTACCCGCGCTCATGCATTTCTACATTGGTGGGTGTCTCCTGTCACACGTGAATAGCGCCAGGCTGACGATCGTTCAGAGGTGGAACAGACCGGCGCGAGTTCGCAGTTCTATGACAAATTCAGTGAGTATCGTTCATGGTCGTAAAAGCATACGTGCTAACTGTCTTGCTCAGACTCAAGGTACGTTAGGATATTTGATCTTGGTCTAGCTAAGCCGTAACATGGCCACCAGGCGGAATATTGCCTATCTCTTCAAGGCCATCTGGGATAATTCGACGCATCGCGAGGCCCTGAAGAAGGAGACGCGCACTAACATGGACAAATTCGTGCGCTTCGTCAACCTCATGATCAACGATGTGACGTACCTCATGGACGAGTCGCTGAGCGACTTGGCCAAGATCCACGAGATTCAGACCGAGATGGAGGACACTGAGACGTTCAACTCGAAGCCAGCGCAATACCGTCGCGAGCGGGAGAGTGCTCTCCGCACGCTAGAACGACACACATCTGGCTACGTGCAACTGGGCAGGTCGACGGTTGAGATGCTGAAGGCCTTCACGGGCGAGACCAAGGAGCCGTTCATGGTTCCCGAGATCGTTGACCGTCTCGCAGCCATGCTTGACTATAACCTAGACGCCCTCGCGGGTCCCAGGTGCCAGAATCTGGTCGTCAAGAACCCGGAGAAGTACAAGTTTAACCCGAAACAGCTATTGAGCGATATCATCGACGTATACCTGAACCTCAGTGACCAAGGGGAGTTCGTGAGGGCTGTGGCAGCGGACGGACGTAGCTACCGGAAGGAGCTCTTTGAGCGAACGGCAGGTATCGCCAAGAGACGCGTCTTGAAGAGCGACACGGAGATTGAGAAGCTGCTCCTGTTCGTCGTCAAAGTCGAGGAGAAGAAGGCCACTCTGGAGGCTGAAGAGGACCTGGGAGAAGTCCCAGACGAGTTCTTGGGTGAGTAACGTCCTTGATGATTGTCTTTGAATGAGGGCTCAACACGTTTGCCAGACCCGTTGATGTACACCGTCATGCGCGATCCCGTTACATTGCCGTCGTCACAGGTGGTGCTCGATCGTTCAACTATCAAATCACACCTGTTGTCCGACGCGAAGGATCCATTTAACCGGGTGCCTCTTGCCTTGGAGGATGTAGTATCTAGTGAGTGATGTGCGGCTGACTCCTTACTAGTACACTAATGCATCGTTCACGTAGATCCAGAACTCAAGCAGCGCATAGACGCGTTCCTGGCTGAGAGGCGAAACAAGAACACCGCACTCGACAAGCCGGCAGATGAAATTGTCAAAATGGACGAATCTGCTTGATTAACGACACGTTCTGTAGCATAGTAGAGCATTGTAGGATACCATGCAAGATTGTAGGCTATGAAGTGGATAAGGGTGTACAGGACTATAAGCACGCATCGTTGCTCCATGCGATCGGCCTGCAGGGCATTCATTACATCGCCGCGCGACATGTAGACTGCCACAAGATTGTCTGTGCGGTTTTCAGGGGGTGTTTACCGTTTCGACGTTTGGTAGGTGTCATCCCCAGGAGGCCGTGCGTGTTCGAGCAATACGTAGACGTCTCTAGAGGCCGAAGCAAATAGCAACACACGTCCGGCGGTACGCTGACGGCGCGGAATTATAGCAAGATAGCCTGACGTGCCTATCGCTTACCCCGCTTCGATCCTCTTCCTCTGCCAGTAGATCCTCCGCGTCCTCTGCCGGCATTGCTGCCCCTTCTGCCCGGCTTCACAGGCTTCCTGTTCGCCCGAGATGCTAGAGAAGGGCCTGTGCAACCGTTCGTTATGTGATGCACGGACATTGTGTGTAGCGTGTACTCACTTGGAGACCCATCGACCTCTTCTTCCTCCGCGAAGTCTGTACCCGCGTCCGTCCCAGCTGCCACACTGTCCCTCGGAGTGGCGGCGACACTCTCGTCTCCGCTTTCCTGTGTCAAGGCGCTGCTATCGCTGTCGCCGCCAATGAGTCCAGCCATATTCTTGAGCTTGCTCCTACCCTTCTTGGTAGAACGCAATGACGGACCGGTGTGGACTGGGGATGCCGCGGGAGATGATGACGGCAGGGATGCGCTCCCGCGCATACGTCGTGCGGAAATGAGTCTGTCGAATGTCTCCTCTTGGGGGAGTGAATACTCATGGCGGAAGAAGGGGTGCATTGATAGATTCTCTGACGGTGAAGGAGATCGTACAGGGAGAGAGGACGGGGATGGGGCGTCATGTATGTCAGAAGCATCGTAACCGTCAGCTTCCTGTCGCTGGTCAACATATCGCGACCAGCAGGAACGACAGGGACTTACGATTCCCTCCAGGATATCCAGGTCATAAGAGCTTCGCAGCTTCCCCCACAGAGCCTCTGTAGAGACGACATGACCGGTGTCTTTGAGGATCGCGTTCCGGATAGTGAGGACATGAAAATGGCGGTGAAGCCCGACCGGTCTTGCGCGCATCATCGAGCGAAAGAAAGCGATCTCGCCCTCGACAGTGTCCAAGAAGTTGACAGATCCCTCGCTGACTGTGTCCTCGTCCATTATGGATGTTTGGGAGAGCGTAGAGAGAGGACAACGGCGGTCACATTCAAGTCTGGTGGCGGCTCACTGGCAGCAGCTCTGGCATGTGGCGGGTGGCGGAGGGACCTTCTGCCTGCGTTGCGGCCATTGAACGACCGCTGATAGCCACCGCTCCCTGTTTGGCAGGTGCAGTGGGTCGCTCCGCCGCCTCCTGGACTCGACCTCGACTTTGGCCGCCTCGATAGAGAGTATTGGACTCATTTTATGCACGATGGTGGCATTCATGTGGCCATCTTGTCAATGGTGCCCGAAAATCGCACGCAGGCTCGCGCGGAACATCACTGTTCAAGCAGTGGTCGCCCTGCTGCCACGTAGCATTGAAGGCGGGCACCCATGGCTGACTGAACGCATGAAGGCTCGACCTATCGCATATGGTGTGTCTTTCACTTACTAGCTTGCCATCCGATTGAGTTTGACGTTACTAAGCATTTCCCAACGGCTATAAGGTTCACAGGACGCCGCGCGGGCACAGATTAGTGCATGTTTCAAATCCATAATCCCGTTCCATAAGGTGAGTCTTACTGGTTTACTAAGCATGTTGATATATGCGGAAGGGTGTTCTGATGGACCGTTAGTTTGGAATACAAGGCGGAAATTCTCCTGGAGGTTGGGGGGTCACAGGACTAGGCGCCCGCCACTCGTACCAGGGCTTTCTGCATCTTAGCAACGGGTTCCTGTTTCGGGCGTTTAGCTCGTCGCCTAATCATTGACTCCTGGACCATGCCCTGATGGGAATATTGGCGACCTCGCTTAACGAACGGTATTTAACCCGCCTCAAACCTGGGCTCGCCCACTAAATCGCACTCTCTCCCCGGCCTCTACTCCCTCAACTAGTCATATCTAGTGCTGTCTTCAATCTCATACCTCCCCCTATCTCACGCTATATCGTTACTCTGATTGCTCCTCGATGCGCCCTCCTGGAGAGAAATCGGGCGTTGACAATCCCGCGCGGATCAATCCTCGAGACACCGGCTCGACCAGGTCGACCATTACCCCCCTTAACCCCAATAGCGAGTACCCCAGCTCGAGCGAGAAGATGTTCGGCTCCTCTCCATCCTCACGAGCAGGAGTCCCGATTCCTGGCCGCAAGCGCTCTGATAGTAGTTCGCAGGCAAATGGATGGGAGAAAGCTTCTCTTCGTGAGTTCTCTTCTGGTCCTCTGTACTTTCACACTGCAGAATGGCTGACGAAGTGCCAGAATCTGACGCCTCGCGCATCGAACTACCTGTTCCTATGGGCTCTTCTCCGCCCCGCTCTCCTCCAAACCGCAGGCTGTCCCGCCGCGGCTCCGAAACGTCGACGACAATCATTGGAGACGGATCTGTTGGCTCGTCGATGCCGACGCAAGGCGCACAGTCGCGCTCCCCCGCCAGGCCTTCCCATGTTCGAAAGCCCTCTGCGGACCAGATCGGCCTCGGCCCGTGTCCCCCGCAGCCTCGCGCATCCCCAGGTCAGCGAGGTCAGGCGCAAGATGGGCACGCCAGGGAACGACCCCAGAGGGTTCCTGGAGGTACATGGACCACGCAAGTGCAGGGTGTTCCGGGCGGGGATTCGCAGGAGATGACTCCTGTTCCTCACAAGCCGAACGCGTTCGCTGGGGTCCCTTCTCGCCTAACGGCTACGCGACCGACTGCAAAGCTCGACACCCACGTGTCGCGAGCTTTCCTCTCGCCGTTGGCGCAAAGCCCCATCCAGGCGACTGAGAGCGGAGCAGAGTCTGACGACAACGCCTCGCTCATTTCGCGCTGCGTGTCGTCGCTTGCGCCCTCTCGTCGCGGGAGCATCGCCCCGGATGTAGACAAGGTGGAGAATAACCTCCTCCCCCTCTTCACGAGCTACTACAAGCTCTACAGCGCCATGTGTCGCTGCGACGTTTCGCGTTTGCCGAAGGAAGCGAAGGCGTACTTGACCCAGCTTGTACAGGCCGAAGAACTCGTTGCTGGATCCGCAGGGTCGGTTTGCTACACCGCCACGTATGATACAGCCCTGAAGGCTCTTGCTTTCTCTCGCACGCTCATGACCTGCTACTTCGACACGATCGAGGCGCGCATGAAGGAGGAAACCCGCGACCGCGCGCTCGCGACAGGTTATCAGCTCATGGAAATGACTATGTCTAACTTCCGCACCGTCTTGCAGACGGTGGAGTTGGAGAAGGAGCTCGCGGAGACGGCTACCGTAGTCTCTGAGATGGAAATCTCCACGAACGCAACTGTCGGGCACGACGACGCCCCTGAGCCTCCGGTCGCCATTGCCAACAAGCCGCCGTACATGAAGAAACCGAGCCTATTCGACCGCCTGCGCAAGGTCTCGTTGGGATGCTTGGCGGCGCTCGATCCCTCTTTGCCCTCTACCCCTGCGCGTGCATCACACGGGCCTTTCCGCCACTCCGCTATCACGCTGGAGGATCGAACTGTGCGCCAGTCTAGCATCTACACTCCTTCCCTAGCCTCTGAGGCGCTCGGATGGGATCATATGTTCCTGTCGGCCGTGACAGACGGATCGCCCCAGTCTTTGACGGTCAGAGCTTCTCTGGCTCTTTTCCCCGACGATCGTACCGATCGGCCAGATCTGCCCCCTGTGGTCCTGGAGTCTGACGTCGACCGCGGAAAGGATGGTAACGTTGTCCGAGCCACAGTACGCGGGCTAATTCGCCTTTTCACTGAGCCGACGGAGATGGTGAAGAACGACATGGCGGACCTCATCGACGCGTTCTTCCTATTCGCGCCGACGTTCACTACCGCTCAGAACCTTTTCGAGCTGCTTCTGGAGCGGGAACAACAGCAGCCCCCTCGTGAACTTACCGAGCTGGAGTCTGTTGCTTGGAATGTTCGTCATGAGTGCACGAGGATCTACGTCGCGAATCTGATCTGCCTGTGGCTCGGATCCCACTGGGACAAGTCGCTCGACAAGCGGGTTGAAGGTGGTTTGCTGGATCGAATCGGAGTCCTCAGCAGTCGCTTTGCCGCCGATCAGAGCATTCCCGTGGAGCTCGCGCACCAGCTCATCGACTCCATCCGCTATCGGGGGAGCTGGGCCGACAAGGAAAAAGAGCGTACGGAGGCCAGCGTGGCCAACGACGTATACTCCGAGCCGCTCTTCCGCACGAGCCTGGATCAGATCGTCGCCTCCTTGACGCGTCCGGACGATTGGAGCAAACTCGATATCACCTACTTCCATAGCGATGGAGGGCCCGAGATGATTGCGCGCCAGCTTACTGCCATCGAGACGGAGCTGTTCCATAGCTTCGAGCCGCGAGAGCTGATCAAGTTCGAGGATCGCGACCTGCAGCGCAAGCTCCGGGAGTGGAAGTCGTTCTCTGAGGCGTTGTCCCTCTGGGTAACCAAGAGCATCGTGCAACACAAAGATGTGACGCATCGCGTACAAGCTGCGACAGTGTTCATCACCGTGGCGGGGGTATGTCTATGACATTGTGTGCCGTAATACGAATACTGACGAGAGTACGTTCAGCTCTGCAAGTCGTTGCGAAACTACAGCTCCGCCCTGGCAATTATCCTTGGACTTAACACGAGTTCCGTCTCGCGACTGCGTCTGACCGAGGATAGTATCAGCCACTGCTTCAAGGAGGTCCGCACCGGTCTGGACCAGTTTTTCCATGCGCGTTCGAACTACGGCGAGTACCGCGCGGAGCTTCCGGTGAATCTACCGACTGTGCCACTAGAGGGTGAGTGCTCGTCTGTGGCCGACGACGACGCCCGCTGACTATGTCCTAGTGGTTATTCTCAGAGACATCAAGGTCAGCCGCGAGGTCCTGCCTCGCGTCAAGTCTACGGCGCAGCCTCCAGCCAGTCCCACGGAAGAGATGATTCCGTTGCAGTACTACCGCAATATGCGACGGACAATCCGTGGTATGCCCTAGGTTGCCTTCGTCTCCTAGTTATCATTGTTAATCACGATTCGCCAGACCTCGAGAAGTGCCGCGGGGAGTACACGACCATCCAGAAAGTCGGCGTGATCTACGACTGGATCCACTACACTGTTGATGAACTGAAGACCAAAGATTACGACACGTACAGCAAGGAACTCACGCAGATGAGGTCCGTCAATTTTGCTGTCGCTTTCGTCTGCGGATTCGTTGGCTCACACTGTCTCTTCAGCCTGGACGTTGAACCCAAAACTAATAATCAAGGCCCCACGCGGCTGTAATACCGCAAGACACGAACCGCTAATGAGCGGATGCCAGGTGCATCACAGCATCAAGCTGCTACCAAATCTTTCCGTCTCGCTTTCCTGATCTGCATTGCCATGCTCTGCGCACCGTGCTATGCCCCTGCTATCGTTATGCGCCCAGCTATCCAGTTAACACCATGTCCTCACGATGCCTTGTAGCCCGTATCACGTTCCTTACCGGATAATTGTGCTCTCCCCACTCTCGTTCATCCTGTATCAAGTAGCACTCTCCCCGTTATATTATCAATCAGTTGCAACTGACCCGGCGCACTTGACCTGTCAACATCCGCACATGCACACAAAGAGAAGGCATTAGCCATATAATGTGTTCGAAAGTCGTGGGCAATATGGCATAATGCATACACATGGAGATGACAACGGCTGCTCGGCGCCTCGAGCAGTCATCATAGCGCCTACCTCCGCAAAGACCCCTCACTCCTCGCCGCACGCACGACAGCTCATACGCGTGCAGCCTCAATCCGTCGGCGGGCGACCTGCCGCCTGTTGAGGCCAGAGAAAGTAGACGTTGCGACGGCGTCCTTGTCCTTCGCCCGCTCAACCTCCTCGTCGGACGCACCAAGGATGATCTCAACGTGGCAAGGGTGACCCTGGTAAGGGTTGATACGACCGTGCGCACGGTATGTGCGGCGGCGGGTTTTCTAACATGCGAATCAAATGGTGAGTTTTCGTCCAGGCCGCTCAGAGCATCAGGTCAGACGTACAGGTGCCTGCTGGACGACGATGTTCTTAATGTAGAGGTCCTCCAGTTCAAGGTTTTTCGCGTCAGCATTTGATTCAGCGTTCTTGAGCAGGCGGACGATGAACTTCACGGACTTCTCAGGCCAGCGACCTGATGGAGGATGAGCGCCAAAGTCGTGAATAATGCTGGTTCCACGCACCCTGAGTTGCCTTGAACTGCTTCGCCTGCGATGCACGCCCGACACCACCGGAGAAACGACGGAAGGGGATGATCTGCTTGTGGTCCTTCACGTCGCTGAGATAAGCGTACGCCTTGGTCAACTTGAGACCTGCCCCTTGCCTTCAATATACCCTCCGACAACGCAATCGACTACTACGCACCAGTCAAAGCCGCCGCAACTTCACGCATGTTCTTGAAGTGAGTGCGGAGGTACTCCCCGCGGGCGCGGGAAGCTACACAGTCAGGTTAGAATCTCGGCCTCTGGACATGATTTCACGACGTACTCTTCTCGGGGTTGGTGGCGAGGGAGGCGGCGGCGTAGCGAACTGTCCTCCAACATCAGCACGGCGCGGACGAGCATAGCGACGGCGTGTACGCACCCATCTTGAAGTCTTGAAATGTCGGCCTCGGCACGTACTGCTTTGGAGGAGATACGGGCAACCGGTGGCTGAACTCTGTCAGCCACAACTGCATAGTAGCCGGCGATCTCCGCAAGCCGATTGACTCTGGCGTCTCTCCGTGTCAGCCTTCTCAAGTCCTCCCACGCGGCTCTTGCGACGCGTCGAGCAGCGTCCACGACTTGGCTATGCTGCTGTTACATCGTCTGTGTATGCTATGTGCCGCAGAAACTCGGTCGTCTTGTCAGGTTCTTTTGACACTGCTTGCCGTCGGCAGCGACTCAGTGTGCCTGCTGAACCTAGTGATAAGCTGGAATACCGCGATGCCGTCCGCAAGGCCATCGTCTGAGTCAGCGATGTTCGCAAGTCGCGGCGTATATAGAGTCGAGGGGGAGACTGGTTTCTTCTGTATCCCCTCAATCGCTATCTGCCAGGAGGATGGCGTCCGAGAAAGAACTTCCCATTCACCAACATGTCAGCGCGATAGAACCTGCACGGCTTCAAGCCCCCGTTCAAAATCAGGGTGCTGGGTCGCGCATGTCTCGCCTTGGGGGTGTCCTGCGTATCCTTGCTGCTCTGTGCTGTCTTGCTGTCCTTGCGCCCAGGCTTCACTTACTATCCAAGTCGACGACTTTACCTGCACGTCATGCCGGGTTCGAACTCCATCGGATGAGCAATGCCTGTCCGCAAGCCGCTGTGATTACACCCTCGTCTTCTGAACTACTTGAAGAACTCGAGGTGGAATTCGCTACAGAGGAGTTCCGGCAGCATGCCTATGGATCTTTGAGCGGCGCAATCCAGATCCCGTGCGTCTCCTTCATTCGCTACTATGCGCCAGAATCGCATGCTGACCCTGAGGTAAAGGACCGAGATGTACGATGATATGGGGATTCCAGGGGAAGATCCAAAGTGGGACATCTTCAGCGAAATGCATGCATATCTGGAGTCGCGTTTCCCGTTGGTGTATGTGTGGCTTGCTATACTTATGCGCTTCGAGCAAGGCAACTGACCCGCCCCAGACATGCAAAGTTGACCAAGGCGACGGCAAATACATACGCATTGGTATACCACTGGCAAGGATCCGATGATTCCCTGAAGCCGATGCTCTTGACCGCGCATCAGGATGTTGTCCCGGTGGAGCCGTCCACTGCGGACCAGTGGACTCAGCCACCGTTCTCTGGCTATTATGATGGTAAGTGTACATGATGACCAGTGGACATACCCGCCGAATACACGAACGTAGGTGAATGGATCTGGGGTCGAGGTAGCTGCGACGACAAGCCAGGCCTAATCAGTACACTGTGAGTACCTGTCTGGTGCCATGAGCGACTAGTAAAGCTGCACTCCCAGGACTACTGTCGAGACGCTTCTGCGAAAGGGATTCCAACCGGCCCGTTCTATTGTACTGGCGTATGGGATGGATGAGGAACGCGGTGGCCGCGCTGTAAGCGTAGTGCTGCAGCAGACATAGGGTATCCTCTGACGTTGCACAGGGTGCTACTGCCATCAGGGACTACTTATTGGGGCACTACGGCGAGGACGCATTTTCCATCATCGTTGACGAGGGCGGTAAGTAAATCTGCTACTTGACCTACTCGTGCACAACATGCCCTAACGTCGCCCCAGGTGGATACTCGATCAGAGGGGACGCACTCATGTCCAGTCCTGCAGTGGCTGAGAAGGGCAAGCTCGACGCGAGGCTCGAGATCTCCACACCAGGTGGCCATTCGAGTGTCCCACCCCGTCACACTGTATGTGATTTTGGTATAGGTATCAGATCGCGCGACGATCGTTGACTGCGTTGTCAGTCGATCGGCATGCTTGCAGCCCTCATCAAGCACATCGAGGCGAACCCTCACGTCCCACGCCTCAATCGCACGTCGACGTACTATTCCCAACTGCAGTGTCAGGCGGAGCACGATCCGCTGTTCCCCAAAACGCTGAAGAGGCTGGTCAACCGCTCGCTGAAATGCGACAAGGCGCTTGCGAAGCTCGAGAAGGAACTGCTCAAGAGCGATCCGATGTTTGGACCCCTTGCTGGGACGACACAGGCTGTGGATATCATCCATGGCGGCGTGAAGTCGAATGCGTTGCCTGAGAACGCGTACTTCATCATGAACCATAGGATCGACAGTGTCAGGTACGTGCCAATACATCGCAGATTTGCGCACAGTACACGTCAGATCTGATCGTTGCCGCCTCAGCTCGGTGGACACTGTGAAGTCTCACATTGCCGACACAGTGGGCTCGCTGGCCAATGGCTTCAACCTGTCTGTCGACGCCTTCGGTGTGCAGTACGGCGATCTCAACAAGGAGACGACATTTGGTCATCTGCAGATGTCCGACGCGTATGGTACGCAGCTCGAGCCTGCCCCGGTCACCCCGACGTTCGGAAGCGGTCCCTATGAGCTCTTGGCTGGCACTGTAATCGGTGCCCTGAGTTCATCCAACAGGACCGGCATGCCGAAGAAGGTCTTCCTGGCTCCGAGTCTCTCGACAGGTGCGTTTGACGACTATTTTGCCCCTCCGACGCAAGCTGACATTGTCTCCTGTTGGCAGGCAACACCGGTACGTATTCAATAGTGGTTGTGCAACTGACAAATCTGATTGTTTCGTAGACACGAGGCACTACTGGAAGCTGACGAAGCACATCTTCCGCTACGGACATGTTGGTCGTGAGGACCACTACAACGGGGCGCATACGGTAAATGAAGGTGTGCGCATTATCAGCAGGTGCTATGGCAGCAGTACTGAACAGCCTTGCTAGCTTGCCGTGCGGAGGGCTTCTTGGAGGTCATTCGCTTTCACACCAGACTGATCCTCAATGGACATGACTCGCCGCTCCTCGAGTAGGGCAATAGCTCAAGCTATGTGATGGCGATCCTCGAGACAATTGGATGTTGTTGTTTGACTGTTGTTGCGAGCTTTGTGGCCTTTGCGGAATCCTATCGAACTCATCTGTCTTCGAGCATGACTAGGAAAGTCTGTGGTACATCCTCCACGACCAGACAAACAATTGACATTGTGGTGCGGCGCTCAGCCTCCCGCTGACTCGCGAACCGGTTCACTGGCTGATCTATTGATTGTGTGTTCTGCGCCGTGCCGGTGGGTTATCGCCGGACAATCACTGCGCCATCATCGACTGTCCTTGACAAACGGGTTGATACAAGCGCCGTCTACTGAGTGAGTGACAAAAAGCGTAACGATTCACTGCAATCAGCACGTATATTGTTGCTATGGGACTACATTGTCGTGGCTGTGTCTTCGCAGCAGTAGCTGAACGTAGTACGCTCTGCGTATATAGGTTGCTCTGCTGGATCCTCATCTATCGGGCTCAGCCTGCCGACTGTTCGTTCATTGCTTCGTGCACTTGAGTAACCTGTTACCCATAGTTCTGTTAACCTATCGGCGACATGGCTCAACCAGTAGGCGGACGGAATCGTACGCACGTTGACGGCGGACGCGTCGCCGTCGCGGTGCGGTTCTTGGACGCGTGACGTCACGCGTCTAAGTTGGATGGCGTGTCTAACCTCGCCCGCCGGAGCGCTACTAGGGCTGCCGGGCTGCGATCTGCTGCGAGTCATGACACAACCTATCGATCGTATTGCACAACCTCCCGCCCGACATCTATATAACCACCTTGTCCCACTGTCCAGGCCCCACTGCACTCTCCTCCCCCGGTGACTGTCACAGCAATGCCTCAGGACATATTCAACTCTCCCGCTCCCAAAGTCGACTTCTTCACGCCATCGCAGTACCCGCCTTCGGGCACTGCTGTGGATGATGGCAAGCCCATTCCCACCCTCTTTCAGCCTATCAAAATCCGTGGTGTGGTGTTTCCAAACCGTATATGGGTGAGAAGACTGCTTCTGTCAATACGATCTTCCAGGAGACTTAACTCAGCACGTTGCTTCTCGCAGCTGTCCCCGTTATGCCAGTACTCTGCTCAAGACGGCAAGTATACCTTCTGGCACTATGCACACAGTAAGTACACTACTGCGAATCCGATTGCCAGAGCGCTAACAAGCTGATCCAGTGGGCGGGATCATCTCGCGCGGGCCCGGCCTGAGCATGGTCGAGGCCACCGCGGTCACCCCGGAGGGGCGCATCACCCCCGAGGACACCGGTTTGTGGTCCGACGAGCAGATCGACTCCTTCGCCCAGCTCGTCGCCTTCGCGCACTCGCAGAACCAGAAGGTCGGCATCCAGCTCGGCCATGCCGGCCGCAAGGCGTCCACCGTCGCCCCCTGGCTCTCCAAGGCTGCGACCGCCACAGAGGCCGCGAACGGCTGGCCCGACGACGTCTGGGCGCCGAGTGCCATCGGGTTCGCTGAGGTGTTCCCGCGGCCAAAGGAGCTCACGATCGCGGGCATCAAGCGGATCAAGCGTGCGTTCGTGGACGCTGCGCGCCGTGCCCTCCGTGCGGGCTTCGACGTGATTGAGATCCACAATGCGCACGGATACTTGCTGCACTCGTTCCTCAGCCCGGTGTCTAACAAGCGCACGGACGAGTACGGCGGCAGCTTCGAGAATCGCACGCGTCTCACGCTAGAGATCGTGGACGCAGTGCGCTCTGTCATACCACCTGATATGCCTCTCTTCCTCCGGTACGTTCCCGCGTGTAGTATCAGCAGCGTCTACGGGTATTCAGACCCTGCGAACATATAGCATCTCTGCAACGGACTGGCTCGAAGAATCGCTAGAGGGCGAGCCCTCTTGGACACTACAGGACACGGTGCGGATCGCGGGCCTGCTGGCAGAGCACGGCGTCGACCTGCTCGACGTCTCCTCTGGCGGGGCGCACCCTGCGCAGAAGATCCCCGGCGCGCCCACATACCAGGCGCCGCTCGCAGAGGCCGTCAAGAAGGCTCACGGGGACAAGATCCTCGTGTCGGCAGTGGGCTTGATCACGGACGGGAAGACTGCGCAGGGCGTGCTCGACAAGGGCCAGGCGGACGCAGTCTTTGTGGGGAGACAGTTCCAGAAGAACCCCGGGACGGTGTGGCAGTTTGCGGAGGAGCTCGGCGTGGACATCAAGCGCGCGCACCAGATCGAGTGGGGATTCACCGGCCGCGCTAACGTAGACAGGAAGCACAGGGACCCGTCAAAGTAGTCTCGTCACAAGACCCTCCTCGTGGAGGTGTGAGGGGTTTGTTCGAACCTACCCGTCAAAGAGCAACTTGTCGTAGGGCGTGTACTAGAAGGAAAGCTGCCTGTGAGTAGCTGAGTCGGCTATTGGGGACTCGACCCAGTCTCGTTGTAGAATTATTGTGTAAGTTACCTCGGTGAAGTTATGAAGTTGTGCATACAGTTTGGTCCGCTTACATATTTGGGATGATCAATGATGATCAATGATGACAGGGCAGTCCGCCACTATCGCAGCAACCAGTCCAACAGCCACACAACCCAATCGCAAGGGATTCAGACTGTGTGGGCTGGGACTGGAGCCCCGTGTCTCTCCGTTCGCGAGGTGCTGAGAGTCACTGTGCACCAGTGGCTGTCCAACTCGGTCTGCGGGAGACGTCAGAGCGGGTGAAAGTACTGTGAGAGGAATTCGCATCCTCACAGCGAGATCATGGGTCGTGACAGACTGTCGTGTTTTTCGGAACGGGCCCGGATGGGTCGCTCGTAATGACTTGTACTCGCAATATGTTAGTAGGAAGAGGGATTCGGGCACTTACAGCGCGAAAGTCATTGCAGAGCAACACTGCGCATCGCTGTCAGACATGCTGGACGCACACGAGGCGACAGTGTGATCGTGAACGCGTTGCTCGTCAGTAGTCTCCTCTAGGCAGACTCTAAACACGACCTTCTTGAGGGGAGGAGGGCGGTCGTATATGAAGCTCGTCAGAGACCTCAAGCTTTCAAGTTGTTCGGTAGAGGAGAATCGTGACCCAGGATTGCAGCTCGGCTTGTGCATACCGACTCTTGGCTGCAGTTCGACTCGACTCGAACCGAACTGTGCATTGCCAGGAACGTCCGCGGGCTGCGCGCGTTGCGCCCTCGCCGGATCCTTGCCCGGCCCTATCATGTAATACGAACCTCGAGGTCACCAAGCATATCTGAGTCTCTGTTTAACATGAGGACGAAAGAAGAGGGCTCAGCCCTTCTCGTCCCATCGATATCGCTTTCAGCCAACCCTTTCCAAGTTTGCCATTGAGAAACTATGGCAGCCGCAACTGACTCTGGAATCCCTACCTTCCCTCCGGAAGTCATTGCAGCCTCACTCTCCTCCCCGCCCTTCGTAGCCGTTGATGGTGTAATCAACATACGCGACTTTGGCAACTACCTGTCTGCGACCTCGCCCAACGCGATAGTCAGGCCGGGCTACCTCTTCAGGTCGGGCGAGCCTAGTCGCGTTAGCCCGAGCGGGGTGGACGCGTTCCGCGCCCTTGGGATAAAGAAGGTGTTCGACCTCCGCGCAGACGTGGAGATCGCAAAGTTCAAGACCGCGAACCCGGGGATCGAGGGCGTGCAGTTCGTGAGGGCGCCTATAGTTGATATGGCGTTCGACCCAGTGAGTCTCGCTCAGAGGTGCGTTTGTCAAGTGGTGTACTGGCCTTCAACCGAATCGCCGACGGCCGAGGTTCTGTGTTCGCAGGTTGAAACAGTTCGAGACCAGCGAGGCCGAGGTGAGTTCTATACTGCGCGCTATAATGGTCTCGGTTGACGAGCATGCATCGAATGCTAGGCATTCTTGACACTATACTCCGAGATCCTACGATCTGGGGGGACTGCCGTGGAGACGGTGTTCCTTCATCTCCGTGACCATCCGGATGAGCCGTGCCTACTGCATTGCACTGGTACGCTGCGCATATAACCACAAAAGCATCCAGCAATAGTCTCATATTCTATGCAGCAGGCAAGGATCGCACCGGTGTCTTTGCAGCTCTAATTTTGTCGGTACGTCTTGTCGATACCAAAGCGCGCCTGCGCTCCTCACACCAGCGGCTTTGCAGTTCCTCGGCGTGAGCGACGAAGATATCATCAAGGACTACACGCTCACCACCGTTGGACTGCAGCCCGCGCTACCCCTGCTCGTGGCGCGCTTCGAGAAAGAGCAGGTCTACCGCGACAACAGAGCCGGCACACTTAATATGGCGAACGCGAAGTGCGTCTTCTCTTCCATTTTCGGTGCTCCTGGGCTTGATGTAGGTGCTGACTGATTGTAGGCCGCAGACGATGCAGAATTTCCTCAACTGCGTGCGCGAGAAGTACGACGGCGTGGAGGGGTACCTCAAGACGCACACAAGGCTGGCGGCGGACGATTTGGCTCGCATCCGTGCTAACCTCCTCGTCCCTGCGTAAAGGAAAATTCAGTGGAGGTCCTCGTACATGGCCCTCGAACAACCTCCGGATTGAGGGGAGTAACGCTGCTTTCATCGCCTCCAGATAGACCATGTATATTGGACCAATGTCGCAACACTCGCTCCGTCACCGGGTTGTATAGCCCGATTCAATCGCTCCTACTCAGGAAGTCGCGTCCGTGAATTATTGTCAAGACATGCACCCAGAATCAACTCCGGGCTACGTCAAGTAATGGCTGTGCACTTATACAGCGCTGTTATATGTCCTAGCGCAAAGTCCGCGGTGCATCGATGCGTTCGTCTTGCCCCTTGCACTTATCTGACGTCTCGCAGCTCGCCTCACCGTGCGCAAGGCCCACTTCGGTGAGTACTGCTTCCCGTAGGACGGTTCGGAGCACTCAATGAAACTCTACGTGGATAGTCCGCGTAGCGTCCAGTACAGGGAACGCCTTATCTGAAGATAGGATGTCGACTCGAAGTCATTGGGTCATCCCGCACCGGCACCCCATGCCAGTGCATCCATTGATTGGCAAGCCTACCTATGGGGCCCTCGCAACTGGTCCAAGACGAACATCGTCCATTTCTCTTCAGCCTCACTGAATCTCCCTTTCCGGATCTCCTCGCGTCGAGTTCTTTCACCTCATTCTCGACTTCCTTCGCCTCGTTGTATGAGGGTTTGTCAAGTTGGTACGGGCCGTCGCTGAGGTATCCCACGTTCAAGAACTATTAGGCAACGAAGATATCTTGGTTTCGACACTGCATATCAGCACAATCGGTGGCAATCCCCCTACAGTACGCATTCCTTTTGGCAATTTGCGGCGCATTGAGGACACGGGACGCCGTGATCCGTGGCTCTGATGACAACACGCAGGAAGACGAGTTCCATCGCCGCACCGCTGCACGGGCTTTTCAGGCATGATTCACATCGTCAGTGAATTTCACTGGCGTGCTTGGTCCAATATCTCGACGCACCTTGAGTGTTGTAGAGAGTCGGGATGAATTACACAACGTGACGTCTAATCATCGAGGACTCGCGGCGCTTCATCAGCCTTCTGGACCCGTCGAGGGAGTGGGCGCGGCTACATATCTTCACTGTATGCGGTCCGGGTTAGTACCGTACAAGCTTCCGCCTGGCGAGGTGCTTATTCCTGCATCCTGTCTTCGTCTCGATCGCTAATCTATGGATGCAGTTCTGTAGCGACTTCTTCCGTCCCTTTTACTTTCCGGTACTCAGGTGTGCCCGAAGCCTTCCATCTTACTACCGGGTGGCTCCCCGGTGAAAGCAGCGGGGACACTGTTGGTCACTACGTCCTCATAGGCCACCTTTGGTCTTGCAGGCGTACTACTATACACCCCGCAGGCGACATGCAACACACGTAGAAACAACTGTGTATGAAGTACAGCGGCTCGGACTCATGATCATGAGCGTTACACAAGATCCGGTGCACTGCGGATCGCGGAAAATATGTAACAAGTGAACGACGCCACCGATCGTGAACGGGGCACTGTGGGTGTACATATGTCCGGGCCACTCATTCACGATAAGTATAAACATGATCTTCAAAACTACGTTGACCTGTCACATGTCAAGAATCATCCTTACCGACATCCAAAGCATGCCTGCTGTCGACCCGTTGCAGTAATCGCTACATTGTCGCTACACCACCGACAGATGCCTGTCCATCTCGGCCTATGAAGGCCGGAAAAGCCGGGCGCCGTATGTCGTCTTGGGTGGCTCCGATTGCTTCGGAGTCCGGTGTGATTAATTCAATTAGTGATTGCCCGCGGGACGCTGTGCGCATCGGGGCCAATGACCGCTAATGACCGCAACGGTGCCGCGGCGGTGAAATTGCACTGGCTTGAAGCCTACACAGGCAAAGTATAAAGTCGACGCTCTGGCGAGCCGACCGAAATCGTGCGCTGCAGTATCAGCCCGCCATGCGTATGACTAGCCTCACACCGCGTTCATTCGGCTCATTCTTCATTGGGACGACAATTGCAACTGCGTATGTGACAGTTGACCGCCTCAAGCTCCCGTGCAATCGCGCTGATTCTGAGCTCCAGTCTGTACGGCTGTGTGTGTGCTCAGCTCATATATTACCTCAAGCGATACTCCGATAGAGACGGAAAGATCATGCGAAGTCTGGTAAGTCCTTGAGTGATCCAAGCATGGTGACCAGGTGCTAATGAGGGATCGTTTCATAGATAATATCTCTCTGGTGTGGATATATATGCCTGCATTGTAAATCGGCGAGAGCAACTGTCTTACGTGTCTATCCAGTGCTCTGGATACATTGTCGATCATACTGAGTGTGGACGTATGTACACTTCTTCTCGCCTCCGTCAGTTACGCGCACTAGAACATCGCTTGCAGGGAAGCTGGTATTACACGGTTCAGAATCATGGCAAGATGCCCATATCCGCAATGCCAAGGTATGTCTCTAGCTATCACGTCCCCAACCGAACCTCACAGGATCTATGTTGGTCACCATTGATCTAGATCGTCCCCGGTTCGTAGTACTGCCCATATTTCTCATCTCGAAACCGTTCTGATGTGCAAGAATGCAGTTAGAACATCTCAACGCAGTAAGCGACCCCCTGTTCTACAGTCACCGAGACTCGATGTGTCTCACAGATATTAACAGGCCGCTGTTACATTTCTTGTACGGAGGTCCGGGCCTTTCTCCTCTACTGCAACGTTTCGTACTCACGGCGAGGACTTCAGTTTCGACCTCTTCACGCTGTGGAAGCGTAAGTCTCTTCGTCAGATGCTTGTCCCTTCGATTTTCATTGAGCACTCGGACCTTCCTTGACAAGTGTCCGCGCGGCGACGGCACAGGGTTCCGCTGATCGTGACGAATGTAAGTGAAAGCAACGTGGATCGACCCTTGTATATTGACGTGTTTTGGAAGACTGCGTTGTCGGTGATCGCGTTTGGTGAGTGGGGCTTGGAGATCGTGCATACCTGCCACCTAACACGGCCGGGACGTCTCAGGCTCCTCGCTTTGTGAGTATAGCTCGCACCTGTCGTTACCACCCAAACGCTGATTCGTTGCAGCGATGCTGTGGGTGTACCGCATGCGATTATGCTTGCACAGACCGCTGAATATGGCGCCCACCTAGAGGTTATGAGTCTCAGATGGTCCGTGATCTATGGCAGATGCTGCAAGAACCGAAGGTGAGTCTGAGTCTAGCCAGTTGTACATACGGGTCGCAGAACAATTACGGGTGCAGATGCAAATATCGATACAAACCCTAACGGCCTGCATAGCGAACCTCAGCGTCTGCGCATCTATCTGCTGGGTCGTACGCGCTGAGAGTGCCAAGCTCGCAGCGAATTCGATGTGAGTTCAATGTCACTTGTCTGGCACGATTCGCGCTGATAGGCTGCAGCATGCGGTCGACTGTCCGGAGGTACACCTTATACACGGTCCTCCGTAACCTGCTTGCTGCGTACGACATTTCCTCTCGACGGTATTTTTAGAGCTGAGTTGACCCATTGCTTGCAGTCTAGTTGAATTATTCGCTTTTATGACGGTCGGTTCTTCCGCCCTGGGGATAAATATTGGTCCTGAGTATCTTTCAGTACATCAAATGGAGAGACGGCGACTCTTATTATTGGACCATGCTTCATATACCGTCTAGCAAAGGTGAGTTGTCATGTCAGCTATCAATGTCGAACAACCGAAGCTTACAGCCTCGCAGTATACGTGAATTCTGTCCTCGCTATGTGCGTATCCCATTGCAGTCGATTGGAAATGACTCACATTGCGCAGGCTGAACGCTCGAAATTCATTGGCCGAGTACGGTCAAGATAGGTCAACATGTCCTGATGAGAGCATCGTGTTTGCGACTATCATTACCCTGGTTCCGAGGGATATAACCGACGAGTCTGTCTGAGAAGTTGGTGACGTGTTCCACCTGCTGTGAGTTCCACACTCTGACCAAGGATCCTCGCAGCTGTGTTCGGTCGCCTTCAGCCTGCATTAGGTAAACTGACGATGTGCCGTCACGCTCGGCCATTTAGGCCACCGCGACATCACTGGCACATCGCAGTGACACCTCTGATCCTACTCAGTAGTGCCACATAATATTGGCACTGGCCTGTCATGGACGGAGCACAGTCCGAGTTGCCTACTACTCTAAACTCCCTCGCGTGAGCAACGAAGGAACCACCGGGCGGCACGCGGCTACTCGTATATCGCCTCAAGACGCATACGAATAGAGGACACGATGGCAGTGGTTCCGAAGCATATCTGATTACCGTCGCAATATACTACAGCTCTACTTCGTACGGATGATGCGAAGCTTGTTGGGCCTGTAGAGGTAGTTCTCGGCGTAGTTCTTGACAGGCCTGACTTTGACCTCGGGCTGCTGGCTAGAAGGACATCAACAGAGTAGTCGGTATGAGGTGGATATGTTACATACACATAGTAGTCCCATCCTAATAATGCGATTGAGAGTACGGCATCCGGTAAAAACGAACGTACTCACCTTGCTTCTCCGCAAAGTGAATGGCATCCTCCTTCGTCCGGAAACCGATACGGGTACCCTGCATGTAGTCGGCGCTGCGTGGGAAGCGTATGAGCGAAATTAGCGGCAGCACGCTTGGCAACGTACGAGCTAGCCCATCCCATGAGGGGGTTCTCCCAACGACCACCACCGGGCAGGATGTCCCAGTCTATCCGCCAGCGGCTCGACTTCGCATCTCCACTCTGGGTCGTGCTGCGCGAGTATTGGAAGATTCGGACAGCACGATGACGGAGCTCAGCTGCGATAAAGTCTAATGAGTCCCAGCTGTGGATTACAATCGTAGTACTAGTACGTACCAGGAGCACCGCTGACAAGATCGGCCGCAACAATGTCTCGCGGAGGGGCGTGCTCGATCTGCTTGTCGTCGGTAGCCTTGGCTGGAGGTGCGCTCTGCGAGTCCGTGGCCATAGAGCGGGCAGAGACAAGGCTGCGGCCCACCGCGCGGACTTGGAGAGCCCGCTGACAAGAACGAAGGGCAGACATGGTCAGAGTTGTAGGTGAGTTCGTTGCCCGCCCACCGCCGGAGCGTCACCGACGCCCGAGGCAGCCGGGAGCCGAGCCGAGCCAAGCCAGTGCGGTTAGCGGGGCTAGATGGCGATATCTGCAGAAAGTCGGAACCACGGGGACATTCGTCCCGGGGACGAGGGACGCGAGACGCGAGACGTCACAGTAAGTCACAGCACACCGTGAGTGGCCGTGCGCCATCATCGCTTTACCTCCCACTTTGACCACCTTTGACATTGACATTATTGAGGGCCAGAAATACAATTCACCGGTCAGCTAGGTGTCTAGATATACATATCGACTGACTTACTGACTGAGATTTACGAAGGCATCACGGAGGCCAGGCATAGTGGCGCGCTACGTGACGGAGATGATTATGTAAGCATACCACAGGCACTACTCATAGGCTCTTGTATGTAGTTATCTTGAACGACACCCATTGTTTTGAAACCGTGAGGCTAGATTAGATGGTGTAATTACTCAATACTTCCTGAAATACTTAGTAGCCCCTGTTACTCAAGTAAGCAAGTCAGTCAGTCAGTCAGTGTGACAGCGTCCCGCGGGACGTCCCGCAGAGCGTCCCCGGGACGCATCCCCGGGACGTATGTCCCAGTCGTTCAGACGTTCTCGATATCTGAGATCCCGCGTCACATGTGCGCGATACGCGATGTTCTGAGACGGCAGAGGCGCCCATCTGGGTGCTTCGCGACGCGGGCAACGATGCAGGCTGATGCAGGCGGGACCCCACGGTTGTGGTAGAAGCTCCATGGTCTGAGTTGTCTCCTCTCGCCCAACACACCCTGGGCAACAGCCATGGCCACCATCCAGTCGCGCCCGTTCTCGAAGAACTACAGGTCAGCTTAAGCCCGGGTATTGCCATTTCTACCAGTCTGAAGGGCGGCGCATATAGTGGTCTCATCAACCAGTCTGTAATCGCCGGATGCATCTTCGTCCTCTGCATCACTGCCCATGAGTGCATGAAGAGGAAGCGGAGGGGTGCCAACCGCAGTGAGAGAGTCGGCAGTGTCGAGTCCTGGGAGTTTGGATAGTGAGTGTGCCGCCCTAACGCCCTCGACATATGCTCATAGTCGCCAGCTTATACCAGGGCCGAACATGGGCAAGGTGCGTTGATTCCTCCAAGTGCAGACTGCCAGACCTCGGGTGCAGAGATGTGCGAGTGTGGAGTGTGACGGTCGTTGGCATAATGGTCATCTCAAGCGTTTGGTTGTTTGGCCTCCGACTGTGCGCACTCTTGGGGAGAGGTCCAGCTACATGCATTGAACTGAACTTTTATGCTCTCAACTAACGTATCTTCAGAAAACCTTCTCCTCCGACTCCAAGAGGTTGGCCCTTGAGCTGGGTCAAACAAGCCGCCAAGGTCTCTGAAGACCAGTTCAACGACTTGCGGGGGATCGATGCCACCCTATACATCCGCTTCCTCCGCGGCTGCTGGTGGTTTACGCTTATTCAATGTCTGACGACTCTCCCTATCCTGCTGCCCATCCACTCCATTTTCTCCGATGGTACCGTGTCGCCAAAGTCGATGACACGCGCCTCGATCACGTCACTGGTCAGCACAGCAAAGGGGCAATCACTACTGTGGATTCACCTACTCTTGCTGATCTGGATTACGGCAAGCTGGGTCGGGTTTCTGGTTTGGCTCATGAAAGGCGTCTTCCACTTTCGTGCACGGAACATCGTAGCCGCAGGCGAGGAACGCACGCGAATTGACGAGCGCGACCTGGCGGACTACCTCCACCCTCATCCGCGATATCCCTTCAAGTCGTCTGAACCCCTGGACACGGAACGGCTGAATCGCGGCATCCGATTGAGGACCGTCATGGTGACGAACATCCCCCCAGGATTGCGGACGGAGAAAGACCTAAAAGAGTACTTCGAATATTACCTCTCCCGACGGATCGCGAAGCCGGCGCTTGGCATCACGAGCACGACCCAGCCAGGTTTCTTCAATAAGTCCTTCTCCTTCCTCCTAAACAGACTGTCTGGCCTGCTCGGGCACTGGCGGATCGTGCCAGGTTCCCCCAAGCGCCAGTCGGAGGAGCAAGACGTAGGGGGCTTTGACCAACTCCAGTCCCCTACGACGAGTGGAGACGTCCCGGCCATCGAGCGTGTTGCCCTCGTTCGCAGGATGCACGAGCTCGCGAATCTGCTGACGCGCCGCGAGGAGTACCTGCGTTTGCTCGAGACCGCCCATATTAAGCTAGCCAAGCGGGCACTGTCTGCGGTCAAGAGTTCCCTTGAGCAACAACAGGCCGATGCTGCCAAGATTATCAACTCCACCACGAACATCGGGTTTCAGTCTGGTGGCGAAGGCGAAGGCAGGGGGGACTCCAAGTACAGGGATCAGCTCTTGGTGGAGACACTCAAGCCGTTCGTGAAAGCAGAGCGAGGCCGTATTCTCTTCACGAAGAAGCCCGCGCAGCCCGACTACCTCCCCACCCTCACGGACTCGCCGCGCGAGCTCTCCCCGGTCGCACCCCCTTCCCCGACGATGCACGAGCGCACGGTCTGGGATGCGCTGCTGAGCCTACCGCGGAGTACGCTCGAGGCGTACCAGCCACTTACACGGCTGTCGACGCTTTATCGCGGGCAGGTCGTGCCGACGATCGACTTTTACACCGCGAAGCTGCAGCTGCTGTCGTCGGTGATCACGGAGAAGCGCGCGCGGGCGCCGGGCGATTACGAGGCGATGTCGACCGCGTTCGTGACGTTCGAGGACCCTGCGGACGCGCGCAGGGCGTGTAAGTACCTCGCGGTGCACCCGTTGAACCCGCTGCAGTGCTTCGTGACGATGGCGCCGTCGTATGAGGACCTGGACTGGAACAGGCTTATGAAGCCGACGTTCCAGGTGGAGGTGGGTCTGCCAGCCTATTGGAAGTACGTCATGCTGACAGTATGACTCAGTTCATGAAAGACTGGCTAGTCAATATAGGAGTTTGGTAAGCTCATACGCGTGGATTCTGGGAGCAGACGTCTCACAACTCCTTGCAGGGGCTTCACGGTCTTCTGGATCTTCCCTGTATCGATTTTCGTGACGTTGGTGTCGATTCAGAACATCAGTTCGTTCTGGCCTGGCCTCGTGAGTGCGCTCCTGGATGTATGCATACACTACTGAGTGGACCTGACGGGTCACAGAAAAACTACCTAGACAAGCATCCTTGGGAAGAAGAGCTCATTCAGTCCTTCGTGCCGACGCTCCTCGTTTCGCTCCTAGCCCTCTTGATCCCTCTCCTCCTACGTAAGCACTAGCACCTTTAGACTGCTTGCATCCTGATGACGCTGTGCGCTAGTGCTCATCGCTAAGAAGGCGCACACCATTGCGACGCTCTCAGCATTGCACGATAGGATCATGACGCGGTACTACAAGTTTCTCATCGTGAATGTGCTCGTCTTCTTCTGCGTCGGGACGGCAGCGGTGCAGTCATTCCTTGTGTCGTTCAGCGCGACATCAGGTTTGAGGGTAATAGAGGTTGTTGCGGACAGCTTCCCGACCGCTGGGCCGTTCTACGTGGGATGGCGTAAGAATCTGCGTTCTATCCAGGTTACGCAAAAAGTTGACATGGTTATCTCTCCTAGTGATCTTCACGATGGCGATGCACGGGGGTCTGGAGCTTGCGTTGTGTACGTTGATTCATACACCCTCCGCACTGACATGTTTTGATTGACTCCTTCACAACAGTTGGGGTAAGGGCCAATCTCGGAACATATCCTGACCATGTCTGATTCGGCACAGCTTCCATTATTGATGTACCCGAGCACTCGAAGGCAAGTCACGCCAAGAAAACGCGCTGTAGGCATACGGCCGCGAACGTTCAATTATTATTGTGAGCAGACGTCGACACTTGATGAAGTACGAAGCCTTTCTCACTCAGCCATTTCAGACTGGCTTCCGAATCACACTCTGGTTCTTCACATCGTCGTGGTGTTCGCCGTTCTGAACCCGTTGGTCATACCTTTCGCGTTTCTGTACTTCTGCGTAGCATGCGGTATGTGAATTGACCTCCAGGCTGTAGCTTTCTCGTACTGATCCCTAAGTTAGCTGTTATTAGGAATCAGGTGTGTATTGAAATCACCTGTCGGTGACGCGTCTGATCCATTGCGACTTAGCTATTGCACGTCTATGCTAAGAACTACGAGGGGAATGGTCAAACAATATTGATACGCATCATTAGGTATTCCTGTGATGGTGCGTGTACGATATTTGCATTTTCAAGTTCTCGCTGACCTCGTTGTCTCAATTCAGGACTCATGCTCTCACAAGTCAGTCGGAGCCTGCTGTATACGAAGGCATTATAACTCATGTGTCCATAGGTTGTCTTCCTCGCTTACATGGTCGTACTCAAAAAGAAGGCAAACGTGGGCGTGTCAGCTGTACTCATCATCCTAACCGCCTTCACGAAAGTATTGTACGCATATCGCCGCTATCACAATGCGTTGCTCTCTTACTTTTCTCACAGGCTCACGCGCATATGTCGGGCAAAATTCGAACAAGCCGATCTCTTGGAAGCACAGGTTGTCTGCGGGACTGCGGATGTTCCCGAAGCTGTGCTGGATGCTGCACAAACTAAGGATAAAAGCGTCACTGTCACCGAGATACCGACTATTGCCGAACCCAAAGCGGGCTCCTCTCACAACATACCATCTGCCATACGTGCTTGGCAATTCCCGGACAGGATAGGCAACGGTTATGCTACAATACCAAGACGGCCACAGCACAGAGCGGAGCGACACGGGAACCCTTTCTCTTCGATGGACAGTACCGATGCGTTACGGCCGGGCTCTCCGACTGTTTTTCCTCGCATGTCTGACAACGAGGAGTCGTTCCCCGATGTTCTCCCACGAATTCCGGAATCCGGTCAACCAACTCGGGAGCCGGCCGTAACGAGACACCCACCGCACCCGAGGTGGAACGATGAGTCTTCCCCTGATCATCCTTACGACAATCCGTACTATGTCCAGCCCATCAAGGACGAATTGTGGCTTCCTGCAGATCCAATCGGCATCCTCAACCTGGATGACACGGTTAACATGCGGGTTCCATTGACGACCTCGCCTGGCGTAGGGCGGCTAGGTGACTGGTACGAAGACGAGTTCATCGCTACTGGCCTGTCTTCGTTCCTCAGCAGCACGGCGAGCGTGGACCGACGCATGGCTTCAATTGACGGGCGTCCAAGACGCTTGAACGGGATGGAGCATATAGAGCTGCCCACCGAGATTGCAAGCCGCGTGGGCAGCCTTGACATGGAGCGCGAAGTGGAAACGGTCCGCTCAATGCGTCCCTCTTTACGGCAGCGGGAACGACAACACAGTCACGCGGGTACCATGCCGTCGCCCGAGATGGCCGAGATGGGATTCACGAATGGAGCGAATGGAAGCCCTCCACGCATGGGCGGTTTGCGTTCGTCCTCGCTTGGACCCGGGATGCCGGGGTATCAGCGACAGCTTCCATCCGCCTTCCTCAATGTTGCGAACGCCGATCGTCGAAACCGCTCGTTCTCTGACCACGAGATGGCCGTGCGGCCAGGCCTGAACGTTCTGTCGAGAAGCAGTCTCCGTCTGCCACGAGCCATGCAGCTGGAGGCGTCAACAGGCGGTATGAGCATTGTCTCGCTTCGTGAAGCCGTGGTCGAAGAAGCAATTGTGGAGGAGGAAGAAGAGCAGGAACACTTCAGGCAGGAGGAGGTACAAGAAGAGAAAGCCGAGAAGCCACGGTCAAAGTGGACATCATGGATGTTCACGAAATGGTACTAGTGATGTCCGACGACGTCTGTCTCTCACGGGTATCATTACATCGTTGTTCTCGCCTCATGTATCATTCACGTTTCATGCTGGTTGATGTCGTTACGCATGGTCATATAACTTTATACCTTATGTAGATGATACCCTTCTCACCGTAGCATATTAGCACTTGGCTATGTTCGCGCACGTCCCAACTACTAGTCACGCCTATTAATGGCTCGCATGTCCTTTATGTTTCTTTTCTTTGTCTATCTGCAACTGCATATATGTTTACAAAGGGTTGACACAGACACTGCGACGACAACCGTATAACTTTAAGTCTTGCACAACACTGCCGATTTAGGCAGTCAGTACCTTTGGATCCTAACACGCGCAAATACGTCGTGATATTGATGTGCGTACCATGTCACGTTAATGTCACGTCACGCCGCATGGTACGTCCTATCACTGCTTCCAGCCTTCCGCCACTCGTTCGGTGACTCATCTACAACCGAACAAGTATTATGTACTCATGCGCTGCCAATCTGGGGCTTATCCGAAGTGGGACACCCTGACGAGTGGCTGATAGCCACACCCGCGGCTCGAAATTCGAACGATCCAGGCTCGTCACGGTGAAAGCCGCGCTTTGTATAGCACTATAATGCGGTGCGTGTGCCAACGCAAGGCTGCTGCATGCTGTTCAAATTGCTTTGACAGGACCAATACCACAGAATGTCCGTTTCATTTTGACAGCTCTCGTCATCTCGATACTACAGCACGAATTTAGACTTCCTTGACATCCAACGTTGTGGTAGGACGTTGGTGTTACCGGATCCTGTTGCCACTCGTGCCTGAGGCTTGGACCAGTGGCTTGTGCTAGTCCCGATTGGTGTGGCTTGCAATGGGCCACATTACTACGCGCAGGCCTGAGGCCCCATTGTTCGTGTGCGAGTTATAATAAGGCGGCCCTGGCGTACTAGTACGCCTTGAACCCTCACTCGTTAGGCCCATCCCCCCTGTGTGGACGCCATGACTCCGGCTACCATCTTCCAAGCTTCTAGTGCCAGTGTGAAGCGGATCACCGCACGCGTCGGGAAGATAGCTTGGTCCCAGGTATGTCCTCCACAGCCTCTGATGGACCTGTAGTATGCTGAGCCCGCTGTGCCACGCATTTCAGTTCAACCGTCACCGCCACCGACAACGGTCAAAGATGACTATAGATCGTCTACCAGATGAAATACTGGAACATATCTTCGTGCTCGCTGGCGAGCTTCATCCCTGCCGGGGTCAGAGAGATGTCACGCACACGACTCGATGTATGTCCTGCTCTGCAGAACTTGTTGTCTCGACGGTGTCGCGACGGTGGCGTGCCATAGCTCTCAATTATTCGCGTCTGTGGACGACCATCCGATTGTCCGCGTCCACGACTCCTCAAGCGCTGCAGCTCTACTTGGATAGATCCAGATACCGTCCCCTTGACGTGGAGATTGTCGTCCGAATGTCGAAGGGTGCCACTACGGCGAGTCGACCGATCACTCAAGGCGCGTTACGCACGCTCCTCCACACGCTCCTTCAAGCACTTCCGCGATGGAGACAACTCCACGTCAGCACCCCGTTTCCGGACATCTTGGACGTCGTCATGTCTCTACTTGGGCAGAAACACCTCGGGGCACCGTCACTGGAGGTTCTGGCGATTGAATGCCCGTTCGAGACAGGCTTGCTCAGCGGCAACGGCAACATGTACCCACAACCGTTCCCTGCTGGCGCCCCCCGACTGCAGCATGTGCAATTGCACAGGTGCAGCTTCCCTCTGCAGGACAACGAGTCGCTGTCGCGCCTGACCTCCTTTGAAGTGGCGAGCGCTCCGTGGACGTTGTCAGACTTGCACGTCTTGTCTATTACCTCCCCACAGTTGACGCACCTCGCAGTCACGTCGAGCTATAAGTTGGACTCGCGTGTCTCGCTCCACTTCCCGAACCTTCGCAGTCTGCGGATAGGTGATTACTTCCAAAACGCCACAATCCTGGAGTTGATGGAGGCGCCGCAGCTGGAGGTACTGCAGATCGAGGATATGGAGGTGCAGTTCAACGTTACCGCAGGCTGGTACGTGGACGCGCTGAGGGGCGATGGATCTCATGGCGACCAGAGCAAGTTCCCAAACTTGCGCTCTCTGCGTCTGCAGATGCCCGGCTCGCCCGAGGACCCATCGCCGCTAATCGTGGGCCAACGCTTCAGTGATTTCCTGAGGTTATTTCCGAGCGTCGAGCATCTGGCGTTCGTCGGCATTCATGTTCACCAGTTCGTCCGCGGGCTTGTCGCTCTCCACTCCCACGTCGAACCCGACGACGTCCTCTTGCCCAAGTTGACCCACCTAACCTTGGGAGGCCAGGACGAACTCAACACGCTAGGCGGAGAATGTGGCGTCAGATTCCTCGAGTCGGTCATGCAGCTCGTCAAGGTCCGACGACTAGTGAATGGTCCCCTTCGTAGAATTCAAGTACCGGTCAACGTCCTCGCCAGAGACCGTTTTCTACTGCGGAAGTTTCTCGTGCAAATGCGACATGGGAGTCGCAAGGGTCTCGAACTTGAAGGAGTCCGTATGCCATACCCCTCGGACGTCTGGCTCGGGTACAAGTGGGGTCTTCGAATGCTACCACAGTTGCACGGCAAGAATACGCTCGAAGGCGCGTCTGCGCTGCTATGATTGCCTATTCAAGCCTCACGGCCTCAAGGCTTCTGGTGTCTGTCCTGCGTTATCAACGAGTTGAAGGCTCGACCCGTCATCCCCACGCACCAACGCCACTCCGCGTTCCTTCGTTGTAAGTTACTATATAGCCACCACAGTGCAAATCATGCATAACATCACTAGTCACTCGTTATCCTGTAGTTAGTTGTGAATGCTCTGTTATCACACCGTTATTATATCATGACAATACTTTACTATGTCCACCCGATCATGACCCTCTGCGGAAATTTATTGACGGATCATGGATGTCGTTGCGAATGCTCTAGGTCAAAACCATTCGAACTATTCATCACACTAGTATGCGGTACACAGTAGTTGCGTCGCTGGCAATGTCCAACGTGCATTGAATATCGTTGGGCAATTGGACAGGTAACCGGCGTGCTCGCCTTGGTTACTCAGGCGCCCGCTCGGAGTCGGCAGTATCGTCATCTCACTCGTGCCCCCAGGCGCATGCTTCGGATCCTGGCGCAGTACCTGCCAACGGCAGTACAATTCGTTAACAACCAGACGCGTAAGCATAGATGGCTTTGTCCCTAGTGAGCTTGCATACAGGGTATAGCGTGACAGTAGTACATAACGGCGAAACCAAAATAGCAACGAGAACGCAGTGACCAGCAGTAACATCAGTCCATACATCGAGTTCAAGGTCACGGTAAAGCTCAGAGCATCAATCAAAATAAGTACCGCCATCGAACCCCACGATCCTACTCATAGGCCTCAGACTCATCACTGGCGGTTTCTCCACAACTGCGGCGCGCTCATCCTCACCTGAGTCCTCGTCCTCGCTGTCCGACGCACGGTGCTCAGGATTCGGACGCCCGACGATGCTCACGACCCGAGTGAGCGACGGCTTCGCGAGCTTGTGCGTGGGCTGCACGCGTAGCGTGGTCGCGCACTCGGCCAGCCTGCTGACCATGGCCGCATCGAGCTCGACATCAAACAGGTCAAGGATGTACCGCCGCACGGGCATGCGGTACTTCTGCGACGAAATAGTGTGCAACGCGCGGAAGTACATCTCCGGCGAACTGAAGATGTGCCGGTATTCCGGACGGGTCTTCATCCTGCGAAGATGTCAGTCAGTCTAGCGCGCGGTAAAGGTTGTTCGAATACGGCTCACTTCGCGAGAGATCTCGACGCGGTGTTGGCAATGACGGTGTTGGCAAGGTTGTAAATGGCCGTCATTACCTCCAGCTCCTCAGCGGTCTTCGGAGGCTCTAGCCTCACGTCGTCATCCCCTTCGTTGGCGACGCAGTCCCAAGGAGGTATCTATCCTAACGTGAGCTGGAGAGCAAGGAATGTCAATTTTGAAACACACGTAGGTAAATTTCTCCACGTCGACAGGCACACAGATGCCTGTCGGCATACCAAGAGGAGACAATGTTGCCTCCCAGTGATAGTCGTCGAGAATCTCGGCGCCTTGAGGTGTAGACGCGATCAAGCCGAGCACGAAGAAGCAGGTGCTACAATATTGTGATGAGAAACCACAATCGTTCGTCGTTGAAAATGGAAGCTTACCCTCGAACGGAAAGCACCAACGACTCCTCTGCAATCTTGATGATCTCAGGGATGATCTCCTCGTCTTCTAGAAGAGTGAGGCCACCCTCGGTCGCCCCGATATTTCCCTGGGTCACGAAGGTCAGTGTTAGCACTCTTATATGAACACTGATTGCAGATACGCACGACAGCCCAGAGCACGCTCTTCAGCTTCATGATGAGGTCGTGATCCACGCTCTCCAGCCCATGCTGTCTGATGAACTCCGCAAACTCCGCGAAGTGACCCTTTTCTTGCAGGACTTGGTAGCCAAGTTCTGTCTTAGCCATGACGCCATAGAAATGCGGAGGCACCATGCTCTCCAGAGTGCTGCTCTGCCTTATGAGCATACTGAACGTATAGATGGAAGAAAATGACGCACAGTGCATCCTCGTCCTCGTCGCCGCTAGAGCTGAAGATCTTCGCAAGAAAAACCTCGATGTAGACAACATACTGAAGATTTCGCTCCTGGGAGGGCAAGGTCATCAGCCGATGACCGCGCGCCACCTCCAACGAGATACTCACGTGAAACCATATGTCCATCTCGCGATCGATATAATCTGCAGCATACAAGAAGCGGAAGCCCATCGGAGTGGACATAAACCTGATGAAGCTAACAGCGACTGCATGTATCAAGTGTACTGATGTGCTTACTTGAGCATAAGTGGATGGCCCATCTCCCCGAGATGGTCCAGCGTCGGCTGCATCTCCACAACTGACTGGAGGACATCCGGAGAATCGCACGCTTCCTCCAAGAATCGCACGGCGACCTCGCGCACCTCGATGGCAGGGTCGTACAGTTGTGTGAGGAGCAGTCGGAGAGTCCACGAGTTCGTAGTCGCACTAGCACGAATCAGTAAACCCAAGTGGTTCGTGGAGAACTGTCTGATGTGCTGGAGGAGCGGTCAATACAGGTGTACGGGGAGGACCATATATCGTATATACCTTGTAGCTGGAAGTAAGTGCCTTCGATAGCACGATACGCGAATGGCCATCGCTGCACAGATATGGTCAAATGATGCTGGCCATGTACTTCAAGGCGACTCACTGGCTATAATCAAGGTTCTCGATGATACCCTTGAGGAGGTCCTCGCGACTTCTGAGCTCTGTTAGATGATAGAATGCGGTGAAGAGCTTGAACTTCTCCAATAGCCTAAAACGAGGAACATCAATCATTGAAACGTCTAACTCAGACCAAATTAGCTACATACTCAAGTCCTTCCTTGCGCTTGCTAAGGGTCCCGAGCATCTCGAAGTAACCGAACGTCAACGTCTCGTTCATCCGTCTTTTGGAGAAGATCGGATCGGACGTTGGAGCGCCGTTGAACTAGTGCAACATGAGATTACGCCTCAATAAACAAGGCTCACACAGGAGACTGACCGGGTCAAGTTGGGCGAAGCTCTTGACGATCTGGTTCAGGAGGTCATCCTCGGCCAGGAACTTCACACCTTCCGACGACGTCATGAGGGCGTTCAGTAGCTGACACCCCAAGCGGACCCAGCGAATGTTCGCCTGATACACACAGTTGAGTTGTGAACAAACGTTAATTGAGGCCGTTCTCACCTTCATCCTCGGCAGGTCGGAGAACTTGTGGGTAAATGGATGGAAGAATGCCATCAGCTTGCGCATATACCGCGAGACGCGTATCGCCTCCTCCATCCTCTTGGGGTTCAGAAGCGGACCTTCTATCAGCTCCTGAAGGACTTCGAAGTTCCACTTCGAGGGATCTTTGGCGGTCATGACCTGGGAGTCAAGCAGGATGGCCTGGAATGCCTTGTCGTCCATCTGCATCGCCTGCTTCATCTTGTCCTGTTGTACCTGCCTCTGACCGCGGCGAACGGCATCCTCCACCGAGTTCGCTCTAAGGACATAGTGAGCCTTGGACGGTTAGGTCTGTTGAGACTGTTCTATGTACCTTGGACGCGTATCGCATTTGTCCGCGATGGGGGTGGGTTGTGTACGTGCCTGATGACGGTTGAAGCTGTCGATCGAAGACAGCGCCGAATTACCGATTATGCGATGCTCGCCCACTGCGTAGTCGGATGCCAGGTTGAAGACGCGCGGAAGTGTCTCGATGCAAATCGTCAGCTGAGTACGACGCGTCAATTGAGAGGGATGGCTACCTGGATCTGCGCCGCAATGGATAGCGGCAGCACACGATTCGACATCTGCAAGATCTCCGCCATGAGAAGGACCGCCTTCCGAGAGAGGTTCGACCCAACCGGGCTCTCTTCCAGCATACACGTGAGCGCCTACAACGAATCAATCTACCACGCGATCGAGACATCACTGATTGCACTCACATCCAGGAGGCCAGCACCGCAGAGAACTTGGATCAACAGCCCAAGGAAGTGGTCAATCAGCTTTACTGTGACCTGCGGTCTTTGCGCTTGCTCAGGCAAAGGAGGGAGCTCCTTCTGGTCGGACGTTGCACTCTTCCCATAGACTAGAGAACAAATAAGCCTAGCCCACTGTACCGAGCAGACAGATGACGACACCCACTCGTTAAACGCCGCCCTGCGATGAATGCTTGATGCCAGTCAGGAGCACGGATGTTCAGTAGATCGAAGAACATGTCAAGAATGACTTCCTGCAAGCAATGAACATGAGCAAGACATGTTCGCGGCTGTTCCCGCTGGTACACATACGCGAGTCTCCAGCGAAGGTATTCGGAGGCCATCAATCAACGAGCGTATGGCTAGTTTGTCTTGTATGCAGAAGTACATGAGACCTGGGCCGTTGTCAGTCGGTTGTCACGACAAAGTAAAAGTACAAACCGCTCCATGTCCGAAGCATGGACGTCACCACCCTTGTGCATGCTCGCATGCGATCGACGTGCTCCGACCCCTTGCCGTAGGCATCCGTCACTCCAGACAAGGCCATCTAGACTATGTCAACATACTGTACCACTTGCACGATGCCAATCTTACCTCCAAATCGATACCGGGACGAAGATACCCCCGAGTCGATGGACAGTCCACAATGTGCAGGAAGGCGGATGCGAGTAAGGGAGATATCTCGGGCGGTCCGTCTGCAAGGGCATGCAGCAGACACCGGATACCACCCGTCTTCGCCATCAGCTCGATGTCGATGACCACTGGAGTGATCTCTATCAGACAATCTCCGCCATATACCGACCTGAGACTCACATATCTCAGTCAGCGTCTGCAGACATATCAGCCTGAAGGGGTCATCTAAGCTCTCTGCCACCGCAATCAGGGCGCGCATGACTGCGCTGGAGAGCGGCACCGCGCCAGCACCCCGAGCATTAGCTGCCCCTGGCCTCCTCTTCTCGGATCCGATCTCGACGATGGCGCGAATGAGCTTGATGACCTGCTCCTTCTCGACGGCGTACTTGCTGTCCCGCAGGAGAGACTTGACCAAGAACCAGTCAAGCTTCTGCTCCTTCAGACGCTCAACGGAGTGAAAGTCCACCAGGGAGTGCCTGATGAGCCTGTATGCGGTGGCCCTGGAGCGCTTCGACGAGCGATCAGACAACGAGGGCAGTACGCTGGGTGATAGCGTGAGTACCTGTCTCCAGAGCTTCCACCGAGCACTCACGCCTTCACAACCTCATCGACGTCCAGTTCATAGCGGACACGTAGGTTCCGCTGCAGCACTGTGACTAAACGCATCATGGCCTCTACTCTTGCTCTCTCCAGATCCCCGCCGTTCGCCGCAGTCACGTTGGGCATGGCGGACGAAGAGGGGGAGGTGGACGGGGAGGCCCCTGAAGGTGACGGTGCAGAGGCGGAGCGGTGTGAAGAGAGAAGCGTTCTCATGCAGGAATTTGCCTGCTGCATTGCTGAGCGGAAATCTTCTGCTGCCTCGGTGGTATGTTTGACGTGCATCGGTGGAGGCCTGTGTGGTCTTCCCTTGCCATTTACGGTGGTCGTCTCAGTACCCTGCTTGCGATTGCCCTTGGTGGAATCTAGTCTGGTGTGAGGTGGAAATCAGTGAAGGTAGAAGGAGCTCACAAGTGTCAATGGTGCTAGTTATTGCACTGATCTTGTTCTTCGCAGCCTCGAGTTCCGACTCGACCTGCATGCGCAATGCATCCTACACAAGCTGATCGTAACCCAGAGACAGAAGATCAAGCACGCGTCTTACTGTCAAAGGCATCTGCAGCATGTTCTCCGCTCCGTCCTTGATAGCATTCGCGATCTTGAGTTCATTGTGGAGGTTCTCGAACTACATACGATGTTACGCGTCTGGTCAGCGAGACACAGGTAGATACGCACCTGGTCTGGCACAATAGGCTCTCCGCTCGCGTCCAATCCTCTGCCATCGCCATTCGTATTGGAATGGGCAAGGAAAGACGTGCCACCATTCGCGAGGGTCGTGCCCGTCAGATTGGTATATGCTGAAGTCCCCGCGTCACCCAGACGCTGGGTCGAACCAGACGACGACGTGTGGTCGACGACGACGGTAGGCATTTCCAAGCAGTGAACAAGACAGAGAACAAAGCAGGAGGTGTCGCTACGGCTGCATGCCGCAGTGGATAGAGAGACTTACACTGGGACGTCGCCGTCAATCGCTTCAGCCCCCCGCCTCAGATCCGGATCGTACTGAAGTCCTCATCACGTGCCACATCCTCCCCCGGCCCGCGTTGACCTTGCGCTGAACGTTGAACCTTAAGTTATTACTTCAGTACGTGACGGTCTTCGATTATTCCAAGTGATGCTACTGGGCTTCATAGCGAATCGTGACCCCAAAGCGTCGCGCCACTTTTCTTGAGTCGCTATACGAGGCTCGGAAATCCATTATTGAAGTTCAGTCGTAAATATGGGCTGTGAAACCAGCGGCGCTAGATTAGTCCGACACTGCACTGGCCGCGGGTTGCCATGGATCTGTGTACATGCAAGGTATGTGCGCTTCAGAGATTGTGATCGCTCTTGCTTCCTAAGCCCACCAACTCTCCAGACCGATTGCAAAGTTCGACATCATCCAGGAAAGCCTCGCCCAGCTTTTGCCGTGCATTCAATCTGGGAGTTCTCTTATTCGAGCGACTCAAAACATGGGGGTTGTCAGAGTCTACTCACACCGCCAGCATGGAGTTAACGTAAACTGAACGGTGATGGGGCAGTAAGTCAATGGTAACAGGCTCGCAGATAGAACGCTCACGTTTGCTTGCCGGCAAATGAAACACTGTCCATAAGTATACAGGCTTCTCCGCCAATGGCAGGTACTGCAGGAGGGTCTCAATGCCTCTAGAATCACTATGATTGCGATGAGCCCACCGTGATGAGTGACAGGAGCTGCATGGTACTTGATGACACAGTATCATCAGCCTTCGTGAGCAAATATGACTGCGAATCTGCGTCATTCAGGCGAACGCACGTTGTCAGGATCCCGCGGTCCACAGCATACACCACTAGCCTGCGCACGAGTGTATCCGTTCTGCAGAAGACATGTTATGGCCTCCTCATATTCGAGAGTAGACTTGGAGACTTGCCTTTGCAAACCTGATCTCATCCTCCGCAAATGCCAACAGAGCGTCACAGTGATGTAGATATCCACGACCGATGCGGATAGAGTGAAGAGGGAAAGCTCCAACGTTTCCTGACAAAGATGGTCAAACGCAACTCCTGGTAATGTGCTTTGCTCGCGATAGAATTGACGTACCACTGGATTGGTGTACAATCCACTGAGTTTATGCTTTGCACCCAACTCATCCGTGATGCTGCATACGATGTCAGCAGTGCATTCGCGAATTACGAAGCGCAAATAGTGCATACACGAACGCTAGAGCAATCCACGATAACAATATCGAGCTACGATATACTAGTGAGAGGTAGAAGCACGCACCGATAGTAGCGGCTACGAAGGTAGTGCGTCAGCTTGGCTCGCGTGCGAAGTAAAGCTCCGTACCGAATGACATGAGTGCCAACAGAACCTGGACAGAAATCAATCACATGGGTGGCCGGCCAGTCCATGCACGTTCTCTACCATTAATGCGATCGCAATCATATGGTACCATCGTTTGTTGCCCACTAAAAAGAAGTATCAATGAAACACTCAGTCACGCCCAGCAAAGACAGAGCAACTTACATATCCATGTACCATAGAGATAGTAACTGCTCCCACATTGTGAATCGGATGTCCGAGCAGATGTCGGCTTCAAGGACAAATTAGACATGCGAGGTGCCACTTACTATTGCACGATAATGACAGCTACAGCCTGAGAGCATGTCAGTTGGACATCATATACTCTGCCATACATCCTTACCTCGACAAGGAGCCCGACCTGGGGTGCGAACTTAGTAGATCAAACCGGTCATCAATTACTTGTGCAACTCACCAGCGACACACTTTGAGGCGGGGGTTAGTTCTTAGTAGCAACATCGACGTGCATAGACGTACGTAGGCAACGGCGAGGAAAGCGCAGAGAGATCGGCGTGCTTGTACGCGAGGAATGCGATTGCGAGCTATTATATGCCATTTTAAACCATTCCACCCGAACCCTTCTTCAAGCTCCGGCAGCGTACCTGTCCTTCAAGCACTACCGAAGCAGAGTCAATGACCCTACGTAAACGGGTGCGTCAGTCACCTTGTGGGGACGCAAATGTAGAGGACCATACACACCACAAAAAGCAAACCTATATGACGATCATTAGTGGCTTCTATCCTTGCCAATGCAAGCGTCAGATAATGTCATTACCAGATATCGGAGATACGCCTTGTCATTCCGATAGTGGTCAAAATAGTATAGCGTTTGAGCGCATGTGAGTCCGTACAATCTTGTATCGAGTACATCAGCTTCATAGACAGCATATCAAGTTTGATAAAATTACTGACGTGAGCTCAAGAGAGATGCCTATGAACTGGCAGCCTATACTCTTCTCGAAAACGCTCGCATCATCCGTCATCATGTGCGGGTATGCGTACGCCAAAAGCAGTGGGGAGAGAAACGTCCGTGCGCCGAGGTCGCGCTTCTGTTATGTATGAGGCAACTTCCGCTCGGCGATGTGCGCTGTCATTGTCAACCAGAGTACGTTGCACGTGAAGGCAAGGTGAACATACATACTGAGTACCATATCGTCACTCCATGGTACCTCCGTATCCATATCGAGCGAGCTGAATGGGGGCCATACGTATCAGCCGCAGAGAATGCTGAGAATCAATGTTGCCATGTCATCTTGGGGCTGTCCGGTGACGGCCCAAACAGATTAAGTAACGATAAATACCCGCAACCTGCACGCACGCAGCGGACGGACGGCACAGACGGAAGGAACGTATTGGCACCGACCAATACACAGGTATGCTTGCCAGAACTTTCCGAGGACGATACTTCAGCACATTGACAAAAGGCTTTGGCAAGGACAGAACTGACCAGCCTCATCTCACATATGCAATCCATTTGCCGGAGTGGGACGGCCCGCACGTCTTTCGCTTCAACACAGAACTTCATCATGATTTATGATCAAGTCACATCGAAACAAAATCTCCCTGATGGTACAGACGAGAGAGCGGCGGTATCGCCGGCATTTTGCGTACACGTACAGGATCCATACAAGCACTTCCGTGTACAACTTGCATTTAAACCTTTGATTTCATGGAATGCCGCCAGTCCAGGCGTCTCACTGCGAGATGCCTAAGGACGATGTTCAACCGAGTTTGAACGCTCATATCGTGTTGCAACACGCACCGATAATACCACAAGCAGCACGCCCGCCTGCATTGCCGGTCTTCAGAGACTCTTCGTTATTCCCCTTCCCAAGGTCATCGGTGCCCTAAACGGTTCGTCAGCGTGACACGACCAAATCGTCTGAGACGCAGCGGGGACTGACCGCGTGGAGGACGATAGCGCGACTAATACCACAGGTCAGCCGTATGTATGGGTATTAAGAGACTATCTTACCCAACGACACTCAACGGGCCATTCAGCGACACCAGCGAGTCCTCGATGGTGAACTTAGCTTCGCCCTGTGCATCGCTTTGAATGTTCCCCAGGTCACCGATGTGTCTGGAGGCGTCAGTCGGAGCACCGTGGGTCTGGCCGAGAGGGTTGAAGTGCGAGCCAGCAGACGCACAGCCCGAAGATAGGTCGCCCGCAGTGCTGAGGCCTTGTCAGTGAGGCTAGTCGCATGTATAGACCAATACACACTGGATGTGGAAGCCTCGCTCTGCCCTCGGGTCAAGTCCCTGCAATTCACCGGTGATCGTGATCTTTGCTCCCGGCGCGGTCTGGGTGAGGGTCACTGTGCCGCTTGCGCCATAGTCGCCCTTGAGGACCGCAACGGCCTGTACCGATATTCAGCCGGATGAGACAATAATCCGGGAGCGGAAAGAGAGAGTACTAGACCTTTGTCACCACAGGTGCTGTAGGCGTGGATGCTGGCCTGAGAAACACGAGCCACAGAAGAAATGCGCCCGCGAGCGTTGCTAACGCGGTGACGACGATTGGCTGCTTGCTTTGGCGAGGCTTATACAACGCGTCCATGGCTGTTCGACCTCGTTCTCGAGCTGGTGAGGGAGCAAATCAAGAGGGGGGCGAAGATGAGTTAGGTTCACAGCGGGTGCATATGGCGTAATGCGGCATATCTGCATGCTCTGGTTCGGCATTAGTCAACCTCGCGCGCAAATAGCCTCCCATCGCTGGCACGGGGCACCCGACGACGTCGCACCAACAGCGTACATACCGGCACTCATCGAGGCAATTGCTACGCGCAGCAGGCGAAATCAAGTACAACCGTGTATGGACAATTCACGAGACCTGAGTCGCGGTGGAAGAGGTGGTAGAACTAGAAGTGGAAGGGTAACTGGTAACCAGTGGGTAACCTCAATTCATCGAGATCCGAGGGCTTCTAAAGTTCAATGAGTTTGGTTGTATAAGCCTTTTATTGTCTTCAGGGGGCTTATGTAGGGCATCATTAATAGATGATCATTCCTGTACTAATCGCCACGAAGTCAGTAGTTGCTCAAGTACAGTAATGTACACCTATAAAATCCAGGCAACCGAGTGCAGTACATGTCCCTCGTCGTATACGTAGAGGAAGTGGAAATCATAGTCTACGATGAATATACATGTCCTCCGCGGGCGTGGTACATTCGAGTCCGGGCTCCGCGTCGCTCCCGCTAGGTGCACGACACCGTGCACCGAGGTGATGATGACCTGCTCATGCTCCGTATTGTACGTAAGCAAGCCCCGCGGCGGCGTTTTCGTAGCCAGCGTCACCATGCACAGTCGGATGGAACTCCACCTTGCCAAGGTCGTCCAACATGTCGACATTGGTGCTGTAGTATGCGCTTTGTCCGTTCAGGGCGATATTGTTCAGGCATGCGAGCAGTGTGCACGCGGATCTGGAAGGCTGTATCAGAACGCTGAATGGTATCAGAACGTCGATACTTACAGCTTGGACAGTATGAACAAACTACATATTCGTGAGCATAGGATATGACTCATGTCACAGATCACTTACGCGATTGGTGCTACTGGGTGCGGCTAATGCAATCGTCAGTGCGGAGTCCCCACAATGCAACTAGCGACTCACCGAAAATTGCAGGCCGAATGCTAGTATGAAGCCAGTTGCTATTTCACGGAGTTGTATCAGTATATGCGCTATACTGCGCGAGGAAGCCAACCCGATGTCTACGCACCCATCAAACCTCCTGTCTCAACGGTTATCGCGGCCAGTCTGGTCAAGATTCCGCTTGATTGGCTGTAACAGGTCCATCTTGCTCTTGATAGCTAGATGTATTGTATGCCAATAGCAGAAACGTCCGATACCGGATGAGCGTTTTCACACGAACGCACAGGGAAAGCGACGTACTGTTATACTCATTGCTACAACTATGAGCAGGCTTGCGACTAGGTTGAGGGAGAGCCAGACCTTGACAGCGTCTCAGATTCTCACGGCGAAGTATGTGCGTATTCAGCTCACCCACACCGCCAATTGGAAAGGGGCTGCATCCCATACTCCGCGTTGTATCAACTGTCAGGGGTACTTGCGTTCTGTAGACACAATGCATGCACAGATGCCGCATACTCACCAAGAGAAAGATACTGGCAAACACTCCCGCAATCAGCTGTAGTACGGAGAACTGAAGATTCCGTCAGCGTGCGATCGCACCGGGATGCAGGTCAAAGCCATGCTCACTGCGCCGATGGATATGGACCAAATATGCCTTCTAGAAAGCTCTATGATACGCTTGACATAGAACCACTGCGTTGCGGCGTATGTCGTGGTAGACGGCATTAGGTATACGCTTAGCCAGAAGAGGTTGATTTGTGGAGTGACGTGCGTAACAGCTCGAACAGTTTCCACTGCGAGGAGGACAGACTGGACCAGTTCCACTAAGAAGAGGATATCCACTGTAAGCGTGGGGTGCGGCCATGATCCGTGTCAGCGAACTCAACGCAGTGCATCAATACGTAGTTCAGACCTGCCGCTCGATGTCTCCCAGAATCTGGGGTTGGATTACAGATGTATCCGTCTGTATACTCGTGTCAGCGCGTCCTGGAAGTACCTGGCGAGAGTGATCGTACAGATTTGAAGGGATAGGATACCAAGCAAGCCCCAGTTGAACATAAGACCTATTAACTGGCTCGCCGAACAGCGGCACCTCATTAGTTCACAGACGAGTCTTCGCAGCCTGGCATTCGGGAAGACCTACGTCTGCACTGAGACTGTCGGTTCAAAGAGACCAATTAGCCAAGTTTAAAAATAAATCAAACACGCAGACGTACTCCCACTCCACATAGCTGCTGGGACTCGACATGGCGCTTGATAATTAGTGCCAGCGTCCTGATGGTTGAAGCAAGGGACTCGGATAGCGAGGCACTGACGGCGGTCGTGTTTTGTCCGCGAGGTAGGAGATTGAGCAAAGCTTTATAGCATTGGCGGTCGCGAGAGACGATGATCTGTGTGGCAGTCCGACGTCCAACATCACGCCAGTGCTCGACAGAGACTGTGACGGCACAGATCCCAGATCCCAGATCCCACATTTCAGCATCCCCCGCCTCGCGGCACAGAAATCCTCGAGTGACGTACCACCGTACTCGGTGTGCCATCCGTGCAGACGCACTGACAGCTGTGTCCACCCGCGCTCGACTCAGGCTCGAATTTAATAGCAGGCAGGGACGGAAGGGGAACCTGATGCAAGGGCGCGGACAAGTTTGGCGGGTGCAAGAGGTAGTTTGACGCCGTCTATCTGTCGCACGGAGCCTGTGTGTGCTGTCAGTGGACCAATCAAGTGCAGCGAACCTTATAAACCTGCGTACCTAGCACGATGCGAAGGCGGCACGATAGACAGCCAGCGCATACATGATTTGAGATGTCAACGCGCACTATGAACGATGGGGGTCAGAAGACACACACGCACCGCAAACGTTGAAGACCAGTCAAAACGATACGTCCTTGGAACAGCCTCGTCGCGGGGCGAGAGTCAAGGGCAGCCATTACTACCGCTGCACCGCCAAGTAGCTTCAAGTTTCAGCTAGTGAGCTGAGGCTTCTTTCGTTTCCTGTGAAAGGTTATACCGGCCATGATATATCGATACATGATGACGTTCATGTGAGTTCACGAACCTCAAATGCGTGTTGCTCCGTGTCTGCGACAGCTGACGAGGTGCTGTCGTTAGTGCCTTCGAGGCCCTTGTGCAGCCTAAAGAGCGCCTGAGACCGTCTACCACTTGGAGGTGCCGAATGGGACTGTGACGTTGAACAGTCACGCAAAGTGCACGCGTTTGAGAGTTCTGAATTCATCACTACGAATGAGGAACTGTTCAAATCTAAGAGGCGCAGCATTGAAATAGGCGGTAAACACGTTTCAACTATGCAAACTCCATGGTCAGATCCGTGCACAAGCTACTTGGTCGACTGTGTGACGGGGTCAGCGATAGGATGTACGATGTCGGCCGGCTCACACACCTTATAACTCTCGCGATCATCATCTATAGTAGGCGGCAGATCGACCCCGGTTGGGCCATTACTGGCATCAGGGTCTGCAGCTAGAGGAGCATCGTGCCTGGCCTGTCGACTTGTCATATGCAAGATCAGCGGACTACGTTCTACATGAACGTTAGAGATTTGTCCATGCAGGAAGGCCCTGTTGTTCAGCGACATCATCAACGAATTCGCATACCTGCAAGTATTCTCAACAAGGCGGGTGACAACGAAGATCACCCATACGCACAATTTAGATAGAAACTGCGATCTATCATTGTCAACGACTTTAGATCGTCATGGATGCGATCGGGCATGGAATACTGACGGAAACAAGGCAACAGTAGTCTGGGCATTTCAATCAGCAGAGCTTCAAGCAGCGCAGAGATACATATGGCTGACCGAGAACGCGTACCAACAGACTAGGGTTGTGACAGCTCCAGCGACTGCCAGGGGAAAAGTTAGTACAATGCCGAGGAAAAGGCATGACCATGATATACCGGTTAGGCAACCTGTCTCGATGACCAATTTCCCAATGCGGTTGATGAGCACGTCGGAGTCTTTCCGACAACTTCTAAAGCGCCGTAGCTGGATGCACTATTCAGCGGTAGACACTCGAGGCATGCCAGCGAGACGCACAGAATACAGCATGAAGCCGGCGATCATTGTGTCCACGAGAATGCTACACCACAACCAAAGCTAGACAACCCACAAGACTTATCAGGCTTACGATGTGTAGGCATGAAATGGGGTACCTACATTTGTGGCCACATCCCACGTCACGGCATAGTCGCTATACTGGCCAGAGAAGACGTGCAAATTCTGTCACAGGCGATGATCACTGCTTGTGCTGCAATACTATGCATGACTGATGCGTACCTTCAAGCTCACGGCTCCTACTATCCCCGCAACGAACGCAAACACGACAAACTGGACGCCGGTCAATGGGAACATCGCCGCACCGTTGAACCCTTTCACTCACAAAAAGAACAACGATCGTGAAGATTCGTCTCTGCGAAATTATTGAGATGCGCCATGCGTAGAACGACTGGACCATAGCCGCCGTGAAGGCAGGCATAATGAACAAGGTGATCCAAAACACGTCATCGGATAGGAGCGAGGCGAAGTCCCCATAGTGTGCGGCGAAGCGGTAGAACGAAGACGAGGTCAACAGCGCCGTCTGAGACCATTCCAACACGAGCGTGGAATAAACTGACAAGGTCATGCAATCAGGCTGCGTCAAACACATTGGTCTGCAATTCGTACCGATGCACTTTAGGTAGATCGAATCAGTGGGAAAGCATAGATAGTATATGTCTAAAGACAGTATGTTCATCCAAGACGTGGCGCGTGTCATGGAGTATCAACTCACACACTTGGACAGAGAACGCGCCCTGCAACGCCCAATTGAAAGCAAAACCTATAAGCTGAGTTCCATTGTTTGATCAGACAGCAACAAGATTTGTAGCGCCATAAAACGCACCTCTGGTCCCCTATTGGTCGTTTAACCAGCGATTCTACCGTAGAGAACATGACTGACTCACAACAGGGAGGCCAATGACGACATGGTACGTGCAGGAGCAGCAATTCAGCCTGTTCGGTAACTAGATCGGCACGTCGGTGAAGTGAGCAGCTACCCGATGACGAGGGAAGTAGGCTTGTTGGAGAGGGTTGGTGCTGGAGAGTGCCTGGCCGACGATGGAGTATAAGGCAGACGGCACTGTGTTCCACACCAGGAAGCACTCCCTGACCAACCGTAGAAAACAGTCAATCTCCCGTGTAGCGACGGGTACCACGCTGTCATGTTAGACAGATAGAGATTTCATGATGTCACCAAGACAGATACCGAGATAGCTTCGCCGAACGACAACTTGAGTCAAATCGCATGATAGTTCGAGATTACAATACCATGGGCCATTCTGTGAACACACCCTCGCCAAATCGGAAGAAGCTAGTCATGCCCGCGTCAACCGCTGCAACTACAACCATCTTCTTCCCCGTCTTGAGTGATAAAAAGGGGTTGATATTACGCGGTAACTCCGGGGGCGAGGTCGACGGGAACGCCCACGGGAAGAACCTCTGCATCCGAGAAGGAGGCAGTTGTGTCTTCGGGGCTGGCGCTGGGGGCGGTGCAGTACCGGCTTTTTGTTGAACAAATGACTGACGCTTGCGAGGAAGAGGCGGCGGCAGCTCTGGCAGCACCCCGAACAGAGACGTCAGCTCCGTCAGCGTCGGCATGGGCGTCGTCCGCGCGCTGCACTCTTAGCTCAGTAGAGTCCAAATACAGAAGAAGCACGACACGCACTTCACAACCACTACGGAGTATTCGGGAGGCGGCGGCGCGGTCTTCTTGAAAGGTGTCGATGGTTTGTACACGTTGTAGAAGATCTGGTACGGAGAGACGGGAGCCCGTGGACGAGCTTGGACATGCAGAGGTGCGTTGTGGCCGCCCGGAAGGAAGCGCAGAGACTGAAATAGATGTCCTAGACCCACGCATAAGACGGTACACCGACACAAGCCATGATGAACCGCACGGATATTAAAAGCACCGTGAAGGCAACTCGTGCGAATTGGTTGCCACCAGTCGAACCGGGGCACAAAGAGGCTCTGCAGGGCGCGGAGTGGCCACAGCACAACAGACAGAACTTTGTGTAGGAATGATGATTGATACCGTCTTTGAGGCTGTTCAAAGGGTGGTGGAATCGGGTACTCTGGATTTGGAGGCTTCGTACGCGTAACCGCGTATCCAAGTCTTTTGAGGTAGGCAAATACCTGAGGTCTGTATCAGTAGTTCATCTTATCCAGGAGCGATGGTAAGATACCTGGTACTTCTCGAGCGTGAGGTCTGCGGTTCCGATCATCTCAGCGAATGCCTGCTGTACAGTCATGGGAATGCCCTCCACGTCCTCGAGGCCTGGAGTGTCTGACGGGGCCAATTCACATGCCTTCCAGCAAAGCATCGCGCCCCTTTCCACAAGGTACAGTGTTTCTTCGGGCAGTAGCTCCAATCGCTTATGGATCTTCTTGGCACTATCAAGTGAAGCCGTCCTGGCTACGGAATGGCCCATGCTTGCAAAATGGATGCCTCTGCTCAGGGTGACATGCGCTCGAGCGAGATCTGGATGCCACACGGCATAGCTGATTGACTTGCTAGCAGTGCACAGCGGGGTTAAATTGCTAATACGCTTTCAACAGGTGCCTGGCACGTACCTAGAAATTGTACGAGGTGCGGACAAGGCTTCCAGCATCGCGTGCCGCGATCGGTCCAATACATGGCGCTGCAGACCGGAGCCTCCAGAAGCGTTTGGTTCGAAATCTTTCTCTCCTCGTTTCGGGATGAAAGGGCGCGCAGTGGGGGCCGAGCTGATGGTTTGTTAGCAAGCTAGATCGCGTCCAGTCTTCATACACGTACGGGAGTTTCGTCCAATCGGGCCCCTGGTCCTCATCGCCTGAGGATTGCTCGTCATCGCCGTCTACAGCATCAACAGGCTTTGATACAACATTTGGCCTCTCGAGTGTGTCGTCCATGGTCGCTGCTTACTGCAGAATGGTGGATTTTGTGTGGATTTGGATGAGACCTCAACTCGTTGTTGCTCGGATGAGTCGCGAAAAGTTGGCAAGCGCCCAGCCACACACGGGCGCCTACGCGATGATCAGTCATCTGACTCTGGGATCTGGAGCGCTTCAGCATTGCGGACTTCTCGGACTCTGCTCATGCATTTCGGACTTTGTCGACGTCGTTGTTTGTGCTCTCGACGACATCCCCACGTCGACGGTGGGTGCTGTTGAGCTAATTTCTGGTGCTCTGCTCTCGGCGTATTCAACACCTTCTCGACGATCATGGTCGAGGGACCGACTTTTGTGCAGTCACTTGTGGTATGTCGATCATTGTGCCTGTCTACGTCAATTGACCATGCCAGGCCGGCGGACTCGCAGGCACATCCGTCGACCTCCTCTTCTTCCCAATTGACACCATTAAGACGCGTCTACAGTCGTCGCAAGGCTTCGTGCGGGCGGGCGGATTCAATGGGATCTACAAGGGTGTCGGGAGTGTCGTGGTTGGTAGCGCACCCGGAGGTACGTACTACTGTCAGTCCAACTCTCTACAGTTGCTTACGGCCCACGATGTGCAGCTGCCGTATTCTTCTGCACGTATGACACACTGAAGCGCACACTACCCCTCGCCGAGAACCTGGCCCCGGTGACGCATATGTTGTCTGCATCCGCTGGCGAAGTTGTACGACGGTCCACTCATTGTCGCAGTGGTAGCTTCTCATGACCGCAGGGCCCTGTCAGGCTGCTTGCTTAATCCGGGTGCCCACGGAAGTCATCAAGACGCGCATGCAAACATCGACATACGGCAGCTTGGCGGGTTCGTCGTTCGCCGCCGCTCGGCTGGTGCTCTCGCAAGAGGGGCTCCGCGGCTTCTACAGGGGATACGCCACAACAGTGATGAGGGAGGTCCGTGAGAACCATCGTTCTGTATCACATACGCTTTACTGAACTGCGCCCATAGATACCCTTCACGTCAATACAGTTTCCTCTCTATGAGCTGTTGAAACTCCGGCTGTCTCAAGCCCTAGGACGAAGACCGCTGCACGCATACGAGGCTGCTGTATGCGGGAGCATTGCAGGTGGCGTAGCCGCCGCACTCACCACGCCACTGGATGTACTAAAAACCCGGGTCATGTTGGACATGAGGGTACGCATACACGTCTCACACGTTCTTGGCCGAGTGCATCAACTAAGCTGTGGTATCATGCAGGACACTGCCAAGCAGAGTATGCCCTCAATACCCGCTCGCCTCAAACAGATCTACGTGTCTGAAGGACTACGCGCATTGTTCAGTGGTGTCGTCCCGAGGACACTCTGGATATCAGCTGGCGGCGCTGTGTTCCTAGGTGTCTATGAATGGGCCATCAGCACATTGCCGAGCATTTGACGGTTCAGCACGATGCATATCATTAATCACTACTGATACATTGAGACACTAGTGTTACCTTCTTTAACAAGGGTATCTTAGCTGGACAGCTCTTGATCTCGAAATCACACCCCTCATCTGAATGGACTATCAAGATGTGTTGGCCTCCGCAGGTCGAGGGCCCAGCTTCAGGACGACGCGAGGTAATTTCTTCGGCGCTTGACCGTCATCAGGAACGTCCGAAAGCGAAGAGAAGGACGACACGGAGTCGCTATCAGACGGTTCGTTCGCCGTCTCTGCTTGTACTGCGATCATAGCAGCGAGCTCCGTGGTTTGGGCCTTCTTTGCGCCCGGTTTCCTCAATGATGCGCTTGGATTCTGTTCAGCAGGAACATTGGGCATCTTTCTCTCGCGGAGCACCCGGGAAGACGGCGGGACCGCGTTGCGTGCGGACGTAGTGGCAGGAACGAGGTGCGAAGAGTCTATCCCCGCAAAGAGCTCTACGGCTCGGGCCAGCCATGGCGCAGACATGGTAGGTTGGGAGACTCGCCCACCTCGGCGTTTCTTCGTCGCCTTCTCGAGCTAAGTACGATGTCAGATTTGCGCACCCAGACTTGGGTGTACACGCCTACCTCGACTAGATTCTGTAGGTTCCACCAACTCTCGTCGACCATCATTCCGTCCACCTCTGCTAGGCCGGTCAGGTGCGCCATGGCACCGCTCATCAGCGCACGGTCGCTGTACCCGCCCTCGAGCACGCTGATGAGCCGTCCACGAGCGTACCGATCCGCGAACGCGCGCGTGTCGTTGGCGAAGCGGCGGTAGAACGAAGTTGGGACGTGGCGCTGGTGTCTCGACATGGACGGATACTCGTGCTCACTGGCGTCGAACCCGCAGCTGCGGCATTCACAAGCGTCAGTCGCTCGCGCGCGCTGTAGAGAGCAGAAAACAGACGGACCTGATGAATATCAGGACGTCGTCGCCCGGACCACCCGTCTCGTCGAGAAAGTCGCCGGCTTTGCCGAGGAGCTTGGAGTACGGCCCTGCGTAGAGCTCCTCCCAGAAGTGCTCTTCGGAGCTGTACGGCTTCAAGTGCACGTTCTCGATGTGTTGCCCGTGCGGCCCGTGGATCGACACCGAGGCGGCCTGGACAAGTTCCATCTTCCCGTCCTGTGCCCGCACATTGGTCAGCACATTTTGAAAGAGGACGGCTAGGCCATACCTCGCAAGGATAGGAGAAAACGTCATGGATGCTCCCGTAATACGCTTGCAAGCCGGGTTTATCGGGGGGCGCGCCTGCCTCTTGTTCCAGGGCCTTCCTGTACGATTCCTCGTTGATTTGCCAGATGATGGATTGCGTTCCATTCCCTGCGTCTCCGTTCAGCGCTGATGCTCACTTCAGTAGATGCGGCGTACCATGATGAAGGTCAATGTCCAGCACGACGACACGGTTAATTCCGTGTTGTAGATGAGCTGTGCAATATTACGTGAACCTGTAGTTCCGATCAAAATTAGCGGGGTGTACATACCATGTGCTGCTGCGACTGCGACGTTGTTCACGAAGCAAAACCCAGACGGTGTGTCCTGAATGGTGTTGAGAGACGTGACAGTATCGAGCGAGTGGTTCTTACTTCTCCGCAATGGTGACCAGGAGGCCTTATGGCCACGAAGGCTCGTGAAGTCTGGGTATTCGGAGCAGAGTTGCGGCTACCAACGACGGTATCGACGGCTTCGCAAACGGTGCCCAAGGCACCCTGTATTGCAAGTAGCGACTCGGGACATACTAATACAAAAATGTGTTGTAGGTACAGAAAATGGGCGCATGCGAAAAGCACGTACAGTAGAGATCGCCTTGGGAGAAGCCTTCCGGGATCTCGCTCTCGCCCTTCTCGATCTTCGCGCGGCTTTCAGCGGCCCACCGGTTCAAGTTCTCGAGATACACGTCTCTTTCAACGTCGCCGTGCACAAACTTCACCGCGGCGTGGTTCAGAATGTCAACTGACGCCTCGCTATGCACGAATTGCACCGGAACGCGTGAAGGCGAGCTACCGGAGGCGTTGGCCAAGTTCAGGCGTCCCAGGGCCGAAGCAAGTTCGTCGGCATCCGTTTCTTGAGCATCCGCGGGAGGAACATGGTCTTCTAGGTGCTCTGATTTCACGCTGGGACCGCGGACCTTGGAGGACTCCTCCAGTCGCGCGACAGCTGCCGCCAGGCCGACATGAACAGCGCGTAGGCGCTCAGGACGTTCCACGATGCAAGACGTATCGCGCGAGCGAATGTATCGGTGCTGGACGCATGATTTTTGTAGAAACACGGCGGTCACAGAACTAGGTCGCTGACTGGAAGCAATCCCAGCCTCCATGGCAGTAGGTGTAGAAGTTGAAGGCAGGAGGAGAGGCCGGTCAACCGGCAGTTGTGGCTGGAGCGCGTCGCGATCTATATTCGGGTTAATTGTACTTACGCGATCAAATAAGTAAGTAGTTAAGTACCTGTCTTGTTGCTTGTCAATTGTATAGAAACCGCTGTTTGCACAGAAAAAGCTTGTCAGCCCCGATAAGTTGGATAATCGGTGCCCATGTCCACAACTGCGCCTCACGGTCCGCCGCCAACTCTCAAGGTCTACTTCAACCTCTCCTGTGCTCTATGGACGCGACACAGCACACGCACAACGATACAGACTCTGCCCCCGACAATGCTGGTCAAGCCACTGAGTCTGCTGCGCCTCTCACAGATCAAAGGCGGTTCCGGGTCGACTTCGACTTTGTCAACGCACTCACGGGCACGCTCATGGGCAGGAGGCCCTTTCTCGGGCGTGTAGCGCCTGCTCCCGCTCCCGATCCTGAGCTACCAGCAGAAGCTCCTGGCTCCGGCACTGACTCCAGGGAGGCCGACGATGGGCCGCCGGCCCTGGCCTCGGACTCGGACTCTGGCGACTCGGGTTCGGATTCAGACGCGAGCGAGGACGGCGACAGCGAGGCGGGGAGCCTTCCTTCGCTCCAGACGGTCTCTGATAGCTCGGACGAGGAGGCAGACGTGTATGATTCCGAGTCGGACGGCTCGGGCTGGGACGAGCAGGACGCGCGCGACGAGCTCCGCCGCGGGATGGAGTCGCTCGGCGATTCGGCGGAGAGCACGGCGCCGTATGGGCCGTACACTGACGAAGAGGATCCGGAGGATTGGGAGGATGAAGATGAAGATGACTTCTTGGTCGAGGCTGATCGAATACTAGGTGCTGACATCGCGGCACAGGGGACTGAGGTGAGATCGGGTAGCCGCATAGAGCTTCACGCTGCCCGCCTGGTCGGCGGGTGTATGCTGATGCGCATATTACTTAGATGCCGCTGAGGTCCATTGACCTCCTGGAATGGCTCATGTCGCCGCGGAGGCTCGCCGTGGACAACGACCCACAGCGCGCAGAGACCCTCCTCGCCGGCCTCGAAGCCGTCTCCGACGAACTTGTCCGTCGGTACGAGAAGCTGCGCGGAGGCGACGGCGAGGCCGCGGAGGGATGTGCGATCTGTCGAGATGACTACCTCATTGACAATGTACACGACCCGTCCGAGCTCGGCAAGCTCAACGGGGCGGACCTGACCAACGCGCTCTTCGAGCTGCTCCCGTTCCACACGTCGCCCCCGTCGCAGCACTATATCTTGGTGTTCCCGTGCCCTGGGAGGCACCTATTCCACCGCAGCTGCCTCGCACCGTGGCTCGCACGCAAGACGACGTGCCCGTCGTGCAGATTCGACATCGACCCCGACTCGCTCACGCTGCGGCTGACGGCGACGATGCCGCCGCATCTTGCACCGGGCGTGCGGAAGTGGGAGCCGCCGACTGTGTTGGGGTTGGAACAATGGCTGGCAGAGGAGGAGAAGTTCCGAGCGGATGGGCACCGCTCGGAGTGCGCGCATGGGGCGAAGCCTGCTGCAGCCGGTGAGTCTGTACGCCACTACGCTATATGCGTCTTGACACTGAAGGTTGGAAACAGGACAGCGTGCCGGATCGAGGGTAACGTTTGCTCCTAGGCCACGCGAGCTCGACCCATGGGGCATCGACTCGGATGGGGAATCGATACCCGAGCTTGACCTCAACGCGCTGCGAGCAGCAGCAAGGCCAGCCAACTCCCGCGCCCGACCCGCCGCCACGGCAAGTCGGGGACGGTCGCCTTCCTCATCCCGCCGGCCGCATGCGTCGTTCCGTGCGCCCGGCGGCCCTCCACATGTTCCCTCGAGGAACTCGCACGACGCAGTTGTGGAGGACGTGTTTGCGCGCATCCTCATGCTCGAGCAGACGCTCCGCAGAGGGGCGAGCCCGATCGGCCGCTCGCCGCCGATCTTCCCGGAGCTGTTGCCGGACACTGGGAACGTGAGCGACGACGAGCTGCCTCCGCTCGTCGAATGATTCGGGGGACTGTCGCATCTCTTGCTGCTTGGTCGTGGCCTCTGGGCGTGCTGCTGACGGACGCTTATGCTTCTTTTTGTTGATGTCACTGTGGTTCGGTCGCATATTACTATCATGAAACGCATATTGTACAGTACGCAATGGCAGATTGGTGATGAATATAGGTTACTGTATCTGTTGAGCTTTCTCGGTGCTGCACTGATACGTGGCAAGCGTGAAGCATAAAGTTGGATTTGGTTCGAGATGCACAATATTCCGAGCGCGTCCACTCAAATTGATAACCTCATGCTACTTTGCTATTGACCTGCAGGTGTGGTCGAGTTGTTGCTCGAAGTTCTTCAACCTCTTGCTGACTCGATGGGCGTAAGATGTGAGGTAAGTAGCCGTTGAATTGGGTAGCGAGGAAGCCGGCACATCGCAGACAAGATACTAAGGTGAACTGGCGAGAGATCTCAGAGTCCGACTCAGGTCATTCCGCGTCCCCCTCGTCATTGAGAGAAATTAAACGTGAATCAATTTGGAAAGCAATTCAGTATGCGCGGGGGATGCATAGGGCCGATCGTATGCGCAATGGCAATGGAACAATATTGTCAACGAGTGCGGAGTCAAGGAGGCAGGGGTAGTGTTGCGGCAAGTTGAGTCAAGCTAAGCCGAGTCAGCAAACTCGATCACAACTCGAATTTCGAGTTGCCGCCGAGTAAGCTAAGGAGTTGGCTTACAAGCCAGGTGCCACAACTGTACAGTGATTCTCACGTTCACTGGCCAATCAGATTCAAGCAACGGTCTGCACGATTGTGTGCGCGGCCGTATCGAAGTTCGTCGCGGTGGTAAGGGCTCGTAAAGTATACAAAGACTTGAATGTAATACTGAGCAACTTGAATGACGATGCAATTAGAAGCTATTTCTGCCTAAGTTCCTGGTTACGATACAGATCGCGCAGTTCATCAAATCGCCCCAGCGCAATGAGCTCCTGAACCGCAGACGCCGTCGGTGCCTCCAAACTGTAGTCCTCGGGCTTCGCAAGGGTGTCCTCCGTGAAGTCTAAACGGTCGCCCTTGAATTCGAATTTCTCCACCTGCAGGATTTCGAGCATCTCGGGTGAGAGATTGATCCTTTGCACAGTAATCGTCTGCTTGCTTCCTGAGAACATTCGTTCGCAAGGCACAGCGGATGCCTGTACAGGTAACACGTCAAGCGCGACCCGGAACATCAGCGGGAATTCGTTCTCGTGACCCTACGACGACTTTATGAGCAATTACTGTGATAGACATAGAGTATTAGCAAGGGCGTACCTCCCACCATGCAACAAGGTCAACTGCGCGATCTTCGGAACGAACCAGGGGCACGGTGAGATACCGATCAAGCTCATTTTCCGCAATGGTACGGTCGCGGATCACTGCGTCAGCTTCAAGCGCAGCAATTTCCGCAGGTGAACTTGAAGGTGGCTGCAGACTCGGAGCAGGTGACTCGCTGTTCGTTTGCGCTAGCAATGGTACACTAGCTTCTCTCGATTGTGGTCCTGGGGCGGTACTGGTAGCCGATGACTCGCTGCAGCTACGAGAGATGGCAGAGGGACTCGGGGAGGTAATGCTTGCTGCTAGTGGGAGTGTCTTGGACCGCCGCGGCAAGCTTTTGATGGCGCGCAGGCGATGCACGCCAGACACCTGTGCCTGCGCAGCTTTCGATGTAGTACCTGCGCGCCCGGAAGGACTCGGGGGAGGGTTCGTCTGCTTGCTTGCATGACGTTTGGATGTTGCGAATGCGGCCATCTGATGTAAAGTTGTTGATATTAGTACAACGTGTCATGAGCTGGGTACTCTACATACGGCATCAACCATCCACTTCTTCGCATCGGCGGCTTGTTGTACTGTCCAGTGCGCGTTGATCCACGTCATTTTGTCAGTGGGGTTGATTACTGGTGCATGATGTGTTGTCAGAGAGCCGCGACAACTACTGTAACGTGCAGACGGACGTACTCATTGCTAATGCATAAATCCGACTGGTTCGGGCAATGTTGACATACTTCTGCACCCGGTCGATGCCCATTTTGATGTAATGCTGTAGTTCCGGGATCGTCCGGGCCTGTTCTTCCCAGACGTCCATCAGGTCGGTGTAAACGGGTAACGCCATACAAAGGGTAGGCGTCTTTTCCGCAGATAGCAACTCCTGCGCTGCGTTCGGGGCCGAGAATACCTGATGGATGTCAACGAGAACGTTGAGCTCGTCATCTGTCAAATCGGCGATGTCTCCAAGGGTGTCTTTCAGTATCAAATGTCGGACGGCCTATAGAGGGTATATGAGCCGAGAAGCACCGGACAGAGCGTCACTCACAGGGTACAAGTTAAGCATGCGGCTTATCATATTATACATTGACGACCACCGCGTGTCCACATCACGGAGCAGTTGGACCTCAGGAAGCACTACCGGGTTTTCAAGAGTACCCCACAAGTTCGACTGGTTGCCCATCTTGATGACGCGCTGAAGCTCCTCGCGCCTCGGGCCAGATCGTCGCGCTGCAACGACCACTGTCCGAACACTACTGATTGGCTTGCTACCGAGTGCATCAGCATACCGCATGCAGGATTCTTTGAATTCCTCAGTGACTCCGGGTGCCGAGGCAAGCGCGTACACAGGCTCATATGGATTTTTCTCAAGCTCGTCTGTCACGGCCTGGCATGCACGGTTAATGCCATGAGGGAAGCAACTGTCAAAACTCCAATTATGTAGCTCTGTGATTGGCATGCAAAGTGATCAAACATACCATACACGATTACCGTCGGCATCAAATGCAATACCCGCCTTGTTGAGTTCGTCCTGGAGAAATGTCATCTTCTTTTTATTGGATGACGCGTTGTCCATCGTGATTGAGCCGATCTAACCATGACGACTACAATTTAATACGAAGACAAGGATTTGGGAGAAGCACAAACCCACCTTCTTTTCGAGCTTTGCTTCCTTGACAATACCTAGGAAAACCTTGGAAAGATTTCGACCATCATGGGATCCCTCAACCAATCGAAACGCGAGGAGCTTTGACTGGATGCGAAGCCTAAGGTTCTCGTCCCTAGTACAGTAGTGCACTGTGACAGCCATGAATGCCCGGAATGTCGGATCATCCCAGACGTCAGCAGTGAATGACACGCGACCGAGAGCGTTCTATATTCAATGATGCAACACGACTATAGCACGGAATGTAGATCAGAGCTTACCTGTGCATCAAGAACAATTCTACTGTATATTTCTCTGTACATCTTGACAATCTCGTCCTTAAGCTTGTCACGGTGAGGAATATCAGTGTCTGTCAATTTGTCTGGCCCTGGTCCGAAGAGAAGGAGTTCGCGGAATTCTGGGCAATCAACGAGACTGATGGCCTGGCACCATTTCAGTACCACACAGAGACATGGAGCAAGCCAAGTTTTACCTGATCATCGACGACAATGAAACGTACAAGCTTCTTGACCCATTCACCAACGGAGAACACCTCCGCTTCATCTACTTTGCCCGATTTGGAATGTTGGTGATCGTTTGCATGCTTGAGACCCAAGGTCTTAACGGTCGGGCCGTAGAGATCACCGTGCATACGCTCAAGATGCCGCCGCACGGTGGTCGTAATTCCGTTGGTATTGCGCCAGGTTTGCCACTTCGGACTAACAGAGATTTTAGCCTTGTTCAATGCTCAACGCAAAGCAATGGACTTACTACTCGCAGAGCCGACAACCAATGAATTCAGTCTTCGGCTTCTGATGCAACGGCTGCTCGTTCTCAGGCTTTGTCTCAGGCCTTGCATTGACCTTGAGCTCACGGCAGAAAAACCATACATCAGTGGCTGTTGCACTGTTAGTGTCATCCCTTTTCCGTGAGTTGAGGCCAAAGGTCGTCAACGGTGAGTTGACTGCGGTTGGACCAATGTTGCCCAAGCTCCACGAGGATGCCGAACCCTCAGCAGAGGGCTCGCTCGACTCCAACCCTCCATCAACCGGGCCGACGCCGCAATGCGTAGCGGTTCGGACCTGACTGCCGTCCACGTTAGAGCTGCTTGCAGCAGTACCCGGGCCCAAAGTCGCTGACGACTCGGGCGCGACATTCATCGTACACGTCCGTTTGTTCACATCGTTCGTAGCAGTGGTCGTGCTCTTGCGCTTCCGTGTTGACGTACCGCCGCGAGTACCTTTTGACTTGGTGTTTGTTGCAGCTGCCGGTGGCGGCCCGGAACTATCAGGCGGCACCTGCGGGAACGGGACATACGAAGTAGCTTGCGGCGGAAAGGGTGGAGGAGGTGGGAAAGCGTGATAACCGTACCCGGGATATGCATAGAAGGGTGCACCACCGTCTGTGACCGCCGCAGTTGGCCCAGTCCCTTGATGAGCTGCATAAGGATGGACGTAGTTTTGCGGGTAGCCAGATGATGGAGGATAGCCTGGTGGCGAGTGAAACTGCTGGAAGTGCTGTGGTGGGAGAGTACCTTGGCTCTGCGTGGTATAGGATGGCTGAGAGAGGAATGATGAACTCGCACTCGAGACGCGGCAGCGGCAGTCCAGAGGGTCGCCGCAAGTGCAGTCGGCAGGCATCAAGTCCAGTCGAACAGGATAATAGCGTGTTTGCAACGAGTATATATACTCAGAAGAACATACGGCGGGTACTCAGCTGATACCTAGGGTACTGTACACTTCGCGCATCGCGTCCTCCCTCAAACACATCCACCGGCAACACACACCACACCGTCGCGCAAGAACCCACAATCCAACGGCTTGACGAATCGCGTACATGGGCCCAGGGTCCTTGCAGTGCAGAGCGAGAGCCGCAGAAGTGCATGAAACATTCGCGTACAGCAGGGTGGCGGAGAACTCGACGGGAGACGCAGCGGGAGACGCAGTCTCGACGATTTGAAGTCGCGTTTGGATCGATCGCGTCGGGCCGCGCAAGGGCGGGGGCGATGGTGTCCCGTTATGGTGCGTGAGAAAATTAGTAAGATATGGAGCCCCAACTCCAGAGTCAACTCGCCGACTTGACTTGCGCAACAAGTAAGCCGAGTTTTGCGAACTTGATCATCAAGTCGAGTGAGTTCGCGAGTTGAACTCGGCTTGTCCGCAACACTAGCTACAGGCGCGATATTCTGGCGATCTTCATGTCCTCGTACTTGTGATAGACTTACTCGCAGTTTGACTTCTGTCCAGTTCAGCCGTGCTAACCTCGACTTCTGCGTCCAGGAACATCCTCAAAATCGACGAAGCTTGTACATGGCGGTGTTCGCTACCTTCAAAAGGCTGTGATGGAGCTCGACTACAAGCAATACAAGCTCGTCCGTGAGGCGCTCCACGAGCGTCGCATCTTCCTTCAGACTGCGCCCTACTTGTCGGCCATGCTGCCGATCATGTTGCCGATCTACAAGTAAGTCAAAGAGATGTCCTCAGTTGCCGGGAGGCTCACGAGTAGCAGGTATTGGCAGGTCCCGTATTATTGGGTAGGTTGCAAGATGTACGATGTCCTCGCCGGCAAGGAGAACATGGAGTCCTCCTATCTAATGAGCAAGGGCAAGGCACTTGAGACTTTCCCTATGCTCAAGCAGGACGGACTTGTCGGCGCACTGGTTTACTACGACGGTATGTCTTCTCAACGATACTTCGCTCATCACCTTATATATGTGGTCGTTCAGGACAACACAACGATTCGCGAATGAACATTGCCCTCATCATGACGGCGGTGCAGCAGGGCGCGACCGTCGCAAACCACGTCGAGGTCACCTCGCTGGACAAGGACACTTCCTCCGGCAAGCTTCACGGCGCACGCGTCAAGGACAGGCTCACAGGTCAGGAATGGAACGTCCGTGCCAAGGGTATCATAAACGCCACTGGGCCCTTCGCCGACGCGCTGCTCACGATGGACAACCCCTCACACAAGCCGATCGTGCAAGCGTCCTCCGGCATCCACATCACACTCCCGAACTACTACTCCCCGCGGACGATGGGCCTGCTCGACCCCGCGACGAGCGACGGGCGGGTGATCTTCTTCCTGCCGTGGCAAGGAAACACGATTGCGGGCACGACGGACACGCCGGCGCGTGTGGAGACGGACCCCCGCGCAGCCGAGGAGGAGATCCGGTGGGTGCTCGAGGAGGTGCGGCGGTACCTGTCGCCCGACATCAAGGTCCGCCGCGGCGACGTGCTGAGCGCGTGGAGCGGCCTCCGCCCGCTGGTGCGCAACCCGAACGCGGCGAGCACGGAGGGCCTGGTCCGCAACCACATGATCCATGTGAGCGATAGCGGCTTGTTGACGATCGCTGGAGGCAAGTGGACGACGTACCGCGCGATGGCGGAGGAGACGGTCGACCACGCGGTTGAGGTCTTCAAGCTCAAGCCGAAGAATGGATGCGTCACGGAGAGCCTCAGGCTTGTCGGTAGCGATGGCTGGAGCAGGAACATGTTCATCGGTCTTATTCAACGGGTGAGGATTTTCCACTCGACGCGTATGTGCAGCTGTCTGACCATCTGCTTCAGTATGGTCTTTCTACGGACGTGGCTAAGCACCTAGCGGACAATTATGGTGATCGCGCATGGACGGTGTGTTCCTATGCTGCACCCACCGGCGAGTCCTGGCCTCTGCACGGTGTCCTTCTGGCCTGTGCGTCGCACTCTCGTCCGTGTACTGACGCGCTAGGACGCGGCGGCAGATGGTCCGGATACGGTGCGTGGGAGTGCGGCGTGGGGGCGGGGCGGGGATCGTCGCAGGAGAATGACGGCTGCTTACGACTGCGGGCGGGGATTGGCTGGGGAAAGGCAAGAAAACGCGAAAAGCGCCCCAAGTCCGGCAAAAAACGGTGTTTTTTTGGGCATAGACTCGCCTCCCCGCAGGGAGCTCGCAGATTATTGGGTTCCAGTGCTTTTCGTCCCTCGCGCAAACGGGGTCTGGTATGTACATGTGTGCTAACGGAGAAGGGATGCCCCCTCAAGGTGAGTCAGTCCGTCCGCTCCGCCTGGTTCCCCCGCCGTGTACATAGATATGGCCAATATATCGACTTGTCCGCCATACAGACACGTCGTACCAGAGTCAGCAACGCGGAGACTGAGCAATCGACGGTTCGACGTACCGCAAACGCACGTCGCCGTCGTGTAGATGGGACCACCTTCGCCGTGTGTCGAGCCGATGAGATGCCGATCCGTCACTAGCTCGCCGTGCACGCTAACGAGGCACACGACGAGGTTCCGTGCACGCAATGGTCAGTGCAGGCAAACCCGAGAAGATGACATGCACGTACCTTCCGTTAGGCCGCGTCAGACGAAAGACGTCCCTGCCCTTGCGTTGGTATCTGCGCTTCCCCCCCTGCTGACCAATGCAGCTCGCCGCTCGCCGGGCGTCGATACAACACCGAACACGGTCGAATGCAGCGCGCACGGCGGACGTCCGTCAAAGAGATCTGGGATGGCGGTAGTGCTGATGCACTGCAACGGACCGGCGGCCGGACGCACAATGTCCCTGCCTCGCGAAGATTAGCCTGTGGACTTGCGAACGGCGTGATCTAGTACGCACCATCATCAAGTCCCGCGCGCGGAGGCACACGAAGGCTACGTCGCGCAAGATGCGGTCAGATCAGCTGCAGCTAGAATGGTACATCGCCTAGCCTGCGGAGCAGCGCCGACGCGCTGCTCCACTGCAACGCTCGGGCTAGCCGGCTAGCCGTAGACACGGCGCCGACGTTCCTGGGTGTAGCCTAGGCACCTCGCTCGCGGGAAGGCGATCCATATATATATTGTCGAACGACGGGGAACGGGCTTGGGTAGAATGAACGAAGCATACGCGGACCTGATACAAACATCAGCGGGATGGCAGACGGCAACAAGCAAAAGATATGTGAAGCCGACGCGGAACAGCGCGAGACTGCGCCTGCGCGCAGGCTCCGCTTTGTTGCTTGTATATGACACATCACTTCAAGCCTAAAACAAAAATGTCAGCACGTCGACCGGCGCGCGACAGCTGCTTTCCACGTACCTCATTACATGGCACCAATACCTCGCTCGCCGGACGGCGTTCTATATATACATCGACATGTGCGATGATGTGGACAGTGACCCATGCACGCGGAGCAGCGGAACCGCCCAGACGAAGCAAAGCTAAGTTGCTGACGGTGAGTGTGGACATTGGCATTGAGGGGATAGATACTGACGCACTATCGCTGACGCCGCGGCTGGTCGCCGGACGACGATCCGTGGTCAGGCCAGCCAAAGGGTCTGGCAGCTCACTCGACGAGCGACGCAGAGTGCCGACATAGAACAGCGCAAGACACCGCGCAACTGGAATGCGCGCTGTTTCATGATGTGGGAACGCTGCCTGTTACGACGGACATGTCAGCAGTGCGGTAACAACTGTTCACCACCTACTACTTACATGGTCGGGGCACCTCGCTTGCCGGACGGCATTCTATACATACTTCGCCGTCCTAGTGGCCGTTTGAGTGACACGGCGTCACGGTGACAACACCTCCAGGCACTTGGACAGCACTACCAGCTGGACATCGACTGCCGTTTGCGTTCGGGCCCTGGGAACTTCAAGTAGACACCGCGCAGATGCATGGCGGGTCATCGAGCAGGGCGCGGGACGTGTTCTTGCATGCAGTCGGCTCTACCCACAGACACGGATCAATCAGTATATGTAGCACATACAGACGGAAACCATATAACAGACATTTAGATTTGCGGAGCCGGGCAACCTCGATCAAGTTGTACCGTTCGACTACTGAGCTGGTGCGGTGCGTACAGCCCAATCAATGTACATTGTGATATCTGCCGCACCACTGGACGAGTACTCTGTCTGACTCTATGAGAGTATAAGTAAAGACAAGTGCGAGAGAGGTAGTGCAGTCACATACCTACTGTATCTTGTGTAGTATGCCGTTGTGAAGGTTATACAGCTTACATGCGATGAAAGGAACGAAGGACTTGTTGCCTTCCGTTCTGTCATATCTACCTCAGTAAAACATACAGAACGTGGGCACGTAGGCTACTGCAATGCCACTGTAACGGCCGCATGACGTGGCGACGTGGGTGAATCCCCGAGCCTCGAGTTGAGTAGTCATGGCCCGGGTACTAGTATCTCAATTCTCGTCACATGTAAACCAACTTACCGGTACCGCGGCATTAAGCCCCCGCGACATCTACTGCAATGGCATATGTACGACTCGTATGAATAGATATATAGTTCGAGCATGCGCGGTTGCGAGTCATAGAACGTACACCTGCCAATGGGCAGTTGATATTCAGTGCACAAAGATACAAGAGATCATAAATCACTTACGGCACAATTGGATCGATGGTTCATGAAGTCGCCCTTCACGGCCTTCCTGACTCAATACGATGAGCTCCCTTCATCTAGTAGTAGCCGTAGTAGTAGGTCAACAATCAGCTCGATCGAGGTTTCTCACGCTGTAGCTCACGTACTGTTTCATGGCGCTGAGCCCGCCGTGCCCAGCCGTACAGCAGAGACCATACAGCGGCAGACATACTGTACTAGTCACATAGCCCTGCACACCGGGCGACGAGTAGCACACATCAGTGATGTACACTATCGTACACGCAGATACTTACTAGGCCTGTTATGCCACCCGGTGACTCCGGATCTGATTCGTACTAGTAAACCGTAATGGCATCTGCGGCCGTGCTCATGGCTTCCACTGTGTTCCGTGGTTGCGTTGTAATGCCTGAGCCGCCGTAAGTGTTAGCCAGTGCAGCCTGAACATTGACACATGGACACACCTTCCATGTTCAAACGTTGAAGCTCTAGTCGAGGTGGGTCCCAGTCGATCAAGAACGAGTCGAGTGGCAGGTACTAACTTTGAGTAGTAACCCGGCACCATGAGCGTCTGAGATAAACCATATCGGGAAGGTACTCACGACAAGTGCCAAGTTTAGCTCGCACGTCGCGGAGCCTCTGCCGGCCTGTCCCTCGACACCATTCACGTAGAGAACAACTGTCGATGAAGCAAGAGATCAGTAAGTATTAGTAATTCAACGAAAGATGTAATGACCGTGCACGCTGCTACTACTAGAAAGTTGCAGAGTCGGTGAGCTACCACCGGCGGCCGTATATGAAGATCACCGGTTCGGATGGATACAGACGCAGCAAGACAGAAGGGCATAGTGAAGGTCAGAGCCGGTGAGTCCAGCTGTGCCATGCCTAGTACTTATACTGCTGCTATTTGGCTCTTGTCTGTGAATGACAGAACTCAATTATGAGCTGCAGTCTTGTCAGAACTTGAACTCTGACCCTCGGAACGTTGCCACTGCTTGCTCTGTGATCTTCGCATCCGAACAACAGCACCATGAATTCACAGCTAACATATCCTCAAGCGAACAGCAGTCTTCCCCAGTTGATTCTTGATTTGACTGAAGCTTGACTCTCAAGACTGTATGTACTCTTCAGACCTCAGAGCGAGATTGTACTAGACGGCCCATGAAACAACAACAACTGAGATGAGATTATAGTGATGTCATGATGCTCACCCGTTATAGCCATTTTATATGGTTCATTGGAGTCTTTGGACCCAATCTGATAGCCTCAGTGATGGCTGGGAAGTCACGCCATACACCCATCATCTCTACGGAAACATGGAATATATCTGTTCATTGCTGATTTGCACAATAGCCTTGGAGGCGAGTATCGGATGCGATGGGCTCGCCACGATGCACGGAAGCCACGCCCTCTGTCATATGACACTGCTGCTCATCTCAACCATATCTGAGTCTCAAAGAGTTGCTCACCGAGACATATGATCCTCGCCGGCGCACTTGAACAGTCATCAAACTCACCTACCTGAGAGGTACAGGCCCAGCTGGCATGCATTTATATCGTTGTGCTTTAGCCTGCTCGCTGCCGGTGCCCTCCGCACCAGACAGTGTTGAATCCAGCTCGCAGCATATCTCTATGAAGTTGCGTGGCCGGGAAGCACACATGGCACCGTGCATCATGCAGAACAGTGGCGGTCACTGTACATGCATCTGCCTTCACGCGCATCTGTGACACAGATAAGGCAATATGCGCAGACATACTCCCACCGTCCACGGTCGCTTCTGTGGACACCGTGACCGTGCAGCGTGTACAGTCCGAGAAGGGTAGCAGCTCGGACTTACCACCACCACCGTACTGATGAGCACCCCAAGATATGAGGCGAGGGCTCTGAACAGTGGGCATTGGTGAGTTGTGTTCCTGACAAGCCGAGAACAGACGAACTGACAATGAGCCTTGTACAGCCTCACTGCACCCACGCCGGGCCCTTTGATTCAGCCTCGCGTCGGGTGTTGTACACGGCGCGCTGCCAGGTGACGGAGGTTGCATCTGCTATGACAATGCGTGAGCTCGCTTCTCTATCATCGTTTCGAGCCACAACTGACCATAGGTAGTCCGCGCCGGTCAGGTTCACCAATGCCCGCACACGGTATCTGAATGATCGGCATCACTGTGTTGCTGCCTGCGGGAGGACACGGTATTGAGATTGTGTTGATGGCGAGAATGCACACAGCCGCCTTTGTGCAGGACGCAGCCTGAGCGTGGCAATGTACATACCTGTGCCAGTGGCCAGAGACGGCGTATTGAGAGCGGAAATACCGCTGTACTATGTCTGAAGCTAATA